ACTGTTACGATAAGGCGGTTGCTGTTCAGTCAAGCTTATTCTATCGGATACATATTATGTGACATATCTCATCAATGATTTAGTATCTACCACATCCTCGCTTAGCCAAACCTGAATCGGAAGGTATCGCACCTGCTAGTCAGCTTCGTTAGGTGAGAGGTATTATATTCTGATGAACAGTCGCGAAGCGTTGAATAAAAAGACACGTTGAACGACGAGAAGTAGAGGTTTAGGCATCTTCGAGACGTGTTAAAGCTCGTAGTATGATATGACACGAAGCATGGATGTAGCTTACAGCATGAACGGTAGCAATCTACTGTCGAACTATGCATTCTTCAGGCTACGAATGGAATACTACTAGGAGTCGCTCTACGAATTACAAGGCAGGGATGTCTTTTAGCGTCGCATTCTGGCGGTCTCAGGCTTGAAGGAAGGATTCAATCCCTGATCGCGTGAATAAATGGCCAATCATAATCTTAGCGCAAAATAAGTGACCAAGCCTCTGCGCTTGTTCCGCCTGGGCTTCCATGCTAACCCCAAAATAGATAGGCGTAGGATTAGGATCCTTTCTCCTAGGCATTTTAGGAGTCTTTTGACATCGTCATCAGCGTATTAGACAGCGATTAAAGAGCATGATTGAGACACTCATGTCCCCTGTCATCGCCCTTGCAAGACGCTTCAAAACTTGACTATTCCGTGCGGAGCAGTAGTCTTTCAACACATTTTGAATTCCGCATGAAATAGATTGAGTTTCAATTGGTCAATGCACCTTCATACGAGGAAAATCATACGATACGGAGCACAGTCTCGTCTAAAAATACTTGTAGCATGAGGATAATCTAAATTGCCATAGCTCATGTGGGGAAACGGCTTCATCTAATATCAGTAGATCCAATACCACGGAGTAGCTAAAGACGTGATCTAAAGCATTCATAGATAGTGACTCCATAGATTCTGTCCTTGCCAAATCCAATTACACCAAGCTAAACAATCTCCTATTCCAGTATATTTTCAGTCAGTAGTGGACAGTGGCTAGATTGTGGATGAAGGCTGCTTCGTATTATCGACCTTGTTCGCAATGCAGGATATAGTGTACGACGTAGTCTTGCTGTAATTACTAGTCGATCAGGCTTCCGAGCATTGGTTAGCTATTAAGTACCTCATGTATCCATAGACTCAACATGAGTGATGGATGTCAGTGGGTTGACGTTCTCAAGAAGCGTTCAGTCCGTAATTACTATGTATTCGTATGAGAAAACAACGCTAAGGTGGGCCTTAAGGTTAGGGTTGCCAGCCACCTTCCAAGATTTGCGGCCTAGAATTTTGGTAGTCGGTACGAGCTCAGAATATCCAATCGTGGTAGATAGGTTGTCCCACACCTGCTGAAATATTACCATACAACGAATACGTACGAAGAAGTCTTGAGTCTTGACATGAAAGCTGAATGCGTCGTGTCTGTTCGGCGATCGCTAATCATCAAATGTCGTCGCTGATGGTTTGCGATACGTGTGAAATACAGGTTAGCGAAGAAGCATGTTGACATTTTTGAGAAGCATGAGCAATACGAATAATATGGATGTATACAAACGTAGCCGGAGCCGGAGCACTAGTCGCTGAATTAGTCTGGTGGTTTTGCCAAAGTAAATTAATCGTCAATGCGAAATCACGTTCCTAACTAGGCAACTCATTGGACTTGACTCGACGTTTGTGCAATCCAGGGTCTCGAGGATCTCCGTCCGATCCGTCCAGCACCAACATTAGAAGCCGCTACGGTCATACCACCCGCATCCAACACATGCATGTACCTACGCAGTACACTCAGCGCGCGCGTATACGCATTTGTGTTTAGCAGGGGCCGCTGTACGTTCTACGTCAATCACCTGGTCATCCCTGCCATTCATGCGCATTCTTCCTGCCTTCTAGAAAATCGAAGTGTTGGTGCCCCTCGTGAAACTGTTGGAGAATACTCCGGCCCAATTTACGCGGACAAGGAATGCAACATTCTCCGGATTTTGGAAAGCTAGAACGGCATACGTAATCACAACTTAGCTTATAGCCTAAAAATTGCAAGGGTATCCATCAAATTAGTAATTAATTAGTTGTCACCAGATGGCAGGACGTGCGCAGTTAACGATAACCTGTAGTTTAGATACGTAGTTGATAGGATTGTGACAATATTGTACCAAATACGCGGTATGTGACAGTCTGACAGATGAATGAGTCTTAAAATGCTCGCTATTCAGTTTTGATTAAAGTGGTATGAATCGTGCGCTGATTCGAGTATTTTATTGTCAATGGTGCTGGCCACCCTGCTAGACTGTGTACGCCTAACATGCTAGTCAGATCACACAACGTACGTAGTCATGACAGCGTACGTAATTTGTCTACAAAAATCAGTCATTCTACGTAAATCGGATGTGCTCAGCAATCCAAGCCCTTTTCCAGGAAACGATTTTTCTCATTGGTCATGACATTAAATCCATACTCGCGCACTGTTCCTAGATTGTAAAACACATGCGCTAAAAGACAACTAGTGCGGGTTCACAACCAACCACCTGCGCTGCCGTAAGTGACTAAAATGATTAATCCTTGCCCTCTTATCTTCCCAGGCAATCTGGGTTCAACGGGTGCAGAAGCTGAGTATGATATCCTCCAATGATGTCTCAAACGTAGAGGTCTATGCTACACACCTATGAGGATCCACTATCAGCCATCAGCTATGTCTCTGTCCACACCTTCCTTTCTTCGCATCATTTCAACTCGGTTTCCTTGCTTTTTGCTTCGTTATTTCTTTTTTAACGTCCAGTTCTTAACCGATGCCTCGTTCTTTTATAAGTAGAATCCACTGTTCAGCCGCTTGACTTATGCTCACACATTATGAGCTCATTATATGAATGCGCAATTTTTGGTGTGCGAGTATTATGCAGTCTACGAATCATACGAGTCTTTGAAGCATTTGATTGTCAGCATCTGAATCGAACGTAACAATAACATCTTAAATTAAGTGGTATAGGGCTTACTATACTTTATGCTAAGTAAATCATGATCTTCGTACTTCTTCGCACCTGTCTATCTAAACAGAAGTCTACAGAATACGTGGTCAAATGCGTCCTACATTCCTCGTGTAACCAAGTTGAACCAGCACATTCCAAATATGCTTCTCCGGATCAGCGTCCCCACTACGGAAGTTACAGATCTTCTTCACCCCTTGCCTACGGCGAATTCTATTCTATTCTTGTCTCTGGGAAACCAGAGTTTACTCGTTCAGTGTTTCTGCCTTATTATTTCTGTCGGTAATTTGCTCCACCAGGACGTACCTGCTAATACATCGTAGACTAACGACTCTAATAATTGAAGCAGAGGGTCACGACATGATCAAACAGAATTAACAGGTCGTTGAATAATACATGTCTGATTTCTATCTTCTCTTACATTGTCTCGTTTAGATAGATGGACAAGCAGACCTACAGTCAGCATTCCCAAACGAATCATGAGCGAGGGTCCACTAATTGTACAGCGATTACCCTTTCTTGGAATACGCAATGTGAAGTTACTGCGTGCTAGTAACGTACCATTTCCCGTTAAAAGAGGAGGAGATGGCAAGGCAGACCATGCTGACTTCGGTATGGTACGTACGATAACACATACGAGGCATGTAACGGTGTAATAAAACTATACTGCACTAATACAGCCATGGCATGCCGCTAACGCCCACTGCCCCACCGCAGCCCGTGTAAAGTGGAGCCCTCTGCGAGGTCCTCGAAAGGGTGGGGACTGGGCAATCTGGGCTCAGCCGCATGCACTGTAATTAGCCTTTCGCGCTAAAAACCTTCAGGTCTTCCATCGTGCTTCTTTTTTAATACCGTACAGCCCCAGCTGCGGCTCGATACGATGCTCTATTGGCCACGTCACGTATCCCTCCCCCCGCCAGCTGATGTATTAGTCCAAGCCAGCTTATGGAGCGCCATTTGTGTCTCATGGACATGATTGCTCGATTCCTTAACGAACCCCGTACAAATCCGTTTCTTGTTGGATGCAGATCCACCAGCTTTGCCCTCTCTAGAGCTAGCCTAGTTCTCTCTGCGACTATGCAACGAGTCAAAGTGACTAAGCTTAGCCCTCGAGATTATAGTGACCTGCATATGGGATGGATCATCAAGAGTAATCCTCGCAGGCACGAGTCTCACGCCTTCTGTGCAACTGAGCCACTTGCGTACCGGTTTTGCCTGCCCACGTTTCGAACCCTCGCTCGTTACAGTTTGGTCCGGGCTCATTCGTTGGCTGTGATCGACGCCGTATCTGGTCATCATCTCTATTCTTCCCGCTGGCCAATGCATACATAATCTGTCAGATTCCCCCAGCTCAACTCTTTCTTCAATATATCGCTATCCATACCGCTCCCTGTATCCAATCCTCAACTATTTCGACTTGATTGTTTTCAGACTCGCCTCTCTTTAGTTTTGCTCTTCACCTTGCAAGCAACACATCACGGTCCACCTCCCTCTCCCTCATCGTCATTGAGAGTCACATAGTGCTGCACAACAGCTTCAGTAGTAGATCAATACGGCAGAAGAGCTCATCGAAGTTTTTACTCTCCTGCTTAATGGACGCAGCGCCTTATCTCTTTCGCCAGACAAGTTCTCCAAAGCCAACTGCAACAGCTAATCTCCAACCTTTACATTCATCAATTTTCACAAGGTCGAATAACCAGAGCCCTCATCTCTTTGCTCGGTACTCGACCTCATCTGTCTCTGACCCCGTTTCAGCTACTTCCGTTCATTCTTCCTCTGACTCTGGCACAATGCGCCGCTCAAACACCATGGCAGAAATTCCCCTTCCTATCACTTACACACCTACTACACACCGTATCAGCAAAGCAAAGAAAGGCAAACGGGTGCATGCTTGTGAATTTCCGGGTTGCAATAAAGTATTCACTCGCGCAGAGCATCGAAGACGCCATGAACTGAATCACAACCCGGAAGCGTCCTTTCCATGCACTTATGATGGCTGCCGAAAGGCCTTTCACCGATCTGACCTTCTACAACGCCATATGGAAAGACAGTATGTTGTTATCTTTTCTTATGTAAATATGCTGGTAGGTTTTTTGATTGATTTACTAATATGGGTTTACAGCGAACTAGAAGGCCAGTCCGACAGCGGGATGTCGCGGCAATGGCGACATCAGAGCAAGTCCGCCTCGATTACATCTGCTCCTACTACCATGATCACATCGATGCCAATCGATGTTACATCTGCATCATATCCAGCTAGCCAAGTTTCGACTCCTTTGTCCTCTGCCAGCCCTGTAATCGGAAGTGCAATCCACCCAGACCTTGCTGGTGATTACTCTCTGCCATGGAATGGCATGGAAATCCCCCTCCAGCCGCGGCCAACGGTCTTCGGAAGCCATGTACGAGACTCTCCAGATGACTTGCCTTTCTACTCTTCTCCAGATACTTGTGGCTCTCCAGCATCTGATGCAGCCGGATATGTGCTGCCACCGCACCCTTCCTCTGCTCCAACTTCAGTCATGGAGCCGTTCACCTATTCAGATCTATCCGCATCGCCTCTACAGCTCCCCACAGCCACACGCGAATGGGATGGCTTGGATATCGTCTCTTCCGCCCCTAACATGATGCCGCTCGCTCTTGACGGAAATCAGATGATTCACCCAGTAGGTGAACCTTCCTCTCACCAAGGTGTTAACTGCATAGAAATTCGACTGACTTTGTTTCAGAGCCTGCATTGCCAATACCCCTCTCCAACCTGGATGGGGATGAGTGGTATGCACTACGACGAGAACTTACTTCAGCGCCCGGCGTCCTTTCCGGAGACGACGGCATGGAAATCATTGACACTGTAAAGTGGCAAGACTGTTTCGAGTGCTACTGGCGAAATTTCCATCGCTTATTCCCGATCGTTCATCGCCCGACCTTTTTTACTACTAAGCCCAGCCCACTGTTGTCCGGTGCTATGGTTGCAATTGGTTCGCAGTTTGATACACGACCAAATGCGAAAGAGTACTCCTTAGCACTTCTTGAGGCTTGCATCAAGTTGCTGGCCAAACGGCCCGCAATCACCAGCAGATCCCGCGTAACTGATATCCAGGCTGTCTTTCTGCTAGAGTACCTGTCGAAATTTAGGTCTCGGAAGGCAGACGTGCAGATCTCTCATCGTTTTCGCAGCTTATACGGAAGCTTTATGCAAGATAGACATTGGGTACACGTGAATCCTCTTGCCGTCCTAAACACTTTGCCTCCCGAATCCTCACATGATTCTCTGAAGAAATCACAAAAATTCTGGGTTGAACACGAAACGCGCCGTCGAGTCTTACAAGCTTCATTCATCCTGGACGTTTACCAATCGAAGCTTTTTGGCCAACCATCCGTTTCAGTGCAACCTAGCTCCAATCCATTCAACACGCGCCCTCAGGTTTCGCAGGCGAACAAAATTCCTTTTCCTTGCAGCGCCGAGTTATGGGAATGCAATGATTCTGCCCAATGGCTTTCTTTGGCACGATCTTATGTCTCGCTATCTCTCCCTTCTGCTGCCGTCAGCGTAAACAGACTCTCCGGACTCCGACCGGAAGAAATCGATCAATTTCAAGCCTCCCTGCTACTTGCCTATGGTCTCGCCTCATATGCTGTAACTGAAGATGATCGCTCATCAAACGACCCACTGAACGCTTTAATCATTTCATTGCAAGATCGAAATGGAGCTGATATGGCGACATCATCTCACTCTCAAACTCTGTTTACCTATCATACTTTGATGGCCGTGCAGTACACACCACTACACACCCTGCTCACTGTCAGTGGCGAGTCATGGCTTTTCAATCAGAAACTTGCCCAAGAAGGCGAATTTCGGAGTGCCAAAATGAAACTACGAGAGTGGGTATCTGACACTGACGATGTCAAAAAGGCAGTTTGGCATGCTGTAAGGGCGCTAAATTATGTTGTGGAGAGTACCGAATGGCACTCATCCACAATTACTTCGGCGACTGCCAACCCCGTGTGGAGCAACAGTGTGCCCTTGATCAAAACTCCCGCGGCGGGCCCGTCAATAATGCTACAGGCAACTTGGAGCGTCTATATATGTGTTTTGATATGCTGGGCCTATGGGTTCGATCCCAGCAATATCGTACGATCAGAAGCAGAACATCAGCCAGATAATCAGGCCAATGAGGCGCGGGCATATATTCAGAACATGGTATCGTTGGCTCCGACATGGAGACACATATCTCAAACCAACATCCCAGCAACTGTGCGATGCAACATATATCCTCTCTTACGATACATACGGCTAACTCGGCTTCACGAGGGCCGCGTTGGAGGTCTACTCAATGAAGCAAACCGAGTACTTGCTCGATTATCCGAGCCTAGAGGTGCACGAGGCGAAATAAGGGGGATGTGGAGCTTCTAGCCCTTGGTCTGTTGCCACCAGCTCCGAAACAATTCATTCGACTTACATGTATTCTTTTTCCTACTTGATTTTTCACCATACCTAGAATGGATGAAACACTTTACGATGTACATAAATACGACTTTTGATGTGGAACGGCTTTTGGGATGGCGTTTTAAGACTTCCAATTTTTTTCTTACACTTTTTTTGGTTGGCATCTCTCCTTCATTGATTTTGAAGTCTCTTTTTTGCTAGGATTCTGGCCTGTGGTGCCCCTCTTTATGTATCATATACCCTGTTTCCATTTTCACATACAGATAGAGCACTGTTTGCAACAAGTCATGGCCTTTGATTATATCGTGTCAAATTCAGATAGATTGTACATAGTGTCCGATTTGATTTCGTTCACCTACTCTCCACATCTTTGTACTATGTCTCTATAAAACTCTTGGACTTTGTATTAGCTCCACTGTCTTTTGCCTGTAATCCACTGCTAGCGTGGTTATCTTCACGGGATAATAATATGAGTTGTTATAACTTCCCACATTATCTATTACCAGCTAGACGTGGTCAGTAATGATCCATTTTCGTAGCATTCATGGATCCCCCAAGATTAGCCGTCTTTCAGTAGCAAATTAGTTGGATCGGTACTCCGTAAATCCGTCCAAATAGGCCCGTCCCAAAGCAGTTTAGTTACTATAAATACGGAATTAAAATCACTAACAAACTAGTCTGACATTGACAGCATCGGGTCCTCCGGGATCCTTCGATAAGCTCGCGTACGTATGCATGTGTCAATCGTAACCATTCGCGGAATAACCGTGTTACATATGTTCGATTTGGTGCGTCTGATATGATACTCGACCCGGAATTTCACCGGAACTACTTATGCGTACGTATTCATAAGTGCTCGTTATTTATGAAGTCAGGTACGAGTCTGTAGTTCGTACAATCTATTCATCGAGCAGTATACCCTTATGCTCTGGTGACCAAAGCTTCACCGCTAGCGCATTTGCGCGCGAATCCTCACGGGGTAAGATTATCACCTGTCAAGAAAGCATGGATGTCTGTTCCGTAGAGACGGGACGTCAGTGTTACCTTGTGTCCTGATGTTTCAGCAAGTTACACGCAGCCCAAATATATGCTTAGGGTTTGACTTGGCTCTTGCACTTCGGTGAAGTTGACCCCTCCACTCTGCATCTATGAACTCCCGGTTTGACGGTGTCCCGGTACTTCGTATGTAGTGCTAATTGACGCCCATCACTACTTACATGGATGTGTATCTTACATGGTCGTATATGCATAAAACGAGAAGGAATGTCATCAACCACTCTTGTGTCTTAGAATAGTAATGCAATTTTAGATGAAATTCTAGCCCGTACTCGTTATCGGTATTCAAATTACAATGATAGACTTATGTGTTATAGTCGGTGAGCATATCAGTGTTCGATAGTATAGGATTACGTACTCAGAATGACGGTAGTGGTGGTTATATCATAAGTCTCGTGTACTAATTTGAGGATCACCGTTGAGGGGTTCTCCTGTAGCAAACGAGCAATGAACTTAACTTTTAGAGCAATCCCTCTGCAGAACAGGTGACTCTTAAAGCCAGATACCCAGGTATCCAAGACTGGAATATACATTAATTCGGTAAGGGTGGGAGCCGTGACCCCGTGAGGTGTTCTAGTCTTACTATCACTATCTATCTAGATACTTTGAGACACAAAGTGTATCTTATGGGTGGACATAATGATTGTCTCAAATCTAATGGGTAGGCAACATAGGCCAAGTGAGCATGTCCGCATCTTACGAAATCAGGATGGGCATTGCTATCGATGGATATGCCAGTAACCTTGATGTCCGTCAAATCCATCCAATAATCTAAATTGCTATCTCACAGCTGCTAAAAGCCAATTCAGTGCCATTTGATAGAATTCTCAGCCATCATGCAACTGAGTAATACCTGCTACCTAACTCATCAATCTCCGCATTTCCCATATCTGTCTTTGTTGAGAATTGAGTGTTCTCGACTTTCCGATCTGTGTCACCCTCGCAACCATATAGACAATAGTCGTGTGTATTTGCATATAAACTCTGTTGTCGGACCGCCCGTTATAAGCCATGCTGTGTCCATATTTCGTCAAATGAACCAATTGTGTGTTCGTACATCTTTTGTTTTAAGGTTAACCGCCCAAGATCATGAGTGCATATGTAGCCTATAAAATCACAGTCTGCTTCTCTGCTGATTTACTTCCTAGTAGGATTTAAACGTAGTTGAAATATCGGGAGAATGAGGGTACTTGGAGCTGGCCAGTCTAGCCACATGTATACTGCACTTAGGACTTACTTGGCATGGTTTAGGGTATACTGACGACATGTATTAGCTTCATGGGTACCGAAGAAAGCTTTACAGTCAAAGCCCGTACTGGTATAACTGATCATTTTCTTAGCGCTACGAGATCTATTGTTTTGCTAAACATCTCTTTCAGTGCTTATTGTAGCCTGACTAGATAACAGTGCGAGTATGCGTCCGACCCAGTTACAGTGCGTTAGCAAGTCTACGCTCTTTGCGAAGAGCCCTCAACTTGACGCGCGCTTCTTCAAGGGAAATCAGTTCACCTTTAGCGTGAGAAGCTGGATCATCACGGTTACGAATGTTGACTGATCGGGATTCCTTTTCTTGTGCGCCAACGACTATATAGTTGTTAGTGTTGGTATATAAATGAATCAATCTGATAGCTACTTACCGAATATGAAATTGTATTGGGCCAATTGACCTGTACGAATCTTCTTTTGTAGAGTGTTGCCACTAACGTCCACATCAACGTTCAACTTATCAGCTAGCAGGATTTGTTGCAACTCCTTTGCGTAGTCATTGAGTACCGGCATGACAGGGACAATCAAGATCTGACGAGGGCTGATCCAGAATGGCCATTTACCAGCGAAATGCTCAGTCAAGATACCCAAGAAACGTTCGAAACTGCCGATGATCGCACGGTGGATAACCACTGGGCGTGCCCGATTGACATTTGACTCCTTGGCCTTTTCTGCACCGTCCTTGTTGACTTTGGCATCAGCAGTTTGCTTTTCGTTGGTGATATATTCTAGCTTGAAGTTGATTGGTGCCTGGTAGTCGAGCTGGATTGTAGCACATTGAAACTCTCGCTTCAGCGCATCTGCAATCGTGATATCGATTTTGGGACCATAGAAAGCACCGTCACCTGGGTTAATCTCCCAATCGTCTCCCATGAACTTGTTCAATGCTTGGGTTAGCTGATCTTCGGCATAATTCCATGCCTCTAACTCGCCCATGTATTTTTCCGGGCGGGTAGACAGCTTCAACTTGAAAGTAAAACCAAAAAGGCCGTAGATGGCTTTCAAGAAATCAAATAACCCTTCGATCTCAGAGGAAATCTTGAGAATAAATAATTAGCCTCACAAACATGAAATTAGGGGCGATTTGGCGCCTACCTGTTCTGCTGTACAGAAAATATGAGAGTCATCTTGTTGAAATTTGCGTACACGTGTAAGACCGCTGAGAGCACCAGATGCTTCATTTCTGTGCAGCACTCCAAAGTCAGCAATCCTTAGAGGAAGCTCTCGGTAACTCCTCTCGCGGTGGCCAAAAAGCATGAAGTGTCCCGGGCAGTTCATGGGCTTCAAAGCCCATTCTCGCTTCTCCACATCTAACTTGAACATATCATCCGAATAGTGCGCCCAATGTCCAGAAGTCTTCCAAATGCTCACGTCGTACATGTTGGGCGTCTGCACCTCTTGGTATCCGCGCTTACGATACTCCGATCTCAGAAGTTTTTGTAAAGCGTTGAAGATTTTTGTGCCGTTGGGAAGAAGGAATGGACATCCTGGGGAGACATCGTCGAAGAAGAAAAGCTCCTGCTCCTTTCCGATCTTGTGGTGGTTGCGCTTTTCAGCTTCCTCGAGGAACTTGAGATGCTCCTTCATGCCGTTCTTATCGGGGAAAGCAACACCCCTGATTCGCTGTAACGAGTCATTTGATTGATCACCGAGAAAGTATGCGGAGGAATTTTGCATGATCTTGAAAGTCTTGATCTTGTTTGTGTTTTGGATGTGAGGTCCGCGGCAGAGATCGACTAAGGTACCGCAACGATAAACGGTGCTTTTTTCTCCCTCCACGAGGTTGTTGATGTAGTGCAACTTGTATTTACTGTAAGCGAACATCTTCTTAAGATTCTCCTTGGTGACTTCGAGACGATCGAAACTTTGGCGCTCTTTGAAGATTTGCGCTGCCTTTTTATCGAGGGGTGCCCAATCTGACGGGAGAACGACGCGCCTGTTATATGGAACATTAGTTGTTGTCAAATAAATCGTAGCGTTCATGAGATCCTACCCATTCGGAATAGCCATATCGTAGAAGAAACCCTGAGGAGTGGGTGGACCGTGCGATAGGAGACAACCAAACTCAAGTTCGCAAGCCTCTCCGAGACAGTGAGCGCTCGAGTGCCAGAAAACATCTCGTCCCTCTGGGTGGTCGAAAGGAAGGTAAGAGACTTTGCAGTCCTTTTCCAACGGCCGGTTGAGATCCCAGAGCTCCTTGTCGTCGATCTTGGCGATTACAATATTGGCGCTGATTTCCTTAGGGATATCCTTCAAAAATGCACCGGGGGTGGACTCCCAGGCTTTGCCGGTGATTGTGGAAGGTTTTCCGTCTCCGATATCGAGTGTAATAGTAATATCTGTGCGAGGCTTCTCTGCGAGCTYTTTAAGGTGTTCCTGCCATAACTCTTCAAAGAGCTGGTTTCGCTCAATGAAGATCTCTGGAAGCGAGTCCGACTTTGCCTCCATTTTGGCGTCCCCAGCAGGGCGCACAGGTAGCTCTTTTTGTCCTTCCGAAGCCATTGACATCTCACCAGCAGTAGTGACTTGGAGAATTAGATATGTAGCGACGCGGGGTGAGTCACATCAAAAATTACTCTTTTGGTGGGCTGGAGGGGAAACATAGCAACAAGGCGGTGTGTCACGTGATGCCGTCTGATCTAGAGACTTTACCGCTTTTAGTACCCACAGCAAAAAAACTTCGAGATCACTGAACAATTTCTACAGCAAACTACTCGACAATCATTCATAACAGCAGCCATGTCTTTCCGTGGAGGTGGTCGTGGCCGTGGTGGCTTCGCTACTGGCGCAAATCGGGGAGGTGAGAATATTTTTATTTTCCAGGTCAAAATCTTAGAATTGGTGTGCTAATGGTTTGCTTGGTACAGGTCGTGGAGGCTACCAGCAGTCTTACGGCCCTCCTGCTGAAGTTCTAGGTGAGAACCCATCGGATTCGATGTTCAATGAACAAATCGCTGATTGACATAGAAATGGGATCTTTCATGCATGCCTGTGAGGGTGAGATGGTCTGCGAATCGATCAACCCGAAGATCCCATATTTCAACGCTCCGATCTACCTCGAGAACAAGGTTTGCCGCCACCATATTGTTCTACCCAGCGAAATTACTTCGATTGAATCACGTTTCTAATATTTGCTTGCTAGACACCCGTCGGAAAAGTCGACGAAGTGCTCGGTCCGATCAACCAAGTTTACTTCACCATCAAACCCCAAGAAGGAATCGTTGCGACATCTTTCAAGTCTGGAGATAAATTCTACATCGGAGGAGACAAGCTTCTACCCTTAGAGAAGTATGTCTACAATATCAATCATTCCTATTCCGATCATCGATCTGGTGCTTTGGATTTGGAGCTTTGCTTTGGAGAAGCGGTCGCTAACATTACTTCTACATAGATTCCTTCCCAAGCCCAAGGCACCTCCCGGTAGCAAAGTTAGAAAACCAGCAGGAGGTAGAGGAGGAGCCCCCCGAGGTGGTCGTGGAGGACGAGGAGCACCAAGAGGTGGTGCTCGTGGTGGACGTGGAGCCCCTGGTGGCTTCCGCGGTAGAGGTGGTGGTGCCGGTGCCCCTCGAGGCCGTGGCGGCTTCTCACGAGGAGGATTTGGAGCTCGTGGAGGCTCTCGCGGTGGCTTCCGTGGACGTGGTTACTAATTTGTTCGCAAATCTGTTGACCAGCGTGTTGTTTCTCGTCTTGTTTTCCATCTGGCGTTGGGGGAAATCGGCTACGGATCCTTTTAAATTATTACGGCTGTCGCAAGTATCTAAAATTTGCTCTCACCGGTTAAAAAAAGATGCTGTAAATTACTACTTTATTTCCGAGAATTTGAGGCCCTGAATTATCTTAATTTGTGATCACTGATGCACCAGCCACATGACCAGGAATTTTTTCCTTAGTACTGTGGCTGTGCGATGCAAACTAATCAAACAATGACGTCTGGCTGCTGCGCCAACGTTCTAACCTTGAAAACGTAAATTCGAGTCCCGCGACACAAATCTTGAACACGATTCTTGCCTAATCAAGATTCACACCATTTATCTTCGTATACGCTTCAATTACAACATTTCTCGTTCAATTTGTTCCGTCTAGCGATATCATGTCTCGCAGAAACCCAAGCCATTCGGCGCCAGAGCCCAGTATTGCCAACGGTGTAGGCGGAGATGGTACGTATCGATGACAGTAAGCTTGAAGGATATGGCTAACAGGTCGCAGTCAGTCAAGAGAAACAGAAATCGCTTCTCCAAGCCGACACAGGGCATTTCACCATGGTTAGGTTGGTGTTCTTGGTCCCCAGTCAAATCCGGAAATCGATTGCTCACAACGTGTAACAGGACCTTGCACCTCGCGGATCTTATCACGGAATTAAATGGTAAGTTGCAATGGATCCCCGAGAAACTGTAGATTGCTAACTCGTAATATGATTCTAGGCTTCTGCGGATGTAAGTTTCATATCTGACGTCCAAGACACTCGAGTTGGAACACCTGTGACTGAATGATGGATAGTTATGTCGGTCCTGTCCTCGATGCGATACTTGTCCGAGCCGGAAAGGCTCAATAACATCTGGTTTGCGCTTGCGTTTATGCCGTTCGGTCTCTTCTTCGACTTTATGGACGGACGAGTTGCAAGATGGCGCAAAAAGTCGTCTTTGATGGGTCAAGAGCTGGATTCCCTGGCAGACTTGGTATGCTGATTTTGATGATACGTACTTTTTGCAAACACCAATACTGATCAATTTTTGTGTTGTATTTACAGATCTCTTTCGGCGTTGCACCAGCGGTAGCAGCGTTTGCTCTCGGAATGCGAACTTTCGCCGATCACCTGTTCTTGAGCTTCTTCGTCCTTTGTGGCTTAACCAGATTAGCACGCTTCAATGTCACAGCTGCCGTTCTGCCCAAGGATAAGAGCGGAAAGTCGAAATACTTCGAAGGCACCCCTATACCTACGTCGCTCTCCATTGCGAGCCTTATGGCCTACTGGGTTTCCCAAGGCTGGATCCACGAGAACTTGCCGTGGGGAACTGTTCTCCAAGAGAGCGTGCTTGAGTTCCACCCCGCAGTATTGTTGTTTGCGCTGTGGGGTTGTTTGATGGTCAGCAAGACCTTGCGTATACCCAAGCCATGAGGGCCGAACTACGTATTTGACAATATCCATAAGGTGGGGTCTATATAGAGGAATGTGGCGTGGACGGCTTGTGCAAAGTGTTGCGCGTTTAAAAGTTATGGTAGTACGTTCAGGGGTTGCGAACAAATGAAATTGTTTTTCTGGTGTATCAGGTAGAATTTATTATGATATTTCCTAAACTTACGTCGTCGCGAACTCCCAATGTGTCAGTTATCTAGATGTTGTATTTCAGACCAGCAAATACGAAACGATCCAAGGCACCCAGCCGTAACTTGGGTTTTATACTTATATCAAATTCACAAATCTCTTCGATTACGGACTATATGATCGACTTAATTACCCCTAGATCCTGAGAAATATCTCCCATAGCACACGACCTAGGAAACATCTGTAGGGAACTACAATTGAGCCCCAAATCTAGATCGTGGACGATCTCCGATGTTGACTATTCTTGCTATTTTCGATTAGCAGGTTTTCCATTCTTTTTTCTTTTTACGTCCATGGTGGAGTCGAGGCCTTGTTTATACGGTTCTAGACCTCCCGTCTATGGAAACCAAGCAGCGTCAGCTTGTCAGGCAACTGCATAAAAGTACTATCATCAGCAACGTCGCCAATTGGAGGGATGAAAATCCTTCCAAGGGTTCCAGTTCGTATTTCGTGTCTGAGTTGTCACCAGTAGTCATCTGTCTCAGTCGAGTCACCGAAGTCACTTAGATCTGTCAGGGTGGTAGGTACGTGCGTATCTGAAAAAATAGGAAATTGAAAAATTGCATACTTCATGCCTAACGGAGTCTTCATCTGACATGTTGCATTTGACTGGATATGTGCCAAGGGAAAGTCATAATATTTACTCCTTGAATTTGGTCTGTTTATATTGTGCAGGGCGGTATGTATGCACTGCGATCGAAAAATGGGCTTAAAAAATTCGATGTAAATTCCCGAGTCTTGGCGCTGGTATCTGTAATATGTATCGGATCTACTGACTGCAGGATCAACTGCATGGAGAAATCCAGGTCAGTGACAAGTCTCTACAAGCTGGATCATTTACTTCGATTTGCTTCGGAGTCTGGTACAGATTCGTTCTATTTAACGATTCGGTAAATCCCAGTTGTACAAAATAGTAGTATGTTGCGGCAGGATCCGGAAAGCCTCGGATGACGTTGGATACGTAAGGTTATTCTGGAACATCCCTGCCATGAAAAGACTTAATCAATTCAATAGTATGCATTCAATAATACGTGCCTCGCAGAGCATCATCCGAGGTCGTCCATGATAAGGCTTCCTCAGGCGACATCGCGTCGTAATGAAATTCCTGGAATGATTTACCATTTAGTATAGAGTACATACGCGGGAATATGTCGCGCGGCCTGAAGGTCTGGTATATGGCTGCCTGAGAGTAATGAATTTAGCATGTGAACACTGGCGTAAGATATACATGTAAGTTAGCTGGCTAGGAAGCTAAAAAGTTATTACGGGGAGGTCTAAACATAACGGAATAGGCTTGGAAGCTAGAAGTTATTCCGGACATCGCCATTGACATCGTTATCTCATCGCACTGTCAAACGATCGAGATGAAGGGTCAATAGACGCTCTCAGACATCTCTTGAGCCCACCTTGGACGTGAGCCATACAGCCATAGACGCATATGGCCACCGAACTTTCCTATCAAGAACAGCCATTTGCGCCACACCGTCGAACATGCATTAGCCGTATCAGTCGATCCGACGTGCGTGTGTTGCGTATCAATGTACAATCGAGTAAGATATTGTCGGGTGTCTTCTTCATGTGCTCCTTGAATACCTCGATCACTCTTGTATGAACATAGTACGTTGTCGAAGACATTACATAGTAAGTCTCAGAGTGTGGTCATATTCGTACCTATGGGGTACTCCGTAGAATGGCCGATACACTACTATGTAACTATGGAACAGACATGACAATAAAAACATACCTTGTGGGGACAAGATCCCGCTCTGACCAGGTACACAGCCAATCACCGTGCCAACTTTTATTCACGCAGGACTGGTATGGGACCACAAGCCAATCAGCAGCACTCTCGGAAGCCACTAGCGGCCCGCTAGACGGTCACCATGTTTCTACTGTCCCAAAGACGCCTAGCGCGGACAGCGATCCGTCATGCCAGTTCCAGGAGTCGCTCTTGCCCTGCCCGTCTCTCCCGCGCCTGGAGGAGAGACACACGATCCTTAGTTTCACTATTACACCCTCTTTTGGTGCGAGCGTCTCAGTGACTTTCTTTCCCCATCCTCTCGTTAATTTTTCCCTCGCTATACATACATTATTTCCACTTTGGAGTCTAGTCAAATCCCGTTCACTTCAGTCTCTCGCTGACATCCTTTGTCTTGTCCATCAAGGAAGGATTTTTTACTACTCGAAAACAAACAAACACGACCGGTGCCTGACAGGCCGACAAACACAAAGTCAGGGTCACTTCGATTGCACGGCGCCAGCAGGCGACCTGCTTTGACACTTGCATTGAAGATTTGGAAAATCGACATTGTTGGTGACTCTTTCATCGTCTATCGATCGTCGCGTCCATCAGACCACGGCTTGGCTGATTCCCGTGGACTCGTCGACCCCTTAATCGATACCGACGTCCATCGTACACCCAACGACGGATTGCATCGATTTATCATCAGGGTCGTGCCGGGAGAGACGCGCAGGAGGCTGTAAAGCGAAAAATAAAGAAAAATAACAATACGAAGACAAGTTTTGTGGTCGGACCAAGGGCTACGCAGGCCGTCCCTCTCCATCGCCATACTACGTCCTGGCCGTGTCCCGCATGCTATCTGACTATCAAGCGGATATCGTAAAGGAAGAAAGAATAATACTGAGATCAAGATGATTTTCGCAGCGTCCAACGCCCTCTTCGCGGCGTCATCCTTGCTTTTGTTGGCTCCGTCTCCAGTGAATGCCATTACTTACAACGCCTCTACACATGTCGACTGTTACTCGTCATTACCAAGTAACTTTATAGACAATGGAACATGGACATATCAGAGCTCAGGGTACTGCCAAGAACAATGTGTTCCGATGGGTTACTCGGTAATGGCCATGACGAATGGCAATGATTGCTGGTGCGGTAACGAACTTCCAGCAAATTCGACCAAAACTGATACATGTACCGACACCTGTGATGGATGGCAGGCTGATGCTTGTGAGAATTACCGACACTAATTAAACAAATTGTGAATGTAGCAACTGACAATATTTACAGGTGGCGGAAAGAATTCATACGATGTTTATCTAACTGGGTTGAAATCGGATGTACCAATCGCAGATAGTTCCAGCAGCACCACTACTAGCTCTGCCACCACCTCCACCACTGCTGGTGTTACCGTCATTACCCAAGCAGGGCAAACAATCGTTGTCACGGCATCCAGCGATGCCTCTGCCACGGCGAAATCGTCCGGTGGTGGTACGAGCACCGCTGGCATCGCTGCTGGTGTCGTTGTAGGCGTTATCGCCCTCGCAGCAATCATTGGAGCCGCCGTATTTTTCCTACGACGCCGTCAGAAACAACGCGTTGAAGAGGAATACAGACGCAACGCTGAAATCAGTGCCTTTACCCAGAAGAAGCCATCATCTATGAGCTCGGATGCCCGATGGGACAGCGACTTTATGGCTCAACGACGCCAAAGCAACGGCAGTATTGCCGACGCCGGGGACTTTTCGCGACGCATTCTCCAGGTAAGTGCTACTCGGCCGGTATTGCGAGGATACCGTAGCTGATTGAAATTGCTTTAGGTCACCAACCCGGATCGTTAAATGCTATCACCCACCAATAAGTGCGTTTCTATCCTACGACTTTTTAATGTCTCCGCCAACGCAAGGCTGAATCAGGAAAGCCATCACTCAGCTATTTTGTTCTCGCCCTCCCTCATCCCTTTCTCTTGACTTTCGACTCTCCATCATACCACACGCTCCTTTTCATGTCCATACGTCGACATACCGTCCTTCCTTTGACCACGACATACCGCCCAACTCATCCGAATTACGAATATTGCTTTTTGCAGGTTCTCACTTTGGCGTGCTTTTCTTTCCTTTTCAACCTCAATTCTGATCTGATTTTATAAGGCGTGATGGGCTGCGGGCATGTAAATATATTTGGTTTTCTTTTTATTTGTTTCAAATTGTGAATTTCCCACGACTCTGGGACTCATTAGTGCAATGGCCCGAGCTGGAAAATCTGTTGACATTTTGCTTACGGGAGGGATGGCACGCAAGGGAAGGGGGTCTTCTTCGGCATTCCCGATAGGGAAGCTGAGAACGCTGTGATAATTCAAATGTAATAAAATCTCGCAACGATGCTGTCATGTATTGTATCCTGTCTCCATCTGTAATGTTGTTTTGAACGTATCAATAGACCCGATAACCCAACACATAGAAGATGCTCAAAAAGTAAATAAAGAGTTTTTGTCGTCGACGTCGACCGACAGCAGAGTCCAGCATTTGCAAATTGATGCCATTCACGGTCTGAGAAGCTAGTCCCAAACAAGCCCAGATCGCGATCAACCCTAGAGCGGTCAGCGCTTTTCGCGGCAGCTGATTGGCCCGATCCTCACCGTTTTGCCCGGTAGCCATCGATTTCTCAGATCGTCCCTACAACGTTGTGATCGCAATAACTTCTGTATATAGTTTCACCCCGGCCATTTTAGCATATCATTATCCACACACCACACGCCTTACCCGAGCCCCTACTCATTGTAGTAATCGACCCTCATGAAACGGCCCGACACTGTCTCAAATTGGCTGATATCTTTACGCGTTTGATTGCGGAAATTCCTCTGTGGCCCCTATGGCTTCTTCTCAATGGCTCGGACGTTCCTCCGCTCGATGCGGATTCAGTCGCCGTTCACAAAAATGGTTGGAGGCATCGCGATCGTGGGCTCGACATGGAGGCCCATTTTCAGAATAAATTGGTATGTCAATCGAACGTTGTGCCCTGAATATCGTTGACCCTCTTATTTTTCCTTAGCTGTGAAGATAGTACGCGAATTGCCTCTCTACCTTGCCGATGAACATTGATTCTTGGGATACTTTGTCTATGCCCTACACATTGTCTATCTTCTTGGACTCATCTCTCGTGGTACATGGTATCTCTGCTTAATGCTCCCTTGGTCCCACTGTGACTTTGGGCCAAGTTCACTGAATTGGTTCTGGCATTGACCTTGCCATCTTTCGATTGCACAACCTAGCGGTCGTGTGACAACCAATGACTACATCACCCGATGGGAGAATTTAGTACTCATGATAGCAACGCACTCCCGAACAGCCTCCGATCCGGGTCCAAAGTCGTGAGGATGGCAGACATCAAACAGGTGCCTCATAGACACCCCAAACATGCAATCGAGCAGAACCAGAAACATCCCGAATCTGACACCTGGTTCAACGAGGCAAACCAGCATGTCACGTCTCAATTAGACGGTCTGGGAGGTAAATCATAGAGATGGAGTTTCCTATCCCTTCAACTGACGGGCTTAATAGACGACGCGCCTTATTTCCCCAATGACATTGAGCCAGGCCATTCCGGCGAAAAGCATTCCAGCCCAAATCGTTTAGATGACCCAGTGTTATCTTACATGCGGGCAAACGATGGTGAAAGGGAGAATGAAGAGCTCCGCGGAATCATCGATGACTTGACGTTGGATATCAAACGGTTAAAGCAAAAGCTACGCAGGTACAAGGAAAGAGATCCTCCTCGACTGCAAGGGGATAAACTCTTCGATGTCCGCACTTATGGTCTACCACGTCACAGGAAACGCCAGTTAGAGCAAATTCTGCAGCAATTCGCTGCTGAGATTTCCGGAAGCTCGCGACTGTCTAGAAACAGACCAGCCCGTGCCAAAAGCAAGCCTATGCGTGACAATGCATTGATCTCAGAAGACGATGCCCGCAAGGCATTGGTGGTTATGCTATTTAAGCAACATCTAGGTCTTTCTACTGCCAAGGCTAGCATTCAACATCTCGCAAATACATCGCCTCCCCCAAATTCGTGGTATGATCTGAATGAGACGCTGGGCTCAATAAAGCAGATGGTTTCTACCATTGATGTTGAATTCAGCCGTGAGGCTCTCAAGAAATACGGTGCAGCACTTGAGCTTTCAGCTGATGGCCATTGCGTGAGACAGCAGGGCAGTGATCCACAGGGGTTGACACGACCTTCTACCGGGTCCAGTGTGGTATATGATCATCCCCATTTCCATCATACGAATGATCTTCTCAAGAAGAGATCAACACATACAGAAACCGTTCTCGGTCTTGCGGAGAGCAAAACCACGTCGCTGCATCAATCAGTCGGCACAGATTATGTACCGTATACATTGACAACACACAGGAATGAGGCCGAAGATGAGATCTTGTCATTGACCAGTAGTGATTCCGAGATGAGCTTGCACGTGCCTATAAGCGACGGACACGGCCATGTTTCAAAACCACAAACGCACAAAACGTCTCATGAAAGGTTGACGTACTACAAAAATGCTACCTTCTACATTGACTGCTTTGGGGATAGTCCTGATGTAATGAACTTGCAACCATGGAAATCATCGTTGACAGAAAGCGTTGGCGAGAAACGCAAACGCCAAAGCAGCCCTAGTCTCTTGTCACAACAACAACGACGACGACATACAAACAGAACACCTGCAGATCGGTTCCTTTCCTATCCAAATGAAAAGGACTCGGTATTGAATCTCAGCCAATGCAGTTCACCTGTTTTGTCTCTAGCAGAAGAGCCATTGGAATCAGTAGCAGTTGGGCACAAGGCTTTTCCTAAGGAGTTAGCGGCTTCGGGTGTTGGAGATGTGACCCCTCATGACAATTTTGCTGTACATGTAGTCATGAAACATGTTCCAGTCAGCTCGAGTGATGATACAGGCGGTGTCATCAACAATCATATTAAGAAGGCTGAAACACGAGTTCCGGATCATTCTTTTAATAAATCCATTCCGGGTCATGATCAACGCAACGGCAGGATAAACGACCGAAACGAAAAACTCTTCAAGACCTACGTCGTCACAGCTACACATGAAGAGTTGCCACCGTCATCTTTACCGCCCGCGACATGTGGTTTCTTTTCGTCTGCCAGTTCGGATGACGATAGCAATGGCGATGAAGGTCGCGAAGATGGGGATGATGAACGTGATCATGTTCATGAAGATTGCAGTGGAGTGAATAGACATGATGCGCCTCCGGACGTGCTGGCTCGCGTCGGGATTAAAAATGGTGAATCCCCAGCATCTGTGCATTCAATTGAGAAGTGGAATGCCGATGTTGTAGCTTCACTTGGCAATCATGAAGGTAATGGATTCGACGGAGTTGCTCCTCAACGAGCATCGGGATCGATTCGGACTCGTTAGTAATTGTCGCGACTTACACAAAAGGTAAGGCTCCTCCCTGGAGCAGGACTGAAAAGATATGAAGCAGCAATCCATAGTTAAAAAAAAAGTATTTTCAAGAATCTATTGTACACATTTCTATCATCTCAAGTCTCTTGACAGACGATTTTGTATGTACATTGACATGAATGTAACCGCCTAGTTGCCGTAAATAGCCGACGCAAGGTTAAAGCATCTATGATCACCAGACTCCCATCAGACTCATGAAATGCGTGACCCAGATGATGTTTGAGTCGCATCTACAGATGCCAGTAATTGATGGTAAAGTCAAAATCTCGATATGAACAACTGATTCCACACCCAGTGATCTGACATCTTGCGCCGCAGCTCAACAGAAAAAGAGTAAAGTCCAGTTGACAGCGGAAAGCGCGCAACGATTCCGCGCGCGTCTCCACATTTGTTATCCGGGGTAAGTCTGAACGCTTCGGATGAGAGCGTCGGATAACAACATTGCAAGCAGAGCGGAATCTTGTACAGAGTCGTACGTATATAAAGCGGACAAGCCCGTGCTCACTACAACACTACGCTGTACACTAATTCCGAAGTCTACTAGGTTTTGCACGAGTGCGCGGGAAACTTGGGCATACTGGATGTGCTGATTAGGAACCTTACTCGCCCCAGTTACGAGGAGACAAACCGTTGATCTAGTTCAACTATCGAGCTAACATTTCACACCTAGCGAATATGCCTTCGCAAATCAGATCCTGCTTGCGCGTGGCAAGGCAAGTCGCTACTCGACAGAATAAGGTACGAATATCTACATCGTTTTATATATTTACTACTAACAAGCCGTAGCACCAGCAATTCCTCGCCCGCGCATTCTCCAGCTCCGTCCGACGATGCGAAATTAACAAAGTCTTTCCCTCCGCTGAGGAAGCTATCAAAGATCTCAAGTCAAACTCAACCGTCCTAGCCGGCGGATTCGGTCTATGCGGTGTTCCCGACACACTCATCAATGCTGTCCGCGCCAAACCTGAGATCACAGGCCTGACCGCCGTAAGCAACAATGCCGGTGTCGACGGGTCTGGACTAGGCTTGCTGCTTGCCAGTAAACAGATTAAGAAGATGGTTGCAAGCTACGTCGGCGAAAACAAGACCTTTGAGCGCATGTACTTGAGTGGCGAGATTGAGTTGGAGTTGACTCCTCAAGGCACACTGGCCGAACGATGCCGTGCGGGCGGCGCAGGAATTCCTGCCTTCTATACACCAGCCGCTTTCGGGACGGTCGTGCAGACAGGTGAACTGCCCCTAAAACATAACAGTGATGGCACCGTGGCCCTGTACGGCGCACCCCGCGACGTCAAAGTCTTTGACGGCAAGAGCTACGTTATGGAAGAAGCCATCAAGGGCGACTATGCGTTCGTCAAGGCCTGGAAGGCAGATAAACTTGGCAACTGTCAATTCCGCTACGCCGCAGCCAACTTTAACGGCGCCATGGGCCGAAATGCGAAAATGACCATCGTCGAGGCAGAGCAAATCGTCGAAGTTGGCGAGATTGAGCCTGCTGCTGTCCATCTACCGGGTATCTACGTGAAGCGCGTGATTCAGAGCACAGAAGAAAAGCGCATTGAGAAACGCACATTCGCCAAGGAGGATGGCGATGACATGTCCGCCCTCGGCAAGGGTGATACCGCCAACAAGCGCGAGCGAATTGTGCGACGCGCTGCGAAGGAGTTCAAGAATGGCATGTATGCGAACTTGGGTATTGGGATGCCCATGTTGGCGCCCAGCTTTGTTGACCCGTCTGTTGAGGTTATGCTACAGTCGGAGAATGGTATTCTCGGATTAGGCCCGTATCCCAAGCAGGGTTTGGAAGATCCGGATCTTATTAATGCTGGCAAGGAGACTGTGACCCTTTTGCCGGGAGCTGCTGTGTTTGGTAGTGATGAGTCTTTTGGTATGATTCGTTCGGGGCGGATTGATTTGACTATCCTTGGAGCGATGCAAGTCAGCGCTCGAGGCGATCTTGCGAACTGTAAGTTTCTACACCTTTTCCCTGAATTTCACGTCCACTAATATTGTTTAAGGGATGCTTCCTGGCAAAATCAAGGGTTTTGGTGGCGCCATGGATCTCGTCTCCAACCCCGAGGCGACCAAAGTGGTTGTAACAATGGAGCACACAGATAAAAAGGGTAACCCCAAGATCTTGAAGCAATGCGAATTCCCATTGACGGGCAAGGCCTGTGTCAGCCGCATCATTACTGAATTGGCTGTCTTTGATGTTGATTTCACTGACGGCTTGACTTTGATTGAGGTTGCTGATGGAGTCACCGTTGAGGAGGTTAAGGCTAAGACTGGAGCTCCGTTCAAGGTTGCTGATGATTTGAAGACGATGTTGTAAATATTTTGTCATTTTGTGGTGTTGCATGATGTTTGTATATTCTATATTTATATCCTCTTGTGCATATAATGAGTTACACCAGTCCATTCTGGACATACTATCAATCATACCTGGTCCATTATCTTGGAATCCCGAGTGCCCGACTCAAATTCGAAAAAAAATATCGTAATGCAATATTGTACAGTCTATCATAGCGTACAAGACCCCAACTCCATACCCATTAATTTACAAAGTGCCCAGCAATGCTTTTCATAATCTCAAACAAGAGTAGAGATAATGCCGTCGCAACAAACTTATACTATCCGATTCTCCTATTTCAACCGTAACATCCCTCCCAATCTCTTTTGTACCCTCCCCCACCAATTCCGATTCGGCGCCTCCTCAAACTCCCTCACGACATCATCATAATGGGTTGGATTGCTGGCAGGATGGCGCAGCTTTTGGGGTAGAGGATATTGTTTGCTATATTGGTCGTTGAGGAGGTTTGTGAGCGCAATGACTGACGATTGCGAGATCTGGGGAGCCTCGGTTTCGGTCTTGGGGAGGCGGGCTTGGAGGTAGCTCTGCACGGAGACTGAGGCTGGTCGTATAGGGTCGGTGGGCCAGGCCTTGATGAGGTGCGCGAGGCGCGAAGAGATGGTTTGCTGCGGAAAGTAAGTTAGTGTATTTCGCCTGGGAGCTGGTCATGATTGTGGTGCAGCTGCGAGAGTCATGTGGATAGGGCAACCTGGATGTTACTTACTGGTGTTTTGGACATTTGTGGTCACACGAATGTACGAGTGCAATTGGTGTAATTGAAAGGGTATATTAGCTGAGAGAATTGCATGCGCTGTCAGGACGATAATAGCTTCTAAAGATGACTTTATGAGAATCCCCCGTCGATGATGAGAATGACAAATTCCCGAAATATCTGGGAGCCTTACCGATCAGGTGTCGATCAGGCTGCCATAATCTGCTCCGCCACTGATGATCGATGACTAACTCCGACCGCCGCCTCAGACTGCGACAGACAGGCAGAGCCCCTTCCATCCATACTCATCACCCTCTCTGTCATCTTGCCATCTCCTCCAATCATTTACTCTTCTTTCCTTTTGTTCTTCTAAATTACATTTCTCTCTATTCTCGTCGTTGCTGTTGTCGATTTCTCTTGTCGCTCACTCATTCACATCAAGTCATCTTCCGGCCCGGTATATCCGCTTATCATGACCTCGCAGTCATATCAACGGGTAAGACGACCGTCCTTCAGTCGACTTGTCGCTGTATCACTAGACCTTTACTGACGCACTGCCGCTCACATCTAGGTGAATACCCGTGATGACGATGACGGTCAAGTCGAAGCCTTCCCCAACCTGACTGCACCGGTACCCGCCTCGCCTCCACCTTCTTTCCATTCTAGATCTTCGTCACCGTCGTCGCGTCGCTTGCTTCACGAAGATCCAATACGAGATGGTCCCGATAATGCCTTGGAAGACGCCTTTGACGATGGAAACGACTCGGACGACGCGGATGAAGCCGACGATAGACAGCGCTTGATGAGAGGAGACCCTACAACACCCACGACGCCCATTATCACAGAGTCCAACTCGGCGAGCGTCCAGCCGTCATCAACTCAGAGACGAGGCACTATACTACCGACTTTCACGTCAACGGCAAGTTCGCGAGTGGTAGGCACGGGTTCATCAAATGATGGCGTTTTTGCCAACCTGAATGCTAAGCCGGAAAGGGCTGAGAAACAAGAAGAAGATCTACCTCCAGTATGTTTTTTGCCTTGTTGAAAACTATTGATTAGGCTGCTAACCTTTCCAGTCATATGAACAAGCCGCTGCCGATGCGACGCCTCCCTACTGGGAAACCACTATAATGGCCCCAGGCATGTCCTCCGACGAAGTATACGTGGATGGCCTGCCAGTCGGGTCGGTATTTTCGTTTGCATGGAACGGCATGATCTCGATGTCATTCCAGCTCGTCGGTTTCCTCCTCACCTATCTCCTTCACACCACCCACGCCGCCAAAAACGGCAGCAAGGCCGGTCTCGGTCTGACCCTCGTTCAATATGGCTTTTATATGAAAGGAAGCGGCGTGTCGCGGCCCGATAGTGATTCAGATTCATACACAGCTCCACCAGATCCTAATAGTCACAACTTCGACCCCAACTCAATTGGCGACGGTAGCGCAGGTGGTGGCCAAAACCAAGGAGGCAACGCCATCTCCGCCATCACGACAAGTGAATGGATATCCTATATTCTGATGATTGTCGGTTGGTTTATTTTGATTCGATCCGTTAGCGACTTCCTTCGCGCTCGCAAGCACGAACAACTCATTCTGCAAAGTCCTGAAAGAGGCCTTAGCGTGCCTGTCATCGCTGAAGGCGAGGCTTCTGAGAATGTTGTCTGATTTGCTGCACCATGGATAAGCGCATAATTGATGACGGAGTCTGGCGTCTAAAGCTTTCTTATATTTCTTACGGTTACCCCTCCACTTCCTGGAAGTGAATTTCATTAGCAATGGCCGCATCTTCGTTTGTCTTTGTATTGTACTTAGTCTTTGGAAGATACCACATATATATATTATGGCACCTCCTACTTGATTCTTATGCGATCACATTGTAAACCTTGCATCTCATAGTTAAGATCTGCTTTTAACGTCAACATGACTAGCGTGGGAGACAGAACTGTCACAGCATTCCTATAAATCAATGGACCTTAAGACTAATGCTACGTGTGAGTGTATATCAGTTGTATCTTAAACAACTCAACTACTTAGGTAAAACCAGATCGGACATATAGGATCCATCACATTAGAGCTAAATGCTACTACCTAGGCGTTCATATATATAAAAATTGACCTCGTGCCCACAACCAAAGTTGTCCCACGAATTAGTCCTGATCATCTAGAAAGCAAAGGCACCAATGAAGAGAAGACCAAGCAGAACTCCCATGCTCGGACTAAGCTGCGAGCCAGACGACTTGGTCTGGGCAGGAACTGTTCCTGACGAAGTACCAGATGCAGAACCAGTAGAGCTTCCCGAAGGCGACGAAGTAGATGAGGGTGCAACAGCACTACTGCTGCTACTGGCGTTGCGGCCTTCACCCATAGCGAGGGTAGCGTTGGCGACGAGTGGTTGATCAATGTTTGGCTGGTCGGCGCAGGTAGAGTTTGCTGCAAGAGGGCAGGTCTCATCTGTGCAGGTGCTCTGGTATTGAGGGCCCTGAGCCGTGATGACAGTTGTCTTAGGAGCACAGCGGTAGGCGAATAGACTTTCAAGAGCCGTGGCGACGGCGCTGATGTCAGATTCGGCGACGCCGAAAGAGGCGGCTGATAGACCGACTTGGGTGATGAAGTATCCGATTTGGTATGGGTCGAGGACCATGAACCTTGAGTAATACATGTCAGATATTGTCCTAGTCTATGTATGCGAGTACATGGTAAGGGGGAAGAGTAAACTTACTTGTGCACCTCGTACATGCTAGCATCTCCCCCATAAGCGGAAAATCCGGTCATGCCGACCTCGCTGCAACCGAGAAGGGAGCCGAAGAACTCATACAAATGAGTGAGGAGAAAGCTGTCCTTGCAGTTAGCATAGAAGATTTATAGCTGGGTAGGCTGGGTAAAGACGAACTATTGTTTAGAAGTATTGTCCTCTGCTGGCAGATTCTTCATCAAAGGCGCAGCACCACCTCCGTCCAAGAAGTTGACAGCAACACCTGCGTTGCCACCATTGTTGGTCGAAGCCAGACCTCCATCGAAATAGGGGACAAGATTGACGCTGGTGCCGTTGTATGTTCCGTTAGGGTTCAAGATACCCGGAACTGCAACACCGACATTGGGCTGCGTGTAGTTGCCGATGACAGCAGTGTTCACCAAGAGAGCCAACAAGGTATACTGGTTGGTGGCATTGTTGTCTTTGAGTAGGGCGGTGGTGTAGTAGTCACAGATTGAGACGTTGCTGGGACGCTGAGCAACGGCCGCGCCAGCCATGGCCAGCATAACAAGGTTCTTGAAATACATGTTGGGATTGAAAAACGACACAAGTTTTCTCTACTAATAGCTGTACTTGATAAACGACAAACCCCTTCCTATGATTCAAGGGGGCGCAGACCTCTATATAACATAAATACACTCGGACATTCTGTTAGCTTACCCAAAAGTCAATTTCGCAACAAGGCAACATGCAAAGAGCTCTACGAGCAATACGAACTTGGCCATTGGGCAACCCCCCGGTGGTGATACTTGAATCCAGCGTGCATGTAATGATATCAATGGCTTGAGGGTAAATTACTCCGTAGGCACTTAGCTTTAGACTTCTGCACTCCGCACACTAAATCCTCACTAAACCCCATCTGTTGACAGTAAGCCTAGTCCGTACATAACAGGTCCCGCGTGTTTCCCATTTAGGAAACAAATTGACCAAAGAGGTTGAAAGAAGTCGATGCACAGAGTCACTTGCCATAATAGGAAATATCAAGATTTCCTATTTGGGTCTGGGAGGGAGTGGAGGTCCAAGCGGTCGACCAATCAGCGCCTCGCGATTGACAATTCTGTTTCTCCTCCTGTTCTCCGATCTGTGCCTCGTTTTGCCCCAATGAACTTTTTCAATCTTTTAGACTTTGAGAATGTGTATGCTAGGCTTTATCTGGCACTGGCCAGGTCGATTCAAGAAGCACCCTCTCGCACAGCCCGCTCTCGTTCTCGACTGTATGGGATGACTTGTCGTATTTCTCGTACCTGGATATATGACCTGTACACGACCCAGTCTCCTTGCGGCCAGGATCAGCATTGATGCTTGATAAATATGTCAAGGTCCAGAGATCGAACTTAATTGTCCGATGAAAGCCGGAGAACGCTTTTATTTGACTGTTGGCTTTGTGCCGCGTGGCTGAAGCAACATCAGTTGATAGGCTAACATCAAGCATATACGGGTCGAATAGATTGGAAAATAAATGAATGAGCCTGAAATCAGGTTTCTACAATCAAGGGACGAAAGTGAATTGAACCGGCATTCACTAAGATGTACATGTAGCGAAGAGAGAGACTTTTTTTAAAGGGGCAGCCAATCATCGGACGGTCGATTGATTGGGAGATACAGTATCACCTGGCTATAACGAATAGCAGGCCGTCCAACGTAGAAATCTAACAGCCAGAGAGCTTCAGTCATGGGAAATTGGAGAGCACACTTATACGACAATCTGTCTGATCATTAACGCGTTGGAATGCTCCTAATCGTCACACGGCGCTAGATTCACTCCTTTCTCATTTGGACCCTTCCCTCGAGAACAACGTCTGCGCACCTTCCTCATGAGCAATGGGAAGCAAATAAACCTAATCGCCCCCTTCTCTTCTTCACTCTCTATCTTCGTTCTTCAAGCATCAACAGCATCAGTCTTTGTAGCTTTTACGTGTCTCAATACTCATATTTCTCTTCTTTCTCTCTGCAAGCATCATAACATTGTCTGAATATCATCTTCAAGCAGTCCTCGCTATGCGTTTTCAGTTGGCACAAGCTGCGATCGAGTTTGACTTCTTTCAAGCCAGTGCTTTTATCCGTGAATGCTAACAACACTCTCATAGCGGGGTGTTTCCAAAGAGAAGGGAAAGGAGGACCGCCGCGGGAGAGGTGATGACGGCGGCGCCGCTTCGTAAGGGTGGTTGTAAGTGCTATTCTATTATGCACCCAAATTCTGGATCGAGCGCTGATAATAGCTAGCTTCCTTCTGTACCTGATCGGTTTCTTGCTCGTGACGCTGCGCAACAACCAAATCTACCGATTCATTCACCCCAATATTGGGCATTGACGTTCCTCTGGGCGGCCTTGCCGGCGTTTGACATCGTGGTGGAAATGTTTGTTGCATGGGACCATGCTCCTGTATGATGTATCACCCCTGATGACTGTTTATAATGACACCAGGGTCTTCATACTGGGAATAGGCAACAATGTGTCGCGGTCATGGTCGTTGTAGATTTCGGCCAGACGAGTCTTTCATACTGATAGGCGACAACGATCGAAAGTGCTGCCTAGAATCAACCATATGATATCCTCCGCAGCCAACTACACATCTAGGTAACCATTACCCCTTTTGTTGTTCTTGTACTTGGTCACCGCGGAAAAAAAAAGCAAGATGATGGAGGAATTTTTGAATTTTTGCAAACTTTACCCATTAGCAGGAGCTATACGCTCATCCGAAGAAGTTTTCTGTTAGGAAGGCTGTTGTAGTGAAGACTGTGGATGCTGTGAGAAGCCTCTGAAGGATGATTACGTTCCGTCTGGTTATCTTTCAAAAGAAAGAAGACTGAACTGTACGGGCATTGTACTGCTGAATGTGGCCGTTGTTCTGGTTATACTGGTAGTTATACGCCACATCTGTTGTTTAAGTATTCAGAAGTAGTCCGAAAGGAGGAGAAGTGAAGCGAATCACAATGAAGGAAAGATGTAATAGCTAGCGTTTTTAAAGATAGTTTCAAAGTGAGACAGAATGTGTACATGCATTGCATTACCGAGAGTAATAGATCCCCTTGAAAGCTCTAAACAATCACCTCGGTCTTCAAATCCTTAGGCCAACGAGGTTTGTCAACCCCGTTGCCTCTAGTGCCTACGGTAAATCCTGGCTTCACAAGTCCTTCTGGAAATTGCAAAACTGGTTTCACGGTGCGGTAGGAGATGTTGAGGTGAGACGGATGACGGATCTCAAAGTGAGAGTCATCAAACAACTCCGGTGAGTTCTTTTTGAGCATACCCATAACCTTGAACAACATCGCCAACATGTGGTCATAGTGTCGGAATACCGGAGCGCCATGCTTCTGCCATACTTCTTTCCACACCGGTTCGGGGTATGTCCCAACACTTTTGACCAGCCAATTGGCATAGTAGTCCAGGGCGAGCTATGGAGAATTCGGCCCTCAGAAAAGGGAATTCAAAAAGGATGAAGCTCAAAACATGGATAACTTACGTTCACTTTATATGACCCGCCTTGTTCACCCCGCCGAATCAGAGCATCCATCACACTGCAGATGCCGGAAACTCCAGCGCTAGATTGACAGTCAGTCTGCGACCAGTGAGTATCATGAAAATAAGTTTTACCAGAAATCGGTATTTGGAAACACCGGGGTCACAGGCTCATCATGGCCCATGGCACGCCCAAACTCATATGAAATACCGCAAAACTTGATAATTCAACAACATTAGCAAGGTTCAAGCGCTCGATGGGAGGAACTTACAGCATCAGATATCTGTTGCCACCCACTACGATCTTTCAAGGGCCCATTCCAGCCATACGCGTTCAAGCGAACAACGATGATTCCTTTCTCACGGCCCTTCGTCATCTCCAGAACATCATCGGCATCGAACCCCCATTTTGCCAATGCACCGGGCCGATAACCTGAAATAAAAACGTCACATTCCATAATCAACTGTTTCATCGTCTCTCTGTCCTCAGGCTTCTTGAAGTCCAAGGACGCGTTCCACTTGCCCCAATTCAGCTCTGGATGATAAAGAGTTGCATCAGGGACCGAAGGAGACGTGATACGCAACACGCTGGCGCCGAGTTCAGCCAGTCCTCGGGATGCGATGGGAGCGGCAATGATTCTTGTGGCATCAAGGACTTTGACACCTGCAAGAGGACGCGATGGATCAGAATCATGAGTCCACCAAGAAGGGGCCTGGTGTTCATTGGCTTTCCACGTCTCCCAAAGCCCAACATGGGCATTCGCTTTTCCATGTTCGGTCTGCGCATAACCTTCTTTGGGATAGCTGATAGAACCTGCCTGCTTTAGGACTACGTTGGATAGATGATCCAACTCGGTGCTTTCATATTGCGCAATCTTGTCTATGAAAGCAGGTAGATGCCTCTCAAATGTGTCTTCTCCCTCAGGCACACGAGGCAGACTTAGCATATCTAGGATCACATCCGGATTCATCGATCCATGAATATGATAGAATTTGTCGTCTTTTGTCTTGTATATGTTTGATGTACAACAACGATATGCCCCGGACAGGGAGCCGTGAACGTCATAATCAGCAAAAAGGCTGTTGTATAATGCCTTTCCAGCAGGATCAGTTCGAGTGTCTGCAAATGTCACATTACGACCTTCTGGTTCCAGTGACCACAGCATAAGCGACATAATGAACAGTAATGCATGATCCCTGTATTCCTGTCAACTTTCAAGGGCTCAAATTCATGTAACTTCGAAGATCTGAATAAGCACTAACGTATTGATCACTGCTTTCTGTGGTGACACACCATAGACCTTGTCTAAGATAGCATTTACATATGTTCCCTCCAAAGCCTTCAAAGATGAAACACTCTCCGCAAATCGCCAGTTCACCGGCAGAACTGGCTTTGGAGAACCTGCGAAAGAGATAGGTTCTGCATATTTCTCCAAATCCTTGAGTAGATGCTGCTTGACCAAGGGATTTTCGAAAATACTTTTGCGAAAGACCTTGGCAGTCTCGTCGACGATTGAGTAAGAGTCTACGGCAGTGGTGCCGTTTGTGTTGTTCGTGGCTGCCATAATAACCTGCAGCCAAAGTCCTGTCTTTCAAGATCTAAGAACCAAGCTAGATTTGTTCAACAAATCAGTTCCCTCTCACTTGAATGCTAAGTAATTGATTATATTACGTCTAGATAGGTAAGTAGTCTAGTTAGGAAGCAGTCTACTGAAACCTTTATTAATCAGGTCTATGTTTAATAACATCTGCATTTCCCAAACTGCAACGTAGAACTTTATCTAGACTGAAATGACTGGCGGCGATTAGACATTGGCGGGGKTTCAAGTCCGATAGACATTACGTACATAACTGTCTTGACTGCATCGATTGATAGATTGTCCGAGCAGGAATCAGAAAAGGGTATATCGGGGCGCTCCGTCAACAGCGAGAGTTTACTTCCAAAGATCCGCCTTCGGCAGCCTTGATAATGATCCACTTCCTCGCAGTCCATACTTGATATGTATTGATTATTTACGCAATTATATTACCTATACGAGACGTTTCGTACTTGTACTATTTTTCGTAGTATGCTTCGATGTTCCGTATTGTAATACGTAGCCGTAATCATGCCGAAAAATGTCTCATGTAATACACTAGTATTACATTTCGTATAATCTTCAATGTTTCCAAGGTCTTGATTGAATAAGTAACTTACGAACTTATGCGATTCAAGGAAGCGGGGGTTTTTCGACCCAAAAGTAGATTTAGAAAGTCTTTCTTGCTCAATCATATGCAGATGAAGATACAGGGGCATGAATGAAGCTCGGAACGAAACCGTTGGAAGACAGGTATCGTTTAGTAGGGACGCCCCAACATTATTTATGCGGACAAAGATAGCACATGCAGGGGATATTTTCAGCTCAGGATTGAATCCCTGATAAGAATGATGGTGTCATCCAGGTCCAGTGCCGTTTTTCTCTGAACGGAAGTACGCGCAGCTTTTGATCTGCAGGAGTGACTCGACGTGCAGTGGAAACAATTCTGTTATAATTTACTTTAAGGTGTGAGGGTACCATTTACAGCAAAGGGCAGCTCCACATTACAATGGCATTTCCACCAGAGCCTTCCGCTTCCATCAATTGGAAGAGCCTTGGATTCAGCATATCAGATGGTACGTACTTCCCAAATCAAGAGTGTATCAGATGTTGAACATAAGATTGATTTTAATCTTAGTGAACGGACATATTGAAGCCAAATGGAGCAGCAAAACTGGCTCCTGGGGCCCTCCCACTTTCGTCACCGACCCCTATATCCGTTTGCATGGTCTTGCACCGGCTCTCAACTACGGTCAGCAAGCTTATGAGGGCTTGAAAGCATTGCGGACGGCAGACAATAGAATCCTAATATTCCGCCCTAACAAAAATGCTGCTCGATTTGCCTACTCTGCTTCCTTCATCTCTATTCCCCCGGTTCCTGAGGAATTATTTGTGGAATGTGTGCATGCCGCGGTTGCTTTGAATGCAGAGTTCGTTCCACCGCATGAGACTGGCGCTGCAATGTACATTCGACCCCTTATTTTTGGTTCTGGGCCTGAATTAAGATCCCAACCTCCTGCCGAATTTACCCTTTGTGTATATGTGAATCCAGTAGGCACTTATCACGGTGCTCATCCAGTCAAGGCACTTGTCATGGAAGAATACCATCGGGCAGCACCTAAAGGAACTGGGTCAGCCAAAATTGGAGGCAACTACGCCCCAGTAATGAGGTGGCAGAGGCAGGCGGCTGAGCAGGGKTATGGAATTACCCTGCATTTAGATGCAAAAACGGACTCTGAGATTGATGAGTTCTCGAGTAGCGGCTTTATTGGCGTGAAAAAAGACAAAGAAAATAACATCACTCTTGTCCTCACCAATAGCAAGAACATCATTGACAGCATAACAGTTGACTCATGTTTGGCTATTGGTAAGAGCCTCGGTTGGAGCGTTGAAGTGCGCCCTGTAAGCCATCCAAGTTCTGATCTGTTTGTTATAAGATGATTTACGGTTTGCGTTGTCTAGATCAAGTACGAAGAGATTGGATCGTTCTCTGAGGTGTTGGCTGCCGGAACTGCCGCTGCCCTGCTGCCAATTCGTTCGATAACCCGCCCCTCCACATCTGAGACAATCTCTTATATCGATGATTCCTCCGAGGAACCTGGTCCAGTATGCTCAACCCTTCTGTCTACCTTGAAGGGCATCCAGTCGGGAAAGATCAAGGACAATTTTGGATGGACGTTTCCTGTGAATGGCGTAGATCCAAAGCAGTATGCCGCCTAGCTTAAGATGATGTTGAGAATTAGAGTACCAGCATTTGTTACGCCCTTTGACGATAGATTTTCAACGGTTACTGAAAGTTTATTGTATGACTGAAAATGGCACTGAGAAAACCTGAGTCCAAACGTTTTCCTATCCACATTCGTTCGGAATTTTACATGTATCTGAGTAGCTGTGTGGTGTTTATGAGTGTAGGTATTCTGTAATTAGTAAGTGTTTAAAAAATGCCACTAATCCTAAAATATGCTATAACTAACTGATGATGAGAATTGTAGTACAAAAGCGGAATGTTCTATATGCCAAGTAGTGCAACAACAGGCAGCGTAGTAATGCTTGCCAATACCCGAAATACCCTTCAAATGTTTTATATCTTGGTTTTTAAGGCCCAGCCGGCCTTTCTGCCCCGAGAGATTATCATGATACAAGCGCCTATCTCAGCCGTAAGACCAGCCCATAACCAGACACCGTTGAACCCTACTGAATCTTGGAACGCTCCAGCAATTGGCGATGTCGCCAATAATCCAAAGGAAAGACCGACAAATGCCATACCTATTCGTTTCCCGATCAAACCAGGATCGGGACAAAGGTTAATTACCACAACTGGTTGTAGGGCAAAAAATGCACCACATAGGAACGCGTAGATAACAGACACTACAATAACTGTTGCCAGGCTCTTGACACCAAGCAACGCTAGTGATGAAGCACCAGTTGCCACTCCAAAGAAGAGAAGCAGATTAAAAGGCCCGATGCGAGGAGCCAGCAGCATTGGAAGCACTTTGCCGGCGAGGCTTGAGAAGTTCATCATTGCAAGGATATAGAAGGCGATGTTTGCATTTGTGATCTTCTCGTCAACCGCAAATGATTCAACATAGTTGAAGGGGATATAGGCCCCCAGAATGAGTATCACATTACCCGTGATGAATATCAAGAAAGGGTGATCGCGGAAAACGGACATGTCGATTATCGCGCTCTTTTTCTTGGCTACCACACGAGCCCTCATCACGAGTACTGGAACCAAAAGAGTCGCCAAACTMATGAAACCAAAGACACGGACAGTCCAGCCATAACCAATTCTTGGCTGAAGATTATTGAATAGTACGGGAAGTAAGATGCTGCAACAAAGGAGGTTTTGTGAGTGGACAGTACTATCAAATATTCGGGCAACCAAAAGAGAACTTACCCAGCAATACCACTTCCCGTGGTACCTATGCCACTTGCAACGGGTAGTTTGGAAGTGAAGTATGTTGAGAGCATTGACGTGCCCAGCATGGATATGATACCACCTCCAAAGCCAATACATATTCCTTGTGCAAGAACGAAGTGCCACATTTGTGTGCTGATGCTTTGCATAAATGTGCCGAAAGTTATGAATATGGAACCTGTGACAAGGACATAACGGTAGTACCCAGCATCGTAAAATGGTCCAGCTAGGAAAGCGCCGAAGAACATTAGAAAACTCTGAATGGATCCGATGGCTGCCGCTTTTGGTGCATCGAATCCTAATTGCTCTGTGTAATAAGTTTGGAAAATACCATAACTGTTACTAATACCTGCGAAGCGAGTAGGAACATTTAGCCTTTGAAGTTCAATTTCTTATTGCCTGATTTTTGTCGCTAGGTCTCAATAGCATAGACGCCAACGCACCATAACTGTTGAAGTAGATACAGAAGCTGGCAACAACATGGAGCCATGCTCTAAGACCCCCGTTTGGAGGATCTTCTGTGGAAGTCGAAGAAGGTGTATCATCGACCTCCAGCATCTGTTCTGTACTTTCCATGCCCCTGACGACCTGCGTCGTGGTGCTCACATCTTCGGGTGATTTGATCATTGCGAAAAGCCCACCTTGCCGGGTGAGGGGCTCGATTTGTCAAAGATTGTAGTTATTTACAAGCAAGAAAAGAAAACGAATGTATGCTGTTAGAAGCAAGCATGAGAGTCAACTACCCTAAAGAATGAAAATCCTCTTCTTGCGTTTTCGATGGTAGTAGAATGATGGCTGAATTGACATAGAATTTCTCAAAGCCATAGTCAAGATGGCAATTAAACCAAAGGGTCCATTACATTGAAATCGTTGGTGCCCTAGCTAGATAAGGGCGTTGCTGGATTAGGGCGTGGAACAGGGCGTGGAATTAGGGCGTCGCTGGATTTTTCCAGAACGAGGTATTCAGGGGGTTACCCGTTCTAGGTTTTAGGGCTGGGGGCCTAGGGCTGTGATACTCACAGCTGCAGAGACCAATCGTGCAGTTTTGCAGTACCCTAGGGTTAATTTAGGGCTATCGTGGCTCTAGTCCAAAAGGAGTAATTAAGTCACTTTTGCCCAAATAGGCTAGTTCGGATGATTTCGTAAGATACAGGTATCATGGCTTGGATTGTAATTAACAGAGGTATTACATACCCAACATACATTAATACTGCTTACCCACTGTTACACAATAGGACGGACTTGATCAATGGTACAATACGAAGAAGCACGTACTACAAGCTGTCGTGCATGTTGTCCTAAGCTAGCCCCTCGGTGTCCAGTTCCTCAATGGGCTTGAAAGGATCACAATCCCAGTGATACTTCTTCAAGTATGATCAATTGATAGGCAAAGGTCGCCTGATGAATATAAGCTGCACAGAGCAGTGGGTCGTCCTCATCTTTAGTCAAGGATACGAGGCTAGCTGTCGAGGGGTAAATTCATTTCCCATAATATTCAGGTTGGCTACGAAAACAAGTCTCAATAGTGTCTGGCCTGGTACGAAGGACAACCAACAACCCACACCTTCATTTTACAGTGTCTCTAGAGGCGCTTTGAGCGGTCCAAGGCTGAGCTTTCATGTACCTCTAACATATTTGCTGAAGTTTGCTATAAATTGATTCTCAGGTCCGGGATTTCTTTGGCCTTGCCGTTTCGTCATATCCTATGTGATCACTGCAAGCTGTGCAGCATGCATGTAGAACGGAGCTAGCGGGGATTTTTCGAGAGCAATTCTTCAATGCTTACTGCAACGTTGTCCTGCAACTGAGAAAAAAGAAAAAGCCGGTAAATCGAGCCCTATTCTAGCTTTCAAGGATTTTTCGAGGCCATCTACTCGACGCAATGACAGAGTACACGGAAGTTCTGATATGTGGCGGAGGCCCTGTTGGGCTACTGACAGGCTTGGCTCTTGTCAGAATGGGGATTTCCACTGTTGTCATTGGTGAGTTGTAAGAAGCATTTACATTCGAATAGACGACTCACTTCAGTAGACAAGAGCCATAAAACAAAACAGGCCAAGTATGGTAGAGCAGCCACCGTCTATCCACGAACATCTGAGATGTTCGATCAATTAGATGTCCTGGAGCCACTTGTACAGATCGGTTATGTCAGTCGCCACTATGTGAATTACAAAAATGGTAAAAGATCCGGCCCGGGAGGCTACAATATGCTATTGAGCCAAATGCACGACACTTATGCCGACTTCGTGCTCAATATTCGTCAAAAATATGTGGAAGAAACTGTCCAGGAAGCTTTCGAAATCCAGGGCGGGAAGTTTTACGAAGGCACTGAACTTGTGGATTTTCTGCTGGATGTCGAAGATCCTGACTTCGATGACTATGCCGGAACGGCGACAGTCAAAGATATCTCTAATGAATCACAGCGGCAAATCTCATTGTAAGCTTTTCTTAAGATATTCTCATTTACCACGACATGATTTTTAGAGGCACTTATGCTAATCGTAGGTTGCAGCAAGTATATTCTTGGTGCAGATGGTACCCGCTCGATCGTTCGAAAGCTAGCCGATATACCATTCGTCGGGGATAGCACCGGAATGAAATGGTTTCGTATAGATGCTGTGATAAAGACAGACATGCCCGACCACCGCTCTGGTCTTCTATCTATTGAATCGCAGGCACATGGAAACGTTCTATGGATGGCACTCGATCATGGACGGACACGAATTGGATTTGCTTTGCCACAAAAGCTATTCGAAAAGTATGGAACTGATCTTACTGAAGAACAGGCCAAGGAAGAAGCGAAAAAGGCCGTTGCTCCTTTTACGCTTGAATTTGAACATGTTGACTGGTGGACACTTTACAGGTACTGACTCTTATGTTTCGAGGCTTCAAATTTCCTGCTAATGCTTGACTAGTGTAAGTCATAGGGTAGCCGAGACATTCAGAGCACATCGCAGGGTCATCTTAGTTGGAGATGCATGCCATTGTCATTCTTCCGGTACAGGCCAGGGCATGAACACTGGAGTTCATGATGCCGTCAACCTTTCTTGGAAACTCGGGGGTGTTCTCAAGGGCTGGTACGACGATTCAATCTTGGATACGTACGAGGTGGAGCGAAAACCAGAGGCGCAGAGGGTTATAGACAACGACAAAACTGTTTCTGCTCTCATCACTGGCAAAATTCCCGATGGGATGGGTAGTCCTGATGCAAACCCCAATGAACTTTTACAGACTTTTCTGGACTCTATCAATCGCTTCAGTATCGGACTTGCAATTCACTACAAGCCAAGCATTTTGAATCAACACTCACATGTAGGTCGCGTGCCCTCTGGTCATAGGGGTCCTGATCTGCTACTTGCTCGACCTGGTACTCGCACACCTGTTCGCTTGTATCAGATCACTAAGAATGTGGGAAAGTTTTACGCAGTAGTTTTTTCTGGCAATTCCGCGTTGACTATCGGGGGCTTACGAAAGCTTCGAAATTACCTGGACAGTAGTGAGTCTTTCACTAGGCGTTTTCCAGATATGGTCAATTGCATAACCATAATACCGGGAGACGCCCCATCAGCGGATGAGTATCTTGGAGTAAAACGCTTCGGTCCTGCATTCTACGACACAAACCTGGCAGCAACGCGGTACGGTTTCTCTCCGGCTGCAGGTGGCATAGTGATCTTAAGACCTGATGGCATTGTTGGATTCTCAGCACAGTTAGAAGAGGGAGCTGAAATAGGTGCGTATTTCCAAGGTTTCGTCAATATGGAAAGAGAGAAAAAGACGTTGGCTACCAAGTCCTCGAAGAAGGTCCCAGAGACAGGAATGAAAGAGGTTGAATTTGATATGGAAACAACGAGATCTTTTTAGGCGTCAAAGAAGATAGATCATTAGAGGCTTGTCTTTTGGGAAGTTATAATTTACATTAGTCTACCTGTTTCTCAAATTGTTCTTGTTTCGACAATTTTTTTCCATTGGCCTATCCTTCCTACTTAAGTACTTGATGATGTTTAGCATTACTCCTATCAGATCAAAGCTATATCTATCAAATGAAAAAATTTCGGACAATAAATCATCTTCATGGAGCTATGATGAACATACACATTTCCACCTAGTGCTTGAGGAGCAATTTACCGGTCGTGCCGCGCGAAACCACGTCTGTATGTACTGTAGCAATATCTTCCAGGGGGTAGATCTTGTGAATATGAACCTTGCCTTTTCCTGAAGCGATGAAGTCTAAAAGTTGGCCAACGTAGTGGTCGACTTCGTCTCGTGTGAACACATAGTTTTGAAGAGTCGGCCTCAGCAATTTCACGTTCTTAGCCATCAGCTTGAAAATTGGGACAGGTGGAACACCTCCGGACTGAATTGCAAAAAGATTGCAGCAGTTAGCATCATTCAAAATTTTCTTTTAGTCAGAAAATTTATGCTTACCGAGTTTCCGAAGCTGACAACAGTTCCTTTTCTCACAACAACCTCAAGGTCATTCTCAAACTGATCCTTTCCAGTTCCGTCAAACACTACGGCAACACCCTCCCCACCAGTTATAGCCTTGACCTGGGCAACAACGTCTTCTTCAGCATAATTTATTAAATATTGTGCCCCGTTCTTCTTGGCCAGTTCCAACTTCTCCGGTGTGCTCGCAGTGCCGATGATCTTGGCACCGACCTCCCTCAGGAATTGGCACAACCACAAACCGCATCCTCCGGCGGCAGCATGGACAAGCACCCATTCATCTTTCTTTACTGGATACGCCTCTTTGATTAAGGTCAAGGCAGTCAGACCTTGCACAGCTGCAGCGGCGCCGAAACCCTCTGGGATCTCTTTTGGAAGGACGTGTACTCTCAAAGATGGTACGGCAGCAAACTCTCCATAACCACCCATAGCACCAAACCATAGCACGCGATCTCCAACCTTGAGATCATATGTGTTTCCACTACCGAGAGCAACAATTGTACCCTCCCCTTCCATGCCCATTATGCCGGGCAAAGGAAGAGGGTAAAATCCGGTACGAAAGTATCTATTTAATGAATTGAGTGTGAGATTGATTCTACACTATTAGTTCAAGAAAATACTTACGTATCAATAAAATTAACACCAGCAAAGCTGTTCTTGATAAGAACCTGGCCTTCTTGAGGAGTAGGAACCGTAAGGTCGGTCTTGTATTCCAGTACCTCCGTACCGCCGGTTTTCTCGATAACAACGCCTTTCATGGTCTTCGGAATTTCCGCCATTGTGACTTCAGTACTTATTTCAATTGATGAATATCAAGAATATTCTTTTTTATTCACTTGCTGAATAGAGATCGGATACAATTGTCTAGAAGTATAAACAAACCTCAAGCACTGCGAAACTTTAAGCCGTAGACATAATCACGCAAAATAGTCCCAATCTGACCCCCCTGGCTTGATAAGATGATACGAGTATGCCCCGCAACTACGTAATGGCTCTTTGGATAATGAAACGTGTCGGAGTAATGTTCTGCAGGTACCGATAATGACTTGTAATAAAGGCGGCATTCCCGGTCTGATGGCCCTGAAAACGCTAGTAACGTAATTTTACCATCATACACGCTACCTAGGTATTGATGTAACAGAGTAATTAATACGGAAATACGAGGATTAGAGGTGATGATAGATACGGATTCAGTCCACTCTCCGAATACATTTGTCAAGCGGACATCATGCAATAGGTACAGGTATTTATCAGGGTTACCTAGGCACTTTACCGAAGATGATGATAGCCCCTCACTAAATTTACATTCATTCTGATCGCTTGTTTGATATAAAATGGTGATACACCTAATGGAAGCGACTAACCATTAGACCAGTCAAACCGGCACAATTCGTGATACTCACTTGCAAGCCTCCAACGAAAGTTAAAATGGGTGGAACGATTCTCCGTGTGACAATGTTCAAGATACCTGAGAAGGAAAATCAGCTCAAACTTGCCGAGAATTACAAGAGGCTATCTACAGAAGCTTTAAAGGTATGCCCTCTCCTGTTAGGAAAGTTGGGAGAGCTGCTGTAGGCTGATATTCAAGCAGGATGGCAAACCATACATTCTTTCTCTCCAAGCGGGTCCGACTATCGAAGATCCACGCTCAAATGGTTTCACCTTTGTGGCAAAGACGGAATTTGCAAGCCTTGAAGATATGAAATACTATGACGATGAGGATCAGGTTCACCTGTCTCTCAAGAAGACTGCGTTGCAGTTAAACATTCAGGAAATTGTCATTCTTTATGCCGAGCCATTGGTTACACTCTAGATTTATGGCGGCTTCTGGATTAGGATTTGAGGGCATTTTTACTTCTCTAGCAATGTGCATACATGTCATGAGTACTCAATAAACATATACTTTCTATAAAATGTATGTAATCGAGCAACCAAAGTAGCCACTGTTATCAGGGGATGTGATATGAGAATTATGTAACGTCTTTCAAGTAACTTATACGCAGCGAGGATATGTAAATACGAAGGACCAGTTAATGGATTATAACGGTGACTATCATTCAAAGTGAAGTGCACTTTTAAAATCCTTACTATCGTACTCTCTTGTCTTTCTATCAAAGAAATCCAGCGCTGGTGTCTTTTACCGGAACCATTTGAAGGGATAAATTTGGACCTAAGTTCAGAATTCCATCAGCATATAACTTTCCAGAGACCGAAAGTATCTAGCAAACCTTGCTCAAGTCCCAAACACCATTTGCATTGTAGACATCAGCCTTCAATCGTTCAACGACTTCTTCTTTTGTTGCTGCAAGAGCTACCATGGCGGAACCAATGATTTTGAGAGGCTCTCCTTCTTTTGGTACGTCAGAGAGGAAAGCACCTAAAGCAGTCAATTTGAAATGTTTTCAAAGTTTAATCTTGAGTCTATTGGACACTCACCACCCATCTGCCAGAAGCCAGATTTTAGACCTGGCTGCAAACCTTCGAAGTGGGACCTTTTCGAGATATTAAATTGCCTGTGCAACATGGTTTTGAAAGGCATACGTACTGTCTGACTGCCATGCGCTTTTCGAGAACATCTGCATAGTCTGGAGCGACTATGAGCCATTCATACTTTGGGGGTTCCTGTGTTTCTGTGGACATTTTGATGGATCGATTGCTTATTCTTGATCTTTTGGTTGTGATTCCTACTTTTGAGCTGACGACGAACTTTGCACTTATAAATCTTTCGATAAGAAGAATTCGCAATGAGGGGTAATTCAGAGACTTGTCAAATGTCTGTTCAGTCGAAGCTGATTAATATTGATACAGGAAAAGCTTTAATAGTGGTGTGAGATGTTCAATTACGTCAACATACATACTACTAGCAGCTTGGTAGTTTTAAATTCGTATTTACCGACGTATGGTAATAATACATCGTACTCTTCTTTCATTTTCCGCCCCCTAAAGGGTAGGCTATTTTGTCTTTGGACATGAGATATGCCCGTCTTGTAATATAACGAAACTTGAAGAAAAGTGGACTTTTCGTAAGATTTGCACGGAAATGAACTACACCGTGCTATCCATTTTTTGAGACTTTATCAAAGGCATGAAATACTGCATCATATAGATATGAAATGAATGATACGACTTGAGCTAGTGACTCGTGTTTTTGTCAGTCTATGACTCCACAAGATGTTCTCTATCACAGGTATTGTCATTAACTCTATGTTTAAGAGTAGCGTCCTATCAGACACAATTTCTATGAGATCTACTGAGAACACAATCCAGTATGCTGAGGGGAAACCCCAAAACTCCTGTTAGCTCACTTCAATAGGAGGATGGCACAACGCCTAGCCTTCCACCATCACAGACCAGCACGCTCCCATTCAAGTATGCTCCAGCCTTGGATGTAAGATAGAGAATCATCCCAGCAATATCTTGGTCTTCGCCGGCGCGTCCTTCCGGGACTAACTTGCCAACATCATAAGAAGTTGATGTCATTACAGACGTCATTTCAGTCATAAACACTGTATGTATGTATGTCAGAAATGCAGATACTTTTATTCTTTGATGGCAATGCTTACAGCCAGGGGCAAGTATGTTGGCCCGGATACCAAAAGGAACCAATGATGTCGACAGCTGCTTCATCAGATGTGTACTAGCAGCCTTACTCTGTCCGTATGCAAACCGAGCGGTCGGTGCCAGGCGACCAAATCCAAGTGTGCTGCATGTTGCTATTACTTGGCTTCTCTGCGAAATGTTCTTTTTCTCGTTTCCGAGATGTAGAAGCTTCAGGAAAGCAAGACTAGTATACCAATATCCTGCAGTGTTCACCTCGAATGTCTTTGTATAGTCCTCGACTTCATGTTCCCAATTTATCTTGATGAATTCATCAAGAGTGCTTGTAGGACCGAGCTTGGTTGACTCAGGACCTCCAGTACCAGAGTTGCAAATGAGCACATTGAGATAACCAACTTCTTGTTGCACTCTATCGGCGCTTTTCTGAAGGTCTGATTTCGATGTGATATCACACTGTATAGGAATGATGACATTGGGATTAAAAGCTGCGCATTCTTGAAGGGCTTCTAGTCGACGACCGAGGATGTATACTTTCTCGGCACCATTAGTAGCAAAAGCATGCACCATGGCACGACCGATACCTGCGGAAGGTAGAATGAGTTCTAAGCCCACAATGGACGATAAAGATCGAATGCACACCTGAACCCCCGCCCGTAACAACAGCTACAAGGCCTTTCACACTGAATAGTTCTGCTGCCTCCATGTTGTATTTCACAATGTAAAACTTGCTCCGAGGCACACTGAAAACTAGAAACGGGGGGTGACGGATTGACTCAAGGAATCGCTTCTTCAATTGAATATCAATTTTTTCTAATGATAGCTAGATGACTCAATTATTCATAGCTCCTTTACCGTTATATGAAATATTTCCGTAAATCAGCGATTGCGCCATGAGATATCATGTATGGACCCTGAATACGATGTTAAAAGATGTTCTGCGGTAACGTAATCCGGTTACAATACTGTACTTACAATACATGCTTACCACGTTTCTTTATACAGGTACCGGATTGGTAATGTTACACAGGGCGGCGTGCGGGACCAGGCGGACCGCACTTAGCCCTAACTCTCTTACGCTTATTGAGACCTAGTTCTTGAACTAATACTTATTTTTTCCTCAACATGATTCCCCGTTCAGCTATTCCATTTCTTTCCATCTGACGTTGGTTCCCAATATCAAGACGTAGTAATTTATGAATAAGAAATAGTCGCCGAGTTCAATTCGATAATCGAGGTTCTCAGGTTCCATTGTAAGCATTAGTGCCAGTCCCCTAACATTGCTGCAATGGGTTCTACAAAAAGAAATCAGTCTGTTATTCTTTACTTTGGTGATCAAACCGAAAAGAACATTCCGTTTGAGGAACTCTTCGCATACTCCCAAGAATCTGATAGGACGAGGCAGTTTCTGCAGAATGCTCTTCGTTCTATTCAGCTCGTGACTGAGACTCTAAATGAGCCGGAAAGGTCCAAATACAAGTTTGACTCGTTCGAGGAGGTTTCCAAGCGGCTAGCAGCGGACTCTTCGCCAGATGTAGTCTTACGGACTATAGTCTTATGTGCAGCTCAGCTAGGTTACTTGATAGCGTATGCCAGAAACCATGGATTGATGATTGCCTGATTCTTACTGACATCCTCTGCAGTGTTTTAGAGAAAGATGAAGTATTACGTGACACATGGGCTGAACAAAAGACCATAATCGTTGCCTCATGCGCTGGTCAACTACCAGCTGCCATAGCGGCCAGTTCCCACTCACTAGATGAGCTTGTCGATCTCGCCCCAGAGACTGTAGCAATTGCGTTTAGAATCGGCATGGATGTGGACCGACGAACGGCTTCACTTGGCGATGACCGTAGCCAAAGCTGGGCTAAAGCTGTTTTCGGTGTTTCGGCACCCGATGCACAGAGGGCAGTTGACAAGTTTCTCCTAAGTGAAGTAAGTCGATTTACAACTTGCCGCGCTTCCCTGGCCGACCTGAAATGGCTAAACTAAGATTTTACAAGGGCATTAATGCAAGGAAAGGAGTATATGTTGCTGCAACTTCTGCCTGGGCGACTACTGTCGTGGGGCCACCCCCGGTACTGAATCTTTTCTTTTCTAGAGACCCGTTCAATGGTGCACGTCAGGTAGATCTTCCTATCACGGCAATATTTCACGCATCACATCTCGACAGACCAGATACTACCGCTATCATTGGAACAAACCCTGTCTTCCGAGGGTTTGCATTGAAAAATCCAAATTTCTTCTCTTGTTCTTCCGGTTTGCCATTTCAGTCTCAGAGCTTGTCAAATCTCATAGAAGAAGCAATTCTGAATATAACACACAGAATGACTGATAATGAGAAGATGTTTCGTGAGGTACAGGCTGTGATAGTGGATCAATCAGTTTGTATCAAGCCCATTGTTGGTGAGAGCGGTGGTGAACGACTTAAAAAAGTGCTTGTGGCATCGGAGGCTCATGTTGAGAAAACCTCTCTCTTTGATAAGTAGCTCATAGAGTCTAAAGTCGTACAATTTTGAAAAATCAAATGTACAATCGATAAAATCAAATTAAAATTCAGCCTTTAAAATATACACTTTACTATTGCCAGAGAGAGATTTGCTTCATCAATTTTTATGATAATTCTTTTACATTATTTGATGGGGTTGCAAGGAGTATAATGTATAATTTTGATGTATTCACAGGATGTACAGATACACAGCGAGAGCTTTTCTAGAAGGATATTATCGCAATGAAGCAATAAATCATTTTATCCAGTTTTTCCATCTTGGATACATAGACCACATAACATGTAACCGTAATCATAACAATCTAATTCTGGAAGATTCCTGAGAGGTATTGGCCAGCATCTTCTCCGACATAGCCTACATAAGCATCAGGTCGGATCACAACCCCATGAACCCATTCAGGCAATGGTGTACCATTATATGATAGCGTTTTGGAAGCTACCTCCTGTTCTTCTGTATGATCATCAGCAGCTTTATCGTCAATGATTAAGTCCCAGACATTGGAGAATGGCACAGCAGCCTCCGGAATCTTGACTTCGGCGTTATTGACGCGGAGGATCGTAAATGAGCTGTATTTGAGAACTTGATACAAACGAACTGTGGCACCATCACCACGGGTGAGGGTCAGGTCAGGACAACGATATCCTGGTACAAAAGGGTCGGCATCCGCTCCTGAAACGGTCTTCGTATCTCTCAAATATTTGATTCCTCCTCCTATACATTGGGGTCAGTGATATAAAGCGTTCAGTGTATCTTCAGACTTTACCTGTGATATAAGCTGCGTTTTTCTCCACGATCTCCACGTACTCTGTAGCAGTTCGCAAGGTACTACGGACCAATTTTGCAGCAACGGAGAGCACATCAGCAGCAATATGTCTTCGCTCAAGTTCATAGGTCTTGACCAAGGACTCGTAGCCTTTAGTACCCAGGTACAACCTCCAAACTAAGGCGAATGCATCTGAAATTCCCGTGTTCAAGCCTTGTCCACCATTGACAGCATGTACATGGGCAGCATCTCCTGCGAGAACAATACGGCCGCCAGGTGAGAAATACGACCTTGCCAGACGTTCCTTGACTAGTAAACAGTAAATCAAGTCAGTATGAGGAACACAGCTCATATGTTAGATAAGACAGAAGCTCATACTTTCGAACGTGCTAAACCACTCTGTTTTCGGGAAGTCGACCCTATAAGGGGCCAAGAATTTGCGAATCTCTTTCTCGGAATTTTCCTGTGTGATTTCATCGTCTAATAAGATATAGAATCTTGCCAGTCCACGTTCCCTAGGTTTCGAAAGAGTTGTTGGTTAGATGTTATCCCCGCTTGTGAAGGACTGCGTTGAGTGGATAAACAAACTTACCGAGGAATCCACGATACTCTTGCTTGACCATCAACTTGGAAGGTAATGATTTCTGGACATAAAGGAAAGTCTGTGTCCAAGAATGTGTCAAGCACGGCCCACACCATTTCTGGCTTGGTACCTTCGAAAGGGATATTCAGAATTTGGCGGGCCTTGGACCTAGCTCCATCTGCACCAATGACATATTTGCTTTCAACGATCATGTTATCAAGTACAGCAGTTACTTTGTCTTCTGTCTCAATCAGGTCTTGAAGTTGGCTCTTGTATATGACTGGAGTATCCAAAATCTTCGCAAGATGCTGCATAATAACAGGCTGTCCAAGCATGAGAAAGTTTGGATATGTGGTGTGCTTTAGTGACGTCCACCAGTGGCTCTGTCGAGAAATGAACTCCCCATTTGCGAAAGTCGAACTTGCTGTTTTTTTATTAGTCGTAATTATATCTCTAGACAGCATTGACTCTCTCACTATTGCATTTCAGACCAAGTTCTTGCAGACTTGGAAGAATACCCAGCATATCAAAATAATCTTGTGTTCGACTGTTCAAGGCGTCGGCGCGGCCGACTTTGAGGGGTTCATCTCCTTGGTCTTTTGTTGGACGATGGTCAGAAAAGGCACTTTGACAGATCCCAAGATATGAACTCACCAACAATGCAGACAGTCAATCCAAGCTGTCTTGCAAGTACGGCACTCGCCAAGCCGGTGGGACCAGCTAAGTTACTTGTTAGGGAGCATATTCAGCATCAACTAGAAATATGATTTCTTACCACCGATGATGGTGACATCGACAGTCTTTGTTGGTGAACCTGACATGTTGATGTTGTGGAATACAAGAAAGAAGTGTTGTTTGTGTGATTCGGGCACTTGGAATTGATCGAGGTAATTCAACAAATCTCTGAGCCTCGAGTTGTATGACGACTGGATGCTCTTCGAAAGTAATGCTTGCAGGCTCCCACTTGTCAAATGTCTCGACTCTGAAAATTCTATAAACGGTGATTTTCGATGCACTCGGTGAAAAATCCTTGAATAGGAAATAGCGTACTCATCAGCTGTTCGTGCTTAATATTATATTCAAAACTTGCGTGACGACATCAATCGCGTTGAATTACGAGGCCATCAGCGAATATGAAGCGTTGATGAAGCTTATAATTGCGTAGCGGCGATCGTATCATCCCTGCTGAATGCTTAGATCGAGAAATAAGTCACTATCATATTTGCAACTCATTAATGGTAGGTGTAAGTCTTGCATTAGACCACTTTTGCCGCAATCGAGATCGATAGCAACATTCCGGCAAAGGCCGGCTTACTTCGCCACGGTCTCGAAGAAAGAGAACATCATCGGTTTCCCTTTCGGTCTTGGTCTCAAACAAAGCTCATCGACTGATCTATGTGGGATTTTCGTATTTGGACAATGTCCCCTGGCGTCCTGAAAAATACCACTTACATCTAGTGGTTATTACCAAAACATCGGGGTTCTGTCATATAACACACGACGGTAACATCACACTAGTAATGGTATGTTATGTATGGTACTGCTTTAGCCTCATAGTCATCTAGAAGAATCTCAAAATTCGGCGTAACTTTTGACCAATTTCAACGGATAAGATTCATTAGTCCAGTCTCGACCTAGGTCACTCTTGCAATTGGCCTCCTCAACCTCTAGCCGTCCTTACGGAAAAGCCAATGAGGTTCACATATTTCACGTAACTAGAACAATGTGGCGCCATTACAGCGTCGAAGGATCATTTGCATGTCATTCAGGTGTTTCAGCTGGATACGAACTATTCCTGAAAATGAGATGTTTGCCGTGATCAAATAAGAACCACCTGTGTGCTTTCTCTAGTGGCCAGATATTGAGAACCTGCAGGGCAGTGAGCCTAGATCTATAATTGCAACCCTTCACGGTTGGTCGAGCTCTAAAAGGAAGTACTATTCGACTATGACAAGATATGAAAGCGGGCACCAGGTACTTTCTCGAACCTGAAGATTACGATATCAATACCGTGTTTCAATAATGAATTACTGTAGGACTTTGAGTTATAATTGAAGCGGAGGACACCGGTATTGGCAGACGAAACTACTACTTTCTTACATATGCTAAGTATGCAGGTGCAAGACGGTATCACCTAACAAAGGAACTAAGTTACGGGACTTTTGCAGATACGAGCCAGGATATGAACGGAGATCTGTCTTCAAAAAGGTTAATGGTCCCATGTCTGCAAGAGCGGCCCCATACACTCCGCATCTCCGAACTCAAAATCGACCGTATTGAAGCATGGGATCGTGTAGTGTAATTTAACGTCGTGATTGTAATTCGAGTCAGTGATGTCTCGATCCGGTAGGTGACATTCCTACAAGCGTACTACTGTACTCCATGAATGATCATCTTCGTAAAGACGAATACCCTTCTTCTTAGCGTACACATGGCTTGATGAGTGGAGAATCATAGGCTGAAGATCTGTGTAGAGTAGGGCCCCGGGACTCGGATAATAGACACAAGTCACCATACTCAATCAATCAGAAACTAGCCATAACCTCAAGGCACAGTAAAAAAAGCATTAATACCATATTATGATACAATTCAATGAGGTAATGAACGAAGCTTCTATGGTTTTGGCCCCCGAATCGAGCTCAGACTCACTTCCTATTCCAGATTTTGGTTGAAGAAAGTGTAAGAAAACGCTTTAGTAGCGCCTTATTCTGCAAATTCTGTACATGGTGGATATCATATGGTATACTTACTTCCAGTCTTAGAAGTTTCTTTTCCTGCATAACACACATTTTACATTCATGCGCCTGGAAGTCGTCATTGCTCTAGGTGGCGGTCGGGTAGCATGAGCGATCCCTGCAGATTTGCAAAGAATCGATCAGACTAATATCTGGATGAAGCAAGTCTCAGCGCGGCTGATTAATGCCAATCATATGAAGCATCCACTAGTGAGTGTGAACCCTGGGAAGTCGTTTGTCCTTGCTGTGACATAGGGAATATTGACGCCTTCGGGGTTGGCCGGTAGCTTCAGGTATAGAAAACGATATAATCCATCATCTGATATACCGACATACCTGGGAAGATCCTTATCTTCATCGTCACACTCGTGTTATCCCAATAATCTTCTGCAATCAAGTACCAAGTCATTAGTTTGACGTTGCTCTTTGTATGCTTATCTCTTGTCGATATTGACCTCATATCCTGAACCTTGACGCAAATCCCAACTACAGAGAAAGATGGCTCCAGAGCTTATGATGCACACCACAACAGATGTGGCACACATAGACACTAAGAAGGATGTGAAAAACAGCTTCGCAGTGGCTAGTGTGGCTGGCCCAACTGACGCTGAAGTCCTAAAAGGCTTGGACACTGCGGCACTCCTTCTGAGTAATAAAATCTTTGAATTGATAGACAGCTACAGGCAGCCTCTTCCCGGTGACATGCCTGATCTACGCTCGCAAGGTCGAGCCCTATTCACACAAGTGATCTACCGTCGGGTAGTGAAGGGAGAAAAGATTCCCATGGTTTTGCCGGCATTTCCTTTCAAATCTCCAAATTCACAAGCTAAGGTGCTAGGCGTTCTGCCTGACAAGGCTGAGGAGGTTGCTCTCCAGTGTCTGGATGGCTTGTGCAAGAATATTGAGCGCATATATGCCCCTGGAGCTGAGCTTTTTATTGTTTCTGATGGTATCGTATATAGCGGTATGTCATTTCCCTTGATTTGAATGCTTTACGTCCGATGATACTAACGCGTACCCAATAGACATTCTTGGCGTTCCCTGCAAGGACGTCTGGAACTATGGAAGTGGCTTACGGTCCTTTGCGGAGAGAAAGCTCGACAACATTCACTTCGTCCGTATATCAACTTTGACTGGCAGTGAGGAGCCTCTTACTGGCGACGAGTACGAGGCACAGTCACCGAAACTGCGAGAAAAATTGATACAGCTTTATCTTCCATCAGATTATAATGTTCAAGACCAGAAAGCAAACGATAACAATGTGCTTGCAACATACAGGGGATACTGCAAGTTTTTGCTCCTCGATCTTGCTAATAACCCCGAGTTCGCCGGACTGGGAAAGAATGCTATGAAGAAGAAAGCCTCAATCCTAGCAGAAAAGATGCTTATTCGTGGAAAGGTATGTTGAGCTCTATTTTGACAAAGTTGGTCAGAATGGCTAATGTTTTTTTTTTTCTTTCGTTCCAAGGCCTTTGCTGCCGCAATTCGAGATAACTTCACTGAACACGTTCGTCTGTCGATTCATCCATCTAATGGACAAGACAAAGTGTCCATTTCGGTGATCGGACAAACCACGGGACTGGCAATGAGCCCATGGCATGGCACGCTCCTAGTGTCTTCTGATGGTTCTTTCAGCATCAAGCATCGTCAGGAGCTAGAGTCTGATCCGAATTATGAATTGGTCTACCAGAATGGTAGACCTTCCTACTTCCGTGAGAAATCAGACATTTATCACTGGGGCAACGATGAAATTGACTTTGAGCCCGCATACCCATGCGGTTGGTATATCACCGCGCCTGCATCTAGTGGTTTGACCTTTGACGATGTTGACATGAAGAAGCTGCGTCAACTTGGCGAGCTGAACTCCCCAGTCGTCCTCCGTGGATTCAAGGACACTAACAACAGGGAACTATTCGAGAAAAAGGCTGAAGAAATGGGTAACGTTCAATCATGGATTTTCGGTAAGGTACTCGAAGTACAAGATGGAGGCAGCGAGACCGGAGGCCTCAATAACGTGTTGAGCGCCGAGGCCATGCCAATGCATTTCGATGGTCTTTTCAATACGAAAATCATCACTGATGAGGCTGGAAATGAGAAGCGTGTTTCTGCATATCCTAGGTAAGCTGATAGTTGCCGCAGTATTGTACCGTCCAAAATTAACAGCAATCCGTACAGATTCCAAATGTTTTCATCACTGGTGCCCGCACCCAAGGGAACTGGAAAGACACTATTCGCGTCTTCGCGTCGACTGCTTCAGGTTCTTGAGAGAGATTACACCGTAGACCAACTCACGGCGGTCACATGGGAGTGCCAGACCGACGCATTCAATGCAACGGTGCTCAGGGAAATGCCACTGTGGGTCCCTCATCCTGAGAATCAGAAGCTTTGTGTGCGATACCACGAGCCCTGGCCCAAGAGCCGTACCAAATTCGACGCCACCGAAGTGCGTCTGAACAACGCACCGGAAGACCTTGGAAAGAAAATCGATGCCGCACTATATGACAGCCGTGTTTGCAATTATTTGCAATTCGGCGAAAACGAAATCATCGTCAGTGATAACATCTTAATGATGCATACCCGTGAAGCGTATCCTCCAGGAAGCCCCCGGCGCTTCTGGAGAATTCACGTCAACTAGCCGTTATGATAGAGACTTGGCAATCATTATTTGTAGATTTTGTATAAGCTGAAATTGGGAGGATAGGAAAATTAGATTGGTTCGACGTGAAGCTGGTATTCGCAATGGAAAAAGTGTCATCGGAGGATAGTCCTAGACTTTCCGGCAGGCAGGAGAATCAATGAATTGCTTCAATAATAGTTCTTACTTTTTTTCTCAAGTGATGCTGAGTTTAAATTTGTTCCACTCTGATCAAAAAGAAGAATACAGCTGACAGTGCTTGCTCAACGAGTGTTGTGTCCATTCAATTTGTAGTGCAAGGAAGAGTCGAAATAAATGTCCACAAGCCTGCAGTGCCACGACGCATTGTTGCCTGTTCCCAGAACCTTGTAAACAATGGGTCATAGTTGACCGGAGCACTCTTGCTTATTTGACACTAATATGTTTCTCTCCTTAATTTTTGAGCACATAGTTACTGATTGATTCAATCTGGTAAGATGACGAGGAAGGTGCACGATGCCTACCAGCACCCGCAGTTGTGGAATCCCAACATTGAATGAGAAGGAGCGACCCAGATGAAGCAACGCACTCTTCAAACTATTATGGATTGCTCTCGATCATCCGAACATTTTGCTCTTTGCCTTGACTTCACTTTTTTTCTCTAGTGGTAAGCTTTGGTCTCGCTTTGTAACGATCTATTCTTGAGAAAGTAGTGCAAAAGAATCCTAGCAATTATATTCTTCTTTATAGTTCACTTCTACACTAACTTCTAGTCCTTGAACAACGGATGGGGCGTATAACCACCAGTATAACCAATACAACACCCACATCCAGCAGTACAATGCCCGTACAGTTCAATCTTCTCTCTTCCTTTCAAGAAATAACCAGAAGGAATGTAGTAATCCTTCAGAGGTTTCTCACAGCATCTACAGTCTCTACCACAGCAACCTCCGCTCCGAGCACAAGCGTTTCTTGTTTCCCGCCAAATATATGGCTTATCATGTCCCGGAATAAATGTGTACTGGGCTTTACGAGCCATCAACACGTCCCTATAATAGGCATGACCTCTTTTGCTTAGCGATAGTCGGTGCATCTCTTGCTGATGAGCCTGATATATGTTTCGTGTTTGGAGTAACGCCTCTTCAAGTCTGTCAAGTTCTTCAGAGTATTCAGCACGCCGCAGCTTGTTGTCATCCGGACAGCCATGCGGCTTCGTCTTTATTATCGCCGCCCTTTCATCTGTCAGACGCTTCTCTCGTTGCATGATTGCAAACCCATTTTGTTCTTCCTTTTCATACTCTCTCTTCCAAATGGATCCGAAGCAGAAAGCTTTATTGACTGAGCGTACAGCTCTTGCTACCGGGTAAAGTTTGCAGAAGTCCAGGAATTCCTCGATCATCTTGCCCTTTTTTGCGGTGACAAAGTATGAGAACAACAGGAAATGGAGTATAAGATGGGTGATACATGTAGTATATTATATATTGATTCCAGGCAGCACTTTCGACCATCTCTGCCTATGAGTATAAATGTAATACATGTAGGCTCGTCTGTGGTTCACGCCATACGCTAGTCTTATCTCGGTATAATGAAGCAAACCTTATAACAATGGCATTCCGTTTAGACCTTTCTAACCACAGACAGAATGACTATTGATGCGTATGTGAAAATCAAGGCAATTGTATACTGGGTGTCGAATATTGGTAGAACAACATGAAATCTCTAGAAAGAGCAGCTTGTTTCTGCGAGAAATTTACAGATGTTATTCCAGTCTAAGCACACAGTCATACTTCACAAGTTTGTTCCGGTAAGATCAATCCCCCTTCTTATCAAAACTTAAGATCTTTTCCGCGCATTTTACATACCCAATCTTTCGCAGCAAGCTGTGGCTTGGGGCGAGGCCGGACAGCTTATCCATATGCAAGCGTAAACCAACTAGAATCAGAACTTGAAACACTATCAATTCCTCGGAGACTCTATCACCAGTCTATAACAAATCAGTCTTTCATGACATGATCTAACTCCTTCAACCTCACATAGCATTGCCGTGGCTCATTCGTCATAATCAAAACTGACTTATAGCTTGACAGCGATGCCGGACATGGCAAGAGCTCAAAGTTCCACAATATCAACACCAATAGAATTCTCATTTCCACGTAAACAAGTCTCTTTCCATAGCATGCTCTCGTACCCAGACCGAAGGCCATCTGAGGACCTGCGGTTGGATCAAAATCGTCATTCACCATCCAACGGTCAGGTCTGAAGAGAGTCACGTCTTCGGGATCCCAAGCTCGGTCTCTTCCTTCTCTAATCGTCTGCTGGCTAGTTGAACTTCGCATTTTCCCATCTATCTCAAATCCCGGACTCATCATACTCGGTCCAGTCACTAGGCAGGTGATTATAGTTCCTTTGGGAATCTTATGACCTAAGATCTCGGTGTCCACTACGGCCTGACGGTCGACAACTGGAGCCGTACCAGAGCAACGAAGTACTTCCTCCATCGTAGCATTGAGAAAAGGTACATGTTTGCTGGTAATCTCCTGAATGTTTGGATTGCGACCCTCCACTTTTGCATCTACGTATGCGTCTAACATGGCCGTTCGTAACTTGGTTTGTATGCTTGGTTCATCAGCTAGGAACTTAAGTGCCCATGAGACTGTTGTGCTAGTTGTTTCGTATCCAGCGAAGACGAAGCCAAAGATCTGTCAAGAAGAGTCTCACTTTAGCCATGGTAGCAAAGGAAATAGCAAATAATTATCGACGTACCTCATCAATCATAATGCGAGAAAAATAATCTGGCTTTCGCTGTTCCTTCTCCGCGAATGATCTCTCTTTCATAACCAGATGATCAACAGCAGATTTGATCACCACATCTTCACCGCTACCTGCCTCGTGCAGCCTTTTGACAGCACCTCTCAATTCCTTCGCGACATATTCCTCCTTTATCTTGGTGGCCCTGCGGACACCGGGTCTCAGACTTACGAGCGTTCTGGTTAATGCAGGGATCGGCTTCCCCTGAATCTCTCCCACAGTCTCTGTCAAGTCAACTGTGGCCTGGATAACCTCATCCAACTTTCCTTCAGGGAATTCAATGGGTTCATTCAGGTCCGTACAGATTCTCAACTTTTCAATGTCCTTGGAATCCAGATTCTTGACTGCTTCGAAGTTGGGCTTGGTCATTCCATGTTCAAAGTCTTCACCATAGGTAAATGCCAACACGGCGTCTAGCGATACATGGTTGATATCCTCATTTGCTTGGAAGGGCCTGCCCTCTGCAATTCGGCACTTGGAGTACCACAGCTCAATCATCAATTCCACTCGCTGATAGATAACAGGTCCGGCGACATTGTGTAGGAATGAAGGACCCATCAAATCTTGCACCAAGCGTCGCTGGGCCCTCCATCCTCCTTCGGTTGGCAGGTGGATATGATGCTCGGGTACAAGTCCTTTAACCAAGTCACTCAACGATGGTGATCGGTCGAACTCTTTCCGTGTGATGAGTAAGTCATGTGCTTCGCGAAAGTCGGCCAGGATCAGCAAAGGCGTGCTCAGAGGTTTAATGAAGACTTGAATCAGGGGCGCATTAAGCTTAATCATCGACTCCTTAAGGTAGGTAATAAACGTTCCATCGGTATTCTTTATGTGTGAAATTACGTCAGGAACATCGCCCAGTAGTCGATGAGCAGATGCTTCATTGTACGGAATGCCAGGGAAGGGTTTAGGCAAAGCGAACCGATAAAGTGACCGTAAAAGAAAGAGTACAATGCTGGCTACTCCAATAAAGGCGACGAGTGTTGACGACTCCGGGAACTTCTCATCCTGAGCAAATACATGGCTCAGGCTGCCCGAAGACACCATTTTAAATCCAACAAAACCCACTGGAGTGGGGAGGATGGGCGATTGTGTTAACAGATTGTTCAATTATCGCTAACCAACTCGTGTGGCCCAAGACCTCTATATACTTATATAACTTTCAAGTCAGCACTATAACAAACACCAACTATGAAATCCTTCAATTGAGTGCGGCATCGATGTCCCGGAGCTATGAGGCACATGTTGTGCATGTATGGGCCGATGCACCGAAAGAAAATCACCGGTGCGAACATGCTACCCCCGTACAAGCTTAATATCGTTTGACAAGATAATGGCGATATAGTTCAATCGTTGTACGAATTCGGGTTTTGTCAAGTCGGGGTTAAGTATTAGCGCGCTACCAGATATAGGGGCCCCTACCTATAAGCTTATCAGATCAAGTTAGCGAACTCCATTCCATAGAAACATCATATCGAATTCGAGATTGATTTTCAGTACGGAGTATGTGTTATGAAGTTCATTGATTCCATTGCTATCAAGCCACTAAATTCGTAATGAGAGTCATTCTGTTATCTACTGTGGAGTGATGTATGTGGTCTTTACTGAAGATTCATTCTGAGCAGTCTGGTAGAAATAGAATCTAACCTAGCCAGCCTGCTCTCTTGATGAAAATGTGTAGAAATAAGGTTCTCGTATAACGAATTTACTCGGAACCGCGCCTCTTTGAATTTGTTGAAAGCAAGCATCCATGTTAATATAAGGTAACCCTAACCGCACTAGACGAACCAGGGTCGCTACCAACCAACCGGCCGACAGCAAAAGCATAAATGATTTCAATATTATCTCGGGTGCCTTTGCTGACATTGAATTGATAAGATATAGTCTTGCTTTATGGTTGTCCAATCAGCAATAGTTCCCCTGAGTCTGTACGAGGGAATAGCGCAGTACAGCGGGCCGCATGCTCCCCGCATATTCTAGATTGCACAGAGAAGCCCCCCGAATCCCGACAGGGCTGGAAAGACTTTCCCTAAACTGAGAGCGAAGGAAGATTTGTTGATCATTTCGCTGAGAATTGCCGTATAACAACTCGGGATTCGGGGCTTTCGTCCGACAAGAGTCTAGAAGCCCGTGAAGATGGCATGGGATACATACCGAAAACCTGGAACTAAGCTCGAGCCTGTCAATATCAAAGTTGATTTCTAGAAGACGAATCAGATACTGATCCGAGCAACGTAAATTTATTCATTGTTGACTGTCGTACACGTTATTTCTTCTGAATCGTGATCTACGGAGTATTGTTCGACAATAATGGTGAAGTGCTCCGTATAGGTCCGTGTCTCTTCCTGACAGGATTCATGATTCTTGGCCTATTTTAATTTTCACTTCTTGGACGGTGCTTCGGGTCTCGGTTCTGCATTTCAGCAGTAGCAAAATTCTTAGAACATGTCTTGTTAGAAGGATATCTTGATCGTCACGGAGCTCTGTTCTTGAGACTGTAACAAGATGCATCTTGTCACATAGACTAGGTTCGGGGGGAAGTCGAGATATGATGCCTCAGGCACAGATGTAGCGCCAATCGTCGAATATGCATGGTCTAAAATATCAGACCCAGCAACACTATGTGGACATTGAACATCGACCTTTTTCACCACTCGCAGCGGAAAGATTGTTGCTTGAGTTACGGGAGATGAAGGGGATGATTTAAGATTCATTTGCGCTAGTCTATAATCGGCTAGAATAATTCCGGCATGCCGATGACGATTACCTAATCAATCTGTCGAATTGGCTGCCTAAAGCAGTTAGGCCACAATCGAGACGTCATGGCTCAGCCTCAGTCCGAGAGCCAAGCCACACAAGGGATTATTTGTTGTATCACAGGCACCGACAAGTCGACAACAATGACAACATGTCACACCAACCGACCTGAGAATTATTCAGACCACTCTGTGGTGATGTTCTTGCTTGTCTTTCATGGCGGAAACTGCGTCCACTCAATCCCCCGTCGAAGCTCGATCTCTATCTTCGATCACATCGATAGCTGCAAACCCCCCCGCATATCCGCGAAACCCGGCGCAGGCGAAACTTGATCGAGTTGAGCTGTACATTGTGAAGGTGCCTGGCAGCAAAGGTTAGATCGCGAAATCTCTATAAATATCTCTGGATTTTTATCTGAAAAAGTCATGGTTTCTAACAGGACAGGTGCTACAACCGTTATTTATTAGATGTGGTGCTAACTCCACTAAAACCTCCAACCAAGTCAAACATTTCCATTGAAGCCATCAACTCCTCGCTGTATTATTTGCATGTGGCTACTGAAGAAGACGAGAATGTTTTACGGTCCATAGAGTTAGAGCAAAGGGAGCATCCTCACGATGCCCTTGCAACGACTCGTCTCTCGAACGAAACCGTCTTGCGCTTGAATGATTTCCATCGGAAGCCTGTCCGGGGGCAAGATGCCTCAACGGCGACACCATACCCACCTCCACCGCCGCCACCACACCTAGAAGGGGCCACTAGCTATCAAGGCCACTCCGTCAGCGAGGAGGACACCCCTCGCATTCCTCGCAAAAATGTACATGACTCCTACTGTCCAATCACCCAGCCGAAAGAGACCACTGCGATGCGAGACTTTGCGATCCCTCGACGCCCAGTATCATCAGGTGGCGGGACACTCCTCACACCTACATTGACCGAGCTGAACTTGGGGCAGAGGCTCTCATATGATGGACCACGGCCTTCAATAGAGAATATTAGGCCACATCAGTCCCATGTTTCTAAAAATCTATCGCCCGGGGATATACTCACCGATCAAAATTTAGGTTCTCCTTTTCGCATTACCCTCATTCGTCGTGATGCTGCTTCTGGTAATCAATGGAATGTTGCTACTATGTCTAGCTCGAAGGAGGACAAAGGGGTAATACATGTCGAAATATTCAACCCAGGATATGGGAAATTCATGAATAATGTTCACCTTTCTTCGAATAATTCCGGCCAGCATTCAACTAGTGCAGCTAGTGAAGGACAAAATGCCGTCGAAGTCCTGAAGCGCATGGCGCAAAACATGATGCCCGATGATAGTATTGGGAAAAAAGTATTCTATCGAGACATTACACCAGTCAGACACGACCTCCAAAGTCACTCATTGTCGGAAGTACTCTTCAATCGACATTCGGGATCGGCCGAGACTCCTAAACTTGCACAATATGTATCTTCCAAGGTCAATCGGGGATATTACACTTTCAAATCGCCGTGGGGTGGAACTTGTTCGTTTTTGGCCAGTGTGAACGGCGGCAGTCTCAAGTGCAAACATACGATACCTGGTCCAGCAATGAGTTCTGAGGCGGGKGTGAGTAGTAGTGGCCAAAATCCCGAAGTGACGGTCTCGGAGTTACGATACAACATCCCTTTTGCTCTCGAGCAGTCATTTCGACCTCCCTCAATCTTGAACGTAAATGGCAACAACAAGAGTCCGGAAGAGAAGGGGAAAGGCAAACGCGCAGCCTTGAGTCAGCTTATTACGACGAACATACAAAAGGTTCAACAACATGCTCGTTCTCGTTCACATTCGCAAGGCGGAACACCTGTCCCCATTCTATCCGTCGCACGCGGCAGCGGAGATGAGCAGTCACCTGCATCCACAGTTCCTGCCGACGATGAAGATCGACTGGACTTTTCGTTGGCAAGAGAACATGGCGGCGGTGGCATGAGTGGGAAGAGCGCTAAACTAGGCAAGCTGATCATTGAAGACGAGGGCATAAAAATGATTGATCTGGTAGTCGCAGCATCGATGGGCGTTTGGTGGCGATCGACTTATCAGCCCTCGTAAACTGCACCTTTTGTTCCTTAATACCTGACTACGTATGTGTTTGAAATTGCATATTAGCATTCTTTATTTATTATATCCAGATTTAGACATTGTCGTTGAAATAACATGCAAAGTCGGAGTTCTTCTACTTGGCACGGTTGAAGCATCCGTCCCAGCTAACCCTGACTTTTGGAGGTTAAGCTGATAGTAGGCTGAATGGATCTCCTATTTCGTTCTTCAGCTCCAGCCAGCTGCAAACTTTGTTTTTACTAGCACCATTATAGAAATGTAACACGACTTATTAAGCGACAAAGAGAAAAGCTCGTCTGATCTACGCCCTGTTTGTGTGGGGAAAGGGTCGCAATACAATATACTCAATACAATCACAGCAACGAATAGAAGAGTCGAGCTGCTTAGCTGCACTGTCAGTGTAATCTCCGGAGTACGTGTTCAGGCAAGACTCCAAGTGGCAGAGGCCCAATCATGTCACATTTGTTCATATTTTTTTTTCTTGCTTCTGCCCCTCGTTTCCCCCTCCTCTGTGTCTTCTCCTTTTCGTGCTCAGCAGTCCCTAAGTTACTAAGCAGTAAACAAGAATCGCTCTGGCGCTTAGACGATCTCCGACCGCGTCACGTTTCCCTATCGAACTTCGGTCACAGTCAGTCACATATTCTCTTGACTTGCTTCTTCACTGTATCAGAGTAATTCAATACACAAGAAAAAAGAGTCAGGTAAGCCAGGCGCTTCTTATCGGGTCCCCACTACAGCTGATTGATGGAGCTGCGGGGCGCCGCCTGGTGATCAGCTACCACTATTTCCAACTTTCATTCTTAATCTTACTCTTTCCATCTACTGACATCTCTGCTTGGAAGGGATCTCGCCCCTTTCGCTACACTTTCGCTCGTTATTTAAGTATATATCTTTCTACCGCAAATCATTCCCCATCAACCATCCTCGCGACGGACCGCCCCGGACTCCCCTCTTGCCGCCTTCCCCGCTCAGCGCTACGACTCCTACGAGCAGCTCGCACTTGCACCAGCAAACAGCAACAAAAGCAACGAACGAAGCATAGACCTTCAAGGAAGCGTGTAATTCCACCATGTCGGATCTGCAAGGGCGAAAGGTCTTCAAGGTCTTCAACCAAGACTTTGTCGTTGATGAGCGGTACAATGTGACCAAGGAGCTGGGTCAGGGTGCATACGGTATTGTCTGGTACGTCTATCTGAAGACGGCCAAAGGAGGCGCCTAGAGCAGCTGCTCGGCTATTGCGCCTTCCGAGTCGAACTCATTACCTCATCTGAACTATTTTCCTATCTTTGTATTAGATCGATATACTGACATGCGCATCAGCGCCGCCGTGAACACCCAGACAAACGAAGGTGTTGCTATCAAGAAAGTCACCAATGTTTTCAGCAAGAAGATTCTGGCAAAGCGCGCTCTGAGAGAGATCAAATTACTGCAGCACTTCCGTGGTCATCGTAATGTATGCTCCGCATGAATCAGATAATCGGGTAGTGGCTAACAGTACTAGATTGCGTGCTTGTATGACATGGACATTCCACGCCCAGATAACTTCAACGAGACTTATCTATATGAAGGTGCGTAACTAGATTCTTTCATATGCAAAAACGAGATGCTGACCTCTTCGCGATGTCAGAATTGATGGAATGTGACTTGGCCGCTATCATTCGCTCCGGCCAGCCCTTGACAGACGCCCATTTTCAGTCTTTTATTTATCAGATTCTATGCGGCTTGAAGTACATTCACTCCGCCAACGTGTTGCATCGTGACTTGAAGCCTGGAAACTTGCTCGTCAATGCGGACTGCGAACTCAAGATTTGCGATTTCGGTCTTGCCCGTGGTTTCTCAATCGACCCGGAAGAAAATGCGGGATATATGACTGAATACGTCGCTACTCGATGGTACCGTGCTCCTGAGATTATGCTGAGCTTCCAGAGCTACACGAAAGCTAGTATGTTCTTTTTTCTTATATTTTCACCATATCTGGGTTCCTTTCTAACAATCACAAGTCGATGTCTGGTCGGTGGGCTGCATTCTCGCCGAACTTCTAGGCGGTCGTCCATTCTTCAAGGGCCGTGACTATGTTGACCAACTCAACCAAATCCTCCACTACCTCGGTACCCCAGCTGAAGAGACTCTCTCCCGTATTGGATCGCCCCGTGCACAGGAGTACGTGCGCAACCTACCATTTATGCCAAAGATCCCCTTCCAGCGCCTCTTCCCTCAAGCCAACCCCGACGCCCTTGACCTCCTCGACCGCATGCTCGCATTCGACCCATCGAAACGTATCTCGGTCGAAGAAGCATTAGAACACCGCTACCTCCACATCTGGCACGATGCCTCTGATGAGCCCTCATGCCCCACAACCTTCGACTTCCACTTCGAAGTCGTCGATGACGTCGGTGAGATGCGCAAGATGATTCTCGACGAAGTCATCAACTTCCGTGCCCACGTCCGCCAGCAACAGCAAGCCGCATATCAGAACCAGCAATCGCAACAAGTGGCCCAAAATGTTCCGATCCCGGAACACAACCAAGGTCCATGGAAACAAGAGGACCCTCGGCCGCAGGAAGCTCCTCTTCCAGGTTCGGTCCAAAACGATCTCGAGGCATCGCTTCAGCGGGGTAGTGACTTTTTACACTGAACAGAATTAAATTCATAAGTTGATTTGATAATTTCTCGGCAATGGTGGCCTATTTTTGTTCATCCATCGAGCGAGTCCTCCTGTTATAACTTTAACTAAGGCCGATCCAACAAGTTTCTTTTACAATAGACAATTCATACTGAATTTTGAACTGCATCTATCTATCAATCCCGTCTGTTCTCGAATTTCCACTTGTGCCGCCAAATCTCATGTGTATGATCGTCTCCTTTTCACCCCTTTTTTGCTTCAACGCGTCGCTGGTTTCGCTCTCCCTTTTTTTCTGTCCCTTCTCGCATTGATTTTGTACTGAAACAGAGCCTGATTCGGTTTGCTTTTTGTCATGTCATGAGGTATAGCGGGCAGGCCCGTCGACAATAAGTGTACCTACTACTTATTACTTACTATCTATTGATAAAACAAGTGTGCATCATTAAACTCATTCCCTTAATACGCCACGTCATGAAATCGTAACAGTGATCAATGTATGTATATACATGATTTATCCATCTTTCCAACGCTCTTCAATGTGCCATGCATAGATAGACAAGAAGCGAAATTCAGAAAACGAGCAATCGGGTATGTAGAAGCAAGTCTAGGACTGAGAATCATGCCGAGCATGAAAACAGTAATGGAGAAAAGAGGTGAATATGAACAGAGAAATTTTACCATGAACCTGGCAGCTAGGCTGAGGTATAACATGCTAAGATGCGTCGACGGGAGCTCCCATGGTGATGCTCATTTGGTCTACAGATCCTTTTCGTTTCAATGGAACAGCTGTTGGTGAAAGAGGAGAGGTGGGATCAAGGCTCGAGACTATTCATTGTAACAAGTCAGCTTTAACTTAAATCCCTCGAAGATCATAGGTCACGTACTTTCTGACTCGCCCTTTGTCTTCAAGTCGAAATAGGACGGTGGCTTCATTTCAGTATCCACATCTACATCCATAGGCCCGTCTGTCTGTGGAACCACGGTTGTAGCGGTGTTCTCAGCCGTACTTCCTTCCGAAGGAATCTCTCGGCAGACTGGTTCCACCAACCGATCCTTCATAGCTGCGTTTACATAGACCAGGAAATATGGCGTTGGAGGATTGGCGCGATTAGGGTTTCGAAATATCTCTGCAGTATCTTTGACCTCTGTGATATCGTTGTCATTATATTTACGCCACACATCTTTCTTGAAGTCGTAGATGTAGATGTAATAGTGCCCAAACTCCACAGACCCCTGGTGCATAAAGACTGCGTAAAGCCGATATGCCAATTTCGTGTAATCGTTGAAACTGGTCGAAATCATGCCTTCGATATCCTTCGTTTCCTGTTCGATATCTTCACGGCGGTAAATTAATACTGGGCAAAAAAAGATACTGGGCATGAAAATTACTCACGAGCTAGCTCGGCTTGTGTTATCTGTGACAGCTTTTCCATTTCAGCTGCAAGTTCCGCATTGATGCCGGAAGTGTCGCCAGCACCCTCCTCGGTTGAATCTATTGCAGCGAGCTCGGTAAGAAGGTTGGAAGCATTCTTGAAAAGCGCAGGCATATTTTGTCCGTCATTATCCTAAACCAAAATTAGCGCTACATTCGTGACAATCTCTGCGATCCTATACTTACGTTTAACCGCAATAGTTCAGCTTTGCGGTTCTGTAGACTAACAAGCTTTCGCTTCCAAGCCCAGCAATCTCTGCGTCGGTTAACGATATCCTGCTTCTGAGTGTCCATATAACGGTCGAGGTAAATCGTCTCCTTGAGGTCCAAGTGGTGTGTGGATTTGAAAGATGACTTTTTGACGGGATCGAACTGGACTCTTTGCACCTGGATTTGCAGTATCGGCGGCAGCTTGCTTATGGCACCGAATTGTTCAACAAGAGAATCATCTACAGATACCTCTTGCATGTCGAAAGCGCCGTCGATAGCCGAGTATATGTCCCGTGAGCCCGTCGCAACATCAACTTTGATGTCAGACCAAAGTTCCTCTTTCGAGCGAGTCCCATTTTGTGCTGTAATGTAGGACTTTGTCTTGCCATAGAACAAGCTAGATTTTCTTTTATCAGCGACTTTACCTTGTTCAAAAGGTAATGGCGAAGACTTACTCTTTGATTTGGTCAAGCTGCTCGCCATCCGGGGCGATGCCTCGTGGTCTAATAGCACACTCGCTTTGAAATAAGACGTTGTTGATGACTTCCGTAACATCTTGTTGGGCTCCCAATTCCACCTCCTCTATCAATTGCCTTTTACGGTCTGCTTCCGCAGGTCGTGGCGGTTCTGGGGGCGGTCTACTCGGTGGGTCATCCTTCGTCACGGTCTGCGGCTGAGAAGGAGTGCTTGTAATCTTCTCTGAATTGCCTGAGACGTCCGATGCTGCATGTACAGGAAGCGGCTGATTTTCCTCATGCTCGGAAACGAGAGTAGCTTCACTGTCAATGTCACTGACTTGCGGATCTTTGACGGGATTTTCTTTAGCCGGGATGGCAATATGATCGACGACATCCTCCTTTTCGCAAGATTTCAAGGATTCAGGTGGTCCCAGTGGCCCTGCTACTGGCGCACCGTTAATCTCACCCAAACCAAAAGGCCTAATTCCAGAAATGGTAGACCTCCTACGAATCTCCGCTTCGTTTGTAGAACTGATTAAGGTTAACCTAGCCAGTTCCTGTTCAGGTCGAACAAACCCTCGGGGGGTTGTTATCATGTTGTGGAACAGTCCACGAAGCTCGCGGAGAACTGTGTCTAGTAAGCAGCCGCGAGAAGGCGTATAAGCGCTGAAAAAACTCACATTTCTGAGACCTCTCGACTTCTAGCCTCGAGACTTTACGAGATCCAACTTTTTTCTGGCGCAAGGATTCCTCATCTAAATCCGTTTTGTTGTTCTCAAAATCCAATACCATCTCTCGATAAGGACGCACTGTGAAGTAGAACTGGAGCAAGCTGTTCAGATAGCAAGTGTTACCTATATTCTGAAGGCCAACCGGCCATTCGGACAAATTTCGATCGCTATGAGTCGTAGATCCCGAGACGAAGCTACTTAGCATGGGGCTGTCCTTTTCTCTTGCGATGATAGTCAGGGCACGCGTATAAGTTTCGACTTGCGTCGGAGCTTCATCTACGCAGATCGTGTACGCAGCGAGAATAGCATCATCGCCAACGGTGCGGTCGGGTATTTGAAGGAGACGATAAGCATCTCCGACGTCCATTTCGCCTGCTCCGGTTTCGCCTGTCTTAAGGAAATGCCTTAGGGTTTCCGAATTTCGTTTTTCTGCTATAAGCGACAGAGCTTTCTCCGATATTTCTTTGCTACTAGGGCTATCATTCACTTTGGTTGTGAACATTGTGATGACAAAATCGTCAGGCGTATTCTCTTCAACTCCGAGATAGACGAGGGCCTGCTCAGCAGTTGATATCCGATCCTCAGCGGCAGACTTGATTCGTTCGCTTTTCCTAGCATCGCCTATTCGCCACAGTTGTTGCCGAGCCTCAGTCTCCTGCGTAGTAGAGCTCAGATATGCGTGAAACCTGCCAACAATGACTTCTTCTGTGAGAGATGTGTCATTTGGGCTAAGTCCGAAGTATTCATAAGCTTTCAAGATGTCGTGCGTTGTATATGCCCCTTTGCTATATGCGGTTACCACAGCCTCATTGATTGTATCACGATCTGGACCACCTCGCCATTGAGCAATAGAATTCAAGCATTCAAGGTAATGTGGGCCGCGTTCTGGATCAACTGCTACTTGACGGTGATACGCTTCGATTATGAGGTCGGATGCCATATCTTCCAAGGTGCCAAGATCTTCGTAAGCAGGTTGTGCGGGCATTTCAAACTCAATGAGTCGTGTCGATCTCGCATAGTTGGCAGCTTCAAGAGCAAGGAGGAAGTCGATGCTTGCTGGGGATGTCGAATAGTTCAGAGCATAAGGGGTCTTCTTCTCCGCCACAGGTCGTTGTTCGATCAATATGGATAGTTCATGTATGACGTTATCAATGAATATGTTGAGCTCGTTCTGGAAGGGCAGATCCTCAGCTGTATTGGGATTTGGGGGATCCCAAAAGCCCTCATCCCGGTATGAAAACTCTAGAAATTCCAACAGGTCTTTGCAAGGTTTCCCATCAACACCAAAGCAAACCACGAATCGTTTGTTGACAGCTGAAATCGGTTTGCTACGTTGCGGGTCCTGGAGCGAATTCCGGAGATATGTGCGCAGATTATCAAGTACAGTTATAGGTTGAGGTCGTGCGATGCCCTCCAGACGCTCCGGATGGGCCGCTATTGCTTCGTCTGCACGCTCGTTGACCACCTCCACGTCCGTCAAAAGCTGAAGGAAATCAGGGTTCAGAACAGGGGACGAAATCTGCACTGAAGCAGTAATGCCGCATGCCGTATAGGAGCATCGGTAATAGTGGGTTTCTAAACTTTGTCCTTTCGGCGTGACTGTACCATTTGCATGGCTGCTGGACTGGTAAACGAGGTGATGCAGATGGGTGGACGTAGGCGCTACGTTGCCTGGATAGTTGACCACTACCTGTGTATGCAATCGACACTTCGAACAAATTGCGCAGACTTTCGAGTGGGCTCCTCGACCTTGTCTTTGATCCGGTGGGATGACGAGGGTCTGGTTGGGCTTCGTGTTGTACACGTGATTGCAAGCGGAAGGCGAGAGCCATTCGGGAGGGCCATCGTATCCGTCCGGAAATACGGGGGGGACATCGACGAGTAGGTTACGACCTGAGGTGGGGAGATGGACCGGATCATATAGGTTGATATCAGCGAGAAATCGCGGAGCAGTCTTGCCTATTCAAAGTAATGGATTAGATCAAATCACCTTCCAAATAGTGGCCGACTAACCTGCTCTTTTGTACGACGACGGCATTTAGGAAGTATATTGCCTCAAGACAGTTCCGTTGTGAGGTTGACGAGCTTGAAGTAGCTTTAGGTCGTGTGAGCAGCGACTGACCGACGCAGCAACACCCGTAGCTGACGTTGTCGTGGAGGTAAATGTAAATTGCCTTAGCGTACGAGCGACTCACTTAATCTTTGAATAGAGAAATCCTCATACTAAACACATCATATTAGAAAGTTACTGCGTTGAGATCATAGAAAGAAAGCAAGGTCTTAAAGGTACTGCCTGAGGGGCAAACCCACCTATAGATAGCAAGTACTTCACTGACTTGTCGTTCTCGTGAGCAAGAACGGGTTTGAGGCAATCCGATTACGTATGAAATAAAGCCACACCACCTGGGAGTGTTTCAATATGAAATGTATCGAATAAAGGAATGAAATAAGACAAAGATAGAGACTGTAAGCAGTTGTTTTCGCGCAAGGATACCTGCTTGGAGCTATGCAATCAGTGCCAAGACCTGGCGTCCGTGTCTGTCCGTACAGCTCTCATCAACCCGCGCAGCATTTAAGATCCGAAATGAGTGACACTTTGAAGAGAGATTGTGCGTAATTTTCGGCCTTTTTTGTCTGGAACGAACACCAAGCTGTCGTTCGAGTAGCTGAGGGGAACCGTTGAAGCTCCAAGTTACAAGTTGCGACCCCATAAGGTAATCAGGAGACTAAGCCTCTTACATAAGGCGGTGGCAGAATAACAACACCCAAACTTAACGTCGTTTGATGCGCCGACGACATCTTGCTATCTTCAAAGCAGCGCATAGTCGGCGTGCTCCTCAGACCACAATGGCTCAACAATACACAGAAGAGCATACCTACCATCCTCAAGATGCCATTGGCGCGGCTTTCAAGGCCACTGCTCTTACCGGAGGATTCGGTCTGTTCGCCTCGGCCGTTCAAAATACTCTAGCGAAGCAGAATGTCGGACCCTTGGGAATCTTCCTTAGAAGTGGCGGCACAATTGCTATTTTTGGTACGGCATAACCCCAATGTCTAGACCAAATTACATTGATGGAATACGGAGCTAACTCTTGGGCCTTGCGTGGGTGACAGCGGCGATGGGAGGTACATATTCATTCGTGCGAACAGCGTCGGCCAACCTTCGCGAAACCAACGATACATATAACACTGCTTTGGGTGGTTTCTTTGCCGGCTCTATTCTTGGACTTCGAGGTGTGTATTTGATTGTCGCTATTCAATGGATGGTGGGGAACGCAGTTTACTGATATGTACACCAGCACGAACCTTCCCCTCGGTATTCGGATACGGAACCGCTCTCGCAGTGACATTGGCTGCGTTCGAATACACTGGAGGCTCGCTTTTCGGTAAGGAAAAGGACCACAACTTAGACAAATATGCGGAATTAGAAAGAATACGAACAAATTACCGAACCCCGGCCGAGCAGACATTCGCAGAGCTTGGTGAAGGACGAGGTATGCTGATACTTGGCTATGGAATCTAGACTATGACAATGCTGACCCGACTTGCTAGGTATTTATGGTCCTGGATATGCTGAGCGCCGTCGCGAGAGAATCAAGGAGGCATATGGCATTGACGTTCCGGCCACACCTCCTCCGGCATCGTAAACGGGAGCTTGGCAACCAGTGTAGATTATTCATGCCTCGCGATTGACATCATGCTCGTCGAGGTTTCGTTCAGCATTTTCTTAACTAGATTTTCAAGTGTGGTCTTTGAAGATTCATGCTATCAATGGCGTTTCCCACCAATTCTCTCTTTCTCTCCTTTTGTTACAAAACGTATATGAATACACTAGTCAAGAGGAGTAGCCAATGACAACTGTCGTTCAATCCAAGAGCACATGTCTTTTTTTTAACCAATAATCGGAAGTGCATAAGGTAGATGCTGCATTGCTGACATGATGCCGCCCTTATTTGCCTGAGGCATGATTGGCCAACGAGCGTGGCATCTAATTGGCTCGTTAGGTAGCACAATCGAGAGTCAGCAGCACAATCTCCGCGCGCTCCCGCAGTGGTGACGTCTTGACTTCAATGTCGACTTTTACTACGATAGCAACGTAGTATCTAGGTGAAAGTTGGGGGATTCCGAATTTGGAATGACGACGGAGTACACATCTTGGAATTGGAGTAGGAATACGCAATAGGTTACATTTCTCAGGCACGAGGAGGCATCATCAATACTTTGGGTCGGGTCTAAGCCACCAAGTTGCGATGGCTACCAGCATTTCAGCACTTCGTAATCCGTATGCATATCGTTCAGAAAAGGGCTGCTCATCACATTCAAGGTTTTTTTGGGTCGAACAGGCGAGCAAATGAGAGGGCTGCGATCAGGGTCCCCCACGTGAAAGTAGGCTACACACTTTCTTTTCAAGCGAAGCGTAAGTGGCTCATATAACATGTAGCGACACTAGAATCTGTAAAGGTGAAAGATTTGCCCATGATCGACACGATTCGTTCAGGTTAGTTGCCTCCGCCACAGCTGGCTGCGAACACCCTCGTACATCGACAATTCGCATGGTGATGGATTGATGCCGGTGGATGATGGTTGTACAGCATTAAAGGAAGAAAGAGGATAGAGATTCTGGTCAATAATAACATCTAACAAATGAAGAAAGACTACATACTATGTAGATGAATCTGTAAAAACTCATACACGTAGAGTGGAGGAAAAGGGAAGGAGGTTCCTGCCCGAGCGACGACTAGAAGACGAGGGTCGACGTCATCCGCATCCGTCACCCGTGCAACTGCCAACTGCGATCGCAGCCTGCACGGACTATTATTCCATCCTTATTATATGACCATTACTTCAACTGTTCAACTCCTTCTCCTGCTTTTCTCCTTGCGTCTTCCCCGTGTTAATCACATTCCACGATTCTCAAACGGCCTGTCCATCTGTCATTCCTTTGCCAATCGATTGATCTAGCTCGTCTTGAGAGGGCCAAAACGTGTGATTGCATCTGCAACTATACGGCGGGGCCGCTTCACGTTGTTGCGGTCGGCCTGTTCAACACGACTCACCTCGGCTCCATTGAGCCTCCAATTCAACCTATTTAGCGACGCATATCGAACTCAAGCAACAATTGTTCAGCAGCCGTCCTCGTCGCAGTTTCCGTCCGAAAGAGTGTGAGACAAGATGGCCATGCCGCAGTCACCGCCCCATGAAGGCTACGGCAACATTCCTTATCCTAATGATCCAACGCAATTAAGTCGCGGTTACGGCATGTCTACAGATTCTCGGCCGACTTCTTATATCGCAAATTCGATTGTACCCTCTGATTTCGCAGTCGCGCAACCAACTTTGGGAACAAATCCATCGCAGACAGCCTACCCGTCACGATTCAACGAAGAGATCGACATGTCCCAGCGAGGCAGTCCCATAATGATGGATGGTGCAAATGGAGGAACTGGTTTGCAAAGAAGCGAATCGCAAATGTCACATAATAGCATTGCGCCATCAAGAAGCGGCACATTGAAGAAGAAGGCGTCGCTGAGTCGGAAAGGGAGTTTGAAACGAAGCGGTAGCAGGCGCAGTCTTCGTGCTGGCAGTGTAAGGAGCCTCAACCTCGGCGAAAGAGAGAAGTATGGTAGCGACGATCCCAATAGCGCTTTCTACGTGCCAATTCCGACGAGCGGTAGCCCAACAGAAGAGCTCGCAAATCGCTTTCAAGGTACGTAAAACCAATGATTGTCTCTCAAACCGAATCTGACTTCTTTTCAGCTTGGCGGAAGGTACTCAAGGATCTCATTGTCTTTTTCAAGGATATCCAGAAATCATACGAAACGAGAGCAAAGCTTCTACTTTCGGCGGGTAATATCATGAACAACACAACCCTTCCATCAACTTTCCTCGACTCCGGCGGCCTAGGGGATGCGACAGAAATTCTACGTGATTACCACAAGCAAGGTCTTATTGAAGCCAACAAGGCTAAAGAAGTCGAAAGCGAAGTGATCCTCCAATTGACTGGCCTTAGAAGCGACCTACAACAGAAGACCAAGGAAATTAAAGGTTTGTCTGGAGACTTCAAAAACAGCGTGGACAAAGAAGTCGACAATACGCGAAAGGCTGTCAGAAACCTACAGGAAAGCCTAGGTCTCGTTGATGTTGACCCCTCGGCTACGTCAGGCAGACATGATCCCTTCATTCTTCGACTGCAAGTGGACAAGCAAGTCGACAAACAGATTGAGGAGGAGAACTACCTTCACAGAGTAAGTCCCCTGGAGTACAGTTTTATTTGGCTTTCGGGCTGTGACTAATCCTGTCAGGCATATTTGAATCTGGAAAATTCCGGTCGTGAACTGGAGGCAATCGTAGTTGGAGAGATACAGAAGGCTTATAATGCCTATGCTAGTATCTTGAAGCGCGAGGCGGACGTCGCCTTGGATGCTGTAGAGAAGCTTCGAGCCGGTCCCATCTCCATGCCCAAAGATCACGAATGGAACAACTTCATTGCAGAAAGTGAACAACTTGTTGATCCTAGAATACCTGTTCGCAGCTTTGATAACATCAGTTATCCTGGTAGGGATCATCCAGCTGCCGCTGAGATCCGGTCAGGTATGCTTGAGCGCAAGAGCAAATACTTGAAGAGTTATACCCCTGGATGGTCTGTTCTATCCATATAATGCTTTACCTTTAAAATTCATGATCTCGTACTAATCGATCATATAGGTATGTCTTATCACCAACACATCTACACGAGTTCAAATCGGCCGATCGAGTAGCTTTCCAAACACCGGTCATGTCTCTCTACCTTCCGGAACAAAAACTAGGATCGCACTCGCAGCCAGACTCTTCGTCCCATAAATTCATGCTCAAAGGAAGACAGACAGGCGCCATGCATCGTGGTCATGCCTGGGTCTTCCGGGCCGAGTCTCATGATACAATGATGGCATGGTTTGATGATATCGCGTCTCTAAGTGAGAAAACCGGCGAGGCTCGAAATGCATTTGTCAGGAACCACGTTCGAAGCCTAAGTGGTAATAGTGTTCGGCCGAGTTCCATCAGTAGCGACGGAGTCATGGATGAAGACGAAGCCGATCGGACTCCCTATTCGAGCCAGTCCGCTGTCCTTCGAAGAGCCTCTTCCGTAAAAGCAGAGACTCCAGCACAGCGCCCTTCACCAGGTGGGCGATTCCCAAGTGATGTACAGATCGATCGTCACTTACAGGCAACTATGTCAACTTCTAGTGGAGAAAGCACTGGTGTCCGAGAAGCTTTAGCCGATGCCGTGGCCCTCCCGGGATCTGGCATTCTATACGAAACGAGTCAACAACAACCCCAGGAAATGACCTACTCGTCCCTACCTATAGATGGCCAGCTGGCTTATCGACCAGCAGACGTGAACCATGAAACTCACGGAACGTGGTCAGGAAGCGCCAATCAAAATCCCGGCTATGTCCAGGATCACAATTTTGGTCAACAAGAGCAAGTTTATCGTCAACATCCTGTCACGTCCCCTTCACAGGCTCCTATTGTTGTCGCAAGTGAGATCACAGACAGACGCGATGTAAACTCAACTCAAACTCCGGCAAACGGTGCAATCTATGCTGTTGAAGCTGAAAATGCTTCGTCGCTTAATAGACAGGAGTCCCAACGATCCCGACAGACTCACTCTACATATTCACTGATGGCTTCGACCCCAGCATCTGAAGCAACTTCTCCACTATTTGACAACGCCAATGGCTTAGTATCAAAACGTCCCAATCCGCAGTCAAAGGAGAGTGCCTCAACAATTGACATGCTCAAAATGCCAGGAAGATATCCTCGCCAAATGACAGGCTAAAGGTCATGTGAGGAAGCTAGCAGTTCCTGTTTACATCTACTCGTGCAAACAATCCCATTACGACAACGCATTTATCGAGACTTATCTTGCAAGTCTTTGTGTATTTCTTCGCACACTGTCGCTACCTTCCCCGAGTCACATACTGCACTATGTCAATTTTACTTTCCCGTGTTTGGAAATGATGACCTCATCTGATGATTCACACTTTGATACCTCGTTTTATGATGTTGACTTTGAACTTCCATGTTTTTTCTATATATAGCAATCTTTCACTTCGTCAGTATAGTTCGCTCTTTACCTTGTCTTCACTTTTCCCCTGGTGTTCAGCCTTTGTACATAGCAGTGATTTCAAGTCCTTTTATAAATATCACGACTTTCATTGTCATAATTTGACGACTGTCGCCAATTCTATTACCAATAAAGCCATCCACGCTTTGGTCTTGAATTCAAGCACTTCGAAGCCTTGTACGTTGTGTAGGTAGACTTTTGACAAATCATTGGAAACCCTACCTAATCGGGAGATTAGGGCATTCTATAGCTTTGCTTGACGTGTCCGGGGACCAACAAAGACCATATAGTCATTGTACAACGTCAGATTGCTACTTTTTGATCTTGGTCAGCCACCAGATTGCTGTAAACTTTTGACAGCAACAAGTCAGTGCGATATAGTGACAAAGGCAATGAAAGTCAGGGATATAGAGCGATCAAATAAGTTTAATTCACAWTTTTATTATATTCAMAAGCCACAAAAGTAGAGTTTTGAAGAGGGTGGGAGATGGTCTTTTTATATATTCAAGCAAAAGGTAGTAAGGGGAGCAAACCTGGGTATAAAGCTCAGCAAGCAAAGATACAGTTATTTGCACCTTCAGAGTAACAACTTACACTCTCTTCTCTTTCTTCTGAAACAGTGCCAAGAATGCACCATACTGAATATCGAATGGTATAGGAATAACATCAACCCGAAAATAATACCGAATCTCGATACGGATGTTTATTTACAATACATGTATGGTGATAGTAGTACGATTTTGGAATATTCGACTCTGTCTTGACACGTGCACTGGTGAACATGTGATTGGCCAAGGGCAGTCGAACTATTCACGGGTCGCGTGGTCACCATGAGAGACTGGCACGATTTCAAAATAAAACTCAACTTCAACAACATCTCAAATTCACACAAATTGGACTGAAAGCAAAGACTCACTTCAACAATGGGATGCGACTATTGCGGCCCACCGGCTCCACCCCATGAGGCTGACGTTACGCCAACCGCGGCTCCAAATGGGAAGACGAGCAGTTGCCAAAATTCTTGCTGCGATTGCGACGACGCTGAGCCCCTCGACACCGCGGCCTCAGGCTCAAAAATGCCCACTCTCGAGAAAGCAGGTGATTGCTGCCCTCCTGACAAATGTGCCGACAACAAAACCGAGAATCAAACCGACACGCCTGACTGCTGTCGTGGTAAAGTCAGCCCATGCTGCGACATTACTTGTCTCAACCGTTTAGCTATGCGGGAATGTGAGATGAGTGCTATGGCTACCCCTGCCCCGAATAGTCAGCCAAAGAGTGAGTATCCGCTTTTTGAGGATGGCTTCCAAAAATTCTAACTCCTTTAGCTTGCGGTGGAGCTACGGTCCGCAAGCCATGCAGCCAACATCGTCTTTCTACCCTCGACCGTTACGGTGCTACTCTACAAGCCTTGGGATGTATCTGCCGCGCTCTCATTGCTCTTGGTCGGGAAACCTGCTGTGAACTTCGCGAGACACAGTCACTGGATGGGAAGCAGTGCTCTACTAAGTCATCTGCTCGCTCCCTTCGCACTTCACTGGAGTCCTATAGCAGCAACGGCTCCGTCACCGAGGATCAGGTCGGGCAGGACCCTCTTCGTCCGCAAAAGAGTTCTCTTGAAAATACGAGGTCTTCCAAGAAAGTGCCCACGGATGCCTGCTTTGCCTCTTGTTGTTCGAAGGAGAAGCCCGCTAAAAAGTGTCCAGTCAAAAGCAAGTGCTTGAAGCCATACTGCTCTGAGGACACGCCCGCGGAGGTTCCATTCGTCAAGGATAACTGTGCCAAGGCGTGCGACTCCCTCGAAAACTCGGCGAAGCAGCCTGCTGCCCAAACTGGACGCCTTGATTCGTGCTGCTCAGAGACTCTTAGTATCGAAGAATCCTTTCCCAAGATCGGCTGCCCTGGATCTTGCTGCCCTAAAGACCAGGCTGTCAAAGACAATGACGCCAAGAGCATTTATGCTGACCCGTGCTGTTCGAAGATCGAACCCATTGTTGAACCTGCAACTGGTGTATGCGCAAGATCCTCCTGTGGATCTAAAACCATGATCACTATAGAGCCTCTCAATTTGGTGTCCTCTGGCTCTTGCTGCAAGCTGCCAAAGCAGGATATCGTGAAGACTCCAATTGCTAGTTGCGGGGGTTCTCGCTACACAGAAAAGCAGCCGCCTAGCTCTCAAGGCCCTTGCATCGATGCTTGCTGCTCCTCTGTTGTGCCCAATGCTGGTTTAGAGATTGTGAAAGCCTCGATCCAGGCTGTCACCGATATAGAGAATCAAGGTACCGGCAAGGAACATGTTGTTCTCAGCATTTCTGGCATGACATGTACTGGTTGCGAGACAAAGCTCAACCGAAGCCTCGTTACTAYCCCTGCCGTTACAGACCTGAAAACCAGTTTGGTTCTCTCACGAGCCGAGTTCAACATCGATCTACGCCTTGGATCAGTGGAGGAAGTCATGAAACACCTGGAGCGAACCACTGAATTTAAGTGCGAAAGAGTCAAGAATCAGGGATCTAGCCTGGATCTTATTGTCCCTGATCAGCCCTTAAAGTTCATTAGTCAGACGTGGCCGGGCGGAATTCTGGACATGGCACTCATGGATAAACAGACCGTGCGAGTTGTGTTTGATCCGAAAATTGTGGGAGCTCGAGAGCTCGCCGAGAAGGTTTGGGGTACGCCAATTGAACTTGCTCCTCCGCGCGGTGACCCTTCGCTGGAGGCTGGCAGCAAGCACGTCCGTTATGTCGGATACATGACGCTTCTCTCCACTGTCTTGACGATTCCGGTCCTGATCATGGCATGGGCTCCGCTTCCTGAAAGGAAGGTGGCATATGCCTCGGCTTCACTCGCCTTGGCTACGATTGTTCAAGTTGTCATAGCGGGGCCTTTCTATCCCAAAGCTCTGAAGGCTCTCGCTTTCTCGAGGGTTATCGAGATGGATCTCTTGATTGTCTTGAGCACTAGTGCTGCCTATATCTTCTCAGTGGTCTCCTTTGGGTACCTCATTGTACGTCGGTCCCTATCGACTGGTCAATTCTTTGAAACGAGCACTCTTTTGGTCACCTTGATCATGGTTGGTCGATGGGTTGCCGCTCTCGCCCGTCAGAGAGCCGTGGAATCTATTTCTATCCGGTCACTTCAGGCGTCGACAGCTATTCTTGTGGACCAAAAGAGTGGAACAGAACGTGAGATTGACGCCCGACTTCTTCAATATGGCGACATCTTCAAAGTTCTCCCCGACACGAGAATCCCGACCGATGGCACTGTCATCACTGGGTCGTCTGAAGTTGACGAGTCTTTGCTCACTGGTGAATCTAGACCAGTGGAGAAATATCCCACGTCTGTGGTGATTGCTGGGTCTATCAATGGACCAGGAGTTATGACCATTCGACTGAGTCGTTTGCCTAACGAGAACACTATCAATACTATTTCTGCGATGGTCGATGAAGCCAAAATGTCAAAACCCAAGTTGCAGGATCTCGCAGATCAGGTAGCATCCTACTTCGTCCCGGTTGTGCTGGCATTGACAATCATCACGTTCGTCATCTGGTTTGCAGTAGGCACGGCTATTCGATCATATGATGGCTCTGAAGCTACAATTGAGGCCATCACCTACGCTATTACTGTCCTCATCGTCTCTTGCCCTTGCGCTATTGGACTGGCTGTGCCTATGGTCATTGTGGTGGTCAGCGGAGTTGCGGCGGAAAGAGGTATCATCTTCAAGTCGGCAGATGCTATTGAAGTGGCCCATAAGACGTCTCACGTCGTGTTTGACAAGACTGGGACCTTGACCCGGGGAAAGCTTTCTGTAGTTATGGAGCACTGCGACAATGTGGACAAGCTGCCGCTTCTTCTAGGCCTCATCGAAAACAGTCGACATCCGGTCTCTGTTTCTGTGGCTGCTCACCTGAAGGATGCCGGAGTTATTGCTTCGCTAGTTCCTGAGCCCAAGAGCCTTACTGGGAAAGGTGTTGAAACTACCTTTGATGGCCAGAAACTTCAAGCAGGAAATTCTCGCTGGCTGCATTTATCAGAAAATGAGGTCGTTCAACCAATGCTTGCTCAAGGGCACACCGTTTTTTGCTTTGCTATGGACAACGCGTTACAGGCGGTCTATAGTCTTGAAGATGAGCTTCGACATGACGCTGTGGGGACAATTAAGACCTTGCAGCAACGTGGTGTCTCAGTACATGTCGTTTCTGGCGATGATGACGGAGCTGTTCAGTCTTTGGCGTCGAGGCTTAGCATTCCTGGCGGCAATGTCCGTTCTCGAAGCTCGCCCGCCGACAAGAAAGACTACATCCAGACGCTCCTCGATACTGAGATAGATCATAAGAAACCCGTTGTTGTTTTCTGCGGTGACGGCACGAACGATGCCGTTGCTCTCGCCCAGGCTACGATCGGCGTCCACATGAATGAAGGCACGGATGTTGCGCAATCCGCCGCCGATGTGGTTCTCATGCGACCTTCTCTAGCTGGTATCCTCACTATGATGGATGCCAGCCGGAAAACTGTCAACCGCATCAAGTTCAACTTTGCGTGGAGCTTCGTGTACAACATTTTTGCAGTCCTTCTCGCTGCGGGTGCTTTTGTCAATGCGAGGATCCCCCCAGAGTTTGCGGGACTGGGAGAGTTGGTGAGTGTGTTGCCAGTCATTGCTGCTGCGCTGCTTCTGCGCTGGTCGAAGATCTAAGCACAAAGCACCATCATTGCACGAGTAACAACTGAAGTTCAACAAACTGTCATTGATGTCTGACTGGAATCTTCATATTGAAGATGGGTTGCAACAGGTCCAGTCATATCAGATTCGAATCACAATCCAGGATGCTGCAAATCTGTCGTTATCTTTAGTCTAGCTCATATCAAAGAAGGCTTAGTGCATTGATACAGTGCACGTAATTTACAAGAGTATCAATCTTGTGAATGCGCGATACCTACAGGAGAGAATTATGCGAGCCAGGTTTACTCTAGATCTAGCCGTAGATAGACCCCCAAATCATAGCGCTGCTTCAGAAGAAAGAGAAGAGAGTGTAAGTTGTTACTCTGAAGGTGCAAACAACCGTCCCGGCGTCTCCCAATGTAAGGGTACCATCATATGTACGTCCACGCGCTCGTAGAGCCGAACCTTGAACCTCCAAATGAACTTTTGTACGTCCTGCTTCAAGGTAGGAATTACACGGACGAGACCATTCGACGTATCGATTCCTTGGTAGAAAATAATCGTTGACCCTTTCACGATGTTCTCGAATTGTTCTCTTTTTCCGCTTCACGACGCCTTTCATCCTCTAAAGCTTGCTCAGAAAGTGGTCTCGGCATGAGAGACATGTTGAAGTCGACGTAGTTTGTGTTCTTGGTTTCCTCAATCGACGAGTAAGGCCTGACAGAGGAATGTCTTCAGCGTTGAAAAAATATTGTGCTTCAATGGAGAACACAATAAAACCACATTGCATTCGAAGCCTTTTACATCTCATTTGTGATTCAACATGCCTGTCTTCGACAGGGTTTTTCAGATACTTTGACATAATTGTCAATTGACTCAGGTAATTGATAGCACTCCTTCATCCGAATATTTTGCTCTTTGCCTTGTTATCCGTGTTTCCTTAGTGGTAAGCTTTTGTACATAGCAGTGATTGCAGTCGCCCTACATATATCATGGAGTTTTACTATGCTATCCTGATCGTCGCATTTGATCGAATTATTTGTAGAATCCCGCTACCAGGAATTTTTATAGCTAAAAGTATACCTGTCTATACAGCTTTGAAAATCCGATCAGTCGACCACTTCGATAAATGATCTGCATTTGGTGACCATCTCAGATTCAGAACTTGTCAGAGCTACGGAGAACTGGCAAATAACCTCTTGCGTTGCTGTAACAGCCATTCTTTATTCTCTCAGAAGAATGGTAACTTTTTGTCGATATATCAAATCAAAAGCCAGCGGCAATACACTCGGTCTCCTCTTACCAATTCTGTCCCTGAGGTGAATGATCCCGCTACTACTTACCGGCATTTGTAATGTGATAGATTCTTCTACCGCGGAATACTCTCGATCAGTATGACACGGAGGACGCGTCGGACTGCGACAGGCTTGGTATCTCGTCAGCCTCTTCTTCATTGTTAACAAATCCATAACCCTCAAATTCTCGTCCTCGGCTCGCTTGGGGACTGGCGTAGATCTCGAAATGACGCTTCACCACGTCTTCGACTACCTCTAGCAGGTAAGGAGTGTCAGGATTATGATATYTGATTGTATTCTCATCGAATTTAAGGAAAATGAGAAGGTAGTCGTTCCATAAGATATCCATTTCCATGTCGTCCCAATTGTCTATGAAGATCCCAACAGTTCCAGACCCGTATTGGTCTTCTAATATCAAATCAATAGTTTTGTGTCTTCGGATCGATCCGTCTGCAATATAGGTAACCTCGACTTTTCCCGGCAAATCCCAGTTTACGCGGGAACGAGAACGAGCGGGATCGATCTCCCATAGCTCGACGTCGAAAGTGCATTTATATTGTTCCCCATCCAGCGTCACAGTACAAGTTAATTCGAAGGGATCATCTGGCGTTGGGGATCTTACATCCTCGTAAAACTCGCGGGCATACTCGTCCACTCTGAATTCCCATAATGCTCTCTGTGCACCTTCGTATCTTCTTGCTGCCTCGACTTCCTCGTCAGAATACTCGCAATAGCTCCTCGGTACGGAAGTCATATTGAAGTAGATGTGGTTTTAATACTTAGCTTTGCTCAAATAATAGGTAAAAATTGATAGACACGACATTTTATGAAGATGAAGGAGATAGCTACAGCGCAATTGATCCCTTTTATACCACAATTCTTAAGTTGTCATGGCTGGTAGGGATTTTGTTGTGTACTGTGACTCCACTTACATTGTCTCAAGTAACAAGAGTCGGTGGGGTATATAAGTCATTGGCATTCACGAATAGCTTCAGACAAGATAGATGAAAGGAATTAATGTTACAATGATTAGTTTCAACCGAGCTCAATGCCGCTGGATGGATTAGTTCTTTGATAGTCTTCTATGAGTCAGGACGTCTAGAGTAAAACCGACACAAAATCAATAGAACCTTGAGACAGAAAACAATTCAGGATTTTCATTGTACATCGGTAGTTGCGAAGAGGTTTATATCTTCGTCTAAGAATCAATGAATGACAAGGTATTCCATCTGTATAAATTTGACCTAGTTTTACACCTGGTGTACCGACATCATTCAATTCGGAAAACAAAGCCGAACGCTACAGCTGAAAACAACGTGTACGGTAGATTTCCTTGTCTTAATATTAGTTTAAGGACCTCCAGGGACATTGGTGAGAGACAGTCGGTGATTTCAAAATTGATGAGGATCAATGTATACCTATTTCGCTCAGCTCATGAAATTCCAATGTTGTTAGCGGCAGGCCAAAAACCTTTGTCCTGTACGATGCGGTTTGGTATCCATGCTAGTCTAGGACTGTCTAAAAGCTAAGGGTAAACAAGAGCAAGAGCAAGAGCAAGAGCCAGAGCAAGTCGAGATGTCGTCTGAGGCCATACGAAAGGTGCTTAGATTAGCCGCTCATGATTAGAGCCCTAACCCCATCCTGATTCGGTTTAGCGTACATACTACAAAATGAGGAATAAAAAGGAATAAATGAGTCAAATTCAGGCGTACTTTGGGGTAATCGTATCGTACACACGCGCAAGACACCATGATTTGTACATTGCGACCTTGAAATTTTCTCTTGAGCAAAACAAATTTTCAATAAAGGATGAAATGGGTAAAAGGATGAAGCAAAAAAAGTACCGAGACTAATAAAAAGGGAATGTGCAAGGTAGTCACACCCACACTGCGAACACTCATCACACCTCAGTAGCGAAAAAGATTTGCAATGTGGCTGAATTTCCCGCTTCCAAGAAGAATAAAAAAGTAATGTTGATAATAAGTGAATCAAATCAACACATCTGTGGGAGATTTAGGTTACATCATTTGGTCCTGAGTCATGCCGGCTGATTCGTCACCCACGTCTCCAACCTCGCCTGAGCCAGGAGGATGGACATATCGGACGAATGTGATTCCCAAAGGACGACCACCGTATTGGTAACCGGTGAACTTGGCTACATTTATCAGTCAGCATACTTCTTTCTCATCGCCATTAACAGCAAGCGAAAAAGCCTCTTGTACTTACAGATTGCGGTCTCAGCGGTTTCAGGACTATCAAATTCAACCACACCAGTTCCGCGAGAGCGGCCATTGCCCTCATACTGGATTTCTGCACGTTCAACCTTGCCAATCGTGGTAAACAGATCAACCAGATCTTCGTTGCAAGTCGACCAGGGAAGCTGATAGATATCTTGTTAGTAGGATATCTTCAAGTCAATTTGCTTTAATATGATAAAGACTCACGTTGCGGACGTAGATCACGGCGCTCTTGTCACCGCCAGAGGTAGCGTAGTCAGTGAAAGGGTCAGGAGGCCCTGGTGGAGGGGCAGGGGCAGAGTCGAAACCGCCGCCGTAATTACCACCACCGCCGCCGCCGCCAAAGCCACCTCTTCCACCATAACCGCCTGGTCCCCCGAATCCACCTCGTCCGCCAAAACCACCACGGCCACCGAAGCCTCCACGACCGCCGCCAAAGCCACCTCCGAATCCGCCGCGACCGCCGCCGAAACCACCGCCGAAACCACCACCACCACCACCGCCACCTGCATATCGATCTTCGCGAACCTCAAGGATTCGTCCTTGCCAATCGTAGCCATTGAATTGTTGGATAGCAACTCGGGCATCATCGGCGGATTCAAAGACAACAATACCAGTACCCTTGGGGCGTCCGCTTGGGTCACTTAGGACATCGGCCCGGATGACGGCGCCTTGTTGAGCTGTGAAAATCTTCTGGTCAATTCCGACTTTCAATTCAAAGAAAGGTTCTGTGATATGAAGTCAGATATCTCGCACTTACCAGCTTGACGGAAAAGATCCTTCAAGTCTTGCCAGCCGACATTGAAAGGTAGCTAGAGGTAGACATTTCATGTCAATACACCCCCAAACTGTTGAAAAGGCAGAATCAAAACGTTTCAAAGAGGACGGAACAAACATTGGTGATATATATCTGACGGCCCGCAGCCCCACCGGCACCTCCGGGGCCTCCTCTACCAGCACCAGCGTCTCTCTGTTGGCCAGCAAAGCGAGGTTCGGCTTCGCGGTCCTATAATTTGATACCGATATTAGTATCAAGAATTCGATCCCAATTTAATCTGATGACGGTAATTACCTCGCGAACGTAAACGAGGCGCCCCATGAGGTTCTGGTTGCTGAGCGTATTCACTGCATGCTGAGCTTGCTCCCTCGTTGCATATTCCACAATCCTAGTAGTCACGCTTTAGCAACACTCTTGATGCTGAAGAAATCAAATATGCTGATAACTCACCCGCAGCCCTACAAATACCGGACAGCCGTGTCCCAACCCGTCAACCCAACAGTCCATCAAAGTAACCAGAAAGAAAACCAGAAAAGAACCAGCCATTTCTACGCGTTGGCGCCCACCTTAGACATTCCATTCGGAAGTAATAAAACATCGGCAAAGAGAACCTCTCCAGCTGGATCATGAAACGTGATTAGCCAGGATCGAGAGGTCGAGAGCTAATCTTGCAAATGGGAGCACTCACCCTGTCTCATGAAGTCTTTCAAATGATGCCATTTCACATCGTACGATAGATTGCCAACATAGACACGACGGTCTTGCTGGGAAGAGTCTCGAACAGACTGCATCATATGCTCTCGGGCTACTGAACGATCTTCTAACGATCTTCCGGATGGTGGACCTCCTCGCCCACCGTAGGTAGAGCCCGCGTGTCCTCCAGAAGCTCCACCGGCACCGCTCATGGGCGATCTGTCTCTGCGCTCGCTGCGATGGTAATCTTCACGGCTCAGAGAGCGACTGCGAGAATATGAACGACGGGACCGACGAGGACTTCGGGAGCGACGACCACGGTCACCACGAGGAGAACGAGTCCTGTCGCGCTGTGTACGGTCAGTGCAATTCGTAGGGTAAAACCGATGGTCACGTCATGGATAGGAATGAGTAGCGGCCCCAAGTCCAGAGAAGGCGACAAGGGAAAATTGTGTGCTTCAGAAGTGGTGAGTGATGTCCGCGATACGATCAGGGTAGCAAGTCAGTACGGCGCTGAGAATCGCCATTCCTGAAAAGAGCCGCACGGATGATAGTATTGGTAGTAGGATTATCTTGCGACACATGCCGAGACCTAGAAATATGCGGTGGGAGGTACGAAAAGAAATCGCAAGTTACTCACTTGATTCGGTCGGTATACGTCAGCTGTTTTTTGGAATCGAAGTGTTAGTACACACGAGTTTGTCAAGTGTCAATGTTGCGCAGAAGAGAAAACAATGAATAGAAGAAAATAAACGATGGTAACATAGAGAAGTGACTGGTAAGTTGAACCATGGCCCGGTCCGCAACTGATCAAATTGGCATCACTGCGCAGGCACCGACAGCCGATGCTGAGATAATCGCCTTGTTGGCGAATTTTCAACTGCACGTACAGAAGCCAAGACAGGGAGCGCGGGTTGGAGGTGGGCTAGACCAGCCGGCTATATCGGGGGAAGGGAGGGGAGAAAGAGGGAAATGATCGGTGATCACTCGGAGTGAGTTTGTGAAAGGTGTTACCTGCACGAGGGAATGCGCGCGTTGGAATGAGAAGGAACACAAATCGAAAATAAAGGATTGTCGCAAATATCCTAGGACAGAAACAGAAAAGAAGAAAAGAAGATGTTGATCAGGCAGAACAGAGGTGATGCAGTGGGGGAGTACGAAGAAAAAGATTATAGCCTACCCATGATTAATGAATGCAATAATTGGCGGCGTCCGTTCGAGTTGCAATTGTAAAAGGTAAGGTGGGAAAGCGCAGGAAGGCTGCGCTGCACGGTGGGAGTGAGTGACTGATGAGCGAGACACTTGAGTGGGCGAACCACGAAGCCGACGGAGCGCTTGTACGTCCTAGACGTCAAGGAACGGTCCCTGTGGACAGGGATCTCAGGCGAATAGAGTGCAAGACCGGGAGCAAGACCAACTTTTGACAGGCGCTGAGAGCTGTTAGTTGATAGGTACTTGGACACAGCAGGCAGCATAACAGTGGGAACTCGTGCGCTACACAGCAGAGATCGGAACGGACAGATGAGCGATGGATCTGATCATGTAGTGTAGGAGAAACGAAGAATGGGCGACGGGGACAAGGAGGGGGGGGAATCAAAGAGGTAAATCAATCACAGCGCAGACACAGGGCGAAACACTGAGGCTTAGGCGACAGACGATAAAGCAGGAGCCCTTGGCAGCAGCTGTAACATTGAGAGCGGTTTTTGATTAGCTGCTGCAAGTTCGGCCCATTGACGACCGATTTGGTGTAGAAGGGGGGTGTGGGAGCAAAAGGAGGGGCCTTGTATGGATTGACTGATGAATCAGGGCCAAAGAAAAAGAAAAAGGAATAATCAAAAATTAATTTAGCCAGACGCAGCCTTTCAGCGCAGCGCGTATGGGTTGACGCGTTGTACGCAGCAGTCGGTCTGTTTCACCTCGCTGCGACGTCCGAGAGGTCACAGCAAGCCGAGAAGCAGTTGAACGCGCGTATGACTCGATGGGGGGAATCCACTGACCTAGAACGAGCCTCTTTGTAGACTATTTTAGTTGCTCTGAGTGATGACAAGGCGAAGATGATTGAACAATCGACGAGCAGAAGCAGCCAAAGTCGAAGATGGGGAATGAAAATGAAATCATCAGCGTTTGTTGCATCTTTCGTCGTCGGGAAGGAGCCCGTCTTGGCGGGCCGGCCACTTGCTTCCTGAATCCTCAGGCTACATACCAGCCAGGTAATTAATTCTCCATTACGTTGCAATACAGTCACACAGCCGTTATGCTGAACTATAGCCAATTAAAGAGATGAATCACACCTCAACTAGTAACGATGTGTAATAATCATCGTCATTACAGTGATTACATAATATATCGTCTCGTTCCATGGGAAAGAAGCATTGCAATGTAGTCTACAAGCAGATACATACGTCCCTGCCTTGACCAAGATTCTCTAGGGAGAACGGATTCAGAGATTTTCAACTATTTCTTGAGGTGCCCATCGCTGATAACACCCCGATATCCTACGATGCCCATGGAGGAAGCCTGGATGGTTCTGTTTCCAACCTACATACCAGTCGTGATTCACTACTAACACCAGCACCTGCGGTGTCGCGGGTACTCTGGCAACTTATAAGAACCCAACTGCAGCTGCTTCTTGGCTAGTGGGGAAGTTGAGTGAGACTTCAGCCAGCCCATTCAACTGCAGACGATATCATGGGATATGCTGCAAACTCCGTATCCTCTATTGCGAGACGACCAATCGTGAAAACAAACCTCGAATAGCGAAGTCCGCGAAACATTATCTATCTCAGGTCGGCCTATTAGAGAGTGTATCAACAATCGCAACACTCAATATGCAAAAGACCTCGTACAACACCCAAGGATTACATATGCCTTTCCTCGGAAGCAGTGTGAAATTGAAAATAAGAAGGGGGGAAGTGGGACAGAACCAATAACTGGTTGTTCAAATACTACCACTGCAGCTGCTTTAGAATCCAGGCTAAGTAGGATCTGTCGCCCTCAACCATTGCGAGCAGCTAATGCAATGCCTCCAGCCAGTTGAAGAATCGATCTGTGCCTCTTCAATGTCAACTGCTGCCGTTATCTGGCCAATAGATTACTTTAACCTCTTCTACGAACGATAAACGACTTCGAATCACCTCTGCCGGTATTATATTTCCACGCTCTTCCGTTGTGCTATGGGTTGACGGCAGATGCGTACTATTCTTCTGGCGGCAACTCGCCGGGGTCAAGGGTATTCGCTGTGCCGTTGCTTATCCAATGACTACCCTGCTTACAGTGCATTAGGGGTTGCACCTGCACTGTGTGCATGTGCTGATGACCTACCAATTGCCAGACCGGACAGTTTGCATGACTCATTCAAACGTGATGGATACTGTATAGTTGGTTCTTCGGTGGCACCTTGCATATAGTTTCTCCTTGTCTTTTCCGAGCTGAAAGCCCCTCATGAATGTGTATTTCGTACATTGAGGGGCTCTGCTTGGCGACATTGTTTGATAATCTGACTCAGCCTCGTGCTTCTGTCTAGTTACACGTTGGTGAATTCATGCCATCAGGAATGATACGAGGTCTGGAAAGCCATTAGAGTACTTGTTGCAAAGTCGTATGGCTTGGACGTGCTAACTCGAAAAATCAACCATATTATCGTCTATTTTGCCCCAATAATGAACTCGACTTTTTAAGTAACTTAGCTTGGGTTTGGAATGCACGCTGTACTTGGTTTAGATGCTGAGTCCTGGAGTCCCCCAACAGACATTTGGGCTTTCACGAAGGGACCCTATCTGTAAGAAACTGAGCAGAATATTGGGTCGTTTAAAGAAAAGGTCCATGTGTATTTTTCTATCTGAATATCAAGGATGTATTGATGCTTGAGAAATCTATGGCTGATAATCCGGATGTACGAAGCGAAGATCCGCGGATCCATCGCCCTCCCCGTCCAATGACAATTTCCGGAAGCTCTGACCTTGTCACCCTTCTTCGCCCTCTGGATCAACCTAGAAGTGTTGCTACTCTCAATCCAGTCTAACGAGCATCAATTCAATTTTATACTACATAAAAGTAATTGACGTGAGCCTTGTCACAAAATGGTTGCTATTTGCGGATGTCGGCCAAGTGCCAAAATGATCATTGCAGCACCAAAGGCGTGGATGTCATTGCCAAAAGCCATGGCAACTCGGTCATCGAGCAGGAATATTAACACAAGACAATATCAGACTACTTGCCGACAGACTGGATGCGATCGCATGAGCATTCGATCGCTACCCCCCACAACCCGATCTTATCATTCTCGTTTTCATGCGCCTCTCCCTACTCACGAATACACCAATTCTCAGTCCACAATTCTTGCAGCAGCCCTCGAGCACATCCCCGAGCATGGATTCACAAAAGATGCCCTGATTATGGGCGCTCGGGATATGGGATTCCTCGACGTATCAATACAGCTATTCACGAGACAAGAGATGGATCTCGTCCTCTACTGGCTGGCAAGCAGACGTGGACTCCTACGCGCAAAGGTGCAGAACGGCTTGATTGAGGGGAAGCAAATGAGCGTCGACGAGAAGATTAAGACCCTTGTTATTGAAAGATTGAGAATGAACGGTCCGATTATCCATCGCTGGCAGGCCGTAAGTCTAACTTTGGGAGTGTTCCGTAGCTCATGGAAGATGCTAATAACTTGTCATCTATTTTTAGGCACTTGCACGCATGTCATTATTAGGAAACATTCCCCTTTCTCTATCCGAACTACACTCGCTTTCGTCCGATATACTATACCTCGCCGATGACACCTCGCTAGACAGCTCGTGGTACACCAAACGTCTCTCATTATCTGCAGTCTATGCGAGCGCAGAAGTCATCATGACACAAGATACTAGTCCAGGATTCGCATCTACCGAGAAATTTGTCGAGCGACGATTCGAGGATAGCCAATATCTTGGTCAGAAAGTCAGTGATGTGCAATCGTACATGGGATTCATGGCTGGAACAGCTGTCGGTCTAGGACGAAGTTGGGGCTTGAAGATTTAGATTGTCCTTCTGGGCAGAAAGCAGATTATATTGATACGATGTATAATTGACTCCTGTACTATACGATAAACTCAAACCAAACTCTTCATAGGTCGTTGCGTCTGACATCCATTGACTGCAACCTTGTGTCGCTATAAACCCTTCCGATGGCTTCTTGGGCTGTAAGAACAGGGCCCAATGCAAGATTGATAACTGTTGGTCCTCAAATAAACAAGATCAAGGAGGCTAATCTGGAAACGTAATGTCACGATGCCAAAAGCACTTTAAATGGTCACGTGCAAGCGCGACTCTCCCGTTCTTCTTTACGCGTCGATCTTTGGTCTTATCCGAGCTCACATTGCGAACCAGATGACATAAGGATACTTTTCTCGCGAAGGATATCGCACACTCCCTCATCCGTACTGATTTAGGTACGACGTCCATTATGCCACGCTCACAGATAGAAGAGATCTCCGAGTTCGAGAAACAGCGTCTCGCCAACATCGCCGAACGCGATGCGCTTCTCAAAAAGCTCACCCTCGAAGCGCAATCATCCGGTCTCTTCGCAAAAGCATCACCCAAACCCAGCAGCAAGGATACTACATCGCGACCGAAAAAGAAACCCGCTCCTCGCGTGAAAAAGGAAGATGAAGCCCCAATCGTGCGGCGCATGTCGTCCCGCTTACGAGGCATTCAGGCAGATAGCGAAGTCGCAAAGCGGAAAGCAGATGAAGCATTCGAGCAAGCACAGAAAGTCGAGCGTGAGAAGAGATTGCGGAAATCTGATTTCTTTACTCTTGATAACATGTTGGTGTCGGGACAGAAATTAACTGGTGATGCTCTTATTGGAATTGATGTGGTTACAAAGGGTGTTGCGAAGCCTTATGAACGGACGTTCGGAGATGAGGATGTTAAAAACACGAAAGATAAAGATCTCAAAGCTTTGAGAGAGGAAATGAATTCATTGGAGCTGTGGGATCAGTGGACGCCGGGTCGTACGTACATCGTTTTACTGAAGCAAGTTGAACGATACTAATACGAGATTTGCACAGGTATCAAAATCACACCAGAACGCATATATACAATGACTTTCCATCCATCCGAAGCCAAACCCCTGATATTTGCTGGTGACAAAATGGGCCACTTAGGCGTCCTTGACGCATCGCAGAAAAGGCCAAAGTTTGATGAAGATGACGACGACTACGATGACCCTGACCCGGCAATCACAACTCTCAAACCGCATACTCGCACTATCAGTTCTATGGTAATACCACCACAAAAGATGACACGGCTCTATACCGCCAGCTACGATAGCTCAATCCGAGAATTAGATCTAGAGAAAATGACATCCGAAGAGAAATGGGCACCAGCAACAACAGCGGCCGATGAACCCGTGTCGAGCATTGACATGGCATTTGACGACCCCAATGTTCTCTACTGGACAACACTCAGCGGTCTTTTCAATCGCTACGACCTACGCGCCTCTCATAAGCCCTCGTCGGTTCAGGAATGGCAGCTCTCTGAGAAGAAAATAGGAGGCTTCTCATTGCTCCCCTCGCATCCGCATTTCTTTGCCACTGCAAGCTTGGACCGCACAATGAGGGTATGGGATATAAGGAAACTGTCTCATTCCGATCCACAGCCTGTAGGCGAACATGAGAGTCGATTATCCGTATCGCATGCGGCGTTCAATAGTGTCGGTCAAGTAGCCACCTCGTCGTACGATGACTCTATCAAGTTATACAATTTTGGAAGTAAGGGCATTGCATCTTGGAGACCGGGACATAGACTCAACGACAAGGAAATGAAGCCTGATACAGTGGTGCGACACAATTGTCAGACAGGCCGTTGGGTTACAATGTACGTTGGTATTCTCCCAGTTCCTTTTATACTGCAAAGCTAATATGTACCGTAGCCTCCGACCACACTGGCAGCAAACCCCGCAATCAGCCATACAGCGCTTCTGCATTGCCAATATGAACCGCTTCGTTGACATCTATACTTCTAATGGCGACCAGTTAGCTCAACTAGGCGGTGACGACATCACGGCCGTGCCTGCAGTGGCAGTTTTCCACAGGAGTAAGAATTGGGTAGCCGGTGGAACCGCGAGTGGAAAGATATGTTTATGGATGTAGATTGATTTATATGGCTGGTTGTAGAATATGTATTGTACGTACTATAAGAAATGGGAAGTCTGTCTGCGTGAGCAAATATTGTATGATTGTAAGACTACCCTATGTATTTAGTCCACAGAGAAAGAGAAAAAGACAACACCATTCTGATTCCGTCTTTTGGATGTAAGTGCAATGAACCATTCTTAATGTTAGTAGTCAAATATCCAAGAGCCAAGCCCTAAAACAGAATCAAAAGATCTCTAGATATAGTGCGTCGGTCAAAGAAAGGAGAAATGAAAAGAAAGGGTAAAGGCAAAATGGGGAAAGGAAAGGGTATCCAACACCGAAATGAACAGATGCTTGTAGGAAATAAAATTTTTCGTATCATGGTGGAGAAATGCATTAGTATCGTGCAGGTAGCGTAATGACGATGCTTTGAAGATAAGACAAATAGGATGCGAAAGCTATTAAATCAATGACGATGTTGGTATATAGTCGTACCTAGGAGAAAGATATTAGAAAACGGTATTGAAGGAAGGTAGCAAAGCACACTTACATGTTGAGCATTAGCGAAAAGTCTGATCTTGCAATTATAACTTTCATATGCGTGTTCGACTTATCGATGTTTTCGTCGATTCGACTTATGGTGTATTATTACTATTATTGTTGAAAGAATCTTTGTTCTTGCGTCGTGACGGCCCTGGGACAAAGTCGAGAAGTCGGAGCTTGCTGGATGCTTCCTTTCCTATCGTTGACTGTCGGCTTTTAGAGCTGTCCGGATTCTCTAAAGAATATTGCGAAGAATTTCTCGAACTGGTGCCGCTTTCACGATGATCCGACGATCGACCTACCGCGAACGGAAGACGGTAATGCTCCCAAGTCGCGGAAGAAGAGCTGGGTGGTGTTTCGTCATCACCATCCGCAGTTGTGTCAGTTGATCGGCGCGGCAGTGAAGGTTTCGGCGCAAAGTAACCGATAGAGTTACGATGGCTAGAAACAACCGCTGGAGCTGTGAGTGGCGTCTCAGCAGCGGGGGTGGCTGGTTTGGAGGCTTCATCGTAGAAAGTAACAGAGCGATCCATCGATTCCACCAATTCCTCCCATTTCATCTCGAGATTTCCGCTTGGACGCTCGGCAGATTCGGCTTTGCTGAAACATTCCTTGGTTCGTCGCTGAAGCTCGAGAGCTAGAGAATGAAATTTCGCTACACTTGGTTCAACATCTTCCATTTCGTTCAAATTTTCCGGTGCTTTTAGCAGCCATATCTTGGTCAGTGCTGCAAAGCTTCTGGCATGATCGATGAGGAAAGGAAGACTTGGGAAGCCTTCGCGAGATGTCGGCGGTAACCGCCCTAGGATCTGAATAGGCGTGGCATATTGTGGCGTAACAATAGCTGCTGGTCGCTCTGCTGGGATTGCGCAGATAGAATCAACAAATTCTTTAAAAGCAGTGCGATTTGACAGCAAGAACTTATTCATAGGCTCCATCCAAGGTTCCTTGCTACCAAAGGTTGTCATGTTTGCTAAGCCTTGAAGTGCTTTGGCAATGAGAGTTAAGGTCCGTTGAGCACGAGGTCGCGGGTGCTCCTTCATCAAACCAAACAACTTCGGATTCAGTATGGCAGGGCAGAAAAATCGAAGAAAGAGGAATCCCGAAACACTGCTGTAAGTGACTGATCGCAAGAAATCACCATAACGATCCTCCGCGCAAGCCCTTACATGCCGGAAAATACGACGAAGTTCTGGCGGACATCGTGATGCAGAGCCTGCAATAGATTTCCAAAAGAGGGTGGTGAGACTGATGAGATTTCTCCAGTTGCGTTCCAAGTCTTCTGGTCGATTGTATCGAAGCTTGAGAGGATCTACCTCGCATTCGGGATCACTTTCGTCTAGGTCACGAATACGGTCTCCAATCGTTTCTTCCAAGTAGTCCTTCCCCAGGCGTCTCATGTGCATATCAAGCGCTTTCGTCAGCAATGAATTGCCCCGGAAAAGCAAGTTAGCTTCGATTGTCGCAGAGCGCCCGAGGTCTCGCACAATAACCTCACGGTCTTGTCCTGATTCTTTCGAGTCATTAGAGTGTATTCTTGTCCCGTATCGGAATCGATGATGGGCAGTTGAGGTGGTGTCTCTATCAAACCCATCGATCTCATCTTCAACAAGTGCCGAAATCCAGTCTGCGGCTTGCCCTGATACCTGAAAGATGTTGAGGAGAATTTCAGATATGCGGGTGAGCTCCGTAGGCACGAGCTGAATCATGTTGATAGTGAGGTTGTTGGTAAACATATGCAGGATCTCTGACATGGGCTCGTATTCATGGGACATCAGAACGATCATTTCGTCCAAGCGAACCTTCATGTACATCTCACCCATAACCTGATCCCTATCATCAATAATTGGCCACCATTTCTCATGGTCAACTCCTGTTTCGAGCTCGTCCAAGCGCAAGTCGACCCGTCCTGAAGTTGCATCATGCGACGATAATTCAAGATCGTCAAGAACGCTCAAGGGATTGGATTGAGCATCAAGACTATAAGGACCATGCGCGATAAGGGTCCAGTCCTTTTGAGCAGGATTCAATGTCTTCAGAAGTATAGATGCATTGGAGAGAATCGGAGGTAGGTCGTGAAAAGCAAATTCCTCCCTCCAGAATGGGTTGGATGTTCTCTGTTTGACTGCCGTTTTGGCCCTTATCTCACCATCCAAAAGGACTTCGGTATAGTAATCACTAACAAAAGTCTTCTCATTTGGATCGAACGGCTTCTTGCTTTTGGGTGATTCTTCGGTCTTGTTCTTATTGCCTGTGAGCTTTGCTTCCGTGATACGGAGAGAGAGCACCCTCTCTATTCGGAACATATCGGTCGTTGATCCGGCTGAAGGATTGATCAGGGTCTGTGACCGACTGGGGTCTTCACTAGCAGCAGTCTCGGGTCCGTACAGTTCAGGTATCGTAAAGGCGCGTAGTAGTACAAACCAAACCTCGAAAAGAACTCTGCTCTCTAATGACAGAAAAACAGGCCGAGACGCAGTTTCCGAGACCGACAGCGCAGCATATTGCGGGTAGATTGCAATACAATATTCGTCACCTAAAACAGACGGTTCTAGCTGTTGAATGGCACATCGAGATAATTGCGAGAGATGAATAATTGCCAGTAGAGATACGTCTGCCTCTGTGAAGAGCTTGAAGTAGCCGTTTTCCTGCAAGGTACAGCTCACCCTCTGCCATGCTGTTGAATGCGTTCTATGATTTCTATGTTGCGTGGATGCTTGCCAGCCAGATTCTGGACGTGCACCAGAAGGGCTAGGCTTCTCCCACAGAAGCATCTTGCCGACCTTGATTATAGCGGCTTCCTTCTGCACCGTACTTTCGGAATTCCGTCGCCGGTCTGCGATTCGACGGTCGCCAATTGCTACTGATTGAGGTTTCGTTCTCTTGTTCTGCACACCTTTGGGACGTATGGGCTGCCAACATAATAATGCGGCAAGCCATGAGTCGAACGTCTCATTGACATGAGGTTTAAGTTGAATGCCCAGACCGGACGAGAAGGTCGAAACGCTTAGATATGTCGACTGAAGCTCAGTGTCAAACATCGTTCGAACGTGGCAGCCACGAAGGTCCGGAATCAATGTTTTCGCCATGGCCACTTCACCTTTAGCTTGGTATATCAAGCTACCAGTGGCCACATTGATCGCACAATAACCGGAGGTCCATTGCGCATTCGTAGCCGTTCGGAAAGAGAGTATGCCATGCATTCGGCCGCAGGTTGTTTTCATTAGTTGAAGGATTTTAGCAGAGTCGGCATTGGATAGTGGAGACACAAACGCAGCAGGATTCCTGGAAACTCCTGTAATTAATGCAGGACCTCCGGAGGGTGCTTTGGGGAGACGTTGCCGACTGCCAGACTGGCCCGCATGGGTTGGTGATTGAACAACCGAGGGGTAACCTATGGAACTCACGGAATCCTCGGAATCTTTTGAATCGGTCGACGGCACTGAGGTGTTTATTGAACCGATCCTATTTCTCGCCCTAGATAGGAAATGGGGTGATATTTCACTCCGTTGATCTTCTAAAGTCGTTGTCCGTGACCGAGCACGCTGGCTTTTGCTTTCACTTGATAGGTCGTCATCATCAGCAGCAGACTGATAGGGACTAAATTCTCGACGTCGTTCCCAGTCTGTATTTCTGGATCTGGCAGTTGAGCGAGGGGAGACGGTAGGGTTGGTGGAAAGGTGGTCCGATTCGGAGACGAAAGACTGATTACCAACCTCGGACGCAGAATCCGGTGTGACCGTTCTTATCGAGCCTTGTTGAAAGCTTTCCGGATATACTATGCCATGGCGATCTTTTGAGGAGGATTTCTTACTTGGTCGTCGCTCAACAGGGCGGCTATGAATACCGCCATGTTGCAGCGAGTTCCGCCGAAACCCATTGGAGCGCTCTTGCTCCATCCTCCCAGCTCTTGTTGCTAAGATTGTGCCCTATAGAATCGATGGCAGTACTGGTTCTCTAGCAGGTAGCAAACCTATGCCGCTCGCCGTTCCCCGTATATGACAGGATGTTGATCAACGACGGCTGGTTACCGGGACGCATGGAGTGAAATGCGACACATTGGTCGAAACTAGCTTGGTATGCGCGCAGTCGCAATGGAAGCGAAAAGGGTTTCCAAACCGTCGAGAGGATCGAAGCGAGGTCGCGATTGGATGTCCGTTGAATTCTTTCAGTTCGCGCTTATGGTACGACTCGATCACTGCCTGTCTTTCATACTGGTCAGACTAAGATTGCGACTATTAGTGCCGAGTGGCGTATTCAATCCATGGCCATGCCAAAATGGACTGTCAATAACGCACCCAAAGCAGATGACATGATAGAAGGGGTATGGGACGGCGATGGGAAGATACTCGTTTGCGCGGGGGGAGGGGGTACTCAGCACAGCGCAATTCCGTGGGTCACGATGGGAGCAGGTTGTCTGCACGTTCTTTGCAGGATGGGAATGATAGAGAGAAGCAGATTAATATAGATGGAGAAAAAGCACTTACTTGTTGAAGTGAGGATGTAGCGGGAGGTCAATTGGGCGTTTGGTGGAAGGGCTATCAATTAAGAAGGAGGTTTCGGTGCGGATGTTAGCAATTACTATAGTCGTTGAGTGGTTAGTTAGTGGCCGCCGTTTTTGATTAGTAGGGGGAGGAGCCTGTGGAGTCCCCTGCTTAACATTAACAATTTACAGTTTGACATTCTTCTTGTTTGCCCCATTACAATTGCTATCAACAATAATATTCAGGTGCTATTGCAGTAATTTCGCCAGTTAAGCAACTACGTAGTATGAAACTTTGCCCATGCATCAGGCAAATATTGTGATTGCTTTTTTGAGGATGGCAAACATATCAATCGCAGTGATTACTAACCCTCCTGCACGCAGTACCCCCAAAGAGCCAGACACTATCGCCACAATACTACGATGAAACAGATCAAGGCATAAGCTCATTCCATGCTAAGATCAAATTGACCTTGAATCATTTCGCTACCAGACTACGTGCTCTTTGCCGATAGCTAAAAAGTCATGGTCAACTTAATGCTCGGCCAATATAACCTGCCAAGTGGCCTGGTTGGTCTCTCATGGGGGGCGATATCATATCCACAATCTCCAATAGTCCGGCGAACGGCTGTCCGACATTTGCCTGGCCAATGGGACTAGCAGACTCGGTCAGGAAGCTGCTCAAGGAAGGACCTGATTAGGAAGGGATGATGAAGCTTAAAGAATGAATCGTGCGAATGAGAATAAGGGTATGCGAGCTTGTCGTAGCGGTCTGATTCAGTCCAGGATTGAATGCCATTGAAGAACTCGATGTTGCTATGGTGCCTGCATCGTAGATCCATGTACTCCGTAGCAACAATGGCATTGATGAAATGATGCTAGCCATCGCACAATATGTCTTGCCGCTAGATAATAAATCTGTCTTTATCTCCGTCGAAGCTTTTTGGAAGGATGATAAATCACGTGCGGTGTTACGTGCCAAGCACCGCCTGCGTCATGCGCTCTTTCCCTTTTCCGCATCGGAGCTTTCTGCCTGGACTGGAGATCTCATATCCATCGGACAAACATATGTGGATGTATCACAAGGACACTGACAGTCTAGGTCACATATACACGCGAAGTAAACAAATAAAGTCATCCTCCCATCCAATTTCATGATCTATGCTGTCACCTGTCCTTCGCTTCGGTTTTTGTTTGCGACTTGCCTAGATTCCCTGGGTACAGCTCCCCGGCGGCACCACGCTGAGCAAGCAGTCATGAAGTGAAAGAACTCCCGCCACAACAATCATGATGAACTCTAATTTATTATCGCGGATGCTCCCTCCTGCCGGCTCGCCCTCCATCTATGAAGCTATGAGGAACGACGACGAAGCCTCTGGAAGCTCCGATATCGAAGAGCGTGCCGCCATGGCTTTGGATGAGGAGAATCTTCAAGGATCTCTACACAAATATGACCCAGATGACGCGGGGAACAGCCAGATAACCACACAGAGCACAGCATTTTTGGGACAAGGACGACCTCGAAAGCTATCGGATACCTACTCTACAAAGGCGGGTGGAAATGGAGTTAGAACTGGACGACCTCGGTGGCTACAACATTTATCACCCCGCGTGGCCGAAGCTGACGAGGGCGACGATGACGACGTCCCTGCATCTTTGTTGATAGAAGGACACGATGTCGAAGATATGCCGAAGCCGCCTGCTCCCCCTTCTCATGGAATGCATTACCACGACGATGCATCACCGGGCGCCGGCCCGTCGTCGACCAGATCTAGAAAGCGCTGGGAATCGCCACGGAATCGAAGGAGACTCGATCAATTTCTTCCTACTCCGATCGTTCAACAAACACAAAAACCAGGAGGCTTGTCTGGATTAGCATCGGCAGGTCCCAAGGACAAGGCAATGTGGAGGTGGGCGAACGTCGAGAATCTCGATAACTTCTTGAAGGATGTATATGTCTACTACCTGGGGAACGGTATCTGGAGTATAATGATGAGCCGAGCTCTCAATTTATTGTAAGAAAACAGGACCTGTCATATTCATGATTTCGGAAAAGATTGTCTAACTTCTTTAGGACGCTGGGCTTCGTGGTAGGCTTTACGACTTTTTTATCGAGCTGTGTGAACTACAGCTTGATCCGCGGTAGCAACTCGCTGCAGAACGTTCTTGTGCCGAAATGTATGACCAAGATTTCAACGTCAACCACTCTTCTCTTGTGGCTCTTTACCTTCTTTTGGATCGGCAAACTTGCCCAATATATACTTGATATCCGAAGACTACGGCAAATGCATGACTTCTACCACTATTTATTAGATATTTCCGATCCAGAGATACAGACAATATCGTGGCAGCAAGTTGTGAGTCGATTGATGAACCTGCGGGACTCCAATCCATCCACAGCTGCCGCCATCTCTGCGAGACATCGCAGGTTCATGGGCAGCCAGTCTAAGCAGCGAATGGACGCCCACGATATCGCCAACAGACTGATGCGTAAGGAGAACTATCTTATCGCTCTATTCAACAAAGATATACTCGACCTCACATTGCCCATCCCTTTTCTCCGAAACCGACAGTTGTTTTCACGCACACTAGAATGGAATTTGAATTTGTGCATCCTAGATTATGTGTTTAATGAACAGGGTCAGGTCAGACCTCTCTTTTTGAGGGATACTCATCGACGAGCTTTGAGCGAAGGGCTCCGAAGGCGTTTCATTTTTGCCGGGGTCATGAACATTTTCGTCGCCCCTTTTATTGTTGTTTACTTTATGATGCATTACTTTTTTCGGTATTTCAACGAATACCAAAAGAACCCATCACAAATTGGTTCTCGCCAATATACGCCCCTGGCGGAATGGAAATTTCGCGAGTTTAACGAACTTTGGCACCTTTTTCAGCGTCGCATAAACATGTCCTMCCCTTTCGCCAGCCGCTATGTCGATCAGTTCCCGAAAGACAAGACAGTGCAGATTTCAAGTTTCGTGGCGTTCGTCGCAGGAGCTCTTGCTTCAGTCCTAGCATTGGCGTCACTTCTGGATCCAGAGCTATTCCTAGGATTTGAGATCACTCAAGATCGTACTGTGCTTTTTTACCTAGGTCTCTTTGGCAGTGTGTGGGCTATCGCTCGGGGGTTGGTTCCAGAGGAAACCGATGTCTTCGACCCTGAGTTCGCACTTCTTGAGGTGACTAATTTCACTCACTATCGTCCAAACCATTGGGCGGGACGTCTGCACAGCGACGAGGTTAGACAAGAGTTCGCTATGCTTTACCAGATGAAGATCGTTATCTTCTTGGAGGAGATTCTTAGCATGATCTTTACTCCCTTTGTGCTGTGGTTCAGTCTTCCAAAGTGCAGCGATCGCTTAATTGACTTCTTCCGCGAGTTCACTGTTCATGTAGATGGGTTGGGTTATGTATGTTCCTTTGCCGTCTTTGATTTCAAGAAGGATGCCCAGACCAATCCGCAAGGTCGCGTACAAACTGGGCCTGCAGGAGACTTGCGAGATGATTACTTCTCCACCAAGGATGGGAAAATGCTTGCTTCGTACTATGGCTTTTTAGACAGTTACGGAGCGAACCCCAAAGCTGCTGCTGCCCCCGGCACTCGGCGAAGATTCCACCCACCCCCACCGTTTCCTGGTCTTGGATCTACACACCCGACCGATGCGACTCCGCGGGCGGAGCGTTGGGACCAGATGGCCCCCCGTCAGTCACCTATGGTAGGACCACAAATACATCACTCTACATTGCGTGGATCTCGCATGGGTGGTGTGCCCGGGTATAATTCGCCATTCCATTCAATGCTCCTCGATCCGCATCACCAGCCCTCTGCGTCAGCGTTGCGCTCAGCACCTCGGGCGGGTGCTCAATCTCGATTCCGGCCATCTCGCGCCGGTATCAACGATGGTATGGATGATGTGAAAGAACTATCCGATGTCGAAGCCTCCACCAAGAATGCTGCAGGTCAACAGTTTGGTCAGATCGGAGACGATTCGACGGGAGCTGTTGCCACTAGCGACAACAATCTAGAAGGATCGTGGCGCATCAATCTAGCAGGAGAGGCAGATGATAGTGATAGTGTAGAAGAAGGCGACGAGGTGGAAGCGATTGTCAACGGCCCTGGCGGCGTGCTTGGCTTGATTCAGCAATTCCAGAAGGCCAACAATGAAGGCCGAGCGGGTGGAGCTACCGTGAACATTTAGAGCACTGCAACAAATAACGAAATCGATTATGATAGAGGATATACATACCCGCGGAGTTAAGGCGGGCAAGGAAAGACGGCACGTGCCGAGGGGTGGCAAACGCTGCGATTGGCTGGCTCAGAAAATGCGGGGAGAATCTAGATCTCCGACTGACTGTTAGGCTTACCAGGCGGTACGCAGTAGGAGTAGTAGGAATAGTAGGAGTAGGAGTACGTGTTGCGATCTACAGTACGTGCAACTTTGTTCAGCCAGAATCAATATAATTGTGTACACTGTACAGCTGTGCCATTTGCACTTTGGTCACGTTTTGGTGCCATTGGCTGGCTAGAGTTGCCTTAGCCCAGGCATGGAGCCGCAAAGCAAATCAGCGGCTTTAAACTCGAACAGCCCGAGAATCCGCTTTGACTTGACCCGATCGAGGGGGCTAGCACACTAGGTACTATGGACTTCTTGAATCATGCACTCATTCAGTAGCGAAAGTATACGAGATTCTACCACAACCTCCAGAATGAGCACTCGACTGCAACTCCCCCGTCACTAGACTCAATACTCGTACGTGGTAAATCACTGTCACAGCCAAGGATGCGATGTGGCGCTGGCCGAGGAAGGGGCGTCGGCTCACAGGTCGTTTAGGACGTTAGAGCAGCTGCTTCGGCGGTGTCTGGGAGCCATTGGGTGGACCAAGCCCGCTAGAGTCATCGAGCCTCTGGGCGGTCTCCMCCTGCCGTACCCGATGGCTACTACATAGTAACCAGCGCTGCTCCAGACTCTCCAAACTCTCTCATCCTTCCTTTTATCCATTCCCTGCCATTACACTCATCCCCGTCGCCGCGTCAAGTTTGTCACGGACTTGATGTACTGTACGCATACCAAGGAAGAACATCACGGCCCATGAGTGCCAGTCTTCTCAACCGCTCATTCAGTCATTCCTTCATACCTTCCTCCCTCCGTTGTCAAGGGCCGCGGTAACCCCGAGCACCCTGCTCCCCTTTCGACTCCCTACCACGGATGACTGGCGCGTCACATTGATCGCAACTGAAGATTTGATCTTCTTCCTCTCCTTTTTATATAATCTTCTAGCATAAAGCCCCGGTGAAGACACCGGGTAGCTCCTCACCATGCCTCGAAGTCGCAGATACCGTTCCTTTGTCATTTTCAGCGTCATTTTTGGTCTCGCTCTCCTACATTTTGTACGATCGCGAGAATGGTCGAGTGAATGGGCGCAGCCAGCCGCCAATCCAAAAGTGGCTCCTGCGACTATCCCTCACGATTCTTCTCCTCACGAGCCTATTCTTCCCCATGACCATGATGCCGCAGCCGAGATTAAGTTTGATTCGACACCTCGCATTGAAGTCCCTCCAGCCCCGAAAGAGCAGCCTTTGGATACTAAAAAGCCATCGACACAGGAGACTGCAAAACAATCACCCAACAGCGAGAAATCAAAACCAAACACAATCAAACCTCCAACTCGTCCCGCCTCTGATGATACCAATTCAATTGATACGCCGTCTGTAGCGGACTCCAGTCGCCAATCCTCTGGCGACAAGTCTTATGACGAGACTACAAGGAAACCGGATTCTCCTGCCAAGGTTCAACCAGATGTATTCGCCCAAACAAAACCCACTAAACACTGGGAGAAGCTACCCGAGCACTTCCCCATCCTTGAATCCGATCTCATTCCACTGCCCACTGGCGAGCCTAAAAAATTACCCAAGCTTCAGTCCGTGACCAAGACCGAGACTACTGCGCAATCGATTCTACGCGAACAGCGACTTGCGGCCATCAAAGAAGAATTCGAGCACGCATGGAGCGGATACACGAAATACGCACTGGGTCATGATGAAGTCCGACCTGTGAGTGGTAGCTTCAGAGACCCATTTGCAGGCTGGGGCGCAACCCTCGTCGACGCGTTAGACACTTTATGGATAATGGGAATGAAGGATGAATTTTCCGATGCAATTGAAGAAGTCAGCAAAATCGATTTCACGACCTCTTTTCGATCTGATATTCCCCTTTTCGAAACCGTGATCCGTTATCTGGGAGGCTTGATTGGCGCATACGACGTATCCGGTCAGAAACATACAGTCTTATTAGACAAGGCAGTAGAACTGGCCGAAATTCTGATGGGTGCCTTTGACACGCCGAACAGAATGCCAGTCACATATTACCAATGGGATCCGTGAGTTGTCCTTTTACATTATAACACATTTGCAATATCTGACAATTTCATAGTGAACATGTAGCTCAGCCTCATCGCGCCAGTACTAGGGTCGTCCTGGCTGAATTAGGTTCTCTATCTGTGGAATTCACGCGCCTGGCTCAGCTGACTCAGGAACATAAATACTATGATGTGATTGCGCGTATCACCGATGAACTCGAGACTATGCAAAATAACACGAGGCTCCCCGGTATGTGGCCGCTACAGGTTGATGCGTCTGGTTGCAAAAAGGCTGCCCCAAGGGTTCCAAGTCTCACGACTCTCGGTCAGAAGTCGGGGGTCAAAGTCAACGAAGATAGAGGCTTAGGAACACCAACACCCTCGCCTACACCAAAGTCAATCCATAAGGATACCGCTATCCCGAAGGATTTGGAGAAACGTGAAGGCGGGCTGGAGCTTGATGCTGAACCTGCAGACTATGAATCAGAGACGAAAACAACAACGACCGCGAACTTAGCCACTTTCCCCAAAGAGGAGTGTGAGAAACAAGGTCTGGCATCGTCTAATGCTAAATTCGACAGATTTGGCTTGGGAGGACAGTCTGATTCGACATATGAATACCTTCCCAAAGAGTATATGCTTCTTGGGGGTCTCAGCGAGCAATATCGCAGCATGTATGAGATCTCGATGGAACCAGTGCGAGAGACACTACTATTTCGGCCTATGCTACCAGAACAGAGAGATATACGCTTCGTGGCCACCGTGCAAGTCAGTGATCCTGGTCCCAAAGATGATGCCGATGGATTCCACATTCAGTATACTTACGAGGGTACACATCTCACGTGCTTCGCGGGAGGTATGTTTGCCGTGGGAGCAAAATTATTTGGAATTGATGAGGACATGGATATTGCAGCAAAATTGACCGATGGGTGTGTATGGGCATACGAATCCACAAACACCGGCATTATGCCGGAAGGCTTTGAACTTCTTGCCTGCGATGACCCTCTTGCATGTCCTTGGAACGAGACGAGGTATCTGGATGTAATGGATCCCAATGAGAAGTCTCGCATTCAACAAGCGGAGGCCTGGTATGAGCGCGAGCTGCTAAACGCAAAGCAAGCTCAAGAAGTATCTCTTGAAAAGAGACCCAAGATCGTTTCCCCAGTGCGTGTTCTTGAGTCTGAAGGGAGCGGAGCCTCTAGCGAGAAAACATATGCTGGTATTGCCAAACGGGAGGCTAGCAACTCTGGCGTTGATGACTACGACGAACATGCACATCTTTCTACCTCTAAACCGAGTGTTGAAAAAACGAGTGTCGGAACCCAAGATACTCCAAAATCGCGCCTCGATTCTAAAGTCAGCCCCGATACTAAATACCAGGCTGATGGACTTCCTATCAAACCTACAGTCCTATCTCACAAGGACTACGTTGCTAACCGCCTTGAACAAGATCATATTCCTCTAGGATATACGAAGATTCAATCCCGGAAATACATTCTTCGACCGGAAGCCATCGAGTCTGTCTTTATCATGTACAGACTTACAGGAGATGATACTTGGAGAGAAAAGGGATGGAAGATGTTCCAGTCCATTGCACGATACTGCAGCACGGAGATTGCAGACTCTGCCATTTCCGACGTCACAAGCACAGCGCCTGAACTCCTTGATGAGATGGAGTCTTTTTGGTTAGCAGAGACACTGAAATACTTCTATCTCTTGTTTAGCGACCCTAGCGTTGTTAGTCTTGATGATTATGTGCTGTAAGTACCTTTGCACCCAACCTTCAGGTATAAACTGGCTAATTTTGAGGTGAACAGGAACACTGAGGCACACCCGTTCAAACGCCCAGTGTCATAATCGACAAATGATTTCCTTGGTGAATTGAATTACACGAATTAGGATTGAGTTTTTATTTGGATTTGTACTTCTGAGATTTGTGTATAGCATACTCAGGTCCCTTGGATAGGCCTGCATATATACCCTGAGAGGCATGGATCGGCTCAGCTGTTAAAGCATATCATTGAATTGAAAAAAAAAGTTCAAAATATATAACATATAAATAAATCATGACTATGTGACTAGTACCTACGTAATGTATACTGCCTTAATCTCACATGACGCATTCCCTGATAAGGGCGGGCGGTGAAAGCCGCATTCCTCGCAGTACTTCCCGGGTGCAAGTCACTCGTCTCCCCCTCACCCTTCTGACCTCAATCGTGTCCTGCTCTTTCCAGATTACTCCCAATCATAGCCCGACAGGCACGCGACGGGATGAGTGTGCAATCAAGTGGGAAGCACTTGTGTTCATGCAGGAAATGGAGCTGGAAGACGTTTCCTACAGCTTGGAGAATGAACAGCAATTCTGGGTTGGTGAGTTACCCCCTCTCTTTAGTTACTTGAGTCTATTCAGGCTGCTAATGTACCGTTTTGGTGTGGTTAGAATTAGAGAAAATATTGTCAGAGCAATGCGATACACATGCTCTTATTGACAATGTCCTTCGTGCCTATCTTGGGTTCACTGCCCAGTTCAAAGGTACATCAAATCGCATGACGTATACAGTCACACTGCTAGCGAGACAACAACAAAGCTTCATTTCCGTACGGGAAAATAGATTGACTAATTCATTTATTCGAATAGGCGAATACCTCGTCAATGAATATGATATTTCTCGTTGCTCGTACAAACTCTTCTCGTCGAATCTCTTTGCGCAGCACGCGGATTACATTCGAAGACAGATAATATACAGTCTACTACAAGTACGTCTCGTCACGTCTCCTTCCGGCCCATACCACGGTACCGAATATCGAAGCTAATAAAAGTTGTTGCGATTGCCGATAGGAGGATGATCCGAATATACTACACTTTATCGTCTCGTTCCTCCTCTTTGACGGGCGAGAGAATGACAGCACCTTTCAGCTCATGAACGAAGAAGGGGCTTTTCCGAGGCTATTGGAACTTGTCCACTTCGTCGGCAATCAAGATAATGATGCCGCTGGTCTTCATCGTCTATTGATGGACCTTCTCTATGAGATGTCTAGGATACAGCGCATTAAGATAGAGGACTTAGGTGGGTTGGCCTAAAACAGTTGAGCTTCGTGTTTGTTGCGGAAAACTTGCTAACTTCATATCTAGTGCTCGTTGAAGATGACTTTGTTAGATATCTTTTCCAGATTATTGAAGGTTTATCTGACGACGCTCATGACCCCTATCACTATCCCGTCATTAGGGTTTTGGTTCGTTTTGTCTGTCTACTACGCGCGGTTATACATCAAAGACTGACTATATCCCAGCTGGTGTTGAACGAACAATTCATGGTGTTGGCGCACGATCCAGCGACGGGGACGCCGTCTAATCCGCTCACGAACAAAGTGATGAAAATACTCTCCGTGCATGGAAATGACTATAAAACCTTTGGCGAAAACATAATCCTACTACTCAATCGAGAAGGTGAGCCGAATCTGCTGAATTATGACAGTAGCATTCTGACCTATCTAGGCGAGACGTCTTTGCAGCTACTTACACTTAAATTACTTTACCTCATTTTCACGACTCCATCTACCTATGAATACTTTTACACAAATGACTTGAGAGTCCTTGTCGACATACTCATTCGAAATCTGTTGGATCTACCGGCAGAAGCTGTCGCTTTGCGACACACATACCTACGAGTTCTATACCCCCTTTTAGCACATACGCAGCTGAAGTATCCTCCTCATTACAAACGCGACGAAATAAGGAGAACTCTCAGCATCTTGGTCCACAGTAGAATTGAAGGCAATGAGGATGATTACGAAAAGATCATGCATTTCGGTGAAGCTGACGAGACAACGAAAAGGCTTGTCTCGCGGTGTAGCCAGGTAGGGTGGTTACTTGACACGGAGCCGGAACTACGCAACACCCCAGACTTACCCGAAGAGGATGGGCCAAGTGATCATACGGGCGTTCCTATACCAGCTGTACTTCACGAGAAAGCTGCAGACTTAGCTGGGTCACCAGTCTCACAAAGCTCAGATGCAACATCGCCAACCAAGCTCGAACCAGCGTCCCCCAATACTTCCTTTTCTATTGACAAAAAGCAAATAGAGAAACTTGGTATGCACCACGAGCCGGCTGCTGCCTCTACTCTCAGCGTGGGAGAAGTGGCGGTCCAGACGGAAAAACCAGGCGTTATAACTCCAAGCATCAAAAATACGAGATCACCTGGATTGACTTCCGAAACAAGTCCAACCGTTAAAGTGAAATTGGTACCCCAGCCTCCTAAAGCGAGACGCTCAAGGGCCCATCGTAATACAGAGGCACACCATGACAGTCGTGGAAGATCTGGCTTGGACATTCATCACGAATCACCACAAGAGGGTCTACCTGTTCCGCATTTATCTTCTACATCAAGATCTACGTCGAGGTCAGCACCGGCGTTGCCTCCACCTCGACGGTCTTTTCACCATACGTCCCCAAACGCAACCATCTCTGATCATCACGCTCACCCTCCCCTGCCTATCAAATCGAACATCAAACCCCAGCCTCCAAAGGCCCGCCGGTCACAAAGACAGCATGTTGCAAGGCTACATAACGAACTGTCTGGGGCTGACGACGAGCGGTCTGCATCTCCTGCCTCTGTCGCGAGCTCTGTGCCTCCGAAGGACTTGGATGAATCCCATCACTCATACGACTCTTCCGCATCTATTGAGCAGGCAATGGACAGAACGAATCTGCAGGTTTAGAGCAAATCTCACCATCGTGGCTAAATGTACCTAGCTAGCCAGCCATAGCGTTAATACTTAACATATTACAACACATCGTCTGTCAAAAATTATAAACTCGTTGTAATAATAACTGGATCAACTATTTACACCTCATCCTCCAACGGCCCAATCAAATCCGGAAACCCACTCGCGGTCTTCGCCAACCCATAAAGACCCCAATGCTTCTCCGTGCCAAACGTCCACGCATTATCCTGCTTCCACTTATCATCAAAGGCACTAAAAAACACAATCCCTCCATCCGGGAAACTTTGCCTTAGACTCTTGAACGCTTTCAACTGATTCTGTCTTGACGGCACGGCATCACCATTTGCTTCTCCTGCTGACGGCCATCCGGTCTCGGTGATTATGACTTGCTTATTACCATACTTCGTAGCCTTGGAGACATGGCGCGCCTGCTCGAGGACATACGGACCGGCGTTCTCAGGTGTCTGGTTCGAGTCGAAGAACGCATGACAATTCGCCGCACAATAATCGGATTCATCACACAGTTCCGGATGGGCAATCATCTGATTGAAAGTATCGACCGTCACAACGGGTCCCTCATAGCCAGCTTGACGAAGTATACTGCGCGCCGAATTGACGGTGCCCACAACCTCCCCGGGTGTCTTGGAGCCTCTATTCACAAGCTCGTTCCCAATCGATACGGTATGGAACGTCGACCAATCCCCATCCGCCGCATCAATAATTTTCTGTAGATCCGTCTCAATATCGTCGATGTCATACAACCCCGCAAAGACCAACATATCATGCTGCCTAGCTGCATGAGTGACGGTCTCGGCTTGATTGCAATCTATCCCGTAGAAGCGCACAAATGAGAATTGACGTAGTTGGCGGATGTCGTTGTTGACTTCCTCTTGGGTCTTGCAGGTACCATCGGCTCTGTAGGGGGAGTAGGAAATGCCGTAGTTGCTTCGTTGGCCGAGGAAGGTGCTTGATGTGTCTGGTAGCAAGTTTGAGGATAGGGGGTCTGGCAGATGGCTCAGTGCTGAGGGTTTGGGGATTACGTGTCTGTCTGACTGAGCTGGCTTGGGGGTCGCTGTTGCTGTTGCGGGCGATGTTGACGATGTTGACGCTACACGCTGACCTGAGGCAGCATCCTATGATTTGATCTCAGCCTCAACGCAAACACACCGGACGAAAAGGTCAAATACTGACCGAAAACCTGGCTGTCGTCGATGGTCGTGCGGATTGGACCTGCACATCTACCGTGTGTCCTGCCTGATCGAGCTGGACAACAACCGTATTCGTGAGTGTTACTTTCGGGCAGGGCTGGTTGGCCGCTTGTTGGCGTAGAGCACGTTTGGAGAGTTGCTGATGGTCTGTGAATTCTGTTAGTACTTGTAGTGATATAGTGATGAGGGTTGCTTACGATGGACGTGGCCATCTGTAAAATGAAGCAAGGCCAAGGCAGCGATGCCCAGCACACCGTACTTCATATCTCACTAGGGCTCGTCAATCGTTTGTTCAGTTTCATATAAACTGGAAAACAGTGGAATAACGGAGTGATATGATCGAAGAATTATCTTATCACCGCATGTAGGGCTGTGGTGTATATACGACGATACACACATATAAGACTAAAGAATGAATTCTAAAATTTACATGAAACCATCTTCAAGAAGGTGGCATTGATTTGTTTTCAAAGTCTTCCTGGATTCTGCCCAAAGAGGAAACAAGTAAACATCGTACGGAATTCCTCCAGAAAAGAGAGTTAGGGCTAGCCTTCGCCTAAAATTCGTACGAGGATGGCCTTCCCAAAAATGCTTGTGTATCAATCTCAGATCCAATAAACCAACTTCAAGAATGTGACTAGGGATTATCTACCAATCCAAGCCATCCTGGCATGTATGCATCTGCGATTAGGGCACTCCCTTGGAGAATTCTTCTCTGGAATGCTGCTCACACTCACTCCGGTCTTATTTGGTGAAGAGCCGGCCCTAGATATGTACATACTGGCCGAGGTCTAAATCTAAGATTGGGAGACGCTGAGACAAATTACATAGGAGACTCGAATTTGTAGTTAGAATACATTACTCCAATCCGTTCGTTCCCTCGTTTTCCCATTCACCACCAAGATTAAAAATATATGTATGTACTCTATTATGAATAACATGATTCGTCCAAAAAGAAAGAAGAAAACGGCAATTCAGGCGTTTGAGAGCTCTGACCTTTGAACTCAATAGTGAGACTGACATCAGAGTACCGCCACAGAAGTACTATCGACGTCGGTTAGGAGCAACAAAACTGTCCAGTTGCCAGGGATAAAAATTATAATATAGGAATACAATCCGGGGAAGTCGTAATTTCAGCAAAGCGCAAGATATAACTGCCACAGCATAAGTCTTATCGTTTTTTGCCTAGTACTTTTGTAATCGCGTGACGGATGATCGTTCCGGCCTTTTCGACTTCGCGCTTCGTCAAGCCGGTTGTCAGGCAGATCTTAAGAGATGGTAGGACCTGTTGGCTTGGTGTCACGCTGTCGGGCAACGACTTGAGTCGGGTAATAAGTACACCATTTGCCAGGGTCTGTAAATGCAGTTAGTACTAAATGACCATGGACAAAAGCTAATGGACATACCTCATCTACTATATCTTGCAGCAAAAACTGCTGATCCTCATAAGACAGCCTCCTCGAAGACACAATCTCCGGCTTGATAGCCAATATCATGACTGGGTTCTCTGGCGCACTTGTGCAATACATCCAGTCGCTACGTGGGTCAAGCTGTGACCACATAGTCTTGATATTGGATCGAAGCTGAACGAACAGATCTGGGTTGGTCTGCATCATATTAATAGTCTCACTAGCAGTAGTCGACAACAGAGCAGGTAAAGCGGCAGAGAATGTATATGCGGATGCCGAAATACGCTGATGATGAACGATCTCTTCGGACCCAGCGCAGAAACCACCTCCAGCAATGATGGGGCCAGCAAGAGAACCGACAATCATATCAATCTCCGTTGCATCGACATTTTGGTGCTCCGTAATGCCACGACCGTTGCGTCCAAGAACACCAAAAGACCAAGTCTCATCCAAAATGAGGCGAAATTTGTACTTGAATTTGAGTTCGACCTTTGAAAGAAGACCATTAGCATTATTCAATTAGAAACAAAAACGAAACTCCAAACTTACAATTCTGGGCAGGTCCACCATATCACCGATAGATTCAAACAAGCCTTCAGTGATGATAAAGCGACGAGTCAATGGCTTGCGAGCTTGTTCTCGAGTAACCTTTTCAAGCACACGCTCAAGATCTTCCATATCATTATGTTCATACCATCGCACTGTGCTTCGCGAAATCTGGATTCCTTTGCGAATAGCGTAGCTCACGCCCTTATCGGCAACTATGATATCTCCTCGCTTGGAAAAAGCGGGGATGACACTAGAAATGGTCGAAAAGGCTTGGGCGTAAATTATACACGCCGCTGTGCCGAGGAACGCAGCGACATCTGCTTCCGTTTTGATGTGCACGTCTTGAGTACCGTAGAATCCGGGAGGACCGCAGGGTCCAACGCCGTAAGTCCGCAGTGTTTGGATGGCTTTTTCCTTGAGCGATTCGTTCGACGTGAAGTTATAGAAATTATAAGAGGCCATGTTCATAACACTTCGTCCATTGGACAATTTGACTTTGGGACCGGTCGGTCTAATCAAATAGAGTATCAGTAGATGTTTGGGACGCGATTTGGCAAACGTAACATACCCGACAATAACTGTTCTTTTCTCGACCTCAGCCTCTTCCAAGGCTGTCGGAGTGCCGACAAGAGGCTCCGGGGTCCATTCATCAACCAAATCATCAATCTCCTCCTCCGAGAGCTTCACGATGCCAGGCTTTGTTGAATATTTCGGCGCAAGAAGATATCGCACAGCAAAAAGGAACAGGAACAATTCGACGGCTGAGCGAATTGGGTCATTCTGATAACTGGATTTGACGTAACGGAGCAGGATCGCAGAACCCGGAACGCGGTGGAACAAGGTGGACAATTCTTGGAGAAAGTCCGTCAGAACTCGTTGTACTTCGTGGACGTCCATTGTCACATTGCCTTTCCTCAGGCGCAATGGGAATGTATCGAGGGAGGCGTACAATTGTAGATCAACCCAGGATTATGCGGACTTGGATTAGATTGAGAAAGGAGACGATCTTGCTTGCCGCAGCGGCCGAGATTACTTAGGCACCCACTGATAGAGGCCGGGTCACGTGAGATAAGCACTGATTGACCATTAATTCCACCTGGATCTCGTGATTCCCACCCGGATCTATACACATCCGTTACCAAAAAGATTACACAGCTTTCCTTTGTGTGTCATTCCTACGAAAAGCTTTTAGATTGAAATTCCATGTAATGCTTGCAGCGATGCCTCTATAATGAGGCTTCGTAGCCCCCATAGTAAGCCCGCGCAGCGTTTTCCCCCCCGTAGTGCCCCCCCCCTCGCCCCTAAGTTTTCTGTAACGAGTCCTCCAAGGTGAGACTTCGTAGTGAGCCCAGTAGTGAACCCCTATAGTAAATCTCCGTAGCGGATCCCCGTAGTGAGGTTTAAGAGAGGATATTGGTAGGAGAGCTCTATTTGTGAGCTTGTAGTGGTATGCTAGGGGGCCTACTATCGCTTGTAAGTACGTACGTACGTACAAATACCTGGTGCGTAGTATCTTGTTAAATCTAGATGCACAGAGAAGCAGCAAAATTTATACCGTAAAGGACGTGTAAGGATATTTTTTTTGATACGGATTGAAAACTCTCGGGGGAAAATAACGAGATTAACCGCTGTCTTGATAAGAGTAAGGGGCGACTTAATTTAAGGACCGGCGTATCGGCGACAACAAAGTCGCACACTCCGAATTTACTAACTAGTAATAATAACCAATTGAAGTCGAATGATTGTAATAGAATTGCATTGATGATACAGAAAGGCTATCGTCAGATAGTGTGTTTATAAAGTCTGAAAGAAAGCATAGTCGCATCAGAAACGAAAGACGGAAGCACAAAGTTTTAAGAGACATATAGGTGTGCGACAAAACAACGACCAGTCAACTCCATAAACGTATACAATAAAAGTAGCACAGGAGATGAATTACTCATTACTAGCAATAGAATCGGTGATGAGTGCAGCGAGGGCGGACGATGCAGTCAAAAGAAGGAATGCCTTGACCGAGCCATCTTCTGGAATCTTCAGGCAATTATACAGCTTGAAGGATGTGATAAAAGTGGAAGAAAAATATAAAGCAAAATCAGTATGCAGTCTAGAACATGAACATCATCTTAGCGCCAGCAGTGCTGCTGCTGCTGCTGGAGTCACTGCCAGAATGGGCGACGAATCCGGCGGGTAATCCAGAGCCGGTGTAGTATGTGTGAGTGTCGTTATGGAGCGATCCCCCGTCCAAAGGCTGCATAAGGCTATCAGGGATGGTGGGCAAGTTGATGTTGAGACGACGAACGACCAAAGGCGCCACAACGAGGACGATAAAGAGAACAAGCATGACGAAGTACAGGATGGCGTAACGGATTACGCGACGACGACGGAGCTTGGACTGCTTCAATGAGTATATAGGAGGACGAATTTGTCGGCTACAAGAATTGTTAGTGAAACGGGTCGAGAAAAAGTAGAGATAGAGACATACCTAGGACGAAGCCAGAAAAGAATGACCGAGTGGAATCTGTCAATATATGGCACGCAGAGAGCGGGTAGCATGGCGAAGAGGAGAAGGTGACCCAAGACAAAGTCACCGGCAAAGTAACCGAGCTCAGTGATCTTGCAGAGGAATTCACGACCCGGCTGGGAGAGAGAGTGCCAGCCCATGTTGTACCATTTTCCGGTCCACCAAGCGATGTTGGATTGATCATGTTTGAATTCTCTGGTGAGTGCAAGAGCAATTATCAACTTGTAGACAAATCGCTGAATTGCGGCCATGGAGATCATGCCCAAGACGCAACGAGGGAAACTCCAGTTTTCCAAGAAGAACATGACTTCAAAGATAGCAAGGAGCATAATGACGGCGATACCGTGAGCAATTGCGGCAAGCACGGAACCGAACTTCTTGCAACACATGCTCAAAAGAGGACCCATACAGCATGCCAAACCGAACATAGCGCCAGCAACACCGGCATTGACACCGACGGGAGCAAGTGCAACGATACCAATGCGGATAAGTGCGTTGGTCGCCTGTGGGTTGTTCTCGGTAACACCAGTACGAGCGTTGATGTAGAGATAAGGAATGAGTGTGACTGCAACCAAGACTAAAGGACCAAGAACCTCCGAAAAGAATATGTTGGTGATGCGAGCACGTGGAACGTCACCCGAAAGCTTCTCGGATGGAACACCGAGAACCTTGCGCTTGTATCCAGTGATTCTAGTACGAGACAGACGACAGAAAGCAATCCATGAAGAGTTGTGAGATCTGGAATTGCCACGAGACAACCATCGAAGATAGTCGCGGTAGTCGATGAAGAAGTCGTTCCATGAGAACTGGTGAGGGTTGAACAAGAATGGTGAGATACACAGAGCCATCAAGGAAACCCAGAACCAGATCAAAGCAGCAGTCCACATGGTCGCCGTAGCGAACAGCAACATGAGCAAGCATCGAGCGCCCAGGTAGATCGAGGGGCCAGCGAAACGAGAGTAAAGAACACCGAACGGAATACGAGCAGTCGCGAAACCACGACCAGTACCGATATATCGGGCACCACCATAGGAGAGATCTTGCTGAATGGCATTGGCATAAATTTGGCAAACGAACACCTCAAACATGAAGGACAGAGAACCGAACTGCTTAGCAAGACGGGTTGCCGCACGCCAGACACCTCGCTCAGTCAATTCTTGAACCACCAAGGGAACGAAAGAAATGAAGAACACAATGAAGATGGAGACAATACAACGATTAACCCAGTTGGTAATAGGAACGAGATTGGCGCAACCAGTAGGCATCAAGGGGTCGGTGATTGGAAGGTTGGAGTTGTATCGGCAGAGAATGGTTTCGTGTCGCAAGGCACCGAGGTTGATCATCGTAATCATGAACATGTTCACAGACAACATGATGAACATGTTGTTGATATGGAAACCAGGGTGAGCGTAGTAGAATGACAAGAAACGATCCAATGGAAGTTGAGTACCGAGGTAGTAGTATTCACGAGAAAGCATTTGTTCACCCATACCGGTTCCGATCTTGGTTGTGAAGTTGAGAATTGAACCAAAACCTTGATCACGACCCTTACCACATTGAAAGTATTCACAATGCTTGATTCTGCCACCACGGAGCACAGCATTCATACCGATGTAAATATCCTCGTTCAAATGAAGACCCTTCTGAGCCTTAGAAACACCGCCACGAGTTGTCATGAAAATACCGTTGAGGAAATCAGGATGACCATAGTGGAGTTTACCACCAATTTCAGCGAGAGTACGAGCGAATAGAGTACCGAATGTCTGTTCTTTTCCGGCAGCGACGTCACCAAGGATACCAATGTTCTCTGAGAAAATGTATTCACGAGCACCAAGAATGGCGACAGGGTCGGTTTTGGGGGTAGAAACACCAGGAGTGTAGGGGGAAACGTTGTCGGTGCTCAACTCCTCAAACTCGGCAAGGACGCTGCGAATCTTCAAACATTCCTCGAGATAGTTGTCTTGGTTTGCATCGATCAATTGAATGTATTCACCACGGTAGAAGATGATGGAGTGGTTCTGGTTATCGGACTTTCCATCTCCAAGAATAGGGTTACCAGAGAGCTGAATGCGGAACTTGGGTTTGCGAAGGCCGTTCTCCAGAATTTCTGAGTGTCCGTCGATAAGAGCGGAGTAGAGTCTAGGTTCCTCGCCCTCGTTGGCAGGAGGTTCTTCATCGAGGTAGGCGATTTGGAGGTCTGGGTAAGCGCGAAGAAGGAACTCGGTGTTCTCACGTTCTTCCTTGTTGAACTTGGCATAACGTTGCATAGAAACACAAATCTTGAACTTGCGGCGAGCCATGCGTTCCAATTCGCGTTCCAACTTGTCAGAGTTCCCGCCAAACATCTGCACAACCTCGGGGTTTTCAACCCGATAGAGAAGCTTGATAGCACGGCTGTAATTCATAAAACCAGAGATTGTACGGTACAGGGTTTGAGTGCGAAGAGAGGCCCAGATACGAGTGCGGAGAGTATATTCAGGAGCAGCGGATTTGAAACCAATGCAATAGAAAGGAAGGTCATCAATCTTGCTTCGTGCTGCATCCTTTTCAGATTTTTCGTACTCCCCGTTGAATTGAGATGTCTCATCTGCAAGAATCTTGGTGTCCTTCACAAAGCAATCCCATTCGTGAGGGTGAAGTTGCTTCAGATATTCTAGAAGGGTGACACGAGAGTAAGGCTCGTCCTCTCTGATGATTTCTCGCAAAGAGAGAAGAATCTTTTCGCTGTAGTGAGGAATCAAGACGGTGAAAGTAGGCATGTTGTCCACGGGTAGGGGCTCTGGAATTGGGGTCGAAAGAGACTGTGCAAAGAACGAAATACGACGCTCTGCTTCACTCTGAGATGGGAAGAACTCGGTACGGAAGGAGTGATCCTCTTGAGAAACAAAGAAGGTCGGCGCTCTCAATGTTCGTTTGCCCTCCTGCTCAGATGGAACTTGGTGATACAAAAGCTTCTGAACGTGGTCAATAGCCAGAAGATGCTCGCGGTACATGGAAATGACGATAGCGTTCCAGACTTGAGAGATCAGAACTTTAGGCTTGTACTTGATCTCCATGTCCGTGGTAGCCAGAACCTTGGAGTAGATACGCTTGGGTAGACGCGAGAAGATGTTTCGCCAGGGACTCCAGATAGAGACACCCAAGTGGAATGATCGTGCCACGGAGAAGATGGTGTTCAAAATAATGTACCACAGATAACTATCCAGGAAGAAAAGAGTCAAATCGGTGAAGAACATCAAGCCAAGAAGAATCTGGGGTTGAGCATGGCAAAGAATATCACCAATGATCTTGTCACCTAAACAGTGCTGAATCGTCATCGGGCGAAGGATACGGATGGGATCCTTGAAAGAGAGCGTGAGGAAGAAGTAGGACTCAACCAATTTGGCGGCGAACACGCAAACCCACATACCATAAGACATCCACATGCCATTACCACTGAGCGCAGGAAAGCTGGCTGTGAATGTCTGACTGGCAACATATTGACGTGTGTTTTTCTTCATGTAACTGCCGAACAGACCACCGAGCGGCATGACAGCGAAGAAGAAGAAACTTGCCAGAGCAATGAAGAATTGAACAACACCGAGAACATATGCGATGGTGTCTGTGCCGTCTTTCGAAACACCGAAAACGTATATGGCAGGGCCAATGTTGACGGCGAAGACTAAAAGCAAGAACAAAAGACGCCTGGTCAAGTGCTGAGCACCGGCCCATCTGCGTGGCACATAAGCCCACTCAGCAAGAGTGGCGAAGATATTGATAAGAGTAACGAGCGCACCACCTAGACCGACCGCTGACCACGAGTAAGAGCCAGGGGGTTGATTGTTGAGTTGTTGCTGATAGTCCTTGGTATACAATGACTTGGCGTTGTAAGCGGTGAAAAACCAGAAAGCACCAAGATGAATAACCCAGATACGATTAAAGTTGGTGATCATGTGGAACCAGGAACGAGTTTCGCGATACGTCTTGAAGAACACCTTCTTCCAGTTGACATCCTTCAATTTTTCCCATCGCTCGGCAGGAGCAATGTCGACAAGTCGCGTCTTGTCTTCTAGGATGATCCGCTCGATACCCTCGGGGTACCAAAACAGTTGGTTCACATCGTCGTAACCAATGATCTGGGCGTGGTCACGCTCACGACGAACATATTTACCATCGTAGATCTCATAACCCTGGTCACGGAGATAGCTGTAAAGCGGCGTGATGATGTTATTGAGATACGTGCCTTCCTCTACAGGCTCGACACGATTCTGGCAAGCAGGAGAGTTCAAGTAGTCATCGGCACACTTGAAGATAAAACAGAGACACTCGGGTGTGAAACGGACTTGGTTTGCCTCGCCCCAGCAGAGAAGGAAAAGGGCGATCTGTCGGCAACGCTCATGTTGAGACATGCGGTTCATACGTGTCTTCCAGCGGAATTCGGCTGCCTCCAAACTATTATCACCTTCCAAAGCGTCCAGGGTGGCTTGTTCGTTTTCGGGGTTTTCTGCTGCAGCCTTCTTGGCGGCTTTACGGGCCTTTCGAGTTCTACGATTGGCTTTTCCGAGTTGCATATTGGCAAACCCCACGGCGTCGTCAAGGTCGAGATGTGCAGCAAAGTACCAGCGGCGGTAGTTGGCATTGTCACCCCCAATGTAGTCCGCATGCAACGACAAAAGGGCCTGGTTGGGAGTCATACGGGAGGCACGGGAGTCGAGGAGAGTCATGAAATGATCGTACATGTTCCTCATGCTGTCACGTTGGAAACCAAACTTGTTGACCAGGTCCAAAAAGATGTCCTCGATTTCTTCCTTGGAAAGGGGAATTTGGGCGTCAGAAGTCCAAGCCGGGTACGGCTCACGAGAGCGCTGGCCAGCGGGGAGGGCGTTGCTGTAGTCCATGCCGTAAACTGGGGTCGAGGCGCCTGATGAGCGATTTCCTCCATAAGAGATCTGAGAGGAAGGTGGTCGGTATCCGTATCCTTGGCCACCCATCTGACTTTCATTGTAGCTGTTGTAACGCTCATCACCACGGCCGTAGTAGTCCATGTCAGCTGCACGAGCAGTTTCGGACCTCATGGTGAAATCACTGAAACTTTCCGAGTCTTCCTCGGAGTCTCCGCGTCGACGACTGCGGCCGTTTTGGGCATAATCAGGATGTCCGCCATGGCCCTGATCATAGTACTGTTCGTTGTAGTAGTTGTCCTGGCCGCCTTCATAGTAGCCGCCGCCCGCGTGTTGTTCACCATGCTGTTCGCCGTGGTGTTCTCCGTGATTATCACCATAGTAACCACTAAAGCAATTGTTAGTTTCACCATTCTATCGAGTTTCTGGCCAACCTTCGCATGCAAGACTCACCTCTGGTCGTAGTAACCGTCTCCGTAGTTCGAGTACTCGTTTTGATCGTAGTACCCATGTTGATCGTCCTGGTAATAGGCATCACCGTGGCCCTGATGGTCAGCGTGGCCCTGATGGCCATAGCCATCGTCGTAATGGCCAGCAGACATGATGACTATCTATAACGCAATGACAAAATAGTTCTGTCAGGTTGAGTCGTTAGCCAGACTCTCTTGTCAATGTGTCGCTATATTCAGCCATCTACCGATTACTTTATCGTTCAATCAACGTACCTCTATGAACTGCCCATGAAAACGATCGAATGCTTGTGAAATATACAGAGTCGTCGAACCAATCAAAGTGTCATATGGCTGGAACACAGAAATGAGAAATTCCGTCACAGCCAGGTGACGAATGCTCGTAATCCTGTGATTGAGGTTTTTTTGAGTTGCCGTGTAATTCTCACGATGGTGGAATGAATTTGTCAGCGATTGAACAGGTAGATATTAATTATCGTTGTAGTTGAGTCGTCAGTTTGTTGTTGAACGAATGAAGGTTTTTTTTTATCGAAATAACAGCTCAGTGACAGCTCGCCAGCGCGTCGTAGATGAGTGGGTTGAGGTTGTCGGCACCTTGCAACAGACGCAGGAATCTACGGGCGCCCAGGATCCTTTCCTTCTTCCGCCAGATGGGGGGAAAAAGAGGGAAGGATTGGAAGGCGACACGAACGAGAGGTTGTCGACTCGGCGAAAAAAGTATGGAAAAAGAGTGTAGACGTGATAAAATGTGATGCAACTAGGAAAGAGAGCGCGAAAAGAATAGGAGCGAGAGAAAATGGACAATGGGTTTAGATCGTACAGAAAATCAGGATTGCGAGAGAGTGCTGTCGCAGGCAGGGGGAAGGGGAGAAAGAGGCCAGTCGCAGGGCAGGCAGGAGTGGAGTGGTGCTCTGTAGCAAGAAAATTGTTGGCGCTGGCAGGAACAGAGAGCGAGTCTGGGCCAGTTGGCTGGCAGGGAAAGTGGGAGGGGACTCGTGGCTATTTTGGGCGCAATCGGTCTCAGTGTCCACCGTACATTACTAGTGTGTACTGCGCACTATAGTATGCGTAAATAACACACGTCCTCCCAGAGAGGCCGCTAATCAGTATCGTTCTCGGAAATACTGACTCGAATGCGTGGCAATTGATCGATTCAGAAGCAGAAGCGGTAGCATGCACTAGCATTGACCAGTACTTTTGGCGATCAGTTACCAAATCAGTTACAGCCACACACACAGAACGCAGGTTCACGATGATTCCATTACAGAACAGCTGGTATGCTAGAGGAGATTAGCGACCGTTGACTGGCTGTGTTTTACGGCGGGKCGGAAGCTCTGTATCAAATACTACGATCTTACAGGTCGACGATGCTCGATCCGGGAGGGTCTGACTAGCAAGTGGGGCCATGCAGCAGGGGTAAGCCCGTCGTATCAGCCAATTAGCTATGAAATTAAATGATAAGGGCCCCTCCGCGACTTCCGGGAGGCACCGTGAGTGGCCAGCAGAGTTATGATACCGGCCAGTACGTTACCGGACTGCGTATCTTGTTTACCATGAAAGTAGTCAAGCCCCTGAGACACGACCCACTGTCCCACACGCCGGTGGCAAGTAAGTACATACTGAAGCTGCGTATGCTGTACGCGCAAGTTCTCAAGAGGGTCAGCGAATTTGCTACACGTCGTACACAATGGTCAATTAGTTGATGAATCCTTCTGACTGAAATCGACAATATGTATTTTCGTTTCATTGTCTATTCTCAAGAATCCCACCTCGCAACCGGGTCAACGAAGTCATTGGTATCTAGCACTTGTAACGGTATGAAGGGGGATCAGACAACATAACAAAAACTGCCCGCCAAGAGCCGCTTACATGGTGAGATGTTCCATGGAATGAAGACTGCCTGATTGGCCAATCACGTTACTCCATCAAGGAAGTTGGTAAACACGTCGCAATTTTCTCCATAGCTTTACACACAATACATATATAATATATAGTATACGTACTCTTGGGCTCTCTCAGCTGGCCCATTTCAACAGCTCGATGAAAGAATTCGATCAATAAAATCGGTGGCAACCGGCTGCGAGTCCTCCGGCACTCCCACACAAGGATCGCAAATAATGCACTGTCTTATGCATTTCATGTAAGATCTTATCCACAATAGAAGGCTAAGCCACCTTCTGTAAGACAAGTAAGACAGGTTTAGCCTATCGATATGCCGCTGTCAAATGCTCAGTGCAGTACGGTCACTTAGTTCTAGCTCAGCTTAGTACCGTACAGATAGACAGATCAAAAAATTTTCTATCGTCATAGCATAATGTCGTTCCTTGTTTCTAACAACCCTGAACGTTCTGCCACCTGCTGGCCTTCCACACCGAAAAGCTTGTGCATCAAAAAACCTTGAAATATCGAAATTAAGCCGCTGGATCGGCACCGGTCGGCTTGGTGCGTGGACTCTGTGGCTTGCTCGAAGTTACACCTTCCTCCGCCATACAAACACCCATACTCCGTAGTCCGTACACCTAGTACACTGTACGTACCGTACGGTACAGACGCTTTCACACGGAGACGGAGAATGGAGCCTTACATAGTATGGAGGCCGCACTAACAATACAGTCGATATACATAGTATGTACCAACATCTCGTCCAAGTCTATCGCCGCATTATCCATCCGATCTCCTCTATACTATGTACTAACCCAGAAGGCCTGGAACAATCCTTCATGTTAGGAAGTTGAACGTCATACTGCCGCTGTCTCGGATCTTGTAGTGTCACCATCGGCTATAATAGAAAGCGGACCTGAGTGCCACGTTCGTCCGGACCTCCGTCGAAATACGGTCTCTGGAGCGGATAGTATTTGTGATGACAGCGGTGACATGTGGGAAAAGGGGCTCGGAGACATGGTGCATATATTTTCATTTGCTTCTTGGAGCTCTGAAACAAGCTAATGGTCACTTTCATCAAAAATAAGCATGCGCCGCACTATTGAATTTCTTCTGAGTTTCGATTTGAAATCATTTCTGGGGTTCGTCTTTTGGAAAACCCGAACTTCGTAACCACTGGTGAGGTACTGTATCAAACATCAAGTCATCACGACCATGCATAATATCAAGTACCAATAAATTATTCTTCGAGGCGGCCCTTAGCCAAGACTTCCCGGAAGCTTATCTTTAAGGACTTTGTTGCTCTACCGATAAGCTTATCCGTGGACTGATGATGTTAACTGCGTGCTGAGTTATCTATGAATACATTGTTATACTTAGACATCAAATTGCTTCATGTAATGAGACGTACGAGTCTTCGCTCTTTAGGGTGTATGCAAAGGTTCGAGGGTTCACAGAGAGTTGCTTTAGTGGTTTTGTTCAGTGTCTGTCCAGTATTTGGGTGCGAACCAAATTGAGCCGCTATATATATTTCTGATTATGATGGGACTTCTACATGAAAATTGTCGGAATTCCCAACATCAACAGGTATAAGCCACCGACTTCAATCAAAAATGAGAGTTTCACAAACGGAGATAAGCTTGTAGTAAGAGTAATCATTAAATAATATCTCAGAACCGTAGGATTGAAGTTATTCCCTCACGTGTAGTCGTTATCGATTTTACTATCGCCCACCCGTCAAACGGCGTTGTCCTGCCAACCGCAGCCCGTAAACACAAATTATATCGTACCTTCCTCCTACGCCTGCGTCGTATACTACTCGAGAATCAATTGCCTCGAACTCAGTCACCGACCGTTGGGTCAATTTGAGGTTGATATATACAGAGTATCCCGTGGAATGACATTCACAGCATCGCATAAATTGCAAAACATTCAGCGTACGACATGGCACGATTGAACGCTTCAAACCCAACAGTCGTCTATGGACGTCAGAGTCCGAATGCCTCACGGACAGCATCTACAACCTCCTCGACATTTTATAGAACAACCATCTCATCGCCACTAAAGCCCAAGCCCAAGCCCAAGCCCAAACCTAAGAAGAACAATGGATTCTCCGACTTCAAAATATTCGAAGACGAAGAAGAGTCAGACCACGACGAAGGAGAGAGGGCCGATCCGTTTACCGAGTCCCCACGCACCAACCAGAAAAATTCTAAGGCCCCGTTGAAGCTTACACACTCGAATTCGATTACTTCTGGTCTGTCGAAGCGGGCATCTCAAGATAGTAGCGGTTCTTCGTCCAGAAGGTCACGATCTGGTAGTGAATCAGAGGAAGAAGAAAATTCAGACAAAGAGAACCTTTTCTTTGACGACGAGGCTGAGGAAGTATCCGACAACTCAGAAGAGGAAGATGATGAGGAAGAAGAGGAAACGGGTTTGCACGAAGATACAAATCTAGAAGCAGACAACACTTTGGGTGAAAATGTGTATGATGGAAGATCCGAGTCAGAGGCTCAAGAGCCTAGTTTTATGCGATATAGAGAGCCAAAACTGAAAGAGGAATCAGACGAATCTGAGCCAGAAGTGAGCGACAACTCAGATGGGTATAACTCTCTCGATGACTTCATTGTCAGTGATAATGAAGACTTGAGTTACCATGATGACGGTCTCGAAGATGAAGATGAGGACGAAGAGGAGCAGAAAGTCAAGCTTCCCACTCCAAAGCCCATTCGAAGGAGACTTCTGAGGGGACGAAAACCACGAACCTCGAGCATAAGCTCACAAACTCAAAAGCTCAACATCTCAAACGAAGCTCACTCACCAGCCACCACAAAGGCAACCCCGCCCCATAGATCTTCTCATAAACCAACTACTCCGCGTTTCTCTTCTCCTTTTACTCGCTTGCTACCCAATGAGAGCCTTGACGAAGAGGGCGAACCCACCAAGTACATCAAACCCAAAAGAAGCCCGCTTCGTGAGAGCATCAACTCTATGTAAGTTTAAGTTCTATCTTGACAGGAAAGCTTTCTAATGTCAAAATACAGCACATCTTCTCCTGGCTCTACGAGAAAACAGCAAGTGAACAAGATGCAGACTCCTCCGTGTAGTCCTACTAAAACACTACGGCCATCTCCGTCAAAAACCAAAATACCTCCATCTCCTCATCGTCCAAGCTCCGATGCGTTCTGGAGTCAGGAACTTACTAATGCCTGGAATGATCAGTGGTCACCTCCCAAGCAGAAAAATAGAAGCAGGGCTCTAGAGCGTCTACTTGCCTTAGAGGAAGTCGAAAAGGCCGATTTCAGAGCAGATACAGACAACATGCCTGTAGACAAGGACTTGAGTGAGACTCCAGTCAAGAGCCCTAGCAAAACCGCCATCAAGAAGGCAGAAATTGCTCAAAGGAAAGCTGCTGCTGCGCGCAAGAAGGAATTCGACGACAGAAAAACGTCACTCGCTCAGGAATTCTTACTGGCACTTGACGAAGCCATTACAGGCGGTCAAATCAACGAACTCGCACAGAGCACAGGAGGCGTCAAAATCGAATGGAGCAAAACATTGCGCAGCACAGCAGGACGTGCCAAGTGGAAGCAAGAAAAGTTCAAGCAGGCAGATGGAGGTTTCAGATACATTCAGCACGCCTCTATCGAGCTTGCTGAGCGAATCATTGACGACGAAAATCGACTGCTGAACACACTGGCACACGAATACTGCCATCTTGCAAACTACATGATTTCCAAAATTCGTGATCAACCCCATGGCACTAGTTTCAAAGAATGGGGTCGCAAATGCGTCGACGCAGTGCAACAGCACCCCATTTACAAACACTATCCCATCGAAGTGACTACGAAGCATTCCTACGAAATCGACTACAAATACGTCTGGCTCTGCATTGACTGCGGTCATAAGTACGGAAGACACTCGAAGAGCATCGATCCAACAAAGGCAAGATGTTCCCTTTGCAAGGGAGGATTGCAGCAAGTGAAGCCCAAGCCACGAAACGTGTCGCCCAAGAAGAAGACGCCTGTCAGCGACAATGCATCCCCCCAGAAGGTGACTGTGCTTGGGGAGAATTTTGATGATATGTTGGAGAGTCTTGGAAATGCCCATCTGAATTGATGATTTGCTCAGTGGCGTGTGTGAAGTTATTTTGCGATGAATGTTTGGGCGGAGTCTCTCCTTACGATTAACTTTGCATTGGATCTGGAGTAGTTTTGGACGATTACTTGTCACTATTTTCTTTCCTTATTTCTGGATGTGAATGTTTCTTCTTGGTTGATATTAGCATGGTGCTGTCTCTACTACTGTTTAGTTCATGTCGTGGGACTACCTAATACCTTATTGAATGAAAGTCTCTAAAACCATCACTATTTTTCAAAGAAATGGGACTTAATCTCAGAATAGTCTTCAATCAATAGATCTATAGTACATCATTATCTGAAAGCCTCTCAAAGCCGTCTCATGGCCGAGACAGCTATGTGTATCAAAAGAAGAATCGCAACAGAGACAAATGAAAAGCGATTCAGTCAGCATAACAATACAAAGCTACATTTGGGAAAGAATGACATGAACTCAGACCAGCAAAGGAAAGTCCGTTTATTACTTCCTAGTATTGTCTGTGTTCTGCTGCCTGAACTGCTCAAACTCAACTCTACCATCTCGAATAGTCGCGATGGTCTGACTGACACCCTTGAGTTCTTGCGTCAGTTCCTCAACAGTTCTAGACGGTACGGGAGCTTCTGATACGGCTTCTGCGGCGGCGCGCCGATAGTCGCTTTGGTCTGTGGCGCCTGTGAGCTTATTGAGGGCGTTGTATGTGGCGCCGGCGGGGGKGTCAGCTATTTCGTTGACCTCCCTGTCGCTCATGATATCTCGTACTCGTGCTCCGCGAGATTGTACCAGGAGGGTTGCGGGGCCATCGAATTGGAGGAAGAGCTGCATTTGGTGTGTTAGTCGATCATGTTTTTGGTGGTTTGATGATGAGAATGCTTACTCTATCACCCCAAATCGTCCTTCGCGCCCACGTGCGAAAATTATGGATTATCCGCATGGAAAACTTCCAGGTATCAGAAGCTGTAAAATCGCGGATATATCGTGACTTGAGTAGAAGTTCAGGAATGTTCAGACCTGGGATCTGGAAGCGTAATGTGGTCGACTTGAAACGGTATGGTTGAGGGGGCGTGGATGATAACGTGTATGCGACAATATTGCTGATTGAGTCAGTCTTAAAAATCTCAGATCTTTTATTGTCCAGTCATACCTGGGGTGAGCAATGTATTGTTCGCCAGCCTTCAATTCAATCGAGTACACCTGGCCTCTACCAACGAGAGCCATAAGACCTCGTCCCGTAACCTCGGAGCTGCCCCAGTTTGTCACGCTCTATACCGGTATATTAGACGTGCAAATTCACAAGGATGACTCAGAAGCGCATACCAAATTCGTGTTGATCCTGGGCTTGATGTTCAAAGAGTGTCCGGTCCATGCAAGCAACGCTCGTCTCTGAGCCACCATCCAATCCACTGTTCCATCCAAGTGTACCACAGCAAAAGATGTCACGGGCGATTGGACCGATACCAATGCTTTGATCGGACTAGGAGATGAGACTTTTTGATACAGGAATGGAATTCCGACGACTGCCCGACGAAAGGGCTCGAGGACACTCAAGGTCGATATCACCTGTTGCCGACATGTCAGAAATAGCTCCCATTATTCAATTGGTATGTTTATTGATTTCCATACGTTATCTGCCTTTCCGCTCAATCCTACCAATGTGCCTCGTCGGGTATACAGGTTTTGCGATGCGGATAAAGAGACCGAAAGCATGGAATATGGGGTGCCAACAACGTGGAATTTGGCATCTTTCGAGCAACAACTCATTAGTAGATGGCTTAGCGATGATATAAAGTAAACATACCAGCCGAAGAAGCACTGCTAGGCGTGCTTGACATGGGCAGATTCACTCCATTGACAACGGTCGGTTCTCCCAATGGCGCCGCCTTGACCTGTACGTTTCTCACGCCATGCCGTCTATAGGCACTGGCTCCGGCCCTGGCCCTGTAAATGGCCGTCGCACCTTTCCCTAGAGTAAGGCGCATGGCAATGGCAGAAGCATGGGCGTGAATAAAAGAATGGAGTAGGTGGTGAGAGCAATGAGTGGCATTTCTTTTTTTCTGCTTAGCCCTACGTCAGTTTTGGCTGCGGCAAGCGTGTTGACGCGCTAAAACCGGCCCGTCAAGGAAAGCTCCGGCCAGCGGAATTTCGTTGCGGGACGGAGCCTTATTATTCTCTGCGCACAGGTCTAAGTTCTTCACACAAATATACGCAGTAATTAATTTATTGATTCTCGCATGGTGTATATTATACAGCTCTTCTGGAATAAGATGAGCACCGGCATATTCGAGCCGCACTGCCAATCCGATCACCATCTCTAATCGCCGAATGCGGAGTACGTGAGATGCCCCCACTGGCGCCTATAATTGCGCAATTGGCACCTTGAAGACAGCCCCGAGGACCTTCGGATTTCTCCATCAATCCACCTCTGGAGTGGAAAGCATCAAGTTGGGTTACGAGAACAATGTTTGCTAGAGCCGTCAGGTCGTCTTGCAGGCGTCTGCCGCAGCGACCGCAATGCCTCTATGGACTTGCTCGTATTAACAATCAAAACCAACTCCGGATTCTGACTACAGGCCGCGCGCTCCGAGACAATCAGAAGACCAACGGAAATTCTCCATTAAAATCGAAGATAGCTCCGATAGCTACAGACACAACGAACAAGGATGATGGACCGGGTGGTCAGAAATTGGTCGCGGAGGCGAAATCAACACCGAAGAAGAAAACGGAGGACATTCTCAACACAAGCGCGGCTACAAATAAAGAGCAACGAAAGGCGGATTGGGCTATCATGAAAGACTTGGCAAGGTATCTGTGGCCGAAGGTATGGGGTTATCGATATGGACTGTGGAATTGTGGCTAAGCTTGCGCAGGGCGATTGGGGAACTAAATTGAGAGTAGGAACAGCTCTCACGCTGTTGATCGGAGCAAAGGTATGATTCGCTACTTTACAGCAATCCGTTTATTCTTACACGATATCTGTCAGGTCCTCAATGTCGAAATTCCCTTCTACTTCAAGAATATCGTCGACTCGATGAACATCGATTTCGCAACCGTGGGTGGCACCGCATACACAGTGGCAGGGKCGATGATAATAGCTTGTAAGCTCGGAACTCATGAGTAGACATCCAAAATCTAACTCAAATCTGCAGACGGAGCCACGAGAATTGGCGCCACGGTGTTCCAAGAATTGAGAAACGCCGTGTTTGCAAGTGTTGCGCAGAAAGCGATTCGAAAAGTTGCAGGCAATGTTTTCGATCATCTTTTGCGTTTAGATCTGAACTTTCACTTGAGTCGGCAAACTGGTGGTCTTACAAGAGCAATTGACCGAGGAACCAAGGGAATCAGCTTCTTGTTGACGTCCATGGTCTTTCATGTCTTTCCGACTGCATTGGAAATTTCAATGGTTTGTGGTATATTGGTAAGACCTATTCACACGTTGGTGGATGCGTACACACCATAGGCTAACCTCTCAGACATATCAATACGGCTTCCGATTCGCAGCAATCACAGCAGTCACAATGGTCGCATACACTGCCTTTACCATAACAACAACAGCATGGCGAACAAAGTTCAGAAGACAGGCTAATGCTGCAGATAACAGAGGTGCCACCGTTGCTGTCGATTCATTGATCAACTACGAAGCTGTCAAGTATTTCAATAACGAAGCCTACGAAGTGTCACGCTACGATAAAGCTCTCAAGGCATACGAAGATGCGTCTATAAAAGTGACTACGTCTTTGGCATTCTTGAACTCTGGACAAAACATGATCTTTTCTAGCGCTCTTGCTGCCATGATGTACCTGGCAGCGGACGGTGTGGCAACCGGGCAATTGACTGTGGGAGACTTGGTGATGGTTAATCAACTGGTTTTCCAACTTTCAGTCCCGTTGAATTTCCTGGGCTCTGTCTATCGTGAACTGAGACAGTCATTGCTTGATATGGAGACCCTTTTCAACCTTCAAAAGGTCAACGTCACCGTCAAGGAGCGACCCGATGCTAAAGTCTTGGACTTGTCACGAGGAGGTGAAATCCGGTTCGAAAATGTTACTTTTGGATACCATCCCGACCGGCCCATTCTCAAGAATGCATCCTTCACGATTCCTGCTGGAGCAAAGTTTGCTGTTGTTGGACCGAGTGGTTGTGGAAAGTCTACTATTCTTAGACTTTTGTTCCGCTTTTACGATGTTCAAGAGGGCCGAATTCTCATTGATGGCCAGGACGTGCGCGATGTGACTCTGGAGAGTCTACGAAAGTCGATTGGTGTGGTGCCACAAGATATGCCTCTATTCAACGACACGATCGAGCACAATATCCGATATGGCAGGATAAATGCCACCAGTGAAGAGGTCCAGAAAGCTGCAGAGAGGGCACACGTACATGAACTGATTCAGAGATTGCCGGACGGTTATAAAACAGCCGTTGGCGAGCGAGGCATGATGATTTCTGGCGGAGAGAAACAGCGGTTGGCCGTGTCGCGACTTATTCTTAAAGACCCACCACTGCTCTTCTTTGACGAAGCGGTGAGTATCTCATGGTTGACGTAGTAGTTTTGCGAATACTGACTTTTTTTGCTCCAGACTTCGGCTTTGGATACGTATACAGAGCAGGCACTTCTACAAAACATCAATAGCATTATCAAGGAAAAACAACGGACAAGCGTGTTTGTCGCACATCGGTTGCGTACGATCTACGACAGTGATCAGATTCTTGTTCTCAAGGATGGCCACGTGGTTGAGAGTGGTACGCATGCACAGCTGCTTGAAACGAAGGGTGTCTATGCAGAGTTGTGGCATGGTGAGTGTCCCTTCTCCCCCTCCTAGAGACTATACTAACAATATGGGTAGCCCAAGAGTTGTCCCTTGCCCAGGACGCAGATCTAGAGAGAAACCTCGAAGTCGGGCCCGATTCAGAACTGGCCGAGAACGTAGCACCTACGGATTCGGCACAGCCGAAGAAGTGATAGCTCGACCTATATACGAAAGCGAAGTTGTGGCGTACTTTAGATGCGATATTGTTCGGGTGAACGTTGCGGTGTTGTACATATAGAAATGTATATAGAATAAACTAAAGGGAGGTGTCGCGAACAATCGGTTAGGGTTTCACAGTTAGGGTTTTTGCAATACCGGCACGTGATCACATTTCATCAAACCCCTGAATAGTATATACTTTACACAGTATATGAACCACTAAATCGTTCAACTCATGTTCAATGCTGAACTCAAAGCGAGAACTCAAAGCCCAGACCAATCCCGTGTGTTCTTGTACAATGTCGAGTACGTACTCCAGAGATTCGTGGCTAAATAGCAGGAGCAATTATTCGCGATGAAACTGCACTAGTGGCGCGTATTAGCCTGGCTTTTTCGAGCAAAGCAAATGGTGGGATTTCGCGCCACAAAGGACGTGAGTTCCCACTAAGCATCAAATGGGCCAGTAACCGATGGGCAAGAAATGCAGCTAACCGCTTGGTGTTATCTCTCAAACCTTGATCGTGCTTGCAAAGTCTCGATTGATTCGGATTCAGTCGCCTGAGTATCCCCGTTTCTGTGGTGATGCATGGGCATTGACCAGTGTCTGGGTTATCGACATTGTTTGTGTTGGACAGCGTTCGTTTTCTTCATCGTCGTAGGTTGTACAACTGCACATTGCGCGCATTTGAGAGATTGACATTGATTGAAGACTGGATACAGTTCTGCATTGCCTCGTGGGAGTGGAGGACCGATATCAGTCCGGTGCAACATTGTGCTGCACGGAGCAATGAGAAGTATGAAAAAGATTAAAAAGGAAGGGACGCTGGGCGCTAGACCGCACTAGAACAGTCGCTCCTGCCCGTTGCACGCAGTTTCCCCACACGACGGGCCCCTGAGCACCTTCCTTCCATCCAAGTTCCCAGTGGGCACAGTGGGCACAGTGGGCACCGGGCAGGATGGCACCTTCCACAGGCCCAGTGCGGCACGTTCCTGACTGTTTTTCTCCCACGAGTCAACTCTCTTCTTATCTTCTCCGTCTTCCACTCTTTCTATTGCTCTTCCTTTTATATTAACTACTACTACGTACATAGCATGTACTACGTATACACCACTCCTTCTTTTATCTATTAGTGTCTACTAGCTACCAACTAGCTAGCCTACGACTTGTCCGTTTCAATCCTTACTTAATCACCACCGCTGTCCGTTCCTTTTGCTTCAATTTCCGGCTGATAAATACGTCCGCATCCACACTACCACGCATATTTCGCTTCCAGAACAGTTCTTTTCCTCCATTCAGCGTCACTGAGCGAGATCCGGTATGTTACATCCTATCTGGGAACATTATGTTGTATCCACTAATATCTAATTCGGCAGCATTTTTTCCTTGCCTCGGATAGACTATTGCTTCGGTGCGCTCGACCGTTCAACCATAGAATAGTCGGATAGAGTGAAGTCGACAACAGATAGTACACTAGAGCTGCATTATATAGACTGCTAGTCTCATCTTCGGTCGTCCCATCACACGTACATCAGACGATATGGGTTTCATCGAAAAACTTCAGAGCAGTAAGGCTTTTCGTCTACTTGTGGCCATTCTTTATATACTGACTATTATTCTAGAGCTCGAGCTCTATCGGCTTKAACARCGATACACACGACGCAAGCACCGCACCACATTCTACGGTGACGCTCAATATGTCGACGGCGAATACGTATACGTCAACAGTCCGACATCGCCCGCGATCTCCAAGAACTCCACAGGCAGTCACTGGCGACCTTCCTGGGGCCGATCTGCAACTTCTGACTCCCGCAACTCATGATTCACGTCGCCTTTATATATACTTTTCAACTTGGAGTCTCTTCGATGAGATGACTATTATCCTTATATGACCGCCTCGGCGCATTCCGCCGCTACCGAAAGATTTAGGATGTTGTGCAACGCAACGTACACAATGGTCTCGCCTCAGTCTTTCGAATTCTCGCTTTTGCATATTTATATTGTTGGCGCATCACGTTTTAGATGACGCTTCTTTGGCAACATAAACAAGTTTTGGATCTTGTTTCTACACTTCACTGCACATATTTTCTTTTGACATGAACATGTTGGACGTTTGAATTTCACGGCTGTATCTAGCTATCTTCTGACAGAGATAGAGACTGAGGTCTTTCAATGGGAACTTCTATCAAGCCCTTTTGCATTCGTGTCCTCCATTGCAGAGCTTTCAGTATACTGTAAATCACTGTGAGTTTGGGAGCCGGAACATTGAGTCGTTGAGCCTCACGCAGGGGCTCACCCACGATGTTTTCATATTCGGTAAAATTGCCCTAATCAAGCTGTTAGTGCTTGTACTGAAGAGATCTATGTCACATGTTTCTTGCCTTGCTCATATCTTGTGCCATGCTCGGCTTGAAAAAGGACCATGTGTCGATGTCAAGCTTCTCATCCACTATGTCGGGTGGAAGAGGATGTCCAGCAGCCTTCGCAATATTCCAGACCTCCCACATGGCAGGCCTGACTAGGTCGTTTAACGGCTGCTTTGCGTAACGGATTGAGGTAGTATCCAGATCTAGTATCGCGCAAACCGAGTTGTAAGCTGCGTTATAAATGAGCTTCCGCCAGCGTACGTCAGCAACGTCGGGCTCCAATATGCACGATACTTTTCCGGAAGCGTTGTACAAATCGACAAAACGTTGTGCGGCTGCCAATTCCTTGTCTGCAGAAATGCGGGGATTATGGAATGGACTGATCGTCAAGATATCAGGATCGTCTTGCCGTATTTTCCCGGGCTCAGTTTCAGTCGCACTGATCATCGAAACTCCGGATAGGACAATGTTGTCGGGAAACGCGCTGAACAATGGCCGCTCAATGTTGATCCCGTTCTGCAGCAGCACGATGGCCGTATGTCCGTGTGTAACAGCGGGAGCAATCACTTCTGCGATTGTCGGCGGCTGGTCTGGGACATTCTTCGTGGTGACTACGATGAAGTCAAATGGTGTGCTGTCTTGCCCAGAGATTGTCCGTGTGACTGCATTGATATCGGTTACCGATCAGGACGAACCATGTAGAATGTCACAGGGAAAGTTCTCACTTTTACTAGGCTTCCAGCCAGCCACCTCACCATGCTCGATTGAAGTTATTGAAAAGCCGGTTTTATCAACGGCATCATAGTTGGACCTGAGCACGGCTGTAACATTGGCCTGCGAGCCGACTTCAAGATTGTAGGCACACATTGTGCCAACGCCGCCGCAGCCGACAAGAAGGATCTCTGCTTTTGATTGATCAGCCATGCTTTGATGTGATGCTGACTACGTTCAGTCTGATGTGAACTTTCTAATATCATCTCTTCAAGCTTACAAATGGGAAAGCGCTTACCAAGTTTCTAATCCTGTTGGCGATTGTTAGCGGCTCCATCTTAATTCTGGAAGTGGCTCCGTCCCCGCAGTCTCCCTACTCCTCCAACGTCAACCGACGTGTAATATGTTTACAGTCTCATCATTTCGTACATAATTGATCGATCAAACCATTGCACTACATCGGACATCAATTGACGCTTACAGATGCAAGCCGAGTTCCCATCAAACTCGGATTCGGCTCATCTCCAGCCTTCTGGAAATACATGTGCGGGGTAACACAATTACTTGATCCTCGACCTCTCAGCCTGGTCACAAGTTCGCAGTCTATATCCTCTCAATGCTACTCTAGAATGAATTGCACTGCTGCTAAAGCAGTCGGATCATATTCCATTTGTCGGTTTCATTTCAAGGTGTTCACATGCCGAATGATGTGCCGCACAACGATTGCAAGCAAGAAATTCACTAGGCGCGAGGCTACTTGTCGACGTCTATAAGAGGGGACAACCCCGCGGCAATGATTCTGAATCCTACCTCAGAACTACCCTGTTCAGGATGTTCAACTCGTCTCTCAGATCCTCTCTACCGCCGGATACGGTGCTTTCCCAAAATGTCTGTCAAGACTTACCACCGCTGCGTCCGTTTAGCTAGTTAACCGGTCACTTGCTTAGTCATGCCTGTTCGTTGCCTAGTTGAGCCTTACCAAAAACGCCCTGATCAGATCTTGACCTGGCGAGCATAGCATCCCGTACGACATGGGATGAAATACCTCATTTGCGGCTTGTCTCGAGCGGAGATGAGATTCGTTTCATCTCGTTGTGCAAGTTGGGGAACCAAAAAAAAGTCTCAGCTGGTATCTGTCTGTCGGTTCCAGATTCGTTACCGCTCTGGCTGTGATAGTGATGTATTCCCTCATTAACACAAGCGGAACTTGCACCAAGCCCCGAAGTTTACCTCATGAATTCCGCCTTTTGACCCTCCCCGGTTTCGGGTTGACCAATCGAGACCACGGATTAACGTCTCAGTCAGACTTGTTCCGAGAGATTTGCCTAGGGCTTACAACGCCTTTGGCTCTACGATTATGAGGGCAAACCTTGCCCGTCACCTACGGAACTCACATTTACCCAGCAATGCCACGATGTGAGATTATCACACCGTAAAGTTACTCCTTTATGCGATGATCAGTATGGCGATCCGAAAAAATATAAATACGGCGCTGGACCACAAGCCAGAGAAATGGTAAGCAAGAACCATCCGTCCATTTCTACATCTTTATCTCAGCTGTTCATTTGAAAGAAGTGTGTTATATTGCTGTACATTCTCACACTCAATCATGTCGTCAGGTATTTTGATATTAAACAAATTGCTATCGAATATGCAGATGATGACTAACTCATGTTTCAATAGGAATCCCTCTCGGAATCACGTCTGAAGACTCTTATATAGTCCTCCAGGGCAGTCAAGGCGAAGGCAACGGACATTATACCAACGGGGCAGTCATTCACCATCGACAAGTCACCATGACCCACCCACGCGCTCCCTTCCATCGACCCGCGCAGAAACCTGAGGAAGGGGTGACATCGTTCTCCAACCGACCCTATAAGAGCGAAGCACTCCTTCAGCATGTCCAATCCAACATAGCCCGCCCACTCGCATATCGACCGCGGGAAAGACCTTCAGATGTGACTTGGTACTGCTCGGAATGTTTTGACGGGCCATACGGGAATTGGCAGGTTTCTTGCCAGGCGTGCGGTCATCGTCGCTGTGGTGGGTGCCGCAAAGAAAAGCACCGACAGCCTAGTTTCTGAGCGTCGGCTTGACAGTCTTAAGGTCCCGATCGTTGTCCAGATCAAACCTATCTTTTCAATTTTGGTGTCATTGAATTAGGACCTTGATCGTCTAACGGCTTTGAGGCTGTCCCACTCAATCGGTGTCATTTATTCATTGATATTGTCTTTCTATATTGTGTCACAAATTGTTTCCTAGGTCTGGGATATTGGATTGAATATGGATTTAGCATGGAGCGGGGGAGTTAGTTACAGGTGCACTTGCTTAGATCATGATTCTCTTATTTATTACTGTGTATTTTAGTCTCTTTTACTTACGCAATATCAATGAGGATGCCGATTTATACCCGACTTTCCAGCGCATTAAAGACGAAAACTTCTATCGGCGAACTCCGACGACTCTTATTCTTAAGATCAGTGCTATTTTACATGCTCTTCATCATGCTGCATGCACGTGTGACTCACTTGACGCTGAATGCGATGGGGACATCGATCTTGTATGCAGTCATTGGCGGGCAGTGCTGTTCTTGGCGCAGAGCCTCATATCGCCGATCTATAATACCTAATCATATGTATTTCAGCGTCAGACCATTACAAAACGACTACGAGGCCGTTCCAAGTGTAAAGGCGCTTACTGGTAAAAGGAATGTGATGCCTCAAAGGAGAAAAAAAAGTCAATGGAAACGATGGTTTGGTCGTTTCCAGCTGAACTAAATTCAACGGCATGGTTTGAAAATTGCCGAACCGACACGATGATTTGTCCGCTTCCGTAAAATATGTATCTAACTTTGTAAATGTAATGAAAATACTCGCCGGTATCCCGTAGTTAAAAAAAATATCAGAGGCATACACGATTCCTGATTCCTCATCGGTTGCCATGGTTGGTTAACCCTGAACGTCTACGTTGGACCAGCGAGAACACCAATAGTCAACCAGATTCTGCGATACTCGGACATTAATACTTGATTCATATTAATTTGATGCAAGAAAAACAAGAAAAAGCAAATTCAATTCAAGTCGTCAAGTCGTCAAATCGTTGGGGCATTTGGGCGCACCCTCGTCCCAGCTACGTACCCGCCAGCCCAGTCAGGGCATGAACGAACCCTAAATCTAAGCCCTAACTCCCCGGGAGTGCCCCGTCGTCATATCTATTAATTAATTTCGCATCGCAGGTCACCTGGCCCTGGCCAGCTTCAGAAGCAGCAAAATGTCTCATCGCGCAATTTCACTATAGATAGATATATTCAGGAAATGAGCTGATTCATTATGGTGTATCGTTATTGCCCCTTACTGGTTCCGACACTGATGAAATATGGCCCTTCCCCCGAACCGGAACACATCCTAGTTGCATGACACTAAAGCAAAACCCTGCAGTGATGCCAAAGCCGACGAACCTCCCACAACGAATCACGGACTCTAGGGTGCCTGTCTCTGATGTTTCGCTGTATCTCGCACTTCACAGCCCATTGGCAACGGCTGGTTGCCCTGCAGAAACGGTTTTCTGGTTGGGATTGTAACCTTGTTGATACGACGACATCCCGGTTGGTAAGATGAATAGATCGGATAGATAATGGATTATACCACCAACAATGTACTTCGTTTGAGGATGACCATGAGATGTCTGCGATGGAAGATATGTTTCCGTAATAGGCAATGCCCAGGAAATTCGCAGCCTTTCCTATTTCGGCGATTTCCAGCGGAACGGTAGCCCTACTTTCCCTGTCCCTGTCCTGTCAGATTCATCCCGATCCCTGTTCTGAATTATCGATGAGACGAACTTTGCAAAAGTCAATTTACAGAGTCAATCGGATGAGAAATCGTGGAAATCAAGTGATCGCAATTAGACATTCGTGGCTGAGTTTGTTGTTTTAATTATCCCTCTCCGCACCGGACCCTACGTCTTTTTGCCCGTAGCTTCACTTTCCGGGTCCCACCAAGAGCGCCCGGAACATTGAGTTATAGACGTCAAACTAAGCTTCAGCGGAAGACGATGTTTGTCAATCGTGCGTCTTTTATTAAATTTGTTCTGTTTCCTAACACTCGGGTTCGTCTACTGGGAGATTTCTAACCCGCTGCGCCACAGGGTCCTGCTTACCAACTCCACCCCGGTTACAAAGTAGGGCTAGCCTAGTGCATATTGGACAAGGTGATTGACGACTAGTGTTGACGAGAAAAGACAATTTAATTAACTTGTCCAGCTTGCCGGTCGACATGCTGGTTTATGATTTGATGTTCGTACTTTGGCTCAATCCAAAGTTACGTAGTTAAACGTTATGTACATACGCAGCTATAGTTCGATTATATGGCCGCGGAGAACTCCGAAACCAATTTGATCAAATTACCTTTCAGTTTGTCTGATTCACATGCTCTTATCTGTTTGTTCGCATTCCTTGTCCTTTGATTCCGTTATTTCTTGCATTAGGCGCAATCGTATCTAGTATGAACAGTCTCTTATTGGTGGTCTGAATTCGACCTCCATTACCGTATCGTATTGTTAGACGTTAGTCAGCAGTAGCCGCATCATGCACGAGCTGGGATAGACTTACATACAAGGTCCGTACTATATACGCTAACGAATGGATTGCTTTACAAGATCTAATTGCGTTATTTCAAAATACCTCAATTCAAAATATCTCATCAGTCACGAGTAACCATCCGAAAGCGTCAAGCTGTGTGCCCCGTTGTAGAGTGTAGATGTGGATCCGGGTATGGGCCGTTGTACCCGTACCATTTACCGTCAGAACAGCAGCCAATGGCACGCGCACCAAGTGACCTTCTCTAACCCTAAAATCGATGCGGATCCACTGCCCCAGGCCAGGCTACCAGGCAACTACACCTAGGGCTATCAGGCGGACTTCACCTCTACATCTTTGGCATAGTTCGTAGCTAAATCAAACAGACTCTACTGTATATCGTAGAGTCCAGCTCTGCGTGGAAATTGTGAGGCCTCTGCTCCTGATTGGATCAATCGGCCCTCAAGTCTGCCTCCCTCGCCCTTGCCCATGCTTGACTGCCTAGCCCTGGCTCTAGTGTGCCTTAGATTTCGTAACTTCCTTCAGTGACCGCTGTTCTCCAGTTCCGCGGTCTCGAAACGAGTCTTTCATGTTTAGCATTCCTTGTGAGACATGGCCGTTTCTGCCTGCTGATTTGATGCTTTGCTGTGGTGGCCTTGCGGTCTGAAGAAATTTGGTCTCGTAGTCTTGTGTGTATATCGTAGATCTATATAAGTCTTCTGCTTTCCTTCAACACCCTCAAACTTTTATTCATTCATATCATATCATACAACATCAACACCAATCATCAAACATCAAATATCAAGAACAGAAGAACACCACGAGACTACCTACAGTCGTCTCTATCAACAAGACTCAAGCTACAACTTTCTACAATCAACAGCAAGACTCAATCAGACATGCCTTCCACCACCGTATGGTACTGTTGCGCTTGTGGCTACGGCCCATGCAACGAGTCAATCGACTACTTCTGCCCAAGCTGCCAGGTGCAACGTTGCTACAACTGCACGACCTCAAAGATATCAAACCGCTACAACTATGGATTGCCAGGAGAAGCGGAGGCCAATCCTTACCTTGAAGCATTTACACTTGTCGGCTTCAATTCAAATGCATACAACGCCAATCCGCCATCGCTGCCGTTCAATCTCCCGCAGCAACATCTGGAGGGAGCTTCTTTGACATTGACTCCCACTCAAAGACCTCCGACGTGCCTGGCAACAGGCCACCAACACTTGGCTGACGGCCCTTCAATAAGTGACATTTTCCAGCATGGCGGGTTAACAAAGAAGAATCCAAGCTCATCCTACTACTGCTGCCAATGCAACGACGGACCCAAAACCTACGATGTCCAGCCTGTCTGTATAAACTGCGACCATCGTGTTTGCAGTCTTTGCAAGCCGGCCTAATGAAACATGGCCAATGGATGACCATATGGAAGAATTTGAAGCATTTATTTCCCATTGTTTTTGCGGCATCATGGATCATGGTTAGCGTTCATCATTTGTCAAGTCATTTGAGCGACGGTTTGGATTGCATTTTTGGGTGGATGTCTGGTTTTGCTTTTTTTCTGTTGATGCGATACCATCAGCCAGGTATCTACACATAATTTTCTACCGTTTTAGGTACTGGCTGATGGCACATGAATACATCGACCATGTATTATAAACCATACACTTGTTCGACTATGTTGTTGCGTTCTGCTTTACTCTTTCAGTGTCTTTGCCATTGTTACTATTGCGATGTTTTTCGATGCTCATGATTTGATCTTTTGCGTGTTTTTAATGTACCTGACTAATGAAGGAATGTATTACGTTTATCATCAATCGAACATGTATCTCGATCAATGAATTTTGTTTTTCTTTTTTTGCTTTTTCTCCTGCTCCGATATGACTCAGAACCCTGCATGTATGTAATGATGTTAAATGCACGCACATTGTTTTATCTACAAACCACCTCGAGTATAGCCAATGAACTCATGGTCAGGTGTGACTCAGGCCACTGCAGGATAGGCGCATTTCCAGATCAGTCCGTGACTCAAGTTCGTCAGTAGTTAGTGGAGTTGAGTTGAGCCTTAGGGTAAGTTAGGGCTGATCGATTGTCCCCGCAAAGGGTGCCTTGTACGGTATCCACCTGAGTTTTCCATACTACCTACTCCGTGTCTATGTAGATACCTATGTATCTCACGGAAACATTCTCTCTTTCTTGATTCAGCATGTTATGTATGTTTCAGAGACTAATCATATATCACGAGAATAAATACGAAAAGTACAAAAAAAAACAAGACAACGGAATCATAGCAAGTGGATTATGACGATGTGGAGACATGCACTAGAGATCGATGCCTGGAGATCTAGGCTACAGATGAGGGTCCTCCGTTCATGCAATAGACATCCAATAGACAGCACGCTAACAATTGACAGACTGCATCGGGAGATGTGTCCAGAATCCTATCTGTTAGAACAAGTACATAGTATGGCATACTGAGATACTCCGCATTGAATCGGCCCAGGCAGCCATGCGGGGCCGACGACAACCGAGTCTTTGTCCGACTTTGATGCATCCTCTTGATATACACGGAACATGAGGTATCGATATGACGTTTCGGTTTCTTTAAACATACCAATTGGGTTCGATTCAGTTGGAAATCTGCCGGCATGATCGACTCTGCAATTGCGTATTTGCCTGCCTAGAACCAAGTCCAAGTATTGAGTGTCGGATGTCTTTGATCTCGTATTGATCAGGTGTTTGTTCTAGGTATCTGATGTATGTATTTGACGTGAACCGATGTGTACAGACTAGGGTTACAGACTTCGCACCCTGACCCTCACACATACTTCAGATATTTCAACTGTGAAGATCCATGCACCGAATTATCCATTCAATCTCAAAATTGTCACCATACCTAGGTAGTCGAATCCCACATAATGCGCCGCCACCATCTCAACTGCCGTTCCCAATGGAATGCTACGATTTGATCTCTGCGCCGGTCCCCTGCGTTAGTCCTACAACCATCATTTAAATCCTTGCTCTGGCATGATCATGTAAATAGACCAATGAAATTGAGGGTATTACTACACATGTATTCGGCATTTCTTGGACAAGGCCGACATAATTCTTGTCTAATGTATTATGATACTATCTATAGGCTAAGACATGAGGGAAGATAAGAATGTGAATGTCTTGGTTTCCAAGGTTCCTACAGTATTCGTCTGCCTTGCATGTGCTCAATTTCGAAGTTGATAATCAGACAATTGTGTCTGCCTCAGTTGATTATCGCCGATGTACTGAAAGGCATCTTTGATTCAATCTTAATCTCTAGAATCTTGACGCCTGAAGGCCATCTCGTACTTCCCTAAAAAGATAATATTTTGTAGGATTCAAATCATGTTCTACGTCGTCAAGGCTACGAGATATACAGATATCGTGTGACGAAAAGTGGAACTCGTATTCCGTGTAAATAATCGCGTATATTCATAATATGTGAACTAGCTACTCCTGATTCCTGTCAACGAAGTCTAGTCGCTTTGAAAGCTCGACTTCCGTCTGAAATCGGCTGCCTGCTTGTCGTGCCTTCACCCGCGTCACTGCGCTGACGGTGTCTGATGCAAGATTGTCTTTCACCTACGTTGCAGACAAGTAGTAGACCATGGAATGGTCGAGATCCAACATGTTTTGAACCCCGTAGTCCATCGAGACGCTGCAGCCCCAATGGTGGAAATTAGACGAAAACGCCTTTCAATGCTACGCTCAATAGCAAAGCACGCCTGAATTGATGCAAAAAGTATGAATAAGGGACGGGAGGGAGCCCAAGAAGTGAAAAGGGACAAACGAAAGAAAGAATGAATGCCGATATACTTCCCATGAAATTCGTTGAAAGAAGGAATGCGATCATTCTGATATCAGGCTACAGAGGGAGAATGCGTGAAGGATCGGAGAGGAAACGTCTACGGTATGCGGCAATTTCACCCGCAATGGTGGGAAAATCTTTCACCTGATCGCGCTGCATGCTATTGATGAGGTCTTTCAACCCTTCAATATAAGCTTCCCGTTCTTCTGGGGTCTTTCCTTCTCTTTGATTGCTCATGTCGACGAGGATCTTGTCATCTGTAGATAGTCAAATATCACTAGAAGTTAGTGCCTGCACAAGGAAGAAAATCAAACAACGACTTAATGGAAACAGAAGAATGAGTGAAGGGGGAATCGAGGCTGGGTGAAAATTTTCGCGCCGTCAACGCACCGGGCATCACTATATCTCGCAAATGCTGAAAATCGCATGTCACATCGTTGCAGACGCCTCCTGCTGCCTCATAGGGACAGAATGGTTGCTGTGAATTTATTTGATGACTGTATGTTAGGGATCGATAACCATCTTTAACATCCTTAAGATAATTGGGATGGTAGCGATAGGCCTTGAAGTACTTCAATGGGCTCTGGTAAGGAGAGAATTTCGATACCGTGTCACCTCCCAATGGTGTATTCTAAGATGTATTAGTAATTGACCGCATTCTAGTATGACTAACGTACGTCAAGGGCATCTCCTTTAGATGCAATGACAACGAAGTCCTGAGGCTTGCGAGTCAGTGTCACATTGGCGTCATTTGGAACCATCAATTGCGGTGCTGGTTCAATTTCAGATTCTTCAATATCCTTCGGGCTGAGCTTCGGAGAATAGGCTTCATCCGACTCTTCAGGCTCGGGAGGTTCGTAATTATCGGACAAGACCGAAGACTCCCGGGATGCACTAAGTCTATCCGCAGCGGCACTCAGGTCCACAGCAGGATCCACGTCCATCGCATTGGATTCCGTAGAAGTGACGTTGGTAGGTACCAACGTGGCAGTTTGGGAAGCCTCGATCAAGGATAAATTGTGAGCTGGGGTATCCTCTGTAGCAGCGGGAATGCTAGGCTCAAAAGGAGCCTCTGCAACCTCCTGTTCTGGCTCGGATCCCGAGTCTTGATCCATTGAACTTGACGCCGAGGAACTGGTCGACTCGTCCATTGAGGAGCCGGAAGATTCCAGACCCGAACTGTCCAGCTCAGTAATGCTGGGGACTCCCTGGCGTTCGGCTAAAGTAGGCTCAGGAATTGGGGGATCTGAAGGCAATGCGGGTATTTGAGGTGCTTGGACAGGTTCGACCACTGTAGTCGCAGCTTGCAAGGGTTTGGAGGGTAGCATAGACTCAGGAGTGACAACTCCGTGTGTCTCGAATCCAACTAATATTAATAATTAGCATCCAAACATACTTTTACCAGAGAAAGACCGACATGACTTACCTTCTATCGCTATACCGCGCTCTATATCCTCCTTGGCAGCTCTCAATTCTTCAAGCGTCAATCCTTCTGTTTCCATACCTAGACTCTCCAGTTCTTCACCGAGTTTCTTTCGTTCTTCTCGACTGCGAGCTATCTCGCTTAACAGAATCTCCTCTTCTCGTTTATACTCCGCGAGTTTAGCCTCGTATTTCATCAGCTCAGCATCCAGATTAGGAAGACCAGATTCAATGACTCGTTTCCGCAGAAGTTTTTGGCGGATTCGATCTAAATCAGAGTTATCCATTGACGCCAATGATTGTACCGACGGGCTGCGTTGTAAGCGTTGAGGACTCGGCTTTTCCAAGGGGGTAGCCAGATTTTGTGCTGTATTGGCGTTAACTTGAAATTTGTCTTCGTCTGTTTCTATATTGACACTCGCTGGTGCAGGGGAGCCGTTACCGACCACGGTTGCTGAAGGGGGTACGGCTTTTGTCTTTTTGGCGTTCTTCTCCTCCCATTCGGCTATACGACGGCGCATGGCTTGTATCTCGAGATTTTTCTGTCGAAGACTCTCTAGTTCACTGGCCCTACTTTGAGGAGTACCCGACGCTGACGATGCGTTGCGAGAAATAGTGGCCCGCGGTATACTGTCACCAGTTTTCAACGGATGAGTATTCATCGTAGGATCGCTAGCTTCGGACATATCAATATCCTCCGCCTCATCTAGTGATTCATCCTCGCTGATGTCAATCACAAGTCTATCGTTCATCGAATGCTTCTTGATCTCCGGAATGGGTTCGTCAAAATCCGAAGCTCGGGGACGCTTCCCTAGAGAGTTCTTGAATGGGGTGGAAGCACCCATAGATCTGTTTTCAACTATCGAAGGACTACTCGTATCCCTAGACTCAGAAGGAATAGAAGATTCTGGATGTTGGGGAGTTGAAGGCTTGGGTGAGCTTGGCGCAACAGGTGGACGTTCAGGGAGAGGATGATGCAGTGGAGTTGTTGCCTCTGGCCTCACGATTGTGGTGTCTGATAACGATGATGCTGGTACTAATGGTACATTTGTACTCTCAGGATTGGATTGTTGCCTTTTAAGTCCCATCTTCTTCAGTTGTTCGATGCGCTGCCTAGCAAGTTCAGAAAGAGCTTTATTTTTCTCTTTTGTTTGCGAAGGAGTTTGCGTCGGTGGCTGGGATTTGAGAACGTCCGCAGATTTTTCAATACCCAAGGCTGAAGACGAGCCATTGCGTAGAGTCGTTGCATCCAGAACAGAATCAGCATTAACGGCAGTAGCCTTCTTCTTGGCCTTCTCAGCTAGCATTCGAGCAATGACGTCTTTCCGTTCCAAGGGCTTCGCCGAAGCCGACGGAGCTACTTGCGATTTTTCCTGAGTTGCGGCCCTTGATTCAAGCTTGTCGATGGTAGGCTCTGTGATTTTAACTTTCGCTGAGTCTGTCTTCGGGACAACTGGGGTAACTTTGATTCCAATATCGTCATAAAGCTGCTTGAGAACAGTGGGATCGATATCTTCCTTGACAAGCTCGCTAAATCGAATATTATGCGGGGCTAGACTAAGCAGAGCGCCTTGTGCCATGATACGAATCTGAGCGGGTGATTTCCCGGAAGACTGCGAATTAGTGCTTTTCTTACTAATTCTGTTCTTATCCATCTGAAGACCATCAGCTTGTTCGGGCTTGACTTGTGACACTTCGGTCGCTCCAACGGTGACTGGTAGATTATATGCTATGATAGATTAGCCGTGGTTCCTTTCGAGTGCATGAATGGGTTACCCACCACGCAAATTACTTGCTGGCACCAAATTACTGACACTGTTATTACGTGGGGGTGTCTGCGATCGAGACAGGTTCGTATCCGTATCCAATGCAGACCGGCTTCGTGAAAGAGAAGCTTCAGGGCCCGCCGGAGTGATTTTCCTTGTGTACATTTTACGCCGAGAATGACGGTGAGATGATTCATGACCCGAACCATCGCTCACTTCCCCTTCTTCTCGGTCTGTCTCATTGATAGCTCCTGGTGGGTGATGTTTCGGTGATTTTGACGGGCGTCGAATCGGCAAGGCCTTGCGCTTTTTCTTGGAAGGGTTTGCAACGGTATTCTCTAGAGCCGAATGCATTGGGTCATTTGAAGCGTCGAAAGGGGTGTGGAACGTCCCATAGAAAGGCATCGACGTCTGATCATATGCGAAATGTTGTGGTTGGTAAGGTGATGTAGCGTTGGGAGCCATTCCTAGGCCCGGTAGCTGAATTGGAGCGACAGAGCCCAATGGAAAGCCAGCGAAGGTTGCGAAGTCAATTGGAGAGTTGTTCATCGCGAAGAAGTTAGCCGCGGATTGCTTGGATTCGCGCGAATCGGCAGGAAGGCGCACCGGCCACGGCGGCGCGTAGTTGTGTTGCCCGTCAAACGACGGCGGCACGGGGTATTGCGACATGTCGCGAGTCTCAGGAGAGTGACAAGTAAGAGAAAGCTAGACTGGCAGGKTGAATCGGAGGATTCAATTATATGTAATAGCCTCGTTCAGAAATATCGTAGCCAACACCAAGAGATGGAGGGATGACTTGGTGCGCGATGTGAAGCCATAAAGATCTATCGTATGCGACAAAAAGTCCTTGGGCGCATCAAAATGAGCCTCTGCAACGGATATTCAAAGTTGAAATTAGTATATTAGGGAATTTCAGTTGAGTAAAATAGGTTCTCCGACCAAAGTAGGGCAGAAAAGCGATGGGTTGTGGAGTTTGGTTTTCAACCAGACGAAAAGCCGTGCGAAACTTGACTTTTGGTTGACGCCAGGATAAGACCACGTGACTGCGTGAGTTGCTCTTGCCGCCGGAGGAGTCGCACTTGCCTCGAACGGGTAAGACAGTGCGTCACCGCTTCTTGCATACCGCTAAGCCCAGAATGGTTAGATTGGCTTCTGTGCTACAGGGCAGTTGCGGAGCAGAACGATCGCTCCCGGTAAAAGGTAAACAAACAGCCAACCCGCCTGACATCGACTTCACATTCGCGCAACCTCCCATTCAGCCTCTATTTCTGAGCGCAGGCGATTACCAGCGCTTACTCTCATTTGACTGTCATCTTCTAAACGCGGCTTTATTTTTCTTTTCACATCGATTGCTTCTCTAATACTAGCACGTTTGTTGTACTCGAGTTGCTCCCCACGACCTTTATGACTTCCGCCAAACGGTAAACGTGCAACGACCTAGCAATATCGACATGCATTAAATCACGAAAATATGCAGCCCTCATCATTTAATAGTTCGCCTCGTCGAGCTAATCCTTTCAATCGACACTCACCCTCGCCATCACCAAGTCCTCAGGTGTCAACAATTAGGCCAAAGTCCGCCGTGTTCCCCACGACGTTTGGAGAGTCGGAGAAGAAGCCGCATACGCGGAACTCGTCATTGTCACACTTCTCAGCAGTTGCTCTGGAGTCAGAAAATCGGCCACGTTCGAGTTCTTTAAGGCATTCTGTTCACGCGTCCGGAACATTTGCTCCTCAGTTCATCAAAACGGAGGAACTGCAACGAGGTGCCAACTCGATTCATAATTTGGAAGGAGACAACGATTTTTCTGGAAAACGATATGTTTGGCTGAAAGATGCTGAAAAGGCCTTCATTCGAGGAGAGGTCCTCGAAGACCGACAGGACGGAAACTTGTTGGTGCAATGTGACGACGGCAGCGTGAGTGAAGTAATTCCTAAATATATGCAGCGAAAGCTAAATATCTACTTCTTCACATCTAGCAACGAGAAGTCAGTTCGGAAAATGCAGATAAAGTGAACCCGGCAAAATTCGATAAAGCCGACGACATGGCTGAATTGACCCATCTCAACGAGGCTTCTGTGGTGCACAATTTGCACATGCGGTATCAAGCCGATCTCATATATGTTAGTCAAAATACATGACGTGTCGTTATGGTAGATGCTGACGGATGGATTAGACATATTCCGGCCTTTTCTTAGTTACCATCAACCCATATTGTCCCCTCCCAATTTACACAAACGAATACGTGAGGATGTACAAGGGCCAGAGCCGGGAAGATACGCGGCCACATATATTTGCCATGGCAGATCAAGCGTTTCGAAACCTCGTAGAAGAAGGCGAGAATCAAAGTATACTTGTGACGTATGGCCACCCCTTTGAACGATTTTTATATTGAGTATTAACATCGTTATTAGTGGAGAGTCGGGCGCCGGAAAAACCGAAAACACCAAAAAGGTCATTCAGTACTTGGCAGCAGTAGCTACTCCTGAGTCCTCCGGATCACGATCTACTGGGAAACATTTCTCCAACTTGTCGCAACAGATACTTCGCGCCAACCCAATATTAGAAGCCTTCGGAAATGCCCAGACAGTGAGGAATAATAACTCCTCGAGATTCGGAAAATTCATTCGAATCGAGTTCACTCGCTCTGGACAAATATCTGGGGCTTATATCGATTGGTATCTTCTCGAAAAATCGAGGGTGGTCAAACCCGGAACCAGGGAACGCAATTACCATGTCTTTTACCAGCTCTTGCAAGGCTGTGACAAGAGTTTGAGGAACAAGCTTCTTCTTGGAGACATGCAAATTGAAGATTTTGCGTATACAAGAGACGGTAACGACTCTATTGCTGGGGTATCTGATGTCGAGGAATGGAAAGCACTTATGGAGGCGTTCCAAATAATGAACTTTTCCGAAAATGATCGCATGTGTATCTTGCGTACCATCGCCGCTGTACTGCATCTCGGGAATATCACGGTCACAAAAGAGCGAATCCGTGGTGATCAAGCTGCTCTAACACCGGAAGCCTTTGACAGCGTCCAAAAAGCATGCCAACTTCTCGGTGTCGACACCGATTCGTTCGTCAAAGGGCTGTTACACCCTAGAGTCAAGGCTGGCAGAGAGTGGGTCGAGAAAGTCCAAACTCCAGAACAAGTAAGATTGGCACTTGATGCTTTGGCTAAAGGTATATATGAGAGGGGCTTTGGCGATCTCGTGAATCGTATCAACAACCAGCTAGACATGAGTAGCTCTGCTAGCGACGATACATTCTTTATTGGCGTACTGGATATTGCTGGTTTCGAGATTTTCGAGAGCAACAGCTTTGAGCAACTCTGCATCAACTACACCAATGAGAAACTTCAGCAATTCTTCAATCACCACATGTTTGTTCTTGAGCAAGAAGAATATGCTAGGGAGCAGATCGAATGGCAATTCATCGACTTCGGCAAAGATCTACAGCCGACTATTGACCTGATCGAATTGACGAACCCAATTGGCATTTTCTCTTGTCTAGACGAAGATTGCGTAATGCCAAAGGCTACTGATAAGACTTTCACGGAGAAGTTGCATTCACTCTGGGATCGGAATTCGCCCAAATACCGCGCTTCCCGACTCAGTCAAGGATTTGTTCTCACGCATTATGCGGCTGAAGTTGAATATACGACTGAAGGTTGGCTTGAGAAGAACAAAGATCCTTTGAATGACAACATAACGCGCTTGCTATCCGGCTCGACCGACAAACACATTTGCAATCTGTTTTCGGACTATGTGGACACCGATGATGAACAAGGCTTTTCCCGAAGCCGGGTCAAGAAAGGGTTATTCCGTACGGTGGCACAAAGGCATAAAGATCAATTGTCAAGCCTGATGAATCAGCTTCATTCGACCCATCCGCATTTCGTTCGTTGCATCCTCCCCAATCATAAGAAGAAGCCCAAACAATTCAACGGTCCTCTTGTCTTGGACCAATTACGATGTAATGGTGTTCTAGAAGGTATCCGGATTGCTCGAACTGGCTTTCCAAACCGTCTTTCTTTCAACGAATTTCGACAGCGCTATGAAGTCCTCTGCCGTGATATGCCCAAGGGCTATCTCGAAGGACAAAGTGCGGCGCATATCATGTTAAATAAACTCAATCTGGACAAGGCATGGTATCGCGTTGGATTGACAAAAGTCTTTTTCAGAGCTGGAGTGCTCGCAGAACTGGAAGAGAAGAGGGATGCTCTTATTCGGGAAATTATGACCTTATTCCAGTCCGCGGCTAGAGGTTTTGTCCAGAGGCGTATTGCGAATAAGAGACTGTACAGGGCCGAGGCAACTCGTATCATCCAGAAAAACTTTCACGTCTACTTATCTATGCAAGCAAATCCTTGGTGGCGACTGTTCACTGGGATGAAGCCACTTCTTGGAGCTACTCGAACTGCCGCCGAGGTTAAGAAAAGGGACGAAAAGATTTCAGCACTCGAAGCCAAGGCGCAGCAGGACCTGCAAGACCGCCACAAGTTAGAGGAAGAAAGGCGACGAGCAGAGTTGGAAATCAATCGCGTCAAGAAGACTCTGGAGAGCGAACGTGCTCTTGCACTAGATAAGGAAGAGATCTTCAAGCGCCTCCAAATCAGAGAGGTAGAGCTCAGTGAGAAATTGGCAGAAGCTATTGCCGACCAAGAGAACCTCGAGGGGCAACTTGATGAACTTATCGAGGCCAAGAGAAAGGCCGAGGAACAGCTTGATGCAAGGAAAATCCAATTAGAGCAAGCCGGACAAATCATCATGAAATTGGAGGCCGACAAAAAACAACTTCAGGAGAGACTATCCACGATGGATTCTACACTAAAGGAGATGGAGAACACACATTCCAAGAGAGACTCCCAAGTGCAGGACTTGACGCAGGAAATGAAGATGTTGCAAAGCCAACTCAACTTGAAGGAGAGGAAGCTACAAGATCTTGAGACCAAGCTGTTGAAGTCCGATCAGAATCTCGATGTGAAACTAGCAAAGACCTCCAAGGAACTTGAAGCATCCCGGATCCAAGTCAAAAATCTTTTTGATGAGAATAAAGCCATCAGGCAAGAGATTGCCGAGCTCTCCAAGACATCCACTGGCTACGAGGATTTGATTAGGCGCAAGGAAGGCGAACTCGTCGTGCTTCGTAACGATGCGAAAAGACACGAAGAGGCCAAGAAAAGTCTTGAAGTAGAGAGACAATCTCTCGGAGATCGACATGACAATATGCAAAAACGCCTGCGAGATCTTCAGGCTGAAATGGATGCAACAAAATCAGAGAAGCTTACTTTAGAGCGCGAGGCTGCAGATGTTAAGAAAATGCTTGAGGCCAAGATGACCGAGGATGCCGAAGCTGGCCACAGCAGAAGACTCCTTGAACAACAGGTACAGGACTTGAAGGCTCAGCTCTTCCAGTTGCAAGCAGATCTCAGCCGCGAGAGGCAATCGCGAGATGATGTTCAAATGCTAGGAGAACACAAGCTAGCCGAGCTGAAGGGCAAATACGAAAACTTGAACGAAGCGAAAATCACTATAGAAAAGGAAATGTATATCCAACAAGATACATTACGTCGCGCCACAGAGGCTCGTATCACTGCTGAACAAGCCCGCAAAGACCTACAAGCCGAACTTATCAGGCTACGCGAACGCTTTGCCAACGCCGAAAAAGCACGATTAGATGCGGAGAGTCATGTTGAGCGGAATTTGATAAAGCAAGCCAACGAGAAGCAAGCGGCTCTTCGCGATGAACTCGATGCAGTCTCTAGACAGATGCAGGAAGCGGAAGGGGATAAATCTCGTTTATCTGTTCAAGTACAGGAGCTTACACAGATGCTTGCGGATTCTGAGACCTTCCGTGAACGTCACGATCAACAGAAGGAGCGCCTAGAACGCGAGCTTGTTACTGTCAAGGGAAGGCTTACTGCGTCTGAAAATGACAATCGCGCCCTTCTCAATAAGATTCAGCAGAAGAACCTAGAGATCTCTCGTTCAAATTCAAAGGCTAGCGATAGTCAACGATCCCGGATTGTACAGCTGCAAAACGAGAAAGCAAAGTTGGAAGAGGAGCAAAAGAAGGTGCAGCGTCAGTTGGGCGATGCGCAAGTTACTATTACCTCTCTTGAAAAGCAGAAAGAGAAATTGGCTTTGACTGTAGAGGACTTGAATCATGAAGTTGCCCGGGAGCACAAGGCTAGTCGCAAAGCCGACGCAGCTTCGTCTACTGTTACTCTCCAACTAGCAGAAGCAAACAGAAATCTCGAAACAGAAAGACAAATGCGAAACCAGGCACAAGCCAATACTCGTCAGCTTCAAGCAGCCCTTGATCAAGCTCACAAAGAAATTGAAGGTTGTCATCAGCAGTTGATGCTTCTGCACAAAGTCTTTGATCCTGAAACCAACGAATCCAACGAGAGCCCCAAGTCTTGGGAGGCTATTCAGCCTGATCTCTCTAAGAAAGTGGACCTTGCTCAGCTTCTTGAATTGGCTCATAGCGACTTGCGCGTTGCCGAAGAAAGATACAGCAGGGCAGAAAGTCAATTGGCTGAGATGCGTCAACGTCATGAAGGGGAGATGAAGGAGATGGATGCTCGCTTCAGCTCTTCAAAGAGAGCTCTACTAGAGGAAATAGATAATAACCAGGTTGCCGCTCCTCGATCACCGACCCACATTCGAAAGAATTCGGAGAGTGCAAAGAGATTTTCCAATCCTTCCACTCCTAATCGGCGATTCAATCTCAATGAAGTCAATCAAGACTCTGGTCGATCAGATCGTACAGTCGACACTACAACTTTCCAGAAGCGGATGGACATGGCGACCGAGCTTGAAGAGTTACAAAACAAATTGCAGATGACGGAAATGCAAAATAGACACCTGCAAAATCAGCTTGAGCTTACTACCCCTAATCGCGACATGTGGCAAGATGATAGCCCATCAATCCGCCGTGTCCAATTGCTGGAACGTGAAAATGGCAGGCTACATGAAAAATTGGATGATTCGGCCAAGAAAGTTTCTGCTCTCGAGCGCATGATTCAAACGGGAGAATTATCCTTGCGAGATGTACAAGCTAAGTCTCATGAGGAGCTCTTTGATCTACTCAATTCCCAGGAGCAGTCGAGGAAGTCGCTTCTCAACGTAAACAAAAGTGCAATGGCAGAACTTACTGATGCCAAGTCTCAGTTTGACAAATTAAAGAGAAGCAAGGCTGCTCTAGAAGTCGAGCTGAGAGATGCTCGCTCTGATCTTCAGGACTCCGAATACTCAAGAGAACAGGATGCTGCTAGTCGAAACCAGCTATTGCAGGAATTCTCTGATCTACAAATTCGTCTCGATGCCGAGGAGTCGAAAGTCATAGATTTGACGTCTAGCCTCAGTCTATACAAGAGTCGTGCCGATGAGTACTTCAGCAAGCTTGAACAAGCGGAGATCGCGGTACTCAAAGCTGCTCGAGCCGAACAATTTGCTAAATCGCAAGCCAAGGAAGCAGAAGATACCTGTGCGACAATCATGGCCGATCGTCAGCGCATGGACTCGCTTGTCGAAGATCTACAGCGACAAGTTCAATCGTACGAAGAAAGAGTTGAGGACCTTTCTGCTGATCTCGAAGGGGCTCTCCAGGGTAAGCGACGTCTGCAAAATGAGCTCGAAGATTATAGGAATCATAGAGCATCGGAGATTGAGGATAAAGAAGCTTCTCTCGAGCAAACAAGGAAAAAGTATCAGAGAGAGTTTGCAACAATTACGAACGAGCTTGAGATCGAGCGAGAAAACCTTCTTCATGTTCGTGACGAGAATTCCAGATTGCGTGAAGAGTTGGAAGACTTGCGCAGCAAGTGGGATAATGAGGTGCTTAACAGCTCAACGTGGGCCAAGGAGAAGTCTCGCCTGGAAATGACATTGCAAGACGTCTCTTCCTCACGTGATGAAGCCGTCAAAGCACACAATGATGCTCAAAGCAAGGTTGTGTCCTTATTGTCACAGGTGCGAAATCTGCGTACTTCTGTTGACGACATCACTTCGGAACGAGATTTCTTAGCCAAAGACAAGAGAGTACTGGAGTCCCGACTGAAGGAGGCTACTGACCGACTCGAAGATCTGGCAAACGGCGATAGCCCTTCAATGAGGGATGCGGCTGGTATGGATCGCGAGATCCTTGAGCTCAAATCAAAACTAGCTCAGCACGAAGATGTCTCCGCCGCTGCAGTTGGAAAGATGCGTCGAGCAGAAGCTCTTTCCGTTGAAATGCAGAAAGAATTAATCGCCGAGAGAGAAGCAAACGCCACTCTTTTCAAGGACAAAGCATCTCTAGAGAAGCAACTGAAGGAGGTTCAGCTTCGATGTGTCGACTTGGAAACCAAGGGGTATTCATCAGCTTCTCAGGATATCAAATTCCTACACAAACGAGTTAAGGAGGTAAGTGTCTTGACTTTGAAATATTAATACTTGATGCTAATTAATCTTGGTTTAGCTTGAAATCCAGCTGGAGGAACAAGAGTCCAAATACAGTGCCGAGCAGCGCTCCACACGTAATGTCGACCGCACAGTCAAGGATTTGCAGTCACAGATTGAACGGCGAGACAAGATGAACGCACAGTTGACTGACGACATCACCAAATCTCGCGACAGGATCGAGCGTCTCCTCCAAACAATCGATGAGCTTCAGTCGACTGATTCTCAAAGTCAATTGCAAGCCAAGCGGGCCGAGCGAGAATTGCGTGAAGAGCGCGAGAAAGCTCTTCGACTCGAGAGAGAGCTAGAAGGGTGGAAGCAATTGCGTATCGAGAGAGGCAGCATTGCTGGGAGAGCCAATGGATTGAGCGACGTTGCTAGTCGGCGTGGCAGTGGCGTATACGTCGCTAATGGCACAGTCGAAGTACCCCAACGAAAATTCAGCAACACCAAAGGCTTCATCTGAGCTGAGCAATAGAGCTACCGAATCGGTATATTACATCATTTCTGAACATTTTTGATTCTTCTTTCTGCTGTTTTTGCATGTGCAATTCCTGCTGGGGCGGATTTAGGTTGTTTAGCGTTTTGACGAGGATGCTATGATTTGGGAGCAATGGACATTCGCGGAAATTAAGAGAGGGCTTCTCATTTGTGTTCTGTTTATACTATGTGCATTCGTATGTATTATGTTTTTCATTAAGGTGCGTTTGATTTGGTTGGTGTGTGTTTTTGTCTAGCCAGTCATGTGGATGCACATATTTTATTTCCAGATTCAAGTACTTCGATTCAAATGTATCATACATTAATGTCAGGTAAACAACATCGAGTGCAATGTAAAAGATTACCGCATAACACTTTGGCAAAAATATTTCAGTCTCTAATTTATGTAGGATATCATGCTCTGTTCACAGCAGTCGTCTTGACCTGCCTGATCATTTCGGATGCTATCAGGAGTAGAGAATATGTACTTCTGAGTATAATAAAATATCCTCAGACACATCTTAATAACTTCTTTCTAGAGAGATCAGTGTATTGAGTTGGGCGCTGAGGTGAAGTTAGGGCACAGTTGTTCCATCCGAAAACGGACTAGCGCAAAATGTCAAAGCTTCAACGTCGAAATGTCGATTTCAACCTCAACCCGAAAATGACATCTTTTTCCTCTTCACATGAAACAACTTTAAATCGCGCAAATCAAGATTCCAAACCTTCTCTCGATCTGTATGAGCGAATTGAATACCAGGATCTCATAACACATTCTCTCAGTCGCCAAAATGGTAAGTCGTGTCCTAAAGTTCTTTTTTTCGGCGCAAGCCATCACCAAGCTTACACATTCTACTTCCACAGGCTCGAAACAGCGAGAAAGCACAGTCTATGCTGTTCCGATTCCGAGCGGCACAGGCAGCAGATCTCGGAATTCTCGACATCGCGCGAACACGTCGACCTAAGGGCATTACACAGATAGATTCTATACCAACCGCAGAAAAATGGCGAGGTCAAGTGCTCAAAGAAATATCGCGCAAAGTCACCCGAATCCAAGATCCCAGTCTCAGCGATTACCAAATTCGAGACCTGAATGATGAGATCAACAAACTCATGAGGGAGAAACATATGTGGGAGTCACAAATTCGGAATTTAGGCGGACCGAACTACATGCGTGGCGGGGGAAGAGTTTATGACGATGAGGGCAGGGAGATTCCAGGGGGTGGGAAAGGTTACAGATACTTTGGACGTGCGCGAGAGCTCCCTGGTGTCAAAGAGATGTTTGAAGCTGCGGCGAGAAAGAATCGACCAGATGAAGAGGAAACCGAGAGCGGAAAGAAAGCTGCCGAATTATTTCGCAAACATGTTGATGCTGCTTACTTCGGTTATGGGCGAGACGAAGAAGAGGATGCCCTGGTAGCTTACGAGCAAAAGCGTGAAAAGGAGGCAATCGAGAATATGATTAAGAATGGAGAGGATGATGCCGAGGATGGCTGGGAACCGTTGCCTGGTGATGCTGGTGACGGTGTAGAATGGAGGCTTCCTACGCTCGAAGAAGTTCAAGAAGAGCTTGTGGATAGAAGGCGGCGAAGACTTCTGGACAAGATCTCATAATTGCATGTACTTGATGAGAATTATGTTCCATGTCATTCAAACACACAATGTACTATTTGTACAGTATCTTTTTTAGCGATTATTCAAATTGGGGATCTATTTTACATCATAAGGTACACGATTCTTATACATAGCACATTCGCTATCTTCTCTCTGAGCTGCTTATTATTTTCATCGCAGTGGAGCTTTTCGAAGTTTCTATCCGCTCCTGCTGTTTCTGTTTCCTTTCAAGCGTGATAGCCTTGAGTCGTTGCGTCCGACTAGGACCAAATTCCTTCAGAGTTCCCTCCTTTCGTGCCGTCAATTCTTCCTTGACATCATCTAGAACAAACTTCCCTAATTCCCCCGACCGCCACTTCTGCACAATATTGATGGCGGCTTGTTCTATGTTAGGAATAGCACCTTTGGAGAGCAAACCCACTTGGTGAGCGAATTGCGTAAGCAGCGGCATAACTTCGTTTGTAGGCTCAGACCACTTTTCATAAACTTTTGGATCATGTAAGTTGATTTGGTACAGAAGATAGTCTGCCAACGTGACAGGAGGAATAATCGTGTCTTTGACGCAGCCGCAAAGAGCAAGTTTCAGCATCCTCTCAGCGTCGGGCATGTAGGGGACAAACACTCCGGGTGTATCCAGAACATATATTGATGATCCGTCCTCTCTTTCTACCACCTTGACGGGAGTACCAATCTTGCGCGTTACACCTGGATGCTCGCCAGTTTTGAGCGCTTTGGCTTTATGGACGCCCTGATTCCTCAGGGTATTAATCAAAGATGATTTCCCAATGTTTGGCATTCCGACAACCATTGCTCGACAAGCTGCTATTCGGTGGGCGGTTGATTTATCCGATTTCAAATGTCTCAGAACAGTACTGACAGAGTCCGCGGAAGTAGACGTCGTGAAAAAGACGGTAGTTTTGGGGTCGAGCTTGCGCATTAATTCTTTATTCTATATAAATCATGTTTAGCCCATGGTATACAACTTAGTTTAGACTTGGATTTGTTCACTTTTCGTGTCACAGCATCGGCCGCTCCTCCTAGATCTCTTTTCGTATATACAATGAGACGTTGTTTATCCCCCAGTGCCTCCTCAAACATGGGATTGATGGAAGTAATCGGTACCCGGAAATCCCGACATTCGATGATATAATCTATACTCGATATCATACTCTTCATTTTCTCTAGACCAGCCTTGTGATGGCCCAGGAAGTATGAGCGCGGAATCGAGTCATATTGAGGGAACACGGCGCGCGGAACGAATTTAGCGGTCATCGTTGTCGATACAGTGGTGGCGCTTTCGATTGAGTTTCTGGAGATGCGGGCATCATATCAGCTACTAGCTGATTCAATCACACACTGCCGAGTGCTTTTGTCGTTTCAAAGGAGTCTACTGTTAGCGGAGTCGGCATCGGAGGAAAGCAATATTTTGTCGGCAGAATATCAAAGGCGGTGAACAAGCAAGCCCTATGACGTAACCTTTCTCGTTGGCTTGGGCTCTGATAACAATTTAACTTTGCTGTCTATTTGGAAACTACAAAATCCAAAATTCTCGCTGATTTTGGCAAGATGAAGATTAGTCATTTGGAATCTATAACAACTATGTCTCTTGATCAGGAGAAATCTTCGTGACAATAAAGGAGAAAGGTGCGGGGTATGGTATCTGGGCAAAGCTTGTCATAGTCTGACTGACACCACTTCCAGATAACAGAGCATTTAATATTTGATATTATCTGAGGCCATTGGGAGGAACAAATCGTACATCACATTAGCAAAGTCCCAAAGTTTTCGGTATAGGCGCCTCAATGTCTCTGATTACGGCCTTCCGTCCTCGGTCCACCAGGATCTCGTCCGCTTTGCGACACCGGTCAGAAAGAGCACGTCGTCGCCATCAGGCAAGTTCCCCAGGTGATCAGACTAGTGTACCTGAAGATGGTGAACAAGGAGAAGACCTTGACGCCCATTCCATCATTACTCCATCGAAGCACACGCCCAAGCCGTGGCGTGCTTTGAAGGGCTCTGTCGCTAGAGGAGGTCCTCTTCGCCCATTCCGACTTTTGAAACAGGACATCGTCAATGTTCGCAGGCGCTATCTGTCCGACTGGACGGTGTTTAATCAGCAGATATTTGCTAGCGCTGTATACGTGTTCTTCACCAATCTTCTTCCAGGCATCACGTTTGCGAGTGATCTTTACGTCTTGACTGGAGCGAATTGGGGAACCATCGAAGTTGTCTTCAGCACTGGTCTTTGCGGTATCATCTTTGCTCTTGCTTCGATACAGCCATTGACTATACTCGGCGTGACTGGTCCATTCTCCGTACTGGCCGAGAATATATATGCGTTGTGCATTGACAGTTTCAAGGTATGAAAATTATGTCCCCGGGTGAACGTCAATAGCCTAACAACCAGATCAGATACCCTTTCTACCATTCATGGCATGGTCATTGATCCATGCTGCCTGGATGCATTATATACTGGCTATCGTCAATGCCCATGACTGGACAATGCGATATGTCACAACCTTCTCGACCGAGATCTTTTCGTTGTTGAACAGTGTGATCTATTTCCACAAGGCCATTCAGGAATTGCAACGAGCTCACGACAGTCTTTCATTTGCGGCATTTCTGTATGCAGTTATTGGCGCCGTCGGTACCATGCTTCTTGCAATATTCCTCTCGACCGCTGAATCGTGGCGACCATTGTTCCACCGATATATTCGGCTCGGACTTGCAGAGTATGCCGCTGCAATCTCCATAATTATTTTCATTGGCATGCCTCACGTCGGAGAACTAGCAAACTTGGACAAGATGACCCTCAATGTCAGTCATTCATTTCGGCCGACCTCCCCAGAACGTGATACATTCTTTGTCCATTTCTGGACTTTGCCCGTAGGCTGGATACTGGCTGCCATATTACCCGGGTTGATCATCACAGTACTCTTCTTTTTCGACCATGAAGTGAGTTCGATAATTTGTACCATTGATAGGTACGGGACCCGAAAGCCTGGCGGGTTTGCATGGGATATCGTTCTACTAGGAACGACGACGGCGATCTGTGGAATTCTGGGAATTCCTCCGGCAAACGGACTACTCCCTCAGGCTCCTCTTCACTCGGAGTCGTTGATGTACTCGGAACATGAGCAGCACACGGTGATTGTGGACGGCGAAGAAAAAGTAGAGTCCCGCGAGGTTCGACGTGTCTATGAGCAACGGTGGTCGGCATTTTTGCATGCCGGTGGCATCATGCTTTTCGTCAGTCCGCCGTTTATGACTGTCCTGGGATTGACCCCAACAAGCGTGTTAGCAGGGTTGTTCCTGTTCATGGGAGAGCAGAGCTTATCCGTCAAGTACGTACCGCTCTGACCACAAACCTCTATGCCAGAATTTGCTAACCACATAAAATAGCCCTATACTATACCGCTTCTTCTACATCCTGACCCCACCGTCAGAACTCCCTCAGCTGCCTGCCGCTCTCCATAACAAAGATTCCCCTTCTGAGAGACCTTCCTATCTCCCCATCCATTATTACACCATCCTGCAGATCGTCCTCACAGCTGCGGTCTTCGTTCTCACTTTGACGAAAGCTGCACCGGCATTTCCGGTCCTTATAATTGCTTTAGTCCCCTTCCGCTTGCTCTTTATGAAACGTTGGTGGAATCGCGAAGTACTCCGATTCGTCGATGCATGGGCATGCCGTGAAGGTACGCCTGAAGATGATGAGGACCAGCAAGCTCAAAGCAAGATGATGAGTAATGCCGCTGAGGGCGCTGTGTTTACCGCCGATGCTTATCCTCTGAATAATGGACGAAATGTGAATGCAGAGTCATATGTCGCGCGTCGTGAAGATGCTGGCGCACGGGAGACTTCTGATACGGATCATGCGCAGGAGTGGATAGAGCTGGATTTGCATGAACCAAGGGCTCCGGCAGATGAAGAGATCGGTGCCCCGACGGACAAGAATTTTGACGCTTAGTGTGTTGGCACTACAATCCTTACTTACAATATAAATGGGTTTGCGCAGCACGTGTGTTATACAATAATCGCTGTTATGCTGTGTAACATGGCCAGGTGATGGGTCATATTTCGATGTAGTTTTATTTTGAAAAAAGAATCAAATTTCGGCATCGTTCATAGAAAAATATCTTTCTCTAACCTATAATAGCAATGAATTAGGGCACTAAAGCGTGCATTCTCTTGTACATTGGCAGTGTTTGGTAATAGAGTGTTTGAGTCCAGTGGTTTCACCTCATTTGGTACATGGCACATGGTTCTGGACTCTGGACACTTTGTCAACTGGTACAGATCTGCCTGAGCCATGGTGGCTATCCGTCTATATTGTGTAAGAATAGCTCGCAAAGACCTCGTCTAGACTAACCCTCGATAGACTCCACGGCGAGTATTGATCCAGGTCGGTGATGCGGGAACATGAAGAATATAGGGCGCAATTCTGTGGTCGCTCGCATCTCGATCTTGCTAAGCGAGCTTTGATCGTGGAATTTACGGCCGATAAAGTGTATCGTTTCACGTGCGAGTCACTCGTAGAAATATCTAAGGAGCACTATGTGCACCGAAGGGGTTCAATCAAGTCCTCCATCCTTGCACAAAATCATGCAGCCGATCAATAACAACGCCAAAAATAGCATTCACGCTGTCAGAAATCAGCTGCTCAAAATGTCTAATGGCCTCTTCTTCGCTCAGTTCCAAGTGAAACCGTTCCTTCACCTTGAGCACAGCCTTATCCGGCTCAACTCTGATATCTGGAATATTGGCGTCCACCATCAGACTGAAGAGATTCAGAATGAGGTTTGCGGACTTGCGGAGAGTGGTATAAGCTGTGAAGCAATGTTGTTTGAATTGAAGGTAGTGCTGGGAATTGGCACCTCCCATGCCTTCGACCATTTCCTTGCAGAGTTTCATCATCGGTGCGAAGGGTTTGGGGTCTCGTCCGAGGATGAAGCCAAAGTCTGCATGGAAAAAATGCCCATCTGGTGCTAGGAGAAGATTCTCGAGATGGCGATCTCCAACACCAAGGAGATATGTGACGACACAATAGCCAGCACATGACTTGATATATATGTCCATGGTTTCTTTGCGGACACCAAGCGGTTCTGAGTCATCGGGATTATTGGCTCGCAAGTATGCGAGTATAGAGCCTTTGTATTTCGCCGATGCCGCTGATAAGGAAGTTGAAGGGATGAATTGTGCCGCTCCAGCGGTTGCGCCAGTCGCCAGAATGCGGTACGGAGTAAGTTTCAGGTCCAAGTTCTCCTTTTGTAGCAATTGGTCCATCAGGGTGATGATCTGAATGACTAGCTGGTCCTGACGTAGATCGTCGCCAACCTTGAAGAAAACTGGATATTTGCGGCCGTCGGACGTTCTGAAGTTGACAAGTAGCGGGGACAGAGAAGATTTGAAGACGTTAGATTCGTCAGGGAAGCATCCCGTTATAATGACACTCGGATCCAATGGTAAGGGCAAAGGCGGATCAATGGTGATAATCTCATTCTTGGGATCCTTGAGGTATTTCTTCAGTTTGTCGATTTTGACAGCGCGGTTTTCTCTCGAAAATCGTAACTCTTTTGTGATTCGTGTCAGGACAGTGATTAATTCGCCTTGCCGGAGCAAAATCTTTCGATTTTCTGGATGGACTTTCTCTAGCTCTGTCATGAAGTAATATTCCACGCGAGCGAACAAGCGCCGATGAGATGCCAGGTTTGCGATACCTGTGTCGTCACATTCAACCATGAGATACCAGTGCAGATAGTTGCCAAGGACAAAGTTATTAGCAGCTCGTGCTATCAAGAAATTTGCTAAGGACGAGTCATGTGCAACTTCTTCTGCGGTCTCTTCGGGTGTCTTTTCAAATTTTAGGGCTTGTACGAGTTGTAGAAGATATAGGAGAAGCTCGTCATCTCCGGCCTTTCGCAAACGTTCAACCGCATAAGCACGAACCGTGGAATTATCGAAAGTTGGTCCCAATAGTTCCAGAGCGTCATCAACATCAATCTCGGTCCATTTGGGCAGAATCTCCATGGCTTGTCGAGCCTCGCCAAGATCTCTCCAATTGACTGATTTGATGAATTTTGTGAGTGCCTTCTTGTCTCGTGTCAAGTAGTACCTGAACCTCCAAATTAGATCCTTTTCTTCAGCTGTCAACTCATGAGTTGGCCCATAAGACATGATAAAGTTCAATTCGTCACGAATCTTGGGATTAGGCTTGAGATCACGGTCCATAATTCCAGTTCGATGGCTACGTACAAGCCTTCTGTGCTTGTCTTCGCAAGGGTTGCCGGTCTGTCCAACTTCCGGGTCATAGATTCTAACAACTCGGTATGTCCCGGCATCATCAGGACCTTCAATACCTGGACCTAAGCGAACTTCAGGTAGCGGTTTGAGGGTGGCTGTGGGGTTGTTCTGTACAAGTGAGGGATGCGTGGAAACTGGTGGAGGAGGATATTCGTAATCGTCCCAAACAATAGGATGGTCAAATCGTGGGAATTCAACATAGAGGAGGAAATTCTCTTCGTACAAGCTTTCTGTGTCAGAGTCATCTTCGTGAACCCCGTTCTCTCTCTGATTGGGTTTTTGTTTCGTGGCTTGAACTATGGTTGCTCTTTTCTTCGCGGCTTCTTCCGCACTTGTTTTGATTTTTTCTAGTTGACGAAAAACCAGCTGGTCCAGCCAGTCTACACGGGTCATTTCGCCCATCTCATGTTTCTTTATTAGCCCCTCGATACGCTCAAGTTCGGCTTCCTCGGGTGACTGAGTGAGAGGAAGTGCACCATGGGTCTTGCGACGCTGAGCAGGCGGTATAGCTGGCGTTGTACTTGACGAAAATCCGTCCGCAGCTTTATTCCGGTAGATTTTGCATTTTTGTCTTCCCATGCGCAATTTCCCATCGGTGTCAAATAGCGATATTGTGGTCCCACCGAAAGGTACGCCATGGCCGTTCGAAGCTTCCGTACCAAGGGGCGAGAGGTCCCAAACCGTAATTGCCAACTGCGAGCCTAGAGGAGCATCTTTTACACATATTGGCATTTGTAACCATTCGTTCCATGTGCGACTCGTCTTGAAGGATTTATACGATGTCTGCATCGGCACGCCGAGGGGCTTGGAATCGGACCATAGCTGAACAGTGACAAAGAGGTCTGACGCAGGGCTCTGGTTGGATCCGAGATGTCGCAACTCGGGGTCTTTGAGGAGTATGGAATATGGGATAGGCTTCTGTTTGCCCTCTAAAGCGCCGCTGAGTGATGGTTCATTAGTCTGTTGTTGTACTACATCTCCGAGCTGTTGATTTGACTTACATCTTTACCTGCACGGGAAAGTCGACCTGAGTGGAGGTCGCAAACGTAAAGGCTTCCATCTCCGTATAGCGTTAGATCCTCCAGCTACGGCCTTCCATCACAGGCGAAGAGAGAACAAGTGACGATGTCTGGTTGTTATAGTACCTGTTGTTGTTGAAAAGGGAAGGCGGTGTACAGCTTGAGTCGATGACGATGATGCCTGAGCGGCAAGGCATCACGATGGCCCCGCAGGCGCGTCCAGAAGCTAAACGCGCTATTAATTGTCTCCTTATAATGCTTCTTTTGGCGACGTCTTGATTTCGCGTTTATTTCGGCATGCGTTTGTTCACTTTCAATACTTGCGGTGTTTGAAGATTTGATATTTATATCAGCCTTGTGACCCATATACCTTGCCCCATAGTAGGGTGCTCGAATCGCTGCGCCGCATTTTAGATCAAACCTGTTCCGCTCAGAACAATCGTGCTCGAACATGGCTCCCTCCAGACTTTCCACTACCATATATCAAGACGATCAGCTTTCATCACCTTCTTCACCATCTGCGACTTCATCTGACAAAGAAAATCAAAATCGCCGACCATCACAACTTGGAAAGAGGAAAAGCAACATGGCGCTGGATACTTCCGCAACAGGATCATCGTCAAGCACCAAGCGAGTACGACTGGCTGAGTTACAAGGAAATGCAGAATCTACACAGTCCTCTCAGCCACGCGCATCTCAAAGAGCTGTCAATGATTACTACGATCCAGATCAAGATGTCGCAGAGCGTCGAAAGATTCGCAAAGGTCTCAGAGACCTGCAACGTGAAATGAATGGTAGGTTTGGCGTCGGTTTGATAATTAACATGACTATGCTAATTAGAAACAGACTGCAGAGGTGAATTTCTTCAGACCGATAACAAGGGTATCCTCAACACCATCCAGAAAGCGAACGAATATTTTGCCCAAGTGAAACAAACATCAGACGCGACCGTCGATTCTGCGCTTTTGGTCAATGCGGCAGATCTGTCATATAAAAAAGCAGCGCGTGCGTCGGATGGACTTGCCGCTGGTATAGATGTGGACGAATTTGTCTCCAAATGCTTGTCCTTTATGCGCCAAACTCCTGCAAATGGGTCGTCGAATGGCCTCGGTACACAACGCCGCACACAAAACAGAGGGAACGCTGACGAAAGCGACGACGAAGGAGTCGATGATACATTAAATTGGGATTTACTGGGTCGAGCTGCTTGTTTCCCGTACAATACACGCCCCTCATTATCTGGATTCCTTCTGGGTCCATTATCCGTCCAGAAACGCACTCGACAGCTTACGCAACGCAGAGCGGCAAATCAGATCGACAGGACACAGGTTGTACGACCGCAAGACCTCGAAGAGCAAGATCTAGATAGACAAGAGTCATCGAACCTGACTGTCATGTGCACTAAGATTAGCAAACTCTTGAAAGAAGTGGCAGATGCACGTACGAATACTGTCGATGAGGAATTGCGCGCGTTGGGAAGAGAACCTACAACTGAGGAGATTGAGGCAGCTATGGACAAGCATCAGATTTCCGACATTGGAGGTATTTTGCTATTCCCATTTGCCATTAACCCGAAGTCCTTTGGGCAGAGTGTCGAGAATTTGTTCTACATTAGCTTTCTGATCAGAGACGGCAATGTTGGAGTTGGTCAGAACCGCCATGGTCTTGTTACTATACGTAAGGTTCGCTCTATGTGCGATTTTTCCCATTAAGCTAACGTGTTATACTCAGAACCTTCGACGCCATATGCTCCACTCGAGGCGCAGCAAAGGGGCATTCAGAAGCATCAGCTTATCTGGAGTCTCAATTTCGAAATATGGCAGCAGCTAGTTGAAACCTTTGACATTAAAGAATCCATCATACCACACCGAAACGACGAGGAGTTCCAGCGACAAAATCAACATGGTTGGTACAGTTGAGCTATATTTTTTTCTGGGCTAGTTTTTATTCCATGCGTGCGGCGAAATTATTGGCGGGAGGACGTGGTGTTGCTTGATACCCTTGCTGGTTTGTTCTTTGTTATTTGCGAGAGCTCTAGAATACACAATTCTAAGACACTGCTCGGATTGGCAATGATCAGTCATCTATCCCGTACACCGTCAAATCCTGACTCATGTGAGGCCAAGCATAGACAGCACTATGCGCACCACCAAAAAAGCTCAGCTTTCTATTTCCTCTGAATTGCAACCCAATCTTCTGCAACACACGAGCGCTACGTGCATCATTATGCCCACAGAACCCGAAAACGTCGTTGATCCCAAGCTCCCGACGCGCATAATCCAATAACCCAATACTGGCTTCTGTTGCATATCCTTTACCACTTTCTTCGGGCAGAATAGTATAGCCAATATCCGGCGCATAGTAAGCATTCGGTTGCTCGCCCTTCATCAAGGAGACCACCCCGATCAACCTGCTCTCCGCCAGAGATGCGTCTGGATGCGGTTTCAGGGATACCAGGAATTGGCCATGCTTGTTTCTTAGATAGTCATTATGGACCCTATTTTTGATGAAAGCAGCTGCTTTTTCGAGGGTATCAAGGCCTGTGTTGCCTTCCGATTTGATAAAATCGTCCGTGTTCCAGAGACGGACTAGGAAATCGCTATGTTCGGGGTTGTCCACTTGGAAGTATGAGATGTGTAAGCGATCCGTTGGGATGCTGAATGTTGGCGAGGGCGACCATTCGTCGGACATTTTGCCTTTCGGATTAGCTGGCTGCGTGTAAGTCTACTGTGGTTCGGAAGCAGAGGGAATTTATATATCCAGATCATTGTTTGTGCGTGGTGACTCAGCATTGCTGCCTTGCACCATCTCGCATCCCCATTATCAATCGACTATTCCATATCGAGAGATTGATTCACAACCTACGACACTAGTTCATCGTCAATCCTAAAAGAGTGTACGATGCTACCCATTCAAGAACTTAAACCGAGGCGGAGCTGGACGAAATCGCATCCGAGAATATCTGGATAAACGAAGCATAAAAAACACTTGTAGAAGCAATAGAAGAAATCTGGACCCTTCAAGCTTAGTAAGTGTCACATGAATCGTAACGGCGCAGGCTATGATTGGACAGAGCACTTATCGGATTAAGCAAGAGGTTAAGGTTTGGGCCTCGGCCTGCGCCTTCCCGATTGGGAGTGGAGCTTCCTCTGGTGGACGTCATTTCTAAGCATCCAGTCTGGACTTTCCTTGACTTACACTTCTTCTTATAAGGAAGGACATCTACGAGTACCGTTCTCACTTTGCAACATATTCGATTGTGCAAATCAACCAAAGACTACTCGCCATGAGCTCCAAATTATTCCCTGGTGACCCGAAAAAGGTCATGGTGATCCGACAAGTCACGTCAGACATCACCACGTTCAGTGTCCCATTCAATCGCTTCGGGCTGATCAAGTTTGGTGGCAGAGGTACTCTCGGTATGTCGTGGATCTCGTCATTTCTTTGAAAAACCGCTGCTGATATGCGGCCAGTCAAACTTGCGACAGGAAACATGCTCGTCGTCTCGCCAGTCGCACTGACCTCCGAGGTAGAGCAGACAATCGCAACGCAGGGCGGACGGATCAAATACATTGCCGCGCCAGATATGGAGCATCATATCTACCTTACAGCCTGGAAAAAGGCCTTCCCGGACGCAGAAATCATTGCGCCCGAGGGCCTATACGAAAAGCGACAGAGCAACCCGGACCAGAAAGATACACAGTTCTCACATATCCTCACCAAAGCCAACAAGCACGACATCCACATATCAGAAGAATTCGACCGCGAAATCGATATTGAGTACGTCGACGGACACGGCAACAAGGAGATTGTCTTCCTACACAAACCCAGCAAAACCATGATCCAGGCCGATCTTATTTTCAACTTACCCGCCAACGAGCAATACTCTCGCACGGGCGAGTCTCCTAGGTCGGGCATCATCACCAAGCTGTTTGCGCCCTTGATCTCAGCCAATCCGCCGCCAGCGACATGGCACAAGCGGTTTGTGTGGTATGTCACGGCCAACGATCGCAAGAGCGTTGGTGAGTCTGTTGCAAGGATGGATAAGTGGGACTTTGATCGGATTATTCCCTGCCATGGTGATGTCATTGAGACGGGAGGTAAAGCATTGTTCCAGAATGTGTTTGAGTGGTTTTTGGAGGGGAAGAATAAGAAGCAGCAGCGGCAGCAATAACGCCAGCGAAAGGAGACCTGTTTTGATATTCTCTAATAATCCCTAATGATCAAGTGTATTTTTATAGGAAGTTTCTGGTATCCGATGGTTGCTCGTTTGATCAAAAACCAGTTGATAGCATTATGATACATTGTGTATTGTTTTTAACAAGAAGAACAACAAGAAAGCGACCTTTTGAAGAACGAGTCTAGTAATTCTCAGTAGCCTGAGTAACCACGCCGGACTGAAGAGCGACGTTCTCCACAACAACCTGATCTCCATCGATACTGGTTACCCTGACCCAGGCCGTATCGTCGGGAAGAGTTCCATCAAGAATCCACATATTGTAGTTCTCGAGCACAGCGGCTGTCCATGTCGCGCCACTATCACTGCTCACCTCGAGCTTGGCAGTACGAAGTCGAGCATTCTCGACAGTCGCGGCGAACCACCATTTGCTAGCACCACCATGCATTCTGATTTCAAGGGGAGTTGTTGTTGCGATTGGGCAAGTGATCCACTCCCACTCGATACCATCCACGCCACCGCCAGAATAGCCATTGGTAAGCTTGCTCCAGGTAGCAGGTGTCATATCCAGGTGAGTAGCATTGCCACCGGTTTCATTGGTCACCTTAGAAAAATCAAACGTGAGTAAGTTTCAATTTGATGAGCATGTAAACGTACCATCACAGTGATAGTCTTTCCCTTGTACGTAACAGAGATACAACCACCACAATTAGCCCCGTTGTTCCAGATATCTTGCGAAACACAAGTACTGCCATCAATGCCAGCAGGGAGTGTATAGTCGACGAAACTGCAAGCGCCACCTTGCCAGCAGTCTTCTTCAGTACAATCGTCGCCGTATCTGGTACCCAGTCCCACGAAGGTCTCGGACGTCGAGGCAGTTGGTGCGGATGTAGCAGTAGTAGTAGTAGAAGAAGAAGAAGAAGAAGAAGAAGAAGAAGAAGAGATTGGCTGAACCGTAGAAACCGAGGTTGTAGAAGTCAGAAGCCCTACAGTCGTCCAAGCCGCCTGAGTAGAAGACGCAGCAGCAGGAGTTCTTGAGGTAGTAGATTCCACCGCAGAAACAGGCGAAACAGATGATACCGCAATAGAACTCGGGTGCACTGGAACAGAATAGGTTTCTGTAATTGTCTTCACAACCACGACCTCATCTGCACCGGCAGGACAAGTATCCTCGCCTGCGAGAGACCCAGCGGCCAGGAGGAGCGGAAAAAGAATGAATTTGCTGAAATACATTGCTGGGTCTGTCAAAGCCCAAAATATAAAGATGAGTAAAGAAATGAAGGTAAAGAAATGAATGAAGGAATGAATGAATGAAGGAACGACTGCTTAATTTTGTTGAATGAAGCCATAGATGGGAATTACTGATTGATATATGTAGAAAAATCAGGCTTCAAAACGCAGTAGATTCATATTGATTAAAAGCACGGTGTGATCTTGCATACCAGACCCTCTGATAATTGTTTCGCCGACCTGACTTCCAGAATCCGTCAAAAGCCGAAACTAGCCATGAAAACAATTAGTTAGTTGACTGATTCAGTTGAAACAAATTGATGTTTCGTAACACGGCTTAAAGTTTAGTGATAGGCCTAATGTTCTTTTAGGGCTATGATAAGATGCCTTTGGGAAGAACCTCTGGTGGATCCACTCGCTATCCTATTAATTACATTAAGGGCGCGGTAAATTAAGTCCTATGTTGATTATTGGTTATGCCCCTGAAATTTGTAGAACGGGTCTTATAGTAGAGTAATAAGACAAGCTAAGACCAGTTGACGTTATCTACTATGTATATATATGGTATTGGTAATGTCGACAATCGAAAGCAGAAAACCGAGAACAAACTACGCACTACGCTTGTATACAGAGTGTGAGCTATCAAAGGGTACTACTCATCGGGAATGGCACCGACTATACATAGTATTCGTGAGCATATCTTGTCATTGCTGATTTCATATGGTCTCCTATGTAATGTGCCTGTTTTATAATGTGCCTGTTTTCGGGCCGTCCGGTCGGCATATGGACGTTTCAAAATGATTAGCTTCTCGTCGAAAAAATCGGTTAAAAACAGACATATTGTCTAATATCAGCCTATTTACCCGCGACTGTGGGCAAGAAAGAGATATCAGTCGCCAGGACATACTCGCTGGCCAACATCCCAGTCCATCTTCCTTCATCAATTCCATACAATTATTGAACTCGGACATTGTCTTCAGGCACGTTGCTGTCTTGATACATTTCCCTCAGCTCATGCCAAGTCCTCGCTAAGACCCTTATTTTTCACACGATCAGGGAATTCAGGTAATTTTATAGTCTACCTACAGTACTACGAAATAAGTGTTGACACCCTTGTGCGGGTATTACGTATACCTAGGGGTGTCAACACTTATTTCATCCCACTGTAATATACCTATGAACGCAGTCCTATGTGAAACAGGAGTAGAAGCTGAAAAGCCCCAGAGGAGTTGGGAGTACATTAATTGGGCTGGACAAGTCATGGGACTTGTCAAGCCCTACCACCGTAGGCAAGTGTCAAAAGTCCAGGCTGGTAAGGAAGAAGGCTGCAGTGGCCGACAGAGCTAGGCAATCTCCTCTTAGAGAGAAATTACTTAACCCTAAAATCGTCATTCGGGATTCAGCAGATATACTACCCATAAGAACAGTCACACGTGGGTTGCATGACGAGCATTTTATAAAGTATCATCGGAAATAGTAGAAGAGGAGTCACGAATATTTCTTCTATGCGCCGTTCTCCGCAAATCAGTCGATAAGCATCTGACAGCGTGGACTGTTGTTAGTGTCAGATGATTTTTTTTGTTGTTGTTGTCAGGCACATAATGACGTCATCGATAGAGCGCCGGTCGATGACGTCGGAGGTACCTGAGAAAGCCTCAGTACGGGAGGCATATTATTCCCCGGACGTGTTTCTACTGGCTATCCAGCATTATGACACCCGTGTTAATATTAAATGTGTTTTGGTTTAATCTCGTTTTCTGTCAGGCTAGGGACACTACATACATAGTAGTACGTAGTAGAGAAATACCAAATCAAAAAGTAGGTCCAATTTACCTTGTGGAGAAGCAGCCTAGAGTCAACGGCCAAAATATGGAGCACGCACTACGTAGGAAGTAACTAGTCCGAGTCATCACGTCTAGCTCTGCTACATACGTACTATGTAGTACCTAGTGGGAAGAAAGTACCTTCGCCGATCGACAGCGTTAGACAACAGCTCATGCCGTGTCCAGACCCGTCGCCGTCCAATCCGAAACGCGCAAGCCATCCCATCGGAACTCTCCTTGCTCACCCCATGCAGCTTCGCTCTCGAATCAGTCTCGGTCTTTCCTGTGGCTGGTGAATTTGACTACGCTATTGGTCCAGCGAGGCGTTTTTGCGTCATACCGAGTGAGCTTTCATTGATCTGGCGAGCATGCAAGACGAAAAGGCGGAGGATTGCCCAGAACATCCAGTTTTTGCTCTTTCGTTGTTCCATCCCGCACCTCTGACGCATGAGGCTGAAGCGGTCTGGCTGAGCAGGAGGAGGACGAGGAGGAGGAAGGAGCCTAGGTAGGCAGTGGTACTGCTGAGAAGCTTAAATGCTTTGCTATCCCTCGACCTCATAACTCCTGTATTTTTCCCAGCAACGCCACGACAAGAAGCCAGAGCCAAGCTATCATCCACACACATACGGGGTTCCACAGACAACCACCAGTACCTAGTACCTACACTACACCAGTCGACAACAAAATGCCTGTCATCTCTCGTCTTTTCTCTGTGGTCCTCCGCATTGCGGAACTCGCTTGTGCCGCTGTATGTCCCCTACCCTTGTGATTGATCCATCTTAATGACAGACGACTAACGTGCATAGGTTGTCGCTGGTATCGTCGGATACTACCTCCACATCTGGCACGAAGACCACCTCAGCGCCTGGGACCAAGGTCGCTGGATCTACACCGAAGTGATCGCAGGTCTGTCTCTGCTACTAGGCTTGCTCTGGTTGATTCCCACTGCTCATACATTCTTCATCTGGCCCAGTAAGTTCTTGTCCTTCTATTTAATTGTAAAACAAGACTGTGCGCTAATACATCTCAGTTGATCTTATTATCGCGCTCTGCTGGTTTGCCGCTTTTGGTCTCGAGGTCGATGCCTTGAACGGTCTCCCATGCGGCGGTGCCTTTGACTGGGGTTATATCGGTGACAATGACTTGTGTGGTCGCTGGAAGGCTGCTGAAGCGTTCAGCTTCTTGTCTGCAGTGATCTGGCTTGTATCTGCTATCCTTGTATGTCGAACGCACTCCTTTTGATTCGGGCAATGTGCTAATAATACTGTCAGGGCATCTACTTCGTCTGGCGCGTTGACCATCGCCGCCGCAACTACTACTATGGACGCTACGCTGTCTAAGGTCTTGCGCACATGCAAGAACTGTAGTCAACTCACCAATCACCATCTAGTCAAAGTACTTGCGACATGCGACTCTGGTGAACCCTCGCCTCGATGTTTCAATTTTCAATTCTCGACGTTTTCATCTTTTGACGATTATGCTTACGATCTCGATACCCCCTACTCCTTTCTGTCATGTTAAATACCCTTGAGCTATGCACTTACAATTTGTTTATGATTTTGTTAGCGCTTGGCGTCGACGGCAACTGTGAATTTGTTCGATAGTTTATGTCATTCATTCATGTTCACTCATTCAATAAGTCTAATCAAGCAATCTATCTATTAAACTCCATCGTACAAACACGTAAATATCCAATATCAGCAATTAAAGAAATAATTCGTATAAGCGCAAGCTTTGTCCCCCTTCTCGGGGTTTGAACCAGCTACAGCTTCAAATACTCCAAAGTAGCGCCCAAAAAGCACAAGAAAGCAGGCACCTCGCTAGCAAGCGTCCGATAGATATCAATACGGATGAAGTTCTTGTTGCCTTCGTGTATCTTTTCATCCGATTCTTTAGTAGGATTCTTGTCCAGGATCGGGAGGAGATGGTCCCGTGCCTGTTTACGTGTGTCAGTCATCTTCAAATCGACTAGAAACGACAGCCAGAAAAGAGAAGGAGAAAAATACCCAAGGCAAGAATGCAAAATGCACAACCGTAAACGCAATAGCAGCCGCATACAACGTCCCAGCAGCCGAGTCCGGGTCCGCAGCCCTATAACCCGCTACACCACTCGCAATACTCCCAATCCGCGAAGTGGCTACAAGCACAAATCCGGGTGGAAAGCATTTTTGCCAAACGCGTCGGATTGTTGCAGGAGGCACACTGCGGTCGGATAGTGGGTTGAGGAAGATGTGTTCGCAGTAGGCGTAGATGAGTGCGTTGGTGGAGGTGATGAGGCCGACGAGGGGGAGGGGTGGGAGGAAAGAGGAAACTGTGAGGGAGGAGAGGGACTGGAGTTGGAATAGGGATGACATTTTGATGTGACTTCTCAACGGCTGGGACTTGACTTAACCACGGGAGTCTGAAACTTGAGGTGCTGGGTCAAGTAGGGAGGTCATAAAGGCGACACTGGTGTATAAATACTGACCTACACAATGAGAGATCGTCATGATATGACAATTTAGCACTGAATAGTGCTTATTCATTGTGCACAACTTGAAAGCATTTCTTCTTCTTCGATGATACTGACTGCTCATTGGCTGTTTGATCTATACCTACTCGTAGTATGGATTATTGAATTAACTGAAAATTACAAAATCATCAAACGCAAGTACGGCCAAAACCGCATTTTTACAGCAAATTACATATAACCAAGCAGCGACTTTTAATTTCCACAAAAAAAAAACTATGTGAGGATATTGATACAATGACAATGGAAAAGCATCTTCAATTGAGGCAATTTTTTGAAGCAATAAGGCGTCAAACGTACTGCCATATTTCTAGTGAAGAGGACGAGATGCAGGAGTAGGAGTAGGAATGCCACCTCTTCTCACGATTTTTCTAGCTGATACTTTGGTCCTAGCCATTTGATTTGAATGAAGCGATCCATTATAGCGGTCAGTCAGGTGCTTAGTATGAGGAAATAGGTGAATCAATTACCTCACTTGATCTGATTGAGAGTTGAAGATTAGTGAGAGTCGAGTTTGAAGTAGTCCATTGCCGCGATCAGTTGATCCAAGTAGTAATATGAGGTTTATGTGAAGAATATCACATATATTTGTTTGTATGTCCTAATCAGGTTTCAAACACCTTAATGACCAAGTGTGGTCTGCTTTTTGGAAGGTAACGTCTTGACCTACCGCAAGGTTCCGCCACCAGTACTTACTGTATCATGAGGTTTTCCCCGTCATCCCGATATAGGGCTTCAGCCCTGCCGCGTTGGGAGCGGTCCTGTAACCAATCAAAATCTCTACGTGGCGATATGTGAATATTACAAATCGTTACGGATAATACGAAATCGATTTTTGAATCCAGGCATTTAGTCTGCCGTATACACAAGCCGGAGTCCGGAGTAACAACAAGCATACGCTAAAACAGCCCTAAAGCGGCCCTGGCATGGGGGCTTGGGGGGCGCTGTAGCGGGCACTACGCAGCCTGTGGGTGGTAAGGGGGCCGCCAGTGCGGATCGTCGGCTCAGGACCATATAGTCACTCTTTCGGAGTGTGTTTAATCAATCCCTCCGACTTCCGTCATATCCGTTCATCTTGAAATTAGTGAAGAGGAATACGTTTCAAGAATAACGGGGTACTGATGTGTCCAATCAGTGCAACATGGGATTGTCTGAAGTGTGGCTCGATGCCAATCATGATCTCTTTGAGAGAAGTGCAGTATGCTTGCAGACTAGTCAAGTATCTTCATAAATGAGATCTCTCATCGTGAGAAGAGTCGTCCATAGTACAAGAGTAGGTAGGTAAGTGATTCCTGAGGCATATGCAGCGTGGCTGCCTCAGTCAACAACATGAAGCCTCCTGATTGGCTGAATCCGGGAGGAGAACCGGCAAGCACGCAATTGCCTTGGATGGCCTTCAACCTCTCAACTTCCTCCTGAACTTTCAACTCATGAACATGTTGAACTACAAACTCAAGTTTATTTCTAGAATGGCCATGATTATTGGCTCTGATTCAACCTTGCTCCTTCCATTATGCTTCATCCAGTCTCATCCTCCGCTGCCAAGATGCGGAGTAGAAGAGGCTGTCTGACATGCCGTCTGAGGAAGGTACTTGAATATCCTCTCTTACAACAAGATGAATTCTAAAATCTGGCCAGGTAAAATGCGATGAGTACCCAGGTCGATGTCAAAACTGCATTCGCCTGAGCTTGCAATGCTCCTGGCCAACCATCTCATCGTTTCAAGATCGGAAGAAGTATAGAAAGGCATGTGAGCGTTGTCGTCAGAAGAAAGTGTGTCTGAATACGCCCTTATCTTGGTCTTGATTCGGGAATAGAATAGAGGCTAAATCAATACAGTTGAAATGTGGCTTAACGGATGGCGTCCAGCGGTGCGATCATTGTACACTTGCCAGAGTCGAATGCGTAAAGTCAGACTCGACTCAAGATCTTAAACGGCCGCTATCGCCATCCAAAGGCAGTAAATCTAGTCAATCACACACGTCATTTGATCTACCATCAATACTAGAAATAACTCGCCTACTTCAAGCTTACTTTGACGGACCACACTACTTTTGCTTCTACACCTTCATTCATCCACCGACTTTCATGCAGATGCTCGATAACAATCTTATTCCTCACTGTCTACTACTCATTGTTCTGGCCACTGGATTACGCTGTCTGGAGCCGGATTCTGCTCTCCCGGATCGTTGGGCAGAAGAATGCAGACATCTTGTGATTCCGGACATTTTCTCTCGGGCTTCAACAACAAATCTGCAGACACTGCTCCTTTTGCAGCGGTATGAATGGCATCGCGGTGCTCATCTGAGCGCTTATTTTGTCGCCGCTCTAGCAACGCGTCTGGCAACAGCTCTGCAACTAGAAGCAGAACCATCTGCCAATCGCAGCGATGCTCCTCCTCTTCCGGCCACAGTGATGGAGACTAGGCGTCGCTTGATTTGGAGCTGTTTTACCATGGACTCTGTTCCTGACGGTAGCACAAGCCCCCTGAAATCTGCGTTGGATCCATTTTCGATCGAAGCTCGACTTCCATGCGATGAACGTTCTTATTGGCTTGGTCTTGACGCAGTGACTGATACATTCTCAAAAATAAAAGAATCCGGCAATACCACAGGATTAGGCTCATCCAGTGTTGCAGGCTACATTATCCTGATGGCTGGAATACGCTTGCAAATTCTCCAATATGCTTCTACCTTTTCTCCAAAGAACAAGGAATTGCTTCTTCCGGAAATACCATGGCATTCTGATTCCAAGTTTCAACATCACAAGCGTCTAATGGATGATTTTCTTGTTAAATTGCCGCATGAGTTTCAATGGAACGAGTATACGAAGCTCAACCCGGAGGCCTGGCAATCGACTAGGAGTACTCTTTGCACGCTTCACGTTATGTATCATGCTGCGTATACTGACCTCTTACGAGTCGCTTTATTTCTAGAGAGAGCTCAGACCGTTTTTCAAAGCAAGTCTTTGTGTAAAGAAAATGGCTTGTGTCGGCAGCCTATTGCTGGGTTCCATCAATCTACAGAGTTTAGGGCTTTTTTGCAGTCCTGTCGACGCAGCCGTCTACAACATGCGTATGCTATAACGACTATAGTTGCAAATTCGCCGTTTGCCAATATCTCTGACCAAGACCTCGACCCCTTTGTATCCGTCGGTGCTTGCGTCTCGATTCGAGTGCTCATTCTAGAGCGAGGACCTGGAGACGCTGAGAGCTTGGGCATCTCAGAAGCTGCTGTTCGGAATGCTCTAGATGTGGCCACTACCTGCGCGAAAAGAACAGCTAGGTGGTCCCAGCCAATGCGAAAGATGGTCAGCTTGCTGTAGGCTTCCGATACGACATTCTCCTACTAATGTTTTACAGTTACACGCTCTCGCTGAAAGAGCTCTACAATATGGGATCCGCCTGGATGTCCCAGAAATATTTTTGTAAGTTTGCAACCACTGCTTGTAAAAACATATAGCTGATGATTTGATATGAAGCCCCAGGCCCGCCAGTCCGACGTCGCATCTTCCCTCGAGGGCACACTCTCCAAGTCTTCGCACGTACGGAACTCAGGGAAGTATACATCGTTCTCTCGCAAGTAATAAAGATGACACTCAGATATTCCTGGATCAACAAAACCATGTGTTAACGGCTCACACAATGGTTGACTCTGGAAAAAAAACCAGCTTACAAGAGCCAACCGTGGTCACCACGATACCACAATCAGCACAGAACCCTGGCATTTCCATGGAATCTCTCTCGTTATTGGAAGCCAGCACTACTGGCATAACAGGCAATGCAATTCTAAACTCGGGTAATTCAGGAGCACCAGGACTCAATAGCCCCTTTCTCCACTCCTATGAAGCCCTCAGCCCAGAGTCACTCCGTATCGCATCTAACTGGAGTAATGGGACATATGACATTGTCACGAGTGATCTCTCATTTGCTATGAGTCCAGGTGACACTTTTCTCGACTTTAACAGCGATGATTACCAATTATTCAACACAGACATCGGCAACAATAACATATGGCCGACCTAATGATGCATTTGCATACTAAATCCAAGCAAGTTATTGATTTGGCTCACATCGGAGCACGATTCTAGCGAGTTGAATATCCAGAAAGCCTATAAAGCCCTACTAGGCGGTGCTTCGTTCTTTCTCACTCTCATCCACGCCGTCGTCTGTGAAATGGCGTCTCCACCAATAATGTTTTCTTCACTATAACCATCCCACTCTTCTCCTACAAAACGGATTGGTGTGCCCCATACAACTCCAGTCTCTGTACGGTATTGATCCCAAACCTGGAGTAGCTCCTTGACGACATGCGGATAGTTCTCGGCTATATCGTCTATTTCACCGGGGTCCTGCGATAGATCGTACAATTGCCAACCATCCTGACTACCGTCGCGATCATTGCTTCCTCGGCCGCCGACTGAATTTTCAATGTAGACTAATTTATACTTGCCTTTACGTACAGCACCGCGGCCAAAGAGCTCCCATCCCATGCCATCATTGCCATGGATGCTGTCCATTGAGTCATTGTCATGAGTGGATGCGCTTGACAGATACGGAACCTTTCGAGCATTAGCAAAGAATGACAGAGGATATACGATTTACTGATAAAACTTACCCAAGACCTTCCTCTCATAGGCGCTACAGAGCGATCACGGAATGTGCCCGGCTTTCCATCAGAAGCTGGATGTTTGATTCCCGCCAAGTCAAGAATTGTAGGACACAGATCCATGACTGTACTAAAGGGCTGTAGAATGCTTCCATTCTGTTTCTCTTTGGCAAAGCCGGGGTAGTGAACAACTTCACGAGTCAGAAAGTGATATTCTCAACGGTTATGTGATGCTTACTGAGTGGTACCTTGATTCCACCTTCGGTGCTGTACAGAAAAGTCAGCCTAGTCATGTCATGCAGGAGTCACCGTTCCATGGCTCACGTATACATCTTGTACAAACGCGACGGAGCTGTCGAGGCTTGCGCCCACTACGAAGCACTTAGTACTGCCGAGACAAAGTGAAATTGGAAGAAAAGCTTACCCTAGTTCCATACCAGGCGAAAGAATTCGCATTTCCGATATTATCCAACGAGTTGTCGTCTACAATATATTAGCCCGCTACCCCCGAATATTGAAGGTACACAAACAGTATTCGTTGATGACTCTCATTAGATCGGCACCCATGGTTGGAATGGCTTCGTAGGTAGCTCCTTCAGCACCATTATCACTTTGGAAGACGATCAATGTATCTGTGCGCATAACACATGCTATTAGCAAGCATATTTGCCCACTCCTTCAATTGAAATAACTCACTCTGAAACTCCCCAGTTTCTTTGAGATACTGCACCATCTTGCCCACATTCTGGTCAATATTATCAACCATTCCCGCAAAACACTCCATGGAACGGGCTGAACACTTTCTCTCATAATCAGTCATCATATCCCACTCAGTATTCATCGGTCCAACAATGACATCATGCGGTCTAATATTCTTTGGCACGAGACCCAGATCTTGTAAGCGTGCCAATCGCTTGAGACGAAGCGCATCTGGCCCATCATCGTATATTCCCTTGTATCGATCACGATCTTCCTTTGAGCATTGAAGTGGCCAGTGGGGGGCTGAAAAGGGAAGGTAAGCGAAGAAGGGCTTCTGGCGGGTTTCGGGATCTCGATCCTTGAGGTATTGGATGAGGTTGTCTGTGTAGAAGTCGGAGCTAAAGAAGCCTCGTTTGTCGTGGGTGGTGTTTGGTTCGCTGTAATAGTCAGTCCTAAGATCATTTCATAGAACCGTGGTACGATGGCCATACATCTCATATCGTTTTCCATCCTCGGTATACTACCATGGCAACAGCCCCAGATCAGAACCATGCCCGACATAATTAGGTGAAAGAAAAACAGACCAATGGCGGAATCCGAACAAAAAATTTGAGATAATCCTTCCCAAACTGCGGCTCATATCCGTAATGATTCGACGTGCCTGGAAGCAGGGCAAACGATCTATCAAATCCGCGAGCAGCAGGGTTGTTCTCGGGTCTTAGGCCGAGATGCCATTTACCGCTGATCAGGGTGTGGTAACCGTTGTCTTGAAGTATTTCGGGGAGGGCGGCAACGTCGTGACTATTTCATTAAGTCTTGTTCTAACTTGCCGAAGGAAAGGAGATCGTACTTGAGAAACCCCTCATGGCCAGGGACATTCCAGCGTTCTGGGTCTCGGCCTTTTTGTTCACTCATGATGCCGACGCCGGCGATGTGATTGTCTGTTCCACTGAGAAGCATTGCTCTGGTCGGACTGCAGGCGCTGGCAGTGTGGTCTGTGGATATCAGCTTTGAATATATCTCGGTTACAAGCACAGTTCATACTAACAATCAGTGAACCGCGCACCATTGCGAGCCAGTTCGTCCAAGTTGGGAGTTCGAATCTCACTACCAAAGCATCCTATATCGCTATACCCTAGGTCTGATCTGGTCAAATCCTTTCTGTATTTAACTTGACAGCACTCGTGGCTTACCATCTGCCAGGATGACGAGAATGTTTGGACGAGATTGTGCCATTTTACTATTCCTTTCACAATATCACAACTTTACGTATTTCGAATACAGTCCTCTCTGATTGAAAAAATCGCAGGCTATTCTGGGAGTAGAAGTATTCAAGCCCTAATATCGCTTAACCCTAAAATTTCATCGCGTATATCGGTATCAGCTCCGAGTGGGTCAATCGTCGTCGCGTACATCGCTTCGTCCTCCGATTGACTTCACAGTCAACTTCTCCGCGTATCCTCCATCAGGAGTTAGTAAACCACTTCCTACGAAACTTGCCCCCCTCTTTGCTTTCTCTACTCCATCTAGGCCTTTCTGATCAATCATTGCTAGTACTAATGACGAAATTCAGCCGGAGAATGAGCAAGTCTGCTAGTTGTCACGAAACAATGGCAGAGATTGCTGTATCCCAGCAAGAATATCCTTATTCTAGGGACATTATTCAGCTTGTCATGTGTGAAATGTCAGAGCTTAGGTTTCAATGCTGAGAAATAAAATCAATTGGGAAATGAGAATGTTCATATAGTATGTTCCAAGTTATATAGCTTGATGCTACTAGATATTCACCTCTCTTTTTAAATCCGAAAGAGACCTTTCTGTATGTCGATTTGACGTATTTTGTGTTCTGTGAAGACAATTTTCGCTGTTCTACCAGATTATTCTCCTCGCTGTTACAGCTCTTGCTCTCCTGATATCATTTTAAAGCCTTCACCATGCCTCAATCCGAGGACTCTCTCAAAGGGGGCCGTCAAACCCTAGGGAGCATGCTCAAGAAAATGACACCTGCTTTATTAAGCGCATGCTTCATCACTGCCATGCTGAACATGCTCTTCGGCTTTGATACGACCAGTTTCTCGGGCGTGCAGAGCATTCCAGCTTTCGAACGCCAGTTTGGGACACCTACGGGCACCGGTGGCTATGCATTGTCTGGCTCTAGGGCATCTTTTATGAGTTCAGTAGCATTTTCGGGGAAATTCTTTGGAACTCTTGTTCGTCAATCAATCTGGATCGCAAACCCTCAAAAGTCATCAGACTAACAGATCAATCAGACAGCACCAATCTTCATCGAACTCTTGGGCCATCGCTAGACCATGTGGATTCTGTGCATGATAAGTTTTACTGGCATTGTTATTGAGTGCACTTCACATAAAGTAGTGCAATTTGTCCTCGGTCGTATCATTGTCTACTACAGGTTGGTCTGATTGCATGAACGTATGATCATCGCCTGACGTATGATTTCTCTTTAGCGTTGGATTGGCTGAAAACACCTCGACGTATGTATTTACTCGAGCATCCCGCATATTATGGAGACTTGAAGAATTAACTGTTGATTTCCAAGAACATATCAATCTGATATTGTCCCAGCCGGCTTACGGGGTGCCATCGTTGGATCGATTCAACTTTTTATCCAATTCGGTCAAATATTTGCTTCCGGCATCAATGAGCGGTTCTCCACCGAGACGAGACCGAAAGGGTAAGCCGATACGGTTTTGCCGACAATCATTTCGATTCCTGACTCTCTCTCTTTAGATGGATTATTCCCGTGGCAGTTCAGGCCATTGTCCCTGTGATCGTCGTCTTTGGAGCATTTCTGATCCGTATGACCAACCTTTATGCCGATCTTGCAAAACGACTCTACTAATTTACGTGCAGCCAGTGCTCCACGATGGCTTATTAGCAAGGGTCGCAAGGAAGATGCTATTCGAACCCTGGAGAAAGTCCGTCCTAAGGAGGATGTTGGTTCGTGTTCATCCTCCGGATAAGTTCATAAGGAGCAAGCTGATGGATGATCTAGCCGCCGGTGTTTGTAAAGATGAAGCTGATGCCATCGAGGAAGCTCTCAACAGCAACGTGGATAAAGGTCCTTGGATTGATCTATTCGTCAGTATCTCCATTCAACCAGGTCAGAACTCCGCATTGATACTATAAAATGCTAACTACTGCGTCTTTTCTCTCCTTAGAAAGGCACAAACCTTCGCCGAACCTCAATTGCAACCATGGTCTTTATTTTTCAACAATTTACCGGGCAGGGCTTCGTCTCCCAATGTATGTTCAGGCCTTCTTCATGCGGTAGCCAAGCTAATATGAATACAAGACTCACCTCGCTTCTACAAAACGGTTGGTCTCTCAAAAAATGCATTTTTATACAACATTATCTCCAGTGTCGTAGCATGGGTCGGCGTCCTCATCGGCATGCCCTTGAGCGATCTAATCGGGCGACGTGACCTTCTCATTTTAGGAGCTTTCTTCCAGGGAATTTTCCTTTTTTCCATGGCTGGAATTGGCACCAAGAGCAGTTTCACGACCTCGGATGCTAATGGCTTGGTGGCATCTGTTATGTTGTTCAATTTCTCATTCGCCATGCAAGTATTCAAAAATTTGACATCATCGAAGACGACGGCTAACAACATGATCTATCAGGACTTGGGCGCCTATCGCATATGTAGTATGTCAAAGTCTTGATTGTGTATTCAGCAATAACATCCCATGCTAATCATCACTTACTACAGGTAGCTTCTGAAATCGGAACTGCCAGTCTCCGAGAAAAGACAATGGCTTTCACCAGTACCATAAAGTATGCATCTAAACCTAGCCTACTTTCTTTGAAGACTAGGCTGACCAACCATCAATTCAGCGTTGTTGCGGCTTTTATTGTTGCATTTTGTGTCCCATATCTGCTTGATGATATTGGTGCCAACATCGGCTGGCTCTTTGGCGCCATCAGCTTTGTTGCTGCAATCTATGCTTACTTCTTTGTACCTGAGATCAAGGCAAGTGATTACATTCACTTCAAGTCTGTGCCTAAGCTGACTTGTAGGTTACTGCAGAATCGCTCACTTGAGGTAATTAATCTGTAGGATGGAGTACCAATGTATTTGTACTAAATTGAGCCTCTAAAAAGGAATTAGATGAGTTATTCGAGGTAAGCTCTCAAATTCTTATTCTTTATAAGTTCAAATGGGCTGATTTCATCTTTCTTGCAGAACCGCATTTCTGCGCGCAAATTCGCAGGTACCCAGACTCATGGAGCCGGCAAAAGGTATGCTCTTCGTTTCTTTTTTTGGCATACTCCATGCATATATACTTCAGAACGGTCTTCAATTGCTAACTGACAAATTTACAGGGTCGCCGAACTTGAGAACAGAATCAATCTCCATACAACTCACCACCAGACCAGTGAAGGTGGAAAAATCGGCACTATTTCCAAGAATTAAGGACGACTTCCTGCTGCATACAATGCAAAGGGTAGCGATAGCGAAGCGAACTATGTCAAGCAATCTGCTCAAATACATCAGACACAAGGTACTAGTCGTTCAGAAGTTTGGTACATAGTTCAGTGTTCCTCTACCCCAGCCTTATCAGGTGTATCAATATTCTGCAATGCCTTTTTGTACGTGCCACTTCGGCCTTTTGAATGGAACGAAGGCCTTTTATGTAGGTTCTTTCAAATGACGAATGTTCTATAAGCGACTCATTGTAGTGATACTCGCTTTCGATTGGTCACAAAGGGGGCCTATCTCTTAGTGCGGCCTAGAGCTTCTAAGCTTTGTCTTTCAACTTCTTTCATTTCAATGTGTTACGTACCACTTTATCTTAAGAACTACAGTGTCAAATAAGCTCCTAGTTGACGCCGTAAATTTCTCGTACGAAATTTTCCTAATTAGTACAGATTTTCAACCACCTAACACAATATCATTCTACATGTAATCCAGGAATTACCCCTGCTGAATACTGTTTTTCATTTTCATGAATCTCTCCCACCAAAGCTCCCATCAACATCGAAATGGAGCAGCACCAACTCGAGCACCTCGGACATGCTATCGTCGGCTTATGCATGATGTTCTTCTGTACATCCCTTGTCCACGTCTACTTGACCTCCAAATTTTGGAATCATGATGGACCGCGGACACACAACGATGATGGGTTGCTCGTCCTAGCAACAATCACTCTCTTCACGGTTATACCTGCTTTGTGGACAACTGGACTCGTTTTCTGGATCGATCATCTCACTTACGTCTCGGTCATTCAGCGAATCAGCTCCATCATTGGTGGTATTGGGGCGGCAAATATCGGCATGGTATGGGCGTGTTTGTGGAAGTCGTCGGCCACAATAAACACTTATCTTGCATACACGCTGTGGCCAGCGTACTTGGGGTTGATATTTGGTGCCTATATGACCTCCACGTCCTATTTTTGTATGTGCTAAGCCACTGCAGAGTTTGGCACTCTACATTCTGTGAGGAATTGATCAGGATTCGGGCCATGTATGATCCCTAAAATAGACTTCTATGGCGTACCGAGACTCTGAAGATAAAGACAACCTTAATGCGACTCATCTATTACATTCTTCAATGGCTTGCAATTTGACATGTGTTTAGCTTACGTTATATGTCTGGTCGAAAAGCACCCTAGGAGGGTACGGCGGAGGACCAGTGGGCCCTGGGCTGGCATAGGGCCACGCTAAATAATTCAGCTCGCTACATGGCTTATGTATTCAGTCCTGACAACTATCCGTCTATTTATACATCAAGTAATGAACCATGTACATAACCTAAGACATGGTCCCCATTCGTGGTGTTCCTGGTCACTCAGGCTCTGACAACGACACGGCCGACAATAATGACTCTCTTCTACTAAAAGACCTTGAATCCGGCAGGTCCGGAATTGAATTTGACAGCCACGAAGCTCCGCAGGAACCGGACCGTTCAGACGATTCTCTGGACCTTCCAGAAGACGAAGTCGGACAAGGGCTTCTTGGTGGTCGAAGCACAAGAAAGCAGTACGCCGAGACTCGCCCAAGCCAATCAGGATGGTTCGGCTCTTTTCTCAAAGGGCCCGATCCTCCACGGAAACATCATATTAGCCCTATATTTGAAGGTCTCCAGACCGCGCCAACTCGCGTCGTGAAGCACCTATTCCCAAGTCTGAGATCAAAATTAATTGCTTTGATCGTGTTCCATGCCCTATGGGCGGCGATATTCTTGACAATTCTGAATTGGTCAGTCGTTGGCCCTGAGATTCCCGATTACGGCATACCGAATCGGCTGTCGTGCGGAGCGAGATTATGGTATGTATTCAGCACCAGTTTTGGATAAAATGACTATCTGATAGAATACCTAGGCACAATGGTACTCTTTGTGGTATTGATGGTAATGCATGCCGTCCGTTCGACGAGCAAAGTTTTGCATTCAAATGTCCTGCTGGATGTCGTGATACGATTCTCCTTGAGCCGTACACTGTAGGTGACCAGGAGCTCAACTACAGAAGTCTTGTCATCGGAGGGGCACCCGAGAGTAATGCTTCTTTTTACCGCGGTGACTCCTTTGTCTGCGCTGCTGCAATTCACGCTGGCGTCATCAATAATGCCGCCGGAGGATGTGGCATTCTTCGACGCACAGGCGAGCAACTTGGCTTTAGCGGGGCGAAGCAGAATGATATCGAAAGTGTCTCCTTCAATTCATACTTTCCTTTGTCATTTGACTTTGAAAGAGAGACGACTGTTGTATGTCGGGATCCTCGCTGGCTACTCTTTGCCATATCCCTCGTTTTCACCTCTGTGATCTCGCTGTGCACCACATCGCCAAGCGTATTCTATGTCTCGGTATGGTTCATATCCTGGTTCCAGGTCGCACTTGCATCCGATCCCCCGTTCGCTTCAGACTACCTCGAGGTCGTCTCAATCGGGATAGGCCGTTTGCTACCCGCTGCCTTCGTCGGCTGGGCTATCTATTACTTCTGTGTCCGGGAAACTCTCAGTGGTCTTACTGCTCAGTTCGAGAAAACAATGTTATGGCTTGGTCCGTTCTGGGTGGGCGCCCTGAATACAGATACCTTTGACCGCATCCCAATTTCTCGCTTGACTCCACACGACATCCAACAGCAACCGGGAGCTATCCCGGCGTTGATAATTATCGTCGCAGTTATCGTCGTTACCATGGTCACGCAAGCCTTGGCCATCTGGTCAGCGGGAAAGCTGCCTCGCTATTTGGTGATATATGGGGTCATGGCAGGGGCCTTGATGATTATGATCATCCTTCCTCAGCTTAATCTGCGCATTCATCATTACATTATTTCGCTGCTACTCCTGCCTGGAACTGCACTTCAAACTCGACCATCGTTAATATACCAGGGTTTACTCATGGGTTTGTTCATTAATGGTATTGCGCGTTGGGGCTTTGATAGTATCCTTCAGACCCCGAATGCCCTGCTTGGGGACGCTCAACTGGGCAGTGTTCTGCCCAATATTAAGGTACCCATCATTAGCGCCGCGGGAGATAACCTTACATTTTGGTTCTCTGCCCTTCCAAGCGACATCGCTGGTATCGCGGTGATGGTCAATGATGTCCTACGCGCCAATATATACCGTGCTGCACCCAAGACAGCCGAAGACGGTGCTGCTAACAAGACAGCAGCAGATATGTCATTTGAGTGGACACGCATACATCAGAATCATTCGGAGTATTTCCGATTTGCGTATATGAAAAATAGTGCGCTGGGAGGGTTGTGGTATGAAGACTTCGGCAAAGCAGGCACTTGGACAGAGGATGGAGATTGGATTCCAATGGATCAAGGTCATTGAGGTTTGCTCGTTCATCCGGAGTGATCTGATTATTACCATTCTCCGGCATTCTTACGATATTGCTACGATGTATAATAGACTAGTATACCCATAGACTAGATGCATTGAAATTATGTGCAAATCCCATCGGTATAAACGATCGTCTGACGCCGAAGCATCAATTTGGGTATCATTGATCATGACACAAGAACAACTAAGAGGTACAACTCGACACAACATCCTATATACAATCCCGCAATCCAAATTCAAGGACAAATAAACTCCCGAAAGATGCCATAATAGAGCAAGCCAAAGAAAAACGCCAAAAAGCAAGGATATGCCAGCTCAAGATTTCACATATTCGTCACACTTTACTTGCACGACTTCATTCTTGCCACCGTCTTCAATGACAAGTGCACTCAATTTTCGGCCGTAGACGCATCCAGAGTCCAAGCCCTTGGTGTATTGGCGAATATTGAGTGATTTTGCGGCGTCATGGCCATATATCACGGTCATGGTTTTGGGAGGGTGAGAGGAGTCGACGTCTTCATGTGATGATGCCAAAAGTTTATGGTACTGGTTGTAGAGCTTTCAGACTGTCAGTAGCATTCTCACATGTATGCATGGATGCAGAAAACTCACTTTGAACCAGGGAATGCCATCTTTGCTGGCGCTCGGGACATGGGTGTCCAAGTCAATAGTCCGCATTGACATAACACTCGACAGTTCCTGTCTCTCTAGCGGTACACCGGGAACTAAACCCCCATGCACAACAGTAACCTCGCCCATGTCCTTGATTACTCCTACTTTCAATATAACAGGACAATCCTGCAACCATGCCGCTTGGTCATCGCTTAATGACTTGGCTACCCTGCGCTCGGCCGTGTCGGAGACAACAGTGTACTCTTGATCAGATGCCTCGTTTGTATGAAGTTTCATGTCTGAGCGCTCAAGTAAGATGCGATCTTCGTGGTTCCCTCGTACGCATGAAGCGCCGAGTTCGCGCGCAAGGTCTACTACGCCGCTGCTCTTGGGACCTTTGTTGATCATATCTCCGGTGAGTATGAGATGGTCACTGGACGGGTCAAAGGTCACTTTCTTCAACAATTTCTCCACTACAAAGTGAATTAATATTGCTATGGCACCTGGTTCAATCGGACAGATAGACTTACATTCATCTTGACACCCATGTACATCGCCGACAATAACCAGTCGCCGACTTGATTTAAGACTTTGTATTCTCTCAGGACTTGGCAACAGAGTCGGATCGAGGGTCTTCATCGGCACAACGTCGACGAATTCCGGACGCACGTTGGTCCCAAACCACCCGCCTACTTTTTCTAATGTATCCACGTTGAGTGCCGTGAGTATCTCTTCATGCTCTTTGATCATCGGTTGCAGAACAGCCTCCCATCCCGTATAAGCGAACACCAAGAGAATAGCATATACGACGAGATATCGTCTGAACTTAGGCGCCATGACGATTGACGCTATGAAACCAAGCCATGGGACCCGGTGCCAATCATACGAAGCGGACGAATCAGATGAGGATGAACGACCTCTGGACGAGCGAGATGTCTCCCATTTATTCGTGACGAAGCTGATCAAAGGTCGCTGAGTAGAGCCGCCCCGCGGAAAGCTTTGAAAGGCGTTTCGAGAATGAGGGTTGATGGCATCGTCGTCGTCGCTACTGCTTGAAACGGTGATGTTGTCCATATCCATTTCAAAGCTGGTGGGTTTCGGGGGGTAACCGAAGGAATGCGTTCTGTCTCTCGCCATGATGTTAGGGTTGGTGACTATTCTCTTGGCGGATTGCTGATTGCGGAAGATTCAATGTGGAAGTTGTGGCCCTGATCTCTAACCGGCCAACATAGCTGGGAGTCCGTGACGCCGTGATGTGAGAAAAGCCGCCAAGTCTCAACGAAATAATCAAAGGTCCGGCTCGAAGATGCTAAGTGTAGTTCTGTAGTCATGTCTCACCCTCGTCGTCCATCGAATCAGTCAGTTTAGACTTCCAAGACTTCCAAGAAAGTTACAGCCCCTGCTAGATCCACTGGTACTACAGTCAGCCAATCACAGTTAACTCCCGGCAATTGAGGCTCCTGATTGGGTTGGGTGACCGGGTCTGTACGTATGCGTCGTATGTAATACGTATTAACTATATTACTACATATACTAGATAAATTACTATGCTTCATATTTCCTACGAACTATACGTAGTAATATACTACGTAAGGCATTGTGTTCAAAAGTGTTGCACGTAGTTTCTGTCCTCATCAATTGGAGCAATACCATCTACCTATATTGTTCATAAATCTCCGCCTCCTTCAGCCGTGCATCAATCAACTGCAGCACCTTATCATCGTAAAGCTCTTCAACAGTCTTGCTTCCCGAAAGAATTTCTCTTTCGTGTTGTACAGCCTCTTCCTTCGTCATGCAAACCAAATCTCTCCAGTCCATCACAACAAGCTTTTGTCCGTCTTTCTCCCATTGCGGGTTCACTCTGAAGCCCTCCGCTGGCCGTTTCCAGGGAACGAGTACCAAGCGGTTGGAAAGACCACTGATGACGCTCTTCCCGCGCCAAATTTCATCGACAATGTAACCAATTTCCTCCTTGCCGAGTGGTATGCGAAGTCCGACAAGTTCGTTATCTTTGACCTCCGCTCTGACTAGCCTCTCCATTGTGCCCTGGAGTGAGGTGTACATAGTCTCGCCGAGCTTCTCCCGCTTTTTTGCCGCCAGGCTGTAGTCGATGGGATAGCCAGAAACAGCACAGATCACATGATTGGCAATGGTATACCCAAAAACAGCAGGGATTGTTCCAAGAACGGGAAGAATCCGCACCCGAAAGTCAGGTAATACACCTAACTCACCAACCTTTCCTTTGGCAAACTCCTCAGCGGCAAGAGGCAACAAAGATGCTTTCCCGGGACCTGACTTCTCAACCGAGAACACGACCGGAATGCCCGAATGCACACCCAGAACACGCAAGCGCCGACGAGTGCTTTTAGATAGCGGATCTTCCGTACTCACCGAGATATCAGCCACGCCGATACGGGTCGGGTCGGATTTGCAACCTGCTCCCATGGACGAAATGACCTTAATAGAATTCTTGTGGCAATAGTGTAACAGTTCAACTTTGGACTCGATATTATCAATGCAGTCAATGACGTAGTCCGGTTTCTGTCCGTTTGATTCCTTGCCAGTCCATGGAGCGAGGAGTGTGTCAGCCACACTCGCGCCGAACAACTCGTTTCGGCAATCAAAGTGCACCCATGGCACAATCTGCTCCATTCGACGTCGTATGCAATGAACTTTGGGCGTACCGACATCCGCCAACGTAGCGAGCGCATGTCTGTTCAAGGATGAGAGCGTGACTTGATCAAAGTCAATCAGTCGTATCTTGGCCACTCCGGAGCGAGCCAGAGCTGCGGTTGCGTGGGAACCAACACCGCCGCAACCAACGACAATTATAAACGACGAGCGAAGTTTCTTGAGGCCTTCATCCGTTAGGAACACTCGATTACGAGCTAGTTGTTCGAGTATAAGGTCTTCATCGTAGTCTCCTTGTTGTGCTCGTCGCGCAAGTGCCGCACTGCGCTCATCTTCCTTGCTGAGTGTTGGTAGAGGGCCCGCAGTGCCGAATTCGTTGAGGGTCTCGGCATGATGTTGCTCGTCTAGCTGTGGGATTGAAGCCTTGAGTGTTTCGACTGCTTCATGTCTTCTCAATGCTTGGTAGCCGAATATGCCTGCAGCTACAGCAGCTCCGGACACTACTGCCGCAGCAGCAAGCTGCACATTGTGAGAGCCAGCCTGCCTCTGAAGCCACGAGCTCATGCTCTCTTTTTGTTCTCTATTCTCTCGTCGGTCCCTCGAATTCTGGTATCGTCGTGACTCTGTTATTCTATCGTCAGATAATTCTTGGTCCAAGTAATCGTCCTCGTAGTATGAGGAAGATCGATAGCGTCTATGATCTCGATAAGCCATATCGATAGAGATTAGCGACTCTACCCATTTTGAGGACGAAGGAATGGCATGGAACCTCACACTTCAGGTAGATATTTCAAATATATGCACTCAATGTAGCCAGCTAGTAATGCCAGACCACGACAGCAAAGATGATCACGTGCTGATATGACGCTGTTTTCATGCAGATTTGCTATCGGATGGAAACAAGTCACGTGCGTAGACTCAATTTTCGGCCCGACGTTGATCCAGCTCGGCTAGCTTTTCCTTGTCTTAACTCTACTCTCCATTCCTATTTCCTTCTCTCGTCAACACCGTCCCACAACATTCTTAATCAGAAGACTGTGTCCGTCTCAGTGAAGAAAATTCTCACATGAGCTTTTGACACATATGGTCCACACATCCCAGTGACTAGCATGGACTTTATCCCCAGTCTGGTCACGAACTCGACCTGACCGGTGGAAGAAGACGTGTCAAACGTGTGGTTGATGCAGGTGAACAGAAATCTGAGAGCCACGACAGTCTTTTCTTTTCACCCGTTGATTATCACCTCTTTCCATGACGAAGCTATCGAATTAAAGGATCGACTTGATGGTTGGCGCTGCCATTTAATGACGGTGGTTCGGCGTCAATCCTCAGCTCGACTCCGACATTCATCGACCGTCCATAGTACCTTCACCCTCATACAATTTACCTTTTACACATCATCGACGAACGAACCCAGTGATGCCTTACATGATGACTAAACTCTTAGGACACCTCGGAGACAAGGTATCATTCAAACGGTACTTCATGCTCCGCGTGTTGCCTCTTGCGAGGTAACCGCGTGCAGCAGGTCGTTGACGAGCCTTTACCCAAAGGTAGTTTTCAATCTGAACAGGCTAGGGAGAGTTTGTATTTTCATCACTTGCACTTGCTTTTGTTGCGTCTAGTAACTATTCACTCATGTATTTCGTAAACTAATACAACGATTGTTCACCATTATTTTTCACTCCTACCGTTTCTCGTGTTTATATTTTCTTTCATGTAACCCGGTGATGACAAGTAGTATCCAAAAGCCAAAGTTGAGGTATCCGGCATTTACTTACAATGTGCATGGAAGCCAGTGGGAACCAGAGAGCTAATCTGAGGGTTACTGTTATTTTACATATGATATTTAATTATTGCCAGTGAATTTCCCTTCAAAGTTCTCTTGTAAATCAGATGTCATTACCCTGACAGTGATCTGTTAGAGAACAGAACGAACGCCTGCAATGCTGTGCTATGCTGAGTGCTTATGATATATGTACACGGGACGATAAGATTATCCCAGAAACTTGCCGACGCGACCTCCAATATTCTCAAGGTCCAGCAGGAATGTGTCATGCCCGAAGAGAGAGAGGTCCTCCCCTAGTTCGAAATGCTCGACCTTCTGATTTCCTGCAGCTCGTAATGTGTCTGCAATTTCTCGCTGTTGCCATGCTGGGAATAGAATGTCACTTGCGACACCCATGACAAGAACAGGATGGTCTTTCAGAGGGGACATGCCGCGCACAAGATCCTGTGGGGGGCCATCAGTCGATTCGACGGTTGCGGGCTCATTCATTGGCGTCAAAGACGACAAAGCAGCGGGCTGTTCTTCATATGGTTTGTCGGGCAGAGTCAAGCTGCAAGATGCATCGTTTCGTTCAATATTGCCCAGTGCCATATTCTTCTGGTTTTGCTCCCTTCGTTCTCGGGTTGCGACCTGATGGGCATGACCCAAATCAAAAAGATCCATGGCTTTGGACACGTACAACAAACTGTTGGCATCGTATTCAAGACAGAATTTCTCTCCGGCATGGTCTAGATAAGTTTCGATTAAAAAGTCTGGGCAAAGAGCAGGCTGTTTGCTAGGGTCGGCTCTCTTCCTGCCGAATCGCTGTTCCCATTCAGGACCACTTCGGTATGTGACGGTAGCGATCTCGCGGGCAAGTTTCATACCGTGATGAGGAGGAATCGAGTCGTAATAGAAGCCGCGTTGCCAATTGGGGTCCATCATAAGAACTTGTCGTTGAGTATGGCGCATAGCGATGCTGTATGGGTGACTGCGCGCACATCCACTGATACTAATCAATCTTCCCATTCTTTCTGGAAAGAGAACACCGGCTGCTAAACTCAGCATTCCGCCCATACTGGAGCCAACAGATGCATGTAGTTTCTGAATACCCAGAGAGTCGAGAAGTCGGAATTGTGCTCGTACCATATCCTCTATTGTCAAGATGGGAAAACGTGTGGCATATCGCTTTGAGTCAGATGGGTCAATGGACGAAGGCCCCGTGCTTCCGTAACAACCGCCGATGACATTTGTGCAGATAACATAATATTTGTTCGTATCGAGAGGAGCTCCAGGACCGATGAACTTCTCCCACCAGCCATTCTTCGGGTTTGATGGTGTACTGTGTGCATGACTCGACGCGGAGAGTCCTGTATGGAGGAGAATTGCGTTGCTCTTGTCGGCATTCAGAGTTCCCCAGGTCTCATACGCAACGTCGAATTCAGGGAGCACACCGCCCCAGTCGAGAAGCAGCGGGTTCTCACAATGGAACTTCTCGTGATGTCCGGTAGTGTACGACGGTTCAGGGCCGGTGTTCATGGAGCGTCTGGATAGCGATACTGTTTTGGCTTCTTGGGCATCTAGACAAGGGAACGACATGGCCGGATTCGAGGAATCGGGCTGCTCACGGGCTGCTGCGGCAGACTGAGTCCAGCGACGCCATTGGAAGTCCGCGGTGGGCCATGGTGTTGACGACAATGGCTGTATCCTAGATATGTTTTTCTGGTGTGCAAATTTTGTTGTCCGCAGGTACGACGACGAAGCCGTCCGCACGGCGCGTCGTAGAGACATCATCGTTGACAACTATTGATAAATATAAGACGTGGATCTATAAGACCCAGACGCTGGATGAAGAGAATCAAGAACGGCATGGCTTCCATTCTTCGAAATCGCAGATTTTGGACTCCGCAAGCTCCCCGCGCATCGCAGCTTCTCCAAAAGCACGTCATGTATACGCTCTGTGATTGGCTTTGGCTCACGGGTCTGAAGCTGCCGAACTCGCAGATTACGTAAGTCACAGATTATATAATTCACATGCCTCAGGCAAACAAGAGCATGCTTGGCATCTGCGATTCTGCATCGATGAAAGCTATTTCTCTCTCTCTTATGGCCTACTGCGTACTTCCATGTCTACCACACCCATATCTTCAAGCTGATACCACTAGTCCGGCTCGTATGAACGTGCTCTCGTTCCTTTTCTGTCAGTGGACGGCTTGGCTAGGGATGACGCGGCTCGATGACGACAGCATCTGCCCGAATACTGTGTTGCGTTGACCACATCTTACACTTCTGAGAACAGATTGAATATGAGGGTAGTCGTATGGTTACCTGGAGGTTGATTACGGTAAGAGTTGGATTCCTCCATGACGATCAACGTTTCTCGTGTCGGCTGCGACGAGGATCGTTTCAAAGAGATATCGAGGCGTTGTGGAGCAGATCCTATAGTTCTTCCGCGATCCGTCTTTCTCCAGAAAGAATGATCTGCTCCTCTTTCCATGTCATATCGCACGATCAGCGCTTCAGTGGTGGAAATGGAACGTAGGGACACTTAGGAGTGCATGACAAATGCTATAGACTGTAGACATATTCAGCTCGTGCATACGGGGTAGTTACAGGATCTTGAAAGTCAACCTTTCAAGGGTACGCGGACTCGTGGCGCCGGATGCCGTAGAGAGACGCTACACCCAATCCGGGCCGTTAAATCGTCGAACTTTCAAAGGAGCCTTTTGGCCCGGAAACCTCTACCAAAGTTTATGGGACTGTTCGATCTTTCCCATCATTATTACATCGCATCAATCTTCCAATATCTGCACATTCAACTCTTCATGAAGGAAACGACCATAGCTTCATGATGCCCTCGACACTCAAGCCATTGTGATTGACTGACTCCTTCCGCACCTAGTGCATACCACATTCTACTCTCTCAGGACACAATAGCCAGAATTGGTACCTCATACTCTCGATTCTATATCGTGTTCGGTTTGACTAGCGCACAATAGCTAGCGAGTCGTCGCCATCGCCGCTCGACTTCCCCGCCGCCGACTCGCGGCAACATGAAAGACCTCGAGTCCAGATACCACCCGGCGAGAACATCCACCATGGCTCCTATTCGACGTGCAATCGTAGCATTTGCGCTCCTAGTCGGCATCATATTACTATTCCGGTCCTTCTCAGCCTCCGAAGCAGCCTACCGAGACGATTCGCCGCAGGGCCAGAAGGGGCTGCGCATACCTCCTCAGGCAAGGGGTAGCGCGGGGACCTGGCAGTCGCAACTCACCGTCGGAGATGCCGCATATCCATCACTGCTCGAGAAGCTTCGATATCAATACCCTTATGATCTTGATAGCAAGTTCCCAGCGTACATATGGCAGACGTGGAAGTATTCGGTCGACTCCGGTTCGTTCCCGAATCATCTGCGCTCGTTGGAGGCATCATGGACATCTCAAAATCCGGAATTCGTTCACGAAGTAATCTCGGACGAATCGGCGGATCACTTGATTCAATATCTATATGGCGCCGTGCCGGAAGTGGTTGAAGCGTACAATTCCTTACCAGCGCCTGTTTTGAAGGCAGATCTCTTTCGGTACCTGATCTTGTTAGCGCGAGGGGGGATTTACTCTGATATCGATACGGAAGCGCTCAAACCGGCTATTGACTGGTTACCAGATGATATGGATCCATCGTCAGTCGGTCTCGTCATTGGTATCGAAGCTGATCCGGACCGACCAGATTGGCACCAGTGGTACTCGCGCAGAATACAGTTTTGTCAATGGACCATCCAAGCCAAACCAGGCCACCCTGTTCTCCGTGACGTGGTAGCTACTATCGTCGAGGATACTCTGCGCATGAAGAAAAAGGGTGTCCTTACCATGTCCAAGATGGACAAGTCGATTGTGGAATTCACCGGTCCTGCCGTTTGGACTGATGCTGTGTTCCGGTACTTCAACAACCCTGATTACTTTCTGAGTGAAGGTACCCGGAATGTCACATATGAAGACTTTACACGCTTGACTAGACAGAAGAAGATAGGCGACGTCGCTGTTTTGCCTATTACCAGTTTCAGTCCGGGTGTGGGTCAAATGGGTGCTCAAGGGCCAGATGATCCTCTAGCTTTTGTTAGCCACCAATTCGAAGGTATTTCTCTCTGTGTTCCCGGACTTTGGATCATACTAACGCAGTTACTTTAGGATCATGGAAACCCGAAAACGAGCGCATTTATTAATCGACGACAATCTATACAGATATAGAGACACCCACATATATACGCATGTACGAGTGATCAACAAATAACCTCGACGACTGGCTTCATAGCCTTTGTAAAAACAATATTCCCATCCCCTTTTCTGCCGAATACACAACTTCAGCAGCGCATCAGCACGGCGTTTTGGCTCCCATTACTCTTGAATATCTTTCTATGCTTCGACACTACTATATTTCATCTAAAATTTACGTCTCGTGAGCGAGGAGCATGGGGCGGTCTCGGTTATTTATTTGCCTGACGTGTTCATGGAGACTAAGGATTTGAATGATACATTTTTGAAATATTTACATAGAAGTCATGTAGAAATGCAATATATTATGATCTATCAATGTTACCAAATCGATTTATTGCCTGCCTATGTAGTTTCATTGTATATTCCAGGATAGTATTAAAACGGTATGAATGAGAAGAGAATGTGAAAAATATATATCAAACGAAAGAAACATAGTATGTCCAGCCATTCTTCATGGGTATATGATGATATGTAAACAGAAACACAAATATAGGCAAAGAAGAAAACAGGACAATGTATCGTGAACACTTTTGTCTTCCTCCCAGGTGCGCAGGGAGAAAGATAACTTAAATATGCAAAACCCTCATGGTCAAAGATCAAAAATCATCAAAAAGCGGCTCATACTTTTCCCTCATATCATTCGTATACGGCTCCAACTGCGCCGAGTCCGGCGGAGGCGGATACTCCTCGAAATTCGCTGCGTCAGCTGGATGTTCCACGCGCGGGATAATAGGTCCCTTGACCCGTCGATGGTAGACATCATCCCAATTCACGCTATCGAACCACGGGTGTGATTTGACTCGTTTCGATCCGCCCTGAATATGGCCTAGGCGCTGCGTAACGTCTGTTTTGCAGAGTTGAGAGATGATATCACGTGCTGCCATGGTTATGTTATGCGGAAAGCGAAGGCGGCCTTCAACAATCTGTTCGTATAAGCGCATGACATTCTGGTCCCAAAAGGGCGGTTGTCCGACGAGGAATTCATATATCAGAATGCCCAATGCCCACCAGTCGACTGCGATACCATGACCGCTGTTATGAATCACCTCCGGCGCCAGATAATCCGGCGTTCCGCAGAGGGTATACGTTTCGCGGTTGCCCACTTGTTTCGCGAAGCCAAAGTCGACCAGTTTGATGTGCCCGTCTATGTCAATCAATATATTCTCTGGTTTGAGGTCTCGATATGCAACGCCTTGGACGTCGTGAAGGTATTCTATTGTCAGTGTGATTTCCGCAGCGTAAAATTTGGCTGTTGCGTCGCTAAAGGTGCGCGCGCGTCGGAGGTAGCTGAAGATTTCGCCGCCGGGGCAGTAATCCAACTTGCTCGGTCAGATGGTTTATACGAGACTAAAAAGGGCAGGTGTAAAAGCATACCAGCATATATAGAGATTGGTCGTCTGAAAATGTGGTGATGAGCGTTGTGATGAACGGATATCCAGCTACTGCGCCTAATGTTCTTCGCTCGTTGCGAACATGCTCGACTTGTTTGAGCTTGATCACTAAGCAACTAAGTTAATACAACCCAATCTTGGAGCAAATCCATTGACATACCATCTGCTTTGCGGAGGACTTTTAAAGCATAGACACTGTCTCTCTTGGGACTGTTCTTGAGGCGCGTAAGCCAAACACGCGCAAAGGTTCCTGGTCACCAACAAATCAGTCCCAATCGCGATTGTATCACTCCCGTCGCTTTGACACGACATACCCGTTCCCAATGTCTTTATAAGCTCGAAATCATCCACGTGCAAATTCCGGCTCGGTTGCCCCAAATCCGGCGCGGAAAAGTCGTCTTCGGAGCTTATAGTATTATGTTTCGGGGTTGTCGATTCTGTATTCGGTGCGGAGGACGGAGTGACATCTTCAGACTTTGTGGGTTGTACTTTGGGTACGACAATCGGATTTCTTGTCGGTTCGTGTTCATGTATCGTGGGTTCGACTATTTCCGTGGCCATACTGGTAGCGAGTGGTCATCTCTCAGCTCTGACTTGATGGTGTCGCAAAGTTGGCGCAAAGGTGAGAAGTGACGGTCGTCGGGGGTCTCCGAGATGAGCTGAAGTGAGATCAGGGCATGGAGCTGACCAATTCGTATTGATTAGCCGCGACAACACAATGGATATATATCTGACAGTTAATCTGCGATTGGTTAAAGCCCTGTTGAATATTCCGACAGTAGAATTGCGAAAGAAGATTTGTCTTTCAAAGTTCTGGTCGATGGAGTGGTTCCGCGCTTGGTCCCCGCAGACTCCTTAAGCCTGCTCTGACGTTATCTTGGCGGGGCTCTTTCACGTGTTTCTAACTATCTACGTACTATCTATCTAAATGTAGCATCTAAGTATGTAACAAGCAATGAATGTATTCAAGTGATTTGTAGTACATGTATTCAACATTGTGCAGTAGCCTGTAATTGACCTGGCAATAACAGACTCACGGAGAACAGGCTGCCCTGCTATAAAGACATCGCATCTCCGAACGCCGAAATAAATGGAGTATCGAGACATCAAGCAGACATCTAAATACTGAAAAGGGGCCTTCATACTCTGTAGGCCAGATGCTCACCGCTTGAGCTTCTAATACGTTATACGAATACGCGCTGCAGCAATCTAACCGCCGCTGCGCGAGTTGAGAATCAAACCGACAATCAAACTGCATCCATTAGTATTGAGATCTTTCAAACCTTCGTATCCAAAGACAGACATACCCGTAAAGTCCCAACACTTCTCCAAAAATCAAGATCAAAATCATTCCGACGTATACACGGGACTGTTGCATGTAAGAACGAACACCCTAGAAATGTTAGCAACACATCAACTGTCCAGAATTGAAGGTAATTTTACAGCGTCTCCCACAACTCCAATTGTATATCCAGCGGCTATTCCGGCAAGGCCGACTGAAAGACCAGATGCAAGATGCATGAAGCTCCTGCAGTGAGCATAATTAGACCAAAATACACCTTCCAAATAGAGGACATATATTTGAGACGTACGTGTAAAGACTGGTGTTTTGACCCGGAGGGGGATTCATTGCGTTGGCTATAAGGACTGCGACGACCAGACCGTAGACGGCAATAATACCGGACATGACGACGGGGATTAGAGACTATATCATTAGTCAAGTTGTAAAGTGTGTCTGAGATCGATAAGTATACCCTCATGATCAAGTCTGGTCTATATTGTCCAACACCCGCAATACCGATGCCTGACTTTGCAGTTCCATATGCTGCGCCGATTGCTGCCTTGTGTGAGCGATCATCATTTCAACATGTGGTGGATAGGATGCGTAGGCTCTGTTCACGTACACCCAAAGATCATCTTCGAGTGCGTTAGTTCATTGGCCCGGTATGTATTTAAATCCTCAAGGACTTACTGCGGCTGCCACTCCTGCCTGTTGCTCAATTAGTATGACACAGTCTAAAGGAATCTACGGATAGACATACAAAGGAGAAGAACGGTGCGAATTTGGGCGCATATTCATTGTCCGCCATTTTGGCTACAGTATCGTGTTTATTCGGTCGAGGTAGGTTCGAAACCAAGCGTGCTGACGTACAACACTGCCTGCCCGTAAGGAGCTGACAGCAGCCGAGAACTTATTGTATGACCGTATGCAGCGATAAAACAGGCGGTTGTGAGTTGGAATGCAAAGACCTGATAACGACAGATGAGTGTAGCAGTGTTGACAGACTGGAGGTTGACATCAAGCTCTCGATGAGCTAGAGACTTGGCAGAGACTGCCAAGTCGTCCGTGTAGCCTGCCGTAGATGGTCTCGGCGGCGGCCTCTCCGGCTCGGCCTTAGCCTTACTTAGCCTTGACCAAGCCTGGCTCAAACAACACAATCAAACCACCTCCGTGGCTTACTTATTTGCTTCATCACCACCACACTCGCTATCGTCACCTCGATTCCCATTCTTCTACAGCCCTCTCCACGGCATTTCCCGCCTCGACTGCCGTGGACCCTGTGCGAGGCGTCTCCATTGAGCCTCCTTTTCCCGTTGAAAAAGGATGCGGAGGGTATGACTGCAGGGGCCCTGTTCTATGGTTGCGCCCAAGGCTCCTTGCACCCTCATCGGTTAAGTCAAGTCGGTTCTAGCACTTGCTAGTCGCTTCCCACCGAGATAGCGAAATACAACGCACCAAAGTCGAGTGTCGAATATTGAAGTGAAGACACGCGTGGTCATTTGTCTCAAAACAGCGTCCCAGCCCATTGCGGGAAGATACCTTCGTCTCTTTCCTGCTTCACCTGTGACCTTTTCAGGGCCCTGCATGTGATCATTCTATCCACGGCACACCCAAGTCAGTCCATATAGTGTAGATTTGTATTGACTTTGCACACCGCGGCATGAGAGCAGAAAGAACTAACATATCATCCAGTCGTTTGCAACAATCATCTATTTCGCCCACCATGGCGGATCTAAGGTCCCAACAAGGCCGAAACTATCAGGCAAATCCATATGGACAAGCGCCGAATCCGCGGCGCGATGCTGCCTTTTCTGATATCTTTGGTTCATCAGCGCATGCCGGCCGATCTCAAACAATGACCTCACAAACCCCTCCTTTTCCGAATGAACGAGCGCGTACGATGACCTCCCATATCCCACCGCCTCAGATGCAAATGCAAAACAGGGCACCACCGCCGCCAGGAGGAGGTGTTCGTCAACTACCTAATGGATATGGACCGGGCCCTGTTAATGGCTATGGGGGTCACCATGTACCTAATGGAAATGTCGCTCCGTCACACCAGCAGCAGCATCCCCAGAATTATCCTCGACAATACCCTGGTCCTATTCGAGAATATGCCAGACCGGGCCCTCATTATACGAACCCCAATGTTCCTGTTCCCCACGGTCGTCCCCCGCCGGCTCTAAATTCAGACACAAGCCGCTCTCGGTCAATGGCTAGTGTAGTGAGGCATCCCCCTTCATATACGCAACCCCCAAGCAATTATCAGCCTCCTGGCAACACCTTCCGTAGCCAGCATTATAATCACATCGCAAGAACACCGCAAGGACGACCCGTACCTGAGAAGAATGAGGATCCGCGTACGATGTCACTCAGCTCTTACTCATCATCTCATGACCATGCCCAGACAGCCTATGGCCGTACTGTTCCTACCAAGCGCCCACCTTCCGGGCCCGATCACATACCACCTCAATTGCTTCCCGCACAAGCACAGGTACAGCCGCAAGTCCAGGCCCAAGCCCAGCCTCATATTTTTCCAGAACAGCAAGGACAATATGAAGACAATTATCGACCTCGTCGTCCGAGTGAAGCATCGGTCACCTCGAGAACCATGTCGATGGCTTCAACGCTTATTCCCGATCGGACAATGAGTCTGCAAAGCCAGCCTCTTCAGAAACAGACCACTCAATCCACCACTGCGACAGCGGTCGCACAAGCTCGCAGATCAAAGCCGTTGGTCTATCCCGCTCTACTTTCACGTGTCGCAGATGTTTTCCGCGAAGGAATGCCTCTTGCAGAATATCAGAAGAACGGGCTTTCGTATCAGAATGCATTCCCAGGATCGAAAGCCGTGGATTTGATTGCTCACATTATTAGAACACAGGATCGAAATCTTGCATTGCTACTGGGCCGTGCGCTTGATGCACAAAAGTTCTTTCACGATGTGACTTATGACCACCGTCTCCGAGACTCTTCCGTTGAAATATACCAATTCAAGGAAACCATGACTGAAGAGTCGCCTACTTCAGACGTCAATGGAGTGTTTACGCTACTCACCGAGTGTTATTCCCCAACCTGCACACGTGATAATCTTTGTTACTCGATTGCTTGTCCTAGACGACTTGAACAACAGGCTCGCTTAAATCTCAAACCTCAGCCTGGTCTACGACATTCCTCTTCGAAGGGCAGTCTTCACGCGGATGATGATAATGATGACCAGAAGCTTTGGATCAACATGGTTCCAAAGGAGGTTTCTGACACGCTTGAAGATCGGGAAAAGAAGCGTCAAGAAATTATTTTCGAAATCATGTACACCGAAAGAGATTTTGTCAAAGACTTAGAGTATTTGCGAGACTTTTGGATGCGTCCGCTTCGTTCAGCTGGCAATACAAGCTTATCTCCGATTCCCGAGCATCGACGAGAAAAGTTCATTCGCACGGTTTTTGGAAACTGCTTGGAAGTGTTGAAAGTCAACTCTACTCTTTGCGAAGCACTCAACGCCCGACAAAAAGAGGACCATGTCGTCCGTACCGTCGGAGATATTTTTTTGCAGCATGTCCCCCGTTTCGATCCCTTTATCAAATATGGTGCCAATCAGCTCTACGGAAAGTATGAGTTCGAGAAAGAAAAGGCTTCCAACCCTGCATTTGCTCGCTTTGTGGAGGAAACAGAACGTTTGAAGGAGTCACGAAAGTTGGAGTTGAACGGTTATCTTACGAAACCTACCACACGTCTTGCTCGGTACCCTTTGCTTCTTGAGCAAGTGGCTAAGAATACTGCCGATGACAATCCAGACAAGCAAGATATTCCGAAAGCGATCGGGCTGATCAAAGACTTCCTTTCTAGAGTCAATACTGAGAGTGGTAAAGCGGAGAATCACTTCAACTTGGTTCAGCTCAATGCGGCCTTGAAATTCAACCCGGGGGATTATGTTGACTTGAAACTCACCGAAGAGAACCGACAAATGCTTACCAAAATGGGTTTCAAGAAAGGCCCAACTGATAGTTCTGAAGTCACTGCCTATCTGTTTGATCACGCCGTACTCCTAGTGCGTATCAAGGTGGTCAACAAACGCGAGGAATATCGGGTATACAAGAAGCCAATTCCACTCGAACTTTTGGTGATCACCCAAATGGACGAGGTCATCCCCAGGCTCGGACTGGCAAAAAGATCATCATCCAGTCTCATTCCTGGAAAGGTCATTCCCACCAATACACCTGCGCCGAAAGAAGGACTGCCAATCACTTTCAGACATCTCGGAAAGGGTGGCTATGATTTGACTTTGTATGCTACGTCACCAACGCAACGAAAAAAGTTTATTGAAATGGTCGAAGAACAACAGAGAAAACTTCGGGAGCGCAACAGCAACTTTTATTCGAAGACTATCCTTTGCGAAAACTTCTTCACAACAGCGAATAGGGTCAACTGCTTGGTACCGACTGGTAAGATTTGAGATGCAATTAAATTTCCGCTGAACAAATACTAATGCTGATATTTCATAGACGGCGGAAGAAAGCTCGTTATCGGTACAGATAATGGTATCTACCTAGCAGAGCGATGGCCTAAAGATAAGAGTGCAAAGCCAAGACGAATATTGGACGCCACTGCAGTTACTCAAATTGACACTTTAGAAGAATATCAACTAGTCTTGGTTCTTGCCAATAAGACTTTGAGCTCCTACCCGATGGAAGCTCTAGAAGTCAACGAAGGTCAGAATCCTCTTGCGCGCCGACCAAAGAAGATTCAAGGACACGCCAACTTCTTCAAAGTCGGTATCGGTCTAGGACGGCATCTCGTGTGCTCTGTCAAGACCTCTGCGCTTTCCACTACTATCAAGGTCTTTGAACCTATGGAGAACTTAGCAAGAGGTAACAGGAAACCAGCGTTGGGTAAGATGTTCAGGGGAGGCCAAGAAGCATTGAAACCTTTCAAGGTGAGTTTCTTTGAAGATTTCACTATCGGTTAAGACTAATCCGGTGTTTCTAGGAATACTACATCCCCGCCGAATCTTCTTCTGTACATTTCTTACGATCAACTCTGTGTGTTGGTTGTGCAAGAGGTTTTGAGGTTGTCAGTCTCGAAACCACAGAAAGCCAATCACTCCTCGATCAGGCAGATACTTCGTTAGACTTTGTTGCGCGAAAAGAGAACGTCAAGCCTATTCATATTGAACGAATGAACGGAGAATTCCTTTTGAATTACAGCGACTTCTCGTTCTTTGTCAATCGAAATGGATGGCGAGCTCGACCGGATTGGAGAATCTCTTGGGAAGGCACGCCGAATGCTTTCGCCTTATCCTATCCATATATCCTAGCCTTTGAACCAAACTTTATTGAGATTCGGCATATCGAGACGAGTGAGCTTATCCATATCATGACTGGAAAGAACATTCGAATGTTGCATTCGTCGACGCGCGAGGTAAGCCGCTACTTTTCTCCTCTCCTTTTTATATCTTACTAATTTGCCATAGATTCTGTATGCTTACGAGGACGAGGAAGGAGAAGATGTGGTAGCTAGTTTGGATTTCTGGAACAAGGCCACAGTGAAATAAAACAAATATGTGAAACAAGATGAGGAGAGCACTTCATCTTTTGACTTTTGATATCCCTTTCTTTGCTGCTTTATTCTTTTTCTTCTCACAATATCATCTTCTTGTTTGGATTTTCAATGATGATCGAATTGATCTGTCCATCCGTCTTCTGTCATGTGTGTAAGTTGTGTGTATGAACCTGACCTGGTCTTGACTTTGTACTACCAATGCTAGGAATGAGCCAATCAGCATGTTTCATTCTAATGTTACGCAAGCTGTATAAATTGCGTGTTACTTACTCTTTTTGGATCTGTTTTGAATGACTGAACTTTTGTCATGGTCATTTTTATTGTTGCTTGTTTTTTTTTGCACGCATGACACGTTTTCTTATATAGCGTGTGAGATATTTATCTATTGTTTATCTATTTATGACTGCTTTTTGGTTCTTGGGGTTGATGTGTATGTCTCCTGTTATTGAGATACTAACAGTTCAAATGATTCTTTTCAAAGGCAGGCTTGCTCGCTCTTATATTCCTTCAGTTCTTCTACGTATTATAGCCATTCCTTCATATGCAGTACTCTGTATCAACCATGTCCCTCCATCTTCGCGTATCAGTAGAATGAGGACACCCGCAACCCATTCTCACTGTAGAAAAATCATATTATAGCATGGAACTGCCTCACCTTCATCGTCCCTATCTCCATCGCCTCCGCAGTAACCCCCTCCCCCCAGACCCTTCAGCTCAACGTTCTCATACAAATCACTAAAATACTCATCTCAATGGAAAACCCTGTCATCACACTGAATCACAACCGTATATAATTTGCTCTTTTCAGTTGAGGCCATAATTACCCTGATATTGTGCAGGTCGAATGTCTTGCTCATGTAGGACGATAATTTGGCGGACCAGATGGAGTCGTCGAGGCGCTCGGGGGCGGTTGTCGAGCCTTCAGTGGAGGGGTGTGATATGGTTGTTCTCGTCGAGTATTCTCTTGGCTTTGGCGTTTTGGTCTAAGTATTTGCCGAAGTCATTGCGATGTATGGCCAGAGAAGGAACGCCCTTCTGTAGGATGGTTGATACCAGCCGCAATTACAGGGTCGGTGATATCGGCTATGAGAAGTGAGTTCTTTTTGAGTCATTTTAATTAAGGTCCATACGTGTTGATATCATGTGCACTGTGCCACCAATATCGGGAGCTGCCCGAGGCCCGTAGTCATCCTAAGATGTGAAACTTTACGAAAGGTTAAACATAACAAGAATTATTGAAATACCTAGAAGTAAGGAAACAAATATTAAAATCCAGAAAATGAACGTCACAGGTGACTGGGAATCTTTTTGGTGCTGCAAGCTCAAACCAAGGGGGAGTGAAGGGGAAAAAAAGAAAATGAATGGAATCTTGACTAAGATATCAACAGGAAAGATCTTCTTTTGGTTCCGCAAAGGTAATTTAAAGCCATTAATAAAAAGGTGTTATTTCCAATCCGAGTATGAACCACCGAAACGCAATCAAAAGATCTCCGAGGTGTAATAAGCAAGACACGTAAGAAGGGAGGGAAAGGACCAGATGCAAATTCACAGGATGAACCGGTGGGAGCCCACTGTCCTTTTTGCTCGACAAGGCTTGCAGCCACACAACCAATTCGCCATGCATCATCTCACCAGGTCGCCAATCTCGTATCATAGATTAAAGTGTTTCACATCGTCAGGACCAGCACGAACATGGACCTATTGAGGCGTACATTACCCAACACATGAGTTCGTGTACATAATCAATATAATTAAGCCTCTGCAGCGTCTCCGTTGGTCTCCTCGGTAGCAGCCAAATGAGCGCTGGCTTCTCGTTGCATACGAGCCTCGATTTCTCGGAGCTGGCTTTCACGGGCCAAGAGTTCCTGGCGTTTCTCGTTGATTTCGCGTTGCACCCTGAGTTCGATCTCACGGAGTTTCTCCTCCTCACGACGGAGCTGTTCTTCCTTCAGACGCACCGATTGGGAGACGAGGTCCTCTGGGTTCATGGAAGAATCTTCGTTACTATGGCAATCATTAGTTCATTCATTCCATGGTTGTGGCTCATCAGTAGCACTTACGATCCAGCACCGCCATCAACACTCTTACTGAGCTTCTCGGTACGGTAGTTTTCGTAAAGGAAGTCGTGGGTGATTTCCTTGAGATCGGCAAGATGGCTGTGTAGAAGTGCGCTTCGGATGGCGAGGAAGTCTGAGTGACGGGGGTTCTCGACCTCGACGATACCCCATGGGTACTGCCTGGCTCGTACCTTCTTACCGCCAATTTCCAGGACTTCTTCAGAACCAACGATGGCGAATGGCATGAGACCACGCAGCTCTGCATTCTCTTCGACAGTATCCTCGTCGTCCTCCTCAATATCGTAGGGGAAGTTGTAGACGGGGATACGGTAATGTTCGATATCTTCCATGACCAATTTTTTGGACTCTGCGAGCTCTGCAGGAGTGAGAGAGTCTGCCTTGCCGATGACGGGGATGACGTTGACGCGGGGAGAGAGGCGCTTCATCAATTCGATATCCAGTTCTCGGAGACCGTGGCCGGTAGGTGTGATAAAGTAGAGGAGGGCGTGGACTCGGTTGTCTCTGAATCGGGGGTTACGCTTAATTCGGGACTCCATGGCAAGAATATCGTCATATTGGCGTTCGAGGTACCCAACTATCTCTGAGAAGCTGTTCGACGTTAGCAATACATCCGTAGAGCTCTGATGATGAGATTCATACCTGGCCTCATTGTCGATCTGGTCACCAAATCCGGGGGTGTCAACAATGGTCAAAGAGATACGGGTGCCTTCCTCGTCGAGTTCCAATTCTAGTTGCAGTGATAAGTTTCATGCGCTGTTGTGATTCAAAGGCCACATCAGCCAGGTCACCTACCGACTGTCACTGGCTTGATCCGGACCCCCTCTTCAATGTGTGCGTTAGCAGCATCATCTGCATCCTTATGCTCGAGAACCTTCTTCCCGCAGAGAGTGTTGACGAATGTAGTACGACCTATCGAAGGAGTCAAACGTTAGGGTTGTTCAGTTGTCGAGTTGATGCCATCCGCTGATAGACCAAGTAACCACAAATAAACTCACCCGTTCCACTTGCACCACAGACCATCAAACAGAATTGAATGCCCTTCTTGACATTCTTCTTGCGACGAATCTATGAAACGAAACATCAATTGTTAGTACGGAGAATAGATTTGTCATCTGTTGTAGAACGATAATTGTGGTCGAAGCGAGTCCGGGGAACAAAGTTAGGGACGAGACAAAGCATACCGCGTTGAGAGGTGAAGACATCATGATTCGAGGATCCCAAATACGTGGGAGAGAAAAATTCCGACCGGCGAAGTAGTCAATTGGAGATAGTGGTCGGAGGATGTGGAGGAATGTGAAGCTTGGAGAGTGAAGAGACGTTGGTGGACTATCTTGACTCTCCTGAGACAGGCAGGGAGGAGGAGTGTTTAGGGGGAAAGCTGTCTAGTGTGCAGCTGCCATTGGCCGGCTGGGTTACTTGTTAGTGTCTGGGTCGCGGCTGCTTGCACTGCGCTGATGGCTCTTTCCCCTTTTCCACGGCCCACCAGTCACGTGTTCTCCTTTACTGTCCTTCGTTCTTGTACCTTTCCTCTGGACTGTTGGCAGTCTTCTAAAAGACGTCTATTATTTTGTTTGAGGACCGTTTTAGCAGGATCGTCCAGGACACGGCAGCGGCCTTCTTTGTATCTACCACCCAGTGTGCACTAAAGTCGTCCAATCCATCTCATACTTGCAATTCAATTATTGCTCGTTTCTTACACTATCATAATTTTGATCATCACTATTAGACCGCGTACTGCTAAGACTGTCGCTATCAAGTTCCTTAATGTTAGGCTGCGGGCTTACTTTAGGTTACGGGACGGTCTTTACATAAGCTTTATCTGCCTCCGCATTGATCCCCGAACCACTGATTAACCTAGACACTCCAGCAACTACCAGCTTCACTTTCCTCCTGTCCCCCTCCATATGACGCCGAAATGAATACACGCCAGGTTATCGATGACTCGGCAGGTCCAGTCTCTCTGTCCGCAGCCTTCAACAGCGACAGCAGCTGCTTCTCCGTTGGGTTAGATACAGGTTTCTGCGGTACGCTTCGTCGCATCCCCGCTCAAGGTAAACAAACAGGAGCTTATGGATACGATCGTTTTAACAGTCTTCAACTCGGACCCATGTGAACTCAAAGTATCTCGAGGTGTGCCCAAGCTTATTTTATGCTGTATGCAAAACAACAAAAAGGAGTGCTAATGGTTGATTTCAAGATTTCAATGCAGGTATCGGCGTTGCAGAAATGTTAGGACAGTCCAACTACTTGGCCATCGTCGGCGGGGGCAAGCAACCTAAACTACCACAAAACAAAGTATGAACTACAATCCATACATGCTTGCGCTGAATTCGTGCTGAGCTGTATGGTAGATGGTCATCTGGGATGACGTAAAGCAAAAATCCGTCATCACGCTCGAATTCCGCACTTCGGTCCTCCGAGTACGTCTATCCAAGTCGCGCATCGTAGTTGCCCTCCTGAATAGCGTCCACGTTTTCGCTTTCTCCACGCCGCCTGAAAAGCTGTCGGTTTTTGAGACTACAGATAATCCTTTGGGCTTAATATGCCTTGGCAAGAAGCTCCTGGCGTTCCCCGGCAGGTCTGCAGGACAAGTTCAACTGGTGGAGTTGGAGACGGGAAATGTCAGTATCATTCCGGCACACAGTTCAAGTCTTAGGGCCATTGTGCTCAGTCCAGACGGCGAGGTGTTAGCTACAGCAAGTGAACAGGTAACATTCACAAAACTCATGTTGATTCATCAGATCTGACTATGACCAGGGTACTTTGGTACGGGTATTTTCTACGAGGAATTGCGCAAAGACCGCCGAATTACGACGAGGCGTTGACCATGCCATGATCTTCTCTCTCGCCATTTCCCCTTCAAATACATATTTAGCGGTCACGTCAGACAAGTCAACACTGCATGTCTTCGATCTCCCGCATCCTCGAACGTTATCGCGTCGCAGCCAGTCCCCGTCTTCATACTCCGAGGATGGGGTGAACCAGAAATGGGGTATCCTAGGAAAGATTCCTCTGCTTCCCAGAGTCTTTTCCGATATTTACTCGTTCGCAAGTGCTCACTTTGAGATCGGAGATGACTCTCTCGGCGGTACACCTTACATTCCTCCGCTAGGCACATCCGTCGGACGACCATCCAAAGGCGTATTGGGCTGGACAGACGATCATACTATTTTGATAATAGGTGCTGGTAAAGAAGGTCGGTGGGAGAAGTTTGTCATTCGTGAAGGTGAAGATGGCAAACGCTTCTGCATCAGGGAGGGCTGGAAGCGCTACCTGGGAGGATGAACAAACTAGCCGGTAACAGAATTTGATCCAGAACTGCTGTGCATACCCGACTATTATCACGCCATGTCAAATGCCGCCTGTCCAGCCCAGCACTTAACGCCGCGCATTATCGTTGGCAAGTCAGGTCATATTAATGGCAACCCAACCGCGTGTTTAGGTACGATGATATGGAATAGATGAGCAAAGAATCTTTGACGTCCGCAGCTGAGGTTTAAGCAACTTGCTTTTCGAGAATTGCTTTGCGATGTGTCTTTGGCGGTGTCGATATGTGCAAAAATTTGTCCACGTTTGAGATGTAGATATGTAACAAATTGTTCAAATGCCATTCTTAATCTCGTTCGCGTCTAGATCGTTCTCTTGATCTGTCTCGTCTTCGACGAGGAGACCCTGACCGATCCCGATGTCGTTCTCTCCGACTAGTATCATCCCGGTCTCTGTGAGATCTTTCGCGAGATCTATCCTCACTTCGCCTGCGACGATGTTGGCGGTGTCTATGTGAGCGCTCGCGACTGTCTTTCCGTCGACTCGATGATTTCTTCTCGCTTGCCTTTAGAGCTTCGAGGGCTCTGGCGACTTCCTCCTTCTTTTCTTGGATAAGATATTCCTTCATCGGATCCTCGTCGTCATGATCTCGCAGTAACTCGGCCAACTCTCTTTCTTCCTTGAGCATTGGTCTTCGTCTCTCCTCTACATCACTTTTGTCGCCATCTCTCCTTCTACTCTTGCGTCGTTCTTCAGTATCTGTGTCTTCATCCGCTCCTGTGGTTGGACCCATGATTCTCGCTACATTGTCTTCCTCCCCCTCTTCGTCCTTCCTCTTGTATCGCGTATGGTCGACTCGAAGGACACGGCCCATCACTGTTGCACCTCCCAGATTGTCGACCGCGAGATCCGTACTTCGCTGATCTTCGTATTTGAGAAAGGCGAACCCTTTGCTTTTGCCGGTATCTTTGTCGCGTACGAGGTTGACATGGACTGGCTCTCCATATTGGGAAAATATAGTCACAATATCGCCTTCGGAGAGATCGAACGGTAAGCCGCCGATGTAGATGTATGCTGTATCGCGGTAGTCGGCGTGCCAGGAAGCTTCGGGCGTTCTGTATAGTCATGCGTTAGGAAGATTTGATTTGCTTCGCTAAACAATGGTGTGGAGTACTTACACTGCGTTTTCAAGCTCGCGCTTATTAAGCGCTTGGATCTGACGTATGGAGTTCATCGTAAATGTACAGCAGAGATTGTCAAAGTCGAATGTTGAAGAAGAAAATCAAGAGCTCCAAATTGAAGAGCTTCAGCGAAAGTGGCCAGCCAGTCACAGCTCGCGCGGCGGCCCGCAGTCACTAACCTAATCTACGAGGCATCATTGTTTACTGGCGCATCTTTGGATCTTTCATCTCAACCGGCTTCTTCCCCTTGCTCTTCCTGCGTCCGACGAATTATTGCGGCTTACTTCACGCTCGTCAGTTGAAGATTTGACTTTAATTTTCTTTGCTTGTATCGCCTTTATCCTGCACGACTCGTCACGGCACCGATCGCCTCGAGCGACCTCCCCTGAACGCGGAACCGTTTTAGCTTGCGGAGTACGATTGGACATACAACAACAATTTTAGAAACCGTCAACCCTGGAACCTATATAACTTACCAGCCCCACCGGATATGGTCTGATTGTCTACGAAATGGTTGGAATCGGGTCGCGTATGTCTATTGGGACGCAGGACTCTGGTGGCCCGGGAAGCCGGCCGTCCAGCAAGGATGGCAACAAGAAGAATATCTGGTCTTCCATGTTGGATAGCGTGGCTAGTGGGAAGAGATTGCCAGAGAAGAATATGATCGTGCTCGGTATGTCCTCAACAAGACCGATGTCTCGATTGAAACAAATGCTAATGCTGTCATCTGTAGGAGGCACACCCGACAGTCAAAGAGAATTTCTGGACACCCTATCTTCGGATCCCTCAGATCCACGTTTACCAGACGAGAGGAGAAGAGGAAAAGTGGCACCCATTGCAAATGAGTTTGCTCTGGGTTATACGTACCAAGATGTCCTCGATGCCGATCATGAAGGTTCGTTCTTATTTCTCATAGACGATACTACGGAGGCTAATATCATGACTATAGATATCCTTGCACGAGTCTCGATATATCTCCTGTCCGACCCATCTCCATCCTTTGCACCACTCTTACGCCCGCTTCTTACACCACAGTCCGTTCCGGAAACGCTCATCGTAATACTCCTCGACTGGTCTTCACCGTGGACCTGGGTCCGACAACTGCGAGAATGGATTCGACTTTTGAGATCTGTATTGATATCGTTGGAGGATTCGACTAAAATAGTCATGGAAGAAGTCATGACGGAATGGAAGGATAAAAAGAGAGGATTGGATCCTAATTCAGCAACGGGCGTCACGAACTCTGGAGGACCGGTGTCGATACCTTTAGGACCAGGCGAATGGGACGAGGGACTTGGAGTTCCTCTGTGTGTTGTCTGTCAAGGGGTTAGTCGAGCCAGCCTGCGAATGGGAACGTCAACTGACAGTGGTTTAGGCGAATAAAATAGAACAACTGGAAAAAGAGAATGGTTGGCGAGAAGAAGAGTTTGACTTTATTCTCCAGTTTATGAGGACCATTCTTCTCAAGCGTGAGTATCCTTCACCATTATCCTTCACCATTCCGGCTTCAATTGCTAATGCTTGGTATAGACGGCGCTTCACTCATTTACACCACACCTTTTCTCGCAAACTCTCTACAAAGCTTAGTTCATTCGACCTTGGGTATACACTCGCTCTTAAGAAGGCAATCACTCAAACACAACGTCATCGATCGAGACAAGGTTCTCGTACCAGCAAATTGGGATTCATGGGGCAAGATTCGCATTATCCGCGAAGGATTCGATATTGAGGGAGTCGGCGATGCTTGGTCTATCGAGATTCAGCAATCAACACGTCATTTGGTAAATGGCGGTAGCCAAGACGAAGACGCCGAGACGAAAAATGCACCTATATCTCCTATAGCAGAGGATGGAACAAGCGCCGTTGCCATTTACGAGCAGACCATTAAAGATCCTAAAGAAGACTCGGCTGTTCCGGGAAGCAGCGTCAGTGCCAACAGGAACAAAATCGAGATTGAGACGGAGGATATGCAGAAGTTCTTGGGTCAACAACTTACGATGTTGGACCAGCTCAAGGCAGAAGACGAAAAGAATCGAGAAGCTGAGAAAGCACCGAAGCCATTGGAAATGTCTCCTCATCTTGACGAATCCGGATATGTTAATGAACATATAGGGCCTGTTCAGTTTAACATGGGCGGTATTCAAGTCGATGCTGACGACATGTTGAGGAAACTGAAGGTATGTCCACTCTTTAAATGCCTGTTACATACGTTGCTAATCTAAAGATAGGAACGAGAGGCCAATCGTACACCTAAGAAAGAAATCACCTCATCTACTGGACCAACCGACGAGAAAGCGCAAAACCAAGCACTCGCCAGCTTCTTTGCAGGTCTCGTCAAGAAACCCGGCGGCAGTCCGCGCAGCAGTCCTGCGCCTAGCTCTAATCAATAAGTACATTCTGCCTTGTGAATACCTCGAAATCGACAGCGTCTGGGAAGACACCTTTCATTTAATTCTTTTCTTTTCTCTACTTATGGGGTGATCTTGGTCAGCTACCCTCTTTATCGATATGTCTTCTTTGTAACTATACATACCAATATGATACCCTTCTGATTCGTATCATCTGATGGCGTTACTTCTAATTCTAAGTTCTTATACATGGTGAGATGGTACCTGGATACCCCACACTTAGTGCTGTCTCCATAAATCGTACCTGAGTCTAACATGAACCTCGGCAGTCAATATCAAAGTACATATATACATACACTCTGAAAGAACTTGAACAAATCAAAAAAATACTTCCCCACGAAGACAACAAAATGAGCGTCGCAGAACAAGTAATCGAAGCCGCAGCACCATCAACAGCCTCACCACCCTTCATCCACGTCGACGGCGTCCCCAACTTCCGGGACATAGGCGGCTACCGCATCACAGACTTCTCCTCCACACGACGAAACTTCGTGTATCGCTCAGCACTCCTAACACGCATCACACCCACAGGCCTACAGACACTCACACAAGAACTAAAAATCACAACCGTCTACGACCTCCGCTCCAACGCCGAGCTGCGCAAGGACCCCATCACATCCAGCCCATTAGACAACCATGAAGCAATAACGGTCATTCACACCCCCGTCTTCCCCGAGCGAGACTCAAGCCCCGAACAACTCGCAAAGAGGTTTGCGAATTACATGTCCGACAACGGGTCCGAAGGGTTTGTAGCTGCGTACGCGGAGATTCTGCGTGATGGCGTTGATGCTTACAGGAAAGTGTTTGAGCATGTGCGTGATCGGCCCCAGGATGCATTTTTGGTTCATTGTACCGGTGGGAAGGATAGGACTGGTGTGCTTGTAGCGCTCATGTTTCTCGTTGCGGGCGTCAGGGATCGGGATCTCATTGCAGATGAGTACTCGTTGACTGAGAAAGGGTTTGATGGTAGCGTCAAAGCCCGTTTGGCGGAGAAGATTATCAAGGATTTGGGTGTGGATAAGGCGAATAGGGCGGGTATTGAGAGGCTGCTGTCGGCGAGGAAGGAAAATATGAGTGCTACGCTGGAGTATATTGATAGACAGTTTGGTGGGGCGGAGGGTTATTTGAAGGATCAGCTGGGGTTTGGGGATGAAGATGTTGAGCGGATTAGGAAGAGTCTTGTGGTGGAGGATAGGGGTCTATTTTAGACTCGGAACGTGGACGTGATCATGACCCATGGTTGAGTGTATACTTGTTTAATTCTTTCATATAGACATATGTTAGTAATTCTCCCATACCTTGGCCGGAAGTACATCTCTCATGATAGTCCAATGTCCAATAGCGTTCGTGACGTGGTTTGCCTCGAGAATACTCGTCTTGCCAACTTCCAAGATACGCGTTTTCGTCGAGTCATCCACGATATCGAATACGCTGGAGTCAATCTCCCGTCTTGGATACATGTACGACTTTCTAGCCTGACTACCGAGATAGTCATTCTCATTCGGCTGTCTGAAAGTCAATGGAGGTGTGCGACTCTTTTTACAGAACACAACCATGTTGATGAAATCGAGGGACTCCTCCGTTGGTTTTTCCGAGCCGTCGTTTTCACGGAATATGCGACACTCTGGAAAGACTGCTTTGATTGTGCGGATGACAACTCCTGCTCCGGGCAGGGAGATATCTCCAGCATAATTCTAACTGTAGTTAGTCATATATACGATCATAGTAGTATGGAAAGGACGAACAATCGCGACAACACCGTCATCTTGAAGTAGTGCGTCAAGTCCTTGCATAAACTCCAGAGTGAACAGTTCGACGGGCTCGACACCACCAGTGAAAACATCGTGAATGATATAATCGTACTTTTTCGACTCGTGTCGTGCCGTCTCGATGAATAAAATTGCATTGTCAATGACTGCTGTGTGGTTCGGTGGAAAGTGAAAGTATTGTAGTGCAAACTTGTATACGGCCGGGTCAATTTCGACAACAGTCGTTTCAATTCCGTGCTGAATCAGGGCAGCTGGTGTTGTACCAATTCCGAGCCCGCTGTGGCAAGTCAGTCTACTATTGTCACTCAAAGCTTTGGGGAAAAATTCATACATGACGAGCGCATTGCTATCCTGGTCTTCCTTTCTTGGTAGTTCAGGGACAGATTCAACAAGCCGCACTGCTTCGAGCATAGTGAAGACGGCATAGATAGGATCCGATACCCGCGGATTGTAATTTGACGGTCGACGTATCCACTCTCCTCCTAGTAGGCTATGGTCACATCTCATGGCACGATATCCAAGGTCAACATTATCCAATACAGATACATATCCAGTCAACGACTCCTGCCGATCTACTAGACTGTAGCCCACTCCATGCAGTGTCGAGTTGATACGATTTGCCGCACTCACAAATGGTACGTTTAGATCCGCCGTTATGAATAGGTAAGCAGCTGGTGGAATGAAGAGAGACCAAGAAAGAAACGAAGGGGTAATAAACGCATAGAGAGATGCTATGGTGACTTGTATACCGAGAGTCGTCATCAAGGCACTCGATCCGATATACGCCGGTAACATAAATTGGAAAGCTATGTCGGCCACTTTGAACATAACAGCGCCGTTCACTGCAAAAAACGACTGTGTAAGAAGCGGGTATGCCTGGCCGATGTCTAGCCTGTCAACACGTCTCAAATAAGACGAGATTGAAAACAACAGCAACGGGAAGATCGTGATCAACTCAGTCAGTACCGGTCCAGCCGGGTTGCTAAAAAATGAGCTCTGCTGAAAGAGAAAACTTTGAAGGATAGGGATTGATAATGCGAGCCCTGGAAGATTGTTTTCGATATCTCCGAGAGATTTGTGAAAAAAAGGCCCTGCTAAGATGGCAGTGTGGCATATAACATCATGCCATACGCGTGATGGTGTCGATCCATATACAGGTGCCAAAGCCAATAGAGATACTCTGGAGTAAGCTGCGGCGAGTGCAGGAAGTACCATAGCTTTGACGATGCATTTCCATACATGTCGAGAACGAGTTTCTGCTGGTTCCTCAGGATCAGCGCCAGGCCGGTCCTGTGCCTTTGATTTTCTTTGCTTCACCATCTTCACAAAAACGTTGAAAGCGACAAAGTAAGAATTTCGGAGACCACGGCTCTTTAGAGTTACTGCTTATTCCCCGACGACTCATCAAGGTATACCAGCTACCTGAAATCAAGGATTAGCGAGTATTGATAGTAAGATGCATCCTCATTATAGGCTGAGATGTGCTTACCTTGCCCCTCCAGCGAGACAATATTGACATGAGTGTGTTGATAAAATCGAGACGTATCAAAGAGCAATCTGTCTACAAGGCAGGAGCTTAGTGTAATATACATACAGTAGTAATTTATTTTAATATTATATAAGTTGTCAGATACTGTATTTTAACGTATCATTCGGTATCAGATAGATAAGCGGCTGCCCCACTGAGAGCTCCAATAATTTGGTTGTGTTCTTGTGATGACGATGGCAACACGCTTCGTTGCCCACCTTGAAGGCATATAAATATGTCACTGTCTCATCCACTGACTGATTCTCTTGGATATTTGTACAGAGCAACAATATGCCATATCTCCCAATGTCGACCGGACTAACTCAACAAGATGCAACCGATGCAGCCGCAAATCAGCTGAAGCCTCCTGTTTCAGTCCAAGCAAAGAACCGTCGCAAACGCTACCTCGATCAGCATCCAGAATATTTCTCTGCTGATCTTGAGATGGCTGGTTGGTCTCTCTTTGTTGTAGTTTAAGCGGTTCTACACCCAAGTGTTGACTGACTAACCCGTGCGACCACAGATCCATTACTCTACGACCGCCTCATCCGACGATTCCAGACTCCCGCAGAAAGAGAGACCGAGGGTCGCACCAAAGGCTTCTCTGGCATTCTACAAGCCGATCTCCTCCGATCAGAGGCGAAAATGGATGCGCTCGCTCATCCCGATCCGAATGCGATGCTGAGCTACAGGCGCGGTCCCAACGGCGAAATCGTGGCGGAAGACAAGGACGACATCCCGGCCAACAAGGAAGAGGGAGAGCAGCGTTGGAGATGGGAAATGGAAATGCGATTTCTCAAAGGCGCCGATTATGATTTTGATTATGAAACGGTCGACGAAAATGACGAGTATGATGATTGGAACGAGGAGCAAGAACGCTATTTTGACGAAGAGGAGCCCGAGTGGATTCTCGACAAGGAAGAAGGGAACATTCAAAAAGAAAAATTGACTGGGGAGACTGGTATACAAGATTTTTGACCTAGACTCTCCGCTGCCCGTGAATGGCTACTAGGACGCCAAATATTTACCAAGGGTGGGGTACCTCCATTGCTGTTTTTGTCGTCTGAAGGTGGTTGCCAACCAGCGGAACGGTACCACGTCATCTTGACTGGAACGCAAAACMATCCTTGATTGCGACTGTCGGTTCATTTCCAGCACACATCAAACGAGAAGCTCCATGGTAAAATGTTGTTCGGCAAGAATCAAAATTACCCTGACGAAGGTGAAGAATTAAATCACAAACATGGGAAGCCTCTTTCTTGCATGATCTTCTTCTTCGCATCTCAGATGCTAAGCAACCTGGAAACCCCAGCGGCATCTACGGGATCGACTGACGAATCTCGTATGCCGCGCACGAGGGCGCATCGATTGGACGTTCTTCTCGCAGAGGTAGGGGAATATGCAAATCGCAGCCCTTACGTTACACGCTTTGAGCCGATTCCGGTTGAAATGTCACCTCCCGGGCGACCTACCGGCACATCTCGTGACGAGATGCATGATGTCCTGTTGCTAGCCAGCTTCAAGGACAAGACTGCTTGGCAGAAATGGATTGAAACGCCAGAATGGCAGCGATTCATGCAGAGGACGGAGAATGAGGCCGTCTTCCGGCGTCTTCCGCATGTCCGGTGTGCGCATAGTCATAAGGGCCTGAGGAATACTCTAGAGATTCTTATGGCTTGAGTCAACCTGACCCGATGAAACTTTATGTTGATACTTCCCAACAATCCGATTGATTCACGCGATCCAATGAGGACAGTACGAGCATATTCCTCGTATGTCTTTGTCTCGCTGTATGTGACTATGCGTAATCTTCCCGCAGATTCGGCAATACCTCTTTCTTCACCGAGACAGCAGGCTGTCTGTGCAGTCGGTTTTAAGGTCGCCATTCCCCGACGCTGTCGATTTCAATCCCTCTCCCAACTGGCAGACAAACAATCAAACCTAAATTTCGTGTGACTTCACCGTACAGACATTCTTGGCGACAGACATTGAGTGCACAGCTTACGAATCGCGGGTATTGACGTGGCCAGCGAATTCCTTGGGCAGGACTATCACTGACATAGCAATTTATCCAGACATAACTCCGCAGGAGGTCAGTTGCACAAAATCACAGACAGAGTCCGGCCATTCCGCCGTCTCCTCTGGGCTTGGCGGGCGAGCGACAACGACGCCGCCAAGACTACATAGTAAGAGCTTCAAGAGAGGAATGCTTGGCGGGAGACTCTTGGCAGCATCTCTGTGCTACACTGCGACGTACTATGTATGTATTCTGAACAAATAATGAAACGGAGCAACACGTCCTCCGTAACGTCCCGAGCACTCATTAGGGTCTATTGTCTTGGTGGTGGTACACGGGCGATCTGCTCTGAGGCTATGCTCCCTCAATGGTAGCCCCTGATCTGCAAAGAGCGGCACCACTCGCTCTTGGCCTGCTTGGCGATGTCCCCAACTTTGGTCTTTGTTATTTCTTCTCTTCGGCATCTGCAATCGTCGAACTGTTGTCGTGAACTATGATTATCCAGATGCCTATTGATTTGTAATGCTGCAATGCAACCGACTGATTATATGCCTATCTTAAGATGGTCGTAAAGTATCAGCACGAGCATCAGGTCACTAATGTAAAAATGAGAGACCTACGACTAGCGTATGTATCAATCTCGCACGGTCGCTCAAAAGCGCAAATGCTCTCTTACAAGTAACTACTCTGAGAGTCCTCTCATGCCCAGACTTTGTACTTGCATTATCTCTTGTTGTTTTCTGCTTTTCTTGTCATTCCTCTGCGGTGGCTTGCTCTTGGCCTCCTCTTGGCAGGGCGGAAAACATGCAGAGCCGACTGACTTTGGACGGAGTAACTGATTGACGTCCAGCTCAGGGAGTCTATATGTATGGCGGTGCTGGCACTGATTCCTAATGCAGTTTATACGCCTGCCTCCCAGACTCCTGTCCGCTGCCCTTCTTGTTCGTATATATTGAGTTGGTCGCGCCTGCCTTGTAAACCTACCACAGGCAGACACACACACACACTGCTGCCTTCCGCTTTGGTCTAGGCTCCTGCCTCTATATTTACCTCTTTCAGACTGTTTACTCGCTCATCTTCAACCTCTTTGCTATTGCTCCACGGCACATATCTTGCCTCACCGTTGCTGTGATCCCCCTTATTCCTCTCGTATCCCGTATCTTATTATACTCACTCAATTGGCTGCCCACGGTAGGAACTACGGCTAATACCACCACCATCGCTTACTTTGGCCTTATTTATATATCAATTGGCTTCGTCTCATAGTCCTTACCTCGGCTTTCGATCATTCTACTCAGTGTACTTTGTCATTCGATTTTTTTTTTCTCGCGTATCACATCCGTGTGGTCGTTCTTTCAAAATGCTCAACACTCCCGTCATCTACTTTAGCGAGCCTCGTCCGGCGACTGCAGAACAAGGAACGTCATATAAGCGTCGTCGCTTGACCTCAACAACCAATGAATACAATGCCGTGCTCAATTACGGATGTACAGCCTTCCCATCCAGCTGGGTCGGACTCGGCGCCATTCAGTCTGCCCAGATGCTAGCGGCTCCCTCATTTCCCATGTTCGCTCCAGAGATTGCTAAGAGACCTCGTCTCACATTCATCAAGACCTCTCGATCAAGGGTAGGTTCCACCGCTACATCTTCGGCATTGCTATCAACCCCTGTCAAAGCTGCTCGAAACACATCAAGGGCTCGACATGCCCCAATCACGTCTCCCAGTTCCTCATCGACTTCACATGCATCTGCGGCTACCTCTATTAAGAGTCTATTCCGCCGCGCTGGCTTTACTCACCACCCGTCACGGATGCCGGAAGACCCAGCCATTGCTCGCAATGACCGCACCAGGGACATAGCAAGTGGACATGGAGATGCTCAAGAGTTACAATGCATCCCAACATCCGACACACAAGATGCCCCTCCTTCGCCGGTAGGGGATTCTCACTTTTCAGTGCATCACGACAACACCTTGCTCACGATCCCGAAGTCTTCGCGCCTACAAAAGGTGACTTCACTGCTGTCACTCAGGGAAAGAATCACTTTCACGGGCTTTCCTCATCCCAAACCATCACGCAAGAAGCTCTTCAGGTCCCCATCCATGGGCCATAGTCTACGACACAGAGACGATCCAGATATTGCGATACCCGCCAAGTTTGGCGCAGGGTTGAAATCGCTCCGGCTAGGCACAGCTCTTCCATCAGACTTCAATGTCGAGTACTGTGAGCTCGGTGACGAGTTTTGTAGTCGACGAAAAATCCCCGGCAAAAGTGGCAAAGCGATTGGGAGAGGTGCAACGGCCATAGTTCGAACCATGTATCGAAAGGGCGGTTCCAAGACTGATTTATATGCCGTCAAAGAATTCCGCAAATGCGGCCGAAACGAAGATCAGGTGGCATACGAGAACATGGTCAAATCGGAATTCAGCATCGCCAAAAGTCTTCACCACCCAAACATTGTGGAAACTGTTCGTCTTTGCAAGCACTCCGGCAGATGGAATCATGTTATGGAGTTTTGTGAATACGGAGAGCTGTTCTTGTTAATCAAGCAAGAATACCTTCGCGACATTGACAATCTTTGCTTCTTCAAGCAGTTACTACGAGGCGTAGCATACTTGCACCAGAACGGTATTGCACATCGTGACATCAAGCCAGAAAACCTCTTGGTCACGTCAGAAGGTCAGCTCAAGATCACCGACTTTGGTGTTTCAGAAGTTTTTGCTGGAATACACCCAGGACTCAGAATGACTACTCAGACAGACATTAAGCAAGAAAAAACAAAAGAGGTCCGAAAATGTTCACCGGGAATTTGCGGCAGTATACCTTATTCATCACCGGAGGTTCTTGCTGAAAGTGGTATGTCAGCTGATCTTATGCTCTCGGTTATAGACTAACATATTTAGGTGACTATGATCCGCGTGCTCTCGATGTATGGTCATGTGCCATAGTGTGCTTTACTCTGTTTGTTCGTGGTAGCCCATGGAAAGCTGCCAAACCCGAAGATCCTCATTACAAAAAGTTTCTCTCCGGGTGGCACAAGTTTCTCCTTCGAAATCCAGATGGTATTATCACCGAGACGGAGTCGCCAACATGCGGTCGAATCTTCACGACATTCCCAAAGCGAGGATTGAACCATCTTATACTCAAGATGCTGCATCCAGACCCTGAGATTCGCATCTCCATCGAAGACGCCTTGAACGATCGGTGCATCCAGACCATTGACTGCTGCAGCCCGGATATTGAACAAGAGGCTCCTCAGAAAATCGCCCAAGACGCCCGCATGCAATCAGTGTTTGATGTTGTTAATGAGGATAGTTTAAGGATGGCCCGGAAGAAGGCACATCGCCATCTCCCTCCAGGGGGGAAGAAGCGACATGGATTGTGACTGGCGAGACTTTGTACAAAGTGAGGAAGAGTTCAAAATTCATGTAAATAATACAGGCTTTTGTCACTCGGTTTCTGGAACACTCATTATCAGACACTCGTGATGGCAAGTAGCATCTACATCTTGACAGAACAATTATTTCTTTCAAATCTGGTTTCCAATGGTACATATGTACAGTGGAAGATATATGTATAATAGAAGTAAAAGCCCGCAACTGAGGGCAAATCTGCCCTATTGGTTCTCCTTCAACATTTTGATCGCAAGCTCCTTGAGCTTGAACTTTTGTATTTTCCCACTGGCTGTTTTCGGAAACATATCTGAACTCGCGAGAAAGAAGACGAATTTCGGCACTAAAATTTTGGTTGTAAATCACCATGTAATAAATATAGCATGATCGAAGAATAAAGTCACTCACCTAAATGACTGCTTAATTTCTCCCTTACCCATGTCCTTAGGTCTTCCTTGAGAATGTCTTGCTGCTTCTCCTGATCTGATGATTTGGTCTTGGGGGAAAGAACCACAAAAGCACCCACGATTTCACCATACTTTTCATCTGGGACACCTACGACAGAGACCTCCTTCACAGCCGGATGAGCAAGAAGACAATTCTCAACCTCTAGTGGATGAATATTCTCGCCTCCGCGGATGATTAGGTCTTTGATGCGGCCTGTTATAGTTATGTAGCCGTCGGCAGACATGCTTGCTTCATCGCCAGTCTGTACATATGTCAAGTATCAGTATTGTCGTTCGAAGGCAAGGGGGGATACTTACGTGCATCCAGATTTTGCCCTCTTCGTCCGCAAGCATGACTTCTGCTGTCTTGTCTGGCGCATCCCAGTATTCTTTCATCAGGAGATAACCGCTCACCGCTAGCTCCCCCTTTGTCTCGATTGGTAGTGTCTTGCTGCGGTCGACTGGATCTACGACCTTGGCTTCAACATGCGGCATTAGTCGGCCGACAGTCGCGATCCGCTTATCGATGGGATCATCTGTAGTCGTCATAGCAGACACTGGACTCGTCTCTGTCATTCCGTAGCATATGGTAAGCTCCGTCAGATTCAATGTCTTGTGCAACTTCCGCATAAGCTCGGCTGGGATACTGCTCCCTGCTGCGATACCGGTACGCAGGTATTGAAATCCATCGGATGGGATTTCTCCTCTTTCGAGAAGTCCTAGTTCTTCGATGAACATAGTCGGGACCCCGTAGAGAGCCGTGCAACGCTCCTCTCTCACAGCTTGAAGTGATGCTAAGCCATTGAAAGATTCCGAGGGAAATACAATGGCTGATCCATGTGTCGCCGTGGCCATATATCCCAAGATGCATCCAAAGCAGTGAAATAGCGGTGGCGGACAGCAGACAATATCGTTCTCTGTGAGAAGCATCCGATCGCCAATCTGAGCGCCGTTGTTGAGTATTGATCGATGAGTCAGGCAGGCTGCTTTCGGCATAGATGTCGTTCCAGAAGTAAACTGTATATTGACCACATCGTGGGGAGACAGCCCTTGGTTCGGTAATGCCTCTTCATCTGCACGTAGATCGGATACTATAGACGAAAAGGACGTGAGAGCCCTATATGAAGAGCCGTCATATCGACCTGCCGAGTTGTCGACGACTACGACTTGTTTGAGAGATGGAATCAACTCTGATGAAACGTGCAACACAGTGTCAAGATCAGGGACAACATGTCTGATGAGAGGCGTGTTGTCGCGCGGCTCACGACGAGGTAGATTTGCTTCGGCGCTTATTATCAAGTGACTTGCTCCCAGATGACTCAATGCGGAGACAACTTGAGCTGCGTTGAAGGAGGGGTTGAGTGGAACCAGAATTGCTCCCAGTTTGAAGAGTGCGTATGTCAACTAGAAAGTAGATTTAACATTAGTAGAGGAAACCGTTCAGTGTGTTCTATATTCCACATACTGAAGCATACTCGAGTGAGTTTCCTAACATGACCGCTACGCGGTCACCTTTCTGTACAGATATGGATTGAAGACCACGGGCTAGTGCATTGCTCTTGCGATCAAGCTCGTCGTAAGTAAAGCGACCTTTCTGATGGCGAGCAACAACTCTATCGATCAGTTTATGTTAGCTGTTTGCTCAGATTAGTTGATGCCTTGAGGGCTTCACTTACGCAGTGCGATCTCCGAATTTTCGCACTATAGATGCAAAGTGCTCACCTACCGTCTGCTCTATCAAAGGTGGCTGCATCATTTCGTTCAGTAACAGCCTTCCTCGGGTAGAAGCAAAAAGTTGTTGAAGCTCGCACCTGATCGGGGCCCCGCGCATAACTCTGCGTCAACAGGGCTCGAGTATGCCATGGTCGAAGGCTATTAGACAGGTGGCCAGCTTTAACACCATTGTTCCTCAAGAGGAAGCTGTGCCTCGGAGCTGGGCCGAGAAGTATTCTCATGGCTTCTCGGTAAAAGTCACCTCTTTCTTATCAATACTTCCATTGAAATTGACCGTGCAGGTGCGATTCGACTCACAACTATAATCACTTTGGGTAAGTAAGTATATAATCTGCAATGAGATGAAATATATCTCCAATCAGAAGGAGTGAAAGGCAGAGAGATGAGAGGACAGAGAGGAAAATGAAGGACGGAGGAGAGCTCGGACACGAAATGAGGAATGAGGGGAAGCCAAATTGCACGGGGGCCAAGCACTCCGCATACATTGATCAATGCAACGTCGGTAGACCTACAAAAGAGTTCCATTGAAGATTGATATATTTGAGATATGATTCAACTTGAATGTTTCCCATGAACCATGGCCACAGTTGTGAGGCTGCTTGTGGAAGCTCGCTCCAACAGCTCATAAAAGTGGAGTGGGCTGGCATCTTCCCCGCAAACAATCGACATCTCGGGGGGTTCCTTCTCCACGCCATCTCCGCACCTTACAACAGCCACCTCAAGTAACAGACGACAGACGAAAAAGAAATGCTTAATGAAAGTCTCAGATTGCAATAAGCACAGATATTCACACCAGGGCCGCCCTTAGGCTCGAACGATACAGCAGAATCCACACAAATCACATTACTTCAATCAGAGAGCAGCTGGACAAGGCTGACATTGATATAGAAGAACAGGACCAACGAAGCTCTCCAAGACCGCCCAACCGCTATAGAAATTCTTGTTGTTTCAGAACAGCAATTTGAGACTCCAAGTAACCGGTTGAGTGCACGCTTCCGACTCTTTCTTCCATATGAGAAGAGGAATTCAGTGTTGGTCCCTAGGGAGCCTGGCATAGGTGGCCATTGCATATTCCACAGCATCTCTGGCCATTGTAGCAGTTTCCTACAGTCAAGAAAGCATTACTCGGAGCAATGGTTATACATGCGAGTACGGATTCTCGGTGAAACATACCACCATTCCCAACACATTGTGTCTCCTCACGTGGCTCAAAAGCATGGTTGTAAGGATGCCCGCTGACTTGAAGCACAGCCACGGCTAGCAAGGCAAGAATAGAAAGCTTCATCTCGGTGGTTTTTGTTTGGTGTTTTTATGCTTTAAAAGCTGGTTGTGTACTGGATCAAGGTCTAAGACAAGAGGCTGTGTGTGATGCTTGTGTTGTTTGTGTGTGATGCTTGTGTTGTTTGTGTGCTTTGGTCTGAAAGCCTGTAGAAGCAGCACCTATTTATGCCTTGACAGAAGTGTGCCCTACGAATTTCTGACTTTAATTATCGATGTTGGGCAAAGCAGGTATAGGGCAGAAAGACCGCTTTGATTGACGGAAGATTCTTGTGGTTGCCAGTAACAAAGAAGAAGTTTGAATAATATCATCCGGGCCGCACCGAATGGAATTATTCTCATTACTATTGAAAAGGAATGAAGCTGTTACGATATTCATGTCATACTTTTATTATTTCAGTGTGTCTAGTGTCCTTATTTATGAGGAAGATCCTGGACATTCTTTGACCGGCGATGGAGTGAATGACTCTGGCGAACATTGTCGTGACAAAGCAAAGGCAAATTATTGAATGGACCTTGTACGAGGAGAGAACACTGCAAAGGTGACATTTTCTCAAATTGGAATATCTATCATTGCGTCTCAACAGGTTATCTATCATATGTTAAGCCCTAAAAAGGCGAACTTGAAGGGCTAGATTCACCATATCTTGTTATTGAGCCGGATCAAAAACAACCATGACAATGAACAGTAACATGATAGTCGAATCCGAATTAGGCGATAAATACCCCTGATAAGTCAAATGCTTGAGAGCTCGCCTTGATTGTATGCTCTGCTATAATGGCCCAATCGGGACTAGCGGATGTCATGCCTGATTTTGGCGGCATTCGCTGTAGCACGCGGGGAAGCTAGCTAAGCATCATCGATCGATCACTCTTCCTCTCCGTTTGGCTATTCGTTCTCAAATTGCGTTGCAATATACTGTTAATCAGTATGGCTCCTTGAATACTAACCGCCAATACTGATACTCTCTTTCGCCTCTCCTCGTTGCATAGCTCCCCGACGCACGTTGCTTGCTAGAAGCTCTTGGTGTGCTTGGAGCTCCTCAAGCAGCAACGTGCACGAGCATCATGGCCGCCGAACCGTCTGAAGACGACATCGGGAATTTCATCAGCTTCACCAGCCTTCCGCGAGAGAAAGCCGTCCTCTTTCTGAAGGTAAAAACGAACACCACTTTTCTGTTGACGAGGCATAACGCTAGAGCTGATGCGCACTTTAGGCAAACAACCTTAACTTAGAAAAGGCCATCAATGCATATTTCGAAAACCCCGACGGCGTCCCTACCGAAGTATGTACCCTGGAAATTCGTTCCTGTTTAGTGATGATAGTCACTGATCGCACATTCACAGCCTCAGGATGACTGGACTTCGTTCAATAATCCGTCATACTCTCAGGACAACCAGTCCGTGCCAAGTGAGCAGCCTCCTAGCGAACAGAACCTGACAGCTTTCAAACTAGTTGTAGCTCATCATCTATCTAGCATTTCATATCGAAAACTCCGATACTCATCCCGGATACTCAGTTGCTCCGTCGCGCCCACCGTCCCGAATGAATGTTAGTGAGACACTAAGTGATCGCAAATATGAAGGTGGCCAGGATACTACAGGCGCAGGTATGAGGCCATGTTCCAATACGGGTGAAAATCGACTAATCTGTCTACGTATAGAGGAGATTCCGCGACAGAATCTCACTTCCGCTCAACTCGAAGAACGCGACCTCCAACAAGCGGTAGCCATGTCGCTAGGCCAAGATTACGGGAAACAAGAAAGCGGCGTCATCACACAAGCCCAAGATAGTCATTTTGGTCCGGCCACTCAAGAATTTTACGACGAAACCAACTGGGGTATGACTGTCGCCAACTCGGGCACAAGGGAAGAAATAATCAGCCCAGACCCGGAAGATCGTCTGCGCAAAGATGACGAGCCAGCATTCCTACGACCTTCACAAGAAGCACAATATATTGGAGGATTTCTGACGATACTTCATTCGATACCGCTTGCGCGGGAAGCACTTTTGCTTAGAGAGAAAACCGCCTCCGATTATGGGTATGATTCGCAATGGTGGAACGGGCAGTCGATTAAAATTCCCCGGATTGTGTCTCTAGACAACCCCTATGCTGACGATCAAGATTGGGACGATATTATTTACGAGGCACAACGATTGATGGCTTTCTTGGATGGTACGCGGCGCGCCTTTGGGAGCACTGATGCACTTGCTGGTTTAAGATCTCTTTACGGCTATAGCGGCGATGGTGGTGTCGAGAGATTCCTAGAGGCATGGCAAGAGGCATCCGTGCGTGCAACTCCAGCGAATCAACTTTCAATGGTCTTCTCTTCGTGTGCAATGAAACAGGAAATGTCCGAGATGGATTCACCGAACCAAAGGGATTTCTATGTTCTCAATACGTATGTCGAAACTGGACAGGGTCAGACCCTCTATGACATCTTGGATGATGCAATCTGGCCCGATGCGCCGGGAGAGGAGCTGGATGATGTCTGGCTTGATCATGTCGGCGAAATTTTGACGATAAAATTGGAGAGCTACGCCAGCGAAGCGATGAATGTCAAGATTCCATCCATCTTCTACCCGGATCGGTATATGGAGTCACGCCGGGATACAGTCCGTGAACTACGCTTGAAAAGGCTAGATGCTATTCAAAAGATGAACGAAATCGAAAGCATAGCAGCACGCTACAGATGCACGGAAACAGCATCTCGAGCTGGGATGTCCAACCAGGAGCTATTAGAGAAAGCAGCGAAGGCCATCACCATCGCACTACCAAAACATGTGCCTGAAGGGACAGGTGATATCGATGATGCGAGAGCGCAGCAAGTAACTGAACAGCTACGTGCAATTGCAGGTCTCATTAAAGAAAAAGTCGATGGTATGCAACTCGTGTTATCGGCTGAAACGTTCTTTCTTAGCTAACCCTTCGCAGAACTGGAAGCTGAAAAACAATCAGCTCGTGATATACTCAGGGAACAGTCTAAGATTTTAACAGAATCAGATATCTCGTCTGATGATCCACCACACTACAAATATACACTCCGGGGCTTCTGCACAGCACCTCATATAACCTACGTTTTGCGAAAAGACACCCCTATTCAAACGGAAGAGGATCTAATTGAAATGGAAGATAAAGAGCCCGAAGAATGGCATTGGTGGCGAATAAGCTTCTCGACAGACGACGCAAAAACACAGCAAGCTGCTAAGCCCGAGAATAGGAGGATTAAGAGCAGCGAAAGAAATAATGCGGATGTCATTGGTTATACTGCTATCAAAGTACGCGAAATCGAGGCACTTAGGGCAGCACGGGAGTCGAGGAGTCTTCTCTTGGTGTATGCAAATAACAATGCAGTAGAGTTTGCTCATCACCCTGCACAGCCACCTCTACAGGTATGAACCATCTATCGCCACTGCTGCATTTGCCCGAAGCTAATAAGACTCTCCAGGAGTTCGTAAACACAGACAACATCACCTTCCAAGCAGAGCTTGACGCGGCTGCAAATATCTACAATGGCGAAGAAGGCTCAGGCGAATCGGTAGACGCAATGATGGAGGATTGGCCAACGATCGATGCTGAAGACGAAATTGCATCCGCGACGACTGTGAATGCAGCAAAAGTCAACGTATTTGACTACGAGGTTGATGCATTTGACGAAGTCAGCTCTCATCCAGGTCAGGAGATGCAAGAAATGCAGGAGCGAGGAGGAAAGAGTCTTCTTCATTGATACGATTTTATGTATAATGACTTCATTACTAGGGTTTGGGGGTTCACTTCTCGTACATACTGTTGGCTTTCGGTTGGATGTTGTGATGAAAGAGAATATTCTGTTGTTTTCGTATATCTCTTTGTTATAGAAGGAGCTGCCTCATCACTGTCGGTAGATACAGCGGCGGGCGGATTGGATGATACCAGCAGTCTCAGATAGTAATTTCACGATCATTGATAGATGAAAATACTCGGTGTTGGCTGTAGCATATGCTCCGTTAGGGTTAATTCGGTACGTGTGGGGAAGCTATGTACGTCCAGAGAAGTTCGGCGCACGGAATCAACCAACGAATCTACATCTCACAACATACGCTTCCCCCCTTCACGGATTATCTGAAGTTTTGCATTTACAACCCCTATAAATCAATCATGTCCACAGAAACCGACGCCGTTGCGTCAGCTACTATTGAGCTACTCGAGGGCCGCCTGCACAGATTAGAATATCTCCTTACTGGCGAAACACAATGGACGGGGCAACCATCCGCAGCACCCAAAACAGAGTCTTTAGACGACACTGTTGCGCGTCGCTTGGATAAATTGGAAAACACGCTCAATTCTCTGAGTAAATCGAATCCCGCAGTGCGCGATGTGTTACAGCTTTGTAAGCTTCTCGCCAACCTGATGTTAGGTTGTTGTTGTTGTTTGCTAATCAAGCTAAATCCAGACTCCCGTTTCCCCGACCTATTCCCAGGCACCTCTTCTGCACAAAACGAAAGCATACCTGCAGATCTAACCACCCAAAACCTCGCTTCAATCGTCCTATCCTACGCCACTGCATTCCCCGAAACCGCATCGCGACTCTCATCACTCAAAGACCTCCCGATCCCGGACGCACAAGCTTCGACCGCGCTCATTGAGCTTCAACCACGTCTTCAGAAGCTTTTGAGTATTCAGGAACGACAAGCTATTGAGATATCTGAGCTGCGAGCGCGCAGCGCACGACTCTTGCAGCGGTGGTATGAGTTGGGAGTCCTGGAGAATAGTGAGTGTTGGGCGGAATGGGAGTCGCGGCTGGAGGATATTGAGCGGGAGGTTAAGAGGCGCGAGGTTATACGCGACAGAAGGGCTCGGGAGATTTGACTTGATGTTGAAGACGTTCAGGTCACGGATTCGGTGTCTTACAACAGGAGGATGGGTGATGAATGTTTCGACTCGAGAATGCTAGATAAGGCCAGGAATGGTTGAGTTCTAGGCTGCTTACACGCCACCATCATTCGGTGAGTCTTGGATTTTTCGTGAATATTGCGGATTGCTAATACATGTTGCAGAACAGCTGAGCCAATTCGAGCTGATATAGGCGAAATATCCAGGCGGGTCGGCGTAGCCATTCCGAGGACGCTATATCCCCCACATCAGCATCAGCGACAGACAAACTACCGACGCTTAATTGCCATTATTATAAGGAGCAACAATTCGATCAACCGAAGATATGATATCGGCTAGGCTTGCATCATTCTTTCGCTCTACGAGAGCATCATAAGCCATGGTTCATGCGATCAAAGTACCGCGAATCGTTCGATCCCGACGTCACTACGTATTGCTGATATATGAGGTTGGCATACCGGACTGAGCTCTACATTCCTGCGTCAGCGGTCAAATAGCAACAGCAAGTCAATGTACCACTCAATGGGCTAGAACTGATACTAGCATTCCACATCTTCATCTGGCATATTACCCATAGAAATGATTGGATGCCATAATGTCATTCTAACCTTTGATTGAATCATTAGCCGCTGCCTTGATAGGCAACAAGTCTGTGAGTACGTACTCCGTAGAGTGATTATCATCGTTGACGCCGTGCAGTGGATTGCAAGCGCCAAGTGTGTCTTGAATGCCGGCAACGTTAGTTCATTCTCTGTTCAATTAAATCATAGCGATGCTCATTTTTCTCAACACAGACAATATATCGTGATATTAATCGTATTTCCTACCTTGCGTTGTTCTTACTGGTCGTGCATACAGCAAGGGAGACCAAATCGATGTGTCGGTAATATTATGTACATAGTACGTATAGTACAGGGCAATTTGAAGATGTAACTTACAGGCCAATTAACAGCGGATCGGCACAGCCAGCCAGGCCTAGCCCGTTCCTGGCGGTAACTCAGCCTCCAATTGGCTGTTTCAGATCAACGGGGCCTTGGCTATTTTTATTATCCTTTACTTATGTACTCCGTGGTAGAATTCGCCTGTCTTTGCTCAGTACCATGTACGTAGTATGTATGCTTACTCTGCAACTTACGGGGTAAACATCATAACTTCTACTTTCTAATTTCTCGAGGCGTCGACTGGGTTAGAGTAAGTCTTGGCAACAGATACTTGCGTCTGTCGGAGTTCGTGACAAAAAGTCGATCAGCAGGAGTCTGTTTGGGCAGCGTCAGAGAAGATGTGAAACAGTCCCAGATGCATGCATTGCCCCGTGCGGACGTCATTTCTTACTTTTCTTTGTCGTTATCGTCTCGTTTTCGTCCTGCAGAGTCATCTGAATTCATTCCATCTCATCTGATTCAGAGATCCCGTCTGCTGTAATAACTAAGCGAGTAGATCCTGATGGCTGAGAGGCTGAGCGACGAATTACGGAGCATACGGAAGGGTCGAAAAGTGTAATTAAACTTGCCAGTACGAAAAAGCATGTACCAGTACAGCGTCCGTACGCAGGCCCGCCATGCTGTTTCGGGGTTAGGGCTGGTCCTGTTCCTACTTCACGGGGCTGGCTCGATTACGCTTGCCACGTACGGTACAGCGCAATACAGACAGATACGTCGCTGCCAATACGAACAGTCGCGTCCAAGCACCCACTTTACCCACCCTAATAATAATCGATTACTGGTAACTAACTACATAGTACGTACGCCCCTTCTTACCTTTCCTCCCAAGTGAATAACCTCTCTCCAGACACCTCCTCCACCACACACACCACCACCACCGCACCATCACACTCAACGACACTCCTGCCCTCGTAGGCAATTCCTTTCATTCACTCGTTTCGACTATTTTCTTTCAACTATATCTGTTTCTGCGCTCTATACTACTTCAACACCTTTCCTTCTGTTTACCTGCTTCTCCCCCTACCGCAGCCTGGTGCTGATCTGGTCTTTGAATCAAAATCCTTACCGTACCTCAGCAGCCAGCCACTCGACGAATCCAGCCTCCTCTACGCTAAACCATCGTCAAGGATTGTCTAAAGTCGATCCGATTGTTGTGGTGAAAATCTTCCTTGGGTATCGCATCTGGTTCCGACGGTCTTACCCCGACACGTTTCCTTGCCGCACGTATCCGCCGCCTGGATTGGGGTTACGTGACCACATCGACGTCGCTCAATACGGACTACAGAGATAAAATATCAACCGAGATTTTGCTATAATATCTCTCGCGATTACGATTCATTCTGTCGACTTGAAATCGCTCGTTTTTGGTGACTGTATCGCCAAACCGCCCTACAATACTCCCATACCATCAACACATCGCCGCAATGGCTCGCTTCAGCGCTAGTAATATTCTGGGCGATCCTTTCGCATTGGCCACCGTTTCTATATCAATCGTACGTAGCTACTCTACTTACCGCGCTCGCGTGGTTCCGATGAACGAATGCTGACAGTCTTAGCTTGCTTGGCTCATCTCGTTTATCGGTTCGATCATCGCCAATGTTCAGACAGATTTCCCCAACTACGTCTGGTGGGCGGTCGCCTACATGATCTGCGTCATCGCTGGTATCGTTGTCGTTATGGGCTCTGATACTAGCCTGGCATATGGCAATGCAGTATGCGCAAAAACCCCTCTGAGAAGCGTATAAATGCTGATTGTTTTAGATTACTGGATATCTTTCTGCTGGCCTGGTATTCACCACTTTGGCTGTGAACTCTTTGGTTTACCAACCGCAACCATCGAAGCAGGCTGCTGCTGCTGGTTTTATCTTGTTGTCTATGATCATTGTAAGTCTGACTGGATATTTTGGTGATCGCGTCGCTAATCATGGCAGATCATCTGGATATTCTACTTTGGTTCCACACCCCAGGCAGGCCACCGCCGGACTATCGACTCGTTCGCATTGAATAAGGAAGGAAATTCGTACCACAACAGCCGCCCGCAATCCAACGCTTTCGGCACTCGTCCTGGTACCACAGTCAGCCAGCCCCCTCAGATGTACACCTCAGCTCAGCTCAATGGATTCGAGACATCTTCGCCCATGTCCGGCTACCCAGGTGGCCCCCCGGGCTCTGACAAGCGCAACACAACTGCCACCAACTTCCCTACCAGCGGTGCCGTGGACTCTTCGAATGAAGTCAGTCAACCAACGGAATACCCCTACAAGGCCAAGGCCATCTACTCGTATGATGCGAACCCTGATGATGCCAATGAAATCAGCTTCGCCAAGGGCGAGGAACTCGAAGTATCCGATGTCAGCGGCCGATGGTGGCAAGCAAGAAGAGCAAACGGAGAGACGGGTATTGCCCCCTCGAATTACCTCATCTTGCTTTAGTGTTTTGTCCTGTGCAGGCAGAAGAAGAAAGCACAGATGAGGATGAAAAAATAAAATCAGAAATTTCTCCAATGAACGTTTGCTCCTTAATGCGATTTCCGCCTCGGCGTCATACACCAGTTTACTTGATACTTGATACTTTGATACCCTTGTGACAGGATCATCCTGCGGCATATTTCCTTCTGACTGATTTCTTCAATCTCTTTTCTTCTCTTCATCTTCGGTTAATACGTCATGTCATGTTGCGATGGGATTTGAATTATTACCTTCTCATGACCATAGTACTGGGTTGTTCTTTTTACTTGTCTTTTTGTTTCTTGCTGTTTAAAGTGGATGTTCTTTCAGGAGGTTTCACAAAATTGGATGACTCAGTGTCAGGTATATGTAGAATAGTCAATTCGTGTTCAATTGATGGCATCTTCGACCTAAGTTGTATAAAGTCGTTCTTTCGGATAAATCTCTGATTGGCCGAAGACCTCCGACCTTTCTCTATATATTGACCATATCAGGCCTAGCGCGTTAGGGCTAAAGTCATAAACTGGATTAAGTTAGCCAATCACGGAACTTTCTCTTCATATTTTTTTTCTGACGTCGAAAGAGCGTATTCTCTCTTCCGACCTTCCATATCGAGGTTTGTTTCGCTTCTCTTTCTTTGTCTTCTTGCTGTGATTACCAATACATTTCCTATGGAGTGTGTGTGCTCGTAGCGGTCAATCCACATAGCGCTCATCTAGTAATGGCAGTCACGTCAGTACGTAATATCTTCTAGAACATCCCCCCACAAAAACCGGAGAACGCAGAGCTTTTTTCTCGAGTCATTGCCCATTTTTGGTTCGAATCATGTATAAATCCGAAATTTTAGGTTTGGCTGGACCGGAAGCCTTGTGTCTCTTTGTCTGCTTACTTAGGGATACGGTCATGTGAACTTGTTGAACATCTCTTTCTTTTAAATATTTGTATCTAGCATCTGCCACTTCGATGTTTCGACCTCAATAGAATTGTTTGATAGTGCTCATATTCCACCTGCATAGCGTCTCTGCATCATGGCCACCGAGAATATACCTGTCGCCGCAAACGTGCTCGGCACAATCGGCACGGTGTTCTGGTGCATCCAACTCGTGCCGCAGATATGGCACAATTGGCGACACAAAAAGACTGATGGATTGCCGGCGAGCATGATGTTGTTGTGGGCTGTTTGTATGTTTCCTCTTTCCAGGCTGCTTAGACAGAGTGCTAACGTTGGGGTTTGTGCAGGCTCGGTGCCGTTTGGGGTTTATATGATTCTTCAGGTATGCTTTTTTGATGTATTTGAGTTATATACATGTGTTTTAATTCGTGTCAGAATGTCAATATTCCGCTGCAGATCCAGCCTCAAATATTTGGCTTCTTTGGCTTTGTTAGCTGGGGTCAGATACTTTACTACCACCAGTAAGTATCCTCCTCAACTCAACTTTTCACTGGCTACTTGCTAACTGTATCGTAGCGGACATTCACGGCTAAAAGCTACACTTCTCGTCATCGGCTCTTGTCTGTTATGCGCTGGTCTTGAAGTTATGTTCATTCTTACGTTACGGGTACGTCTGCTCATTAGCTCTCACGAAGAAACCGACGCTGACGGTATGATAGATTCCGTACCGCAAGGGTATAACTTGGCCAGACCTGATTTTCGGCGTCATAGCTGCTATCATGCTTGCCGTGGGCTTTGTCCCATTATATTTTGAAGTTTGGAAACGGAGAGGAAGGGTTGCGGGTGTCAGTAAGTCACGAATCACACCTATAGCTTCTCGTCTTGAAGATGCTAATAGTACAGATTGGGTGTTTCTGAGTATTGACAGCCTCGGAGCTCTCTTCTCACTCTTTGCTCTTGGTAAGTTGCATTAGCGCTTCGACCGGACAAGGGAAACACTGACTCGTCGAATAGCGGCACAAGGTACATTTGATATACTCGGTGGAATATTGTACCTTGTCGTGTAAGTTCTATTCTTAAGCTCTTGATACCCATCTCACTAACCACGGATATAGCTTCCTCGCCGAAGTAGGCTTGTTTACGAGCCATGTAATATGGCGTCTTCGTCATCGCCAAATTGTCCGCGAGGCCAAAGAATCCGGTAAGAGTGTTGAGGAGCTGCTAGCTGAGAAGGAAGATGGCAGAGATAGGGAAAACAAGACAAATACCTCGTCTGTGGTACAGACACCAGTCGAACAAGGCGTTACAGACAATAACGAAACGGTAACGTTGGCAAGAGAAGAGAGAGATCTTGAGCGCGGTCCGGATTGATTCCCATGATGTTTGCGCGGTCGGTACTTTGACTAGAGATATGGTTGCATTTGCATTTGCATGGCCTGAGTGATCACGGAGTTGTTTGTATGTTCTTGCATTTTATTGACCTGCATACATAGAATTTAGACCTCATGACATGTATATACCTATGATTCACGATAATTATCAGTATTTTCAACACACCCACGCTGTGATTGCAATAAGTCGACTCATAGATCCAGAAAATACTATCCAGCTGGACGTCAAGCGTGTAGCCGTTGTGGATCATCTTATAGGGTATATCCTGGTTAATATCAGGCTTTCATCTAGAGTCTATCATTCTGATCATTCTAGACTATGTTTCTGGACAATTCTTTGAAGAAAATCAGCCTTTACAGCGACTGATTGAACTCCTAGTTGAGTACGCTTGTTGATGTACGTAGCGTGAGTCGAATGAGGATGAGTGATGGATGTGACAACTGGAAGGCCGGGATATCTGAGGCTGTGAAGACGCGAAGACATTGCGGCGTGTATGAATAGAATCGACCATTGGACTTTTGCTGTCAAGATCTCGATGATTGCAAATTGTTGGCTTTGATGGAGTCTTGAGTAAATTGGAGGCGTTTCTAGTCGATCAAAATGTTGGCCACCTTTGCACAAGCTGGGAAGGAGCCTAACGTCCCCATCCAATCACATGACTTCCGACCGACTGACATGGATTGCTCTAGAAATTAATTACTTTTATCCTACGGCTTCACTAACAACAAACGACGCGACGCCGTCTTCCTGTCTGCACAAAATTGCCTAGCAGATAGCTCTTGCTGTGTTCTCTACGACGTGATCCGACACGTCGCGCCAGCCCAATGATTCAACCTCTTATCCGCCACCACCTCCACTGCTAATTCACCACCACGCTCAACCACAGCTAACGCCTTGGAGCTTCCGAGTTTTCCCATTTCGACCTTATCTTATATATGCAAAGCATATGCTTCAAGACTAATATTTAGGTAGACGAGACAGCAGCCCCGCAGCATCCTCGATAGAATCCTTCAAGCCAAGCCGCCGTACAGACCACGAGGACACCATAGTCACGTTTGAATTAGCGCTCAATATCAGGTTTTAGCCGCATTTACCTTTCGAGACAAAGTTCACCACACATTTGTAAGGAGAGCCGTACATTGAGTTCTTGCAACCGAATCTGGTCGTCGCAGTAGCGACGACTCCTTCGTCCGTTTGCCATATCATCCGGCACCATCGAAATGGCACCCCGACGAATCTGGGTCAAACGACCCGATGCGTCTGCCACTTTAGTGTCAATGCCGGAAGATAGCGTTGTCGACGAGCTACGAGACCATGTTTTGCGCAAATATTTGAATTCCCTCGGAAGGACGTTCGACTCGCCGGATTTGATGGTGCGGATAATACCTCGAGCAACTCCGAAAGGAGCAGTTGTACCGGATCGGTTCTTGAGCCCGGAGGAGTCTCTGTTTGCTTTGATTGATCAGCATTATCCCGGAGGCCAAACCGTTGAAGAGGCTCTCATCATTGAGGCTCCCACTCGCCGAACACCCATCAAGCCGTCACCTCGCCAGTCGTATTACTATCATGCAGAGCCGGGTGAACATGGCGAATACTTTCCTCTGATGCCGGTTCCAATCAATGTCGCAACACCACCCGGTCATCCAGCAAGTTCTAGCAACAGCAGTGCGGGTGCAGCCCATCAAGCMCCTGCCATGTCTGTCCTTACGACGGGCAAAGTACCTCCACTTCCATCACCAGGGAGCCGTCCCAGTCGACACCCACGAAGACCGCCATTCGCTCGACACACAACAGCTTCGCCGACACTTGTAGCATCGTCATCAATGCCTAAAGGTTTGTCAAGTCAATTCCAGTGACATATTTTACGAAACATGCTGATTTCGTAGACCCGACTCTTGCTGTCAATGGTCCAGTAGGTTCGTCACAACAATCCTTGCCCACACCACCAGCGCCAGCCCCTCCATCAGAATCGCCGACACATGCTGCGCTGAACCCAGTAGCGAGAACAGCATCCCCTCGTCCGGCACGTAGAGCAAAGAAGATTGCGTCTCCAAATACAGGGGCTTTTGGAGGATTGATCGAGGGCACGGTTCCTCCAATTAACGTACTTATTGTCGAAGACAATGTTATCAATCAGAAACTTCTCGAGGCGTTTATGAAACGTCTCAGTGTCCGGTGGCAGTGCGCTCAGAACGGTGAAGTGGCAGTGAAGAAGTGGCGACAGGGGGGGTTTCACTTGGTTTTGATGGATATTCAGCTTCCTGTGATGAATGGATTAGATGCTACAAAAGAAATTCGACGATTGGAACGGTTGAATGGGATTGGCGTTTTTTCCAAAACGGCATCTGGCCGTTCAAGTGCAACGCCTTCGTCTTCTGTACCGGCTGACTCCCCATTAAAAGAGGAGGATACTTTACAAGACTTGTCGCTATTCAAGAGTCCTGTGATTATAGTGGCATTGACAGCTAGTAGTTTGCAAAGTGACAGACACGAAGCTTTGGCTGCTGGCTGCAACGATTTCTTGACCAAGGTATGTACGAGTTATTTTATCACGAATACATGTCTAATCTGCTATAGCCTATTGGATTTCCGTGGTTGGAACAAAAAGTCACTGAATGGGGCTGCATGCAAGCTCTGATTGACTTTGAGGGTTGGCGCAAATGGCGAGGATACGAAGACTCGCCGCGAAGTATTGGCGCTGCTCTGGAGGAGACGACGTCGACACACTCTCCATCACGTCCACGAAACAACACTACCATCCACGCCGTCAAAGTATCTAAGGATGATTCTCCCAAGAAAGATAACGCACAAATTTCAATCATCGAACCTGATACGTCGGAAAGCAGCAGCGGCAAAGACGAAGATATTGAGGTCCCGGTCCCTCAAGAAGTGGCACATGAAATGGCCCATGAAATAGCACAAGAACTCCAAACAGCAGAATCATCGACAAACGGCGTATGACAATCAATGAACCGACGATTTGCTAATCCATTCCTGCAAATCCGAAGACTGTTTCGACACGTTATGAGATGATGCATTGCCTGCCATGCATCAATAGTTTTTTCTTCTGACTTAAACACTTTTCTTAACTCGTCATACTCTTCTGTGTTTTGTGATGAATTTATCTCAGATACCCATTTCCGTAATTGTTATGCTTCTTTCTTATCGCGCTTCAACTCATTTGCAGAGGTATGATGAATGCAACCTCTGCAACAGCTTCACTGTACACGACATTCTTCGCATTCTTTCGAATTGTATACTTACATTTCACCTACTCTTTTTAATGCCTTTCGCCACTACGTCTCGCGGGCATGACCTCTCTTAAGAGAATTTCAGTTTTGCGAAGATTGCACATACGAAAACGACTATTATGTGTATCAATACTTTTTCATCTATCTATTTATATATACTTTTTACCAAATATACGATGGGATAGTAGAGGTTTTATTCATTATATCTACACTTCACATACTGGGGTTCCGTTTGATGGGCTACCAGTTTAAGCTATCTTGTATATAGACGGAGAATGAGACGTTGAACAGAATGAGAATCAATTATTAGTCACCTCGAAACATTGAAGTATCAAGTAGATCCAGCACGTACGTAAAGTAGCGTAGTGTAGTACCTGTTGTAGATGGAGAAGGGGTTGAGAAGTGTCTTCAAGTACATGTACATTTGTAAAGGAAAAAAAAAGACACCGAAGCGGCCGCTTCGTAAAACTCCGTGGTCCAACCCTGAACGATAACTACATATGAAAAAAAGACGGCCGTACTAGCAATGGAAAATGTGAATGTAAATGGAGAGTGGGATATCAATCAATACAAAACTTTTTTTGGAGGTCGTCATCTTTGTGGTTTGGAACTATCGCCGCCACATCATATTCCCTCCTCTCGGTAACAGATTCTCCTTGAGGACGAGAAGCTCACTCTTCAACCTCGAATTCTCGTCGTGCAGTTCGTGGATATATTGTAGTGCGTTTGTGAGGATTTCGGACTTATTCTGTTGCTGTTGCTCTGATTGTCGTCTCCCGGATGCACTATTATCGGCACCACCACCGCGAGGCTGACAGACGGAATTTTTCCTCGGCCCTCTATTGGATGCCAACTGTGTACCTGTAAAGCCGCCTGAGCGCGGAATAGCGTTACCCAGAGCCAGGAATTTGGCGTTCATGTTTGTCCGGTAGCGTTTCTCGATGGCGTTGTGCGCTGCTTTTTTCCGTTTCATGACGGCCGCTGCATCAGTGTCTTGTGCGAGTATTGAGCGGGCAGATTTCTTGGAGGAAGAGACTGATAAAGATTTGGGTGAAGCGAGTGGAGAAGATGGGGAGGAGATTGAGGATGATGTGGATGCATTGGAGGGTTTTCGCGGGTTATGTGAGGTTCGTTGGGAGGAGGTTCGTGAGGTGACACCAATGGTGTGAACGGGGGATAAGCTGCCGCCTTTGGCGTCGTTGCTATGTGACGGAGACCACATCTCGCTCTCCGGGTCCTGGTAGAGAATGTTAGTTTCTGGTTATGTAGTCATGCATCAATGCAGCAATATAGCAACAACACAGCATTGGCAAAGCGGGGACATACTGAGAGCGGAGATGTATCAGACATGGCATCCTCAGTCTTGATCGTGTAACCTCCATAGCCCGCTGGCGAACCATGATTGCTCGTTGCATACGAAGAGCGAGGATCGAGTTCGACAAGACCAGCAGCTTCCGTGAAAGGATTGAATGTCTGATCCGCACCGAACGAGTCCCATGGCAGCATCTCGAAGGGGTCTTTGGTCAGCCATTCGGCGTCAGAGGGCTGGTAAGTGAGAAGATTGGATGGATCGATGTTGTCACTCATTTCTGCGGCGAACCCTATCGGCTTTGTGAAATCGAGCGATGATTCGAATGTGGACTGGAAGTCGGTCATGTCTGGCAAAAACCGGTTGCCCTGTGTTGAGTGCCAGGCGTATGGTCTTGATTGATTCTTCAAAATCGTTGTCGTTGCTGACTGTCATAGACTCGACAGATCTTGTATGTAGATACCCGAAACAATGTGATTCAACTGGGAGATCGAGTCGATGTATCAGGGTCAAAACTAGACGATGTGAAGGTTGAGCCGATGTGTTGCAAGGTAAGTCTTCAATTAAGCAAGGCTTGTAATGGTTGATATTCCTGAATTGGTGGGGATGGGTTGGAATAAAAACGTCAGATGTATGGCACCCGAGGACCTCTCAAATATCTTATAATAAATCTGGAAATGAATAGGTAGAATACTCTGATAGTAGCTGTTACCTAGCTTCGTAAAAAAGCCGTGCCCGGCGCCGCAACGGTTAGATGAAAGTCCGCCGTTGGATAAACCTTTAATTCAGCATAGCTGACTTGGAAGAGTATGGCATGGAAAAGTTAGTGCTTGTTCGGAGAACGGCGGGCACATGCTAGAAATGCCTAGCATACAGGGAAGCCGTTGACCCGGGTCAGTGATAGGTCCTACTCCGTAGACCTTGCCAGGTCTCGACTCGGCTTCATCCAAGCCACTGGGATGTTTGAAATGTGATCCACGCCATTGAAGTCATGAATTGAGCGGGGCTTCATTTCTTTGTTCTCTTTCCATTTGCTTTCCATTTGCTGCAGCAATGGGCGTATTCTTCCGTCCTGTCAGGTTATACGAGTGCAGAGGTTGGTGATACAAGTCCGAAGGCTTTGGCTGGAGGCAAGCGGCCGGAATGGGCAGTTCTTTGACAGCATCAATGATTCTTGAATGAATCATTCGAATCTATTGATCGATACTAAGTGGGCCTCCATGTCAAAAAGTGGCGGCGCTTGAGATTAATGAACTGAACCATGGGCGTCGTGGTGCACAACTTCATACCATTCTTGACAGATTGATATACATTTCGACTGTGCGGCACTTCTACGCGACCAGTTGACAGCTACGAGACTCATCACATTGACAAAGAAATTCTGTACTCTGTCAGCCAGCTGGAAAGAAAGTGTGTAGACTGAAAAAAAGGAGAGATCCAAGGCCTCGGCGAAAGGTCGGTCGTGTTCGCTGCCGAATCTCCCTGGTCCTTCCGCCCGGCTTTCGTTCGGCTCGGATTCTTTGGCAAAACCTCACCCTCTCTTCTTCTTGCTTTACGATAATGACTGGCGTACACGATGACTTACAGAGTCATTCAATGCCGGTAGATCGTAGGTCTATCACAGCTGTCGAAGCTACCGAGTCCTAGACCATGCCGATACCATACTTCGAACTGAAGACACTGATATCAACATCATCGGACCCAAAGCATACATTAGTCATTTCAAGATCTCGATCTAGACGCAACCAACCATCCACAGCATCTTACATCTCGATGACATCTCTGAATTCCCATAGCTACTCGGAGTCGTAACCGAGAATCATCTCCTTACACTAGCCTTAATCGGTTGCCCTGAACAAACCGAGATAGTACGTAGTACCAAACAGGAATATTAGGGTTAACCGTACGTAGCCCCGGCATCTGCTGGAAATCCAACGGGAATACTGCGGCCCCGAAGCACGACCGAAAACCGAGATCTATTGATCTGACGACGTCACTTGTTCTTGCTTCACGAAGGACCTTGGAGAAGATGAAACGTCTTCTTCTTCAGGCTCGTCGGTCGGTCCCGACAGGCTTTGATAGTGCTGTATGTAACATGCGTGCGAACCTGACGCAGCGTAGATCCCGAGCCTTCTCGTGACGGCTGCATACGTATCCAGGTTGAATGATGTATCCAGCCCGATAAGCGCAATCGGGAAATAAAATTGTGATCCGTACCTAGATACCTTTGATGTTCAGGTCCGGTTAGTTTTCGAATACGAAAATGATCGGCTTGGATACCAAGGTTAACTTAGGGGCTTGAATTCTGGACGGATGCTCTGACGCCGAATGATGCCACCGAGACATAGGCTGATGGTTGATGATGGTCTTTGCATACTTCCAAGGTGACCTGGTTTCATGTATGCCACCATACTGCACTACCGTTTTTACGTCTTCAATCTTCTATACGGCGTGAATATAATGACTATGATGGATACGCAACAAAGATGGAAGTTAACCAGAATCCCCGGTGGATTGAATATATGATATGATACATTATTATACTGTACAAGTGGTGAGAGATCTGAAGATCAGACTTCCACCTTCGTGGGAATCTTGACCTGTCCCTTCTTCCTGTCATACGTCGGCACACCATATCGTTGACCAGGAGCGATGTGGCCCCGACCATCTGGACCTGTAGTCTCCTTGCTGACCACAACATCCTTGAAGCGAAATTCGAATCTCGAGTTCTCTGGCTGAAGTCGAGTCAATTTCTTCTCGGCCTTTTCCTTTGCGATTCTCTTTCGCTCTTGCTCTAGTTTGTCGGATTGCCTAAGGCGTTCTTGGTACCGTTCCATATATTCACGGCGTTCCATTGAGTGTGAAATCTTGTCCCGCTCAAGCGCAATCAATTGTGGGTGAGGTATACGGGCATCAGCAGGGAGAAGGACTTGCTGTTCTTCATCACCCTTGCCAACCTTTTCATAACGTCTTTGCTCCGGTGTGATCAAAGTTTCTACGTTGACCTTTGCCTCTTCTCCGTGTTCCAGAGCCGGGGCTGCCGAAAAAACACGACCAGCATCAACACGTGTGAACTGGCGCGATTCAGAGACAGGATAGAATATTTGTGGTGCCGTGAGGCGATGGACCGGAAGGTCATTAATAGACTCATGAACCGGTTGAGAATCGCCCTTTTCAGCTAAGGGAGTAGTCGGGACCATCTCATGAATAGCCCGAGAATACGGAACTGCCAATGATTTTCCCTTTGATTGAAGTTAGCAAAACTATTCACCATGTAACAGTTGATATATGACAAGATAGGTGAGATTGCTTCAGAGAGTTGTAATTTTTGACTATTAGTAACCATTTCCGGGCTGGGAGGCCCGGGTCTTGAAGACTAATCGATTTATATTCATCATTGCAATAGTGAAGTGAGGGGTGACGTGAAAGACAATAGAAAAATAACATACTTCATTTTTCATCCGCTTCTCCAACTCCTTTAACCTCACCACGGCTCCAACTCGCCTCATATCAACGCGCAATTCGACACTGACACTTCGCACACTCTTTTTCTGCTCAACAACCCGCTTATAAATTTCGTTGGAGAGCTCTTCACTGAGGATAGGCTCAGACACGAATTGAGGGTTTAGTGGGAAAGGGGTTTTCAATCCACCGTCGTCTTCTGCATCATTATCTCTCCTGCTCGAGGACTCTTTGTCATCACCACCTCTGCGATTTCGCAATTGTGTCACGTAATTGGTTGATCCGGGGATGTGATGTTTGAGCTCTGCACCTGGTCCGTTCAGCCAGTCAAACATGTTTTCACGTAGACGCGTTTGCGCAACGCGTGTGGATGAGAGATGCCTCCGAGAAGAGCATTGTAATTTTGATGTGTTATATGATGTGGTGATTGTGGAAGAGGTAGAGGAAGAGGATGAAGAGATTGAGGAGAGGATACGGTTCGTCTTTATCCGAGGAGGCATCGTGACAACTGAGAGGGTAAGTGGATGAAAAAATGTGAGTGATTAAATTAAATCTCAAATGCAGAAAGGAAATGTGCTTCGCTTGAGATGTTGCAATGAAAATCGAATGAGATGGTATACAATTGAGGGTGAAGCACCCTTGGTCGAGGAGATGAGAAAAGGGAAAACGAAAAATTGTTTCTCTCAGATCAGCCGGGAGCTACCCACGTGACACCGAACAAACAGTGCAAACAAGCTTGGCGGAAACAGCCGACCAGTGTATAAAATTGTCTAAAGTATTGACTATAAATATCGATTGAACTTCCATGAAAAGGAAGACAAACTCGATGAAATGAAAATAATCGAAATGAAAATAATTCATACCAAGATCCATAGAAGCGAAGATAATCCAAGCTCAGAAACACTATCGAACAATAATAATGCCACAGCCACAACCTTCCCGATCTGTAGAGAACGCCTTCACATGTGCAGAGTCAATCAAGTGCTAATAATACCAGCATGTAAGTGCTGCAAAGACCAGGCAAGCCTAGTAGAACATGAAGAGTTCATCATTCCTGACACACTGCATCGACAGACAGAAAGACATATACAGGAGAGCTATTCTCGCCAAAAGAGGTAGAAAGAATAGAGAAAAGCAAAAGACAGATGATTTTCAAATGCAAGCAGAATGGGGAAATCAAAGACGCGCGCAATCTCAAAATGCTATAATGATCAAGGCAGTGATTATCTCAAGCGCAAGCCGCTCGAGACTCAACTGGCCGTACAAATTATCCATCCATGTTACTCATGCGCCGTAAGTGGATGCTGTTGTTGCAAGAAGGGGAATCACATGAGCAAGGCAGATCCGAAAAGAAAAAGAAAATTCCATGAAGCCATCTTTCAGAACATCCTCCAAGGTAAGAAGAATCCCAGAATCCATAGAAAAGTTTCGACAGAAACATGACAATGCAAATCAAACAGACGGAATGATTATAAAAATAAGCCTGGATGAGGATATGACAAGGAAGAAGTAAAGGGAAAACAATGCAGGTCTTAAAAAAAAATAAGAAGACTCCCCGTCAATCAAACAATACAAATGTTGAACTAACGCTGTGCGACCGAATCCGATGAGAACGTAATGGGGAATTTATGAAGAGGATGATTGTCGTATCAGCTGCAATGCAAAAGGAGGTGAGACGAGGCCTCCTTGAACCGACTCTAACTTGAAATTCCAAATATCCCCAAGCGCCGTATAACCCAGTAAATCATCAAACATGCCAGACATGACCGATCCGTAATATGGTGTTGTTGCTCTTATGAAAAAGATGATGGTGGTTGTAGTGCTTCCATATACTTCATAATCTCTCGCGACTACTCATCGACCCATCATATAGTCGGGATAGACGCTGCTGAAGCCGCCCATTCCGGGTCCTTGGGCATTGCCAGGAATACCATTGCCAAATGGAGCGGGATTGAGAGCATTGAGTCCGTTGGCTCGAATACCAAGTCCATTGTTTGGAGCAAATGCGTTGCCATTTGCCATCTGTGCGTGTGAATTTGGAGGTGGCATGGGCCCATTTCGACCACCCACAGGAAGCGCAAGACCAGGAGGGGCTGACAAGCCAGGAGGGGGTCCGCTAGCAGTAGAAAACATGGCATTCGGCAAGGGACCAATACCAGCGCCTCCATGTATGGGCGTCTGTGGACTGAGCGGTGTAGGAGGGTTGACGCTGCTTCCCGGTTGTCCGCTGCGTACACCAAGAGGGTTCTTGGAGAAGCTAAGACGAATGCCGGTCTTGACGCTGTTGGAAAGCTTGTAGCCATACAACTCGTTCAAAGCTTTGCTAGCCATTGCTACCTCATCGAATTCAACAAAGCACATAGGACCGTTCTGCTTGTTGCGGAAGCACAGTCTCTTGTAACCACGTTGCTTGGAAAAGAGAGCCTTCAACTCTTCTTCTTGTGTGTCAGCTGGAAGATTTCCAACGTAGAGTGTGTTGCAAGGAGGATTTAAATCATTCGGGTTGGCAGCCGGCAAGCTATGGCGTGGATTGTGCTGGTTGGGATAATGGAAAGGAGAGTTGCCATTCATATTTGGCGGCATGGCGCTCGCGGGTGTTGGCAATCCCATACGGCCGCCAGTACCATTCGAGTATCCTTGAATAGGTGGCGAAGTAACATTTGTGGAAAGCGAAAGGTTAGCGAAACGGGTGGTCGGGATTGAAGGATTGGTGGAACGCCGCGTGAGAGGCATATTCGCATGTCCATTTTGCGCATAACCAACGGGATCTTTGAGCAGTTCGCCGGTCTCCTCGTCTAGGTCTTGATCGATTACAGACTTGCCGCTTACACGTGGCAATTCCCCAAGTCCACTGCCGATTGGTGATCGAGGTGAAAAAAGACTATGAATCCGAGAGTTGGTGTCTGGAGCAGGAAGCGCTTCGTTGGTACTGGGCTGCTGTGAAGCACCATTGGCCATTGTCTGGAAGGTGCCATTGAAGCGGGATGATTGGCGAGCAGTCGGGCCTGAAAGACCACGGGTGGCGGTATGATCAATGGTATTACGGCGGTTCGGCAGCGGTCCAGGGAACATTTCGACAATCATGATGGCTTCATTGCTGGTATTAGGCTTGCCATCCAACATGGCTCGTGCTTCTTCGGCGGCAGCGACTGTGTTAAACCGTGCAATGGCAGAGAGAAACTTCCCATCCTCAGCGAATTCAGATGGGACGAAGTCAGCATCGACGAAATCCTTTGCAAAAAGAAACATGCTTCGCAGTGCTTCACGACTGGTATTTTGGGGCAGTCTGCGCATCAAGATAGCAGCGCCGCTGCCCATGCGGTGAAAGCCATTCATGGGAGGCGAGAGATCGGCTTCCGTGAGTCGCATACCGCTTGCACCTAGGCTATCGAAGGACGAGCTGGTCCCAATCGGAGAAAAGGGGTAGGTGAAAGATGAGCTCAAGGACGCGGGAGGTTGAGAAATAGCGGAGTTGTACACGTCGGTCGACATCGCATTATGTAACCCAGACGGCCCTTGTGACAAAGATTGAGGAGAGGACGTGCTAGACGATACAGATGTCCCACGCTGGTTAGTACCAAAAGACCCAGGGCTGGTGCGGCTGGACTGCGTTGTTGAGCTGCCGACCATGCCTCGTCTCGTAAGTGACGCGGAAAACGACGGGTGGGCGAGCTCTGGATAAGCCAAGGATCACAATAAAATATGTTATTGGGTTGAGGTCGAAAGAACAAAAGCCTATTTCTTAGACCAGACGCGACCGTAGTGTGGCGTACCGTGCTGTTAACGAGTCGGAATGGTTCACGGTGGGCTTGGATGCGACGCGATGATCAAGAGCTGTGATGCAAGATCGTATTAATCTTGTGCTGTAGAAAATATTTGCGCGACACATGAACTGAGGTCTTTAGCGGTGTTGCGACAGATTTCTGATCGGTCGGGGTCGAGTTCTTTGGCAAGCGCGGATGGATTCGCACGCGGTCTGCAACACGATCGCGCAGTCGGCAGTGCACGAACGCGGAAATGAAGAGATGGAGAGGGTGGAATATTGAAACAAAGAAGCCGCGAAAGATGATGGATTAAATTGAAGATGCGATAGACGGAGGAACGGGTGGAAAGAGAGATTACCGAATGAAGAAAAAAGAGAAAAAATGGCAATCAAGTGTGATGATGACGAGGATGGTGAGGTGAGGTGAAGATCCAGGATAAAGTTGGGGAAGGGGGGGTGGGAGAGAAGTGGGAAGGTCGAGCAGCCTGCGTTAGCACAACTTACCTGTAGTCGATGCTTTACGAGGGAAAGTGGCCAGGGGACCACGATTCGACAGGCATACAGGCATACAGATTGGCATTGTGTAATTTATGGTAACGGTACAACGGCAGCGAGGCGTGATTGGACAGCCACCGTCACGTCCCAAAGGATCAAGTAATTTTCATCGATGGATCGATTAGAATTGTTTGGGTCATCGGTACACGGTATCAGTTGTGTTCCATACAACTTTGGTTTTGTTCTTTGGGACAGACAGCCAGCAAGCCGGGAACGGCTTAGCACGTTTTTTCGACTGAGGCAGACACCGGCCGTACCGAGCCTGACGATAAATTACAGGCGCGGTCCATAGCAGGAACGAAAAATATACGGAGCATGACCAGACTTAATCCGTATTGATATTTGAGATTTGATAGAAAGTGTGATGGAAAATACGCAGTTGGTTGGTGACCTCCCAGCTCTAACGCAGTACTTCCTAACTCCGTGCAGTCGAGAAATTTTCAATGGCTCTGTTCGATTTTTATTTCGTTAAACGCGATCGAGGTTAGCTGCAGGTTGATCCAACGCGCTCGGTCAGCAATGAGCACGATCATCGCTAGAGGCACGCTTGAGGTAGTGGGCACTGGAAGCTGGAAGAGGGGGCACGGAGAGCCTGGCCCGATAAGTAAGCGTTCTAGGCGGCCCAAGGAACAGGGCACAGCGCGACCCGGCAGACTGTGTGCAACCCAGAGGAGTTTAGTCGACATTACACACCTCAGGCACGACGCAGTCAACGTGCTAGCCCAGTTATAGCGTGTATTGTTGGGTAATACATGATACGTCCATACCGACATTGTACAGAGTATGCACCACTAGTAGTGTACATTGCCTCGTCGATCGCCTACTACTTACATACATAGTAGTGTGGTGTATTGACTCCTCTCAGTGGCTGAGCACCACAGCAGCGACTACCGGATATTCTGGATGGCCAATCACCGCTGCAGAACCGCATGCAGAGACAAGGGCTAGTGGGCCCGAACGAGGACAAGAGGAGCGAACCAGAACGCCGCATGCAGCCATGGTGGGTCGTGATTTTTGCAAACGTTTGGAAAAGTGTGCCAGGCCCTGTCCACTCAGGACTGTCAGAATATGCGTTTCTTGGAAATACCGACATGACATATGGCTTCCATTCAGCGCTAAAGCCTATCTAGGTAAGGGTATGTTGCGGTTTCATATGGGAAGGGAATATGTACATAAAGTGTCATCCCGTACTTACTAACAACTACATACGTTCGTTGAACAGCGCGGGAAACGAGTGGGGCTTGAGGAATGATGGCTCAATAGCGACTGTCTAGCCTACTACTTAGTTAGTATAGCACGTAGATGCTCACGGAGAAGGGCAAGGATAATTTACGTGGCTCGTATTGATGTATCAAGCGGTAACAGCGTGATCAGCGATCAAGGTAGGACGAGGCCATGATTGGATCTTTGTCGGCCGGAAATGTTTCGGAAGGCTGCAATTTGTATGCGTATAATGCTGATTGGCCGGATAGCTGTGTGGCGGTACGTAATGATACGTAAGTTTACGTTATCTGTACTACGTATAATAAGTTACTCTATTAGACTTTGGAGCATTGTCCAACTGGGAAGTTGCAACTTGCAACTGTGTACACCCGGAGACAAAGATTGGCTGCATACGGTGGATAACCTCGCAGTGCACTGGCCTGAACATTGCCCCGACAGTCATTTAATCGGTTTGTCCGGTAACCCAGATGGTGTTCACCACACGGCTTCGAACCCTAGGTTCGGTGCATTGCCGGAGTACGGAGTACCGTATGGCTTCATGGCATGGACGACATATCAGCGCCCCGTCGCTAATCTTATCCTATGTCAAGATTCTTATCAGCCTGCAGCTCGGATTCCTCAGAAACCTGTTTAGGCCCTCAAGAAGCAGGTTACGGACCTAATGGTCAACAACTCTCTATCGTCCTTCGATCAGGGGGCACGTCCATGGTTAGGAGTTCTTTCAAGCCCGTTCGGTGTTCCACCTGATTTAAGCTCATCCAGCCTTGCCAGATACGGGAAGGTGATTGGGAGTGGATCCACACTCACAGACCATCCTCTATCATATCCACGAGATCATCAGTGCGCTTCTACATGCATGTATTATGTAGACAAGTCAAATCAGCCGCCTTTGTTCATATCACATCAGTTCTTTTATATGAAGGTAGTTACACTAATTGGTGACGAATTATCAGTCCGTGGCGCTCGCGAACAGATCCTTGACATCCTTCATATCAACAATATCGACAAACTTCGGCAGAATCCTCTGCAAGACAAAATCATTAACATCATCCTCATCATCCATCACTCCACTTCGCGGAATAATAACATGATAATCCAGATCTGCACCATGCCGAGCCGATCCCAGAATTGCGCCGACAGTCGTCAAGCCGCATAACACAACATGCCGGATACTTCGCGCACGCAAATACCCGAGAAGATCACTCGAGCCAAAGGAGCTAGTTTGGAACTTGGGCAAGAGGATCTCGTCGATGTGTGAGCCACCAAAGCCGCCTCCCTGCGGCCCCTGCGGGTAGAGAGCCTCGGGGATCGAGTATACCGGTGTTTCCGGGTTCTTCGCTTTCTCCGTCACGGTGAAGAGGCCTCTTTCCTGGAGTGATTTGACCCAGGATGATAGTTTGTTGTATGGCGAGATGAATGCATTGTTGTTATATCCATATGGAAGAACATGATGGATGATGAGCGGAATCCCGACGTAGGCTCCGCTCGCATTTTCCTTTGTTTCAGCTGGCGCTGTGCGTCGCTGATGGATGTCTTTGCGGAAGAGGTTGATTAATGATACTACTTCCTTGAGGTATTGCTCTCGTTTATCCGCAGGGAACCGTGCCAGGATCTCATTCTGGATATCCGAGAGTAGGAGGGCAGTGTAGCGTAGATCAACCTCAGTATGGAATGGTTTAGAGGTATTTGAGGAAGCCATGTCTGTAATCTTGGAGTCTGATAACTTGGTAAGCGTGATCGATGATTGTCTGGATACGGTTATCAGTATACTCGAGGTTAGGAGCCGTCCTATTTATTTTAAATTGACAAGCTACATGATCGTTAGACCGCTCATTGCTCAATTCCGAGCTGATTGACCATGCTTCGGACTGACGTATTTGCTATGTCGGGTATATACCACTGTCTCTCGTTGACCGCGCATGGTCTCCCGAGTTTGGAGTCAAGTCAAATTTGGCCTCAGAGCCATCAGGTCCAAAACCGTGATGGTACTCGGAGATAAGGACGCCCATACCTGATTTGGTCACTGCGGCCGAGGCCTCGGGCTTCTGGCGCCTTTACATGTAGCCTTTCTAGGTCGCAGATCCGAATGTTGATAGCCTGAAATGAGCATGTCACTGTTACTCCGAGTAATATTGGAAGAAAATAAAAGATAGTGAATGAGCATAATTTATTATACATTTTTCGAATAAATAAACAAGTCTTGAGAGTAAATCCAGTGCGCAAGACTTCAAACAACCCAAACGCCGTGAAATGCCGTAGTTTTCAATACACGTATGCAACGCAAGCAGGGCCGGTTTTCCGTTATCCTCGAAGAGACCTCTTCCGCTTCAGGCTCCGTATTCTCAATTATCTTCTAAGTCTAGGGAACAGACTGCCGAAAGCCCTTATTCATTCTTCTGAGCCGCGAATTTGTTCGGCTTGGGCTCGAGTAGTCCAACCTGTGCGTGCACAACAATCAGTCTCGTGGTCTAGCTTCGTATATTGCAGTCAAGCGATCCGTTTCCTTCTTTCCATCCTAAAAATCATCCGACACAGACTGAGAATTAATCGACGTACCATGCTCAGCAATCTCCACACAGATTCAGTTGGCTGCGCACCAACACCCAACCAATACTTGACTCGCGATCGATCGATGGAAATTTCCTTGAATGCCTTTGCGACTTTCGCTTCTTCCTCGGACAAGTTGGTTGGTTTTTGTGGTAGAGGATTGTAGGTTCCGACGACTTCGAGGGGTTTGGAGTCTCGTGCAGATCTGGATTCATTCAATTCGGTTAGATTGTGCATTTTTCATAGCCCACCATGCTGGGCAGAGCATGGATTCCGGTCCATGGCAGGTAATAGGATCGCGGAAGGTAGAAATTACATACCTGGCCTGCGCAACGACGATGTTGTAGAATGGCGAATGGCGCGGGCCAAATCGCGCAAATCGAATCTTGACAACCATTATGAAGTTTCAAGGCTGGACTTGACGATCGTGTTCAATGTGATAGGTGCAGCTTGAGGAGAGACACTTTTTAAGATGACCTCCGCGGAGAGGAACTTCTTCTGGGCTTCGGGGAAACGTTGATCCGCAGGTTGGGCCTTACCAGATTTGGCAGTCTGATATGCGGGCATGTGCTTAACGATGATGCAATGCCATCTTTCTTCTACTGAAGCTTCGTTTTTTTGATTAAGCTCGTCTAACCCCGACACGGAGTTGCTCTAAAACCCAGAAGTCTTCCCGTGCTGACGACAAGTATACATGTTTCGTACGACGACCCTCATCAAGCGGGCAACACATCATCTATTGAAAGTAAAATCTTATCAACTCCTAAGAACAGCCAGCATGTCGCTCAAGGTAAGCCCCTCCAGCTAAATATGTATGGAACCAACTTACAGTCACTACTAGGCAATCTCCTCCAAAGATGCCGCCGCCTTAGACAAGGATCTAATGGACGTGGGGGGTTTCTCACTAGACCAATTGATGGAACTGGCTGGTGTCTCTGTGTCGCAGGCTGGTATGTAATGTGGAGAAAGTGAGATTGTCATTGGTCTTTCACTAATGCGCAAATATAGTATATCGCTTCCACCCTATAAGTAAAGGCAAGAACGTTCTCGTCGTATGCGGTCCTGGGAATAATGGTTCGTACACTCATACAAAATTATGCTGTTCAACCCACTTACTTTCAGACAACAGGAGGGGATGGACTCGTCGCTGCACGCCATCTAGTACATTATGGCTACCAGCCATCCATTTACTACCCCAAGGAAGGCAAGAACGAACTTTACCAGGTAGGTGGAACATACTCACTTTCAGTGACATATGTGATAAAGCTAACAACTGAATAGCGCCTCAAAACCCAACTCCAAAACCTCAATGTCCCCTTTGTCCCCGACTTCACAGACGCTTTGAGATCCGCTGACCTGGTAGTCGACGGCATCTTCGGCTTCTCATTCCAAAAGCCTCTCAGAGAGCCTTTCCCATCCATCATAAGTCAAATGGAAGACACAAAAGTACCTGTCCTCAGCATCGATGCCCCCAGCTCATGGGACATTCAAGAAGGTCCGCCAAAGGAAGGGCCCGGCGCGAAGTTTATGCCGGGTGCGTTGATTAGTCTTACTGCGCCCAAACCATGCGTCAAATGGTATCAGGGTAGGCATTTTGTTGGAGGCAGGTTCTTGACCAAGGCGATTGCTGAGAAATATGATATTGATATTCCGGATTATCCGGGGGTGGATCAAATTATTGAGGTTGGCGTTAATGCCGATGAGAAGCTCTAGATTAAGGGGTGGGAAGTAAGCAACGTTTTGTCTGTACACCTACATATGATAGGTATAAATGATGGAGTAACCGGATATGCGTTGATGCAAGCTTAATGAACTATCTATGGCTGGCTTTTGGTCACAAATAGACTTGGTCTCTAAACATAATAACAGTCGATAAACTATCGCAAGGCATCCCGAATTTCTCCAATAACACCCTTCACACGAGGTTCACGGCCAGCACTAGAAGTTGATACCTTGCTTAAGATCTTCTCAAGCTCATAGATTTCCTTTGCAGCACTCTTCACTTCCTCGCCAGATGCGATGACAAGGGTTCCCAGCGCTACCAGACCGCGATAGACTGCTTCCGAGTCCTTTTCAGTAGTGAAGATCTTGGAGAGCTCTTCAATAATCTGAAGAGCACCCTCGGCAGATTCTGCGCTTTGGGCCCGTCCTTGTGCAGTGAAATAGACAGCATAGTTGATGTATAAGGTCGTAGCAGCAATCGTAACGTTCCGATTCGAAGGTGCGCCGACTGCTGTGGTAGCTGATGACACCATCCGAAGAATGTTATCAAACTTCGATGCAGCAAGATCGCCGCCTAAAGGAGTATCAAAGAGGTTCGCAAAGAATCGGATGGCAAGCATGGCATTATTGACACTGATGGGGCTCTGAAACGTTCCGCTTTGCTGAACCGCGTCGATAATGTCCTGTCCGTCAAATCGAATTTGAGCAGTCACAGGGGTTGCCGCTGCTAGAAGTCGGAGTAAGTCGAGGCCAGGAAGTCGATTTGCAGGTGGCCATTTGAGTGCCGCTTTCATAACCAACTGAATACCGGTCTCGATGTCAGCGGGATCCTTGGGAAACGAAGCTGTATTCTCTAGGTAATTGCAGAATCTCAAGAGCGCATCTAATTCGGGCGGATTGTAGGAATGTTCCTTGTTTCCTGAAGAGACAAGCTGTTCGTTCAGTTCCGTCAACTTCTTCACGATCACTTTGATATTCGCTGTCTTTATAGAGAGGTAGCTCTTCTGGGGAAGCACATTTTGACGCGTTTCTGGTATCGATGGGGGGTGTGGCGCAGCGGCTTCGCCTGGACGATATCGCCTCTCTTGACCCCAAGGATCGGAGCCGGGTGCTGCTTGCTGTGTGTCTGCTGTCTGACCGATGGTGGCGCCCTGTGTGTTCTGGGTTATGAAATTGGCTACTTGGTCCAGGTACCCAATTGGTAGCTCATTATCATTTATGAACTTCGTAGCAGCCTCGTACGGATTCTGGGACAAGTTGTACGGCAGCTTCAAAGGTGGCTTGCCATCCTCAATGTCTACATCAAAAACATAGTCATAATCTTGTCCAAGGTATTCAGTCTTTCTTCCGGAGCTACCTGCCGAGTCGACAACTGTACCAACCGCGATCCATTCCTGTGTTGCAGAGGACCAAGTATGAGCAGTAACGCTGCCGTTGTCTTCCTTGATCATCTGTACCTGACCGTCTTTGGTGCCGGATTTTTGTTTGAGAAACTCTGGTCCTGGCAGCTTCTCCTTGTTGATGTCACCCACTTGCTGTTGTGGGATCGCAGACTCCTTCACAGCGCTTTCGAATTGTTGGATAACCATGGGATCAGCCTGCCGGCTCGTGTCTTTGGTGAATATCCTAGCGACACGATCGCTTGCACCTGTGACAATATCCCCTGTCTCCTTACACACAGCAACGCTCCACACAGATATTGCGGGATGTGTGATTGTCTGAACACATTGGTTTCCTCTCCATATCCTGACAGTACGATCTTCGCCCGATGTCACGAGTTCGCCGGAGGGTATCGCTGCTATTGAGTAGATGAAGCTCTCATGGCCATGAAGCTCTCCGATAATATCTCCGTTCAGAGTAAAAAGCCGCGCGATTCCGTCGTTGCCGGCGGAGGCGAACTGGGCACCGGAAGGGTGACCGGCGGGTAGTCTGCATAGAGCTCGCACTACGTCTCGAGAGTCTTTGATTGTTTTCAACAGTTTTCCAGACGTGTTGAAAATTCGTATCATGCGATCAGCACAACCTGAAGGAGATGGTTAGATACGCTGAACGTGTTCAAATTTCTGTGGTCTAACAGCATACCTGTAATAACAGTGTTCTTGTCATAGGCTAGAACAGCCCATACGCTCCCTTGGTGGCCATCAAAGACAACATCAGTCTCCCAGTTGCCTATCCGCCACAGCCTGGCCGATGAATCCCAGCTTCCGCTGACCACCCATCCTCCTTCAGGGCAGACATCTATTGAACAAACGTTGTGACCATGGCCCAATAGCATGGCATCTGCATTATCATCAGAAGCTTTCGATGGCTGTCGAGCTTCTATTATGGTGTCTTGGCCACCAGAAAAGACGAGGCCTTCAGGATACTCGCTGGTGGGAGGATAGTATGCAACGGCATTGACGAAGGACGATCCATGAGAAGAAATAGTATAATCGTATGTCGGCGGTGGAGAAGAGACTTGCTTCCAGATACGAACGGTAGCATCTCGCGAGGCGGTCACGATCGATTTGGTGTTTGGAAAGGCCACAGCGCGCACCTGTTTTGATTAGTAAATGGGTAAGGATGCTGATAGACGTCGATAAGCTTACATCATCGCTGTGGCCTTCGAGAGAAGCGGATAGCTTGTATTCCGACATACAACAGACCTTGTATGTCCCGAAATATGATCAGGAGGAGGTTGAAGGAACTCAGAAGGGGAAGAAAAATTGCTTGCAAGTGAGGAAGTGCTAAAGGTGAGAGGAGAGTTGTTGACATTTGGCTATCAGCAGTGACGGCATGCGGGGAGCATATCACGTGCACCGTGCGGGACCGGGGAGCTCCATAGCTCCAAGCCTTCTCCAGAAGAAAAAAAGAACCAAGCTCCTTCACTCTTTACATCGCCTTTCCTCTACAGCCAGCCTCTCAAAGCAAGAAGAAAAGAAAGCCAAGCAAAGAAGGATTTTTCTGTGGACCTTTTGGAAAATCACAATGGAAGTCCTTCAGAGGCCCCCCTCAGCCAGCTCCTTCACACCCCTCGCAGAACATCAATCACGCACCCCCCAATCCTTCTATGGTGGCCCGCCAGTACTGCATTACCACAGCTCACGATGCAAAGTTGTCATTCTGGAGAGCGATCTCAGCGCTTCACCAGCGTTGAATACTCTCCGTGGGGGAGCAGCTGTCGTCAATGGATCGTCGGGAGCTGCCCATGAGTCGCAAGAAAGAAAAGACATTGTAATTGATGGAGTTGATGTATTTGTGACATCTGAGTAAGTCTCAATCTTTGAATACTCAAGAACTTGGAATTTGTCACTGACGAACTACAGCAAATTCCTCCTATACCGGCCCGAAGCGAATTCTGGCATCGCCTTACCCTATCCAGTCATCTCGCTCCACGCAATCCAACGACTCCGTCTACCAGACACACCCGAAGACGAAGCGGAGGTGCAAGGACTCTACATGCAAATTGCCAACCCAACGCCTGCCGACGGAATGGGCGCCGAAGAAGATGAAGAAGAAGACAGCATCACGCTGACTCTTGTCCCTACATCCGTGACCGAGTCCGCTACCTCTGCCCTCGGCTCATATTCAGCGGGTACCGAAACGGCTGCTCTCATAGCTGAGGAAATGGCAGCTGAGCAAGGAAACACAGAAATCAAACCGGAAGAGACTGCAACACAGGCCCTATACGCAGCCGTATCCGCCTGCTCAAACTTACACCCAGACCCTGTCGTGCCTGGCGAAGAAGGTGACGAAGACTATGATGGCAACTACGAAGACTCGACTGAACAGCCGGGATTTGGGGGAACATTGCAAGCTGCTGGGTTGGTCATACCGGGTGCTTCTGATGGTGGACTACCGCCTCCGGTCGATGGTAGTTCGGGTTGGATCACTGCCGAAAACATGCATGAGTATTTTGACGAGGAGGGTAATTGGATAGCTGATTCGGAGCCTCCTACCCTACCAGGCTTGGGCCCGGGAGCTGGTAATGTGCATACTCGAAATGATGACGATCAAGTCGATAATGGTAACGGAGAAGAGAATGGGGACGAAGAGACGAAATGGCGAAGGACTGACTGAAATTTTGGAACCTGCGGTCGTATAGCTGGTAATATTAAACTTTACAAGAGCTCTGACCAAACCACCGAATTTGACAATCTAGCAAACATATTAAACCCTGACATTAAAGAGCTTTCCTGAAATTTGATCGCTATTTGTGATTTCTCGCTACTTGAAGGTATCAACCGCCTGAAACAAAAGATGGAGTGACCAGGCAGTATAAAAGCACAACAATCAAAACAGACGCCATATCTACATACATTGGTATCTTGAATCATACTTACACATTACACATACATCATCCATGTCCATGCTTTTATTCCTTCAAGAACCCATCTCGGTCGTACAGACTTCCCGGAGTTGCTGCCACGCTGGCATAACCCCTTACCTTACTGTTAGGTGTCTGCATTGCTGTGCTCCGTTTGGGTGCAACTTCGTCCGGACTGTCGCTGTTGTTGTTTCGATCACCAACCTCAGAGGTTATAATACTGCTGCTCGGTGGCACTTGGCGAATGGTCAGCAGCTTTTGATTCTCCACAATGGCATTCAAGTTCTCCTCGACTGTGCCTTCAGAGTCAATTCTTTCAAGGATTTTGAATGGAAGGTTCTTCTGTCGGACTGCGGGTGATATCACGATGTCGTCCTCACTAGCATCTTCCCAAATAGTTAAACTGTCGTTACTTATCGCTGAATTGCGCTTGCTTGGAGGTGTCCTGATACTCCTGTCGCTATGCTGGATGAAACTTGTATTTCGACCCATGCGTCGATATGATCGTGAATCTTCGTCACATGCTTCACTATTCATGCGACGAAGAAGAGTGATTGACTTCCGAACATCTTTCGTCGGAGATGCGGCGAGAGTCTGTGATCTGTTAACACCTCTTTTGGTCGGAGACTCGCTACCTGGCGATACATCGTAGGAAGTGTCAATAGTCAAAGACGGAGGTTCTGTCGTTCTCTGCTGTCGATCCGGTTGGTTTCGTGGTCCTTTTGGTGTAGCTCGTCGAGGACTACCTGTTGAAGCGTTTGCTGGAAATTTGGGCGAAGAGCTAGAGAACTCATCGGAACGAGGAAGAGACCATAATGGCTCATGCCTCTCTGGTGAGGGTGTGGTGAGAAGCTGGCCTTCGTCTGGAGATCGTGAGAAAATATTGTTAGGAATCATCACTCGGTTTTCTGAGGTAAAGACGTCATCACCAGACTCCGTTCCAGAGCGTGCGCGCTTTCTAGAAGACCGTGGGCGAGGAATACGCGAGTTTGTATCAGGAGAGGACTCGCTGAGGTGCGTGGACTCTTCCTTAATGGAGCCCGTAGATCGATGGCGACTATGTCTAAGATGTTGCTTCTCTGGAGAACCGGGACGGGCAACACTTCCCTTTGCTGTTGGGGATTGATTTGATTGTCGTCCTTGTGTTGGCTTGACTAAATCCTTTTCTAGATCCAAAACCTCCTCTGGCTCTTCCGGCATCGGTGAGAAAGCAGGACCGCTGAATGTAATTGGTGGGTGTATGGAAATTCGCACGCAGTTCTGTCTTCTATGACCCTTTTTCACGCTGTGAGCAGATTTCATAGCGGAAGTCAACGGGTTCTTTCCAAGGCTTTCCCTGGACCCTCTTGGACTGGGGGCTTGAGTGGACTTGGGGCGATCACACAGACTTTGACTGAAAATCATACTCGGGTCTTCTTTGCTTTGGGACTTCTCATACATGGAATACCTTTCTTGTCGATGGCTCTGAGAACCAAATTCCTGGCGAGAATACAAGCCCTGTCCTGAATGGAAGTATGCGTTGGGACTATTGCCTGATAAGCTACTCACGGGCCTGCTACCAGTGCGACATGTTGACGAAGAAGACGACAGAACAGTTTCGCTGCGGCGTGGTAATCGACTGGCCCAATCTGGAGGTTGAGGTGATATTTCTCGGGTAGTTAAACTTCGTCGAGGTGATGGATCTCCTCTACCAGACTCCATCGATATGGACGTGAGATGCGCAGTTGATGATGATAATCTCTGAGAATGTGTTGTTCTGTGAGATGCACAATCTCGAGCCACACTTCCTCCAATCACAATATCGTAAGGGCTAAAGGGTGTGAAAGTAGGACATGGAGGCAAAGAGGGCGAGTAGTTGAAGTCGTGATCAACCGAAATTGACCTACGCATATTATCATCCAAGATTGAGCTATTAGCCGTCTCGAGACTCAACGAAGACATGCCCATTAAAGAGTCTTCTCTCGGAAACTGATATGATTGTACCACATTCAGTGGTGTTGGTGGCATAGGCATATCCGGCACGCTTCCAGCGGTTTGAGCTGTGATACTCCCATTGCGAACCCTAGTATGATTCTGGTCAAAATAAGTGGGATGGCCTCCAGAGACGGAAGAGAGTCTTTGCTCCGACTGAAGGAGTGGCCAGGCAGTGGATCCTGGCCGGCTGCTGTACATTTCAAGCTGGAGTATATCATCCCTTTCCCTTTCTGGTGTGTTGCGTGGTGTAATCTCTGTGGGAAGCTCTGAGAAACCTGCGATTGCTGATTTTGGCTCTTTCTCTTTAGCATCAGGATAAACTGGAGAAACAATTTTTTGTGGCCCTGGCTGTAGATTGGGCAGCGGTCCCATGCGAATAGGCTTTTGGCTACTTCGTCCTAGCGAGAGACTTTTTGATAGAGATTTTGAGATTGACCGTCGTATTGACTTGGACTTTTCCTTCTTTAGCGGTGGTGGTGCCATGTTCGGCTGAGACGGTGGTCTTTGAAATGTCTCTTGTGACCCAAGCTGTGCCCATTCGTGGCGTGTTCCGTACGGATAGGTTGGCAAGGGTGAGGTGAGGGGAGAAACTGTCACGAAGCTGCTACAAGCTTGTTCTTGCTGTGACGCGCTATGATGAGCTTGCGCTACTGCCAGTGATAAACGATCTTTTCGCGTCCTCCACCAAACTGCTACCCCGAGAATCGCGCCGACTATGAGCAAGGCCGAGCATCCCACCGACACCGCGATCACAACCGATAGGGTGAGCATTGTCGAAGCGTTGTATAATTTCTGATTTCATCAAACCATCAAATTAAAAGCGCAAGTAGCACTCCAGCAGCGGTGTACCGGTATCTGCGATACGTCCTCTTGCATGCAGACGGGTTGACAAAACGACGGCATGAGTGAAGCAAATTCAAGACATGGGCAACATACAGATGATGCCCAGAACAAACTTGCCGGAGACTTGTCTTCTCATTGTTTTGGGACGAGTGGTCTGTGGTTATGGTCGTGGAATGCAGACTAGCCAAGTTGTCAAAACGCGAAGAATGTACTTATGCTGGCCTGATACCAGAGAACGCACGCACTTCCTGCCTATCCTAGATGACTTGGTTGACGATCGTGTCTTTAAACAGGGAACACCAATAACTTAGCCCATATTTTTGTCATGCAAATACACGTATTTCATGATTCAAGCTGGCTGGTAGTCCGTGCAAACCCATGTTGAAGAGCTTTGTTTATACCTGGAATGTGAGTCGGAAAATTGTAGAGCTTCGGCCTTTTCATGATAGATGAATTGATAGCTAGAATGGGAGCTATTCATTGTATCATTACGTCTCTGACTTGGATGGGTCGGGTGCTGGAGTTGTGACGTCCGTCCGAAGGAGGAAAGAAGGGATGGCACAAGTCAGCCGCCAACACGTGATACTCTTATGCATTCAAGCATGGGGCACACACAAGACCGTGTACTTCTATAGACTTATTTAAATCTTCTTTTCCTCGTACGAAATTTCTTCGCGTTGTGTCCTAGATTAGATATAAGACTTCTGCGAGAAATCACAGCTTATTGATACCGCCTCGTTGGGGGAAACCCACTCAAATATCATAAAATTGTGTATAATTGTGTATATATCTTTTCTCTAATAATATACTCTGATATTAAGCGTTGATACTACTTCCAACGTTGAAGGTTATAACTGTAGCTCTCTACATACCTTCCTAATTAGGAAACTCTTCGAACATGCTCGGTTGGGGCTAAGGGAGCTGCGTACTTTGGTGAGTAGCTACACCACAACGAAAATTTCATACTCCTTGAAGTATCGCTACTTGATCCTCAGGAATAGCTTAAGTACCTAAATAACTAATTTATAAATTTTCTTACGACTAGTTCGGGTTATGACGACCTTGTCAAGTACTGTTTTCAATTAGCTTCTCTACTGAGACGTCACACCTTGTAGATCTATAGAGTAATGGTACTTCGACATGGAGCTACTTACATATTTTTGATAGTCGTGCAGTATGGGTAACATAGTGTGCCTGTTCTGAGTCCCTTTGTTCATAGATGTCGGACATGTCACTTATGTTTGCCCTAGGGAGTCTCACATACGGCTACTCTTCAAGCATCATGGCCACCACTCTCGGGCAACCTCCCTTTTTCACCTACTTCGCTTGGGACAGCTCCTCCAATGCAGCTCAATTGGAAGGCGCTATGAATGGCTTATTCCAGGCCGGTGGTCCAGACACTCCAGCAGCAAGTGCCGCTGTACTCTTCCTATTCCAGCATATCGCTTCAATGTTGCTTTTCCGCCTCCTGCGATTTTACCTCACTGCGAGCTTCATCTTCGTATTGTCCAGAGGTATGTCAAGTGACCCCTTTCGTCCTTACCTCCTCCATTTATACTACGTGGCTTTGTTGATTTTCGTTCCAGACCCGACAACGTTCTTTGGAAGACATTGCTAAGTTGTTTGACAACTCTGTTGAGCCCGCTAATGTCAAGGCCGTTACTAAGCAGATCGAAGTTGTCTAATCAGGGCGGCGATTGTGGATCAATTGTGAAGACGAGAAACAGAAGGGTATTCAACCTTTCGACGGTGATTTTGCGAGAAGATCTCATCGCTGAGCCCACAAAGAAGTATAAGTGCCTAGGTCTAGTTGACCAGAAAAGCAACTCGGAGCAAATAATTCCACGATTAAGCCCATATGGCCAGTGTATCTACTCCAATGAACTCTATTTCCCCCACAAAGGAAAGATGTCATGTAAGCGTGTCATACAGTCTGGCACTCCGAATACGACATTATGATCTCTGGATATCTAAGGCATAGTGCAAATGCAGACTCGAAGTTTTTTTGTCAATTTTGATTCATGCACCGACATCAACGCCATTGAGTGCAATGAGTCGAGCCCTGACGGGAGAGGGTCTATATGGAGTTTTGGGTTCGTCTAAAAGCGCCCACCTAAAATCGAGAATTACTCCACTTAGCCCCCCTCATCATGTCATAGCCCAACCCTCTACAGACCAAATCAGCGTCATGTTGCGAATCATGTAAATAGAAATAGAGTGCGACCAGTCTTAGGTGTACGTATCTAGCATTAGTGTGCCCCCCCCGGCAGAATTGAGCATTGCACGCTTTTGGCCTCAAGTGACTTTCATCCTTAGTTGTTTCCTCCGGGGTACTCCGTACACAGAATTGGGGAGTCCAGAAGCACTCTAGAAAGGAAAGGGGAAAAAAGAAAAGAGACATCCTGCAAATTACTCACCGGTATTAGTCGTGGCTGAATATTAAATGACTGATTCTTGACCTTCTGGTACTGATGGAGCACATGACCAGTCATTGGGGATGTTAGTGTGGGATGAGATGGCGGCGTTGTGATAGCTGTCAATGGCTCCATGCAGCTTAGGGATAGCGCGGATTCAGATGTTTGAGAATAATCGGTGTAATCAGTCATGTACTCCAAATTTCCATTGGATAATGGTAGATGGTCAACGGAACCGACATGATGGATCATGGCTGTGTTGGACGAAAAGTCAAGTCGCGGGGTCATCGCCCACGCACAATGCAAGAACAACATCGCGGTTTATCCGACGGAAAATCGTCACTTGTCAGGAACGGCATCGACTACTTCTTAGTTCGCCGGCGATGATGTTATTGTGGCACCGAGGGACCCTCTTTGATGGCTTCTCAAGGGGGCCATCTCACACCCTTCTCCATGGAGAACCCATAATCAGGGAGTGCAATGTTTGGTCAATCTGTGAGAAAGGACCCCCGCCATACCCACTTGTACCGCCGCTGGTAGAAGCTCCAGCGCCATGTTGCTCGATGTTGTTGATCACCGCTGATTGCCCCTCCACCATCCGTTAATCCAAAGCCGGTATTAAATATCGAAATTCCCCTCCTTGAGAGTTATCCTCCAATTTCTCCTCCGCAAAAAAACCAATTGTTTGTGTATATTCTTAATATATCCCCTTTTTGTATACTTCGCTTCTTTTTCTCTTTGTAATCTCCTTCATTCCAGACACAATGGCCGGCTCTCCTCTCGACCAGAACGCCGTCTTCGTGCACGACAACAGCGTGCCTCCTGTACACAACAGCTTGTTCTCTCTCTTCTCGCTCAAGGGAAAGACTGCTATCGTCACCGGCGGTGGTGCCGGTATCGGTCTTGCTGTTGCCCAGGGTCTCGCAGAAGCTGGTGCCAACATTGCTTTGTTCTATAACACAAACGACAAAGCACCCGAGCGTGCTGCTGAGATTGAGAAGCAGTATGGCGTGAAGGGTAAGGTTTCCTCTTCGGAGCGATCCGTCGATTTGCTCGCTAAATGACAATTGTTATAGCCAAGGCATACCAAGCCGATCTGCGTGACCAGAAGAAGGCCGAGGCCACCATTAACGAGGCTGTCAAGGACTTCAACGGTCGTCTCGACGTTTTCATCGCCAATGCCGGTATTCCTTGGACCAAGGGTGCCACTGTTGATGGACCCATCCAGCACTATCTCGATGTTGTTCAGACAGATCTCGACGCTACCTGGTACTGTGCTCGCGCTGCCGCTGCTCACTGGCGACGACAGAAGGAGGAGGGTACCGACCTGAATGGTAACAAGCTCGAGAACTTCACCTACGGAAGTTTTGTCGCTACAGCCTCCATGAGCGGTCACATTGTCAACATACCTCAACTCCAGGCTCCTTACAACGCTGCTAAGGCTGGTGTCCGTCACCTCGGTAAGAAATTCTGCTTTGGGCCTGCCATAAATTCATAGACTCTTTTCTAACACTCATATAGTCAAGTCTCTCTCCGTTGAGTGGCCCAAGTTTGCTCGTGCCAACACCATTTCCCCGGGATACATTGCCACCGAGATCTCCAACTTCATTCCCAAGGAGACCCACGATCTCTGGAAGTCTAAGATCCCTATGGGCCGCGAGGGTATGCCCGAAGAACTTAAGGGTGCTTTCTTGTACCTTGCTAGCGATGCCTCCAGCTACACTACTGGAACCGATATCATCGTCGACGGTGGCTACTGCGCCCCTTAAATGCATACATGCATGAATATAAATATAAAGCAAATCAGGCATGATTGAAAAAGATGGCGTGTCAGTGCATAGAACTTCCAAGGTTAATTTTGGTTTCTCTGGGCAATATCAAAAAAGTTGTCGTGCGATCATGATGCGATGATGCGGTTTGTTTCTTGTTCTTGGTGATGATTGCTTGAACAATAGACTTAAGTATATAGATTGAATTAGCTTCTCCAGGATAGAATCAAGAGTATACTGACCTGATGACTGTACCTTGCTGTCTGTCTGTATGTGAAGACATTCGAACAGTTCAGCTCTGTGCTACCTATGACTCAAATGACATCATGAGAAGCTCCAGCCACGGGCAAACATAACCAAGAGAGCTTTCAATGCGAGAGCTGTCAAGGCCTCTTCAGAATTATTATATGGAAGAATAAGAATTAGTGAGAAGTCTGTTGGAAGTCCTATGACCTCGGGGGTGAATGACCCGGGGGAAGGTTGCAATTCGCGCAGTCACGGGGACGCCCCTCCTCCACAGACCCTGGAATATCAGTCCTGGTGACTGCTCCTCTCTTCCACCGCCAATAGCTCTCCCTCCCTCTCTCCATTCCAGGTCGCTTGAATTATCCGCAGACATGGCTGCTCCTGATCGGAACCCTTCTCTCAGGCGGTTCCTAGATCCGCCGACTAGATCCTGTTCCTGTCAGCGGTGTCGCCGTGGAAATGGTCTTGTCACTTGATAAATGGATGCCAGACGTGATACAGTCAGCCAGCTTTGCGGTGAGAATCAGGATGCAGGATCGATAATTTTCAATGAAACATATTTCCAACCTGTCTTTGGCTGTTTCTCTCTTTCTATCTTCATCTTTCCCGCCCCATATAGATCTGATCGCTTGGGGTGTGCCCTTTGGAATTTGAACGCTGGTATCATGCCTGACAACACTCAATCTGGATATACTTTGGTAGCTTGGGACTCGAATATTAAACAACGAACGAGACTGCCATCAATCGAAATCCTGGTGGAGCCCTAGCAATCCGTTTGATACGTAGATATTGTCACCGCTCGACTCTGAATCACTCCGTCCGTCTATTCGCATTCGTCGCAATACAGTCATCCTCGAACGACCCAAATCCTAATCTTTCATAATTGTTTGTTATCTTACCTTTTATTGACTTTGTTCATCGAGCCATTGACTCAGCTACTTTGTTCAATCCCATCTTTCACACGAATTTCCCTTTGTACACTTCTGCATTCACGCAGCAACAACTTCGACCCCTCCCAAGAATTCAGAAATTCTTGTGTCCTACATCACATCGACGCAAATTTCCATTTTTAGGCGAGAGCCTAGTACGCGTTTCTGTATAACAGACTATCCAATGATCCAGGAAACTACTGCTCGCAAGCGATCCTCTGGGTCAACCTCGAAGCGCAAGAAGTCGCAACGACTGAAAATCAACCCTCCAAAGCCTCCACGGCTGATTCTCCATCCACCAAAGCCACCTCAACAAAAGCCAACTAAATTGAAAATGGTGCTACGGCCTCCTCCAAAGTCGCTTTCACTCGAGGTTGATCATTCGCCTCCTAGGTGGAAGGAAGTAACGCTTCTTGGAAATGGTGAAGATGCCTCGTATGACTATGGCGATATCTGTAAAGTCCAATCCATCATGAAAGTCTTCAATGGCACGTTGAGTGCGACCAGGAAAGTTGAGTCGAACGAGAAGAAGCTCAGCAGGGATCCTCTACTGCCCAGCGACGTGACCACGACTGAGACGGATACTATGACTGAAGATATGAGGGCCAAATTGGAAATGGTAGGTTTCATTGCGCGCAGTCAAGTGCTTCTGGAGATTCAAGCTAACCACATTTCATAGAACGATATACTGCAAGAAGCCCTCAAGTGCCATCATTGCGAAAAGACCATGCGCCTCAAACCAGAGGCCATGGAGTCAGATATTCTCCACGGGATTTACAGCTGTTCTGAGGATCCCCCATTCCTTATCAGTCAACCCTGCGACGAAGACGATGTGGCTCCAGATGAAATGCCCAAGGCAGTCAGCGAACCAGGCTATCTGCATTTGGCAACAACAGCCCAGCAGGAACAGTATCTTCAGTTGGTGGAGAAGTTCATCACCCGAAATCGTGAGAGGAAGGTCTTTCGGAATATGCGAGAGGGAGTAGATCAGGGCTACGAGTCCAAATTCGCCTTTTACTGTGTGGACTACCATATTCACCAGCATTTCATCCACAGACGCAGTATTCTCAACTACTGCCGATCAAATGAAGAGATGGACGAGGTTCAAACATGGAAGAAAGACCTCGCAAAATGGGCTGCAAAAAACAACGCCCAGCTTGCCAGCCAACAAAGAGAAATGCAGGACGAGAGTGAGTTTACCGTGACCACATCCAGCACGACTGCTCCAATCCAGGTCGCTCGAAAGGCAAATCCTGGATTGTTCGACCCATTTTCCACATCGACTACGTTCTCAGGGGAAGAGTCGTCATCATCCCGAAACTCATCCATCTTCTCATCGTCTATGAGCCATTCTTCCCCTTCAACAGCAGCCTCATCACCACCGAAAGCTGGCTCATTACCCAATACACCGCCACCAATCACTATCCCCTGGCCCAAGGAGCAAGCCGCATTTTCGAATCAAATTAGCCTGCATCGCCATTTGACTAATTCGCACGAAAGGGCAGCACGAGTCCTGCAAGTCCGCGAACGATACCACAGAACCATGAGAAAGCGCGCCGAACAACGCCGCGATGGCCTCATTATCGCCAACTACGAAGCGGCATTTGCGCTACAGAAGTGGCAGCGTGGGAGAGGTGGGCCGCTTGCCATGCAACGACAGCGGAGTATTGGGGAGTTGTTGAATGAATACAACCGTTGATTATCCCCCTTACACACCAGGATTTTCCTACTTTGATCGTGCTTTTGCGTCAGACCGTTTCTTTTGTCTTTTCCCTCAATATCTACGGAGTTGGAATTCGGATGCATTCAAGATACCCACGGTATTCATAACATATCGTTTTCATGAAATTTCTGGTCAATGGAGTTTTATGGCTGAGGTCCTCAATCTACACCTTGCTTTCTATCAGGTTGGAGTAATGGCTGGAACTAGATACCTTATGCATGTCACACGTGTCATTGATCTACAGAGTATTCTTAGAACATGATAAACTCAATTCAATTGAAACAAAATGACCGAGACAGTACGCCTAACGTCCCGCAGTATGTATGATAGCAAACCAAAAGCAGTAGTAGACATGGAACCGAGAACGATGAGGAGTATAATCAAACAAGGAATATTTCAACAAAATAAAGATAAAAGTAGTAAAGTGAAAGGATGCAAAGGACAAGAGTCACAAGTTATTGTACTAGGCGCTCTTTTTCTTTGCTATGTGTTGGCTGGTCTTTTGTACATAGTGACTTGAGAGAGAATTGTAAAGACAGTTTTTGTAGTCCAGTTGGGAAGTTCAGATAGACCAGCTATGATTGTGGATTGAACGTATGTTCGATAAGTTTTTTTTTCTCTGCTCTGGGGACTTCAGATCAAACGGCATCGGTGCCGGTCATTTCGACGTCGACATTCGAAGTATTGACGATTGGCTGCTTAAAATCAGCCAAAACTGCTGCTTGGCCGTATTGATGCGCACCATTCGATCTGTCTTCTGGCGGGTTCTCGTGCGACTCGTCGTCTTTGAGATCTGGAAGCTTACGACCAAGTCGTTCACACCATGTCTGTGCACTGATCAAAGTCTCATCGACGACGCGGTGGACCTGCGACATCATCTCAAGGCCCTCCTGGGCCAGCACAAGAACACGATGTGCACTAGACGCTTCTTCAGAGCCTGACCCAGCAGAGTCTGGGGATGAGTTGGATGTAGATGCAATCTTGAATCGTTGAGGCAACGAAACGAGATGGCTGCGGACTAGGGTTCCCGCGTTTTCCGGTAGCGCTCCTCCAGTGTACTTAGACACAATATTCACGACTTGCTTGAGTGTGCGCAGCACATCTTCTTTGACTGCCTGCATATGCTGTAGTAGCAACGCACGATTTTGCGAAGAGTTTTCGTCCGTCGAATTCTTCAGCTTCTCTTCTTCCCATTTCTCAAGCATGCTCTTCAAAGCTAGTACAGCCGAATTGAGTCGGCCATTTGCCCATTTGAGCCACTTTAGGCAATATGTCAAGCGTCGCAGGGACTCTTCGCTCATTGCTACACCGAGGCCGGATGTTGAAATCATAAGACGTTTTTGCCATGTCTTGTTCTGCTCTGAAGTGTTGGACGGGCGGCTATGTTGCTGGACCTCTTCGTAATTGGGAGATTTCTGATCATCATACGGCGGTAAAGTCTCCGAATAAGACGTCTCCGACATTGATCGATTGCGGTGCATCTCGCTTAGTGGGGGCAAAGCTTTTTCGATATCTGTATTTTCGTCTACCTCAGTCGAATTCGGGTTTGTCTTTCGTCGCTTGCTTCGATCAGTTGACTCGTTCGTATCCCGACGCTGAAGCGCCCATCGAAGACCTCCCTCTACACCGGTTTTGCGGCTAACGCTGCCGACTGTGTTCGCCACGGGTGACCCGATATTGCGCTCGAGAAACTCTGCACCGTACTTGAACCGTGACGAGTATGATTTCGAAGAAGTATATGCGGACATGGAACTATTGATAGCGGACGAGATCAAAGGATGTGTAGAAGTCAGAAGTGATATCAACGGTTCGGCCTGAGATTGTTCACTTTGGGTAGCGGGGATCGAATTCTGTCGAGAGTGCGACTGCGATAGGGCAGTGGGATGAGGAGGAGTGTATGCGAAATCTTTGATCACAAAGAAAGAAATTGCGAGTTAGTCATTGGTTCTTTCGGGTTCGGCAAGTAGGATATGCGATCTGCATATGAAGGTAGCATAACTCACCTGAACGAAGACCCTCAAGCGCCTGCGCGGCCTCAATGTCGTCCATAGAAAGTACGCTGGTAGCTCGTCGAGCCCGATCGTCGACACCGTTACTATCGACGTCCATCATGGTATGAGACCGAGTTCACAAGAGGTATGAAGAAGGAATTCGCCCCGACGGAATCACGATGGGTTGGGCGTTGAGCGTCAAGCGTCAAGCCCTCCCGCGGTGCTAGTCTTCGTCGATGCCCGTCTGGGTGGTAGTTTATGCCCGTTGGGGCAGGAGCATGTGCTTGGGCCTGTGATAGCCACAGAGAAAGTCTGCTTTTGCCGGTCTAGCAAACTCTCGTTGGACAGCGGTCGTCGGCGTTTCACCCGAGCAAACTAAATTTGATGGAAGGAAAAGCAGCGAAAAAGTGGGAAAGATAGTTGTGGTCCTTCGATCTGGCTGATGCTTCTGGTGAGATTGGGTCCTGTGTCTTTCTTCGCACGGTGGGATGATGGAATGATGAATTCAGCCGGAGTATTTGCCGTGAGTAACGTTCGTTGGACGCTGATTGGGGTAAAATGGCTGGAGGGGGATGTTTCGATGGATGATGTTGGGGCAGGCCGACTCTCTTCTGTCATTTTGGCACGTGAAAACGGATGGGCAAGCCGTCTGTACTTAGTAGGAGGCTAGGGCGTGGCGATAATGCAGATTGCGTGGATGGCAATCCTTCGAGCCTGTCTTTTGCATGTGAGACTTGTTATAGCTACGGGGCAGTCCGTTCCGTGCACGCACACTCGTCAAACTCGTCACACGAAGGCGCGCCAATGGGATCCCTTCTCTGTGCTATCTTCTGTCCGGTCACATTTCTAATCTATTTTCATCCTATCCTCTTCATGCATCGAATGCAATTGCCGATATCTCATGCAATTAGCTTGCGGAAAGATGACAGACACCTCAAAGTCACATGTTAGCCTTACTAACCCTGATCGATCAGGACATGTGAACTGCCGATCTTGCCCGACATCGTCTGCTCGACTAAAGAAGCCGCGCTAAGCATATCGGGTAATTCACATGTCAGCTCTCTCGATTTGGCAGGTGTTCATGAATCATGGAGAGAATGATAATCGATGGACACGGACGCAATACATTTATGCAGATTGTGAAGATCCAATCGTTTTTTATGTCAAGGTCAAAACATCTTCGGATAAACCTGCAAATCATGGCTGTTCTCCAAAGAGATCACTCCACCACCGATCATTATTACCCGATAAGCTGACCTGCATCGCATTGGCCGCCCCCTGTGCGGCCAACAAACCATCAATGTCCAAGATCTCAAATTTCAAGGGGGGATTTAGAGCCGTCAAGAAGTCTGTTGGCGTCACTTCCGTCGCGTGCACGCTGCTTTCGCCTTCTGACACAAGTTGAGAGACAGAATCTGGAGCGATGTCTTTGTCTTCGTCATCAATTTCAACATCTCTGTTTTCCATGCTTTTCTATCGAACCGTATTCTATTGAAGTCTGAAAGCGGTAAGTCCGCAAGCCCTGATTATGAGCATTGATGAACTCGGAGTAAGCTTACTCTGAGCACTCTACTGTACGCCCGCGTGAGTTTCCACTAATGGTTTCCGTCTTTTGTAAACGTAAAACACCTGTGTGAGGAAGTGTGTAGTACTGAGCTTTTGCTCGTAGCGTAACATTGGGATGCCGTCGTGAAGAAGAGTGCCCTTCATCATGAAAAGAGAGGATAGATACAGCGCGTAGTCGAGAAATGGTATCCCAAAGAGAATACATAGGATCGTTGCTAATATTCAAGATGAAATTTGCGCTATCACTGGCCTATCCATTGGTTATTGCCAGTCCCCCTGACTACAGCTGGAAAGGTGAGCTCACATTTTGTGAAAAATGGCCGGGATCCCATCCTGAGATGGAGCTTAGTACATTTTCATCCTGCGCTTTATTGGATATGCTAGCAAATTTTCTAAGGCACACTCGAAAGTCTTGAGGCCAAGTAACAAAAAGCCTAGCCGATTGATAATATGCATAAAAATAAAATTGCATCCAAGCGTCATGCCCAGCACACTGTGAGTCGAGTAGTTTTCGAAATTCCGTTTTGATCTCTGAGGTAGCTCGTTGTCCTACTGGGTAAGAGTCTTCATGAAATGCATTGCCAATCTCTGTGGCCAAAGTTCGTGTAGGTTTTATGGGGTGCGTATGCCCAGCAAATGATGTCGCCCCAGACCTTACAGATCTTGACTGTATGGCCAAAGGTTGCTGTATTGTCTCCTTGGGGAAGGGGAGCAGATAGTTTACGGCTTCACAACTCAGCGGAGTCATGCATTAATATCTATAAGGAGGTCAGCAGGTCTCTACACATGCTAGGTTCAGGTGAACATACAGGACGAAAGAACGTGAATTCATTCTCAGTAGTTGGCAGCTGAATATTCACACCATTAAGACTAATTAACTGATGGCGGGAAAGTCCCGGGCTCCCTGACAATATGTTCTGAGCATGGTTTCTGGGCGCAGTTACCCTTTCGACAATAAAGGCACTCCAGAAGTGGCGTCGTCGACACTCTCGGATTTTCCAGGGAGCATAAAGAAGAGAATTTGTCAATCGGTCTTCTGTAACTTCTTTCCCAAGATTTAGGAACAGGACCACCCAAATACAATTCCTGGATGGAGTCAGTAGACAAATTCCACACCCAAAAGTCCTCGGGAAAAAAAAAATGCATCTAGATGAAGCCAAGCCTCTCGACCTCGCTTCATGCTTAATTCGTGTAGAGCAAGAAGGAGCATCGCGATAATGAAGTGCAATGTCGCCATTGATGATTGTGACAGAAGAAATTTTGCAGCAGCATTGCCGTAGAACTCGGCTGCCGCAAGAGAGGTTCCAAGTTTTGCGAACTGGTAGTGCTGAATCTACAGGTAACAAAGAGTAGTATTAGCATCTGGTTGATATCTTCGAGTGTGATTCATACCTTGTGACATACATGCAAATTCCCAGAGCCAACTCTGGAGGGAGCTGATCGCGAAGAATTTAAAATGTGATGGTTGGCTTATGGAAAACACCAAAAGCCTCGACATAGGTTGAACGTAAAAAGATATCCCGTAATTGAGCCATGCCCCGTCTGTCCGGGATTATTGGCCAATGACAGAGCCAGTTCGGTTTGCTGTTCGTGTTAGCAGGTCGGCTAGTGTGCTGTATACCGTCCAGGCTACATACCTATCAGCCATTACGGCTATCCTATCATGAAGGACCGTTCCATGACCATTAGCAGCGAATATCTGCTCAACTCTCGTCGAAGACTGTAGCTCATCAGTGTCCTGTCGAGAAATCTGTCTTACTACTATCTAGATGTTGAGCCCCTGCTAAGCCCATCCTTGAGACGAGAGGCCTGGGGTTCTTTCGAGGCTCGCGAGTTAATCAACGTTAGGTAGAGTATTGACCATGATTTTAGAGCCCGCTATGCCGTTGATGATATGAGTCATGGAAATACCAGGATTAGTAGGATAGCTGTTGTTCACGATCGATGATGTATTGATGGAGCCGTATGAAGCCGTTGGCCACAGACGCTCGTACCAGTGGATATGCCTAGGAAAAAGTTAACGGAGATGAACATGGATTGAATCACATTTGAAAGCTCCATACCCGGATAAATAAGCATCAAACCCATAGTAAAGTAAGAGCTCCTCGAATGCTGGGCGTATGTCCTGTTGATATGAACATACCAGAGTGCTGTACCTAGGACGATGAAACGAAGCAATAACTCAAGGGGTCTTGCAGCGATCGACATTCGCCAGATCATTGGCCAGCCACTGGTACTGAGAGTAAGTCTTGGTATCATTGTAATCATCCACGTTTCCAAAAGGTCCACGATCAGTCACTCTTGTATACTCCTTTCTAGGCTTTGTCTCGTTGTCATTAACACGCTTAGCAGAAGGGCTTTGAGGACTGTTCTAGGAGTCGGTCTGTGTATCTATGAAGATGAAGTGAGTTAGACCTTAATCAAAGGAGTACCACTTTGTAACGTCGCGGCTTCAGGATCGCGAGCAAGATAGACGGTCCACACGGCAAAGCGGCATTTAGAGCAGCGAATCAGAGTCTTGCCAGCGCCATTTGGGCTTGGAACCGTAACTTCTTGGATCTCTCCCGATTAAACCTTGAGTTTTCCTTACTCTATCTTCGCGTGCAATGCAAAGGAAGATTCTGTTTGGCGTTGGCACGATAAGCAACTAACAGTACCAAGATAGCACAACTAGTATAGCGTTTTGAAATCAAGTACAATTATTGTAAATAAGGACTGACTGCAGCAATGTGTGGCCATCGGTCGAATTACCATGACAGATGTCAAATCACCGCAATCACAGCGACCTCCCAGGCGAAATTCTCAAGCTTTCGTAGCCATTGTTCCCTAACAATAGCAGGCTGACCATTTCCATTAAAAGGTTTATTGGCTTAGACGGCCGAGTAACTGTTACTTTGTAAGGCTCACATACCTCGAAGAGCACGTAGGGTTGTCCTCTAATTAGGGTAAGCCTCGCATTAGAGCCTGTGCGTACATGACTCGCGCCGTGTGGGTCATGGCTCGGTAGCCGCATACAAAGCACGTGTGTCGCTCCACATTTCCATCAACCTTACCCTAGGAGGCGTAGCATCGGCGATAAGCTTTCTTTCTCCAAGTGTACATCGAGGCACACTGTCCTACAGAGATAAGAAGGATATTCAGTAACTTCCAAAGCAACTCGGGGAACTTTCAAGTATCCTCGTTTGGCAGGTGAGACGCGTGAGAAACTCGCTGTAGTAGTCAATGAGAAGGGGGCGCTCATGTACGCGCTGCTGAGGAAAAGTGCTAGTGTGCTTTAGCAAATTAGTGTATTGAATTCTGGTAAAAGAAATACATGCATCGTTGAGGTTCTTGAGCACAACAAGCTGGGAAGGAAAAGTATCTAGGCACATGACGAGGCGAATCTGTGTCAGTTGATATGTTTGGGGTATAGACCAAGATTGCAAATGAAGTGAAATTCCAAAATTTTACATGTATCATAACACTCATGATAGCATCAACATATCGTATCTATCTTATAATTTAAAAACAATACTCCTCAAAAGTGCATAACACACAAGACTCAGGAATGGAGAATTTGATACATCCTGTCAATCTCATCAAGTGCGTCAATCACTGATTCACGGTCGAATTCCTCAGAATCGTTATATTCGCTTTCGGCGTTCCCTTCTAAGTCCTCGTTCGCGAGTTCTTCGGCTTCTTCTCCTGCTAGCCGACGGGCAGCGCTGCTGCTGACCTTCATACTGACATAGACTTGATCACGGATTAGACGAGCTGGCTCCTTGCCGGTCTTAATCCAGCATAAAGTCTCTCCAGCTGCGTAAAGTGGAAAGAGAGATCGCCAACGAAAGTAGTACGCGCCGGAAGCCAATAGCATCCGCCATTCAAATTCACTATTTTGCCACGTATGTACGAGGGGGTGGCAGATATTCGGCGGTTGTATACGGTTCAACAACTCAGCAGCAAGCTGAATTTTGAATCCTGTCGAGGTTCCCGGTGTTTCGTGGAAATGGCATCCGTCGATCCATTTACGATAGCCTTCATTGATCTGTGCCTCTATCCTCTTCAGTACTTCATATAAGGCAGGTCCTTTCGCAAGAGCTGTGTTGCTATGCCCATTCGTTCTTGGATCCTCCTCTTTCTCACGCTCCGCTCGGGCAACTGCAGCCTTCCAGGGACGAAGAAGACTTTCATCCCAATTGTCTTCGGAGTCGCCGAACCTCTGATTGAACTGCATAAGGGCCTTTTCTCTTTCTTGAAAAGCAACCTCAAACTTCAGGAAGTCATTGATATTGTCTTGCTTTCCCTCTTTGGCCCCCAAGTCCTTGTATGCAGGTACTCCTCTCTCACGTGGGCTAATACTTTTGCGATACTTAGCCCATTGTTCCTCCGTGAGTTGAAGACCCGACTTTTTACTGTCGACAAGATGACTCAGGAGGGTTGCCAACTCAATAGATAATGGCGAACTGATTCCTTCCTTTTCTTCATACGCAAGCTTTTCATGTTCAACGGTACATCGCCCAAGATATGACATGGCCAGGTTAAATCTGAAGGCATTTTGAAGCAGATCTCTGACAGAGCCTACAGTGCTCATTGGCCGAGCATGTTTCACTAATCCAAAGTGCTCCGGCCCAGGCTCCACGAGAGGGGGAACGGTATTGGTGAAGGTTTCCACGATGCCTTGGTCCCAGCATATCCAGGGGCGGTCGCCGTCGTAATCTCCGCCTGATAGAAGGCTCGCGAGTGGAATCGTGCCTCTGGTTGAAAAGACGATAACATCTTTGAAATGCCTCAGCTCTGACTTCCAGACCGCTCTCCTTTTTTGAATATCCCAAGGGCAATGAGCTGGCGTCCGTCCCACAAGAACATCCACGCCGTCCACCATAGCATCATCAAAATAAGAGCAATCTCTCCATTGTCCCGAGAAAGCAAAATGGACTTCATCTTCTGCGAGTACTCCGTAAGGATCTGCGATACAGTACGCGTAGGTTGATAAAGGTATGGGAATATGAAGCTCATTGACATAACGATTCAAAGTGTCAATCAGGCATCTTGTCATACGTTTCCGCAGCGGAGGAAAATCTCGTGGCGAGAAACCTGCTTCCAGAAATCGAATAACAGACTCTATAGTTTGTGATAGCCATTGATCAATCCTCCGTATATTCGTGCGTGATCCCTCGTCAGTAGTAGGGCGTATCCTCTGTATCAAAGCCCGCGCTAAAGGGATGCTGTTGCTTTCCATTACACTTTCAAATTCCTTGTAAACATCGCTTATTGACTCTCGCGCAATATCTGCCACACGAGCTCTCACTTGCCCGCGATTATTTAGAACTTCGAGGAGCTGCGTATTGAGTTCTGACGATCGCAGAGGCTTCGACCAGCTTGCGACCTCAAATGTGATTTTTTCTGTGTCGACTTGGCCGGAAAAGTCGCATGGATGTGGTTTGATCTTCAACTGGGAGTCTGATATTTGGATCCAAATTCTTTCGTCGTCGTCGCGGTCTCTATCAACCATCCAGAGGCCTTTTGCTCCAGCAATACGACCTTGGAAGGTGCTGGGCGTGATTCCGTCTATTCCTAGCTCCTCACATATTTTTCGGGCCAGTGGACGCGACATTAAAGCGCACCCGTCATTCATGACAGGCTTACCTGGAAGATCAGGGAGTTTCAAAAACTGGTGCGGCTGTATCACCACGGTCGCCCACGTCTTAGAGAGCGCAAGACCAATTCGACTGAACAGTTTGCAATCTGTCTGGCTGTGATTATCCTCAAGCGGGATGTGCCATTGTAACAGCTGGTCCACTGTCATCCTTGTGTGCGACTCACTGGTCTCGTTTATCGGTGATAGAGTAGGAGGGGAGAGTCTTGTAGTGAAGTCTGAGCCATCGACAGCAAAGAAGTCTACGCGGACAATAGGCTTGCCAGTTTTGGATTTACTTTTGTTTTTGAAATCATCCACATAAAAAGCTTTCCAGGTTCGATTCAGGAGATGATGGTTGTTATCAACCAACCAGTCAGTTAGAGCCTCGCGTAGAGACACATGATCTTTGAGGCGTAGGTGACTTGGTGGCTGTGACGGAGATGGCATCGTTATGCTCAAGAACCTGTCTGATCCAAAGCGACGATAAAATCGACATGTTCGGTCAACCTTGAGCGGGTTAAGTCGCAATTTGAAGATGCCAGGTTCACCCTTTTCGCACCAATCAAGCGAACCACTGAGAATTACGGCTTCCGAGTGCCGATCGCCTTCAAAACGCCCAATAGCAGCGTTCCATGCCTTTATAGAAGGCTTTTCTGGTAGAGGCTTATTCTTACGCCCACCAACATTCCCAAGCCATTGCCAAAAGTCCACGTGTTTCTCGTACGGTTTATCACCAACGAGTATATCTTTTGGGCTAATATCCCAGGCTTGTTTGACTCGCTCCAGCTCGTATCTTGCCCGTAGAGGTACCTTTTCGGAGAAATGTTCTTTATCTTTCGAAAAGGGGCCATTGCGAATTAATTCTTCCACCATTTCCTGCTCTATGTATGGCGCTCTTCGCTCGGTTTCAAAAGACGTAGAAGCTTTTTCCTCTACTGACTTTAGCATCATGCTAAATTCTTCGCTCATCAAGAGTTCATCGACAGAGTCGGGATGCGTAACAGTCTCGTCGCATGGCTCGGTAATTGTCGTTTCGAAAGATGTTCCTAAAAATCGAGGTACTTCTGAACGATCGAATACAGAATCTGCTACTGTTGTAGCAAAACTAACTTCTGGACTGCTAAATGATCCATCCAATCTGAGTGACGAGGTAGCCTTGTCCGACAGAGATGGCGGGGGCTTCCTGGCAGGAGGGCGTGATGTTTTTGTGATTAACATATGGTCCGTGATTTTCGATTGTCTTTTATTCGAACTCCTAGACCTCTGAGTCTCACCCTTCAATTTGTCAGCTCCATGCGACGTATCTGCATTCAAATTGGGCTCACTCCTCATAGGGTCGTCATATTCGTCCAGGTTACCCAAAGACGGATATTGCCCTTCGAAAGGCAGAACTGGGGAGCTAGGAGCCGTATGAAATACCTCTTGATTATTGCTAGCCTTTCTTTTGGCTTGCGGCGTAGTTGCCATCGGGGACTCGTGATGGTTTCCATTGAGGCTAGCTCGATGCGGTCCGTTGGCTAGATTTTGACGACGGGGCGTTGATTGCGTTCCCTCCAGGGGATTTTCTCCTCCTCTTACAATCCACAACTCAGAATAAATGGCCTTCCGCAGTGCTTCCACTCTTTTCATGCGTTCGTCATCTGAGACCTGATTGGAATAGTTGATGTTGGTTTTGAGAAAGTCTTCTCTTGATGGAACGGTTCCATGCTCTTGGTGCAGTTTATGTACCCAGTCTTTGCCTTGTCGTATTTGCGAGCGGACCAGCTCGCGGAAATCGTGACAAGCACGTTCAAATGCTTCCGGGTTTTTCCAGAATAATTCTTTCATCCAGCTCCGACATTGCTCCTCTTTAGACCGTTCAGCCATCGGCCGAGAACTGGGCGACTGCCATTTTGGATTTGGAATCCCCAGAGCAAATTCGTAATTCAGGCTGTCGATCTCTCTTTCCAAAACTTCCACACTCTTGGCTGACGGGGTTCGGAATACTGATGTCATTTTTGCAAAATTCGTAGGTCAGCAGCGTCGCAGCGAGCAATGCATGTAACTCCATTACATGTAAATATGATTCTTTTGCGCTGGCATCATAGCAAAGGCCGAGACAGTTCTTCAATGATGTCGAAGTTAGGATGGTTCGTTCAAAGCCTTGTCGGAGTCAGGCGAAATCGGCGCAGTAGTTGTCAATCTGTAAATGAGCCTTGTGAGAGAGGGGTACATGCAATCTCGTTGCGCACTAAGAATACGAAACATGGCTGAATTGAACCAACTGCATTTCTTGTGGGGGCTGTAGTATGCAATTGGCCGTCAATCGTATGTACTCCATATCGTGAATATAGAAAAAGCAATTCCTGCGCCAATCTTGGATACATCTGCATCAAGCAATGTGAAGTGACTCGGTTCCGTAATGCATTTGCGACAGCTTGAGAGCCGAAACAACAGAAATAGTGACTTGTGTTGTACAGTCGCACAAGACCTAGGCGCTAACTCAGTGTTTGGTGGGGGGACTGGGCGAGTAGGAGCATGAGAATTGGCGCAGTGCCTTTCTGCCGTTTCAGCGCATAATTCTCTATGCATGCTGGGTGTGATGATAGAAATAAGGAAACAGAAATTTAGAGGAGGTTAGTTGTAGATGAAGCGATGTCTCGAGCGGAAAATACAAGCGAGGTCTATGAGAATGGCTTGATAGTCAGGAACCATGGATGAGGGATGGCACCTTCTTTTTGGGACACACGGGCATTTACCTCCCGCAGGCCCGCTCCTTCCCTCTGGAGCAGCTTAGTTGGTTTGGTAACTACGGGCGACTACTGTTTAGTATACAATTAATTACATAGTGTATAGCACTGTCATTCTCTAAAGCTAACCTGTTCACCTCGAAGTCAAGACTCAAAGAAAGGAAATAAAATGTTACACAGCCTAAGCTACTTGACCATTGTATACACGATCGCGCAAGTACTCGCGCCAGTTGCGACCGGCCGGGGGCTTGCCATCAACTGCGTGCGGGTCATTCGTCTTGAGGACATGAGCGATCTCATACTGTCCACAGTTCATGGCCAGATCTAGAGGCGTCTCGCCTTCCTCGTTCTGCGCAGCGGGATTGGCATTGGCCGCGATGAGAATCTTGACGCCCCCGAGAATTCTAGCGACGTACTTCTTGCCAGATTTCTCAGTCAAATCAGCTAGCAGCAGATGCAGCGCAGTGTCACCACGCCGTGTTGTGGCTGAGATGTCGGCACCGTTCTCAACTGCCACGCGCAGCATTTTGGTCGAGGAGATGTATGCCGCGTGATGGAGAGGTCGCATCAGGTTGCTATCAACGGCCTCGATGTTGGCTCCTGCGTTGACCAACAACGATGCGATCTCGGCGTGATCCCAGCTACAGGCAACGTGTAAGGCAGTTGCACCATTCGTGGACACGAAGTCCGGGTTTGCGCCACGTGCAATTAAAGCCAACACATTCTCCGTACTGCCAATTTTTACAGCTTTCATTAGCGGCGTCTTGCCACCGTTGTTCTGCTGATTGATATTGGCCACTGGGAAACCGAGGTCGAAGATGAGACGTAGGACCTCAGAATCCTCGTTCCTAGCCGCGAAATGGAGCAAGTTGTTGCCCGATTCGTCGATCGCGTTAATGTCGGCCCCCATCTTGAATGCGCGCTGAATCGTGTCCATCTTACAGACTTGGCATATGGCCTGAACGATACCCTTTGCCTTGAGATTGGCACCATGGTCCAGCAATAAATGCACCAACTCATCTTTAGCCATGGTAGCAGCGGTATACAGAGGAGTGAAGATGTCCGTAAGGATGTCTGCTTTACAAGGGTCGGACCCATGTTCCAAGAGCAATTCGGACATCTCTACTGGACGAGAACAGGTTGCTGCCAGAGTCAAAGGACGGTTACCAACGATGCTGAATGTGTTAGGATCAACACCATGTTGCAGGAAAGACTTGACAGCATGTACCCGACCGCCGGCGATTGCTTCACTGAATTTTGATCGATCACCTATGTCTGTTGATTCCTGCACTTCTTCCCACACATCAAAACGCGATGCATCACCTGTCTCGGTGAGATACTTCTTGAACTCTTCCTGTGTCGGCTCAGCTACTTTCAACGCAAACTGGTGACAGTCATTTTTGAGGACTGTCCAGTTATTCGGTGTCAACGCTGCAAAGTGACAGAGATCGGCGGGGGRCTTGTTGTCTTCCAAGAAGAAAGCGATCTGACGAATAAGATCTTCTGGAAGACGCGCAAGTTGACCATTTGCAGAAGCATCATAGGTTGAGTCATTCGAGTAGGAGGTTTCTGACACCTGGTCGTCTTCGAAGGATTCACCTGATTTAACCCGAAAAGGGAGCACACTCTCAACACCAGAGCCAGACATTTCGAAATAGTTTGCTGAGAGCGCTATCAATGGTACGAGAAATGAAGTAAATGTGAGATAAGAGTGAAAAGAGGGTTTGTGGTGGTAGAAAGATTGATGTATTGGATTTTGTTCCTGCCCAGAGGATGATATTTTATGGACACTAGGATAATGTATCCTTGATCGTAAAAAGGGTCTATTTATGTATTCCAGCCTGTCAACAGCAAGGCTCAATTTATGTCGGGACAGAGCAGCAAAAAAGAAAGCAAATGTGGATTTTGAAAAGAGCGATGAGGCAATTCCAAACAAGTTGTATCCTGAACAAAGCATCATGTTCTTTCATGACCACCCCGAAAGTGAAGACTTGATGAAAACGACGGCTAAACCCGAGTATTTTCGAAACAATTTCCAAACGGACTCCAGCAATTCTACTAGCAAGGAGAATGAACTGTCGGCAATGATCTTAAAGACATTCTGGTTCAACGTTTTTCCATTGTCCGTATTATTCTAGTAACATCTAGGTTGACCCAACGAACCATTAATAAGTGTTGATACCTAGGCAAAGTCCAAGAAAAGTGAGCAGCATCCTAAAAAAATAGTCGATGCCTCCTTTGTATCCCTGAAGAACTCGTCGGTGCTTCGCTGTCAAAGGTGAAGATGACAGACGCCTGTTAGGGCTGGATTGTATCAATCTTTACTTAGGGCTAGGGCTAGGGCAACAGTAATCACGACCCCGACAGAGCTTGCAGCCCTAACCGGGATGTCCAAGACGGGATAGTTTTACCCTTTTAGGAAGGAGTCTGCCAAAACCCCAGTTTTTGCCTTCTTGGGACAATCCGTCCAGGCTTTTGCTCTCTCTATTTGGCGCTCGAAATATTTGGCTAAATATGGTATAGCCAATAGATGGAGCTTAATCTATCTGCGCTGATAAGACATTAGAAGCATGTGCTTGATAGGTTGATGATGATGTACCGATTGACGCTCATCGAAAACTACACAATAGAGACCGTTTTGCGGGGAAGTTGAGTCTCTTCAGAATATTGAATCTTCTCATAGCCCAGCTTAAGCTCTTGATTACTGTGAAATTATTGAGTATATGTGGTATAAGATAAAGGAACAAGACTGGTAACCCTAATCTCGAAACGGGCCTCAAGAGGTAAGAAATAGACATAATGACCCCTTATCAAATCGATGTATTGACATCATACTCTACTTGCTTATCTTCAGCCACTCGAATTCGATCTATCTGCATCTCGCCACCAAACGTGGTTAAGTAATAACTCACTCATATAATCAAGCGACCCATGATTTGCCCTTTCCATAGTCTTCGACTCAATGCAGACACAGAGAGTTTGAATAAACAGCAAGCTTTGGCAGGAAACAGGCAGTAAAAGAGTCTCTTCCATTAGAAGACACTTTCCGATCTGCAAGCCTGGGGTCTCACAGCGCTACGCCTTACGATAGTAACCTCCGGGGTCTTGATTACTTTTTTGCGTATCGAATCCCCTGCTTCTGGGTTCCTTATCCTCCACCTCGGTTCTAGAACTTCAGTTCCTTGCATTTGACCTTGTTTAAATGCCAGATTAGTCCTTGTATATACATCCGCCGTATCTCCTTTTTCGCATGTACCGACTTTACTATCGCATGCATGTAGCTTTCGATTATTGTATTTTGATATAGATACACACACATATCTTGTATTCTTCTTTATCCGACCAGAAGCTCCCTCGGGAGTTGACACTCTTCAATGCCTCTCCAAATTTTAAACTTCCAATGGCTCGTCGGTGTTGCTCTAATAGGTACAACTGTGGCATACATTGCCTTCACCAGATCAAGAGGAGGCCGTGCCCGCAAAGCATCGACAGCAAAGACACCACCACGCTCGTTGTCCCCGGAGAAGAAGCAGCCATCGTCCCCAGCAGGATCTGCCACAGCTTACAAAGATGTCCTACCGCCTCTACGAAGAGACGCAATGCTCAGCATGCAAAGCAGCATACCAAAGACAGCATCAACGCATATCAATGAAGAGCATGTGCTCAAAAACATTTTGCCCATGACTCAGAATTATGAAACTGCCGAAGACGGGCTTTTTACATGTATGGGGTTCTCGGTTCAGGAGGTTAAAGAGATGGGAGACCTTCCGGATTATTCTACGCTGAGCGGTGTGCCGCTGCCGAATGCTTACGAGCAGTTCAAGATTGAGAAGGCTTTGCCTCGTCCGTATCGGCCGTTCAGGTGGAATTATCATCAAACTATGTGTATGTTCTGACTGTTTTGATATTCTGATATTCTGATCGTTCAGGAGTGACGGTACAAAGGTGACTAATATATACTAGCATTGAAGAAACTCGAGACAGATTGGTGGGTTGAACTCGAAAATACGTACAAAGAACGAATCGCTCAGCGCAAGGAATTATATGAGAGACATGGGAGAGATGTGCTTGACTGGATGCCAGGATCGGAGCTTGCCTGCAAAGAATTGATGGAGATGGTTTTGCAATTTATCTGCGCTCGGTATCCCCAGTACTTCTCCATTAGGAACAACCGCATCTTGGTAAACAAAATCCTAGAGACGGAGCAGGATATTCGCTCCAAGCATCCGTTAGAAATCCTCATGGATAATGTCCCCGAAGACTTTGCTATCACTTTGAGAGATGACAAAACCGGTTATTATGTCTTTCGTGCGGGCGTGATCTGCTCATCGCTCGGTTGGAATGTCGGTACCAAGATTGGACTCCAATTGCATGAGATTCATAAAATTGTACCCGACTACAAAGAGAAGATGAAGTTTTCCATGGATAGGTGAGTGCCATAGCTTGGAACGATGCGTTTGCCTACAAAGCTAAGTCCAGTAGATTCTTCACAAAAATGCCAGCGGACAAGCCAATTCAACGCGGTTCATGGGGCTTGGAAATTGATCAACCGCTGTATATGCCAGCAGGACACCCGCATGAGAAGCTGAGATTATCGCAAAATCCAGATCTTGCTCTTGCCGATTGCTTCCTTCGAGTTGACTGGCAGACATTACGACGTCTCCCCATCTCCGGAGCCATCGTCTTCAACTTCAAGGCGCTGTTCACGCCAGTTCAGGAATTCAGAGATGAGCCAAAGGTACCCGCATTGATCGCCAAGGTTCTCCGTGGCGGAAAGGAGAATCTTATGAAGTATAAGGGCACATGGCATGTCGAGCATGTTATGCTTCCTGCATTGGACAAATGGAACCAAGAGCAGGAGGACAATGATATCATTGAGAGAAATTGGGAGGTGACCACATTAGATGAAGATCCATGGTTCAAAGGCTGGGAAGAGAAGTGGCACCGTCAACAGGGCTTCTAGGCGATTCATCCGTGTCAATTGTTTTTCTAATGAGATCATCAAGCGTTTAAAATCATGCATGTGAGCAACGCATTGTATAGTGGTCATGTTCAGGTGTCTGAAATTTGAATCCACGATATCCTGGTAATATGAATATCGATCATGACGTTTGCGGAGTTATATCGTACTTTCTGATGTTTTCTCATGCCTCTCGCATGACATCCGAACCGCGATCGCTGTCATCATCCTGTCGGCTATGGTAACTCGCTTCGCTCTCTCGGTCCAGTTCTTCCAATTCATCGGCCAATGGACTCACTCTTTCTTCCAATAAGTCCAGGTCTTCCAACATCTGTCGAGAAGGTAGTTTCCATAAACTCGTCGCGCACACTCGGTCTTTCGTAAGTAGATCATCAATAAACTGGTCCACATTGGTAAGAACGTAGTTTTCGCGCATCCTTCTCTTCAGCTTCCTGTAATCCAGCAGTAGTGGCTCCAAGTATTTGTAGATCTCAGCAGCTTCGAAGGTAAGACGAATATAAAATGCGGCAAGAGCTCGTAGATATTTAAAGTCGCCTCTGCCTTTGACCACTTCTCCATCGATTTCTCTATCTTCTGGGTTCTCCTCATCGCCGCTTCCCGGATCGGTGAAATTCAAGTATTCGAGAACGATGTCTTTATCGGGTGCTAGTTGAAGCATTTTGAAGGCCAGACATAGGAACGGTGTTGGTTTTTGTGATAGTCCATACGTTCCACCGATCGAAGTCAATTCGATTGCACGATCGCATAGTGTGGCAGCGTTGAGACCGAAGCATTGCTCTTTCCAGTAGTACGAATCCGTGATACGATCGCGAACAGCTTTTTCGAACAGGGTAACCGGATTAACGCCGCGGACGAGGGGGCCTGTGTAGCCTCGATTGTCGAGGAAAGCGCTTGCATCTGCTCTATGAGATGCCATTTTGTTTTGTGTATACAGCTCTGGCTGGACAACCGACGTTTTCGTGGTATTTTGCACTGAGATGGGATCGTCCAGCGTCAAGCGGAGCTTTTTTGGGAGCTTCAAGATTCACAGAGAGTCTAGCCTTATTGGGATTAAATCGCGGCTCTTATCGATAATTGATCACTGGCGGCCTGAGGCTGCCAAGCGGTGATAGTTGCACCGGACAACCGCCTCATGTAAACAGATGTCATACATCCTCCAATTCAAGATCATGATTTGCATGTGCACAGTCTAGACTTTCAGTGTAACAATCCGTGTCAATAGCTTTCGATTTCAACTTCAAACAAACGTCCAAGTCGCATCGGGCCTCACGATATCGAGAGTCCATTTGTCTGGGTTTGTTTGTATTCCGCAAATGCCACGGTCAACATGGTACTCTTAAGCTCCTCCACAGTCGCCACGCTCTTCATTTCAGTCATCACTCTTCTATGCACGTTCGGCATATTTATAGCGGGGTACGCGCTGCAGCAACACTCAGTACGAAATATAGAACGAGATTTTCGATCGCTAGATTCAATGCAAGCAGATTATGAACACATGACATACGATACGAACAAGGAACAATCGATACTGGACCCAGAGACAGGCGAGCTAGAGACATGGAATCAAGGCAACTTTGCATATTTGCAGCTTCTCTCTGAGCCTAATCCTGCGAGTATCTGCTCGACAATCGCGCTTTACAAGAAATTGGTCGAAGGCGGCTCAACGATACAAGATCGCCTGTTTATGTACCCGCAAGAATGGGATTTGATCATGTCCACAGATCCCGTCGTCAACAGAGCCCTGTCCTTTCTACGGGAAGCGAGCAAACTTTATAAATTCTGGCTATTACCGATCGATATGAACCTCGTCATCGAGCAAGGATATTCGCTTACAGACTCAAAATTGCTGCGCATAGGCGAGCTTCAATTCATGGCCTACGACAGCGTCCTATACCTCCGAACGCCGGGCCTACTACTTGATGCACAGGAACTCGACAAGATGATCTTGACGCGCCCTCTACCCATGAAATACGAACCCAAGCGTCAAGAATCGTACCGGAACGCGGCGTGGATCGGCATGCCTTTGCGCGCCCATGATGAAGCGAAGATACCGCCCGTATATCTGCTATCAGTGAATACGATGCGAAATAGGGTGGAAGCACGCACGCACGTTCCCAATGTCGCGCTTCGAGGCTTTGGAGATCTTGCTGCGGGGCCGAATTTTGTGAAGGTCACGGGCAAGGATCCGGCATATGTGTTTTTTGACTGGGATGAGGATGGCCGGATACAGCAGGAGAATAACACATACTATGAGCTGTGGACGCAGGAGGTGGGCGAGGTTTGTGTGGGACTTGATTTGAGTCTTTACTAAGACCCCGCCCTTCCTCCGACTGTTTCGTGGTGTTTTATTCTTATTCTTGGGCTGGTCCCCTTTTTGCATGGAAATGAGATATGATTCCCTTGGTGTTAATTTTTTTTTCTCTGTTGATATACGAAATTTTGTTCTCCATTTGGGCGACTTTGAGTTGAGGAACGTTATCTATTATGAATTTGTGCATGTATTTGGATTCTGAACTGTATATTACTTCAATGACTGAAATCAATGTTCATTCGTCATTATGATAATCCGTCTAAACTCCCATATAAATAGCACAACTGTATATCTAGATCAAAGGAGCTGGCCCGTGGAGTATCATGAAGCAATAAAACAGGGGCATGTAAACCCTTTACCGACGAATATTAAAACGGTTTCGAAGCAGGAAAAAACCGAACAATGGAGTATTACGCATTGATCTCATAGCCTAGTAGCACTTCAGTGGTATTGCCCTCCCAACCGCGGTTACCACTTGCAGAGATCAAATATCGACAAGCTGAATCAATGTACAACTGTGATATTACACCTGTTCGGTGACCTGGAATAACCAGGAATGGAACGGGGGAGTGTTTGTGAGGCTGACCTTTCAGGTCGTATAGTCGAAGAATATCGTGCGAAGCACTGATAACAATTAGCATAATTCCAAGTTACATGACGACAATAATAGCAACTTACCAGAGCAGATGTCGCCCGTTTGGCATCGCCTTCAGCGCAGTCACTGCACCACCTACTTGCGGCAATTTAAAGACACGCTCTGGCTCTCTTAGCCCCTTGTGTAGACTGTACTCTTCGACTGTGCCGTTTCGCCGGCCTGCATATATGTAATTCCCGTCCGAAGACCAACATGCATTCATACACCATGGCGGCACGTTTCTAGGTGTAATTCGCGCAACAGGATCGGGTTGCCGTCTGTCCCATATTCGTATCGTGCCATCAAAAGAAGAAGCCAGGAATGTTGTGTCGGAAGTTATTCGAGCGGTGCCTTCTGACGTTTGTGATTCTTTAGTGTTGGCTATATCTTCCAGTGATTCCGCGTGTGGTAAGCCATTGACTGCAGGTTCGGTCCTTTGTTCCATCTGCCCATTACTCTGCGCTTCCTCCAATTTTGGGGAGGCGGCTTTCTGGACGCCATTCGATTCTGCAGCCGGTGGTGCCCAATTGTCTGTGCCGTTGGGCTGACTGATATTCTCTGATTCTTGCTTCACTTCCTCGGAAGGTCGAATGTCCATGTCAAGCGAACCTCCAAACAATGCATTCTCGCCCACGTTGCCGGCGTCGCCCGACTCTTCTCCACCATCTACCATGTTATTATCGCCATCACCAAAAAGAGAATCTGCGCCGCCGAAGAGAGAGTCTGCCGGGGATGCTGCTGGAGCATCATCATTTTGACCGGCATCACCATGGCTTGCTGTGCCATTGACCAAAGCAGAAGGAGGTAAATGGTTGTTCGACGAGAAAGATTTCTCATATTGTGCCTCCTGAGTATCCTGGGGAACAGGTAGCGCAGAGTCAGGTCTAATTTCTATCGCCGAAATCTGCCCGGAACTAATTCCGAACGCGGTCTTGACCTGACCGGTGTTCAAGTCCCAGTCTAAAACCCGCTTGTCCCAGCTTCCAGACAAGAGACTGCGCTCATCTGGAGCGAGATTAAGCACCGAGACAGCAGATGTATGACTTTTGAGAAGGGCGATTTCTCTCCCTTCCTCATGACGGACTGTCTGAAGACGAATATTCCCTGATTCTAGTCCGGATAACAACCACAATCCTTCATTCTGAGCTGCAAGCGAGTAAACAGGAGACAAGACATTGCCATCCATATTCTCCCAGTAGTTCATCAAAACACCGGCCTTGACCACGCTGTCGACAAAGGGATGTCGTTGAGCCACGGTCAGCATTAATTTTCCATTGATCGAGTCCACCCAGTTATATTTCCGTATATATCCATCACTGCCCCCACTGAAAACCCAGCGCATATCTCCTGTCGAGGTCACGGCATTGATGGATGTACTTTGCGGCGCGGCGGTCGTTGGGACAATATCATACGTTGTCGCTGTCAGACACTCCGGCCGAACAGTGGGACGGTAGGCATCGAGAGAGTCCATCGGTACATTTTGATCGTCCTGTTGCGCGTCGTTTCCGGGGCCATCGGACGTCTGGCTATTGTTTGAAGGACTATCGGCGTCCTGTTCTTGGTCATCTTGATCGGCGTCATTGTCGTTGTCGTTGTCATTGTCATTCTCGCCTTCGCCTTCGTTGTCATCGACATCTCTCATTTGTTCATCTTCGTTATCGGAGCTCCCATCTTGAGACCCTACAGATCATATCTTCGATTAGCGACTTCCGATGCATCTAATCCACTAGCGACTTACCTATAATTTCGCGATCATCGTCATCATCTGCTAGCGAAGGCATGTTCAGCTAGCTAAAGATAACCCGCGCTCTCCCCGCGCCGACCGGTTCCCCGCAAGCGACGAGTGCAGACGATTGTTGGGGCTAAAAGCTCTTTCCCAAGGGACGGGGAAATGGACGGGGAAATATCGCAATAGAAACGTAGGTGGCGAAGTTCAGAGATTGCTCCTTCAATTGAATGAGAGCTTATATAGATAGTCTTGTACGAGGTTCCAGCATAAAACAGCGTATGACGGAGTCTTCTCAAGGTATAATGATTCAAGAGATAAATTCAATGCGGAATGCGCGCAAACTTGGGTGCGCGGCATCTCCGCATTGGTGCCTCAGGCATAAACATTTACCAGTAGACGTGCGTGCCCGTACTTTGTTAATTTGACATGCATGAATAGAATCATGAAAGAAATATGAAGAACATGAGAAATAATCAAATAGCCAGAGCATATCAAATATCTAAAGAGCCCACATTATCTATATCAGGAGTCCTCCTTTCAGCACATTCACACAGGACAATTCAACACAAGCTCTTCTGCAGGCAACACGAAAATACTTTGATATCAAACAGGAGAATAGCAAATAGCAGAACGTTTGAGATTGGCAGTCACCAATTTGCTTTATCTACGAGTCTATTCGAGAGCCGAGAACCTATGAAGCTGTAGAAGGACTCTCCAACATTCTGAAAAGACATGACTCATTGCCACTCTCTCCTATCGCCTTGAATGCCGATGTCGCCAGAGCAGCCATAGGTACGTACTACGTACCGTGAATCTCGGTATAAGCGGCTAAGACCTTATACAATCCCCGAGCATTTTCATCCACTGCCAACTATTATTGGCTCGGATTCAAGTCTCGGATATCGCACTCCACACGCCTCGGAGATAGAGAGCTTATCAGATTGATCAGATAAAAATGTGTTCCGGTTGCCGGCAGATGTCCCTGGCTTCATTCCAACAACGTATGGAACAAGTGGAGCAAACCCTCTCCCTCTATTTCCGAGAACTGCGGATTTAGAGAAAGGCAAAATCTCCGACCCTCGAGCATGTCTGTGGTCCTTGAGACCGGAGGAATAGATAAAGCATGGGACCCCGGGGCATTGGCCTTTCTGTCTGTTTTTCTGATTACTCGACTCATATTCGCAAACTCGCAAAATCGGGCCTACAATCTCTGCATAACATTTCCTTCCTAGGAAACTGAACTGAGAGCTAAGCTCTCGAAAGACTTGAAATGACTAGCCAGTTGAAAAACGTCATTGTCGTGGGAGGCTCCTACGTTGGCCGAGTAAGTAGCTCGATGACTACATACGTTGGTTGAATTTGCGAGCTAATTGAAGAAACCAGGCTACAGCACAGGAACTCGCGCGTGTGATACCCACAACACACAGGGTGAGCCATATATTGATGTTAACTTGCATGTTTCAGCGGCCGATGAGCTAATGGTCGTCTAGGTGTTGCTAATTGAACCACATAGCCATTTCCATCATCTCTTTGCATTTGTAAGCGGATTTTTTCTCTCATCTTCCATCGAATTGGTGAAAATCGAAACTCATAGCTTGCAGCCCCGGTTCGCCGTCATCCCCGGCCACGAGCATAAAGCATTTATCCCATACAGCGGTGTCTTCAATTCAGTGCCCAATAGCTCACTGCATGTTGTTGTGCAAGCACGCGTACTCTCTATCCAGCCTAAATATGTAAAACTTGATCGAGAATGGCAAGGATCCAATCAGATTCCTTTTGAGTTCCTCACCCTGGCGACAGGAACGAATCTTGCAGAGCCAGGATCGATGAAGCATGATGACAAAGCATCTTCAGTTCAATATCTGCAAAGCCACCAGCAGAGAGTGAAGGAGGCCAATTCCATTCTCATCGTTGGCGGGGGAGCTGTCGGAGTGCAAATGGCTACCGACTTGAAAGAATACTACCCTAAGAAGGAAGTCACCCTCGTACATTCACGCCCGAACTTAATGCCGGCTTTCCACTCCGAGATACATAACATAATCAAGAAGAGATTTGATGAACTTGGTGTCAAGTATGTCAATTTCCTGTTAACTATCAAATTTCAATTCGGATTGCGAAGCTAATCGATCAACATAGACTTATCACAGGATCTCGAGTGGTGGTACCATCAGATGGCTTTAAAAATGACGGAAGGCATTCTGAAGTCCAATTGAATAACGGCACAAAATTAACGACAGACTTTGTCATCTTAGCCACTGGACAGAAGCCGAACAATAGCCTCGTCAACGATCTCATTTCCTCGAATGGTGAGACCCTCATCAACCCAGACAATGGTTTCGTCCGCGTTCGGCCGACCCTGCAGTTCCTGGACAGCAAATATCCCAACTTGTTTGCCGTGGGTGATATTGCAGATACTGGAATGCATAAGGCTGCCAGACCAGGGGCTGCACAGGCTGCTGTTGCCGCCAAAAATATCCAGGCTCTAATAGAAGGGAGACCGCCCCAGGAACAATTCAGCTGGAGCCCGGCAGGCATCCATCTCTCACTAGGACTGGTAAGTACGAAATTTCTGAGCGTGGGTAAGTCATATGAACGAGATACTGATTCGTATTTATCGTCTACAGAAAAAGAATATCCTCTTCCGCAATCCCAACGTCCAGGAGGGACAAACTGAGCCTAATGTGACTTATCGTGATGAGTATGTTTATGATTTGTCTGCGTCGAGACAATACCATTGCTAACAGCTTTTGTCTTGTAGTGGTCAAGACGATCTTGGGGTGGAGCGAGTATGGGAGAGAATGAATGTTACCGTGGACGGTCCCAGTCGGTATCATCTCTAGACAAAGCAGCATGGTGCCCGTCACTGTTGCCCCGTGGAAGTGAGTCTGTTTGAAAGGAGATGGATACAATGAAATAATCGGCGTTGTATATAAATAAGATAAATAATTAGAACATAAAAGCTCGGAGGCCAAATCCGTCGACCGCGTTTGCTCCTTCCTTCTTTGTCTGTTTGTGCTGCATGTCATTAGACTCTCACCCGCACATCAACCAAATCTTTTTTTTTTGGATTCTTTAACATTTTCTACCTATCCAAGTACACTTTGAATCAGATTTGTACCACTACATCCCAGACCTCCTCTCTTACATGAGCTTCGTTTCCCTCTCATTAAGGAGCTCCCTATCTCCCCCAAAGATGACATTCAATTTATCGGCGTGAATTTCGTCTGCAATTCCTAGAACGATTCGTTATCACTTGGGCAGTTTTGTTGCTTTCATGATTTTTTAATCTGTCACCTATCCTCTGTCTGTCCGTCAATGCATCTTCTCATCATGAAGATGAAAATACCAAAGGCACCTAAGAATCGCCCACGCGGAGGCTCATTTGGTGCTGCGCCCACCAGACCACAAACCGTCAACAAAGCAAACCCGGACATTCGAAAGTATGTTCAAAAGACGCTGAAGCTGGACAACAGGGAGAGCTGGCTTTCCTATCCAGAAATACCCACAGCGCGGGAGATTATGGGCCAAACAAATGCAATCGATCTGGAGGAAAACATTATTGATCTTCCCACGAACCAGATTGACGAGCCATGGGAGTCTACAAAGACATACTTGAGCGCTCATTATGAGCTTTTAAGAGAGGATTCAGTAGCCCTACTGCGTGATGCAGTGGCTCTCGTGCGAGATGAGCCTTCTATGACCGACACTCAAGAGATCTGCGTCTATGAAAAGGTATTCATCCATTCAACTGAGACATTTTACTTTGTTCTTGGCTAAGTAGATGCTTCAGGTCTATATCACCGGAATAACGCTTTCACCAAAAGGCGTTGCGACCAAGATATCCTTCTCCACTGCCCGTGCAGGGAAAAATATCGTGTGGGAATACTCAAGCCGGTTGATAACTGGATCCATGGTGGCACTGTCTCCAGCTGAAGATTCCTTTCAAACTCAGTGCCTTGTTGCTATCGTGGCCGCGCGACCCCTAGAACAGCTAAAGAATCGACCTCATCAAATCGATATTTTCTTTGCCGACACAAACAATGCACCTTTTGATCCTCAACAGGAGTGGATAATGGTGCAGCCCAGGTCCGGGTACTTTGAGTCAAATCGACACACGATGAAGACTCTACAAGTGATGAATAGTGAAGTGTAGGTCTGCGAAAAAAAAAATTAAGAAGCAAAATTTAGCACTTACTAATAGAAATAGGTTTCCATTCTCGGAACACATATGCAGTCTCAAGCCTGAAATTGGTCGCCCGGCATATGTCAAAGAGAACTCACGAATGAAACTTTTCACCAACGAGTACATTGACATACTGTCTGATTGGCCTGGGAAGCCCCAAAATAATCTTGATGAATCTCAATGGGAGGCTCTTCACCAGATCTTGACGAAGAGACTGGCGATAATACAAGGTCCGCCAGGGACAGGCAAGACTCATGTATCTGTTTCTGCACTAAGATTGTTCCTGGGAAATTGGAGGCCAAACGACCCGCCAATTGTGGTCGCAGCACATACCAACCATGCTCTTGATCAGTTGCTCAATCATGTTTCAGCTTTTGTACCAGACTACATTCGCCTCGGAGGTAGAAGTCTGGATGAGAATGTGAAAAAGCGAACTCTATTCGAAGTGAGTAAAGGCACTTCAGTACCACGCCTACATGGGAGCATTCTACCCGCCATCCGGCAGAAGCTCGATAATCTAAGGGATGCGATGGCCGAATTGTTATCTGCGTTCTCTGGTGAGGAAGTGCASGAGCCACTTCCAGCTGCATTCTTTCTTCAGCACGGTGCTATAACAGAGAAACAGCACGAACTTCTCTGTGAAGGGGCCAGTCAGTGGGCAGGATCTAGTACGGAAGCTATCAATATTTGGCTAGGAGACGCATTCACCAACCATCGTGTTAGCTATGATGACGATGGGCTCAAACAAGAAGAGGATGAGGCGGACCTAGAATATGAGCAGCTGAAAGAGCTCGAACAAGAGCAGGACTACTTGGATGACGTGATCGAGGCTATCAGAGGGACCTTCTTACCTTTACGAGAACCTTTTGTTGGATTAGACAATTCTGATGAGACTGAAAATATCGAAGTGGATATTGAAGATCTCTGGCAGATACCTCCTGGCAGAAGAGGTAGCCTCTACAATAAGCTTAGGCAACGCGCCAAAACCCGTTTACTTTCAGTCTTCAGACATCATACCCTAAAATACAATGCTGCAGCCACAGATCGGCAAGTCGGCAAATGGGAACACGATTTTGTTGTGCTCAAGGACGCTAAATTAATTGGAATGACTACTACCGGACTGAGCAAATATCGTGCTTTAGTCTCAGCCCTGAAGCCAAAGATTATCATGATTGAGGAAGCAGCCGAGACAATTGAAGCTCCGATAACTGCAGCATGTGTAGAGTCGTTGGAACACTTGATTCTTGTCGGCGACCATAAACAGTTGCAAGGAAGCTGTGCTGTCAGAGAATTAGAAGACGAGCCTTACTTTCTCAATGTCTCGATGTTTGAGCGACTAGTAAAAAATGGTGTCGACTTCAGAACCTTGACATTGCAGCGTCGCATGGCCCCGGCGATTCGATGTTTGCTCACACCTATCTATGACAGCATTCAAGATCATGAGACAGTCAATGACCTCGCAAAGGTACCAGCCATGGGAGACCTCAGAGCATTTTTCTTCTGTCATAACTGGAAAGAAAACTCTGACAATTTGCTTTCAAAGTACAACCAGAATGAGGCGCTCATGGTTGCAACTTTCTTCGTCTATCTGGTCTTGGCCGGTGTTGATTCCAGCCATATAACTGTGCTTACGTTCTACAACGGTCAGCGGAAGAAAATCCTCAAACTTTTGAAAAGCAACAGACACCTTCAGGGCAGACATCTCAAAGTTTGCACGGTCGATTCCTATCAAGGAGAAGAAAACGAGATTATATTGTTGTCTTTAGTACGAAGCAGTGAACAAAATGGAATCGGTTTCCTCAAGGTCGAAAATCGAGTCTGTGTCGCATTATCTCGTGCTCGTTGCGGATTCTACATGTTTGGTAATGCTGAACATTTGGCCGGTGAAAGCCCTCTATGGATGGAAGTGATCCGCATTATGGGCGAAGCAGACCCGGCAACTACTTGTATCGCACGCTATATTCCATTGATTTGCGAAAAGCATGGCAACGAGGAGTTCGTAGAGTTGCCGGAAGAAATGGCCGAGCTAACAGGAGGTTGTAGCAGGCCATGTAAAGAGATCCTCGGCTGTGGTCATGTTTGTACACTACGATGTCACAATTTCGACCATTCCAAAATCCAATGTCAAACTACATGTGGTAGATCTCTTTCCTGTGGACATACATGTGCAGACCTATGTTCATCAGAGACATGCGTGTGCTCTGTTTGTGGACGTCGAGCAGTGAATCCCAGTTTCCGTGGACAGAAGCCCGTATTACCAACAACGTCGACTCCCCATCAACAAGCAAACCACGGCACCAAATCTTCAGTAAATTATGCAGAAAAGGTACGTCTTGCGGCATATCAGCAATTTGCGAATGGCGGCGTCAAAGATCATGATCGTTCTTTGGCAGAGACAATGCAAGCCGAAAGTGCACAGGATATGCTTGCCCGACTGGATGCTGAAGCGGAAGCGAACTTGTTTGCAGACGACGAGTTAGAAGATTTCGAAGTTGATGTTGTTACCGAAGAATCTGCGGCAGGAAATGCCTCGGAAGCGGAAAGGGAGATGAACAGCAACAGCATGAACAGTTCACCATCTCGGAGACGCTGGGTCGATTCATACAATCCATCTGGAGGAATGAAGAAGATGGCTGTCAGCACCAGTCAGATGAGTTTACTTGACCTATCAGACTGAGTCCCAATGATATGAAAATGTTGTTAAATGGACAGGGCTCACGCCTGGGCATGTAATTGTTGATCTAGCTGGGGTCTCTGTTTATTAAGAAGTGATATCATAGAATGAACGAACAAATAGAATTCTGATAACAAACACTATCGAAACAATCAAATAACCTCCCCATATTTTCAAATGTAAAACCATCACGATGCCAAGCATTTATAGCTTGGTCTTCGAGAAAGAGGACACAAGTACTTTCTAGTAAATGATGGGATATTTACAGATCTCAAACCTTAAAAGGCCGATAACAAATGTTCGCAAATTAAATCATACATACGGTATATGTGCAAAGTTTTTGTGCATAGGAAGAAAATAAAAAGGATCAATCCGTCTCAACAAGTCTTTTGCTTTTCCATGCACCTTTTGCTCCTTCGAGTAGTACATCCATATTTCCGCTATTTTCACACATGCTTCTAAAACTGCCATCTTCTTTGTTGATGAGCGTCCATGGGTGGTCGAACTCTACGACGCGGCCATGGTCGAGGACTAGGACTTTGTCGTAGTCGATGATTGTTTGGAGGCGATGGGCGATGGTGATGATTGTGCTTTCTTTGAGTTCACGGAGTGTCTCTTGGATTTTGGCGTCGGTTGCGTAATCGATTGATGCCGTGGCCTCATCCATCATGAGAACACGAGGACTCTTGAGAAGTGCCCGCGCAAGACACAAGAGTTGACGTTGACCCTGCGATAAGTTTGAGCCAGACTCTGCAACTGGTGAGTCGAGGTTTCGGAAGACGTTTTTGTTCTCAGGGGCTGCTGAGACGTCCTCCACAGAATTCTCGAGAGCAGCTAGAGTTGACGGTGTCGCAGTTCCTGAAGCTGTATCGGTAATGAGATGGACACGACGTAACGCAACAAAGATCTGCTCATCGCTAAAAAGACCAAATGGATCCAAATTGCTACGAATTGTACCCGTGAATAGAGTAGGATCTTGAGGTACGATGGTGATATTTTCACGCAGATCCTGCAATCCTATCGTACTGATATCGATTCCATCAATCACAATCTTGCCATTGACCGCTTCCAGACCACGGAAAAGTGCAAGAGCAAGAGAACTCTTTCCAGCGCCCGTACGTCCCACAATACCGACCTTCTCACCCGCACTAACGGAGAAAGACACCTCCTTTAGCACACAATCGAGATCCGGACGGTATCGAGTAGAGTAGTCAAAGAATTGAACGGCTCCCTTGGTGGGCCAGCCAGATGGTGGCCTGCGTTCCTCTATCACTTGATCTGCCTCCTGTTCGACCTCCAAGTATTCGCGAATACGTTCAACGGAGTTCATGCTCTGTTGAGATTCCGCATACAGACGCACCAACCAGAGAACATTCTCTGTGAAAGTGACAGCGTAGGTCATGGAGAGACCAGCAGCTCCGGCGTCGATACGGCCAATATTCATCAAGACAAATGCAGCAGAAAGGAATGCAACAAGTGCGCCAATCATGTCAACACGGAAAGCGAGCCATCGGTTGGCGGCCCACAAGTAGATATGCGGCCGGTTATATGAGTCGATACGGCGATGATTGTCGATCATGAAACGTTGCGCATCGCCATATGCTCGAATGCTAACGATTCCAGTCAGAGTCTCACCAAATTGCTGGTACAAAGGACTCCGTTGTACGGATTCCAACCGTTTCAAGTCACGAGACGCGTTCAAGTAGATCGCACCAACCGCAGTGAAAAGAAGCGTGATGATAATAGCCGCAATTAAGAAGCCCGGGGTGATGATCGAAATGAGAATGACAATCATGATCACTGAGGCTAGACTATGAAGCATACCAATTGCAATCGGAGCCACATCTTGGTCAATAGCTTCAACGTCTTTGGAAAACCTGTTCATCAATTGACCCAAAGGTGTCGAGTCGAAGAATTTGAATTTAGCATGAAGCACAGCCTTCAATAATTTTTGATGCAAGCTCCAAGAAGCATGAAGTGAACCCCAGAAGAGCACCAATTCTCTAAGCATTGAGATCAACACGTAGACGAAACCAAGCAACGCGTATACGCCCAGGAAGTACGCGACGTTGACTCCATGGTCTCCGGTATCAGCTCGCACGCTACTTGCCTGAATCCCGTTCCAGACATTTGGATGCGAGACACTACCGGTTACAAAGGACGGGAGTTTGAAATTTGACATCAACGCATAACCACTCACATCTGTTGTATCGATTTGTTCCACGTTGTAGGCATTTGCCCACTGTCGAATCCATACATTGGTTGCGACATTGCCGATTTGCTGTGCAACAAAAACGCCGCCACCAGCAATCCAATAGTACCAAGGACCCATCGAGGCCAGGTACATCTGTATGGTTGACCACTTAACGCTACCAGTAGCTTTCGACTCTGTGAGATTGGAAGCAGAGCCCTCACCTGCCGGAGCCTTGCCGTCAGGAACAGGTTTAGATGTGCCATTAGCGTTTCCATTCGTGTTGCCGTTGGTCTCACCATTTGCTCTCTCGATCTGTTCTTCCAGATCTGACGATGTACGAGATGGTCCTTTGGAGCCTGGTCTCGATGTTGGCCGTGACTTCATCAGATCATCTCCCAGGGCACCAGAAGCTGCAACCTCATCGGGAGATCCTTGGCTAGAAATTTTGCCATTGTCCAAAACGACGATGTAGTGTGCTTCTGGCGCAGCAAGTGCAACATTGTGTGTGACGAGAATACAGGTACGGTGTGCCATGAGAGGGCCTGTGAAAGCCTCCCGGAAGATATGCTTCGCGGTATGTGAGTCAACGGCGCTGAGGCAGTCATCAAGCAAGAGATGTCGAGCTCGACTGTACACCGCACGCGCAAGGGAGATTCGTTGCTTCTGGCCACCTGAAAGACTGATGCCTTTCTCACCAACTAGCGTTTGGTCACCTGCTTCGAGGATCTGCAAATCGCGCTCAAGCGCACAAGCTTTGATAACAGCATCATAGCGTTGTTGATCAAAAGGTGACGCAAACAGAATGTTTTCTTTGATTGTAGCGTTGACGAGCCAGGCTTCTTGAGCACAGTATGCGACGCTGTCGGTGAGCAAGGTTTCCGGGTCGACTGGAAGTTCAGCACGATCAGTTGTTACGCCAGGCAGATACACTCGGCCATCCAAGAGCTTCATTTCACCCAGCAGAGCCATGAGAAGGGACGTTTTCCCTGAACCAGTGGGACCAGCTATCACATTCAACCTGCCAAGCTTGAATGATACGTCGACATCAATCAACCGGAAAGCATCTGTGAGATCTTGCGTGCCGGAATTGCCACCCCATGTCAAAGTAGCCTTTTCAAGCGCAATCTTCGACTCGCCTGATTCGTCCGTATCACTGAGAACCTGGTTGTATTTGTCCGTCTCATCTTCATTCAGGAAAGCTTCTACTCGGTCGATGGATACTTTGGCTTCTTGAACGTGGGCAATCATATCCGCTAATTGATCTAATGGCACTCGAAGGAGGGAGAACATCGACAAAGCTGGGAAAGCGACAGATGGCGACAGTCGCTTCTTTTCGACGACTGTATACAGGAGGAAGGAGGTGAAAGTGATTAAAATCGGAGTGCCGTACCAGACAGTAGCAGCAAAAGACCATATGATATATCTGTAGCGTAAAGACCGGAGCTCTGCCTTTCTCTTTTCATTCACGATTTCGTTGTATCGTCGTTCCCAGGCAAAGTATTTGATAATGCGAATATTCTGCAACACTTCATTAGTTGTATGGATACGAGCATCTGTCTTGGTGAGAATTTCATTCTGGATACGACGGAAACTGCGAGCGATATAAACGTTCACAGGCAAGATTAGGACCATAAGAATGATACCAGCAAAAGAGCTGAAACCAAGGACACGGTAAAGCAGAGCAACGGCAATGATCACCTGTACAGGTACACTTGCCCATAGAAAGTGTAGATAGGCGCAGACTTCACTGACTTTGAAAGAATCAATAGCCATTAAGTTGATGATAGTTCCAATCCTCGTCATAGGTGCGGAGCCATCTTCTTTTTTGTCGTCGGATTTCTTCTTGTCCTTCTTGTCCTTGGAGTCATCCTTCTCCTCCTCAGTTTCGGTGGATGCACCGGCTTTGCGTCTCAATGCCTTGGAATAGATTTCTCCAATGATAATTGCACGCAGCTTGAGGCCGACGTTGTTTCGGCCAATCCATAGGGCTTGGCCATCAGCGATGCCTTGGATAGCGCCAGAAACAAACAACAAGATAGCAAAAAGCCACGCGGCGTTTGGTGGGCTCGATCGCGGATCCTCAACGTGTTCGAGGATAGCTTTGAGTAGTAAAGTCGGGATGAAAGTGAAAAGATTCGAAAACACGGTCCAAGCGGCCTGAACAAAAAGATCCCGATCAAAGTATCGCAGCAGTCGCCAGATCAACTGATAGCTTCTATATTTATGGCGGAAATCATTAAGAATTGTACCAGCATGTCGGGATACGGTCAAGTTCCACACATCATCTAGCTCTAGTGTTTGGCGATAGCCCTTCCAAATCAGAGGATCAATCCATGCGAAAGACAGGAGAGACAAGAGACTAGCATATGGTTGATGAGGGGGCTCCAGACCGTCCTCCCGTTGAAGCAACACAGGTTTGTTTCCTCTTCGCGTTGTAGTAGCAAGTAATACCAATAGCGTACAGACGGCAAACTCGATTGACGATAGAATAAGAGCACGCTGCGAATGAGGATGAATAATCTCGGAGCGGAAGACAAAAACAATCAACAACCATTGAACACCGTAGAGGGAAGCTGTGTGGTTCCAGAGTCGGGGTCTGATCTGCTTGTCCAACGCGGAGAGAATGAATCGCACAGCAGCAAGGAGGAAGATATATGACCAGGATGCCAGTTTGGCTATGGAGGCGATTGTACCTTTGTGACCCCAGGATTGCGTGACCAAGACTGTAATACAGACGGCTATTTCCACCAACAATCCGGCAAGCTCTGAAGTCACTAGAAGAAGCTGTCCTCGAGGGTAGCTGACTTCGAAGTCGCCATGGGAGATGCGACTGGCGGACTTGTGCAGAATAAGGTCGTCCACATCTTCAAGGTCATCTTCCTCAATAGTATCCGGGTCAGCGCTTCCGTTCGCCAGAGATCTATACCCAGAGCGCAACCATTGTGCCAGTCGAGGGTAGGTATTGTGGAAAAGAATCAGCAAGAGCGAGATACCACAAAAAACGAGGGGCAAGAGAGTTTGGAGGTAGCTAGAGCGAGAGAAAAATTGTTAGCAGGCGTCAAAAATGGACACGAGAAGAGTTTCGCATCACGTACTTGCGTTGGAAGCAATGAGTTAGATCATCAATGACCCAAATGGGACCATGGCATTCTAGGCCCATATTTCAAGGGAAAAGAGGTTGTTGGAAGAAAGAAGGCGAGAAGGAAGTATGATGAGGGAGATCTCGGCAAATTACAGAGCCAGCGAGTCGTTCTTCAGTTCTTCATTTGTCATATGTAACTGTGCGAATCTTCCTGAAATAATGTGTTGTAGGAATGAAACTTGTCGGATTACTACGAATAAAGTGAGTAATGCTTGAGCGCGAATCAGCATTCCAGCGCCAACGACGTAATGCCTTGCTAGGAGACGCTCGGGCCAGAGCAAGGATCGCCAGGAACGTGTTCGAGGGATCGCCCAATGGTGATCAAATATTTGGCGAGTGTAGGTTAGGGATATTGGCTGTGTTGAAGCGATCTGGAGGGATATCCAGAGGAAAAAGGAAAAAAGAGCGCGAAGACTTAACTAACGGCTTCCCAGTTGGAGCAGCAAGAGAGCACGGAAGGCAGGAGGAACGTGCGCTAAGCCTAACATGTCAAAAAGCGGAGCTCTCTGTAATCTTCTCTATCAACAGTAACTTACTATTAATTACGCTGTATATAGTACGATAGAGAGAACTATACCGTACAGGGACCCCGCCTTTTCACTAATATATGTACATGTTTCCTGACATCGGAATTGACTCCGTGTATACGTCAAGAGTTTGACATCTATGTTGCTTTAAAGGGCGAATACTTGGGATTTGTCAGTATATGTAGAGCGCTTAACTTAGTCGTCGATGTGAATTACTTAGGAGGGGTTGTGCCCAAAAAAAAACCCTTACCGGCAAAATGTAGGATACATAACCTCGATTTTCTAGAGATATTTCGACGGCAAACCCAGAAGATTTAGTGATACGTATATCATAGAGGATCATGAAGACCTCATACGCAACCAACCGAAAGTAATGGCACCAAAAAGTACGAGATGACACAAAAATAACGACCAGAACGGGATTCGAACCCGCAATCTTTGGTGATATCTCGCCGAAAACCAACGCCTTGCCATTAGGCCATCCGGCCACAATTGCCGCCAAACTTTTTCGATATCTAAATTCATTACAAAACCCGGCCATCATTACAAGCACGAGCGTTTCTGTGAACGATGAGCGATTAGTGGGGCCATTGCGCCGTATCATATATTCGTATTACCAAGAATACCAAAATCAATCAAACTTTCGCTCTGAGAAGCGGGGTGGCTTGCTACCGCGGGGAAACTATGATTGGCTACAGGCGTTCCATGATGCGAGGCGGCGGGGCTCGAGATAAGAACTGCTGCAGGGTTAGGGTTATCATGCAAGACTAATGCCGTATGTATATTATAGTCAATCGTACTCTAATGAGAGTAGAAATGTCTCTTCTACGGCTTCGAGTAGTCGGCTTCGAGTAGTATGACTAGTTCTGAGTGGAATGAAAACTCAATTTTGTAGAAAATTGCTCATGGCTAGTTTGATACTACGACCTCCGTACCCTAGTTAGGTTACACGCGTTGCTTATCTTATGGCAGGGCGGTCATACAACTTAACTTCCACCCCACATGATACTACGCTCTTGAAATGCGGTGAAGCGATTCAAGCCAGGATTACTAATGGCATGTTCTTGATTCACCTGATCCATGCAATATAAGAAGTGGAACTTCGCCGGCAAGGAAGGCAAGCAAGACATCTACGTTTGCTATACTGCCTATGGCGTGATGAAGACACACACGTGACTGGCCGAGAAGGAGATTAAACATCGTAAATCAATATTGAGAATTCAAGACAATGTTGGTGCCTAATAGAGCTTCGAATGTAAAATTGATTACCCCAGCAAGTGACACCCTGTTACTAATAAAAAGGATTGTCTCGAAAGTTGCAATTTACGGGATGCATGATACTTTGACTCTGAAGATAAAGTAAGTCGAGTCGAAAGCTTGTCAACTGACACAAGCTGTCTGGGATCTCTCTACTCGGCCACAGCTTGTTACGAAAGATTATGTATGTGACGGGCGTCCCCTACAGCTGCATATGTAAAATACCTGAAAGGGACCTTAAGATTTAACTTGAAGGGGATGTATCTGAATCGTGAAGGAATATATGTCATGGATTAACCGTATGACAGGAGCACACAGAAAGACTCACAACAGCCGAGTAAAGCGGGCATTGGTAGGTACTTACATTCCTTTAACACATGTCACAACAGAGAAGAAATAAAATGTCTAGCAAGATGCCAAAATAGCTCGACTCATAATGATCAAAATCATCTGAAGACAAAGTCGCGTGACTTGAATATGGAAGGCACTAGCCCGAATAAGCTTAGACGCGGCGTTTGTCTGAAGTGGAGCCGTTCTTATCGTCTCGCCTTCCCGCAATTCCTCCCATTCTCTCCCTCTTTCTTCGTTCACATCCTCCATTTTGCTTTTATCGCGCCGATTTTTAGCGACACATCCTTTGGCTTGAATCATAGAGACGAGATATATATTGTCCACTCTGGCCTCGCTCTCCTAGTCGTCCATTCTCGTGCAGTAGTCAGTTTAGACTAGTGCAGTTCGACTCCACCTGTGCCTAGACCTTAACTCCGGTTCCGCCACGCCGTCTTGCCGTCGATCGCCTGCCTCCTCCGTCATCCTCCCTGCAACCATCTGCAAACTTTGCGCCCATCTACATCTTACAATCAATTACTTCTGTCTTCCTGTGTTGCCTGCGAGCCATGGCGGAGCGTATTCTAATGAACGAGTTCAAGGCCCTGTCAAAAGAGAAATGGGTTCATATTGAGGTATGTCATGTTATCATGGCAGCTACACCGTATGACTAACCAGAAACCAGTTGAACAATGAAGACATCTTTTGCTGGAACGTCGCGCTCATTGTGCTAAACCCCGACTCACTGTACTACAACGGTTACTTCAAGGCTGTCATGGAATTCCCGAAGAACTACCCATACTCGCCTCCAAGTGAGTCCAAACTGAGAATTAGTCATGTAATGGAGGCGAACAAAGACTGACTGATTTGTGCTAGAGTTCCGTTTTAACCGCTCAATTTGGCACCCAAACATCTATACCAACGGCAACCTCTGTATCTCGATCCTCCACACGCCCGGCGAAGACGAACAGTCCGGTGAACTTGCGGCCGAGCGATGGTCCCCCGCCCAGCGCGTCGAATCTGTTCTTATATCCATTCTCTCACTTCTGGACGACGCCGAATGCTCATCCCCAGCCAACGTTGATGCGGGCGTACAACTCCGCATGGACCCGAACGGGTATCGGGCGCACGTGCGCCGCGACGTCGAATTGTCAAAGCAAGATATCCCCGAGGGATTTGTGATGCCCACTTTTGAATCGACCTTGGCCAAACCCAATGCCGAAAAAGACGATGTCAAAGAGGACATGGACTTTTGGGCCGATAGTGATGTGGACGAGGATCCTTTTGGTGGTAGCGATTCATCCGACATGGGCGGCGATGACGATGACGATATGGAATTCCTCGATGACGACGATGAGGACGAGGACGAGGACGAGTCGGACGACTGAGGATGACTTCTCCTTACCTCAATTTTCAGTTTACGGCGAGCACAGCGTCAACATTTGGCTCTTGACATTTCTTTATCCCCGGCATTTTTGACGCGTTTGCATAGCATGGTGTTTCGATTCCTCCAACTCATTGCTATTATTACATTTCCCTCATACAATACCCCCCTACTGGCGCGACGGTTTCATGATTTATATGGCTCGTTTTCTTTGGATATCCTTTCGCGTTGTGCATGTATCTATACGCAGCTATCCCAATCTCCCTAAATGAAAATAGACTTCCCATTGACTTTTACAGGTGTTTCAAGACCCTGAAATATGCGCATAAGTATGTGATATTAAATGTTATGTATTCAATAAAATCAATCGAAACCAGAGGCAGAAATGCGTCTATAATGATTGAAATCCCAAGTAACAAAGCTCATGTACCAAACATAGGTATATGCATGCATAGATATATGCACCGCCACCACTGATTACGTACCAAATAGACCATCACATACGAATACATCGATGTCTACGTACACCTCTAACCCCAATCCGAAATGGTTATCATCAACTGAGGTCCGGAAAATCGACTATGAATACGGGCCGTGAGCCTAGCTTAAGCAGCGGGAGCGGTAGTCTCGACAGGAGCAGCAGCAGCAGGTTCTACCGGCTCTATTTTCTCATCTGGGATCGGTGCTGTTGTTGCCCCAGTTTCTGCAGCTGGGACCACTGCTGGCTCCTCCAGTTTCACAGCAGTCGTGACGGCAGCAGTAGGCGGAACAGGAATCGTCTCCCGTCTAGGCTTCCCCTGGTCCGAGCCCAAAACCTCCATATGATCATTAAAGAACCTAACGGGCCCCTTCAAAAATATGGGCTTCCCGCCTTCAGTGGCAGGAGGGGACTCCAATCCTCCCGCCAATGCGCGTGCAGCATCGTCCATATTCGGCAAATCGCCCCATTTGAAATCGAGGGTTCCGCCGTACTGGGATGGGATGGATGACGGTTCCATGAAGGTTTCGAGAGTGGATTTGACTTCAGCCGTTGAGAGAATGAAGATTTTCGAGACGGTGACGGGGTCAAACCAGCGTTTTATCCAGTTCCAGACTGTGGGGAAGAAAGAGGGCGCTCCGATGATCTTATCTTTGTTAGTTACTCAACACAATTTTTTCAAGGTGGGACGAAAATGAGACGCACGAAAATACGGTCTAGAGTCTCGGGATAGTGAGCAGTAGACAACACACTTGCATCTTGCATGTGGCTTCTCAGATTCCAAAACTGCATCAAGCTCACTCCGCTGATATCCACGATGTTATTCGACGAGACGATCGGGGTTTCGGGGTTCGGGCGCGCAAGAGCAGAGCACAGCGGATGCACGAATTGGAGCAGATTCTCGTACAGTGAGAACAAACACAAAAGTCGAGCGGGGATGGCAGAATCCTTGTGTGTTTCGGAAGCACCTTGTTCGCTCACTTCTTGCGAGAATTGGGATATGTTCTTGTTTGTGAGGTGCTTGACTTCGAAGAGATAAACGGGGATACCGCGGCGGTCTCGACGACCGGTCCATTGGGGGTACTACAACGGCATTAGTTGGAATCGATCTGATGCCAGAAACACATACCATCTGTCGCGTCCGTTCATAAGATTCTAGGCGGATATTCTCGTACAAGTCATCAATCTTGTTCTCCTTGCGCCAATCTTCCGTCTCTGAAAATTGCTTATATGCGCCCTGAACATCGAACTTGCGTGCGCGCAAAAACCGTCTGTACGAGTCAGCACCGTCACCCTATAGCAGAGGCATGACGTGAGGCTAGAGGCACGAACAGCAGAGTAGCATCGCTATGACTGGGAACATCAGTACCCTCCTTCTTAGGCTTGTAATAACCCTTCTCCTCAACCAGCGCCTTGAACTCCACCAACTTCTGTTCCTGCTCGGGGGTCAAATGATTCAAATGTCCCGCCAGCCATGCCGTGCCTGCGGCTTGATTGGCCGAAGCAGCGAGATCATTTTCGGCGGCGATCTTGTTTAGGTCGCCTTTGGTCTCGGTGCCCTCTGCGGGAGGTTGGTCGTCATTGTTGTCGGCGGCTTCGGCTTGTTGGTGTTTGCGGGAGAAGAAACGCATTTTCGCCGACTCTTCCGATCCGAGCGGTTCAGCTGATGGTTGGAAAATGCCCTCGTTGGTATGACTGTCTATAATTAATCTAAGGCGAAAAGAAGTATATCAGAAATGATGGTATAAATAGGAAAAGGGGACATCAAAATAAAAAATTGAGAATAATGAGGCGAGATAGTGGTTATTCAGCTCGTTGGCCAAGAGACCCACCCGGGCTGCTCGGATATCTGATTCAATCTCCGTAGCTTATTTCAACACGGGCCAGTCCAAACTTGTATGAATAGTGAGTGATATGTAGTTCGTGTATGTCTTTTGGATGAAGTTTATCTGACCAACCTGTTCTCTGTAATAACTGTTTCCTGTAATATCTTAGCCAACGTCCTTTTTTGTAATCTAGATTACAATATGCATCATTCTATGCAAGAATTGGGATCTAAACCGCACTCGGTAACACCTTTCGCAACAGTCTGGCTAGATGGTGGCCGAGTGGTCTAAGGCCGTGTTAGTATTTCCATCTAAGATATCTTCCTGGTGGACATTATACTGACCTTGTTGAAAGGGTTCGCATCCCACTTTAGTAAAACATTTTTCTTTCCCCGTCCTTGTAGTCATACTACGGCAGTATAACATTACCTAATATTTCTCATCTCATTGCTTTGGATGTAGCATGGGGCAGAGGACAACGTATTAATCCGCTAGATCAAAAGCGCTGTCGTCATTTCAATATATACAGCTAGCTATGAATAATACTGCCACTTTTTGAACATCGAACGGATGCCCATCTTAAACCTAAAAGCCTGATTAATCCTCCGTCAGATCGCCATACTCCCACATGCCACGTCGGTTCTGCTTAGCTTCCTCCTCCACCTTCTTATAATGAGCCAATGCATCAGCAGATGCTCGCTCCCACGCTTTGAGCTTGCGGGGCACCATGGCGAGACCTTCACGCAAGACCTCCGCGTTGATGCTCTGTTCCAGATTCTGCGATTGTCGCGGGTCCAGGAGAGTGACGAAAAGTGTGCCTTCGGGAGATACATAATCGACGTTGGCGACGAGCTCGCGGTCAAAGGTCTGCTCGCCGATGAACTGCACGGCATCCGCAAGATACTCAGCTGAGACGGGGAATTGAAGTAGAGACAATGTGGCATCAACAGCCTGCGCTTTTAGTTTCTGCACGGAGAATTGCTGTGAAAGTGGACGCAAGCGAGACCATGGGATAACCTCGGAGTTACCATAGTCAACGTACAGCACCTCAGCAGTCTTCTTCTCGCGATCGTTTCGTCGAATCTTGGCACGGTACCACTCGTTATCTTCCGAGAAACGCGCAGCTACAAAGTCACCGGCCTTGGGAGGACCAGGAAGGGGTGTATCGTTGGTCTTGGTCAGATGGAAAGAGCGGAACGAGTTCATGAGCTCTGTCAAAGCCGATGTACCTCCTCCAATCTGCTGCAACTTCAACTTTGCAGTGGCTGGGTCGATGTGGGTGACCATGACATCGCGGTAATCCTTGCGACGCTCAGTGGCACCTTCTCCATTACCCTCAGCCGCGCCGTTACCAGCTACAACTTCCTCCTCCTCTTCCACGTCCTTGCTGGGGTCCCAGTCGTGCCATACACCCTTTCGGGCCTCCTTTGCCTTCTTCTCGGCAGCGAACAACTCCGGACCATGACCCGATTGTTCGGCAGAGTAAGCATGAACGGTAGCGAGACCCTCCTCAACCAGGAGCTTGGCAAAATTCTCTCTGTTGACGTACAAAACACCAATGAAACCACCAATTTTGTCGATATTCTCAACGTCAATCTCTACATCTCGTTGCAGAACTCTCCTATTAGCGAACTCGTGAGCCTCGTTTCCAAAAGGCTCGGCTGCGTCGTCAGGTCCACGCGCGGATTTGGGAGCTCGAATTCCAGAAAGAACAAATGTCAACTTGGCATTTTCACGTGGCACAAGAACCGTAAATCGGGATGCTGACTTGACAAAGTCGACAACAGCGGGTACCCTCTTTTGTCTCTGCAAGATTGACACTTCCATCTTCGCTTTCTGGAGGTTCTCGGAGTAGTCCTGGTATTGCTTAGCCTTAGGAGGCTTCGTCGACCACATTCCTTTTCCTTCATTCTTGGCTGCTTCTTCTGCGGCGAGAAGAGCATCGTATTGCGATGATCGATCCTCGTCATCATGTCGGTGACGAATAACCGAGGCGTAACCAGCCTCAACCAGATAGAGAGCAAGGTTGGTATTGCCCAACACAACAGTCGCAACGTCACGCTCTTCGTAACCCTCATTAGCTGGCTTTTTGCCGTCAATGGTGACCTTGACGTGTTTTCCAATGACCTTTTTGCGGAGATATTCCTTGGCTTCGGCGGCATATGGAGCTTGGGCGGGATCGGAAGGCTTGGGCTGTCTGATACTGCTAAGGCTGACTTTCTTTTCTGCGCCAGCTTTGTTTCTCAAGAAGATAGTGTCGGCATTGAGCACGCGCCCCACAATGTAGTCACTATCCCCACCAGCAGGCCCCTTGGTAGCTACATGTCCAGTGAACAGTCCAAGCTTCTTGTCCTTGGCCGTTTTCTCCGCTTGACGGAAAGTGGCCATCTCGGCGCCCAGTAAAGTAGAATGATGATCGAAGCAACGAGCTAGMCCTGCCTCTAGAAGAAACTTGGCAATGTTGCCGTTAGGGTGCAGCACAGTGCCGATGAGTTGTCCCTGAGGCGTTGCACCGAGGAGTTGACTTCGGACCTTGCGTTGCAAGAGTCTGGCTTCGACAAATTGCTGAGCTTCAGCGCCGAGAGGCTCGCCCSGTTGTTGGGTACCATCTGCAGCTACACGAGGGGCGGAAGGAGCACGAATACCAGCGACAGCAATGATGGTCTGGAGGTGACGGGTAGGCTCGAGGAAGAGGCGAATCAGCAACCTGTCACCACCAAATACCCTTTCCACGACAGCGTCCAATTGACGATCCTTATTATCCTCTACCAACGATTTGACGTCTTCGATCGCATATTCGGTCTCGAGGGATCCTCTGGGGTCACTGCCCCAAACACCTTTGTTGCTATCTCTGGCTTGACCTTCCAACGCTCTCAGGTTGCCTAGCAGAGTGAGTGATTCCTCGGACTCGTCGCCGCGCTTGCCGGCTTCTTCTCGTACGCGAGCCCATCCTTCTTGGACAGCTAGTTCTGGGAGGGAGGCCTCGGTGCCGGGGAGTTTGACGACTCCATATTCACGGCCAGTGGGGACCGAGTAGAGGACCTGGAATTGCACTACCTTTCCAACAAGGAGCTCACGGAGGAATTCACGGGAGAGGAAAGCAAATGGCTAGATAGAGAGGTTGTCAGTACAATTCACCATTGTGTTTGTTTTATTGTGCTGATCCAAGCGTCAAGTCAGAGCGGGGGAAGTGACAAAAGGCCACATTTCAAAGCGCGATCTCAAGATACAAAAGCACAGTCATAAACTTGAGTAGCTCCAATTGCGGCTATATCAAGGGAAATGCAATGATTAAGAGGTTGATCATACCTCGTCTCCTTCTCTCCTCAGGCGGGGAGCAGACACATATGCCAAGCTCAATGTGCGCTCCTGTCCTTTGTTGGTCACATGGCCCAAGACAAGTGTGTCTCCAGAGAGGACTTGCTTGACTCGAGCTTCGAACGGCATGTTGAATAAAGAAATAAAGAAACAAAAGTAAATCAGAAGAAAGAAAAGTGAATTGGAGGACACCAAAAACGGATGAGGTGGCCAAAAGGAGTGTTGTGTTTAGTCGCTAGCGTCTGGGAAATGCGGAGAACTGCTTGGGTGGAGCTGCCAGACAATATACATAGTATATCCTGTTTGGATGATGCCACGAGACACAACATGAGAAGAGCAACGTCCTCTATCCACTAGATATATTATGATTGCATGACTTGTCTTGGGGTAATGATATATAGGTATCAGATCACTGCAAATAATCGACTTCTTAAGTGTCTCGTGTCACACTTCCTTTACGAGTTGAATGCCACAGCCAATCAATTGGCCCTCTACAGCAGAGCTACAGAGAATTCACAAGCGACGTCTAAAACCAGAACTTCGAGCTCAATTGGTAGAAACAATCATGCATTATCTCTATCTAGATGGCATCAATTGATGACTTAATCATTTTTTGATCACATGGCAATCACCTAAGCAGAGATACCAATGACACCTATGCACGTTAGTCGTTAATCCTCGTTGGGAAAAAGGGTATGGCTTACCGCAAGCAGGGCGAGGACCAGCGTTACCAGTCTTCTTGGACTCCTCGTTGCCACCACGGCCGAGGTCATCAGTACCGGCGTGGACGACGATGGTACGCTATTCACAATTAGCATCACCCACGCTCTAGACACTTTTGGAGGATTGTTACATACTCCGAGAACGCTCTCAGCGCCAATCAACTTGACGAGCTTGTCCTGGACGGAGCCGACAGCATTGCCCTGACCATCGGTCTTGAAGTTACCCAAGTCACCGACGTGGCGCTCGTCATCAGTGGGGGCACCGTGAGTCTTTCCGAAAGGGTTGACTATCATCGTCAGTACGTGCTGCTAGCCTGCCACCAAGACCGACGCAAAAGCATACAGTGAGGACCGGCAGATGTGCAGCCGTTGGTGTTGTCACCGAACTGGTGGACGTGTATGCCACGCTCAGCATTGGCGTCGTGGCCGGAGATGTTCCATGAGATGGTGGTAGGGGAGTTCTCATCAGCCTGCTCAAAGGTGACGGTACCCTTGATGTTGGAGTCTCCACGGAGGACAGCGACTGGAAAATTGTCAGTTTATATTGGTGTCAAGACGAGTAAACAACCAAGCAGATGTGTTCATTGGCAGGTCGACAGGGACAAAAGTGGGCTAGACTTGACTTCCTCCAAGGTGCTCAAATGTGCTCATCATCCCAGTCCGGTCAATGGCGGAGAACGAATCCGCCCATGATGAGGCGTCTGTGTTGACAGCGGGGAAGAACCGAGGCCAATGAATCGCAAGAAGCAGATTGACTTACCAGCCTTGACCATTTTGGCTAGTGTGTATGTTATTTGAGATGAAATGTTTTAAAAAGGTTGTGAATAGTGATGCAGTTTGATGGGAGAATCAGCTGAGAGAAAGAGGGAGAAGTCGTAATAAGAGGAGTTGATCGGACCGGCTTCGCTGAGGGGAAAAACAAACCCCACCTTCCTCACGTATTATTACGGAAACACCTCGACTGTTTACTAGCTAGGTAGAAGAGTCTAGAAGAATTATACATTTGCTGCTTTGTATGCTTGTACCTCCTTATGTTCATTACACACGTTCACACCAAATCCTATATCTATAAGCCAAGTTGATGAGGAAGAAGAGCTCTCTGTCCGAGCAAGCCATGTGTAAGTGCCGTATTGGCAATACACGGAGCTGTCATGACTGCCCCTCATTCCGCGCTGGATGCCGTCATCCTAACTAAGCAGCTTGGTATCGTTCGTATCAGCGTGTAACCGACTTCGTTTGCATCACAGAGTAATCATCCGCGGCCAGACTGAATCATGCTTATTCATGCTTAGTTATGCTTAAATGCCGGCATTTATGGCGCAATTTGAGGGTTAGGGCAGGCTTGTACCTCCCAAATACATAGCGCATATTAAAGCGTGGCATGGTATATTTATGATTGTCTCTCATGTAACATTATATTCACATTCTGATCATTCTGACTAGCAAGTCAAAAAAAACATATAGAATGAGATGCGCCCACATAAGAACGAAAAAAAGAACAAAGGAAATCTAGAGCCCATCAATTATCATCAAAGTTTTATTTCTTCCATATCAATTTTGGTCGGTCGGCCTGCCTTCTTAAGCCTGGATCTTGGTCTTGAGGAGATCCTTCAAAGTCACAGCATCGGCGGCGAACTTGGAGATACCTTCGCGGAGCTTCTCGACGGCCATGGCCTCTTCGTTGAAGTCGAATCGGAAGAGAGCCTCGTCCTTGAGGTAGGCGCGCTTAGGGATGTCGAGGGAAGCAGCTCCGGAGGGGTCGAGTTTCTTGGGGACGGGGGTGGTGGAGTTCAAGAGATCCTCGAGGAGATTGGGCTGTATCAATTAGCTGAGAACATGTGAAATGAACTGCGCTAGACAGTCAGGAAGCTTACGGAGATGGTCAAGTAGTCACAGCCAGCAAGCTCGGTGATTTCACCGGTATTACGGAAAGAAGCACCCATGACAATGGTGTTGTAGCCGTGCTTCTTGTAGTAATTGTAAATGCTCTGGACAGACTTGACACCAGGGTCTTCCTCGGCAGAGTAGTCGCGCTTGTTAGCAGCCTTGTACCAGTCGAGAATACGACCAACGAAGGGAGAAATGAGGAAAGCGCCAGCCTCAGCAGCAGCAATAGCTTGGACAAGGGAGAACATGAGGGTCAAGTTGCAGTTGATGCCGTACTGGGACTGCAAGATGTGAGCGGCCTGGATACCTTCCCAGGTGGAGGCAATCTTGATGAGGATGCGGTCCTTGGAGATGCCAATAGACTTGTAGAGCTGTCTCTTTTATTAGCTACCATGCGATGCAACCTATGACAAAAGCCTACCTCGATGATGTGAAGAGCCTTATCAACAGAGGCCTTGGTGTCGAAGGAGAAGCGAGCATCGACTTCGGTGGAAACTTTTCCGGGGATGATGGCGAGAATCTCCTTGCCGAACTCGACGAGGAGACGGTCAAGGGTGGCGTCAACCTTCTCATCGATGGTGCTGCCCTATAGCATGTATAAGTGTTGGTCCGATACAAAATACAGGAGAGAACGTACGTGCTGCTTGCCGTACTCGACAGCGGTATCAATCAACTTGGCGTATTCGGGCTTCTTGGAAGCCGCGAGGATCAAGGAAGGGTTGGTGGTGGCATCCTGGGGCTTGTACTTGCCAATGGCTGGCAGACGTCAGCTATCAGTCATTCATTTCGCAATTACTAGAGGGAAGAACATACTAGCAAAGTCACCAGAGTCGCACACGACGACCTAAAATATCAAGTTAGCTCTCCATCGTTTCGCCGGGAGGACCTTCAAGTGGCGGGCCAACATACAGTGCCGGTGGCCTTCAATTGATCCAAAGAAGAAGACATTGTGTGAGTTGGAGAAGGGATTGTGAATGTTGCGATGAGATATCTACAATAGAAAAATTGTTCGCGTTAATGGGGATATGATAGGAATAAAAAGGAAGAGATGGTCGGGACAAGTGGCGAGGTTAGAAGCAGAGGGATGTTATGGCGGGGTTTTGGCCGAACGCCAGACAGACAAATAGCACGGGTCGGAGGGAAGAACGTGGGGCAGCGATGACGCTCTTCCGTGTCTGCTTGTACTTTTTACCAGTTCTACGTACACTTTTTTCTTTATTATACTACGTATGAGTATTGCCGCTTATTTGCCCCCTGATCGTATAACTTGTGCTTGTTAGTCACTCTACCACGGGCCTGTCTCTGCCGCAACATGCGAATTTCTGGTTTTGACTAAGACAGATCTTTTTATTCTCACCCCGACGGGTCTCCGCGGAACAGGAAGGAAGTCTATACAAGAAAAATAGAATAAGCCCATTATAAACTCGGTGCTCTGTGCTCCGACGGAGGTCAATTTCTGAATCAATCATCAAGATGGATCAGTTTGTGATCACCTGGACTGCTGAGTTTGCAAATAATTCTCGCAAGGATAAGGTTATTTTCTCAATAGCCGTGGTGTGTCACCGGGCACCAAAACGCAGTTAGTAAGAGTCTCATAAGCATCTAGAACCTTATGTAATAAATGAAATGAATCGGGGTCTGGAACCCGACTCCGGCTATATAGATGATATCGCGGTTAAATTCAGTATGGATTCATATATATATATATATACAATCACCCCATAATCATGTCATGCAATGATAAGGCTGTATCATCGTAAATCATCTGAGACTGTTTAGAAACGAATGCGCCGCCCTTGTTAAATGTAACGTATCTATATATCGCATGATGAATGTATGCAGCAAGAAGAAATTCCTTAAAACCAAGTTTGACTTTTCTTTGAATTGAGATATGTTCACTCTCACGAGCGTCGTTGGATGCAATCCCACTCATACTATTTCATCGTCAGTAAAAGACTCAAATCTCCAGGAATATCCATCAACTCACAACGCGTCCAGCTTCATCCCCTGTATATACGCTGTGTGGCAGCGGCAGAATGCAGCTAATCCCAGCAGAGACGTTAACCCCGGAATCTTTATTCTGATCCACGTGGTGGAGCTGACGGATCAATTCCAAGTCAAATCGACCGTTCTTTATAACCTTACTCCAAACCTGTACCCTAGCATCAGTAAAGGATCGTCGAATCATAGTTGTAATACTTCATCACGCACATTGACCACGCCTTTCTTATGACCTGTAAAGAGAAGTTCTCTCTCCAGCCACTCATTGCTTTCTCCTTCATAAAAGGCACATGAAATGATATAGTCATCTTCACCCTCACATATCACTTGATCCACAAGAAGAGCACCGTTCAACGAGTACAAGGTAATGCGGCCTCCTCGGCAGATCATGACGGTTCCGGTTCTATCGTTGATTCGAGCACACTAGTAGATATTAGCTAAAATTGCCGAATGTCAAAACTCATGAGATCAAGTGCAAACCTCTACTGGTCCTTCGGCAGGAAGCTCTCGCACAAAACATCGCCTATTCAAATCCCACAATATGACCTGACCGTCCGGAGATGCTGATAGAAGAGTGCTGAACGACCTGGATGTAGCTAGTACAGATACAGAGGTTCGATGTCCGTAAAGACAAGCTAGCGGTTGTAATTCCATCATCTTGCTGTTCGTACCGAATAGCCATATAGACACAGTGCAGTCGCAACCTGCTGTGATCAAAGTCTGCGAGTCTGCAAAAAGGACGCACGACAGCTGTCCGACATGTAAATGCTCAAAGTGGCCTAGAATCTATCGCAAACGTCAGTTATTCTGAAGCTCGGTGTCCATGCATCCGCTTGCCACATACCTTTTTACTATCAGCGGCATAGAACCGAACACTGCCATCTGAATATCCCCACTCTAGAAACTTGTCAAAGTTCGGAGGTACATTCAGTCGAAAGGCGGGACTACACAACAAACGTTCGTTTTTCATCGATAAAGACGACACTCGTTCTTGGATATCTGAAAGCGGTATTTAGTATGTATATATATATACTCTCTTACTATACGATGTTCTTACCTAGAAGAGAAAGAGGCACTCTCGTCAACGACTCGGCCAGCATGTCAAGACGGCCCTCTCTCCGACTAGGGTCATCTCGACGAGGATGAGGTCGTTGAAAGACCTGATGGGGAGTCTGTCCGAAATTGTGAATGATTCCAATTGTGGCTAGTCGTTCTACCGGATCCTCAATATTGTCCAGATCTCTTGCACCTTGATAAGAAAGATGATGAAAGACATTAGCGGCCTCGATGGCGGCCTCTCCCTTCTGCTTGAAGCCAAACACAAGGTCGATCCATTCGTGAAGATGTTCCGTCACGTAAGGACTTTCTAGCGCTTCTCGATGTTTGGCGATAAAGATCTTGGGATCGCCTTTTGCCCACGGAGGCAGCTCCACCGAGTCAATAGCCTTGGTTACGTTTTGTCGAAGCCCAAAGTCATATTTGTTGGTGTTCACCAAAAATTCAGGGAGATAGAAGAATTCCGGAGTGAGTTCACGGACATCTGACAGGTTCCCTCGTGAAGCAGATTCCCACGCTTTGCCAATCGAGTAAAAGAGCCGATCTGCATGATCGAATGTGCCGCCTTGTAACAGCAGATAGGACTTGACAAATGGCTGTAGTCGAATTAGATATGAGCTGACGATCATTGCAGAAGAATAATGAGTTCCATAATGAAAGGCAGGGGCGTTTTCGTCACCCATCTCCGCAAAAGACTTGTACCGCTCGCGAAACTCTGCCTCGCGTGTAGGCGTTTGGCAACCCATTGGCTTTGACAAGTCACGGAAACTCTTGATGTTGTCCAGATCCAACTCGTTACTTGTATAATCAGCAAGGACCCATGGAAAGACTGGGTATTGAGTCAGGTCATTGAAAGTTCGGCCGGCCAAAGTATTAATAAGCATCAGGTAGTGGAAGTTTGACATCTCCCCCTTGAGCCACTTGCGAGTGGCCGGGTTCAAGGAAGCTTGCCCAAAGACGCTGGCGAATTTCGACCCCAAAGACTGTGGTGCATCATCCTGTACTCTCAACATCTCGAATCTCCAAATATCCTCTGGTCGAGTCAGGTTCATATTTCCACCAAATTGTGGGGCATGTGCACAAAGCTGGCTATACAGCTCGTCTCTTGCTCTAGATGATATCAAGGTCAACAAATAGCTACGGCCGTCAGTGAAGAACATTTCGAGAGCAACATCTCGAAATAGAAAGCGTCGCTTAGAAACACTGATAAGATCTTGCCACTTCCAGCTCCTCACTTCGTGTTCGCGAGATTTTCGTTCATTAGACTCGCGTCCGGAGATCATGCGCACAAATGGATCCCTTTCTTCGATGGGAGCTTGCCAGACATTGACGATTTCCCCGTCGGCACGCTGGAAATAATTGTCTAAGATATATATCGCGTTTTTGCCAATGATCAAGAGACCTTCGCATGCCTCTAGCCCGATGATGCAGGACATGTTGCAGACGCTCTGGACTTGATCACCCCGCTGAAGACTTCGCAATACTTTTCTATTCTTGTCCTCGTACTCATCAATATCCACCCTAGGGTCATCGACCATTTCAAAGCTTTCTTCAAGAGCAGATTTATCGTCACCGTCACCGTCACCGTCACCTTCGCCATCACCTTCGGCGTCCCCGGTTCCTCCAACGAAGACGGACGTAGTAGGAGCATTGCCCAGTGGCTCCGAAATTGTCGTTTGTTGTAGCTGGGTAGTGATTTTCATTACCGGTGGTTCAGAGGCCTTTCGCTTCGGCTGATAGTCCTGTCGATCGTCCGAATCATCAGGAATAACGCGAAGTCTCATTCGACTACGTCCTTCGGTCTGATCAAGACGCCACCGTTTCTCGCCTTTCTTTTCTAAAACACCGCCGAAGCGATACAAGTCTTCAGAAAGACGGGAGAAAAGCGACCACATAAATGTATAGTTGTCATGCTGATCTTGTAGAAGCCTTTGGTGCTTCAAAAATTCTGATGCGAATATGTTAGAAGTCCAATGATCAAACGTAGTATTGTGTTTGCGAGTAATATCTTCGGCGAAGTTCTCCTCGTGAAGCCATTGTTTCAGCCTGTCTTTCCGCTTGCCTACGCGATTGCGACTCGATTCTTGAGTCCTGTTGTTTTCTTCTTGAACAAAAGTGTCCCAAAACTTGGAAAGACTGCCGAAGAAGAACGCATCCAAGTCCTCACGCTGATCATCGATCCAATTCAAGAAAGCCGCGTCATCCATACTGGCCAATTCTTCGAATCCACCAGTCAATCGGCGTTGTAGAGAGAGCGGAGCATGGCTGAGTATGGATGCCATTTCCGTGGGCTTTTGAACGAGAATAATCCGCCACAAGGTGGCAGCAGCTAAGCGAACCTCGTTTTTCTCGGAGACCGATTTGATATAAAGTTGGTAAAAGAATAGTTTGAGGTATTCAGCTTCAGATTCACCCGTAGCGAGAATAATGGTTTGCCAATAACCGAGGCGGTTCAGGAAATTCAGCGAGTCATTATCGTCTTGCTCCGACAATTCCAATAGGATGATCTTGAACAGCACGGATCGTATGGTAGTGATAGCTTGGTTGCAGAGGCGAATAATCTTCAATGAAGCTATCTCGGGGCGAGAAAGATATTCAAGTACGAAGCCGGCGAGATCTAGCGTTTGACTGCTGCCGTTCAAAAACCAACCCTCAAACAAGGATTCTCCCACGTGGGTTAAAAACCGCGAAAAGTTTGTCAGAATACGTGGCTCTTGTAATAACTTCTCGTTGGCCGAGAGTGTGGCTTGTAATTCTGTAATGGTTCCCCGAAGAAGCCAGGACAGAAAATACGCCTGATGTTCTAGGTTGCTCGGAGGTGTTTTCAAGAACAAGCCGAGGCCAGTGAAGTCTTTGCGATCTATGACATGAGAGACGAAGATCTTGAGAATGACAGATCGTGTTTCCAAAACCAATTTATCGTTCTCATAAGAGACGTCTTTGTCAATGCTTCCAATAGAAGCTCGGTGAAGATGTGCTGACGAAGCCGCATAGTGTGATTTGTCTGATGATATGAGAACAAAAGAGGAAGAGCGCCGCAAAGATCCTTGGGCCTCCGATGTAGACTCTGAGGGGATGGCTCTTGATGTGCGTAGCACTGGCAGAGGCGTAACACTCCGGCTCATCTTTGCAGCATTACGTTCAGCATTAGATCCATTTTCTCTGTAGTGGAGTTCAACATCGGCATTAACTGTTCTTGACCCTGTCATAGGGAACAAAGCCGAAAGTAATTTTTGGATGTATGTTGAATTTGCGGCATATTCTCTGAACCCAGGAGACTTCAAGTGAAGGTTAGAAAGGAAAGTAAGGACATTTGATACCACTGCCCGATCTTTCGTTAGCGCGTTGTCAAACATTGAGTCTTCTAGGCCGTTTTTCAGCATCTCAGCGATAACTGGAAGTACTTCGGGGAAAGCAACATCAAGCCGTTTCTTGTAAACGAGCACGTCTAGCAGCGATGATAGGTCTGTCAAGTCATCGATATCTACTTCTGCCACATCGAGGCCAAAAAGAATAGAAAAGCAAGTGGGCCATAGCGCGAAAACGTTCCACCATCTCTTGAGTCGATTTTTCATAATAACATATCCACCCGTTTTGTCGGCAAGCTTCTTACTATAGCTCCCACCATGGACAACTATAAGTCGTGCGAGGATCTTAGTTGCCATTGTTACTGCTTCTGGTGTGTCTTCACACATCAGATAGAGAAGCCACTTCAACAACCTGTTAGCGCTAATCATGAAAGGATCAAAGCTCTTGGCACTTACTTTATTTGTTACGGCTCSTGCAAATCTTTTTATATTGATAAAGTCACTTGGTGTGCAGAGATATTCGGTGTACATGCGGAGGAGTTCTAGGCCAATCTGTTTCTTCGGCATTGCTTTCTTCGGACTTGAATCTGACGCGGAAGAAAGTTGGCGAGCACGGGTATTGAAGCGCATGCTCTTCTTTTTATGAAGGCTTGGTACCTTCTCCTCATGTAGGGCGAAGGTGATGTAAAGAGACAGTGATCGTAGCAACTCTGCAGATACACAGCTTTCGAACAAAGACCGGAAGGCTGGTATGAATAGACTCAAGGTCTCTTCGGTGAAATCTTCACCTTTCAAAGCATCTAAGAACCTTTTATTCACCCCTATATCGCAGATATTATAAGTTTGATCATTCTGCACATATGAAGGGAAAGACTTACGCATGCGGGATAACCGTTTCGCATTGAAGCGGTGAAATTGACTTTCTGTAGCAAAGGTGCTGAATTGAGAGTAATACATCTGGAGCAGAGAAGGCTCTCCATAACGCCATATATCCAGGTCCACTAATAGGACGCGATACGCCAGTGGATTCGTAATGATAGATTTAGCTGGATCTTCGAATTTGTAGCCAACAAAAGATAGGATTTGACGAAGGAGTTCAATCGCTAGCGATGACCTCTCTCGATTGTCCGAACACACCGTCGACGTTTTTGATCCGCCAGATTGGGGTATTTGTGGGAATCCTAATTTCTCGCGAAGCAATAATGCGAGTATACCATAACCATTGTCTCTCTCCATGGCTTCACTGTTTCTCCAATTTCCCTCAATGGCCTCAAATAAAATCTCGACTGCGAGTATTGTGCTTTCCGGACATTTAGCAGCATGAAGCATATTCAAATTCACGATTGCGCAGCCGCCAATTCTCCAGCTAGCATCGTCCAAGGATTGGGGCACAGAGACGACAGGATCGCCAGCAAGTATCGCCATTCCGCTTGAACTTGTAAGGGCATCGTTTATCGCCGGTATAGCCCCGTTGATCGCAATAGCATTGCCCCCTGCGTTAATAGCCTGATGCAAACTTTTTGCGGCTTGCCTTGACAATGATTTGACGAGCTGTGATTCGTCGACATTGTTACTATCATCGTCGTCTAGAACCGTAGTAGGCGATATATTGAGTAAAAAAGCAGACTCATGAACAAGAGTGCTAGCCTTTTGTCGAATCGCCGTTACAATGTCGGATTGCTCCTCTTTTCCAGGATGAAGGCTCTCATTCCGCAAGTTGAGCGCTGCAGATGCTTTATACGTTTGGAACGATCCTAGACAATCTTGGTAGTTACCATGATACCTTGGTCCAAGATGATAGAAAACCGAGATGAGGTCGTCGCTGAAGGTCTCTTCGGAAAGAATCGCATTGGCAACAGACCATTTCGTCGAGCACACTCCCTTTCCTATCCTGACAGCCAGGTCTTGGGGAGTGCCCAAAAACGCCTGGACTCGGGGATACTTTGCCGTCGGTCGTGTAACGGGCACGGTTGGATAATCGATCTTCAGTTGCTCAACAAACTCGCCATTAACGAAAAGCGAGGCTCGTGATGGAGCCGTTGCACGAGCCCTTCGATGAATGACACATATGTGATACCACTGGCCTTGTTTGAAGGCAATTGACTTGAAGCGGACACTAGGTCGTGGTCCATTGATGGAGGTTTGTAGGATAAAGTGGCGTGTATCTTTTTCTAAATAAGCTAGCACGAAACAAGCTTGTCTAGAATCGAAGGCACCGAATATTGTGGTATGTGACTGCGGGTCGAAATGGTCGAACCGGGCCCATATCGAAAGTGTGTACCCGGAGGAAGATACTGGGGGAAATGGCCGGCCTAGAGTTGGTAGCTCGATCGATGAATAACCATGGGAAGTCATGTCGAACTGAATACAGGGCGGGCCCTTGGAAGACTGCATGGCGCGAAGAAGAAAGTTGGAAGCTTCAATAGAGCCGCATGCTTTTCTATAGAGATATATAACATCATCGAGATTCGGCAAGCCTTCCGTGCAGAGCAGATGTCCTAGTTCTTGATACAGTGTTTTTTCATCATCGGACAAATCATTGCTAAAAATGAATCGTACAATCGACGACAAAATGCCTGTTGAATGGATAGCAATGACATTCCGTTGTGAGTTAGAGGCTAATTTGCAAAGGCATGCTGGGATGGCCAGTCTCTGACTGGAATACTGGGCAGAATGGGGTTTCTGAAGGAGCCACGTGCGTAAGAGTGGGCCTATAAACTCATGCAATTCAACCGTTTCCGTAGAGCTGAGTGCCTTTTCAAGATCTAGGCGGATGCTTGAAGCAGTTGGTTCAGGTCGACCTGACACATATTTGGTCCTCAAGGCAGTGAAAATCCCGGCGGTACTTTCCTGGCACAGAGCAGCAGCAAGCAGCCCGCCATACAATTGGTCGACATCATTGTCAGGCAAGTGCTCTCCATCAGTGTTTTCAACGAACAGTCTCAGTGACTCCTCGACAGACCATGCCCTGTCACACACAATCTTCTTGGCAAAATAGCGTCTATTCCCAGTGTGGTCTCGTAAACACTCCGACAGCACAGCCAGCACGTCTTTCCAAAGCGTCAAAAGGTTTTTCCTATCTTCATTCGACAGCTTCCTTGGATTGTATAGCTCTGCCAATTGGCGAATCAGGCTTAGCAATGTCTGGAAGCCTCCCAGATTCCGGAAAGCGTCTTTTGCTTCGCGGGGCTTGGCGGTATCAATTAACGAGTGACGGAGGGTCAAGGTACATTCTGTCGACCTCACGACGCAATCGATATCAAACGGCCGGCGGTCGATTATCTCTTGTATGGATCGGAGGATGGGTGTTAAGTCGGCGACTACTTGCTCGAGCGACGTGGACAGTGACGCAGGCGAAGAACGCTGTTCAGCCGGGGCCGGCGATCCGTCCATGATGTCGCGCAAACCTACCCGATCCTCCTTTCTTTCTGCTGTTCAAATCATTCAGGAGTTATGCCACAGGCACTAGACTTGCACACCGAAGCGTCAGCAAGCATGGAGCAGTGCGGTTGTTCGGATTTACGACGTTTGATGTTTCTCAGGTCATTGGAGGATACGCTTGTCGCGACGCAGGTGGGTCCTGGGCTGGCGGCCGTTTCGAAGTCAGGTCAAGCTTCCCTGCAGTGAATGAAAAGTGGGAAGTCGAGTTTGCGGTGCGTGACCATGGATACGGAGAAGAAAGTGCGTGATTCAGGGTGGTTGTGTCAGCTCCATCGCAAGTCACAGCTAGGTACACATTCTCGAAACCTGACAGTGTGCGCCAATCTACGAGTCTAGCCACACTCAGGATACTCAGCCCTCTGACGCAGGTGGGCCCGCGAGACAACCGGGAGAATCACGTGACTATAACCCAGCGTGATTGGCCCAGGCGCCGGAGCGATAAGACGATAAGATCTAGCCGCAATAGAAGCTCCTGATTGGCCGGATGGCAGCTGTCCGCACATCGGCTCCAGCCTCCCCCGTCTTGTGATGATCGCCCATGAATTACTCCACCACTGGTCAGCCGATGGGAGGCACACGAGCAGTGTGAAGCCATGAGAATGCAACTGTATCCCAAGAAAGGGATGTGTATATGCCAGATGGAGGGTTGTAAACATCTACTGTGATGGGCAACGTCGATGATGAACTTGATAATGATGGGTAGATGAGTCTGTCAACTCTCGGGTTGATGGGTGGTTCCCCACCTTAGCATGCCGTGGTAAGCGTTCGCGCTGTACTCCGTGTTCGCCTCACTCGCAAACAACCTACGTATGCAAGCAAATACTCCGTATTTCGTCGGAATGGTTGATTTAGACGACCAATACAGCCTACGAGCAGATAGCTTCAGACCAAGAACGGGGCTGTACAGTGTGTTTCATGTTCATACTACGGAGTACAGAAGAAGAGGTGAATGCATGCTACCCCATCCGACTGCTGGCAAGGATCCACCGAGTACGGAGTCGATTAGTTACGTACCGACGATAACAGCGTATCGCGAGATAAGTCAGATGAACTCTGTTTATCGCTATCAATAATCACATCATGTGGAGGGTAGCTACGTAGTAGAGAACTATGAGTACATAGTCCACTTCCTCTGATAATGCTTAGTTATATCGGTGGATATGCGTCATTGGTCTCAATTCTCAGATCGTGACTGTAGGAAGAAGCCTGGCGCTGTTCCGATTTGGGTAATCAGCTTCCCTACCTAGCGCAATCGCTTATCAACGTACAAGCGCAACCGAGGCCATGACTTTACTCCATCAGCCAGTCTAAGTAAAAGCTGCCAATATGATGTCGATTATAGAAAATCAAGGAAGGCACATCCTGTATGTACTGCAAAAGGAAGAAGACACTCCAGGCAATCCATGGACAGTTATCGCGTCACATGACCGGGTCAACGCAAGCAGCGGCTGCCATTGGAGGAGCACAGGCGGATTGTCCTGTTTGAGACGGGGTTGAGTCACGTTTGGTCACAGCCGCCCYCCGCCAGCCAATGACTGCCCGCCCCTTGTGCCTTTCTCCACAGTGCCTGCCTGTTTCGGCGTAGCGCTCCAGCCAGCCTGCTTCCAAGGTTGCCCCAGTTGCCTGCTGGGTGCCTGCTCACGTTATCTGCCGCCCAGCTTGAATCATCGCCCCAAGTGGTCCGGTCCCCTCTCGCTGCTGTCTCCGACCGACTACTTATCTCCATCCGTCACCTTCCTCTCTCCAACTCTCTTTCTCCCTTCCTTCCTACACTATTCCTCCATCCATCCATCATTCTTCCATCTCATCATCTATATACTTGTCGTCAACTGTCTTTCTTTTCCAGTATCACTCTCTTTGGAACAGTTTCATAAATTTACCCAGTCATCATGAAGGGCGTCCTCAGCCTTTCGCTGCTGCCGTTGTTGACGGTTGCGTCACCGGTCATGCCCAGCACCATCCACAACAACGCAGCTCCCATTCTCTCTTCATCCAACGCCGTTGAGGTCCCAGATTCTTACATCATTGTCTTCAAGGACCATGTAGATTCAACTTCTGCTGCAGCCCATCACAACTGGGTGCAAGACATTCACAGCCAACACAGCGAGCTCCGAAAGCGGTCTCAGTTCCCGTTCGCTGACGATGCCTTTGCCGGTCTTAAACACACTTTTGATATTGCCGGCAGCTTTCTCGGTTACTCAGGACACTTCGAAGAGAATGTCATTGAAGCCATTCGCCGACACCCTGATGTGAGTTGCCCCTGTTGCTCTCAGCACGTGCCATTCTTCCGGAACATGACTCATTAATATGCATCTCCGCCTGTAGGTTGATTACATCGAGAAGGACTCTCTTGTCCACACCATGGAAGATCCCGCACTTGAGAAGAACGCTCCATGGGGTCTGGCTCGTATCTCTCACCGTGAGAGCTTGAGCTTCGGAAGCTTCAACAAGTACTTGTACGCTGCCGACGGCGGTGAGGGTGTTGATGTTTATGTCATTGACACTGGTACCAACATCGACCACGTCGATTTCGAGGGTCGTGCTTCCTGGGGCAAGACTATCCCCACTGACGATGAGGATGTTGATGGCAATGGCCACGGTACTCACTGCTCCGGAACTATTGCTGGCAAGAAGTACGGTGTTGCCAAGAAGGCCAATGTTTACGCTGTCAAGGTCTTGAAGTCTAACGGTTCTGGTACCATGTCCGACGTCGTTCAGGGTGTCGAATGGGCTGCTACTCAGCACATTAAGAAGGTCAAGGACGCCAAGGCTGGAAAGGCCAAGGGCTTCAAGGGTAGCGCTGCCAACATGAGTCTTGGTGGTGGCAAGTCCGTCACTCTTGACAAGGCTGTCAACGCCGCTGTTGATGCTGGTATTCACTTCGCTGTCGCTGCTGGCAACGACAACGCCGACTCCTGCAACTACTCCCCTGCCGCTGCCGAGAAGGCCGTCACCGTCGGAGCTTCTACCTTGGCTGACGAGCGTGCTTACTTCTCTAACTACGGCAAGTGCAACGACATCTTTGCTCCTGGTCTCAACATTCTCTCTACCTGGATCGGCAGCAAGTACGCCGTCAACACCATTTCCGGTACTTCTATGGCTTCTCCTCACGTTGCTGGTCTTTTGGCCTACTTCCTCTCTCTTCAGCCTGCCAGCGATTCTGCCTTTGCTGTTGCCGAGATTACTCCTAAGAAATTGAAGGAGAACCTCATTGCCATCGGTACTCAGGGCGCTCTTACTGATGTTCCCTCTGATACCACCAACGTAAGTTGACTCTGTCTGTCTTTTGATGACTCTTCCACTAACGAATGCGTTATAGATCCTCGCCTGGAACGGTGGTGGTTCAGCTAACTACACCGACATTGTTGCCCAGGGTGGTTACAAGACCAAGACCGTCAGCAGCGAAGTTGACGAATTGATCAACAAATTGGAGGTCGTGAACGAGGAACTCGGTGCCATCTACAGCCACATCAAGGATGCCATCGTCGCATAAATCTAATGCTGTCGTTGGGTGGTGTTAACATAGCTTTAGTCATTGTATGTCTATGGCTTCCCACATATCTCAGGGCCGCTGCCGGCACGGCCCATTGCGCTACACATGACTTGATTTCATAATGCAAGTGTGTGAAGTAGTTCCTAGATACTGGATGGAAACAGAATACAGATTGATTACTAGATTTTGCATCATTCTATTTTGGTCCCTATGACGAACCCCAGGTTTGCAGTGATTGTCGTGCTTCATGTTTCGTATTGTTTTTCCTATATGGATTTGCTTTTACACCGGTAGTTAGGAGTTTTGTTGATAACGGGAATCCATCATTGAATTAATCTACATATCATTATCTAAAAGAGCAAAGAGGAACATGGGGTAGCTCTATGTGACATTTTACCTTTTCCAGAGTAGGTTGATCTGCTTTCTCCGTACCTATATACCGTCAATTATTTATCATCGGCAGTCAAAAGTTCAAGATAGATGTCGAATACTTACCATCGGAGCCAAAAACCACACACCAACAGCCAGAGCGACCACCGTCCCTAGAAGCTGTAACTTCGCAAAATTTCTACCCAAGATATCAAAAGCTTGACTGGGCGCAACACGAGTACCGAATACATCGCCTCCAAAGGCGAACACCAAGCCTGTACTTTCGAGCAGAGTGGGCGAAACGATGACGGAGCGGATACCGGCTACGTCGCGCGAATGGGTTAGGTACCACCGACCGTCAAATTCCAGATTGGGGCTGTATTTGAAGAGACCTTCTTCGACCTCGGCGGGKGTTGGGTCACGACCGACAGGGCGACGGGGGTCAAGGACGTGGCGTGGAATCCCGATAATGGCATTGGATTCGGGGAGGGTGCAAAGGAGTTGACGGATTGTGATTCCCTGGCGGGTTTGGGTCACGGCGAAGTGGGAAATTGGTTCGGGGATGAGGAATGCTTGAGAGACAACGTGCGGTCTTGGGTACGTCTCGGTTCCATCGAGGCTGGAGTAATTCCCTGCTGCACCTAGTGGACCGCGATCATTGGCGAGAGGAGATTCGTAGAGCTCGGAGACGACCAGCTGATAGCCCTTAGACTCGGAGTCATCGGTCAGATCAGCCCAGAGTGAGTAGGCGTACCAATTCTCTGAGATGATTGATGTGATGGGTTGAGTGACGTCTACGCCTGTATGCGTGCTTGAATGAAGGACTTGACCTGAAACTGAATCTAGCAGGTAGAAGGTCGCTGTGGTCGGCCCAATGGACGTGATAAGAGCAAGATTTGGGTTGAGGTATTTGTACAGGACTGAGCGGTCTCCAAGTACTTTACCGATAGACGCGACAGGGTCGTGAGCTGGTCGGGATGTTGCCGTGACAACTCGCTCTCCTGGAGGTGGTAAGAACTGCCAAACAGGAACTTTATTGTCAGATAGATCCCAACCAAGGACACGACCATCTTCGCTCAATGTCACTAAATATCCTGCCCCTTGAAAGGATTTGAGAGGTGTCCCGTCCTCTGCAATTGTAACGGCTAAGGTGTTTATACCTGTCTCGGTTGGAACGACGGCGACAGAACGAACAAGTGGACCAGAGGGTGTCTGGGAGACGACACTGCCAGATGATACATTGAGGGAGACAGTGCTGCCGTCCTCGACATATATGGTAACGGTACTCAGGTCAGACTTGACAGCTTTGACCTTCCAGTTAGGAGTGTCGACAACTTTCACATTCCAGACCACGGTACCGTGGTTCCCGGTATCGACAGCAATGACTCTTCCCTTTTCGGTAGCCACAATAGCTAATTTCCTCAATCCAAAACTATCCAAGTTAGTGACTTCTGCAGACAAGAAGCTGGAGAAGATACGCTGTGGCAGCTCTTGAAGATATGTAGGCAGGTGTTCGAGATCTTTAATGTGACGCTTCACACGGTGAATATAGGCACTCAAAACATCTTCGTGACCTTCCAACTCCAATTCGTGAACAAGGTCCTCACTAATGTTGGGCTCAGCCCATGCAGCAGCAACAGCACCCGAAAGCGATTCGTGTCGTGTCCATTCATTGCCGCCGTTTCGGTTCAATTGCCAATCTCCTGAATCTAGGACGTAGGCGAAGCGCACAGCCGCCGAGTCACCTTTGCTGATAACCTCTGCAACAGCGCTGCTTAGACTTCCGTCTCCGCTTTTTGTGAATGGCCACCTGCCAAGGATTCCATGAGAGGTTGATGAGAAGACAGCAACCTCTGTTTCGGTGATTCGAGTAAAAAATACATTTGCGGCTCTATGGCTGACTGCGAAAACAGAATTTCCGGAGACACGAGGTAGTCTATAGGCTTGCGAAATTGAAGAAGTCTGCAGGTCGATATGGTAGACCTCAGCCCACGACGACGAGTCCGTTTTGTAGCCAACCAAGAAATGTGGGAGACAGTTCAGACCGGTCGGGCCATAGATTTTAATATCGCGGATTTCTTCGTTGCTCGTGTTTTCGATGTCAAGGCTGACAAAATTCTTTGAGCCGATGATATTAACCTTCAGTGTCTTGCTTGACTTGTCGGTCCATGCAATGAAAGGTGAAGCGGTGTTCGAGCCGACAAGGAGAATGGATTCGGGTCCAGACACATCGTTTTCGGAAGCAAGTGTATGGTGGCTTTTCTGTTTTCCGGTCTGCGTGTCCAATGTGGTGATTTTGATTTTGTAGCCTTTAAGAAGAGCAGACTGTAGAGAGATGTAGAACACTTCTGTCGCTGAGGAAGATACCTGGAATGGCACATCGCCGCTACTTTCTGTCAGCGTTGAAGCATGAATATGCGCTGTTCTCGTATTACCTTTCATCCTTGAATTCCCATTTGACTGTTCCGGTTGTTGCGTCGAGTCTCTGAACAATGCCCCCTTTACCCTCAGAAAGAACAATTACGTCCCGCGCATGATTGTTCGTGCGTCCGTCTTCAAGCTCGAGCAACTCCAAGTCCTTCACAATTGTACCAGAGACCTTCCTCTCCCAGTGTAACTTTCCATCCGATGCACCCCAAGCGGCAACCTTCTCGCCAATTGCACTGACAACTGTAGCTTCCCCATCGCTAGCACGGAGGAAGCCCTCAACCTGTGCCGAGCCCAGCTGTGTCAAGTCCTGTCTCCACACAATTGCTCCATCTCTTGGGTTCACTGCTCCTATAATCGATTTCTCGGATAGGGTATATAATAGCGATGCGTTTGATGACGATGAGGGCTGGTGGAAGAAAGTCGATTGTGGGGACGGGGTTCCGAGGAGGGCATGATGGAAATCGAGATGGTCGACCTCATCAACGAAGACGGCCGACGATGGAATGGCGCATGAGGCAAGAAGCACGATCGCCGTCTTGAACCACATTTTGATCTTCTCGTGATGCGAGCATGCGAGATAGATTCAGAGGTAGGCGTGTAGGTTGAATGGACGGAGCTGTTTAGAAACTGGCTGGTCACTTTGTAGCTGCGGGTCGACTTGCTGCACTAGCTCCTGCCACAATCTACCCTAACCCTAACTAACCCTAAGGGTAAACTTAAGTCTCTCAAACTCGATTGACTTCTTATACTCCAGCACTACGATACAAGACGACTCAATAAACTACTCTTCTTACCAGTAATTAATATTTCACTTTGACTACTTACGCTCGGGAAAAAATCTTTCTAGAGATGGAAATCCTCTCCATGGTAAACGGTTAGAGCAGTTTAGCTCACATATTCTTTCTAAAATAGGCCAGCGGGAGGGCTCCGTAGTGTATGGTCGTTCTCGTATATTCGAGTCAAAGGCTTTGAAGAAAAGGTATAATTTGTTGTGAGAGGAGTCTGAGGTATACACTTGTTCTCTCATATCCGAGTCAAAGCAGCTTGGTGGGTCGACATAATGTAGGATGGGAGGGCTCCGGGTTCTACCATCGTAGATCTGAGTCGGACCACAACCTTGAGGTCCTTTGCAGTATCCGAATATGCCTTTCTTTAATGAGCAGAATAGTCAACAAGAAATGATCAAAATGTCAAATGAAGTCAAAGTCCAGACTGTCTCCACCCTCGGGTAACCTGCCGCTCTTGACTTCGGGCCTTACCCCGTGGTTCGCTTTAGCTTCCCCCGAGATGCTTAAAGCTTCAGGCTTCTCTTGCGGGGTTGCACGGCCAGCTCATAAATAATGCAGAACTGACACCTGTTTGTTCTCTCTCATGTCAATTCTACAGTTTCGAGATTCCTCAGATCAAGAGTCACTTCAAAATTGTCCATAAGACTCTATTCCGTCATGTCGGTCACTCAGCCGGTCAAGGGCAAGACTGCCATTATCACCGGAGCTGGTTCAGGTAAAATTACCTGATACCCATGGATGGAGTTAACAATAGACTAATAATTTGATTGTATGCTATAGGAATCAATCTTGCCTTCGCGGAATTGCTCCTGAAAAACGGCTGTAATGTGGTGATAGCAGATCTCGGCCTTCGCCCTGAAGCACAAGCCGTGGTCAACAAATTTAACGGTCGTTCAGGAGCTGCTAGGGCTGTCTTCCTGAAGACAGATGTAACAGACTGGGTACAGCTGGAGGAGCTGTTCAAGGTTGCCGAAAGAGAGTTTACTGAGATTGATATCGTCTGTCCAGGTGCAGGAGTCTATGAAGAGGTTCGCATGCACGCACCTGACTTCGACTGCAAGAATGTTTACTAAGTGAGTCTAGCACTGGAGCAACTTCTGGCGACCCCCTGGCTCCCCAGAAAGCCGCGATGATCCGCGAGGGGGACGGTATCGTCTGCTTGATATCAACATAACCCATCCAATTCGAGTGACTCAACTAGCAATCTCACATTTCCTACGACACCGAAACTCCAGCAAGCGCAAGCATATCGTGCACATTTCAAGTATAGCTGGACAAAATCCGTCAATGGCAGCGCCTATATATGTGGCAACGAAACATGCAATCAGCGGCCTGGTCCGATCTTTGGCTAAATTGGACCAGAAATTCGGTATCCGCGTTACAGCTGTGGCACCTGGACTGATCAAGACACCTCTGTGGATGGAACATCCCGAGAAACTGAAGATGTTCAAGGAAGGTCAAGATGTATGGGTCACGGCTGAAGAAGTTGGCGAAGTCATGCTGGCCCTGGTTCAGCAGGAGGAAGTAAGCGAGGTTATTGGGGACAAGGAGAGAAGGGGAGTATTTTTTCCGGTTGAAGGGGGCACAGTCCTAGAGGTATCCAAGACTGTTCGAGCAGTGCATCCATTCAATGATCCTGGCCCCTCAAATCGTGCTGGAAATACAATCGCGAATGCAGAGGCAGTCGAAAACGAGATATATGATTTGCTGTCCACGTCTAGTTGGGGGAAGTCCAAACTGTGAGCGATTATATAATTTGAACGCGCTATGATTGCATGATATCCCGCTCAAACAATAATACCATAATACCATGATACATGCATGTATAAGAAGACTGTCGGACGCAACAAGAAAGAAGTAGAGAAGAAATGCCCGAAGAGGTATATTTCTCCGACGACAGTAGCCCCACTCCGTATTGGTCTCCACAGCATGATTGGACGGCCGTTATCTGTCGCAAGAAAGGCAGATAATCATGCCAACAATCGTCGCTCAGCCTTCAAGTCATCTTCATCACCACCACCACTTTGACCGCCAGTCACTCCAACTTTCTGGTCTGGTCATTGCACGCCAGTCAATGATTTGATTTTCATATGCAGTTTTCAGCATCAAACAACGGCTTGTTGAGACATCAGCGCATTTCTGCAGAGCACATTCACTAAACGAACAATGACGGAGGGCGAAGTGATGCCTCCTGCCACAGGAGCCGCCCACAGAGGCAGGAGGTAACCAACCTATCTTTAGATATTGATTCTCATGAACCAAAAGCTGATTAAGGGAAGTAGGAGGCGAGGCAAGCGAGATGTCTTTCACGGAGCGGCCAGCTGGACGAGCAGTGTCATAAATTTAGTCAATACAAGTAAGTCGAATGTCATGTTGACTTCAAATACAAACTCTAACGCTTCCTGCCGTTTTAGTCGTCGGCGCAGGCGTCCTCGCTATGCCTCTCGCGATCGCCCACATGGGAATAACCCTCGGCGTCCTCGTTGTGATATGGTCAGGAGTCGCTGCTGGATTCGGACTTTATTTGCAAGCCAGATGCGCTCAATACCTAGATCGGGGATCAGCATCATTCTTCGCTCTTTCGCAGATCACATATCCCAACGCCTCAGTGATCTTCGATGCTGCTATCGCCATAAAATGTTTTGGAGTCGGCGTGAGTTATTTGATTATCATTGGAGACCTCATGCCAGGAGTTGTGCAGGGGTTCGTCGGGGATGCACCTACCAGTGATTTCTTAATAGATCGCCATTTTTGGATAACGGCTTTCATGTCAGTACCTCTTATCATCCTGAGTCTGAGATCGCGGCATCGTACTAATTTAGACTGGACAGGCTTATCGTTATCCCCCTTTCCTTCCTTCGCCGGCTCGATTCCTTGAAATATACCAGCATTGTCGCTTTGATCTCAATTGGATACCTTGTCATCTTGGTTGTCTATCATTTCACCAAAGGGGACACGATGGCTGACCGGGGCCCGATTCGTGTCATTCACTGGGCAGGAATCGCACCTGCCTTGAGCAGTTTCCCGGTCATTGTGTTTGCATATACCTGTCATCAGAATGTGAGGATATAAATCTCCCACGTTGATTAGAATTGACTAGCTGACCTTGGAAGATGTTCTCAATTTTGAACGAAATCAGTGATAATAGCCATTTTCAAACTACAAGCGTCGTATTCGCGAGCATTGGCGGCGCCGCATCGATCTATATTCTCGTCGCAATAACAGGATATCTATCATTTGGAAACAATATCGGCGGAAACATTGTCAGCATGTATCCCGCATCAGTATCCGCTACTATTGGCCGAGCCGCAATCGTCGTTTTGGTCATGTTCTCGTATCCGCTCCAAGTACACCCTTGCCGCGCTTCGGTGGATGCGGTGCTGAAATGGCGACCAGCGCGAACAAGCAATGGCAACGATGTCTCGCCTCATAGATTCCCTCTTCTGCCGAGGGCTAATCGCGGCGGACCTGAACCTATGAGCGACCTTCGCTTTGCAGCCATTACCTCGACAATCATTGTCCTGAGCTTTACCACAGCCATGACTGTGACATCACTAGAAGCTGTGCTGGCCTACGTCGGCAGTACCGGAAGCACCAGCATCAGTTTCATTCTTCCGGGTCTTTTCTATTACAAAATCTCCTCTCCTGATTCAGCGGCGCACCAACAACTAATGAAAGAAGACGACGAGGTCCACGACGACGCCATTTCGGACGACGAGGTCTCTGGAGACGATCAACAACAAGGTCTGTTAAGTGGAAGCGGTATACTCTCGTCAAGCGGTATTCTACCCGGAAGCCGATTGAAGAAGACTCTGTTACGACGACTCAGTCTTGCGCTCTCGATATATGGAATTGTTGTCATGGTGGTCTGTCTTAGCATGAACATATTCTTCCATGCATCCAAATAGGCAGACCACTTGTTTCGTATAAATACTATAAAGTGCCGTGCTACGATATCGTTCATTGGCATATATCATGACATCCAGTCATTGTACGTTAGGTGTTCGGGGATATAGCTTCTTCTTTTGCTCTCATTGCTGCTTGCTTCTTTTCTTTTTTGGATAAATGATGATTCAAATGATGTCAATACACCAGTGTGCTCTTCTCGTTTTCTTGCTTCTCTTTTCTTTTCTTATCTTTTGAAGGAGAGCGCTTCGATGTACATAATCACCACATATTTCATTTAACATTGCTAGGAATTTTGAGTTGACATAATATGAAAACGAGCTAGACACATCGAAACTTATTAAACGCTGTTCAATCATAATAAGAAAGATTTATTGACAGATAAGGAATGCGAATTACCAAGACCACTAACGCAGTGACCGGAACAAATTTAGTGCAATCCAAGAATAGCAACAATCAACAATCAATCTGAACAACCACAAAATGTACCTGTATCCATTTCCGCATCTGTAGCATGCAGGGCCAGCAGTTCTTCCGTTTGAGCACCTAGTTATTGTTCTGCGAATTTAAAATGCGCAAAATGCTCAAGAACAAATTAATAATGTCCAGATACAGCGAAATTGCCGCTGCGATCTCCTCCTCAACATGATAATGGCGCATGATGAGCTGTGTATCGACAAGCACATAACCCGAGAATATAAGCGCAGAAACACCACCATAAACGAGCTCCACGCCGCTATTGTAAGGGAAGAAAGCAGCCATGAACCCAAAAATAATAAGCAGCCACAGCCCACCGAACAGGTACGGCATCCAGTGCGTGAAATCATATTTGGTCTGGCACGCGAACAAGGTCAAAGCGACGAAAATTCCCAGGGTGATGACGAGGGCTTGCACGACGATGCGCGCGTCGTAGAAGGAGGTCACAACGCTGATGGAGTAGGCTTCGAGGGCAGTGAAGCCGGACAGGAACAGGAGGTTGGTCGGGTAGGATTTGCGTTTCCAGTACGTCAGGAACATAAATCCGATTGCGCCGACGAGCGACACGATCATGAGCCAGAGGTTGGATTTGATCCAGATGCGGTATGAGTCGCTGAAGAATGAGATACTGCTGAGGACGGTAGTGAGGAGGATTTGTACGGTCCTATGAAGTATTAGCAAAGCGCCGTAAATCTAGGGTAGTTAGAGTAGTGATAAATACGTACAAGATGGAATACACCTTCCGAATAAACTGCATCCGGATAGGCAGCGTGCCCTCTGCAACGGTTCCGCCAAACTGCATTCCGTCAGCATACTGCTTACCAGTATTGCAAGAAACAGAGATATACCTTGAAGTCATCAGGAACATTATCATCCTCAGACCGCGGCGCTTCCGCAGTAGCATCGTATGAAGGCGGGGCTTGAGCGTACTGAGCTTCCTCAAACGAGTCGCGCTGAGGAGCGGGTTGGTAGCGAGTGTTTGCTGCCATGCTTGCTGTGATATCCAGTCAAGAATATCCTGAGCTAGAAGTATCAAGATGGAATATTGTTGATGGGTGGAGATGAAGCCTGAGATGGTAATGGGAGTGAAGTAGGCTGATTGTTGTACGTTGTATGAGTGGCGTCAGTCACGTGGGGAGCGCCGCGATTACTACTCGTGAGGTCATGCGTGCTCAGCCACGCTCGTTTCCTTTTAGGGCCATATGAGAGTATTAAAAGCTTCAAAATATGAAATGAAAGAGAACACATCATGAATATTTCTCATATATTTTGCGAAAAATATGTCTGGAATCATATATGTACGTGCAAGTAGATAGATACAGCATACATGTGTAAATAAGCATATTTATACCGAAACAGCATAAACGATCATTGTTGCAAGTCCCGAAACCATTATGAATTACTCCTCTCCTGGCTGCTATCAATATGAGTTGTCTGACTAGGTAGCTCAACATCCGAGAATCTTGCAGCGTTGTTGGTACTCGATCCATCCCCTCTGTCGTCTTCATCATCATCTTCATCCGTTGAATCATCATCCATATACTGTAACCCAGCGTTTGTGGTTTCTCCCGATAAAGGATCGATACGGCGTCTGCGTTGAAAATCATGGGAATGGGCCGTGGCTACCAGGTTGCCGAATCGAGACATGGCGTGACTTATTGTTGGACGGCGAGCACGCAGTGTCGTGGGCGTCTTCCCTGCGATTGATGCGGCCTCAAGATCAACGTCATTAGCGACCATAGGTGTAGGATCAGTCGGGTGCTCTCCGCCGCGAATCTCCTCCTCTTCTCTGGCCATTTCTGACTCTCTTGTCTGTATGCGTGACGGGTGATCGGCAAAATCCTCATCCAGCGTATGTTCCTCCAGTTGATAAGGCAAAGGAATGTCTCGTAAAGCACGAAACAGATTGACATTTGTGCAGTGTTCATTTTCGACACGGAAAATCGACCAAACCCCTCTTCTAAATACCTCACTAAAAGCAACTGCGAAACTGAGGAAAGCCGAATGTTGAATGTCGTTGGTGAAGATGGCATAGAATATCCAGTTGAAGCGCACAATCACGTCAATCACAATCGCGACGTAATAGAACCATGCTTTGCGGAAAGCGAGGACCTCACGTAGCATCTTGTTAGACGCATAGAAGTTTCCCAGGCTCCAATCCATAGCTATATCCCAGATCGAGCAATATACCGCATTGATAAAAGCAAAGACAATAAAAAGGATCTGGTATCGGGCATCCCGATCAATGCGGAACAAACTGAGAGTCATGTAGTAGAGAATGCCACAGGTATATTTGCCAAAATTGACCAGATGAGGAAAGACATTCTTCGTGTCACGATATCGTCGGAGGCATTGTAGTCCACGCCATATTGAAGGTAGCGTTGTGAAGAAACCTAACAGTCGAGAATGGCTCGAGTTGCATGTCGGTGGGTTATTCCAAAAATTGGCATAAAGGCAAAAGAAGAGTTCAATGTTCTAAATTCGAATTAGCTGCGTTCCCTCAGAGAGTGTTGAAAAAGACTTACACCCATAGCGTACGTCTGGGAACAGTACATATCGCCCAGGTAGAAATCTCGAAACTCGACGGGGTATAAGCCGGCTAGCAAGAGACGCCACTGTGATCACGTTAGCTTTTTACTGCAGAAAAACGAACCGAAAGTGGAAGCTTACGTTCGAAACGGCCCACAAAAGTCGACTATGATGATAGAACACTTTAAGAGGAACAAAGAGCATCACGACAGTGATGAAGATCAATACAACCGGGTAATATAAGAACATGGAGTCAACCCACGAGAAGTTGACCCACATGAAAATTCCAAGAAGAAGAAAGAAAATAGAGGGTATCTAAAACTGTTAGCGGGCTATCGAAATCCAAAAAAAAATATAGGCATACCTCAGCGAGTTGACGCCAATCCAAAGTGTGGCGAGTGTCGTACTCAAAAACGAAACTATAATTGATCTTTGCTCGAGCCCATAACATACAATCCAAACAGAATAGGATACAATGAAAAACAATCAGAAAATATCCCCCGTATATCTATTTCAAGTTAGTCTCTTGATGTGGGAAAGAAGTAAATGAAACGTACCTGGAGGAGATAGGAAGTCTGCACTTGGACAGTGCTATTTGCATCATTCAAAAGACCAATGGCCAGTATCAAGCCCTGGATACCACTAACGAGTCCAGCAGCTAGAAACAAGCCTATTCGGAAAGTGCTTGGTGAATGGTCGTCGGAGCGACGCTTTCCTCGGAGCTTGGTGACGGCAATCTTTCGGTTCCCCTTCTCGAAGTAGCGAGAGTAGAGGTCCTCAACCACAACCATGTGCCCTTCGACGATCTCACTCTGCACGAAATAGGCTCTATTGACTTTCTCGGACATATAGCGCAATGTAGGTCGCATATCAACGGCCTTGTCGAATTTCTTGTTGATCTTCCGAAAAGCCTTGCGGTTAAGATACGCATATGCTTTTAGCAGTTCCAAACCACGATAATACTCCTGCATAGCGAGTTTGAGCTTCCGCTTTGCTGTTCGATAAGGCACATGAGCAGATTCTGGTCTTCTCACGAAGTCGCGCCAATCGCCTGAAAGCTCCTGACCCATTGGGGTTTTCGGTGTCTGCATGTTGGCTAGTGCGCGAGAATTCTTCCCGAAATGATGCTTCCCAGTAATGGCCTGGGTCCATTTCGTCTTAGGAAATACATTAAGATAGTTCCCGTTGCCGGTCCCTTGCGTAGATCCTGACCGCTCTGCCTCCATCATCTCCGTTGTTCTCTGATCTCTCATCATGTGTAGTTGTCGTCGAAGTTGCTGCAGACGCTCGGTTGCTTCCACCTCTTTCTGCCTGTAGAATGTCTCTATCTTGTCCAACTCGGCATCCAGAAAATCATAAAAGTCGTCCTCTTTCTTCGTCACTTCACTCGATATGTTGGTTTGATAACTCTTTCCCGGTGAATCCATATCGCTGTTCGTGAAAACCCTTTTAAGGAAATTGGCAGTTTTCGAGTATCCATCGCTACCGCCTGCATTAAATCCCCCAGATGGAGTGTTCCCCTTTTTGAAAATAGCTGGTGACGAAGCGTATCTCCGAGGGCGACCAGGTGTCCGTTGAGCTTGCGGCGATCCCGAATCATAAATCGGCGGTCCAATCTGCAGATTCTTATTCTTCTTAGCGGTCCGATCAAGTCCAATCGCAGGAGAGGGGAGCTCGAGATTCGGTAGTTGTTTAGAGTCGTATTGGTTGGGCTCGGAGACTATACTGCCATAACTTCCTACGACGTTCGAAAACCGCGAACCCGGAGTCCTGAGTGGACGCTGCTCGGGAATGTCTTTACGCGATGGTGATCCATTATAATCCAAGGGAAACTGATTCACCGAGGTGGAGGCATTAGGAGGAAGTCGTTGAGATGGGGTGTTTGTAAAGGTGTCTTGGCGTCGGATCGGAGTGCGATTTGCTTTTTGCAGGGCTCTTTGGATTGCCTTGATTTTCTTCTTCCCGAGCTACATTTGACGTTAGAAACGCGATTTTAGCGATAGTCGCTTTTTGGAGAGTAATTACCTTATAATTCAGATATTTAGCCCGCCATTCCGGAACCAATTCCTCGTTGAGCTCTCTGCGATTGCAAATCTAGTGTTAGCTGCGAGCAATGCATTGTAGAGTGACAAGAATCATTCAAACAATTGCTGGAGGGGCATGTAGGCAGGTATGCGATATGATGCGGGAAGAGCAGAGAGAACGTACTTGGCGAACTTCATGGTGCAATGGTATATCCAGTCGCATGGTCGAGATCAGCAGCAACGATCGCGAAACCGCAGAAAGAAGCAGATCATGGAATTCTTCATGAGGAAAAGAAAAAGGAAAGAAAATGACGAGTCGAGATGGTGAACTAGAGCTTGACGATGGGCGAATGAGGAGGAAGCAAGTCACAGTGGCGTCGAGAAAGGACGAAAAAAGGAAAGAGCCGGTTTTTAGCCAGACCCTAGTGGCTGCCTAGATCTTCCCATTTCTCGTTCTTTTCTGCAATTATCTGGACATGTTTGTATGTTATTGTGCCAGAAGTTGAAATTTAAAAGAAGATCTACCGCGAGCCATGCAGGAGACGACCTCAAATATGAGCATTTCAGCACGTGCGGAAAACTGTACTATCATTCGTCAATTGCATCGACTACCTTTTGCAACGTCCGATCCTCTGGAATGTGAGCCGACTTCCATATCGGGCAGTTCGTTTTTCGACTTCATAAACCTATACGACAAAAAGACGCTTGATTATCGGACCGGCTTGCAGTAGTATCAAAGGGTTCTATATACAGTTGAATTGCGTACTTTCTTCGAGGTCTTGTTCTATTTTGATATTTTGAGCCATAATGTCAATTCCGAGTTAGGGTTTTATGACTGCTCATCCTTTAATTCTCGTAACCAACGACAGCAGTGACGTCCTGGATCTTCACAAAAACCACATAGATAGAGATCTAGGAGGAAGTATCATTTCTATCGGTGGTGGCCACCAGGTTGCGTCATGTTATGATCACGATTTTGCCATCAGCCTTATTTGACACTAACAGACGATCTGAAATTAAGACCAGTCACCACCCATCTTCATCGAACATAGTGCCTTATATACTATGAGAACACCATAAAGAAAGTTTGAAAAAAGAGAAGCCATCTATCCAAAACTCAACGTCATGCCGAAAGATTCTCACGTCCTCCCCTCCAAACCCATCGAAACCCACCCCGTGCCCAAAAAGGCCTTTGGTCGCGTGCTCGACGACGACCGTCCAATCGACGATTTTGAAAACACAGTCCGCGCAGAAGAAGCACAGAAACACGCCGAGGAGCTGGGTCCGAGTCCACCGAATCGTTCCGCGGCTAGACATCCGCCTGACCGTCCTCATGCGCCTCATCAGCCTCATGGGAGAGAAGGGACGACGTCGAGCAAATATCGGAGTGTTTCCAAGCATTAAATCACCTAGAATTTGTGGAGAAGATGTCACTTAAATGGAAACATATGTGTTCGGTGAACGGTTTGGTATGAGATTTGTCAACGCTAATATATGTGCATTATCTTAGAAACACTAGCATATGGGTATCAAACTGAAAATACAAGTACAACGTAATATTGCTCTGCAAGTCAAGCTCCACACTCTTTTGCTTGTATATATCGTGCGTAGAGTTAGAATCAAGTCAGCGTGTCAAGATCAACATCCTCCGGCGCCTTGCTTGGATCGATCCGCCAATCTTGATCCCCGTAAGTCAGATTGGTCGGTGAAAAACGACCGTTGAGCGAGTTCAGAGAGTCTGTACGCAAGTGACGCCTCGATGGTACATTCCGCTCCACTTCGCCCTTTGCAGTACTCAGTGAATATTGATCCCCGTTGAAATCGGTTTCGGGTCCTGTGATTTGCAGCGGGACTTCCACCGTAGATTGGCCGCCGGCATATCGTTCTAGTGCATCATAGACATGTCCGAAAACAAGTTCGTCCACATCTGATGCCCAGAGAAAGTCTAGATGCTCGTATCTCGGGATTTCTCGTACCGTAGTCCGCCGCGGCAATTCGCGTAGCATAACACCGATATCAACCAGACTGTCGCTGCCCCCGTAAATCAAGACGATGGGCGACCTGATATTTCTTGTAGGATATCTCACGGGCTTATAGTATCGGCTATTATTACCAACCGCTAAAGGCCCGCCTACCTCGTCGTCATACATTTGAAACGCCTGGTTGCGGATAATCTGAAACCAATGAACGACTGACTTTGTACTGGTGAACGAGTACAAATGAGGATAAGCTGCTAGTTTCTGATGTTGTGATATATTTTCACCAGTCCAATTGAAGAGCATCCTCAATGAAATGTCGATAATTCGCACAAAAATCGGCGGGKACAGAATGGCTTGCCACATAGCGGTAGAGCTGAGAATACTTCTGCGTCCGAAAGCGAGAAAAACGACTTGTGGAGAAGCTTTCATCAACGCGTCGACAATACCGTTGTATAGTCCCGCCGGGGACATGGCAGGTGCTAAAGCAACAAAGACGTCCACTTTTCGGTTCAGCGTCGGGTGAACAGAGAGCGCCGCAAATGCTTGGGCGGTTCCCTGTGAGAATCCAATATATGACAGAGACGGCTGTTTGGTGACATCCAGAATATACTCAATGCTGTCTGGAATATCGTGAAATGCAAACTCGTCGATAGAAAAGTTCCAGAAGTCGGTTGAAGCAGGTGAATTTCTCGTCGACTTTTTGGAATACTTGTTACCGCGGTTATTACCCAACCACACATCGTACCCTCGCTCAACGAGCTGGAAAGGCAAGCATCGTTGTTCGTCAGTCAAGCATACCCAGACCTCGCTGTTCATGAGCAGGCCGTGATGAAGATAGACGACTTTTTTGCGAGTGCTATTTTCCCCAGCATTAACGTAGTCGGCCTCCTCCCCACGACGGTATGGTAATCGGTGAAGACCGAGAAGATAACCATCTTTTGTCTGTACAATATGTTCCTCTGTTTCGTAACCATATATGGAGCACAAATCCGCAAAGTCGACTGTTTGTGCAATTGATTCTGCGACACTCTTTTTTTTCGCACGGAAACCCCTGGTCTGAGTTGAAGCTAAAGCATTAAATAGAGCTTTCGACTGTTGGTAAAAGAAGCGGATTATGGGATCGGCTGCATTGCGATTTTGTTAGCTGTGGCATACGATTTAGAAGGCGATTAACATACGAAGGCACAATGTGACCAGTCGCAAAAATCCTTCGCAAAACACCAACGACAGCGAAGCAAATAGCGCAAGGTACTCGGCCCTGGGCAGATAGTAGTAAGCAACTGATGGAAGACGAATACCTGATTGTTGCTGTCTTACCAGGCAAGCCTCCCAAGAAATGGGACTCGAGGCATTGAGAAATCAATGTCCAAGTATAATGACGGCTAGTGGCTAGTAGCTAGATGGTGAACTAATCAAGACATTTGCTTTGGATAGAACGGGAATAACTTCAGATGCGAGGAATGGGCCTTTGCAGTGAGTATAAAGAAACGATGGATGACGGATGATGCAATGGCATGTGATTGCGCGGTATCATGGAGAAAAGAAAATCCGCCGAGATTTACCCCGTGTTTGAGTCAGTGTTAATTTATCCGTGAACAGCTAACCCTAATGTAGAATTTAGCCCTAATCGACCTATGCCACTCGTTTCAAATACTGTTATATATTGTTGATAGAGAGTGAGGAGGCACTTCATCGTTCTGTTATGAAATGACGCAAGACTATCGGAGTCTTCACTCGTAATTGAATATCATTAGTGGAATTTCTAGGTAGCTTTGGTCCATCCTGATTGATCCTTATTGTCACTAGTACCGTCTGGTTGGTAGTTATATCAGGACGCATGAACAAACATTCTAGCATGACTCTGATAAAGAATATAAGTCATAGAATAGCTCTTTATCTATTCTGCAACAAACAAGAGCGTGAGATGATAAGGTGACTGACAGATGGTTACCCAGGGTATAGCCCTAACCCTATCGCACCGGTGATAATTGATATGTTTCGTAGCTTACTATGTCAGCCTGAAATATGATCGGCGTCTCATTCACATACGATGATGAGTCATATCAGCCTGTATAGACCTCCCAAGAGCCTCATTTAGAAGTAAATATCTCTTCAAGTCGCCAATAGACACAAGAAGCAGAGCAAATCCATGAGTCATTGTTCATGCCTTTTCTAGAGCTGAGAATAATCTCTGACTACCTCAGCACGGCGTCCAATATAGGTAATACAAAGGTCTAGCCACGAAAAGGAGGAAGTATCGATATGAGATTTTAGCGACAACAATGGTGGCGCATTGATAAAGCTGTGTCTGCCTAAAGCTGGCCCTTCCCGTTTCTGGTGGCCGCTTTGACTCACAACCACACATGAATGAAGGAATACCCTATAAAGTCAACCCAAAACATCCTAATGCGGACTTGTAAAACGTAAATCCTCAATCTCACATAAGTCTCTGTATGTGATCAACTATGGAGTCAGTGAGGAAAACGTTCTTCGACCCTTTGGCTACAACCAAAGCCCAGATTCGAGGAATCCTAGCAGAACTCCCCGTTGGCTCTGCACACCCTTACAGCCCCGAGAGCATTCTTCTGTGTCGGACGGACCACGGCATTGATGAAATCGACATCTCATTCTATCCAGCAGACTATTTCTTCAATGCCGTCGATTTGGGAGAGATGGGCGAGGTGCTTTCGAGGCGAATGGCCAACTTCGCGTCTAATCTGGGTGAGTTTTGTAGAATTTCCTCCAGTCAAATTTGCAAAGACTAACAAGGACTAGAACCACTCAAAGATTTTCAAATTCAGCAAGCTCCAGCCTCAACTTTCAGAGTGCCGATAGTGTCAGGCCAAATCACCATCTTAGCGGTCTCTGAACGAAACCCAACTTATTGGGATTTGTGCTTCGCCAATGCAGCGTACACTGTGAGCGATTGGTCTCGACTGAGTACATTACCTGGTATAGACCATAGTGGTGACAAGAATTATGGTAGCGATCTGTTGCATCACGCAACCATCAGCAAGCAGTCTCTTCCAGAGGAAGAGATCTGCGTTTTCATATCTGGTTATCAGTCCACACAGATCACAAGATTCCTGGGAACACATCCTGCAATGCTTGTTGCTAATCATGCAGATAAGGTTAGTGATGACAAACTCATTCGTCCCTATTTCATGTCCTTTTCTTGAGATAGAGCGTGGATTAACATGTTGGTAGGTTCTGTATATCGTCCCTGTGCCGTTGGACGCGGCGACAATAGGAGATGCAGTCGTCTGTTGCCCTTTGGTAATAAAGCGAGATGGAGACTCGCTCGTCTGTTCAATACTGGCAAGTGCGACAACAGATCGAAAAGCGATACACCGTGGTCAGCCGAGCCCTGTTATTTCAGAGGCGATACAACGTGCGGAATTCACAATTTCCCAGCCAAACGCTGCTACACGAGGTAAATCTTATCCCCCAAGGACCCCAAGGAGAAATCATTTACTGATATGTATATAGAACCAAAGAAAATATTAGTCAAAAAACACACGACCTTGGATTCAGAAAGCTTTCGCCAGATTACCGCCAAAGAAAATGTTGTCATCGCCACAAATTCCGCTACCCTGCCCTCGCTGTTATCTTTAGAGAATACCCAAATTATTAGATTTGGTACAGGCATTTCTTTTGAGCTGCAAAATGGACTGCGAAACTCTGACACACAACAATCTACTGTTGTTTTGCCATGCATCTATGGTTCGCAACTCCAAGGCCCAGTTCTATTAGCGACCGGAACCACTCCCTCGAATGTTCCATTTCTTGATGAAATTGCTCTTCGGGATTACTACAAACAACTCAACGATATTGTGGTAATTGTTGACGACCGAATGACCGATAATGCCCGAAACCTCGCACCTTCTTACAGAATCAATGCACTCTTTATCCTGCAACTCAATCCAGAAAACGAGCCGAAGAGTACCGAAGATATCTTGGAGTTGATGAATTCAGCCAACATAAATGCGGTGACAGCACTAGCAGGCCCGCAATCCTTAGTTTTGGTCCAAATATTCGACAAATACTACTTCTATCGAGGCCTTGCTAACCGGGCACGCCTCAACTCGTCTGGACTTGCGTTTGGTTCGGATGTAACATCTCTGCTCGAGTCTTTGGGCACTACAAAATTGCTCATAGATCCAAGAGTAATGCGGATAGTCGATCTTGACGAAGATTCGAATACTATAATCCTCCCAACTTCAGGGGATTTTGTTCGGCCACAAGATCTCCAGAGGATTTTCGAAGAGCTTCCGATCGAAAAGGTACACAGCATAGAAGAAGACATCACTGCAGCAGTTGTACAACTTCAGTCGCTTTTGAGTCAAAAAGACCTACAAGAACTCTCAACGGCCTTGGTCTCTACTCTCTCCGCAAAGATAAACGACGTGACGGCTCCATTGCGGGACATGTATCTTACGTTCCTGGCCCGAGAATACAACGTAGAAGATACTGAATCGGTGAAAAGAAAAAATTCCTTGTTGGGAAATCTAAGAAAAACCACAAAGGAGCTACAAAAGGCCCTTGAGCCGGTGATTTCAAGCCTGGCCAATATGATGTCTTCTCAGACGACTTCGAAGCGAACTCACGATATCAAGCGACTTGTTCGCCAGGCTCAGATCCAGGGGAACGTTGAGGCCGCGAAAACTATGACTTTCGACACACTGGCAGGTTATCTTGAAACTTATGCCGCGGATATGGGAGTCATGCTGCTGAACATTGACACCGTACCGTATCGCCAACTCTTGGGGAACTTGAAAAATACAACCATTGATGCTAGGTATGCAAATAAATCATTTCCCTCCCAATATTCTATTCCCTACACATCATGCTGACTTATAATCTATAGCAAATGTTGTGAACTTGATTCGAGGGTTCTTTATCTCGAGGGTTTCGATGCTGGCATAATCATCGAGCAGTCACAGAACAAACACAACGGCCCTCTCAGAAGCCAGAATGGACACTCATCCCAACCAATTTTGGCTGTACCGTATCTAAATCAAGGTAGAGGGTACGACGGATCAATGCTAGCTTGGGTCTGCTGGGATGAATTTGTCAACCTCGAAAATCCTTACACTGTGAGATGGATGGAGAAGTGCAATGAAGCACATATTGCCGCGCTAAGAATTATCATGAGAAGCACTCTCAGTCAAGCAGTTGCATCTAGAGAGCACAACCTTCAACCAGCCAGCTCGGAGACCGGCCAGCTTATGAGCGCATTGTTAATGGCGGCTATGTCTAAACTCGCGGCAATGAGGACCACCGCGCCAATTGTTGTGTCGGGCCAGGCAGAAGATACTATCACAAGATTAATGCGAGGACTATTTGGAAATTTCTTGACAATAGCTGGCTCCGGGGTGCGTCCTCTGAGCATGGTCTGGCAATTATTTGGGTCAAATCCACAATACGACATTCCCACGAGCCATACTGATTGGGTCTGGTACGAAACAGCTGTCGCTTTATATCCTTATACAGGTTGGCCTCTAAGGCAATTCCTAGAAAATCTGGAGAAGCTTCTTGATAAAGCAATAATACGTGTCGTTACGAAGAATGAGGACATGGCCGCAATCAAGAAAAGTCGCACAGAGGAAATGATCAGATATTGCAAGCTACGAAACATACAGCTTGCCCATTGTCGCACCATCATTACCATTTTCATGCAAATGTTCACAACAGAGAAACTTGACGTCGTGGCCGCTGCAGCACGGCTATTGGAACAGCTTCCACGAAAGTTGGAGAAACAGACTCAAAGCTACAAGAGAATGATCAATTACCTCGAGCATCTAGCCAACGGAGGCCAACCGCGTGTCAACGATAATATTATCGCCGCCTGTGTTTACACCAAGCGCTCAGCTGCCTTTAGCGAGCTCAAGACTAAAATTTCCGAAGCATGTGTGAGCGAGGACTGGTTGAAGGTGAAGCAGTCTTGTCAAGCACTAATAGACAAACATACCGAAACTGCTACTCTTTGGCGCATTCCTCCTGAATCTTTGCATATTCAAAACATGAAGGTGTATAAAGAAGCTTTGGATACAGACGTCAATACTGGCCAAGAAAATATTGCCAAATTGGCTGGACAGATTATCGGCGACGCGGAAAAAAATCGTGTTCCTTGGCAAGTTGGAAAGGCCGGTCAGTTCGGTGACAACATTGAGCATCTGAACGAGGCTTTTCTTCATGAAATTCTGACTGGAGAAAAACTGGAGTCTATCACAACAACTAAATTAGATATTACAATGACCACATCTATCAGCGAAAGAAACATTGACGAAGAATTCGCCGAATTTGGAGTGACGGTGCAGCCTAGCTTCATTTCTACAATGCAGAAAGACCTATCGGCTGAAGACGTCTGCACTATTATTCAGGTTCCTGTGTCGACAATGCGTATTTTTATTAAGGCTCTGAACCCAGACTTTGCCTGGGAAGATCTGGGGCGCAATTTCAAGACGGTCATCTTAGGGTTGTTGAGAGAGCGTTCAAATAGAGCGGAAAGCCGCCCAGTAAAGAAATTGTTGGCTTTGGGGGTTGAGAATAAGGCATTGCAGATACAGAGCTGGAATTGATTTATTTGCATTGTTTTAGCGGTATTGCTATTGACCCTCCATATTCTCACCAGTCTACTGCATGTATCATAGGGTTATGAAATATATTTGGTTCTTACTAATTGTCCAAGCAAAACGCTTATTAATCGTACAACGAAAAAAATATACGGCAGTCTTTCGCGTATGTAGGACTTACTTGGCTTTCGAAACATTCGATCCTCTATGGCTTTATCGCAACCTTACTGGCGTCAACAATTTGATGCTTGATGCTCCTGGAAGAATCAGTATCTCATGGGTAGTTAGGGCATCGCGAACACGTGACTTGAGATCCTGATAGGGCATTTTTTACAATTATACATACTTAATATAAGGGTGAATGGCGAGAAGAAATAAATCCCACTCTTTACTATTTTAAGTTTGTACAAAATTGAAAGAACGTCGACTTCTTGTGTGGCATATTTCCTAGCTCGTTGATATATCCGATGTACGCCCAAGGCGGATATTGACAACAGTCGTATCGCGCCGACTACATAATAAGACATTGAAAATAACATTGAACTCTTCCAGCATTGTAACTAAAAATGTATCAACTTGTCTAAGACGAGGCCTGTACTACTTGGGCCCAATTTGCATAACCATATCTGCCTGGTAGACTTTCTGCGTCAAACAAGCTGGCCAGTACGACCCTATCCTTTTGATCTCCTGTCCACGGTTCGCGTCCATGCTGGGCAATCACATTGTCGAACACAAGGACATCCCCCTGCTCCCACTGATGTAAAACTCTAAGCTCGTCTGTGATACTGGCCAGATGGGCGAGATATTTCTCGGGAATAGGAGTTCCATCTCCATACAGCGTTTGTGTAATGTTCTTTCTTTTTCCAGTTCCTGTCCCAAAGGTATTCTTGTAATATGCTGCCAAACCGGTAAAAAGTGTTGGTAGATTAGTGCTTTGCTGTGTTCGAATCGCTGGCAGCCGATGTGTTACAACTAGTGTCTGGTCGTCATCCTCCCATTTCCAGGTCGTGAACTCGCCTCTTCCATAACGCTTAATTTGATCTTCAATCTTGCGCTTGCGTGTCTCAAGATCATCGCCCTCAATGATCTCTTTACCGAAGGCCTGGCGTAGTGTGGAACCTCCAGCGTACTGCTGTTCAACCTTGTACGTTACCTGGCTAAGTATTCCCTTTTCCGCCAAAGCGTCAATGAATTCAGGGATCTCCCTATTGGCGCGGTTGAAAATTTCCAAGCTCGACGATATCGCGCTTTCACCACCTGTACCTTTTGCGGGAGCTTTATGTGCGTAGAAAAATACATATTCGGGCGCATGTGGCACCTGCGGTGATTCGTTGTGGTTGTATATAAGTACTTCCTTGGGTGCCTCATTTGCTGGAGCGACATTGGGTGCGAGAAGGGGTCGGTCAACGACGATTCCAATTATCTCGTGAGGAGAGTAGCCAAATGCATGCGCAAAGCGGCTAAAGTCGTCTGCAGAGTGGATGGGAAGACCACGGAAGAGAAGAGCGCCGTGGGTGGCGAGTTTCTTGGTCAGGTAGCCATCGTGATCTTTTTGGAGCGATTCCACGGCTGAGACTGCTACATCAAGGGAGGGATTACTCCCAGAAGGACGCAAAGCGAGAGGAATAACAGTATCCTGAGGATGTGGTGCAGAAAGCACACGCTGGTTACTGGATGGAAGAGAGAAAGGTTCGAAGATCGAAATATTTGTTGATAACGCCGGCGACTGCAGCACCGTTTCTTGGCTGATGGATCCCATGGCAAATGTGTGGCGATTATGGTCTATCGTCTGTCTACTTAATAAAATCGGTGTATATAGTAGAGTGCTTTCAGTGTTTCCAGACCTGAAGATAGGTGAATTTAACTTATCTTCGAAGAGAGTTTGCCAATTGGCAATCTGCCTAGACGATCACGAAATCGCCGAGGTAATGCGCCCATTTCGGAGTATGTGCCGCGTTTGTAATACGCGAACCTCTCACCATCAAGGGTTTGGTGGTTAGGTGGTCGGATGTAATGCGTGATTGGATGGATCAATTGTTTTAGTATGATTGTTCAACGCACCGTTTTCTTGCGTGATAGTTGACTTCATACCTTGTGCCGAAAAACGACTCATGCTAGTGTGAATAAAAATGAGTACTGAACTATATAATGTACCCGGCTGATTTTATTGCATCAGACGTGGGATATTCACTCAATTTTCACAGTTTGGCTCGGAACGCATGCTTCTCATGAGATCCCAATCACAATGTCTGCAGAAAACGAGTCCCAAAAAATCAAGACTGTCGGGTCGAAAAATGATAATCATCCCATCCAAGTATACGCGGATGAGGAACCTACCTCTTTGACCGAAACAAAGAGTAAACCACAATTCTTCCGGTCTACATTGTTCCAAATCCTCGTAGTTGGACTATGCGCTTTTAGTGCTCCAGGCATATGGTCAGCCATGAACGGTCTTGGAGTGGGAGGCTCCCAAAGCCCTAACCTCGTCAACGCCGCTAATGCTTTGCTCTATGCTTTTATGACAGTAACCTGTTTTGCTGGGCCATTTATTACCAATGTTATTGGTTTCCGGTCAACGCTTGCTCTCGGATCAGTTGGGTATCCCTTATACGCAGCAGGTCTCTACACAAACAATCGATTTGGGACTACGTGGCTGGTATACTTTGGCGCAGTCGCTTGCGGTCTATCGGCCGGATTCTTCTGGTCTGTTGAAGGAGCAATAGCGACGGGATATCCAGAGCAGCACAAAAGAGGAAGGTATATTGCGACATGGTTCTCGTTTCGCAATATGGGTAATGTGATTGGCGGCGCGATTTCGCTCGCTCTCAACCATAACACACAACATAAAGGAAAGGTTGGGTACCAGACTTATCTTGGCTTCATCGCCATTCAATGTCTGGGTCTTGTTTTTGGGCTTCTATTGTCGAATCCAGAAAAAGTCCAACGGGATGATGGAACAAAGATCGAGGCTCCGAGAGGCATCGATTGGAGGACGGAAGTTCGAGCTATGTGGCGACTCGCTCGTAGCAGGTCTATCTTATTGCTGGTACCGCTGTTTTGGTATTTTGGCTGGATGCAGGCTTATCCAGGGACTTACTTAGCGACGTACTTTACAGTCAGGTCACGCGCACTGGGAAGTTTTATGTCCGCTATTGTGGGCACATTTGCAACCTGGCTTTCCGGGGTTTTGCTGGATGTGCCATGGCACAAAGATCGAAATGTACGCGCAGTAAGCACGTATGTACTCATTGCGGCACTCAACAGCGCAACCTGGATTTGGGCAGTGTATCTTCAGAACGAGTATCGACATACCCAGCCAACTTTAGATTGGAGCAATCAAGCCGCTTTTGCTCGCGGGTTCGGACTGTACATGTTTGAGCGGGTCAGTCTTGGAATGGTTGAAAACTATATTTATTGGTGTATCGGGAATCTGTCTGATTCACCTGGAGACCAGATTCGGTATAGCTCTTTGTTGAGAGGGATTGAAACGGCAGCTGTGGCCGTCTCGTTTGGAGTCCAAGCTGTACCGACTGCGTTGATTGTGACGGCGAGTATCAATTTCGGATTTTGGTTTGTTGCCCTGCCGTTCAGTTACTATGCAACAATTCAGGTGGTAAGGAAGTTTCGAAGCTCATAAGTATGTGGAATCTGACGGGTTATTATCTTACTCAAAGTGTGAGGTAGGGGATGTAAGAGCATATTAATTGATTGATGATAGACTGGCAATATTACATAATTGTGACCACTTGCCAACTCTGCATCATCTCCATATCTCCATTCTGCCTAAATGCTGATTAATATCACTACATTCTGATCTTGATTACTCGGTCGTCATCATATTCTATTCTCACATCAATAACCAAATCGCGTAAACCTTCATCTCCATAACTTCGTGGTCTCAAGAGTCTCAAGATGTGATTGATATTGGAAGAGAAACATTGCTCGCTGCAGCTAAAATTATTTCAAGAATTCCTTGTCCAGTCGATACTTATCACATCAGTTCAGGGAACATCTGTCAACCAATAATGAAGCGGTTCATCTGAGATCCCCATTCTCAATCTCTACATTCACTAATTACAGGGCGTAGTATAGCATGTCGGGGGTCCTAGTATAGAAGCTCACATGGTAGATGAAATTGACTTGACTGATGTTATTGGAAAACCTAAGCAACATCTGGGACCCTTATTCACTATAATCCGATGAGCCGGAGTCATATATCAGCCAGCAAGTCTATAATACCCTTAATGGTCTATTCTCGTTAGTTCTAATATAAATTGGTCCCAAGTTGAAGTGACAAGTAACACTATGCACATATGCACGCATCACTTTTGAGATAGGGCCAATCTCCAATAACAATAGATCTAAAGCCTCCCTGTAACAAGTGTCAATATGTTAAAGAACAACTAGATTCCAAAGAACCTGGCAATTGATATTCACAGACTGTCATTCCTAAGGGTGATATGATTGGCCTCCTTTTCTATTCTTGCCGCGGATTGCGGGGGAGGAAAAGAAAAATGGACATTCAACATGGTCAAGGAGGGGTCTCGAAGCATGTGTACATGTATCATTATCCCATCTTGAGGGGCGGGCAACCGAACCCCTATCCATGCAAATAACAAGACAATAATACGAAAATATAAGATATAAAGATGATTGGTTCATATATTCGTAAAGCCTAGATATGGGGTTCGACTGTGTAGAACATTGCAGGGAGATAAGGTATACAGGTCGATTGAGGAAGTAGTTGCCTTCATAGTCACCCAGACTGTTAGTGGTGTGTCCGCTGTTGGAGGACCAGACGTTGACGGCGCCATTGGAAGAGTGTATTGCAGATAGAGCGGGGCTGCGGCCCGAGTTGTAGTAGACGGAGTTTTCTGTTCATGCCCAATGGGTCGTATTGTTTAAAGCATGCAGGTCAGCTGGAGACATACTGCAGAAGTGATCGCCAACTAATTCGACACCCCAGTGGGTGTCGCCATCGCAGCTAGCTGAGTTTTATGTCACCACATTGATAAAGCTATTGGAGATGGTGATCTTATAGTTTGCTCCTGCGCCATAAGAGCAGTGCTGTCGGCCAAGATATGGTCTATCCAAGACGTCCTGGGTGGGAACGGCTTCTACAGAAAGCTTCAGTAAGGCCATTGCTACCACAGCGGCTAAAGCTGGAAATAGAATAAACTTCATGTCCGAAATAGGAACTCTTGAAATTTTTGTGAGTTCGTCTGAGGGATTCCACGTTTAGCGATGCTGTCTATATGACTTGGTCGGACGACGTTGCGACCTACCTCGAAAAGCAGTTTGAGCTGGGCCTAGTACTAGGTTGGAATGGGAGGCGTAGAATGCTTTACTGATATTTATATCATATATCATGCTGTACAGGTCATCTGAAACTCTACAACTGGTTCCAGAAGTCGGTCATGAAATTTGAATTGAATTCGAATGAATGATATCGTCTTACTTTCTGCTTGTACTTGAAGCATATTATTCTTCTTCATTAGAATAAAGGTATATTATACGAAAGCCGGTCTTAAAATTACCCTGCAAACATACGAACCATTACCTACGGGACTCCAGACAGGCATGTATGGAGAACTTTTTTAATATTCTCAATTTCCTTACGGTATATAATAATGCGTGTTCAGACTCACGGATCTTCCAATAGTATAAAGCAAGTTGATCTAGATCCCTAGCTTCTCTCGGTCGATCTCGCACTGAGCTACTGCCCCATAAGAGATCGTGCTCGTTCCCTTTCCTATGAGCCACAATATGCTAAAATACGAGGATATGGGACGGACAATTAGCTACTCATGACAGAAAGACAAAGTACCTGGCTCGTGGGTTGCCGAGACAGGAATGGTTCTTGTCGATCACACTCGACTTAGCCCTAATCCAGCCTAATTGAGGCTATTCTCCCGTGCCTGATCCAATGGTGCTTCCACCCACGAATTTCCGGGAGCCGCACGGTCTACGTACTTGAAAATGAATTCTTTCTCTTTTTAGTGTCAAAGGTTCTTTTATGTCAGCTTGATGATTTGATTCGAGGATGTCAGTTTAGCTTTGAGAATTGTGGAGAGATCGGCAATTTTTTAAGTACGTGATGCCTTTCAAGGTGCTATGCTCATGATTTTAAAAAAGGTCTACATTTTGCATCACGAACTATTGCTCCTTAACTAGGTACTATTGCACATAATCTACGTAGTGCAGACATGTCAAAGCCCAATAGCGAGCTCACTCCACAGTTTAGTATGATGTGTTGTCCAGCTTCTTTGTTGCGCTCAATGCGCTGGGTGGAAGACCAGATTGTGGCTTKCGCATCGCGGTCAGAACCACGGATCGTCGTTCAATACAACTAGATTAGCTCGACGGAGCTAAGATCATGATGACATCTCTTAGGTTATCGACCGCGATAGATATTCTCGATCTCAGCTCGGACTGCTAGGGGGTGTATAAAAGGTAGCGACTCCCTCTCGTACCTCGCTACCCACTTGTTCTCTCCTTTCTATCCTCATTTCAGAGATCAACAGAATTGCCATCGTGTGAAGTAACATCAGCTCTCAATCATGGTGCGATCCCTTTTTGTGCCATTGGCGCTCTCCGCTTTTGTCAATACCGCTCTTGCAGCACCTGCTACAAGCTATGCAACAGTAGAAGGCTTCGACTCAATCCCAAGTGGATGGGAGCAGGTAGCTGATGCAACTCCCACAAAGTTGTTGAACCTGCGTCTCTCTTTGGCCCCAGCCAACACAGACAATTTCCTGAATACTGTTCTCGGCCTCTCCACCCCAGGGCATGCATCGTACGGCGATTTCCTCTCGCCGGGGGCGCTCCAGGATCTGATAGCCCCAGCTTCTACTGCTTCTGATGCCGTCACATCATGGCTAGACCAATCCCTGTCTGCCAACGCGATCCAAAACAACGGAAACTGGTTAGCCTTGCAGCTATCAGTCGAGCAGGCGGAAAATTTGTTGCAGACCAAGTTTTATGATTACAAGAGTACGACGACCGGTGAAATCAGAACTCTAACGCTGGGGTACTCTGTTCCCACATCACTTACGGAATTCATCGAGACAATCCAACCGACAACCGATTTCAGTGAAGTCAGAGGCTTGCCGCAGATTCAGGCCTACGGACCCGATCTAAGCAACCTCACCACAGAAGCAACTTCGTCGGAGTGCAACACGCAAATTACTCCAGCCTGCCTTCAATCTCTCTATGGTCTACCTACCGCGAGTGTGAGCAATTCGAGTCCTGGAATTGCAGTCCCCGGATTTATAAACGAGTACGCCAATTACAATGACTTGAGTCTCTTCCTAAAGCAGTTTCGCCCCGATTTGAACCCACCTCCTTCGTTTACGGTAGAGTCTGTCGATGGAGGATTGAATGATCAGAGCCAGCCCGGTGTCGAAGCTAATCTTGACATCCAATACACCGTTGGTTTAGCCAATGGAATCGAAACTACCTTCATATCTTCGGGGCTGTCTACTGTTCAGGGCTTCCTCGACGTCATATCCTATGTTGCCAATCTCCCAACTCCACCTACGGTCCTGTCCTTGTCCTATGGATTCGACGAGAACACGTTGGGTACTAGCAATGCGAACAGCATATGCAATGCCTTTGCTCAACTCGGTGCTCGCGGTGTATCCGTTATTGTTGCTAGTGGTGATGGTGGAGTTGCTGGCAGCAGGCCGAGCAACTCTTGCACTACATTTGTCCCGACATTCCCAGCTTCCTGCCCTTACATCACTTCCGTCGGTGCCACCGCGGGAGTCCCCGAAACTGGATCGACACTTTCCGCTGGTGGATTTTCGAATCTCTTCAGTCGCCCTGTTTACCAGGAACTAGCAGTTGAGGCTTATCTGATCGGCCTACAATCTGAATATAGTGGTCGATTTAATACCAATGGCCGAGGCTATCCCGATGTTGCAGCACAGGGGGAGAGAATCGTCATAGAGTTAAGCGGTAGTGGTACTTTGGTTGATGGAACTAGGTATGAAGCTATTTTGGACTACAATACTCGTTGTAATAAGACTAACCTAGACGACAGCGCTTCTGCTCCAATCTTTGCTTCGACTATTGCGCTCCTCAACTCTCAGAGACTTGTGCCTTTGGGTTTCTTGAATCCATGGCTCTATCTCGAAAGCGCTGTCTTGAACGATATTACTACCGGTAGTAACCCCGGATGCAGCACCAGCGGCTTCCCAGCTGCTGCAGGGTGGGATCCTGTCACTGGTCTTGGAACGCCCAACTTTGGAAAAATGCAGCTTCTGATCTAGCTGGCCAGTGGACCACCGGCTTGTGAATACCCATTCTTACTATCACGTCAGCCCCACGAAGTTCGAGTAGAGCTTCTATTGTTAATACATAATATCATACAACAGTTTACTGACAACAATCAATAACTGACCTAATGTCAAATTGCTGTGTTGCTGTCCAGTCATTTAGCAATCAAATCAGAGTGACTTAATCAGTCGCTGTCTGCGAATACCTATTAGTGCCGTATTAATGCTCGCAAGTATATGTAATATAGCTCATGACAATGTAGAGTGGTCTGGGAAGATATCTTGACATGAACCAATCAGAATGCAATATGCCATTTGATGCACTAATCCTCTTCTGGTAAGGTCAACTTTCAATCTGATGATCTCCGGAGTTATCCATGTCAAACCGATCAATTCACGAAAAGCACTCTCTTGATCAAGAGAAATATCTCATTGACAAAATGCCGAGTTCCTGCAGAGATATTCGTGAGTCTTCCCAAACACTTCCCAATCACTTCACCAGTCATACCCGCCGAGCATCAACCTAGACTATCATATACCCTAAAACATTCTGCTTTGAAATCAGACTAACATTTTCTCGTTTACTACGACAGGAGCTGCGCTGGCGCAATGTCTCCAAGAATCAGACTGCATAATGGTGCAACGAAACTCGCCAAACGACTGCCTCCGACCGCCATTGTCAGATGACCTCCCCGTCCGATGTCAGCAGTTGAGCAAAGCTCTTTCGGACTGCAAGTACGTCCCACCGCCCCCCTCTTCTTTCGTGCAACGTCATTTCCATGAGACTAATATGTTCGTTGTTACATAGGCGAGGTCTAGTCGACATGCGCAAACGCTTCCGCGGCAATGCGCCCATCTCCGTGTCGCGCGAAATCGAAGGAGGAGGCGGGAGCAGCCAATCCTCCACACAGGCGCCGCAGCAATTGTATGCAGGGAAACCGGCGTATACGTCTGTCAAAGAGATTAGTGGTAATGAGGTGCAGATGGATCCTGAGAAGACCAGAGGCCTATGAACGAACATTTGTTTGGCGCATGAACAGCGCCTCCTGGTTTGATGTATTGCATGGGATGGAGTTTTTGTCCGTATTTTGTGTATCATATTGTGTATACTGTTTGGAATTGGATGCGGTGATATCCATGTCTATATATAGCTCTACTCTGGATTGCTTACAATCATCATTGTTTCTATAGTAGCTTGTAGAGTATACTCGATTCAACGAAATGAACAGCATTCATATTGCAGTATAATATACATTCATGATATTCTGAAAAAAAGCACGGCACAATGTAAGCCATGCACGAAGGAACTCAATTTACCTTTTCATAAACCCAGCTCAAGCCTTTCTTTGATATATAACACGTTTCGCGCCTTTCTATTTGATCTTCTTCGCCTCCGTGGTCGGCACTGGAGCCGAATAAAGCCACACAAGCACAAAGGCAACGAAGCCACCAATGACGGCCCAAAGTCCTGCAATCCATACCCATCCACCGGTAATCTCCCAGCTTCGTGGGTACTCGTCGTGCGCAAAGTGGCGAACTGTAACTTCGTGCTTTTCTTCGATGTTGGTTAGGAATGGGCGGAGGTAGTTGACGCGAAATGAGAAGATGCCATGTTGGTCGGGGGTGGTGAATGTGACGCTGAAAATGGTGCTGTTCTCAGTGGTGGATTGAGGCAGCAATCTCAAACGGTGGAAGGGTGACAACATGCTGAATTCGAGTTGAAGTTCGTCGTTGGCGGGGACCTTGTATGGCACCCATTTGTCGAACTCATATTCGGAGAGTTCAATGTTGAAGGTCTATTACCCATGAGCCATGTCCTAAAGATCCTAATTGCTAGAAGGCAGACTTACCACGTCGTTCTTGATACGATAGATAGTCGGGTTGACCTCGCCCTCGATATTTCCAAACTCATCACTGAGATAATGCTCAACCTTTCCAACCTTCAAGACACCAAGTTCCTTGAATGTCCAGCCAGTAAGCTGCTTGGCAAATTGCCTGTTTGCAGCTGTAACTGCCGACTTGGACTTGGGAGACTTGACAGACGCAGCAAACCACTTGTCCTCAAGAGCCTCCGCAGATCCGAGAACAGTGAAGCGAGCAGAGTTCCTCGCCTGCAATGCCGATACCAATGCCAATTGCGAGCCAGTCGCAAAACTGTCCTCGACGGAAAGAGAGTCATCCTTGGCGTTGTAGCTATAAGCGGTTTCGGGAGCTCGGAGAATAGGAGCGAGGAGCGGGCTGGCATTTCCAAGGGATTGTCCCACTGGGCGGGGGAGGGCTAGGACACCTTCACCGGAGAAGTAGCGTTTCACATCTGATCTCACGGGATCGGGGAGGGGCAAGAGGAGGACATCGTGCTTTTCGGCGGCGGAGATGGTGTCGTAGTTGAAGTGGTCAACCACAATTGATGAACGGTCAGGCGAGATGTGTAGGTCTAGCTCCAGAAGGAGAGAGCTGATGGAGCTAGGGGTGGCAGACTTGCCGGAGAGGGCGAGGAGGACATTGCCCTCATCGTTGAGGAAGTCGAGTAGAAGCTTGGGTGTCAGTGCGGGACCAAGACCTACGCTGTTGATCAGCTATTATCTTCTCTCTATATAGTTTGTCACTGACCCTTCGATTTTGACGGGAGAAGAATAAGGTGGTCGTATGCTTTTTCCCCATGTGCAAATAACGACAACTGGTCGCTCTTGGGAGACTCGAATGTAATGTCGTATCCGCGGCCTGCCAAAACACAGATTAGTGTGCAATTCGTATTTCCAAAGACGCAACATAGGGATCAAAATGATAGAAGTATATAAATACCTTCTAAATCAGCCCATAAGTTCGAATATAAGCTTTTGTCCTCCTCCAAAACGACGAGCAAGCGGGATCCTGAGCTGCTCAATGCATGTACGCAAGCTCCCCAGATGCCAAGTAACAGAAAAGAAAGAAACGACCTCATCTTGAACCGGGCTCCGCTCGAGGCGGGCTGAAAATTGAATGAATATGTAGGAATGTCTAATTGAGTAGAGAAATCAAGACAACAACACAGAAATCGAAGGTTGGCAGTTGCGACAATAGAAATGGCATGGGGTGCGTAAGTCATAGATCGGGCGACGTGTTGCTCCGGAGTGCCAAGACTGGATGTGCTCCACCCGTTAGAGTTAGCGGCATTGCGAGAATAACCTCATCTTTGATCTCACTTGCCAATTTAATACTCACAACCCGCGCGACCACCTTTCTCCCTCTCTGCAATCGCCAAAAGAGAGCTAGCCTAGTCGGAACAGTAGCTGTGCACTGTTTTATTGTTCGACGACCCCGAAATACTCCAATTGAACGTCCCATCCATCCGTCTTTTCACACATCCAGCCATCCGCAACCATGTCGGCCCCTCAATTCTGGTCCACGCCCTTGCGATACCTCCGCTGGGCCTCGCACGAGAAGCCCGCTATTTTCTACTCCATTGTCCTCGGCTCGCTTGGTCCTGTCTGCCTTGTCGCCATACCGCCTGTCCGTCGCTACTTTGGCGATGTTGACCCCGAGAAGATTCCGCTTTCATATCCCGGTTCGTTTTGCCTACATGTGCATTGAAACTTGACTGCGGGGTTGGTTTGAGCTAATTACCTTCTGTGATGTAGTCCCCAAGGGTCCCCGTGTGATCCCCAAAGGCTTCGATGACGAGTAGATATATTTACACCCGCGATATGGATGATTGGGACTGGATTAAATCGCCGACTATCATACCGTGATTTGAAATTGTCGGGAATGGAGAGGAAACCCCAAGGGCGACAGCGAGTGTCCCTTGAGCTCCAAGAAAGGTTCATATGACCAGGAACGTTTCATAAGTGGTATTCTCAAAACGGTAAAGGAGTTGATATTGTACATATAGAAGTGGATTAATTCTACGCATACAACTTATTTTCTTGTGTTGAAGTGATGCTTTTGATCATTCTCACTGAGCATAGGCTAATAATCTTTAACAGTAATAAGTAGTGCGTAACTTCAATGGAATCATAGGGAAATGAAACGAGAACTGCGAAATGATTGAGAAACTGAAATTGTTTGAGAAAGTTAATGATATACGTATGCTCAGCAGATTTGATATGAAGTTTCATAAATCTCAACATTTCATGGTCTCATTCTTCACACATCCACCTGACCATCCGGTCGATGGATTTCAGTCCCATAGACTGAGATGTCAGAAACATCCGACGGAATTCCCCCTTCCACTACCACCATTTCGTCCCCATCATCTTTCAGATATGAGGGCTCAAGCCTCGCAAGATCTGTCCTGTTCCATGGGAGATCATGATCCATCACTTGAGTACAAAGTAAATGGTTCACCTGCAGGCCATCCTTAAGATCCAGCAGTGTTCGGTTCACAGTCAAGCATTTGGCGTATTTGCGCACTTCAAACTTCATCTGGCGAACCTTGTCGTACAGTATTGTCCGTGCCTTTTTGGACATGGGGCAGGTATTGTGGAAACAGGCGTAGTCTTGCGCAACGAGGTATGTTGTTCCTCCTTCGTGAATTGCATGATATAGCTCCGCGCCTCCGTCAGGTCCATCTCGACCTCGACGTTCCATGCCGGTCACCTGGAAGAACCATTGGCGGTGGATGTTGAGTGCCATCCACATGTAAACGTCATTCGCATAATTGGCTCGCGAGGTAGCAGAAGCTGATCCGACGTTTCGCCAAAGTACCTGTGGATGATGTCCGAGGATCCGTATCTCAACTGCTCCCTTGATCTTGTAGAGCTCTGCGGCTTTCTGCTCGCAAATGGCCCGGAAATGCGGGTTCATGTTCCGTTTTTCAGCGTTTGTAAGGGAGTTCCATTTTCCCACAACGTGTATGACTGCATCCTTGAAGATAGCAGGAGACCGAACCCTGATAGCTAGATTGCCCCAAAGAATCGGCAGTGCCAGTATTGCGCGGTAAAGTAGCTGCCCATGGCGCATCAACGAATTGTCGATGTGAGCACGTACTGCTGCAGCGGCGCCCACACTTTCTGCAGCATCCATCAGATGCACGGCTTTCTCAAGCACGGTCTGGAGAGATGATCCGCTAAGGTCGGGATCCAGGTTGTAGAATGCGCGAAACAAGTTTTTCCATGCCTCGGGTGCATATGCTGGCAATTTGGCGTTGTAGACGTTTTCGAGCATGGAATGACAGTCTGTGTCGCCCGTCGTCCGGCCATATTTATCGACTTCCTATTTGATCATCAGCATCTAGCAAGTCCTTTAGAAGCACATAATATGCTGTGCAAACGTAGTTGAAAAGTGCGCATACCTCTCGGCGGAAGGCTCCAGTCTGATGGCGCTCGGAGGGCCTCAGAACCAGTTTGTAGCGGGTAAAGCGGCCACTGTTTACAGCGGCTTTGATTAGATTGGCGGCATTGGCCGGTGCCACCAATTGGCCAAAATGATGGGGTGCGCAACGCCGGAGGACGTCGGAGTGTAATTGGTAGATCTCGGTAGGAGGAATGACGACCATAACGTCGCCATTGTGGAAGTTGGGGAACTCCGAAGGCGCATGGAGGTTCTCTCGGGAGCTCAATTCGGCCATTTTGAGGCTTTGTTTGGTGAATAGTGTTGTAGATAGAGAGATGGGTGAAAGGAGGAAAGAAGGAAAGAAGAAAAGATGAGAGAGGGTAGAGGATTTATGGGAGGATGTGTAAGGGAAAGACGAGAGGATAAGTGAAAGTGTGGTTGAGGGATATGAGAGGGTAGAGAGGAGGGTAGGTGAGCTAGCAGGATAATATTTGAAGTAAAGGAGATTGGGGGTGCTCCTTATCAAGATGAACAGGGCATATGATGAGATTTGAAGAAGAGAACTGAAGGAGTAAGCTGGGCACCTGATCGAGATGAGATATGGAGTAGAATAAGAACGAAGGGATGAAAGAGAACGATGGGACCTGGAGATATGAATGAAGATGGAATGGAGGGAGTGACTGAGTCAAAAAGTTGACTTCAATATGAGAAGTAAGCTCCGGGTAAGCATCACAAAGCTTTAATTTCCTTGGTTGAAGGATAAAATGAAGGATAAAATGAAGGATAAAATGAAGGATAAAATGAAGGATAAGAGATATTAAAGATCAAGATGTGAAGGTGATCTAAGATGTGGTTAGATTGGAAAGTGTCAATTGTAATGTATCAAACAGTTGAAACGCCTGTAATGCATGTATCTACAACATCGAACCCCAGTGGTCCTGTATGAAGCAACACGGAAACAAAAGGTCTTCAAAGCTCCTGGCAGATGCAACCAACAGGCATACCGAGGGATATTCCAGACGAATGAAGAAGGCGACTTTCAAGGAAGCGCTCGACCAATCCAAGTACCAAATCTCTGTACAGCAACAGGAACGATTTTAACAAGATCCCAGAAAGGTAAAAGAAAAACTCCACGCAAAATCATCAGACAATAGCAACAAAGACCACCGCCTTTTCGTAATCCAATCATCCAATTAGAGGTGGCTCACAGTCAACTTCATCATGACCGCAAATCCGTCGTACTTTCGTCATTATTCCTGGCAAGTCCCATCCGTCGGGTAGCTCCTGAGCCGCGATTCATACATCACCAGTCTACCCCCAAAGCAAATTGACTCCAATGACACCATGCATTTTTCCACCTAGGAAATCGCATTTTAAAACATTCTTTCCTGAAAGATAATAGAAAATATCGCTTCAGTCGGGCCATTAATCCGTGAGTTCCAAGAGCATCCTGCGGGAAATAATGGCACATTCCTATATCCAGACCGCACCGAACCCATCTATTCGGAGAAGAGTTCTCCATTTAACGGGGTCTCCGATGAGGATCCCTGTTCTGCTGTGGGCGACTGGCTCCTGTCCTGTGGTCATACGCAGCTTCTGGAGTGTATCTGGGATCCATTCCTAAACGGGCATCCGAAGGTGCGGTGGCAGCAGGGTAGCCCATTCCAGTTGTGACGGGAGAGTACTCAGGCTCATTATCATAACCAGCTCCTGGATATCGGGGTGCGGCATTTCCTCTCTCATATCCATAGCTGGGATTGCTACTGTAGGTGTAAGAAGGCTGATGGGCATCCGGTGCCGAAATAGGGGGTTGACCTTGACCTGGGCCTGAAAAAGGATTTTGTTGTGGAGGTGAAGCATAGGGGTTCTGGTTATATCCAGGAGACTGTGAAGTAGAGTATGAAGGCGTTGCGTATGGCTGACCTTGGGGTGCGCCATATTGCGTTTGCTGCGCGTATGGATCGACGTAGGGAGCAGGCGCAGCGGCATACGATGGTGGTGATGGGCCAGCCTGTGAACGGAGCTCGTGGGTTGGCGAAACATAGCTCCCTGAAAGCTCGTTAGGGCTTCGGGACCTACGTACATCTTGAACATAAGTACCTCTAGAATAACCCATATTAGCCCGTCGTTCCACTTCTTGTTCCCATCGAGCAGAATCGGCTTTCAAGTCGGCAATCATTTCCTGCGGACAAGCATGTCAGTACGTATTCATTGCAAGACTCAGATTGAAGACCAAAAGACATACTGAGGTGAGGTTCCGGTAAGCTCGTATTAAGTAGCCTGAGCGGCCCTACACGAGATGGTCAGTACCCTAATTATTGATGACATTATCATCTACGTAGCGTTGAGGATTGATAACGAACTTGATGTGTTCCAGGTTTTACGAGAGCATCATTTCCCAGGTATCTGCAGATGTCGGCTTGGATGACTTCTCGGCTGATCCCATCTCCCGGGATAAAGTATTCATTGTGGCGCTCCGGGCGCTCATAAGCTCGTCCAGTCATGGTGTCCAAAGAAGGGCTTAGAAAGAGAATAATAGAAAAGCCAACGGCAATTATAGAGATATCCTTGGTGTTATCGCGAAGATCAATTATCCAGGAAATGAAATTTGGCGGGGTTTTTGAGTCCTGGGTAAGTCCTGTGGGCAATCCTGGTGTTGATAATGATGGCAACAGAAGAATCCGTGGAGAAATCCAGGCAATCAGATAATCCGTGGACTAGTCAAGCGTATGGACACACACAGTCTCAGAGAAAACTTAATCCAGAGAATCCAGGGAGTTCAAGACGGTTTCCTCAATCCAGGACTTTGAAAGTGGGCGACGGTGGCCTAATCAAGAAGAGTGACCAAGTAAATGACTGGTCTGTTACAGGTCCGGCTGAGCAAGTCCACGAGCAAGTAATGAGCAATTTGTTGCAGTCTGGCACATTAACCGAGACAGTAAAATAAAGAAGCAAGGTGTTGAATGGCGCAACAAGCGAAAGATCTTCCTGGATGAAATCCTTTGCGGGCAGACGGCCGTGTGATCCTGTGGAGCGAAGAATCTGTTTGTTTTCCTCTTTCTCCTTCAAGGGAAGGCGGGTCTATTCCACCTTTGATGGGGATACGTTGATGGCCGATGAGGAAGGGCCGGGGTGTGAGTAAGGGGAAGAAGAAAGAAGAGGGAGAGAAGAGAAGAAGAGAAGAAGCGACAGCGAGGATCAAGATAAGGAAGGAAGGAAACGGGGAAGAGCGAACGAAGGTGGGCGGGCAAGGGAAGGAGGGGCGAAGGATTGTTAGGAAGGCGCGAAGGTTGTGGGCGGCTGCTGTGGATTCGCCGCCCGGTTGGCTCTTTCCCTCTTGTTGGGCTGGCTTTGGGCTACGACGCATGTACCACCGTCCACCGACTTTGCTGGTGCCACGACTCTACCTTTATTTACATTCCATGTATGTGCTGCTACATTATTGCTTCAAATTTACTTGTTGATGTTGATCCTGTTCTTTGTTTGTCTCCCCGACTACGGTTCCAGATTCAACACGCTGCGCGGTTGCGAAATTGAATCGAAGTGCGCCATGATCGTAAGACGAGAAGAAGTGTTCTCCCAGTGATTGGCCGATGAACTTGCATTGGGAAGGAATACTACCTTATACCTAGCCCTATCCTGGATTTCAGGATCTTCCATGGTCCCAGTGACCAGTGAGACGGGATCTGCCACAATCTGGATTGGTCGTTTCTTCATCTTGAAGACTCACGAGTCTAGTTCACGACAAGCATTCGCCACTAAGGCACATAAGGACCGGTCGACGCCCACATCCCCGACATGGAGAATCTTTCACATCCACAGTGATGCAAGCTGATGGCGGCTCACTGTATCCAGTTTGGGCCGCTTGTGCTAAGATTTCTGCTTCACGATGGGAGATTAGAGTTTGTATCAATGGATACAGTCGGATTGACGCGCGATGATGAGGTCAGACAACAAGTGACAAGGCTATGGTCGAAATGTCTGGAAGCGAGGCAAGACTGTTGCTGGTTGTTGGGCCGTAATGCGTGGCTTTGGGCATCGACGAGGCTGTTTGGGCCAAAGTGGCCAACTCATAACCGGCTAGGACGAATGCAGTATGGCACATTTTATACGCCATTTACTATTATCCAATGATGCAGATTACGCATTTCGTACCAAACATGTACGCGGTGCCATTTCGATGCCTGCAAAACCTCAGCCCAATTACACCAGCATTGAGGATACTACGTAGTATGTATGCAAGTGATGAAACTCCAGAATGCATTCCTCGCCGAATCGCCGTGGGTCGACAAACACAACAAACAAATCACGGTTGCAGGTCACGGGACTGGCGACGGACCGGCCCGAATTATAAGCCAAGGTTACCGTTACTCGCTGTGATTGGATGTCTCTTTCTAGACAAAGCAATCTGCCTGATATCTTACAAGATCTTCCATGTCCATGGGAATTGCTTGATTCTTCTTCTGAGACTAGGTTTTTTCAATGCAGTCCTTCTCTCAGCCTTTAGCTGCCATCAATATGCTTGAAGCTGGTATGCACGGTCCCCTTGCTACTAGATCTGGCTGAGATACACGCAATTGGGAGCCTGTCGCTTCTTACTGCATTGGTACCTGGGTACCTGGGTACTTTGTACAGGTTACGGGGAGAATTAAATAGGAATGGACTGGGGAATGTGAAAATGGCCGTGACTGCTTTATTTGTACTCGGTATATCTAGGTTTTGAAAGCACCGGTGAAAGCTGCGTCCGGATCGACCTAATAAGGACGGTCCACTACCTTGCATGTTCTACAAACGACTGAAACTCAATATCATGGCTTGCAAAGTGAAGGGTCATCCATATTTGGCTGCACTTTGGCTGCACTTTGGCTGCACTTCGGCGAACCAGGACAAACCCTTCTCCTCAGAGTGAGTCAAATACGGATTCTCTTCTGCGCGCATGACTCCCAGGTGAAGAAGAGTCCGTGCATTGGGCGTGTCTCATATGTAGTGGTGTTTTCACCGCCAGTATATATGCGCCGCCCAACATGATACATGCATCTCCCTTTTCCATTTCAGCATATGCCAGAGTCTCTGCCTTGGGCCACTGCCATCTGTGTTAACAATGTTTCTCATCTAGATTTTTGACAGATCAAATCCTTCTGCAGCAGGTTGAAAGAACGATTTCTTACGCTTTGTCCTAAAACCGATGACCAAGACCCAGTAATACTATGTCGAGTTATGCGGGCCATGTTATCTGTGGGAACATCGAAATTGTCCTCAAGTCTCGTCCACCATCCTCGTTGCGTTGCAACTGGTAAGCCGTGATTTTCTAATTATGCCTGTTTTAGTGATGGTTCGATGCGGACAATTGCCGGTACTCCGCAAGAACTTGGCCAACCATTTGTATGAAGGGATTAGGTGAATTGCCTTGCATGATATGTGACCAAACGGCAAGAAGATGTCCTGGAAGATTGCCCGTAGGGGTAGTTCTGTCAAATGGGCAATCATCGACCGTCGACAAACCCTCATAAACAACCTCGCGTATCCATTCAACGAGTTCCCTTTCAAGCTCTGGATGACACATATGTCAGTAATGAAAAGACGCAAAGTAGGTACTGTATGGGAAGGGCTATGGCTGCAAATGGCGAAGAATTAGTTGAAGAGGGACAGACAGACCTGTCAGGGGAGCGCTATGAGATGTTTCGTGGACTTGAAGGAGCCATTTTTCAAGGAAGACGGCGCAATCAAGCCCACACAGCGTAGCTTCAACATTCCACAGGGATAACTGATTGTGTTTCAAGTATTGGATGCCAAGATTGACGAGGGTAGCGAGGAAATTCGTTGCATGATGCGCTGCTAGAAGAGAGCTCCATTCGCGCCGCACAGGCGGAGATGTATGAAGCACTTGGGCAACCTCGCTAGGTTCCCATGTATAGAGCTTCCTCATTCTAGTAACAGCGAAATATTTCTGAACAAACGCTGGACTTAAGAGAGCGCTTGATGTAAAGGGCAAAGGTCCGTTCGGATCCAGAGGTTCTAGGTTGGACTCAGGCGTCTTTCGCCATAATAAGACCCATCTCTGCAGCGCACATCTATATAAAGTAAACATGTACAACCATTAGTCAGGGGAAGTCGCACTTGGGCTTAGAATCTATCCAGGTATTCTGGTGTGGTTTGGGTGTTACTCACTCAAAAAGGGGTTGATAGTGCTGTGATATATCTTCTGAAATTGATCTCCGTGCCCAGAGTCCCCTTTGTAATAGCCCATGTATCAATACATAGTTTGCCACTAGAGAGGTGTTAGGAAGAAAATGATCCGCTTGACAGTCAGGGGAAAGCAGAATTTCTAATGTATCTTGAAACCGTCGAGGTTGATGGAGGTTGTTCTGTCGCAGTAATCTCCAGGCATCTTCATTCGGTGCTGTCCACTCCTCGCACGGGCACGGCAGCACCAGATTGATCTCGTCGCACCAAACGCTGGGCGGCACATCAAAGGCAATACTTTGAGTGCTCAGGAAACAAAAAGCCAGAAGTTTGGTACGTCTTGCAGATTCCTGTTGCGACCACTCTCGCCAGCCAAGGCTATGCGAAATCTCCCTGCTTTCCTCCAAGTCACTTAAACGCAGAGACTGTCCAAGCAAGCTCTGCATGATAGGTGCTTCGTTCCGAAGATCTAGATCGCTTTGCCATGTGGCAAAATGCGCAAGGCAGAGGAGACAGCACATTTCATCAATCGATCCTTGTCTCAGCGTGCTATGTGTACTCGACGAAGATAACATTCGCCTATTTTCATGTCGTGCGTTGTTATTGCGGTTGGCGAATAGAAGTGCCTTTGAATAATTAAATAGCATGGTGGCCGATTTACTTTCAAACCTATCTAGAGCTCCAAGAGCCATCATGGCGAAACACAGTTCAGGTGGGCACAATCCGAGTTTGAAGGTCGGTGGATGTGTGAAAGGAGATTGGGTGTAGAATCCGGTGAAGTAACCAGCAAGGTAGCGAGTCAACGCCTTACATGAAGGTAATTTGGGGTTGGGGTGTTCTTTCTCTACCTGCCGCAGCGAAAGAACAAGTCTAGAACGCTCGGAATCTGTTACGGTAGGATTCGTAAAATGTGGAATAATCTGGGTATCTGTAAGAGGTTATAAGGCGCTACCGACTGCGTCTAGATTAAAGCAATTAAGCTCACCTAGAGATATATGGGGAAACGGAAACAAAATTGGGGGACGGTAGATCGGTGGCCCATGTTTGACAGATTCGGGCGCAGCGAGCTGACCAAGACTGTTTCCTGCTTCTTTTGAATAAGCTTCAAACCTAAGACGGCACTTTCAGGCAGAGGTAGCCCACTCACCGTCATTTTGTAGTGATTGCCTCGCGGAACCTGAATGACTTTCAGCTGACAGAGGTATACTGCTCAGTCCCGTCAGAATAGTGAGCAAGATATTACGGGGCTTGGAATCTACAGAGCGAAGGAAGAGGTGCAAGTGGTTTACCCTGAAGCTTGCTGATTGCTGGCGAGACAGTCCAAAGAACTGGGCGATTGATGGTTAACAGATCTGGGTGCCGTTATAGAGTTATACCAGCCATGGGGTCCATCATTCAAAGTTTCAGATTGCGAACGAGCTTGAATACGGGTCGAGGGTTCGGGGTGATCCAAAATTTGCATATTTGTATCCTCGTGGGCCGAATGATGCGAGATACGCTCATGCCGGCGTAAAAGGTCACGGCGCGAGAACAATGCGCCGCAGTGGCAGGAGAAGGGTTTCTCATTGGTATCCATAAAATCGAAATTGAAGCGAAGATAAATTAGATCCTGGAGATATGGTGTACTAACGCCGTCTTGTATGACGTTGCAGATGCTCTAGCCTGCGAAAAGTTCTCTGGCAGTATCTGCAAGAGTAGTTCCTCTCATCAAGTGCGGCGGACATGATGGGCTCGTCCATCACGATGCACCTCAATGCTCAGCAGCAAATTTCGGCTCTCGGTTACCGCCCACACTCTCGAGAAAGCATAAAACTGAAAAGATCAGACTTGGAGCTTGAAATCAGCCAAGGAAGAGGTGAGTGGTTGATTAGGAAGAGGTAGTCACGTTCAGACTTTAGATGTCGCCGTCTTACTTTTTCATCCTGGTATTTGCACTGTTGGCATAAAATAGTCATGTGATCTACTACTTGTATTGTCATATGAGTTACGTGTTTTCAGCAAACCATCAAGTGCATTTGTAGTACCACATATATCTTGTACGGGATTGTTACCAAGAGATACCCTTTTTGGTTAAGCGGTATTTTGCTCTGATGAGTTACACTTACAATTCGCGGATGAGGAAGAATTGAGAAAGTGTCTTCTTCCTGAAGGGGTTTGACCATTTCACTCCCACATTTAGTTCTTGTGTGCGAAAGAAGAGCTGATATGGACTTTCATACATACATCTATCATCTACGGTCGTGCAAGAATCTCCACGAGACCTATCCTACCCAAAAACAGAGATTGGTACCTTGATCGCCCATCAGTTCTCAGGCATGGTCTTACAAGTGAACAAAAAGACCCGTTAGTCAGAAATCTTAATGCACACTTTTCCGACGTGAGATCCCGACATCAGGTATTCGTAGGCCTTGGAAGCATCCTCAGCAGAAAAGCCGAATTCCTTCTCCACGGGAAGGCGAAGGCCCTTACGAGCAACAAATCTCACAAGGTCCTGTAGAAGTTGAGTGGAGCCAACAACAACACCGCGTACAACGGCACCTTTACTGAGAGCAAGACTAGCAACGTCGGGCATCTCCTTGGCCTGGGAAAGAAAACCAATAACAGATACATTGCCACCCATCTTGATAGAGTTGATGCTCTCAGCAATAGTGCCAGATCCGCCGTTCTCCAGGACATAGTCGACACCCTCGCCATTAGTAAGGCGCAGAACTTCCTTTGACCACTTCGGGTGCGTCTTATAGTTGACACCATAGTCGAAACCAAACTTAGACTTGACAGCGTTCAACTTCTCATCACTAGAAGATGTGATAATAGTGATGCAGCCGGCTGCCTTTGCCAAGAGGAGACCGGTAACAGACACACCGCCGGTTCCTGTATAGAGAGCGGAGTTATAAGTAGGTGATCGACATACATATATGAGTAAAAGCTAAATAACTTTCTTACCTAGTGCCAGGACGACCTGACCGGGCTTTAGGGGGGTAAGGGCGTAGAGGGCATTCCATACGGTCACACCGGAGCAGACAAGGGTAGACCACTCAGAAAAACTCTGGGGTGAAGATTCGGGGAGTTTCACAGCGGCGGCAGCGGGAGTTGTGAAATATTCACGTAGAACTCCATCGACTGGGCCGCCGTGGCCATTCAGCCAGTCCATCTGCTGGCCGTAGAGATTGGTAGGGTCAAAAGTGCTGATGACGCGGTCGCCCTTGGACAAGTTCTTTACGCCTTCTCCGACTGCGACGACTACACCGGCAGCGTCAGAGCAAGGTACAACATTGTCCTTGACAGGGAATGGGTAGCCCGAAGTAGCAACCCCAATATCACGGTAGTTCAAGGACACCGAATGAACCTTGACCAAGACTTCGTGTTTGGCGGGTATGGGAACCTCCTCCTTGAAGGCCTTCAAGTTGTGTATGGAGTTCCGCGGGCCGTGGATGCGGATAACAGTCTGAGTCTGGGACATGATTATCGGTTTAGAGTGCGAGACAAGCTGGGTTGACGAATTTGAACGCAACGCTGACGGCCAGGGCGGACTTCTCTAACATATACATACCTATATATCACAGTCCAGGCTGGAACATCCAACAATTTATGCAATACTCAGTGGTSGAGCCATAGTGATCGGAAGATGCTGATTCAGTAGAATATCAATGATAAATACATACGAAATTCACCGTCGTCACTCTGATGCATAATCCCCAAACCCCACTTCTCCAAACCTCTCGCCGATTCTCCAAATTTATCGTCTCCTTGTAGAAGGGTTTGTTGGAGAGTTTTGCAACGCATTCCAGCGACGGCAGAAAAAGCTCGGCGCATGGCCATCCCAAGCAGTACTGTAATTGCACAGTCCCATAATTTGGTGGCGATGTTGAGTCGGTTGACGAACGTTAGAAGTCATACCTTACCTGAACGTATTTAGTAATCCCTGATGAGCCATGGACTAACTATGAGCATTCGTCCAATGATGATGCCTTTACGAGACAATTGAAGTCCATTTTAAAAAACGGCTGCAAAGATCCGACACGAGAAACTGGCGCAAGGCCTTTCCCCGAATTTGGAGAATCTTAGAAAGAGCGATGATTAAGCAAGTTAATATTCGCACGGTGGGTAAAAGTGGGTCAATCGCCAAAATGCCGCGTCAGGTCGAACTTGACGCGACTCAATCAACCGTCATGACTACATGTTTATTTCCTGATGAGTAATTCCATTTCAACGAGATACGACGAAATGCAAAGCGCCATAGTATGTCGCGGTCTCCCTCTCCACCGGCAATCCTTCAATCGTCGCCGAGCACTTCGATGAAGTCATCCCGCTATACCTTCCGCCATCTTCATCTTCTTCGCCAGAACTCTCCATCGAGCCCTTTACGAGTCATCGCACATATCGATCTCGATGMCTTCTACGCTCAGTGTGAAATGGTTCGCCTGGGAACCCCGCGCGACACACCTCTAGCTGTTCAACAGTGGGACTCGCTCATTGCTATCAACTACGCCGCGCGACCTTTTGGGGTAACCCGCATGCTATCGGCCATCGAAGCGAAGAAGAGATGTCCAGAATTAGTGCTGCAACATGTCGCGACCTTTCGAGAAGGCGAAGGAGGCAAATGGGCATATCGTGATGACGCTTCGTATAACATCAAGACCGACAAGGTGTCTCTGGATCCTTATCGCGCACAATCGCGCAGGATCTTGAGTACGATCAAGGAAGAGGTCTCGCGGCAAAGAGATGAGATCATTAGTTCCAAGGATGTACCGCTGGAATTTCAGGCGGCGAGAATTGAGAAGGCGTCCGTCGATGAGGTCTTTATTGATCTATCATCGCTAGTATATGCCGTGCTCTACCAACGATATCCTGAACTGAGAAGAACGCCGACAGCATCTGACAAAACTACATCGCTGCCCACTCCACCGACAACAGCACTGGAATGGTTTCCAGAAGACGGATTGGTCGATCTAGATGAAGAGGAAACAGAAGAAGATGATCCTGACTGGGACGATGTTGCCATGTTGATTGGCGCTGAGATCACACGTTCCATCCGCGCAGCCGTCTGGGATAAACTCAGTTACACATGCTCTGCTGGGATCGCTCGCAACAAAATGATGTCCAAACTAGGAAGCGCACAAAACAAGCCCAACAAACAAACCATCATTCGCAATCGCGCCATTCAGAAGTTTCTTGCAGGGTTCCAGTTTACCAAGATTCGATGGCTAGGAGGAAAGCTAGGGGAACGAATAAGTGCCGAGTTTGGAACAGAGCAGGTCAAGGAACTGCTGAACGTATCTCTTGACCAGTTCAAAGCTAAATTGGATGACGACACTGCCGTTTGGGTGTACAATATCATCCGCGGGACAGATGACAGTGAGGTCAACCCGAGGACACAAATCAAATCTATGCTCTCAGCCAAATCCTTCCGGCCTAGTATCAACTCGACGGATCAGGCACGGAAATGGCTGCGGATTTTCGCAGCAGATCTGTATAACCGATTAGTGGAAGATGGTTTATTGGAAAACAAACGGCGGCCAACGACGCTTAGTCTACATCATCGAATGGGTGCACAGGTACATTCAAAGTCTACGCCGATTCCTGGTGGGAAGATGGTTACGGAGGATATTCTCTATGAACTTTCGAGTAACTTGTTAAATCAAGTTATTGCAGAGGCACGGGCATGGCCATGCGCAAATTTGTCAGTTAATGTGACTGGGTTTGAGGAGGGTCCCGTCAACAATAGAGCTATTGATAGCTTTTTTACTTCGGGGCAGAGTAGGCCATCAGCTGAACCATCATTTCCGAAGAAGGTAGCCGAACCGGCAGATGATGCAGAAAGAGCGGCCAAGGTGAGAAAAGTAGCAGTCAAGGGAATTGGGTCTTTTTTCAAAAGGGACTCGCCGTCGTTAGTCAGTTCTGAAAACGACAAGGATAGTGATGATCGCTCTCCGCCATTATTTTCGACTCCAGACATTGTGCTTATGAAGAATCCAGAGGATGATACGAACACCGTACAAGAAATAGATAAGGATATCTCCGCTCAGCATGGCACATTCACATGCCCTCGATGCAATGAACAAGTACCAGAAGACCAACGTGAAGAACACGACGACTGGCATTTCGCTAAAGACCTCGAAGCTCAAGAGGTACGCGCAGATCAGACATCGCGAAATATCGCCGAGCAATCATCGAGACGCACAGCGTCAGATCGCAAGAAGACGGGACCAGGTCGACCGCGGGTATCTGGGACGAAGACGGAGAAGGCAGAGAAGGGGCAGAAACGACTCTTCTTTGGATAGCAGTGTTAGCGATAGAGTTGTTTGTATGTAAGCATATGGTGGAGTTAATGATACCCTTTTCTTTCCTCAATGGATCTATACTTTATTAGTATAGTGTAGATTGTGGCGCACGTCAACCTCGCTAGTAAACATTCTTTATCTACTGTAATCACGGCAGGTGGGGKTGTGATATGACATCAGTCAACACCAGGCCACAACATGTAATTATCTTCATCTTCTGCACTTACCCTTGACTTCACTTTATCCATATTGTTTATTGTTCTACCGGTATCTCTGTTCTTTTTGTATTTCGTTCTTTTGCAGCGACTCGTTTCATGATTGTTGCGCATATTCCGATTTCGAGTAATTTGACTTCTGTTTATGCCTCAGTATATCCAAAACGACAGTACAGATCGATCTGGCAGTTTTGGATACTTCGTCCTATTCGTCCATCTGATCCTGTGAGGCTAGTACAATGTCTCGCCGACCTCCCCCCGACGATGTCTATGAAAAAGACAATTTCTACGAAGAAGTCGACCGCAGGCGACGTAGCAAAGACGACCGCTACTTCGATCCCGACTTTGGTGTCCGACGACGTCGCTTGACACGCTCTCCACCTGCAGTCCGCGAAATCGATGAACGAGTCCGGGTCCGCCGTCGCGACAGTTCTGCGCCTGATTTCATTCGTGATCGTGATCGTGACCGGTTCCTACCTCCACGAGATGAGGACGTTATCTCCCCGCGACGTCGTGAGAGAGAGCGTCTGGACGATTTGAGGTTACAACGAGAGACGGAAGAGCTTTACATCCGACGTGGGACGCCGCCAATATCTCGCCATCGGCCAAGGAGAGTTTCGAGGGACGAAGTCATACTTGATGAAGGCGATGAGATTGATGATTATCGAAGGAAGCCACGAGAGAAAGAGAAGATAATCTTCGAGGAGCGAAGGGAGTCTTCGCGCCCTCCTCGTGAGGAAGATGAGCGCGACGAAGTTGTTATTCGCCGGCGCGATCGATCATTGCCACCTCGCCGAATGAGAGAAGATGAGGAGGATATCATTATCGAAAAGGACAAGAAGCGCATTAACGCGCGTGAGGAACTTGACGACGAAAAGATTGTTTTCCGCCATCGTGATCGTCCACGACGTGAAGACGATTTTGACCGCGAAAGAATCGCCCGGCATAGGCGCTCGATGCCGCCACTTGAAGACTTTCGAGCTGAAGAAGAGGAGGTTGTTATTCGTCACAAGCATGATTCTCCAGGTCCCCGTCGTCGACATCGTCATCGGGATGAGAGACATCTACCAGATGAAGATGAGCGAGAGGAAATTATCATCCGAGAGCGAGAGCGAGATCGACGGAAGCAAGAAGAAATCGAAATTCGCCGAGAGGAAAGGTCTCCTCCTGGACGACGACGAGATGACGATATTGATGATATTCTCATTCGTCGCCGGAGTCGCTCTATTCCACCATTAAGGGATGACGATCGGGACGAAATTATAATAAAGCGTAAAAACCGGTCGTCGCCGCGGAGGGAAAATGATCGCGAAGAAGTCATCATACGCGAGCGAGATCGCTCCGCTCCACGAAGAGACGACGATCTGGATGAGATTCGTATCAAGCACAAAGATCGATCATCGCCTCGACGCGAAGACAACCGTGAAGAAATAGTCATTCGCGATCGCTCCGCTCCACGGAGAGAAGAGGATGACCGGGAGGAGATACGAGTCCGTCACCGTCATCATTCTTCGCACCACAGAGATGATGATTTGGATGATGTAGTAATCCGACGGCGATCAGCCCCTGCACTTGACGATGATGATGATCGCGAAGAAGTCGTTATACGGAAGAACAAGCGCGGAAGAAGAAAGTCAATTAGTCGTGACATTGAGGAAGATGAGCTCATTGTGGATGATGATGACCGAGGGAGAGATCGTATTGAGTTCCGCCATGTTCATAGTCCACATCGCAGCCCGCGTCGTTCTCCTTCCCAAAACAGAGGAAAAGAAGAGATCATAATCAGAGAAAATGACAAACGAAAACCAAATGAAGCAAGCAGGGAAGTTATTATACGTAAAGAGGAATCATCGTCTTCAGAGTCATCACGTGAACCCTCTATTGTTCGCAAGCCGCCCATTCTTCAGGAAGTCATTACCCATCATCGCCATATTGATAGTAAGCTGACCCAATCACCCCAACGCATTAATACTAACAGGGAAAGGCTACGAGGTCATTCCACCAGTGCGACGAGACAGTCCTGAAGCGGAATCAGTTTCTGACGAAGTGGACGTAATCGATATAAAGCGAAGGTAAGCCAGTCGACTTGCCAATGACTTTGTTCACGGCTAATTCTCTTCTAGAGGCGACAAACACGGGCGGCCGTATGAAGAAGAGATTATCATCGACAAGGGAAAAGAAAGAAGCCTATCTCCGCGCGGACGGCCTCCAATTTCCGAGCCCGAGAATGAGTTAATCATCACACGCACCAAATCCGGCGATCATGGAGTCGAGAAAGAAATCGAAATCCGAGAACGAGAGCGCGACAAAGAAATCAGAGATCTGGAGCTTGAGAGGGAAATAATTATCCGCGAGCGAGAACGCAGAGAAGAAATAGAGTCAATTCCCGAGGCTAAGGAGGGAGTCCGCGTCCATAAACGATATACCGACACCAGAAGGAAACGCGATAAACTATGGACTGAAATTTCGAAAGATCTCGTTGTCCGAGAAGCGCTGGAGCGGGCGGGATACGAATTTGACGAAACGGAGAATTTCTACTACGTATTTGACTACCTTCGCTATGTAAGTCTTCCTGAAATTTTCATCGTACCCCTCTAATTCTATCTCAGGACGACGTCGAAAGGCTCGTCGACATGAGCGAGGATATACGTCAGTTCCGCCGCGAACGAATCCGAGGCATGCGGCGTGAGCGCGAGAGACTTCCGCCGCTGCCCGTGATTCCTGGTCCACCTCCTATTCCAGCACGGCCGCCATTGATGTTAGAAAGGGCGCCGTTTCGGGAGCCTTATCCTTGGGAAGAGCGCGAGCGGTATCGTGAGCGAGATGTAATTATTGAAGAGGGGCGACGGCCGAGACGATATCGAGAGATTTAATCTGCCTATTATGCACGACAGTAACAGCGACAACAGCGACGATAATGATGAGGTATGATAGATATGATGTCATGAATTGTTCTTCTTCTTTCTCTATCCATTTCTTTTACTTAGCTTTACTCAGTTTCTGTATATTTCAGTGCATTCTTACGAATTACTACAACGGATTCACCGTACATCTAATGTAGCACTCAACCACGGATGTTCTCGCCACAGTCCCAAGGTCTGGTCAGGTACCCGGGCCCAGAGCCACCGCCTGATCGTTCCCTAGTATGGCTTTGTGGATACCATGGAAGAGTAATGGTAGGTAATTGCCTGTTTGGGAATGCTTGGTATTTCTTCACCTTTGATAGGTATATCACAACTCCTTCTTTGAGCATGCATAGGTATGGCTTTGTCAGTCAGTTCTTCAAATGGTGAGCACACCTGTTACTTAACATAAGTGTATATCAAGCAGCTGAGGCTCTGACAGCTTCATTCAATAGATTACTGTCTACAGATATAGAAGCTCAACCCAAACAATTGTCATGAGACCATCTATATACACCGATCCATATATGTACAGTACGACCACCCAGTCATGTCGAACAGCCAACAGCTCAAGACTCACACATCATCCGCATCAGCGTCCGGATAAAGCGTCCCGGCAAATTGATCATTCTCGCCTTGTAGCCACGGCTCGGCTGGCAACTCATCTACAGAAAGTTCCGCAACGCCCTGGTACAATTCATCACCACCGAAAAACGACATATCGCCTCGAAGCAGGTCTCCCGATCGTACGCTATGCAAATTGCACTTTTTGCATTCAATCACATACTTCTTCACCTTACGCTCCTGCGCGCCGACGCCGGTCGCAGATCCATCGACGCTACCATCAGCATCATAGCCGTCATCGTCGTCAGTATTGTTCTCGCCTTCCTCGCGAATCAAAGCATTATACGCGCATCCGCAAACCTGACACGTGCTCAACTCCTGTACCCGCTGGACACAGTCCTCGAATGCCGCGGTCTGAGCCTGTAAGTAGCTGATGTTCTTCATAAGCTCTTGGGTACGGTGGGAGTTGACTATATAGAAGTTAAAATTGTCTCGGTGCGCTTGCTTGAGTTCTGCGCGGATATCGTTGTGTTTCTTGGCCGCTTTCTGGAGCAAAATAGCGGCGAATTCGGGGTTTAGGTCTGATCGCGCAAAGTCGTGGCTGTCGATGATCTCTGTGAAGTGGTCGGATGCTGTTTCTATTATAACATCGCGCAGCGTCTCGGCGTCTTGTTCCTTTTCAGCAGCAGCTGTGGATGCTGGCGACGGCGTCGTCGTCTCAAAGGCCTCCTTAGCAACCGCCAAAAACCCCTTAGCGGACCACAGGGTCTTTTTGAGAAGCGTCTTGGTCTTCTCAATGGCCTTCCTCTTGAGAACTTTTATCATATAGTAGTCTGCGATAGCATGAACCCCCAACTGCAGCGAGAAGGCGTCAAAAAAGTCATTTGCCGCGGTTTCATCGTCCGGTCCCCATTCGTTGCGCTCTGATGCCGATACCGACGGCGATGACGGCTGGTAGGCGTTGAGGCTGATGTTAGAAATTCCAGCTTCGAGGGACTGAATGTTAGCATCGAGATTGGAGCGGCATCGCTCAAAGAGTGGATGGAAATCATCGCCGCAGTTGCTGTCCACATCCTCTGCTTCGTCCCCTGCGTCGGCAGATTCGCCGTTGGTAGTTGGGTTGACGAATTCGGGCTTGCCCTGGTCGTAGTCTCCCGTGTACAGAAACTCAACCATGCGGCGGACAGTCTGGGCGTCGAATTCTTTGATTTGAATGATATTCTCGACCCCTTCCTACGCACTGTTAGCCAAACCAGTCAACATACTATAAAGAGTCTAAATTAATACCTTCCAAGGTTCCTGGCAAGCCTTCTCCAACACAACCGACTGCGTCAACACCACTGCCTTGTGCACCGGAAATGTCTCGCCATCGCACTCCAGCGTCAAATCACTATATTTCGAATTCATCATCAATCCCGCCATAAGTTCTGCCAATCGCTCGGCAATCCACCAATTAGCGTGCTCGAAAAAGACAGAATTGATAATTCTTTGCGTTTTGTATGTGTCTCTGTCCTCCATGATGATTGATTGCTTGTGCAGACTTTTGTATACTCGTTTGCTGGTTCGTGTACAGTTGATATTGTCGAGGATTTCCGTACGGATTGGATTGTTTCAGTCATTGATTCTATACAAAGTGCCAGAAAAACAAAGCGAATCGATTGATAGAGCACGCTTTTGTTGTCTTGACGCTGAACGTCTGCTCGTTGTTGTACTTAGGTATATGATGACTCAGAGTTTCGGCTGAAAAGCTGACGGCTTTGTTTCTTGCGTCTCTTCATTGTCTTTCTTTCTATTGACTTTTGGAATGTCAAATGATACCATGGCATTATAGCCTTATAAGCTATGGAACTGAGTTAATCTTCGGTATAAAGTTCCCTTCCATCGACGCATGGGGGACGAACCCTAAACCCTACCGACATTAATTACCCGATCGGGCGATAAGCCCTAGAACGTTGGCGATGACAAAAGCATTTTTTTTATTTGTTTCTCAAGGTTAACGAAACACCGTAGCGACCTAGATTAACTCCCTGTAATCGATGGGAATTATCATCCTGTCTGTATTCATGACGCTCTATGTGCCAGTTCAACTTGATGCATCTCGCCATCAGGTCGTAAGTAATCGACATGGCAAACAATTCAATACAATCGTCATAACGCCACTATAAGATTCACTGCCACTTCACGGACTCAACTTCATATGTCCCAACAGGCTCCTATGCAGTCTAAATATTTAAACAGACCTCCAAAACAGCCTCGGAGATAAGTCTCGCCACAATGCATGTGAGCCCGTGAGGTATAAGACGTCCACTAACGGCCAGGATACGAATTTAGATTTGTACTGCATCCAATGCAGTGCTTCGGATGTGGCTAATATTTTTTTTTTTTTTKAAAAATGGATCAACTGATGTACTACGTAGTATATTATCAGTATTAATGATCCAGGAAGTAATCAAAATTCGAGACATGCAGATCGTGCTGATTGGCTGGGTTCCGCTGCTTTTTCGCTGAGTGGATGGATGCGATTTGGAGGGAGAAACTCAATCGGAAATTTGATACGAGGGATACGTCAATCAAGTTGGCGATGTTACCTCATCTCGGCCTCAAGGATGTATATAATCATGGATTACGAATTTGTTTTGAGAACGCTGGATCCAGAACACTGCAGTCATCAATTCGTTATGTCACGACACTCATGTTGAAGACTTGACGTGGTCGAAGACCCGTAGCAAACCATCGTATACCGAGCACCTGTCGATCACACAGGTATCCGCTTGAGACACTGGAGTGTCTGAGCGTTGCTCGCACAACTATCATATCATGCTACAATGCAATTGCAACCCTTTCGAGCCGTGGTAGTAGACTGGATGACCGTTCTTTTTCAATAGTGGACAGTCATCGGTTGGCTCTTGGATGGCGCGTACTAGCCTTATCGCCTGGCACCTCAGAGGCGATGTCGATCGGCACATGGAGTATGCATTCACTCGTAGTAGACATACTGCTTGCGTAGCGGGTTACTGAATAATAATGGCCTACTCAAGTGCTCGCTAGGCCGGCAGCAGACAGCACAGGGGATGTACCTCTTCGCGACTCAAGATTGCGTACTGTGTATGTTGTCTTCGAAGTGATTACTGTGCAGTGATTCCAATCCGGTCAGCCACTTACAGCCTGGGATAAGAATTTCCACCAGATGTGCGTGTCTCATTGGGCAAGGATAGCTAGGATCCGATCCCCTGATCCATTGTGAACGGGTGAGTGATTGGCGCTCGATACCCGCTACCCGCTTTCCATCTGGGAACGCTGGAAAGTGTAAACATTCATGCTACCGAACAGGAAAGGCACTGAAGAGATGTAGACACCAGTGTCTAGGTAGCGCAAACACTTGGCTGTATGTTCTTTGAGGAGAAACTAGCATAAACAACATATACATTGAGGAATACTCGCCATCGTAGTTTTACGGTGGTACGTACTAGTCTCTGCTAGTAGCAGACCCACCCTCCCCTCTAGTTAATCAAACTAACCAACTTTCCTTTCCCCTTGGTCAACTTCCCTATCTCTCCTCTTTGACTCTCTGCAATACTTCTTCTCAGTACTCGTCATTGACTCAATTGTCTCTGCTTGGAGTCTCTGTCTCATCGATTGTCTGACAGGCCTCTTCTCCTTTGTTACACGTCCTCATTTCTACTCTCGTCTCTTCTCCCTTCCGCGTCTTGCCGACCATTTCACCTTCATTCTCTCTATCCTTCGACAACCGCAACCAAAGACCATCAAGCTACCGAACAGATTATACCGGCCGCGAGCGGTGCGAAGATGCTGCTGGCGATTTATCAACATCGTTGTGAGTAAACGTCTACAGATCGGGCACTTGCCCACCGCCGACCGAATTCACCAGACGTCCTCCGACTCAGATTCATCACCTGATCGCTCTGGTTGATAATATACAAGATTACGTCAAGACACGGCGAGGAGGACTTATTCGCTGGCATAATGATGGCTTTCCGAGAGATGGCGCGTCTAGGAGTTGCCGCTCTTCTCATTGGCTCTTCGTCAGTTGCTGCCCTCACGATCGAATACTGTTCTGCCGAAAACACCGCTTCATCAAGCACTGAAAGTATGCTACATCTGCTTCGCTTGGAAGTCTCCGACTGGTACTAATTCTACTATCTAGATACCGACATATATCAATCAAACGGAGCATGCAATACGCAATGCAGTGCAGACTACGCCTTTGCAGTTCTCCAAGGCCAGGACTGCTGGTGCTCCAACTACATCCCTGCTTCCACAGTAGACGTGTCTGAATGCAACACCAGCTGTCCAGGCTATCCATCCGACCTCTGCGGAAATACCGACAAAGGCTATTACGGCTACATTGCCATGTCGGGTCATAAAGCATCCGGAACTGCAACCGGCACAAGCACTGCAACCGCTACTGGTTCCTCTTCCTCTTCATCTACCTCTTCGGTGAGTAATACCCCACTACATATTGCCCTACCAATCCTTGCACGTATATAATTACCCCGGATTCATATGTCAAGGTGGTTTGGTGCAATCTCAAAAATGTCTGGTCTTAACAACCACTCAGGAGGGCACGGCTACTGAAACATCCACCGGACCAGAGACTGTTACTGTAACCGAGTCAGCTTCTACTGGCACGACTCTGGCGACGTCTGTGTCTTCTGTATGATCCGCGAATAAGAAACGCTTGAACACTACTAATGTTTTGTGCCTAGAGTACCTCTACGACATCAAGTACAACGACTACAGCTGCACCAACCGTTTCCGTTCAGACTATCGCCGGTCAGCCCGTGACGATCACGGTCTCGAATTCACCGTCAGCTACGACCTCTAGCTCGCCAGTGTCGACCGAAAACAAAGGGTCGTCATTAAGTGGTGGAGCTATCGCAGGTATCGTTATCGGCGCGCTTGTCGGCGTCGGAGCTCTAGCCGCTTTGGTACTGTGGTGGTTCTTCTTTGGGCGTCGAAAAGGCGATGAGCGCTCTGAAAAGACTGGATCACCAATTGGAGGAGGCGACGGCAGCGTTACAGGCGGCACAGTCGACACACGACGTCAAAGTCGAGGCTCGCAAATGAGCTTCATGCACAATTTCATCGGCAGCGAAACATCGCCTACGTCGCCCAATGACTATCTCAGTCCGAACACCGCATTTACCGATAATCGCATGAAGAAGGATGCAGTTTTGTATCCCAATGGGGATCGGCTTAGCGCGGTGTCTCTTCGCGACGAAGAAGACTATTCGCGCCCTGTCTTGAGGGTTCGTCCGTTTATCCCGGCTTGTGAAATGCATGCTAACCTCGTGTGTCTGAACAGCTCACGAATCCAGATCAAGATTGATTGCGTTATCGATACCTTGTTTCTTATTGCATTTGCATGCACAGCCCGGCACAGCGCAGCGACCACTGTTTTGATCCATGATACCCGTCCCGTTGCCCGGAACTTCTCCTTCACACCCCTGCAACGTTTGACCAACCTCGTCCTGATCCCAATCAGCGAGGCCACGCCATGCAAACGGCACCACAACGTTCTCATTCTAGCATATACATATTGCTTCTTTTTATCATTTCCGCGTTTTCCAGTTTGCGAATTTTCACGGCGTTTGGGGTTGGTTTAATTGACATGATATAGATTCTGAGATAAACTTGTGGAAAGTATACGAACCGCATTGATGACCCTACCAACAACACATACTTGTATTTTAGTCTTCTTAATATCATAAGTGTTGATGAATGAGATTTTAATCGAACCATGATTTGATTAATCGACTGCTTCAAGTGATACTCATTCTATCAAGTCGTACAGATATTGCTGATCAAGGTGGTCAACGTGTGGCTAGCTCAGTGCCGGCTGCTGTGATCAATTGTTCTTTTTCACAGACATGATTGTCGAGGAAGGCTGTAATGTTCGTCAACCAAGTTGTTGGAGCTGAACAGTGCACGACATCCGGAGGAACTGCTTGGTTATGTCCAATGCATCGATGCAGATACTCTCTTTTCAGCTAGAGATTCCCAGAGGAACCAATCTTCAGCACGGTGTCTGCAGAAGACTTGTCGTCGAGCATAAGAATACTGTAAGGTGGGAGTTGTCATGTTTACGAAGAAGGAAGCTAACCATTGGACGGATTTAAGCTGACTCACCTACTTGTTGGCGCCAGCTACTTACAGATCATCTCAGCCAATCACATCATACATGCTATACTGTATCAGGCTCAGCTGCTGATCCACACTGCTTTTAGATCTATAAAACTCAAAGCCTGAATATCCAGGCATCAACATTCTAATATTTAAGTATCTTCCAGTTCTTCCCTCAAATTCCATCCCCTGTTCACCCTTGTTCTCTCTTTTTCTCTCCAACTAGACAGTGTTTAAACTTCGACATTCAACACAAGAACCGAGCAACACCTGAGTAAATATAGAAAATGGCAAACATAACTGTATACCGCGGTTTCCCAGCAACCGCAAACTACGTCTGGTCCCCCTTCGTCACCAAACTCGAGGCGCGCCTCCGGTTTGCGGGCGTATCTTATACACCAGAGCAGGGATCGCTCATAAAAGCACCCCGAGGCAAAATACCATATATGTCCATCGCTACACCTAAGACTACTAGCGAGCCGGAGTTTCTGTCAGATACGCAGCTCATCAGTGATCAGTTGACGGAGCATGGTATTTTACCAGACTTGAATGATCGCTTATCGCCAACGGAGAAGGCCGTGGATCAAGCCTTGAGGGCTTTACTGGAGGATAAGGTCTATTTTTACAATGTATGACTCGGACTTCGGAACGATACGTCGAGCTTGCCGCTAATTAACCAAAAGACAAACGAACGCTGGAATGAAAACTACTACACAATGCGTGACGGAGTAATGGCTGCTATACCATACCCCATCCGCGTGATAGTAGGATACCTAGCCTGGCGTAAAAACAACGCTGGCTTACACAGCCAAGGCACAGGCCGTTTCTCTGCTGAGGAAATACATTCTTTCCGAGACAAGATTTGGCACAGTCTTGACGACCTGCTAGCAGAGTCGAGACACAAGTCGCTGTCTGGTCAAAAGTTGTTCTGGGCTTTAGGGGGGGAAGGGCCTACGGAGGCTGATACAAGTTTATATGGGTTTGTTATTGCTGGATTAGTCTGTGATGCGTATGTCTTTACCTCCGCATCGTTTCGTAGCTCTTGATTTTCTCTTGCTGATTAGTCTTTTCAGTGGCCCAGACTCGAAGAAATTGATTCGCACATTACCGAATGTGGTTGAATATGCACGGAGGATTCATGGGGAGTTTTTCGCAGACTATGCGGCCCCTGTTTGGGAGTGATTCATAGAATTGTCGTTACATATGCATGGCACCTAAGCAAATTATTCAGAATCATCTACTCTGAGTAAATCAACTACGTATTTGATGTATGGGTTCGTGCAACCTTTTCTAAGAGGTGCTGCGGCTTTGGCTGTACATGTAATAAGGAGCAGAGTGCTGCAGCTTGAAGGGAAGAGAAGATGAGATCATCTTGCTATATGCCCGACAATCTCTCCATTGATCCCAAAACCCCTCATTTATATTTGGGCTGTTCGGAGAATATGAAATCCCCACAGACACATCACGACAACCCTCCAGGGCTACAAGTAGTGTGGTTTCCTTAGGGCGTTAGCACAGCCTCGCGAAGATTTGTCCCAAATCAATGTAAAGTGGAGATCATATTACGATTGTACGTTGTGTTTTACAGCTCACTAGTTAGATAGCACACTGGAAAAAAATCATCTGCAAGTATCAAAATTATGTAAGTTCTAGCAGTACGGTTTGTGGAGGAGTTGTGTGGAAGAGACGCACGGGATCAACTGATGGAAACTGTTCACAGGGTCCATGCACTTATTGGCCAAAATAATGGTCTGTTCTTCATACATGTGATATATCCTTCGGTCAGCAACTATTCAGTCCTTACATGAAGATAAAACAAAAAACAAAAAACGAGAGGTCCCAATATCCTCCGATTGTGGTCTTGGCAGATGTAGCATAGCCACAAGAAGGTCGGTCTGGTAAGAATTATGAGGTAATAGGTGGTGGTGAGCAGATGAAGAAGTTAAGCAGAATCAGGTGAGTTGTAATACTATCAGGAGGGCCGTAGAAGGCTTTTGCTGAGATTTGTATTCTAACATCCAATGGTAAAGGGGTATGAGGATCATGCTATTATTTGAATCAGTTGATATATGTAATTCGTCAACTGTGCTGGACAAGAACTCTCAATTTCTACGATATCCATGGGCCAACTTAGTGACGTGTGGAGAGGTATGAGATGTCTCAACTCTATCTATTGAGCAACCGCTCTTTCCCCAAAAGTGCTATATCTGAGCCTCATTATCTCTACCATAGTCAGGGTTAGTTAGTATGACCACCTTGATCTGTCCTCATTCTTTTAAATTACGCTGACACTTATCTTACTGCTTGATAAACACATATAGTGTGGATGAAGCCTGTATCCTATTTGTGGATTGTTCAGGCATTGAGGCATCGACCTCAGGATCCAACATATGCCAATTGAACCTTGCCTTCTTTTCTCATTGGGAATCCGAAGCAAGTCAAACATCTCTCGAAAAACTGCTCTTTGTTGACTGGGGGGAGGATTAGCCAGATCAGGCATCGGTTGACGAAACAGCTGAGGTTATCACATAACAAGTCGGCGACTCTGGCCGAGAGGTTGATCCCAAGGCAAGCAATACGGCAGACCAGAATGAGCCTTGCCTCCCGTCATCTCTGGTGTCAGAAAGGTGTGTCTCTCGATTCTTTTCTCCTCTTCTTTCCTTTTTATTTTGCCATGACTATATGTCAATGAGCGATATCAGGCTACACGGGAAGGCCTGGATCTGGGAAGGACTCGAATCTGCGTTATTGTTGCGTATTGTCATGATGAAAGACCAGGGAAAATTGCTGACTCGCAGTTGGAAGGCTTACACCATCATTTGAGCAAGCAGGGTTTTTGATTTCATTCATCCCAACTCGCATGTATGTGTACAGTTAAACGTGAAGGCCTCTGTTTTAGAAGAATTTTTAAGATTGACTACTACTACTACTACTACTACTACTACTAATATATACTTGTTTTGCACAAAAATTCAATGTCGATTCCAACTATATCACCGGTCTCTAAAAGGACTCTAGAGGAGGATCTGGCTATAGCAAGCAGAGGCTTCGTAGACAGTAGTATCTGAAGTTGTATTAATTTAGCGAGTAGATGATTCTTTGAAGAGGCCGGCATGTTAAAAGATCTCTCCGTTCTACATGAAATGACATCGCTTGATACAATCCTACTACTTGAGAAGGCCTTTTGATCGCTACAGCCAGGTTCTACTTTACTATCTTACCTAGCCCAGTCAAGAGAAGTTAGGGCTACTTTCGCGACAAGTGCGGAACGAAATGCCACAACAGAACTTGGCCGCTAACAGACTATCTCACAATTACACATCAAATCAGACTACTTCCGCTGTCTAATATGTACGGACAAATTGCACAAAAATCCGACGAATTCTTCATTATTCGCCCTTCAATCGGCCTTCATGCTAGAAGTCGATTCGGAAGGCAACTCTTGCCGGGACGGTCCCTTTCGAGTATTTAGTCAGCTGCATTAGTCAGGATGCTGCTGCCATTGACTAGCCACGTAATTTGTCATCTACGTCGGAGCCAATCGAACTGCTTTTTTTCGAGGTCATGTTGGAGAGGACATCGGAATTATCCCGCGAGAATTTGGAATTGTTGATATTAAAAAAGCATATAAGATCACTGCAAGCCTCGTCGATGAGTTTGCTTTATGATATATCAATCGACAATTACAAAATCAGACCTACAAATCAAACAAGAAAACACCTTCCACGAAAACCCAAGATAGCATGGAGTTCGTACAAACATCTCCCGAAGCAAAGATTCACCTCCATCTGGTGAAAGAGTCATCTATCTCCGACTCATCGCCTCTACTTGTCTTCCTTCATTACTGGGGTGGCACAAGTTCGACCTGGCACAAACTCACTTCACCAGACTCGCCCACCTCGCTCAGCTCGCGCTACGCCAGCGTCTCAATCACCAATCGAGGATGGGGACTGTCGACAGGACCTACCGCCGAAAACGGTGCTACGGGAAAGGATTACTCCATCACACCACTCGCGTCCGACCTCGCGGCTGTACTGCAGTCCCTAGCCACGAATCAAACCACTGCATCTATCGTCAAAAACAACGGTATCGTGCTCGTCGGCCACTCCATGGGCGCCAAAGTGGCGTTGGCAGCTCACGAAAGTCTTTCAGATGAGATTCTACCACTTATCAAGGGTGTGGTGCTGGTTGCACCGGCTCCACCGACACCGTTCGCCCTACCGCCCGACATGAGCGAGCAGCAGAAACATGCCTACGACACCACAGAAGCCGTCCAGTTTGTAATATCGAATGTCCTATCCAGCCCGGATCTACTGACGCAAGACGACATCGAAATGCTGGTAAAAGACAGTCTTGCTGGATGCGTGCTCGCAAAAGAAGGATGGCTTGAGCATGGGATGCAGGAGGATCTCATCCCGGTCTTGGATCGGATTTCTAAATTGCCAGAAACTCAAAATGTCAAGGTTCGTGTGTTGGCGGGTGAGTTTGATGTGGTAGAGCAAAAGGATCGGGTGCAGAGTGAGGTTGTGCAGAACCTGGTCGCGAGAGGGTTCAATGTCGCGTTCAGTGTTGTCAAGGGGGCGAAGCACTTGATTCCCTTGGAGGATCCGGCGGCAGTTGCGCGGGCTATTGAAGAGGTTTCGGCTTGATTGTGTATTTAATCCCGAGCAAATAGAGCATGAAGCATATTTCTCAAATATAAGATACGTATGTAGTTCCCAAACCTTGGTTTGTCTGATGGAATGTAGTCCATGTGGTTGTCGTATTGACAGACAGCTGTTGAGCATTCCCGAGGCTCTTGGCCTACGGCACGAAGTATGTCAATGTTCTTTCGTGTTTCAAGTCAAGGTGTAGAATTGTTGAAAGATGAGATGAATGATCCTGGTAATATAATGCATGCCATGGACTGGGAGGCTGCTACTCGTTCGGGTTTAGTTTCGAACGAGATAAAAACGAAAAAAAGAAAAACACACAGGTGCCACTATGTGCTCTTGCATATTGCGTGCATCCGCGGATGCATTGACACCTACACATGTACATGCACTGACCCCAAAGACACTGTGTGACTGGTGAGCCGACCACTCAGATCGTTGAGCCGGTCAGGGTATATTGTGTAGTATACTCGTAGTAGTCAGACGAGAACACACGAGTTGAAACTCAAAGATAAACAGAAGGTAGATCAACAGAGACCGAACGAAATGAAGATCTCCGTTCGCGGCACGAGAAATACGGAGACCGGCAGTGATCCAATGGGCGGTTCGAGAGGCTAAGAGCGCCGACGACGTCAAGGCTTTTGAGTCTATCTGCTGTTGTGCGGTGAGAGAGCTGTACATAATCTAATACATTTTAAGGGTCCATACGGATGGCCGGATGCCTTCAAGCCCCAGTGGAGACATCACCGGAGTGAGATGGTTCTTAAGAGCGGTGGTGGTACGTACCGTAGAAGAAAGCTCAGACAACGAGCACAGAGAAGGTGGAGTCACGGCCCTCCTAGCCCCAAGCAAGAATCGAATGAGCTTTGCAAAACCAAGAACGAACCGTGGCCGGCTCCACCATTAGTGCTGTATCCAGAACTGAGACATTCGACAAACTGGTTGAGAAGATGCCAACGCGCACAGCTACTCATTCTCATTCTCATTGTCATATTCAGATTCAGACTCAGACCTAATAGAGCGAGTATTGACCGAGTTTATAGTCGCCAATAGAAGACATACTCAGTACGTAGGAAGCTTCCTGATCGCAAGCATTGTGACTGTTGAGAATAAGAATCGGACGAGGCACTAGCTGCTAGTGTCCAGACTAAAAAACTCTCCCAACCATCATGACTACTACGGGTACATACTACGTAGACACAAATCCTGCACCCACCAGTAGCACTATCGATTAGATACCTTCTTCTCTTGCAGCTCGCTCGTGCCAGAGAACAACACCCACTCGGCCTGCATTTTTCTCCTCTGGACGTCTCTCGGCCAAAATTCCCCTCCTTGCGTTGCGACCTCGAGGTTGTCGACCGGCCTAGACAATAGTCACCATACTGAAATTCCATCCTGATATTGCTGTTGCTACTACTACTACTACTCTGCAGTAATACATAGTAGTGTGAGCACCGAAGGCAAACCCTGCTTTGCTGCTAATTTCGAAGAGGAAAGGCACCAAAACCAACCGACAGGGGAGCAGTTGGGTCATCCGTCTGGGCCTGCCGGGACCGCGCCTCGCCCATTTCCTTCCTTCCTTCTTACTCTTTCTTTCCTTCTCCCGCTTCGCTTTTTGCGCCTCAATCCAATCCCAAGCATGGACGGCCAGACCTCGGGGACCAGCTCTGCTGGTAATTCCAGCGACTTCGTATGTACTTCCTATTGATTACTTATCGCTTGTGGTCCAGAAAAGTCTAACCAAATGCTTGCTTTTACAGGTGCGCAAATTATACAAGTAGGTTATCTTTGTTCACCCCTCCGACTACTCCATCTTCGCCGACAATGCGATCGCTCGAATAAATACTTACATGTTGGCTAGGATGTTGGAGGATCCGTCGTACTCGGACATTGTGCGCTGGGGTGATGAGAATGACAGTTTCGTCGTCCTAGAGGTCCTGATTCATCGCTTAATCAATTTTCGACCAACAAACTGACTTCATGCTGCAGTGCGAAAAATTCACCAAAACCATCCTCCCCAAACACTTCAAACACAGCAACTTCGCCAGTTTCGTACGCCAGCTCAACAAATACGACTTTCACAAAGTGCGCCAGAACAATGAAGAAACGGGGCAGTCGCCGTACGGGCCCAATGTTAGTGGCCTTAATCCCCCCAAGATAAATTGCAATGACTGACAAGAAAGGCCTGGGAATTTAAACACCCCGAATTTAAAGCTAATAATAAAGACTCGTTGGATAACATCCGAAGGAAAGCGCCCGCGCCTCGAAAGCCAGCCCAGATGAACGAAGAAGCCGTCCCGACTCAGCAGATCGATATGATGAACACTCAACTCTTAGCTCAACAACATCAGATCCAGCAACTGAGCGAGAGAAACACTCAGCTCACGGTCGATTCCCAAATGATCATGCAAGAAGTCATGCGCTTGCAAAAGACGATTCTTCAGCACGAAAATGTCATTCATAACTTTATGAACTACTTGTTCACTGTCGACGCTCGACACCGCCGCGACAGTCGCGCCAACGGTGCCTTTGCTCAGGATGGCTCCGCTGCCGATGATCTCCCTGCATCGCCGTTACAACAGGCATCTAAGATTTTAAGTGACATGACCTCTTCGCAAATGCCGCCAAACATGGTACAATTTGATTCAATGAACGATCCCACCAAAGCACAGATGATCCAGACCCCTCCGTTAGGCGCTGGCGCACGAAACGGCCTCGCCAGAGCTTCCAATTCGGCCGGTTCGAACGCCTCAATGGGATTTGCAAAGATGAATGGAGAATTGGAGACTGTTGTTTACCCGGTCGGCGCGACCAACGGTATCGATCCGATGTACAGCGAACATGTGAACAATATCCCATACTCGATCCAGCCCAAGGACATTGCTGCTCCAGATCCAGTTGCTCAGCAACAGCAAATACAGCGTCCGTTTAGTGAAAGCCGAAAAAAGAATACCCTTGTCAACCCGGGTTGGATCAAACAACCCAATATTTTGCTGGTTGAAGATGACGACACGTGCCGACAGATTGGTGGAAAATTCTTGGGTTCTTTTCAATGCCAGATTGACAACGCTGTATGTTCCTCTATTGATCGATCGAGATTTACCTGCTAATTTCCGCAGTACGATGGTCTACAAGCTGTTACCAAAGTGCAGTCCGGCAAGAGGTACGATTTGATATTGATGGATATCATAATGCCTAATCTGGACGGAGTATCTGCATGTCATTTGATCCGTCAATTTGATCGCACACCAATTATTGCCATGACATCGAACATCCGCAAAGATGATATTGAACTGTATTTTCAACACGGTATGTACACTTCCTCGGTGTGTGATTCACTTGCTAATGGAGACATAGGAATGGACGATGTCTTGCCCAAGCCGTTTACGAGGAAAAGCCTGCTCGACATGCTTGAAAAACACTTGATGCACCTCAAAACTGTGCCTGCTACCGCCATGGACCCAGTGTCGGTAACGCCCATGACAACGCACACCTCGGCGGCGCAATCTATCAAGGAAGATAGTTCTCCTGGACAGTCACCTGCCGCATCGATGAACAACTGGCAGTCTCCTGGCCAGCTTCAGGGTATGTCGCCGGTTCATCTCAACGTCCAGCAAGTGCCACAGTACATGCAACCTATGACTCCTACGGGTCCTTTTATCGACCAGAATGGAGTTCAATACGCAGCTCCATCAGCACTCAGTCAGCCTCCTGTTCGTGGTCAACACCGAAGACAAGTCTCTGATATGTCGAGTGCTCCCGACGCAGCAAGCTACGCCAAAAGACAACGCATGTATCACAACACGCAAATGATGCCCCAAATGGCCGGGCAACAGAATGGTTAATCTGGTCTTCATCAACTTGGTGCTTCTGGACATTTTCCCTTGATAGCATTGGAAATGGCAATCACGGCCGTGTTTTGTTTTGCTTTTTTTTTTGAATATTTTATCCGCTTGGACTAATGTCTATCCAAGACGGAACGAACCAACCGCATACGACAGACATCATACATCATACCGGCGCAAAGGCGTTTCTCGTCTATTACTATCCTTTTTCCTTTCTTTTGTCTAAAGAACGGGCCGGGGCGGTCCACGAGTCTTTGATATATACCTGGGCAAGTTTTGGATCATGACATTCTGGTATCTGACTGTTTTCTATCATTCTCTACAAATTAATTCGGTGGTGGTTTGATTTGATTTCTGTGGCATGCTCATTGCTCACTGCTCACTTAACTCCTCCACTATCCAGATAGTGAGGAATGTGACAATTCATCATCTTTTGTGACATTTTGCGACTATTGCACTCCGACAGGTCTCCGTGATGACAGTATGCATTGGGATAATACACAATATTTCCAGAATATTCCAATGCGACAATCCACAAGTAGAATTGATATATAGCATCATACGTCCAAGCTCCAAAGCTTAGATTAGATAAGTAGCACAATTTCGACCAGGGGTTGGTTCTAGACCCTCAATCTACGCACGAGATCTGGCTGCGTACCGAACCGTCCGGCGTGGGCGCAAGTGAAACACAGATTCAAGCAAAAGCTTGAGGATGGTCTGGGGTGGCAGAGTCGCAGAACGGGCCAGAACGCGATGCGAAGGTCTGGCCAGATTTTCTTTTTTTCCCTTGAAGATTGTTGTGGTGCCTTGTTCTTAAGGCTACCAGTTTGTCTTGTTTGTTTTAAAGAAATCACGCTCTCACCGCTTTTATTTGTGGCGTTTTCTGCCGCGAAATAATCAGTCATTTTATGGACGATGTTCTTTTGTTGTGACGCTCTTTGGTACATTGTATTCGTTTGTCTGATATATTTTAGTAATTGAGATTCTATCTCTGACTCTTTGAGCCTCACTTTTACACCACGATTTTTCAAATTATCGACGGTCCACCAGCGGTCTATCGACTTCGATCTTTCATCAGCCCCGCACCACGATCTCGGAGAATATCACCACAGGCACAAAACTGTCTATGCTTTCTGCTCGATAGACAGGCAACAGTCACCAACCATGGGTCCGAAGCAAAAGGGCGGCGGTGGAGGAAACAAGCAAAAGGGAAATACGGCAGAAGAAGTCGAAGAGACCCTGCAAGCAGTTGTGTTTGCGGATACCTTCGAGACTAGATTCGAGCCGTTTACTTTGGAGAAGCCTAGGGTATGTCTTGTTCAGATCTATAGTGGCGGTAATGAACTGACGATGATAGTGTCTCTTGCCGCTGGCTAATACGCCACTAATCGAATACACGCTTGAATTCCTCGCTAATGCCGGCGTGCAAGATGTCTTCCTTTACGGAGGAGCACACTCCAATTTATTGGAGAAGCATATCAGGTATGTTATCATTCGCATATTGAATACCGAAACTAACCGTGATATTAGTACATCCAGATGGAAAGCATCATCATCCCCCTTCAAAAAACTCACCTTCCTCAAATCCACCTCCACCTCCGTCGGAGACGTCATGCGCGATCTAGACGGCAAACACCTAATCACCGGCGACTTCATCGCCGTCAGCGGCGACGTCGTCAGCAACTTCCCTATCGATGAAGCCCTCTCCAAGCACCGCGCGCGTCGCCAAACAGACCGAAACGCAATCATGACCATGGTGCTGCGAGAAGCCGGTGCCCAGCACCGCACAAAATCGTCTTCCGTCTCGCCTGTCTTTGTGGTTGATCCTACCAAGGATCGGTGTTTACACTATGAGGAGATTGACCACCATTCGCATACAGATGGGCCAGCACGATTGACGATCGATACTGAGCTTCTTACGACGCATGCGGAACTCGATATCCGTCAGGATTTGATTGATTGTAACATCGATATTTGCACACCAGATGTGCTCAGCCTGTGGTCTGATAGTTTCGACTACCAGGCTCCGCGCAAACACTTTCTCTACGGTGTCTTGAAGGATTATGAGTTGAATGGGAAGACGATCCACACACACATCATCAAGGAGCACTATGCGGCTCGAGTGAGGAATCTTAAGGCCTACGATGCGATCACAAAGGATATCGTCACCCGCTGGACATATCCACTCTGTCCAGATACAAATCTACTTCCAGGACACAGCTTCGAGTTGAGACGGGGAAATATATATCAGGAGCGAGGCGTAATACTAGCTCGGTCCTGTGTGGTTGGAAGACGAACGGTCATTGGTCAGGGGACGAGCATAGGCGACAAAACAACTGTGACGAACTCGGTGCTAGGCAGGAATTGCCGGATAGGCAAAAATGTGATTCTTGATGGAGCATATATCTGGGACGGGGTTGTGATTGGCGATAATACGGAGATTCGACAGGCGATTGTGGCTGAGGACGTTGTTGTGGGCGACAATTGCAAGGTCGAGTCGGATGTGCTGCTGTCTTATGGTGTCAAGATTTCGAACGGGATTACAGTCGCTGAAGGCACCAGGGTTACTGTTGCGCCGCGCGAGGATGGGTCCGTGCCTGAAGACGACCAACAGATTGTAGGCAGCGAGGGACGGGGTTATGAATATGTTGGTGAAGAAGATGAGGATGACGAGGATGTGCGTAGCGAATCCTCTGGTCTAAGTACGGCTTTTCCCTTGACTTGCAATGAATTGAAGAGCTAATATATTAATAGTCTACAACATGGCCAATCTATCTCTCTCCACCGACTCCATCTCTACACTGTCAAGTGAGATCTCCGACGACGGATACTTTCACGGCCAACGAAGTGACAGCTTCGGCACTTCTGCATCCGAAGACGACGATCACGATCACTTCCAGCACGACGCATCCAACAATTTGTACGAGAGTATGCGTGATGGTGTCTCGCCCGACGTGGTAGCCCTCGAACTAGTCAGTCTGCGCATGAGCGCCAACGCATCCGACCACCAAGTCCGGCACGCTGTAGCCTCCTCGTTCATGAAACGCATCACCCAACTTGTCACCGAATCCGGCAAGAGTGCCGGCGACGCAGTCCATGATGTCTTCACACGCTACAAAGACGTAATCGATCGATGTCTCTTCGACAAGAACAAGGAGCAGAAGACAGATCAAATCGATATGTTGCTACAGATACAGCAGGATCTCGTCCATCGCGCCAAGGGTGATACCATCCTCTTGTTCGCGGCCAAGGAGTTGTATGATCTAGACATCATCGAGGAAGAGGCGTTTGAGGCGTGGTGGGCTGATGAGCGCTCCACTGCGACCGACGAGATGAAGACGGTGAGGGCTCAGACGCAGCAGTTTGTGGATTGGTTGGCGAATGCGTCGGAGGAAGAAGATGATGACGATGAAAGCGAAGACGAGAGTGGAGAAGACGATGATGAAGAGGATGAAGATAGTGATGAATGATTGTGTTTGTAGATATACCTAGACGTAACCAAAGATGACATCCATGCAGCTAGCTATTCCACTGTGAAGGGGACAATGATCGTAGGAGTCTCTGGGAAAGGCTGTTCATTTCCATTTCATCCGTGTACAGAACATAAAAACACATCTATATTCACCGATAAAAAACACTTCTCGGTTGGAAATGGCCCGTACAACAAATGAGGGACATGCGGATGCAGCTGTGCATTGGGCTGAAATGTCCGACTGCATCATACGCAGTGAGTCAAGAAATGGCCACCTTCATTGCCGTTGCACACTCGCTAGAGACTCAAGCTGGATATCTGCTCCAGAATTCATCTTGCCTCGCATACAAATCGTCGATTTCGCCGAAGCAGAAAATAGTCTAGGGCTGCGAGGTTTACCGATCTTAGTCGATCCGAGTAATTAAGAGGTGATCTAGGTTGACCTTAGAAGGCAGGATCATTTCAAAATCCTAAAATTCCTCTCTAGATAAGGCATTATCTATGTTGCACCAAAATGCCTTTATTTCACCGAGACTATGCTGCTCTAGCCTCAAACCGCTTCATGATCTCATCGATTGTCGCAGCAACCTGATCTGGCCGTGACAGGAATAGGCCATGACCAGAGCCTTCAAGAGTACGAACCAACCATTTTTCCGGCCCACCTACATCTTAAATCATGCCATCCTGTTGCTCCAGTGGAACATTCCCGTCAGCTGTGCATCTGATATAGCCGAGTTGGCCGATGTAGGTACTATCCTGCCAGACCAGAGGCGGCCTAATGCCCATGTTAGCCGCTATGCTCTTGGGACAGACCTGCGAGGGCAGCGCTGCCGATGGGACCTCCGTGTAAGTACGCCAGGACAGCGACGCGCTTGCCTTGCTCGAGTAGCGATTCCACAACAGATTGGACGCGCGCAGCATCATTAAACTGCGTCGTACCTGGAGTCCCGCTGATGCAGGGAAGGTCGACATTTTCTACATTAAAGCCAAGAGCTTCGAGCAGAGGAGTCTGAAACTTCCAGCACCGCGATCCATGCCATGCACCATATACAAGCACGATAGTTAATCTGTTAGCGTTCGACATGGTAGGAAATTGAGCTGGTATAGGAAGTGTTAGCAGGTGAAATGAGGTTTACGCCGTAGAATCAAATATGAAGCTACGGCAGAAGAAATTTATTGTTCCAGGAGTATAAAATTAATCCGAGTCCCGAGTAAGAGTTTCTATATTCATATATACTATATAGCTCTATGAATAGAATATGAGCAGCTGAAAGATGGAACATTCCTCCATCCCGAACACTCATTGGAGGCTGGCTGAAATACACCTAGAAATTGCTAACCACCCAGTCAATTCTGATCACAGGCTGCTCAGCAGATGGAACTGGTGCTAAACTGGCCAGCCACCCTGATATTGCGGTTCTGTCCCTGGATGTCACCTCGACGCCATTAGTCACAGAAGCTGCTAAGGCTGTCAGTGAAAGCGGCCGTGGACTTGACATACTAGTCAATAATGCTGCTTTTGGATACACGACGCCCGTCCTCGATATCGACATTGATGAAGCCAAGAAAGTACAAGATACCAACCTCTGCGGCAGCGTACGTACGATCCAGGTCTTCAAAGACCTGTTGATTGCGAGCTATGGGCGTATTATCAACTTTAAAGTCATCACCGCTGTATTTAGTCTACCATGGGACGCTGCATACAAAATAGAAAGGGGCTCATTGGATGTCCGATTTACTTTTCTTAGTGGTCGACTTGACTAGTAGCAAGAGATACATCTAGGTGTAGGAGTACAGCACGGTATCTGCACCGATACGATCAGTGTGCACGACATATATATTAACATAGTAAGCTGGGTGCACCATTGTTGCAGTTGACGACAAGAAACAATGCCTTCGTATCTGAAAATATCATTTTTAGTCCACTGCCGATTGGCCCTCACATTCTGCGGTCCTTGGTCCAGGTCCAAATATTCAATCCAATTTTAGATCCCGACAGGACAGGCATGCCAGCATGTAGAGTTTCGGCGTACACCGAACCATCCGGCCGGATATTCTCCCAAAAGACTGCGTTGCCGGCAATAGGCTTGAAAGTCACCCCCGGTTGATCCGAGTCACAGTCAATGAACTCGCACCACCTATTATCTTCAGGCTTCGGCAGATAGGGAAAGTGAGTTCCGCCCCCTGTGCAGTTCGCATGCAAGAATACGTTCAATGTGGTCTTGCGGTCTTTCCTGTATGACTCCCCGAAGGCGTCGTAATGGTGTCGGAAGAAGCCGTTCTCCTCATACCGCTGCACGGAAATAGCTTCAATCGTCATCCCGAGCTCCCAATCCTGATTCGTGCGGGCTCGTTGCTCGAGGCATCGAACTACTTCATCTCTTCCTGGGAGGGCTGTGAGAGATTTCCTGGAGCTCAAATCCACCTGGGTTTGGCCAGAGCCATAGACAGCGGCAGGAGCGAAGACTGGTTCGCTAGGGTATATAAGCCAAATAAAAAAAGAATTAAACTCCTGACTGTGCGGGCAAACCTTTCTTGGATAAGATGCTGTGCCTCGGCGTCACTGACGAAAGAGGCTATGTACACAACAGTCGGATTTTCACTGAGGAGGAAGGATTGAAATGGCTGTACAGGGCACAATATTGAGATGTCCGGCTCAACAAATACCATCGAGGCTGTCGGGTCTTCAGTGTCGGCCGAGCTGAAGGTAGGGTTAAAGCCCAATAATGAAGATGACGCTGCAATACCGTGGTTTTGGGCGAGAGACCGTTGGCCCAGGACTACAAGAAGACCGAACGACAGACGGACCATGTCGGGAGACAAACACAAAGAGTTGAGAATCTGAGCACTCAGGACGGGTGAGCTGAACGGGCCTGAAAGGATGTCAAGTGATGGAAGCAAAGCCGCAGTAATAATAGAAAGTACGGAGAGCTTTGAGAGCCGTCCGTCTTGATATAAAGCGGAATGCCAGAACGATATCTAGGACATTATAATTTGCCTATACCATTACAGCTATCCTGCCAATTTTGGATTGGGCGTAGTCCCTTACTTCCTACGACTATAGGGGAGCTTAAAGTACACATATGGGTCGTATGGCGCATGTGAGCCTCTGACCGGTTCGGAACGCTTGCATATGCAACATACGATCTGTTCCTGACTTAAAGTCAGGGGTGCTTTAGAACATGCAGCTGCGGCGAGCCGATTACATTTATCCTGAGACGAAAGCCATTTACTAATATTTCATTTCTGAACTCTGAACTGTTGCAGGTGATTGACAGTTTGACCACGGTGATCGAATGCCCAAACTGTGAAATGGCTCTTTATATTGAGATTATTTCGATTAATTTAGTAGGAAAAGTAGCAAAAACTTTATTGACGAGTTCTACCATATCTCTGATCTGCCAAAATCCTTTTCTCTTCTTGCTTGCATGTAACGGGACGGTAGATCCAAGCTCCACAGTACGAGCGTATAATTTCTTCGATCGAAATTTAATAATTGAACCACACGTTCCCCGAAGAACAGGGAGTCGAAGCATTTTGAAAGCGAAGATGACTCTAGCAATTGATGTAAACTCCAGGCTGGGAACAGATATTGGGAGTGCATCCGTAGGGGGTGCCATCAGCACGGAACACAGGCTCAGTTCCAGGGAAGGCGTTGGTGCATGCTTGCTGCGCTTGACTGACAACAGTCGGGTTGATTGCTGGCGCAGGAGCAGGAGCCGGTGCTGGAGCCGGTGCAGGAGCCGGCGCAGGGGCTTGAGTAGCAGCTGGAGCAGGTGCTGGTGCCGGCTTGGGAATCGGGATGTTCAATGGTATCCATGGCATTTGAGCCTGGACAGCGCCAATGAGGGTAAGGCAAGCAAGAATTTTGAAGCCAACCATGTTGTCCGAGTGTGTGGCAACCTGAATATCGGATCGGCGAGGAGTAGGGCTAAATAAAATTGGAATCTGACAAGTAATTGAGAAGTGTGTTAATGGTAGAAAGCTAGACGAATTGATGTAGAAGATGACGCGAACAGTTCAGGTGTCTGCGATCGATGACCTTATGTATTCGTTCAAGGTCAGGCAAACACAAGTGGATGGCACCGATCTGTGCAAAGCTTATCGACCATATTCTTCACGACTTCTTTCGGCTGGCTTCATTGCTTTTGGCGCAGAGAGCAAGGAGACCCTATGTTGTACTACATGTAAGATAGACTGGTGCTCTCAGCCAGCCACTGATTATCAACTCGGTCCAGCATAAGGAAGCGCATTCCTTTACAGGACGGCTTTTCATGCCATTTCCTGGGACTATCAGTCACAATACAGCTGCAAGGAAGAAAGATATGTCATCTCGATACTGCTCGTCAGTCGTCACGAGTTGAAGATACCTCCCACCGCCAGTTTGGCCTGCAGGATGTCTTAGGTTGGTATGGTGATACGGCTTACTCGAGCTTACTTCATTTGAAGAACTTCACTCAGACCGGTGATCTTTGAGAGCCCAATATCAGAATCACACTCTAGAAAAGGTAAGGGACATGAGATTGGGACAAATCGAGCGCAGTCGCAAGGTCACCTGAGATGACATGTATCTACATGTCCCTCTGGATGCAGCTCTTGCATAGGAGACTTTAAGCCCTGCTCGGGATCAACAAAGAGCGGTCAATCTGGAACACCTTTTCGGAAAGGAGCACGATGATATAAACCTTCGCTTTCAAGAGAAGTTATAAGTTTATAGTCTGCCACGACAGATAATGGGTGATAGTCTCTAACTGTTTCGCAATCTCTATACTTCCTGATCCGCCGCAAGCATGATCCCCAAAGACGCCAGTTTCCGTTCTTTCTTTGCCTATCTCTTGTTCTGTCGGGGGGTGTTTTCGCAGAACCAACCTGTTTTCCCACAGCCTGGGGGGAGCCAGCAACTTGTCTTCTCACAGCCCAATCAAGGCCAGCAACCTGTCTTCCCACAACCCGGAGGCAACCAGCCTGTCTTTTCACAACCTGGGGGAAACCAGCAACCTGTGTTTCCACAACCCGGAGGGAACCAGCAGCCCGTCTTCCCGCAGCCTGGAGGGAATCAGCAACCTGTATTTTCACAGCCTGGAGGGAATCAGCAACCTGTATTTTCACAGCCTGGAGGGAACCAGCAGCCCGTCTTCCCACAGCCTGGGGGGAACCAGCARCCTGTCTTCCCACAGCCTGGGGGGAACCAGCAGCCTGTCTTCCCACAGCCTGGGGGGAACCAGCAGCCCGTCTTCCCACAGCCTGGGGGGAATCAGCAGCCCGTCTTTCCACAGCCTGGGGGGAACCAGCAACCCGTCTTTCCACAGCCTGGGGGAAACCAGCAACCTGTGTTTCCACAGCCTGGGGGGAACCAGCAACCCGTCTTCCCACAACCTGGAGGGAATCAGCAACCTGTCTTTCCACAGCCTGGGGGAAACCAGCAACCCGTGTTTCCACARCCCGGAGGGAATCAGCAACCTGTCTTCCCACAGCCTGGGGGAAACCAGCAACCTGTGTTTCCACARCCYGGAGGCAACCAGCAGCCCGTCTTCCCACAACCTGGGGGAAACCAGCAACCTGTGTTTCCACAGCCTAGTCAGGGCCAGCTGCCCGGAAGCAACCCACAGCCTGTTGTCCCACAGCCTCATCAGGGCCAGCAGCCAAGCAGTTCCCAGTACACGTCTCTGCCTACATGCCCACAAGGACACGACCTGATCTATCCAGCTCCCGATGGTGGCTTCTTCAAATTACAGTGCAACTACCATGGTTGGCATGGCACTCTGAGCAGTACAACTGCAAGTAGCTACCAAGATTGTATCGACATTTGCAGTGCAACTAATGGTTGTCTTGCCATCAACTGGGACTCCCTTAATGGAAGCGGCTGTTCGCTGATGAAATCTGATCAACCTGGAGATACTCCTTGTCCCAACCACGACTTTGCGTATGCTGTTACTCCGCCTACCATCCCCCAGACAGACGACCTTACGCCTCGATGCACAACTGAGTGCCCTGGGGCGGACCACCGTCAGCACACCAGCAGTTCAGGTGAAGTCTTCAAGATGAACTGTGGTAAGCGCCACGGCGCTGATTATTTGGCGATTCTGGACAAGGATTCACTTAAAGGATGCATGGATGCTTGCGCTGAATTGGTTCCATGCCAAAGCGTTGACTACCATGGTCGGTCAAAGAAGTGTTACCTGTCCAAGCATCAGGGCGAGCCTATCATTGATGCCCCAGGGTTCAGTAGCGCGTATAGTCTTGGCTGCAGTGGAGCCTGTGAGGAAAAGTGCTGTGGTGGCAGTAATCCTTGAAGCCCAGGCTATCTCGGTGTCTGTCCTCTTTCTGTTGGTCGATTATTGACAAGGGATGGCGGCTGAGACGGAGAGGATTGAATGAAGCCGATTGTGGGGATGGCGCACACGTTGGGGAGATACCAATGATCCCAAGTGATCATCAGCATGTTGAAAATTCTTTCGTTTTTATGGACCGTGCCTGTGAAGTGACATGACCGTAGGTAGTCGAGACATTATGATTGTATTTGACCTATTCCATTTTCGTCGCAATTCCAAGTTGGCGCCTTATATTACAGGCACCAATACATAGCTCACCTGCTGACATGACAACCCCACTTTCACCACTCTAGGGAGTAAAGCCTCGCTTTACTTTCATGATTTCAATACACTGTCTAGATTCTTGGATTTTCAGTAGTTAGTCATTATCTGATCAGATCAGGAATACTAGAATAAAATGTCTTGGCGGCTGTCTATTGGTTGGCAGGTCGTCGTCTCCTCTCCAGATCTACTATTTGCCGCATCATCATCATCCGTTCTGGGTGGTCCGATGCGTATTGGCCGGTATTGGCTGTATTAATGGCTGTTTCCCTGGGTGGTGACTGACACTGTGACACCATCGGACTCTTTCCTTTCATCTTATTTATCACCACCGCGCCTCAACCCTGACCCTACAACTTCTCCTTTTTTTCATTCACTTGCTCTCCAAAGAGGACTAAGGGCTTCTGAGGGATATAGATATTTGTTCCTTTTCTTTCCTTCCTCTTCCACCTTACAAATCGCCCACCCTCCTCTGAGCCTCACCTTACCTCACCGCAGATCCTCCCGATAACCCCAGAAACACCTTCACCACGCCTCCCACAACGAGAAAGAGGAAGGCAGTTGAGGAGGCGGCGACGACAAAAACAAAAACCACAAACTCAGAAAGGAAGGTCAACGGCCGCAAGAGTATACCCGAGGCGACTAGATCAGGATCCAGATCAGGGCTGGGCCCAGGGTCAGGGCCCAACAAGACGCTGCGGCTGGAACGGAGTGTCTCTGTTCACGAAGAAGGAGAACAGTCCTCTCAAGTATCATCTGAGAACAGCAAGGATAGCGACAGCAAAGAGTTCCCTCTCTCGCTCAGGAAGAAGGGCTCCCCTCTGGTGACGCCCACCACAACAACGCGGAGCATGGATTCGGATGATGATTTCATGACTGATGTCTCCAGTCGAGAGGAGGATTTCCTGGATATGCAGGATAGTGAAGATGAGAGTTTAGGCGAAGGTGTGTTTATGTCTTTTGATAAGCTGGGTGAAGTAGTGACTGACTCTTTGTTTGTCTAGATTTCGGCGACGACTTCGGCGACAGTTTCTCCTACGACAAGGACCTTGTACAGAAAACCAAAAAGCCCTACGAAGTGGAGTTCAAAGTCCTCAGCCCCGCCGACATTGAACGCGACCAAAACTCTCAGATCACTGAAGTATCGTCAATTCTCGGCTTACCTCCGGAATCAGCTGGTATCCTGCTACGCTTTGCACGATGGAATAGAGAAAAGTTGATCGAATCCTACATGGACCGGTCAGAAGAGATACTGGAAGAGGCAGGGTTGGGCGACAGCTTTGAGGTAAATCCTAGAACTGAAGTTGTGCCCGGTTTCATGTGCGAGATTTGCTGCGAGGATGGTGACGATCTACAAACATATGCTATGCGATGTGGCCATCGGTTCTGTGTGGAGTGTTTCAGACATTATCTTTCGCAGAAAATCAAAGAGGAGGGCGAGGCAGCGAGGATCCAGTGTCCACAGGACCACTGTCATCGGATCGTTGACTCCAAGTCGCTCAACCTACTCGTGACAGATGAATTGAAGGATAGGTAAGACATTCGCTTCCTAGGACTGTCCAACCTCCGACATACTGACTGTAATAGATACAAAATGCTACTTACTCGAACATACGTCGACGACAAAGACAACCTCAAATGGTGTCCCGCCCCAAATTGCGAATTCGCCATAGATTGCGGCGTCAAAGCTAGAGATCTCAATAAGATTGTGCCTACAGTGCACTGCGCATGCAAGCACAGTTTCTGCTTCGGATGCGGTTTGAACGATCATCAACCGCCACCCTGTTCGTTGGTCAAGATGTGGTTGAAGAAGTGCGAGGACGACTCTGAGACTGCGAACTGGATTTCGGCTAACACGAAGGAATGTCCCAAATGCTTGTCGACCATCGAGAAGAACGGCGGGKGTAATCATATGACGTGCCGCAAGTGTAAACATGAGTTTTGCTGGATGTGCATGGGCCTCTGGTCTGAACATGGAACCAGCTGGTATAACTGCAACCGCTATACGGAAAAGTCTGGTTCGGATGCTCGGGATGCACAAGCGCGGTCTCGCGCATCGCTCGAACGGTATCTCCATTACTACAACCGATACGCCAACCACGAGCAGTCGGCCAAGCTGGACAAGGACTTGTATCTGAAGACCGAGAAGAAGATGACCAGCCTTCAGTCTCAGTCGGGCATGTCCTGGATCGAAGTGCAGTTCTTGGACACCGCTTCTCAAGCATTGCAGCAATGCCGACAGACGCTCAAATGGACCTATGCGTTTGCTTACTACCTGGCGCGAAACAATCTCACTGAGATATTTGAGGATAACCAGAAAGATCTGGAGATGGCCGTCGAAAGCCTGAGCGAAATGTTTGAGAAACCGATTGCCGAACTGGCAGAGCTCAAGGTGGACATTCTTGATAAAACGGCTTACTGTAACAAGCGTCGAGTTATTTTGCTGAGCGATACAGCAGAGAATTTGAAACAAAGTAAGCTTTTCTCTTCCGGAGCACGAGATAAAATACTGACTGAGCGGACAGATGAATGGAAATTCAACGTGGACTTATGATGATTAGAATAACGACCCTATTGACTAAGCTGTGTATTTATTGTCTTCGGCTGGCATGTTCTGTTTTATCTCAAGAATTGATTCATTACTCAGAAGCGATCTCATGTTTCCTTTCTCACGACTCACTCTTTCGAAATGGCAAGATCATGTGCATAAGTACTTTTTTTCCTAACTATTTAACGCTGAATACATCCAGAGATGCGATCCACTACGGAGACGGACAGACGGAGTGTAATTCGTAGTATGTAGAAAGAGCACAGACTTGCCCTCCGGAATCGGACATGGCAGCAACGCTGGGAGGCCGCGGAAAAGCGCACCAACACCGCGCCAACACATATCATAAATATTGCCACTGCCTGGTTTCTTCCATTGGCTTGACTCTCTGACAGTATACCGGACTGCAATGATAAAATGACATGAAGAAATAACATACAAAGGACGGAGTTACTGCTTAGGGCAGCTCGGGCCGGTGAGACGCTTGCTTAGCGGCTTTCCTCGGTAAGAATTTGGGGAATCAATCTGATAAGGATTGTCTTCTGTGTAGGGAAGAAAGAGTGTTGCACGGTAGTTTGTGCTCATAGGAAACAAGATAATCTCTTCGTAATGTTCATGGTGGATAGAGAGCATCCTTCACGCAAAACGAAAAGAAAGTAAAGAAAGAAAAAAGAATAAGTAACAAGACAGGCCGAGGCGGTTCTACTTAGTCAACCATCCTAACGGAAGGTGAGATGCCAATGCAAACCGAGCAAAACAGCTACACCAATTTCCGCCAGACTTTTTATTCCTTCCACTCCGACATCTCTTGACGATCTCACTCCAGCTGGCTATTATTCTTACTACACCCATCACTCCCCCGACCATCTCCTCTCTACACGATTCTCTCCGCAGCCTACGCCAGGAATTTATTCCTCCTATCTGCTCTCCTGCATCACCGCCGATAATCCATCAAAATAACTTCCTCCGGGACTCAGCTTGCGGCTCCGGCTGCGCCTTCAGAGCTCTTTCCAGCTCGGATGGCGGAACACATTCCTGGACAGGAGTATGAGTATGTTTTCATTTTCTTTCAGTTTCTGCACTGAATGCGTACGGGGTCGGGCTGGTCGGATTGGCATTTGCGTCATGATTCAATGACCCTCAACGATACGATCTTGGACCACATTTGAAAGAACATGTGGGATGAGCTAACGTCTTCATGATACAGGTACGAAGCTCTTCCTTCGAATTATGGCTTKGGCCACAATATGTTAGCCGGCGCTTTTGCGGGTATTGCGGTATGACTCCTATACAGCTTGGGACAGGCAGCGGATGGATGGACTGATGGAAAAATAGGAGCATTCGGTTATGTATCCCGTTGATTTGTTAAAGGTTTGTTTATACGATCAGCGGCCATTCAATACTTACAGCAAGCTAATTGACCTCAGACGCGAATGCAAGTTTTACATCCGACCTCCGGCGGGCTTTATACTGGAATCACGAATGCGGTGTCGACCATCTACCGAATTGAAGGGTGGAGGACGCTGTGGAAAGGCGTTTCGAGCGTGATTGTGGGTGCTGGTATGTGTATAAACGGGGCTGAGGGGTCTGGAAAACGGCTAATTTGGCAGGTCCTGCCCACGCCGTCTATTTTGGTACATATGAGGCCGTCAAGGAGTTTGCGGGTGGAAATGAGGATGGTCATCATCCATTTGCTGCTGGTAATTTTTCTCCTGAGATGTGATGAAGGACGTTACTGATATTCGCAGCTCTGAGCGGTGCGTGCGCTACTATCGCCAGTGACGCTCTTATGAATCCATTCGATGGTATGTTCGCCACACAATTTTCGATATCGTCCCGCTAACTCGAGCAGTCATCAAACAGCGCATGCAGGTCCATGGATCCGTTCACAAGTCAATCGCGCAATGTGCCCGAACAGTGTATCGAACCGAAGGTCTGCAGGCTTTCTACGTCTCGTACCCGACCACCCTCAGCATGACCGTCCCCTTCACCGCCACGCAATTCGTCGCCTACGAGTCAATATCGAAATTCATGAATCCGTCGAAGGAATACGATCCATTTACTCATTGTATTGCAGGAGGTCTCGCTGGTGCCGTGGCAGCTGCAATTACCACCCCTCTTGACGTGATCAAGACACTTTTGCAAACCCGAGGATTGGCGACGGACCAGGAGATTCGTTCTGCACGAGGGTTATTCAATGCTGCTGCTATCATCAAGCGTCAATTCGGATGGGCCGGTTTCCTGCGCGGACTGCGACCTCGAATTATTTCGACCATGCCCAGTACGGCGATTTGCTGGTACGTTTCATGCTTCCTGTTTCATGATCTGAGCAAACTGACTGACTGTACAAAGGACTTCATACGAAATGGCCAAAGCCTATTTCAAGAACCAAATGTCTGACAAATAAACAAACCAGCAGCTAACCGTTCTCAACGAATATCATGCGTTTCGACATGACACCTCGGCGAACTAGACAGGTTTCTACGTCCGTTTACCCACAACATCAATTCTCTACAACCGCTACAAACAAATAGGAGTCAAAGAACGTCATTTTTGTCCGCACTTTTTTCCTCGACCTCCGAAACCAACGGGCTTCTCAATTAGCTGCTACGACTCTCTCGCATCATAACATTCCATTTCAGCGATGTATATTGTTGCTCGTCATTTTCATCACAACCTCCAAAGGACTATGAATATTCACATCACAACAGCAAACGTTCGATTCGGCGTGTCTTGTCTTCATCAGCATGAAGCACTTTTTTGGTTTCTCGTCCGAAATTGGGATTCTTTCATCACTGCAACTGTATTTCGTCACGTTGCTTCTTTATCGGCGTTCAAGGGGGACAATAAAAGATCCTATACAGACCTGGGAGAAAACGGGTGGTTTTTTTCTTCATTTCTTATCATCTACTAATCACCTGGATTTGTGGGGTGTTTTATTTTTCCTCGTGGTTGTTTTTTGTATTGTTCAAGGTGTTTAATGTTTTGTGTTTAACATGTAATCATAGATACGTGGCAGAAGGTTGTTTGTCTCATTCAAATGGTGAACGATTGGCGATTGTGGAAGGGGAGAAAGACGTTACTAGGTATGCAGACAAGAAAACATACAGAATTGTCTGAACAAAGTTTATGAAGTATATTCTACAAACATATGTATGTAAAATGTATGGCAAATGCGCTCGATCGCCGCGTCCGTGTTTCAAGATACCGTAATTACGCCGTAATGTATGAAGATTTCACTACGTCACTGCCCTTTTTCATCGATCTTTGCCGTGATATCTGTTACAGCCCAAACCATGTCCTGTATTGAATATAACATTACTTACAATAATACGCACCTATATTGCATCTACTTAGATAAGTTGGAATAACTACATATTTTTCCTATAGTGCAATTAGTATAAATATAGTCACAACCATGTAGAACGAACAGTCTATAGGCTGATAATCCTTGCTAGGAAATCGAAGTATGTGACTAGCTCAAAGCAGCCCGGCCAAAAACGAAGATCAAATACAGGCCGAGTAACGACGTCACGCGAGAAAGACCCATCAGTCTGCCCACTCACACTCGCTGAACAGTCTCACTCCATTCTTTCGGGGGTGCTCAGCCACATATTGATCAAAAGGACTGGTACAGTACTCATTCCACATTGACTTCTAAATTTGTTTGATATCATTTCCCAAGACACATTCATGATCAACCCCTCCTTCGGACTCCCCACTTGAGACCTTCGGGAGCAATTGCGAAACGATTCGAACGAACAATCGCATGGCGAGCTCGAGTCCGCGCCTCCCTTCTAGATGATGCGCTCAAAGCCCTCGTCTTCCATGCAGAAGACGTACGACGAGTGCTATTTGATGTGTTCTACTGCCGTCTACTTTGAGGGACAGGTAAGTTGCCTCACCAAACGCAACTAAGTCTATACTAACGAAGTACATCTGATAGAACAACGAATCTGAAGCCCTACGATCATGGCGCTCCGCTCTCGACACTATATACTACCACAACGCCTACCGCGTGCCCCCAAACTACGTGCCCAAATCCGAGACGGAAAAAGCTCTCCAAGACTCCCTTCGACAGCTCGAATTACAATGCAAGGAACGAGTCGACCTGTTGGAAGCGTTGCAAGAGAGTAGGAAAGAAGCAGCCGCTGAGAACGAAAGTACTGATGAGAAGGATTCTTCTGGAAATAGGCCAATGGGTCCGAGACCGCCGAAGTTGGGAAAGGGAAAGAAGCCGTTGATGAGTACGAATGCGAGCAGTAATAGTCCGCAGGGTTTTATTGGGAACGGGACTATACCTGCTGTTGATTATATGGATTTGTCAAAACCTCCGCCTCTACCGGTGAGACCATCGTCTGCAGCGGTATCAGTATCGTTGACGCCTGCCCCGTCTCTGGAATTGAAAGAACCAGCTCCTTCGTCTTCGTCTCCTCACAGACTTTCGCCATCACCTGTTCCAGCTGCGGTATCTTCGCCGGGTACACCACTTACGAAGGAATCGTCTCGCGGCTCGAGTCCGGAAAGAAGAAAGATTATGCTTACGACGCTACGGCAGAAGAAAGATCCTAAAAAGTCGAAATACAAATCGTCGTCTTCGAGCCGTAGTGCGACTAGGCCGGCAGCATCGAAAGCTGCAGGGCTCGCTTGGGGGACCACCAGAAAACCAGTGCCTCTTGCGGCAGAGTCTAGTGATTCTGATCTGCGGAAGGAGACAGAGTCGAGACAAAGATTGTCCAGTGAAGATGTGTCAAGGAGAAATGGACAACAAAAGGTTGCCAGCAGTCCGTTTTCATCAGATTATCTTCCGAGCTCGACCTGGAGAGAACCTGCGTATCCCGATCAAGCGCCGTCACCAGGTCTTACTTCTCCGCAGATTGATTCTGCTGCTGCCGCGGCTTCAAAGTCACTTACGGCGGATGCATCGAACAAACCGCCGCCAACGGCACCTAAACCGTCTATCAAGTCGTTGCCACCGCCCAGATATCCCGCTTATCGAAAAGAATATCTTTCCCATCCAGCCACTGCTCCCAGTGAAAGAAATGTTAGAACGCCACCACTCAACCGATCTACTTCCGCAACGCAAAATTCTACAGTATCACCGTCTACAGGCGAGACATCAGAGCAACCAGCACGAAGAACGTTCCCTAAATCACAATCTACCCCACGAGCATTGAGTTCTACCGGAGCAAATCGAGCATCCGTCTCATCAATCAGTGGAGACGAACCAGCTCGCCCACCGCCGCGAAGGTCAGATGCAAGTTTTGACGGTGCCGCTGCTTCTGCTGGACGGAAGCCAAAGCCTCCTGCACCAAGACGAAAGCCTAGAATTACGCCGCCATCGAGTGACCAGGACTCTGCCAGGGAGGACAGTTCTTCTGAACGAGAGGAAGATCCTAAATTACGAGACATTATGAAGAAATTGCCTAGAGGAATTGATGTGAATGCCGCTCGGCAGATTCTGAATGATATAGTCGTCAGAGGCGACGAGGTACATTGGGATGACGTTGCGGGTTTAGAAGCAGCTAAAAAGGCGCTCAAAGAAGCTGTGGTGTATCCCTTTCTACGACCAGACTTGTTCATGGGATTACGGGAACCTGCGCGAGGCATGCTATTGTTTGGACCACCAGGTACAGGAAAGACGATGCTTGCGCGGGCCGTAGCGACAGAGTCCAAATCAACATTTTTCTCCGTCTCTGCGTCTACACTCACCTCGAAATGGCACGGAGAAAGCGAGAAGCTTGTTAGAGCTTTGTTCGGCCTTGCCAAAGCATTAGCGCCGTCGATTATTTTCGTTGACGAGATTGATTCTTTGCTCTCGACACGGTCATCTGGAACGGAACATGAAGCATCCCGTCGATCCAAGACAGAATTTTTGATTCAATGGTCCGATCTACAACGCGCCGCTGCAGGACGAAACCAGTCAACCGATAAAAGTCACGATGGAGGCGGCGATCCAAGTCGAGTGCTTGTACTGGCTGCAACAAATCTGCCTTGGGACATTGACGAAGCCGCTCGACGCCGATTTGTGCGTCGACAGTACATCCCATTACCAGAAGATCATGTCCGCGAACAACAAATCCGCCGCCTGCTCAGCCATCAGACCCATGAAATGTCGAATGAGGATATAGAAGTTCTCGTCAAAGTTACCGAAGGTACCTCTCCTCAGACCCCTCTTGTAAAATAATTCTAATAACATTGAGCAGGCTTCTCAGGCTCGGATATAACCGCCCTCGCCAAAGACGCCGCCATGGGCCCGCTGCGCAATTTAGGCGAGGCATTGCTACACACACCCATGGATCAAATTCGACCGATCAGATTTGAGGATTTCGAGGCGAGTCTGTATACTATCCGGCCCAGTGTGGGCAAGGATGGATTGAAGAGATATGAGGATTGGGCGAGGGAGTATGGGGAGAGAGGGGGGTAGCCATATCACTTATGAGTGCATACTGGTCGTTGCATGCGTAGGTCATGACTTATCGATGTATTATATGATCAGAGAATGAAAACGGATTCATACACTTGTATCAAAAGTGAATTGTGAGTTGAAGTTATATCTAGATTTAGGAACAAAATAAATGTACAAATCGACACTAACCTACATCGTACACACCACCCATCGGGCAAACAAACAAATATCTAAGCACTAGCCTGACTCTGAGCAGCAGCACGCTCAATAACCAACCCCCGAATCCTACCAACATGCTCCTTACTCTCCACAACCCTCCTCATCACCTTCCCAACATCGCTTTCTCCTTCCTCGGCAGCTTTCCTGCTTGCCTGTCTCATCAACTTCACCATCCTCTTGGCCACCATTTCCTCCTCTCTCTCCGCCCTCGTCGGCACAGCAGGCCTCTCCTCCACCGCGGACCCAAACGGCGCCACAATCCTTTCAACAACATGCCTCACACTCGGCGCTCTCGGCGCCCCCGACGAAAACTCAATGACATCCCCTTCCCTAAGCGAATTGCGTGGATCGTGCACGAGATAGGTCGTGGTTTTCGGGTAGTATTTCCGAATCTTGCGATCCCATTCGCGGTGCTGGTAGGCGACGCGCACGGTTTTTGACATGAGGCCGACACTGGTTACAGTGCCGCGTTTGAGGGTGTAGGGGTATTGTCTGATTGAGGGTTGGGGGACGTCGGAGGGCCAGCTAGTTTCTTGTTGTTCGGAGGGAAGGATTTCTTGTTCGGCTTCTTTGACTTGGTCGATTATGGGGGTTGGTGAGGTCTGCGTCTCGGAGAAGGTTGAGGCTGATGCCAGGTTCTGGGCATCTAATTGTTGTTGTTGTTTTTGTGCGTCTAAAGATGTGGACTGCTGCTCCTCAACTTCGTTTTCTGCTTCTTGCTCTTGCTGTTGATTCTCTTCCTCGCCCTTCTTTGCGGCTTGATTCTTCTGCTGTTCGCCCGTCAAAAAATTCCAGATCGATCGTCGCGAGCCCGAGGCGTTGATGGCACCTGCATATCTGGTCTGTGACTGAAAGGCATTCATTCTAGTTGCAGATCTTGCCACTGTCGAGGAGAGAAGCAGGCTGCCTCTGAGGATGTTGCTGGGCGCCATTTTGTGTCGGGKGAATTCGTCGGCGGAAGGTAGGTGTAAATTTTGCTCGAGTCGTCGGACGCCCGCTGCGTCAATTCAGCTATTCTTCAGTAGCCCCTGAAATTGAAAGACGTTTGAAAGTAAAACGACCTCCTTATTCTTCGACGAGGTAGCGTAAGGTCGAGCTTGTAATTAAAGCAAGACCGTGTATTGTTGAATGGGAAGACTACGAACGGAGATGTTGCGGATGGATTTCTCGCTGTGTTTGCACTGTTTGTCTCTACTATAAAGTCCTGGAATCGACCAGTCAGCGGTCTACATTTTACTTTTGACAAGATAACAAAAAAGTTGAATGACAATTATTTTGGGTGTCTTGCATGATATTAGTAACAGGCGTTCATTAGTGTACATGTAAATCGTTTATTATCATAGGTACCGATAAAAAGTCTCGTATTCAATGAGGGAGAAAGAATAATCCAAACACGCCTTCCGTACGCCAACCTCTGCAACTCGTTTTCTATTATGACCTGTAGTATCTTGTCTTGTCTTGCGACCAGCTCAAGTAATGAATCTAGAATTTACCTTCTTCTTCTGCTTCTCCTTCTGACGATACCACTACAACCTCATCTGGGGCAGTCTGCTCGCCGTCGCCGTTCATTACAGGTGTGGACACGCCAGGCACGAGAAGCGACGCTTTTCGCACTGAGACCTTCTGTTTTGACTGTGCCGAGATGCGTTTCAGTTCACTGACGAAGGATTGTCCCCAGAATGCACTCGTGTATTTGGAGACGTATTTTTCGAGCTTGGAGAAATTAAGTGCTTTTTGTTCTTCGCTCATAGTTACGGCTTCTTGATAAGCGCCGGCGAGTTCTTCGGTGTTCCAAGGGTTGACGATGATGCTGCCATTGAGTGATTGAGCAGCTCCAGCAAATTCAGACAGAACAAGAACACCGTGGCGCTTGTGCTGTGTAGCGATATATTCGTAGGCGACGAGGTTCATTCCATCGCGGGTAGAGGACACGATACATGCGTCTGAAACGGCATACAATGCAATGAGCTCGTCAAAGTTGACTGATTTGTGCAAAAAGTGGATTGGCATAAACTCCACGGTGCCTATGTTTATCAGTCAATGTTCAAAATAATGGAGCAAGCGCACATACCGAACTTTCCATTGATCCGGCCAACAAGCTCATTGACAACTGCTCGCAGGTTCTGGTACTCCTCGACGTCCTGTCGACTAGGGACTGCAACCTGTACGAGTACCACCTTACCAACCCACTCGGGGTGATCACTGAGGAACACTTCCAAAGCATGTAGTTTCTGTGGTACACCCTTGATGTAATCCAAACGATCTACTCCGACCATGAGTTTCACTCCTTGGAACTTCTGTTCAAGCATCTCAATTCGTTTCTGGACTTTTTCTTTCAAAAGCCCTTCCTTGAACTTGTCCGGATCAATGCCGATGGGGAAGGCGCCAGTCGCGACAATCTTGCCTTGAAACTCGATTCCATTTGGTGTGGTTTGGAGGTTACTAGATCTGTTAGTTCTTGTCCCCTCAAGATAGCAAGTATACTGACAGAAGTCGTGAACAACTACTCAAAAAGTGTCGTGTGTAGTCATATGTGTGGAATCCAATCAAATCACAATGCAAGACACCAAGTAAAAGTTCGTTCCGCACAGGCAGAATCCGATAAATCTCACTGCTGGGGAACGGTGTGTGAAGGAAGAAACCAATCTTGACATTCTTTTTCGTATCGCCAATCTCTTCTCGCAGCATCTCCGGTAGCAGCATCAAATGGTAGTCGTGGACCCATACCAAATCACCATCCTGGACGTCCTTCGCAACGGCTTGCGCAAACAGACGATTGGCTTTTTTATATGCGTCCCATGCATACTCGTCGAATGTGATTTCGCCGGGGTGGTAGTGAAACAGCGGCCAAAGGATCGAATCTAGACAACCGGCATTAGCATCAGTCGCATTAAGCAAGCAAGCAGATATACTCACTAGAGAAGCCATTGTAATGTCGATCAGCAAGCTCATCATCAATCATGACAGGAATGGCCCCGTATTCATCCTTGAGCCGTTTCTGCACCACGGGAATCTCTTCTTCGGGAACCTCCAAGCCGGGCCACCCATACCACCGGAACGTAGTCGATTTCGTCAGGCCACTCAACCCACTGACGAGACCACCTGATGACATGGAAAAATCATACTTTCCATCATCCGAGCGCTTGATTGTAATGGGCAGTCGATTCGAGACGAGGAGCAATCTCGACTCCTCGGTCTGGGGTTGTTCTTCGGAAGGCATGTCGGCGTATGTATAAACGGTATGAATTGTAGGGATGATATGATATGATGGGGTAATCTAGACCGGGCGATTCGACTGTCTGCAGAGTTGGTAGCTAACGTGGGGTAAGGAACAGCTTCGTAGCGCAATCAATTCCTCAATTCCCTTAAGAGAGTGTCAGTATAGTTGTCAAAGAATTGAGTACATGCACCGTCCGCATTGAGTTGAGTGCCTGAGTACGAGACTTTGAGGTGACAGGTCAAACAAGGAATGCGTCGGGTAAAAACCGGGTCAAATTCCGACGACGGCACGATGTCATTGACTTTTGGAAAGGCGACAGGGTTTATGCTGGTAGGATGCGATGAAAAGACAGGAATAATGTCATATAATATTAATAATGATGAAGACAATAATTACCTGGAGATTAACTGATCCAACAGACCCAACTTCATACACGAAGCGCGCAGTGAGGTAGCTTGCGGTTGGAATGACGTCTCTCTTTGTTCACCGGAAACGAAGCTGGTGGAGGAGTAGAAACTAGAGTGTCTAGACTCTTTTTTCTCTCTCTTCACGCAACACACTGAGAGCCGGGCAGTGGCAATGGCGCAGCCAGATGGAACGGTAAAGATGTCCTCAATAACGACTTCATTGAGGAAAAAAACGAGAAAGAGAAGAACACGTAGGATGAGGCATGGAATAATATATGGAGAAGGTTGAGCAGAGAGTAGGTATGGAGGGGCAACATCGGGCAGTGGAGACCTGACTGTACATAACTGCCGTCAGGTAGTAAGTTACATACAGTAAGACATACAGTCAGTACAGCAATACTACATACTACCACACCATGAAAACCGCGCATTATCATGCCCATTATACAAGCAGACGAATACAAAAACAGAAACCGAGCATGAGACCACGCTTCCGATTCTTACTCGTAGCCCTAAAAGAGCCTATCACTTGGTTCTCTCTATCATTCCTAGAGTTCCTAGAATACCCTMCCCTGGCAAGCCACATGAGGGGAAGTACTCTCACAAAGCAGGTCTCTGTGCAGTAAGCTGCCACTCTCCAGTATCTCCATCGTGCTCAACCTTGCCCTCCGCTTCTAATTTATTCAGTACCTGAATGACGCCATGCGACGCCGGTAAATGCAGACTCTCAGGCACATCCTTATAGATCACTTTCACCAACTGTATCGGCGTCCAGCTCGACACTCTCTCCGGCGAAGATTCAGCAGCTGCTACATCCAGCTTGCCGAATTTGAGCACTCGCAAAACCTCATTTTCGCGCTGTTGGCGGTGGTTGATGTAATCGCCTATCTTTGCGCTGGCTTCGTTGATTATGGCGCCGTGGCCCGGGTAGGCGCGACCCCGGACTGAGTCTTTCATTTTCTTGAGGCTACTGAGATAGGTGCTGAGGTCTTCGAAGACGGCTGTTCCATGGCCCAGAACATCTAATTTATTAGCATCCCGATCCTTCTCACCTGTCTTCCGGAGGTAAATACATACTGTCGCCGGTAAATATAGCATCCTCCTCCTGTAATATAAAACTCATATGATCGACCGTATGCCCCGGTGTATGAAATGCCTGTAGCGTCGCGCCATCAGCTCGAAAAATCTGTCCATCTTCAATATCGGCCTGTCCGTCTTTCGGTTGATGTTTGTAGACTGTAGCCTGGGGGCAGATTTTTAGTAGATCCGGCACGCCATTGATATGGTCGGGATGCCAGTGTGTCAGCAATGCCTCGTGGACAACGGCGTTCTCTTCTTTGAGGACTGACTGGAGCAGTGTGGCCCAGCGGGGGCGACCTTCTCCAGTGTCGATCAAAAGACGTCGAGGACCACGGCCGACTAGATATGTGTTTGTTCCTGAGGATGTCAATGTACAAATTCTCTGCAATGATTAGAATGACAAACCTTGTAATGTAAACTAGCCCATACGTTAAAATCAGTCTCTAGAGCTGCTACCAGGGAGAGGAAGGACTAACTTTGCCAGGGTTTCCAGCTAGAATTCTGATAACTGTAGTACTTAATCGTTCGACCTCTGGGAGCGGCACGAGCTGAGTAGCCATGGTCGATATTCGCAGCAGCGATTGGTTTATCCGTGTGAGAAATAATTATGATTCAGTTTACGAACGAAAAATATGGTGCGACAATGTTTGACAGCAACTAGAAAAGCATACAGATCACTTACTCGGTCGATATAAAGTAACATCACCGAGCCTCGGCAATTTTATACGTGATCTTATCGGAAGATTATGTCATCCCATAACGATCTACGGTTGAAGAAATATTGAGGAACAAGTTATGGCAAAGAACATCGTTATACACTGATATACCTAATCTGAACAAGAAAAAATAGATGACATATAAAACATGACGGGCTATCTCCATGCAAAACACCAAAGAAATCGAGCCAACCATAGGCAATAAGCTGTAGCATTTTTAATTATTTCGCTCAACCAGTCTCAGTTTGACATATCACAAAATTGTCAAGCTCTGAAACCACAGTTTTCTCTAGTGGTATCACAAATTTGTCGAAATTATTCAACCTCGTTGTCTCATAATAGTAATTTATTTACCGCTCTTGCGGGCCATGGTGTTCAAGGCAGATCCGTCCTTGAACCACTCAATCTGGGACTCGTTGAAGGTGTGGGAGAGCTTGATGTCAAAAGAGCTGCCATCCTTGGGGTGGACACGGAGAGTGATGGGCTTGCCAACAGCGAGCTCGGTGCAGAGCAAGTCAACCTTGGCATCGGGGGGGATACGGTCGTAGTCGGCGGGGTCAGTGAAGGTAAGAGGAAGCATACCCTGCTTCTTCAAGTTGGTTTCGTGGATACGGGCGAAAGAACGGGTGATGATGGCAAGACCACCAAGGTGACGGGGTTCAAGAGCAGCGTGCTCACGGGAAGAACCCTCACCGTAGTTCCAGTCACCAATAACAACCCACTTAATTCCACGAGCCTTGTAGTCACGAGCAGTAGCAGGGACAGCATCGTACTCGCCAGTAACGGCGTTCTTGACCTTGTTGGCCTCACCGTTCTCGGCGTTGATGGCACCGATCAACATGTTGTTGGAAATGTTGTCAAGGTGACCACGGTACTTCAACCATGGACCAGCCATAGAGATGTGATCGGTGGTGGTCTTGCCCTTGGTCTTGATCAAGATGGGGATGCCCTCAGCATCCTTTCCATCCCAAGGCTCGAAGCCGGCAAGAACCTGGAGACGGTCACTGGTAGGAGAGACGGCGACCTCAATGGCGTCGCGGTTGGCGGGAGGAGCCTGGTAGGTGTCACGACCGGGGTCGTATCCACGCTCGGGGAGACCTTCACCAGTGGGAGGAGCGAGCAAAAACTCGTTACCGTCCTTGTCCTTGAGCTTGTCGGTGAGAGGGTTGAACTTGAGGGTTCCGGCAATGGACATGGCGACGACGAGGTCAGGGGAGGTGACGAAAGCGTGGGTGGCAGGGTTGGCGTCATTACGGCCAGTGAAGTTACGATTGTAGGAAGAGACAATAGAGTTGGCCTCACCCTTCTTGACGTCCTTACGATCCCACTGTCCAATACAAGGACCACAGGCGTTGGCGAGGACAACACCACCGAACTCCTCAAGAGTCTGGAGCTGGCCGTCACGGGCAATGGTAGCACGAATCTGCTCGGAACCAGGAGTAACAGTGAAGAGAGCCTTGGACTTGATACCGTGGTTCAAGGCGTCACGAGCGATAGAGGCAGCACGGGACATGTCCTCGTAGGAAGAGTTGGTGCAAGAACCGATCAAACCAACCTTGACCTCCTCGGGCCAGCCGTTGGTCTCAACAGCCTCCTTGAACTTGGAGATGGGGGTGGCAAGATCGGGGGTGAAAGGACCGTTGATGTGAGGCTCGAGTTCGGAGAGGTTGATCTCGAGCAACTGGTCGTACTCAGCACCCTCATCCTCGCGGAGCTCCTTGGCGTACTCGCGAGCATAGTCACCAATCTGCTGACGCTTGGTGGCCTTGAGGTAGTCGTACATGCGGTCGTTGAAGGGGAAGACGGAGGTAGTGGCACCGATTTCAGCACCCATATTGCAAATGGTACCCATACCAGTGCAGGAAAGAGACTCAGTACCAGGACCGTGGTATTCAATGATGGCACCAGTACCACCCTTGACAGTGAGCTCACCAGCAACCTTCAAGATAATATCCTTGGGAGCGGTCCAGCCAGACAACTGACCAGTAAGCTTAACACCAATGACCTTGGGGGCCTTCAACTCCCAAGGGAGACCGGCCATAACATCGACGGCATCAGCACCGCCGACACCGATAGCAGCAATACCGAGGCCACCAGCGTTAGGAGTGTGAGAGTCAGTACCGATCATCAAACCACCGGGGAAAGCATAGTTCTCCAAAATGATCTGGTGAATGATACCGGAACCTGGCTTCCAGAAACCAATGTTGTACTTGGCACAAGCGGAGGAAAGGAATTCGTAAACCTCCTTGTTGATCTCGTTGGCGCGAGCCAAATCCTTGTCACCGCCGAGCTGGGCCTCAATCAAGTGGTCACAGTGAACGGTAGCGGGGGTCTGAACAGAGGGCATGCCGGCGGACATGAACTGAAGGATGGCCATCTGAGCAGTAGCATCCTGGCAAGCAACGCGGTCAGGGCGCAACTTCAAGTAGGACTTTCCACGCTCGATTTCTTGACCGTGAGGGTCGTCCAAGTGAGAGTAGATGATCTTCTCAGCGAAGGTCAGTGGTCGGTTAAGACGGCCACGAACGATGGCGAGGTTCTCTGCGAATTTCCTAAAAGCGGTCAGTACTCGTTGTTCTACATGTCACCTGAGCTGCTTTTGTTTATTGCAGCTTTGAAGAGTATCATACTTGTAGTTGATGTAGTTGCCCTATTAAGCCAGATTGACGTCAGCATTGCACACCCTTGTTATCAGCGAGGATCCGCTAACCTTTTCCCAGTTGGTCATCTCGACCTTCTTGTCGAGGGGAGAGTCAGAGACGGTGGCCATTCCACGAGAACCGAGTAGCTACATTGATTGTTAGTACAATTGGTATCAAGCTGACTGTCGCGGCCTTGTTGATAGCACGAAGTCGATGAATATGGTGGCGCGGAATGACTTACAACTCGGGACTTGGTGCCCTGTAGACGAGAAATTGTTAGTATCATTGACGAAACGCGCAATCTGTTGGAATTCTCGTGGGCGCACGAGTTCCTCATCGCACCAACTTCAGGACAGAAGGCAACTTACGACCGCACCCAAGCGGGTGAGCCTAGTGGAGATCATCTTGATATCTCTAGGCAAGATAGACAGAGCTGCGACTCATTCAATGAGTAAAGCACACGATGTCCAAGAATAGCCCCAAAGCCTGGACAGAAAATGTGGAGGGGAGATGGAGATGAAGAGGTTATAAAAGAAGGAGAGGAGAGGAAAAAGACAGGTGAAAAAAGGTTGGCGTTGCTATGAGCAGAAAAGAACGCAAGTGACGCTGGCGGGTGGTACTCTAAAACCGGAGCTTGAGCCGGCAGTGTGTTACGGATTACGGGAGCTCGTATTGAAATTTACATCCTTTTCTCCTGTTGCTCGGCAGGAGTCAGGCCAGGCATGCGATATCCGGCAGGTGTTGCTGTATCCAGCCAATCACCGGGCTGCTAATTGCTCTCTCCCACGGAAGGAGAACGAGACTAATACAGGTAAAATACCGCATCCCTTTAGCGCGTACGCAGCAGGTACCACTTATACGCTCCCGTAAATTACGGTGGAGCGTGCAGGTGCCAATGGCATGCAAGACATTACAAAAGCTCAAGCTGTCTCAACCCGGTAGGCATGAATACACGATTCCTCGGTAGCATGACTCCTAGAAATCACTGCGTCGATTGCAGGAGGAGACATAGTTTTTGCCTTTCCGGCTGCATGGCCCTAGCCGCGAAAATATGGCCCTGTTCAGGACCGTCTATCAGCAGATAGCCATTCAAGCACATGCTCGGACGATGGCGACACCCGTAACCGGATAGGTTGACGAGGGGCAAAAGCGGCAGCCATTCCACGATGCTCATGACAGTTATGTTACACTTTAGCTTTTGAAACTTTGCAATTGACTTGAAACTAATTCAGACTATCGTTGCAATTGTGTACTTCAGATCCCTCAGACCAGGAACAATACTACGTACTCGATGCGTGTAAACAAGTTCACAAGCAACTAAGAAAGCTAGTGCAGCAGGGACGTCATAAATTACTTCACTCCATACAAAGTGTTACAGGTTATAGCTTAGGAAGAAAGAAAAACCTGCCGTGGCCGGATTAGCCAGTGTCCTCTATCCGATCTTAGCCGGAAGCGCCGTTTTGCATGGCCATTAGACACTAGCCGGATTCGGCGTTTAGCGCTCGACCCGCCGGCCGCTGTCCAATCAGCGCTTAGATAAATCTACCTGAATTTTTTTTTGTTTGTTAGGCTTCACATGGCAGCGCTGCAGGCTTGTTATCGACACGACTCAACCCGTGAGATTACTGTGTCCAGACAGTCAAGTACGACAGTCACAGATTGCCGATTGATACAGAGATATTCAGTTTCCAGTCTTTGAAAGCGCAAGCACAAAAGAGCAGAATGGGTGCCACCAGAAGACTCAAGACCAAGCGACGCACAAGGTACGGCAGACTCAACAATCACCATTAATTCATAGCTGATTGCCATTAACTACAGAGACTATGATCAAATCCGTCAAGACCTCACCTCCCGCAAACACCTTCAAGACTTCCAAGACACCAAGGACGCCGAAGATCTTCCCGGCTTGGGGCAGCACTACTGCGTCGAATGCGCAAAATGGTTCGAGACCGAGCACAATCTTGTAGCGCACCGCAAGGGAAAGAATCACAAGAGAAGGTAAGGCTCGAGCACTCGTGCGAAAAAAATATTGCGGACGGTCTGCTGACAATGCTCCTCAATTGATAGACTGCGAATCCTCAAGGAAGATGTGCATACACACAAGACTGCCGAGCAGGCAGTGGGACTGGGCGTCGATAATGGCAAGCGAGACCAGACGCTGATGGATACCGACGAACCTGAAGCCTAGTGGCTTACTCGACGATCATACGATCATAACGAATAATGAAACAATAAACGAGGCGAAGAAAAAAGCAATTCGACTCTGGACACTTGACACAACAATTCGACCAGGCACGATCGCGAAGGATATCGGATAAGGGATGCTCTACCAATCATCCTTAGCTTCAGTCATCAAACGAAGACAGTCATGTCAAGCGCCTACAACAATACAACAAACCATAGAGGCTAGAGAAACGTCGCTAATTCCGCACATGCTCGGCACGATATCCAGTAGTCCGATGTTCGCCAGAAACCCTTCCCGAATAGCCGGCCCACAAACTTCCGATTCACGGCACAAAAGGCTAGCTTTTGTGACAACGTTACCGCAGAGACCCACTGAGTCCTAGCAACGTGTAATTTTTGAATATTCGATACTAGCCGAGGTAACATTGTGGAGTTTTGTATTTACTATGTGCGCTTCGTTTATTTATACATCAAATATGCAAATATAAAAATTTGAAAGTATGGAAGTAATTGACACAAAGTGACTACGTTATGAATGTGCATAGTACCTGGTATGTCGTCTTCCTACTATGCAAGCGAGTTCATACCGGAGAATTTTATCTATATACGCCTTACCACGTGGAAAACGCGATCACGTAGGACGAAGATCGAGCTTCAAGGATTCTAGAATCATACATGTGTAAAAGACATAGTTAGTATATGCCAATAGCTCTATATACCTAGGTAATCCCTCAATAATATACCAAAAATCAAGGGCAATATTCTCGGTTTCCAACATCTCCCCTCCACTCAAAATGCACAACATCCACAATCTTCCGCAATGTCTCCGGTTGCAAAAGGCTTCTCGTTACATCAGCCATCCAAGCAAGATGCGTTTCTGATTTTAGGCGATTGACGGCGTATAGTTGATCCATTGTAGCTCGTTTCATATAAATATGCCGACCTTCTTCTCTAAGAGTACCGTAGGGCTCTAATGCTTTCAGTAGGTTGTTGTATTTTGTCTCGTCTTCAATTGAGCCATATTTGCAGGTCGGGTATCGTTTTACTTCCTGAACGCCGTTGACGACTTCGTAGACTTTGTGGTGAGAGGCCATAACAGCCCAGTTACAGAACCCAAGTACCACCAGTCCGCTCAATCGGTCTGATTCCAAGGCCTCGCAGGCTAGAGTTAGACAATGTGAAATACAGGAGTCCAGATAGCCGCAAAGACAGCCGCGAACACCGCGTAGAATGAGGTTCTCTCTTTGTTTGCGCATCGTGTCACTTCGCAGATCGACTAGGTCGTTTAACAAGGTACAGACCGTAGCAAGTCTGAGGTACATTTCTTCGGTGATCTTTTCCCCTGTCGCTAATGACGCCGACATCATTCCCACCCAAATAGCGAGGTCTATATATCTCGGTCCAGGAAGTCCAGTGTAATAGCTACCATAAAGACCACCAACAAGTTCTGTTCGTGTATGGTCCCTGTAGTACCCCAGTACTCGAAACTGGATCAGGGAAGCGACCAGATTATCAAATTGGACTGGTGTAACAACGTCGGCAAGAGTGCAGAGTTTCAAGAATGCCACAGCTGCAGCCCCATTCTTTTGCAAAATATTTAGTGTCTGCTCATCTGCCGCATCGCAATAATCCCCAATGAGGATGTCGTTTCCTGAATCAGCAATGGCTCGCAAGAGACCTTCATCAACTAGGCTACCGCCACAGGCCATTGCGAAGAAGTATTTGGCATCTGCGCAGAGCTTGATTTTCTCTATCGTCGGGAAGAGGCTGTCATAGATATCCGGGTCCGAGTCGCAGGTTGGGCTAGGTCGTCGGTCAGGTGCTTTGATCTCGGGAATAGGGTCTGTGATACCTGAACCTTGACAGGTATCCGGAATCGGTTGAAGATCACTGCCTGAGAGGAAGAGCTCGATGGCGGCATCAGTTAGCCCTTGACTGGTGAATATTCCCTGCGATTTATATTCAGCTTGCCTGCTGATCACAGTCTGAGCAGCTTTAACAGTGCGTCGGATGGCTCGACACTCGCTATCTTGCCATGAAGCTAGATCCGTCATTGTTTGCTTGTTGTCTCGTGTATTCCCTACACACTTGCATTCTACTCGAGGATCATATTGTTCAGAAAAGACATCAGTCTCAGGGCATGAAGGTGGGAGTCTTCCACCCACCTTGATGCGCCTATGGACCAACTGTTGACGAAATGCATGGATGATTGCTTTGAGATCGTCCGGGTTGAGAAGATATGGCAGGKTCTCTTCCAGAAAGTATGCTGCCATTTCATTTGTACTCAAACTTGGGATCTCGATTGGGTCTCCTGGTGCAAGATCAGCTGAATCCTCCAGCTGGCGAGCAAATACTTCCTCTGATGTAAGAGTTGTTGGGTCTTCCGGCTGGAGAATAGCCGTCTTTGTTATTGTCTTCGAAGACGAGACCCAGGCATCTACCCAGTCGAGATATACTTGCAGCCTGACTGACTCATGGCCAGTAGAATTTTCTGAACTTTGATCCGTCATATTCGACGTGTGTATATAGATCGTATAAATTCCAACCGCTAATAGAAATAGCCCTGATCCGAAGAATCTGGTATGATATCTAGTGACAGGAGAGTGGCCACTATTTTATTTTCGATCCTGTGTCCCAGATTGGAGGGGATAAGTATGTGGCAATACGGACTTGCGGGCCTGCAAACTTGACCAAGTAGTTGCATCCACAGTACATCAAGTGTGCTTCCAAAACACAGATGTCGGCGGATACCGAAAACTAAGGATCGAACCACAATCTGGGTTGAGCTGAACAGATACATATGCTGATTCGCAATGTGCTCGTACTTTGTACTAGTCTGTTCCCACAGCCAGCTGCAGAAAGTAACAGCCACAGTTATCGTATTTTCCTGTATGGCGAAATATGATCCATCATGCCTATGCGGCTAGAGTTTCAGTGACACTCGTGGGTTTGATTGGGGGTACATTTGGCGATTAGGCTCAGCAAAGCTTGGAATGGAGACTAATAGTGTAAGGTTCCACTTTAGGTTGCCCTAAGCCCACTGAGACACCTGGAGATTGATTGGTTGGAGGTGAAGAAATCTGTTGGAGACCTACAAGAGACTGCGGGGCTTTTAACTATGGCTTCGTATTGTAAAGATCATCTATTGATCTATGGTGATATTTGATTTACTGAGATTTTGGACTGTATCGTTTTAATTTATACCCAGCAATGCCCTATATGCTCACATGGGGTGCTGCCGATGCTTTGTTGAATTCCTTCATCAACCATTCATACACAGCCCACTATTCTGATCAGCAAGCAATCTATGTGTCTAGGAGTTTACAACTTACTTGAGCGGCATTGACTATGAAGGCCCGTATACTACAGATACCCAATCCACGAAAGAAGACGGAGAGGCCCTCACTACGGTACGCATATCGGGCGATTTCCAGCGAATTGAGCGTTCGCGGTCTGTGCGATGACACTTGCAGAAGTGGCCTTTGCTGTGCATCTGCGACTTCGGTTACTGTTTGTGCGATTATAGGCTGAGCCTGTAATCTGGTCTTCACCACATCGAGCGGGAAAACGGAAGCCCATGTGATAATACCAGCTAATCCGCCACAAAGCAGGACCTTCAAAGCTTCTTGCTGGTTGCTCTCATTCAGAGAGGAGAAACTGCGTTTACACAGTTCGTACGACCAGAAACTAGAGATCGTATCCATTAGACTCGACCCTAGATAGTACTGACAAGATAGACTGCTTACTAGAACCCGTAGCCTACAGAGTCCCTAACACTCGTGATAAGACCACCAAAGTACAGCCCTCTGACTCCGTGCGCCCGGATTATGTCCCGAAAGACTGACCAGGAAGAAATATTCTGGTTTCTACTGAGCTGCGCTCGGCATTTAACGAGTTCGGTCGGTGACGATATTAACCAACTGGCCATGCCACCGGCGGCACCAGCCAGCCATATATTCACCAACGAGACATTTGCATCAAGATTAATTGGATCATCGACTGACGGGTCCAGGGACTTGAGAGATCGATTATAAGCAACAAAAAGTAGTGCATTCAAGGCTCCATATCCGAGAATTGGAGCAGCGGCACCTAGTCGTGTCAGCAATTGACTTTCTTAGAAGCATTTCTGTGATGGTATACACCTTTTATCAAGGAGGACGTTGACTCAAAGTAGCGATAGCTTTGCTGACTCGCCCGAAGGGTATCCGAGGCTTTTCGAGCTTGTAACCGGACTTTGACAAGATCGAGAGGATTTCCGATAAGTATTCCTACAGCACCGCTGATATATCCAGCCACAAAGTCAGATGACATTGGCTTGACTGACAGGACGATGATTTAGAGTCATCAAGTCATGTATGTAATATTCACATGCATGAAAAGTTGCATATATTTGAATGTTGGCGGGGTTGGCGGATCGTCTCGTGCATTCAGATCACGTGATATCGCGTCACAGCGGCAGGCCCGGCGCGGTTGTTTTGTCTGTGAGACGCGTCTTGCCTACATACAGACCACAGGCACACTTGGAAGGACGTGACGTGAGCGACGAGACCCCGAGGATACACATTTTGGACGGCGTTGGAGTATTTGAAACAAGTTGCTTGAAGTTTGGCTGAAGTTTGTCATCCAGAAATGTTTGTACACTTTCGAGATCAGACCACCATCCGTCATTCATGCTAACAAGAAGCAGGCAGCGACCACGCCCACAAGCTACCATTAGCAAACAAACACCACAGAAAGCTGCTCGACTTCACGGACCGTCTGATCAATCCGCAGAGCGACTGTCAAAACCTTTCAAATGTCCAGGACAAGCCAGAACTACCATCGCTTCCGACCGACCCAGTAGGAAGCGTCGCAAGGTAGACTATGCAGGTGCCGATGGATCTGTTGACGACGACTACAATAGACCATGGACTACCGAGGAACGACTCGCCCTTGCGAATCGCGATGTCAACAAATTTGGTATATTCAAGGTCAAAGATAAGGAAGTCACTATTAAACAACGGTTTTCGGTTCCGTTAATGAACAAGAACTCTGGTGCATACGACCCTTCGAGACCCGCACCGACCTTGGGAATGCGACGAGGAGCTACTTTTGTTGTCAAGCCTCTACATGATCCGAGTGGAGAATTTGCTATTGTTCTATACGATCCCACTGTCGATGATAAGCCTGTCAAGAAAATAACAGAGACGGAACCCACGGCGGAAGAGCCGCCAAAATTGGATGAGCCACTGGTTCATAAAAGTTTGGCTGATATATTGGGATTAAAGAAGCAGGTCGAAGATCGTCCAAAAGTCCCTGTGGTTATCGATCCTAGACTCTCAAAGATCCTCCGACCTCATCAGATTGAGGGAGTAAAGGTATGTATTGTGTTGGATACCCTGCAGCTGTGTCGACATCGCTGATGAATGTCTGCTACAAAGTTTCTTTATCGATGTACCACCGGAATGATTGACGAAAATGCGAACGGATGCATCATGGCAGATGAAATGGGACTTGGAAAGACGGTACGAAGCACTTATTTTTCACTGCAAGAATTCACTAATTATGTCCAGCTTCAATGCATCTCCTTGATGTGGACCCTTCTCAAACAGTCGCCAGAAGCTGGAAAAACGACTGTGCAGAAATGCGTCATAGCCTGTCCCTCGACCCTGGTCCGTAACTGGGCTAACGAACTAGGTAAGTGGACCCTTATAAGCTTCCCAAGAACGATAGCTGATCGATTAGTCAAATGGTTGGGCCCTGATGCCGTGACACCGTTTGTGATTGACGGCAAAGCCACCAAGGCCGAATTATCAAGTCAGCTAAAACAATGGGCTATCGCTTCGGGTCGTTCGGTTGTGCGTCCAGTACTGATAGTATCGTACGAAACGCTAAGGCTGAATGTTGAAGATCTCCGTGACACGCCAATTGGTCTCTTGCTTTGCGATGAAGGCCATAGACTGAAGAACAAAGAGAGTTTAACCTGGAAAGAGCTCAATAGTCTGAACGTCAGTCGCCGTGTCATCCTTTCTGGTACTCCGATCCAGAACGATCTTTCTGAGTACTTTGCTCTTGTCCACTTTGCGAACCCGAACTTGCTGGGATCACAAAACGAATTCAGAAAGAAGTTCGAAATCCCCATCCTAAGAGGCCGAGATGCGGCAGCAAGTGATGAAGACCGAAAGAAAGGAGATGAACGCTTATCGGAACTATCTGCTATTGTCAATAAATTCATCATCCGACGAACGAACGACATCCTTTCAAAATATTTGCCAATAAAATATGAACATGTGGTATTTTGCAACCTCAGCGATTTCCAGACGAATTTGTACAATCACTTTTTGAGCAGTCCGGAAATCCGAAGTCTTCTACGAGGAAAGGGAAGCCAGCCGCTAAAAGCCATTGGCCTTTTGAAAAAATTGTGCAACCATCCGGACCTGCTTGATCTTTCAAGGGATCTCCCCGGCTGTGAGCAATATTTTCCAGACGATTATGTACCACCAGACGGCAGGGGTCGTGATCGTGATATTAAATCTTGGTACTCAGGCAAGATGATGGTGCTTGATCGTATGCTGGCACGTATACGGCAGGATACAAACGATAAAATTGTTTTGATTAGTAACTACACACAAACTCTTGACCTTTTTGAGAAATTATGCCGTTCTCGTGCATATGGTTGCTTACGATTGGACGGAACGATGAATGTGAATAAACGACAAAAGTTGGTGGACAAATTCAACGACCCGAACGGCGAGGAATTTATATTCTTGCTGAGCAGCAAAGCTGGTGGTTGTGGTATCAACTTGGTTGGAGCGAACAGATTGGTTCTTTTTGACCCAGATTGGAACCCAGCAGCGGACCAACAGGCGCTAGCCCGTGTCTGGCGTGATGGCCAGAAGAAGGACTGCTTTGTTTACAGGTTTATTGCGACAGGATCTATCGAAGAGAAGATTTTCCAGCGACAGTCACACAAGCAATCGTTATCTTCTTGTGTTGTTGATTCTGCCGAGGATGTTGAACGTCATTTCTCGCTAGATTCGCTCCGAGAATTATTCCAGTTCAAACCGGACACACGCAGCGACACTCATGACACATTCAAATGCAAGAGGTGCAGGCCGGATGGAACCCAACACATCAAAGCGCCTGCTATCCTATATGGTGATACAAGCACTTGGAACCACTTTGTCAATGACGGTGAGAAAGGGCCATTGGGCAAGATACAAGATTTACTACTAAGGCAGGAGACGACGGAGAAAGATGTTTCCGCTGTGTTCCAATTCATTAGCAGTTGAATATGGGAATGGGTTGGTTAGTTGTGACTATCTAGTCGATTACATCGCGTGCCCTATATAATATTGTAATTTACCTGTACGAAAAGTGCTGGGTTCTGTATCTTTGCATGTCATTATCGTATTAAATCTGTCACTTACCTGGCACTATTACCGTACAATACCAAAGCTGAAATACGTACGTCACGGCTGATAGCGTCCCCGCACATGCCAGACTGCCGCTGCCTGCATCACCTCCAACTAAAACAGTTTTGAGCTTGCTGTCGCACATCTTGTTTGACCTCAACCATTTCGAAGTGATTCCGCAGAATATTTAGGCAGCCATAGCGACCATGGAAGCTTAGATTTCGGTCAAGCTTGATCGCGGTATGACCACTCGAGGTTCGAAATGGACCAGTCCGTTCAGCGCTTGTTGAATGACAAGCTCTACGATAAGAGGAAGCAGGGTGCTCTGGAGTCTGTGAAGCTCAACCCCGATATCAACTACCGTTCAACTCTTACTGACTTTTGTGGTCCTCCGGAATAGGCTCGAGAAGATCGTCCGAGATGCTACAATAAAAGGAGAACATGATCAGATCCGCGAGATAGTAGATCAACTGTGCCACGACTACGCCTATGCTGTGCATCAACCACATGCTCGCAATGGAGGACTTATTGGCCTGGCTGCCGCTTCGATTGCTTTGGGATCGGTGGGTGGTTAGTTACATGGATATTGTGTTATATGGCTGATAGTTTCGTTTACAGGAAGGTGTAGCTCCGTACCTGCAAGAAATCGTTCCTCCGGTGCTTGCTTGTTTCTCAGATCAAGATGCACGAGTAAGATACTATGCGTGCGAGAGTATGTATAATATCGCCAAGGTTGCCAAAGGAGAGATTCTACCATTCTTCAATGATATCTTCGATGCTCTCTGCAAGGTTCGCGTGGCGCTGATCCCGTCATATACGTTAACTGACATATCCTTAGCTCGCATCAGACTCGGAACTCTCGGTCAAAAATGGCGCGGAGCTACTCGATCGATTAGTGAAAGATATCGTCGCCGAATCGGCTGCGTCATATGTATCCGTGTTACAGCTCGGAGAGAAGTCGTTACAAGACCTGGATCAGGCACGAGATATAGACGAAACATCAGTCGACCTCCCAACCGCATTTTCCCTTTCCATGTTCATACCACTATTACAAGAGCGGATATATGTTCTCAATCCATTTACTCGGACATTCCTTGTCTCATGGTTGACTCTACTCGACACAATACCAGACTTGGAACTGGTGTGTTACCTGCCGGCTTTCCTCGGAGGATTGATCAAGTTTCTCGGGGACCCTAACAAAGATGTGAATGTGGCCACTCAGGGTCTTCTGGAGAGATTCCTCTCCGAAATCAAGAGGATTGCGCGCATTAAGAAAGGTATTGCGGAAAGCAAGAAAAGTAAAGAGGATATTGCAGCTGCCACGGTTGCTAGTGAGAATACTAGTGTCGTCACCGGCAACAGTGATGAATTAGAGGGAAGCGACGATATAATAGCAGATTCTGTCTCAGCGGATGCGAACGATGACGAGCAGAGCATTGCAGTTGATGGAGATTGGGTACCTGGTCAAGACGCTTATGTCGATTATCCGAAAATTCTGGAGATTTTGGTCGGCTTTGTAGACACTACATACGGTAAATTTATGTGTATCGAATACACTTATACACTTGCTAACTGATCACCAGACGAGGAGATGCAATTAACGGCACTGCGGTGGATTGATGCCTTCTTCGAAATCAGCCCGGAGGACATACTTCAATTCGTCCCAGCACTTTTGATCCAAGTTCTACCCGCCATATCGAGTGGTTCTGACCAAGTACGACAAGCGGCAACAAGGGTCAATACCTCGCTTATGGAATATATCGTTTCCCTTTCAGATGAGGCAAATGAGAGCTATCCTTCAAGCGCGTCGAAAGGAACACAGTCGTCAGCTGTAAAGGAAAGCGATGAAAGAAGGGCCTCCGTACAGAGTGGAAAACCTTCTGTTGATAATCAAAGCATTGATGCCCCTGCTTCAAGCCCGCCATCCGATCTAGACTATGCTGCAGCAGTCAACTCTTTGACCCTGCAATTCTTGAATGAGAACGAGGGCACCAGAGTAGCTGCTCTATCATGGCTAATTATGCTTCATCGAAAAGCACCTCGCAAGGTCCTGGCCTTTAACGATGGCACATTCCCGGCTTTGTTAAAGACATTGTCAGACCCAGCCGAGGTAGTTGTTACCAAAGATCTTCAGCTTCTTTCTCAGATTTCGAGGAACAGTGAAGATGGATACTTTACCTCATTTATGATCAATCTTCTGCAACTCTTTTCAACGGACAGGAAACTTTTGGAAGTGCGTGGAAACCTGATTATTCGTCAACTATGCATGAACCTGAGTCCAGAACGTATTTATCGGACGTTAGCAGACTGCCTTGAAAAGGAAGAGGTTCGTTAAACCTCCCTTCATACTAGCTCGAATCATTCTAATTGGGTGGACGTCATAGGATATTGAATTTGCAAGTATAATGGTGCAGAATCTTAACAATAACCTCATAACAGCACCAGAACTTTCCGATCTTAGAAAGAGATTGCGAAGCTTAGATAGCAGGGTAAGGTTTCCTACGTCGATGTATTCGAATAGATATACTGACGGTTGTTTAGGAAGGGCAAACGTTGTTTGTTGCTTTGTTCCGGTCATGGTGCCACAATGCCGTTTCCACGTTTTCCCTATGTCTGCTTGCACAAGCATACGAACAAGCATATAACCTGTTACAGATATTGTGAGTATACCAAGTTTATTTTGAGGGCTTGTATCTAACGATGTTTGTTTGAAGTGCGGAATTAGAGATGACGGTGAATATGTTGATTCAGATTGACAAATTGGTGCAACTTTTGGAATCTCCAGTTTTCACCTGTAAGTTGTTCAACATTGAGTGCGGACTGACTATACTTACATTATATAGACCTCCGACTGCAGCTACTGGAACCCGACAGATATCCACATCTATATAAATGCTTGTACGGTGTCCTCATGCTTCTTCCTCAAAGCTCGGCGTTTGCTGCTTTGAAAAATCGTCTGAACAGTGTGAGCAATATCGGCTTACTACAAGGGCCTCGCCCGTGAGTATCCACGATTTCATCTTCTATCGATCATGATCAGCTGATTTAATACAGACCTGTCGCTGCTAGCGGAGGTTACGAGCGACCCGCAGGAAGCCGCTTGAAAAACCGGGAAGATAGCTCCGTGAGGTGGACGGAATTATTAGACAAATTCAAGAATGTGCAGGAAAAATCCAAACGCCATCAACGAGCATCACAGCGCCAGTTCGAGACAGATTCAACCGGCGCCAACTTCAAACAGCCTTCACTCATCGGTGCGCTATCCGTAGCTGCCGCAACCGATCATCAAGGCGGCAGGGATAAAGTGCTTCCCGACGTACCAAGAAGCGGATTTGGCAATGCAGGGCTCGGGATATCTGGCCGTTCAGATGGTGCGGCACGAGATGGTCGATCTACTCCGACAAACAAGAGCAGGTCCAGTCTCAGTCATCTCGGCCGGCTAGGCATTGGCGGTAGGAAAAAGCACTAAGTGTTTGAGCTTCAAGGGATCATTGATCGAAAGTAGAGTTATCGACTCGCTTCTATGGTTTGACTGCGACAATACTGCTCTATTTTAGGGGCCATGGTTTTGTACTTCGATTGTGAAATATGTGATACCACAAGGACGTTATGCGCATTATTATACTACCTCGATGTTTTTTGAATCTATAAATATAATCTAATCTAAGAAGCAGAGCCCGGCGGAAGACCTCATCACGTAAGCTATGCAAAGAATCAACCGCCAATCTCCTAATTATATTATATAGATCTTACTGGCATAAGCGCTGAAGGCGGTACCCTTATCAACACGTGACTCATAATCGATTAGGGTAGAAGTGGTTATTTCCGGATTTCCTTGGTTTTCCCCGAAATAGCACGGTGCTGTGACGAAACATCAGCAGAGGCCGGGACGACGACCTTCTTCGGGCTCCCTTGCGCTGCACTCTATACAGCCTTCGAAGCTGAAATACCTTGTATTCGTCATGTTCATTTGCTTACTCAGTTGATAATTACTGTCAATCGCTTACACTCTTCCTTTCTACTTATAATACTGTTTCAACGGAACGATCGGATGGCGAAACCAATCTGACAGCTCTCAAGGAACTGTTTAGATTTGACGACGTCGACGTCAACTCGACATGCCTGCTCGAAATTCTCGAGGTGCGCCGGTACTATGCGATGAGAGAGATGCGAATCGATACGTATCCAGGGTTATTCCATGGGTTATATTGGGAACGTTTGGTTATGCATGCTATGCTATTACGAAACCGCTCTGCAGTAAGCGACACCATAGGGCTCATAGCTCGAGCTATTCTTTGCCTGCCAGTTATTCTAACGAATATACGTTTTAGTCGACTACTTGATCAATCCGCAAGCACACCACTACAATCGCGAACCTCGAGTAGGCGCCGGCATCGCTATCATTGTTGTCTTTTACGTCCTACTCTTTCCTGCGATCGTCACATATATTCGTCTCTATCTTGTTGTCGCATTCAATCCAGACTACTTACCGAGAGGAGTGAATTGGGTACCTACTGAGACGGAACATGAAAGCTGGTTGTCGAAGAGGCGTAGGAAGACTGAGAAGTCAAAATCGGATCACGGAAACGGAATTATGACTGGGAGCAAGGAGAAAGTACAACGGACAGCTGCCGAATCTGCCGATATCGCGCGACAGACTGGCGGAGTCGCATTTCCGCTCGACGAGAATGGTCAGGAGGAATTCTGGATGAAGGATATCTATGTCTGTCAAGATGATGGACGGCCGGCCTACTGCTCAACATGTTGCCAGTTCAAGACTGATCGATCGCATCATAACCGCGATGCTGACCGCTGTGTGCGTAAACTCGATCATTTCTGCCCATGGGTTGGTGGAGTTGTTTCGGAGAGCTCGTACAAGTTCTTTTTGCAATTCGTTGTATATACCGCCTTCTTCACGTGCTTTTGTCTGATTGTACTTGCTATATTTGTCGCTGAGCATCGTGCTGATGTAAGTTTTTTTTTTAGCTCACACCGCGCAGTACTAACACTATCTCACAGACTGGCAGAACGAATGCTCACTGGGCTGTCGGGTTAGGGTTGTAAGTAGACTTAAAGTTCGTCCAGTCATGATTCAAGACACTAACTTAAGACCAGAGCTGCTTTATTCCTCCTCTTTTCTGGAGGAATGAGCGGAACAACGCTGCAACTCGCCTCCATCAATACTACGACTATTGAAAATCTTAGCAGGCGGTCCAAGGTATGGATGTTTGCCATATATATCAGCCCACAACAATACCAACGTATGACGAGTCGGCAAAATGGTCAGTGGGCTCTGACTTTTCCCACCGTGACATTTCCGCCTCAACCTCCATCCGCGTCCTCTACTACACCTACGGCTAGGGCAGAAGCTCAGCCTACAGCAACCAATGGCGTAACGAGCAACACGACCTATAATACAAATTATACTGATCAACCCGCAAAGGACATACGAATGTTCGCAATCCTTCGCACTCAACCCGGCGAGAATCCTTTCGACTTGGGCGACCCCATCCAAAATCTAAGACAGGTCATGGGCCATACACTTTGGGATTGGCTGCTACCGTTGAGAGTAGCGCCATGTGTAGACCATAGTAGCACTGTCAGTGCATATCCGATGGGTCCTGTGGTGGAACGTCTGAAACGAGAAGCTGGTATAATATTTGAAGATGATGAAGCAGAGGATGTACATAACGCCCACCAACAGCCCAATGTGACACATCAGAAAAGCGTGGATGGGAATGAAACACAAAACAGATAGATAATTGATAATATCCAAGTTCCTCTTGTCCAAATTATCGCTGAAGCGCTTGTAGATATGTGAACCGTTGTTGTAGTTTGAAGCCCTATATGCGACGCTTCTTAGTGTTTGTATTGTTTGCACTCTGCAACCATGTTTCATGGCACTTTAACCACCTGTTGTCTCTACATCTCAACACCCCAACAATATTGTTCAACATGCAACTTCAAAAACCATTCAATACTCGGATGATAAATCATAAACCATAAAATGACCAAAGGCCCACTCGGTCGCCCGCCAGGGGTACGTAAACCCTCCCCAAACCTAGGCCGAGACGACGAATAAAGTAGGGATACGTACTAAAAGTGCAACCAGTCCCTTAACGCCCCGATTGCAGCTTTCTCAATGGCAATTATTCTATGCTCTTACTGCATATATTCCATCAACACTGCCCGGAGAGGGGCGCAGGCAACACCGGGTTCGCCGAGTGAGAACGCTACACGGAGAGAGCAGAAGAAGCTATCGTGGGTGCAGACGGCGTTGGAGGCAGAGGAAAAGGAAAGAAAGGTGTAATTATATAATTACTGTTTATTATGAGCAGAAGATGTGGAAGGGTGGCTGTTCTAATATAATATGTTGATGGTCTATATGGTTAGATGAATTTAACTAATGCGAGACCCAAAATGCAATGGAGAAAATAAAAGCAATAAAGCAAGATGTATGAACCCAAACAGGAAGTCAACCAAGTAAGATCCGGAATGAATATTACGAAAGGTAGGGTTAAATTGAGTAGACGAACAGTCAAAACGAGAACGCAAAAAAGTGATTCCAGTTAGGGTAAACGGGCAGGATGTCAAGTAGAATGCAAAGTGAACCTTTCAATCTATGGGAGCAACGAGAAAGCAAATGGGACAGTGAACAGCTAAAAGTGAAAGGAGATAAACGCCGGGAGGCAGCGATTAATTGGTCGTTCAAGCAAGATGCCAATAGAGATATAATGGCCGGAGCGAAAATGGGACGACGAAGAAGCGAAAAGCGATACTAAGATGGGTAACATTGTAGAGGCGACAACTGGGATGTCTTTCACTGTCGAAAAAGGGCAAAAGGGGCATATTGCCGTGGGCTTGAATGCCACGTCTTGATGATGTTGATGAAGCTGATCTCAACTCAGCGACTGAGTAAATGCCAGATGTGGTAAACTGATAGGAGATAGAGCTGATAAGCCTCAGTAGGAACAAGAGGAGGATGAATAGACGACGAGTCTTCTCGTCAACTCTGCGGAAACGGCAGGCGACGAATCACCGAAGTTTACATCGAGAATCTCACACACAGTTGACATTTAATATGGTGACAAGTAAAGCACTCTTCTGCGTATCCTTCAATCCACGACTCCCCGCAATTGTGGCACTTCCAGTAATTTGTCGGCACGCTTGTTGCAGCTTCGAATCCAACTTGATCCAATTTGCAGTACATGTTGCTGGGGTTTGAACGAATCGAAACTGGGAAAAGGGTTGCGGGACTCTGAGCATGAGGCGTGCCGCAGTAATGAATCATCTTGACAGATGAAGTAGATGCCGAAGAGAGCTGGGTATCTTTGCTATCCTTTGAAATTGTCAATGTATAATTTGAAGGCGTCTTGGGCGAGTTGATCAGGTTGTTGATGTATGAAGTGTAAAGACAGATTTCTCCTTCCCTTTAATTCTTGAAATGCATGCTTTAAGACAATAGCTCCGCGACATGAAGCGATGTCGTCCTTTTATTACCTCTATGACTGGTGTAGTCGGTACTCATGACGGCACTGCCATGAGGACATCTCGATAATAGGAGCCCTAGCCCTGCCTGAACCACGGAACAGCTGAGGAGATTCTCGATTCACGTTGAGGATACATTCCGGGCTGAGTGTCGCCTGAGGGATTCATAGAGGGCAATGACCCAAACGGGCTCATTACGAGGAAAAGCTCGGTTGCGATAATTAGAATCCATAGTAACACTTCCTATCCGGTGTTAGTTTGACAGTAAGTTACGTAGAATATGCTAAGACCACTTCAAGCTAGAGTCAACTCCTCCTATCTTCAAAGCCGGAATTATCGTCACTTTCCATGGTACTTGCTTCATTAATGTAACCCATCTAGGTCGGGTTCCGTGGCTATGCTCAATATGATGGCGATCGTTGCATAATTTTTGAGCCAGTATGATAGTAAATCAGCCACAGAAAGAGTCTTCATTACTGATTTGATCCATCGGTAGACAATGTGTCGGGTTTCCTCTAGAAATTCCAATAAGTGGGCTCAGCTCACTCGTGGACGGTTGCCTGGGGGTAAGGGGGTTTAAATTGATGGAGACAAAGAGGTGATATCGGTTCTTGAGATTTATGGCAATAGTTCAAGACATTCCAGCTGGCTGGTGACGACCAACCAGATATCTAAGAGGATCTCAATCTTGAGCACCGGCTTGGAGTTCACACAGACCGGACCTCATGGCCTCAAAGAATGTGGAGTCTCTCGTAGATCGTTTAAGAGCCGCATTGTTTGTTTCGTAAGAAGTTGTCTGATTTGTTGACCGAGAAGATAGTAATACTCGTCCGGTAAGATAGCCTCGCAACTATGTCACAATTTTAGCATTAGTTTGGTCCGAATGTTTGGGATAGGAACGCCTGCTGCAGGCTGCATGGCTTCTGCATTTTGTCACATCGTTGAAACCGACTAGTAGCCTTATAATCAAGCAGGCGGAACCCCTGCACTTTAGGCTACACGGGACCTGAGTATGTAGTATCTTGATGTGCCCCTGCAGGTTCCAAGATCTTGGAACGCTGACCCTAAAGCTTCGAGCAATGCCAGAATTTGATTAGTGAAAGAATTTATTCGAGATTCATGGATAGTTACAACATACTTGGGTGAGTATGAAGACTCAGATGTTACCGACTTAGCTCTTGCAGGTGAATCAAACCCAGGTTAAGGTTCAACCCATATTACATAAAACAACCCCTTCTTTGATACTACACACGTATCAACATACCCAGCAATGACCGGAACGCTGCCCAAAGTCCATACATGCCCAAGGTATGTAGCGTCGAGCTTAAGAAGGATATAGCATAGCCCCCCGAATCTAATCTGTCATATTTACCCGCAACTTTGCAAAATAGTGGGTAAAGAAACATCCTATCACACAGACCCCGCCGGGTCTCTGGAGAGTGATGCCACAACTTAGGCGTCGCATTGTAATGTGAGGCTGTTGGGCACCATCGTACGAATGGGCAAAATTGGATATATAAGTGTCAGCGGATAGACGGATGGAGTATGGGGTAGATGATTGTGTCAATTGTCAATATACCCTCTATCGCTGTCTCGCCAGCATCACTATCAATTACCGAAAATCGGATCTTAGCGGGCCGGATTGGGATAATACCGAGACTTGATTGTCATTGACTTGAAAACGTGGGATTGGCGACAAGGCGATGTATAAGGAGGTAGCAATCGAGGGTTGAGCGCTAAAACATCGTTGATTAGCTGGACCGGCCCACTGGACCGTCGGAAGTCGCCGTGCTTGATCCATGTTAATCCATGGAATTGATTGACCCATTGTAAGGCACATGATATCATCCAATTAGTACCACGGATCGGGTTTCATGCTGGCGTTGATATGGCATCCAAAGAAGTCACTTGACTGATACTACTCATCTATGTTTCAATGTGATTTACGGATATCGATACAGACTGGCCGGATCGGGAGCCGCTGCTATCCGGCCGCAAACACTTGCGCTTCACTTCTATTCAGCCATGTACAGCAAAATAATGTCGTACACATTGCGAAGCCTGTTTGCTCGATAGAGTGGGCCGCGTCATCCATGTCCAACGAAGTCAAAGGCTAGCAGTGACAACCCCTCGCTGACAGGGATGACCGTTGTTGAGAGCGGCAATTGTGTATACGCTAAAGAGCACTTACAAGGCTATCGTACCCTTGCCTGACAGTACCCAATCGATAGTCCACCCCTTCAGACTGATCCCTGATCATTCAATTGTGTCCAAATAGAACCCCTGGGCATCGCATCAGCACTGGCCACGTTTGATCAACAAAGCTGGTGCCCAACCAGTACTGGAGAAGGAAAAGTCAATCGCTGAATCGTCTCACGGTTTGCCGCAAACGACGTATGTACGATTGTACGTTCCCCGTTGGGTCTCACTCTGGAAGTGTAAATTTCCGGAAGAAATAAAACCCACCGCGGCCAAGCGCCACCGGTCTCAATTGAGCTCCACCGAAGTTGAAGTCTTGAGGCTCTGTGGATTTACCTGCGTGGGCAACGCTAAGCGATACGAATGACCTAGGACGCTTCGAAATAGATCGGCCACTGCCCCGGCAAAAATAGAGGGTCAACCGGTGCCAGCTGCGTCATATCTAATATCTGCCCCGTCACAGTCGTCAGTGTTAGAAGGATTTTGCCTTCCCGCTAGTCGTTCAACTAGTAAAGACTGCATACGTAGTCACTCAGAAAGATTCGGTAGTTTCGATTTCGATTTCGACGTCCCCGGTTTGGTTTGAGTTGGTTTGAGAGCTGAGTTAGTGCCCAATTGTAATTGCTTGATCGCGGACTTCTGTAAGGGACCGAAGAAGAACAGCACGACAGAACGACAGAGCGACAAAACAACACAAGAAACAAACGAGAAGGAACAATCGTGTGTCTGGCCTATCCACATCGCGCTTGCCCGAGTTGCTCGTCCAGTAAGCCGGTCGGTCGCACCTTCCCGAAACATCCCCTCCACACCTTCCACTTTGGCGGCTTCTTCTTTTTCTTTTGTCTCTGTCCTTTCTTCAACATCCATCCATCCATTTGTCCTCTTTATTCAATCTCCCTATTCTACTTTTCATATTGACTGACCTTTGATCTGGTGCCAGAGTGAGCGATTGCACTGCTTTATCCATTTTGCGTCAGGAACTCTTTATCTGGACCCAAGCCCGTCGTTGGTGGGGTTCTCCATCCCATCCAGTGGTCGTCTGTAAACTACCTTGGGACCAACTATCTTGTGTCAGCCATCATGACTCACGCGTCAAGATACCGCTCAAGCTCTCCAGGGAGCCGGCGGCTTGTCGATCCCATGCGAGCATCGACAGGAACTGTTGCCGCTGAAGACTTTTACGCCTCGCCTACGAGCTATCATGCCTACGACGGTTATCTATCGCCCAAAGTCGCTGAACGACGAGGGGGATTTTTCAGTGTCGATAGTGGAGATCGTCTAGAAGCTCATCCTATTTCCACCAAAACCTACAGAGATGCAAACCATTCCACGAAGCTGAAAACATCTTACGCAATCCGACCTCGAAGCCAGACCACTACCGATTCCAGTCGACGCCCGCTAAGCTTGCACATTCCATCGTCGACAMCCTCGTCAAGCCGTAAGGCACCAGTTGTCACTTCCGCATACGAAAGGTCCGCAAGTCCTCTACCGCCCCGTGCATCGCATGTTCGGGATGAGCCAGAACGCTACGTTTCACCAGCAACTTCCGGCCGGTCTCACAAACGCATATTAAGTTCAGATTACACAAGCGATAGTGGCTACGGAAAATCAATTGAGAAACATAGACCGCGCGAGACCCGTTATCATGTCTACCGGCCGGCAGGTGTTTCACGCTATCAAGCCTATGGAGATCCCAGACAGTGGGACGATTCCAAGTATTACGATGCTTATTCATATACGAGTCCACGAGAGAATTTCGAAAAGGAGTCAGCTGCGAGAAGCTCGCAGCGAACTTATGGCCGAGTAGGGCGACCGACAAGCATGATGGCTACCAGCTCTGCTCTGGTCCGTCCGGCTCATCACAAAGAATCCAAGAGATTACCATCATCCCATCGCGGGTCTGAACGACACCCTGCTGAAGATAGATTGCGTATCACCAATGGTCGGGACTACACAGATAGCGAAACCTACAGGGACCATCAGAGATACCCACACCAACAACATCTCGTGGTGCACCAAGACCGAGAGGACGGTTATCAGTCGTTCACGGATGATCACAAGCATTCCAGCCGTCATCGTCACCACTCTCGTCCACGAGAGTCTCGCAAGAAGCATGTCGAGGACTATTTGGCTCCAGTGCTTGGTGGACTTGCTACTCTTGGGTTGGCAAGTGGTTATTCTGATGACGGCCGGGAGGCCGATCGAGCTGGTCGCTCAGAAAGACATCGTTCACGGGAAGTTGGGCCCGATGATCATGATAGGGATTACTATAAAGATCGAGAGCGAGAAAAGGAAGCAGTTTCAGGGGATGAGCGGGTCCGTCATCGTCGTAGGCGTCACAGGGATCGTTCTCAGCGCCCTGGATCATCGTCAGACTCGGAAGATTCTAGCTCTGAAGGGCACTCACGACGACGGCGACGTGAGAAGTCAACCTCGCGGAAGAAACATGATTCAAGCAGCTCCGAGGGGACTCGTGATCGACGCAGCAAGCAAGACTCTGACAAACTACTTTCTGTACGAAAGGACGATAGCAGCAGACGATCTGTGGATGAGGAAAGTGTTGAACGTCCTCGAAAGCCAATAGCTGTCGAACCTCCCGTGGTCAAGGAGCCGGAAGCTCCGCCTAAGGGCATTCTCAAGGCCCCTCGCGAGAAATTTCCCGAAGATGAGAATCATATCCGAGAAGGCGTGGCACCTCTCAAAGATGCGCAGAAGAATGGTATTCCGCCGGGGGCTCGATGGACCAAGATCGATCGACGACTTGTCAATCCAGCTGCACTCGAAGTAGGCCATGAGCGGTTTGAGGAACGGGCTGAATATGTGATTGTGCTTCGAGTGTTGACAAAGGAGGAAATACAAGCCTACGCGGTGAAGACGCAAGAAATCCGAGGTATGTTTGTCCTACAAGGTATATGGCGCGGTGCTAATAAGTAGTAGATGCTCGATACAAAGTTGCCCAAGAAGAACGCCGTAAACTACGGGAAGAACGACGTCGTAATGGCCAAATTGATATATCTTCTAGCGATGATGAAGAAGACGATGAAGAGGAGTCAGCTCCCTTGGCTATCGAACCAGCGCCGGCCAAGGACGACTTCCCAGTGCCGCGAGGCAGGGACCGTGTTGCCCCTGAGATTGTGGCAGAGGTGAAGAAGTAAGACCTAGTCTAGCATGTTATCTGTATTACATTTGCGTTTGCATTTGTATCTGCATCTACTACTGTCTTCTATACTGTACACTTACATGCATGTGTCTTATCGAAATTGTTTCCTGAATTGTTTTAGTCCTAGATAGCCACTTATCATATCATCATCACAATAGCATGTGACCTTTTATGCCAGCATCATGATCCAAGAATCTAGACTCAAGCTGAGACGGAAGATGTCAGCATCGTGTCTTAGCTACATAACCTGGCTAGGTGTGCATTTACATACCTAGTTCTAAGATCCAGCCTAGCTACCTGCCGTAGTTGACGCTACAGGGAGTCATCAATCCATTCGACAAGGGTGTCAATAGCACTACGTACTCCGTGCTGTATATCTAGTTGACAGCACGAGCAGGAACAATAAGCATCACGATTTAATTTCAGGGGCCTCCCTTGAAACCGAACCCGTCCATGTACGCAGCTACTAGCTAGAGGACTAACTTGGCTATTTACAAACCAATCTCTCTACTTGTGTACCTAGGTACCTGCCCTAGTACTACGTATGTACCAGAGTCCGGTTACAAATCTAAAAAGCTAAGGCAACATTGGGAGGGGTGTGTGGGTGGTTGGGGATGGCAAGGGAAGGTTAGGAACGATCCGTTCCGCAACCTAGTTCAGTACAGCCTTGAAAAGTACCTACGAAGCTTGGTTTCAACCATATCATGAGTCTCTTAAATCCAAAAAGCTTAGGCTCAGCTATTTTTCCTATTTCCTTATCTCCGGCCCTCTCAAATACGACTCTACCTCACTAAGCTGATAGCAAGACCAACTCGCAAGTCAGTTCGTATATTCCTAAGCTAGTAGCGGTCCTAACGGAGGTAGTTTTGAATGGTGCTTAACATCTACAATATACTTTATGTGGCTAGCTCGCTTGTTCCATCTATTCATCGTTTTTACGCATGGATGTATTATTATAGCGTGACCTACTATAATGAATGTACCTAGGTACGTACTAGTATGCCCCCTCCTTAATTCATGGATTTATTAACCGTCGGGCTTCCTTTGTATTAGTGGAGACATTTGATGTACGAAGAGTCGAGATTCGAAAAGCCAACTGTTTAAAGTCTAATTCCTTTGTTTATTCATGGAGTATGTATGAGATGAACGTGAGTGGTGCTTTATCGGAGGAACTACTCTCCATTGCAAGACTCGAATTCGGAGATTTATGTCAACTGTACAGTATGTAGTATGAGGATGTAGCATTCCGGCTGCACTCCATACATGACCCAAAAAAAAGAAAGGAAAGGAAAGAGCATTACACATTACAACATGAAGACGTAGAATGATGGATGGATGGATGGATTGAGAGGACATGACATGACATGACATGATCATCAACGCAAGACAGAACCAGACATGACGAGACAAGTCTCTGATCAGCATGCAGCGCATAATCACGGGTTTGCTACAACCAACATTGAAGTAGCTCAATATCGCGATCAATTATGGATCCGTTGTTTGGGTATGTGCCACACCTCCCTCCCACACCCTCCTCCATACATTCGTAGTAGGAGGTAGATGACCAGATATACGAGATTAAATCCTCTCAAAGTCACCCATCCAGACATAGCGCCCGCTGACAGCGCAGGAACGCGGCGCCGGCGCAGGTCATAGACAGGCATCTGCCCGTCTAGGCCCAGCTGTCAAAGATGCAATCCGATTCAAAAGACTGGGGGGTGGGTTGCTAGACCTGGAAAATGTCGACAGCGACTGAGTAAAAGGGGGGAGGGGTGTGCTTATTTCCACGTCCTCGTCAAGAACAAGTGTATGCCTATGTGGGAGTGTGAGTATCTACATTAAAAATACGTGCGCGCATACTCATGCAGTGATACAACATCCGCATCGAATCAGAGTCTGAATTGCTGAATATTCCATACATGTGCATTACCAATCCAGCTAGGCTTTGCCGGTATGTACTGTACAACCTATGCTGTCGTTGCCACTTACCGTAAGCTGTCGAATCAGTTGACAGTCAGGCTGCTACTCGAGCTGGGCGATACTCCTTTCAGCGCCAGTATCGGAGGCGGAAATTATCTATTACCCCAATGAGCGAAGATAGCCGCTGGAATTGTGCCACTTGCATGGTGGCTGGATTCATCTATTCCAGGAGTGGCAGCTTGAGTAAGGTCTTGCCGAGTGCCGGATATCCATGGCTATTAGATTGAGCTTGTGTTAATGATTACATCCGTGGTGTTCACATGTCAGATGCGTAGCTAGAAGTGTAGCCGCGCCACGAGACGGCTGGTATAGAAGGTGAATGACTGATTCATGCTATACTCAGCTTGTTAAAATCTAGCTATCCATGTCGTAAGAGTCTAATCATCTTGATTTAAATCAAGAATTGGCGTGTTAGAACATAGAAGTTCAGAGTTGTACTACATACAAGTAACGTATTGATGACTGATATACACTACGTAGTTAACTAAATCGCCGAGTGGTTGCCAACAACCAAGTTGCACAGCTCTAGAACATGCATTTCCACTTTCGGACACGAGCCAATCAGCACAGCACTCGTAATATCGCCGTACGTTGTATTGAGATGTGAGATGTACTCCGTACTGAATGCATGAATGATTACATGCCGAAGCCGCGTGGATCGGAGCTGGACACAATCATCTCTACCTAGAAAGTAAAATTAGGTACGGTCATACGTATTCCTCGCTTGGATGTGACACCAAGATAAATCGTGTTCGGCCATTTAGAAGGCGAATTTGAATTGCGAGATGCATGACCGGTTGAATACATCCATCCTCCAGAGTGTGTGCGGACTGCGGAGGGTGCTGTGTATACCAGAAAAAAAAAAAACTCACAGCAATGAAAATGAGAGACATATCAATTGATCTAACCTTACCTGTGCTAGTAAAGAAATGGTATGAAACTGATGAGTGGATAACCGGATTTTGCACCACCAACCACAGTACAGATAACGAAGAGTCTAGTGAGTCTGCGTCAGGTCGTATTTGAGTGTGCAGCTAGAGCTAACCTAGTCGGTACGTAGCTTGAGCTTTTGGTGTGCCTTTCGGCCCGTTTACAGGGCTGTCGTAGACTCTTGTGCTTTTCTAGACTGGTTTCTTGTTGAGGCTGCTGTTGTCATCGATCTCTAGTCCGTTGAGCGACGTCTTCCGTAGGCCACGGTTATCGATCGGGTGTGCTTCTGGAAGCAGGCGAAAACATTACCTATCTTACCTCCAAATTGACTTCGAACCGGAATTGTCGATAAATGGTTGAAACAGGACTCCTCGCAGCATCGCACGAACCTGTTCACAAGCTCGTTCCTCAGTCAATGGATATCAAATCTCACCGTTACCGTTACCGATGCCGTTGTGTTGCCGTTGAGATTGAAGCGAACGTTAACCTAGCTGGCAAAATTAAGGTAACCGTTGGCGTCGGTTCTTGAAACGAATTAAGCTTTCGGTCTATGAGGTTGTTCTGACTCGAGTCGCATGAATGTCTAGACGTACGTACGTATCCGAACATGGTGAAAAGCGAGAGAGAAACAGAATTGTGTGTATCCCGTTACGTAGATGAGACGATTCTTTGTTTGATATGGCCCGCCAACGCTACGCGTTACGTACCGATACGTCGATTACGTACCCAATTGAACACATATCGTACGGCGAGTGAGACATCGTACCATCCCTACTCTGTCTTTTACCCGAATCTCTGCGGAGGTTTTCGATTTATCCTGAGCAAGAGCAAAAAGAGATCGACCGAGCTCGCATCTCCACAATCAAACCGGGAAATGAACGATCTCTTTTTTTCTTCTTTTGAGTTTTCAAACTTTTGAGTTCTCGCTGATAGTAATCCGACGCCACAAGGCCGTTAGACTGTTTCGAGTTTATTCGGAAATTAGCTCAGGGAGTGCTCAACCAAGTCCGCATCTATTTTGCCGGGGGCTACGGAAGGTGGGCTGTTGGTTGAAATTTTCCATTGCGATTGGCTGGCGGCTGGTTTAGGGCTTCGCATTCGCGCCCAATTCGTATTCACTAATCTGGTACGTCGTAATCCACTCATGGAGCTGGCATGTGAGAATAATCAACTTGAAATAGATGAACGGACGATCAGCAAGGTTTAATATGCTCTCAAACTTAAGGTGTAGTTATATTGGCCTTCCTATACATACCCAGTCCATTCCATGGATGACGCTGTCGGGTCGACAAGCCGAACGGGTCAGGGTCCACGGTCCGCTGATACCCCTTATTGCTGCTGTTATTGTAGAGTGTAGATTCGTGAGTGGACCCTTTATCTCCGTGCCTACGTACGTCCCAACATGACATCAGCTTGCCAATAGCTTGAATCAAGCAGAGCAACTTGGAGCGAGATGAGGTAGGGTGACGGGGACATAGCTTGATCCTTTCTCGGTGGAGCATCAGATCGTGGAGGCGGGTCAGCTCGATCTGGAAACAACACAACGTACATCTCACTCCGAGAAGTTAGAACTTGTTGATGTCCTCGAGTGTTGCTGGACTCAACACTACACTGTGTACAGAGTACCAGTGATTATAATGTTGATTCGTATTTCACAGCAATTAATTTCGAAGAGTACACCCGGTGGGGACGGCTGGAACGAGTGGATACAATCAGATGATGTCCAGCCAATAGGCTTACTTACTCACTCGTAATATTACACATGTACGTATCGGCTTACACGACGAGACAGACATTTGTACGTACACGCTATAGATTTCATACAGAAACCTGACAAGTCACAACGGCCCGCTGTCAACAACGTTTTTGCCCCGTCAAGCCATGGCAGTCATGTCATGGCACGTTATGTTGTACAACACACCAGTACGAGTGAGTATTTTACATGTAATTACCAGCATGTCGATCAGGTCCAGTCAGGAAATCATTTCCATGAACCCATTGATTCCTCCTTCCCACAGAGGATCGCTCTCGTTCAGTATTTCCTGATACTTTGAGTCTTTTTTTTTTGCATGATGTTGCTGTTCACCTAGTCTTGTGTAATTCCTGACTAGTACCTACGGACTACGGAGAACGTACTCGCGTACTTATTCTTGGCATTTGAACTTCATGCAGGGTCCGCCCGAAGACTTTTTCCACGCACCTTGATGCGCGCGACGAGGCTGCCAGTCTACTGCACATCATTCTAGCGTCTTTCGTCCATGGCGTCAACTAGTCCCCTTCAGTGCTGGTAGCAAGATGATCCTAACCTAGTCGGTCTGTCGTCCTGCCTCGCTTAGCGTTAGGAACTTAGGACCAGTATCACGTAATTAACACGATTTCAAGGATGCTTCCGTCCTCCGTCGTGCAGGTGCATGCAGTGTGCAGCTCTAGACCGGCCAACGACTTGCGCTGAAGCTACCCTGGCTGAAGGTGGCTGTAGCCACTCGGGTCCTTTACATTAAATACGCTGACACGCTGATACGCCGATACGTTATTGTCAATACATTACTACGTTAGGACTGTCTAAATGCCTCAGTCAATCAGATTGAACGGACTGCGCGGACGGTTGTGAGCTATGTTTGCAATAAGAAGGCTGTTAAGTGTAAGGGTAAATCTCTTGAGTGCGGAATATGTAAGTATGATGTCTAGAGTCATACATAGTACTGTATTGACATCAATTGCGCTTTAGGGTTAGGTCAATGGAATACATCTGACTATGCTCAATGGAGTATCACCCCGTACAGCCATCTCTCCAGCACCGTCCAATGATAACCCGACTCAAAATCTCTCCTGTTTCGTATCCGTTGCCGCTTTTCCAGATCTGTCGGGGTTGTTTGGGTGCTGCTTTCCCTCTTCGGCCGTCTCAATACGTCCAACTAATTTGTAGGCAATCCATACTCCATACTCCGTATATCTTGATAAGATAAATTAAACACCCGGACTGACGCTTCTCCTACCCAACATAGATTAGGAATACTTGTTCTCAATTCGATCACCATTATTGTCTTGGTCTGGACTGGCTCTACGCCGCAACCCAATAATATTCGCCCTTTTGAGTCTCTCGACTTCCTCCCAATGTTGGGAAAAGGCCGAACGCCCTAAACAAAACATTCTGGCGACTAACTTCCTACCAAGCTACGCACCAGCTACACTTACCCCCCCCTCCGCGCCCCGGTTTTTCTCTCGTCTTTCTTTTTCTTTTTTTCCTTTCATTCTTCCTATCATCGTTGAATGAGTGATTCCGCCCCCCCTCTCCTTCCACCTCGCGGGCTGCCTGGCACCTTTTTGTGGCGCATCCTCTGCATGTCCTCATAAACAAGATTTATCAAGATTTATTTGTCCTKCCACCAAGCCTCAGCAACCTAATGCGCGGCATTCCCACATCTCGGCCGCAAACCCTGACAGGCTGCTTTTGATCGGGTTATCCACTATCCACTGCGGGAGCCTTTTTTTAAGTGTGGACACTGGACACACACTTGTAAGTTGTTCCATGTTCCGTTCCAGGTCCAGCCCTCCCACCCGGCCTAGCAGCAAGACGTTTTTTAATCAAATCATACCCACKGCTCCACGGGAATATACCCATTTGCTCCGCGACTTACTCCTACTACTACTTAGTCTCTCGCTCACACTGCTGATCCCTCATGGCCTAGTTAGCTAAATCTTTTCCCTGACTTGCTAACCTTGCAACCCAAGACGCAGCCAGAAACCTTATCCTGGACAACTTTCTTACCTTTGCTTGTGTTTCGCAGAAGACAGAACACCGAAAAAAAAACGGTCTGTGATCTCATTGACTTGATCATAGCTTTATTTTTTCCGATTCCTATTTTTTTTTGTTCCTGTTCAATCCTACTTGTGTACGTCGCGCGTGTAATCCGTATCATCCCAGATAAAAAAACAACCTTCGCTTTCCATTCTTTGTGTTCTTTGGGACGGACGCGGTCCAACCATGACTGCTGTGGTCCAACCCGACCTTGGTCCTCCACCCGCACACAAGTATAAGGATGATCCTTCAGATGACTCGGTAAGTGCAGGTTCATTGAAGTCTATTGTTTCCTTTCTCTTTGTTTCCTTGTCTGGACGAGAACACAATGCGGAACATGGGCGGGTGGACGAGACGGCATCTTGTTTACGCGCCAACTGGGGTGCCTTGCTTGATTCGCATATCGTCTATAATCTATGCGCTTGTGTCAGCATGGACAAGAGATCAAGCCCAACACAACGCCTGGTCAGTATGATCATGGCAGTTATTCTTTTTCTGTTCTGCGCTTCAGCTGCGGAAGCCTCGTCGACACATGCCCTATATGCCGGGGTACCGCGACCGCTGCCATTCGTGGACTATACATGCCCACCATGCGCCAATGTCTACTACGAACCACGAGGACTAGTTGATTTCACCTAGTCCGAAATACTGGTCAATGGGCGTTGTGGGCTGCGGCGTGGCTAGCAGGGCGTCTCGATGACACTCGGCTATATACAGGTTTTCGCATATGCTGTCCCATGCGAACCTGTTCTCGCTTAAGCATACAGCGAAAATGGGATATGTCAAATCGCCAGAGGGCTGTGTGAAGCAAGGGATGCCTGAATTCCACGTTGGCCGCCAAGTCACATGCCGATCCGCCAGCCACGTGGATGATGATCGCGATGTCCTCTTTTTGAAGAAATAAATTCTCCGCCTGCCCCGACGCACTCCTTCGTGTTGCTCTCTTATTTCCTTTCAACCTACTTGATCCTGTTTTTATTTTTACGTGTATCTGCATGCTCAGTTCCCGCTATGTCGAATATTCCGTTGTTTCCTCCAATGGTCGATCTCGCGAACTGGCGATCGATGGCTGACAGCGTTCACAGCTTCGGCATCTAGGAAGCAACCACCCTCAAAGTCTACAGCATTCCCGCCCAGGAAGCCTTCTACACCAGCACAATCACCGACCAGATTCTCCCCACCAACACTCAGGAGGACCACTCCCGCCAAACCCATACTCTGCGGCCTCTGGAATAAACGGCCTGTCTCTACAACACCCACCTACACCACAATATCCCCCCTCGGCACAGGATCCTTACTACGCCTCACACGCCAACCCATACCCAGCAGCAGCAACCACCCCGCAGTACCCATCTAGTGGTGAGTTTGGATCGAGTCTTCTTTGCCGTCACTGTTATTCGTAGGAAGTACGATCTGTGGAACACGGACCGATTATCTTCACGCACCAGGGCTGCATTCATTACACAGACCATAGCCTGTCGGGATTTGAAATTTATATCTTCCCTGTACACTGCTAACGTTTCGAGAAGGACCCCCAGATCTCATGGCCGCAACTACCCAAATGCAGAGGCCATACCCTCCTATTTATCAAACAACTCCTCAATCGAACTCTCCTGCTTCGGTGACATCATCGCAGACACATGATCAGCATGGACGAAGTCTCTACGCGCAGTCTCCTCAGATTCCATCACAGATGTACGGTTACCAACCGTACTCTCCGATCAATCCTGTTCATCCCGCTTATAACCCCCAACCACCTGCGCCTCAACACCCCTTGACGACTCAATCTTTGATGATGCCTCCACAGACAGCGCCTATCCAGCACACTATTCCATCGCACCAATCAGCCATGGCAAACTCGACGATGAGCAATAACAGCCCTCGGCTCAAGGTGGATCCTCTACCACAGCAGCATACGCCAATTCAGAATCAACGGCCACCACCAATGCCTGCATCGACCTTGACTTCTCCTAATACACCCGTGCAGCCTCTTTCTGCAAACAATGTGCATGTCAATCATCCAGCTGGCGCAAACTCTACTAATGCGGCCCCCGGTCCAATTCCTGCAACTACTCCGCAGCTTGTTCGTCAAGACAGCAACGGTGTGCAATGGATTGCTTTCGAATACTCGCGCGACCGTGTGAAGATGGAGTACACCATTCGTTGTGACGTGGAGTCTGTCAATGTAGAGGCTTTGTCGGCAGATTTCAAGACCGAGAACTGTGTTTATCCTCGTGCATGCTGCAGCAAGGACCAATATCGCGGGAACCGACTGGTGTACGAAACCGAATGCAACGCTGTCGGCTGGGCATTGGCCGAATTGAACCCCCCTCTTCGAGGAAAGAGAGGCCTTATCCAGCGTGCTGTGGACAGCTGGCGCAATAGTAACCAAGATCCTCGGCTGCGAAGTCGTCGAGTCCGACGCATGGCCAAGATGAGTCGCCGACAAGCGAACCAGACACCAAACCACCAACTCGGAGCAAACGCACCTGTGCCACACCTGCTTACGCAAAACCCCGCGGCACTCGCACCGAACGCTCGCCCTCCAAGCGCACCCTTGACGCTGGCAGCGCCGCCCTTACAGCATCACGGCCACCACGCAGATGGCCAAGCTGGAAATGAAGAAGTTAGCGGTATGTTCCACCACCGATACTAAACCGATTTCTTAAACACTGAACAAGATTCCTTTGTTCTTGTATGTCACCTGCACTCGACGATAGACTGTATCTTGTGTGTTGTATGCGTTATGGCGCTGGAGAGAAGTCTATGATAGATGAACATTTTGGTATGAAGATGGAGATTGTACGATGATGGATGTATTATTCTGTTGGGTCGTTGACTTGTCTTCTCGAGAGTGAAGCGTGTCGATGGCCTCTCCTTTTTGTTTTTTGTTTTGTATACCTGGTCTTCGTTTCTTCCCTTTCTTTTCTTGTTGTTCGCCGTCCCTGTTTATCGCTTGCCTTTTTGGGTCGACAGCGTAGGCTAATCCCAACGCGAAATGTTCCAAACTATAGGCAGCACTGATTTTTCGAACGGTGCTCATCGTCCTCCTTACGTCCCCACCAGTGCGAAACCTCCGATTAGTGGCGCCCAGGAACCGACTCCAGATTTCCGTGCTGGACAGGTTTACCAAGGCATGCTCCCATATCCTGCAACAGTCCATGCACCTAGTGGCTTGGGCACACCGTCCATGGCACCACCTCTTCATGGAGGGGGATTCGATACTATAGGCCGACACTCTGTGGCCACAGCGGCTAGCCAACGCCACGACGCAGACGATTCGTATGAAACAGAGGCTGTTACAGGAAAGCCCGGCGACAAGGTTCTGTTTGGCAGTCTMCCAGCCGGTAAACGACGCAAATTTATCCTAGTCGACGACCACCAGCGTGGAGGCCGTGCGCGAGTCAAAGTCACGTTGGACAGGGTTAACATGAACGAGATTCCTGATTCATACCGTCTGACGAACGCCGTATTCCCTCGTGCTTATTACCCTATACAGATGAGAGGTTCTCCGGGACATACTATTCCTGATAGCCGATACCTTGAGGACAACGACGCTGACGATAATAACAACGACGATGACGATGGTTATGAATTTGACAATGGCAATGAGCCCGTTACTGTTGGCCGAACCATTGTGAACGTACCGACGATCGAAGGTCTCTCCCCCGCTGTGCCGCAATTGACTCGCAGTCGACACCGCAAAGATAAAATCATAAATGATTTCGGTTATCGCATGAGCTGGAGCCAAAGCAGGGTTTTTGCTAACCGGCATTTATTCTTGCAGCGATCACGTAAGTGTTTGTTTTCTCAGTATATGCTGCAATCAACTGACACGGCGTGTTAATAGTGGATGCATATCGAAACAAAATGCGTGGCTCAATGTTGACAATCGGACAAGAACCAGCGTCGATAGCATCGCAGTTCGAGACACGAATCGGAAAACGCAAATTCAGTAGCAAAATTCATCGAAGGAGGAACGAAAGCTCGTCTATGACAGCAATTCGACGAGAAGCAGAGGAGGTAGAAGCTTAGCGTAGCCTCAGCCTCCCTTCTTCACTTTTCTTTTTCACTGTATTTTTCCTTATCACTGTACAAATTACTCTTCACCCCTGTCCTTACTGCGAGCTGTACACTCGACCTGTCCGGCTCTAATTCGTGTGACTATACTTTTTGTTTTTGATTGGTCACCTTTCTGTCATATTCTGTCCCTATCGATTTCATATACCCCATTTCTTTGTTTTGTTCTCTTTATTTCGTTATTTCCATCTTTTTGTTTCTTTTTTTTCCCATTCAATTGCCCGCTTCATGTCAGACCATGACCGAAAAGAGTTGAATATGTGAGACGAATATGGGAAGTGAAAGTTTGCTGTCTTTGTTTGGGCTGGTTACGAGTTGATAATGATTGATTGTGCTGGGATCGTGGTATTATTGCTAGTTATGTTAAAAGGATGGATTCGATTGGATATACGGTTAATTGCATATTGGAACATGGCAAAAAGGAGATGGATCGTTTTAACTACCTAGGTATGATGAGAAGAGAGGACTTACAATGTTATACTATTTGCTTCTGATACAAAGGTGGATTGCCTGGATCTGACTCTGATTGTTCCCGCCTAGCCGACGACCCAATAACTTGTATCATAAGTAGTCTCGATAGTACTACATAGTAGCGAGGCAGTGTCGCAAAAATCACGAGAACACACACAATTCCCGCATTGGGCAAAAAGTCATTCATTCAGGTGCTAATCCTGAAATGGTTAGACTGGAGTTGATATTACTATTTTTGGCTCTTTGTTATTTCTCCGATACAGATACATACGTAGTACATTTGATGACTGAAGGTAGAGGACAGGTACACCGAATTATGTAAGGGCGCTGCTCGGCTAGGCTTGACTCTAGTGTGCCGACTTCAAGACACTTGTCTAGATCAGAGACAAAGGCAGAGTATGTAGTATTGCACCGTATGATTTGATCCGAGCATCCGCAAGCGGTCGGGGCACTGATGCGCTCGAACAAGCCACGTTTATACGATGTACTACAGAGTAGGCACAAACCAGATCGACCGAACTCTATTTGACCATTAGATCAACCTAGATGATCGAAGCAGGAGTGTAAATGTAGAAAGAATGGTGAAAACAGAATCTATGAAGTACACAGTAGACACCAAACAGGACTAGGGAGGTGATCGACCGACCTTGGCTTGAAGTGAGTGGGACCACCAACGATCATAAACAATGATAAACAATCGATTACGGTACTTGATAACAGCCGCGATGACTACAGTTTCTACATACGTACATAGTGCAATTTAGAGATACCAGAAGTACGTATATCAATCAGGTATATTTGACTATTTTTTGTATGCCAGAATACCCAAGTAAGACTTGTCTCAAAATATCTACTATTATGAGTTTGGTCAGACTCCGCCCCTCTGAGCCTCAAGACTTCGCGAACATCCGGTTTCAGCTGGTTGGCGCTAGTCCCCGATTGGGCGTTGCTGCTGTCACGGCAACCTTCTATCGTCGTCTGTTGCTTCCCTGATCGCTCTGACTCTCTTCTTCTTACTGACTTCTATTCAGTATTGCTTCTTACTCTGCAGTTCTTTTTTCACAGCGTCGCTCGTCTGTCGCTCTGTCTCTCTACGACACTCGGCTCGGTCTTTGTTTGCATATGCAAGGAGGTGGCCCACTCACCATTGATCGGACGAGCAGAAACAGTCGATGCGCTACATTCTTGGGCTGGGTTTAACTCACCGTGACAAGCCCGGGGTGCAGGCTGTTGCGCATTCCAACGGTTGATACCCTATTTCCGTCTCGGTCGACGTCATCAAGATAATCATTAAAGAAGCGACAACGTGGACTATCGTTGCGGCTACTACTCAGAAGTAAACATGTCACGACAACCCGGCTCTTCGTACCCCCGCGGCGATGTTTCGCCTATCATTTCGGATGTACAGAGTACCTCAAGTCAGATCTCGCCCGTATCAGATCTACCCACCTCGCGCAGTTTCCGCAATCATCCATCTGGTCGTCAGGAAGGTAGAGGCTTGAACAGAGCAGCACCATCTCAACCTGGCAACATCGATACAGACCTACCACCCGAGCCGCCTCAGCATCGCATTATGGGCTCACCACCAGGTATAGCAGACAACAACAGACCACAGATTGATCGCTCGACTTCGTTGCGCACGAATACGACCGCTACTCCGGGCGCGGATAATATGAGTGCGGCTGCTATCGGAGGTGGGATTAGTGGTATTGCATACGATGTCGCAAGCCGAAATCAACGAGAGAGCGGTCTCGAAGCTGTGCGGACGATACGACAGGGACAACAGGGACATAGTTACTACGACGGTCCCTCGGACAGAAACTATTCGGACGTTCCATACGGAGCCACCAACAATCGACATAGCCAGGTAGATCCATCTGGAGTACATTACTCGGCAGGCTTGCCGCTGGGTGGAACGGCCCTTGCAGCGGGCACCCCTCCACAAGTGGGAACACCTAGCTTATCAGCCTCAAATTCATCGCATATTAGCGTCGGAGAGCTATATCCCCGCTACCCGAGCGGCGGCTTATACGACGGGCCTTATCATTCATACAACAGCCATGATCCTACTGCGATTAATCCCAACGATATTGCCGATGACGGCGATGATGATATAATCAATACGCCCCTGCAGCAACAACGGCGATCATGGTTTGGTAAAAAGTCCAACCAAGGACTGGCTGCTGGTGCCGCAGGCGGTGCAGCTGCTGGTGGCGTCTTTTCTGCAGTCAACAGTCTCCGTGGTGGTCCAACGACATACGAATCTGTGCCTACTGGTGCTGGCGGCGTTGGCCAGACTCCTTATGAGAAAGATGCCTTTCTTACCCGTCAGGCCGACATAGCTGCGGCAAAGAAACGGAAGAGATGGTTGCTTACTATCTTGGTAGGACTTGCTATCGTGGCCATTATTGTTGGAGCAATCGTCGGAGGGATACTTGGTAGTCAGAAACATAGTGCTGCTGCAAGTGACTCAAACAAGGGTAGCAGTAGCAGCAGTGATCCTGGTACTAATATCAACACGGCCGCTGGAGATTTGGCCACCAATGGGGATTTGAACAAGAATTCGCCTGAGATTGTGAAACTGTTGAACAATACGGATTTGCATCGGGTTTTCCATGGCATGGACTACACTTCATGGGGTGTTCAATATCCGCTGTGTCTGGAATATCCTCCTAGCCAAAACAATGTGACTCGTGATATGGCTGTACTTTCGCAATTGACAAACACCGTGCGAGTCTACGGCACAGACTGTAATCAGACGCAAATGGTGCTGCACGCTATCGATAATCTGGAACTGACGGATATGAAGTTATGGATGGGCGTATGGGTCAACTCGAACGAGACAACGACAAAGCGACAAATTGAGACGCTCTACGATGTGATAGACAACATGAATGATACAAGTATCATCGAAGGTGTCATTGTCGGAAACGAAGTTTTGTATTCAGGAGGTTTCTCGGATCAGACAACCGCTCAAACAGCTCTCATCACATATATGGAAGACGTGCGATCGAACTTGACAGCAAAAGGGCTAAAAGTACCCGTGGCTACGTCGGATCTGGGTGATAACTGGACAGCCGATTTGTTGGCTGCTTCGGACATGGTCATGGCTAATGTCCATCCGTTCTTTGGTGGTGTTCCCGTCGATCAAGCGGCATCATGGACAGTTGATTTTTTCAACACTCATGATGTCTCGTTGACGAGTGGTACGAGCAAGGAAGCCATCATTTCCGAGGTTGGCTGGCCGAGTGCAGGCGGCAATGACTGTGGCTCAGTCAATTGTACGGATAGTACGTCTGGTTCTATTGCTGGTATCGACGAGATGAATCAATTTTTGTCCGACTGGGTCTGTCAAGCGTTGACCAACGGGACGAAGTATTTCTGGTGAGTATTGTCAGCTACGTTCAAACATTGATATTAATGTGGTAATAGGTTCGAAGCATTCGATGAACCCTGGAAAGTCATCTACGATACTCCCGGCAAAGAATGGGAGGATAAATGGGGTCTCATGGACTCTGCACGCGTACTGAAGTCAGGCTTGAAGATTCCCGACTGTGGTGGGAAGACTGTATGATTTGTTTCTCGTTATCTTTTCCGAAGGCGTTATCGGTACAAAAGGGCATAATGTGCGACGGTGGTTTATTGCAATGGTTTGATTATGAGTATATAACTTAGCACATTCAGCGTTTGGATTCTTCATGTACAAACAGCGTTCTCTCCTTTGGATTTGTGCTGTGGGGTTTGATGCCGGATGCATATCGTTGAGGGTTGAGGCAATGGGATGACAACGTTGGGATAGTCATGGGTTTTATGGATATATGGGACGGATCCCGTCACGGCCGTGGATGTCAGCTGTATGTTTACTGGACGTCGGGCTGATGGTAATGAATTGTTATTGTTAATACATGCGAGTGGTATCGTAGCTGTTCCAATTACAACATCTACAAATTAGTTCCCCCATTCCAACTCCGCCCTCGGAGGAGAAGCCATAAACTCGCTAATCGGTCTCTGCACCGAAAACCTTTTGTGGAGACAATTCCGAGAAGAGAGTCTCTGTCCCAGAGATGTGATGATGTGTGGATGTAGTAGGTAGTTTGATGTTTGTCTCTATTATGGTGTCTGACTGCTCCGCCGCATGCACTCCCTCATTACTGTTTGCACGACGACGCTTGTATCGTATGAGCAGAAAATCTAGTTGCACACAATATTAGAACACCGAGAGACACACCAACACCCCATTCCCACTTTCTGTGCGGGCCTCGGACTAGACTGCGACGGTGCGCGTGTAGAAGTCGATGCAGACGCAGATACCACCGTCGTCATCATCCTCGTCGTGGACGATGAACCAAATTTCCAACCCGTCGGCTCCGGATCCACCACAAATCTCATATTAACCGCACAAAAAGGGACTCGAGAAATTCGGCGCTGCCAACCCCCCTCTCCGTATTGGGGCTCAAGCTCGGATAGGCAGCCTGCTTCGCGGTAGTGGTCGCGCGTCGCGTTCCAGATGTAGTCGTATGTGTTTGATAAGTTTGCTGTGGCAGATTAGTTTTCCGTACCTAGGCTGGTGCGATCAAAGTTTGAGGAGTGTTTGTACATTGAAGTTGACTCGAGGTAGTACATATCTCGCAGTGACTGGATCGTGCGGCTGGAATGTCCCAGGTTCAAATTTTATGTTAAATAGGTTCCTGGCGAGGAAGGTCATTTGCTTGATGGAAAATGTAAAGCCCTGGGCGTGGGTTGTAGGAAGTACGAGGGACATTCGTTTCAAGGCGGCAATCGCGTGCATCTTGAGGTATATTGGATGCTATGTCTTGATATATACTTGAGCAAACGATTTAGAAATTTTAGTTGTACCTACCATCACAAATGCGACACTTGGGAGGCAAGCACATTTATGGTATTTCCTTCTTATTGCAACCCCCCAGGTCGTCATTTCTTCCTTCTTTGTTCGACAAAATTTCCTCTCGCTCCCTTGGGATAGCAGTTGACATTCCTCGGTACAACCGTGGCAGAACCATGAGCTCATGACTGAAACAATGCCTAATTATACGGATTGTCTTATTGACCATGTTCAACCTGGAACATGGGGCTATCCTTCTATGATGGCCTTGTGCGAGCATACGTCTTGGCAAACATTGGCACTGAAGAGGCATCATTAACTCTGATAACTTTCTAAGACCTATTTCCAGAGTTTCAGCCGCCTTGTAGATGGTCCTAATACCCGTTCTTGACATACCAAGATGGGTGCATAGCCCCTTTTCAATCCCACCCTCAGACACTTTAGGTTTTGGGGATCATTAGCCCTAGCCCTACAGTTATGTCTAGACTTCCGCTTCTCTCTGCACAATACCTTATCAAATTTTCTAATCATACTTCATCTTAGAAATAGACGCTGGGCTCGTCTGACGGAGGAAATTCTTACGTATCAACTTATTATGTGCATGCCAAATCAGATTCCGGATTCTTGTCAATATATTGAGAAAATCTCAGGAAACACGAACCAGATTTTGGCTATCTTGCAGCGACGAGGCTAAAAACCTACCCCCTGTCATGACTGACGTGTCAGGCCCCTGAAATAAGATTCCGGCAAGGCTGTAAGTTTGTGATGTTCTAGTCCCAATTTTCTGAACGAATTGCAAGCCATGCTTTGTAGATTGAAGAAAAAGGAAAAATGCAGGACGTTCGGATTCTGTCCTCGACCAATTAGAGGTAGCGAGGCTGAATCGGAATATGGACATCATCAATCATGATCTTTCCACTTTTGCGCCGTCATCATAGACCGCTACTGCCAACAACTAGGAAGCCGTGCACCTGATTATCTATTTGATGGGTTTGTTTCCCGGACCTGAATCAGTCGCCCTCTTCTTCTACTCGCTGCATTCATCTGTGCACTGTTTGAGGTATAAGCTCCTCGACTTTACATCGTCACTTTCGAAAAATGTCACCAAAGGCGCCTCGTATCGCGGAGGAGATATGGGAACGACACAGAGACGAGATCATCGATCTCTATTGCGCTCCCAAGGGAACGCTGAAGAAAACGATGGATATGATGAAGGATAAATACGGATTCCAGGCAACGTACTAATGGCTTTTCACCAGCTTTATGATACTCAAAGCTGATTTGCTGGTAGAAAAAGCCAGTATACTACGAAATTTGAGGCTTGGGGTATACAAAAGTATGCCGACAACACCACCTGGCTTTATGCGTATCAAAAAATAAGGAAACGAAAGTTGGAGGAGAACAAGGATACTGGGCTGATCACCCATGGGAGGAAAAGGACACGGAAAGAAGTCGAAAAAGAAATCGCCCGGAATGTCACGAGTAGAACCCAGTTGCAGTTGTTGGAGGATATTCCCACACCCGAAGGCGTTGAGGTTTTCACTCCAGGGGCCGAAGTATTTTCTACTTTTGAAGTTTCTTCTCCATCGGTCACTCTTCCAAAAGTGTGCTGGAACAACCTTCCAAGTGTTCAATTACAGAAAGAGATTCAGATGCTTCTTCTTAAAGACCCTCGAATCTTCAACTTTGACGCTTTTCGAGTTTTCAATACGTCAGACCCGTCGAGCAGTCAGCTTGTTATCCGTAACAATTTAACATCCGAAGCTGGGTCGTTGCAAAAAGCTTTGGAAGATGCTGTGAATAGCGCAAAGTCATCTACGCCGCAAGACTTTCTATCAAAGAAATCGATACCGCTGACTTCATATTTTCCACCGGACGAGACTGACAATGATTGTATGCTGGGCTCCTACGGACTGAAGGGGTTTGGCATAAAACTTCTACAATACTTCATCGTTTTGACAAACAATGGCGCGATTTCTGGAAGCAAATTACACCAAGGATTTCGGGGTATAATATCGAATCTCGGCGAATCCTTTCTTTTTGACCTTTTTAGCCGTGAGACAACCACAATTACAGCTTTTATGAGGAAAATACTTCCTACTGTCGTGGACCTTGGAAATACCAGCATGGTGAAATATATTCTGAAGAAGCATCTCGACATCCTGAACGAAACAAATCATTTTCGTAGGTATTGCAGTTATACACAACAGGAAGAATGCATGTCGATAGCGGTTACGAACGGGGACGTTTCAATGGTTGAGCTGTTATGTACTGCAGGATTTTCGCCTCGAATACTCGGTCCCTATGCTTTATTTCCCGCTAGAGAGCTACCGTGGGATACAGGACGTCTTGAAACTTTACAAACTCTACTCTCATCTGGAGCACATCCGGAGTGCTTTATTGTTGGCAAATCTCGGGGTTTTCCTCTCGTCGATGCTGCGAAGTCGGGCAGCCTCGAAGCCGTCAGTATTCTCTTGAGACATGGCTCTGGAGTAAACTGCTACGTTAAAAATTATTATGGGACGGCCCTGCAAGCGGCAGTATGGGCAGGACATCTGGAGATGGTCGAATTCCTCATTGCCTGTGGAGCAGATATAAACGCTCCATTTGGTACGCAGTATCAATTACCAATACCCAAAGATTACCCTTCTAAATACGTAAAAGAGGCGTCTTGGAGCATGATGACGCCAATTCAGATTGCTTGTGCCAAAGATAATGTTCCTTTGGTTGTATTGCTGCTCAGCCGTGGAGCGGATGTCAATCTCTCTCCACTTTCTCAGGTAGATTTGAGCGCCCAGGAGGGGCGTTATATATTCTCTCACCGTGATGATGAATTCATGTTCAGTTCGATTGATTACTCTCCGCATTACGACGAGGCGCAGTACTTCACTGCATTCCAACACAGTGTCCGAAATGGAAACACCAACTTGGTTCAATTGCTTCTCTTGAGTGAAGCAAACATTAACTCAAGGGCGACCTCCCATCTTTGGGAGGATACACCACTTCAACTTTCTGTCCGCCTTGATCACTCGAATATAGCTCGAATTTTGATAGAATCTGGAGCTCATGTAAATGCTTCTCCTGGAAAGTTCAATGGCCGAACGGCTTTACAGGCCGCAGCCGAGAGGGGGAATATTCACATCGCACAGGAACTTCTGAGGAGGAACGCCGACATAAACGCCTCACCAGCGTATGAGAAGGGTTTGACTGCGTTAMAAGCCGCTATAAAAATGGGTCACTCTTTGATGGCAGGGGTTTTATGTATTTTAGGTGCCAATATAAACGCACCGCCTGCCCCGGAAGGAGGTCTTACAGCTATCCAAGCAGCAGCAGAAACAGGTGATTTGAATCTCGTCAATGATCTCATACGTCTCGGAGCACACGTAGAGAACGCGATAGCCGGAACCAAAGCAATGCTAGCTTCAATATCGCACGAGGATTTACCGATTCTTGAGTTGCTTGTCAAATGTGGCGCACCGATCAATCTACAGGAAGATGATAACTACATGCCACCAATTGTGGCATCAGCAAGAAAAGGCTGGGTTGATGGGGTACTTTACCTCCTGGATAACGGCGCTGATATCAACTCTTACTACTATGATATGAGTATTTGCAGCAATCTCAGCTCCTTGTCCTGGTCGATTATCACACGTGATATTCGAATGGTCGATTTACTTCTGAAAAGAGGCGCAAGTCTTCGTTTTCCTGATGCCAAATATCCGTTTAACGATTCTCTCTGCCAGGCATTACGCCAAGGGTGTCCTGCGGAAATTATTGATAGGCTCCTTGACCAATACACGGAGGCATATCCGTTGTTTCTACGTCAAGAAGTTCTAGCCGAGGCAGTATGCAATGTATTTGATGCATTTGATGACAAAGACGTTGCAAGAACAGCACGTCTCCTCAGCATTATATCCAAACTACCCAAGACGCTGTACATGGCCCAAGTTATGAATGCATGGGATAAACTTTTAGGAGACCACCATTGGTTAGATCCATTTGACGATGGAGATTCAAAAATTATGAGTCAGGTGATCACATTATTACTAAGGGCTGGAGCCAATATCAATTCCAGACACCCTTTAAGGTGTATTACACTTCTACAGACTGTTATAGCATGCAGCTGGATTGATTTGGCAGAATTTTTGATTCAAGAAGGTGCCGAAATACAAGTACCATCCGGCGAAGATATAGGAACTCCACTCCAAGAGGCAGTCCAAAAAAATGAAACTGATTTTACACACTTCTTGTTGGAACGAGGTGCTGATATCAATGCAGCTCCAGCCGAAGATGGGGGTGCTACTGCACTCCAAGCAGCCGCAAAAAATGGAAACAGAAGCCTGGTTAAGTTTCTTCTTGAACGTGGCGCTGAAATCAATGCACCTCCAGCCAATTTCAGTGGTGTCACGGCACTTCAAGCAGCTGCAATTAAAGGCTATATAGACATTGCTGTTGACCTTCTTCGACATGGCGCTCATGTTTCTGCACCTTGCGCGGCAGAAAATGGCAGAACAGCAATTGATGGTGCTGCAGAGCATGGGCATGAAGATATGCTGCAACTACTTTTGAACCATTATGATGGTTGCGAGAATCTGAGTGCTGTTTGTGAAAGAGCAGCAAATTATGCGAAGGAAGAGGGCCATGGTGAGATTGCTTCGTGGCTTAGGCAGTACCCCAACCTATCAACTGAAATTGAATGATTGTTTGAGATTGGGGATACACTTGTGCAATGCGTGATAAAGAGCACATTGATTCCAACCTACGGCCGGAATGTATTTCATAAGAGATATCCTGTGTATACAAGTTACAAATTTGGATTAAGTGAGATGCCAAAGGTCCAGTTGTCAACTCCTTTAATGATACATCAATGTACTCTAAAATTACCTAGGTATATTTCATGAATCAAAAGCCAGGAATGATATCCAAGACGCCAGCCAAAAACCTGTCCTGTCAAAATCTCCCTATTGTACATAATCTCCACTTTTCTCTAACGCTAAACCACCAAAAGACATCCATCCAAGTCAAAGCTATTTCAAACCCATCACTTTTCTTCTCGCCAATAAATCCTCATCCGCCAAAATGCTTCCGACCTCGCCTCAAACTCTTGTATTTTGACGGACCGCGTTTGAGCCACAAAATCCGCCAAGAACTTCGACCCATCATCTTTTTCATTGATGTCCTCATCATCATTAAACCCCCTTGCCGTCAACGAAGGCCCCTCTTCGAACGGGCCTCCAAACACCACGACCGGATTGGACGGTAACATCAGCCTCAGATGCCTCCTTTCAGCTCCCGGCCCAAATAGGAATGTCTTGTTGGAAACGGCGTTGAAGCCTTCTGGCGATTCCACGGCTGTGATGCCGAGTAAAGCGAGGAGCTCAATGTCGAGGGTATTGAAAACTGGGTCCTGGGCTATGATTTTCAGGTCCGTTGACTCCTGCTGCGTAGGAATAGCAGCAGCACGATGTTTGACACAGTCAATTATCGTCGTCAAAGCTGCAAGCTGATACATTGCCACACTCCTCCGATCAACCCATCCGCCTTGCACAAAACCACTCGGCGATCCGAGACCGATGCAAACTATATTTTCAATTCCGAGCTGACCTTGACTCGATAGAAGATCTTTATGTAATGCATTCTTAAGGTGTTGCCATGTCTGCGATGACTCCCACGTTTCAAGGTGGGCGGTGAATTGTTTCCGGAGTTCGGCCAGGTTTAGTTTTCGCGGTGGCTCTGATGGTGCTAATTGCAGCCTTGTCATCGTAGATTTATCATTGCTGTCGGGTATATCCTCATCATCGGCTGCGCCGTCTGTCATAATCTTCCTTGTCGTGCTCGTCGACGATCTTGGTACCGAGTGAGTGTTTGACACATGAGTCCAGCCATCTTCATCTGTGACTTCAATTCTTCGAGGATGAGTGAACTTCTTCCTCTGTTTGCGCGATGCGTTTGGCATATTGATAGTCTATCTACCTTTGTAGGTAGGCATGAGGTACTGATTGTCGATGCTGAGATATGCAAAAATCTGGACTATTCGTGAGTATGTTGGCTCTCAAGCGAGAAGGAGAGACATACTTGTATTCAATACAGCGATAATCCCAAACCATGTGGTTTTTCTACTGTCAATTGTATATTGATCTAGACTTTATTCACAAAAATGATGATTGAATTTGATAGCGGGACAATCGACAATAAAAGTGGGTCGTTGAGTTTATCTAACGCTAGTCTATTTGCGGTATACTAGGGTTAGACGATGAGATTCATCTTCAAAGAAACAGATGGTGTATGAAAAGATGGTCCTTCATTTTTGTGTGGACTTCATATTGGGTTTCGTTCTATAGATCCGAGACTTGGCCAATGTATACCTGTTTGGGGTGTATCACTTAACGCTGAACTAAGGAATCAGTTATTCGAAATAATTGCTGAGCGTACAACGTTTTCAGTCCCTTTACATAATATGAAAGATATTTAATCGAAGAGGGTTTGATTTCACGGACATGTGCTTCATGTCGATATCATACTAGTCCTCCAACCAGAACTGTGTACCTTAAACCATGCAACAGAGTGATATGAATACGAATCAATTCCTATTCGACGATACCTTTGCCTGTGCCAGTCAAGAGAAAAGAGGGGTCACATAAGCGCCAAATCGCATCCGGCAAAGTCATCACATCGAGTGCCCGGCCCGATCCATGCAGTGAAGATCGTCCAACAAAGGATGAACCCGAGCACCAACCGCGTCCCAATCTACCAACATAAATTAACAGTGGTCGACCGAATGCGAGTGCAACAACTGACTTGACAGCGCCGCAAAATGGGACGGAACAAGCATAAGTGTGCCACCAAGCTAGTTGCACTAATTAGTAGTTACGCAAACTGCTGCAACCTCGAGAGACGGTGAGGTCCTCCAATCGGAGAGCCGGTTTTAGCGCTGGTTGAGACAGCCTGCATTCAACGAACTGATATAAGACTCTAGAGTCTGGATTCTCTGATCTTCGGTGGTCTGACAACTTCTTTGTCTTAACATCCTAACCATCTGGGCACAAATAATTAATTGTACAGAAGTGGCACAAGCTAATACAGACGAGCTAGGGTTAGGGCTAATTTAGTCTAATTAGGCTAGCGTGCTGCGGGGACTGACGGGCAGACAGAACTCGATTGGAGAAGAATCGATTTTAGTCTTTTGTAAGTGCTCAACTGGGCGGCTACTAGCTATCGAATCACGTCCTGAAGACACTTCCTCTCATGCATCGTGGGATGTGACAGCCGTGCAGATTGACACTGCTCCGCTTGCTGATTGGCCACCCATGTGATAAACTATCATGAAGTGCTTGCCTTTGCGAAAATGCTTTCGCTGCAGCTCTCGACGCCCTCTGTCGAATCGGATGCGGCATCCAGCCATGTCCAGTGTAGCTTTGCCTAGTTCCTGCTGTCTAGCAGTGTCTACGAGCTATAGAATTGCACGAACAGGCATCGTGTGATTTGTGGGTCGCCTTGTGCTTTGTTCTGTCTGTATCTCTTGTCACATTTTGAGTTGACTGGAAGCTCTAATTCCCTAGGCGCTGTGGCCGGGATTTCTTGTATTTCTGACTGGTTTTCCCCTCTCTACTGTAAAATTGAGTATCTCTTTTACAATTTCGAAAGTCATTAATAGACCAGACCATCCTATCTGCTCTATAAATATATCCAACAACTGGGAACGAGCCAAAAATATCCCAACACACATTCAGAGTTTAGACGAGAGGTCGTTCTCGACGTATCGATACTCTGGCGGTGCGGCCGAGATCGATGTTCAATATAGATTAGACCCTTCCCCAACATTGCGCTGCGAACAATCTTCGACATGCACTTCTCATTATCACAATGGACGGCCCTGGCGGTTACGATCCTCTCTTGCGCGAACTGGGTGAACGCACATACCATCATCGTCTACCCGGGTTATCGAGGCAATAATCTACACACCAACGGATCCGTGGAGGAGGCCGATGGACTTGGAGCGGCGTTTGTGAATGATACTACGATTTATCCCTATGGCATGCAATGGATGTATCCTTGTAAGTTATCCACTGCCCACACTGAATTAAATTCTGTATAAGATTGCTAACCTCCGTGCAGGCGGCGGAATGCCAACCTCCACCAACCGCACGAAATGGCCTATCCAAGGCGGCGCCATTTCCATTCAACCAGGCTGGTTCCAAGGCCATGCCACAGCCTTCTTCTACTTCAATCTCGGTCTCGGCGCCATACCCCCAAATATGAGCAACCCGATGCTCCCTCCCTTCCAGATCATCGGACCCTCCGCGAACCCTTACCCAGGCACATTCTGTCTGCCTCAGGTTCCGTTGCCAGCCGGTTTGACAGTGAATGTGGGTGATTTGGCGACTATTCAGGTCATTGAGACGGCGAGACATGGTGCCGCCTTGTATAATGTATGATGTCCCTTTCCTTCATCGATAATAGTCGATTGACATAAGTATAGTGCGTCGATATCGAATTCGCGAAACCCGAGGACTGCGTCGAGGTCACTCAAGACAACTGCTTCAATTCATCCGACATTGCATTCGCGGATATATATGAAGTCAACACAACGACTTCTGCGGCGCCGCCGTCACTAATGGCACCGGGCTATGCGCCGATAAGTTTTGTGACCCTCGTTACTATGCTCTTTTCGGGATTGATTTTGTAAATCGAAATCTCGGAAAGAGAGGAAGAATTTCAGAGTCTTGTCGACGTCGACGTCGACGTGCATACGAAAATAATACCCTATACAATCCTTTGAAATCTATTATTGAATTGTCTTTTCATCATTGAATCGACAATGGCGTTTGGGATATGGTGTTTGTGGAGCTTTGGCTGTGGTCATATTCTTTTCATTGACTATCTAAGGTAGTGTTCTACTATATCTGATAGCGCTCATTCATAGGCCATTGCTGGTCTTTTGCCTCTGTTTATGGAGTCTGGAGAGGGGTCTGAATGTTATATATTGTCTTGGTCAGCATTCTTCACTGTTTTTCTTCTGTCTCGTACTTCACGAGGCGCGGTAGTTATTGACTAGCAAACATCCTATACACAATACTTATAACCCATTTTCACTAAAGTAATGTCAAAAATCAATAAATTCCAATATAGCTCGCACAACCTCATCCGGCTTCTCCTGCGGAATCCAGTGTCCAGCCCCCTCGACCATCCTCAGCATTCGAAAATCGTCACAAACCTCCTTTTCCTCTCCAGTCATTTTCTCTATAGCGCCAGGCTGCTGGTAAGTACCCCAGTCCTTATCACCGCCAATGAATGCACAAGGTATGGAGATACGTTTCCCGGCAAAGATGTCCAGATCATGCTTTAGTTCGGGCTTTTTACCTCCATCGTCTGTTTGGACGCGATACCAGTTCAGCCCTCCCTGAAAAGTGGTGCGAGCGTACTCATTGACATAAACCTCGAGATCTTCGTCTGACAGCCAATCCTTCGACGCATCTTGCGACTCGTCTCTCATGAGCATTTCAATCGCCTGCGGCATAGTCGCGTCTAGAGGCATGATATAATACTCCGGCATTTTAACCACTTCATCAATAGGCCACTCCAGCTGTCTACTACTCTCTCCTTTCTTGATCAATGGATAAGGATTATTCCCCTTCCAAGAGCCAGACTTGACATGGAAATAACCCCTTAGAAACCCACGCAGACCCCCTGCAGTTGTAGGGCCTGCCATATCCCCAATTGCGTCGTGGGTGGAATAGTACCATTTATAATGTTTCCGATTGTGGACCCTGAGTTTATCGTTGATGCTAGGTTTAGCTATTCCCGCACTAGGCGGCGGGAAAGACGAGGAGCCCTGTGTATCAATAGTATTAAACGGCAGGCGCGGTACTCCATTGAATGGATGCGTGAGCAGAGCCACACTTTTGAAGACATCAGGCCGGATAACGGCACAGGCAGCTGCAGTTACTGCGCCAGCGTCATGGCCCACGACGCATTCCACCTTACTATACCCCAACGCGTAGACCAGCGCAATCACATCGCGCACGTATATTGTGGTCGCGAAATTGTGTAGATCGACCTGTTCATAAGGCCTCGAGTCCCAGCCGGTAGTTCGTCCGAAGCCTCGCTGGTCTGGCGCAATAACATGGTATGCGCGACGACCACGGCCACCTCCATCGGCATTGGCGAGGGGCAGGATGACCTTGCGCCATGAGAATGCTAGATCGGGGAAGCCATGGAGCAGGATGATGAGGGGGTCGGTGGGTGCACCGGCTTCGAGGATGTGGTAGGAGAGATGGCCGTAGGCGCGGAGATCTATTTGGCGAGACGTAATGCCGGGGGGGAGGGGGAGGGGAGCTGGGTCTGATGCTGTTGCAAGGTGCGCCATTATATACCCAGGTAGCTTGTAGCTAGACCATGGTGGATAATTACCAACAACACGATTGACAATGTTTAGGTTTCTTCATATCATGAGTTGACGTGATGCACGTGATGGCTGAGTCGTCATGGTGAGTCATGCTCCGACAACCGAGGATATGCTTGTTGTTAACGTTTAATTCATCGCCGGATAAACCCAAGATATGCCCGTAAATCGGATGAACATTATCGAACAATATCTTCATTTCTTAATCAGTTCATCGAGTCTACGAGATTTACCCGCTGTGGGGGTCCGATCTCGTTTTCGATATAGATTTAGATTGAAGATGCTTGTTTGATCTTGTTTCACCATAACTAAGAGTAGTCCTATCAGTCAAACCTGTAGCTCCTGTGGAGACAGGGCTAAAATCGCAATAGCTCAGGTCAACACGACGATCATGTACCAGACTCATACAGTGGTAGCAGTGCTAGTTGCCAAAACGGAAAATACAAAACATTCACAGAGCAAGCCATCGACGTCGAAAGAATTTCAAGCAAGCACAGCCACGATGATAGACACAACGCCGTCCCAAAGAGGCTAGTGCTTTCCAGGAAAGCACTAGCCTCGATTTGCACTCGCTTTTCTAATTTTAAGCGTTCTGATTGGCTGCTCTCGTTCATTGAGTTCGTCCATGACGCAACAATGCAACGGAGCTTGGCCACGCTAGCCCGATTGAGAAGGTCCGTGCACGTGATTGGTGCACATCGTCGCAGCCTTGCTATGCTGTCATCATCTAACGCTTCTGGGACTAGCCTCTTGCTCTTGCTCTTACTCTCTTACGCTTACTTCTCACGTTTCATCATCGTCGGCTTTTTAACATTGACTGACCAGGGTGTCTGTTTTTGCCAGATCAACTTTTTGTCTTCTTTGTCGTTGTTTTCTTCATCATTGCTATAGATCGTTACTGTTTTTTTCGTTCGGCCTCGCTCTCATAATTGTAATATATCCTTGCTTCGTCCTGCACTTTTCCGCCCGCTGCGGAAGAAGTGGACTGACTGCCAATCATCTCCGCCAGCCCTTCGCTCCTGGCTTGAGGCCTTGAAGGCGGATGTGGCGCCCGAACCTGACGACACCCGCTTCCCGGTATCTCAAGAAGAACAATTTGCAGCATCGCTGTTCACTCGGAATATATCTTCCTTTCTAGCTACTCTGATCGAAAAACGCGGCGCAATTGCATTATCTTTTCCGCATCCCGAACGAACCGCGCACTAGTGGACGAGCGTTGTCTCTAGACATCTGCTCAAGCCGCTATGTTCCGTCGCAGAAGCTCGTCTCGCCATCAGGTACGTCGTCGCATGCATGCACGCAGTCGCATATATCTACTGCTGCGTGGTTCCTACTCTTCGAATCGCAATGCAGAATCTAACACTATCTGCCTCTATCAATTACCGATACTTTATCTGCTAACATCTAATCTTTCGGTCTGCAGCCTCTAAATACAACTCCTTCTACATCCGCCCAAACCGCTGCCTCACGAGCGTTCACAGCCAACAGAGATGCTAACGCTAGTCTCTCATCAGCCGCCGCTGCTGCCGCTTTGCGAAGTCATACACCACCTCCAACATCTCCCGGCAATGTTCAGACAAAGCGTATGCTGCAGCGGCAGCTATCAAACTCGTCCCGTGCCAGCTCAGCAGGTGGACTACGCCATGGCTCCCAACCCACACTTCGCCGAACGCCCAGTTCTGGCTCGATGACATCGCGGACTTTTCGCGAACCATCTCCTGCTCGATCACAAAGCACCGCGGGGAATACGAGTACCCATCCMCCTGTCCCGCCAATTCCACAGTCTCTGTCAAATCGATCAAAACCGTCTCAAAGGTCAGCAAGTGCTCAACCGAATAGAGGTACAACATCGCCTTTGAGGAGGTTAGTGGGTGGCCGAGGTGCCAGTCTCGATCGTGGACCCGGCAGCTTAACAGCAAGCCCAACAACGCCACGGAACATTTCACAGGGGAATTCGCTGGAGCTTGATCGACCGGGGAGCAGGACATCCATTAATTTCTCATATCCGATGAATGCACGAGCCAATTCTCCGCCGCAATCACCGGTAGAACGCGAATTTCAACGATCGCCGATAGATAAGTCTCCGAGCCCCCCATCGCTCTCACCCGTCGAGACAGCCGATATTCAACAATCAGTCAATAGCGCAGCAAACCGCAAGGTGAAATTGAAGCCGAAGACAGCTGCACCAGGGTCAAAAGAAGGCAGTCATTTTGCACATAAAACTATGGGAGGCCGTCCTACTGGCACAGCACTACAGGATGCCGTTGAAAAGGATGAACAGCAGTCACATGAATCAGCTTCTCCACAGTCTCCGGGGGTATCAACCACGGATTTTGCTACCACTCAACCTGCCACAGAAGATTCGGTCAAGTCCCAGCCGCCTGTCGCCTTTGAAGATGATATCACACATAGTCCAAGGCCCAAGCCCAAGAAGCGACCGTCAATGGTAATGGAGGACCACGAAGGAGAGGAGATGGCGGAAGCAGCAGAGGCTGCCCAAGAAGATTTTGCAGTATCTCCCAAGGAGCCCTCCTCTCCACAAACTGAAAACATTAACAAAACTAAACCCACCCGTGAGGCCCTGGTCATCTACCCCCCTAAAACCAACCAAACAGTCGTACATCCTTACACTCGTCCATCGCCTTCTACTTCATCAACACCATCATCTCCAGGCGACAGACTTACGGTTGATAGCAGTATTGATGGCCAACTGCCCCAGCGGCAATCATCCGTCAGCCCCAATCGATCTGCCAGGTTTTCAGCTCAACTGACTGTCGGCTCCGAGTCGCCTCTGCACGAACCTCCTCCGAGGTCTATATCTCCAGTAAAGCCAGCATTAAAAAGTTCTTCATCCCCAGATCGTCGTGTCTACCTGGGACAAACCCCAAGCGAGTTCTCCGACGCTACATCCGTAGCTTCGGATGATGGATCTCGAACGGGTTCCAAGAGGAGGGTCGCCAAGGTTAGTTTTGATGATGAAGCCGAGGTCGTCGGAGTTGCTGCTAGCCCTCCTACTTCGCCAGAGCCAATGAACAGAGCACAAAGCCCTGTAGAAAAGGTCAAGTCCAGAAAATGGTACAGCATCGGAAAGAAGAAGACTACATCCAAAGACGTTGCAGACGATGACGACTTCGAGTCTATGCTCCGGCCAAGACCAGCTCTTCCGTCTTTTGGAAGTATTCGTGGCCTGAGGGAACTGGAAGAGACTACGGCTCTAGCTATCAATGGCAATGACTCGGACTCGTCTTCGGACGATGATTTTGATGCTCGGGACTTTGGTGCTTCCAGCGATCATGCTATCGGCGGAATACTTGTGAATGCTCGAAAGGATGCCCAACCTCAGACACAACCCCTGGCTGAGCCTTTCGCCCCTGAATTAGGATTGAAAGATGCACAGTTAGAATCGCCAGACGAAGTTGAGACACTCAACAGTACACGCGACATCGAACATCTCCCTACGGTTCAAGAGGAGTCAAGCTCGGCTACGGCTACCCCATCAGAAGCCGCAGAAGCTTTGCCTACAGAGACACCCAAGATTGCTCTGAAAGAAGAGACGATCGTTGAGCAGCAGGTCGACGCTCTCAAAGAGCCTCTGCCTACGATTGCTATTCAGCCAGCAACACCTGGTGAAGAGCCACGCAATAGTATCGATCTACACAATATGCCAGGCGGATTTCCATCTTATATTGCGGAGCGGGTCGCCACACCTGAACCGACCCAAACTACGATTGAGGCTCCTCAAGCTGCCAATCCACCTGTCGAAGAAGCCGATGGTGATGATTCCGGAGACAGTATCTATAGTGATGCTGCAGAGGATCCCGACGATTTCCAAGGCGATGTGTTCGGATCGATTAATGCTATTGTTGATAGCCCCTTGCCACCTCAGTCCGAATTGCCAAAAGAAGTCCCAGAAAGCCCTACGCGAACGCTCCTGCAACCTGATCCGTTGACAGATATCTCAGAACCTATACCTTCGGCATCTCTAGAGGCGATCAATCCCAGAATGCCCGCAACGCCTTCAGGGCCGACGCAGACGCCAACTGCTGCTAGTGTTCTGGAGCCGGTTGAGGAACCGCAAAAGAAACAACAGAAGCAAAGCCCTGCTCCGGCCGAACCATCTTGGCCATTTAAGACTGATCCAACGCCAATTGCTGCTACTCGCGTCCAACAAAGGCCCAAGGCCCAAGCAGCCGATCCTCATCAAGGTTCTCATTTGCGGAAAGCTCTAGGAAAAGGAGATATACAGCAACCGATGGCGAAGCAGTCGCTCAGAAGTGCATCCGGCCCTGACCCAAGTTCCCCTACCGTTGCGAAAACCAGACGTACACAGACAGCAAGTCCAGCTCAGATGAATAACAAACCGCCAAGAAAACAGGCTGACAAGACTCTTCCGCATTCGATGACTTTCCCGGCCGCTGCAACGAAGCCCTCGGCAAATGATAGTGATTCCGATAGCAGCTTCAAACGAACCCGGCGTCCGTCTCGAGTAAGCGCCGGAGGTCAGTACAGCATGAAGAAAACGATGCGTACTACCAGACCAATGAGCATGGTGAATTCAGACATGGGAGTCGAGAGAACCACGTCTCCACCGCGTGCGTCATCTATGCGCACGACGATGCGAGGACCAGCTTCTGAACGCTCTTCTGGTTTCTCAAGTCTTAGAGACAAGCCACGGCCACGGAGCTCAGTAATTTCTTCAAAAACACGATCTCGAATCGGTGATTCTGATGACGAGGGTAAAGGTGGGCGCAATTTGTTCCAGAGCCGGTTTGCAGATTCCAGTGATGAAGACGAGCCTCTTCCCAGCAATTTGACACCGGTTCGTGGAATTCCTCGCCGTAAAGGCAGATACGATGGAGAGTCGACCGATTTGGACGATAGCTCTGATGAGGAAACGAAACGTCAGACTCGCAACGGTGCCACTAAGTCCGCTACACAGATGTCCCCAGAGGAACTAGAAGCGATATTGTCTCAGCCTAAGAAAAAGGGACTTTTCTCTCGTCTAAGATCGCCAACCAGGAGCAGTGGTAAGGACGGCAAAGTCCGAAAGTCCTTGATGGAGAGTCCGGCCCGGAGGGACACCCCTTTGGAGAGATCTCGAATCGAGTTAGCGCAAATGAGAGAAAATGCAACGTCTCCAAAGCTTCACAAGAGGCAAAGAGCTGTTTCTGCTTATACTGATACATGGCCACTAGCCACCGGGCAGACCTCAACGTTAGCCGCGCCTGCAACCAGCACGACTCGCCCTTCCACCTCCGACGGTATCGCCCACAGTCAAGATAAAGACAACGGCCGTCCTCTGTTTAATCGACACGGAACTAGCGACAGCATCGACTCGAGAGTGACTTCTACTGCGTCTGAAGTCGTCGTAGGCCGGTCGGGCAAGAAGAAACGATTTCCGATGTTGCGACGGGCATTTGGGCTGCGTGACTAATTTCTTGATCACTTTCGATATATTTTATCATCACTTTTCCTTCGCTTGATGACACTTCAAAATCGCAGAAGGGTAATGATAATGTTATTACTTTTCGTTGACATTTCTACACCTATGATTTCTCATACACTAATGTCTTATGGCATGGTCGTCCCCTTTCCATTCTCTATCTTCTCCCTTCTTGTGGATCATTTCATACATTTTTCCCTCTCCTTTCAAAATCTCAAACTGACTGATACCATGGCAAGAGTATCTGGTTATGACCAAACGTTTTTTTTTTCTTCTGGACCAAAATGGCAATGGCCTTGGATGGAGTTTTAATATATTACCCCCCTTTATGTTGGCGACACGATTTGATCTCTATGTTTCTTATATATTCTTTGCTTGAGAATTACATACATACACACTTGACTATGGAATGATAATATGGAGAGAATGTATCCATTCTCGATTTGAAGAACACATTGACTTGGCCATAAACTTGTCAATACTTAAAGACCATTAGTCAGAACATTGAATTGAGTGGTCATATATCAGTCAGTATCAATGAGGGTCGATTATGGTGATACACTCTTACTTACCATAGGGTCGTTCCCTTTTCGATCGCCGATTTGACATATAGTTAAGTGAACGATTTACTAACAATTCACCAAGATTTAATAAACCTTTGTGCGGTGTAAATCGTCCGCGAGTGATTACAACTAGCACTTAATGCCTAGGTCAGGAGATAGCAGACAAAATTTCTCAGGTGTAATTATGTTGTGCTCCATATAAAGTATACGATAGCTAACAATCATTAGCTTGCTTAAGACAATACTCCCTATCTTATCTCATTCCAGTATATCTTCAATCACCGCATTTCTTTTGCTGCTTGCTATCCAATCATCTTCCTTCTGGTCTGTTCCTTATTGCGTAGCGCATGCCAGTGTTTCAATTCGTAACAAGCAAGTTACCTCTACGCGACAGTGGTCGACATCCAATGAGCACGTGAGTTAATTTGCCATCACCATGTCCGGGATGGCTGTAAAGCAATCCTATCAGCTATGCTTCCCAAATCCATCTTACAATTTTTGACCCTGAATATTGTGATAGCTCATGTACCTTCCAACCACACTTCTGAAGAACTCTTGCGCTACCATCATTCTCCTCAAAAGTTACAGCTCTCATTTTACCGATATCATTAAGGATAGATTCTGATATTGGTTGGGACTGTCTGTAGGAGGCAATTAACTGCAACCAAGCTGTTTGAAAGCCAGTAACAGCCTCAGTGGCGTACCCTTTACCCCATGTTTCTGGGGTAAACATATATCCAAAGTTTGGAAGATGAGAAGTTGGCAAGGAGTTCAAGGAAGTAAGGCCACACGTGCCGATGATTTGGTTGTAATTCGACTGGTGAAGTATCTGTGGGTGTACGTCCGGATTTTGAGTATGGAGAGTGACTACAAAGTTAAAATTGCGCCGCGGGGTCTCGTCATTCTCGTACAAATAGGATTCCATCCATTCGCGAGTTTCTTGTATAGAGTTATCGACCCGACCTTGGCTCGTCCATTTCATTACCCGTGAGTCTGAACGAAGCTCGTGCAGCGTCGGCAGGTCTGCCTGTTCGAAAGGTCGGAGAACGAGCCGAGAGGTATAAATCGGCTTTGTTTGGGATGGCGGAGGAAGTACAGCTTGAATCGAGGCTTCCATCCTTGATCAGCAGAATCGTAAAACTATAAATGAGGATCAAGGGTTTGGGGATAATATACGCTGCACTAGTTGGCTTATATTTAGGACATATTTCCGTACTCCAAGAGGACGTATTTATTAGCGTAGTATATTATGACTCATTGACTAAGTTATTACATTTATTAGATGGCAGATAGACAGAATATAGCCTGGTTTGAATTAGTGGGTTCTGGGCGGAGCTGCAGGGACACGCAACCAATGGACTGCGGAGAAAGACACGATGCTTCATTGAGATAAACTGATGCAATGTCTGGTAGCATTGGTGATATTGAAAGACTTGTGTAACTACATACGTTACCACCCCATTACCGGGGCTCTGGTTTTGGGTCTTGGTTTCTAAGACATTTACGCACTTCATTATCTCTACACTGCCTGCGTGCTGAATGCGCACAATGTGTCGCTTATGCAGACCTTCTACGTAGCAGTGGTCTTGTCGTTTGTAGTGTTTTGGGCGCGGTGTGGGTGCAGTGGTTATCTGTTAAGGGCAAGAAGACTTCTGCCTCCCCCGCATAGGTCTTTTGATCTCATAGATAGTAGAATATAGACCATACATTTCATATTACAGTAAATCGTAAATCAACACCCGATCAGGAATAACTACCAAGGTCTCTCTCCTTCTTTAGCTGTAAAAGTCCCCGTCTCTCCATTCTTATCCAAAACCGCCAATCTCACCACATTCACAGAGCCCTCCTCCACCGTCCCCGTCCCATGAAAGCCATTCAAATTCGTACCAATATACCCCGGACAGGCAGCATTCACCTTGAACCCCTTTTCATGCAACAAAGAATTATAGTACAACATCACCATATTCAGCGCCGTCTTGCTGGATTTATACGCCAAAAATCGTTCTTTGGAGTAACGAGTACTCAGATCAGCGGCATATGTGAGCGAGCCAAGAGACGACGAGACAAACACAATGCGCGGATTGTCTGATTTCTCGAGTAAGGGGATGAATATATCCGTAACGACCGAAGCGCCAAACACATTTACGTCGTAAGTGCGTTGCAGCATTTCGCGCATGGAGATTTTCCCTTTCTCTTTGACGTCGAGGGCGATTCCGGCGTTGTTGATGAGGACGTCTAGCCGCCCGTGAGAGGCCTCGATGCTCTGTGCAGCGGCGGAAATGGATGTGTCGGATGTCACGTCTAGTTCGACACTGGATATGGATGGTGAGGAGGATGCTTCTTCGGCGAGGAGGGTTGAGACTGCCTCGCGGCCTTGAGTAGCATCACGGCTGCCGATTATGACGTGGTAGTTGGGGTGTTCGCGAACTAATCTGCGAGCGACGCCGTAGCCGATGCCTCGATTGGCGCCGGTGATGAGGACAATTGCTTTGGAGGTCATTTTTATTTCGGATTCTGGATATCCTAGTGAGGCTGAATTATTGAACTGATATTGGAAGCACAATTTCTCCAATTGACATGTCTGACTGATGGTACAAGCAGAAGGAAAACGTCTCTTATATAATAGCCTCAGCATGCTAAGTCCACTTAGGTCCGCATGAACATCTCAAAGTCACCAAAAGCTCGTATACGGATGCCGGATTTAACGAGATGGACATAAAACAAAACCGAGACACCGATCAAGACATCATTTCTTCGACACTAAACGTAACCGTTCTTTTCATGAACGAATGAGATCACGAACCGACAGTCTCGGTCATGATAGTGACTGTTTATTGGTCAATAGTCTGGATATAGTAGAGTGTACAGGATAAAATGCAGCGGAAGATAAGACCTAAAAGAGAGGGTTGTAAGTTGTGGAGGTTGAGTAGTGAAGATGACCAGGTGTTCGGCTGTTCGTACGTTCGTACGTTCGGGCCGAAAGGCCGCTGCTATATAATAATTGAACAATGCTAGTATCAGATCGGGAATTGGAGGACAAGTATAAAATATTGAAGGAAGTGCTGAAATAATGATATTCAAAACTGGAGAAAGAAATTAGGGTTTTCCTTTCACGTGCGAGTATGAAAAGAGAATTTCCATTTACGGAAACAGTATCCAAATCTGGCTTGGACAGGCAGGCTGACGACAAAGTCTAATCCACATATTATGAAGTACGCAGAACATGTACGTTATACACTAAAGGGTCGTATGCACGCTGCTTCTATTCGACATCGCGCCAAGCTGCCCAAGCTCTCACCCCTCGATTACAACGAGGCTGGCCTCTAATGTCTGAAAGTGAAGCCTGACAGAGGAGACTGGCCAGCCATCTTTCAATGCAAAGAACGAATTTGACCTATCGTCTTCAGATCCTATCAGTGATACGAGTGGGGCAATGAGACGAGTGTCAATCTCCATGCTTCTGGACGGTGGAGCTTGCAGCGTCAATGCAAGTCAACGTGCTGCAGATGTAAGGATGCCAGGGCGATGGATGCCAATGAGCATGAGACACGCTTGCTGGATCGATTGAATGGCTGATACGGAGTTGGTCCACCACAGCATAAAATCAGGTTTTGATTGTGGATGATTCAATGTTCGATTAATGCTTTTCAGGCCTTTTACACGAGGAATCTCTACAAAGCTTGTGCAAAAAGTCTGTGCAAGATCTGCGAACCTCAAAGTCCAGAATGCATTGGAAAATGGCTGTATCGTATCGGTAATACGCACAGATTAGCCGGCAATAATCGGAGAGCAAAGATCCGCGCCATCTCAGGCTGAAAATCGGGGCTAGACAAGGCGCGGCTGCAGCGTTGCTATGGCGACGTCGGCGCCACCTGCTGCAGTTTCGGATGGAGACCGCGTCGATCCACTTGGATCCTCCCCTGAAGACCAGAAAGGAGTGTTGCCCAATGCTTACCACGTACTATGTATGTAAAATGGAGTCAATGAATCGGCTGGTTGATAGACTCATTTATGAATTTATGATAAATTAGTGTATATGAATTGCATTGACGGTTGCTGACTAGCCTTTTCTATTGACCACCATAGTACTGTCGATTTGTGCTAGGGCAGAAGAATTGCGATCGCATGGCTGGAAGGTGGCGGCTGGGACAGTGGTCGGCGCTAATGAGAGACATCGAATCATATCAACTGTAAGAACTAGCTGGTAACTACCGAGGGAGTGTGATGAGTCGAGTTGACCGATGCTCTAACAAGGGAAAAGTATTGAAGGACCGGCCAATTGATAGAGCAAATCATATGATAGCATGACCACTTGAGACCAAAAGACAAAGACAGACAGAAACAGACAGAGACAGAAAGAGTGGAAAGAGTGGAAAGAGAAAGAGGCACATGTGAAAGGACTGAAATGAACAGTGAACACCGCCAAGAACACTGTCTTAAAAAGGCATAGCTTTGTTTACATCGCGGTCACGCCTCGGCCTGGCGGTTGCCAGTTGGCCCAGCCTGGCAACTTCCTGCTGAGTGTGTTGACACTAACCAACCTCCTTCCGGCTCGCCCATAAACACGCCAGATCCCTCCCCCTCCATTCCTCTCCTTTCCTCTTCTCCATCCTCAACTTCCCACTTCATACTCATCTTCCATTCCCCCTACAACCTTCCATTCCACCTTATTTCCTCTCCCAACGTGGTCAGATAAGCTTGAATTGCTGCCCCAGCATTCTAGTCCTATCTCTCTCCCGCCAATAAAAGACTTTCCTCCCGCAGTCAAGTCTTTTCTTGTCTACCTTTCGAGTTGTTTTTAACAGTTCGAAAGGCATTCGAGAAAGGACGCCCAAAGGACAGTCAATCTGGACTTTGAGGCGCGTGTACCCATCCCCTTCAGTGTCTTCCCGTCGTCGTACCGGAGTGACGCTGTCTCTGAGACTACTCAGACTAGAGTAGAAGGAGAGGTTGACATCAAGACCACTTCGCGCGTCGGACGGGAAGATACTGCTGGTGCTCCTCTTCCCGACCCCCGTGTCTACGGAAAGGAAGAAGTTGACGTACGCATCCGTACCGACGACCGCCGTCCTCACTCTCGCTACGAAGAGACTCGCGTCTACGAAGAGCGTGACCGCTTCTACGACAGCAGACAGAACTACCCTGAGGTAGAACTTTCCCGCGAACGGTAAGCTTTCTCATATCTCCATTTTATGATTTCTCGTCATTTTTGTTTCCACGACTGGATTGGATTGTTTGTTATTGCTCAAAGCAATAACATCACAACCCCCGGAAAAAGCAAGCAAACAAGCGGTGGGAGTCGGGCCCACACAACACGGTGCTTCGGACAGCAGTGCAAAACCATAAGCACAGCTACTGCACTAGCCCAACTCCACCCAATCCACCAACAACACGCCAAGCTGTTACGTGGCTGCCCCTAAACCCCAATTGCTCACCAATCAGCCCTTTTGTTTTGATTGACACTTTTCTTTTTTTTCCTTTCTCCTTCTCGTATTTATTTAGCCTCGCATCTCTCCATGGCATTAATACCTGACATGTCCCAACAGCTTCCGCGAACCGATTGGTCGTTACGAAGAGCACCCTACCTCTTCCACCACTACTGTCACTCAGGACCGGGCCTACGAGACCCAGCTTGACGTTACCGAACGCGACTTCCGCCGTCGTATTCAACCCACTTACGAGGTCGACGTAACTTACGACCGTCGCTACCAGCCCGAGACTGCAGCTTACCGTGCTGACGCTTACGACGTCACCCCTGAAGGCCGCAACCCTTACAACCGATCTACCCAAGTTTCTGTAACAAAGGAGACTATCCGTGAAGAAGCCCCCAAGTCCAAAATGGGTTACTACGACGACGAAGGTCACTACCACTCCTTCCGCCGCGGCGTTGAGCGTGCTGCCGACCGCCTCCTCCATCCTTTCCACCATGAGCGTGAGGAGGTTGTTGTCGAGGGTGCTCCTCGTGCCCGTGAGGAGGTCCGTATCATCGAGCCTCGTGGCGGTGTCTCCAGCAAGGAGAGTGTTCCCATCCCCGTTCACTTCATCCGTGTCGGTGACCTCCTCATCCTCCAGGGACGTCCTTGCCAGGTGATCCGTGTCTCCGTCTCTCCCCAGACTGGCCAGCACCGCTACCTCGGTGTTGACCTCTTCACCCGTCAACTTCATGAAGAGTCCAGCTTCATCTCCAACCCCTCTCCCTCTGTTGTTGTCCAGACCATGCTTGGACCTGTCTACAAGACCTACCGTGTCCTCGATGTCCATGACGATGGTTTCATCACCGCCATGACCGAGACCGGTGATGTTAAGCAGAGCCTCCCTGTCATCAGCCAGGGCGGTCTCTTCCAGCGCATCCGTCAAGCCTACAGCGACGGCCGCGGCAGTGTCCGTGCTCTCGTCATCAACGACGGTGGACGTGAATTGGTTGTTGACTACAAGGTCATCCACGGTTCTCGTTTGTAAGAATATTCATGTCAACTTCCGAAAAGGGCTAGCCTCGGTTACTTCCGTCGAGGATAAGCTTGACTTCTACCTCTTTTCATTTGTTTGCTTCTTTGGTTATACAAATAATGAACATGAAGGTGGATTCTTGGATACGATGGAACGTGTATGATGGATAGGGTCTGGCGACAGATCAGGGTTCTTATTTCTTTTCTTGTTACATTTCCTTTGTATAGTGACGTCTCTTGTTTCTTCTATAATAAGAGTATTAGTGAAAATATACAACATTATGATCCTTACATCGTCCACGTAGTAATCAACTTGGCTCCATTGCCGACGATGCTTGTCGTGCCCGAAGAATAATCGTTTTTCGTACACCCCTTGCCTCGTACGACCACGTGTAAGCCATGTGTAGACCATCAGCAGAGGAACATCTTTCTGTTTTCAATCATTCAATGTTTTGCTTATAGCTACCCAACAATTGAGTACGTATGTCATGACTCGCGTCCTCGATCAAATCTCGCCATGACTCAAGCTCTTGTGGCTTTCGCCAAGGAAATTTACTTAAAAACTTGCAATCAACGTTCGATCGGGGAACTTTCCAGTCCAACGACTCATACCGGTTGTGAGGTATTTACTGGAAATAGATACGTCGAGCTTCCAGGATTGAATATACAGCAAACCTTAAGCTATCTGTTTGAACCGCACGCGATATCGACTTTATCAGCAAAGTATTCATGTCAATCTCCCAGGAGAAAAGTACTCATGTATAACTAATCATGGAGTCTGCGCAACAAGCTTCTACTGAGGTTGCGCATTACTAGTGACCTCGGAAGCATACTTCGTATATGTACTCCATGGGCTCAACTGACAGGGGTCGGCTAAGTATCCGATTCGATTAGAGAAGACAAGACATGCTAGAAAGTAAGAGACGAGAATTATTACATTAAAGCAACATCAGAATTACCACTGCACACACCACGTGTAGGCGAAAACAAAGCGGCCAAGAAACATTCTGTTAAATTCGAAATATTATTTTTGATCAAAAGGGAAATTTGCCGAGCATCAAGGGAGGGGACTCGGGACAGCGAGCGAATCGCCTGTTCGGGACAGACATCTTTCGGTTTCCCCGTGGGGCGTGCCCTAAGTCTCCATTGTATTTTTTCTTCTCGGGGAAAAGTCCGGCCATCGGCAATGTGCTTGAAGGAGAAATATGACTTGGTACGATAGGTATGACAATTGATATACAAGGGATCATGAGGTAGATATCCGACTCTCTTTTCTCTTGGGAGTTTTGAGACTTGTTTCGACACTTTTGCATCTATACGCACGAGCCAGTCGCCATCATGCCTGCAAGTCAAACATCCGTGGAGTGCGCCTCCGTAGGCGACGATATCATCAAGGAGGACATCATCCAGACCGAGATGGAGGAATCCGGCAATGGTCTGGAGCAGGTCATCCCCAAGCCAGAAAGCATTCGCGACATGTCCCCCGAGGAATTGCAGAGACTCGAAACCCGGATGGTGCGCAAAGTCGACATGGTCATCATGCCAATCATGGGCGTGCTATACCTGCTCAACTACGTCGATCGATCTGCGCTGGCATCGGCCAAGGTCTACGGTATCATGACCGACTTGAACATGACTACCAATGACTTTGCGTCTGCGATCTCCATCCTTTTCGCTGGTTATATCCCCTTTCAGATCCCGTCAAATCTGCTCATGAGTAAGATTTCTCGTCCTGGATTTTATATTTGTGCTGCTGCCACTGTTTGGGGTGTTGTCAGTGGCTGTACGGGTGCTGTTCAATCGTATCATGGCCTTTTGGCGGTTCGGGTGCTGCTGGGGGCTACCGAGGCTGTATTCTTCCCTGGTGTCATCTATCTCATGAGTGCGTGGTACACGAAGAAAGAACTGGGAAAGAGACTGGGAGCATTGTTCATTTTCCAATCTATTGGAAGTGCTTTTGGAGGATTCATTGCTGCGGCGTGTCTGACCCTGGATGGACGCTATGGTATCGCTGGCTGGAGATGGTTATTCATCGTGTGCGTACACCATTCTGATTAACCTAAAAATTTGAATTACTGACCCTTCCACAGTGAAGGAGCTACAACAGTGGGCTGTGGTCTCGTATCAGCCATGTTCATGCCCGAATACCCGCACAAAGCGCGACTCCTCAAACCCATTGAGCGCGACTATGCCGTTTGGCGCCTGGAAATGGAGGCCGGTGCCGGTGAAGCCAATGACGAAATCACCGTCTGGAAGGGATTCAAGATGGCGTTCTCGGACCCTAAGATTTGGGCTTTGGTGTGGTGTATGGGTATGAGTCAGGCAATGGGCTCGACTGGAAATTTCTTCCCGTGAGTCCTACCACTGGTCTTACAGAGAGGGGGGAAAGTGACTGACTGATGCGGTTTCAAGGACTCTTGTTCAAACATTGGGCTATAATAAAAACATCACTCTCCTGCTCACTGCTCCGCCCTACGTCGTTGCAGCCATCGCAAGTTGGGGAGCCGCCTATATCAGCGATGTGAGTGTATCCGTACAGCTGCGAGACAAGAACATATCGCTTACTGACGTGGAACAGCACATGAACATAATCCTCCCCATCTTTCTCGTCAGCCTCGGCCTCGCAGTACTCGCCTATGTAATCTGTCTCGCCACCCTGACCCTCGGCGCACGCTACTTCGCCATGATGCTAATGCCCTCCGTCATCGCCTGTCCGCAGGCCATGCTATTCAAGACACTCAACATTCACATGGCTCGTCCATACCCAAAACGTGCCGCTGGCGTTGCAATGATAAACGCCATTGGCGGTATTTCGAATGTGTGGGCTAGTTATTTGTATTACGACGGGCCGCATTATTATGCTGCTTTTGCTTGCAGTTCGTACCCCTCTCAAATCCGCAGCTCATCTAAAAGTTGTTCATGTGGCTGATAATTGAAATAGCAATCGGCTGCGCTGTTTCGTTTCTCGTTACGCTCGTAGTATACACCTGGCACGTTCGTCGGTTGAATAGACTTCTTGGAGGAACCCCTGAGGAGCAGCGTCGGGCCATGAAGCATGGCGTCACTCAGCAACAGATTGACTTGGGTTGGCGATTCTTGGGTTTCTGACTAGGCCAGGAGAAACTTGCCTATTTGGCAAAGAAATAGAATTGGTGGTGTTTTCGGCAGACTGGTTGAAGCTCACGACATGATTGACTCAGGTAGGGTAATTGTGAATAGATGATAGACGATAGATTAGGTAGACATGTTAGACTATAGAGCCATACATAAATATAGATCATCTAAGAACGAGTTGGTTCGATTTAATATTCTACATATCGACAATGACATCCATTAGGAATCAGACCATTCCGGTAAGTTGACATGTTGTTAATTGAAGTCCAGAGCAAGCAACCCAACAACAGAAAATAACTCCAGAACATAACATACTCAAATACAGCCATGATAGCCGAGCCAACAGAGCAAAAATAGATAAAGCGCCGCCCACATGGGTAAATTGCCGTAAAACTAATAGTACATAACGTTTTGCATAAGTGAGACTGACTCCGGGTACTTGTAAGGGGTATCTTTGTGGGAGTATGTCAGTCGATGTTTTGAAAAGTTGAAGTAAACGCCAGAATTCCATCCCAACCCATTTGAGACATAGGACGTTCGGTATATGCACATGAAAAGACGTGAAGAAATTATGAGATCAAGAGAAATCAAGAGACGCAATCGAAAGAGAAAGTAATTGCTATTTCTCGCCGTACTTGCCATACTCTTGCTGCCATTTGAGTAGATGTCGAGTGAGAACATCCATCATCTCGATACTCGTGAGGTCTCCGAAATCTTTCTCCTTCTCCTTCATCGCATCAAAGTCTGCTATCGATCCCGCTGAGCTGGCGACAGATGCGCCTTCACTGTTTGCCGATGCGAGCAGCGATCCCAGTTGATCCTGGACGCCTTTGATCAGCGATGCACGTGAAGCTGCGCCGCCATTGTTGCCATTTGTGGCATTGTTATCAGGTGGAGTCACATTCTCTCCACTGGCTGCCATCTCAACTTGCATGCGAGAGATAAAGTCCAGTATAGCTGCAACCCGTCGTTTCATTTCATTCATCGATGTACGATGAGGATTCAAGTGACGACCTTTGCCTTTGCTGTCCGCTCCGTTGGCCATCCCGTTAGGCCCGCCAATGCTAGGCGAATCTCGGCCATTGTCGCGAAAATGATTTCCATGCGGTGAGTTGGGGGAGTTAACACTATCTCCATTGAGATCACGGTCTCGTGTATATTGGTTGCGACCTAACCGCCCACCACGTCGAGCTGGTGGGCGACCTGATTTTCGTGTCGACTGACGAGGTGGAGGTGGCGGCGGTGCCGGCTCTGCAGCAGGTGCCGGGGATTCCGGAGTTTGTTCCAAAGGCTCAGGTTCAGTCGGTGCGGGTGCCGGCGCGGGGGGTTTTGTCGGTGACGCTTCAGTCTCATGATCTGATTCTGCTTGTCGTGGTGTGTCAGCATATATCGCGACTTTGACACCCGAAAGCTAGAGCTTACCTTCTTCTCGCTTCTTTTCTGAGCGCGATTTTCTTCGTGTAATAGGCTCCGGTTGCTCCATTTCTTCTTCCTCTTCTGGTTGCTCCTCTGGCTCTTTGACCTCTTTGTCTTTCTGATTGCGCCCAGGTACACCTCGCTTAGGTCTGTTCGCGCCGTTGGTCTTAGGCTTTGACTCATCTTCCGAAACAGTTTGTGAGGGAGGGAGGCTCAGTTTGGACACAGCGGACGGAGATGGAGAGCTGGTTCGGGGACGCTTAATAGCTTGCTTGTTGCTGCGTCCGAATTAGCTATGCATGATCTTCTGCGTTTCTCTGCCATAACAATGAGCAACTTACACTTCGTCATCGCTCCGGCTTCTCTTCGTTCGCCGTGAGCTTGTCTCGTCGTTGCTCATCCTGTTATCTTCCTTGCTTTCTTCAATAGCCCGTCTCAATAGCTCCTCCTCGTCATAGGCAGCATCTCGGCTGTTCATTGTAGAGCGACGTTTAGGGGGGTCGGCTTGTCGTGATCTTGAATCGCGCGAGCGCCGCGCATTGTCGCTGGATGATTCTCGCGAAGAAGACTCAGGGCTGAACACAGGGGCAACTGGCAAGTACTGAGAAGAGTGTGATCTGTGGAACTGTCAGCGGGTTCTAATACGAAACCCCTCTCTTAAAGATATTTCTTTGTTTGAGGGGTATTGTAAAGAGATGTTCAATTGTCTTTTGTTGAAGGACAAATGGGGGAAGCTTAGATCAGGTGGGGGCAGGAAATCAAAGACAGTCATTGATGATGTCGGATGCGAACTGAAGATCGCATGATAACTTCAATTGCAGAAAAAATTGAATGACTTACCCATTTGGTTCGGCGGTAATCTTGTGAAGGTCCTTCCGGCACTCCTCACAAAAATATTCGTCGGGGCTCATAGCTTCGTCCATAATGCCAACGCAACCACCATGCTGCCAAACCTTGCATGAGTCGCATTGGATGAACATGCTTCCGATATCATCGCTCAGAGGATCAGCTTCATCTTTCGCCAATATGGTATTGTCCTTGCCTCCTGCTTGATGATGGTGCCGACCAGTGGCACTACGGCGGGATGGAGGCAGGCCTGGGTACTCCTGCTGCCCACATAGACACCTAGTTATTTCTTCCTCATCATTTTCCTCTTCGTCACCTTCATCATCGTTTGCTTGGGAAAGCTCGTCGTTGTCATCGTCTTGGGCACGATGGCGCTGGCGCGTCTGCGGCAGATCGGGTTTGCCGTCCGAGTCGTCGATCGATTGAGAACGTTGCGTCGATGACCCTTGAGGAGATGGATGCTTGTTATTGGAACGGGTGTTACGCTCTCCACGTGTGAGCGAATTTCCAGAGCTGTTGGAATTCGTGTGCTGCAGCAGGGCAGGTGAGGGTTGTGTGGTGCGAGCTCGGGAGGAGCGACGAGGAGACATGATCACGGCGGGAATTTTTCAAGACGCAGTAGGCCTGAGAAAGAAATTTTCACGAGTCTAGCTTCGCAATATGGCTGTCAAAGCGACCTCCGATCTGCAAGAAAGGGATTCGGTCTGCACGCGCTGAACGAAGGAAGGGTAGAACTCGAGGCGGTTTTTCTGGAGGCTCGGCGAAGAACCGAGCAAAGCGAAAGTAAAATAGTTGAGGAGACAATTGCAGGAAATCAGGCGAATAAAGTGCCTATTCCGTGAAGTTCGCCTGCAAATTATCATAGCAAGCAAAGCAGCTACATAATAATCTGGGTTGTAATGAGAGTGTGTTGAGTGGGGAGAAAGAGAACCTGAGGGAGAGAGAGAGAGAGTTAGTCAGATTCAGTTAAGATGGGGGGAAGGAAAGCACGACGGAACGGGATGGCTGGCCGCCGGCCGCCCTTCCTGGTCGTTTCTCGCTCACCCGTCGTCACTCTCCCTCGCAATTCTTCTCTCTCAGAAAACTGCTTAGTGCTTCCCCGCTCAAAATGCCGACCTTGAGCCCCTGCACTTTATCTTACAGCAATGCACCCTGGTGTGCCGTACTATTGCTTATTCTTTCTTCATCCCTCGAGTCTCCTCTGTTCACTTATGGTACTTAGTCACACAGCTTCGAGCTTTCCGCTTTGTCGGTTTCGCAACACCACCCTGCAGGCGCTTGCTGCCGACGACGTGAAGTCAACTAACCCTACGAAAGGTGAATTCGAGAAGACGCCTCAAATCGCCATCAATTGACGTCGATCGTGTGAAACGACTTTCTTGACCTACTCTCGTTCCTAATCTCCGCTCTGGCCAAATCGAATCGCGTTCTGTCCAGGCACTATACCGCACGCTCTACTGTCAGTGATTGATTTCGTCGCCTTTCTCCTATCCAAGGCATTGACAATCTGATACGGGGGACTCTGCCGATTGTATTCGATGTGTGGAGAGTTTACCAATGAGGGCATGAGTTGGCTTTTGTGCTATGCGACACTCAGCGTCAAGTGTGAAGTGGATTCCGCCGAGATTCTGGTCACAAGACTCGGTGACGCCCATCATTCATTAATCGTCGAAGATAGCTTACAATCTTCAGGCAAATGCTCTTCCACTTTTGCATGGAGATGCTGCACGTTACCGATGCAAGGATAGGCTGCCAGGAACAGGTCTAGCCCGAGCAAGCGCCCGGAATTTGGGTCCTAGCATGCAGAGTATACCGAGTTCCTTTGCACTGAAAAGAGGCCAGATGACCAGGCTGTATATATTGTAGGATCTGCTGCGATAGTCGGAGATGGAATCGTCAGGCGGGGCCCAAGTGCTTGAGGAGTCCTCTGCCCGCAACTAAGCAGGAATCAAATATAGGGTGTAGCTCCATGCGGAGATAGACACAGCACTCTCTGTAATAAAGATTCTTATCCAGACTATATCAATTCGTTGATATCTCCAAGAGAGTTAAATGTAGCATGATGAAATCAGCGCCCAACTGGGCCTAGCGCGGCGTACCCGAGCACCCGCAGTCTAACCACGCCAGGATGAACCATCTTCTGCTTCACTCTGGACAATCATCGAAACGTGTTCCTCCTCCCCTCATTTCTCGGCTTCCCGGATATTTGCTCATGATTTTGCATTTCTTCGCTTCGAGAAAACTTCATTTCCATACCCTCTGTTCTGGACGGTCGTGTTGGGCTTTTCTTGCTGTCTTTCTCTTATATTGCTGGAATTGCGGTGCACAACTAGTCGCTCCTTAAAAGTCTGCTATTTGGGTTGCTTATTAATATTTACCTGGTGAGTTGTCTTATCGGCGCTGCTTCGATCTCTTCGACGCCTCGGTTCATCTGTGTACACTGTTGGGCAGATTGTGTGCTGTTCTATTTCATCTATTTTCCTCTTATTTTTCTTGTGACTCGGTAATTGCCGTTCACCACATTTACTGACATCCCGCTCCACAGTCTGGATAGGGGATATATCGAAATCGTTCGGAGAGCACCTCGGCTTTCTGCCCATCGGAAAACACCATCATCATACTTGATAAGTTCAGAGGACAGAGAGAACATTTTAGATTGGCTGTTTGGGTCGTACGTCTGGTGCTTGGGAAGCTGTGTGTGTGTGTGTGCCAGTGCATGAGTGTGCTGGACCAGGTCAAGAAAAAACAGCATGGCTGCTACACTGAGTATGTCCTTGTCTATCTGGGATAGAAACTTTTCAAGTTGTCTTGATCTGGGTCTTCGAACTCGAACCGAGCATACTTGAATAAGGCATGAGGATGGATTGCTGATTCGATCAATCGCACTAGGTGGCACATATTCCGCCACTCCAGACACGCCGTCTCCCATCTACCCTGATCGTCTTATTCGACCTCTTCCGAAGCGCCCATTACGCTCTCGTCTTTCCTCAGAGGCTGCCGAGTCAATTCTGTTCCCGCCCGCTCCGCCGGTGTCACAGTTGTTTCACGGCTCCTACTCCGATCATCATGAGAGACAAGATAGTAAATATCTGATGCGACAGCACTCCGTTGATCCATACAGCCATGATCATAGTCCTGACCGAGATCATCGCCATCCCTACGAGAATGGCGTCTCAGAAGTGGAGAGTGGAGACGAAAGTGGTTCGGTTGTTGTCCGCCGTAGCGGTGGTTTCCGCGGATCGTCATTACCTCCTTCTACCCCGTACACGAATGGCCAGACACATGATACGTTGCAAACAAAATCTTCACCAGTCGGACTGGATGGCTACGATGCGTTTGAAAACACCAATAATAAGAAGAAACGCAAGATTCCAACTTCAGGAACCCTGAGTAGTCATCACTCTAACCTGACCACGGATCTTGCGAACATGGGATTATCTGGATCAACCCCTGGGTCCCCTGGTGGAATTGGTGACAGCGGAACTGGCACATATTACGGCTCTGGTAGTCCTGCTGCATCGAATGCAGGAAGTGGGATTTCTGGGCCCGGACGTGGTCGTTATGGTCGTCACGCACCTCGTGTTTCTAGCGGCCGTAACGCCGTCCCAGTGCATCCTCAAGGCACCTGGTTTGGTGGACGACCCGGCGGTACTCGTCGGGATTCAACACCGTCGTCACACATTGGAACAGGTATACACACATATCAGTAGGCGGTATTGTCGGAGTTGTTGTTCACTGACTCTGGATCTTGTTACAGGTGAAATCGGAGCCAAACCAGATCAAGGCATAATATCAACGGCAATAGCAAATGCGGCAGCGCTGTCTCCGTCTCCAAGAGGGCCAAATAATGTCAGCCTTCTTGATCAGCAAGCGAATAGGTCGTCCCCAACAAAGACACAATTCACATTCACGTGCGAATCGGATAGCTCAAAGAGCATTGCTATGCATTCCACGAATCCATATCCCATGTCTCATCCACGGATGCCGAACTCGACTCTTCACGGACCGCCTAATTCGCGAGATTTTGCAGCCCAGGGAACGCAGACGAGTCCGAACATGGGTGCAATAGGTGGACAGCAATTGCCGCCTACCCCTGCTGCGGGGACACCAGCAACCAACCCCGGTCAGAGACCTAAACGGTCTCGTGATAGTATATATGCATTGGCTGCTCGCCGTCGGAAAATTCAACAACACTATTCAAACATTCATAATCCGCCTAATCCCGAAGAGTTCTGGATGTGCGAATTTTGCGAGTACGAAGCCATTTTCGGAGAACCTCCCAGAGCATTAATTCGACAATACGAAATCAAGGACCGAAAAGAACGACGTCGATTAGCTGAGAAGCGACGATTGTTGGAAAAGGCAAAGATGAAAGGTCGAAAAGGCAAAAAGGCTACGAAGAACGCAGCTAAACAAGCTGGCACTCAGCAGCCTGCACAGCACAATCACACCCCTGAGCACGCACCGATGGACCCGCCTCCTCCGGATGATTATCTTGGAGAATATGACGACGCACCTCCGATGCCTACATCAGCTCCTCCTTTACCTCAAAACACGGCTAATCATGGCCCTGTCAGCATACCGAATGCAGGCCATTCCCCTCCTATTGGAGGGTCAGCTCAGATTAAGGGTGGAATAGGGGACGGTGCAACGAATCGACCAGTCTAGATAACCGGGCGGGATGACTTCGTTGCCTACTGAACAAGACATGGTGATATTGATATTGCTTTCATCTTGATTCAGTGCAGCGAATTCACTCGATTTGCTCGGCTTGTTGGCTTTTTGTTTCCCCCTGGTTTTCGGTCAGCATTGGAGTTTTTTGGTTATTTTAAATTCTCTCTGGTTCCCCCTGCATTGTGAATCCCCTCTCTAACACCATTTTATTCTATACGTATTATTTCGAGTTCAAAATTGTCAGCATGGTTGTCTGCTGATAGGGCATAGTCAGCATCAGTGGCGTCAAAGCAGTCATGTCATGGTCTGGTCGTACAAAGCTTTCATCATCAAGTTTTTGTCATTAATCACGAAAATGTTAATAATGTGTCATTCGTTGGGTTGGATTGTATCTAAGTTGGATGGTTATATCTGGGTCTGGGTTTGGTCTCGTGTGAGGCAGGATGAGCGGATGGCGAGAAGTGACTAGGTGGGTGAGTTAGTGGAAGGGGTACTGTCGTATCGGTCGACTTTCGGAAGCTTGTTCTCAATTCGAGTCGGTAGTTCGGAAGTTGGTATTGAATGATATGAATATGATATACGTGCTCTCTGCGTAGATTGCCCTGCTGTGAACTTCGGGTTTCTCCATGCTAAACAGTTTTAGATACACAATGATGGAACTTTGAAAAAGGCGTGAATAATTATTACACACAGTATTGACACATGAATCTCATCATGCTCGAGAGCCCTTAGATAGAAACTAACCGCCATCCTGCCCAAGATGAACGCCAGCAACAGCCAGTCAAYCCCAMCCCAMCCCGCCAATCCGCAACATTAACCCTAAGATAAGCGCTTGGAGCTACCACCAATCAAATCCAGCAGATCAGCAAAAAGCCGTTTATTTCATCCTTGCCAATCCTCAACGTACGATTGGCTGCAATATACAACCCCTGCTACAGTGACGTCGGCGCTTAGATCTACAGTATTTCGTGGCGGATTATAGCCATACATTTGGCTTTGGATTTTAGCTATTTTGGGGGAGTATGTTGCAGCTATCGTCGGTGGCGGAGATGGGCAGTGAAATGATTCGTTGGTGGTTTGTAGCGTATCTAGACTTTGTGCTATATAATTAGGTGATGGCCCTGAAGAGCTCCTGCATAGGTAGACATTTGAATTACTCCACTAGTTTTTCATGATGCGTTTATCGCTCTGAGTACACTTCCAGTCTTGATTTCTACATAGAAAGCCACACAAAGAGAAGAGACTGGAGAGGGAGGAAGAGTGATATCAGACTGCCGATTCAACTTCGTATGACTGCCACAACTCACGACTTTGGATGATGTACTCATATCTCAGTTCCTCGAATCTGCAGTCATAGACTTGAGTCGGTTCTAGACTCTCATAAAGAACAAAGGTATGTTCATCCATCTCGTCTTTGTCTAGTCAAATTACGGCTTKTGAATAATACTATTATACCCCTCTCTTGTTCATTTCGTTTTTTCATCTATCATGAGATCATCCCCATTTCAAATCAGTCATAGACTCAATCACCAATGGAGTCATGTATATGACTCGATCATCTTTAATCGCATGAGCCCGCTCATTGCTGCATTTAAAGTCCATTCTAGCATCGTTCAATCGCCAGCAACCACCACCCTCTTGAAATTTCTTTCAGTGTCTTTTCCTTTTTCTCTATTCTTCATCAACGAAGCTAATCAAAATGGCAGCCAAGATTCTTGTCCCCTCAATTGAAACAGGCATCAAAACCACCATCCACGAAATCACGAGCCGCCGCAAGAAATCATACAAAGACGAACAAAGGGCACAGGATTTTTATAACGGCCACCTCGAACAACAAGACATGACAAACTTCAGCCGGCCTTCTGCTAGACCAAAACCACCCCATATCGCCAAAACCATCGCAAACAACTTCCTACGCTTCAGCCAATTCGCGCTTGCGCTCACAGTCGCCGGCCTCTACGGCGTCGACCTCAATAACGCCCACCAAAAGAATGTCTATATTGACGCGAAATGGGTATTTGCCGAAATCGTAGCTGCCCTAGCAGCATTTACATCGGCCGTATACCTAGTCATCTGGTGCTGTGTACACCGACAGGCGCGGAATGCCCGGGCGCTCACGCCCTTTAATAGCACAAATTTACTCCTCTGGCTGTGGGACATGTTCATGTGGCTGATTTGGTTAACGCTGTTTGGGATATTTGGGAAGATGTATTTCCCCGAAGATCCGGAGGGGGATTCGGGTATTGTAAGGATGAAGAATGCTGTTTGGGTGGATTTGGTTAATTGGTTGCTTTGGACGGTGACGATGGTTTGGACGGGGTTGAGGTGGTGGAAGGGCAGGGGCGGAAAGAATAAGGAGGCTGGTTCGTCAGAGATGACGAAGGAGTCTGATTCTATTGATGGTGTTGGTGCTGGAGGTCGTGTCACTCCGCCTGTTGCCAGCGGTGCTGCTCCTCTGGCGATGCCGAATCCAACTTCGTATGAGATGCGGAGTGCCCTGAGCGATACACCTCAACATGATGTCTCCCCTTTGGTATCGCGGCAGAATTCGAGAGTGAACGCAAACGCGTATAGTCAAGAGCGAGCCGTGTCACCTTTATAATGCAGACATGTTGTGCGCGGCTATAGCGATAGTGTTGCTGCATTTTCAATCCCAAGGCACCTTTTCTCTTGTGTATTTGTAATACCTTTCTAGGAATAGAAACACCTCCATATATGCGTGGTCTTGATATAAGCTATGAATCAATTCATTCAAGTTTATCCTTCATCTATGGCAAACGTAAGCATGCTATGTCTATGTGCCAAAGTTGAGCACCACTTGCTCCGTCTAGTAAGCAGCACCCAGCACCGTTGATATGTCGTATCAAGTAAGCAAAACAACAATCTAAGATCCGACTCGTTGCCCCCGTTTCATCTTGTTATCTTTGCCCTTCCCCTTGATCAGATTGGTCAACTGCTCCCCGAGAAGCTCCTGAGACTCCTTCGGTACCGAAAACACACCGTTCGTTGTTTGTTGAGATGTCGATATTACCGACTCTGACGCTGCTACTGCCGTGGGATATCTCGAACCAGGCTGTTTATCATCCAGGCGTCGTTCCTGTGGTGTCTTTGACGATGATGATGTGTTGATAATAATTGGCCGTCGACTGCGATCTCTACCATCCGATCTTCGAGTCGGAGAGGTCATCGTTGACGAAACACTGATAGGGCCATCGTGTTTGGGGAGGAGTATATAGCGTGGCCCGGGTGATAGGCTGCGAGCTGCATCACCACTGTCTTTCCTCTGCATCGCAGCGGCGGCTTCTGCGGCATTGAGCATTTCCCGAAAGTTCGTCGAACTAAGTCGTGTTGTAAGAGAAGATGCTGCGCTGTTGTTTCTCGTAGCGAATGCAGATCCCTGTCGCTGTCGTTGGACAAAGTTCGTACGAAAGTCCTGCTCAACAAGTGCCTTGTCGGAGACCATACCATTTTGCGCAGTCTCTTGACTGGCGGGKCTGAAATGTTCTTCTGGGCTGCGATGGTGACGGACACTGCTGACTGAAAAGTCGATCGGAGGAGGACTTGTGCCTGATGGATCGGCTTCTCGTTCTGTTGGCACGTTCCTGGTGTCTTCGTCGAACTTCTTCAAATAAGGCATGGAACGCCACGAAATTTCATTTTCTTTAGTAGGACTAGGTGGTGCAGTCGTTTCCTCTGCTTGCTCTTCTTGTCGCGCCTCCTCTTGTGCCTGTATCTGTTCCTGCAGGCTATCTTCCGTTTCTTCAACAGTCGGAGATGTAACAGGAGACGTTTGCGATGATTTCCGCCTAATGAGTACCCCTCTTCGCCTCGATGACGCTGCTCTAGTTGCTACAAAATTTGGCTTTTTGCGAACTGGCTTTTGCGCTGCGGAGGTCGAAGTTGGTAGTTTGTTTCCGGTTCCATTTTCTGTGCTGGTCGTATCTTTCACCTTTTGACTCGGCGCTTCGCTTGGTTTCTCGGGGACAAGGATTCTTGTCGTCTTGTGGGACGACGGCTCGCTGGGAGGCACACTCTTTGTTCCATTGGATTTCTTGAGAATAGGTGGAAGTGGATTTTTACGCTCGTTCTTCGGGGACGAATTGTTGTGGTCCTGTTGGTATTCGGTAACATTATTGCTGGTTGTAGAAGCGATCTGTGAATCAACTAATCAGTCTTACTCCAGATTGGTAACCTGTTCCCAGATACACACATTCAAAGACCGAGGATGGTCGGTAATGTGAAGCGAAAGATCTTCATGTATCGACATGAACAGAGTTGCCAACACCCTGCCGGTCAGACTCTGTTGAATACTAGCATTTCCCCAGATTCTCCAGAAGAGGTTCTCCAATCGAGACACTACTACATTTCGCACGACAGCACTCTGTGTGGTGTACGCTATAGAAGGTTAGATAAACTAGATTAGATAGCGAGCTCAAAGAAGTACGCACCTTTCCAGAGTCGCGCCACATCATCAACACTGATACCATCGAACTGTCTCAGTTCTGTTGAGAACTTGTCGGTGGTCTTGACCACGTCTGCAGGAAACTCATAAGCCATTGCCACTCAGTGATCACCACGAGTGGGTAGTCGGGTTAATGTTAGAGTAGGCTACATGATCGACGTGTCGCGTCCTGAAATTGTTTGTCCGTCGTCACTGTGACACGAAGTTATGTTCCGAGAGTTTGGATGATGGTTCGATAATTTAGTTGGAACAAGCCTCTCCCACCATGTCGCAGTCACAATGAAAGAGTTTGTTGAAGCAATGTAAAAATGTTCAGAGATCCAAGGACAGGCGGGAGATGTACCGTGGTGGACGGGCCGATGCAGGGTGCGTAAGGACGTCCTTGCATAGACTTTGCGCAGGCAGCCACTGGAATGTTGGAGAAATTCTGGGGTTGTGGGGACCGAAGAGCTCAATGACTGGCACTACGAAGTTGTACTAGTAATCCTAAAGCCAGTAGCCTGTGGTAGGTGAAAGGACAGGCAATGTTTATCGAATAGTTTGTTTGCGTTGTGAACGTTTTCGATGTAGCCAATAGGACGTGTCACCACATCAAACGAGTCGATCTTGCATAAACAGTCAGCAACTCATTCATCGAAGTGCAGTGGCCATTCAGTGAGAGAACAGGACTAGCTGGTTGTACGCCGAGCTTCAGCTTCTTGGCTGCCCTATGAATGTCGAGCTGATTTTGCGGTATTGACGCATGTGCCAAAGTATGACCGGAGAATAGATTGGATCAAGGGGGTCCCTGGCTTTTCAGTAGTGAAAAGGCAAAGACCGGACGGGCTTGCAGGCAGATTCAGAAGGGGGAACTCGGGACTCGAGCTGTCTGATCAATCAATCACGAAAGAAAGAGGCTCAATCAGACGAGGTGGCACGTCACATTGCGGTGGTGTAGGACAAAGGGGGGGCCGAGAGACTATCGAACGTATCCATTGTCCTTGTCTTATCCTTGCCGTAGTGTTCAGAGGCGGGGTGATCACGAATCGTGTATCGACAGTAGTGACTGACAAGTGGTAACCTTGGAAATACTCCGTAAAGGAAGGAAGTGTGCATAGTAGATGTGTAACCCGTGACCGACCCCGTCCAGCCGGCAACAGCCGCTGCAACCGCGTTCCAACTCCAAGTGGCAAGTGCCCATCGGAGGTCTCCACCCTGCCTTGCTGGCACTTTCCCCTACTCACCGCTAGTCTTCTTTCTCTCTACTCTACACGCTTATTGTTGCATCTTCTAAGTGACATTTACTGAGGATGAAGAGTGTGGTAGCTCAAGATGATTCAGTTATCGCTATCTCCGAGCTCAAGTATAGCTCATTGTAATACGCAGGCGCACGCTAGGAGCCCCACGCTCAGTCTCCAAGTATCGATTTACTCAGAGTCACAGTTTGAATGAAATGCCAGCCTTCCCATCAACCATGCTCAGTTCGAGCATGGCTTGTTCATATGTTCCTGTCGATTGCTTGGAGTTAAGCATGTGTTGGCCATGCTTCATAATACCTTCCCCTATGTAGCCACCGATTTTCTCATCCTCGTGTCTGACGAAAAACTCTCTCAACTGGTCGTCGTGGAGTCTAAGCGATGCCTATAACTGAGAGCCACCTCATTGATGAACTAACCATCGTATGATGCGCTATGACATTTGAAACTCGGGTATACTCCACATTTTCTGTTTTGCACTGGCTGTAGAAGAACTGACAGACACAAAGATACGTGTGATGATTGAAGACATATTTTTCAAAGCTTCATTAGGCCCGCAACAATTTCAGCTAGAGCAGAGGTATCGTACGATGCATTGTGATACCTAGGTAGTCCCGAGTTAGCGGAGGGTCATTCTATTCACGTCAGGCACCTATGCATCCAATATCGATGTTCATCGAGACGATACCAGATAATGGAAAATACCCGGGCAAATTTTGGAAGAACGGCCAGCATGCTGGATGGTCTCAACTACAAGGTCATCAGGATGCTAATAAGTGAGCCACAGTGGACGGCCATGACTTTTGTTTTGCCAAAGTTCGACTTTCATCACTGCTAACCTGAAGTCCTTCCGGGTTTGGTACTACCACCTACGAATTTAGTAAATGGGTCAATCACCGTAGGTGAATTTGCGCGACTTGACAGGCAGCGTAATGCCGGCTTGTTGCAAGGGCAGCCTTCAGAACCGGAAAATAGACCACTGCGACAAAAGCGAGGCTCCCTTAGAAGGTGCTTATCTGTGTGGTTGATATGGGCATGTCTTGGTTATTTTACCATCTGTCCCGAGTATGGAGAGAGAAGATCGTTGATTCTGGCTTCTGTGAATAGTCCTTAACACCAGAATCTGGATGCAGCTAATTATTTGATTCAAAGCGGCATAAAAACTGTCTGGCGGTTGAATCCTCTGGCAGGTTCTTGGAAATCGAACATCCAGATCGAGCCGGTCCCAATATCATTTAGGCATTTCTTCTCCTTCATCTCACTTTCCACTATACATCCGTACCACGTATGAGCGCCAAAATCCCTGCTTGTTATTGTCTGTAATATAATCGCAATACCCGCTTTGTTGTCGCCACCGTTCAAATGGGCCTTGCTTTTCTCTGGTTTCATCAAGCCTGGTGAGGATAGTAGAGGGTCAGATATATGGTCTCAGTAAGTTTCAGTCTCGAGTTTGGGAACGTACATTGACAAGGAAATTTCTTGATCTTGGGAACCTATTATCTCTAGAGCAATGCTCTCCATGGCGGATTGCACCACTGCTTCCACGCCGCCGTGAATAGCAATGAGTTGCGAGTATTTAGAGAACCGCTGCTCCTTCCATTTTCCTCGAGGTATGAATCCTTTTAATTTGGCAGTTTTATCGCCAGAGATATAAAGGACAACTAGCAATCAACCCAATGAACCATCCGCGTGTTGTTGGCGGCGCGGTTTGCGACGCACGCATTGAACCTCGTTGCCCGTGGTCATCGCGCAGTCAACCAAGATATAGACACACTCTCGAATTGATGAACTGGTGTCCGTATGCTTCCTGACATTGCTGTAATGCAATTCCCACGCACCAGTCGTTGAAAATTCTTGTTACAAGAATATTGATTGGTGGTATGTCGACATGAATCTATACTTCCGTTGAAATGTGTGTATATATGAAGCGATTTGGCCTAGACGTAGAGAGTTATAACAAGCTAAATAGATGAACGTGCAATCAAAAAAGGAGTAGTGGCGCTTCAAGATTTGACTTACCGAAATCTTTTGCTAATAGTTCGGGTCGGGGAGGGGAGCCTGCTGGACTCAACGGGAAATTCGGATACCAGACCTTGCGTTCTGGAGAACAGACCCAGTGCCAGATCCGATTGGTGTCTAACATCATCGTTAGTCGCACACATGTCGAGAAGTCCTCAGTCTGACGCATAGAGTTGAACATACCCTTCCATGTTGTCTTGGACGTCGGATGCCACTTTCTCCAATTGATCGAATGTCTCGTGTATGCGTTGCAGCCTCTGTCGATCAATGCCCTTCACATATCGTAGCGAGCCGAATGGTATCATCAATACTATTGAATGCATGTGCGAGGTGATTTGCAAAGTCTTCTAGATTTGTGAAGTCCTAGACGACTCTAGACTGCAGGCTCAGCGGCCTTGAAGAAGTGGTATTCAGATTTTATACAAGGACTACCCAACTAGCCATGCCATGTTGGGTGGTGGAGGAAGAACTCCTTCAGGAGAGGGGGGTGGCTTGCTTTTATACCCCAGTGCGAGACATTTTGTCGGTCGTCTCAGCCGGGCAATTGATTGAAATTGCAAGGCACAAAGAAATACGCCTAAAGGGCGTATTCTTAGTCCACTATTCATCTCTTCTCAGGCAGCGCCCCGTTTGTCCTCCCCTGAAAGACTTTTTTGAATGGTCCTCATATATTGGTTGATTTAGCTAGGCGTTTGTACCTATGCAGCCTCTCCGAGAAGGATATCCCCTTTCTAAGAACTTAGGATTCTTTCTTACACTTTTAGATATAGATTTGCACGCGCGTAATTATTGAAGGMCTGCTGTACACAATCTTCCAGGAAGTGTGGTCGGACAACTTATAGTATAATAACTGAGTAGCGACCTGCAGTACATTGGCGCTAAATGAAACAAGAGACAGTGATTGTAATGTCTTTCTTTGAATCATCGACTTCCTTTGACTATTCCGTCTTAATATTAATTATTCTGGAAAGACTTTACGATAATACCTCTGTGGAAACGTGATTTCGAGAGTCGTGGTAGACCTGCCGTTCGTCCTCTCCAGGACTGCGTGCTCTATGACCACCATATATGTTCTGACCATCTGTAACCCAAGCATCATAGGTGCTCCCGAAAGGAGATTAATTTGGTTCCTCGCCAGACGTATGTGCTTACCTTTTCTACCGGATTGGCAGGACGTGGATGCTTATGATCCTGTGGCCCGCGAGGGTGAGAAACATGAATACACAACGCTGATCGAGAGAATCAATACTCGTACCCTCGAGACCCAAGCCAGTCACTTGCAAGGCCTGCTATGCTCTATCCTCAAGCTTGAGTATGACAGAGTGGCTCSAAGTTCTATGATGGGCGGTATGACTACCATATTGAAGTTCGTTTTGATGACGGAATCACATAGATCGCCCGTATTTGTAGATTTAAAGCTACGACGCTTCCGGCACCATTGCGAGATAACTCCATCCAGAGTGAGGTTGCCACGCTCAAGTTTCCTGAGCAGACCAATGTACGTGCCCTCAGACTGCATCACCCCCACATGCCTTTAACTCTCCAATAGGTTTTCTACCGGTTGCAGAATTCTACGGCGGTAAGAACAGCCTAGGTGATGATGAGAATCTTTCTGCTGGCTTTCTCCAGGAAAAGGGTCGCAAGAACCTCGCCAGTTTTAGTCAGCATAGATTCGCATTCTGCTGTAGGTACGATCTAGTGAATTAGAACGGCTTTTTAGGCCTCTTTCGAGGCCTTTGGGAAGCAATAGCAGTGGACGATGGAATGACTGGAAAGCAGTTGCATTAGACCGTTTCAACTTTCAAGGATGATTCTAGAGTGTAGCAACTGTTATCTAGATATCAATGATCCAGTGAAAAAGCAGAGGAATCTCGACTGGGATGTGACTCTAAATATATTTGCATAACAATTCCATGCTGGAGCAAATTATCGTTGCAGGGTGCAATACAGTATACTGGTAATTGAGCAATGAATTCCCGTGTCCTTTCAATCAGCTTTGCTGCTTAGTTTGTATAAGCTTTATCCAAACCTAGAGAACTGGTGATTGCGATATCCAAAGTTTGTATCTAATATGTGTGCATGTATGTAGACTGTTACCGACAATCAAATGGGCGGCGCCCAAAATTCTCACTTCAAAGTCCTGTCAGATGATTTCCTAATCAGGCAAGACATGCCGTATTCGGAAATAAAGTGGTTCTTAGACTCATCTGCGTACCGCATGCTAGTTACCTAGCTGACAATTCAAATTATGCTATAATGTAGAATTTGAGTTACCTTTTATAACTCCAGAGCTGATTTGAAAACAGGCTCTTAGCCTCCAGTCTAGTGTTGATTGGAGCTTTAAGAGTGGGATTGCGAACATTGATTTCAGATCTCAAAAAGCATTTTAGAGATTGGTCATTTCGGTAAAAAATTCATCAACTCAGAGTCTTTTTTTGGAACATGAAACAGGGATGAAGAGTATAAAGACCGGTGCGAGCTCGAGGGCAGACTGTTTAGGTCCTCCTCCTCTTTCCACGCTCTTCTCTCGGTGAATCTATCAAGTTCGTACGCGTACGTTTTTTGTCCGATTCGTTGCCCTTTGTTGCTTTCGTAGTTGCAGATGAAGCTACCCTTTTTGATCTTCTTTTGCTGGCTTCTGGTGATTCCTCATCTTCCTTATCAGCGTCCAAGGCTCTCTTTCGGCCTCGTTTTGTAGGCGTGTGTGTGGTCGCAGCTTTCTTAGTTCCATTGCTTAACACTTGCTCTGTCGTGGCAGTTTTCGGTTTTGGACCCTTTTTACGTGGCGGGGTGTTTTGATTCAAGGCGTCCTCCTTCATAGCGGCTGCTAGTGTCGGTATTTCAACTCTGATTGTAGGGTGATGTGGAATTTGGTCTTCCTTTTCTGATAGAACCGTATTCTCCTTGTCGTCGTCAACGGTGTCCATCTCGGCTACTGCGATAGTTGTTTCGTCTATTTCGTCTAGTATCTCCTCATCTTCGCTATCTGCGACGATCACCGTTTCCGCGGGTACATTCTCAGGCGCAATCTGCATTTCCGGCTGTGACAGCTTTTGCCGTTGGCGACTGATAGTCGTGTCTAGATTCTCAATCGAAAGTGGTGGCGGAGAGTATCTGCCGTGTTTTCCGTCCACGACACTCTCGAGATCTAGACGTTGGGGCAATTTGGCGCTAATGGCACTGACACCATTCTTGACATCGCCATTAATTTCATGATCACCGGTTTTGGTGCCATCCGGAATATGTAATGGAGTCTGGAAAAGTTTTCTCCAGTCACTTAACAGAGCGACCTGCTCTCCTTTTCCGGGCTCATATAATTCAATCTGGTCGTCTGTTTTCACAGGCACCCTCCACAATACACCCCTGAATGAATTTGCCATGGACGTAGATGGATCGACAATGGAAGAGCCGAGCGAAAGATTCGGGACATTTTCGATGGAAGACAGCTTTCGCCTCTTGTTCCGACGCTCGCCGTTCGTTTCGTGTTTTGTGGTTATGGTCGGATCGTCGTCGTAATAGTCATCAGAGTAGTATTCCCAGTCGCTGTAGGTATCGACGGTTTCAAGGGATGGATCTTCCACCATGATGGGAGAGTGCACGGCGTTTTCTGCTAGTTCATCCTGTGAAAGAGTCAAGTCAGAGGTTTTCATTCACGGAGGTCATTTTAAACGTACCCCAAGCCCCATATTGTCGTCTTCGTACCAGTACCAGTCATCGTCGTCGTCGTAAATAAATTCGTCGTCGGACATTGTGAACGAGTGTCGCCAGTTGGTCGACTGAAAATGTGAGAAATGAAGCGAATGAGTGTAAGAAGTGAAAGAGAGTTAAGTTCGATGATACAGTATTCTGACAGGCAACCTCATTTCATGTTGAAAAACCAAAGTGAGCTGGTAGTATGGAAATGAATGCGGCCAGTGATGGAATGTCTTTGAGAGGGGTGCGCAGCACCTTGCGAGCAAGTATCAAATGCGGTTGGAAATTCGACTGGCGATGGGGAAAAAAAGTCATAAAAACACTCGGATTACTTGGTCCGACTCCCAATGATTGCAGAATAGCTGGTGGATTAAAATACGCTGAGGAAAGCCGTTGAAGGATTAATAATTTGAAGCAGCAAGAATTGATCTGATCTAATCATGATCTCTGCCACAATATTCAGGCACTTACTTCATGCCAAGAATGAAGTCACGTGCGGAAACGGAGGCCCCCGCAGATTTGCGGGAAAGCAAAGAGAGAGGCGCGGAGAGCTTCGGTTGGCGTCGGCGCTCTCCAACGTGCCTTGTAACATCATTAAATAGAAAGAATCATCGACGCCATACAAAATCTTTTTCTCTTTGTGATTGCTTATCACGACCTCTCGCCATGTCTACACTCTAATAAACATCTTATTTCGGATTAAGAAAACCCTGTTTGACTTTCTCTATCCCTTCTGTCATCGTCATGCCTCTCTCCTCCCTTCTCCGCACTGGGTCCCGCTTGAGCCAAATCGCCGTGCTCAGGTCACGAACGTCTTCGCGAGCTGCTTCCACGATAGCTGCTCCCGCTGAGAACTCTACAATACTATCTTCGATATTGATTGCAAATCGTGGTGAAATTGCATTGTGCGTTCAAAAGGGATATTTCGCCCAATTTTAGTTGGCTAACCTGTTTCAACTACAGACGAGTTGGCCGAACAGCGACACAACATGGCATCAAGGTCACGACACTCTATACAAATCCCGATAGCAAAGCACAACACGCTTTGAGTAGTCCCTATGCATTCAACCTCGGTGAAACAGCTGCCTACCTGGACGGGGACCGGATAATAGAGATCGCCAAGCGTGAAGGGTGTCAGGCTATCCATCCAGGTTACGGCTTTGTAAGTGCCTATTTTATAATACTCAACGACATATTCAGAATACTAAAACTTATATAGTTGAGTGAGAACTCGGAATTCGCGCAAAAATGCGCCAGCGCGGGACTGGTCTTCATCGGGCCTCCTCCCAAGGCTATTGAAGATATGGGTGACAAGAGGTATGATCAAATCCGACGATCCAGAACTTTATGCTAATAGACTCGCCAGCCGCTCCAAAGAAATCATGACTGCTGCAGGAGTTCCTTGCGTTCCTGGTTACCACGGTACCAACCAAGATCCCTTGTTTCTCGAGGCCGAAGCCGACAAAATGGAATACCCCGTCCTGATCAAGGCAGTCAAAGGAGGCGGTGGAAAAGGCATGCGCATTGTTAGATCCAAAGCCGAGTTTCAAGATCAATTACGCTCCGCTAAGAACGAGGCATTGAACTCTTTCGGGAATGATCACATGCTGGTGGAGAAATATATTACAACCCCGCGACATATTGAAGTCCAAGTGTTTGCCGACAAGCATGGAAACTGTGTGGCACTAGGAGAGCGTGATTGCAGTATCCAAAGACGCCATCAAAAGATCTTGGAAGAATCGCCGGCTCCTCATTTACCAGATGCTGTGAGAAAAGACCTCTGGGAAAAAGCTAGGGCTGCCGCATTGGCAGTTGGCTACGAAGGTGCAGGTACCGTTGAGTTCATCTTTGACAATGATACGGGAAATTTCTACTTTATGGAGATGAACACCCGACTCCAAGTCGAACACCCGGTTACGGAGATGGTTACTGGGCAGGACTTGGTCCATTGGCAAATCCTAGTTGCCGAGGGAGCACCTCTTCCTTTGACCCAGGAAGAGATCGAAGCCAATATTGCAGTCCGCGGGCATGCAATCGAAGCTCGAATCTACGCAGAAAATCCTGATCAAGGGTTTATCCCGGACTCTGGTCGACTACTCCATGTTCGGCTTCCGAAAGAGACGGAGGACGTTCGGATTGACGCGGGATTCGTCGCTGGCGACGAAGTATCAGCTCACTACGATCCGATGATTTCGAAGTTGATTGTGCGCGGAGCTAACCGTGAGGAAGCTCTTCGCAATCTTTCAGTGGCCTTGGAGGAGTATGAAATCGCCGGTCCGATCACGAACATCGAATTTTTGAAGGCCGTTTGTAAGAGCGCGGACTTCGCGTCCGGCGCGGTCGAGACGGGATATATCGAGAAGCATCGTGAGGAGTTGTTTGTCAAGGAGACTGCGTCAGACGAAGTACTGGCGCAGGTAGCTCTAGCAATTTTCACGAAGCGCGCAGCTTCCGGACCTGAATTGACGTCATCCGGTCTGAAAGGATCGCAGCTCGGATTCAGTTCAAGCTTCCAGCAACGTCAATTTAGATTTGCTGAGATGTCATCTTCGGCAACACCGGATGCCGCGAACCCTACCCATGATGTCCAGGTCCGACAGCTCAGTAGCGATAGTTTTCGGGTAACCATCAACGGACGAACGTTCGAGAAAGTAACGAGTCAGATCGATGGCGAATCTAGTCAGATTACGTCGTTTTTCCCCCACACACGATTAGATACGAGGGTGATCCAGGGCGAAGACACGATCATCGCCTTCCAACGTGGAAAACAGTACCGCTTTTCCACGGAACGAGGGAAATGGATGGAGAAGGCGCTGGGGATCAAAGACGTCGCGAACAGTGTTTTGGCGCCTATGCCGTGCAAAATACTTAGCGTTGAGGTCAGCGAGGGGCAGACGGTGGAGAAGGATCAGCCACTTGTTGTCATTGAGAGCATGAAGATGGAGACGGTTATCCGCAGTCCCCATAATGGAACGATTGCGAAGATTGTGCATCGGAAGGGGGTAAGTCTTTTCCTTCCTTTCATCGTGGTTCAATTTCTACACTCCTCTTTTTATACTTTGTGATTCTCGTGAACCGAGTGTCGGTCTGTGAAAGAGTACTTGGGTGCCCCACAGCGGATCTGGCTTAGTTCTTAGTGTCTTCGAGAATGCTGGCTAACATCTCCCGTGCAGGACCAATGCAAGAGTGGAACGCCACTTGTCGAATTTGCCGGCGACGATTGAATACATAGCACGTCTTTCCTATATAGTAGTCGGCATGGACATATATAAGATTACATTTATGGCGCTGATGTGGTACAATTTTTATTTTCTGCATTGAATGAATAATTATTTATAATAAATGAATTATTTTGATCAATCCCGCCCCTTTGCAACTCCTGAGAGTCTGAGACGTGTGTCGCTGGGTCAGAAAAACAAATTCTCGGGGGAGGTCATCTGACTGCAAAAGCGCCCAAAGGGGAAATAGTTTGGATTATGCACCGGAGTATGCGGGTATACTATGAATGGCCAGAGGTATCATTTGTGAAAAGGGTTAATTTTAGCACACGCACCCTACTGTACAGTTATACCGTACGCTGTGAGTCGGGGCCCGCCTGGGTGTTCCAGACTTCTGGTCAGTGTGCCAAGTTTCAAGTTTCACCTGACTTTTAAGCATCAACGGCGACAACGAATACCATTGATACCTGCCTGGTAAACAAAGAATCTTTCCGTTATTAGATTTTTCGAGTCAACGCAAAATGCGGAGGAGGCGACACCGTTTATTTCACCGACATGGTCCGTGATCTATTGTCTCGGCAGTAGAAATAGTACGGGGTAATTTGACTTTGGGAGATGTCTTTATCCGTTTGAAGTTTGTACGTAGCACCTAGTACTGTACATGTCACGACGGGCTACATGTACGGAGTAGATGCATATAAAACAGGGCTGACGGGATCACGGGGTCCGCTCCGTTTCTCCAGGTTTACTCCGTGCGACACGGACATATCATAGACATATTGACAGATCGGTGACCTTGAATCTAATGAATCTTGCAGAAGCGCGGAGAGCGGTGTGATGTTTTTGACTTCCGTAATTTGAAATGTAGTTTCAGACAGCTGGCAGCGTAACTCAAAAAGGGTAAGAGATGTATGTGGGAGTTAGCAATTGGTTTTACTCATCAGGGATCAACTGATATCTCTAATTTGTGGTCCAATCAGAGACAAGGTACCTCCACGCCCTTCTTCGGGGATGCTAATTCGCATCCCAAACTGATTGATAGAAGATCTATCTCTAAATATTGGAGTCAACATTTTTGTTGACACAGTATGCTGGTTCAGGCAGGGTGAGTGGCCTATGGGAAATTTTCAGCTGGTCATGTGGATGGGCCCGCCCAGGGATGGTGTGGTGGGACACTGGGACCGGCCCACCAGATCTGCTTAGCCCAGCACTAGCACTAGTACCTGTGTGGCAACTACTAGCCAGTGTGCCTAGAGTGGCGATGGCGGTTCACGCGGGGAGGCTACTGAGCACACTAAGGTCACCAAGCTGCTGTGGACACGCGGATGTAGCTCTCCCAGGTGCGTGCAGCTAATCCAGACAGCTCCCGCCTGGTCTGGCCACACCAACTGCCACAGCTTGACATCACCAATGCTCACGCACCCTGTATGTCCTCATGTATACTCAAACACACAAATCACTGTAAGAAGTGTTGAATTTCTTGCTATTGCATATAAACAAATATGAACCATATAGCGTATGTCTGTTCCACGGAAAGAGTATCCAGCATTCCTCAGTCCCTCCGACCCATCACAAAAATAGCTGTGTACAATGTACTACGTACAAGTACAGGTACCTAGCGCGGGCTGTGGACACAACAACAACCAAGCTATCAATCTGCTTGCTGACTGACCGTCGGATTCGCGACGGTTCGATAAAAAAAAACTAATTAGGGAAAAAAAATCCACAATTGCAGGCTCTGCTGCACTATCTACTTTTTTTTTCCTTTCTAAATCGGGCCTTCCCACTCTTTCTTAGTGAGCCCCAATTTTTCGCCATCCAACAGAAACTGTCCGCCAGGAAGGAGGTCAGATCCTGCTCGATTATTTATTGCGACCACCTGCCCATCTTCTCTCAAGCCATTCCTGTCTTCACTTTTTATTTTCGTCCATTTTTACATTCGTGTGTTGTCTTGCATTCTGTGTACACCGTCTATCTGTCTTTGCATTTACAAGTCGAGTTACATACACAGCCTACAATGGCCACCATCTTCAAGCCGACAGCTGCTCGCCAGGCTGTCCGAGCTGTCAACCAGGTCGCCCGCCCTTCCATTCGCGCTGCTCGCCCTGCTCTCAGAATTAATACCAACACTCGAGCACTTTCCACAACTCCCGCCCGCTTCCAAGATGACGAGAAGAAGCGTGCCACAACCGCGGCTCCCCTGGGAGCTTCCGGCACCCACGAGGGTGCCTTTGCTCGTACTGACGACAGCCTCGTTATCGAGCACCCCAAGGACGAGGAGATGCCTCGCTCGCCCGTTGTCCAGGGCCGCGGTGGTATGCACTTTAAGCGCACCCTAGCTTCGTTTTCCCTGGAGAACAAGGTTAGCGTGGTTACCGGCGGTGCCCGTGGTTTGGGTCTGGTCATGGGTCAGGCGCTAGTCGCCTCAGGCTCCGACTTGGCCATTGTCGATTTGAACAGTGCGTGCCCCTTTCTGTCGGCCGAAATTGCAAAGTCAATTCTGGCACATTCGTATTTTAATTTTGATCTAACAATTATGCAGAGGATGAGGCCCAAGAACAGGCTGAGAAACTTGTTGCCCAATTTCAAAAGGAAAACCCTGGCTTGGAAGAGTGAGTGAATCACTGCACAATTCATTCTACACAGCACTAATTATTGCTACAGACTCCCCAGAGTCACTGCTCACTACGCCGACGTGTCCGACCCCGATTCGGTGAACAATGTCCTCGCCAATATCATCGAGCAACACGGCAAGATTGACAACCTGGTCACTTCCGCCGGTTTCACCGAAAACTTTGACGCTATTTCCTACCCGTACGACCGTATTAAGAAGCTCTGGGGCGTCAACGTGGATGGAACATACCTTTTCGCAACTGGCGTTGCGAAACATTTGATGGAGCGCCAAGCTCCAGGCAGCATTGTCATGATCGGTAGTATGTCCGGTGCTATTGTCAATGTTCCCCAACCTCAAGCTCCGTACAACGCCGCCAAGGCTGCTGTACGACACTTGGCCGCTTCGCTCGCTGTTGAGTGGGCAGGCTCCAACATCCGGGTCAACTGCATCAGCCCCGGTTACATGTTGACCGCATTGACCAAGAAGATTCTCGACGAGAACCCAGAGTTGAACAGGAAGTGGACCTCTTTGATTCCTCAGGGCAAGATGGGTACTCCTGAAGACCTCATGGGTGCCGTCACCTTCTTGTTGAGTGACGCTTCCCGCTACGTCACTGGAGCGGATCTCCGTGTTGACGGTGGATACACTGTCACTTAAATGTGGAGTGAACCCAAAAAAACAAAAAAGCCATTTCCAATTTTCTGTCCTTTTGTTTCTTTCGAGCGTGTTCTTTTTCTTTTGGTCGTGTGGTGGTTTTCCATAGACGGTGTATTTTTTGCTTGCAATCCTGGATAAGAGAAAAGATCTAGAGAGCGATTTCCCTTCCTGCATTGCGTGTTTTTTTGAGCCTTGTCGTGATTTCTTTTGACTGGGTTAACCACACGATGTCTACCGATATTTGTTCCGTTTGTGTGATAGAGAGACCTGAGGTCTAGCAGATACCCGCATTTAATATGCCCAATGGGCTTGATATTTCTTCAGTAATAAAGATTCTTGTAAAAACAAACATAAATAACTACCGTCTTTATCCTCATTACAGAAAATCGCCAATCGTCGCTCTGTGACGCAGGAACGAGTTATCGAAACAAGCATGTAACACATCCAATCACCAGCCCTATGTAAAGCCTTGAGCCCCGAGTCTATAGATGAACCTAGTTTCCATCACCCTCTACATCATCACCAGGAGTAACACTATACGATTCCGGCGTAAACCGCAACACACCTTGCCGTCGCAGAGCATCCGGATCTACATAAATGCGCAGACTCATATCGTCCTTGCCAAGGTTGTAGACTCGGAATATCACGTAGATGGTTCTGAATTCTTGGAGGGTTTGATCGTCGAAGGTTTGGTTTTGCATCTTTCAAAATCAATAATTAGCCCTTTTATCCTTTGATGGAGATGTGTTGGGATAAGACTTACGCGTCTATATTGGCTCTTGCTCATGAAGAATGCGTTGTCGCAATTACCCGTGGTGGATTTGACTTCTATCAGATATCGTGGAATCCTGTACTGCCATTGATGGCTCGGTAGATAACCGTTGTCAATCAGAATCTGCGTCAGTCTCGAGGCGGAATCGTAGTATATTATATCCGAGGTTTCTACTCCGTTCCATGGAGCAAGGTCGGCGTATGCGGGGTGGACGGCGACTTCTTTTCGGATTGTGCTCTTCCAGTTGTCGCGGCCGAAATCTGGGAGGTATAGATTGCGAAGGAGTTCGAAGACCTGAGTCAATGGTCAGTTTTTGACCCTGTGCATTTTACTTCTAGGTGTTTTTTGTTTTAGGGTATCGTGGGTGTAAACTTACGAATAGCTCACCAGCTGCTCCGATTTTGATGTCATGTGCTAATTGATTCTGTGACCTGGCTCCAAATGCTGATACGTGTTCTTCCGAAGTGAAGCCGCCGGTTCTAGCTGCAGAAGCCTCGCGTCCAGCATGTCTTAACGGTATGTTGGTGCGTTGGGCTACTTGGATAACCTTCTCGAGAACTCGGACGTATTGTGATGGCTCGGCCAGTGGTGGCGCTGGGGCCTCATCTTGTATGCCAGGGGTGTTATATCGATGAACATGTTCAGTTTGATGTACAGGTATGTACTGCGTTGAGGATCTAGAGTGCGATGTAACCGAGTGAACTTCCTCCTCCGAAGATGGCGTATATGCACGGTTTTCGATATCCACCTGGGTTTCTGGCAGTGAATTATCTCGAGGGCTTTCCGTTCTCCCAGCAGGAATATGGAAATCCTCTCCTAAAGAAGTGCTGCCCTCTTCTGCCTGCTCAAAAGCCTCCAAATCACTATCCGGGATCCTCACTATCCCCTCATCATCCAAAACCTCGTCTAGGACATAGATAGAAGAAGCCTGAATAACCATCAAGAAAGCTTTGGACGCTCCAAAGCTATTCTCCATGAGGAGGAGATATTGTCGGAGCTCATTTGGTAATTGCGTCAAGTAGCATTTCTCCCTCTGCACATTGTCTCTCGGGACAAATAGATTCAGTATTCCTTCTTTCTCTTCGAGGTGGAATGTGCCTCGGTCACTGAGTGCAGTGACTGTTAGACCCCCGTAGGACAGTCGAATTTCTTTCGTGAAGCCATCACTTTCGTAGACTAACGCATGTCGAAGCTTATGATAGATATCTTGGCTATTAGTTTGAGCTTTTGTGCTTCTATAGTGGAGGGCGCATCTACTATAAATTAGAATATCGTCATAGGCTCAAAGTTCAGGAACAAATCACTTACCGATAGAAAGCTTTCGATTTTGCTCGAAAAGCCTGGCTTAGCTCCTTTGATGGGGTCTCTGATGGTCTCTGAACCTTGGTAGTCTCTTTCGCTGCCACGGACATGTATCTGTCAGTGACTCCCAGAGCGTTCAAAAATGGATGGAGAGCGTGTATCTCTTCGAGTGAAAAGTCCAGAACGGGAACTTTCCCCTCAAACAATTCTCCATATTCTCGTCTATCCGGAACGAAGAATACCTCAGACGGGCTCATTAACTTGAGCGTTGACCCTGGAGCGCGGACAGGTAGACAAGACAGCTGCATCATCTCCTCTAAGCTTTCGTCTGTTGGACTCAAATCATTAATACAGTTGATGGCGCGTTTGATTTCGACTAGTTGGCTACCATTATCCTTGGCGGCGAGCAACCGTAGCTGCTCAATATACGTCGCAATGGTTGGTGCTTTAATGCGCAGCTTTTCGGTGAATAGACCCGCTAGGTCAGGATATACAGCCCCAATTCCGTATTGCCCACCAACATTGGAAGTTTCGGCCCAGACGCATGAATGAGGTGCAACCCAAATTTGTTCGCCAGGTAAAAATATAAGCTTGTCTTTTGTAAATGCATCTCTGAATATTGTTTTTAGCCAGTACCTCGCACATGAGAAAAGAACATCACCTACCGGATGGCCCCCGACGCCTCCACCGTGGTACATGTAACCAGCAACTCAGCATATACCGCGCACATATGTTCGAAGTTTATGTATACGGCAGACACATGCTTCCGAAGATAAGTCAGCTCTTCTAGATACGTCTGATAGCTCGCATCTCCCAGACTTAGAATATCTCGAAAAAGAAAGCTGACTCGAGTATTTCCTGCATATTCTGCGTATTGTGAGAGGCAGTCTGTGAGGTGCAAGCCAGATAGTCCACTCCAAAGACAAGTATCTAGAGTTGTACAAGAAACGGTGGTTTCTGGGAGACAGACAGCTTCCAAGTCATAGAGCATATCACTTTTGTATTTTAGCAAAACATCGAATGGTTATTTGGTAGTTTGGAAACTCGTACCTGATATCATCCCCGTCGGCGTAGGAAATCTCCTCAAAGAGCTGTTCATACACGTAGAAAAGACCATCTTTTAATTTCTTTCCAGTAGTATTTTCAATCAAGGCAGAGATAACGTCTCTAAAGAAATTAATATCCGGCGTTATTCCGACGCCGAATACTTTGAGGAATTCCCATTGAGCAAGTCCGGTTTCAGACCCCTCTGAAGAGGAACCAAAATCAATAAAAAGGTCAAAATAATCATTGATACGAGCATGCTGACATATTTCCATCAATCGTGGAGTAGGAAGATAAGTAGCTTTTAGAGGATAATGAGTGTTAGTTCCGTGGCATGGAACCTCTGCATTGCGAATCGCCTGTTCAATAGCGACGGTTTTCTGGCTCTGGTAGCTACTCCAGTATCTCTTGAGAACGCCCGCAAGAAGTTGGGGTCGAAATTCAATGATCTTAGTAAAGAGAAGAGAAATACCAGTTGTAGACGGGTGTTGTAGTCTGGGTACTTTGCGAATTAGAATTTTCTCTTCCAGCCATTGCTTCCATGATCGGCCGTTTATTTCATCAGTCAAAGAAATAGCTCCAAGGTAAGCGTCATTTAAAATATTAATGCAGGATGATCCAGTCACCTCCCGGAGCTCCTGGGCCAGGTGTCTAGTGCCGAAGTCCCCAATTGTATCGAAATAGAGATCGTCCACAATTATAGATCGCCCGAAAGTTACGAATTTCCGGTATATGGGAATTTCGCTTTGATTCATTACAAAGATGCACTTGTTCAGTGCTTCGTCGGGGAGTGACTCATAGAGGTACTTTAGATGAGAGACGGATTCCGCAAGATTGATTCTCTGCGGGGGGTTGTATCTCTTGACAATCTGCCTTGCGACAAATGCAGGGCTACAATATTGCACTCCCAGCTTCTCATATAATGATTTTTGTGCATTGTTCTCAAGCGCATCGTCATCCACAATCTGCATGCCCAAGTCCGATGGGACATGGTTTCCCAGAACATCAGATGGGAAATATATGGTTTTGGATCCATTGTTACTCAGAGAACCATCTCGCAAGGGTATCAAGGGCAATTCTTTGATTTTAGCTTCAGTGTCCTTATCCTTCAGCCCTCGCAACAATAAGTTCGCTACACTCGTGTGCCAATCATCATCCTGGTCCGGATGAAGAAATCGTGGGTTTTCCCCCCGCAGATAAGGGGTTATCCTTGCGATGATGTTGTTCCACGAAAGGTCCGTTACGCCCAATTCTTGCAGGTATTTACGGTGTTCGGTAGAATAGTCTGATGACAGGTACACCTCCTGCTGGAGGTCTTCGAACAATGGTTCTCCATGCTTATCACAATGCCCCTTAGATAGTCGCTGTAGTCGAGAAGGTAATTGTCTAACGCCTTTGCGAGTCAAAAGAATCGGATGTTTGGCTAATGCTTTGATGATCATATCATGAAGATCTTGCCAAAACTCATGAGCGATGCTATTACCTGGCAAGTAGGAGAGCCACTCATATTGGAGAACAGGACGAGAGCAGAACTTAATCACTGCGTTGACGAAGACTTCGGATACATGCTGCAGTAAAGCGTCGTTCCAGCGACACTGAAGGATGTCTTGTCTGTTGGCTGCAGTAATGAAATCAGATTGAATCAGAAACTTGGATCTAGTCAGTGCTTGTTCTGAAGCCTATCTTGGGGATTGGAATCAATCATACACAAAACCCAAATTTTCTAACAGGGAGGAACGAAAAAGTGAATTGTTGCTCAACAACTGGCCTTGAGTCACTGGTGATTGGGAAGGCAAGTACTACCTCCGCCCTGTCTCTGTTCTCCCGAGCAGTATGTGAAGGTAGACCCTGAAACGTTTCCCTTTCCACGTGGAAGAACTGTTCGGAAACGGTGTCATCCACTCGTATGATAAGCTTCGAATTTTGACCATTTTCGTGACTTTCATGCACGGTTCTAGAAGAATCCCCGTTTTCTCCATGGATCAAAACTTCAATTTTTTGTAGTTTCGGCAGAAAGATAATAAGGGCATCCGGGATACCAAGAAGGTCCTCGGATCTCTTGTTGAAATCATCGGGCTGAATAAGGGTCAAAGTTATTCGAGTTCCGTCTTCGTAGACTCCAACATTCTCTTCCTCGTTAAAGGGAGTGATCATGCCCATTCCGTTGCCCGATGGAAGATGCTCAAAATAAAAATCGAATGGACCCGACTGAATTCGAACTTTTTGAGCTACCTGAAAGACAGACTTGAATCCTATTCCTTTTTCCCCTATAAATCCTATTTTGTTGACTTTGGTACTATCGCGGACTTTGCAGATCGAGCGTACATCTGCCTCGTTGAAACCGAGCTCGTTATTTTCAACGATAATCTCCTCGGGCATGAGAGTGAATTTGATGTAAGGGCTATCATTGTGTGCACTACTATAGTAATTGTCCTCCGCATTTTGAATGAGCTCATAGACGAATCTTGACTCGCTTGTATAAAGATCTTGTGCGAGTGTGCGGGTAACTGCACCCAGTTGCTGACGGACGTTCTCCAGTGCTTGGAGTACAATTTCTGAAGTATCGCGCCGTTCTTCTTCAGTGATACCCCCGTTATAGACTCGGACTTCGTCTATTATCTTTCGAGCTCGCTCCGTAGTAAGTGACTTCATTTTTCAGGATATATCAGTCTTGAGGCGTTTGTGAGATGGAAGAACAGTACCGTGGGTTCCGTCGGATTAGGGCTAAGGTAGAATCAATTTCCGGAGCTGAGCGACGGAATTTTATGGTCATCACTACTTGCGGTTCAAGATCCTGGGCCTTTTGTAAGCTGGAAAGACATCTAAGTCTGATTCCAAATCTATGCTGCATTGCAAGGCTGTAGGAATTGGTCACACCATCCAGGCAGGGTAGGCTATTCTGCCGCGACCAATTGGTTTCAGCCTTGCAATCACAAAGAAAGATAATAAGCATGATTGCTCTTTTTACTTTTTTAAGATCATTCCAAACACTAACCTGTGCATAGTCAGAATGTTGCCGCCGAATGATTTTTGGCTACGATTCTCACTGGTCGAGAAATGCGGCGCAGACCTCCTGGGCAGGGAATGGAGTGGAATGACAGAACTACTAACAATTAGCGAACTTACTAGTCAAGCAACCAGTGCATCAGCTTTTCTAACCCTTGTTCTCACAGTTTTTAGGCATGTTAGGTAGGTAGCTCTCTGTCGCGTAATTCTTCTCAAGCGATACCTTACAAAGCCTGTCAATAGACTATGGAAATGAGAGTCCTGCTTATCTATCACGAATGAACTTCAGAGTTTGGCACGAACTAACACTAAGATTTTTTTATGTTTTTTCGCCTATCAAAACAATTGCCTTTGCCCAGATTTTGTATTGCTCATAGTGTTCAGCATCATCATTTCCGAAGGCAAGGACAGGTGGCTGGATTATGGCAATAATGGGCTGTCCATCTAGTCGCGTATCTTCCTCATCATCGAGATGATGCATTGCATGAGCACTCATTAGCTCGTCTCCATTACGGAAACGGCTATCTTGGTGGAGTTTGGGACATTCTAGAAATGATCGTTGTGTCCATACTGACAATGACAGCTGTGCTGCAAAGATGTATATGTCTGCCAATCCTTTCTTCGCCAATTGTTCACCTCCGCCTGGTCTACCAAGTAAGCATCCTACTGAACCAGAAAGGAATTGCTCCGAGCGTAGATCGCCCATTCGTGACAGATTCACCTCCAATCTTCCGACGAAAGTGATGTCTGATTTGGAAACCCTATATGGAGTCTGTAGAACCCGGAGCATCTGTGCCCGCCAGATGTGCGCTTCAGTTGCGTCGACTATCTTATGTCAGCCTTGTCAAAATGTTTATGATTTTCGGAATTGCTTACTCTCCTTCATAGCCTGGTAAAGACCGGTGAGTTGTGATGCAGCTGGGAAACTGGCGCCCTCAAGCACTTCCAACGTGAGGAAGGGATTCTCAAATATGCCGCCAAAGATGTCTTTTGAGAGAAGTGCATGGGTAAAAATATAAGGTACTCTTCTAGCCACAGATGGAGTCATCATTTGGATGATATCGTCCCAACTGCCTGGAACACAATAGCCAGACAAGCTTTTGATGATATCTCGCTTTTGGTCGATCTTCAAATGATCCAAATCCTTGCCGTTAGAAATTTGTAGAGCGTTCGTTTTGGCCCATTTCTTGATTTTTTCTTGAAGTCTCAGGAAATTGTCGCGAACTTTTCCGTCTTCCGGTGCTGACCACCCTCCTTTACCCATGGAGCGAAACGCGCGTTCTTGAATGTCGTCAAGTACACCTTGTAAAGAAGCATTGGAAATTTTGAGCCTTTTTGATTCCTCGTGTGTGGCCTTCAAGTGCTGTGACAATTCTTGATTCTCTAGTTGGTGATTTTCAAGCTGTGTGCGAAAATCCCGAAGTAAATCTTGCTCCCTCTTTTGGGCCTGGCCCAGCTTGAATTGTAATTCTGATTGTTCGATGGTCAATTGCTTCATACAAGCTTGCAAGTGCTCAATCTTTGCTTCTTGCTCTTTTTCTATAGGCCCATGCAGACGTTTTTCTTCTATTCTCTGTTGGTCTTTGCTGATTTGAATAGAGGTTCTCTCCGGTACTTCTTCTCGATCGTGAGTAGCGGTTTGCTTAGAGATCTCATCAGAAGGCCGGCTGCTAGTAGTAATACTTCTTGTCGTCGTTGAAAGAGCACCACGCTTTCTACTTGAGCTGTTCATTTGGCTTGCGATGTCCCCGTCTGCTTCGGCTATGGATGAATTTGGGACTTCCGATAAGTCTCTCCTTATTTCCCCCGCTGCATGATGTTTTGTTCTTTTCTGCTGTTCCTTTTATCGAGGGTTAGCTGAAGAATATGAAAATCACAGCAACCAATGCCTTTAGCCGAAGGTATTGCATACGTACCTTATCCTGACGGTGTATTGATCTTCTGCTATCCTCGACATCATCTTCTCTCATCTTGTCTGAGTCCTGCAATTTGGCCACAGTTTTGATTATGTCATTGAGAAATCCAAGCATTTGGGGCAACAACTTTGTTCACCTGTAGAATAATTAATAGTGCTGAAACACAATTCGAGGGGAGAAACCACGTACAAGGCGAGGGGTCCTGCCTGCACTTATGCTATTTACAAATGAGGAGCTGATAGCGGGGGCTGAAAATATGCATATGCAATCTAGTAGCCAAACTTGTAGCGTTGGAAAGTCCCCTGTACGCATGAATAGCGCCAGCGCTAAGATACACACCATATCAATAAATTCAGAACACTGCCTCACTTCCAACCACTTTACATATCGGGACCATCTTGCATAGCTTATAAATAGCTCCTACAGTTACTATGGCGTTTCAGATGTATCCCCTTCTAGCAGTTAGCTTCGACAAGGCTTGATTTCCTATGTTTCATCTGCTATCTTCGTCTGTCTCTATCTCTGGCGCTTATACACTTGCAGTGCCGTTACTGCCGTATGAATCTACATATAACATCCCAAGCTTGAACATGCTCCCAGATTCTGCTCTGATCTCTGTAAGTAATTTCCAAGATTGTAACTCGTGCAAATATGTCTACTTTTGGAGGCTTTGGCGGTATTAATACCAAATCCAACTCTCTCTCTCCAGTTTCGAGGGATAAGATCATCGTGGCGGTTGATTATGGAACAACATTTACGGGTAGCAACTTTCTCCTTTTTCTTTCCTAGTCAAGCCTAAAATTGCTGATTCGAGTCCTCTGCTAGGAGCGGCTTACGTGAATTCCATCGATGACGTCGATCTATGTATTATCAACACATGGCCCGGAACAGGACGAGATACCGAGAATGTTCTCAAAACACCTTCCACTATCGCTTATCCAGAGGAGAATAAGAAGATTGGAACGCGGCGCTGGGGGTTTGGGGTTGAACCAGGACATAAATTCTACTCATGGACCAAATTGCTTCTTGACAAAAACGCTCCGTTGACAAAGTACGATGACCCAATTCTGGAGCAGGCAACCAAATCGGGCATTCTGCAACTACCCGCAAATAAAGATGCAGTGACTGTTGTCGCCGATTACCTTACCGGCATATACGACCACATTATGCTCACACTTGAGAAACAACTCACTGAGCCCGTCTTGAGGGTGTCCCCCATCGAGTTTTGGTTCACAATGCCAGCGATATGGTCCGACCAAGCGCAGGCTGCAACAAGAGAGGCCGCACAGAGAGCAGGTTTTGGCTCTAGGCCTGGGAGACCATTAGATGCGATTAACATGATCACGGAGCCAGAGGCGGCTGCCATTGCAGCTCTAACACGAAGCACAACTGACATAGTCGGTGTTCCGGTCAAGGTAGGAACTCACAATTTGATTATCTACTACAAGCCTGAGAACTAATCAGAGATTTTCAGGCTGGTGATGGAGTTCTGGTGTGCGATTGTGGAGGAGGGACTGTTGTACGTGATCTAGATTCCAAGATTAAGGCTAGTGCCAGGTCTAAACGTATAAGGATATCACAACATATCTAGTGACAGAAACCCAACCAACACTGGCCTTTGAAGAGCTTTGCACAGGAATCGGTAGGTCTCTCTTGTAGCACAGCACATGATGAATCTGCAATTAAGTCACAGTCTAGGTGGAAAATGTGGATCGACTGCACTTGACAGAAACTTTTACAAGCTCATGTCTGAACGCTTCGGCCCTGCCTTTGATAAGCTACCAATGAAGAGAAAGGGCCCTGGAAGTACCTTTATGAGTTGCTTTGAACGCATAAAGAGGAATTTTGGTCATAATAGTGAAGACACTACGCATGATATCGAGTTCCCTATGAGGTCTTTGGAGGTGGATCCTCAATACTACGATGATGACGATCAGGCGGTTATTATATCCGAGTATGTGGAAATGTATTTTCAATATTATGACCGGAAAGTCTTCAATGATGCCAGTACTAATATATAGTTCTAGCGAAGATCTTCGCGATATATTCGATCCAGTCGTGAATCAGATCATAGACTTGATCAAAACACAGATCAAAGATGCAAACAAGGAGATGGAGCATGGCACAATAAATGTATATACCTAACCTTGGAAGGTATCACAATAACTTGAGTCTTTCTATGCTAACAATATTTTCAATAGAGAATCATTCTCGTTGGTGGTTTCGGAGATTCAGAATATCTGCGAAAAGCAATCAAAAAAACGTTTGGCTCTAACGAGAAAATGGCCATCACGGTACCAAGCAACCCGTTAGTTTACAGTCCTCCGCCTTCGACATATAAGAGCTCACTAACAGTTTACCTCAGGCAGGGTGCTATTGTTCAAGGAGCTGCACTTCGTGGTTTGCACGGCATCCGGGCTACAGCAAGAAGATGTCGCCGACATTACGGGTTTGACTGGGATTTAAAATTTCGAGAAGGTATTGATGATGAAAAGCATTCGTATTGGGATCGATACCGGGGCCAGAAAACTGTCGCAGGAATAATGAAATGGATGATCAAAAAGGTATAATAGGTTCTGGTCTAACAGAAACGTGCTCTAACCTGTTCTATATTAGGGAGAGAAATACAATGAAGATTACTCCATGACTGTGAATATTTGCTCGAGTCACTGGCCTTCATATTCGCTTAACAGATACACAAATCTGTACGCCTCGGATCTGATGGAGGCTCCAGAACGAATTGAGAATCCTGGTAAGTTGTGATCTCAAGCTATTGATGCTCCTTCATGTCGGAGACTTACAAATCCTAGGCGTCAAGTATATTGGCAGAATAAAAAGTGACTTTACTGGAGTCGACCTCAATCAATTTGACAGCAAGTTCATTGATGGAGAAATGGTATATGAACTAAGTTATTCCGTGAAAGTGGTTATCGGGGCTCAAGAGGGAATTCTGAAATTTGAGACTACTTCAAAAGGAAAAGTCATTGGGAAGAGCAGTATCACTTTTGCTAAAGCAAGCTATTATTAGCGGATTATTGCCACCAGTTGATATATGTATGTGCGTTTCATACAGTATTTGTGAAGTTGTTGTGCCCCTATGAGGCATTTGTACTTGTTTTACAAGCCTTTCTCTTCTAGTCGAGTTACTAAAACCTTGACAATCCGATATATTTAAACAATGTTCCTATAATGCACACCTTTGGATTAGCTCCCTTGGTGGACAAGTGAGTGTTGTAGGGGTTTCTCCATATCATATGGCTCATGCATGAATCACCTACATCACCTTTTGCCTATAATGAATTGCTCAAGCTAAATGCTCAATTCTACAAGCATTGCTTTTTATTTTACTACATGTAGGTTTCTGAAAAGCAGAGCCCTATCACTTCTAGGGTTAGAACTTCATGCTACATGTACGGGCAGCTCACTCGGCTTCATGGGAGATGGAGTTCAAAAAGATACATTCAAATCATGGATCATTTCAACTGATGATGTGTTCTATGTATAACAGAATGCTCAAGCTAAGCATACTCTTTATTGAAAGCCCGTCCAATTACCATCCTCCTAATCTCACTTGTCCCAGCCCCAATCTCATACAGCTTTGCATCTCTCAATAMCCTCCCCGCCGCAATCTCATTAATATACCCATTCCCACCCATAAGCTGAATAGCATCTAGCGTACATTCCGTCGCGCGTTCTGCCGCATACAAGATCGCGCCCGCACAATCCTGTGTTCTAATCAGTGTGCCGGATGGTGTAACACTAGACTCATCGATTGATTTAGCAGTTGCGTAGGTGTAGGCCCGCGAAGCAGCGAGTTTGGTGTACATATCTGCTAATTTGCCTTGAATCAATTGGTTGTGCGCAATAGGGGTGTTGAATTGCTTCCTGGTATGAGTGTACGGTAGCACGAGATCAAGGGCTGATTGCATAATTCCAAGCGGACCAGCGCTCAGAACGAGACGCTCCAGATCCAATCCCTCCATGAGTACTTTAACTCCGCGATTGAGTTCACCGAGAAGGTTCTCTTTGGGGATGAAGACGTCCTCAAAGACGAGTTCGCCGGTATTCGAGCCACGCATGCCGAGTTTGTCGAGTTTGCGCGCGCAAGAGAAGCCCTTGAATTCCTTTTCAACGATGAATGCGGAGATACCCTTGGAAGCTTTTTCGGGTTCTGTTTTGGCGTAGACGACGATGAAATCTGCATCAGGGCCCTATACAGCAAGTCAACGTTAGTCAAGTTTCCTTCGGTATATTCTGGTCGAGGAAGAGACAAACGTTTGTGATCCACATCTTCGTCCCGTTGAGTAGCCATCCCCCATCCACAGCTTTAGCAGTAGTCTTCATGCTAACAACATCTGATCCGGCCGAATGTTCGGACATCGCTAGAGCGCCGATTTTTTCACCAGAAATAAGACCGGGGAGGTATTTTGCCTTTTGTGCGGCATTGGCATTTAATGAAAGTTGATTGACACATAATTGTGAGTGCGCGGCGTAGGATAGACCGATACTTCCTGTAATAAATCAATTCAGTATAAATAACGAATTAGGGTCGTTTTACGTACCTGAAGCTCTGCTAATTTCCTCGAGGACTGTGCAATGCGCTTGATAGCCCATAGCTAGACCGCCATATTCCTCATCTGCCGTTACACCGAGGAAGCTATTAGATCTCAGTGTTAGTTTTTTACATACTCAATTCTTCCAAGTCAGGTTAGAAACTACCCAGCTTCTCCAAGTTTCTTCCACATCTCAGCTGGGAATTCATTCTGTTGATCCGTTCGCGCAGCAACCTCTTCGGGTATCTCTCGACCTGTCACAGGATCAGTATGGTATTTCAAAGTATAAATTGCAATACTCACGCGCAAAATCTTGTACACTTTCCCGCAACTGCACCAAGTCATCATCTGTCGGCGGGACAAAGCCCTTTGGATGCTTCGTAGAATGATGTCGGGTCCATGCGGGGCTATGCAATGGACGAGCTCCGCATGCAACGACTGATTTGGATGGGCGTAGGAGTAGACGAGAGAGCTGCTTTGAAGACATTTTGGTGTACAAAAAATAATGTTATGAAAGTTGACGAGATGGATGAAGCGATTTGTTTTTACAAGGTGATGATGATGGATGTTGTTACATTGAGTGTTGGAAGCGGCCGAGCGGTTGGACGCGGCAATCATCGCTCAGCGTCGCTCTCCGCCGGATCTCTGTAGCCAAACCGCCTGCTTTATGATGATCTTGACACACCTTTCATTGATTTTACTACTTTACCTGAACTTGTCAACAGCGTGCACCTCACCACATCTACAATATTGCAAAGAAAAACCTCTTATTCAAATTTCTCGATCAGGTCTTGACATCACGGGCAGTCGAGCAGTGGTCCCCGCAATGCTCAGTTCCCGCCCTGTTCTCCGCCAGATTGCGGAGAAAGAGTTCATCCCCAGACTTCGACCAGGGCGATGTCTCTGCACGATTGCAGGACAGAGAAGAGTAACACCATCCAGAAAACATGTGTTTAACAAAACCGCCGTCGTGCGCAGCTCGTCAAGACCAGTCTCGAATTATACTTTCCCACACCATGCAAACGCCATCTCCGTCCTGCCTACTGCCGTCGATCCCGAGTCAACCGACTTTAAAGAAAATGCGGCACAAATGAACGAACTGCTGGAGCATATGACGCAGTTACATGACAAAATAGCACAAGGTGGCTCCGAAAAGGCGCGAGAAAAGCATATATCTCGAGGGAAGATGCTACCCCGAGACCGAGTTACGTCTCTAATTGACCCTGGAACATCCTTCTTGGAGCTATCACCCCTCGCGGGTCACGAAGTATATCCCGGCGAAGATGTCCCAGGTGGAGGTATAATCACAGGCATTGGCACAGTCGAAGGCGTTACATGCATGATCGTCGCTAATGACAGCACCGTCAAGGGTGGAACATATTACCCCATTACAGTTAAGAAGCATCTCCGCGCACAAGCAGTCGCACAAGAAAACAAACTTCCCTGTATCTACCTTGTTGATTCCGGTGGTGCCAATTTMCCCCATCAAGCCGATGTCTTTCCCGATAAAGACCATTTTGGCCGCATCTTCTTCAATCAAGCACGCATGAGCTCGTTAGGCATACCGCAAATTGCAGTGGTAATGGGACCTTGTACTGCTGGAGGCGCCTACGTCCCTGCTATGAGCGACGAGACCATCATCGTCGAGAACCAAGGAACGATCTTCCTCGCGGGTCCTCCATTAGTCAAAGCAGCAACTGGCGAAGTCGTCTCCGCCGAAGATCTAGGCGGCGGCCATCTACACAGCACCATCTCAGGCGTAACAGACTACCTCGCCGTCGACGATGCGCACGCCCTCATCCTCGCGCGCCGCTCAATCAGCAACCTCAACTACCCTAAAACCAGCATCCCTCTTACGGGGCTATCAAAGGATACAGACATCAAAGAACCCCTCTACAACCCTGAAGAATTAAACGGTATCGTCGGCACAAACCTCCGCCGACAAATCCCCGTGCACGAAGTCATTGCACGTATCGTCGACGGCAGCGAATTCGCCGAATTCAAGCGCGACTACGGCAGTACGCTCGTCACAGGCTTTGCGCGCATATACGGAACGCAAGTCGGTATCGTAGCCAACAATGGAATTTTATTCTCCGAGTCATCCCTCAAGGGAGCTCATTTCATTGAGCTATGTGCCCAACGTCGCATCCCACTTGTCTTTCTTCAAAACATTTCGGGCTTTATGGTTGGCGCCGATGCGGAGAAGGGCGGAATCGCGAAGAATGGCGCAAAGCTTGTGACGGCTGTTGCATGTGCTGATGTACCCAAGTTCACGGTTGTGTTTGGCTCGAGTGCCGGTGCTGGGAATTACGGCATGTGGTACGTCTTTCATCCCCCTTAGGCATTCTCTTCCAATATAGAACTAATGAGATGTAGTGGCCGCGCCTACTCCCCCAGACTAATGTTCATGTGGCCCAACTCCAAAATCGGCGTCATGGGCTCCGAACAACTCTCATCAGTCATGGAAGCCGTCGGCCGCACGGCGGACCCTGAACTCAAGTCACGAATCGACCAGGAATCAACAGCGATATTCTCCTCTGCGCGCTTATGGGACGATGGCGTTATACCGCCCGCGCACACGAGACGATATCTTGGGATGGGACTGATGGCTGCTGTGGGCGGAAGGAATAAGGTTGATGAGACCGAGACGAAGTTTGGTGTTTTCAGAATGTAACCCTTCGCCCTACATTTTCTGTAATGTTTCCTCTGTACTTGAATAAAGTGAATGAAGAATAAAGGAAATTGAATTGGTCTGTTCAATCAAGAGACCAGTAATGTCTATAATCATACCTATACAAAAGAATATATAATTTTCCTTTCCTCCGCTTTTCCGTCCCTTTCCTTCAGCTTTGCTTTTCCCTGTGTAGAACGTATCCAGTACTTTTCTCTTCCCGTCTGCTTGTATGTATGTATGTAGTATAAGTATATATATAGGAACAAATGTTTTTGCTTTTGTTATTGGTTGGTGGTATCGGTCAAGGTGTAGGAGTTCCAGCTCGTTCTCATGATGGTAATAGGGATGTGTATGGGTAGTAGATATGTGTGTATGTTGTGTCATGGAGGCAAGATTCGTTCGTCGAAAAGTATAGTGTCGTGTTGAGTCGTTGATCATGATGAGATTGAGTTGTAGGAGAAAGGAAATGAGAAGACTGCTAAATAATCACACACTGCCCCCGTCGTCGCGACCTGCGCTCTCCTCTCTTCCTCGGCCCATTACTAGCGGCCATTTCGCGTTTCCTCGATTGCAACTCCAATGACCTCAACTGCGAAGCCTGCAAATCCTTTCGAATAATCTGCCGACACAAATCAATAAACACCTCGTTCACATTTGCGCGACGACGGGCCGAAGTCTCGTAATAAGGCGCATTCCCCCACGATTGTGACAATGCAAAAGCGCGTGCTCGTGATACGGCGCGGTCCTCTTCGAGATCGGATTTATTGCCGACTATAACGATAGGGACTTTGTCGTCGTCTTTGATGCGAATGATTTGTTCGCGAATTTCGGAGAGTTCGTGCAGAGAGGACATGCTGGTGATGGAGAAGACGAGGAGGAAGCCTTGTCCTTGTTTCATGTATAGTTCCCTTCGCTCGTTAGCACGTTCGACTCGATAATAAACTCGTGTAATTTACCTCATTGCAGCTGTAATATTGTTAGCTGGATCGTTTCAATCTTCAGGTGGATAACTTACTGAACTGTTCTGTCCCAGCAGTATCAAGACTATTTCCGTCAGTATCGTCCATAGTGTCCAGCACAATGTCAAACGTACATTTCTAAAATACATTGTCGGCCCTGAAAATGTACGATTAGCCATGCGCTTGTACTTTGGCCTGACATTACTTACATCGACTTCTATTTGTTTCCGATACGAATCCTCAATCGTGGGGTCATAACTCTCAATCCAAACATTTTGTACAAATTGAGCTGTTAAACATCAGTATAAGTTTGGTGCGAGGGTGAGGAAGACGTGTACCTGTAAGACAACTCTTCCCAACACCACCTGTGACGGTTAGACGAGTACCCTTTCCTGTTTGCTAAGACAGACGTACCAGCTCCCAAAACAACAATATGATACTCCCGTCTGCTCACGTTAGTCAGATCATACGACCAGTCTCGCATCGCAGTTAGAGCTCCTTACCGAGGCTGCATTTGAGATAAACCGCACAATCGGAGAACAGAGCGTAAGACAAAAAAAGTCGTCTATTCTGGACGGCACGGCACAATTCGATCGTCTTCGTACTTCAGACAAATAGATTCGATCGTTCCAGGCTGTCGGTAGCCGTTATCAATAACACGAGCGGACAAGGATATCAATCGAAATGGTAAATAGCGTTTTCCCCAGGACTTCAAGTCGAAGGAATTCTGTCGGAAGAAAGAAATCGATTGTACGGTAGGGAATAGTAGGAAGCAACGGTCCTGTGAAATGGTCGAGCCTTCGGAGGTTTTTTCTCGTCGGCCGGAGCTGGTAGGAGCTACTCAAGCAGCGATTGACAAACGTGTAACAATCGGTCACGGGAAAAATAGAATCAATCGCAACGGCAAATGCCAAAATATTACAATTGACGCGTTGGTAATATATGAATTGCTCGCGCTGAGTCAGAAGCTGAGAGAGTGTGGTAAAGGACAGGTGAGGCCGGTGACGTCGATTGCGGTCGATTCAGGGACAAAAAAGAGACGAACAGCCGCAGAGTCGGAGAAGGCGGTGTCAAGGAACAATAATCCCCGAGTAATTTTCTTTCTTTTCTTTTCGGGTTGCTGATGACGAACTCTGAGAGCAGGCGCAGTCGCTGTAGTCTGACTAAGGTTTGACAGTTTAAAAGAATATGTGTACGGCGGTGAGCGAGAGACTTTTTTTTCACTGTTTGGTTGCGATCTATGCTCAGAGGGGGAACCCGGGACAGAGGCTGCTTTCAATCAACTTAAACAAGGTGTAATTAATTGAGAAAATTAATGGCCAAACTCAAAATGGATGGGGGAAGCAGAAATTTGCAACTAAGATGACGCTTTTAATCAAATTTGTATCAAACATTGACGTTATTTTCTTTTTCTGCCGGTATTTGGGTAGTCACGGATAATATTTTTCCTCGCAATCCGCGTCTGGGTTAAATATCAGGTTGCACTGAAAGGAGTGTTCAAACAGAAGTGAAGAGATATCGAATGGTAGAGTTACAACAAGGCCAACGAACGGATAGATCGATTACAAACAATTGAGACATTGATGCAGACGTTCTTGAAAGGCCGCGCAAAAGCAATATATCATGGCGTTATACATCGAACCAAACAGACTGACAGGGGCAGACCATATCGCAGTGAAGCCAGTCGGGTCCTTGGGAGCCAAGCTTCCCGTTATGAAGCTAGAACTTAGTCTTCGACGAAGACTGATGCTCTTACCTGAGATGGCTAGGCTGTGCCAGAGGAATGGATTTCATCCTCCGATGTCCCCCATCTCGCACGGTCCAGACCAACGTCTACATTGAATGAATCGTGAATTGCCGACTGTAACCAACACGACAGCCAGACATCTACAGTCGGATTCGCAAACCCTTGTGTTCCGGCTGTCGACAAAGCAATGCTCCTGCGTGGGTAAACCAATGGCAACGTGGTGGCTGCTAGCACGATGTGTGATCAATCATTCTTCAGATGGATTGTGATAGCTTCTACAGGAAGCTAGAGGGAAAGGGGCAGTTGGTTCTTCAAGTGGTCCAAACCGTCCAATACCGACACCGGCGGGATTTATGTGGGTGCGATTGGCGGAGGGCTAAAGATGGTAGGACAGAAACGACGAAGCGCGATAAGAATGACAGCTAGTCAACTGACTCGCCGTGAAGTATCTTCGATGTGAATAGATTGAGAGGATGATATGATTTGATATCTGACATGAGATGGAAGGAGAGGAGAATAAAGATGGTGAGGACAGTAGAGACGCTAATCTTCGTGTAGCTTAGCGTACGCCTGCTTACTAAACAGCCTTTGAATTGTTCGGTTTCAAGCTGAGAAGTCTCGGCCATCATGTTCACTATTCGCAAATCGCCCCTAACTTAACATGCACCGGGCAGGATACGCACTCAACGATGCTACAGACCTTGGCATCACACAGTTACTAGCGGCCAGTTGCACCACCATCAGCCCGATCATATCAGGCATCCCACGATATACAAGGCTTCCAATAGCTGATTACACGTCTTGCATTGAACTAGCTGTTCACCCTCATTATAAATGGAGCCGATATTGCATATTGATGCTGAAGATGGTCCAGGATTGAGGTCATGTTTTCAAGAAAAAAGCAGTTCTAGGTGTTGGGGTGTGATCAGTCGAAGTAGGCTGGGTTGACCAGTCCCAACCGTCGACAAGTCAAATGTCTCAGCGCTCAAATTATTGTCAGCAATTGACTTGGCCCATGACTGAATTAGAATTGAATTCTTCAAGCGCTGCAAAGTAAAGACTGTAGTGAGTGCCGAGTCTGCGACAAGTTAACAGAAATGACGAAATGCCGCCGCGTAAATGTAAGAACTCCACCGCATCCACCCCGAACTCCGCGCTCGCATCAACATACACAACAGTCACAACTCAACAACACATCCCAACAACCTCCCAGTCACTTTAACTACACACAATTGCAAAATGTTTGCCGCCCGCCGCTTCACAGCTGCCGTGCCTCGCACCCTCGGCACCCAGTCTGCCCTCTTCCACGCGACTCGCCCAGCCTTTGTCAAAGTCGGCGATGCCATTCCCAATGTCGACCTGGTCGAAGACTCGCCCGGCAACAAGGTCAACATCGCCAAAGAATTGACCGGCAAGGGTGTGATTGTCGGTGTTCCAGCTGCTTTTAGTGCGATCTCTTTTCCAATTGCCATGCGCAATGGAGCTTCCAACTGACAACGCAATTGAATAGGCCCCGCTTGCTCTAGCACACACGTCCCCGGCTACATCAACCATCCCGCCCTCAAAAACGCTGGAAAGGTCTTTGTCGTTTCCGTCAATGACCCTTTTGTCATGAAGGCATGGGGCGCAACTCTTGATCCTACTGGCAAGAGTGGTGTACGTCTACGAACCCTTAAACAGAATATCACTCTTCCCCTACTGACATACAAAAGGTTCGCTTCTTGGCAGATCCCGCTAGTACCTTCACCGATGCCTTGGAGCTCGGATTTGACAGTGCTGCCATCTTCGGAAACCAGCGAAGCAAGCGTTACGCCTTGGTGGTTGAGGACGGCAAGGTCAAGGAAGCTCACGTTGAGCCGGATAACACGGGCGTTGACGGTTTGTCTCCCAACTCTCGAGTAGGTCTATGTGCTTAGCTGACGAATTGATAGTCTCCGCTGCCGAAAAGGTTCTTGCTTAAACAGCCTGTACAAGCCATCTGATCCAATTTGCAGAACAATGAACCTTGTTACCTACTTATTGAGAGGTGTATGAATACCGAAAGCGAAGATAAAATTTATATATCAATGTCATGCCAAGAATAAAGTACATGTAACCACACAAACAGGCCGGCTGTTTACCACCCATGTATCAATTATCTGATGTGCCAGGGTTTTCCAATTCAAGCACGCTCATCCTGCAACTTCTGCCATTGCTCTGGGGTATAACACTTTGGCGTCCACGCATGGATAGCGGCAATTTCATCCTTGAGGACCGAGTTGACTAGTCGGTGGCGCGCAAGCATATTTTTTTTATCGAAATGGGGAGATACGATGATTGCCTGGAAGGCTTGACCGCAGCCACCTGAATATCGCAGATAAAGTTAGCTTCTAAATAAGTCCCGTAGATGTTGCGTGGAAGTCATACCGGACATGTCCTCAATCTCGACAAATTCCGCATCCAATTGATTCGATAGCTTCTCCTTCAATCCATCAGCTGTAACGCCGGATGTGCTCGCTGAATCGGCCATGGCTGGATTTGCGACTGCGAAGGATCTGTAAGATAGACTCGAGAAGGGCGATACAGTTCTTGATACTGGCGTAATTGGACTGCTGACAAACGAAGGCCGGGCGGTTGAACGGACGAGGAGGGAGCGATATCCTCTGCTCAGGATCGCGCGGCGGACGAACATGAATGTCTGTATCAATGATTTGCAGGTGGTGTTGGGTGGAAAGTCAAGAAAAGTGGTGATGATGGATTAATAATTCGTGGACGAGAGATTGAATTTCTTTTCCGCCGATGACGCCGGAGTTGGTCTTGCCGCAGCTAACCCCACACTTTAGTTTTAACTCCTCATAGCTACCTACGTCTTCTTGCCTTTTTTCCCATTTAGCTATTGCTTGTCTCTCATTTTTTACGATTCATTGATGCAGAACTCCATACGCACAATTCTCTTCAACTCCGTCCGACCTCGCTGGTACTCGACAATGGCCCAAACAACAGCAATCTCGCCTTTCTCACAGGCTGTTGTCAACGCCATGCGGAAGCTGTATGTTTTCTACAAACACCCCTTTGGGATCAATTCTAACTCATCGAAGCTACCCAGAATCTTTGGCAGATAAAAGCTTCGACAATACTGGCCGTAAGATTCCGGCACTCTTTCATAATGAGCTTTACTGACGAGCTACAACAGTACTCCTCGAATCACCCTACAACCCCAACTCCCAACTCAAAAACACAGTCCTCCTCACAACCGATCTCACCAAAGCCGTCGCCGACGAAGCCATTGCTCGCCGAGACTCGATAATTGTTACCTATCGTGAGTGCCTACCTCCTACCAACTGAGCCTATACTCATACCAGGCAGACCCCATAATCTTCCGCGGCCTCAAATCCCTCACCCTCCAAGACCCGCAACAAAAATCACTTCTACGCCTCGCCCAAGAAGGTATCAGCGTGTACTCTCCGCATACAGCTGTTGACGCCGTCCCAGGCGGTATGGCGGATTGGCTTTGCGATATCGTCAGCGGTAAATTCGTCAATTCCTCCTCCGCAACTACCACCGCTGGTACAAAAAAGTCTGGGAAAGAGGTGTATTCGGATGTTATATACCCCCAACCAACGGGCAACGCAACAACTCCATCCGTCGACGCACATACCCGTGAACCAGTCCACCCCTCTCCAGCCCCGGTGCCGACTGGCTTCGAAGGCGCGGGCGCTGGCCGGACTTTGACATTCGCAACACCTCAATCTCTGGCAACAATAATCGAGCGTATAGGGGCTGCAACAGGTTTACCCGGGTCAGTATCAGTCGCCATCCCTCAGGGTCAATCTATATCATCCATAACCATACGCACGGTAGGCGTATGTCCCGGTTCAGGGGGTGGCGTGCTCATGAAGGGCGACCAACTACCAGATTTACTCTTTACTGGAGAATTGAGTCATCATGAAGCTCTAGCGGCGATTGAGCGGGGCTCGGCGGTCGTGGCGCTGTTCCATTCGAATAGCGAGCGCGGCTACTTGTGGGATGTCATGAGACAGAAACTAGAGGATGGGATTGTGCAGGAGTTGGGGGCGGCTGCTGCTACTGAACAGAAAGGAGGGTTGGTGGCGGTTAGCAAAGCGGATCGTGATCCGTTTGGGGTCGTTGTGCGAAAGTAGATGTATTCTCTATATACATATATATACGTGGAAATTCTATATGGCAGAAATCAACTCAAAAGAACACGGATCTCGCCTACGGTCCTGGGGAACAATGCCCGGAGACTGTACTTCCCTTCACTCTCATCACCTCCAAGATGCTGCCCGCCCCTGACAGAAACAGAGACGATATCACTCTCCATCTCAATCCTGGACATATCAATCTTCGTGCCTCTAGCCTCATCAGCACCGATAATCATGCCCTCCACAAACTCAAAATCGCGACAGAATTCTTCAATGGCCTCTTCCGTCACGCTCTTGACAAGTGCCGAGCTGCGGATCTGTTTAAGATTGTCGGTTGCGTCCATTAGTGCTGATGGCAAAAAGTCGTCGAGTTGTTGGCTTATCATTGACAAAGTTGGGGGTTGGAAGGCTGGTAGGTCGGCAATTTCGGCGAGGTTAAGGTTGGGGTTGTGTGCGTTGGAGGATTCGGCTTGGTTTTTGTTTGTGGACGTTGATGATGGGGAAAAGGATTCTAGTGCGGTCAGGAGTTGTTGGAGGCCGGATGTTTCGAGGAGGTATTGACGTTGTATGTCTAGCAATTCGATGCGAAGATTTGACAGAACAGTAGAAATCGGTGCAAGATGTGTGGCGCAGGCGAATATGAATGGCGATATAGTGCTTCGAACAGCAAGCAGGATGTTGGCCTTGTAGATTGTTGACGCTTTATGATCGTCTACTTCTTGTGCGGAGTTCTTTGCGATATCAAGGAATGGATCCAACGCAACTCGTAGCACAGGGGTGAATCCATTCTCTTCGGCATCTTCTACATCGCTTGCTGCGCCAACAGAGGCGTTGTATTCTTTCATCAATGATGTTAAAACTTCCAATTGATCGACGAGAAATTGAGGAGGCGACAAGTCATCCGGTGGAGACGATGAGTGGGCGTCCGCAGAATGCATGTGTAGTTGGTCTTTCATCAATCCCTCGAAATGCTTGAACGTGAATTCGACAAGACCAGCGATCACTTCTACAAGGCTTGATTCCGGACCAACCAACTTTGAGAATGTGAGTTTATAGAACGCCAGCAGATTGACGACTCGGTAGGTGGTCACGGCATCATCATGACCTTGAATCACCAGCTCAACTCTCTGTCGCAAGGATCGCGACACGCCAGTTAGATCACGATTGACCAGATCATTCAGCGCCTTCTGTCCATCGAACACAGGCGCTTCCTCCCCTTCTCCGTCAACGCGAGACCAGGGCTCACTGCTAATACCAGCCTGAAATCCGCGCGCAAGCTCCTCTCCTTCATAAACAAACAGTGCTTCAAGGGCTTCTCTTTCCGATACAGCAGCAGAATGCACCCAAGCCAACATATCGCCCACATATCGCAAAGGATCATGGGCCGAGAATTCAATCGGCTTGACGTTTCGTTCCCCAACGGCTCCAGAAGCCGCATCAGTCAGTGCGTAATGGAAGGCATCGGACAAGATATATTCCCGAGCTTCGGCGAAAAAGTCCAGACAACTATGGAACAGACTCGGCCGTTCTGCGAGCACTCTCAGCGCCAGCCTGATCGAGACGTTGATTTGAGGATCTTCCAGACTCAATGACTTGAATTCCTTTTGAATCCATTTGTACAATTTCTGATAGGCCATGTTGAGTTGTTTCGAGCTTTGTTCCATGATTTCAAGGCCGAGTCTTTGGTTCTCACCGCCGAGTAGGACCTGGCAGTCATTGTGTACCTGCTTGACGCGGGACAAGACCGCGAAGAAGTGGTTGTCGACTGGTTCTTCGTATAGCGTTAGAGCATTGATGTCTTCCTCTGGGACGATGAAGTGTGCCGTGAATGCGTCTAGCAGGCGTTGTTTTGTCTCTGCCTCTTTTTTCTGTTCTAGTAAGGATGACGCTTCGTCTAGCACGGGGGCGGTATCTTGCTTCGCGAGTGTAATATGTTTTCGCATTTCCGCACACGTTTGCTGGAGATTCGATATTACCGTACCGATACGATTCAGTTGCTACCAACATGAGTCAGTATCTCAACGATGCCAACAGAGTAGAAGGAGGACTGTACCTCTGCCACCTTCCCAAAATCCGCCACAATCTCTCCATTACAGTCCAAAACTTCCTTTTGAATATCCAACCTAAGCTGCCGCCTTCTCTCTGCCGTATTTTTTATTCCCCTCTTGTCGAGCGTCTCCAATGCATCGCGAATGTCCGAGTCGGCGTACGATGCGGAAAGTACACTTGTCAATCTGTTGGAAAGCGCAGTGGAGCGGGGAGCGACATTCGCGCCGCCGGGGGGAGATATTGCATTTGATGCATCGGCGAAGTGATTTGAATTAGCGAAATAACTGGTCATTGTGGATATGCCAGCCATTGGCGGGGRTGAGKGTTATGGTGTGAGATTTGATGTTTGTGCGGAGAAGGAGAAACAATGTCCCCGCAGTTGACAGTTTTCCGTACCGTACTATGGAGTAGTAGTACGACCGTATTGATCAACACCTGTCACCACGCTATCTGGGAAAGCACCGCAAACTGCCCGAGAAACCTTTTATTTAAGGGAATCTTCTGTTCGATAAGGCAATGCTTTTTTGCGACATATCTTAAGTAGCACGTGATATCAGAGGTGTGACTCACGTGACGTGTAATTTGTTGATTTTGGAGCTCTCCAAACAATTGACTGGATTTCTACTTAATTACGATGGACTCTTTGATATCTCCCACTAAAGCTCGGCAAGCAGCTATCCAAGCCAAAGATTGGGCTTACGTCAACTCATGGCTCAATCGCAAATACGCCCCTCATCCAGTGCCTGCCTTTGAGCGCAACGAGGATACCCTCAGGACACTCCTCGCGATTGCTGCTGCCAACGACGCAGCAGATGAAGAGTCATCGCTACTTCACCGGGCGCGCGAAGAGGTAGTCCGCGCTTTGAAAGAGCGCGAGAAGGTCGAGGATGCTCGAAAACGGGATATACTGGAAGAAATAGAGGCGCGACTTGATTCTCAAGGCGAAGAAAGCTTGAACGATTTGGCGGAAACTGTGGTGTTGTTAGGAGATGACTCGACAGATATTACGGAGTTAGCACATGCTTTTATTGAGCTTACGCGAGACGAGTTTGAGCTTGCGAATCAGGCCCAGCTTGTGCAGGAATTGCAACGATACCTAGACAAAGAGATAGTTCTGGTGCAGGAAGAGATTGAAACGCTCAAATCGCATGCTGCGTATAAAACGCCGTCTGATTTGACTACGCAGACAGTCGAGTGGACTCGCAGCGCAAAACTGCTCGGTGCCAAAATTGCTGAGTATCGAGATAAAATCACTTCGTTGCAAAGAAATATCGGCATTGACGGACCAACAATTGAAACTGTATCAGAGGAGGAACGCAATGTGGTGCAGCTGAAAGAGATGGTAAAGCAACTCGAGAGTAAGATCAAAGGTTATCGAGATTTACCACCTCACTTGGAAGATGCGAAGAACGAGTACAAGCGCTTGGAGAAACAGCTCGGTCGACTGACACAAGAACGAGATGCATTGTTCGACCATGCTCTTGCACAAAAATAAAAGCTTACTACTACGATGAAAGTAGAGATTTTTCTTCAAAATGATATTTGGTATTGAATTGCTAGCTATCACATTTGGTATCGTTTATAATACACCATAACGAACCGAAAAGGCATCACATCGAATCGTGAAAGTCGTGAAATTAAAGCTCCTCCCGCAGTATGCCGGTTGGACTGGCTGTGATGGAAGATGAGGTATGAATCATCTAGTTGTTCAAGCCAAGGGTGTCCTTGATCTTGTCACCACTGTCGTGAATAGTTAGTCATTGGTCATAACCCCCCGATTTTGATGATGCTTACATAGAGTTGGAGGCACCGCCGTGGGCAGTGTTGTCGTGGCTGCGCTGGGTCTTGTCGAAAGCTTCCTGGGTGCCAGACTTGCTGTCATCGGGCTGAACACCGCGGGCAAGGCGGTCGGTGGTATCGGTGACGGTCTCCTTGACCTTCTGCTGGGTGGACTTGGAGGAGTCAGGAGTCAATTCCTCCTTGGCCTCTGTGTTGTTGTTGTTAGTGACTGATCCTTGCGACCAAGACTGATAAGAGTCAAAAGGACATACTGGTGGAGAAATCCTTGCGACCGGCGTCAGACATGTTGGCTGATTGATTGTTTGAGTTTAAAAAACTTAAAAGATTTGAAGTGTTGAAAAGATGAGGAAGTTTGTTGTTGTGATGTGATGATGGAAGAATGAGGAAAGGGATTGACAGGAGAAGATGCCTCCTTATATAGCCCAATCTGTCACCCCTCCTCCCCAACAAGATTGTCCCGCTCTCTCTTTCATGTGCTAGTGACGTATGTCGCACATGAAGCATCTCTCATCGTCATGCACTGCTGCAACAACTGACATCTCGAATCCAGTGGCCAATCAGCGTCGCTGCTGTCTTTGCCTGCCTAGGCTGGAACCGGCTTTCTGTCTCATTTGGCCCGATTCGGCCTAGTGTAACCCCCCGGAGACGGTCGAATTCTTGGAAAGCGAACCCCCCTGGTTTGTATACATGACGTAGCAATGACAAGATCGGGTTCGTTTGTGCTGCAAGTCACGAGATCAGATCAATTGTGGCTTGAAAACGTCATCCGCAGTCGTTGACGCCAGGATCTGAGATATGACATAATGGTGAGGCAAACCTTAAACAAAATGTGGCTTGGCTGTGGGGTCGTATAATCACGTGATCAGGTGCACGGAATATCGATCGACCGACCCGTGCCTCGGCAGATCTAGTTTGACATGTTTGCACCAAAGTCACGTGTCGATAGCCAGGTCGGTCTTGGCGCCCTGCTTCGCCACCCATCGGGCAGAGTGCGACGAGTGACTCAACAACAATTATCTATAGACTAGACGTCCTCTAGACTTGCAAACTGAAGTTTTTATTATGATGCTATTCAGCAACTCGCAGTCATTGCACATATTGTGACACACATTTCTCGCATTATCGCATACAGCTCTCATCGCATCCAGCGACATGAGCCTCCGCAGCTATCATAGCTCACACACCTAACACTTACTTAACGTACTTGCGCTACATAACGCACGCCATATCTCGAATACATATTACTACAACGCACCGTCACGTCCATGCAATCGACGTATGAATCCTCAACCTGGGACTTCACCGCGGTGATTGATCTCTTGCATGCCCCAACCAGACCTGCTTCATTAAACGGATCTTCGGTACCCACGCCCTCTGTTATACCAGATGTCTCGCAGCACAACCCCGGAGAGCAAGGACTCGGTGATTTTACTGCACTATGGGATTTCTTGCATCCGTCTTCTGTAACCGCTGAGTCTCCTAGCAAAGATGCTCCGATCACGCCGTCTAGGAAACAATCAAGGGATAAGAGCCGTCTTTCCCCGTCTAGGCCAATATCGATTCTGAAACGAACTACCAAGACTATCACTCAAAATAACACCAATTCATCTGGCGGTATATCGGATTCTACAGCCGAGTCTGACGGCGACCTCAGCGTGTTCGACTCCGCTGTGCCGTCGCAGCCAGCCTTGTCATTTGTCCCATCTCAGGTCTCTCGCACCGATAAAGCCCAATTGCTTACGCCACCCTCCTCTTGCGAAGAGGACAGTGCATTGTCAGCCTATACACCGAAAGCTAAAAAGCCCACTAAAGTCACTTCTCGCTATAAATCTGCGGTAGAACGCAAAGCCGGGCTTGTGTCCAAGCTCAGCAAACAATTTCTGGACTTCACTATCAAACCGTCGGCTGTCTCTGAGACTTCGAAGCTATCTGTTCACGTTTTTGTTGATGCATCGAATATATCCATTGGTCTCCATGATAGTTACAAAATACAACATGGCATCCCTGTCACCACGCACATAAAACGACTACCACTATCATTCCACAATTTTTCTCTTATCCTTGAACGCGGTCGGCCTGTAGCCAAAAGAGTGCTGGCAGGATCAGACCGTTTCGCAGCTATTAACGAAGCCGAAAAACTAGGCTATGAGGTTAACATCCTCAGCCGTGTTCACAAAGCAAAAGAATACACCCCTCGACAGCTCAAGTTTCGCAATGCCCTCGGCCCGGGAGGAAGCTCTGAAATGGGCTCTTCTCCTTCTGAGCGATGGGTTGAACAGTGTGTGGACGAAATTCTACACCTGAAAATGCTGGAAAGTCTGATTGATACAGACGAACCAGCAACCATCGTCCTTGCCACTGGAGACGCGGCGGAAGCTGAGTATTCAGGCGGCTTTTTGAGAATGGTCGAACGGGCATTGCAGAAAGGTTGGAGTGTCGAGGTGGTTAGTTTTGCTATGAATACTAGCTTTGCTTATAAGCGGAAGGAATTCCGTGCGAAGTGGGGTGATCGATTTCGAATGATCAATCTGGAGGATTATGTTGAGGAGATGCTTGATATGTAGCTAGTCGATACTAAAACACGAGCGACAAGATTCGTGATTTATACGTATACTCATAAATTTATTGCATATTTAATTTGACCACACAACCTACATATATTAGAACGGACATTCCCATCCGTACAAATCCCTCATGTGGTCTTGATTCTTTGAGTCTTTCTGCGTGTTGGATGCTCAGCCAGCCACTTCATCTGTTTCCGATTGGGTACAAAGCTACGATGTTCAGCTAGCCCCGTCCAGAAGAGTAGAATGATCTGTTTCCATTGGTGTATGGTAGTAAAAGGTATCAGATACCACGAACTCTGTCACGATAGACAGCAAATATCTGGCGGTAAGCCATGGAAAGAAACCTATAAATCCACGCTCGATCCCAGTGCGCCCATGGAAGAAGTTTTCAGGATCTAATCGCATCCATCTCATACCACACTTCCTCCTATAGATAGGCCCAATTAAGAAATTCGATCAGCCATAATGCCTTTTGCCGAGTATGTCAATTATTCTTCTTGATAGCCACCAGGTATGTAGATGTTCTAACCTGCAGACCATAGAGGAACCTCAGTCACAGTTCCCACTGAAAACGGAGGACAGATCGGAACCGTCAGGGGCTTTGAGGTAAGAATTGCAAGGAATCATTTGGATCAAGACATAGTTACTGACCTAGAGATTAATCAGAACGGAAAATATCGCGTTGAGGTTGATAACAAAATCGTTGAAGCCGACGAGAATGACGTGCAGGAGTTTGTGATTCAGATGATGAATAAGAGGAGGATAGTGATGCCTAATGTTGGCAAGTAGCCACTAAGTACAATCATCCATGTACAAATCAATCTTCTAGCGATCAACTAAAATATCGAGCACTTGGTTACATAGAAGTAAGAATAAGGCTGTAAATCTACAGCCCTGGTTTTGACTCATAACCCTGAGTGGAGATCTCCGCACCCCGCAGTTCAATCTCTTTTGCTGAGCTTCTCCCGATGACATCGACAAGTATCTTGTTTTTCCAAAAACTCAGCATTGATATGAAGCGCCTGGTCACATTTACATAGACTATACTTGAACGAATGAACCCCCGGCAGCCGTAGTATTGACACGCGCAACCCATCCTCGGCCATAATGCGACGGACTTAACCCGCACCGCAAGACGAGAATACAAGAAAAGTTGGGCGCGGAAAGCAACGGAGGAGAGCGAGCAACGAGGGAAGAGAAGATGGAGAACAACATATCATCCAGGCCACAGTTGCCTCCGGTCTTCCTCCTCAAAACGCCCTCGTCTCCGCGGGATTTATACGAGGAGTACTTTTTCAAAAACGCCTTTGCCTTTCGGTCGAGACAACAATCGAACCCGCCGACTGATACGACTGATGCGCATGACTCTGAACATATCAAGTATGATCCGGTCTTCGTGCCGGTATTTTCGCATAGTTTCCATACACAGAATTTAGATATTGTGAAGTCCTATTTCATGCCCACGACGACGGAAAACGATCGCATCAACGGGAAGGAGGCATCTTTGCGCAATGCGTTCAGCGGAAGAGGGGGAATATATGGTGGGCTTATATTTACGAGTCAGAGGGCTGTGGAGGCACTGGGGCATATTTTGGAGCATGGGGGTATTCCAGGTACGTTCACCATCGTCTCGTCACAGATCGAACTGATACTAACCGGCTGCCTCACAGCTGAGATAATGTCCTCCACCTCAGAAGACCTGATTCTGTACACCGTCGGTCCTGCGACAACACGCACCCTGACGCCACTCCGCGACAAATTCTTACCCTTCGCAACGATATACGGTGACGAAGCCGGCACTGGCGAAAACCTAGCACATTTGATTCTCAAACACTATAACAAACTCTACCCATCAACAGCAGAAGACGGCAACCAAAAACCCGGATTGTTATTCCTAGTTGGCGAACAGAGACGAGACATCATACCCCGAACGCTCATGAGCAGCACCTTGGATGAGAACCAGCGCATAAACATTGACGAATTGGTCGTTTACGAAACGACTCAAATGGAAGGATTTGAGCCTGCGTTCCAAGATGTCGTTCGAAAGGCGGAGGAATCGTTGAATGATGAGCGGACCCCGCTGTGGACAGTTATTTTCTCACCGACGGGCTGTGATGCTGTCCTCAGGACGTTGAATATTCTCGACGAGAATAACAAATCCACAGGAATTGATCCGTCAAAGAGGAAATGCCGAGTGATCACAATTGGGCCCACGACGAGAGACTATCTCATCACGAAATATGGATTTGAGCCTGATGTTGTTGCTCGAAAACCGACGCCAGAGGGCATTGGGGAAGGGATTAAGGAGTATCTCTTGGCGATGAAGGTGTAGTATACTGCAAGTATTTTTGCAGGCGAGGAAAGACCTGGCCACTAGATGTTTTGGGACATCAATGCTGCTGTACATACACTTCCCATACTGCATGCGACATCTAGCAAAGTGTATATCCTACGCTATATCCATTTTCAAAATTGACATCATAACCAAAAGCAAACCATCTTTCTCGATTTTGGTCGTCGGTTATTTTATATCTATAAAAGTCACAAGATATTCTCGGTGTCATTCAATCAAGAGAGAAACTTTATAGGCCAAGAAATCTATGACTGTATGACCTCAAACCAATCCAAGCTGAAGCCAGTCTCAACGAGAATCAGTTGATATCCCGACTGTTTCAAACACAGCGGAGTTATGTTATTCTGTGATTCTGTGATCATCAGGTTCTAGGTACAGTCTCAAGTGGCAAAATTATTGATTATGTTGGAAATGGAGCCACAGAGTCATATTTTGCTCAGCGCATCGCCTCTTCTTTATGATATGTGACACTGTCAGTATGGAGCAGAACGTCAGGGATGACCTGGAATGGCTCAAGTCAGCACTGTTGATACATAGAGAGTTGGCTGAGAAGGCCAGGGGGTTCGTGTATAATGACAAAACTGGAAAGGTTCATGAAGTCTAGTATCTCGTTCATATATCATACCTAGTAGAAATACATCAATGAGATGTCTTGCATAAGTACATAGCTGGCCCATATTAAAACAGCCAACTAACGATGTAGGATCTCCTCCAAACTATGCTCAGGCTTATCAATTCTATACAACACCTTGGCCGTATTGAAATATCCCTCATACTCAATCTCCTCCTCATCGTCAAGATCATAGTGATAATGCCCACCTGTATTCTCGCCCACCGTCGAGAACGCATGTGTATGCTCCATCCGCAAACCCAAATTTTTCTTGGGATCAGCAGAATGCAGCACCGTCATACAAGTCATCGGCGCCCTGAAGTCGTGATATGTCAACCAGTTATTGAACTGCTCGCGATCTTCGAATGGCAGTCCTTCCTCTGGTGGGAAATCAGGCATAATATGATATCGCGCTTTTCCAGATTTGATAGCAAACACACCACCTAGACTGATAATCTGAGAATCACCATAGATATCTCGAAGCGCCTTGCGAATGCACTCCGTGAAACTCCCCTCTTCTCCAATACGCTTGCGAGCAGTAATCCTCAACACATCCCCCGATTCACCCCTAGACGCGAAAACATTCCCCATCAACCCAAACGACCATTTGTGCTGATCCGTGTTCTGCACAAGTACGCCCTTCGTCTCAGGATCGATCTTGACGTAGCGCCCATTGTTACTCGTCAAAAAGGACATATTCGTCGCGTACCGCATACCGAAATTGATAACCATCTCGCAATTCTGACCCACGAGATCATACGCTCCGGCGCCAGCACCGAGGAACGTCACTGCAGGTGGCGGATACGGCCCATCGTCTACAACCATCTCCATCTCTCTTGCGATTTGATGCAGCTGATACGTCTTGTCCATCATCGGTCGCGGATAGAGGTGTGTCTGTCCGCCGACATCAGCGACTTTCTCATCGCCCGAAAGACCCTCGTGCGCGAGTAGGAAGGGCGACTCGCGGAGGTTCGGGCATGACACCACTGATACAGAAGAATGCTCATAGTTGGCGCTGAGGGGCGCTTGAAGCGTTTCGGCTAGCTCTGAGAGGGGTGGAGGGGAAAGTGTGATTTTTTGTGTTCTATTCATTTTGGTCGATGAGCTTGGGGTTCAAAGGTTGGACGTGGTGAGTGTGGCTATCGCTTCGATAGTCCAAAATTGCATTGATATTTGTATGAGCACCTGGACGATTTACTAACTCAGTGACTACTTGGAGCGGAGAAATACCCGATGGCATGCCCTAACCCTGACCGCATAGATCTTGACTGAACAGTAGGCATTATTGACATTATGATGTGGCTCACGATGTTCATCTGAAATAAGAATTCATCTTCCTCAACTAGATACAAAAGGGATACAGATCATATGAACTCCCTTCCCAAACAGCAACAAAAAAAGAGGAGATGATAATCTTTCTACCGCATGATTTCTTCGTAAATGAGGACTGCGATAGATGAGTTAATGATTGTTTATTTCAAGCACAAAGGATAAGGACTTACGTTTCAGTTGTTCTTTGCTGAGTGCATCTTTGTTCTTGTCAAAATCAAAGAACTCTTCTGGAATAGGATCCGCAGTGGGCTCATCATCAGGGTCGTGGTATGGCTCAAGGTACGGATGGCGCAAAGCTTCTTCGACCGTGATACGCTTGGCAGGGTTAAAAGCCAATAGTTTCTCTAGAAGATCGAGTGCGAGGTCGTTTGTTTTCGGGAAAAGATGTTTGAAAGGGATCTTCTTTTTGAATGGGAGAGAGCGAATGTATTCACGAGCACGGCGGGATTTGATTCCGTAGTAATCTTCCATGGTTGGTGTGCCGAGAACATCGAGAATCAGAGTGAGTTGGTGGTGGTAATCCTTTCCAGGGAATAAGGGTTTCCCACTGAGCATTTCTGCCAGAATACAGCCCACACTCCATACATCGATCGCCTTGGTGTACTCTTTGAAGGTCAACATGATCTCCGGAGCACGGTACCAACGAGTCGCAACGTATTCAGTCATGAAACCAGAGTTGTCATCAGTGGAAGCTGCCGAACGAGCTAAACCGAAGTCGCAAACTTTCAAGTCGCAGTTGGCGTTGAGAAGAAGATTAGAAGGTTTCAAGTCTCGGTGCAAGACATTGGCTGAGTGCATGGCTTTCAATGCGCGAAGTGTCTGGTAAATGAAATATTGGCAGTGGTCATCGGATAAGTCTTGTGTGCGAATAACTCGGTGCATATCAGTTTCCATCAGTTCCTATCGTCGTTAGCTATTATCGAGCAGAGATAAGCGAAACGCATACTTGAATAAGATAGACCTCGGTAAAGCTATCGTAATTACGAGGTCTCTGAATATCGAGGATCGAAATGATGTTCTCGTGGTTGAAATATCTCAACAATTTCATCTCTCGCAGAGTTCGAAGACAGAACATGGAGTGGTCGAACGGGGTGATTTTTTTGATTGCGACTTTCTGGCCAGACGGTTTGTGCAGCGCAGAGCTGTATAGAATTAGCTCGGCCCTTGATTACAAGGCGGTACTCCTACCAAACAACACCATAAGCTCCCTCTCCAATCACATCCTGAATATCATACTGATCCGACACATTGAACGAGATCTTTCTCGACCCTCCATGGGTGGTATTCTGAGCCTGAGCCATGGCGGCTCTGTAGTTATCGGTGTGATGAGCTTGAGAACGGGTGGTCAAAGTAGTTGCAGTTGGGGAATATATATATATATATAAGATCGGGGAACTGAGACAAACAGGAAGGGTTAGTTTAATATATATGAATCGGATCCAACAATGGGGACCTCATTGACGTTCAATGAAGCAGGCGGAGGTGTCAAAAGTGGAGTGGATGGCTGGTCGCAAATCAAGACAATATAACAGCCTCGATTGATTGACTGCTCAATACAGATTGCAAACGATCCTTTGTTTGTGCAAATGGGCAAACGTGCAAACGCTCAGAGCGGAGGCTGGGTATGAACCGAACCTCTTTATCTGATGACGGTGCTCGTATTTACTCGTACCAAAATCCAAACTTTCCACTCTCTTAACACTGTTTCAACGCTTATCGTGATGTTTATATTTGCGCTTCGTCAACGGTCATATAGCGAGAAAAGCGACGATGCGCTCTGAAGTAATCGCACGGAGGAAGTGTGAGGGGCTGTGTCACAGAAGCACCGTCAGCACATTGCTCGACTACAGCAGATTTCAAGCGGATGACGACTCGGTCATGAATATCAAGTCATCATTCTGATTATCTTGATCCAAAGATTGGGAGCGATCCGAAATACTTACTGAACGATCTCCTCGGCTGAGTTCTCGCAGGTAAACAGATGCGACAGCAAACAAACCGCAGTCCCGCACGAACTTCTTCTCCTAGAGATTCCGGAATAACGAGAAATTCCAGGCCGACGTCTCAACTCTCAGCTAGCAGTTTGACAAGAGCTAGTTGTCAGAGATTGTATCAGGTGCAAGCGGTTTATTTAACAGAGTTCCTCTTTGCGAAACGAAGCAGGAGGTATAAGGTGGGGCAATCACACAGGCTAACAGGAGGGGAACTCCTCTTCAGCAGTACATACGGAGTACGGTGACAAAACGGATCGCCTGGTTTCAACCTACGTCCAGTCTCGGGCCTGTATGAGACGCGCCCTAGAAGCCAATCTGCAGCTAAGCATTGTCAACTGACAGGAACGAGTGTGAGACAAAGGATGAAGCTGATTCTACGTGCTACAGTACAGTAAGGAACAGGTAATCAGTCAACACACGTATTCGTAATACCATGATTACGCACGGCTGCTGTATTACATTGTCTGGTTCAATACTTCAATTCGTCGATCCGGGAGGCTTGGCTCGTATCAGAGTGCGCGTTTCACCCTGAGACGGGGTAGTAGTTTGGCCAGTCAGATGGCAGAACAGCTCAATTTCAGTGACTGTGTGCCATGATCCTTTCTAATGAGAAATAATATGTAAGTTAACTGAAGAATTCTCTATAATATCCAATATACCTTCCAAAACGAAATACAGAAATTATACAAAATACAAAAATACGATAGTCATGGAGCATCCATTTTTGGAACAGCACGTCTCTATCACAGTCGGCCAGCCACTCACAACGCCGAATGAGCCGCGGACTTCCCCACTTTTTGGACATCACCCAGAATACAGAAAATTACCAAACTACGACCGTGATACCAATGGCCTGTCCGATACACTGGATATTTACGTATCACACTGTATCTTACTTATATCTCGACAGAGCTCAGACGTTACAACTCAGATTCTGTTAAAAATGCTTGACGCTACATGATCTAAAGACAATCAACCCACTGTATTATTCGACATATCACTGCACAACCTATCACAAAAATTAGCATCGAGTCAGCGAACAGCACAGGAAGAACATACCTTGTCTCGCAATGATCCCATCCATTGTTGCAGACTGACGCTCTGGTCTGCCCGATCCTCCACCAACATAGTCTGTGCCCAAAGTCGCAAGCCTGGCTCACCGTCCTCCTTGACTACGTACAGCTGAGGAGAGATGATGCTTCCAGCTCCCTTGGCCTTGAAGTCCTTGCTCTTCTGTACAACAGCACGCACTCGCTCATTGAAGTCGTTATCCAGTTCCGGGAGGAACTGCTTGCCAACTCGTAATTGGTTCCTGTCTGCGACTCCAAAGACGTCCAACAGTAACTGAGGCACGGTGTCCCTTCCAACCCAGATGAACTGAGTCTGGCCGTCGTCAATCAAGTAGAGACCATATGGCACCAGGCGCTCCGAGGACAGATTGACCGGAGGCGGGAGAACAATCTCTCCGCTCTGTTCGTTAGGTAGACCAGCGTCGTCTGGCATGTCATGCAAAGAATACATTTTCGGGTAGATATATTGAATCATGAGCGGTAGAGGCAAGGTGGAGAGTAAGCACAGAGCAGCTGATCGCATATCTGTAGGGATCTGCGCCGACTTGCGAAGACCAAGCTATTAATCCAAGTTAGTATCGTCTCAAGCTCATTAAGTGCAAGGGAACTTACGTTCTTGATCAACGCAAGGAACAAGATAGGCAATGCTCGCATATTAGCAGGGAACTGTAAACCACCGCCGCCAACACTGCCGCCCGCAAGCTCCTTACGGTATGTCGACAAGAGCTCCGTCATCTTTGATTGGATAGCCTCACGGGCAGGTTCCAACCCGTTCGAAAGCACCCGCTCGACAGCTTTATGGCTGAAGTAGGTAGTGATGGCCTGCTGGTCAGCCGAGGCATACAAATCGGCCAATGTCTGGGTGGTCGGCAACGCCAATGTCAAGACTCGGATCCTTCTTTCACCATTGCAAGTGGTGTGAAGCACAGCAGTTTGCATGCAGACAACAGGCTTTGTAACCGTCTCGTCGATAGCAACCTCAACAACGTAGGCTTGGTCACGAGGAAATGCTGGGAATGCACAGAGATCCGAGCTGCGGTTGAAAAAGTTGCCGTAGAACGTGCTCATGCGAAGACCAGTGGTAGCACGTACACGCAAGACAGCTTCTAAACCAATCTCAGAAGAAAGATAATCAGAGAATTCCCGAGCAAATTTGATAGCATCTTCTGTGCGGGCTGCATTCCATCCTGGGTAGAAGTAGGTCTGACCTCCCGTGTATCGAGGAAGGTTGCTAAGGGAGGCAACATCCTGATATTGAGAGGAAAACAAGAACATATCAATCGACACCTGAGCTTTCGAGCACTCTACAGCAAAGCTCTTATAGAAGCTGTTTCCAGTCTGCAAAAGGCTGCTTTCTTTGCTTGTACCCAGAATCTTCTTATCCTCTCGCACCGTAAGCGCACCATGACCGATGTTAGGAAGCGACGACGAAAGAACGGTGATCTTTCCGCCGACGTGCGAAATCAGCTTGTAAGCTGCCCGAAGACCAGATCCCAAAGCACATCCACCGTTCTGAGTGTTCTGGAACATCTCTTGGAGCTTATCCAAGAAACTCTCAATGTTCTCGCGGCATTCAGACAAGGTCACGAGCAAATCACCCGGAATGGGCAGGAAAGGCTCGTCAAGGTCACTAACGACAAGCATCTTAGGAGCAGAGTTCTCCGATCCATCGCGAGGAATCGTAAAGTAGTGAAGACTAGAGTCAACAGCCAAGAAACCAAGTCGTGTCCTTCGGTCGGCGTTAGGAATGCGATCCAAGCTCTCTTTAATGCATCGAGCAGCTGTTGCAAGGAGACCATTCGTAACCGATGCATAGCTGACATCAATCAAGAACAAATATACCAAGGGTTGCGGTGGTCGCACCATGTATTCCTGAGGAGCAACGAACTCAACAACGGCGTGATTTAATTCTGGGCGTTGAGAACGGTCTGCCGGTTTTTGCAAAGCTGTGTCCCAATCGAATGACTGAGGGACGTCGTTGGTCAAGTTGCACATGTTACAACGCCAGCGATGGCCCTGGTCCAAAAATGTCACGAAGGGGTTGATGTATGATCGGCATCGTCTGCATCGAGAAATGACTTGGTCTGGAATGACGGGGATGGGATCTTCGGCATCATGAAGAGCCGCATATGGTTGGATGACGAGCGCAAAGGGAAGCTTCGATTTCTTGAGGAGCGAATGGTTCGTCGGGACGGCATTCAAAGTGGAACGCACGTACTTGGGCGGGCAATTCGCGTAAGGAGAAGGATAAATACTTGTCTGTAACCAGGTGTTAGCGATATCATACGAGAGAATGGCAGGAACTCACATTGGGTGGGAGGATGATGGGTGGAGGAGGATAATCGAGCTCCGCAACATTGAAAGGTTGCGTGAGTAAATCGGTCGGATATAGCTGATTCAATGGCACGGCTCGTGGAACTTGCTGGGGAGGTACAGGTTGGGCTTGGGGGTCAGCCACGCCCATTTGACCAAATTGCTGGGTGATTTGAGCAACACCAGCAGTTGCAGGACCAGGGTATCCGGCTACAGGTGGTTGATATCCCCCAACAGCAGGAGGCTGTGGTGCTGCATAACCAGCAGCAGGTTCAGCTCCATATCCAGGTTGCGGATAGCCCACTGATGCGGCCTGTGCAGCATACGCTCCGTAGTCGCCACCAGCTTTTTGCTGTCCTCCAAGGGCAGCATTGGCTCCCGATCCAAGATCAAAGGCCTCTCCAGCATAAGCACGCTTCTTTTTTCCTCCAGCCGGGCCAGGCGCCGGAGGTTGAGCTGGCGCCTGCCCGTAGCCCTCCTGGGGAGGATACCCTCCCTGTGGTGACGCCATTGAAGAGTTGAAAAGGGGTGAGAAGCTCGACTCGGTATGTGTTCTAGTGCGAGGTATTCAATCCGATAATCGGTGAGATCGTAGATTCGAATGTTTCGTAGCTGTCTCCCTGTTCTCAAATCAGCAACCGATCGTGGATCCCACACAAGTTGTGCGGGGAAGATCGAGTCCATCGCACTGAGGACTCAACAAGGACACAATCAACTCACCTCAACAAACAAAATAGAATAAAGAGGACCAGCGGCGACAATTCAAAAAGCTGCCCTATCTGTGTGGATGTGAATGCGAGCAGGAAGCGGCAAGGTCGCAATGATGCTTTTGAGCTGCTTCACTTGGACGGTCTGCAGTTGTTGACTTATTGTACGGTGGCCTTTGCGACTGCGGGAGAGCTCCTCGGCCAATCACAGGAGGGCTAGCCACTCCCGATATTCTGCCGCCTTAACGAGATGACTTCACCTTTCTGCCTATCTCTTTGACATCCTTCCGTGGACAGCTGTCCTCAGCAGATAAGGATGTTGTTAGCAGACTGCAATATAGAGATACTACTCCTGATTGACGGCTGTCTCTCGCCGCGGTCTTAGGACAACTGGAAGCAAGGCCATACAAGGCACCGAAAGCAGTGACACTACATAGGGCCTACCCTTTGACGTCTCCATGACTGTCACCAGCGTATCTCACAATGAAGGCGGTGTCTATTCTTCTACATAGCTTTGCCGAAGCAGTGTGATAGTCCTCTATAGGGAGCATCATATCTCAACTTCTGAAGACCTCGGTAACCATTCAAGCGGTTTAACATGAGAATTACCTGATAGTGCTCTAGCTACAGAACTACCAACAAGTGCCAGCAGGTATCAAAGGTTATAGCATGGAAGTAATAGTGCTTCTAGCCAAGTCCTGAAGTGGTCCTAGTTCTCGTCTAAGGCTGGCTATATAGGATCGAAATTGTTTCGAGAAATTTGCTGATACAATGAAGGCTAGACCTTCAAATTAGCCATTACGGCGGCGTCCTCCTTTGTAGCTCGGTTGATTACATCGTCGTGCTTGTGCTATACCGGTATCTGTCCAGATCGAACAGTATCAGTATCACGAATGTCCGCGGTCCAATATCGCCCAGGGTAGGAAATTGTATTACCTGATATCTTTGATGCATTGATTATTCTTTCCTTTCTCATCAGAAAGAATCATGTCTCAGGCGATTTCAAACGCGGATTGTGGGGGAAATGGCATTTAGAAGTTGTATGTTAAGACTGTAGTGGTCACTTGCTAGTGGATCAGGGACCAGGCGCACATACCTGCCCGTGTTGCCGTAGCAACCTCTAATCCCACTATGGACAAAGGTCGCACCCGACCTGAATTGCTTCATTTGTTCTCCTTGCACGACAACTAACTCAACAGGTTTGACTTGCCCTGTGTTCCTGGCGCCATTTGGTGGTTTGCGCCTTTCTTTTTTTTTTCTGCTGTATTTCTTTTCTCAGTAATTAGGGTCTTTTTGTTTATTCTTTTTCGACTCGTCATTCAATTCGACTCTTCTAGCCTCCGCTACTTGACTCAGCGGATAGGATCTTTTGGCAGCCGAGTGAACACCATGAGTGTCCGTGTTGTTGCCCGTGTGAGGCCTCTGTGGAAGACAGAGCGCGAACTTGATGTGATCGTCCGACCCGGGAACGTGTCGACTGATGCGCTCAAGGTAAAGAAGGACTCCCCTTCAGCCAAGGCTGCTGTTAAAGAACGGGATACTCTTATCAGGATTCCTAATCCCAAAAATGAGGGTGAACAATACACCTTTCAATTCAATGCTGTCTACGGAGGCGAAGCCACACAACAGGAGCTCTTCGAAGCTGAAGGTTAGTGATTGCGTGTTCATTTCAACATGAAGTTGCTCACGATTCCAACTATAGTGGCACCTACTGTCAAGCATCTATTCAACGGGTTTGATGTTACGATTTTTGCATACGGCGTCACTGGAACCGGGAAAACACATACCATGCGAGGAGGTAAAAGTCTTCAAGATCGAGGAGTTATCCCCCGACTCTTGAGCGCAATCTATCGACGGAGCCGGAAGATTGAGAGAGAATCCGAAGGCGCAAGCAAGGTGGAAGTCTTGATGAGCTACTACGAAATATACAATGACAAGGTGTTTGATCTGTTTGAACCTCCAGAAAAGAGGACGCTGGCCGGGCTGCCACTTAGGGACAACCATGGAAAGACTGTGGTTGTTGGCTTGACAGAGCGTCCATGTCCCAGCTTGAAAGACTTTGAAAGTCTCTATGACCAGGCTAATACCAACCGGTCGACGTCCGCGACGAAGGTATGACTCGATGTTTGCTTTATGGGGATTGTGCTAACCCGGCTAGCTCAATGCTCATTCTTCACGATCACATGCTATTCTTTGCGTCAAGCTTGTCGTTACAAATGGGGATAGAACTCGTGTCAGCATAGCATCTGCTATTGATTTAGCTGGTTCGGAAGATAACAGACGAACCGAGAACGGAAAGGAACGCATGGTGGAATCCGCAAGTATCAACAAGAGTCTTTTTGTACTGGCTCAGTGCGTAGAGGCCATCAGTAAGAAGCAGTCTCGTATACCTTATCGAGAGTCGAAGATGACTCGAATCCTCTCATTAGGCCAGAACAATGGCCTGACATTGATGATACTGAATTTGGCTCCCATACGCTCATACCATCTGGACACCATCAGCTCCTTGAACTTTGCCAATCGTACGAAGAAGATTGAAGTGAGGGAAGTCGAAAATGAGCCCATGTTCAAAGGGCCGCCAAGATCAACACGATTAGCATCCGCACCATCTCAGCGGCAACCATTGCGATCCTTGACTGCATCTGTCAATGTGAATATGCCGGTGAATGATGAGAAAAAGGCTGATGATAAGAAAGTCGATGAGAAAAAGCCACCCAAGGCTTTTTATGTGTATTCGGACAAGCAGCCCGTCAAGCCTCACAGGACGTCGCTCAAACGTTCCTCCCCTTTGAAGGAGAATACTCCCAATGTTAAGCGTCAGTCTTATTCGAAGTTGTCCAAAGAGACAGACAAGATAAGTGTCTCAGCCGACACGATTGCAGAAATGGTGGAGAAGAAAGTGGAGCAGATGCTAGCAGCTCGAGCGCTTGATGACTCTCATCAACATCAAGCTCAATTGGTGCAGATGAATGAACAAATGCAGCGTCGTCTGGAAGTTCTAGAGCGAAGGATTGAAGGGACAGAAGATGCTCGTGCGGAGGGGCTTTCCTATCTCTTGATGGCAAAACAACACCACGGAAGGAAAGAATATTCTTCGGCTTTGCGGATGTACAAGCTTGCGTTGCCGTTTTTCCCACGTAACCAGAAGCTTGCTGTCAAGATCGCCAGTCTTGAAGAGAAGCTGCAGCCCATGGCTAAGCCGCAGCCTGAGCCGACAGTGACACTGCCTGGACGAGGAAGTATGCTATCTATCAGCAGACCTACAAAGATGGCGAGGACCAATTCGTCCAGAGATTTCAGTGATGACGAGTATCAAGAGTCTGATAATGAGTTTGCTGAAGATGATAATTATACTGATTCTTTTACTGGCCTCAAGCGGAAGCGTGCAGCTGCAGATACAAAAAGTTCGTCCCTGTTTGGAGTTCAAAACGATCTCAGTAAAGGCGTCGGCGATGAGTTGTTGATACAATCTCCGCGAACAGCTAACCTGCTTTCTGTCATCAATTCCAGAGATGTTGGTCAGATCAAGCTGCTTAAGGGCGTTGGGGCTAAGAAAGCCGAGGCGATCGTCGATTGCCTGTGCGAGATGGATACTGTGCATGAGTCGAGATCTGGACAGGCACAAGTACGAAGTCTTGCAGAGCTGAGCAGACTGAAAGGTGTCGGTCTGAAGACCGTACAAAATATGAGAAGCGGAGTATTGGTGTAGTTTGTTTTCCGAGTTGTATTGAAGCATTTATGGCGTTATTTGTTATTTTGTCCTTTTGCATCGTTATTGCATACTGCTGTCTGCATTTGAGCCATGGTGTTGTGGTGTTGTTGCATTTGAGCCTTACCCTTTTTCATCATACCTATCTATGTCGTTGGATCGTTGAGTAGTTAGATGTTGGAGCATTTATCGGATACAGTTGCGTATTAACATTATCTTATGCACCGCCTTGATAAAAACGACTATGATCCTCCAAGCACTTGACAACTTCCCATCCCAATCACCAAAGTATTTTCCAGTCCTCAATCAGACCCAAATAACCCCCAATCTTTGACATCAATCACCTCCGCAAACTTTCCAATAATCTCATCAGCCAACTCCTCCTCCTTCGCCAATAATCCCGTATCCCCGCGGGCCAGAAATTCATCCTGCGGCACATTCACAAAAACCAACAGATCCGTCTTTTGGTCTGGTAGTCTCACCAACAAAAAATGACAGTTGTTCGTTGATCTGTCGGGGGGTGGCGGTGTACTTCCACTCGCCGCATTCTGTTCCGTAGTTGCAGCGACTCGCTGCGTGCCTGCTGCTTCTCGCCTCTGTTTGCGGGGAGTAGTGAACTTGACTAGTCCTGCGTACGCAGAGGCCTTGCTGCCCAAAGGCGAAGATGCAGTTAATCTTTTCAGAGGAACTCGTCGCGGCTCCCGAATGACGTCCATGGCATCATCATCATCGCAGATGTCGAGGATGTGATACATGGCCGCCGCAACATCCTCAGAATCAGCGCCGATGTTAATAGCAGTCGGAAGTTCAACATCTAGACCCGAAGCCACGCCATTCAGACCTCCGTCTGATGATCGTGGGACGTATTCGTTGATCTCAAAAATGAGGTTTGAGAGTGTCGTGGGCGAGAGGAACATTTCCTGGTGGTCAGGGACTTCGCGGATTGTGCTGTCAATAATCAGTAATCTCTTATAAAGGATTTCTAAAAAGTAGAGCAAGATTCAACACAGAGAGAGAGAGAGAGAGTAGACAAACCTCCCATCGATCCAGCCCTGTGGTACAGCGCCGGCAATAGCGCCGCCGAAGAGTTCTCTTTCTTCAATTTGTGTCATTTTTTCTTCGTATGTATTGTGATATGGATGGATGTAGTAACTCCAAGTATTCCGCAACAAGTTGCTGGCTTCTATATATTCGCAAGAACGGGTCAAACTTCGATGACCTCAATCCCCTCAATTTCGGCGCAACATGCAAGGGAACGAGCTAGTGAGAGTCGTCCGGTGCGATCCTATGCGACTTATTCTACTTATGACAAAGAGGGAACCCGCAGCCCTCAGTAACGTCTTAAATAGCTTTTTTTTCAGATGAAGCTATTATTGCCTTTGCTTTTGCTTTTTATCCGCCCTATTCAAGTGTTGTTCGGTTTTCTTCCTGATCGAGCGGCCGTGTAGATGTTGATAGAGGGTCCCTCCATTTAAATTTATACATCCACAGCCTGCTAGACCTAATCTGGTATGGAGGGTTAGTACTTGCTGAGTCAGCTTAGTAGTCCCCTGCCATTATCTCTGAATTTACCACGTACAATTATTGTCGTTCTTACTTACGTATATCCAAGGAAGACTTTGATCTGCGAATACAGGACTATAGGGGCGTGGATGCCCAATTCGGGGTGTGCACTTATGCTTCCGTATACAAACTCCTCCCAATATTCCGGACGTTATCGATTTGCTACTGCCCCGCAGCACATGAACGACAGTCAATCCCTGCTTGTTTGAACAAGAAACAAATGGCGATAATTGCCTCAATTGCAGGGATATTAGTTCCATCTTATATATCGAGAAAGTAATTCATGTGTTGAACCGATTGTTACTATGTGATACAGTGTATTCAAAGACAAAGGAAATCAATCTAGTCAAGTAAAAATCATTTTATTTACACATACAAAGCTGCAGAACATGACTATTGGTCATCCAGAACGTGCAGATATTTCTTCTCCTCTCTTTGCTCACGCTCAGTTGCTGGGGGCAAGTCGTAGTATTGAGAGCTTCGGTAGCCCATCTGTATCATCATCAGTTGTGGTGTTGCCTCAATCAGAAGCAGAAAACTTACGAGGTAGAGATAGGTGAGGCTATTAATCTCAGCGGGTTCAATATCCAAGTCCTTGAACGTCTTGGCGGTGGGGTCAATGTGCTGATCAATGAACTCTCGCTCGATCTGGTCAGCGGACATGGTAGGCCACCACAAGTATTTGTTCAGGTAGTAAGCAGCCGGCTTAAGAACAGCCTTGGGAAGGTTGATATGGCGGCGGTGCTTGATGATTTCCTTGTCGACAATCTCGGCAAGCTCGGCAGTAGAGTACTGCTTGGGGCCGTAGAGCTCAAATGTTTGAGAAGCAGTGTTGTCATCATACAACATGCGCTCAAGAGCAGTTCCGACATCAATGGCCTATGAAATCAGCGTTACTTTTCAGAAAATTTTCAGCGGCAACTTACGTGAACGGGCCAGTATTTCTCCTGCATGTGGTTGGCAGTCAAGAGATTTGTGACACCAGCAAGCTTGTGAAGCAGGTGGTCCTCGAATCCGAACATTGGTGCGGGGCGCACAATAGTTGTCTCCGGGAAGATCTCACGAACAACACGCTCGCCCCAACCTTTGGTCTTGAAGAACTCCGATGGAGAGTCCTCGGCGGCATTGTAAGAAGAAACGTGGATGAATCTGTCAACGTCGTATTTGGCGACTGCCTCAGCGATACGCTCTGCACCGTCAACGTGGACGTCCTCGTAGGTGAAGTTCCTGCACAATTAGCCTTTATACAAAATCATTCCAGGGGAGACGTACTTGGTAGGATAGTCACGGCCGACAAGGTTGTAAACAACGTCGGAATGGCGAACGCTCTCTTCAATCGATTGTGTGTTGCGAAGGTCGTATTCCTGCTCTGGTCAGCTAGCGCACTATCTACTGCTTCCATAGTACACACCGTGAAAACCACGCGACCGAGATCTCCAGAGACTTTGAGGTGACGCTTGGTCATTTCCTCACGGAAGGGAACAACGACGGTACATCCGGCACGAGCTATACGAGATTAGCGAAGCACCCATTAAGATTATCGGTTGTTCGTACCGAGTCGGTTTACAATGTAACGGCCGAGGAAACCGGTAGCTCCAAAGACGGTGGCAGTGTGTCCTATAAAAACGATGAGCAATGTCCTATTATCGAACGACGGTATCACGAACCTCCCAAGGAAGATCTAAAGCGGGTAATGTCAGCAATTGACCAAGCTCCCCAGTGTACAATTAGCACTTACCGTCCTCCCTGGATCTTCAGAATCGGCTTTCCGGTCCTAGTGATGTGGACATCCTGTATATTCCTTCGCTGCACCTGAAATTGCACTCGTCCAATGGCAGGGGTGGGAGCCAGTGCCTTCCGGCCCAGAGCGCCATTGAAGGCCCGGCACTTTTGCATGGTCGATCGGTCGCCCCAAAAGACTGTCGTGAAAGAAGACTGACCAATTGACTCGGTACCAGCCCTCCACGATACGATTGTTGCGTGTGTGGAGCGGAGATGTGGTGAGGTATGAGGTTTGAACAGTCTAGAGGAAGTTGAGGTTGTTCCCGCTCAACTTCGTCCCATGACGCTAACCCGATTCGTCTTGGCTATTTTACCTCCTAGGCTCCAAGACACCAACATCATCTTTCATTCATATTGATATTTTTATGTTGAATCATATTTTACGAGCACGCCGAGATATTATTCATCATAATATTTATGTTCTGACTATGAAAAAATCTCATGACTACGAACCTTACAACTGCACAGTGCAGAGGTGCTCTCCGATCAAAGCTTGGATCCTCTCGCGAATATGAGAGTCTTTTCAAGATCATGACCGTGAATCGTCATCTCGAACCTTCTGTCTAAGATCTTGACATCTGCGTCACCGAGCCCAGCTCCCAAAAACAAATCTTTCATCTCATCAACACCGAAACCGTGCTTATGAACTATCTGCGCAGTCTCCGGGCTGACTCGCTCGTGCTCGTCCTTGGCATGAGGTTCTTCCAACATTTCGACAATCCAAAGGACACCACCTTTTTGTAATCTATCAGCTAGGCGTTTCAATGCCAGCTGAGGATCCGAAAAGTGGTGCAAGGCCATGCTAACAATGATGATGTCGAGATCACGATACTCAGGCCCTTGTAGATCCTCGGATACGTTCTCCGCGAGCAGATCGCCAACCTTTGCAGACATTTTCTCGGAGGGGATGCCAGCTTCTTCGACTCGTTGGTTGTAAACGGCAACCATGTTCTCCGAGACGTCGAGACCGAGGCATTTGGTCACAAAGGGCTCCAGTGTCTATATCTAAATCAGATCAGGTCGATGACTCAGTAGGAAGAAACATACTCGAGTTACGTGTCCCGGTCCACACGCATACTCCAAAAGTCTGATCTCTTTTCCCTTGCCTTCTGCAGTGTCCGTCCACCTGGAGCTAATCCACAGGCGGTGCCTCAAGGTCTCTTCTCTCATCATACTAATGCCTTTCTCAAAGCCCGTGTCATAATCGCGGGCAGTTTTACTACGAAGGTTAGCAGTGACCGTCAGCAGATATCAAACAACTTACTCGAAGTATTGGCGGTTGACCTCCGTGAAATGAGAGTGGTGAGAATGATGAGATTGTGCCATGGTACTTGAGTGTGACTGGATGCGAGTATCTGAGTACGAGTAATATGCTGCAATTATGATTGTGATCGAGGTGAGTAACAAGTAGAACTTATATGCTCGAGGGGATGGATGTAAGGGGAGGAAGTGCATCTTGCCGGGTCTACAATGGTTTTATGTGCTACCGGAGACATATCAAGCTTCCGGAGACATATTCTTCAACCGTGGATGCTTCCAGTAATAGCTGTACTCATGGGGTACTAAGACAACTTATATGTAGAGTTCGGAGACTTTTGGAGAAAGTCTGCGAAACTCTGCGTGATCTAGACAGTTCAGTGAGAGGTAGACCATGACACTAGCTAATGTGGCAGATGTGCATTCAAGAGTATTACCTGTTTGTCGTTATAAAGACTCAAAGCACTTTCTACACATACATGGCTAGAAACCGTCTGAAATGTTAGTTTATATGCGGGTAGACACCTAATTCCTGAGGCATGAGTTACTACGGCCGGGCAGAGCGACCTGTTGGAGCTAGCCAAGTTGCGGCATCACTAACACCAACAGCTTTATGCTCATGCTTCATCATCAAGCTTTCGCTACTTATCATCCACACAACTTCCTACCTATCTGGAATCGCATATCATTGCCTCACAGCCCATATAATTCTGTGCTCAGCCATAGTATCCGATCAAAGCTATAATTGCGTCATCATGGACGCCGACAAGATCCCGGACTTCCTAGCAGACCAGCGAGACCAAGCTCCCAGCGAATCCCAAGCTCTCTTCCTCGATTTTGAAGACTACTGGGAGCGCAAACTCTGGCATCAACTCACAAACTCACTCGTCGAATTCTTCCGAACACCCGCCAGCGCCCCTCAACGATTACCCATTTTCAAATCGTTCATACTCAGCTTTGCGGATCGAATCAATCAGTTGAACTTTGTTTCATTAGGGTTGTTGGCTTCGACGCAATGTGGTGGTTCGTCTCCTTTACCTTTTGTCTGTAGGTGATTTGAGCTAATGGGTGCAGACGACCAAGAGAGACTTGCCTTCCTCACATCGCTCGCCGATCGAGTGGATAAGCCCGACTCACAGGACGCATACGTCTATGCTGTTGCTGATGTTGCTGGTGTGAAGCTGCGACTACAAGACTATGAAGGATCACGAAAGGATTTAGATAAAARCCAGAAGATCTTGGATACATTCGACTCGGTAGAGACTGTTGTCCATGCCGCATTCTACAAAGTCAACGCAGACTACTATCATGTAACCCCCCTTCTTTTCTCCAGTCTCAGTATCATAGCATTAACAGACGACAGGCCAAAGAAGAATTTGCATCCTACTACAAGAACGCCCTCCTCTACCTCGCATGTGTGGACCTCGAGGACCTCTCTCAAGAAGAACGCATCTCGCGAGCCTACGACCTCAGCGTGGCTGCCCTCGTCTCGGACTCAATCTATAACTTCGGCGAGCTTCTCCTCCACCCGATCCTCGACTCCCTCACCGAGACACCACACGCCTGGCTACGAGACCTCCTCTTCGCCTTCAACCGCGGCGACCTAACGGCCTACGACGTACTCGCTGGCAACATCAGCAAAAACAAACTCCTCGAATCCCACCGTCAATTCCTCTACATCAAAATCTCACTCTCCGCACTCACCGAAGCTGTCTTCCGCCGTCCACCACACGACCGCACAATGACCTTTACCACCATCTCTGCAGAGACGAAGGTGCAACCAGACGAGATTGAGCATTTGGTCATGAAGGCGTTGTCGTTGGGTCTCATCAAAGGCTCGATTGATCAGGTTGCGCAGATTGCCAGGATTAATTGGGTTCAACCGAAGGTGTTGGATATGAAGCAGATTGAGGGGATGAGGAATCGGTTGAAGGAGTGGGATACGGGGGTGAATCAGTTGGGGCACTGGATTGAGGGTGTGGGAAGAGACGTCTGGGCTGCCTGATTTATTTTTGTATTATCAGCGAAGAACTAGGTGGTATGAGATAGCAATAGACAAAACGTCTGATACAATACACTACATTGATGCTAAGCTTCTCCATATGTTATATATAAGATCACAGCCCCCTTATAACTGGAGGCTAGACAAAGAATGAACTCCCAACAGACACAGCACCCATCATCCAAGCCGGCCACCACACACACCAGACCACTACAGGAGTCCAAACACCCCATACATCCCATCCAAAGGCAGCCTGCGACAGAACATCCTCGACGGAAATACCCGTATACGTGCATGCTGCCAGAAGGACCGCGGGCGGCGACAAAAGATTAAGCAGCACGAACAACATCGACGAGAAGACCAGAGTTGCCGGTGATTTTTTCGTCGTTGCAGGAGTTGGGACAAAACTCAACGGCGCGCACAGCAGACCGATTATGAACGAAAGCGAGAAATTTAGTGTTGCAAGTGCACTCAGGAACAAGCCGAGGAGCAACAAAGAAAAAGATTTGAGGAGGTAGAAGGTTTGTGGCTGGGGGGTGAATAGTCTGCAGAGTGCGAGGCTGATGAGGAATGGAAGGGTGAGGGTTAAGAGGAGGATGGCGTAGGTTACGGGGAGGAAAAACTGTCATCATTAGTAGTCACTCAGAGGAGAGGATAGGACACTGCTCACTTGAGAAGAGACATTGGTTAGAATGTATAACGGCACAATGCCCAGGAAATGTAGAACAGCCACTACCGTCAACGGGACCGACAACTTGCGCTCAGAGACACCATTCAACCCGGTACTTGCCGTCGTCGTCGCTTCCCCCTTTGATTCCTTTGGTGCCTGCTTCTTCGTAGCGAGTTTATCCTCATACCCCGTCCTCAACCACAACGCAACCGCCATAATCGTGAAGTTCGCAGCCACCAACATCGCACTTGGTAGATACGTCCCAATACTCACGAACCGGTTCGTATGCATAAGCAAATAAAAGAAGAAACTCTGATGCAAATGCTCCAACAAGTTATTCAAACTCCTACACAGCCCCTCGACTGTTCGACCAAGAGCCATCTCATCCTGCCATCCATTCCCCTTCGTCTGCAACGTAATCGCATCAATATGATACGGTATAAAACTACTATGAGCGCCCGCAGCAAGACCAAGACCCTGCTTCGCCATACCGCGGAGCATAGTCTCCAGTCTCTTCTCGTAGCTATAGTCGTGTTCCCACATTTCTTGCAGACTTGTGCCGATCCCCATTTGCCCACCCGCAATCGAAACGGCGGTGTTGATGAGGTCAAGGTTTGGCAATTGGCCATTTACGCCGTCGTAGACGATATGTAGGGACTCGAAGCGGTGCTCAAATGGGTATTCGATAACCAACGCGCCTTGTAAGGCACCACTCTTCAAGGGGAGGGGTTGTGCAGATGAGGAGTGCATGTCGTGATAGGCGTCGACCCAGGCTTGCGAGCCGGCTTTGCTGTCGGGTGTGATGAGGAAGATGATGTCTTTTGACCAGAGGGACCATCCTATGCAAATGTGAGTATAGCATACGTCAAAATCAAGAAGTAGAGGGACAAACTCTTAAAGTATCGAGCCAACGTCAACGCCAACGTAACCCCATTCAAATTCAACTCCCCCTCAATCGTCCTCCACGCAGCAACCAACACAATCGCCTCCGTCGCATCCCCCCTCGGCGCATGAATAATTGAATACACATTCTGCCCTTTGTGCACATTACCCGCAGAGACATACTCATAATTCTGCGTTGCGACTTTGAGTCCCGCGGCACGGAATATGCCTTGGATCGTGTCGGAGACGMCCTGCCACTGCTTCACTTCTTCGTCACTAGCACTCTCAGGTGAAGGGATCACAGTCTCGAGTTCACGTTTATAGCCTCTGAATATATTTTGTTCTGATCCCGAGAAATAGGTATGTACCTGACCCGGTAGTAGCGCATTTTCGGAAATATACGTTCGGCGCGAGTATTCGTCTAGCGGTAGGACTAGTAACGAGGCGACGCCGACCAATATACATAGCAAAGAAATCCATGAAGGGAGACGAGTGAGCAGAAAAGAGGGATCATTGCGCAGTTTGCGGAGGAGTCCTGATGCTGTTGTTTTCTGGTTAGCTGCGGACAAGTAGGGGGATGATTTCCTTCTATGCGAAGGCATTGAGTATTGAGGATGTGAAAGCTTACATAGTAAGCCCATTGGCACGTATACCTTGGGGCTGTATATCCCCAATGTCCATAAAAGTTCCTCGATTCAATTGAAAGTGGTGTCCAATGTTGACAAGTGTGAAGCTAGCTCGGTGATATTGCGGAGAGCACATTATAGCAGAAGCCAGCTGATTGGTCGATATGGAAGTAGGGTTAGGGTTAATTTTATACACGGAGACTGTAAATATACTCGATATTCTTCTACTCTTGACATCAGAAAAGGGCAGATTGACGATATTACAAATGGATCACCTTCCTAACATCACACTCACCCTTTACATCTATTGTATCATTCCAAGGCAGAAACGTTCCATCGTTGATCACTCACAACCCGCACACCCCTCTCCCTAAAATCGGTGGTGCGATGCGCATGTCCGAACGTCCAGACCCCAACGCCATTTAATGACGATGCCTGTCGTAAGACAATATCAGCCCTGAAGGCGATACTTCGCGCAGGGAGGCATTTCATAGGAATGGTATTGTTAATTGATCTCAAGATGGAGGTCTGAGAGATTCTCAAAGGAGACGGATTGCCGACTGAAGAGGGAGGAAAACATGATCTCGAAAAATGACTTAATTGCTAGGAAAAGGTGTACTGTCTTTTTATTTTTGAGCAATTCGTACACTGATCAGCCAAGTGCTGTCCAATGTCCAATGTCCAATGCTTTCATTTGATTAATCGACTCGTCGCTCATTATATCTAGACATCATAAATAGTACACGCCATGAGTATATACAAGAATGATCCTTATTACAATATATTATATGTTCCCACCATCTTTCTGTCTGTTCATACGGTCATACCACATGACAAATCAATATTTACGGTCCCAATCGCTGCGATGAGCCAATATAACTGCTCATCGCAACACCGGATTCTCCAGAGGATGTCGTCGGGAGGACACCGTATCGTCCGTGCGTCTTTTGGTCGACGGAGACGTAGTGAGGCAGTCGTCCGAGGAGGTTCAACTTCCCTTCGAGAAAACGAAGGATTTTCTCGGGAGGCACGAACACTTTGAGGTATCCTAGTCCAACTATTCCCACAGTCAATACCAAAGGCTCAAAGCAACTGCATGGAGAGAGAGAGACGTACGTAAATACCCAAAAATCATACCACAGATATGTCCCAAAAAGCTCGTGTTCGAAAGCAGCACGGCGACAACAAACGATACAAAAAGCGGCGTAGTCCAAGTAGGAACTTTGAGAGTACCAACCTGAAAGTAAGGATTGGTGCGGAAGGTCTTGATGGATTCGGAGGCGAGCAATAAAAAGACCCAGACACTGTTCAATTAGCTCGGTCCAACTGTGTTATAGCCAAAGGTGTCTAACCTTGCGCCGACAACGGCCGTGTTGCTGTAGAGGATGTATTTCTCAATAAGTACATATATCGCTGCGGGAAACGTCGAGAGTGCTAGAAATTGACTTGTTAGCAAGACTCTCAGTCCATGGCTGCAACTTGCGAGCGACATACGTCCAACAAACAACAAAAGCGCCGTCAAAGTGCCATGCTCAGCCTCGAACCTCTCCATCAAGGGCGTCAACGCCACGGCATTCAACAACATATGAAAGAATCCATTATGTATGACGGGGTACGTATTCGTTCGATACACTATCCACCAATTAGCCAAATCCCCAAAGTCTTTTCAACCGCCATTAAAGGGTCGTACAAGTAGCAATGCTAATCTCATCCGGAATCAAAGCACCCCATTGAACCACATCCCATACAGACTGTAATTCGAGGAGCCAAAATGCGACGATGATGAGTAGCACGGCGCGCGTGAAGAGCGGGAGACGGTAGAGGTAGGAGCGGAGGGGGGCGATGTTGAGCGAGAACGCTGGAAGAGCGCTTGGTTGGGATGAGGAAGACATTGCCGACGTCGTCGTTTCGTGTTTCGTTCTTTGAGATAATTTCGAGGTTTCGATGCGGAATAGGCTGTCACGCGAGAAACAAGTTGGACAGGATACAACGAATCCAATGAAAACAAGACAAGTCGCTAGCTTGAGGAAGGACGGCTAAGCAGACAACGCATTGATCTGTCTACTTTCGCAGACTGTCCAGTATCGAGAAGAAGAAAATATTAGATGAGAGAAAATCAAATAAAGTCGCTCAAAAGTAAGAAATCAAGTAGGGGCTTCTCCAAAAGGATTAGCACGGAGCACGGAAAGAGCTTGTTCGTGTCGGGAAGGAGTGGGCCGTCTTCCGTAGCCTCTCTCTCATTACACTCTACTATGTACCCTACACTTACACACTACGTACACTTTACAGACTCAGGTTTTGATCATGCCTATCCCATCCATTATAACATTAATCATAAGTCCATACACATTTCATAATATGTTCAGAACCATCATGAATACATTCCTCCCAATCATCCGACCATACCCATATTCATCCATATTATAACTCACATCCAGTGAGTATCTCCACTCATCAAAAGAATAAAAACTGTATAGGGGTATAAGGCTGAAGCGAATCAAATAAGCATATCCATCACTGGATATACGAAAAAGAAGTGAAGAAATATTAGTGAAGATATGACCCGTCTCTTCCTCGTCGTCCATTACCGTCTTCTCCAGGGTATGTTTTCTGTTCGTGATCAATTCGAAATCAAGCGGATGACCAGGATCGAGCATGCGATTGGGTGTTTTCTTTCTTAACAGCCCAGGCTTTGATGGCAATCACGACGATTACCCAGGCCATGATGAAGCAGCTGAGACCGATTGCGATGTTGAAGGTGAACATGGCATCGAGATCGTACCAGACCATGACGTCCATGATGTCGGAGGCCTATTATCGTTAATATGCTTTTTCCTTAAGTCTGACGGTTAACTTACACTGAGCATAAAGATCAGACCACCGGAAATCAAGCAAAAAGCACCAATCAGCTCAGTTGGTGGGCGAGCGGGAAGATACGAAGTTGGCGGGCGGACATATGTCAGCACATAGGTGGCACCACGAGCCATGGCAGCACCGGAGAGAAGAGAACCCCATTGTTTGTGAACCATTGTTGAGACCATTTGTTTTTGATGGTGTCCGCCCATCATCATGCCAAGGAGGAAAATAATCAATGCCGGCATCGGATTGAACGAAACGCTCGATGGCTCCTCGTCTTCGTTGGATCGGTTACGGGAGGCGCCGAGGATGCTTTGCTTCAACCAGCTTCGGACTCGCTTTGACTCGAGGAGCATTCCGCACTACTGAATTAGCTTACTTTCATTACCATGACTAGGAACTGCGTACCAATCCAGCGCCGAAGAACATCACCGAGATGGAAACGTGCTCGAGATCTTGAGGAGACCATCCCTTACCCCAGCCACCGAGATGCTCCAAAAAGACATTGGTAGAGCCGTAGGTGAAAATGAGGGCTGACTCGACGAATTCTCCAGTAGGCGCACGCGTGTTGGCCGGCTTCAAGTTCCATGACCATCCCCAGTTGGCCCAGCAGCCCATGTATCGTCCTAGAACAACCAATCCGTACCAGAAGAAGATACCACCTTTGATGAAGTGCGCAAGACCGCTGAAAACACTGTGCGCTTTCTATGAAGAGTCAGTGAAATGTCATTTCAGGTAGCTGAAAGATACGTACGAAGATACCGCCATAAGTGACGCCACCGGTGGCCAAGGCAACGAATCCAAAAGGCAGAATGATGCGATCGATGATGTTATAAACCAGGCGCAATGCGCGCAACACTTTGTTCGAAAGCATACCAGGCACGCGACTTGTGAAAAATCGGTCCAAGAATGTACTGCGCAGCCAACCGCGAGCAAGCGGAGTAGGCACCTCCACGTCGTCATCTTCTTCAGGCTTGGTGAAGTTGTGGTGTTCTTCGTCAGGGGATGTAGGGCAGCTAGTACCCTGGCCACTGTCTCCTGACCAGCGATACTCGGCGACGGGTGTATATAATTGCTGGTGCTCCATCATATTCTCAGTCGAGACCGGGAAGAATGTTGCGCGCTCATACTGGGAGGTCGTAGTCTTGGTGCGCCTACCCGAGTAAGCGTAGATGATGCCAATGACGAATTGCGCCACTACCACGGAGCTTGCGATCCAGCCGATTTTGTGATGCGCGTTGTTCTGGTACAGATCGGGCGTGGAGGCGTTGTATATTAGACCAAAGAACAAGGCTACTCCATTCACAACCAAAAAGACGAATTGAGTAGGGATAGTGAATCGCGAATGCGCAACACTTAGCATTACAGCTGTTGAAATTAGCGAGTTTGTAGAGTGTGGGAACTAAATGCGCACTCACCAACAGGCAAGACAAAGCACCAAGCAAGCACCTCGAGAATAATGTGAGCTGTAATCGATGCGCTGTGTTCGCCGTAAGCCCAGTAGCTGAGTTCCCAATCCTCCTCTGGTTTCGACATGGAGTCCTTCTGGCTCATGTCCATACCCATGTCCATGCCTCCGCTAGCTTCATGACTATGATCACCGTCCAGTCGAGCGGTCGCGACTGCAATGAGCAGAAAAGCTGCAGCTAGAAGCCGCAGTGACTTTGACTGTTGCATTTTTATACGTAATGTGAGTGCGTGTGTGACTATCTGATCGTCTGTATACTTTCGTCGGGTCTTTTGACTTTGTCTGAACCTGGGGAGCTTGACTAGAGTGCGAGCTTCCAGAAGCAGCGTGCAGCTTTAGTCTGAAGGGATCCTTGGGAAGAGTAGCTGAACTAGAGAGACAAGCTATCAAAGCTATCGAGCTACCAAGCTATCTCAGTGTGATGTCAGAGAGATGACAGAACCATGAAAAAGTAAAAGAAAGGAAAAAAAAAACGTGAGTCGAAATGATTGGGACGAAGCTACATTATTAATACTCTTGCTAAGCAGCTCGTCAGCAGCAGGGAAAAAAAAGAGAGGCCAGGAACAGAAAGAAGCTCCTTCCTGCCTCATCCATCTAGCTCCGGCGTTAAGGCTGATCAGTGCGTGGAATTTATGGCCCGTATGCCGGTGACGGAGACGTATTATTACATCTTCCCGTTGCCTATCCGCGAGGGTCCGTTTATTTCTTGTACATACAACTAGTATATACTAATTGGGAGCCCGATGGCCTGAGCCGACTACAGGTTAGCCGCTCTACTCGGGCCCGATCCATCAGTTGATGCCCTGTTGAATCTGACAACGTTGTGTGACATGGCGTCGTCGTACAGCAACCTTGAAATGACTTGAAGAAAGTCCCATGACATCCATGTCTATACATACATGTTATGCATAGCGGTGACAGTAACACTGGCTACCTTGCAGGCCTGCATCCTCGAGGTCATCTCCAGATTCTGCAGGACATGGATCATCGCGGCTTGGGGCCGACTGATCCGTCCTTACAATCTACCAGCAAGTAAGTACAGGGTACATGCCACTACAACATAGACCTAGTCGTGGTCACGGACATTGGTCTGTATGCTGTGAACATCCGTACGGGCTCCGGTTTTATCAACGATCCGCTTCCGTAGTCTAGGCTCGAGCTAGTCAGCCGCTCACACGCTAGCAGCTACATAGTGTGCTACATACTGGTAGTCTAGCAAAAACTGGGCGCTAAGGGCCTACGACTAATTACTGAGTTGGTGTTAGCAGTGCAGCGTCGATCGTCTGAGGTCTTGACCCCACTATTTCGTCCGAAGGTAGCCCATATATATGGAGTGATTGACGAAAAATATTTCAAGAAGTTCTTAAAATATGATCTGTATAAAGGTACCTAAGTACTGTCTATCTACGCAGTATGTACCAAGTGTATTCCATACGGAGCAGTAACACGAAACAAAGCGTGGAAATACTCATCCGGAAGCTTCGGCGAAGTCGGCAGTTAAATCCGTCCGCCAAGAAATGAACAAAAGTCCGCGGGCCAATGAAATGTATTCCTGCTTGGGCCGAGCCAAAGATCACCGATGATGTTTAATAATTCATCGACATTGATAACTAGTTAGTTTGTGATTATGATTATTTACAGAGTGTGACTCGACAAGGTTGAGTGTGCCGTTTGTTTGTGGTGAATGTGTTCTTTGTTCTTCTCCTCGGCAACATATATCTACTTCTTCAACGTAACACGCTGCCAACTTCTCTTGCGCGGTTTCATATGTCATATGTCATGTAAGTATCATATATTCGTCTATGAGGTCATAGGTTGATAAGCCAGGGCTGAAGCTTAAAGCGACAACAAAGAGCCCGCGGTATCCGGAGTAGTAGTACTACACAGTGTGATAGTACTGTTCTTATTACTGTACGTAAGGTCGGCACCTCGGGCAGTTCGTGCCCCACCACTCTAATCGCTTGGCATGTGTGCCGTATCCGTGGCATCCGATGTCCATAGTCTTTGACTCGATACTCAGACTATGTATGTACGGAGTAGACACAGATTGTCTCGTCTCGTCATAGTACTCAAATTTGGCCAGAGACCCTGCATATTCTCGTAGACATCTCATTCATCATCGAGAGTGAGAAAACGAAGGAAAGCAGAAGTATACGAGGCCGGGGTGAATGCCTAGATTCCCTGTGTAGTGAGTGTACATAGTACGGACACCGATGAGTCAGTATGAGCAGCAGMCCAGCCGTATTAATACATTCGAGACTCGGATGACCCGCGTATATGTACGTAGTCAAAGTCTAGACGCAGTGACATCATGCACACACCTTAAATACCTTAATTCTTCAGCCCGTGACTTGCCTGCCCTCCAATCATCTGCCCATCGCCTCGGAATATCTTCCTGTCAGCGAATCATGTCCCCTCGTGTCGCTGATGCAAGCACTGACTACACATACTAAACTCCGTACGGAGCACAATGTATACTGAAAAGCTGTCTTGATTTTCTGCAGATGCATGCTCGCATAGCCAATCGCGTTTGTGTCTCACCGCTCAATAGCATTACATAGTGACTCATGGAAATACTAAAAAGACATGCCACTATTCAGACCGAATCAGGTGAGCAGACCCACCGCTCGAAACCAGTGCCGATTAGTAATTCGGACGGAGTTTACTGTAGAGCATGGTTCATCGCTCCATCACGTTCTTGGCGCCGGACTACGTATTTCCACGCTGACCGTATTGTACTGTCTGTATCAATGTAAGATGTCGAGTCATGTGCAATGTCGTGGCCGAGGAAACTCCAGCCGCTCGATGGATGGATTATTCAGCTTCAATATTACTGCTTTGGATCAGAGCTGGTGTGATGTGCTGTTCAATACTGCTCAGCTCCCTGGGTCTTCATTTGCTCTCTCTGGCCCCAATCACACCAACAGACAAACCGACACGACTCATACCCTCAGCCATGCTTTCATCAGATTCATAGCCATATGGCACAGAAATCAAAGCTCTATCAAAGCTCGATCCCGGAAGCTCCACCCCAAGCCCCGCAGCATCCAAACCAGGGCAGAAAATAAAAAGAAAAGAAAATTTTTCTTTTTTTCTTTTTGTCTAGACTCGCGATTCTATGGAGAACGTAGGGTAAGCGGAGTAAACTTCCTGTCTGGGTAAGTATTTTGCGATGGAGTCGATGCGTATCAAATTATTTAATTTATCAATGGATCGGGTGTTTGAGGATGGAAATATTACACTTCTATATCAGATTATCAGTTCCAAGTTTTGGATGTCATCACGTAAATTCTAGAGTTCTCCATGGCTCGATCCCGAATGCTTTGAGCGCCTTCGGGATTGGAGACGGATGTACGGATTTATCGGTTCCCAATGATTGCGGACATGTGCCTTGACGCTCAGGCACACATACACAGGGTCATACTACTGATTCAAATCCCTACTGTCAAAGTCCCCGTCATTTCTTACTTCATGAATGTGTTCAATCGGGATGAAGCTTTATGAGGCGTGGGTTAAGGTATCCAGAGTATACATTTGTCATAGCCAATCAGATCAATATTTCCTTCTAGATGTCGTGCCATAGCATATCTGAGCAAACAAAGGTCACCAAAGCTCACCAGAGATACCATTTCTTCTATCATACCAAGGTATGTCCGTGTCGCGATACACACCAGAAACAACCACAACACTTGAACCGCGAACACAAGCCGGGGTACTTCCCCTTTTAGACCAACAGTCATGCAAGCAACCTGCACAGAAAAAGCCGTGCATACATGTAGTCCATTGGCCTCACCTAGGTATTGTTTCGACCAAGACGTCTCACCGCATCTACAGTTCGTACCTTAGATATACACCAGAAGGTGATCATACATTCAATCATACATCTCCAATTGCACACATATCTAAGCAATCTATATACCAATCAATCTATCTCAAAATTACTTCCCAAAGCTCAACGACCTCAACGTATAAAACAACAAATACGCATCCGCATTCAATACATCCCCCTCGGACACCAACGTGACCTTGTCATCGTTGAACAAACACCACCGATCCCCCTGCCGTATATACGCAATGTAGTGCCCTTCATTCAGGCCCGCGCCATCATGCACAATGGCCGATGCGAGGTCGTACATGTATATATCACTGCGTGATATGCCTCCCTTTTTGGACGAAGAGGATGAGTTAGAGGCCACGGTGTAGGGCTGCATGTTGATTTCGAGCGGAAAGTCGATTTTGCCTTGCATTTTGCGTGTTTCAGAGTCGGTTTGTTCGAATCGCTAGACAGGTCAGTTTCGTTGAACATGCATAGAGCTGTAAACAGGAACGATGATAAGGAATACCTTCATCTGCATGCATAGCATGGCTGGCAATTGCTTGATCCTCAATTGTTTGGTCAGCTTGTCTGGATAACTGTGACAGCCTTGGCATTGATATCCCTCCATAATCAACTCTTCAGGCGTCACCCATGACTGCAGACAACCTGCTAATGTCGGTGTCACCGACCCGTGCAATTTGCCATTCATCTGTCTTTTCTTCGAGTGCAATTGCACGTCCAGACTGAGCTCCAGCAGTGGCTGCTCAGTCGGACTGGTATGCCGACAGATCGGGCAGGTCAGTGTGCTTTGGAATTTGCCGAATAGTGCTTTGCAGAAGAAGCAATTGCATTTCAACTGGTCGTTTTCGTCGGACGAGGCTGTGTGTAGGCCGCCGGCAAGAAATTGATAAAACTCGTGGGCGTCCTGTTGGTGGTTTCCCGCAAGAGGCTATATCATTCAGTCAGTACACGGCCCAATTCCGCCAAAAAGCGTAAATAGACTTACAGGATGGTTCTTCCAAGTCGAATATAACATAGTCTCCGCTGTAAATCCATCTTTCTTATCACAGCCATTAAATTCTGCAAATGCCCTGCTCATAGCACACAACACACAACCATCAACTTGACAGTCGTAGTATTTGTGCCCGTTTCCCAAAAAGTATGCATTTAGCAATGGCTCATGTAGCAACGTCTGCAGGACCACATTCATGTAACAGGTCTGTCCCAAGTTAAAAAGACCTCGGACACCTTCACTTTGACACGTCCGTTTCGTAGCGTTAGTTTTGATATAAGTCTCATCAGCCTCGGGCACTTCCATCGTAGTCACTCCATTCAAAAATGTGTGGTCTCGGGTTCCATTACTCTCGCCTATAGACATTTCGCTTGCCTTTCGTTTCCGCGTCTTGTTGCTCAACTGACTGAGAACGTCAAGAATGTACCTGCTAGGTTTTGATAAGGGGTTATCCTGCGATAGAGCGATGCTGTTAGCCTTTTTGGCTTGTGAGTAGGCATCTTGTACCGCCGACTCTATCGAGCTGGTAACTCGCGAGCCATCTTGACCACGGTCAAGCGGGTCTTTCGACCACAATCCGGCCGCCCGAATCCGGATTTTCTCCAATTCATGATCGTATATAAAATCTTGACAAGATTGACAGAAAAGGGCACCAGTGCGAGAGTCAATGTCTAGATCGGGTTAGTTTTTGATCAAAACTAGTAGTGTCAATCGTCTTACAAAATTGATGACCTGTCTTTTCGCTATGCACTTTTCGGTTGCCATTGGTGTGCTTCTCCGAGCAATCGATACAAATATAAACTGGCTTCAATGACAAGCGCTGCGACATTGATGCTTTGATACCATTTGCACCATCATGTTTCCGATTGTTCTTGGTCATTCTCATTGCAGCTTGTTTCATGTAAGAAACGATAAAGTTGGAGCCACGACTATCATCTTTTAATACGACAGACAGATGTTCTTTGCTCGTTAGTCTAGGATAAGTCCTCTTCAGAAGGGTTGCTACATACCACAGCCGTATTCGGCTTCTGTAAGGATGTTGACCTGAATCACAGTAGCCAGACTGGCGACCGCAGCAGCCATAATGGCGATGTCAAATATTCAAGTAAAGGAGAGCAGACTCAAGATTTCCGGTCGACTCAAGTCAGACCAGCTGACTGGGATGTCGTAAGGACGGAACCAAATCGAATGTACAGATTTGCCTGCTGGTAGTCAATCCAGGCGTAATAGCCCTAACAATACTTGGATCAGAAGCAATCGGTGTCAATGATAAGCAAGCAAGTCGTCGAGACACTTCCGGCTTTGTCACCGATTCAATATGCAAGAGAAGCAGTAGGCAAAACAGCTAAGTAGCAAGCCGGGTGTCTAGACAGGCAGGTAGCTCTGACCAGTGACTATTTTTAAGACAAGTAATTCAGACGGTGATGTTCAACTATCAATCGACGTTGTGGAGGATGCCTCCGAACCAATGCCAAGACAGATGCAACAGCCGCCGCTTTCGCCCCTATGAAGGTTCTGCGGTCACTCGCTCAAAATCAGACAGAGAGTACGACGCACACCAGCACGACTGATCCTGTTACTGATGGAACCCAGTCGAAAAGGACAGTATGGTATGGTCTCCCCGGGCCTAGACGGGGAAGAAGGAGAATTTGATGGAGAAGCATGAAATTAAAGGTGTTGCTCCTGGCGGCAAAACGGAGCCATTTACCCATCGGGAATAGGCCGCGGCAAGACCCGCAGCTCCTAGCCTGTTTACTTCGGTCTACGATAGTAATTAACGCCTGTGAGCTGCCTGGTCTCGTGTCTATATTTGTGATCTGCAATTCTGTAGCAGATTGATTTAAGAAGAATCGTGAGATTCTATGGCTATGTCTATCTGCCTAGGCATGTATCATTCCCGGCACCGGACATGACCATATCGATCACTGTCTAGGCCTCTCTTTGGTGGTCAATGTCCGTTTACAGTACGAAACTGGACGCGCTGCTGTGCAGTATCAAACCATCTGGCGATACACTTCTACGCATGGCATAGCTAGGATGATATCTATGGCCAGTGAGACCATAGCGGCAATATGTGAGTCAATATCCAACCATCTTTATCCAATGCACATAGCTCAGCGATTTCCTCTCCCGCGGGGCAACCCGCTACCCCGTGGTAGTCCACTCGGACGACCTCTGGCTGTCCCAGATCCTCTCGTAGCATATCGACTACTAGCAGTACCTCTGGTACTGCCGCGCCCTCGAGATGAAACAGGTGCTTTCTTCGGCGTAGCTTTGGACGAGACCGTGGCGGGGGGATTGTCGACGAATGATGTATCCGTTGTTCTGTAGAAGAGGGTATTAATTAGCCTGGTACGCCTTAATATCGAGCGAATTGGTTCTTACAAAAAGGTCGCATCGATATCCTGTCCTGTCTTGTGCGACAGTGATTCTAGACATCGCAATGTTAGCCAGTGAAGGTGACACAAGGGCGTATCGTTTACCTTGTTGCGCCTTGGCTTCTAGTGCTCTCTTGAAAGACTCAGGAATAGGAGCCTAAGACGGTTAGCGATAGCGTCGTATCTCTAGGTGAGTATACATACTTCTGGAAAATCAACGCAAAAGGCGTTCATGTTTAGCCCATACAGAAAACTGGCAAAGCTCTCGCTAAACCTCGACAGACTTTCGTGCATCAATTGAAGGTGCATAAAGTTTGCCTCTAGGTCAGCCATCGAGTCCGCCAGCTCGGCAAATTGCGGTTCCAGCGAGTTGATGGCAGGCTCTTCATATCCAGCTGCGTTTAGACTGTCGCTATATCCATGTGAATTGCGAATTGACGACCTCGAACTAGGACGTAGCGGCGTTGTTGGTCTGGATGTTGGTCGAGGACGGGAGGAGGACCTGGGGGCGGTGTCCATGATGTCGTGAGTCGTGATTCGTAACGAAGGTGTGACTGCCAAAGAGGGGCAATGATTGACAGCAGCCACGAGGAGCAGGGAGCGCAGCGAGATCGATCTTTATCACGATATGATATTAATTTGACGAGCCTCGGTATATGCCAGTTTTGGTATCTGATACATATGAAACGGTAGCACCGAAGGAGATAAGAGGCTAGCGTGGCGCCGTAAAGGTATGATGCAAAAGATGCAAATTGATTGCTTTCTGGTCAGCCTATGCCCTGTTGGACAGTTTAGTCTGGTTTGTTTTGGTGATTTGAGGGATGAACGCGAGGGATGCTTAGTTCGCTGTAAGTTTGTCTACCGCATGATACGAGTGGGGAAGTAAAATACGCACAAAGATACAGCATTCCGCCAATCAGCAGCCTTTTATGCTCGAACGTCGCGTATTGATCGGTACAGTGACGCACCTGCCTGTTTTACACTTTCTATCCAACTTTTGCCGCAGCCGCAGATCTCTAAAGTTCCTCTTCTTTGCTCCGCTCAATCGACTCTGGGATGGACATATTCTTATTGCCTCAAGTGTTACTACTATATCATTATTATTGAGCATTCAGCCTGTCTTCATCTTTCTCTAAAATTTACTATCCCGACTCATTCATATCATCGAGGCATCCGAAGGCTCCGCCGACACTAAAAGGAGAGTTTGATCCTTGGCGCTGTGCAGGCACTACTTAACAAGCGCAATCGTTCCAACCAATCTCCCCTGGCTTTAATTTTAAGTCAAATCTGGGCTAAAGTCAGAAGCACATGCGTGCTGTTCAACGCTGCCACTCGGCTTTTTTTGGCAGTCAACCTCGTCTTTTCGTCTCGTCGCCCTTATCGCAAGGCTTGCAACGATCAGCGTCGCTTGCTTCCCCGCAAATTACCCCAGCGCCCTGGCCCTCTCAGAGATTATTTCACCACAATCACGTTAGACCTGGCTCCGCAATTCGCTCCAAACAACCGAGGCACGCATCATTTGGTTGGGGAGTAGTTGGAATTACGTGTGTGATTGGCGGCGCTGCAGCAATTCAATTACTATTTCACACAGCATCTGAAAAGGAGACTTCGCCCCAGGATACTTTCATCCAGCAACAATCTGACCAGGAGTATCACTACGACTTTACTGGAATTATTGATACGCTCAAAATGAATTCGAACGAGATCCCTGATGGCCACCTTGGCAACCTCACAAAGGAGCAAGAGGTCAAGCTCCGAGAGATGTGGGCAGTTTTGTTCAAATTGTTCGGCATTAAACTCGAAGGTGATCAGCTGGAAAAGACTCCCACCAACCCACCAGAGAGTCCTGATTCAAAGAGAAAGTCGAGGCGTGGGTTCTTCGGCTTCGGTGCTGCGAAAAAGGAGGAAACGGCTGCGCCAGATGTCGGCGGCTTAACTTTATCAGACCAAGACGACAAGTATGGACAGAATAAAGAGTTCAAACAGGCCGTGGCCGACCTCAAACCTGAGCAATTGCGCGAAAGTCTGTGGAGTATGCTCAAGGCCGACCACCCAGATGCTCTTCTTCTAAGATTTCTTCGTGCCCGAAAATGGGATGTCAACAAAGCCGTCGTTATGCTCGTATCAACCATGCGATGGCGTCTTGTAGAAATGCATGTTGATGACGATGTAATGGAGGGAGGCGAAGCAAAGGCCATAGAAATGTCGGAGAGCTCCGATTATGATGCTAAGAAACTGGGTGGCGATTTCATGGCACAGACCCGCATGGGCAAGAGTTTTATCACTGGAATCGACAAGCAAGGAAGACCGATTTGCTTGATTCGAGTCAAGATGCATAAGATTGGTGTCCACTCTGAGAAGAGTACCGAAAGATATACAGTTCACATGATCGAGACTGCTCGGCTCATGCTTCCACGACCTATTGAGACTGCAGTGATCCTGTTTGATATGACCGGTTTCACATTAGCTAATATGGTACGTCACTCAACATGATTCAGTGTCAGTTTATTAACGCCATGCAGGACTATGCTCCCGTCAAGTTTATTATCAAGTGCTTCGAAGCCAACTATCCAGAGTCCCTTGGTGCTGTGCTCATCCATCAAGCACCATGGATATTCTCAGGTATGTGACCCGCTTTTGTGTTTACAGAGCATATCTAATTCATGTTAGGCATATGGAAGATCATCAGGGGATGGCTCGACCCTGTTGTCGCAGCCAAGGTCCACTTCACCAATACTACCGAAGACCTAGAACAGTTCATCGACCGCAGCCGTATCTTGAAAGAATTTGGTGGTGAAGACGAAGCCACTTTCGAATATATTGAAGCCCAACCAGGCGAGAACGACGCTATGAAAGACACCACCAAACGCGAAGAAGTCCTTTCCAAACAAAGAGCCCTTGCACAAGAGCTACAAGATGCCACAAAGCACTGGATTGAGGCCGCTAACAAGAACGATGAGGCCGGCGTCGAGTCATGGAAAGCCAAGAGAGAAGAACTCGCTCAAAAATACTCGAAGGGTTACTGGGAAACAGACCCATACATCCGTGCTCGCTCTGTATATGACCGCAATGGAGTCATTCTTGGTGGCGGAAAGGTCAAATTTTATCCTGAACAAGAGCCAAAGGACACAACAGCCCTTGCACCAAGTACCGCTGAACCAAGTACCGCCGAGACTGAAGAGAAGAAGGTTGAGACCAATGGAACAGCTCCAGCCCCCACTGTAGAAACCGAGAAGAAGGCTGAAATCGCCGTTACTCCAGAGGTCAACGGCGTTGAGGCCGCTGCTCCCGCCGTTGCTGTTTCCGCCAACTAAACTATGTCTATCTAAGTTCAGTTTTAATGGAACAGTTTTATTGGAATTCAGAAATCTATCATCTGGAGGTGTTTACACCATCTAGATACATTTGAGCTGTTGAACACTTATGTACAGATTTTCGCCTGATTTGACTACTATGTTCAGGATATGTGTGATTATATAGGTATTTTCGTTTTGCTGGAAGGATTGGATCTGAATTATTTTCCGCAACAGCACTTGAGGTCTAGATATAGTCCATATATAGTCTGCCGATATATATGGACCAGCCAGAAAGAGTTATCAGAGTTATCATAGCATCAATTGAACAGAATGAATCTTTTCAAAAGCCGTTTTTCCCTATGACCCATTTTCCCCAAGCTACCCCCCGTTCAAGTCGTAAGAAGAGAGATGCGATTACATCTTGCTCTTGAGCTCCTCAAACAAGGCCTTGAGTTTGTCCATATCAGTCGCCTGAGCGGGCCATTTGATTCCGAGACCTTCAGTCTCGTTCGGCTTTGGGATCTGTGTGTCATATCAGCAACACCTCCATACTCCGATTTTCAAAAAAGTTGAGAACTTACCACATGAAAATGAACCTATTGTGCAAAGCTCAAGTGGTTAGCTTTTTCTTGTTCTTATGAGAGATAGATAAATGGGACTGACGTGATCAACAAGCTGATGCGCAGCACGGCCGTTGTTCTGCAAGACATTGAAATCTTCAGCACCGGTTGCTACGACGATTTTCTTCGCGACGGGCTATATTTTCAAGGCTCTTGTCAGTAAAGCTAATTTCATGTAATAGAGGCGGGGGKGAGGGGGTCAGGAGGATGGCCTCCAAGGTCCGCATTTTGCTCCTTGATTACATATGATCGCCCTATGCCACGCTGGGTTCTCGTTTTCTTGGAGATTTGGAGGTATACATACCAGAAGCTCAGTCAAATACTCATCCGGGATATCCACGAGTTTTGCGCCGTGATATTTGGGGATGACGAGCTGTTATTTCATGGAGTGACAATCGCGTTAGCCTGAATCATCGATACATACATACACAGATATCGGTGTGATGTGCTGCTCAACGAGATTGCGATTTGAAAAAAAAAAAAAAAAGCAAAGGAACATACAGCGTGCCCGCGACTCAAGGGCTGAATGTCGAGGAATGCAAAGACCTTGTCGCTTTCGAAGATTTTGAAGGATGGGATGTCACCTAATCATTAGATATCAGTTTCGTTCTAGGAAATATATATTCACTCGGTCAACTGGATTGGATGTATTGGGAGCATTGAAGCGATGATATCTGGTCTCCGTCCTCGGTATCTTCGATATTCTTGAATGCGGGGGAGCTACGTGAGGGAAACGTGAAGGGTGTTAGAAACGCACCCTTGATGATCTTGCAGAAGATGCAGGCCGGAGATGTCATATTGAATGGTGCAAGTATTGAAATGGTCTAAGGTCTAATTTGCTTTTCTGAGTTACCGTCAAAGGATTGGATGGAAGAAGTGTCAACAGGGAAGGAGCTGGAGCTGGAGACAAGATGACGGAGGAAAGTGGGGCTCGAAGTCAACACCGACAACAACTTAACAACTTCCAATGAATGTCTATCTGACCACTGTCGATCACAGTCAGTGGTACCGTTATCTGTCATGCGCTACTTTGTATGTTTGCTTCAAATTGAGGGAAATCTCGAACATCTCACGGGAGTTGTCCTTGACTATAGCTTCTTGAGTATGCTATGTTGGACCACGAACCTTCAAGATCTTACTGTCACTCCATGCATACAAAGTTACAAAGGATGAATTCAATATTGTCAGAAGTATTATGCTACTAGATACAAGCACTTAATGAGACGGTTCAAGCAGTCTGAAGTCCTCAATGGAAGCCGCCAACATGTCGCACCACCGACGAACCGTTTGCTCAGTATACACCCGGCCGTCCGCGTTCACAGTTATTTGGAGGTAGTCTCCCATCGGTTTCGCAAATATCATGACCGCTTCATCTTCCATCATCCTCATGCCAGGCCTGATATCCTCAAGGCATCGTAGTCGACATGAGACTCCTTTAATTTCTTCTTCGGCATCGCCCAAATCTTGATAGCTCGTGACAAAGCCGAACGAGCGAGTCTCTCGTGGCCAGTTAGTGCAGTTTTCAATCACCTCCTTCGCTCCAAGAGTGTCAAACGGCAAACTATCAATGAGCTGCTCGTGAACCGATTGGCGGGKCTGCTCCAAGGATTGAGTATCGTGGACACGAACCGGAATGATATTGACACAAGGGCCCGCAGCGTTGCGTAGCTGCACTGGAAGCATCGCTCGGCCAGAGACTAATCTTCCGAATGTCACATCGGATGAGCCAGTTATTTGAGACAGAAAGCGTGCACATGCTGCTGTGAAAGTGGTCGCTGGAGTGAAACGATCATTGCAGGGCAACAATTCTACAAGCTGCCGAACAACAATTGGAATCAAAGGCTTTGAGAAATCGGAAATGATGCGGTCAGCTGCAATACTCGTGAAACTTGACCCCTCGAGTAACGTCCTCCAATATTTGACAGCTGCGAGCTGGTTGCTCCTGGTGTGTTGGATAAAAGCAGTGAAAGGACTTTTGTCGGGGAATTGCTCTTTGTTGAATGAAGCTCGAAGGCACTGCATAAGATTAAGCAGGCTTGTGCCATCATATTGTGCATGCGACAGCCGGACAATCAACCTCATAGCGCCATTTGAACCAGAGACAATGTAGAAGCGAGTGAAGGGAGCAAATAGAAGAAGAGGCTGCTGGACATCATCTTCATAGATTTTCTCAGTCAGGTATTCAATATTTCCCTCATCGGCCGAGCGGTATTGAACTGGAAGGTTAGATTGTTCAGGCACAAGTTGCAGGTACTGGTCTCTCCAAGGGATAAAAATCGTCCGAAGGATGTCCATTTCCCGCCACAAATCGCTACAGCCGCGAGTCACCTCCTCCAAGCTACTGTCCGAAGGAAGGTCGATGAAGAAATAGTCCAGCAGCCGTGGAGGACTGGCTAAAGCTAGATCGATGCAAGTTGATTGCCAGCGAGTGACCGGGAAGACGTCCGAGACTGATGTCATGTGGGCTAGCTTTGTCCGGACAAACGTCTGGGCATTATGATCAAGCAATGAAAAAGGTCGCGGCGCGACATTATTTGCTGCGGTCATTACTGGTCGAGCAATTGATGCAAGATCGCCAAGCAGGGGTCGATTGAAAATGTCAGCGACAGTAAAAGATAGACCGTGCTGTCGAGCAGCAGTAACGAGTCGCATAGCCGCAATTGAGTCTCCGCCAACTTCGAAGAAGTGATCCTCTATTGATATAATTGAGTCCAATCCAAGGATAGATATCCATAATTCTTGGAGTTTCTTCTCAATGATGGTTCGTGCGGGTATGTGCAGCTGCTTCCCAGGTGTATGACGGAGAGAGGTCACCTGCTCACGTGTGAGAGAATTTCCCATGGCACGGAGTCTCTTTCGATCTGTCTTGCCATTTGCTGTGATTGGGATATCCGAAATACTAATATACAAAGATGGTATCATATAGCTGGGCAGCACGCAAGCAAGCCTTTTCTCTAGCTCATTGAGCTGGAACTGTGATCCGCCCCCTTTGACGAAAGCGGCCAGCTTAGGGCTAGCACTTGCCACCGGCGTGACCACCTCTACAACTGCTTGAGAACTGGTAGCCCCCATTGTGTACAGTTGCTTAATGAGATGATGCTCAACTTCTTCGAGCTCAACTCTTTGCCCGCGAATTTTCACCTGAGCATCTTTCCGGCCGATGTATGTCAGAGAGCCATCAGCATTGTACTTCACCAAATCGCCAGTCTGATACAAACGCCCACTTCGACCAGGAGAAGAAAGTGCGCCACGGTTCAGCCATGATGGATTGGTCATTACCACGGCATTTGTTCTTTTTATATCGTGGAGATATCCCATCATCAATCCCGGTCCCTCCACCACGAGCTCGCCTATAGCGCCGATAGGCGCTAGTGCATCTCGGTTTTCTGGTCGAACAACCCAGCAGGTACTAGCTGATCCAAAACCCAGAGTCCCAGTAGCCCAACCAGGTAACTGCACCAGCGAGGTTGCGCTCAGCGAGTATTCAGCAGGGCCATACCAATTGAATAATGTCAGTTTATCCACCCACGGCAAGACATCTCTATCAGTCAAGGCCTCTCCCGCAAATACAAGTGTTTCGAGAGTCGAAACGTTTTCAGGGCTAATGGTCCTGGCCACGGAGGGTGAGAAAGACGCCCAATTCGCTTCCAGCCTCAGTACCGCTCCCGCAAGGTCGTTATGTCGATCCTCTTCAGATGGAATACATATGCAACCACCGCTCGAAAGAACCATCATGGTCTCGTGGATGCTGACGTCAAAGGAATACGATGCGTACTGGAACACCCGTGAGTGGGTCCCGACGTTGAACTTCCTCGCCATGTACTGCGCGGTTGTGCTCAGACAGCGGTGATCGAGCATAATGCCTTTGGGATTACCGGTGGTCCCAGAGGTAAAAAGAACCGCGGCCAGGGTACTGGGCGTTACTTTCTGAGCGAGGGCGCAATATTTGCTGTTATCAAACCCACTAACATTTTCGTACTCTTCAGGAAAGATCGTCGCTACGTTGGGGAAATAATGAACATATTGTGTGCTTGTAATGACCACCATAGGTTGAATAACCGAGATCATCGACTCGCGCCTTCCGCTGGGCAGAGATGGAGGCAGCATGGAAAACGCTCCTCCAGCTTTGAGAACCGCAAGCATCGCTACTGGAGCCCATTTGGACTTTTGTAAACATACAGGGACAATTATTGCGGGACCTAGGAAGAAAGAAGAAGTCAGGGCCAGGTCTACGCACAGATTCGATGCTTGCTACTTACCAACACCATGCTGGAGAAGTGTGTTAGCTAATCGTGTAGAGTGTCTGTGGAGCTCTTCATATGTGAAGTCCCCGTCCCATGCGCATATAGCAGGCGCAGATGGCTGCTCCCACATGGTTTTTAAAATTAGATCTTGGACGAAGCCTTCTACCGCAGCCGGCACATTGCGATTATACCTCCAGATATCATTTGAATCTTGCTCGCTGATGATATCCATAGTCGAAAGTTTCTTTGCACCAGATTCTGGAGTGCACAGTTGCCGTAGGATCTGTTCCAGCTGTTGCATCATTCGGTTTGCTTGCTGCTCGTCCAAAATCGTGGAATCAAAGCTGATGCGAAACTGTATGCCTTCATCTGCCAAACTGCATTCGAGGAGGAGTGCATATGGATTGAAAGCCTCCAATTTCCAATTATTGTCAGTAGTCGGCATGAATAAAGAGCTCTTTCTATCTGTCTCATTCTCTGGCGGCTGAATGACTAGTAATGTTTGAAATTGGCACGCTTTTTCTGCATCATCACAAACCCGTCGTATCCATTGCAGACCCATCTGCTCAACAGCTGCCATTTCAACGGCTTGCTCTTGCACCCGTTTAAGTAATTGATCAATATCTTCTTCCCAGTCCAGGACTACACGAACCGGCGTTGTGGCAATAGTCGGTCCGGTCATCTGCTCGACCATGGGCACAGGCGCTTGTCGTCCAGATACTGTAGCTCCAAACACCACATCATTAGTAGCGGTATATTGCGCAACTAATATTGACCATGCTGCCCGGACGATATTTGATCGAGTCACCCCTGTACGTGGCCAACGGAAACTGCTGACTGAGTGCATCATTTCAGTGTTCGCCTTTGGTTGCTGAGCAGCTTGTGACACCCGAGGGAAGACCTGCGCTTCTGTTCCCTCTAGATACTTGCGCCATTTAATGGCTGCATCTGCCCCATCTAGTTGCTGAATGTGTCGAACAAACGCCTGGAAGGGTGGGGATGGAGGCAAGGTTTGCTCACGGTAGGCTTTTTCAGCCATATGGCACAACAGAGGCACGGTCCATCCATCACATATTGCGTGATGCATGGTGAGCGTGAATAGACGCACTCCATCGGGACTTGTCTGCAAGGCAAAGCGTGCCAGCGGCGTTCCGAGACCCATGACATCGGACTGAATTGTCTCATTATGAGTAGTGTCTGCGTCTAAAGACCACTCAATCGGTATATTGGTCACAGCTTGCATTAATCCTTGATCATCAAGGTCCACAATGCATGTCCGAAGAATTGGCGATTTTGACACAACTGCCTCCCAAGCCGCTCGAAACTGGCTCAATTGCACTGAAGGTTGCAACTCATGTACGCTCCGTACTACATACTGGTCCGCCCTCCGAGCCGATAACGCTAGTAATCCTTGTTGTAGTGGTGTGCAAGGAAATACATCTTCAACCTGGCTGGCCTCGATGCCACAGATATGAGCGACCGACTTTCGGATTGTTGTCTTATCTTGTCCACCAAGCAAAGAGAATGGAGGAATGACCTCGCTTCTCACATCTTCTAAGGGAATCTTTCTCACAATGTTCGCCAAGTCACACAATCGGGGATGTCTGAACACATCACCGACGCTAAGGAGTAAACCTTCCTGGTAAGAAAGTAATATGAGTGATATGGGATAGGATTAAAGATTAATTGATAGCTAACACTCACCTCACGAGCAGCCGCTACTAACCTCATTATTCCAATTGAATCCCCACCAATTTTCAGAAAGCTATCCTCAGCATTGATCGCATTTGAATTGATCTTGAGTACAGAGCTCCACAATCTTTGCAATAGCCGTTCTATCGCAGTCTTCGGTGGACGACCTTTCGTTCGAGCCAAGTTCAACGCGGCCAACCGCTCCAGGGTGTAAGTTGCCCCGAGTCGACGTAGCTGCTGTCGATCAGTCTTTCCAGTCTGAGATACTGGAATTCTGTCCACAGATATATAAGCTGTCGGAACCATGTATGACGGCAGTAATTTGGCCAGCTTCGACTCCAAGGTAGTCATTACGGCTTCCATGGAGTCGGTATTCTCGATGAATGCGACTAGTATCGCATTGTCGCTTTTCAATGGGCTGATGACTTCTGCCACCACTGAGTACGACGTATTCTCAGGTAAGCTTTGACGGATATGGTGCTCTATTTCCCCAAGCTCAACACGCTGGCCACGGATTTTCACCTGTCCGTCCTTTCGACCAACGAAAAGCAGTGACCCGTCCGCAGCATAACGAACGAGATCTCCCGTCCTGTAGAGACGACCGGAACGGCCCTCAAATCCTGGTGCTCCTTGTAAGAGCCAAGCTGGACTGTTAACAAAAGCCGCCGCCGTTTTCTCAGGATTATTCAAATAACAACGCCCTACGAGGGGGCCCTCAATCCACAATTCACCCACGGATCCTATTGGTGAGAGGACGTCTGGATTGTCGGCATTGACCACCCATGTCCGCACACCAAGGCCGTTACCAATTTTTGATGAAACCGCATGCTCATCCGTTACCGTGGAGAGGATGGAGCATTCTGCTGGACCATAGGCAAAACGCACTTTGGTAACTGTCCTCATTCGACCAACTTGCCTCTCATCGGGTGCCTCTCCAGCCAGTTCTATCATATCTAGCGCCTGTAAAGAGGGCGTATCAAGGAATTCACACAGCTTCGGTGTTAAATTCGCAAAATTCGGCCGTAGGCGGCTGATACAACCGGTGAGATCATTCCGGCGGTCATTCTCAGAGGGTATACAGAGACAGCCTCCGGCGTAGAAGGTGTGTAATGTGTTGTACCACGCCGCGTCAAAAGCGTATGAAGCAAAGTCAAGAACTCGAGAGGTCCTCCTGAATCCTAGCCGGGAGGTTTGGTATACTAGGGCACTGCTGAAGTTGCTGTGTGTGATGACGACGCCTTTGGGCATTCCCGTGCTGCCGGATGTGAAGACAAGATATAGCATGTTATTTGGACGGACGACTGTGGGTGGCACAAAGGGCAAGTCTGTTATGCGTGGCAGCTGTTCCAAATTGTCCTTGTCAACTACCATGATGGTTGTGTCATTTTTTGAAAACTTCTTGGCCAAGTTCAGTTGACTTGCCGAACACAACACAACCTGTGGTTGTATTTGATCCATTATTGCCTGCAGTCGAGCCTCTGGCTGGGTAGTATCAACCCCACAAGAAGCACCACCCGCCTTCATCACAGCCAACATTGCCACAGGCATCCATAACGACTTCTCGAAACATAGTGGTACAATTCTCTCTGGTCTAATGTTGAGCCGCATCAATTCATCAGCGAGTCGTGACGAAAGGGAGTCCAACTCCCTGTAAGTTAGTTCGCCATCCCACGAACAGATTGCTTGTGTCTCTAGTTGAAGATTCTGTTTAAGAAGATCGTGCACACATGCGTCGACTGCAGGTGATATGTCGGCGTTCCAGCTCCATATCTGGCGTAGATCATGGTCACTGATTTGATCAGCCCTGGGGTCTCCCAGATTTATTTCCGCTTGCAATAAGGGCATTATACAAAATTGTTCAAAATAAACTTTTGGTGAGTGAAATCTAGTCTCTTGACTGCCAACCTTATCTTGCCTATAGCGTCGGATTATAAGGCTTCTATCTTTCAGCATAAAACATGTATATTCGGCCCCTTAGTCACACATGCTTACCGGAGGGAGTCCTAAGTAGAGGACCTCACTTACTTACGTGCCTCTAGCTCAAAGCGTCTTGTAATTTATTCTAGGAAAGGTTGAACAGCTGAACAGTACGTACATTGTCGGCAGTTGCTAAACTGAACGCTACAAATCACCTACCATGCTTTGATCAGCATACGATGTAGTCTCCCCTCAATCGATGGTGACATCGTGAGCGTATATGCACCAGTCTTGTTCTAGAATTGAGGATACGTAATGAATGTCTTGAAGTTCTCGGCAGGCTGCAACTCGGATTCCGAGTGCTTTTGCCACAAGGTATGCGATAATGACGATTTGGCATGACTTGCTGGCAAGCACATGGGGAAAGATCCACATAGGACTTTTCCGAAGACAATGTGCAAAATTGTACGTTATGCACAAATGGTCTCGCATTAGGTAACTCCGAGAGGGGGCATCCTCGCTCTCATGCCCTAAATTCGGTGGTTTTCTGGATGGGGGCTACTTCTGGGGAATGTCATGGTTTATTAATATTAATATTTCTAAAAGTGAAGCTGACCTGACGTCTTAGAGTATTGTCCTAGTTCAAGACCTTACTTCCTATCAAATTTTTTATTCAATTCATTACTTCAGCATCCTGGATCAGCAAAAATGGGCTCAATCTCCCCAACCTCAGCAATCCCAACAGTTGATATAACCGATTTCCTCGAGGTCAGCGACCCCAGGCTCCGCAAGCAAAAGGCGGACGAGCTCGTCGAGTCCCTCCGTGTACATGGTACCTGTGGTGTTGTCGGACATGGCATCAGTGTCGAAAAACTCAGAACGGCCTTTGAGTGGTCCCGCAAGTTCTTCGACTTGCCTATGGAAGAGAAAATGAAGGCTAATCACCCTGATGGTATTGTGCCACATCGTGGTTACTCTGGATTTGGAAGAGAGAAATGCTTGATCTATACGGAGGAGGAGCTGGAGAAAATGGAGGGTGAATTAAGTGCCGAGTTCAAGAAGCCTCTTGATTGGAAGGTAAGCAACTAGAATGCGAGTACTCATTACCTTTAAACTAATGCAATAAAGGAACACATTGATATCGGCAGTGAAGAAGAAAAAGTACACCATAATCTTTGGATCGACGAAGACGCCCTCCCCGGTTTCCGTGGTTTCACTACGACCTTCTTCTGGGAACTTGAACATCTAAGCAGCGAAATCCTAAACGCTATATGTCTCGGCCTAGATACAGACGAAGAAACAGCCAAATACCTACGTAGCATTCACACCGGCCAACAAAACGGGCTCCGACTCATCCACTACCCAGCTGCCCTCGAATCCACCATTGACCGTACATCGACAACCTGGTGCCCTACCCACACCGACTTCACCACATTCACGCTCCTCTTTCAAGACGAGAACCAGGGCCTCGAGATTGAAGATCGCTTGAACCCAGGCACTTTTGYCCCTGCCACTACCGAGATCGAGGAGCGGCTATACCTCACTATCGGCGATTTCGGCGAGATCTGGACCAATGGATACCTCCCTGCCTCCAAGCACAGGGTTATGATCCCTCAGCCGCCAGAGGGACGCCGATTGACTTCCAAGCGATACTCGATGCCGTACTTCATTACGCCAGAGCATCATGGAATTATGCGTCCGATGGAGACAGGGAAGCCAGGGACTATGCCTAACGGAAAGTACAAGACTACTACGGTTCAACAGCATATTGAGTTCCGGATGAAGTTTCAATATTAGCCTCTAGGTCTCAAATGCTGTTATTACAAGGCCGGTTTGTTGAGTGGGAATGAGCCTTCCGACTACGTAGTATTTACATGTAACTATTTCAACTGTTGATGGATGATGTATGTACGAACGAATACACGCAATTTCGTTATAAAAAATTATACACATAACAATTTACCTGGATTCCTAGAAGAGCTTATGCAAGAATTTTTCCCAGGCCAGTAAACCTAGGGAAATAGTACTGTGGTCGACTACTGTTATGTTCTGTCCATGCAACGAAACTGGTTTAGCCCTAGCCCTAGCCCTAACTTCCGGTACCCGCTCATGGTGCAACCCATTGACTAGTTACCTCCGAAGCAGGATTCCTAACGAAGCAGGATTTTCAAAAGTTCGTACGTGCCGACAAAGCCGAAGGTGCAGCTCGTATTGACATCACATTGCTTCGTAATGTATCGTAATAACTTCGTCTTGGATTCGTTTTGGCTTTTGTTGACTATGTATTGCACGGTATTTCTTAGTGCTGACTTCCTTTCAACCATTAACCAAATGCATAAAAAGCATAAAACACTCAACGGGCTTCACGAGGGCTGATGAAGCATGGGCTTTCTCCACAGATCTTAGCACTTTTTAGCGCGTAGTTAGTTACGACAATAAGTCTTGTAGCATTTTTGATTTGGCCGGCGACACACCATCCCTAATAGTGCAGGTCTGGGGGATGGAGACAATCGGCCCCCCCCAGATTTGTCTTCTGTACTACTAGATGACTAACGACGTTGCATAGCACTTTAATGACGCCATGTGGTAAGACATTTTGTAAGAATATCGCACTATGAAGTCGTTGGCTTGTCTACGGAGTTTTGGTCATCGGAGGTTTGCAGAATAGTCCGAGAATTCCTGGAATTGGAAATAGGCTGTAGATCATGGTCTAAGATCCCAGAACTACTCGAAATGGCGTCGAATTTTCAGCGTTGGCTTGAGAAATCACGCAAAACCACCGACATGGGGCGGACGTGAAATCGATTCGGCGATTAATTCGGTGAATGCTGAACTTCGTCGGCTTTACTGAAATGTAGTCGGCGTGCAGTGGCGAAATTCGCGTAGATGTTATCCTGAGCTCATAGGTCACACACCATTCCCGAGAAGCTGTTTGAGAATTTCTATAGACAACAAGCATTTACAACTCCTGGACTTGAAAGCTACAGCGAGCATACACTGAGTGACAATCAAGATGCCGGCTAATATGACTGCGTTTATGGACAAAACGAAGAATGATGATGACAACGTAACCGAGCAAGTACGGCTGGAAGATCAGCATGAGACGGTGGTAGCAGCTATGGAAGGGAAGTTGTTGTATGCCCCGGTAGATTTGTCTAAAGCAGGCCTCCGGATCCTAGATTCTGCATGTGCAAATGGTATGGCTGCCCAGTCATAATCACTTCGGATTCATTGTTATGACAACTGACATATTTGCAGGCCGTTGGATCGTGGACCTTCAAAAAGCGGCATCTCCAGCAGAGCACGATTACAGAGGCACCGACGTTGTCGAATCACTATACCCCAAGCCGCCGCCGAAGCGAACTCACTTCCAAGACCAATCGATCAAAGAACCCTTCCCATCTGAATGGCAGGGAACATTCGATGTTGTCCATCAAAGACTCGTCATGGCAGCCGCCGCACCCGAACAAACCCCTGAATTTGTAGTTCAGAACTTGGCTGGATTGCTGAAACCAGGAGGCTGGCTACAACTAGTGGAAGTGATCACAACACCTGTTCCTGAGAACCCAGTATCCCAGAACCAGTATATAGACATGTTAGACTCTTTGTACAAGAATCTATATGCGGGTACAAAGTATGCGAAATCGAATCTGATGGCCGATCTTCCTCAGGAGATGGAGGAGAGCGGACTTCGCAATGTCCAAAAAGCTGAGGTGTTGGTCAAGTATGGTGCAGCGACTACGGATCCATCGATTCGAGAGAAAAGTCTAAGGACTGCGGTTGCGGGTGTTCCGAACTTCTTGACGGTTCTCAAAGGTGTGTACCGACATTCTAATATTCTAATAAATGGTGTTCATGCTAAGCAAAACGCAGAAATGTCTGGAGACGTGTGGAAAGAAGAATGGAATGATCTTCCACAACGTCTTCAAAGGGACTTGGCTGAAAGTGGAGGTTACATGAAGTACATTGTTTGCTGGGGACAGAAGTAGGCAAGAACAAAATTACCGGCGCGATGAGATAGTCTGCGACGCTGTGGAAGTGAGACGTTGTAGATCATTTGGAATAGAGCTAGTTGAAGTGAATATTCAACCCTGAGGGCCACCCAAAGTTGAAATTATTGTTCAGAATACCTAGGATCTGTTGGTTTCAATATTAAATAAATCACAGGAAGCTTCCCAGCACACATATTTCCTAAATATCCAAACCGAGAATTATCATCCGACGTTCTCTTATAGCTGATCAAGTCAATGACCACGTAGTCAATAACTCCAAAAAAAACAAGGCTGCCCGCTTGCAAAACCTGTACCGCTTCGTGGGCCAGAATGATGACTGCGAGAAAAGTCTCGCCTAGGTCATCAACGTGTGTCTTCTATGTGAGGCCCCAAGGCCCACAAATTTGGATTGACAGACCTCCTGTCATGTATTCCTCATACCATGCATCTAGTTTCTCCAGAAGAAGATTCATTCCATGTCTCTTCTCACCCAGGAGTAGTCGACCATAGCATACCCAGTAAGTTGGCAATTACAATGTTAATCTCATGCCGCCGAAGATGCTCGGATCCTAAGTGTGAGTAGAATCTTGCATAATTCGATTGAGGCTGTCTCAACACATGGCCCACGGACCTGGTTAAGGAGAGAACTTTTGTTTTCCTTTGGCTGTATTCTTGATATTGCTCGTTCGGTAATGCGAACATGGGATAGAATTTGTGGCCGTCTTGTCCCATGAAACCCCAGCTATAGCGCAGTTAGTAAATTATCTGAAAAAACAAAAACTGTTGAAGAAACTCACTGTCCACTCGATTTTGGCACACATTATTGTCACCAGAGTTCATGAACTATTCCGCCGCTTCTTGTTTGCACCGATTCCAGTATTGACCACCGAACGCCAGATTTGACTTCCCCAATGACAACATCAAGTCCAGAAGTATCCATGCTCTATCAAATACATCTGAGGCCCTCCAAAAATTGTTTTGTAATAACCCTGCTGTCAGTGCCGCCTGGCAACGCGAACAAAAGGCAGTGAGCTTGAGACGGATTGCCAGTACTAAGGCATAATTGACCGTGATTCTCGCTTTTCTGCTGCCGTTGTAACCCCCTTGACATTTCGGCTTCTCCTTGTCTCCAATAAATCTTAACAAATCATGTCACCTGAAGTCCTCCCATATCTGATGCATCTAGTCGCGTCCTTGAAGCGGGTTGCAGCGAAAATGTGAACCTCAAGTCCTCATGCCACCTCCGATGCTTTTATCATGATTACCAGCAGAATCTCGCACGATTGTTTGAGGCTGCCGCCATCCGTGAAAGACAGCAATCTCTTCAAATTATTTGTGAGATACCTGAAAAGCATTAAATAACAATAGACCGACTATGACCGATTATGGCCAACATCTAAAAAATATAGAGACGTCGTCGAGACGAAGGTTGGGAGCCCATCTGTTGTAGTGATATCATTCCTTTTCCTTTCTGTCACAAAGGACAATAAGTTATTCAGAAGCTATGGCCAGACCAAAAACTGGGGGATCTAATTTCTTCTGATATTTCCTAGTACGTTCTCCAGAGTTCTGCGTGTGGTATTGAGTCCAAGTGCTTCGATTTTACGGAGTCGTTTAGTTGCCTAATTAGGTACTTACTTACCTATTTCGGAAAAATACAGACAAGGGAAATCCGGATCCAAGCCAAGACTGCTTTGAGGGATAAGCCAAAGCCACAAAGCTATTGTGGAAAAGCCCACCTAAAAAAGTTTTTTAACTATTCAATGAGATGGAATGCACCGCAAAATTGCTCTTATCGCACGTTACAAACAAACAAAGCCATGGTGGTGCCGCCCACCGACCGCCTCCTCCGCCTTCCACTTAATCACTCCTTCTCTTAACCTCAGTCTTCTCTCCCTCTCCCTCTCACTCTCCACCAAAAAATCATTCTTCCACAAATCATTCATCATGTATGACATAGCGGCACTCGATCTCTCCCAAGATGAGCCTCTGTCTTTCGACACACGAAGATACCTGGTAGGGTTGGCCATTCAAAGCTTGTACCAGGACGTTGCAGTAATAACTGAGCCAGTCCTGGAGGATCGACATATTGCGACGCTTCCAATACGAATCATGGAATGGGACTTGACTCACCAGGAAGGCGAGCGAACTAAGTCGGAAGATATATCGTTTTTTGAACCCATGAGCGAGGCAGACTACAGTTGTTATCGCATCGTTGCGACTAGAGAAGCTAAATTTAGGCTAAAGGGCTACAAAGGGCTCTTGGATAAGCCACCTTGCGGCATTTCTGCTCTCAGGATTGCCTATTGTTTGTGTACCAGCCTCGTTTGGATTGTTAATGGTGCACACAGAGCTGGAATTCCCAAGAGTGAACATGGTCACGAGAGAAGCCTTGGTTCCTTGACCGGATGGCTTCATCAAGAGTAAGAATGTCCGGTCTCACTGAATCAATACGATGGTGGCTAACTTGTGATGATATAATTAAAGCAGCTTTTACGACTATGGTGTTCCCGTGAGCTGCTCTGACACGATATTCAACAATCGAGGAACAAAACCACGAACTGAGTATGCGGGATACTGGAGGAGATTTCCAAATGCTGATACAAAATACAAGCCACATCTCATAGTTACTTTGATGCTTGACTGTGATGGCGAGGAAGGACTTCTTCGAGTGGAAGTACTCACAATCCTTGCAGCTATGAAAGGACGCCTTACATATCCCCATCTAAGAGACCATATCATCTTTCCTGTAAGTGAGAAAAGGGCCCCATTCAAAAAGACCTAGACTAATCAAATAATGCCTTTTTCTAGATCATGATCTTCTCCTTTATGGGCAGACAGGCACGAATAATCCAGTCTTATTATGATGGACAAGAACTCGTCATTCGCAAGAGTCAACTTTTCGCATTCCGAGACTCGGCAACTGCCCCCATGGATCTACTCGCTCGATACGTCGCCAATAAGCCGGTAGGACAGACAAGACGATTCACACAGCAAATCCTGAGCCCGTCGATCGAGTCTGTAGTCTCTTCAACCAGCAAGACCAACGCCATTCGACCAGATTCAGCTAATCATCTCAACGGTCTGCCGGTAGAACAACCCGACCAAGCGCTAAGAGTCAAGGAAACGGGTTCAAAAGAGCACCCACTGGGCCATTTGAAATATCAAAACAACAAGAAGAGCGAGCCAATGAGTTACTCTTTTCCGTAGACGGTCTCTCCATCAAGAAAACGCTGGATCATGCATGATACCCTCTTGCTTTTGGCTTTATGATGCCCATTTGGTGTTTTCCTTTTTTTGCGGATTTGGGCTGCAATATTAGTTACTAAATATTACATGAATATCGAAAATATTGCATCTTCCGATCTTAGTCTGGCAAATGACCTCACAGAGCTTCTTCGGCTTTTCTTGTCTCCCAGATTTCTCAGGTCCACAGACCTGTATGGAGATATCCATTCTATTGTTGGCTTCGACACCGTGGAAACAGATATCCTTCAAGAGAATTTGGGATAGTAAAATAAAAGTCTTTTATTGTCGTATGATGAGTCGAAATAGTGGCTCTTTTGTCCAGGTCGCTTCGCAATGGGCTTGGGACTGATTGCTAGTACTCAAGCATAGTTGACCGTGATCCTCGCTGTTTTGCTACAGTTATAACTCCTTTAACGTCTCAGGCTTCTCCTCCACAATGGCAGAATCATATTTAAGAGCCTTCCCGCTCTATCGAGGACATCGGCGGCGCTGCAGCAACTACAAGGTAGTCAGACCACCTCAGCAGATGCTCGTATGATAATTGCGAGAAGAATTTCGCAAAGTTCATCAAGATCTTCCCCCCTATCTGTGAGCGACCAAGGCCCACAGGCCTGTATTGAAAGAAAACCTTGGTCGTTCTTCACATTGTGGGATGAATCGAGGTATGCTTGGTATTCTTCGTCTGGCTTCGCAAACATGAGATAAACCTCATGCTGGTTCTGGCCGACAAGAAGCCGACTAAAGCGTGCGTAGTCAGTATCTCAAGTACACATAACAAAATGGGGTGAACTCACTGTCCACCTAGTTGTGGTAATCCATCACCGTTGGATTTCTTCATCCAGGCGACTATTTCTGATGCCTCCTGTTTCTCGACTTTTGTCAAAATTGATGAACGAATGTGCGGTTTGACCTCCACTATGGCTTGCACAATGTGCTTGTCTTTAGTGTATAATGCACCATCCGTTATTGCCGTGTATTCTCCCCTTTCGAATTCAGCTGTGAAGCTTAGCCGGGCCAGTGTCCAGTTTGATCTTTTGGACGGAATGAGCTGTGCGAGGGTCTCCAAAAGGTTGATACAGCACGCGTTTACAATAGACTCATCCGCGCATTGCGGATGGCCATCTGGATTGCTTGCCATTTTTCTTGACTCAACATTCCTATCTTGGCTGCCATTGCTTGTTTCACTCATTTCATCCCCTTCTTGACTGAGAATATCCTCAAAATATCTTACAATTCTAGCCGCACGTCTTCTCCTTGATTTGGTCTCGATGCGCTCCGCAGGTGGTGACTGAGCTTTCCGCCTAGCATCAGGTCTGGGTTCCGCGGGGTCCTCCATGGCTTTTTTATCCGCTTTAGTAAGGGATAAACCACGAAGCTGTTGGAGGAAGCGGACAAAGGCGTTTGGATAATTGAGGCCCTCCTGTAACTATCGATATCTGTTAGGGGATTTCCTACCACGCGAAGCATATTACCATATGATAGAGAAGCATCGAGAAGCTCTCTGGCAGAGGCTCGGGCTTTCATTAGATCGAGTTCCTTTTTGCAGTATTTTCCGAATGCTGTCCGTTTCACGTAAGGTGGATAATATGCTCGAAGCAGAGCGAATTGTTCATTTGTTACGTCCGAGCCGGAGTCGAGTTCGGATGTGTGCAGTTCATGAATGGTATTCTTAAGGGAAACTCCTTTGAGTAAGTTTTTGAAGCCTTCTGGCTCGCTTGGGATATGGAAATCAGCATCCTGGTCGTCCTTGGTCATGATAATTGTTGCTGGTAATTATCGTCGTCGACGAACAAAAGGAGTTTGAGGTGTACCACAAAAATGAATAGGAGACTCAGCGGAATTAATTATTTGACTCTTACGAGCACTAGAGATGAAGAGAAGAGGTTCAGAAATACTGAGTATCAAACTCTGATGAGCATACAAGAATAGAAAAAGGACACAGAGGATGAGTAGCCAGGATGCATGGTTGGAGAATACCTGTAGAGAGCAAGTAAGAGCCTACTACCCTCAGTATCAAGCTGGAAAGACTCATATAAGGATGGGTTTTGTTTGCCTTTGACTCAATGGATGCCATGTTGCCCACACATATCGATGAAATGGCGGAAATATCCATGTCTAAATGTACGCCCAATGACAAGGCTGTCCTTTGTTCATGAGCACTCTCTAGCTTTCCATCTGTTTACCTGACTCTGTTTAATTCACTATAATTGTCGTAGATAGATTCTACAAGTGCCATGTTACTGAAGACTGACGGTGATATCCATATCCTACATGTATTGTATGCATTTGCCTGTCAACAAAGTTGAGGCTGTTCCTATTTGTCACGTACTTTGCAAGGTCCAGAGTTTATGAATTGATATGAGATTATGTTTGACTAGCCTGGTACAGACTGGCAGCGTTTGAATCTTAGTCAAATGTTCTAGAATGCCCTTTTGATATGTACAAAGGTGTTTGATAGGTTGATACTACATAGGAACAAGATAGAAAGTAATGTAGTTGTGATAGTCTCAAGCAAACATCCATGGATCCAGTCATGCTATTAGCAGGATTGGTACGGTTGACTTGTAGATATTGGAAGAAAGACATTTTGCCTTATTGGGATTCTTACGAGTTGTGTCACATAAAGGATTACTTTTAACTCACAATAAGTTGTCCGACCTTAGACTAAACTCATCAGTGTTTACGAGAAGACTACCTACTTACTACAGAGTAGTCCTCGTATCTAAAAAAGTCAACATCTTTCGGAGATGGTTGAAACAATACGCTTGCCTAATTAGGTATCGACTTTCCTATTTAGGAAAAGACATAAAATGGTACTTTCTGACCCAGGAAAATTGAGCGATGATTTAATATACAGTCAATAAACGTAGTTGATATTACCCAGAGTCTTTCGCAGTATCTATTGAAGTGGAAAGTCCCGTAGAACATCCCTTTATCGCATCGTACAAACAAACAAAGCTGCGGAGGTTGCCCGGATGGCCGACCGCCCTAACCCTCCCTCACTTAAACTATCTACATCATCCTCAGCTTTCCTTTCCCTTTTCACTCACTCTCAACCTCTCAGCATTTCCATCCTACTCCAGATCAATCACCACGTTTGAGCATGAAGAAATCAAATTTCTTTACCCGTCTGTCCTTTGGCTCAGACAGAAAGTCGGCCGAAGAGACTATCGACAACTCAGACAGAGAATCACTCGAAGAAGTTATCGGCGACCCAGACAGAAATTTGGTCGAACAAACCATCGAAGACTTATACCAAAAGATTGACAACACTTCTGAGTCAGTCTTAGAAGACCAGCATATTACAGAGCTGCCAATAAGCATTTCCGAGTTAGACATGACTAGTCAGGAAAGCCAAAATAACACAACAGAACTGCTCTCGTTCTTCAAACCCATGAGCGATGAAGTCTACAACGGTTACACCATCTTCGAGAAGGACGACGCCTCCGAGACAATTGAGACTTTAGGCGAACCTTATCCAGGTTTGAGTACTATCGCTATCGCCGATGGTCTCAGTTCGGACCTTGCCTGGTTCGTGAATTGTGCACACAGGAATGAAATTCCTAGAGATGAATACGGGTTCATGTCAACTCTTGGTAGCCTCACCGGATGGCTTTTTCAACAGTAAGAAGCTTTTTTCTTCATTGACTTATATAAACGGTGAATTTGCTGCTGACATCATCCAGTAGCCTCTATGATTACGGCATCGACGTGAACTATTTTCATCACATATTCAACAGTCGAAAAACGATACCAGAAACTAGGTACCAGGGACACTGGAGGAGATTTCCAAATGCCGATACAGAAATAAAGCCACATTTCATGGTCACCATCAGCATTGATTTGAAAAAAGAGGAGAAGCTTCTTCGAGTAGAGGCGCTTGCAATTTTGGCAGCTATGAAGGGTTGTTTCCAGGATCGTCGGTTGAAGAAGCACGTTGTCTTTCCTGTAAGTTAGAAGAGTTCCTCACGCGAAGACCTAGTCCGATTAGACGATATATGCTCGCAGATTATGCTCTTTTCATTCATGGGTGAGTATGGACGTGTCATCCAGGCTTATTACGATGGACAACGTTTCGTCATTCGCAAGAGCCGATTGTTTTCATTTCGGAACTCTACGATCACCACTCTGGATTTGTTCGTCCGGTATGTCGCCAATACGCCAATAGGGAACACAAAAGGGCTCCTGAAGCAAATATCAACGCAGCCGAACTGCAGTGAAGTGGACTCAAATGTCGAGACTGATATCCGTAAAGAGCATCCAAAGATCCATACCAACGATTCGCCAAAAAGACGATCCATCAAAGTTCTAATTACTTCGGTGCCACCTGGACTGAAGCGCAAGAGGGACAGTGTTTTTCATCGACACAAGGGACCAACTGATTATACCAGTAAGAGGGCTATTGCTCAGGAATTGATGTGACTGAAGTGAGAAGAGTGGAGTATGTACGTTAGAGACAGGGTTAGATAGATTCTTGGTAATTATCAATCGTTCAAACCGCTCATCGAATGTATCCCCCGTGTAGGGTGGCTTCATTGTAGATTCGATACAATTCAGTCTTTGAGGTGGTCAGATAATCATGTAATGTAAATGCAATTGTCGGTGACTCGTTTGTTCCGCACTTTCCCCCTTGTGGAGAATGATGAGTGCCACGAGGGATCTGGTCACTCCTTGTATGGTCGTTTGTTTAAGGCGGCTGACCAGGAATGGGGTAACATATCTTTCTCCCAGACTGTCCACTAGCAATACCATAGCTTTTTGGAAAGCTAGCCAACAATTTGCCCGGGATATAAGGTACCAGCGTTTGACACGGAGTCACATGCCCTGCACTGTCCTAGCTGTTTGCACCATCAACAGCATTATTGCTCTTTCTATTAAGAACAGAAATGAGTGTTGATATATCGCCTGATACGTAGTTCCAAATAAAAGCTAGGTAGCTCTGGGGTAGACAGGAGGCGTCACTGGCCAAACGGAGCCCATTTCCGACAGTTCTTGATGAGGACTCATAACTGTCTGTGTTGAGGCATCCATCTACACTATATGCACGTAGGCGAGGGCATATATATGTCCTCGCCTAGATCAACACTATGTATGACCAGGCACCGCCTACCACACGCGGGGAATCCCGTCATTTCTCTTTGATGTATGCATGGGAAACTTGAACTCAGCCAATGAGGTCACTCAGGAGCTTCTGCTGTTTGCAATATTGCAAAATGACAGCGTTTGGCTTTTTTCTAGTCTTATGGCTTGCAGTTTCCCAGCCCCAGACTGTTTGACACAACATGCTGTTCGCCCCAATGATATTGCGCTTTGCCTTATTAGGCACTTATCAGATGCAAACTGCAAATTTCACTCAGGTATAAGGCTGTTGAAGTCCTGATTGATTCTCCCGTCTTTTTCTTCTTCTACTATTTACCCTCATTCTATCCCATCATCCTTGTCTCTCAACCATCCGTACGTTCACCTTGTCAGCTTCTTGCAGTGCGCTTACCTTGAAGCAAAAAGAGGGAAGAATCATTTTGTTAACCTGTGAAAGCTAAGACTGATCCATATCTCTATGGCCCCTCAGTTGACAACCCCAAAGACCATGCGTCGTTCCACCCGGTACAGATTTCCAGAACGTCCAGCAGATTTTCAATGGCTGGAAAATGGAATAGCCTTGAAAGAAACATTGCACACAATCGATCCCACTATCTTGAAGTCTGGATCTGAGGTCACCGATCGCCAGTATGCCCTTTTCAGGGCGTACTTCCCTCGCATAATGAAGCCCAAGATCGAGTTTAAGGACTTCTTGAAGAATGAACTGAAGCTGGAAAACGCTAAGGCGTTGGCGGTAATGATTCTAAGCGGTTGCAAGGCCTATGCCAACATGCTACAAGTTGTCGGAGCGGGATTGAAGGACGTTGACAATCTCGACCACCACTCCATAGATTCTCCGTACCACTGGATCCCTTTTCTTCAATTTCTGCAGGATATCGCCATCACGAAGTTTCAGAAGAACAAATTGGAAGATCCTTCACACGACAGGAAAAGAGCTCTTTCGCCATCAAGAAACGCTCAAGGGTCCATGGCCTCAAAAAGACAAAGACCCTCAATGACACAGTCTGAAAGCTCTGGTCAAGCAGCAGGGGCAATCCCAAATACCATACCACAGATGACGGTCAACGCTCAGGAATACCCAATTTGTGCTGATGAGAGTATTGTAAATGCCGACTGCCTGTTGCTGCTGAAGGCTCTCGCGAGCATGATCAAGGACAATCCATCGAAATGGGCGCTCATGCGTCTAGATTTTGAGGCGCGATTCGACGATAAACGATCTTTCAAAGCGATGACTGACGGGGTTTTATACGCCCGCGATGCCATGGTCGCGCAGGCGATCGTAGAGGTCAAACCGGAGATCCGTGGCAAAATCCTTAAAAAGCTCCAGATGCAAGAAGCTGCCGAGATAGTAGCATGGTTCAAAAACTCCGATGAACATCTCCTACCAGACCTGAATGGCTAGTAAGTTTCTTCATTCCTCTGTTTTACGTTAGCGAAAACAACTTACTTACTGAGCTGTAGTCGGTTCGCCCTTTCACTACAACGACATCAAGCTCACCTCCTTTTCGCAAGGCCAGTAGGGGACTATAGGGGCTACATTAATGGGACGAGTAAGGGTGGATATCTCTGCATCCAAGTCTGCGGACCATGGGACATCACCGACAAGGAGAGCTTGAAGAAGCTCTGTGAGCTCCTTCTTGCTATCATGATACAAGGAGCCCGTGCAGCAGGACTGAATGTTTTTTAAATTCATGATATCGGATATCAAACCCAGAGAATTGGCTACCTAGGAAGTTACTATCAAAAAAAGAATGGTATAAAGGGTTCTTGGGTAGGTGTCATCACATTCAGTCGTATCCAATATCGTACAACTGCCAAATTGGGAAAATGGCATAGAGAGGAACCTTTTGTCCCAGGCTAAGACTGACTCTAGTATAAGAGCAACAGCCAGATATCGTAGGCTTTCATTTAAGCGGGAATCACCGCACAAAAAAAACTAAAATTGAAGGCTACAAACAAACAGAAGTGTGGCTGTTGCCTGAGCTTATGACGTGCGGACCGCCTTCGCCCTGTCCCACGTAGAGCCATCACCCACCTACCTATCAGCCTCGTCTCTCTCGATTCACCTCTTTTACTCTCTCTCACCCTCTCAACACTATCATTCCTCCACAAATCGTTCGTCATGCCGCTCAAGATATTCCATTCTGGACGTCAGTCCCGGTTGGAGAGATCGAAGGTCGAAAAAGCCATCGAAGAATTGTATGAGGCGGTTGACAGCATGGATGTTACAGTCCTGGATGGCCAGCAGATCGCGAAACTTGCAGTGCGAGTCTACGACTTGGAAATAGATGATCAGGACGCTGGAAGCTCCAACTCGAAACAGCTGTCATTTTTTGCGCCTTTGAGTCAAGAACTCTACAAGCGTTACCCCCTCGGTGAGAAAGAAGAAAGGACTTTTCACAACAGCCTTCACAATTTTTTCAAGATACCGCCTGGCAAATCCTCCGCCATTAATCTTGCCGATGACCTGACGACCCAATTCGCTTGGTTCGTGGACGGTCATGACAGGCCTGACATCCCTATAAACGGAAGTTGCTTCAAGCCGACCCTTGGTGGTCTCTCAGGATGGGGGTTTCAAGAGTAAGAGTCTTCTACTTGGGTTAATCACCATAATTTTGGAGAAATTTCTGCTGACATGATCTCAGAGGTCCCTTCGACTTTGAAACTGACAAAGACAATGATGACTACGTATTTGACGACCTTGTAACGGAACCACCGTGTCTGAGAGCGTTTTTCTTAGACCGATATCCAGGTTACGAAGAAGAAGAAATATCGCATTTCATGTTTGGCTTGAAGATTGATTGCGAGAACGGACACGAGCTTTTCAAAGGAGAGGTACTTCAGATCCTAATGGCTATGAAAGGCCAACTCAAACTTCGCGAGCTAGAGAAACACGTTGTCTTCCCAGTAAGTCGACAGCTTCCAACAATCAAGACTAGGCTAACCACACTCTACTTTTCCTCAGCTCCTGGTCTTCTCTTTCATGGGTAGACAGGGACGAATCATTGAAGCGTTTCATGATAGTTCTTATCTCAACATCCACAAGAGTCGTCTGTTTGAATTTCGGAATTTTGAAGAGGCCCCGTTCGACTTGTTCGCCCGATACTTTGCCAACACGCCGATAGGAGACACTCGACACCTTCCGGTTCCACAGCAAATCCACACTGAGGCCACTAGTGCTGTTGACTCTACCATGAAATTGCATGACTCCGGTACTGTTCGTCAACAGCGTTTAACCAAACAAGGCGAGAATACTTTGGAACGCCAACCAAGCTTACGAAACTTTTGGAAGCAAAGGCTATCAGTCCGCAGCAAAAAGGATAATCGGCGAGGTGATGTGCGTACTACTTTTCCTGACCAAGTGGAGGAATGAAAAGACTGGAGTGTGCGTATGATATGCGATGGCTATTTGCTTTTCGGATCATTTTGAGCAGACCGACTTGGATGTTTCGTGAAATGGGGATGTAAGCATTAGTATATCTTCCAGTCGTGGTTTTGCTGGCCGACTTTTGGTGACCGAGAGCCTCTTCTTTACATAGCTATCGATACGTACTGTAAGACAAGGCTTAGAAACTGATACAGCCTAATTCGGAGCTTATAGCCTAGGTCAAGAAATTTGGGGTCATGAAGCTGCCATTATTCTAGCCTTTCGAGGTGAAAACTGTAAACATAAAAGCGTCACACGTCCCGATTTCCATTTTTTGAATTTGTTTTTTCCCCTTCAACCATTCAACAAAGAACAAACTTTCGATGAATGAGAGACACTGCCGCAAGAGAATGGTCCATCAGACAATCCCGTTTTTGTAGCAAGCTTAAGAGGGAGGAGCAGCACCGCGCCCACGGCCGAATCCACCACGGAAAGTAGGAGCGAATTCACCAGGGGCACCACCCTCCTTGCCTTCCTCACGGCGACGGTAACCGCCATCGCGGTCACCACGAGGACCACCACGGCCACCGGGGCGGCGCTCGCGTTCCTCGCCACCGAGCATACCGCGGGGAGGAGCGTGAGAGCGCTGCTGCTTGATGTGAGTAGCAGGGACAATCTCGGCGGGGACGTGGAGCCATTCGCGGAGGTAGTCGAGACCCTCGGGGGTGAGGGTGTAGTAGTAGTATTGCCAGGAGAAACGGGTCTTGACATATCCACGGGAGTCTAGAGACTGAAGAGCCTTGATGACCTGTTTATTGTTCGTAAGTATTCGCATTCCCTATTCGTATCGCACTTTTGTCGCTTTCGAGAACTTACGTAAAGGTTCTTGGTGTCAATTTCTCCATGCTTGGGAAGGTTGAAGTCCTTCTTGGCCACGAGCACACCCTCTGTTCATTGTCAGAAACTATTCCCTAACAGAGCGAATTGCGGTGTTTCGATTGATACATACCACGGAAGAGGTACTCGTGGATCTTCTTGCGGTCGGCCTTGGGAATAAGCCTGCTCATGAATTAGCATTTGCATAATCGTAAGCTTGTGAGATACCAAGATATACATACATTGTCGCGAGTTCCTGGAGCTATTCGTGGAATCGCTCTGACTATGCTGGTTGAAGTGATTGCGTTGGTTGGTTGTACAGTCAAGTCGATCTCAAATTTCCCGTTGGGTAAAAGTGCGGATGGAGTTGCGGCGAGGGCAAGCCCTAATCGCAGCACTAATCTGGAATAGTCTAGCGCGTGATGAGTCACGTGAATAATATGCAGTCTCCGCCCAGCCTCCGCAGCCGCCATCGCCTCAGTGGATCTTTGTATCTGATATCAACTTCACTGTTCGACTTCAATTTTGTCGCTAATATCCCCCCAGTATATTCAAGACAAGAGTCATATAATGGCGCAACAAATCAACATTCTTCTGTCGTCCTTTCCAGGACTGGCGCTGCCACCGACCCTCTCATTCTCACTTCCGATTACATCAACCGTCACCGATCTCACAGAAAGAATCGAGCACTATCTACCAGAATCACTAAAGCGCAGCGCGGCGAATCTCACACTTACAACAATCGGGAACAAACAGCTTTTGCCAGAGTCTTCACTACCCATATCATCTCTTTTCTCAACCAGTCAGAATGCATTGTCCGAGTATAATCTGCTACCTCTTCGTCTATCCGTGCCTCTGCGAGGTGGAAAAGGTGGTTTCGGCTCTCAGCTCCGTGCCGCTGGTGGTCGCATGTCCAGCAAACGCAAGCGCAACCAAGGCGAAAATAACGGCTCAAACCGCAACCTCGATGGGCGACGTCTTCGCACCGTCAACGAGGCCAAGGCTCTCGCCGAATACCTAGCTGTGAAACCCGAAATGGACAAGAAAGAGAAAGAAGAACGACGACGGAGATGGGAGGCTATAGTTGAGATGGCCGAAAAGCGTACTGAAGAAATCAAAAATGGTGGTGGGAAGAATCGCTTGGATGGACAGTGGATGGAAGACAGAGAAGAAATGAGCGAGAAGGCGCGCGAAGCTGTTCTTGCTGCAATGAAGGATGGTGGCTGGAATGATAGTTTGCGCGATGCTATTATGGGTGGGTCGAGTACGAGTGCCAGCGAGGGAAACTCTAGTCAAGAGGATGAGAGCGAGAGTGCGGAGGATGAGGATGAGGATAAGCCAGAGAGTTCTGCTCCGGCCCCGTCTTCTTCTAAGCCCGCTACATCGCGGAGATTTATAGGATTCGACGACGACGATGAGTTTATGAGCAGTGATGAAGACGAGGGCGCTGAAGATGGTAAAGACAAGGGCAAAGGACGTGCCTGAACTTAATCATGTTTCATATTATTTTTAATACGAGCTAGCACACAATAAATTGTATTATTAGCAGTCAGTCAATAACCGTTGCAAATCGACCTTATTTCAGTATTGTTCTTGTTAGATGAGATACGTAGATCCTTATCGGTATTGAGCTTATCGGGACTCCACTAAGAAAATTTACGGCTGGGCGCATGCACCAAACACGCCGCGCTGCATCATTTATTCTTGTCTTGCCAGAAATATATCCATCAGTAATCAATTTCTGCACATTTACATTTTGACTGTAGCATGATGTCAATTTACTATTCTCACTTGTCTAGGAGGATACCTGCTTTATCAAAATCCTGTCACTGCTCGAGAGAAAATCAGCTTCTGTCTCGATTGTCGCGAAATATTTCCTGCTCAACAAGTCTTCATTTACGTCCGAATGCGAATAGACGGAATATACGATGTGCGATAGGATCGCGATTTTCGAGTACAGATACATCGACAACGCCTCAGCCTCCTCCAGCACCAGTACATCATCCCGAGATAATTGTTAAAGATCAACCGGTAACACTGCGCGACGAGAAAGACTCCGTTACTCCTCCATTACCTCCGACATCAGTTTCTCTTCATGCAGATACATTACCTATATCATGCCCGGGATGCGGCGCATATGCGCAAACGATAGACTCAAATGAGCCGGGCTTCTATAGCCGAACTCGCAAAAAGGCGAAGCAACAGTGGCATAAGAAGCAGCAAGCTATTGCCAAAGAGCAGCGCGAAAATTCAGCTCAAGATGGCGAGGGTACGGACGATGGGGCTACCAGTGCAGCGTTAGATACAGGTGAGATTCATCTTGCAGAAATACGTCAAGTCAACGATCTAACACCGGCGCAGAAACAACTTCAAAAGACCTCGAAGACGAAGGCACCTACCTCGCAGCTACAGAATACATCCAATCCACCGCCCAACACACCCAAATCTGCGACCGCTGCCACGATCTCCTCCACCACAACAAGGGTGTCTCCATCCCTTCACCTTCTATCGACTCCATAGCTGCCTACCTCGACGAATCGCCCCATCGTATGAACCGTGTATACCATGTGATCGATGCCGCTGATTTCCCCATGTCTCTTCTACCGAATATATATGAAGCACTCGACCTCCAGGATCAACGATCACGGAATCGAAGATCCAAAACCGAGAAATACAAGTATGGCAAAAGAATGACTACGATAAACTTTGTGATTACGCGTGCGGATCTGTTGGCCGCGACTAAGGAGCAGGTCGATACATTGATGAAGCGTATCCGAGAGATCATTCTCAAAAAGATGGATATGAGGCGAGAAGATGTGCGGTTGGGCAATGTACATATGATTAGCGCTCATCGCGGGTGGTGGACTACACAAGTCAAGGAGGAGATTCGGCAGCATGGTGGTGGTGTATGGATAGTCGGAAAGGCGAACGTTGGAAAGAGTAGTTTCATCGAGTCTTGTTTTCCAAAGGACTCGAAGAATCTGGACAAGATTGCGCATTTGTTGGAAAGTCGGAAAGAGGAAGATGCCCTCAAAACTCCCAATGATCATACGCCTGAAACGACACCATACTTGGATCCAGACGCCCTTCTGCCTCCCGCACCACGCGAGGAACTCTATCCAACACTCCCCGTCGTCTCAAGTCTGCCAGGCACGACTGTTGGACCAATTCGTATCCCTTTTGGCCGCGGGCACGGCGAAATGATTGACCTTCCGGGCCTCGACCGCGGCACACTTCAAGATTTTATGGTAGACGAACACAAATCCGACCTGATAATGACCAAACGCATCCAACCCCCTGAACAACTCAGCATCCGCTCCCGCCAATCTCTGCTCATTGGCGGCGGCCTCGTCCGCATAACCCCCAAAGATCTCCCTGAAGATTGCACAGTGCTAGCAGCATGCTTCGTCCCACTCGAAACGCACACGACCCGCACGGAAAAGGCAATCGAAATCCAGTCCGGGGTGCGAAAGTACAACACTGGCGGCGGCGATCGCGGCAACAGCGTAATAAAACCCGAACATCTAGCCGATGAAGCAACCACTATCCGATCAGCGGGCACCTTCACGCTCTCCACGGACGTAACGCTGAGCCATCTACCGAGCATGATCAGGAAGAAATGGGACGATCACGGCATACGGCCCAACCTCGACACATTACCATACCGCGTCTATGCGACAGATATCCTAATCGAGGGGTGCGGATGGATCGAATTAACCGCACAAGTCCGCACTCGAAGAAGTTCGCTGCAGAACGATCTACCACAGATAGAAGTCTTCACGCCCCTAGGCAAACACATTGCCGCCCGACAACCACTCGAAACTTGGAACTTCATCCGCGACAAACGCAAGGCCGAGAAACGGAAACGGTTTACCTCGGGGGCTCATAGACCTCGGCGCGGAAATATAAGTCATAAGAAGAGGACGTTGCATGGTGGGAAGGGTGCTTAATCTTTCCTTTCTCTGTGTATATATGTAAATGTTGCGTCGGTGTATGGCAATTACCTGCTTTGTTTCTGCTCAGTGTATTATAGATATGTAGTAAATACCTTCTCCCTGGAACACAATTAATTCAGGCATCTGCTTTTTCATATCGAACGGAAATTCGGTAGGACAACTAGATATACGGTTTATTGAACAAACCAAAAAATGATATCATTGCTTTCAACGACTTTCGGAGGATATAACGAACTAGAAAATTTTGAAATCGAAATCACGAACGTAGTGAAAGTAAACATTTAGGGGGGAATAGGCCAATGATGGAAAAGAGTAAGAAAAGAAAGTAGAGATAGGACAGATCTCCGAATGAGCGACTCGAGATAGACATGGACAAAGAATACAGATAGGGGTGATGGTATGACGAATGGGATGATTTGGTTAACTCTATACACGCACATGAGAAAATAGAAAAAAAGACTGCGTCACGATGGAATAGATGGAAGTTCCGCTTGATATCTGTTTCGATACCAAGACCGAGTCGATACAGATAGATCACAGATCAATCAAGCTTCCGCCCTGCTGTTGTTGCTGATGTCCCGGAGCGCCAAAAGGGTTATTCGACTGTCCAAACCCCGTCTGCTGAGGGACGCCTGTGAATTGCTGGTGGAAGAAAGGGTTGCTTCCGGTCTGTTGGGGGCCGAATCCCTGACCCGCAGAGTTGATGAATTGACCAGGGGCGGTATGATGAGCAGGGACACGCAAGTCACCGGTGTTACCAAAGGTGTCTTGGCCCTCACCGCTTGCAAGTAGAGCGTTGAGTCGAGAGTATTGGCCATCATCGCGAGTGGGTTTGGCAGATGTTGCTGAGGCTTGTATCGGGTTTGGTGCTTGGTAGTTTGCGATAGGGTTAGGTCCGGATGGCATGGTGTTGAAAGCAGTAGTAGCCCTCTCCTCAGCCAATGTGTTCAATGTAGGAGGGCCAGGTCGGGAAGGCTGCGAAACTGGTCGATTGATAGCTGAAGCAAAAGGATTGTTTGAACCAGTAGGCATGGGTCGGAGGGAATCAAGACCTTGCTGCTTGTCAGTAGCCCATGGGTTGTGACTGCCAGGCTGTAGGTAATTGTCTTGCTGGGGCTGTTGTACTTGCCCGTACACGGGATTGGTCCCGTACGGGTTGTTGTTATTGAATGCTGTTTGCTGAGGCTGGAGAGACTGATTTTGATAAAAATTATTCTGGGGCTGTCCAAACTGTTGAGAGGGATCGTAGCCCGTTGGCTGCATCTGGAAACCATTGCCGTACGCATTGATTTGACCGGTGGGCTGATATCCGTTTGGTTGCGCATATTGGTTATTGAGATAACCGGTCGTCAAAGGTTGTTGAGCATCAAGAGGGTTGCCGAACCAGTCGACCGCAGGTTGCTGCTGGTAACCCTGATTGTAACCAGTCGGCTGTGCCGCAGCCACCGGGGTATCGTCAAACAACGATTTGGCGTTGCTTTCCTCCAATTCGCGCCTTCGCAATTCTTCCTCTTCTTTACTCAACCTGATAGCCTTGGCAAGATCATCGTCGTCATCATCGCGGGCAGCTCTTTCTCGTCGCTTGCGGTCCTCTTCTGCTTCGGCCTTGCTAGCCTCGATCGCCAGTTGATATTCTGTGTCATCTTCTTCACGGCCTCTGCGCTCGCGTCTGTCGCGGTTGGGGCGTTGACCGCCAGCTGCACTAGACCCACCATATCCTTGTATGCCTTCATCAATGCCACTCACGCGAGATTTCCACAACTTCCGGTCGGACCTCTCGCTGCGCAAACGATCTTCGTCAAGAATCAATGCAGTGAGTTCTTTGGCAGACACTCGAACTATCGTGTATCAGTATCAACCATTACATGAGCTTGCAAATGCTGATGACATACCATTCTGACCCACGTCTCGCCCTTCGTCGTCGATGTACTGGAACTCACGGAGAGTCTTGATAATATATACATTCTTCCTGGCCCAGGTGACAACAAGTTCCGAGCCCTCGTGGAGGCAGTAATCGAGTACTTTGAGCGATTTTAGGACGTGGCGCCAATTCTTTCCTTTATCGTTCAATCGCTTATCGAGCATGTCGACAATTTCGTAAAAGTCACTGGGGCTAACCGCGATTAGCAAGCATTCTGGGTGAGACTAGCATATCGTTGGATCATACTTGTTGAATGTGAGGGCAGCAATCTCGCCCATCTCCGTGCCCGTTGGGCCCCAAGGATCGTTGCTTGTGGCTATATAGTGGTTAGCTGGGCATTGGACCAAGTCGAATGAGAAAAATCAAGTATCAAGAGACATCACTGCAAGTATACAATGCATTATGCCAGGACCTTATCAAACAAGCAAGACAACAAGAGTCTCATGAGTGGCGCAACTCGGTACTCACCATTGCGGACTTTGACTTGGACTGAGGAATAGCCCTTTGTGACATTCTTCACACTCCTGAGCGCTCGTGACATGTTGTATGAATGTGATGTTTCTGGCGCACTGTTATTCAATGTGGTCGTGAGATGGAGGCCAGCTCTCAGTGAATTGGCCGGCTAGGTAGGATGATGGCGGGCACGGGGAACGGCAGCACCACCAGGCGCCACTTTGTCAGTAGCGGACGTGCGCGACAAGCGGGATGGCTGGATGGCGATGGCAATGGCGACTGGTCAGTTGTAGATAGTAGCGAGCGAGTGTGTATGAAACTAGGTGTAGGAAGAATACTAGTTTGAAAGCAGAGTGATAGACTAATAAACAATAGAGGTCACAGAATGAGTGGTAAATCCAGTGGTGAGGTCCGTCCCAGGAAGAGGAAGATGGGCCGAGTTCACTACGTAATCTGCATTCGTGACGGCAAGAACGGCTTCGTGCCTGAGCTTTGAGGCCAACCCCCAGTAAGTGCGTGGCTGAGCTGCCCAGGCTGCCACGTACTGGAATGCGCTAGCTGTATTCAGACTAGCGTGGTACAATATAGTGTTTTGGTACTGTATCGTCCCTACAATCCGCGTATTTGTCAAGATATGTACCGACTGCATAATATTTATTCACGTTATGTCTCCATGTCATCAACAACATGGGAATACGCAGTGGCTACAGAGTACAGTACTAGTATGTACAGAGACTTGAATTCTGCGAGTCATGCTCTGGCTTATGTCAGATAGCACTAATTCAACAACGTTCGAACCGTCACTACGCAAGAAGCTCCTGTCTCCTCATAGTACACCCGCTGTGCGACCTGCAATCAAGCCCAGAACCTCACGCGAGCACATACCCAGCCAAGCAAACGTTTTTTATTGATTTTTTATTAAAAAAAGTGGACGGAGTACGACTATGACCCAATACATACTTTCTCTCGAGTAAATTTTGTGAACCTCGTGGCCGAAGAAGCCAATCGGAAAGTGACCTTGACCCCACCGCGTCACCTTATTTTCATACTTCTACATGGTAGAGTCTCTATGTTTACTGATGCTTTGTTAATTCTAGTTCATTATAACTCATCGAATCTAACGTGTATTCGACATAAACAACTAAAATGTATTTTTATTCGGCAACCTTCAACGAGTTTACTCAGCAATATTGACAAAGTCAAATGTAGGTTGACCCGGCACCGAATTCTCCGCATTGAGACCCTCCCTCTTCTCGCCCGTCGCGACAACAGTGCCCGTCTTTCCACCTTCCTCGACAGCCACAATCTCAATCTCCTTTGCACCCGTCACCCGCTTCAATCCCATGACCATCTCGGCGAGAACCTCAAGCTCATCAAACGGCAGCTTCCGGTCAAAGACGGTCTCCGGAGATTCCTTGTTACCGATCAAGCGTTTCTTCAATCCCTGGACAAAAGGCATTGCTTTCTTCATCTCGCCGAGTTTGCCGACCTTGGCATTCAAGTCCTTGTCGTCGATTTTCAAGTTCAAGGAATCGAAGGATTCGCGGACGAGGTCGATGTATTTCTCTTGCCAAGCGGGGAAGCTCTTGGCTGCGTAGATGATGACCTTTTTGGTTTTGCGAGGGTCGAAGCTCAAGCTCTTACCTTTGGCGAGTTTTTTGATGAAGGTAGCCTCGGCGGATGTGATGTTGGAGGAGATATCACGAACATAAGTCGCGGCGGCAGACAAGCCGACGTCTGCCTCTGGCACTTCGGGGAACAATTGTCGGTGAATCGTCTCAGGCTATTCAAAGTGAGTATATACTAAAACAAAGAGTTGACTTGCTTACCTTCTTGAGGACATCCAACCAGATGTACTCCGCCCAATGAGGGGTGATAGGAGAAATAATTAATGCCTGCATCTCGGCATAGCGAAGGAGAACATCGCGGTGCATTCCCAACCCAGCACCCAAGGTTGCCTCACGATACACGTCACGGGCATTTACAAGGTCGTAGAGTGCTGATTTGAGAGCCAATTTAAAGTTGGTGCTAAGAGTGTAAGTATATTGTCAATTACAAGAGTAAATAGAACTTACTTTTCATATTGCTTCTTGGCCTCTTCAACAATCACATTAATCGTATTGTTGAACGACTTGTCCCAGAAAGTATCAGCAGGGCCAGTGCGCAAGGTCTCATCCTTGATAGCCTCCTCCAAAAAGTCTTTGAGTGCGTGGAGACGCAGAATGTTACTGTTGGCAACAGTCTCGTCAAAATTGGCATCCTCGATGCCGTCTCCGGCGTCAGCAAAAGCGATTCTAGTAGCGTCTGCACCGTACTTGTCCACGGAATCTCTGAGAGTAAGGAAGTTGCCTGTGCTCTTGGACATCTTCTCTCCGTTGAGCAACAAGTGACCGTTGGATCGGACACCCCGTGGCCAGTACTCCTGGGGGAAAAGCGCAATGTGAATGTAGAGGAAGAAAGTAAGATGGTTCTGAATCAAATCCTTTCCACTGACTCTGACATCAAGAGGATAGAAGTATTCAAATTCTCTGCGCATGACTTGCAAGCTCTCTTTGCTAATGCCACTCTTCGCAATCACTTCGTCGTCAAGCTCACGTCTAGTGAAGATATAGTCCCAGACTTCGTCAATCATGTTCTCCGGTTTGATATTCAACACACCGGTCGTCTTTCCGAAGCGGTCACCGTGTAGCAAATGGGCAATGGTGTAGTACGCCATGTAGACAGTGCTATCACTCAAACTCTCAACAAGGAATTGCTGGTCCCATGGAAGCTTAGAGCCGAGACCATAGGTTCTTGCGCAAGCCCATCGGTTCAACCAGCTAAGATTAGCTTCGAAACCGTTGCGAGTCTCCGGGGTGTAGGTGTTCAAGTCATTGACCACATGGTTCAAAGTAGTCTTTTGCCACTCAGCATCGTTCTCACCGTAGTTCAAGAACCACTGACCCAGGTAGGCAACGACACAGTCATCACCACTTCGGCTAACCACCTTTCCAGATGGGTCTGCGAAGGCGAACGCCAAGCCATCTCTGATGAGAGCTTGACGGACCTTGTCCTTGGCGGTCTGGACGGCCTCGCCCTTGAACTCACCAACAAGCATGGTACCCTTGTAGAAACCCTCGCTGTAAGCCAAATCTTTGGCCTGGGCCAACTGGTTGGCGTCTTTAGGAGAGTTGATCTTGAATTGCTTCACCAAAGCTGGTGCAGTGAGGTTTCCATAAGTGGGCGTCTCAATCACGGGAAGAATTTCAAGCTCGGCCCATTCTTTCTTGATGCCATAATAGTCCGCCTTCTTTGCGAGATCAGTGATGGTAGCAAAGTCATCAGGGCTGTCAGATGGAACTGAAGTGACGACACCAGTTCCTTTGGTGGCAGAAACAGTCTCCATTGGCAGAATCTTGATGGTGTCATGGAGAGCCAAAGGTGCCGAGACGGATGTACCAACAAAGGTAGAACCGGTGGCTTCAGCAACAAGAGGCAACTGGTCCTGACTCTTGGGGAAGTGCTCGCTGTCGAAGAACACTCCTTGGAAAGCCATGTTCCAAGCAGCTCTCTTAGTCACGACATAATACTCCTCCGAAACTTTGTAGATACCGTATGTAATTTTAGGGCCCAAGAAGATAGCAGTCTGCCCATACATGGTCTCCGGACGCAATGTAGCCGGAACAAAATAGACGTTGGCATCATCTTCAACCTTGCCCTTGACAAGGTCAGCAGCTGCCTGCGACCATTCTGTAACCTTAACCTTCAATGCGGTGTACTCTTGAGGTCCAATACCTTCGCCCTCAGTTCGGTCGTGGTCCATACAGGGTTGTCCATCCTTGGGCGAATAGATGGTATATCGGCTACCGTACAAGATCTTTCCCAACTCATGCAAGCGGTTCATTTGCCAGCGAACAAAGGCGTCGTAGTAAGGGTTTGCGTCGGTGGTCACAAACTGTCGGCGCCAATCAATCTTTGCACCGAGGCTGTTCAAGTCCCGGATAGCGAGAGGAGGAAAGTATTCAAGCCAGTAGTTTTCATCGGCGAACTTGTGAATGTCTTCGAGGGGGATACCGATGCTCAACATGATCTATTTTTTCAGCACAAGAACGTCATGAGCAATAAACTGATATGGCTCACATACCTGGAACTGGTATTTCGCCTTGACCGTCTTAGCAGCAGCCTTGCTCTTTTTACCGGAGAACTTGCTTGGATCAACTGAAATCTCTTGGGTGGGAGCAGGCGGTTGCTCAGGCACGACATCCTCAGGTTTATACCCCTCAAAGTTCTTGCCAAAGAGCTTAATCTCGTCCTTCAACTTATCGGCACACGCAAGAATAGGCATACCAGTGCAATGGAAACCAAGAGGGAAAAGAGCCCTCTTGCCCTGCATACGAGCCACGCCCGTCATGAACTCAACTTTACTAGCTGTGAAACTGTGCCCCGCATGTAGAGTTCCGTTCATATAAGGGTACGCCATTGTGCCGAAGAACTTGGGATACTTTGTACGAAGCTCCTTGGCGGACATTGCGCCGGCGGGGACTTCTTGTAGGGAAGGGGCGTCGACCTCGAAGACACCGTTTTCGCGCCATTGTTGTTGGTATTTCTTTTCGATCGCTTGGAGGGCGTTTCTCTTATCGAACTGTTGGGGGTGTTAGCTCATATCGGTCCTTTTTAGGAATTTACCATAGTTGGCAGTCAATCTTGGTGAATAAAATGGTGCGCACATTTTCTATTTTGAGAGTATTTTTTGAGCTGTTGCTAGGATCGAGGGCTGCGGCCTCGGCGGCGGCAGCAGCCATGATGAAATTGACTGCCTACGCCGGAAGAGCGAAGGGAGAAAATCAAACGAAGAATGACTTTTCGTCCGTTGTCACAGAGAATGCCTGTGAAATAGTTGTATGTCAAATGTCTACCACCTTGGAACAAAATGAAGGTATGACTCTGCTTTTTTATAGTGGGGGTTGCTCTGCGGAGTGACTCTTTCTTAGATTTATTCCCGCACTAAGCACGATTCGGTAAGGGGAATTATTCTTACTAGATCTTGATTGGTACAGTACCGTTACGATATAGTACAACTCGATACTAAATTGAAGTTAGGACAGGCGCCTGAGACTGGACAATGATGTAACGAATCTTTGAGTCATACATGCATATAACTGAGGATCAGATACACAAGAAGAATTATCTCATAGAAATTACCGAAATCAAGAAAAAAAAGTATGAGTCAGATTCATCTTCACATCCTGGTGTAGTTCATACATCAAAAGTTGTATTGCGCTTGTAACAATTTTTCCATTGTAATTATCGGTCGGCATCAACACGTGACCTCAAATTATCTCGAGCATCTTTTCCGATGTCCCAACTCCGGCATCAACAGAGGCAACGATTACACCCAATTGCTTCCTGCAAACAATTAATTACACATATCCAAGATGGTCAATTTACTCAAACGTATGCGCAAGCTGAATCAGGTACAGTCTCACTGCCCATCCCCATTTCAAGCTCTCCTCCCACTGACACTCTCCTGTCTACGACAGCGCCTTATCAACATTCGAGTCGGCACAGGCGCAGCAACACTCCCATCCCTTAGCAACCCGTTCAACGACCTCCCCGTCGTAACACGTATGCACCTCACATACGGCAGATCCATCGGAAAGGGCCACATCGGCGCCCATAAATTCTGGCGCCAATGCCTCGCACGCCTCAAATATCACAACCCAGCCATCCAGATGAGCGTAAAGCCCTACGAAGGCACACAAGAAAAACTCGCACCGGCACTCACAATTTTCTTTTCGGGTGCACAACCGAAAAAGGCTCAAGCGTACCATGATCCAGCCCTCAAAGACGAATTTGCGCCCAAGCCTACGGAGACGGAGAAAGCGATTGTGCTGAATTTGAAGGATTATAATTTCGAGGAGATCTGGCAGCAGGTCAAGGAACTGACGGGTGCGGTTGAAGTGGCAGCCACGCCCGAGGATATAGAGCAGATCCAAAAGTTTAAACAGATGGAAATCAAGTCAGAGTCGGATAAGATACGGGTTGCTGGTATACGTCAGGCGAAGAAGGATCAAGAGCGGATGTTGCAGGAGGCTAGAGGTGAGGTGGAGAAGCTTCGAGAGTTATAGAACGGGAATTGATACCCTCGTTTGTCTGGCATTTGTTTCTGTATAATAGCATCACAAAATGTTTTATACCTAGGTATTTCATGTATTTTTAGGGTCTGAATTCAACTGGCATTGAAGCAATGGTGTAATGCGCGGAAGTCTAGACAAATATGGCATCAGGCCTCCACGTTCAACTAGTATAATGCAATCCCACGAGATTTAAAATCCATGATGTAAGGTCAAAAAAAGATCTGGCTAGAGGCATGTTCTCTTAACAATTCATCGATTACTATAGGCATTATCTCATCATTGAACATGTACTGAAATCTATATAGACATCAAGAATCCTGGCTCCTCAACGGGTACCAGTGACATACACAATATTTCAAAATCACATCTCACGAATTATCCGGAGTATATGTAGTCTCACCAAGCATATTTTGCCCGGCAGCTACAGTCGGTGCATTTGTACTTGAAGGAGCAGCGGTCTGACTGGACAAAGCGGGAGGCTTGCTGGCAGTAGCAGCCTGCAGTCGCTGATCAAGAGCCCGGAGCGCAAGTGCTCGTCGACGTTCGGCTTCCTCTCGTTTTCCTGCACTTCTTGCACTGCTTCCAGGATTGCTCAGCAAACTAGGCAGACCGGCCTGGCCACGAGCCACTGCATTCTCTGTGCTGGAAGCAATATCTTCGGCGGAAAACGGGGTGATGGCTTTGACAGCGACGAGGAACGCATATATCTGGTCGGTAACGAAAGCAATTGGAGGTTGAATGGCGTCGGGAAAAAAAGTTGCAAAAGTAAAGGTCTCACTAGCATCGCCCTTGAAACCAAGACCATTGGTGGAAGTGCCCGTAAGATCGGGCTGATATTTGAAGAATCGAAGATATGTCCAGCTAGTCAATAAGCCAAGCCAAGCGAGTATAGCCGCCGTGTCGGTGCCAAAAATGATACCGCTGATAGAATTGAGCACCAAAAAGATAGCAGGGAAATGCTTGACCCGCATTTTTATGATGCCCTTCAAGATCGTAACGGTATGCTCGGGAACAAGCTGTTTGAATGCGACGAGAAAGGAAGCCTGCAGGGCAACGCCGCCGCAGATTTGTGTAAGACTGCGAATGATGGGGTCGTCAGCCGGCATTGTGCAAGAAGTTGTACATTCATCATCGGAAGAGAACCAGAAAGCGTACCCTCGAACACTGCTGCCAGTAACAGCGCCCCAGAAAATATAAATCACAATCATCAAAGCATTGGGAATGAGAGCAATAGCCAGTATGAATTTTCCAAACTCCTTAGAACCCCATGCTCGCTCAAGGTATTTCCCGCCGTAGAACACGGTTGCTCCGTTGATGAGAACTGTGAAGATGTTTTGCTCGACAAAGGTCGCGGTGAGGATAGTCCATGGGTAATAATAGAACATTGAAGGAACAAGCGTGAGATATGGAACAATCGGGGTGCTTTGCGCGCCTGAAGATGGAGGGCCGTCATCGAGTTGTCTCCATCTTGCGACGTTATACAAAAAGGAGAGCGCCAACTGACTGATCAGCAAGGCGCGCGTTGCCGGAGGTAGATTTATCCTGATAGGCATGATGGGAGAAACGTATGGAATATGCGACGCGACTCGTCGAGATCGCTCGCAAGGACGAACTATGTAGCCCGTATGTTGGGATGGGGAGGAGACTTGAAGTTGTGATCACTTGACAAAAAAGTTTGGCGGTTTGTTGCTCGGAAGTAGAGACCAGCCTACGTGATATCATTGGTCTGGTCTGCCCTTTGACTCCCTGCACCGAGTATCCACTAGTAATCGCCGTACTTTATACATTCATTGTCCATTTCAGCGAGTCTCTTCTTTTTCAGTTTCTCATCAACAGATATCTGCAGGTGCTATTCACTTTATTTAGTTGGGTCATAATACTCATGTTCTCGGATCTTGTTTTTTGGGTTAAAAGGCCGCCTGGACAGCTGTCAACTCCAGGTGTTCATGGATGCCAAATGAAATACACGGCAATACAGGACGTTACACGACGATCGCACAGGTACGATTGGCTGCTGGTCAGAGCCAAATTCCATGACTCAGGAGACTGTCATTCGTCCCTACACAGTGTCGCTACGTGTCTCAACATGACATCAAAAGTCGTTGCTCAGCACGTTCTGTGTACAGTCAATGACAGTCAATCAAGAATCGATCATGAAAGGCGATTGTAATGAATAGCTGTTTGGCTTCCTGGTATCACGGGTCTGGCAAGCTCCCAGTCTCGACCGGGATTAGCAATAATCCTAACTTTATGTGAGTGTAATGAGATTACGGATGATTACATCTTGTGTTATGTTGAATATCAAGTTCATCAATACAAACTGCATTACAATGAAGGGCCAACTCGTCATATAAACACTACGTAGTAAACCTGTCATGACCTAGTATCCATTACTCGAACTAATCTGCTATATATATGTACCTTCACCAGCCCTGGAAGGCTGAAACATGCCGATGAAACAACTTGATCGTACGTGTACTGTGTATGGTGTATGTATTGACCCGTACAGCCTGGACCATGGAGGCTCGCCCCGATCGGGCCTAGGGGATAAGCTTAGCGCATGCATCTTAAGCCACAGTCTGGCGTCGATTTTCTTAGCGCTTGAACCTAAGCACAGTTGTTCCCGTGCGAGTCAACTTTCTTCCCTTCTCCAGCAAAGCCTGCGTCAAATCTCCAATTCTCCCATCATCTATCGCTCTCACGCCTATGAAAGATTGGTACCTCCAGGAACGTTTCTTTCATATATCTGCTCTCTAAGGACCATCTTGTATTCTCTCACCACTCCTCTCATCCCGGTCCCTCGACTACAGCAACTTTCTTTTTCCCCGTCATCATTGTAACTCCACTCTCTCGTGGTCCCACGCCGTTCGCTGTCTCCGCGCATCCGTTGTCCCTGGTCTCTAATCCAATTTTCGCTACCTGCACCTCGACTGTGCGATTGTTTCATTTGGCCTGGAGCGCATTCCTTCTTGGTTGAGTCCATCATCTGACACGCGCGCGCATATTGCGCCTTGCCGTTACGTCTTGAATTGCTGAGGCACGTAGCGCTACGCCCGTGCGGCCCACCCCGTACTTACTACGTATTGGGTTTTGACATGCACAATTCTCATCCGAAGCAGCCAGTGACCCAAATGTGATCATGGATCTGACATCTCATCACGTCAATTATTTAATATGGAGGTATGTATTCTCTTTGAGATGGCCACAAACTTATTTTCAGTCTTTATTTTAACATTGTCTAGGTATCTCCAAGAATCAGGTTGGTCAACGCCCCTGCCTTCACATCACAAGCGCCATTCAAAGAGATACATGAAACCTCTCACAACTTCTTCTTAATTCTCTTTGAGACAATATACTAACAAGCACAGGCCATGGAGAAGCAGCTGTCATGCTACAAAGAGCATGGCTGGCCAACCCACAGACTCTACCTTTTGCTTCCCATATAAAATCCCATGCGCTGGTATCTCTGGTACAGAAAGGTCTGCAATATCATGAAATTGAACAATCACTCGATCGAGTTAGTTTTACTCCACGACTCTTGATTCTTATTCTTGAATTTTTTTTTAACAATTACAGGACGGGAATCCAATTCCTTTTACACCATCGCAATCATTTTTTGGCCCTACACCACTTGATCCTGAGTCGCTCAAAGTACGCGACGACACTCTCAAAGCACAGAGCGGACTTGGCACAGCTACAGCAGCTACAACAATCCCTATGCCTCCGGTAAACAAGGCTGTTCCAGAGCCCAGCGTTGCTACGAATGGCCATCCAGTCACTGAGGCTCCTCTACCGCCACTAAATGTTAAAAAAGGGCGCAAGTCACATCGCGCCGAGCCTACTACCAACGGCGATGACAGCGCAATGGAAATTGACACCAACGGCATCGGTCATGACCGAGTGTCCGCTCCTCCAACAGTGAAATCTCCATCCTCGGCGGGACTTGCTGACGCAGAAGGAGATATCGACATGGATCTGGCGCCAGCTGTTGAGTTGCATCACGAAAAACAAGAAACGCCTATCGACACATTGACGGCAGGACGAAGCGTTGGCGTGCAATATGTTTCCGCCAAGGTGTCCGACCTTAGTGCCGACACAACCATTCTCGACGTCGACGTGGCCCGCGAAGACCACGTGACCAGGTCGGCTTGGCGGCCCTTTGATTCGTCAATCTTCGCCGCGGCTGGCCTTAGCTTTTGCAGTCTGTACAAGCTGGCGCCCAGCAGCACGGAAAAGATATACGACAGCAAGGACGATGGCAGCTGGGTTACGGCTGTGTCGTGGGAGCCCTCGGGTCAGAAGCTAGCTCTCGCCACCTACAATGATCACCGATCATCGATACAAATGTACGACAGCAGTGGAAGTGTGGTCGATCTATTACCCACGGCATCCGGAATGATTAATGGACTTCACTGGGCTCCTAAAGGCACGCATATGGTGGTATGCTCATCGAACAACGTGAGCTCAGAGCTTTCTCTCTGGGACGACTCCATCAAGCCGGAAGAATTTCCTTCCTATCAGACAATCGACGCGCATGTCCACGACATCACCTGGGCGGGCGATAATCATGTATTTGCGTCTGGCCTAGGATCAGTTTGGCAGTGTGAAATTGACTCGACGTTGCAAATGCAAATTGTGAATCGGTATCAATCGCGAGAATCAAATACGGAGTGGTCCTATATCCGAGGTGTCCAGACCGGCAGTGGTCCCGTTGCAGTCGCAGCTGCAAGTTCTGCATGTAGTCTGTGGATTCCTACTCATGATACTCTTATTGAGGATGCCCACCGTGCTGATATTACGGGCATTGAAATCCGACCCAAACACCAAGACCAAGATGCAAACACCAGCACTTCTTTCACGTTCGCTTCTGCATCGCTTGACGACACCGTGAAAGTCTGGACCTTCGACGTAGAGTCCAAGAAGATTACCTGTTTGCATACACTATTTCTTTCGCCTGGTCTTCCAGCCCTGGCCTTGGCATTTTCTCCGGACGGATGGGCTATTGCGGCTGCCAGCACCGATAGACTTTTCGTTTGGAATACGGATCGTGGAGACGAACCGATTGCTACTTGGGTCTGTCCAGCAGATTCTGCAACGGGAAATCCGGAGAGGCCTGTAAATGGCGAGAATGGCTCTGGCCCAGTAGAGGTTTACCGTACCATTGGTTGGGATACGAATGGCAAAAAGATTGCAATGGGATACGGCAAGAAGGTAATCACTTATTTTTTGAATAAGAACGAGAAAGAATGAAACTAATGGATCATCAGATTGCCGTTGTCAATTTCCAGGGTAGAGGCGTGAATGTCCTTGAATGATTACAGCATATATTTGACACTTTCGATACCCTCCGAACCGAGCATGCATTCGACGTACATCACTAATAATGCATAATACATGATAGACGTCTCTCGCCGCGATTGCACGAGATTGACGGTCATTTGTCTTCTATAAATTGACAGACTGGTTTTCCCAACGGTCGTTTCGGGATAGAACGGTATCGCTTGCACATTGATTGTTCAACTCAACTGATACGGTGCCCTTTTTTTTCTATCTGTACTTTTCTCCGTCTCTCACCTCGGGCCTTGACATGCGGTGCATTCATGAGCCAGGGGAAACAAAACTTTGCCTTCACACTACTCGAATGTGTTGTTATGCTGTTGCCATTGTAAATAACGGTGGGTTCTTTTGGAGATGGGGTTGTTTGGTTGGTCGTCTTCTTCTACTTTTCGCATACTGATAGGTGTTGACTCTCCTCATATTTCGGAAACGGCGGCTTGGGGAGTTTTTCTTTATTTCTGCAGCATTACATTGACCGACATTTCCACATAGGGGTCAATTTTTCTTCGATCTATTCGTTACGCGCACATTCTGAGCTTTCTATGAGGCTGCTACTGATATCAATTGGATAAATTTTAATATTTAAATCGAAACATATGTACCCCTGAAATATGTAATAATATATGTACAAGAATAATTATTTACAAAGCCTGAGTATCGAGTAACCCCAGCTCTTTCCTGTTGCGTCTCAACTTCCTCCTCCTCGCCCTAATCAGAAACCCTTCTTCGACATCATTCCACCCTCTCATCCAAGCCAACACCCCATCCAAAAACGTATTAAAATCGTTTCCGTCATCCTCCTCCTCTTCGTTACTAGCCACAGTTGAGGATTTCCGTCTCCAATAACTCCTCCCCTTCGACTTTCGGATATCCGACTTGTGAGAGGGTAAGGAAGATTCGCGCTGCCGTTGCCACCTATTAACCCAACTATCCAGGCCCCGGACTGTGCCGCGCAGACCCTCGAGCTCGATTGTGTCTTCTAATATATCCGATTTTCTATCTGCCATTAGCACATCGGACCCGCGCTTATAATTTGAGGGACGTACAATTCGTGAACTTCCTCCTCCAACTCGATGATGCGTTGCGCCAATCCTTCGCATTTCACGATGAAGACGTCGTGGATGTGCCGCGATTCGAGGTACCGTTGTCGCAGTTCGGAATTGACGGTGGTTAGTTCTTGGAGAATGGAGGTGAGGTCTCGGGATACAATCTGCGATTGCGATGGTGTTGTGCCTTTGGGAATCGGTTTGCGCCGGGAGTCTGCAATTGCAAGAGGACTTTTGGTTGTAGGTGTCTTATTGCCTGTAGGCGAAGCAGGGCGATTGGGCGCAACGTTCGGGCTATTATCCCGTCGTAGATTGATTATTTCCTCTATGTTGTCCAGATATGCGTTCACGGCAGCGCAGTCGTCTTGCGATAGTCCCCGCAGCGCATCGTTATTGGCAACCAGCTGCGCAATATGCACAATTCGCTCATTCAGCGAGTTCGAGTTTCCTTTTGACGGCGCAGTAGTAGCTATCACATCTTCGTCTCCGTTCTCGTGCGCATACTCCTCTGTAAGCTCAACATCAATCGCCGAATCTGTAAAGGACGGCGTCAAGCGATGGCCCCGAACAAGCGGGGTTTCGGCCGTCATTATGCTATGCTTCAGCTCAGACGAACTATTTCCGGGGGGTGTTGCCCATTCGCATATGGACACAAGAGATGAAACGCATTTTCGCAGCAAACTAATCGTACGCAGGTTGAAGTGTAACCGAGGCGGTGATAAGCAGTCAGAATTGATTTCCGTACTTAATCTTGCGCTTGCAGGGATTTGCTTAGAAAGGCGGGGCGGTGAAGCTTGTGCGGAGCCGATAACGCTCAATTAAATTTATGGTCTGACTCAACCCACTACACACCTCTCTCTCTAGGTATACGACATTGTCCACTTGGATCAGGACAATCTATTCTGCTTGAGGCAGTCGCTACTCTTCTACTTTCAGCCGCACCTCAATTGCTCTGATCCGGCATATTGTCTAGCATGCCTATCATATAAATCACTTTTCAGAGAAAGAAATATCAAAATGTCCTTTCCGAATTTGCCGGTATGTTACTCTCACCAATCGCATCTTCACGACAATCTAACAGTCACAGGCTACAGTAGCCCCAACCATCGTGGTTGCGCGCGATGTCATCGCCCAATCTCGGAATGCCCCAAATCCTCCCAACCTTCTGCCGTTGATGACCTCGATCCCTGCCGAGCTCTTGACTCCCACATTAGCATATTTGCGCATTGCTGCTAAGTGAGTCATATCCCTGTGTGAACTGTGCCGGATTGTTGCGTATGACTCCGGTCTGACTTGAATAGGTCGAAATTGTCGTTTTTGTACGAGAGTGCTGCTACTACGGAGACAATTGGGCGATACAGTTTTGTCGGAGCCGGTATGCAATGCTATATATCTGTTGATGCCGGAAGATGGTACTGACGGTCAAAGACCCAAGAAAAATAATCAAAACCGGCGCTGGACATGGACCTGAATGCGATCCTCTGCCCATCCTTGAAAAAGAACTCGCACAATTCCGGAGTGCTACGGTGCCTGCCCTGAAACTACCCCCCTTGACCGGAGGTGCCATTGGCTATGTGGGATATGACTGTATCCGATACTTCGAGCCGACGACAGCCCGACCACTAAAAGACGTGCTCGGTGTTCCGGAATCCCTCTTCATGCTATTCGACACCATAATTGCTATCGACCATTTCTTCCAGGTCGTCAAAATCATTACATATATCCCAATACCCGACAACGATGCAGACCTCGAGGCGGCATATCTCAAGGGTCAGGCGTTGTTGCAGGAGAAGATTGACATTTTGATAGATCCACATGTTCCGCTGCCGCCACAAGGACCTATAGTCCCTAACCAGGAGTATACATCAAATATTGGTCAGGCCGGATATGAGAGCCACGTTACCAAGCTCAAGCAACATATTCAGGTCGGTGACATATTTCAAGCTGTGCCCTCTCAGCGATTGGCTCGTCCGACCTCGCTTCATCCCTTCAACATATTCAGACATCTCCGTTCCGTAAACCCGTCGCCATACCTGTTTTATATCGACTGTGAAGACTTTCAACTTGTGGGTGCTAGTCCAGAGTTGCTTGTCAAGGAAGAGAAAGGTCGAATTATTACTCATCCTATCGCGGGAACTGTCAAGAGAGGACAGACTGCTGAAGAGGACGAGGCACTTGCAGCTGAGTTGCGGGGGAGTCTTAAAGACCGCGCGGAGCATGTCATGCTTGTGGATTTGGCCAGAAACGACGTTAACCGCGTGTGCGACCCTATGACCACACAGGTTGATCGACTGATGGTCGTTGAGAAGTTTTCGCACGTACAACATCTCGTATCTCAGGTGTCTGGCGTGCTTCGGCCGGACAAGACACGTTTCGACGCTTTCCGTTCCATCTTCCCAGCAGGCACTGTCTCAGGTGCGCCCAAAGTGCGCGCAATGCAGTTGATTGGCGAACTAGAAAAGGAGAAAAGAGGTATCTACGCAGGTGCAGTCGGATATTTCGGATACGACAAAGCCTCCATCGACGGCTCGAGTACGATACCCGGTGATATGGATACTTGCATTGCGCTGCGGACGATGCTTGTCAAGGGCGGAGTGGCGTATCTGCAGGCTGGAGGAGGTATTGTGTTTGACTCAGACGAGTACGATGAATATGTGGAGACGCTGAATAAGCTGGGTGCGAATATTGCTTGTATCAAGGGGGCGGAAGAGATATATATGCAGCTTGAGAAGGCAGTTGCTTCTCGTGGAACTAAATAGCCATTCCAATCCAATGCGTTCGCAAATACCACCTACCTAGACAGGCAATCAAACAGCATCCTTGACAAACTCCAAAAACCTCTCCACCAACGTCATCTTTTCTAACCGTTCGGTGGTACACGCATATTCATCAACCGGAAACCAGCCCCTAACAGCCTCCTCTCCATTGAGCAGCATCTGCGCAATCCCTTTCCCACTAAGCCAACAATTCACCATCCCATTGCCGCAAAATCCTGCAGCTATCCATTCCCTTCCTTCTATTTGGGCATCAGCCGGTCTTCTACGCGATATTTCATAGGGAATTTTGCCAACAACGGGGTTGTTGTCGATGGTGAAACCCATCACACCCGTCCATTGATCTACGATCTTCGTACCGTTTCCGTGCTGTAATCTTTTTTCCACCGCGTCTTGAAGAGTGGCTARTGCCGTGGGATTCTGTAGATCGTCTCGTGTACTTCCCACGTCAGCATCCTCCACGGACACCTGACCCGTGACAAGAGCTTTTAGAAACCCTCCACCGAGATAAATATCCTCCGTCGATGAAGAAGAAGAAGGCGATTGTGTCACATAATCATAACCAAAATCATAATGAAGAATCCACGATCTCCGATCCCCCAGTCTTGGAAACCCAGGCGGCGCGCTTTGGCGAGTCATTTGTCCGCGTATAGGGTATATTTTGCCCTTCAAACCGGGCAGGAGATGTGCAGCATAAGCGTTTGTGCAGTGGATTACATGTGTAGCTTTCATATCTCCTCGGGGAGTTGAAAGGAGGAAAGGGTATTTTGCTTCCTGCGGATCGGTAGATGTTATGCTGCCGACAGGGGTATGTGTTTCGATGGAGAGGTTTGGGTATTTCTGCGTATTTGATATGTGGCTCGTCACTGCGCCGACGAGTTTGTATGGCCACATTGCGCCTGCCGGACCGGTGATGCAGCCCACTGCATTGATTGTGCCGAATCTCTATATTCAAATCAGACCATAAAGGCATGAAGGTGGTGAATAGGACAAACCTCGTTGATATCATCCCCCTCATGCACAATCCACACATTCCTTTCTTCCGGAAAATCCTCCAGATAATCCTCGACCTTCTTCTTAACCGTCTCCCACGCATCCCGATCATAAAACGCATCCAATCCATCTACACGCCTCAGACAACTCTCCTTCTCCGCATCCCTCCCCAATTCCCTCATCACATCCACCAATGCATCCAACTGCGCCAATCGAAACCTCACAACCCTCTTCGCACCTTCCTTACCATATAACTCCTTCAAATCCTCGTAATCATCATACGGATCCTCTTTACAATGACCCCCATTACGCCCCGTTGCGCCAGAGGTCAGACTACGTGCTTCAAGGACTGAGATGCGCAGATCCGGTTGATGTTGGAGTAAGTGGTACGCGGCGCTGATGCCGGTCATGCCGGAGCCTATTATGGCTACATCGACGGTGGAGGGGAGGTGAGCGGATTGGTGGGTTGAGAGGGCATGGGGCGAGGATTGCCAGTATGAGGATGTAGGGTTGGGGACGGGGAGGCCCGGGTCAAGCGAGGCTTTGGCGGCGAGGGCGGTGCAGAAGGCGGTCATGTAGTCTTGTTCTGACATGTTGATAATCTAGCTATATAAAATTATTTGTTTGTTGAGGTAAGAATCATGGAGATGGGCTCGAGATGTTATCTCTTTATCAATTGAGCTACCCCGCCAGTCTGCCGCCCCATCGACTACACATAGTAACTCCGAGCTCCTAAAGATCTCTATATAGATATAGTTAGTCGCTTTGATTTGAGGCAACCTTGGAATAGCCTCGAAGATAAGACACAAGTCGACATTCAAGGTTTTTATGACTCCTGGGACGAATAGAGTTGCCGTGGACCAGATAGGAAGGAGTGTTCCGAGTGTTAATATATTATAGATCTCTACGCAGACTTGCACTCAGATGTCATCTTGGAGCGGTAGGTGCAAACATTAGGAGGGCATTTCCTTTAATCTGTCCAGTAGTGATGCTTCATCCCACATCTATTCAAGGAATGTGCACATATATCCAGCAAAAACAAATATAAAGAGCGCCTAGGTATATACATAGTAATCGACCGGCAAGAAGCGTGTGTTGTGCCAAGACGCGCAGTGATTGGATCCCCTGGGTGATGGGCCCCGTCCACTTTTGTTGACATCAAAAACATTCACTCTTAACTACGACGACAACAACACACCTTTCACAGACACACCAGCACGCCAGACACATCTTGTACTCATCAAAAAAGGGAGAGCGCCTCTGAGAGCGGATCCTTAATTATTCATTTATTTTCAAACTGTCTTATCATTTCACTTGTCCCTCCCAGAGCGACTCCCCCGCTTTGACTGTTGACGGCATACAAGTCGCTGATTGTCGACTCTGTTGTCGCAACCACTATCCCCGCCGATTGCTGAAGACTGCGCGGGCTATACAACACGATATTGAGGTAAGCATTATAGTTTCACCTATTTCCTCGCTCTACCGACCTTTCGCATGATTCAAACTAAGTCCTTGATACTAATCAAATGGCTCATAGACCGATCCTGGCAGCGCCTGATTGCCTGCATCCGCCACCATGGCTGACGCCGAGGAGGATTTCTCCTCTCTCCCTCTACCGGATCGCTTCACACACAAGGTCAGCATACAAACTCCTGGGCCCACTTGCAGCCTTATTGATTGGTGCCCGATTGCAATAATAGGTCTGGAAAGTACGAAAAGAAGGTTACGAAGACGCTGCAAAACAGTTCGAGAAAACGCCAGATGAATCAGATCCCGTATTCACGCCGTTTTTACAAGACCCGTCGTTATGGAAAGGCGCCGTTGCCGATTCAAATGTTGCCGCCCAACAGGAAGGTCTAGCGGCGTATGGTGCGTTTTTGAAATATGGAGGAGTTCAGGCGTGTACAAGGTCGGTAGTGCTGTGATACTAATGAGCGGGACCGCTTACAATGATTAGAACACGAGGTGTAACGGTTTCCGCCATCGCTGAAAAAGGCCTCCCATCGGCGCGTCCTGCCGCCAAGGCAAACGCACTTGAAGCGCTACTGCTGCTTATAGAACTCGACGCACCAGGCCCAGTGATCGAAGATTTGATTCCTATCCTCTCGGCAAAACAACCCAAATCTATTGCCGCGGGACTTGCTGCTATTACAGCCATATATCACAACTATGGATGCAAGATCGTCGACCCCAAACCCGTGCTCAAGATATTACCTAAAGTGTTCGGCCATGCCGACAAGAACGTTCGTGCCGAAGCACAGAATCTCACCGTGGAGCTGTACCGATGGCTCAAAGAAGCGATGAAACCAGTTTTCTGGGCTGAGTTGAAACCAGTGCAACAACAGGATTTGGACAAATTATTTGAGAAAGTTAAAGAGGAGGCTCCGCCAAAGCAAGAGCGATTGACTAGAGCACAGCAGGATGCTATGGCGTCTGCCCCCGCGCCTGGTGAAGATGACGTGGGTGGAGAAGCTGGGGATGATTACGGCGAGGAGGAGGGTGAAATGGAACCTCTTGATCTTGCAGAACCGGTTGATGTGATGCCAAAGGTACCGAAGAATTTACACGAACAACTGGGCTCGACAAAGTGGAAGGACAGGAAAGAATCATTGGACGAACTTTACAAGGCGCTCAACGTTCCTCGAATCCAGGAAGGACCATTCGACGAGATTGTCAGGGCACTTGCAAAGTGCATGAAGGATGCAAATATTGCAGTTGTAACGGTCGCCGCCAACTGTGTGGACTTGCTTGCTAAGGGTCTGCGCTCTGGATTTGCAAAATATCGGTCGATAATCATGGCACCAATCATGGAACGTCTGAAGGAGAAGAAGCAATCTGTTGCTGATGCGCTCGGCCAGGCGTTAGATGCTGTGTTTGGCTCTACAGGTCTTTCAGATTGTCTAGAGGATATCTTTGAGTTCCTGAAACACAAGAACCCTCAAGTCAAACAAGAAACCGTCAAATTCTTGACCAGATGTTTGCGAACAACGCGCGATGTGCCACAAAAACCTGAAGTCAAGTCAATCGCCGAAGCCGCCATAAAATTACTAACCGAATCGAGTGAAGTCGTACGATCTGGCGCTGCTGAAATCCTAGGAACTCTAATGAAAATCATGGGCGAASGAGCCATGAATCCGTACCTTGATGGTCTGGACGAGATCAGGAAAACCAAGATCAAGGAATATTTCGATACAGCCGAAGTCAAGGCCAAGGACCGCCCCAAGCCTATCGTCGCACCACCCAAACCCGCCCCCCCGGCAGCGAGGAAGGCTGCACCAGGCGCAAAGAAACCTGCTCTCGGAGTCAAAAAGGCTGCTCCGGCAGCTGCACCACCGCCACCAGTTGAAGAGGCATCTCCGCCTCCTAAGCCTAAAGCTGTCGCTAGACCAGGACTTGCACGCCCAGGCGCGCCTAAGTCGGGATTGGCTACTCCTGGAGGTGGGCTCAAGATGCAACGACGCATCCCTGGTGTTGGTGGAGCCGCAGCTGGATCCCCTCAACGGCGTGTATCGTCGCCGCCACTAGAAGAGCCAGTAGCCGCACCTCCCTCACAGCCAAAGTTCGGCTTAGGACGAGGACTGACTGGACGACCGATCAGTAAAAATGCGGCGCCTGCGGAGGTAGCACCTGCTGCTGCACCTGTCATGTCTGGCCTTGCTGCTGCTGAGCGTGCTGAATTGGAGGAGCTCCGCATCGAGAAAGAGCGCCTCTGGAAACTCAATGAAGATCTCCGGACTGAAAAGACGAGGCTTTCGTCTCAAGTGACTGAGCTTCAGAACCAGAATGCACAACTCATAGAAGACCATACTCGGGACGTCTTGAGCATCAAGGCCAAAGAAACACAGTTGGTTCGTGCTCGTAGTGATGCAGAGACTGCAGAACAAACGGTCCAGAAACAACAACGCGAGATTGAACGACTGAAGCGTGAATTAGCTCGAGCTGTTCGTGCATCCACAATGAGCCCACCAGTGTTAGCAGATGGGCTCAATACTGGTATGTCAGACAACGGCCCACTATCACCGGATATAGGGACCTATAGCAGCAACGGTTCTCGTGCTGGCTACATGAGCTCGCGCTTGGACACCGGACGACCCCGAAGCTATGTATCCAGTGCAAGTGAGGACAAAGAAAACAACGGCTTTGGCTCGCCTACTGCCGAAACAAATTTAGACTCGGCATTTGGACGCAGGAAGTTCAGTCCACCCATGGGACAGACTTTGTCCAGTAGAGGTAGCCCAGTTCGATCCACGGCTCGCTACGCATCTGCCGGTAGCACCCATAGTGGTGACGACCAGCCTTCGATAACGAGCCGATCAGCCGAGCCGGCAGAGAATTGGAAGCGAGCGGCAGAAGTGACCAGTCAGTTGAAAGCCAGAATTGAGCAGATGAAGGTATTTCCCCATTGCACGACATGGTATATTCGGACTCTTACTGACAATCAATGATAGGCTCGACAGGGTCTTTCTCGCCCTCCACCATCAACTCACTCATAAGCATAGCTGTAATACATCAGGTCACTCAAAAACAAATTACCCGGAAGGAGGACAAAAGATACCCCATGCCATGACTTCTACGACTATATTTTTTTTCCTTTCTATCTCTTTTCTCTTTAGCAAATGTTTTACTAAATGCACACATTTGGGCTCTTTAAGCATAAGGGTGTGATTTACTTTCTCTTTCTGATATGCTCGAATGGTCGGTAGGGGTTGTACTAGACAGGTCAAATGGTTATAACAGAGCGAGAAATGATTGAGTGAAATGTATAACAAGTAATGAGCTGAAAAGTAATTTAGAAGTACGTAAATCGATTTCTATATCGAGACTAGGTAGAGTAAACGTAGAACTATTGGTGGCGGCACGGCAGACACGCTACTCAATACATTCCACCTTCGGTAACCAGGAGGTGAAATTTGAATCAATCATGTAGTTGGACGAAGCTTTCGAACCCCGCGAAAAAGCTGTCTGACATGAGAAATACTCTTAATGTCGTACCTACCCGTATAAAATGCAGTTTCTAGCTGCACACATTACCGTAAATTTCTCCAAAGGATTCAAGGACAGTTGGATTTCTCAATGAGCCGACAAGATGGCAGCAAGAAATCACATTTTTAGTTTTTGTGTCATTATGGGCAATATGTTCCTAGCGGCCACTTCAAATTCAAATATATTACGACTTGATTCAACCATGCTTTACAGCCTTCCGGCCACTTTCGCGGGTCTGCCATCTGAATCCTTTCTGCGGACAAAAGGCCTCTTCAATGACGATGAACCAACGGAAACGATAGAAATTTTCAAGCCGTTCATATCGTACGACGATGAGTTCACCTCTTTACTTGCCGATGATGCTAGCCTGGAGCTTGTATACACTGATCCCGACAACAAGCCGATAGCGGATGAAATGGGCATCTGGGTATGGGATCACAACCAGGTGTGGATGGCATCCAGCTCTGTCGAAAATGTCAGCTATGTCAGCATTCTAGACATGGATACGCGCAGCGTGAAGCCCTTGCTCGTTTCGTCGAATGGTGTCCCAATTCTCAATCCAAATGGCGGTGGATACTTCAACGGAAAAGTATACATTGCAGGGACTGGGAATGCCACAATACCGCCTACCATCTATGAAGTCGACCCAGTCACTTATGAGACTCGTGAGCTTCTCAACAGCTATTTTGGGTTGAGATTTAATGGGCCCAACGATTTGACTTGGGCCAAAAGAGGTGATAAAGCGTGGTTGTTCTTCACAGACGACCCCCTGAGCTATTATTACAATAATGGTGATTATCCCACCATTCCAGATGCAACCTGGCGCTGGGACCCTATTGAGAAGACTCTACTTCCTGTTATCGACCGAACAGATATCCTTGTCCCCAATGGCATTCGAGTGAACAAAAACAGTACCAAGCTATACATCACCGATACTCCAAGTTTCACAAACCCAGGCAGTGGATTTGTCACCATCTCCTCGACAGAATTTTACTATGGCAGTGACAGTGCTGCGATCTACGTTTTCGATCTAAGCGAAAATGGCTTCCCACACAATAAACGACTGCTGGGCATCGCTCAGCGCGGAATTCCGGATGGCTTGCATGTGGATGATGATGAAAGGGTTTGGACCGGGGAGTCCGATGGAATTGTTGTGAGAAGTTCAGCGGGCAAGATTTTGGGGATGATCAATGCTCTATCGATTCAAGGTGAAGCCGTTGTCGACTCAGATCAAGCCCCGTTGCAGAATTTTGCTTTGGCGGGAGACAGGGTCATTATTCTTGCGTATTCCAAGATTTATCAGGTGAGACTGAGTCGTGCTATTGTGGAGAATATGACATAGAAAGGAAATTTGATCGATTTGGTTGGCTCTCATATCAAATTTTTGTTAGAAGTAGCTAGAAGGACTGAATTAATCTCATTCAAAATATCATCAGTACCCACTCATACCAGTTGTGACTTCCTCCTCGTAATCGGCCTATTAAATTATCATTCCAGCCTAAATCAAAATATTCAGTTCACCGGCAGCAGTCGTATTACCAGCTTCTACACTCATGGCAGCGACAGTACCGAATCCAATATGCTCATACACCTGCCTACATGTACTATGCTCGCTTACGTCTTCGGGCCGGGGTTCTATCGTACTAGTTGCTTACTTTAAGTAGCTAGTTCATGTTGAGACAGCTTGTCCTAAGTAACAGAATCCACTCCATCTATTTCACCTTCCAGATCGGGTATGCTCTGGGAAGCGCGGGCCGGGGATTATGAATCCCAGGAAACGCTAAGGGGACCGGCTTTAAATAGTAAGGTAAGCTGGGTCTCGGCAGGGCTATTGTAAAAAATCGATCATCTATTGCATGCCATTCTTAGCCAACACTGGGGTCTGTAATCCCTCAAGGGCTTCACTCGGTATTATCATCACATTGTGCCTTCGTCTTCGTATAGCCCCGAGTGCAACGTGCGGATATCACTATCAAGATCGCCTCGTTATCTCCTTACCATACTTCCCACCTGATCTCGCGATCTTAAAGCGGTGTCACTCTCTTGCAATACTCTCTGCCAGTGAGCCATCGCAGAAGGAGAGGTTGGTCTAACCATAATCTTAGATCAATAATTAGCTTTTCAGCATAGAACAGCCACCCTTCTGCCAAAGAAAAATCTCACCCATTTCAGATCTCCTTCTAGAGATGCGAATTGCTTGGTATCTCCCTTCTCCAGTTTTTTCTGGGCTTTGCGTACCTTCTTTTCCGTACTCTTGTCACCAAATCTCTGGCCCAATGCTGCGATAGCATCTTGACGGCCGCTATCTTGCAGCGGTGGTAGTACAATGGTGAGAGGAGCGAGGAGGTCACCGTACCACGCCACTCTCTCGTCTGGTGACAAACTTACTATTCCCCTTGATTCAGAGGGTGCGATGCCGACCTCAGCGTCGACGTCTTTTGTTCTAGCGATACTGGCTGAGGTTAATCCGACGAAATGGTAGCGGAGCAACATCAAACATCTTTCAAACTCACCATATTTCAAGACCATTTGGTACAAAAATTTCCATATTAGCCTTTGATAGAGCTTTAGCAACCGTAGATGAATGGCCCATTGCTGTGCCGAGTCCAACACCAATCTGGCCTATCGTGAGACCAATCGAGGCAGCCCCAGGCCTTTGGAAAATTCCCCATGTCGATTTAGCACAGGTTCAGAGAAAAGACACAAAACGACAGAGATAGAAAGAAAAGAACTCACAAAAACCACCCTGCAATGTTAGCTCCCTTCTGAAATATTGCTGCCTCTGGATTCGGGATGATAGCGACGTTGATCGCGTCCAAAGCTTGCATAAAATCTTCAAAAGAGATCCCAGATTGTCCTAGCTCCTGACTATATCCACGAAGGAAAGGTTGTCCATCTCCGTAGTCGATCTGAGGCAAAGCCAGTGGTCGAGATTTCGTACGGCGCGAATGAACTTGGCCGTGGCAAGTGCTACCCCCATTACTATTATACTTCCGCCTCACGCCAGAAGCACCTTGATCCTCCGTAGATGATTGATATTTGGTGGACTCTGAGTACGGTGGTACTGCACCGAAGATATGATCATAATTGTGGTCCTCCTCGTTATCTTGTCTGCTGTAGTACTGGCGGTCATAAATAGGGTTCCGGGACGAAGCATAGTTTGGACTCTGGGTCTGCATTCTCATATCTCGTCCCATGTTATAATCAACTTGATTGGGGAGATTCTGACGAAGAGAAGACGACTGGCATTGGTTCGTCGAGTATTGATCGGACGATGGGGAAAAACGCGAGTTGAAGCCATTTTTGACTTGGTCAGATCCCAGCGCGGTGCTAAGAATGTCTCGAATGACACCCATGATGAAGGACTCAATTTTCGAGTAGGGTAGATAGCTGATGATTCTCTAGGTCAAATATATTTGTAATATTTGGTGCTGGAACACAGTGCATTAAATACTCTGTATCCGTCTCTCATAGATAGTGTCAATCAGGTACCCTTTCCTATTACGGTAACCAACCTGCAATACTTAGCGCCACGCGACTGAGCCCACTGATTTATACCTATTAAGGCAACAATCCGGAGCTGAAGTTGAATGTTTCCGTCACAAAGATCAATACTGACAGTCGCAATTGACTGATGCAACATTATTTGAATAAAGGGCCCATAACCCGGAGAGCTCCAAAATCTAAGTATTAAATACATCATTCGGGCTGTGACGCTTCCACCACCATTTGAAAATCAAGCGACATGAAACAATTTGTGCAGGCTGTGTATCTGGCCGAAGAGTCGTCGATGACATTGCTTGGATGTTTTAGTTGACTAGAGACCAAAGATCTTGGAGGGATTTGTACATACCACACATTCAGGGCGGCACCTTCCTGTTGCTGCAGGTATCTGCGCCAGTGTTCCACAATTCGCTCAGGTATTCCATAAGGCTTGCGCTACCGGATCAACACTGGTCAGTTGTTTGTTTTTCCCACTGTGTACTGTGGAAATTCGGCTGTTGTGGCGGAGTCAATGAAACCCTTGTGTGGATTGGAAATCCAGCATCCCAAATTGCCATCGAAGTCTGGCCAGACTAAATTGACAGTAMCCCGCCGACGATTCGAATACAAATCAAAGAAAGCGTAGGAAAGAAATACGTAACGTGTCACAACATGACGTTTCAGCAACAGAGGTGGCGGTATGACTGCTACCAGCTTTCTCCTATTGAACAAGTTACTCGTATCTACGATATTTCTAAGTAGTTGTTGATGTTTCCCTGCTAAAAGGTTCAAGAATAGATAACTACCGGTTCTTTGGAAACTTAGTAGCTGAATTTCAATGAATTGTCAGGTCACGCTATGGGCTTTCAAACTTGATCCGGTGCCCGCTTGAGACATCTACAAATCCAGCGTCGTCCTAGCCTCAAACTTGAGCAAATCTCCCTTAACAACATCCTCCTTCTTCGCCAGCAACTCCTCCGGATCCCACGTAGCGCTTACCAACCTCCCATTTAACCACGAAAATCGAGCTGTATCCCGACTCAACCAGACGCAAAACGCGCCGCACAGGTTAGGGTCATCCGTCAAATCTACACAACCGTCAGCACTACTCATTCATACGCCTTTCTCCCGGAGGATGGAACATACATTTAATAAACTCCTTCGGTGCCGTAGCAAGCGCATTTTCACTGCCAACAGCCCCCGGATGCACACTCACAGCCAACAACCCTTGCTCCGCAAACTGTTCCGCAACACACTCCACAATCCGTGCCTGCGCAAGTTTACTAACGCAATATTTCGTATTCGCTATCATGCCTTTCGTGATACACGCCGCTATTGAGCCTATCACCAGCAATGCTTTGGTGTCAGACTTTAGCAGCAGTGGCACGAGGTAGTGCGCAACGTGGTATGTGCCAAGAGTATTGGTGTTGAAGACCTCCGCCCAGTGGCCGTCCGATGGAGAGCCGTCTGTGATGCGGAGCTCGACAGGGCCCGATATACCGCTTACCAGCACGACAGCGTCCAGTACCCCGGAGAAGGAGGAACCTATAAATTCTGCGAGTTTGCGGACGGAGTCGTGCGATGCGATGTCGCAGTGTTGGATATGGATCCTTGTCTTTACCCCCTCGTTATCACTCTCATCAGAGGAAGATAGTATATCCTCAGATACCCTTTTCAAGGTATCAGAGTTCCGCCCAGCGAGAATAAGATCACTACATCCCGCCAGTGCGTATGATTTCGCGACTCCAGCGCCAATCGCACCCGAAGCACCGATTACGCAAACCGTGAAGGGGCGTTTGAGGCGATTTGATGGCAGAGATGGAGAAAGCGTGGGCGTTATATTAGAATGAGAGGTGGATGTAAAGCCATCCATGTTGACGACTCGGGGGTCTGCCATGGCGACGGTCTTGGTTGTTGAATTTCAACGCTGGTTAAGTTTTGTCCTTACATTGAATCGAGTTGGATTGGACATGGCGAAAGCGCATTTTATATGCGTTTCCTGATCCAGAATCAATTGAAGGTAGTACCAGACATAGCGTTGTAGATTTTGAACTCCTAATCTGCCAATGGACATTGATCATTCAGAATGACTCATTGTGATTAACGAATAGACTAACTAGACTGCAGTTTGAGAATTGTTGGTTGTGGATTGAAGCTAAAATAGCGTTGACGTATACTAGTAGTACAGTACTGCCGCACTGGATCAACTATAACATTACAATTACGGTACACTGGGAAGCGCTCCAATACATCTATAATCATAACCGACACTCCTAAGAACACTACCGAAGAGACCTTTCAGTCCAAAACACTAATTTTGGCATTGATGACGAGCATGGTAGTGGGTATCTGCAAGGAAAATAGAATATAGGAAGAACATTTGAAGGTAGTCATCTCTTCATTGAATTTTGAGAACTTTTTATAGCCCATGGTTAGACAGGTCATAACACTTTTCGTTCAATCAAGTGCAGGCTTAGATCTTGATGGCAGACTCGATAGCCTTGCGCTTCTTCTCCTGGCGATCGTTGGCCTTGGCACCCATGATACCACCACCCCAGTGACGACGGTTCTCCTCATACTTGTCAGAGTAACCCTCCTTGATGGCGGAGACGAGCTTGGAGAACTCGGAGTTGTCCTCGGAGCGGACCTCGGTCAAAGCAACAACGGCGGCAGTCTATATCAGTTAGAAGACATTCAAAAATATGCTGAGGAAAAAAGACAAACCTTCTTGTGGACGACTGTTCCGAGACGAGCCTTGCCCTTGATGATGGCGTAGGGAACACCCATCTTGCGGCAAAGAGCGGGAAGGAAGACAACCAACTCGATGGGGTCGACGTCGTGAGCAATGAGGACGAGAGAGGCCTTCTTGTTCTCAACGAGACCGACAACGTGGTTGAGACCGTACTTGACGGCGTAGGGCTTCTTGGAGACGTCCTCCTTCTTCTTACCCTCGGCGACGGCGGTGGCCGCCTTGTGGAGACGCTCCTTCTTCTCAGCCTTGGACTCGGGGCGGTACTTGTTGAGGAGCTTGAAGGTCTGGGCAGCGGTGTTGCGGTCGAGAGTGTTGGAGAACTGGGCGATCGCAGGAGGGACCTTGAGACGGAGGTTCAAGATCTTCTTCTGGCGCTGAAGACGGACATACTCGGGCCACTTGACGAAGCGAGAGAGGTTGCGCTTGGGCTGGACATCCTGGCCGATACCGTAGTTGCGGCTGCGAGCCTCGAAGAGGGGGTTCTAATATAATTAGCCATGAACACAAGTCATGTTTCGATGGGAGTAAAATACTAACCTTGGTCTTCTTGGCACCAGCCTTACCCTGGGGGAAGGGGGCGGCAGCAACTTTCTTTCCCTTAGGAGGCTATCATTGAGAAAAGAAGAATCAGCAAATCGTGTCCAACACGCTGTCTTCTTTGAACTCTAGAGAGAACACGAAAATCGCAGTGGTTGCCGACATTTCTGCCGTACACCACACACGACGATCATGGCTCAAGCCAAATCATCACCAGTCTCCTGTAGAGAAGGATATATCTCTTTTCAGGGACATGATCAGTCAACTACAGAAGACAATGGCGGAATCGTTTCGGAAGAAATGATCTTCGGCCAGATGAGTTGCTTTGGATTAAAAAAAGCAGACCCAACGAGAAAGTCGACGGAAGTCGTATAACTCTCAGAGCTCAGGAGAAGACTCTAAAGAGTCATTGTGAAGTGTCTAGCTTACCATTTTGTCGATTGGCGATGGTCGAGGTGCTGAATGTGCACTGTGTTGACTGAACGAGGGGACGAAGAGAGAAAGAAGTCAGGTCGGAAGCAGACTTGAAGATGAGAAGATATCGTGCGCGAACAAATAAGCGAAGTGGGGCGGCTACTTTCTCCACCGAGCCAATGAAATTTGTTCCTATGAATGGAAAGGCTATTCCTCTTTCGTCTGCTTTACAGGGCAAGCCCTTATCTAGCCTCTATCGCCGATAAGCCGATAAGCCATACCTGATAAGCAGTATCAAAGCCATGAAACCACAAGTGAGAAGCATGTTGTCAATCAAATAGTGTAGTACGCTAAAATACATATCACAAACTCCATAAATGCAGACAAATCAACCATTCATATCGAGGAGGTCACCGCCACGGCCCGAACCCAGGTATACTCAATTGCCCAACTGAACTCGCCGCATCAACAGCCATCCTCTTTCCCCTGGAACCCTCCTGCGCCTTTACGCCAGCCACAATCCTATCGGTGTTTGTCTCAACCACCACACCGCCAATAATCATCTCACTCAGCGTGGCATGCATAGTCTCATACCCAAATATAAGATCCAACTCGCACACATTCTGAAACAGTCGATCGAGCGCCTCAACAAAGACTTGGATCAGGTCGATGAGCGCTAATGGTGATTCCGTGGATGTTGAGATCATAATAAAGGACAAGGTTGCGTAGGTGCGATATGTGATTTGTGTAGGTGCGTCGGATGGTCCGCTGGCGGCTTTGGAGCTTGCGCCTTGCGACAGGAGAGGCGGGAGGGGGAGAAAGTTGCATGCTGAGGCGGGGCGTTGGGAGACGAGATCGTATATTTGCTTTATGAGTTTTTGTTGGATTTGTGTGTCCTGGAGAAGTTAGTGGTTGGCTTCTATGGGAATGCTTTGAGGCGTACAAGTTGGGTGTAGAACTTGGTCAGTCTGGGCTGACCTGTGTTGTTGAAAACGAGCACAGCGTTGATCATATTGTCGCAGTCAAAGTAATGAGAAGAAAGGTGTAAAATTTCAAGGGTCCTTACACGGGTCTAGACTTGGAGCGACCGAAGCGTCGATGTTGATGGTGACGATGATGTCGCGGGGAATATAGCCGCCCTGATTAGGTTTAGCGCCGGAGGTCGCAAAGTTCTCCGACAGCTCATAACTAACTTATTTGCAACAGAACAGCTTCAAATAAGATAATATCGTCAAGGCGTCGAATTATGGCCAATTGAATAGAAAAATATCATCAAAAATATAAAGGGCTGAAATGTGGAAACCTCATCCAACCTCACCATACAGACTCTGCCAAACTCTCCTCTCACAACAACAACGATGCCATCTCCAAACCCTCTCTCCAAACCTCCAGCACACCAACCCGAACAATAAACCCACAACCTCAACAGCTCATCGCACATCCTTTGACGACCTCCAACCCACCGACCTAGCAGCCTACTGGGATACCCAACCGCCGAATTCCACCCAACTTAAATCCGCCTCCCGCTTCTTCGCGCACACCCGCCACTCCCCCGTCAAACTATACTCCGCCGCGCAATTCCGCACCATCCCCCACGACAGCCGGGAACCCGAAGTCGCATTCCTTGGGAAAACGAACGTAGGCAAAAGCTCACTCATAAATGCGCTTGTGGACCACGAAATATGTCGTTCGGGCGACAAACGCGGGAAAACCACGGAGATGAACGCGTACGGAATTGGAGGTACGAAAGGCGGGGAGTCCAAGATTGTGTTGTTAGATATGCCCGGTTACGGCACCGGGAGTAAACTTGAGCAAGGGGAGGAGATAATGAAGTATTTGCAGAGGCGGAAACAGTAGGCTTTCACCCCATCCTTTTTATCCTTTGATGGCAAGCTGCTAAGAGGTACAGATTGCGCCGAACATTCATCCTCTTGGACCTCCGCCACGGCATAAAACCAGGCGACCAACAAATCCTCACTCTACTACGCCAATACGCCATCCCGCACCAAATCGTCGTCTCCAAAGTCGACAGACTACTCTGCGACAGAGTCCAAGACCTCAAACACTGGCATTCCAACCAAATAGTGCGAAACTCCAAACTGGCAAAACTGCAAATTGACCTTGATGCGCTACGGGCGATGGATCAGATACCGTCAGACTCTAACCCGAGTGATCCACAGTATGAGTTTGCGGTGAGATTGAAGGAGACAAAGGGTCCGCCGCCGTTGGGAGAGATTATATGTGTTAGTGCCATGAAGGATGTGGCGAGGAATTTGAAGAAGAGCCATCTCAATATTGACGCGTTGAGGTGGTCGATTATGCAGGCTACAGGTTTTGATGGGAGCTTTGAGGGAGTATGTCCATGACGCAAAACAAGCACTAAAACATGACAGGCAGAATAGCTGAACACGTCTGTAGATGATGAAGATAGAGATTACAATGTCTCATCATTGTTATTACATATATTGATGTATATATATATATATCTGTATAATAGCTAGATAAATAATAGATACCCAGCAGATACCCTTGTGATCTTCAGTCCTCATTGCAAATCGGTCGTACATCATACCTATCAATCGATACAGGCATCTTCACAGATATCAATCACACCTATACCGTGTATAATTGCGACACATAAAACCGTTAGATCCCGGAAAAGTTAACGATATCGCCAAATTCCTGCAACAACAACGCATCAATATATTCATTTTGCGATTCAGGCTGGTTAGGTGAATGATTCTTTAAATCATTAACTGGGTCATGAATTGTGTCTGCATCACCGTTGGACGAAGATTGCATATCGATCTTTGGGCGCTTGGAAGCGTTGGAGATGTTTGTTGCATCACTCATTGGTCCGACATTTCTTTTGAAAGAAAGTTTTGGTGCATTGTACGACAATCTGTCCTGTGGCCCTAGTGCCTTTGCGACAAGACCTGTGTAAGGACTCTGAACAATGTTAGACGGTTGAGTGTTGCTTGAACCAATAGTTGATTGATCAACGTCATCATTCAAGTCCAGACTTGTACCGATTGTGGGCGAGTCCCCATTAGTCATATCAGTTAATGCATGTTGCGTTGGAGAGAAGAACTCCTCTAAGCTGCTGTCATCGTACTCACTCGACGAACGTCGTCGGCGATTGTTGGATCGTTTCCTATTCCTAGCTATTTTCCTGACTGTAGCCCTGGGCAACATCGCTTGAGATGATGCGAAGTCTAGATTGGCCATTCGTTTTGCCTTCGATTCAGGGGCTATATGTTGCTTATGCTGCTCTTCCTTGGTTGGTTGGGTGAGATCGAGGTAATCAATTGTATCATAAGAGGGTCCGTTGCGCTGTGAACCTTTAATAGGCGTCTTTGGGATACCGTTATTGATTAATGGAAGCTGGATATTGCTCTTTGTTCGTTCATTATGACGAGCATTCTTGTGCACCTTTGGAGGCTTATCGAGACCTTCGCGGCAGCAAAAGTGCTTGCACCTATTACTTGATTAGCCATTGTACTGCGAATATTATAAAAAGCAAACAGACGTTGATTTATCTTTGCATTTGTGGTTGCAGTTGTATTTCCCATTTTCAAGCATGACTGGTTGTAACTCCTCGGTATCTTCGCGAAGGTCACTCGTATGCCGTTCGTTCTTTCGACTATTGTTCGAAGCCCTGTCCACTGAACCTTGGTTCTGAGGATGATCATCAAGACCATGAACTTCAAGCACAATTAGTCGAGATCATCAACAGACAGGGATACACCTACCAGCTTCCAAGAAAGCATCGTCCGGAATATCATCATCCTCAAAAGCTTCATTCTGAACGATAGTTTTCAGTCTTGGACCGTCACCGTTTCTGCGTCGGGAAGTTTTCATTGGGATGTCAACCGAGAAGAACGAATCAGGCACATCTGGCTTCAGTTCTGCATATTGACATGTTCCACCTGGTTGACTGCTTTAGTGCGTGGTATCAAAAGTCATGGAATTCGTCTTACCGATTTCATCGCACATCACGTAGCATGTAATATGCTGCAATGGACTCTTGATCTCCGCGCTAAGCAGGATTTCTTGATCGTTCTGTAGCTTTTGAGCACTGATAAATCTTAGCATAGGATATAGTCTGCATAAATCAAATGCCTCACCTCAAGCGTCGAAAGTCTAATAGTCGACCATCAGAAAGCTCCGTTAAGAAACAAACGTATACAGGACGCTTGTGGAAAGTTGTTGGCGTCTTCTCATTCAAGAATCCTATGTCGGCCTTGAAATTGACTCTCACCGCTCCACCGTGCTTGCTCGCCTGAGAAGAGTCAACACCAGCGAAGAGCAATTATAGTGCATCAACTCACCTTGCCTAGCAGTTTGATAGTTACACGTAACTTCGGAAACTCTGCGAGTCGTGCAAGAAGTTTCATTCCGAATGGCGGATTCTTGCTCAGTATCATATCAATTCTGTGCGCCTCTGTTTCCTCCAGTGCCTGAATACTGTTAATGCCAGCACCAGCTAACTTTCTCACCGCAACGACACCAATCTGATCGATTTGCTTCATTTGAAGAGGTGAGTTCTCCCAGACTCGACTAGCAAAGCTCCGCGCGAGTTCGAGACAGTTTCTCACGGCAACGCCATCCTCGTTGTGTATCTGACAATCAATGATGCACCGTAATAGACGATTGATATGCGTGAATACAATCGCCTTATCTTGTTGAAACTGCATTCTGTGTCTCTGGAACTGCTCGGCAGAAGGAAAGTCAACAGCACCTAATTCAGACTGTATGAGAAGAGAGATCTTATGAGCATTCTGAACCAATTCTACTTTTATTGGAAACCGGATTCCGTGAGCCCGATTGATCTCCCTGTAGAAAGGGCGCTCCGCTGCCTTGAGACGCAACTCGTGAAATTCATCTGCCTGAGATACTGCAGATAACTATCTCGTATTAGCCAGCGTCCAGAGGAACATGATAGAGTAACTTGCAATTTCTGAAATCTTCGCTCTTGGAGGCAACGCTAGAATTATTTTCATAGTCTTAAACTTGACGTAGTACTTGGCCATAGCTTCACCGTACGGTGTGGCCTTAATAGGACCTTGCTTGACGACAAGTTCAGTCTCCTGGAGAAGTTTGATGTCCTTGTCACAAATCTGTTGCAGCATTTCATCCTCATCTCTGTGATCTGCATTTTCCTTTAGCTTGTAGCGAGTAGGATTTCTCCTGAGTCTCACGAATAAGAAAGTCCCCGCAAGCCACTTGATAGCGCTTTGAATGTCCGAAACCGTGCCCAAAGAGATCTCTGCATTGAGATGGTCGATGAGATTAAGATGAAGACAACTTTCTAGTTGCATTGTGCCCGATACCAGTTGTTCATAGATTGGAACTCGTTCTTTCTTAGTAAGTATGACAGCTACTGCAGTGTCGTCGAATTGAGGACGGCCGGCACGACCTAGCATTTGCATCATCTCCAAGTCGGTGTACTCTTTGCAACCGCCTTCCTGCCAGCAAACGGTATTCTTAATGATGACTAGGTAGCAGGGCAAATTGACACCAACGGCAAGCGTAGATGTGCAGCAGATGATACTCAGTTTTCCTTCAAGGAATGCTCTTTCAACGGCATGACGATCGTCGCTATCCAAGCCGGCGTGATGGAAAGCGACACCAGAGGCAACGAGCGCTATGAATGTTAGTAAAGCCTTAAACTAGGAACTATGGAATGTACCTTTCAAATCTGTATTCTTGATAACAGGCATTCTCACCGATCCGGCCCAGAATCGTCTTTGAGGAATAGTGTTTAACCACAGCTTGGCGAGCTCTTTTGCAGTAGAGATGGCAGAGTTTCTAGTACAGCAGAAAATCATCATTGGTTTTTTGTTCGAATGCTTGGAGATAATCTCAGGGAGTTTTGACCCTAGTAACCTGTCGAATGCAAAGTCATTCCCCGTACACGGATAACCATATACAAATTTCTGAAGCTTCGTCGGACGGAATTCTTCGCCAAAATGTTCTTTATGAGCAGGCAGATGTTGCAGCGTATCATTCTTGCCCAACCACGTCGCTATGTCTTCTGAATTCGGTATCGTAGCACTCAGAGCAATGAAACGGACATTTGAACCGACGGACTTCATTCGAGATACCACAGCCTCGAGAGCAGCACCACGAGTCTCGTTGAGAACGTGAACTTCATCAATCAGAAAGAGCCTGACTAGTTGCATCAACTTGGAATGATCTCTCCATCTTCGTGTCATACTATCCCACTTCTCCGGCGTGGTGATGATAATGCTGGCAGTCTGCACCAGTCGCGACTGAGCATAATCAGTATCACCAGTCAACTCGGCACATGATAGCCCTAACGAAGTGAACTTCTTGGACCAATCACGGAACCTTTCAGAGCACAACGCTCTTGTCGGAGCCTGATACACCAGCTTGAAGAGGCCATCTTTCAAGTTGTTGACCAAACGGCAAATTGCAAGCTCCATAATAACAGTTTTGCCGCTTCCTGTTGGAGCAGATACGACAACATTGTAGTCATTGTCATACACATGGTGAAAACACTTTGACTGCACCGCGTTAAAAAGGGGGTAAGGGAAGAGTGCACGGAAACGATCTGGGAGTGTCTTAGTTTCGATCAGATGAATGCCTTGGACTACAGGTGGCGCGTGACTGAACGATATCTGACGAGGTAATGAAGGGGATGTTGATGGCCCTTTTCTGCTCGAATAACTGTCTTTCGTGTGCTCTGACCTGTCGCTAAGTTGAGCGGGCACATACTGATACTCCGAGAAACCTGGCGTCGAAGCGATTTGAGGCTGACTTGGTCTGAAGTACTGCAGCAACGGGCTCGATTGGAACGATGTATCCGGAGAGCTGGAGTACTGGCCTATGGCTGGGGATACAGGAGAGACGGCTGTTGATATCAGCAGCCGCGAACAAAAGAGAGTGAGAACACCTTACAATCCTCCGTAAACCGGCGCAGCAAAGCTCCTCTTCCTGTGGCTACCGGTTGAGAATCTCGCTCCCCAAGCTGAGCCAGAAGCTCTCGATCTCCATATACAGTTAGATTAAGACTACAATTTGTCGGAGAAGAACATTGCATTCATACCGAATGTGTCGAGCGGGATGTCATCATCTTCCGTCGTGAGGAAGGGATTTCGAGGACCAAAAGGCATGGTGGCGGTGACGCTTCACATCAGTGACGAGTCCTTTATCGCACGAAGTTCGTCAAGGTCTCAAGAGAAGATGGAAAGAAGATGAAGAGGATAGAGAGTTGGGAAAGAGGTCCGAGAGTATAGTCATCGAGCAACTACCCTGGGAGGCAAGAGCCTACCGCGTCAACCGGATGAGGAAGGAGCTTACCCAGCTACACGCACCTTCCTGTAGTACATGCAAGCTCGATTATGCAAACAAGAAATAGACAGTGTCTCGATGTGTTCATAATAATTGTACAAGCAAACAACCATACCCGCTGTAGCAACATCCGTCTATATAAACCTCAAGCAAAAAGCAAAGCGGCAAAAATGCTATGATATCCCTTCTTTTACCATTCATTCATTCCATCCGTTTTTGTACATCTATTCATCAGGTTCTAGGAAATATCCTGAGCCGCTCTGATTCGACTTGACTCGCGAATGACTCGGCGATGCAGGCCGGGACGTTGAAAGGCCGGCTGTCAATAAAGGTGTGTTAGGGAGTTTGATGGAGAAGTCGTTGGGAGGAGAGACGCCAGGTCTGTTTGGGTCCTCGTCAAAGCTCTCAATCCGAATTGGGGGTGGTCGCATCCGAGCTAGGGGGGAAGGTGATAGTGTAGTACCATATAAAAATGTTGCGATTAGGACTATAGCGGCGCCGATGGAGAACTTGTAAATATTAGCGACCAAAGTCGAGAACAGATAGGATGGTAAGAACTTACGTTGGCCGACAACTCCAAATCAAACACAGACAGACTCGACAACATCCCCACGACGAGACTAAATCCCGTCGCAGTCGTCTTCGCAGTCTTGTCTGCGTACGCAATGGCATATCCCGCACCAATACCCCCGATAGCCTGGATGAAGATAATCACCCAAACAATCCAACTATAGCCGGCAAAGAATCCTTGCTTCGCAATAACCTCTCCATCGAGAAAAATCACACCAACAAAGAACGCAGGTACCACCGACTGAAGCGCCAACTGCACATTGCGCACCCAAAGCGACGTCTTCGCCGCACTATCGCGAATAACCTTCTCAAAACTAACCGCGGCCAACGCCGACGCAACACATGCGCACAGAGTCGCCATGAGACCTACCCGGCCGTCGAGAGTAGGATGCTCTAGCAACATATCCTCCTCAATCCCTTCGTAACTCGCGGACCGCTTCGCAATCTTCATCGGCGAATACCCTTTTTTCTGCCTCCATTCCTCCAACGACCTCGGAAAATGCGCCGATTCATCTCTCGCCACCAGACGATCCGACTCATGCCCCGGCGCATGTAGCAGCACCACACCCGCCGCCAAAAAAAGCAACAGTCCCCAATTCCGCGCGGGAATATACCGCTGCAACAAAACCAGCCCAAAGACAGCCGCAAAGAGCAGCTTTACCTGGTACGTAATCTGATAAGTCGCCGGATCCAGATTCGACAGCGCTACGTACTGCAGCGAGTTCGAGAGTGTATAAAGGCAAGCGGGAAGAGCCAGCTTCCAGCTATCGCCTGCAAAGATTGTGTTTGATAGATTCGAAAATAGCGACGTGGCGGGCATGGAGGGCGGGGCGTGTTTGGAGATTTCATAAAGGGCCATTGTGAGCGAGATGGCGAGTTTGATGGCTTCGGTTAGAAAGACGGCGGTGGAGGTAACGTAGCGTTTTCCGGCGACGGTAGGCATTACCCTGGAATAATGGATCAACTTTGCATAAATGTTAGCATGAACTGAGCCCTTTTAACGGGGGGATATGACTTACCACGACAGTCGATGCATATTGTATTGTCAACTGGACGTCGAATCATCAGCCCACCACAATCTGATCACAAGAGTGCAGACATCCTTACCAAGAGGAGGGACAAATTCCGAATATAAGCCGACCTCGACTTTGACGATGTCTGTTTTACCCCCATATTGTCGCTTTCCTCTGTTTTGCCTTGTGTGTCAATGTGTGTGCGCGTGTGTTTTGATCCCACACCGATCAACAGATCAAAAGCACCCAGGCTTGAGCGAGTTCCAGAATCGCAGCGTGTAATTCTTTGACAATTATACAAATAGGCGGGCTTGCGAAATATAGACAGCGATGATTATGAGGGGATGCTGTGTAGTGTTGTCACAGTGCGGTCAAAGGGGAGAAAGTCAGAAAGTGACGTCTTTCAATCTTGGCAAAGCACGGAGATGAGTCGCAGATCGCCGAACAATAAAAACAGCTAACCCGCTGCGACAGGAAAAAGAAACGAAAGTCTTGACCAACTCAACTTTGATTTTTTAATTTTCGAGAAAGAGAACAATTATGAGATTCGCGATAATCCGCACCGAAGAATTTTCTCGAAATAGGAGGCGAGTACCTGAAGAATATCCGCCCCTGACACACGCACTACACACTGAAACGGCTTAGTCCTCCTGTTAGTTTGTCTGGGGTAAGGCAGCCAGAGGCCGAGGCCCCTGGGTGGGTGCTGGCCAATCATGCGCGGTATTGCCTATACAGTACTCTCGATGCCATATTTCTCCAGCCCAGAGCTGAATGGCTGTTGTGAAAGTCCAATATCTGCCTGTCACAGACGATGTCATGTACGTAGTACTGGAATGCAGGCTGGTCTGTGTCACTTTCTACAAGCGGGTAGTGGCTGATACTTAATGTTCAATTCAATTCAGGCAAGTAAGAGATTTGATGCAATAGATATTATACAGAAAAATAAAGATGACCCGCTGCGGACAGACTGACATGCAAACCCAGAGACAGTGAAAGAAAGAAAAGTGTTTGTTCCCAATGCAACCAACCAACCTATCCCCGTCCCCATCTATCCGACAAATGAAATAAAGAATGGTGAGTTGTATTACTTACCTTCATAGCGAAGGTAGATTTGATTATAAAAGGATTCAAAATGCATGGAAAGAAAAGAAAAGAAAAGAGTAAAGAACGATTAATGTGCAATAGCAACATCGTTAGGATCTCGACCCCACTTCACAGCCCACAAGGGATAGACAGGCGGACTCGATAACTTTTCAGTCTCGCCTTCTTCCAAGACGATGGCATCGCTGCTATCCGTCCGGCGACGAGAATGTCGTCGTGTTGCGACTTCGTCCGGAAGCGGGGGAAGTGCATGGGATGGGGGAGGAGCCGCCAACTGATGAGAGAACCGGTGAATAGGTTGGAGAGTGGGTGTGACGGGAGATGCATGGCCCATGGTCGATGATGATGAGGGTGTTTCAGAATATGCGAGACTCAATCGAGGTGATGCGGTGAAATTGTTGTTGTTGTTGTTATGGTCCGTTTTCTGCTCGGCATTAGACGCAGTGCGGTACGGTAGGTATGGATCTTTGTCGATCAAAGATTCACTTTCGGCAAGGTTTGGTGCAGCAATTGGCGGGATTCTCATAGCTGCACTCAGCCGGAGGAACGAAGTATCAAATTGAGTCTGAACAGGCTCAGGAGAGCTAAGTGCTGGAGGTTCTGATACCTCGTGATTCTCAGCCGCTCTTTCAGCACCAGGCTCAATATCTTTGAATATGCTTGGGGTAATTCGACCATTCCGTAACCTCATGGCTTCTAGCAACGACTCCTCCTGCCGAGTGACTGCGATGATGCGACTTCTTCTCTTCGCAGAGTGGAGATCGCTGTACGACTGTGAAGAAAGTCGGGGCCGTCTTGAGTTGCTGGCTTCTTCCGCCTGCTCTTCCGGTTCCTCAATTAGAGGAACATCAAAATGAGCAGACGACCCATATATCTTCGTGGAAACGGATGATCTACTCATAGAAGAAAGCGAGTCGGCTCGTGAAGGAATAGGACGCCGTTGTGTACTGCGCGAGTCGGAGCTGACACTAGATACGTTGGAATTGGCCCGGCCAAGACGAGTCAATTGATAACCTTTAGTAGCAACTGCCGCTTCAGCATGACATATCTCTGGCGCAACATAGTCGTTTGTGGCGAAACTGTCCCGAGGCCCTCGAGATGGTGCTGCTTTTCTTACGAGCTGTTCACCGTAGTCCTCATCTGCATCGGTATCTTCATCCTCGGATGATGATAAAGACAACACGCTGTTTTTTGTCAAATCCTTAGTATGAAAGGTGCTGCTGCTCTTTTTCTTTACCAAGCGGCCAGCCGGCTTCTGATGAGCCGCACGCAAGTCACCTTCCGACTGCCATGTTTGAAGGGAGGCGCGGGGAGGAGGGTTCGTATATGAGGGGGGTAGTGGCTGGCGATAGTAATGATTTTCGCTTCCACGGCTTCCACGGGACGTATGACTTGATACCCTAGAAGGGGCACGTGATGATCTCCTGGAATCGACAGCCGAAGAAGTCTTGGCGATGCCGTTTTGTACTGGAGGTTGAACTGGCTTTATGATCGCTGGTGCTGGTGCTAGTGTTATTGGCTTGGRATGCTTCGCCTCCTTCACTGGCTTTGCATGATCCAACACACGATCAGGCTGCTTCGCTTCCTCCTCATCAACTTCTAGGGTTTCCCCCAGGCGGATGATCTGCTCCAAAGGCACATCAAACCAGTCAACGGCAGGCCTGCGCGTGGAAACTCGTTTTCGTGGAATTGGCGGCTCCTCTGGGATAGGAGCGGGAGCTTCCTTAATCGATGCTCGCATATTCCCCCTGGAACGTGGCTTTGTGAGTTTGGCTGGCTGTGGTTTTACCGAGAACTCCGAAGTGACTGGCGATGGCGAATTCGTGTATCGCTGAGGTGACAGCAAAGGCGCTGCAGCAGGTTTCGGCTTGGGAAACAGCAAAGAAAGGTCGAGTCTACTTGGCTTCTTTTTCGGTACGTCTTCCGCTCGTCGGTCCCCTTTTGGCGTTGTTGGTTTAGCGGGTTTAGCAGTTTTAGGACTCTTCGAATTCTGGTCCAACTGCGGAAATCCAATTCCCCGCATATCATCCACCACTCCAAATGCCAAACTAAGCTGGGAACGGGTATCAAATGCATATTCGTCGAAATTGAGGTCGCGTGCGAAGCCCGCCGTCGAGCCAGAATGGTGCAATTGTGGGTTCTCCATGGGCATAGGCGGACGAATGTATTGTCTTGAAGAAGATTGATTTGATTGATAGCTTCGGCCAAGTAACGGGGACGATGCTCGCACACGGAGTTCTCGATTTATAGATGAATTCGCTGGATCCAGTTGTTGTAAGGTGGCCTACAAGACAAGATATTGTTAGCTTTATAAAAAAATTGGCGGAACGAGCGGAAAGTATTTAGGTATCAGGGTCTCAATACCATTCTGTTTCTTTCCGAGGTCATTCTCACTGTGCCCTGACTCGCCTTTCTAGGCAGATTCCTTTCATCGTACATGGTGGTTTCTGCGTTGACGCTTGACGTTCGCACGGCTATAGGATATGGGCTGCGTAGTGATTGCCTTCCCATGGCGGGATCAGAGGATAGTCCACGGGAGGKTGTCGTATTGCGCGAGACGGTTCAGACGAACCGGAGGAAGTTTTGTGGGAGGCGAGGTCACCATGTGGTTTTGTAGCGAGTATTATCGGGGGCGTCGTAAGGTTTTCTTGGGTGTGAGAGAAGAAGTTCTGGTAGTGTTGGTTAGACTTCCAAGTTGCTCTCCCCTGGTGGCAGGTGCGGGCTGAGAGTTTAGAGGCGGAGAACAGACCCACGGCAGGAACTACTACTGTGCCTAGGATACGCTAGCCCGTAGTTTATTAAGTCTGGCACACTACGCTTAGCACGTTGACTACGCACGCACTACAGTAGTGGCTTCAGCCCGTGCGAAGCAAGATTCCTCGATTGTTCCCGAGAATAGGAGGTGGTTCAATGTTGGCCTTGTCACTTGTGGTCGGCATATAGTAGATACCGAGTATAGTTAATACTGATCTCAATAATATGTACTACAGTAGTCGATATTATGCGGGCAAAGTGGACAAAGATCCATCGCAGAGATCGATCAGCCAGACTAGAGAACGCAAAGACTCGTCGCTAACCCGATCTGAGGTCCCGATTGCTCCATTAGTAGAACAGTGGTGATGATAGTGTGTCGATCCTGACGGTATTTGAGATAATGGTCCGCGTGGCAATTTCCAACAAATTGAATAACCAACGCGCGCTTCTCAGAGCTGAACCGATGCTATGAGATGAAGACCGAAGAATAGGAGTCGTCCCGTCAAGCGAAGATGATAAAGCTCCCAGCCGAGAAAAACCCCCTGAATCGTGCGATTCTCGGACTAGACCTAGTTGGGACACTTCTCTGATAGGCCTAAAGCCACTAAACCGGAGAAAGCGCCGACCAGACACAAAACACATGCAAACAGTGCAACTCTGCCAAGTGTTTCTTTTTCGTCGTGACAGCGACATTTCTTCCGATCTATTACTACTGCTTCAATCGGAGGATTAACATCAAATATCCGACCTCCTTACAGTCCACACGTGCTTAAGCTGCACTACGTATGCAGCTATATTTCAAATCTCTCTGCTGATGTCGACGACAGCCCTTGCAACAACCTCGGCTGAAAGGAGCTTAACAAGATGATGACAAACGCCGAAGAGCGATAATGTTGCCTACCAATTGAGCATACGATCACTAATAACGTAGCACGCAATACCGAATAAGCACTCCTAGGGCTGAATCAGGCTGATAATATAGTCCAGCACTACCTCAATGTAAAGATGCAGCGCAAGTCGTTTGGAGCTCCCTACTTGGGCTGAACCCTCAGCCTTGACATGACTTAAGAATCATGTTCCTTTGTCCATTTCGTCGACTCTCCTGACGCCGGAATATGACTCAGCTGTGAGTCGTATAGACTTCCTAGACCTTTCGCGTTCTAGTACTTTTAATTTTTTAGAGCTGTGTATGATGACATTCCGATCCTATCCAAAATGGGACAAATTAAGAATCACTTGATCTTCAATGCACGTCGTTTCAGGGCTAACCCTACTTTCCCTCAACCGGATATAACGTCTGCTGTACTTTCTTAATTGTCGCCTCTCGATTTGTTCTATGGTCTAGCAAGACAGACGTTCTATCTAGCCACCTATTTCCTCAGCTCACTCTTTTCTACCMCCMCYCCCGCCAATTCCGCCAGTCCGCTAGCTTGCATGATATCAAAAATACTAACCTCCGCCTTGAGCTCCTTCGAAATCCAGTATCGAATCTCAAGCGATACAAGAGAGTCAATACCGAAGCTATGCAAAGGCTTACGCACCTCAATATCCGTCACCGGCACGTTCAGCAGACTAGCTAGCTTTGCGACGAGACCCTTGAGCGCAACCTCGGCCGCCGCTGATTCGTCCGCTGCCTTGATGAAAAGCCGTCCGTAGCTCTCCTCCTTTGAGTCTGACTTGCCACTACCGTGCGCATCCTGGAAGGTGATCCGATTGACTTCTTGCAACTGTCGGAAGATAGGTCGCCCAGTCCAGTAAACGCTCTCAAAATGCTCGGGGAGCAGCGTCATCGCACCACCAAGACCGGCAATTAACTGTGCACGCTGCGGATCGATAGCGCGAGAACAGTCCGGATCACATGCATAGTCCAGTAAAGCAAGTAGTTCAGGCGTACTCAAACCTTCAAACCCGTCCCGACGAAGAGCGGCATTTGTTCCGAGCTGTGCGGCAATGCCGACGTCCTTGATCACACCCAGGTTTAGACTTAGACATCGCCGGCCTTCCGCTGCGAGCTTGCGTGCCAGCGCGTCCATGAAAGAGTTGGCTGCTGAATAGTTTGCTTGACAGCGTGAACCAGATATAGCGCTGATGGACGATAGTAGTACGAAGAAGTCCATGTCGGATGGCAAGTGAGTAGAAAGGTTGAGAGTGCCCTGTGTTTTAGGACGGAGGACAGCATTCCAATCTACAGTGGACATTGAATCCAGGAGGCCGTCCTGGGAATTATTAGAGAGGAGGATATACAGGAAGGACAACACTTACACGAAGCACCATAGATCCTTGGATACAGCCTTTGATCGGAGGCATGGTTTGAGCAAGATCTTCGAAGACTTGTCGTACAACCTGCTCGTTCGCAACATCGCACATGGGAGCTTTGATTACAATACCTTGAGTGGCATAAGTCTCAATCATCTTCCGTGCCGCTTCATTATTTTCGCTTCCTGATCGAGACAACAATATGAAGTTTCTCGCTTTTCGTTCGATCATCCAATCGACAAGGGTTCGACCGAGTCCACCAAGACCGCCTGCAATCACGTAGGTTGCACCAGGGTGGAAATTATAGCGCGACTTCCTGCTCGGGAGAACCTGTGTCACTATTAGCACCGACCATAACAAGGAGAATGAAGGGAAAGCTTCAGACGAACCGGTACTTCATCAGACGGACTCAAATCTACCACAATCTTGCCACTACTCTTTCCGCTGGCCATCTGCCGGAAAGCATCCTGAAGATTTTCAATCTGATAAACTTGGAGGGGCTGAGGAGATTTGGCTGGCACAGAATCAGTCAGATAGCCCTTCAAGGCGTTCATGATTCTTGTCATGGTTGGTTTTGCATTACGCATGACAACTGATAAATCGACACTAGAAAAGGATACATTGGTGAGGAAAGGCTTCATATTTAATCCCTTGCGTGATGATTCAAAGTCCGCTTTCCCGACGTCAACGAAACGGCCAAGTGGCGCGATACATTTCCATGAGGCCTCTTGCAGCTCACCTCTCAACGAGTTGAGGACGACATCGACTCCAGAGGGACAATGGGATTTCACTTGCTGCGCGAAACTGGTATCACGACTGTTGAAAATATGGCTTKGGGGKATGCCGTACAAGTCTTGTAAGAGCTGTCTCTTTTCTGCAGATCCGACAGTGGTGAAAATTCGAGCTCTATGCCGCTGTGCGATTTGAATAGCTGCTTGCCCGACTCCTCCAGCACCGGAATGAATCAGTACAGTCTCGCCTTCTGATAATCGAGCGACCTCGACAAGCGAGTAATAAGCTGTAGCAAACACTAACGGTATACCGGCAGCGTCTGCAAAAGGGATGTGATCTGGCAAATCGAAAACCCAGCTGGCATCCGCTCGAACAAAAGTCTTGTAGGCCCCACTGAGCGTGCAGCAAGCGACTCGTTGACCAGGTGCAAAGCCAGCCTCACTGCCGGCACGACTGACAATCCCAGCACATTCAAACCCAAGCCTGTTACCAGAAATCTGCCCCATAGCAATAAGAATATCCTTGAAATTCATGCCTGCCGTACGAACCTCGATCTCTACCTCTGTAGGTGCTAGGGCTAAGTCATAATCTGGATCATCCTCGAAATGCAGACTGTTCAATAGTCCCGGTGAAGCAATTGAGAGACTCAATGCTCGTTCAGGCTCGGCACCGAATTTTTGCTGTTTGGGACGCGATGGGCTCGTCATATTTCGAATCGTGGCATTTACGCTCGTAGCTTCACGAACACGACCGATGCATAACCTGCCATCTTTCTCGCGATATTCCGAGTCGAAATCTACGGCATCGTCTGCAATATGAAGTGTTTTGAGTAGCACTGAGTCAATATGACCGGCAGTTTTGTCGATTGAGGTCGATGGCTCTAAGGCCAATTCAACGAAGCGTAAATCAAGGTATTCGGACCGAATCACTCTACCTAGACCAGAAACAAGATCCTTATCTGGCGTCTGGTCTTTTGTTACCCAAAGCAAGGATTTTGCTGTGGATAGTAAGCTCTTGAAGATGGACCATTGTTCGTCATTGACATCAGAGAAGAAAGAGGCGTCAAGTTCGAGTAAAGATACGTAATGAGATCCCTTATACTGCTGGACATCAATGCTATCAAGTGGGACGATGCTAGTCGGTATTGCCGAAAGTCGTGTTTGGATTAAACCTGCGACATCTTTCTGTAAGACAGAATGGGGATGGATCACTATGATTACTGTATTGTCGCTAGATGTTGTACCATTCGTACCATTGGGCTTAGAAGTGGACAGTGCAATAGACTCAGCATCAGTGAGTTTCGCGAGGTCTGCTTTGGTGAAAGACTCCAATGAATCGAGACACAAGACTTTGCCATGCTCTTTCAACAAATTGTACGGTGACTTCGGTGAATTATCGAGTAGATAGTTACGGCTGTTGCAGATGAGTATGTCATATAGTCCGTCGACAGACTCTTCTTCGTCCTTGCCCTCTGTGTCAGTCTTTCGGTCGACCCTGTCGGAGAAAGGACCCTCATGATCATTCACTTCTTCAGCGTCATCGGACCTGGTAATCGTGTATCTCCGGAACAGAGGCAGACCATAGCCATCACCTGAACTAAGGCCGTAATTCATCAACCGATCTCGAATGCTCCGCGAAGCCTCCAAAGATACATCGCCCGCTTCTATAATCTCAACAAGCGGATTCTGATGTGCAAACAGCTCTACGAAAGTCGCCGCAGCTAGAAGCCCATAATTCTCGTCATCATTAAGACTTGATGAAGACAGACTGACAATATCATTTTTCGTCAACAGACTCGGATCCGGTTTCCATACAAGCGACCAACACGTCCGTCTCGCCTCCTCGTCCGCCCTCTCCATCCACTTCGCATCCTTGACAAACGTGAGCGAAAGACCATCCACACGAACCTGCGCTCTACCTCTATGCTCATCGGATACTGCAATCGAGAATTCAGCCTCCCGGTACGCTTCCGTATCAATCTGATTATGTATATCGAGCACATTCCGAGATCCGCGCGTAAGCAAGTCATTCGATATCCATAGTGATCGGATCTTTGTCGGAATCAGGACGGGAATGGGTTGGCGGCCTCCCTGGCTGATGGATGCTATACTCGATTGGAATATGACGTCCAAGTCTGTGGGGTGGATGACATGGGGTGTATGGGGGAATTTATTGTTTTCGTTAAGAGTATTATGCCATCTATCGAGTTCAATGCGTGCGGTAGCCTGTCGATCCGAGACGCGAATGTCCTGGAGACCTTGGAAGGCAGGGCCAAAGCTCATGCCGTGCTCATTGATGGTGTCGTAGAATTCCTTGGAGTTGACATTTTCCCAACGTCTACTGGAGTCCGCCGTATTTGCTGCTGTGATTCCGTCAGAACCCGGGCTGACTTCAATCTCAATAGTCCCATAACACAATTCATGCCACGCGTCACTGAAATAAGCAAAGATCTGGAAATCATGTACACGACACTGGTCCGGAAGACCTCCGCCAGACTGCTGTGAAGGATGAAATACGACTTGAGCCTCGACTGAATCTGTGTTTTCAGGGATGCGAAGACCAGCTGGAAAATTCACATTGCTGCAACGATAAGCCGATATAGACTGAGATGTTCCGGCTAGAGATCGAGCTGCTTCTATCGCCATGACTAGCATGCCTGATGCTGGGTATAGGTTTATTTTATCAAGCTGTAACCGTTAGATATATGACTATAGATCAGAGATAAGGGGTCTACCTGATGATCCAATATCCACCCATTCTCCGCCAACCTAATAACATTCCTCCACTTTGGTCGTAACGGATTCCAATCCGTCTCCCGACTCCCTAGCAACTCATGTCTAGCGTGCTGTCTAAACCTGAAATTGCGACTAAGTCGACTTTCGACCCAGTACTTTGTGTCATGATTGAATGAATAAGCAGGCAAATCCGTCAACACCTGCGTCGCTGCAGACGCAACATCCGGAAAATTGACATGCAAGAGATCAATCGGAACACCACTAGACCGCAACCGACCTGCGAAACCGCACATTGCTTTCAGGGCATGCACGTTCCGCTCTAGAGTTGAGTTGTATTCAATCTCCTTCGCAGCAGGGATGTCTTTGATTACGTCCTTGATGGGTCTTTGGAGAGCGGCATGAGGTCCGATTTCGATCATGATATCTCGTCCGCTTTTGTTTATACCACCCTTTTTGCGTTCCTCGAGGAGGTGTGAGACCATTTCTCCAAATGCGGATGAGAATTTGACTTGGCCGACAAGGTTGTCGACCCAATATCCTGAAGTGCATGTGTCCTGCACGGGAACCTCTACGCCATGAACAGAAGAGAAGAAGCGAGGCGATTCCGAGTGCATATCTCTAGGTTCTAGGTCACCTAATTTGGAAGCGTATTCGTCACTGATGGCGTCCATAAAGGAAGAATGATACGCAATCCCAGTTGGAATAACTCTCCCAAAAATGTTCTCTTGTTGCATGCGTTGTGCGAGCTCCGTGACTGCCCTTGTGCCACCTGTGACGGTAACGTTATCGGGGCTATTTACGCAGCCGACGACAAGAGGTTCGCCTATTTGCTCTGTTATCTCCGCTAGATATTTCTGAATTGCACTCTCTGAAAGTGCGACTGAAATCATGGCACCTGAATTAGGTTGTTCATGCAGCAGCTTTGAGACTAGCAACCCTTTGAAGTACGCCGTCTGAATTGCAGATTTGTGCGAAAGTCCGCCAGCAGAATATGCTGCTGCGATTTCGCCAGATGAATGACCGATAACGGCTGTTGGGCGGATGTTCCAGCTTGCTAACAGATCTACCAAGGCGATTTGTATGGCGGTGCAAAGTGGTTGAGAGAACTCGGGTTCGTTGATGCGAGAGAGGGATTTGTCTCTGTTTAGCTCATCTGATACAGATCATCAGTACTGGATATCGCAATACACTATAAGGGTAAACTTACCGATAAGATTCCATTCACACCCAAGCCCCTTGATGTATGTCTCAGACTTCTCCAAACTCTCCCTATATGCCGAATACAAACTCAATTCTCTCCCCATGGCAAACCACTGCGCCCCCTGACCTGTAAACACAAAACTGACCAACGGCTCAGAAGACGACCTCTGCGGCTTTGACGCCAGATTGGCCAACTCCTCCGCTTGAAGCTGCTCAATAGAGTCTACTACCACAAACGACTTCCATGGCAGCGCGCTTCGTCTTGTTGATAGTGTATACGAGAGATTTTGGAGATAGCGTTGTTGCTCCTCGGGACGGAGATAGTCTGATTTGAGGGCTCGGAAGTAGTGCTGGTAGATTTCTAGGATTCGTGCGATACCGGATTCGTCGGCAGTTGAGAATGGGAGGACGATGGGTTGTTTAAAGCTCAATTGACGCGAAACCCCATTGCCGTTGAGTTCAGGGCTAATTCCGTACGTGTCCTCGCCGGGCAGTTGGCCTTGTATACGATGACCTTCAGTCAACGACTTCGAGACTTGGTTCACTGAACAATGCTTTCCTTCCAAACCGTTGAGACGCAGGTAATTCAGCGCATCGTCTACAATAGCGTGAGCGTTTGTTCCTCCGTAGCCAAAGTTGTTGATGCTGATACGACGCAGGCCTTCTGCTGGGAAGGGCATGGGGCTTGTCAAGAACTGGAACAACACTACATCAGAGACGAAAGCAAAGGAGATGGAAAGGAGATGGATAATAAGCAAGGTCCCTACCTTGAAATTGTACTTCCCAATCGGAATATTCGGATTCGGCACCCGATAATCAGCATTCGGGGGCACTATTCCATTCTCCAACACTAGCACCGCCTTGATCAAACTCGCCACTCCAGCCGCAGCCTCAAGATGGCCGATATTCGCTTTGAGCGTGCCAATCCACAATGGTTTCTCGGTTGGTCTCTGAAAAGCATTATGAATAGCCTCCGCTTCCAGTGGATCACCAATCGCGGTACCCGTGCCATGAGCCTCGAAATAGTTTGTATCTTGCACGTCCAAATTCGCATCTTTATACGCTTGCAGGATATTTTCTGTCTGCGCATGTTTACTCGGCTGAGTGATACCGGGTGTCCGACCATCTTGGTTAACTGTTGTGCCGCGAATGACTCCGCGGATTGAGTCGTTGTCGCGAATAGCATCCGACAATCGCTTCAGGACTACCACGCTCACACCCTCACCTTTTGCATAACCGTTTGCGCGAGAGTCGAAGCTGTACGAGCGGCCGTCTGGGGACAGGAACCCGAGTGTTGAGAGTTGGTTCATGTTCACTTCTGGCGCTAGAATGAGGGAGACACCGCCGACTACAGCCTACTCCTACTTTAGTATCAAGACTGTAGTGATATTCCCCGGGGGCTAACGTACGAGGTTTGATTCCCCGGCCTTCAAACTCTGACATGCCATGTGAACAGCTGCCAGACCGGATGAACACGCCGTGTCCAGAGTGATACTAGGACCTCTAAAGTCAAAAAACCAGCTGATTCTGTTGGCTAGCAAGGATGTACCGATACCAGTACCCATGTATTTTGGAGTCAGTTCTGGGTCTCGATAGAGAATGACCTCGTAGTCTCTAGTTGACGCTGCGACGTAGACTGACGTCTTTGAGCCTTGGATTTTGTCCAATGGGGCGCCGGCTACTTTCATTCAGTGGCTAGTTCAACATCGTACATGAAGTATGAAGGAGCTTACCGTTCTCTAAAGCTCTATAAGACGTTTCCAAAAGAAATCGCTGCTGGGGATCCATTGACTCAGCTTCGATCTGCTGGATTGAAAAGAACGGAGCATCGAAAGCAGCGATATCCCCGGTAATAAAATTACCGGAACGGACGTTTGCCTAAGTACTATGTTAGTGAATGAGATCTACTAAAGAAGAATGAAATATACTGTATCTGTCCGATTCGGATTCGGATGATAGAAGGCATCCATGTTCACCCTTTCCTTGGGAACGTGGGTATTGGCATTCCGTCCTTCGTAGAGCATGGTCCAGAATTCCTGGGCTGAGCATGCATCTTGAGGCAGTCGAACGTCGAAGCCTATGACGGCGATAGGATCAGGCTCAGTGATAACAGGCATTGTGATAAGTTCAAGTTACAAGTTCTAGAGTCTAAGTTTAATCCGTTTGGATGAGGTATATTAATACTAGGGAAGCTTTGAACAACTCGAACTACAAATTGCCACCAGGTATCTGGGCATCTTATATCTGCTTGCCAATCAACAACTTTCGTCACAGTCGATATCGTATTGCATCTGCGTTGGCAAAAAACACAGGGATGTAATTGAATCTTTATCAACTTACGCGCCGAGTTCACGAAGATCGATGACTCTATTGCTTGAACAGGACATTTAATATACACAGAATCGAATCGTGATATTCCAACGGCGGTCGACCGATAGATACACGGGCATATTCCGAAGCTCTTTCGGACATCATCTCTCAGCTTATCTCTACGCGCTTTCGCAGTGTCTCCTACAGCAGACTCATAGTCCGGCACACCTGATGGCTTGACTGTATGCGCGCTGACTATTTCATGCGTCTAAGGATGTATAGTGCCGGCCAATATAAACCCTGCATATAAGTGACAACTTACACATTTCCTGCATAAAATCGGGCATTTAGTTGATTCTCGCGACCATGAGTATATTTCCAATCATCTTACTGGTTAAAAATTAGATAAACCATGTCTTGTCCAGGCTTGGTGCAAAGTCGGACCGCCACTGGTTTGACCCTAATGCCGGTCGTCCCGTTTTCTACAGGGATCGGATCAAAAAACAAAATGACCTGTTGCAGAAAATCATCTGCAATATCCTGGCAACTGCAAGCATCTTGATGATTATTTGGGGGCCGCTATTGCTACGTAAAGGTTGGTTGCACCTGTCTTTGAGGAAGGATAGTTATGACCTTACTCAACCTGGCAGTACCCCGATTGGATTTTAAGCGAGATCACATTTTAGCCAGACGACCCTTCGCTAATCTTCATTTATGCCTCATATACGTTCCGCAGCTTTTACATATCGCTCATTTATCTACTTCTTGGACCAGACTAGTCTATCAATACGAATGACACCACTCTTAGCTCGGCTTTGGCCTAAATGAAGCAACCTATTGTCTTATATTTTTTCCTTTCTATCATATTTGAACAGGATTCATCAGCCTGATAATCTAGCCGCATGATTACGTACTGAATACCGAGTCGCAATGGTGGTGCTTCGCGAGACTGGCCGCCTCACGGTGCGGCTTACGATTGCCATGTCTGCTCTCGCTATACTAGCCGTTGTTGTTCGGCTTATTGCGCGGAATAAAGTCAAATTGACTTTTAATCTCGACGATGTATTTATCCTCCTAGGGCTTCTATTCTTTCTTGGTGTAGAAGCCAGTCTTCTTGCAGGCACGTTTTACTCCGGTGCAGCCGAAATGTTGATGAGCTGACTCTGATCGCTTAGGAATTTACACTTCGGGCGGAACACTCGATGAATCTCAAATGAACTTGAACGAATTGATAAACCTCTTCAAATACATCTATGCGCTAGAATCCTTCGTCACGACATCCATTACCGCCATCAAAATCTCCATTCTATTGATGTACCGCCGAATCTTTCCAATCGCCGAGTTTCAACGATATGCCCTCGTCGTCGGCGTGTTGTGCGTGATTTGGTATTTTATATGCTTTTTCGTAAATATATTTCAATGTCGACCGTTGAGAGCTGCGTGGCAGCTTGATTTGTTGATGGATGGGCAGGCGACATGTCTGACATATGGACATTTCATTATCGGATATGAGATTTCCAATATGCTACTTGATATCGCCATATTGATGCTCCCTATTCGAGTACTGCGCACACTCCAGCTGTCGATGACGAAGAAGGTAGTCGTCGGGGCAATATTTATTCTGGGTGGCTTGTGAGTTCTTGCCTGCTGCCATGGGCATCCACCTGCTAACGTCTTCAGTATCGTTGTCGTTTGCATCATCCGTACCGTGTACTTGAGCAATGCAACTCTTGAAAATCCTGGTATTATAAATCTACTGTCCCCGAAACCTATCAACGTTATTGCTAATGCTCTTTCTTAGTCGCACTATACAACGGTCTCAATTGGACATCAGTCGAACTGGCTGTTGCCGTCCTCTGTGCTTGTATTCCGACTTACGGCCCCCTACTTCCTACACAGAGAGCAGTCCGAGCACTGAGTTCTTGGGGCTCTCACAACAAAAGTCGGGCTGGTAACAGAATGTTCAAGTCGTTTGGGTACGAGCGACAGTCTGATAATAATGAGTTGGAACACTTATCAGAGCCGTCGACGCAAGCATGAGGAATACCAAAAGGCGCAGGTAATGGTTTGATGTAATATAAGCTATTGTTAGGAGTTACTTAATGAAATCGATTCACTTTTGATAATCATGGATTACCTAGGTATCTTCGACTCTTGGGTAAATTGATAAACATCAGGCAACGAATAAGTGTGATGGCCCAGATTGAAATCAAAAGTGCATTCCCGTTTGCTTAGAAAAAGCAAAACATGGACCCCGTAAAATCCATGCAAATTTTGATACGTGAAGAAATTGACACACGTCGTTTGTGACCGTACTGGTACCACAAAACCAGGATGCGCGTATTAACATAACATGTATTTTTCATGGGCGACCAACAGACAGACACAAAGAAGCATAATAGATTGAAGGTCAAAGAGTCCAAGTCAAACGTAATGAGCAGCTGACCTACGCCAATGTATTCTTACTAAACTCTTTCCCCTCTACACTGGTTGACTCGACATCCGATAACTTATTCATCACAAACATTAACCAGCAAGCCAGCAAAATGGTTGATAATTGGGATCCAGCAAAGCCACTGGTAGCTCGACAGCCATTTAAACTCATTTACGCGCTCTACTACATCCTCAGTAGCGCGGCCAGTGTTCCAGCATGGGCTATACTCTACATTCTCCCACATCTCAGGCCGGTCTCGTCATGGCCCTACAAAACGGCTGTGACCAACAAGATTTCCTATTATCTGTTGAATTTCTTCAGCAAGATTCGCATTCCAACACCGCAGCCCATATCTCCAGGAAAAGAAACGGACCTGTTTGTTGCACTGAAACCGGCGAATGATCCAAGAAAGACCTACGCCGGGCTCCTCGACAACCCGCAAATTCAGCCTACAACCATCGGTGGATTCTGGGTCCCTAGCCTTAAACAACTGGCAACTGTATCATCTGCCACAAACGATAACTGGGTAGTTCTTCATTTTCACGGTGGTGCATACGTGCTTCTGACTCCACGAGACCCCACTGTGCAACGAGGGCCCAAACAGCTTTGCGAAGAGCTTCCAGCAGACGCTGCTTTGTGCGTGGATTATCGACTCTCCTCGAACCCTAAAAGCAGTCATCCGGCGCAACTACAGGATGCAATTACTGCGTACAACTATCTCATTCAAGATCTGCAGATTTCTCCTTCGCGGATTCTAGTTTCGGGTGACTCTGCTGGAGCTCATCTTGCTATACTCTTGCTTCGCCATCTCACAACTCACCCAGAAATCGGATTACCATTGCCTCGGGCGCTACTACTACATAGCCCATGGCTAGACTTAACCCCAAAGGGAACATCCGTCGACAGCATGCCTGGAGGACGAGACTATATTTCCGACGCCTTCCTACAATGGGGAGCCACAACATTCACCCCTAAAGGATCGTCGCGCGATGCAGATTTTGTGAGCCCGTTCTACCACCCATTTGCCAGTCCCATTCCAATTTGGGTCCAGGCAGGCGGTGTTGAGAAACTTTATTCTACCATCGCGGAGTGGGTTGGCAAAATGAGAGATGCTGGATCAACAATTGAGCTGTATACTATGGAAGATATGCCGCATGATGTTTTTCATTTCTCGAGTGACATGGATTTGGAAGCTCAGGCACGGGACGCCATCCGTGCTGCGAAGGGATTCCTCGAGCGTACTCAATGAACAAGGATGTCGTATCTTATGGGTAGTCTCAGTTCGATTATTCCCATTCGTTTCGTATAGGTCGCTTACAGACATGAAGCATTGAGTCTATGTAAATTACCCGACACCGGGATTTGAGAAATCAGACGTCTTTTTTCAACTGATAAAGCATTATTAAAAAATAAAATCACGAATATCCTTGTGTGTCCAACCTGGTCGCAAAATGAGGGGTCAATTGTGTAACTAACCGTACTGGTAATTCAAATACTCCATACAAATCTAATACCCAGCGCACGATGAAATTACACTCGCCGAGGTCTCAGAGCATGGGTCCATGCAATGACTGCATATGCATTGACCAGCCAATTTCCAAAGGTCTTTTCACAAGGATCTCTTTGAGCACTTCAAATCATCGAGCAAGAAACCCCCCATCGACAGACAAGTCAATCCCAGTCACATMCCCGCTCTCCCTGCCGCTTGCAAGCCACACCACCGCACTGCCAATGTCCTTTGGCTGACCTAACGTATTGAATGGGGATGCTTTTTCAAGCCAGGTTACATCACCCGTGGTCTCGATGACTCGCTGGAGGAATGGTGTCATAATATCTGTAAATCCAGGTCAGTCTACCGGAAATCATCTCCGATAATTTGATTACACCGGAAGAAGTTCAGATACTCACATCCTGGTTTGATAGCATTGCACCGGATTCTCCTCTCTCCATATTCGACGGCGACCGATCGCGTAAACCCGAGAATGGCTGATTTCGCTGCGCAGTATGCGGCTAACAAATGAGGGGAAGACACATTAATTACCCTGTAACGTCTAACCTCGGCTGCGTGCGGGATGGCATACAACCAAACAAAGGGAAGCAAACTTACAGCATCCTGGTAGCCCGCTAGAGCCAGCAATACTTGAAATGTTGATTATATTACCCCTGAAGCCATGCTCATCTTCGTCCTGTTTTAGGAACTGGTCCATCGCGAACTTGGTGGCTAGGAACGTGCCAGTTACATCGACCGCGCTGACAGGCATCTAGACTTAGTGATCTGCAAACCCTTTGAGACAATGAAGTTCGGAAGTTTGGAAAATACAAGCATCTGTTCCATTGGATTGCTGTCATTTCATCCATTGGAATGTCCAAAATTCCCGCCCCAGCATTGTTCACAATTCTGTTTCAAGTGATATTCCTTGTTAGCTCGTTTGTTTCTCGGATATGCAATATCAGAAATGGAAGTGCCACGAACAAATCAAGCCTGCCGGTTTTACTGACTGCCTTTTGAATGGCATAATCAGTCGAGTAGACATCATTCCCAACATCATCTTGCTCCAGACTAATATCACACCTGACATAAAGCGCTCTATCTTCTCCATATAGCGAGCGAATAAGCTCATGGGTTGGCAAATCTGCCTCATTCTCGCTACTATTGTTCGAGACTTCCAAAGCTTTAGATGCCATATCCGCGCCTTTGGACGCCTTAACATTAGGATCCATGGTTGAACGGACGTCCTGTGTTTCCTTCAGATCAGCACAAACTACCAGTCGAGCACCTGCTGCTGCAAGAGCAAGGGCAATCCCGCGACCGAGGCCGGATGATGACCCAGTGACTACAGCAGTGAGGCCATGTAGACGATCAGAACTCATTGTGGGTGTTTCGTGAGCAATTTTTTCTTTCTTTCAAAGTATTGAGAAATGTGTAGGTCGAATGTCTAAAGGAAGACGAGAACGAATTTGACTAACAAAAGTGTCTCTCACTACCCATAGACAAGGTAAATTTCATACTTAAGTAGCAGTTGTACGAAAAGTCAAAAAAACATACGAGTAATAACGAGAAAATTACTTTGGCCGTATGCATCGTATCCCCGAGTCGCTGTCTGTCGCACTTCTATGGCGATCGGTCATAGCTATCGGCTTCGGAGAGTATTTACAAAACTAACCGCCCCTACATATGCACCTCCATAGCCCGCATATATTATTAATTCCAATGAAGTTGGTGAAAATAATGTTCGCATGTGCAGCGACAATGCGTATCACAATTTTAACTCTTGAGGTTGCAATCGGCCCGCGGCCTCTGGCTCGGGATGTTGATATTACCTGGGCGCGTATAGCTTGCGTCTTGTGTAGCCGTGCGAGTTTATGCAATAGCTTCGACTGAGGCCCCATATTAGCGCCTAAGTAGTTATATTAGTTTTATTTAAGAAGGAGTCAATTGATATTGCATGATGCTCTTGCGATTCTCCGTAAAGTGGATGGTGGATTACTGTCGGCCGACTCGGCCCTCCGGTGATTAATTTCTTTTGGGGCATACTATTGCAGCGCTTATCAATGGAAATCTGAATCTGGTTATATGCATATCATACAATCAAGAATAAGTATGTTGCAGTTCTGATTGCGTGTTTGGACAGGCGCATGTACGTTGACTGCATGAAGAGAAGACAATCACAATCTATGCGACGTCGAGGTATTCATAGCAGCAGCAAAACTTTGATTAAAGTATTGTTTTTATTTTTCTGTTTGTTATACTTTTCTTCGATGTTGAGCTCACAATCAGGGCTACAAAAAATTTCAGATATGGCAGTTGCGACGATAAGTTGGAATCATTCACTTTAGGTACTGCAATATACGTATGCTAGCTACATATGCAACGACAAGACACTTGGAGCTGCACCAGACAAGCATTTTTGTCAATATTCTAATTTATCAACGTCAAGCTTTAGAAAAAGTCTTCTCCTCTCGCGATCCTATCGCAAGCCGCGCAAGACCCTAAGATCAATAGATTGCCTAATCGGGGTTGATTAGGGCTGGATCCACAAGCAAAGTCACTACGCTGAGTACCCACTACAAAGTCTACGAAAAGTCGATAGCCTTGACCATAACCATGCGATAATTCTCTTGAGTGAGATTTTATAGCCAAGGTCAACTCATGCCCAAATGGAATGAAGTGGGTTGACTGGTAAAATATCTGCCGCACGCTACATTTCGAGTGGACAAATTTTTGCTTCTTCGCTGGGAGCTCGCCTAGATAATTAGTATAGCTGCTACTTTTAATAAGGTACTACTTACTTTGTTGGATATGGTGCATGAGTCCACTTTCGCAAAGTATTTCATTTATTTAGAAGAAGATTTTGTTGATAAATATACCAGAAACATTGAGGTTCCACCGATGGGTGTTTCTTGGTGTAGTGGCATCTTTGCAATATATTTACTCGTCTATCTATTCAGGGGTTCAAAGAAGTTTAAGTATTATATTTATTATATCTAAGTATATCTACTTGTCAACCCGCTTGAATACGATCTCAGCCCCAGTGATTAGAGTTGGTATCTTGGTCTGACTCTAAATTGGTCCCATATATAAACTTAGCATCCAAATTAGTTTACAAGTTTGTATAACAAATTCGTATATAAATTAGCCTATAGATCGGTCCAATGAGAAACCAGCCTGGCCTCCATTCGGGTCACCAGTAATGAAAAGGAAAAAGTCTTCGTCGGACGCGACGAACCTTGAATTTCAAAAAGGTTGAGAAATTACTCTGAATGGAATAGAATGAGACGAAAGCGAGCAAGCGGATGAGCTTTGAACCAATGAAGTTTCATGAAACGCACGGTGTGGGTCCGTCGGCGGCGAGAGCTCTCGGGCCCGGGCAGAGAAGCCCTAACATGAAAAGCTGTGTATATGAAAGATATAAAGAGGTGGACTTGCGACTGTGATATAGATATTTTTACTACATTCAAACATTTCAAACGCATTCGCTCTTCGTCGAAGTGACAGACATACTTGTTCTCACATCTGCTAGAGCGAGAATCTCCAGACCGATACAATGAGTCGATCTCTATCACCAACAAATAGCAATAGAACAAGTCCCGTTGACGACCTTGAGAAACAAGATGCTTCTTCAACAGATAAAGTTCCCTCTCATCAGGGAAAGCCTCCTGGACCAGGCGACCAATACGCCCCCCGAACCGCCAAGTTCTGGACCATCATGCTATGCAACTACCTCTCCCTTTTCCTCGTTGCCCTCGACCGCACAATCATCACAACCGCCATTCCGCGCATAACCGACGAATTCAACAGTCTAGGTGACATTGGCTGGTATGGATCAGCCTACATGCTCGCCAGCGCCATATCGCAACCTTTATTTGGCCGTATCTACAAATATTACGATATGAAATGGGTCTTTCTGACGAACGCGGTCTTATTTGCAGCTGGTTCCGCGATATGTGGTGCTGCGCCGAACTCTAAGGCTTTTATTGCTGGTCGCGCTATTGCGGGCTTTTCATCCGCGGCGATTTTCTCGGGTCGATGCTTATTGTTATTCCGTTGGTCCCCTTGCATAAGAGACCTATGTTCCAGGCCGTGAATGGTATGATATTTGGTATCACCTCTGTGTTGGGTCCATTGATCGGCGGTGGATTGACCGACGGTGCTACGTGGCGGTAAGTTTTTCTCATTTGATGATCTGGAAATCTCCCTGACCCGATTTTGTAAAGATGGTGCTTTTATATCAACCTCCCCATCGGCGCCGTGAGCTGGACTTTTATGGCCCTTGTCTGGCACCCGGAAAAACCAAAGCGCGAATCCGCTTCTACCGCAACGCATATCAAACGACTCGATCCCTTGGGTATGTCGCTTTTCGCGCCAGCCGTCATCTGTTTGCTTCTGGCTTTGCAATGGGGTGGATCAACCTACGCCTGGAACAATGCTCGTATAATCGCTCTATTTGTGGTTTTCGGTGTCCTCTTTTTGGGGTTTGTGGCTGTTCAAATCTGGAAACCGGAAACTGCAACAATTCCGGGCAGGATCATCAAACAACGAAGCATTATCAGCACGTCCATATACATTCTATCAGTGTATAGTACTATGATGATGCTGATATACTATCTCCCAATATGGTGTAAGTATCCTCTTAATCTTATATCACAAATGGTACTGACAATCACAGTCCAAACCGTCAAAATGGTCAGCGCCGTCAAATCAGGCATCTATACAATCCCTCTTGTCCTCAGCCTAATGGTCTCCGGCTTCATTGCCGCCTTCATGACCCAAAAGATCGGCTACTACGTGCCCTCCATGTACCTCTGTCCATGCTTTCTAGCCGTCGGAACAGGGCTAATGTCAACATTTACCATCTCTACCGGCTCTTCACACTGGATCGGTTACCAATTCATCTGCGGGTTTGGCCTTGGTCTCGGAACACAAAACGCTGCTCTGGTCATACAACGCATCCTCCCCATGACCGACATCTCGATAGGGTTTTCCTTAATGTTGCTTTTACAGCAACTGGGGGGCGCTGTATTCACATGTGTCGGCGAGACGGTGCTGAATAATGTGCTTATTTCCCAACTTGCTGGTGTGCCCGGTATAGATACGAATGCGATTGTGGACCAGGGAATTACGGATTTGGCTTCGGTTGTACCGGCGCAGTATATGATTGTTGTGCAAGAGGCATATAACAAGGCGTGTACGAGGATATTTTTGGTGTGCATGGGCTTGACGTTGGTGGGTGCTGTTAGTTCTTTGGGGCTGGAATGGAAGAGTATTAAGAAGGGGAAGAACGGCCAAAAGGCGGGTGATGGTCCCACTGAAAAGACTGTCTCTAGTGATGGGAAGGATGAAGAGAATGACCAGAAGACGGAAACCGAAAAATAAGCAATTACAGTTTACCCAGTCACAATGTGCTTTACGAATTTCATATTTAGCTATATAGATACCTCGATAGACTTAAAATCTCTCTTCTTTGGAAATAAGTCTGATGTCTTCAGAATCTACCACGGGATCTCGCTTCCACTCATGACATCAATAAACTTTCCAGACGTGCCTTCTCGTATAGCTTCAGATACCTAACACTAATCAGCAAGCTAGACGCGATGGAAAAGTTGATGAAGGACATACCAGCTGAAAAATTGCATTGACCGAGGCCTCCACGTCTGTCGGCGGCTCAGGAACATTAACAGCATCAGCATAAGCCTGCCCATTATCCGTCTTGACCCATCTAACACCAAAATTAGCCTCTATACCACCCTAACCAATTTTGGCAGCTAGAAAAGTAACTTCGTACCCCGGATGGATAGCAACAGCCACCAACCGCCCATTCTCCTCATGCATCTTCCTCACAAAGTAATTCCCCGCGGCCTTCGACGCTCCATACCCACCACATGGTGTCGAATCAACATAAGCCAACGATCCAAGCACCGAACTCACAAGAATAAATCTCGGATTCGCCGATTTCTCGAGCAGATCTTTCCAGAGTTGTTGATACAGCCGCACGGGACCTAGGGCATTGACGCGATAGAACTGCTCAAGCGCGTCAATGGGGGCGTCGAGAATGGTGTCAAAGGGGGCGCCCACGCCGGCGTTTGCGACTATGATGTCGATTTTCGGGATTTTGTGTTCCTGGGAGAGGAGTGATGAGCGGAGAGCAATTGTGTCGGTGGTGGAGGCACTGTCGAGGTTGTAGATGCCGTGCAGTGTACCGGGATAAGTATTGGGAAGGGCTTTGAGAATGCTGGATGGGTCGTCCGTGCGTGCGGTGAGGATGACGCGGGTGTTGTGTTGGTTGAGGTAGAGTGTTGCGAGGCCGAGACCTAGGCCTGAAAAGGTATTAGTTGATATTGACTTCAAGGGGATGCCTTGAAGGCATTGAGTTGAAAGGGATAAGATGGAAATGTACTTGCCCCTATTCGCGCCAGTGATGAGCACAACAGTTTCGTCAGACATGATGCTTGACGTTCTAGAACAATAATACGAAGAAGCTGTTGATTAATTCGAATAACGGTAGCAAAGATGAGGTCAACTAAGAAGATACAAAAGGAGAAGAAAAGAGAAGATGTCAAGTCTGTGGGAGAAACGCGCTTATAAACACCCCACTTTAGATCGAAAATAGCCCCAAAACCTTACAACTCAGCTGATTCCGCAAGCGGATTGACTCGTTACGATCTTATGGAACTTTTTTAATGAAGGATACGAATAGAAATGATGGGATAATCTATTTTGAGTTTTAGAGTGTGTCCTTGGAATCCGGTGATGCTCATACCCAGCACTGCGAGAACTGATCGCGAACCACGGTATCCAGTGAACCATCCACCACGAGAGCAATTTCCTAATTTGTAAGACTTAAGAAAGAGAGAAAGAGAGATGTGACTTGTACAAGGACAGAGGAATGTGCAACCAAGCAAGAAAAGAGCAACAATCATGAGGAAACCGTAGCCGGAAAGTAGTCGATTAGGGCTAAATTTCCTATTCAGGCTCAGCTCCGGCCCCCACGGAAGATTTTTTGGTACCTTCCTAAAAGGTCCGATTAGGAAAGTAGAATTTCGACATAAGCAAAAACAAGAAAAAGAAGGAACCACACATCATCATCGCCATTCCGTGCTCAAGACAAAGGCTTGTAGGTGAAGCAATCAATAGAATCCAGAATCTTCCAGATCTGCTGATTTTCTGCCGCACCGTTGATGGACATCTCCGCTTCAAGCGCGCCCCAGCTAGCGGCATAGTTGATGACTTTGCTCTGTTGATCGGGATGCAAGATGGGTTTGAGATTCATTGATTCTGAAATGATGCGTTGCCAAAGATGCAGTGAGAGGCCGAATCGGTATTTGGAGCGGTAGTTTTCGGTCGTCTTTACAGTTGTGTTCGATTGCTTGCTGCCGTTGCGACCTGAGTCTTCTCCAACGTCTTCCTGCGGATAATTTGGCATTACTGCAGCGACCGGTGGAGGATGTATCTGTATCAATGGATTCTCGAACGGACGATGAATTGCTGGGAACATGACATCAAATGTCGACGATTGAGGATCAAACCTGAACGAAGAGATGAGCGCCCCGCCGCGCGGAGGAGCGTGACAGTGTTGTCGACGGGCCGATGGCTGTGTTATTGGAAATTGTAGGTCTGCCACACTCAAAACTGCTTCGGTGCTTCGACCAGAACGTTCTCGAGTTCCTGCATACACGTGATTTGACGGAGCTCCAAGTACTGTTCGTGTAGTAATAGGATTACTAAATGGTGATCGTGCTTGGGGGACTCGGGTCTGCGCTGCGGTTACTCCGTTCCTTCTAACCGTAATCAACTCATCTTCAGCCGAAGGCGGGCGGTTCTCAGGAGCTAGCAGGATGGTTCGAGCGATCGCCAACATACGCAGAGCACAATGCCACAGAATCGATTTCCGGAGTCCTTCCGTACCCAGCACATGGATACGCTGTTGACTAATGGTGCGGCCAAGATCGACCGTCAACTTCTGGAGGAGTCGACGACGACGCTCGCGTTCCTCCTGAGCGCGCTCGATTTCTTCGTGGTCGAAATCAATGTCTAGACCTTCAAAATCTTCGACGAGGTCATCCTCAGAATCGGCCTCAGTGGTAAAAAGCTTGATCTCCTCCGTGAGTTTCATGAGTCGATGTGACAGGACGCCGAGACCATTGTTTGGCTGCCAGTAAATACCACAACGACCCTGCTCGATTGGAGGGAGAGAAGGTGGCTTGCCTCCTGGTAGAAAGGACAGAAGGTTTTCTGGGGCTCGATGGAGTCTAACCATTTCGGCGAGATGGACGATGGATCCATTCGCTATGCCAACATCTTGAACAATGAGATATGGAACTGAGCGCAGGCCGCGGGTGCATGCGTAACGTCTAAGTTCAGCATCGGTGTGAGTGTGGTGCTTGTATCCGGTCGTCTGTGGCGAAACTGTAAGATATCCGTCAGTATCGTCTAGTTGTGTATAGGCAAAGAGGCCTTCAGTACTAACCTTGTCGAGCCGACTTCGTTTCATGCCCAGCTACACCAGGCTCATCCTCATGTTGCGAATGCTCCCGCATCAAATCCTCAGGCACATCCCCATCGCCCTCCCCGTCCTCCACAATTTCCACAAAATCAAGCTCACTACGAATATAAAACCGTGCTAGTAACTCAATACCCAACGGTCCCAGCGCATTTCCACTGAAATCAATCTTCTTCAACACACAGCACTGCCCAAACGACTGCAGGAAGTACCGCCATTTCTGCGAATCAGAGGCCGTGACAATCTTAATTTCATTGTTCGAGATGTCGAGTTCCTTAAGATCCCGTGAGCTGAGATTAATTACTTTTGCGAGCTCCACGAGAGTGTTGACAGTCAGTCGGTTTCCTTGTAGGTGTAGTTCTTGCAATTTGTTGATGCCTTGAGGGCAGTGAGGGCTTTTGTACTCCACAGCGATTTGTAGATCGAGGATGAATTCGTTGAAGCCATCGTCTGTGAGGTCTTTGCCTGATACGTCAATTTCGAGGATCGGGTCGCGGATTTTGAAGTTTGGGGTTGAGGGGATGCGTTTATTCTAAGCACATTAATATCTTTTGTCTTGTTCTCTGGACTAGCTGGGTTACATACCAGGTCCTTCTTCACAGCTAACCCAGCTTTGACACCGCTTATCTTTCTCTGGGCTTTGTTAGCAGATATACAAAGCATTAGAAATAAAATAGCCCACTCACTGCGGTGTAGTTTAGTCGAGCCATCTTGTGTTGTGGCAGAGAGGTATGATCTCTTGGAAAGGGAATTGTCAACAGATAGGACAACCAAGCTTCAAGATGACCAGTCGAAGAAGCAATAGTTAGGTAAAAAAAAAAACAAATAAAGACTGACAAGAAGATATCTTAGCCCTATTCAGTGAGAAAAAAACCCTGTATCTTGGTCACTAGGCAGAAAAATGTGGTAAGAAAGCAAGAGGAAGATCCTTAGCAGATACGAATAAAAGACAGAGACGGTGGAGAAAGACGAAGAAGAGGAGGAGATTTTGAAACGGTCTGCGCCCAGCTAGCTGTCTCTGTTTGTGGAGGGCGTTTCTCTACTAATCCACACAGATAAGCAAAAGAAATCCCGCCAAACGGTGATTGAGAAGAACGGGAATATCCAGGAAACAAATGGCAGGACGGGCGTAAATGCAATATCAAATCTAGACTTGGCGTCTGTTGACCTTCAGCAAGAGAAAACCTGCCCAGGTACACGAGAAAAGAACACCGTCAAATCGATCACAAATGAAAATACTCAAGAACAGGATATACAAGAAAGACAGCTGGTGGAACTGTCCTTTGACTTTGACTTTCTCAGGGGTATGGTCAAAGACTACCTCTATCCAACAATATGACCTCAATGTCGTTTGAAGGCAATTAACATGAATAATGACGATGACAATAGTATAGGAAGGCATTGAATTGTTTCTGGGGTTGATATTTGTATTCTTAAAATTAATAACACTCTTCATGGAATTGACCACGTTTATATACACATACCTACCACGCTTTTTTCCGAGGTAGAAAAATCATGGCTATAACCAGAGTCCATGTATTTCTGCGACAAAGTATGGCTTATGAGTAGACTAGTAACAAATAATCAGTTACTTCTTGTACTCGATAGATACAAATCGAATTCTGTATAGTCAACAGGTAGGACTTTTATCCTATTTATCTAGTGAGGGGAAAATTCAGTTGATGTTACATACAGAAATTGGTCTAGTCGTAGGTTTTCGAAATTTACCACGATTCAAGAAAAGGTTACTCTCTACCACTGATTCAGTTTAAGATGAAATGTCCATTCATGCTTTTGGTTTGCATAATCAATACACTTGATATGAACGATCGCGCCCTGTTTGCAAATACACAGCTGAAAATGCTGAAATAGAGAAAAAAACTAACACACACAGAAAATGAATAAAAACACATAAGATATCGTGAAATTAAAGTCATAAAGTGATAAGACTCCAGCCCTCTTTGTATGCCCATAGACAATATAAAATGAAATGATACTTGTGACCAATATGTAATGCTCGCAAGACCTCAAGGATATCGGGAAATGTTGCATATTGTAACTTTGCGCAAGCCCAAAGAACCGAACACCTGTCAATCAAAGATGCCATATCAGAAAGAGAGCAATACCGCCCACGCTATGCAATATGCAAACCCGAAGATAAAAGAAGTTTGATAGTCATGAAAGGGGTATCATGTTTGGTGATATTGTGCCGAGATTCGTCGTGTACATTTCGAAAGCGGCTCGTGTGTAATTAAAATATACGAATTGTACTTATTCAGTAGCATCGTAATCGTCTTCATCGTCGTCGTTGTCAACGGAAAGACCAAACCGGTCGACCAGTATGCGTTTACCGAGTCGGTATTCGGGAACACCATCCCGGAAAGCACCGAAATCGAGAACCTTTGCAGAGTTAATCACAGACAGTTTGATAGATCAATAAGTAGGCTTACCTCAATATAAGTCAACCCATCTCGCTGGACAGCCGCCACGCAAGTGCGCTCATTGAATCGTACTTGCCACACCCCACTGAGGTCTCGAAGAAGGTCCTTGACGCATTCGCCGTTTCGTACATTCCACATTTTTAGTGTTCTGTCAGATCCTGAAACGATCTTTTCGCCATCGTGCTGGAAGCAGGTAATGGCTCCAGTATGAGCAGTTAGTGTGTTTTTGCACTGACCGTTCTCCGGATCCCAGATCCTGAGTGTCGAGTCGGCCGCTCCAGAGACCAAACGGTCACCCTTGAGGTCCAAGAGACCCACGAGTGATGTATGGCCTTCTAGATTATAAAGCAAAGCCCCGGTGTCCAATGACCAGACTTTGACCATATTATCCATGGAGCCACTGATGCAACGATTCCTCTCCACATCCAAAACAACACTGTAGACTTTGAGCGTATGGCCTTGTAGTCTGTGCAAGCACTCTCCGGTCGAAATCTTCCAAACCCGAACAGTGCAGTCGTAACTTCCTGAGACCAAAGTGTCCCCATGTGCTGCGATGGCGCGGACAGAGTATTGATGGCCAGACAAAGTGCGTAGGAAGTATGGACAATCAGTATCCTCCGCATGTGAGCTGGCGTCAAGATAATAAGGATTGGTCGGTTTTGGTAACTTCCAAACTCGGAGATTGGAATCACGCGATCCTGTAATGATAAGCGGTTCCTTGGGCATCATGATTGAAGACCCATCGGGATTCTTCCCAACTTCAGCGGGAAGCAAAATCTGCAGGCATCGAACCGTAGAAGTGTGTCCGTGGAATACCTGCGTACACTTGGCCTTTTCAATATCCCACACACGCACTGATCGATCGGTGGAACCAGAAACAAGTGTGTTCTCGTGATATTCCAAAGCCCAAACACCGCCTTCATGACCTTCAAGAACAGATCTCAACGCCCCGGTCTTAGTGTCGTATACATGGATTTTGGTATCATCACTACCGGTGAGGATCTTCTCCGAGTCAAACTGGAGACAGGTGACGACATGGCGATCATGAGCACGGAAAGCTAGGTGCTTTGGCTTCAAGTCAGAACGCATCCAGCTTTTTTGAATGGAAAGATGGCGTCGATAGAGCGACTTGTAGAGATGCAAACTACGAAGTGAGCCGAGGCCAACGTCAGGATAGGGAATGGCAGCAGCCGCGGCATTCGCTGCGGCAGTGGGTCCCTCAATGAGTGAAAGCTCGTTGATCCAGTCTGAATCTGAGGCTGGGGATCCTATCCTGCGAGATGAAGTCAATTTACGCCTGACAGCCTTTCGACTCGGCGTTCTGTTGGCTTTCCTTTTGGATCGACGAGGAGAAACAGTGTCTATGGAAAGCGAGTTAGACAGGAAACTCGACGAAAGATTCGATGTTTGGTTGAAGTAGTCGGTATCAATGTTGATATTTGGAGTAGAGATATCCTTCTCGTAATCCTCTGGTCCATTAGGAAACTGCCAACCCCAACCTTCTCTAATAGCCTGCTGGAGTTCGCCCGGAGGAAGCTTGAACCCAGCGGTCTCAAACAACTCCTTCCAATGCCGTTCATCCGAGTTGATGATATGACGCCATTTCTTCGAAACCTGAGAAGCCCGACACATGGTCTGATAATCGAAATACTTTACAATGTTGAGCGTCAGTTCTGCGGGTAAAAGAGCTAAAAAGTCGCACTTCAACGCAGGGTTGACAATATCGGCCACAAACTGGAGGGTAGGCTTGGGACAACGCTTCAAAAGCTGATACATCATATATGTCTTCATCTCGTCCGGTATAGCTTCGAAAAAGTCCAGCGTGCCAGGAATATCCATTAGAGTCGTGGGCCGTGATTGAACAGCAGTGTCGTTCGTAGATGTTTGGCTGCTAGACACGCTGCGCATAGTCTTCTGTCGGAGGGTGTTGGATAGAATAGGAACATGGTTATCCAAGCTGGAGTCCGTATCTGTTCCTTGGTCGTCTGGAAACTCAAGAAAGTAGTCTGGGTTGTGAGTATTCATGGCGGTTACTGGAGACAGGCTCGGGCTGGGCAGGCACATGTCTTGACCGAGGACTGACCCATGAGTAGACAGAGCGGTTGGAGCAGTCTGTTGAAAAGACTCTGGTTCTTGGGTTCCTTCATTGTCTGCAGCGAGAGTTTCACCAGATCCATCGTCTTCTGTAGCCGACTGAGGGTCTTGGCCATGGTAGTCCGACAAAACATGTGTCATGGAGCTCGACTGATCTTCGAGTACTGGCGTTGTCTCAACTGGACTCTGATGTCGAACACGAGTCTTTGAAGCGAATGTCTGACTTGGAGTTGAAGTCTGGGAAAGAGCGGCGTCGCCTTGAGAGGATGCGGCAGAGGTTACAGACTGTCCAACTTTGTCGGTATGAAGACGCTTTCTCAAAGCAGCATGTTGATCAAAGCGAAAGCGAGTTGTTTCGGTTTCAGGGGTGGCTAGGCCGGCAACTGACGAATTAGTGGCGGAGGCAATCCCTCCCAGGCGACTCTTTCTTTGTTGCCCACGAGAATCCAAAGGAACCATCAGAGACCGAGTACGCTTGCCAGATGCTTCGGGGTATGTAAACGGGGAAACGGCTCGGCGTTTGGATGCTGTAACACTCGATGGACGGGAGATAGAGGCACGAGGGCTGGCGTTCTGACCGGAACCGTCGTAGCCTGCGACCGACGTAAGTACACCTTTTGACGACTTCAAAGCGACATGCTGTTCATGTATCTATAGTCGTTAATTAAAAGGCCGGATAAAGAATCAAGGACTGGGTGAAACATCACTAACCTCGTGTAGAGCGGCATCGGTATCTTCTGGTTCATTGAATACCACAGACTGGCCATCGAGTTCGAACTGAAAATTTCGCAGAGCGGACGGAGTAGGATATGAAGCAAGAGGATATAATTTGGGGTTGAGTTCGCGAGCGGAGCGCGGAGGATTGAAGATAAGAGGAGGAAAGTTGGTGGTGGTGGTTGTAGTGGTGGTGACGACGGTGGTACGGGTAGCCGGAGCAAAAGAGAACTGACCGATGCTGGGCGTTGGCCCGACGGTGGTTGTGACCTCACGGTGTTTTTCTACCTCTCGTCTGCGAGTCGACTTTGAGGAATTTGGTCGAGACGTAGGATCAGAGGGACCTAGGATTGGTGACGCGTCTCGCACTCCAGACCGCGAGCCCGACACCTCCATTGCGTTGAGCGGCAAGATTACCGAGTGTAGGATAGGAACAAGGTGTCGATAAGTACAGGGATCTCAGAGTTGAAGTTATATGTGCATCACAGGAATGGAAGTTGTAGTTTCAGATACTGAACAGTGATAGATGAGTAGAGCAGTTGCTTGCAGAGAGGCAGTGGCCACAACACCCTGCTGATAGGGCGAGATTATGGCCGGTCTCGCAACTAGACGGCCACAGGAGACATCCTGAAGAGGATGCGGGTGAGGAAAGTAAGACGATTGATCATGAAACCGTTCAAGTTGACAGAAGGACTGGAATATCGTATGATCCAGGATGCAGAGGACGGTCGGATGTTGAGAGGAGAGGTGGTGGTGGTAGTGATGGTGAGTGAGGGAGTGAGTGAAGGCGGAAGGTGGGAATGTCCGGGTGAGAGTGGACACAGGGCAGGCGGGCGATAGCAATAATTCACGATTAATCTGGAAGGCGGGATGGCAGCCTGAGAAATCAGGACGCCAGCTGGGGCGGAACAACCGACGGACCCACTGGAGGCGACTCTGTTTCTCCCTGCTCTTCAGTACTATGTAGTATKTACTCTGCCACTACAACCACTTACTATGTTATTTTCTTCTTGAAAGTTGTACATGTACAGTCTCTTTCTTGCTTGTCGCCAACTGGGCCAGGCATTCCCAGGTAGATCCACCATCGCCTTGATTTTGCTGGCGGAGATCTTGTTTTTTAAACGCATCCGACCCTTTTCTCCCTTGTAAACCCTTGCCCTGCGTCTACATGAGCGGGTAGCATACGCCTGTTCCATGGGTCCCTTCGCATACTACAATCTCCTTGAGTCTACGGTCTCTTTACTATGTATTCCACTAACCAGGAAGGCAAGTGGCCATGGCAAATCTGAATCTCAGGATGGTATGAAAAACGGGGAAAAGAGTGGGCCAGACCGGGAGCCGAATGGGTCACTGACGCTTCTCCTACGGAGTGCTACACGATGTACTCCGTCCGACCTACCATGTAGGTGATTGAACGAGAGCCGAATTTACGGCGTTTGTTGTTTAAGGTTCTGCTCGGGCTGATTTTTGATTTGTTTCTGTCTTAAATTGAATGGTGTCGGCAAGTGGTCATAGCCGAGTCAGTCACATGTGGTATGTCGTCTCCCCAAGACGTACGTAGTACTTGATAAAGATAATCCTGGATCATAAAATCTTGGCTTCTGAATACGTACGTATGAGTGAAATCACGAAGCGAGGATCATGACAATACCCGGCTGCACGTACAGAAAGGAATACTATGTATATCCTCGTCCTGTATTGTCGGCGACATGACGTTGGGGATGGCCACAGCCTCGATATTTCCTCTCTTCCCCACCGACGAACCAGGAAATGCTGCCAGCTGAGACTAAGACCAGCCCGAACCTGGGATATTCAGCGGCCGCTACTACTAGCCCAGAGTCTGGAGTTGGCTTTGGACTCGGCTATCGTAAATAGTCGCAAGACAGTTGACCTTTTCTGTCGTGCCCTGTTTGGAGCGATGGAGCGACCCGGTGACGTCGTATGTATTGTGCCGAGCTGGACAATGTGCTCCTTGCTTCTGTATCTCAACACTCATACACCATGTCGCAAGAGTCAACCGGTATTCTTTGGTAAGTATGTTTCTTAATATACAGTAGGTCATTTAAATGCGTTCTGGATGCAAGTGACAAGACGCACTGAAGAAGGACAGGTCATGCATGGAAAAGTAAACATGTGATTGGCGCCAACGGGGGAAAATTGAAAGTGGGCCCAAGCCTCAAAAAGTTTAGCCTCAGGGCGATAAGACTTTAGCCGATGGTTATCAGCCCCGGCGCTCTTTGGTCTTGCCAAAACCATCACTTCTGTACATATTGAACACATGTCTGCTCTATAATAGCTCCTTTGTTCAGCGTTCATTCCAGTTTCAGCACAATGCTCCGCCGGCAAAAGTCACACCAGTCCCTCCCCCCTGAAGAACCCTCCAACGCGCCGTCCACCTTCAACGATAAACTCCCCTTACCAAAACTTATCGTCTTCGACCTCGACTACACATTATGGCCATTCTGGGTCGACACGCATGTCAGCGCCCCCGTAAAGCCCAAAGACAACAATTCGCGCTGTGTCGATAAGTCCGTTCCCTCCTCCCTCGTCCGTTAGATTCACATTCTGACTATCGATGATAGATGGGGAGAATCATTCGCCTTCTMCCCCGCCGTATCCTCAATCCTGCACAGCGCAAAAGCGCACAACATCCCCCTCGGAATCGCCTCACGAACCCACGCCCCGGACCTCGCTCGCGACATGCTCAAAGCCCTCCACGTAATACCAACCTTCACCGACAACCCCGCCGCGCGGGACACGCGACGCCGCACCGTGCGCGCCCTTGACTACTTCGATTACATCCAGATCTTTCCAGGCGATAAAACCCAGCATTTCACGAAGATACATCAAGCATGCAACATACCGTATGATCAGATGCTGTTTTTCGATGATGAGGCTCGTAATAGGAATGTGCAGAAGGAGTTGGGGGTTACGTTTTGTTTGATCAGGGACGGCATGACGAAGGAGGAGGTTGATAGAGGGGTGTGGGAGTGGAGGAGGAATTTTGGGATCAGACCGGGGGATCAGCCGGGTGATATAGAGGAGAGGGAGGTTAGTCGATTTGATGAGTAATTTGCCGGACGTCCACGGGTATAAGTATGTATAGATTAGATGGATGTTGTGATACCCGTGTATATGTATATATGGCATGATAGTTACGAAGGTATCAAGTAACCACAATAGAAACAAGTGTAATCAACGCTGCTAACGCTACTCGGCTTGATATCTGAATGTTGCCCACGAATCATTCCTTGCTAAGACGAACCGATACATAGTTCTAAAATCATGGAGAGCAGAGAAAATGATCACCAACAGTCTCCATATCTCTCGTCTGGGCGTTTTAATTGAAAGTCGAGCAATATTGACGGACTTTGAGCGTGTAGCATCCCAAACGCAAATATTGCTTGGCAATAGTAAGATAATATCGAACCTGCTTCCAGGTCCTGTGCCACTATAGCATCAACTCAAGCAAAGATAAGAACAACAACTATTCTATAAAATTGAGGAGATCCTTGATGTAACGATACAAATTTTTCATGCGGCGTAGGACATACAGCCTCAATTTTAAACTATGATAACAACTATTCTATGAAATTGAGGACACTCGGTGTAACATGGAAGTGAATTGGTCATTATATGTTGGATTTTGGTTGTACCGTATGGCGCTCCGTTGGTCAAGCTAAAATCTATCCTAGCGCTATTTAGGTCGGCTTCTTTACATAAATTTCAAGTTAATTCTTTGTACGATAAGACAAATAGTTTACAGTTCGAGATTCGAGCTGTCATCGTCTTTTCCGGACTATGTTACTGGTGCTCTTTGTTGTGCTTTCGGCCGCTAGTCTAGACAATAGTAATTTGTTATAGATACGTATGACCAATAATATAGAACATCTTAAGCACGTAGGGTTAATAAATAAGTGCGGCTGCTGAAATATTTGCACTGTGCCACGTCCTAATTTAGCGACATAATTAGTTAATTTACAAACAGAAGCCATGTGATAAATATGCTGGCATATCACGCTACTGTAACTGCGTCTGTACTATAAAATGATTCGGCCAAGAACCCTGTTCGTCAAGTACTAATTTAGTGTGTTCACTGTGTTGGACTAGTACAATAACCATTGGTTCAGTCAATCCCCTTCTCGTCTTGTTCTGTGCAACATCATGTCCACAATGCCTTCACTTTTAGATCTTCCTCGCGAAATCCGAGACGAAATTCTCGGCTTGGTGTTGTTCMCCCCGCCACAAATTCCACTGGATTTGTCTTGCTATGATCATCAAAGGAGGGAATTAACAGTTCCATCTCATGATCGTCAGGGATTGATAGGATTCTATCATCTAGTAAAAGTTCTACCAAATAATTTACAATACAACGCCTTCTTTACTACCAGAGCTTCTCTACTGCTCCTAAACCACCAACTAAACGCAGAGACGTTGAGCCTGTTACGGAGAAAGCGCCCATTAACAACGCAATATATCCTGGATATCGCAGTTGTCAATGACCTAGAGCTGTGGCCAACATGGATCTTCATGCCATTGCTAGCTAGAGATGTGGAAGAAGTCTTCGTGTCAATCCGGACTACCACAACACAAAGACTTGGCTGGAAAGGAAAGACTAATAAATGGCTTGGGGGGGATGGAACTCCACCACTATCATGGGCATTCGCGAGCATGTTACAGCTATTTCTTCTTTACGGTCCACTGATGGAAGTGGTAGACCATTCGACGCAACAAGAAGAGAACGATAGAAAGATAACTATCCGAAGGTTGGTCCTTGATGTACAAAGCCCAAGCCCGACAGATATCTCCGCTATTGCGCCTTATTATCCAGAGCAAATATTACCGATCAATATCAGCAAGTTACGGAAGCTCCGACGCACTGTAACAGATATCAACCATGTCATGCATCCAGAACTCTCACTGGACTTTCTAACTGGATCTATCAATCGAGCTCTTAACTATCCAAGCTACTCTCGTCTTTTATATGAGCGGATGGGAACCATCGAAATTATGTTGGATGGGGATGTCAGGTACAATTGGGATCTGCTGGAGTGGTCTATGAAGCCCACGACATTTGAATCGGAGATAGAAAGATGGTCAATGTACCATGAGCGAAAGAAAATGGGATTACCCGTCCCTGAAAGTTCGTTAAATTAAATTTGTAAATCCTATACCATTATGCAAACAGGATATGAACAGATATGAGGAGATACAGAACATCAATCTACCTAGCTTGTAATCGGTACAATGGTAAAAAGCATGCTGATACATGCACGTATGATGGATGTTGCATGGCCCATTGCACAACCCAATGAGCTTTACAGAGAAGAGCTTACATGGAAATGTAGAAGAGTATAGGGTACGAGAACATGATTGAAGATCAAATTATTGAGTGAAGTACCTCTCGGAAGGTCTCTGATTGCAGCTAGCCCAATAAGGGTCTATTTTCTACTCCGATCTTAATCCGATAAATTATCAATCTTACTATTAAATACTAGCCTTTCAGAACCAATTCATCGGGAATGTATAATGAATTTCTCGTGAAAACATTGAAGCGCCGCAAACGGCAAAACAAAATTTGTCATACCTCCATCTCATTATCAACACGCAATTTTATAGCTCCACAGGAAAACGCTCCCTCAACCACCCTCCGTAACGATAGAAGAAGAAGGGCACTGGAAGAAAAACCACGCCTATAAAGCCTAGAACGCTATTCCCCCACCCAAGTCCTAGGGCCGCATACAAAGATGGACCTACCAACGGAATAAAAGCTGCAGCAAGAAGTCGAAGAATCACATTAGCAGCCAATGCAGAGGCCGCGGCTTCCGGACCAAAAGCATCGACCAAGTAAAGCTGAATTGGCATCGTGACCCAGAGAAAGCCAAACCCAAAAAATGCAGTGCCGAGGATGGGCACAATCCAATGAGTCTGCTTCTCCGCTGCCCAGCCATACCAGAAAATGCCGATGGGAACAGTGGGCATAACCCACATGATGGGCTTCAGGCGTTCTTCAGGCTTGGGCGAATCTCCGACTGCTTTTTGCAGCTTGTCGCTCACGGTGGCGAAGACTCCTAGAGATATGGCCATCGCGATTCCGACGCCGAGATATGATAAGCCAGAAACACCGGCAGAGAAGTGGTACTGTTCCTCAAACACTGTGGGAAAGGTAGTGAACAGTATGAAAAGAAGACCAAAAACAAATGCGCAGAGGAGGGAAAGGAGGAGAACGATTGGTGACAGGATGAGAAGCTTTGTAGGTCGGATAATAGCGCGAAGGAACAGTTGACGGGGAGTAAGGCCTCGATCCATTTTGGAAACTAGAGCAGCATTGCCAGTCTCTTTCCGCAGGCGAGCAGCTTTCCATTCAAGCAGCACGGCTGCATTGGTTTCGCGGAGGAAGAAGATTGATAAAGTAAATGCCACTCCTGCCTAGGTCAAATTGTCAGCACTCGAGAACGAAAGAGTTTATTCTCTACTCACCAAGATTAGGATCAGCCAAAAAGTCCATCGCCAGCCAATTGATGCTGACACAAAGCTACCGATAATTGGACCCAAGACCTTCAAGGATCGTCAGTGTTGTACCCGTTTGGAAAATAGCATGATACCTACTGGTCCTAGAAGCGGTCCTACAAAGAATAGAGACATTACTCTCCCACGCTGAGCTGGCGGGACGACATCGGCGACGGTTCCTCCGCCAACTGTCAATGGACCCGACGCAGCACATCCGGCAAGAAATCGAAAGACTAGAAACATGCCCGTATTTTTTCCCAGTGCACATCCAACGATGAAACCAATGTAGATTATATTGCAGATGTGGTAGATCACAAGGCGTCCGTACAGCTCGGATAGCGGTGCAATTAGCATTGGCCCAACGGCGAAGCCGGCAAGGTAAATGGACACGGTTAGACTGGTTATGGTGGAACTTGTGATATGGAACTCGTGGGCAAGCGCGGCTGCTCCGGGCGCAAACATTGTCGCAGCGAGATTTCTTTATATGTGTCAGTCAGAGGGGGTTCGTTTTATTAAAAGGAGCGCAGGAACCTTACGCAGTGAGCAAGAAACTAGTAGCGAGAACGACTTGGATTACGCGCTTTGATACCGGCCAGTTCCTCGGGTTTTGAGGATCTTCCAGTCCATCCCAGTCAACGACATTATCCTTTGTTTCTTGGTCGGTCGCTGTCTGGTCCGGCTCGCTGGATTGTTGGTCATGACCGTCTTCCGATATGGGCGGCTTCTCAGGGGTAGATTCCAAGTCGGGTGCCATGATGAGTTGTCGAGGGTGGTGTGACTTTGGGAAACTGGCGCTTGTTTTTTTACCGTTGCTAGACAGTGTACCATGCTAGATGAGTGGCTGCTGCTTTTATATGGGCGAGTATCACATTACGGATAATCGTAGCAATTCGGAGATGTACATTTCACGGGGTTAGGAAGCCTAACTCCTTTAATTCCTCAGTGAGGAAAGGAGACAAAGCCCGCATGGAGTCAAAGATATAGCTTTCTAGGCGAAAATTTACATAATGGTCCGTGAGTACGGAGCATCAGAAGCTGGCAACTGCGCCTTTATATTGGGTTGAGTTAGGGCTAGAAACGCCTATCGCTGCGGTCTATGATTGGCCGGTCCGAGCGGATGGTCACGGATGGTCACGGACGGTCGACACGGACGATCGTTGATCTCTTCTTACCTCTACATCTTTTCTCTCGAGTTGAGGTGGCGGCGAAACGGAAAACCGATTCTGGTATAATCAAATTCCAGATATTGTGTACGCTTGAATTCCATGAGCGCCTCACTGACCATGGCCGACAATGCTCAACGTCCGCGTCCGCCTCCAAATCGGCGCCGAGACAAAGTCCAGCTTTCCTGTGACCCATGCAGACGCCGGAAGTAAGTACTTGAGAGCTCTCATAAAGTAGTACACGCTCACTCTGTTAGGCTGAGATGCGACCGGCAGCACCCTTGCGGGGCTTGCTCGAGACGTGGCGTAACCGAGTCCTGCAATTATGCAGCATTTTCTCCCAACTCCGTTGTTGCGCCGGGGCAATCCACTAGCCTCCATGGCAGAATTGCTGAACTAGAGAATCTTGTTGTGACGATGATGCAAGACCATACGCTCCCAACTCCGCCTGCATCGAACTCGCTATCATCCACCGATGTGTTCAAAAACTTTCAAGATGGAAGAGCATCCCTAGCAGACCCTGGTACCTTGGAGTTGCGCAGGTCTGGCGCCAGCTATGTCCAGAGTGTTCATTGGGAGGCCATTCTTACCAGAATCAGAGGACTGAAGGAGGACTTAGTCATTGATAGCAAGGCTCCACCAGGCTCACACTTGTTCTATGGCCCAAACCGGCATGCAAGTCAAGATGAAGTACTGGCAGCGGTTCCTCCTCGTCCAGTCGTTGATCGCCTGATGGCCCTTCACTTTGACTCCTACATTGTCACCCAGTGTCAGTAAATTCAAGCTTTTTGCCACTTAGAGACATTGACTGTGGTGTAGATCTCATTCATCGCAAGAAATTTCTCCGAGAGGTAAGTTCTATTTAACCTAGTCGATGACAAATGGTCTGACATTGTCTAGTACGAAGCCTTCTGGGATAATCCATCTGCGACCTCTATCGCTTGGGTTGGTCTTATGTTCTCCATGTTATATATCTCTGCGCAGTTGCAAACCTTCGCCATTGACACCACCGACGGACGGGCCGCATCGCTCAAGACGGAATGTCTTAATATGAAGGATGCATTTCGGGAGAGGGCCATTCAGTGTCTTATATTGGCCAGGTACACGACGGGAGGACCATATATCCTGGAAAGCCTTATAACAATCCTGACTGGAGAGTTTGTACTGCTGAAAGATAACGCTACGGATGGTTGGCTCTTGGTAAGTATGATACTTCACATTGCAGTCCGTATGGGTTATCATCGGGACCCCGATCACTTTCCCGGAATATCTCCATTCGAGGGTGAGATGCGCAGACGCATATGGACCACAATTCTACAATTAGATATATCCCTCTCCTTGGAAATGGGCCTCCCTCGAAATGCAACGGACACGAACATCGATACAAAACCGCCTCACAACCTGCATGATTGTGATTATGACGAGGACACGATTAAGATGCCCCCACCAAAGTCAGAATCAGAATGGACACCGGTGCTCCCTCTCATTGCCAGAGCGCGGCTGATAACAGCCCTCGGCTTGATTTGCGATCTCAACACCCATATTAATCCGCCTTCCTACGACGAGGTCATCAAGGTCGACACACTTCTTCGAGACGTATACAGTCGTTCTATTCCGCCCCTGCTACGCTGGGGAACTGGGCCACACCCCATCACAGATAGTCCAAACATTGTGGTACAACGGGTAAGCGTAGAAACGACTTACCACAAATCACGCATCCTCCTCTACCGGAGAGCTTTGATCAACTACCCAGTCGGACAGACTCAAGAGCGGGACAGGGAGTCGGTGGGAATATGTCTAGATTCCGCGCTAGAAATTCTATCTTTTCAACAGATGCTTCACGACGAGTCTCAGCCATTTGGTCGTTTGTCCCAGCTAAGATGGAAAGTCGCACATATTTTCAATCAGGATGTTCTCCTCGCAACGAGCGTGCTCTGTCTTTACCTTCAAGACGTCGATAAATTTGAATTACCTACGAATGCTATGGGACAGCCGGCGTGCCCACCTAGAGCTGAAGAAATTCGACAACAACTCATAAAGTCGCACAAGATATGGCTTCAAATGAGTACGACATCTGCGGAAGCCGGTAAAGTAGCAAAGGCTTTGAGTATCGTCATTGGGACCACGGAAGAGTCTATCGAGGACAATAGCGGACCCACTTTTGACAACTTCTCAACGGATTTTGATGCCATACCTCTGAATGGATTTGGCGCGTCGTTCAACAATCATTGTGAGTAGCATACTTAGTCATGTCGATTGCCACTAACAATATATTTTACAGATTTCCATCCTGGCTTCTACTCTCCTCTTGCATTCTTTGATAATGTACTGGAAACGGAGGGAGTATGAATATTTGATCGCTCTGGGACTGAACCACGTAGAGAAGACCAACGTACAGTGAAGGACTTTGTCAAGTCTTTGCTTCAAATTTGCCAATAGTGATCCGGATGATTGACCAGGGAGACTCAATCCAATACAGTGCTATCTAATTAAGCGGTAGCGTATACGCATGCTTCTAGGAGCTTAATAAAAAGTTGAGTGAGTTATATTTTGGTTCAGCTAATATAGGATAACGAAACTTTAAAGAATTATAGAGTATATATCTAATAACTATTCATATATCATTTCTAAATAGAATTCATAGTAAAATATAACTTCATAGATTTCCATGGACGCTTTTTCTCCCAAAAGCCAATCAATGGATGCATATCTTAGTACATATGTGTATAATTGATCATGCAATCTCTCATATACTACGTAGTATATACACGTGTATGGGTAGTATTTCAATATGATATATCAGTCTCTGCACCCTGGCTGGGAATGTACATCTAGTAAACCGCGCATATGACGTCTAAACCTTGATAACCACAGCTTGTGATAATCGAGATCACATTACAGAACATAACGGAAGCTTCTCATCTGAATATCAGTAGCATCTTCAAAGTGAGTGGCATCTGGCTGAACCTCTCCTTCCATTGCTGCCCGGTCTCTCCGCTTGTTCTCCCAGGTGTAGAGGCCCCGAAGGATAAAGGGCATGATGAATAGAACACAAAAACAACCTAGCATAGCCTTGATGCCTGTAGGGTATCCTCTTGACTGTTCGGATGCTATAAAAAGCTGCGGCGCAGCAATACTTCCTGCGCAGTATCCTAGAAAGAGGAGGAACGTTACAGTGGCCTTCTTTGTTGCTCCAGTAACGTTCCCTCCAATAACAGCAAATGAAACCGACAAACCAACAGAATTGGTATAAATGATCCAAAGGGAAACAACCCTTCCCCACTTAGCATGGCTTGGTAATGTGTGAAGCAGTACAGTGCCGATGATTGAAGGGATGCAACAGAGGGACATAGCATACAGCCGCAAATTGGGAATCTTGGTACACATAATACCGCTGGATATGTGCGTCAGAATAACAAAATTCAAGTAATGGAATCAAGATTGCTCCTTACGCAAATATCAAAGACGCTAGCTGAATGACATTGGCAGGGATGCCAATCAATTGTGTATCAACCGCGCTGAATCCCAGGTTCTTGATAATGAGACTCGAAAACTAGAGCGAGAAGAATTAGTTAGTTGACTTAAGAACTAAAAGTGAGAATGTTTTCACGAACTCCAGATAGAGCACCTGCGGGGATCGTGTTGCAAAGACCAATAGTAAAGAAGACATAAGTTTTCGGGTCCATCATTGCCTCTTTTGCCTGTGACCATTTCCATGGCCCTTTGCCGCCTGTGGCTTGTGATTTGACCTTGAGAATTATTAGTAAGACACTAAATCTAGCAGAAGGGACAAGAATACCGTTAGAGATAATGCCTCCCGTTCGCTCGGAGTAAAGAAGCGCGCGTGATCAGGATCTCCGGGAAAGATGAAAGCAAAGATCACACCCCAGACGAAAGTGACGCCACCAAATATCAAGAACATGACTCTCCACGAGGCTATGGATAGACTATTGGTATGTCCAACTGCATAGCCAATCAACCCCCCGAAGATGGCAAACAATGGAGTTCCGCAGAACCAAACGCTTTGGCGGATAGGCTGTTCATCTCGTGTATACCATTGGGAAACAATGATCAGAAACGAAGGTGCCACTATGGATTCCAAGGCACCCATAATAATGCGAGCAATCACTAAGCCGGCGAAGCTGTGGCTAAAGTTGGTCATCATCAAGGTCAATCCCCATGCTGCAATCACAAAGCCGAGATACCTCTCAATGCGAAATTTCGGAACGAGAGCCAGCAGTGGGTATTGAAATCCTAGATAACCGAAATAAAACACACTGTTTACCCAGCTGTAGTCTTGCCCGATAAGGTGCTATGAGATAAGGTCAGAAAATTGAATCGAAATTGATAGGATTTTCAAGCCCACATTGTCCTTCTGAAGGGTATACACTGCAGCAAACCCAAGTACCGCCTTGTCCAAATATTGCATCCCGTACGTAAGCAACATCTGCCATCCACAGTAATCAGTACCATGTTTAAGAGACAAGGGGAAAAGGCCATGAATACCATCGGCATCAAAATGAGATCAATCTTGCGCAACAGTTTGGCGCGAGAGATGCCCAGGCTTCGACCCATACTTTCTTCCACGTTCACAGCATGAGAGAGGTTGTCTTTGGCGACGTTGTCGAAATCTTGCTGGCCAGATATTGAAGACATTTTGGATATCACCCACTAGATGCGAGGCGCAAGAATGATTGATTGTGAACTGGTGTAAAATATCAACTGGCAAGGGGACTTGAGCCCTCATAATATTCCATTCTGCTAACCACTACTTTCCCCAGACTAATGCCACAGGAGAAGAAAGATAGCCCATATGGAGGTCCACAGATAGCCCGTGTGGGGATCCACAGATAGCTCGGATTTCCCAAATTCTCTTTAATGACCGTGGAGAAAGAAGCTGATAGCAAAGTTTTAGGTTTCTCGCCGATGTGGCCCAATTCGTACTAGGGCGATGACCCTCATCGCTAAATCGTCCGAATACAGTAATGAGTGGAAACCAAGACTGATATTATTGTATAAGTTTTGATCGATAAATCACTACAGAAAACAACTTCTTTTCTGATATTTTATCGCTGGTATCTGACTTTTTATCCTTCTGATTTGCGTTTCAGCAAATATGGCACCTGTAAAGATCACCGAAACTCACATGGATTCACGAAATCAAGGGCCACAAAATGGTGGAATTGACAATGGTTTAGGCTCTTATACTTACCCAGTATATAAGAATTTGGATCCATCAACTCTCACAGAAGGAAAAGTGGTCAAATTCAATCTTGTTTTGACTGCAAATGCACTTGAGACCGTCAACGTGCCTGTTTTAGCCTACAGATCGAGAAAAGCCGGGCCTACAGTCGGTATCACTTGTGCTATTCATGGAAACGAGATCAATGGAATACCGGTAATACAGAAACTGTTCGAGGACATCAACAACAACAGTCTTGAGCTCCTCAGTGGGACTGTCATAGGAGTCCCGGTTGTCAATGTCCCGGGGTTTCTCGCATCAATTCGCCAGTTTGACGATGAATCAAAACAGGACTTAAATAGACTTATGCCTGGGTATGATATTCTATTTTACATGGGTTTTTGTTTAGTAGTTTGGATTTACGTTTTGTTGACAAGAACAAAAAATAACGATATAGGAAGCAAACCGGAGCAGCGCCTGAACAATACGCTCATGCAATATTCAACAAGATCGTCAGCAGTTTTGACTACGTTATCGACCTTCATACAGCATCTGCCGGTCGGCAAAATTCTCTCTATGTTCGAGCTGACATGAGTCATCCTACTATTGGAGGTTTGGCGCGCCTTATGCAGCCCCAGGTTCTTGTTCATATAGCCACGAAAGGATCATTGCGAGGCTGTGCTCAAAGCCAGGGTATTCATGCCTTGACTGTCGAAGTAAGCAAGACATACTTTCCCTCTTGTTTAGTATCAAGGAATGCTTCATATAGCATCTAGTCAGCGCTTCCCACTCACTCGCTGATTAATTTGACAGATTGGGAACCCTAGTGTTTTCCAACCTAACTTCATCAATGCAACTTATGCAGGTATACGCCGTGTTATTGCTTCGATAGGCCTGACATCAGAATATGAGCCAACTCCATCTATCATCGAATCTATTCGCAAGATAACTCCGGAAGGGACCGCGGTTTGTACGAGAAGTGTAAGTACCATGCTACTAGGGATTTGTTGTTTGTAGCCAACTAATTTGCAACAGTTTTGGGTTTATTCAAAACTAGGGGGAATTCTCAAAGGTCAGTTAGTCACTAAACGAGGGAAAGTTCCCAAAATATCTACTAACATCGCTGTAATAGTGTTCAAAAAGCCTGCAGAGAGAGTCCACCCACGAGAGCTGATCGGAGAAATACAAACCATATTTGGAGATCCTGTGGAAAAGATATATGCTCCTGATTTCGAGACGGTGGTAGTGGGCATAGAAGCAAATCCAGTGGCTAAATCTGGAAATCGGGTGGTAAGTGTATCTTAACCCTAATTCTCAGCACATAATGATACTAATAAACAAAAGATTCACCTGGGAGTTATAGGGAGCGATTTTAAAAGTATTTCCAATGATGGTCATATGTAGAGGATAATGATGTTACGGGTTGAACCCGTGTTCTGGAATGGTATGCTCCAGAATCTTGCCATTGCGCATGGTTCCACACGGAAGCATCCTAAAGCCAAGCACAATTCATGAGGAATATGTCGATGGCGTTGGGTATCTGTTCTTTTTTCTCTACTACCCGGTCTAGCCCGTGACAAATAAGACTTGCACCTGGGCAGCGAATCGCATACTGAGACCGTTCTTCAGAGGAAATATGTATGATTACTAATGTTCCTCATCTCTAATCCTCATCCTAATACTTGCCAGAAGAAACAGAACGTCACAGCCAATGAAATATACAATTGGTAAGAGATTATATGACAAGACCATCATTGTACTCAACCATTATCTGCTCCCAATCTAGGCGACATGCCGCTTGGCTTTCCTTCTCATATACAACTTCTACAAATTTCCTTGCCTGCTTGTAATGATCACCGCCTGTCTCTTCATACATTTTGAGGCGGTCTATAACCCATTCCCGATATACGTCATCATCCACTTCGATGGCAGCCATTACTAACGGCAAAGGCCATATCTTTGTTGGCGGTGGCGACGACGGGGAACCTTTGAAATGTGTCTTGTAGAGTGTGTTTAGCTTTTGAGATAATCGAATGATGTCAAGAGCGAAAGCAGAAGCAGAATGTCGGCTTTGACAGGGCCCCAAGGCCCTAGAAAAGGAAATTTCCACCGTGTTATATAAAGCGGACAGCACAAAAAAAGTTGCACGTGTTCGAGACTGGAAATTATGCGCTTTTTGAAGCGACTGGATTGCATCTCGGTGCTCATCCAAATCCTGTCGTAATTTTGCGATTTCAGCAGAACAATCCACTCGATGTTTGAGCCGAGTGATATCGTGCAACATCGACACAAGATAGAGCATGCGGCCCAGAAACGGAAACTGTGCTTTATCACGCTCGTATTCTTCATCTGGGTAGGTCAAGTTGTAAGCTTGCGGGAGAGTGAAAAACGAAGCATTGAGGTCGGCCACAACTCCATTCTGGCCCCCCATTGCTTGGAGGACTGCTCCCTCGCCGGGCTGAAACGCGGAGGCTTTGGCATCTAGTATATAGAACTGAGATACATCAGTCAGAAGTGAAATGTCTCAGAGCGTATGCTCAAGTAACAACTCGAAAAACAAACGAACCCATGTTGCAACGCGTGATCGTACTCCCTCCATCCCACTTTTTATTTTTGGAATCCGGAGGAGGTGAGCAATAAATCGAAGAATATTTCGTAACTGACGGGAGCGAGCAGCCATCAGATCAGAAAGAGCTAAGAAAAAATAGCCGACAAATATGGCATCAAGATCGTCGGCTGATGCTCTCCCAAATGCATCGTCACGTATGGGATCATAGGCGCAGGGCCAAATTCGTTCAAGATCCTCGGGCTTGAAACCATATTCCTTCTGCATATGAGAGATACAGTCGGAGTAATGTTGCAAGGAATCATCGAGATCTCCAGCCTTTGAAGAGAAGCAAAGGCTGGCAGAGCTCCAGGAGAGCATTGAAGATAGCACCCATGGATGACTTCGTGTGAAACGATGGAAAAAATATGTGTAGTAGTTCCAGTCAGGAGATTTAAAGGAGTATTTACTAGCAAGCTTCTGCGAGAAGTGTTGCGCCAAAATATGAGTCGGAAGATGTCCTGTTTTTGTTTTCTTTGCAGGAGGCTCCTGGCGTAGATCGACATGTGGAGCGGTAAAAGTGAGGTTACTATTCTCCTCCTTGGACCCAGTCACCTCCGATGGCGATAATGCAGGCAGTGGTGCATTATCAACGAAATCGAAATCGAACCAAGTATTTATTTCCGGGTTGGAAGATTGTAGCAGTCCGGTTCCATCGATTGACAGGTGTGATGAAGGTATACTTTCGTGCTCAGTGGCTTGATATTCGTTGAACAGCTCTGGATCTCTGGAATCTGGTGGAGCGCTCCTGGAAAATAGATGAACATGAGGTATGCAGAAGTGCTGCTACAAGGCGAAGTACCTTAGGGGGCTGGCCACGCTCTCATGTATTTGCCCTGAATTAGAAGAATTCCCTTGAGAAGAGCTGTATTCGGGATGCTCATTAAGGAAAATAAAGACCTCTGGTGAACCATTATACGAACATTTCAAATGAGACGCCTTGCACGCTGAGCACCGTGGTCGATGTAGATCGCACTCTTTTCTACGTCTCAGACAGGTGGAGCAGCTCATTGATTGTGATATACTTGGTTCAAAATACTGGTGCTCAGGAATCCAACGATCGGTTGGTGTTTGAGGATCTAAGGAGAGATCAGAAAATGTGAGCTAGCATCTAGGCTGTACTAACTTATTCCAGATTCTCGGAATCTTAGCGACGATTACGCCGCCGTATATGTTTCAGGAGGAACAAAGGAAATATAAATGTTCAGTTTGAGAGCTGGCAGACATTTCTGTGTAAATCACTCCATCATCACTGCGCTTGAGAGAGTTGTTATAGAGTTTAGCTTAGCTTACCTTGGGTAGAAGTCTTTCTAGGCGAGTCCTGCGCGCTAGGAATAAAAGTTATTCCGTTCCGTGCGTACCTGATAGAAGCGCTGTTCAAGGGATTGAAATTCTGACACTGGCAAACTCTCTAAAAAATTGTAAATAAAGGAAATATCAATGAACGACATACGATCTGGTACGGAAAGGCATAGCAAAAGAATGAAGCAAAATAAAGGTGCGAATTGGGGTCAAGAATGGGGATCTACAAATGTGGTGTAACTGCAGGCGCTCCAAATCGTACGCTGTTTGTCACGGGGTTAGGTTTTGTTGACGGTCCCTCAATCCGGCCGTCGATGTCAAGGCGTAGCTTGTTCAATTCAATAATTTCTTGTAGAACGCAACAGGGATTGCTATTGGTCATCGTGTTCGCAGGATTGTTGTTGATCCATCGTATCTCTGTGGTTTCTTGTCATTCGTAAGACTGAAGGATATTAGCGTTGTTTTGTGTCTCCGCGAGTACGATAACGTGGCTAATCTCGGACGATGAATCCTTGTTATTGTCGAATGAGGCACCGCGAATGCGTGCAGCTTTGCGGTCTTTAGATCAATCTTGACAAACCGTATTCCACGGCTCGAATTATCACACTACCGTTCGAGTTGTTAGGCACCTTTATAACCTCTTTTCCAGGTTGTACGGCTTGTGCTGCAGGAGAGAGTTTGAATGAAGCCTCATATCAGATTGTCAAACAGAAGCGATATACGCGCCAAGAACCCACCGAGCGACGTACTGCTCATAAAGGAAAACGCTCTTGCAAATCTTGCCACGAGAGCTGATTGTATCCGCAGGGTGATCTTGTACGAGTCAAGTATTCTTATTCTAATCGAACTTGTGTCTAAACGACTGGCCGGCTTTAGTAAAAACCACCTCTCTTCATAAACAATAGGTGGAGATGGGCCGTCTTTACCTTCCCGCATCGCTCCCACGAACAATTGAAGATAAACCAATACCTACTCGGCCATAATATAGCTTTGAACCTCCTATATAAGTGGGCGTCGTACGTCGCAAAGTTGGGTGAGATCAGGAGTAAGAGACGTTACTCATGTGGAGAAGGAAAGGATTGTGAAAAACTTTGAATTTCGATGGTCGAAAAAATCACCAGTTAATAAACTTAAGAGTAGCAGGGATGAACACCAATAGCCTAGCACTAGAAAGTCATTGGACAAGTTTGTTGACTAATTGACTTCAGTGAGTTACAAGGCTGAGTTGTTTTTCAAGTCACACAGCCTTGAGCGAATACAACTCATACACGAGTTGAATCATTGAAGACCATGTAATTCATCAAGAGAAACAGCGACCATAAATGAGTTTCTACAGKCTTGATAGCTTCTAGAAATCATACTGAATCACTTGTTACCTAGATTGCCACGACAATACCTGTTGTTGAATCAGTCATTGTTGCATACATAATTACCCCCGCCAAAATTTGTGCCTAATAACACAGCCTTACACATTGAGTCTTGAGGTCCATGTATTCAAGTCATTATTGAAAATTCGCCTTCGAAAGGTATGCAAAACTTGAATAAATGTGTTCACAACGATAAAAAAGCCAATGACTGACCTGGAATTGTGAAAAGATCAAAAAGAGTTTCTACGAATTTGTCGCCTTCGGCCAGCCACCGCTCACACCTCAGGCTTCCTCAGACAATCCTGCTACGTAATTTCACCTTTCGAAGAGACAATCAAAATTGCAAAAATGGCAGCAACCCAACTACCACATGCAGACTATACAGTCGGATGGATCTGTGCGCTTCCTGTGGAGATGGCAGCAGCCAGCGTTATGCTAGATAAAGCTCACCTCGACCTGCCCGTACACGCAAGCGATCACAATACATACACATTAGGCAGAATTGGGAATCACAATGTTGTCATAGCCTCTCTCCCATCAGGAGTGGCAGGAACTACGTCCGCAGCTGTCGTGGCAAGCCAATTAATATCCGCGTTTCCATCGATCCGGTTCCTGCTCATGGTAGGGATTGGAGGAGGGGTGCCATATCCTGACGATAAAGATGTTCGACTGGGAGACGTGGTGGTCAGTCAACCAAAAGATACTTCTGGGGGAGTCGTCCAGTTTGACTCTGGAAAAGCTCGACATGGCACCTTCCAAAGGACCGGAATGTTGAATAAGCCGTCGGGACGGTTATTGACAGCAGTGAGCAAAATAGAGTCGGAATATATGCTGGGAAGAGGTAAAGTATCCGACTACGTCTCGCAACTGAAAGATTTCAGTATTTTTGTGCACCCGGGTGAAGCAAAGGACTTGCTCTTTCAACCAGATTATCGCCATACAGCGCCAGATAGAACTTGTAAGAATTGTGACAGAAGCAGGCTAGTGGTCCGATCATCTCGAAGTTCAGCTGTTCCAAAAGTACATTACGGTCTTATTGCATCGAGTAATCAAGTGATTCGGGACGGCGAAACTCGAGATCGGTTCGCTGAATATCTGAATGTCCTTTGTTTTGAAACAGAAGCTGCTGGATTAATGGATAATTTTCCGTGCCTGATAATTAGAGGAATTAGCGACTATGCAGATTCCCATAAGAACGATCAATGGCAAGGTTATGCGGCTGCCACCGCTGCTGCGTTTGCGAAAGAGTTACTTCTCGCTGTTCCTTCTATCCAAGGTTATCAAGAACAGGAGCCTACCGATTATAGAAAATCAGATAGGGGCTACCAAAATTACCCTGGTACTTACCACAGTCATGGTGGAATTATTATAGTGGGAAATCAGAATGCTGGAAGAGATATCAACAACAGATGATGTCATGAGATTCATATATTGTTAGTTGTATGAGCTTGACTTGGAAAGGGAACAAGTTGAGTTTGTTTGCATTTATCAAGAATCTGGACAAGATTTGAATTAACGTGTCACTACCACGTAGTCTTCGGGTACCAAACCCTCTTCTTCAGGTCTCCCTTCGACTCGGCCCATGAACCAGCCATCCCGATTAGGAACATCTCCTTGAGTGAGCTCAATTATATCACCAGCCTTGAAACAGAGCTCATTCGCCTGAGTAGGTTGAAAATCATGGGATGCACGCGCATAATATATGGTCCTTGATGGCGGCGAAGGAGCAGATCTACTATGATTTGTCTGACTCCAATCAATCGGCGTATGCTGTCTCGGCCCTGCAATGTTATTCACGTCCCCTGTAGCATGTTGATTGCCGATAATCAGATTACTGCCAGTAAAGTTCCCCGAATAATTTTGACGGGTAATCTGGTCTGTTTCATTGTCTGGGGAAGACATACTTCGTGACAAAAGCGTTAGCAATGTCCATTTGAACTTTCAAGGCAATGGAACTTACGGAGACCTAGACTCTTCACCCCTTGACTCCTGAGTGGTGCCCAAATTTCTGCGCCTGGCTTGAATGTTTAGAGTTTCGACAACGAAATCGAGTTATATTGATACACACCGTTCTGGGGCGAGGTCAAGGGTTTTGCTGTTTAGCATTTCTTCAGGTTGACGAGGTGATTGTAGAGCTGTATCTTCTGATCAGCCTCCTGTTGACTTCTGGATAGAGATCTTAGTTGAAGGAGATACTCTTATCTGTCTGTGCTGGTCTTGACTCGGACCTAGGTCATGGGGCCCTCGAGGCTGCAAGCACGAAAAAGATTCCATTGGCTGCACTTACAGCATTAGCGTCAGCCTCAGCCTCACTGCAATGCCATTAAGAGTCATGAAGGTTGGTATGCGTCGGTGTGTTTCACGATATGCCACAGAGTGATGTTGGATAGATATAGCATCGTTCCAACTTAAAGGCTGCGTTATTGTGGATAAATAATATTTCATGCTGTCCTTGATCTTACAATAGACTAGAGGAAGATCTATCTAGGGGACCTTTAAGAGGTGTGGTATGGAGGCGAGGCTGAGAGCCGCGAATGCATTAGTTGCAGGTGATTGTCTAAGCAAGTGGTGTCTCGTTCAAATATGAATCCAAATTGCCGCATTCCATTTCAACTTATTCTAACAAACAAAAATTCCAAAACATCCAAAGGCAGTCAAAGAGACAATTTGAGTGAATCTGAAGATTGAATCCGTCATGTCTTCCGTCAATACCGAAGGAGGTTTAGGTGTCGCGCGCGATATCAACGCGAGTCGGGACGTCAACATTATTAATATCGCAAAAGACCTACTGCTACATGGCCCGTTTAGTGACATGCGGAGTACTGTGAGAAATTTGGGTATGTTTGTTTGATTATCAAAATGTTTTGATATCAGATAGTAGCCCACAGATATTACATGATCTATTCTTTTCACCCGTACTGCGATTAACAATTTTATAGGAACATACCCGAACCAAGAATCATACCAAAAGTTTATTGATAACGGTCAAGAGCCAGAATCCTTGCGCAGTTTGTGTTCCAGGGATCAGGATTTCTATATCAATCAACTTAAGCGCAAAAATGGGGATCGTGCTCCGGGCACATTTGAATGGATCATGCAGACAACTGAACTCAAAAGATGGCTCGGCCAAGAACAATCTCCAACAAATGTACCTAACTCAAGAATTCTTTGGCTCTACGGAAGTCCAGGTATAGGGAAATCAACCTTGGCAATCACCATAATTGAAGCGCTACAAAAATTGCAATCGTTCAAAGAAGGAACCAAGAGCCTTGCCTACTTTTTTTGCACCGCGAGTCACGAGAGTCAAAGGACAGCAGATGCGATTTTGGAAACTTTGATTTATCAATTCATTACGAAAAAGCGTCAATTAATTGAGTTTCTACCACCCGATCTCGAAAAAGCCAAAGCGAACTCCCAAGTGTTTGATGCTATATGGTCCGTCTTGATGAAGATTGGAAACCACGACAGCACGGGAGAAAAATACTGTATTATCGATGGACTGAACGAGTGTGATGAAAATAGCAGAAAAGATCTGTTGAAACAAATCGGGATTACGTTCGATAGCCAAAGGGGGGGAGATTCCGAGCCTAAAATCAATATCTTAATCCTCAGCAGATTATCTCCGGAAATTACCGGACTGGAGCACCTTGTCTCGAAAGATATAGCCTTATATCCACAAATGGCACGAGATCTTCAGATCTTCGTTGAGGGACAAATTGAGAAATTGGGGAGAAAAAAATGGCCTCGTCAAGACCAGGAAAAGATCTCCCAAATTCTGCTTGAAAAGACAGGTGGGACATTCTTGTGGGTTGGCATGGTATCGCGTGAACTGTTGAACAATACTTGGATCGATGCTCCTGGCACACTGAAAACGTTACCCATTGACCTAAATCTGATGTTTCAAACCCTTCTCGACGAAGCTCGGAAAGCCAGGGTGAAGATAAAGGACCTCAAGATACTGGAAGAAATTATAATCCTTTGTTTGATATCATACCGTCCACTGAGTTTATTGGAATTGGCTGAAGCCTGTGAGCTCTGTCCAGGCGAAAATGACGAATACCGTTCTAGTCGGGTTGAGGAAGACATCAAGATATGTCATCTGATGAGGGTCACCCAGGAAAGGAGTGTAGAACTATTGCATCAGTCTGTAAGGGACTTTCTGCTTGTCCCGGCAACGAACCCTCTAGCAGGCGAAAGGCAACATCCAACAGACAGAATGACGCTTCCGATAAGTGAACTAGACGCCAACGTTTTGATGGCAAACAGATGCATTGCAGTTTTATTGAGAAATGTACATAGTGGGGAGAGTTTGAAAGAATCGCAATCAAACGGGTTCCAGTTCTATGCAATGGTTCACTGGATGCATCATGCGTCCATGGCAAATAATGAATTCCATATTACCGACGATAATGAGCCTTTCTTCCGACTTGTGTCAAAAGAACGAGAAGCTTGGTTGAAGTGGTATCGATTTCACCACCGTTCTGAAAGAATTCCAGAAGGATTTTCCATCTTTCATATAGCCGCACGATGGGGTATTAGATCTTTGGCAGAATTTGCATTGAGCCAAAAGTCCAAGAGCGAGAAGATTCGGTGGTTTCGTCGATACCCATACAATGATTCACATTTCGTGGCAAACAGTATTACACCTCTAGAAGAGGCGGCTAGGGCAGGCAGACATGAGATTATGGTAATATTTTTACAAAACGCACCAACCACAATGGATGTCAAGCCGGCCGTGTTTGAAGCGGCAGCAGCACATCGAAAACACGGTAAAGAATTAATAGGATGTCTTCTCGAGAGTCGACAGAAACACCAAATTCAGATCACAGCAAATGTACTCGAAGCTGCTGCAAGGAATAAGGGAATAGGGAAGGAAATAATGGAATTACTCCTAGACCGCCTGGGAAACAAGGCTGAAATATCTGAAAATTTGGTCAAAATTGCGGCAAGTAACTGGAAGAATACTGAACTAATGGCATTACTTCTCAAAAAACATAGAAACCTGATCAAGATCACAAAGGATGTGGTTAGAGTTGCCAGAAAGAGTAAAAATGGAGAGAAAATGATGGACTTGCTCATGTCAGAGCTAGAGCGTCGAAGTCAATTTGATGGCCAACATGGTCCCCAAACAGCTGCATGGAATGGTATCAAGAAGCAGCTCCTAGCAGATCAAGCTAGTGCGAATTGTGCAAATCGCTGGGGATGGACACCGCTTCACGCAGCATCTTGGCATGGTGATAACGAAGCTATCGAGCTGCTTCTTTCTAAATATGCCGTCGATACGTTATCCGTGAATCATGATGAGTGGACTGCGTTAGATGCAGCATTTGCCAAACAACACATGGCTAGCGCTCAACTTCTCCTGAAACATGACTATACCGCTGCAGGGAACTTTACTCCAACAGGTTTTAGTGAGACTAGAAAATCAAATGCTCTAAAACTTAGCGATGATAAGCTAGAGGTGAATTACATTGGAAGGGGCAAAGGTGAGGGTGAGTGAAATATGTTACCATTTGACCTTGGAATAATGTTGACCCGCGAACCCCCTTTCCAGGGACGGCAGGCCACCCAGGCGTGGTATATGCAAACAAGCCCATTTCTCCTATAACGGAAAATTTTTACTTTGAGATTAAGGTGATTAGTTTGGGCGGCAATGTGTAGGTTTAATGTCCATTCCGTTTGACGCTCTTACAAATATGCTGATTCTTTTCACTTCCTCAAGTGGAAACATAGCAATAGGCCTCGGCAAAGAAGACTTCCCATCAGCGATGCCTGGATGGGATGATATGTCGTGGGGATATCATGGAGATGACGGGAAAGTGTATCATAATTCTCGTTCCCGATCTTATGCAGAAAGATTTGAAGTTGGAGACATAATCGGCTGCCGTCTGCGGATACCCAGTGGAATCGTGAACTTCAAAAAAAATGGACAGTGGCTTGGKGCGTACCCGTTTCGCTCCCCCAAAAAATTGGGATAGAGGCTCTTTTGATTGGTTGGCTTATAATTTTCTCAGGAGATCGCCCTGCCTTTGACAATGTTCATGGTCGTGTATTCCCAGTGGTAGCTATGAACTCAGTGGGAGCACGTATCCGGGTGAACTTCGGTGGGCCGTTTGGAGAAAGCAGTCAAACCTTTTGAAGAGAACTCTTGATTTCACCTTGAGGACGACATGGCGCCCTACTTCAACGCATATGGATTGTATACCTTGAGCTTTTGTACGTATACACATCCATTGAAATATCATCTACGTTGCTGAAGGTGATATCTACCTAGCAATCAATTCCAATCAATAGAATAAATACATCCGCTTTCCAAGTCCATGTAAACGAGAATCATAGTAATACATTTGAATCTTTGAATAGAAGAAAAGATCCTATATGCCCAGAAAGTGTCCAGAGACCGGGGCAAAATTTGAACTAATCCAAGTGAACCAGCTCTTCGAATGCAGCATCCAAACATGTACACCTTCCTTAGTGAATCTCTTCAGATGTGTGTCCGTCGCTTTCATTCTGCGCCGTGAGTCTTTTCGGCCGTCGTTTCTTCAAGCAGAATGCACCAACCCCAAGGAGTGACAGACCAAGAGCTCCCTCTATGCTGCCTACCGCGATTTCGGCTGCATAATCCGGCTTTGCCGATGCCGGTGCTTTCGATGTAGTTGATGGTTGTATCGAAGTGGACGATGAAGAGCAGTAATCCGACCAAGAATTGACTTGAGAGCCAAACGAAATGTAGTCAGAATCTGAATTGTCGTAACAATCTGAACTGTCGGGAGTGCAACCGGAACAAATGGAAATATTGCAGCAGCTGGAAGTAGTGGACAGACATTGCTGACATTGATATGTTGCATCGTCAAACTCATAATCCTGCTTATGATCTGTGTCTTGGCAGAGGCAGTCTTGCTGTGTTGAGTTCATACAATTGTAATTGCAATAGGAGACATTGCAGGATTCCAGTACCGCGAGGAAACGGTCACAGAGAGATTTTGTTGGATCAAGTCTCGGGACGAGATGACCGTTGACTATGAAAATAAGTAGAAAGAGCTGGAGAGCCGCGGAAAGAAGGGCTCGGGGTCGACACATCTTTGATAATTCAATCCAGTTGCCACGTCATATGCTTGATCAAGAACATGTAACTTGACCTTGAGAACTGTCGCAGTATTGACGGTTAGTTCTGAGAAGGTCGGCAGGCAAATTATTTCTAGAAGTCTACTAGAAGTTTATCATAAGATCCAGGGAAAGGTAACCCCGTATTTGAGCCTCTTGAGGGCGAGATCCCTCCGTTCCAAGCTACTAGCTGAAACATCATAGAAGAATACCTTCCGGGGCGTATGAACGAACTGGTATTAGCTACGTAGTGTTACTGTGTTCATACGCCTGTACCATAGTGTATATCCCTAATCTAGTTATTAGCTCCGAGTCTTGACTCGCATCCCTGTACGACTAAGGCGTACTGATAGCAAGTAATGATAACTACCGGGGATATCCCTGTAAAAGAGTAGCCTTCTTTCCGCCTGATGCAAAGTAGATTTTTCATTACTCAACTCAATACTTTGACAGGTTAGGAGAAGGAAATGAAGAATGAGCAGGTCTATCGCCCAATTAAAACAAACACTACAAAGAATTTTAGACCTACATGAAAAAGCTAAATTGTTTTGCATTAGTGTGTCTCATGTTTTCACACACGATCGAAGGGTCATTGCGACATCAAGAACAACTTCTGGATAAATATACCGGTTGTACATCATCCTTTACGTACTTGCTATTGGGACTTCTATGAAACAATTGGATATGGAATTGAACTATTAACTACATTAGGAAATCGCTCGCTACCGGTTACTATCAAATCGGTCGACTTTGTAAAGGATTTGCTTTGAACTGGCCAATAAGGATTAGAAGTCTGAGTGACCTTGGAGATTCAATCCAATACCCGTGAACAGTTCTATATTCTACTAATGGACCAAAGCACACAATCAGTTAGACAGCCCCTGATTAATTATTCTTTCTACTTCTAATACCTACTACAACTGAATCTAATTCACACATGGCTGAATTTTCTGCATAAAAAAGAATTATGTACCGTATTTGAGTTCTGCCTCGGGAGCTTTGGGCATGGGATGGTTGGTACAATCCGCTCCTCCTTCTAATATAACCCCTTCCTCTTTGAGTAAGCTATCTAGAATACAGAAAAGAATCGATTAGCCTCTTTTACATACATTCTTGGTTTTCCCCTTTTGAAAACCCATTTAGGAATCTCAACTGATCTGGCTAAATCTTATCACAACAGCCGCGTTTTAAAACGAGACCCCTTTTTTACGATTTGCTATAGTCCAATACAGATACATACCACTTTTCAAAAATTCCCTTCCTTCTAGATAGCTATTTAGATAGCTATTGTACAAGGCTGACTTGGCCGATTTCCTGGCTTGACTCTGCCCGAGAGGCTGACTATCTGTCAGGCCACGTCATGAGGCGGAAAGGGACTGAGCTTCCTTGTCCTCTTGAGCGTGCTTTTCTTACGACATTAAAGAAATTACGAGCCAGAGGAATTGGAATGTAATAGCAGCTCAACTAGATGATAACACAGACGCGGCACATCGACTCATAATTACGGCCGCAATATGGTACTTTCCTTGGTTTTAAAGAGTGATTGTTCGATCTTGGTCAAGTTACTTCTCGAAGTCAGACACAGCGTCGTCCATGGCTGGCTGCTGATCCTATCATCGTACCTCCGAGAAGTACCCCAATAGAACCTAGAGCCACACCCGCAAAGGCACGCACCGAGTAATCTCAGAGCGGGACTGAAATTATCACCGCCATTGACGGGCAGACTTAAAGAGCGAGGAGGCATTTTGATGTTGATATCGTCGCTGTCGTTACTATTATCAAAATCCGGTTTATAAATCAAAGAGACATGAGCTCCGCCATTTTTGAATGTGTAGATTGTAGCTTCTAAGTACCTTGCAAAGAAGCTAATTTAGCCACGCCCAGTCATGCTGACATTCAGACGTTCAAGGCATAATACGGAGTACGCCGAATTACCATGTATGTATATGGCTTTACGTCCGCACCAGACGCATTTCGCATCTATGAGCATCACAGTGGAGACTCTGCTGGATTTTTGAAACAAGGCGTTTTGCGCTTTTAAAGGCAACGTCCGGAGGATGTTTCAACATTCCATAAAATTACTGTGTATTACCAATTGCTAAGTAAACACTCGAGTCTCCTCCTTATATAATGATCTAAAAATCGCTACGCAGATCCTGGTTCAAAAGCGCAAAACAAGAACCTTCCGGTAATAATAACATACTAGCCAGGTGGTATACTGATGCATGACTATGCATAATCAACGCTCGACGCCACGCTCGGGCATGAGACGAGAAACCACTGTTGGCTCTATGTATAAAACACACTTGATTCTAGTGAGAGTTAATGTGAAAAGAATTTGGAGTCAACATAGACATAAAAGCTTCAGCAATAATCCGGGTTGTCAAACGAGCTAAGCTAGTCATAATATATCGAATGACTCTTCGTCCGGTATATCCGCATTCTCTACCCCATGGATCTGATAGAAACGTAATATCTTCTTGACATTCAACTCCAAGCACGACTTCTGCTTCGGTCGTAGCGATGGCTCCGCCTGCAGAATCCATCTCAACTTGGGCAACAACAGCATTGCGCCAATAGCGGCAATAGCATACTTTTCCTCGACGGGGCCTGTTGTCTTCCTTTGCATATCATCCTCATCATCCTCATCGTCGTTCGAGTCTTCGCTTTCATCATTATCGATCTTCAATCGACCAATGTAGTACATGACCGAAGCACAAACCTCGTCAACCATCTGCTCACAAACTTGATCTGCCGCCGCGGCTTGCGAATACAGACGCAACAAGGCTGCACATCGAGATGTGATGATGTTAGCCATAATCCTCAAGTACCTGTAGTGATTCCAATCTTGCGCTACAGCTAGCGATGGGTATATATCTTCCCAGCCTGGATAGTTCGGATAAAAGTCTCGGACCGCCTTTTTTGGTTGACAGCTTGGAGGAACATAGTCTGGCCATCGCATAAGTTCGCCATCAATTTGCTCGGCAAGTTGCATAAGGAGTGTGATTCGTTGGGCATCGAAACCGGAGCAGATTTTGAGGTCTTCTACCTGTAGACGCAGTCGACCGAGCGAAGCCGAGAGCGAAGCTAGGCTGTTTGTGGGTTGCATATTGCAAGGTAGAGGGAGAGAGTTTGAAAGGTCGAGCAGTTCTTTCAATGTCTCTGTCTCTCCGCCGAGAACTACTGCTGCCTGGCGAGATAATCAGTGATGGGTCACACTAATCGAGAGGAGAGTCTCACAAGCCTGAAATAGAATTGATGAAGACAGAACATGGATATATTGCTGTTCAGGAACTCTGGGCCCCTATGTCGGAGCAGTTGAGCAAGACCGACCCAATGAGTCTTTACCGGAGACCTGTAGTCCTTGACGCTGCTGAAACTCTACAAACAATCAATATAAGCAACCCAATCAGCTCAAATACCAATGGATGTGACTAACGTCAAACATAGATAATAACAAAACAGTCAACAGCATAGCATCAGATTTGCTCTCCACCGGATCATCCAACGCTTTTCTTGCCAAGGATACGGCAGTTGCAAAACTAGTCTCTGCAGCCGCTTCCATATCCTTGCTTTTGGAAACAAAAGAGTAAAATCCTTTATAAACTGCGGAAATGGCATGTTGAAGACATGAGTCATCGTCGGATTCATTCATGATTGATATGCAGCGTGCTAGACATTCATCTGGAGTTGAGTCCCAGCTAAAGTACACGCTGTCGTAGGATGCCACATGAGCAGTCTTGAATAGAAGCACAGCTGCGTCGAGCAAATATTTATTTTTCTTAGTCGATGCATTAGTCTTTGGTGCTGGCTTTTGAGCTGGGACAACGACATCCGGGGATTTTTGTTTTGTTCTTCTGCTGCGCGTTACCCTCCTATTACCGAGACCAGTTTCGTACCTGATTCGTGAATCAAATGTCTCGGAGTCTACGTAGCCTGTGCATTTTTGCTTTGCGCGTTCACAGCGAAGACATTGTGGTTTTGCTTCGTCACACTAAAACCATGTCAGTTATGACGTTCAAACTTGGCTCTCAGGAATTATTTGTCGAGACGACCTTGACTTTGAGACGTTTGCACCTATTGCATCCCTTACTTGGTCCTCCTATATTACCCATTGTACTGAAACTTTGGTAATGGCCTAGTCGACGCCGACTGAAGCATCAGATTGTGTCGAGTGATGGGTTGACATATTTACAGTTGTTCTCCTGACTAGACAGGGTGGGTCAATTTCTCCGCATATGGCGCATTCTGGTTGGCTGCCTCGCCATTCTCCGCGATAAAGCTCTCGGTTTATCACACTCACTGTCAGACCTCGAACCTCAACATTTAATCAACTTCCTCACTCTTAACAATTCGCTCTGTTCAACGGCTCAAGCGCTGGACTGCACCAGATAGAGCGTCCCAACTAAGACTCTACAATGTCATCAACATACCTCAAGCCACCCCCCTCAGCCTCAACCTCCACCCAACGCCAACGCATCTCGTCATCCTCCCATCAACATTCAGGCCCAGCACCTCCCCCGCGCGCCCCGGTCTCCGTACACTCAACGACCACCGTCTCCGAGACAGCGACTTTCCATGGCACATACCCTATCACAATCGGCTCGGGCACCGTAATCCATCCACGCGCAAAACTCTACTCCTTCGAAGGGCCCATACAGATCGGCGATGGATGCATAATTGGCGAGAAGACCATAATCGGTGATAATGATCCAAACGCCAGCTCACCTACAGATGGTCGTGATGGAATACTTACGCGTATATCGTCGTCGGTGGTCATAGGMCCCCAAGCCACAATTCGCACAGGAGCATACATCCGTTCCGCGGCCGTGGTCGATTCGTTGGCCGTCATAAACCGCAACGTGACCATCGGCTCACACACCAAAATCTGCTCGTCCTGCGAAATTGCCGAGGAGGCCACAGTTGAAGATTGGGTTGTTATCTGGGCTGCTGGAACGGGGATTGGGCAACGCAAGCGCAGACGGTTTATAGGCCCTGCTGCTGAAGAGCAGGGTCATTCGCATCGGCCGAATGCGAAGAGAATTGAAGATGCGAGATTGTTGGTTCTGCATAAGGAGAGAGAAGGGCTGGCGAAGATGATTAGTTTGTCTGCTACTGGGGGAACTAAGAGGAGATAATACCAACTGTATAGATATGGTCAGTTTTACGACTTACGATTTCGATTTTTATATACCCAGACTTAGCTACAATTGAGTTCGCGTTGCAATGACTTGTTGTACAGTTAGGCAGGGACGTAGGTATGTTGGAAACTTGTGCAAATCACCGCCAACACAAGGCAACTTCATACAATACATTTCCTCTTCCTTCAGTCTCCTCAATTCTAAGTACATCCGAAAACGAAATCCATGCCCCCAAACACCACCCACGATCCTTGTGTAGATAACAACAAATTGGTCATTATTACAAAGTGCACCAAGTGCATTATATAGTTTTTGTAGACAAAGGAAATGTTGACCCAGCAATATGTTTTTCTTTCGTTCTTCACGATCCCCGATTGTGTCCTCCACCTCTAATTCTCTTTCCTGCACCGGCATCACCAGTGACCGTATCGCCGCCATCTTCGCGGGGACGTTTGTTACCCTGAGGTATGAATTGACGCGCCCCAGCATTCAAGGCGCCTCTGTTCCCACCAGGACTATCCTGAGTCTGGCCGGCGGCTTGAGGTACATTGGTCTGAACATGCTGTTGACCACCACGACCACGGCCCCGTCCTCGTTGCATACCAGTGCCACGCTGGGCTTGGGCCTGACCTTGCTGTGGTTGTTGCTCCGTTTGTTGATGACCGGCAGCTCCTCCGCGTCCTCCACCCCGTCCTCGCGCAATTGGGAGTCCAGACTGGAGAGCCCTCAGTGCAGCGGGACCAGGCCCGGTATGATTGCCAACAGCACCAGCTGGTGGCTTGGGAGGGATGGAAGCCTGTTGGTTGGGCTGAGACGCCTGGGTCTGTCCATCTTGCTTGATGACTGCGAAAGGGCTTGACACATTCTGTGGTTGAGCTGCCTGAGCTGGCTGGGCCTGAAGAGCTTGTTGGCCTTGAATTGCTGCAAAGGGATTCGCTGCCTGTTGTTGAGCTGGAGGCTGTGCAGCCGTAGGAGCAGCAGCAGGGGCAGAGACTGGAGCCGGACCCGAAGCTGCAGCTGGCGTAGCCGCCGCCGCCGCCGGGGCAACGTTGTTAGTGGCAGCAGGCGTCGAAATAGGTGCTTGAGCTGGTGCTGTAGCAGCAGGCTTTGCAGGAGTTGCAGGAGCAGCAGGTGGCGCTTTGGCGTCTTTCGCAATCTCCCAAACCTCGCGAACCGGCTTCTCTGGCGTTTCGGTAGCAGCTTTCTGCACGATCTGGATTTTGGCCATAGCTGTCTTTGAGCGCGACTCGAGCATACTGATCTTGACGGCGATTTTCTTGTCATTCAACTCGATAGCTGACTTAACCTTCTCCTCAATAGCCTCGTCTGACGCCTTCTTGAGACGCTCTCGTTCCTCTGCAAGTTTAATCTCAAGCTCAGCTGTAGCTTCCGGACTAGGACCAGCAGCCGCGGCCTGGGCTCGAGCCTCCTGCTGTAGTTGAGCCTTGACCTTATTGACCTGGTTTTGGATGTTGCGCTTAATAATATCTTTGATGGTCTCGTTCTTAGCCACAAGATCCTTGGCCTGGCTGTCTGTAAGTTCAGGCAATTCACCGGTATCGCCCTTTGCAGGAGTACCAGGTATGGTGAGTTCAGCAGGTTGACCAGCTTCAGTAGGCGCCTGTTGTTGTGCTTTGGCATTTTCCAATTCTTGCTGGTGGTTTTTGCGAAGCTCTACCAGTTTGCTGTTGAACAATTCTTTCATCTTGTCAGACCGTTCCTTGAGTCGAGTGTCAAATTGGGCCTCCTTTTCGGCCAAAGCAGCCTCCAGACGAGCAACCTTTTCTTCCAGGGCCTTGATCTTCTCCTCATCTCCTCCCGGAGTAGTTGGAGGTACAACCTGTGGCACGGCTGGTGTGACAGCAGCGGACTCAACTTCCATTGGCGTAGTCTGTTGTTCAACTGGCTTAGACTTGAGTTGATTGAGTTCTTCCTGAGCTTTGGTGAGTTCCTGTTGAATAATTTCCTTTTCTTGTTGAACCACATTCAACTCCGATTGTTTGGCACTGATACGACCACTGAGTTCCTTTGACCGCTTTACAAATTGTTCAGTCAATTTGCCACGCAGCTCTGCCTTGCTGTCCTCCGCAGTTTTCGCAAGCTGCTCTGGGAAGCCGTCCACTTGTTGCTGCAAGGAATCACGTGCCGCGATAGCCTCATCGCGCTCCTTTTCCAAGGTCGAAAGTGTCTCTTTGAGGTTCTCCATTTCTGTAGGATCAACGCGGTCATACTTTTGCAAGATGTTTTCTGTGCGTTGTTGCCAGCGATCGCGATCGGTATGAATCAGTTTCATCTCCTCATCCTTAGTTTCGACAAGGTTTTCTAGCTCTCGAATTTTGTCCTGAAGAGGTTCGATCTGTTGAACAAGTTCATCAACACGCGCAGATTTCTCCGCGAGAGCTGCCTCAGCTTGTCTAGCCTGGTTGCGTAATGTAACACTGCTCTCCCGGAAGACATTGAGTTCATTCAAAGTCTCAACAAGCTTGTTATGGCTGAGGTTTTGATGATCATTGTCAGCCGTAGCACGACGTTGCTGCTCTAATTTGAGCCGTGTGTCGTCCAGTTGAGATTGAGTGTAATCCAGTTGTTGACGCAGGCGCTTGCTTTCTTGAGTAGACAAGTGATATTGGACATCAACAATTTCCTTTTCTCTTCGTAGATATTTGATAACCTCTTGAAGTGACTCAAGACTAGAATTCGTGCCCTCGGCTTCTTCCTCCTCTGCAACAATATTCGCGCGGTCTCTTTGCAGAGCTGTGATCTGTTTCGTGATGTTCTCTAGTTGATTGTGTAGAAGAGTGTTCTGGTGTAGCACCTCTTCTCGGCGTTTCTGCAGATCCGAAATTTCCCTTTCGAAACGATCCTTCTGTTCACCCCAGCTCTCTTCTTTCTGTATCAAGTCTTTCTTGGCGTTCTCGGCTTGAGTTTTGACCTCGACTATTTCAAGGCGCAATTGATTCGCTTCGGAGCGGACAGTTTGCAAGAGTTTGGCAGCTTCGGCGTGCTTCACAAGTTCGCTCTCATAATTCTGCTGAGCTTGTTGGGCGATCTCGGCTTGTGCCTGGACACTCTGTTCATACGTCCTTGCATTTTCACGTTGCCGTTCAGCCTCATCCTTAAGTCGTGAGATTTCAGCCTCATAGGTGGTCTTTTGTTCCTCCACTCGTCGCGAAACCTCGCTTTGTTCATCGCGCAACTTGGAAAGTTCGTTGTTAGTTGTCGTAAGCTCAGATGAAATTTCCTCAACGCGCTTCTCAAGCTCTTGAATCTTCTTGTCCTTCTCCTCCACAAGTCGTTCGGTCTCTTCTTGGTACTGTTCTTGCGTTTCTGTTACCGATTGTAGGCGCTCTTCCGTGGCTTGACTGATTGCTTTGTAATCCTCTACTTGCTCCCTTGCGTGTTCCAAATCCGTTCTAGCCAGCTCAAGGTCACGCTTCAACTCTGAAACTTCAATTGCCAACTCTTGTTCTCGTGTGAGGCCGCTGGTAGGAGCCTGTTCCGTGTCTGCTGTAGCTGCGGTAGGAGCAGGGGCAGTACCGGGCTTGGTTTGCAATACTTGAAGTTTTTCTTCAGCGCTCTTGAGCTCGACGCTGAGTTCGTCAACCTTAGACTGGAGATGGTCGCGTGTCGTTTTCACGGCAATCAGCTCCTCACGAACAGAGCTGAGACTGGTGACCAAGTCATCAATACGCTTCTGAGACTGTTCGTGATCGTATTCGCGACGTAAAGCTGCACGCTTCGCATCCTCAACCTCATCGTTTAATTGTCGTTTGGTGGACTGTAGCTCGGTCTCCAAAGATTCAACGTTGTGCTGGAGGCGACGACGGCTTTCGGCATCGGTATGTTCGCGCTCGTTCAGTATGTTTTGAAGGTTGGCGTTCAAAGAATCCAGTCTGCCGCGCTCATTCCTAAGAGACTCGTTGTCGTCGATGAGTCGCTTCTCGATATTCTTCCACAAGTCCTTCTCTGCCTTGAGGTTAGCATTCTCGCGTTGCAGGCTATCGCACATTCCTTTCGCAGCAACTAGATCCTCGGCAGCTTGTTGTGTCTTGATGTCTTGACGATTGACATTTTCAAGCAAGTTCGAATAACGTTTCTGGATCTCCACATTCTCATTCTTGAGCAGATTGAAGTTGTTCTGCAGTAACTCGGCTCGTTGTGCTGCTGCGCCCAATTGACTATTCAACCGGCTAGCTTCATTCATTAGTTCACTATTCTTGCGAGACAAATCGTTAACTTGTTGCTTAAGTGCAGAGTGATCGGTTGCTGTCTCTTGACGGAAGGTATCAAAATGAGCTTGTACTTTGCGAAGCAAGTCTGCATAGTCGGTACCGTCGGCGGCTTGCTGTTGTATTGTCGGAGGTGCTGAACCAAGAGGCACCGACTGCGAGAAGATGGAAGTGTCCCCACCGGCTTGACCTCTACGCATGAGCATACTGCGGAATGTATCCCGCTCCTTGACATAGCTCTTAGTCTGCGCTGTGAGGTTCATAATCTCATCTCGGTAAGTTTGTACACGAATGCGTAATTCTTTCAACTCCTCTTGATCTTGTTGGTAAGCTGATTCTCTGTCTCGGGCTTCTTGACTCTCCATTCGATCGCCCAGCTCCCGAAGCATGCGGCGCAGTGTGACATTCTGTTCTTGTAGCTCAGAAAGGTCCTTGAACGTAGTCAGGTTCTGCGTAATGAAGCGGCCAGTAGCATTTAAAGAAACCATAGATTCTTCAATCTCATTACGAGCAAGCTTTTCTAGCTCATCCCGATCATATTCCAGGTCTTCTTTAGAGAGGGCAACTTCAAGGACCAATACCTTAACCTGGGCGCTGAGATCACGAAGTTGCTGTCGAAGAATTTCTGTCTCTCTTTCATAGCCCTCAACTTGGCCTCGCCATTTCCTTGCCTCGCGAGTTGCTTCATCACGTTCCTTGCCAGAAGTCTCAAGAACCTCTGACATTTCCACAACCGCATTCTCCAGCCTTGCATGATCCGCACGTAATTCGTCAATTTCGGGCTTGCTAGACTCTAGATCCTGAACCATTTCATCGAGTGTAGCTTTCAGCTCGGCATTGTTGCGTTGCTCAGCTACAAGCTGGCTTCTGACCCGATCATATTCGGTGTATAATTGCGTCAAAGTCAAACCACCACGACCTCTGGATGTACGTGGAGAGAATGCGCCCACGGGAGTCGATGCACGAATTGGCGTTGACGGACCTCCGTTCATAGGACCGGGGCTAAATGGTGCTTGCGTTTCTACTTGGCTCATCTTGGCTTCAAGCTCGGCAACCTTACGTTCGGCAGCCTCCTTGTCCGAGTGTTCGGTTTCAATCTCGGCGCGAAGTCTCGCAATTTCCTCAGCAGCATCATCACGTGCCTTCTCCAGCGCAATCTGGCACTCTTGTACACGTTGTTTAGCGGTTGCTGCTGCGTTACCCTGCAGCTCGGCCAAGCGGTTCGCGCTGTCAAGCTCAATCCGAAGCGACTCAGAAGTGGACGTAGCCTCCTCCCTAAGCGACTGCATAGCAGCAATTGATTCCTCGTATTTGTGCTCCACATCATCCAACCGACTTTTCAAGGCATTTTCGCTGCGTCGAAGTTGATCAATCGTCGAGCTAGCTTCTTCGATTTCTCGTTGAAGCTCCGCGACTCTGGCGTTCTTCTCTTTGCGGAACTTAAGGTATTCGGCGGATTTTGCTTTGAGCTCGGTCTCGAAGTATTCGTTGTTCTTCTTGGTCAACTCGAGTTCTTGCTGAAGACTTTGCTCTCGGAAGCGCGCACTAGTAGAAGCAGAGTTTGCTGATTGAAGATTTTGTTCGGCAGTGGAGAGTTGGCGTCTCAGTTCCACGGTCTTTTGATGAGTAGTGGTAAGCTCTTCGGACAATTTATCGTAAGCAGTTGTTTTAGACTCAAGGAGAGCCAAGGTATCGCGGTTGGAGCTCTCGAGAGACGATATACGCGATTTCAGACCGTTAACTTCAGACTCATTCGAAGTAGTGGACGACTTGAGGGTCGTGATCTCGGATTCGAGGGTCGATCTAGCATTTTCTGTAACTAATTAGACAGACCTCACAAAACCTTTGTTGTGCATAACTAACCAGACTCCTGGAGGCGAGTGCGCAGGGTAGCCATTTCGTTCAATCCCTTTTCAACAGAACTCTTCAGAACCTTGACCTTCGACTCGCTAGCGCGGACGGCATTCTCCAATTCGACCTCAAGGCGAAGCTTGTCTGATTTGAGATCATCGAATTCGCGAGCCTTGACTGTGATACTCTCCAACAACTGATTCACAAGGTCGACCGTCGGTGCCTGCAAAAGTGTTGTTAAGGTAGCCTCCGCGATGCCGTAATGCGAAGCGAGAAATGGAATCTCGATGGTGGCAGAAGCCATGTTGAGTTTTCTATAGCCTCAACAGGCTTCTAACTGTGGCTGAGTAGATGCGATCGTAATTCGGTCGGTGTTATGTTTTGAAATATAGGCTTTATGGAGTTGATCGAGCAAAGTGAGCGACACAAGACTCGAGCGCGTATGTGCAGTGTTTGTTGTTGGCACACAGCGCGCAATGAGCTACTTAATGCATATCAAGCATTGAATACAATGTAGATAATGTAGCAAATGGCAGATAAGAAAGAAAAGAAAGAAAAGAGAGTATGTTGCCTGGCCCTCGACAAAGCGATACGCCGTGGTTGACTTCGAGAAGGAAAGAAGAGAAGCTGCGTTCAGTCGCGGAGAGCTTGCTTAGCTCGGGACAAACTCGGTCACGTGACGCCGCTGCCTTGTAATGCAGGCGACTCAAAGTTCACCTTCTAGTCAAATTCATCTCCAGCATCTGCTTCTCTTTGTACATATCTCTTGCTGGGCATGAAATACTTTACTCTTCATTGCTCTGCTTAGTGAGATATCTATCTGGAATTCAACACCAGTCGCTCAACCCTTTTTTTCTCCTTTCCAACCCCGGAGAATTACCCGTCACTCTTTTACCTTGTTCGCGAGCATCAACAGTTCATCATGTCTTATCTCCAGCAGCAGATCAACAGCTTCAACTCTAGCGTCGTCTCATCTGCCGGACGCCTACCGCAACAGAAGCGCATCATCGGCAGCGGCCAACCTGTTTCATCCACTTCTTCTCAGCCTACTTCCACCCCAGGTACTCCCGGTCCAGCGCGCCGCCATGAACCCGCAAATGTCGTCTACTCGCAACCTGCCGACACCGGTACAGGCAAGGATATTATGACCAACGTTCTTTATGCGATTCAGAAAATGAAGGAGAAGAACGCACCATTGACTTTTGAAGACATCGTCGGGTACCTATCTCTTCAAGAGCGACGGCATGATCAAGGCTACGTCCACGCGCTACGAAGCATCCTTCAAGTCCATGAAAAAGTGAATTATGATCCCTCAGGAGCTGCTGGAAAAGGTACATTCAGTTTCCGACCTCCTCACAATATCCGCTCGGAGGAACAGTTGTTGCAAAAACTCCAATCGCAGACGACCATGACGGGTATATTAGTCAAAGACCTGAAAGAGGGCTGGCCTGGTGTTGAGCAAGCCATCGATAAACTCGAGCAGGAGGGCAAGTTGCTGGTGACACGAAACAAAAAAGACAACCACCCGAAAATGGTGTGGGCAAATGACCCGTCGCTGATGCATAAATTTGACGATGAGTTTCGGCAAATCTGGGAAAAGACCAAGGTGCCAGACCAGCAGCAAGTTATTGAAGATTTGGAAAAGGCTGGCATGATCCCTACAAATAAGAATAAGGTAGTGAAGCCTCGGCCCAAGATCGAACAAAAGAAGACCAAGAAACCACGACGAACCGGCAAGACGACGAATACTCACATGATGGGTATCCTCCGAGACTATTCGCATCTGAAGCGATAAAAGTTCCCTTGCTGTATTATTTCGGATTTCAACTAAGCATTGCATTGGCGTATAGTTTATCATCTAAACGACATTTATTTCAGGCGGCCTCTATGGGATTTACAATAGTTACATGTATTATTATTTACCTACCAGACCCTTGGTGAGGGTTTGAAATCGATACCCTAGAATGAAAAATATAGATTGTAGATCACGGCGCAATATAGTCAGTTTTTCTCAGCTCGGTTCTAGCCTCTATTTCCAGAGAATGAGAAATCATAGATACATGTAGCTATTATACACGATGTAAAATCATCATTGCTTTTTTGTGTCCAAACAACGATAGCCTCCCAGAATCAAGCTTTGCCATTAACAAAATCAAATCTTCCATGCGGATCCACCTTCTCAAGATACGCAACCATATCCTCAATCGTGGTCACCTTGATGCCAAACCTCCTTCCAAATTTGAGACATGCATCCCTCCTCATCATACCATTGTTCCCTCTAACTTCCGCGACACCATCAACAACCTCCCCTTCCTCAACCAGCTCGCCAATTACACCTGCCAGACTCCGCCCCGCCAATCGACACAGATCAATCGCAGCCTCTGTATGACCCTTTCTCTCCCTTACACCACCTTCTCTTGCTCTAAGCGGGAGGATATGACCCGGCCGCCTGAAATTCTCCGCCTTAATATTCGGATCCGCAAGTTGTCTACACGTCAACGCGCGATCATACGCAGATATACCGGTTGTGACAGACGCATCATTGGAATCAATCGATATCGTATACGCAGTAATCAGCGGATCGGCATTGTTAATCACCATCTGCGGAAGGAGGAGTTTGTCGGCATGTGAGGGTAAGATGGGCGCACAGACGTAGCCACTCGAGTAGCGGACGAGAAAGGCCATTTGCGATTCTGTGACAGCGTCGGCGGCGATGATGAGGTCGCCTTCATTTTCGCGGTCAGTGGAATCGAGGACGATTACGAACTGGCCGTTTCCTGTGAGAGAAGTGGTTAGAGTCTTGCGTACAAGTAAAGGGATCGTCTGACTAACTGAAAGCTGCGACCGCATCCTCGACGGGATCGAAGGTGAGATTATCCTCTGTGAATGAGGGCATGATGGATATAATAGATGTATAGTTGTTCCACGGGCTCCGGATATGTCTTTGCTTGCGAATCTTCAAGTATTTGTTAATGTATCGTCTCTGGTGAATGTTGAGAAGTGATCGTTTTGAATATATTGCCGCGGGTGTACGATACAAACTTCCGATAAATCCAGGATTCGTTATACCGTACTCTGTCTTCCGAATCAAGCAGCGACAGTGTATAAAATCTGCTGATTGTACCACAATTGACGTGCGACAATCGTTCTCAATATCAGGCGAAGCTCAGATTGCGAAAGCTTCCACTTGCATGCGGGGTACACCGGACCAGAAATACAGCGACGACAGCGACTGATTTAATCTTATTAATTAATTCGTGAGGAATCCGCCCAGTCCCAGAATGAAAAGTATAAATCTAAAGGATTGCAAATCACGCGAGTCTTGCTAGAAGTCAGAGGGAGATGAATAATCGATTACCAATTGGAGAGGCCGTTGAGTCAGACCAGACTGTCGGAGTAAATCTAGTGGGGCTGCTCTGGCTATCGGTGTTCCGGGTTCTTCGGGCCGTGATTGTGTCTGTCGGATATACACTGTTTTCTCTGAATGTCTTGAGCCGAGGCTTATCTTTCTTGTCTATATACTTGATAAAAAGTCTTTCATTGTCATGTATCATGGTCTCGTCAATTAGATATATGCACTCTTAGCGCAACACTATGTAGAAGTATTTGCAAGTATATCCTCAATCATGTCATCCCCAAACGCCCCATCCATCTCACCTCATCCGCCTGTCTCTCAAGTGCCCGCCGTATACGCTGGGCGTATTCCTGTTCGCGACGCTTCTCAAGCTCCTTCGACTGGCGGCGGGCTTGTTTTTCCGTAATATCTGCTTCCTCGCCGTCGAGAGACATCCAATCATTCATCTCATCATCGGTACCTTCATCGGAATCATTCGAAAATCGTAAACGTCCTATACGATCCCCCGACCATAGTAGAAGCTCGTCGCCATTGAGATTGGCATCTGTAGGAAGTATTTTCCGAACCACATCGTTCCTCATACTCGTATCCGAAGTGAAGAATAGCCCTCGAACCTGATCCGATTCGTCGACGTCTCCTGGAGACGCTATTCTAGACTGTCGTCTGCTTGTATTGATGTTCCAATGTCGGACTTGTGTCTGTCCGTCCCGTTCCACCCACTTGACATTGCCATTTGAGTCTGAAAATACTATGCGTGCGCCGTGCGATGCGACAGATAATAGTTTAGAGCTTGCTGCGCTTTGTCGGTTTTGATATCGCGCCGACTGCATGTGTGACTCGCTGTCTTCATGTTGAGGATCAGATCCGTGAAAATTCAGATCGTATAGCTCCAAGGAACCCCTTCCGTTATATTCACCACATGCCACTATCGTATGCTTCCCTTGCCAGTTGGAGTTTGACACAGGAAAGATTGGAGCTGGCACTGATGCTAGTGCAGCTAACCGACCTCCAGAGTGAATGGCAGTTTGTAACCTGGGAAAAGTGCGCCGGTCGTAACAGAGAATACTAGGAAATCTTCCTGCCAGAAGGATGGTATTAACATGCGGAGTCGGAGGATGTAATATCGACAAAGGCCCAGGTTGAAACAACGGCGCATAATCCGCACCTTTCTGATGCGGACCAGGGCTTCGAATGCGTTGAGGTGGTTGTCCGTTTGGCTGTAGCTGTAGGACCTGACAATCGGGATGGCTATAAAGATTAGATTTTGGTATATATTGGCCTGGCATCCTTTCACATCGAAGACTAATCTCTGCTTCTTCTTCCGGCGAGGATAAGCGAGCATCGTAGATCTGGAGGCTCAATGTCGTAGCTAGTGTAAGCGGGACAGAATAATCTGTTTCCTGCGATAACGCGAATATTGACCACGCATATCTTTGTTGATGCACGACGTGTAAAGTCTCCAAGTCCACTTCGTTCAGAATATTCCCCACCGCAATATATGCTCGCCTCCGCATTGAGTCTACACTCACGCACTCGCCCACATTTAGAAATTCCAACGGAGGACTGCGAGGAGGCGTCTTGTCGCTTCGCTTGGACATATCTGTCATCAAAACACCTGGGCGGCTCATGCCGGTAATTTTCCCTTTCAGCGAGTTCGCAGAATTCGAATGGGAATAATTCATGTCCCATACGCAAATGGTCCCGTCATCCAGCGGAGCGATGACCCGATCCTCTCGCGCAAAGCTCCAATCTCTAAGTAGACCCATGCCCATTGCATCCCTCAACATACGATTAGGACCACCAGTGACAGGTCTCTGTGTCCAACTGAAAGAAATAGGCCCGTTTCGAGCTATATATTCCGAATACCAGTCCACGTCTTCCGTTTCATATGAAGGATCCCACTCGGCAGCAGCTCGGCTTCTTTGCCCGATGGACGGCAGAGCGTAGTCATGGCTATTATTCACCCCGGAAATATTCTGTGGATGCGGCTGTATCAAAGTACGAAGCGTACGGGGTCCCAGTGTACTCAATGGCGTTATCGACGACAGCGGCCGGGCGCCGGAGATATGGGCTGGTGTGAACCCATTGCCGTTCGCTTTGCCTGAGCTCTCATAGCAGTGCAGTCTCCACAGAAGATTGTCTCGCGATAACTCGAAGAATTTACGTGACACAAGTTGCAGTTTGACCTGCTCCCTAGGGTTGAGATCTATGTTGCCGACGCTTTGATCAGTATGGTAATACAGTGTTTTGGTTTCGGCTGAAAGTGAACTATCATTTGAACGAGAGGATAAAGGTTTCAAGACTCACAGTCGATGATCTTCGTTAGGATCTCTACCGGAAGTTTGTCCATGAGGCAGCAGGGAGACAAGCGGCATGAGGGGCTTCCGATATATAGCGAGCTCTCTAATTGAAGGGAGATGGTAGTGTTGTTGTAGATCGATCGTCTCCACGCTTAGAAATGGAATCCCCGCGGCGGCCTTACTGCCTCAGGCACCAAGAGCCACTGTCGTCAGATACAACGCTAGTGCTGTTAAAGGCTAGACTGTTAGCGCCAGCGCTAGCCTTATTGGGAAGAGTGATATATTAGGGCTAGGGTTGAAGACATTCATCATGTTTTACTTCGACAATGAAGCATTGATTGATATATCGGTTCTGTGAATAAGCGAGGAGATTTCTATTTAGGTCTTATTTGGCCGAAATGTAGTCTGGGTCCACCTATATATGCTATGTATAGAGTACTGTTGGTTGGTTCAGGTACAGCTGTACGAACGGACCAATCAACGATGCGTATTCTGCTAGTATACCGTCTATATGTCAGCCCTAGAATAACATCAAAACAGCAGGAAGAAATCTCACATATAAAGTATCTACTTTCCCTGTAGAAACAAAGAAGATTTCCTTATTCAAAAACTTTACAAACATCCCATTTGTACTGGATTGATACTGAAGAGTACATTGCAATCATGGATGCATTTACTGTCGTCATCTGCCATGGCTCTTATCACACTCCAATTCCTTACAAGCCCTTCATGACTGCTCTCCAGAAGCAACGAATAGAGGCTTACTGTCCTCAGCTTCCCACCGCTGATCTCATAAAATTGAACGTTAGCCCATCCCCGAATGGGTCCCCGGATTTTGATAGCCCACCACCGGCAACTGGCTATCCCCAGCCTGCAGACGATGCAATTGTGATCAACGAACTCCTCGAAAAACTCATTGAAAAGCAAGGAAAGAACGTTCTCTTATTTGGTCACTCCTCCGGTGGCTTCTTGGCTACATACGTGGCCCGGCGAAAGTATCAAAAGAAAGCTCGCAAGGAGAACAACCTTGAAGGGGGTATCATCGGCATTTTCTATGCTTGTGCATTCCTGGTCCCCGTCGGCGAGTCTTGTCATTCTTTTTTCCAACCTAAGGATGGATCGGAGGGTGTTGTACCGCCGTTTTGTCGCTTTCATGTACGTTTGTATCTTACACCGTTATGGCTATTATAGCACCGTACTAATCTACTCCGATAAATAGGGAAATGGATTTGAAGGCATCGCATCCACTGTTGATGCTGCTAAATACTTCTTCAACGGATTACCCGAAGACGAGGCGAAGTATTACGAGTCCACAATGACAGCTAGCCCGGTCCTAAGGACGGTGTTAGATCATGATGCCTACAGAGAGTTGCCCTGTGCTGCTCTAATCTGTGAAAACGATCTAGCTTTGCCCCATGCGTACCAGGAAATGATGGTTGCAATGCAAACAGAAAGAGAAGAGACACACTTTACAGTGTATAAGTGCGATGCAGGGCATTCGCCACATTTGACCTGGACAGATAGGCTCGTTGAATGTGTACAGGAATGGGCAGTTTCTATTATGTAAACAGAAGGCTGAGTAGGCAGGAAAGTTGCTTTACTTGATAAGTGATATTAACTCAGAAATTGTGTATACATGTATATGTTTCCTTGCAATGGTTAGAAAGCAATTAAATAATGAGAAACTGTTATCTGGTTTCTCCTAGAGGAACAAATTATGTCGCAGTGTTTCACTTCAATTAGAACATCACATATCTACTCATCCACAAGCTTGACTTGCGGATCAGCCTCAATCCAAATATCTTTCTCGATCTGTCTCCTCACACCTTCCTCGTCCAAAAATCCAACTTGTGCCCAAAGACAGATGAGATCCGTTCCAACGATTTATTCGCAGTTTTAGGCACAAAGACAAACGAAAATGTACCAGCTGCAAGACAAAACAGGCCAAAGAGAAGGAAAGTTCMCCAGCCGATGGAGATGACTATCTGCGGCACGACTACTCCAATGATGAAATTGGTGATGCAGATTGTCGCAGTTGCGATCCCAACGTCCTATGCACGTCTAGAGCTAGGGAATATTTCTGCGGGCAGGGCCCAGGCAAGGGGGGTCTTAGTAGAAAGATTAGAGGCGTGTATTTAGAATAGAACTCGTGTTATTATTTGCGGGGTGTGGGGATAAATTTAATGTCGGGTTGAGGAAGACTAGGGTTGGCTTATTGCTCATTGTTTACATGAAACTATAGTCTCGAGTCAGGTCTCCATCTGTGATCAGGGCCTCAATAACCAGTAGGAAACAAGGAATGGTACTCTTACTATGTAAGTATAACGCATAAGGCCAAGCTTGTCCTCGAATGTACTACGTGTATTCTGCGGATATGTAAACATCACTGGGCTTACAGTTTTGAACATCGACATTCATACATGTAACATCAATCACCTATCACTACTTCTTGAAAACCCTAGGCAGTTACAGAGTCTTCTCAGAGCTATCTTCATACAAGTTGGAATATAACATAATCGTGAAGGAAACAACATTGAACTGAAACATAGTATCAAATGTTTAATATGACCTTATACTACTAGACTTGGCCACCCGACAACATACCATATTGGCAACTACCGGATAATTTATTCGTACACTAGAGAGATGAAATGCTAATGTCTCAATTGTGCCGTATCTCGCATTCCATACAAAGACGTCGAACTCATGGTTTCATGGACAAAGGGATAGTCAAGGCCACGCGTAAACTATAGACAAAAGAGCCACAAATGAAAAGATATTGCTCGAAAAGATCGGAGCGAGCTACCAAAGTATTAAAATTCGTGATTCGAGTACTAGCTTGGTTGGAGAGTGTATAAGATTGAAATCAGAAAACGATGAAGTATAGTCCTGACTCCTGCAGAAGGTGATGTTCAATATACCTGCAAACAATGCGTTTCAATATCCCGCCAAGTTGAATCGTGTATCGCTACTGCAATTTTTTCGTGATGCAATATCCCAATTAATATTGCCGGGCAATTCAGAGGATGGGTATATATAAGTATTTTGCCAAATCATCATTCTATACAGACAGACACAGCGACCTTCAACTCTCAATCGACAAAAGATTCCTCCCAACCTTATCTAACTACACAAGCACCTTGAAAATCGACTGTCCTTGGAACATATGTTTCAAAATGTCAGCTATCGACCCATATTTGCTTCAATTCGACTGGCGACCAGTTTCCCGAATCCGGGTTGTAGTCAATGATGTGGGAAACGACTTCCACTGGACCTTGTGCTTGGTATTCCCCGACAATATCCACTGTATCTATGTAGTTCCTAACTCGGAATGTGGTCGCTCGAGCGGAACTCCTATGACGCCTCTCGAGCGTTGGAATTTCCCAGCCGCCCCTGGACTCCGAGTGCATCACGTTGCACAAGTTGTCCGTAACCGTACCTGGCGACCGCATGAAGAGCTTGATAGACGCTTTGGCTCTTGGTTTTGGGTGTGAGTATCGACCTTTACCGTTACCTATCGTTTCTGGCTGACTTTTCAATCTAGGTATGGGATTTTGCGCGACCTGAACGAACAAAACCTCATTTCATATCGGGCTTGCTTGGCGATACGGCCTTATGCACGGTATCAGTATCGCAATTTCCGGCGGCGTGGACGCTTGAACCGAGTCCTCGCTTGATCGCTTGATTCTTGACATGCATTGCACAATGGAATATCGAAAACTCATTCTCGGTTCGGCTTCTTCATGTAAATTTTCGATACGTCTACTTGGACTGAGTCCTATGAACTACTGTCACATAATCCAGCAAATCTAGTGATTAGAATAGTTTCGGCCATCCCTTTGTACTAGCATACCTGCGGCCAGATCAAGCTAGTCTCTTGCTGAAAACATGAGAATATCACGCTCTTTCATATTCCTTCGCGCGGATGAAGTAATCAGTTAGCAAAGAGTTTCTTATTTCGTGAATCCATGACTTTCATGTCTGATACCGATCCGAAACCCTGCACCTGTTACTATAATCGTGCGAAGTTATTACCATAGCTATATCGACCTCCCATCAATGAAGTCCTTGAATCAAGTGGCAAGAAGCGCTCCTGAGCATAAGAGTTAGATGAACTGTCTTCCTTCCTCTTCAAGATAATCAAGATAATATTTAGTGCAGTATCTTAAGCTGAGGAGACCTTCTCTTTATGATTCATTACAGCCGGGATATCTTCTAGTGATTTTATAGTAGATCACTGTACAAGAGCAAAATCGCAGTTCACTACTGCCTTCCCAAAGGACTACTCGAAAGGAGGTCAAGTCGTAGCACTATTTCGATCTCGGCTTCCCAGTCCAGTATCACATCTCCATTCACTTGAGATAACTGTCTTAGGCACCTCCTTTTCGTCGTCGAATCCACCGAATCTCGAGATTGTTCTCATGGGGTATTTCCCGACAGACAATATGGGATGCAGCTTATTCTGACCATGTATAATGACGCTCTCGCCAACCAACTTTATGTCTTCAATTCTTATTTTCGAAATGAAGCTGACATAGATGTGGAGCCTTGAATCTCCCGGGGCGGCTCAGGAAAACTGTGCAATGACAGTCGTCCTTTATCTTGTCCCTAGTAGTGATCATTGTCATGGTGTGGAACGTTCCCCTTGTACGACCGTTGCATCAGTAACTTATATCAGATATTGGTACTCCTAATTAGTCCTTACAGTATCTTAACATCAGTATCTCCAGGTCTTTTGATGCTGTCGAAAGCTTTCTGCTCCGTGCCGATCTTCAACATGGGCTTGTCCACCTTAAGGAGCGTAGAATAATTTGGCAGGTAGGTGATTGCGTCAGCGGTCCATCGGATGTGGATGTTGTCGATGACCCCTTCATAGGTGTCAGTGGGACGAGAATGGAGATGGACATGAGAAGCCATCCCAAGATAATCAAACGAAAATTTCATAGAGGCAAGTTATGTTCGGTGAATATTCGATAGCTTGGACCGAAGATGTAGAAGGAGACAAAACTAGAACCTTTTATATCTCGAAATAGCTAGAGACAAGGAGAGACATGAATAGGCTGATTCTTAGCCAGGTTATTGTATCCAAAATTTTATTCATATCCTAATCATCTCAATAGTGGAATGCGGGCAATTCCTATTTTTTAAGAATGGCATCGCTTTGCCCGGCGCAAAATTACTCAGTATGAATGTGTGCCCGGTGCACCATAGTTTGGCCCAGTTGATTTTTTCGACTTCTGTCTAAATAGGCTACGTTAGCATATTGACTTAACAACAATAGATCGCTGTAGTCTCCAATTGACGAGGGGCTAATTAGATACAACAATTGCTAGGTTGAATCGTCGAATCCCATTGTGGCACTTTTCTTTGCCTTTATTTTATATCAATAGCATGCTTGATTTACGAATACGTATCAAAGTCATGTGCGCTGGAAATTGGGGAGAACGCGAACTTCTTGTCCAAGACCAAATCCTGAAAAGTGTACAGGACACCTCCCATCTTGCCACGTATTCTGCGACATTTCTACTTCATGGAAAAAATTGTCACCATAGAGTATTTGTGCTTCACTTGCTAGGTCCATGCCTCGATTCCCTTCGTGTAAAGGAGATTTCATTACATATGTCTGTCGCCCGGCAACTACTAGAGGCCTTGGACAACATCCACAAAGCTGGAATTTTGCATCGCGGTAAGTTGGCTATCTACCTCCTGTCCTTTAAAAAGGCCATTCTTTTTACTCACCATGTCATCATAAATCGATAGATCTCAATGAGAGAAACTGTATGTTGGGGATGGCTCCTCTGCATAATCTCAGTAGTACTTCCAAGTACGAATTATTCGGTCGCCCATTGAGAGAACTTATACCCTTAAACCAGATTTGGAAACAAGGAGGGCTTGTTCGACCCATTGAGACCCCCACGAACCTACGCACAGAGGACATATATCTAGGCGACTTTGGGCTGGCTAAGAAACTCGACGACCCGTTTGCTCAACGCGGTTAGTTATCCCGTACTAGAGAAGTCCATAGTAGTGCATTTCGGTTAATATATGGTACTACATAAAATTACCGTAGAAGGCTGTATATCCATACAATGTATATTGCACAAGCTGAATAGAACCATTTGTGGCTCATCACTCTCAGAAACCTCTTCATACTTACCCTCGAGAAAAGCTCTAAAAGATAGTACACCTTTTCTTCTACACCGCTTAGAGTTCAGCCAGTTAGCCAATGGGTCATAGGTACATAGTTATCTGGTTTGCCACTTACAGAACGTTACAGATTATACAAAATCGATTTTCGGCAGAATAAAAATCGAAATTAAGTGGTGAAATCCGCATTTTGTCCTCTGTGCCATCACTTTTGAACCTCTCTCTGTAGTGTATTTTCTTAATGACTTTACAAAATCTTAAAACTAGTGATACCTTGGAACACGCTGATTGCACTTCTTAAATCAGCTTCATTGCTAGGACATATCTGCGATAGTATAGATGCTTCAACCTTTCGGCTTTCATCTTGAGAAGTTCAATGGTGCATAACACGATATGCACACGGTACGAAAAGAATGTATTCTACGAAATGGAGAATGAAAACACGTTTAGCATCTCTAACCTACCATTGCAACAACCAGACTGGACTTGTGTCGTTCCATCAATTATTCAACATCAACCAGCGTGTAATGACAGTCTCCAGCAATATCAGGCACGGGACTCATCCATGTTCGCTGAGTTGAATGAGAGTAAGTTTTGCCTCTCCCGTTCCTTCCGCGGTGTTTTACTCAAGGCCTAGTGTGACACCGATTCTGAGATATTCTAGACCAAGATTGCCAACCGTTGACGCAATACGAGTTGCAGACCTTTCAGATCCACCGAGGCCTTGACCCCATCGAACGAGTAGACCAAACACAAATAATGAAATGCAACTATTTCTTGCACAACTCCACCAAGTTCCATAGCTCGACGTTGTCGCCACAAGTTTACCAAGCTTTGCAGCTCAGCAACTATGCGCAGCTTGCGAATCCCCATATCCCGGCAGCTTCGGCTCATGACCAACCAAAGCTATGGCAGAGTGACACCGGGATGAACTTTGCAGACTTCACTCTAGAGGTCACAACTGTAGGGAATAACCCAAACCCGGACCTCCAACATCAATATCGATCCACTGTGGACTTCGGCGTTTTTGATGCCGAATCACGGGAGGGAGATCTATCTTTCGATAGCAGTGATCAGTCTCTAACCCCGGCCGTTCCAGCTACTCTAGACAAGTTGGATAATCAACCATCCAGCGAGCTACATTGTTGGGAACACAACTGCAACGGACGTTTATTCTCAACAAGGAGCAACCTGAAACGACATTGCAAAGAACTTTCACGAAGGCGCCCGGTGCACCGTTGTCCATGCTGCAATGCTCATTTTAGTCGGTCGACTGCCCGCGACGTGCATTTCTGGAAACAGAGTTGTACGAGAATCAGGCGTTACTCCAATGGCAGAGAAAGACCGAGACCTTTGCTCTTCAGGAAAGAAGCGACAACCTCGTAAGCGGATAACGATTATAGTACCGAATAACCGTATAGTGATACCATCGAGAAATATATATAGTGAATGGGAGTGGATTTCTTGCTGCTGGTGCGAAAAATGATATGCGAGTTTGCTACAAGCGGTTACCATCTACAGTAGGAGAAGGACAGATCAATTACAGCTGAAAGATTTCCAGAATCGGTAGTTGAGTATCCCTGGAAGGTGAAGGTCAGTCCAGTCTCAACTCTCGGGACATGTCTGTTGCGGTCTCTCTCAATCTGGTTATCTTCATAATATGTAAGCAGCCCTTTTGCATAGATAAAGACGTCAGATTCCAGACTTAAATGAAGAGGCTTTGAATAACCAATTTGACTTTTATAATTCAATTTACTCCATACCTAGTATGATGCTCTTGCTGTATTCATAATATACAAAGGCGAGATTGGAATTAAACAATGGAATTGGCTATGGGTTGAGGATTCGTGTCCATGCGTCTGGGAATCGCTTCAGTGCCGATAATATCATACTATCTCTACCGGTCTTCACTCCTGCCCTTGATATGGCCGGTCATTGTCATATGGCGGCGCCTTTGTACTCGGTCTCCGAAACTGTGAGAATAACCTGATCCAATTAGATTGGCCACGTGAAGTAAATATTTGATATCAGAGAGTACATGGTATTTCCCGGGCTAGACTGATTTACATATGAAGGATTACAGGATCAGTAGAAATAAAGAGTTAGTGTCCCTAGCATCACAGGCCCAAGCGGATGTAGTATTCCTGGGCTATCTTGCGGCGACGCTAACCAGTTGTCAGCGTTTTAGGGGTTGGAATTCACTTTATCCTTGAGACTTGATATAGCCGGATGCTTAGCGCTGCGGTAGTATATGGCCATAGCATCTCCTGCTCCACAATTCTTCACGTGCAGAATTGAGCTAAGGAAAGTTTTGGTCTTGACACCGACGGTTTCGAGTCTGTATGGAGGTGCAAGAGGTGGTTATGGTGATCTAAGTTTTGCTCATTGTCAACACTATTAGTTTATGGAGATGGTCGATAGCTGCGTCTGCTCTGCACAGGCTGTTAGTTAGTGACCACAGACCGCGTGTAATCCCTAGCGCGTCAGCAAACGCTAAGAATCCTTGCAATGCATTATATCCTGCACCTCTTAAATGCTGCTGGTGTAGGCTGAGCTTTTTTTAAGCCGCGTAAATAATTACTAGGGTTGCATCAATCCAGACTCCCCTCTTTAATACGAGTCAGAAAATAGGGCATACTAGCCCTCCTCTTCTAGCAACCGCCTTCCTAATTCGTTAATTTCCAAAGTAGGAAGTCAATTATCTTCAGCTATTGTATCGTAACATAAGTTGTGCCACTGGCGGAGTATATAATAGAAGGTCTTACTACGCCTACTTTTCGAAAAGATAGTACTGTTAGCACACCTCAGTATATACATAGGCTACCTAGCTCTACCTCTGGTCTACTTTCTAAGGACTACATTATTCTCACCACACTCTACGCGACACTCAAAATGCATTTTTTTAAGGCAGTCCTTGCTGCTGTCTTTGTTACTGGTGCCGCTGCCTTCACTCTACCTGCCAATCTCCAGGACGGCGTATATCGCGCCTACTACGACGAGGACGGGCGCGAGGTTCATGAGCTAGTGCAAGTTGTTCATCCTAGCAATGGCACTCTGCGACGTGGAATAACCGACTCAGAGGAGCCCTCTCTCGCCAAGAGGATACCTAATCCAAATACATACTATTCATGTGGCTGCGGCTTTTCACTGGACCATGGAAACTGCGACAATGCTGTGGTTGGCCTGAAGAACTTTCTGGACCAACATGCAGACCCGAATTTCTCTAGTGGGTGTTATGACCTTTCGCCGTATTCGTCAGCCTACTGTTATGTCAATGATGTGGTTGTGTTTCTTTGTAACGGTGAACAAGATTATGGCGTCTGCAGCAACGATGTAACCAACAGCTTGGCAGCAATCACGAACCATTGTGGCTGGKATATTGCTGGAACTGAGGCAGCTGAAGCCTGGTTTCCAAATCTTGACGGGAGTATCGAGGTCGATCCACCTTATTTTACTGGCTATATGCAGTATGGTCCTGGCTTAAACTTCTGCGCCAATGATTATCTTGCTGGTGACAATGAGCATTGCTGAATGATAGACCTACATGGCTAACGACGTATATTCTGTATCGTGCTTTACCTCAAGGGTTTAGTTTATTGGTGGAGCAAACGTCCTACTGAGCTTAGTTGAGGTCGATATTTTGCAACTGTTATTACTTAGTTTTCTTTGCTTTCTCTTGATTGATTGATTGATTGATTTACTCTTACTCTAGCTAGTTAAAATAAAGCTATGCAGTACCCCTACTATCTACCCTTAAGAAAACCATTAAATAGAAGAAAAAAAACCAGGCTTAATTGTTCTCCTGCTTCGCTTCCTTTCTTTACATTGTATACAAGCGACCTGTATTCTGTTTCTAGCTCGTGTGCGCTGAGAGCTCTAAGTTATCTGCTTTCTGGGGCTTTTCATAAAATATCTTAGACTAGCCTCTTTCAATGTTAGCACTAGCTCTTCAGAAGAGGGGATAATACAGGGTACCCGCCCACTTAAAGTATAGTTTGAACCGTAACTTTTTAAAGTGCAATCGTGTTGGTTACCTCAACTGAAAATTATGTGCAAGATATTAGATTCGGTTATCCCATGATCATCACAGATAAAAGTAAGAGGGGGGTGAGCAAAAATTACTCGCTTGGTGATGGCGAATAATGAAAAGAATCACCGTGTCCGCGATTACGATTGTGGGTCGGTGCGGCTGCCATATTATTTGGCTCCATGCAGACTTCGATAGGCTAAATCTATACTGTTTCTTCATATTTTAAGCCCCACAGCATCTGTAATTCCACCATATTTGCTAGGGATCTGATGCAGATGTTATATGCATAATATATAAAGAGGGAAAGTTTCAAAACCCTTTTAAAAAACTATCAAATGAAAATATTCAGCATAGAGTAATCCGAGGAAGATATATATATTGAGAACCATACTCTATCCTATCCCTCTCTCTTGTAATTGCACGTCAAACATTATTTTAGCCATATACCCCTCTATCCATTCGCCGAAGCCTTTTCCCACCAGGGCCCGGGGATTGGGGGCCACGAGTCGAACCCAAAGCGCTGCTTGTATATAGTGATGGCCAGGGGGCCAGTCCGACAGGTCACTCTTTGGAGCGTACCAGATGGCGGGCCCCTCGGCCACTCAGCCCCCATATTTGAACACTAGCCTGAGCAAAATTGACCAAGCACTTTCATCGCCCATTACACTTTTTTTTGGTGCGCACCCCATGTTGTTGCCTAACATGAGCCAAGCCAGAGGCCAAGAGAGCTCAGGGTCTATCGCATCCCGCACGATGATTGTCGGCTTCGTCCTGAACAATCCCCACAAAAACCGGCGTCTGGGGCATGGGCCTCAGCTTTCAACGGTCATGCTGTCGCGTATTGTACACAACCACCGTCAATGACCCCGTATTGACCAACAACCAGAAACATTTTCTTAAACTCACATATCTTTCTGACTCAAAAAGTCAAAAGGTAGGTTTAGGTGCGAGAAAATGGAAGCACGAACATTCACGGGATGGCCGCCCCAAGAAATCGACCCCAAGGAAAATTACCCGGGGAATTTTTCCCTCATGATAATTTTTCGACGCGCTGCACTTGGAGCAGTCTACGAATTCGCGCCAACCCGACGGGTTGGTCGTTAGTAGTGTTTCATCAGTTCTGAATCGTTCTGCATTGAAATTAACCGGCCAACCAGTTAGGCCAAACAACGAGGACGCTTTTTACCAAATATGACACCATGTTCTTGTTTTGACCAACATGGATCATATTCTAAGTTAGAATAGTCCATGCAACGACTCGATCCACCAAGAACAGCCAGCGTGATGAGGTCGTCACCGAGTTGATGCATGATGGGGTTTGAGCCCTGAATGTTTATACGTTCGTTGTAGCTCAATTCTATCGGTGACAGTCCAGTGACAATCCCAAGACATAAATACTGGTCGGAGATCCCCCCTCACCCCTCCTGCTCTGCGTGATCAGCTCTCGATTTGTAAGATAGTGTCGTTTTCGAAATCCCGACGCTGTCATCCATATTCGGTGCTTCTTACGAGGCCACATAGATAGCATAGATATAACACAGCATCTCCACAGCTCAATCGGCTCCGTGGCCACTGAGGAGGGACAGCGGCAGCTCAGTAGCTAGCTAGACTCCATGGCCAGGGCCACAGAGACACGGGAGCCTCGAGGACATATCCACATGCCCATAGCTTCTCATCGATAACCTGAACGCTCCCGCCTACGGTCTACTGCTCTACGTCGACACCCCCTGGGCCTACCCAGACACGTAGACCTGTCTTTACTGCCGAACAAGGCCTAAAGCCCTCAACCACTATCTCACCACAACGCACAGCCAGCCCAGCCACATGATTACCGCAACTTAGAAATTCTGATCTAAGCCTCTCGCGGTCAAGAGATGGACTTTCTAGAATGTATACCATCTTGAGATGCACTTACCAGGTTTCATAGGCACCTATGATTCATTTATCCCTATGAACGGATTCCTAGGAAGCACGCACTTAATGGACGTGTGATTGCCGATAAAGGTATCGATCGCTACACTCGATTTGAACCAAGGCGGCTCATGAGTGAGCGCGATAAAATATGCCATCATTCCGTGCCCATGAGCCTGTGGGGATGCACTTGGCATACCAAGTGGAGATCCAATGCACGTGCCATTCTTTCGCGGTTATAATAGTAAGGTTTGCCGCTGTTTGGATGGTTGGGTGGTTGGCATCACGGCTTAGCAGTTTCGGACTAGCGTTACTTCTAATAGTGTATATTTTGCACTATTCCTATAGAAGTTAGTGTACTTTCCAGAGCCGTTTTCACGGCCATCAGATAATTGTTTTAACGTAAGACCTGCCTGAGTATCAATGCCCTCAAAAAGTTGCTGATGTAAGTCACTGTTATTTTTCCTTTCATGCACTATGAGTCCTGCATTGACTGCTCAAGCTGGGCTAGGTATCTTTTTCACATCCAGGGTTATGATCATGTCTACACACCATTAGTCAGTGCTTTGGGCCAACTTTCAGCGTACCGATGCATTGGCAAGAGAGAATAAACAGCGTGACCGAACACTGTTGCTTTGAATTCAAATTAGTGAATCCAATAGTGCTTCATCTTCTATCTATTAGAGCCATTGAAGCTATTAGCAAGGCTCACAATCGACAAAAAAATTCAAAGCTCTATAATTATGAACTGCCTCTGAAACACAGTCGAGCAGTATTAGTCGATGTCAACTGCGCGTGTACTGTCTGCTAGTTTTGACTTCAATTTTCCATGGTTGTCAAGTATGCATGAATGAGTGCGTGCTTCTTACATTTTAATATTGAAAGGTAGACATTGTATGTGCAAGCTTGCTGTGCATGTATGTGTAGTATTCATTTGAGAGATCTATTCATGTAAGACGTCAGAGAGGGAATTATTTAAATGCTTTCCACACAAATATAAATGTAATCCCAACTCATTGGTCAGGCCTGTATATTGCATCCTGGCACAAAACAGCCACCTTCTTGAAGAATCGTCTCCATTCCAACGGATCGCCCTTCACTTTTGTAAACTCAACTTCGAAAAGTCCCTCCGAGACGCTCTCCACAATTATATTTCCCTGTAGTAAGCAAAGTCGTTGATCTTTCGTTGCGACGCGAATGACGACGGGTCCTCCTGTCTCGATGCCTGCTATTTGGTTGGGGACAGGCACACCGAGTCGATGCAGGGCTTCACTTAGAAATGGGACGAGTAATTTCAATCCCCAAGTAGAATAGAATCTGTTCAGAGTTCGTGAAGGAATGATATCGTGGAAGTTCTGCGCGTTTTGCGTCCTGCTTAGTGGCACCGTTGGGTTTTGGCTGAATTGGGACATGGCGGGTTCGTCTTCGAGGCGATCGGCGAGTTGGTAATCTTGCGTTGTGGACATGGTGTGGTCCGTGGGTTGGGTCGATGAAAAAGCGTTGACGAGAGGTGTGTCCCAGTCGATTGCCACGTTGCCCATCGGCATTTCGGGTTGTGTGGATGATAATCGTGATTGTAGGTCGTCGCCATTTTCCTGCATGTCTATATCCATAGCCGAAGATGACGGACCATTTTGACGTGATCGCTGAGATTGCGAGTGGGGCGGCGCAAGCGGATCTTGCGAAAAGTCGATATGTAAGGACTCAAACATGCTCGTCGCAAGGTTAAGTTGATCTCGTAGTTTGCCTTCTGAGGAGATATATTTGTTAGGTCGAGTAAACCAGGGATGGCGCCTGACATCTTCCATTGTGAAACGACTCGCAACGTCGACTTTCATCATTCCTCTGAGCAGCGATAAAACTGAGGGTGGTAATCGTTGCCAGAGTTCATCCGTTGTTCGAGCGTTCTTCTCGAGGTATTCGCTGAACTCGAAGCTTTCTTCTGTCGGGCTGTCCCAGGGTGTATTTCCTGCTAGTAGGACGAAAAGAACAACGCCGCAGGACCAAATATCTGCAAAGTCGGCTCGATATCCGCTTCCTTTCGTCTGTCCTCGTGTACTGCACGTTATGACCTCTGGCGCGATGTAGGGCGGACTTCCGCACAGTGTGGTACATGCTTTCATCTTCCCATTATATTCAAAGACCGTCGCGAGACCGAAATCCGCAATCTTCAGATCTCCATTACCAGACAATAGCACATTCTCAGGCTTGATGTCGCGATGTCCCACCCCCTTGGAGTGCATATAACTAACCGCGCTGATAAGCTGCGTAAAATAGAAATGTGCAATATCCTCCCCAACACCGGCATCGGCCTCGATTTTATCGAAAAGATCACCTCCCTCCGCTAACTCCATCGCAATCCACCGCCATGTTGTATCTTCGCCGGTGTGAAAGAAGGATATAATATTTCTATGATCGCCAATGTGTTTGTGGACCGTTACCTCCATTTGAAGCTGTCGCGCAGTAATTTTGCCATGGCGGGAGGCGTATTCTTTGTGGATGAATTTGACGGCAAAGACGGGGTTGTTCTCGGTGAGCGGGCATGCTTTTTTGATGCTATACAGAAAACGTGGCTGAAATTAGTAACGTACTGTTGATGATGAAGCTGAACCGAGGGGTAGATACCAGGCGTAGGCACCTTGGCCTATAGTTTTTGAAACGATGCGAAAGGGGAGCTCTGTTGGCAGCGGGGCCAGCTGAGAGTGCTGCATCACGCGATGAGAGCGAGAATGATAGGCTGCTGGTCGTAAATGAAAGACTGAGGTGAGTGATGTGGTGGTGGTAGAATGTCGCGTCAACAGATCGCGGATTATTGCCGAGTCAACAAGGAGTGGGTCGCGTCGTGTCCCGCTTTCAATTTATCCTCTTTGGGAACAAGATGAGAATAGTCATTTCTGCTTTATTCGAGTGTACTTAAGATAATATTGTGATTGTCTGTTGTCTTTGTTGCTATCGTCACATAGAACTGCAAATACACCTCAACCTAAAGGAAGGTCTTTGGGCAGATCCAGGTCTGCATACGACCATTTACAAATACAAAACGAACACTATCGTTGCGGATGATTCTCTCATATATCATTCGAGGCTTGAACAGTCATTTGGCAATCCCCGGCTTCTCCATGCCGTCATCTTTGTCGATATCGCTCGGTCGCGTGATGAGGATGAGGAATTGAGGACAAGTCATGCGTAGACCGTACTGGACCGAGAGAGGCACGTTGTGTAAAAAGCCTTTCTCTGTTCATTGATCTCGTTACCCTGCTAGCATCCTGCAAGTCACTGTACAGCGCATCTCAGGGACAAAAATTGGAGGAAGGAGAAGAGCGAATAGATTCGCCAAGACAAGAGTTCTGGAAACTGCGCTAATACCAAAACGGACTAGCTGTTGCCGTGGGGAGCGCCGACTGTAAACAATCGCTTCTGTTCTCGTTCTCCTCTTCTCTACTCCTTCTCTACTCCTTCTCGACTTCTTCTCGCTCTCTTGTCTATCTCTGACTGACTCTCTTGGATTAAATCAGCATCAATTTTCGCTCTGCGGACATTCTGTCATCGGCTCAACCACAGTATTACCCTTCTTCCTCTCAGCTGTAACTGGTTCGGCTGTGGGTCAATACCGCATCCGTCACTTCCACTTAGTTACACTGCTACATTCCAGTCCAGACGCATTTCGACAGACAGAACTCTTTAAATCAAGATCTTCTCGTCAATCTAATCTTTACAACATGGACTACGCGATGGAGGACACTCAGAACACTGCGCCTCAAGCCCACGAGGCATCCAAGCTGGGCGCACCTGCTCCTCGAGGTGATACTCAGAGCGTGACCAAGCGGTACGTCGGATCTGCTGTTGCGTAGTATCGCGGTACATCAACTAATCTTACTTGATTTAGTCTGCAATCAGAATTGATGCAACTTATGCTCTCGCCCTCACCCGGAATCTCCGCCTTCCCCAACGCCGACGGTAACCTTCTCTCGTGGACAGCGACCATCGACGGACCAGCAGACACACCGTACGAGAACTTGGTCTTCAAGCTTTCGTTCGCTTTCCCCAATAATTATCCTTATGCCCCGCCGACCGTACTTTTCAAGACTCCAATCTATCACCCCAATGTCGACTTTTCGGGTCGTATCTGTTTGGATATATTGAAAGATCAGTGGAGTGCGGTGTATAATGTGCAGAATGTGCTTCTCAGTCTGCAGAGTCTACTTGGTGAACCCAATAAGTATGCCACCCTCTTCTGGCATGCAGTGCGCGAGTTTGATACTAATCAGTCTTTTGAAACAGCTCCAGCCCGTTGAACGGCCAAGCCGCAGAGCTGTGGGACAGCAATCCAGAAGAGTTCAAGCGCCATGTCCTTGCCAGACATCGTGACATTGAAGACGATGAATAAGAAAGTCACAAACATAACTCAACCCTGATCTGTCCCCATGTTTTTCTATCTGCGCGATGAAAAACAGGGAGTCAGTCTCAAGGTTGATTGCATTTTCACGGCGCGTTGCATTTACTTTGATTTCTACTATTACTATGTTTCGACATCCTTATACTTCGGAGTGATGTTTCGTGGCACAGGCAAAGACTATAGCGTTGCGTTGCGTTTGGTCCGGGGTTGTACAGACACCATTTTGCGCTCCATTGTTTGGTCTTAACATTCTTGATATAATCCCTCCTATTATTATACTTAGTTACGTGATACCTCAATCAAGGCTTTGCCTTTTATGATTTTGACGTATTTAGTACGACTCCACCATCCATTTAAGACCCAGCAATACATAAGGCTCATGTCCCATCAAGATCATGTGATGACCCAAGCCCTACCACCCGAATAGGCAATCCTCTATATTTTCTCAACTAACCAACTTGTTCAAGCTCCGTTGAACAGTAGGTAGAGCGGAATATGATTCGATCTGATAAATTGAATGGAAAAGCTGGATTTAGCGTCGAGAATGTAACGCTAATTGTTGTAGTTGTCAAGATGAGTCACAGCCCCTCGCCAAAATGATTTTACAGACCAAAAGACCCAAAACATGTGAGAAAACTCGAAATTAAAAGTCATTCATCTAAAAATTCTACGACAAGAAAAAGGGAAGAGTTCTCATATTCATTTCCATCCATAGGTTCATAGTCTAATAGAAACATTCGCCTCGGAAGATACTTGAATATGCCCTCGGATCCAACATTCACAACCTACACCCCCACCCAAGCACGCACCTACGCCCAACACCGCCTCTCCTACCCATCCAAGCTCTACGACACCATTCTGAACCACCACATATCCACAGGTGGACAGCTCAATGTTCTCGTAGATGTGGGGTGTGGTCCTGGCCGCGCGACGAGGGATTTAGCGGCGTTTTTTGAGGTGGGCATCGGACTAGATCCCGGAGAGGAGATGATTAGGACTGCTAGGGCGATGTCTGAAGAGGAGGGTTTTAAAGAGTCTGGTGTTAGAGAGAAAGTGCAGTTTGCAGTTTGTGGAGCTGAGGACTGTGCGAAGGGCGTTAGGGAGGTGTTATCTACACTCAAAAATGGGATTGATGATGGTGATAGTGGAGAGGGGAGGGTGGATTTATTAACGGCTGCCATGGCGGTAGTTCCCCTTTACCCTTTTAGGGCCATATTTGGCCGTATCAAAATCGCTACTGACGATTAATACAGGCACATTGGTTCTCCATGCCCGAATTCTGGGACCAAGCCGCTGAAGTCGTAAAACCCAGTGGCACCGTGGCCCTCTGGACATGCTCTTCGCTCTACTGTCGTGCGTACAACCCAAAAAGAGAAAACAATACCCACGAGAGATATGAATCTATAACTAAACAATAAACAGATCCATCAACCCCTAACGCAGCAGCCGTACAAAAAGCGCTCTTCCATCTCGAACGTGAGGTCCTTGCACCGTACGAATTACCGCAAAACCGGATATCGCGCGATATGTACGACGACCTGGTTTTACCATGGCAAGCCACTGACCCCACGACGACCGCAAAGGGGAATCTAGGGGAAGTATTCCCTGAATCAGATTTTGTCCGTTTGGAATGGGATAGAAACGGGACCATCAGCGACGGGAGTGATTTCTTCCTGTCTAGTAACAGTGAAAAGAAAGGGGAGACAACTCTAAACGATTTAGCGGGAGGTCTTGGGACGGCGAGTATGGTGACAAGGTGGAGGGAAGCGAATCCTGAGCTTGTTGGTACGGACAGAGACTGTGTTAAGGAGATGTGTGCTGAAATCAGAAGAGCGATGGGCGTGAGCATGGATGAGAATCCGACATTGAAGGTTGCGGGTTCGGTAGTTTTGTTGTTGTTTAAGAGGAAATGAAGTTTGTTACCGGATACAACATTTGAATGAACGATTTGGCATCGCATTACGCACGAGAAAACTGCAAGGTGTCGGCGGTACTCCCAAGGCCAAGATTTAGGTTTGGTCGGCCATATACCATAGCTACCCGCTAACGGTCGATCATCAATCTAGCCTGTTCTGGATACTTCATGATCAAGATCATTGTAGTCCAAACATTTGATTCACAATTTCGCATTTGATGGAAAAAAATTGTAGCTTGCGTGTAGCTAAACTGTATACATATACCCATTCGGCACCTTGATGTTCCTTTTCCAGAAATGCCGCTCCTCCGTCATATCAGACTCAGTCCAGCCCTCTTCGTTAAAAATCAATTTATTCTGTATTCCTTCCACTTTGGCCGTCCAGGAAGGAGCCACTTCTCTCTCGAAGTTCGTAGCCCGCTTCTCCGACTTGTCAAGAGTGTTGTCACGGCGTATACCCAACTCGAGTCTCCAATTGAAAGCATCGACAAGCGCTTCAACCATGCTGGCAAGCATCGCATATCGGACTGGGTCGTCGTCCTGAGGATCCGGAACTGCGGACAACAGCCAGCGAGACTCTTTATGGAAAAAGAAATATGTACATTCGTAGCCCATCATGATGAAGTCACACGCGCAGACATCTTCGACTAGTCGGTAAAGCGAGCGCAGCGGCGTGTCGCGCATCCGGAAGATTGGGATGCTGCGGAGTTGTAAGATTGCAGCTTGGCGTTCATTAATGATACGAAGTCTTTGTCCAACGGCTTCTACGGGCAAAAGTGGACTTTGTATGCGGTATCTCCACGGTAAAGGCCAAAAGACGAAGAAGAACAAAGACCACGGACCCGGACATGACTTGACTCGACGTACCGATGATCGGAGTTTGAGGGGGGAGTAACCGTCTCTGATGGTCTTGATTGGATTTCGCATTGTGATGCAGGTTGTTGAGTTGTCTCTTGTTAAGTTCGGGAAAGCAAGCGATTGAAGTAGAAGGCGGAGCCGGAGAAATAAGTCTACCGGGCTGTACGCAGCCCTAAAGCTAAGCCCTAATTCGTGTCCACATCTAGCTTTGAGGACAGCTGACTAGTAATAAGACAGCGCTTGGTGGTGAGTATCAATCGAATGAATCCGTTCTTGCAAGATACTCCACGATTTATATAAGACTCATTTTAATTGACATTTTTTATCTCCATGCTGACTTACTGGATTCGAGACCTAGGACTAATAGTATTACTAGAATCGAGTTCATTAACTCAAATGACTTTAGAACAATGGAATCATGTCGAGTTTAGGAGTTCGGCGCTTGTCAATAGTATCGTCCGATTTACTAGATATGTAATGACTCTTGTTTGTGGGGTTTTTTCGCATTGATGATACAATACGAATTCGATCCGAGGGGCAAGAGTTTCATATCGGCCCTGCTTCTATCGTCAAGAATGAAGTACTTCATCACCAAAGCAATGGTCATTATGCTTGTTAAAGTACCAAGGTTAGCCAATTTATACACTCTAAGAAGATATTAGAGCGAATTTGGTGTTCAGATATCATTATTCCCCACTTGTTAGAAGCCTTCGTCATTGAATGGTTTGTAAGCTGGTGGGGGATCCAGGAAACAACAACATCGATCACAAAACTAGTTCGATTTCAAGTATTGCAAGATTACTTTTTTTTTTTCAAGAAAAAAGCACCTTTGCAAAATGTCTCTCAAAGGCCGTAATGTTCTTGTCGTAAGTTTATCACGATGGGTTTGATGTAAACTGTTCCTGATACAACACCACAAGACTGGAGCTTCGATGGGAATAGGTGAAGCAATAGTCAAGAAAGCAGCTGCAGAAGGAGCCAACATAGCTCTGTTTGCAAGATCAAAAGTACGATTAGCATCATCCAGTGTATCCTAAGCGTTGCGATTGAGCTCAATATAGGACAAATTAGCCACGATCACCGAGTATTTGCAGGACAGATACAGCTCGTCGAAATTCATTTTCCGGTCAGTTGAACTTCAGAGCTATGAAGCCGTGGAGTCAGTGGTCCAAGATGTGGTAAATGAGCTAGGAGATATTGATATTCTGATCAATAACGTGAGATCCATTTCCTCAACAGCATTAGCATGCCCTTACTATTCCCAGGCCGGACTCGCCCTCGGCGCACCAGCTGAATTCCCCAACCTGAAGGTTGCTGACATCGTCACCATGAACGGCACAAATATCAACGGAATGATGTTTGTGACATACGCTGTTTTAATGCTTCAATGATGAGCCGCAAAGAGGGGACGATTCTCAATATCACTTCAGTGACAGGACTAGAAGTCCCCCCGTTCCCTGGTGAGGCTGTCTATCACACCAACAAAGCAGCCCAAGAAGCTTTTACAAATGCATTACGCAACGAGCTTACCGGGACGAATATCAAAGTCCTTGCCTTACGGCCGGGATGTGTTGCAGCTAATTTTCATTCTTTGAGGGTTGGGCATGACAAGGAGATGTACGATAGTTTCTTCGAGGGGTACACGTAAGTTTTCGACGCTGGGGCTGGTTGTTCTTATGCTGATCTTTATGCGAAAGACCGCTAGAATCTGAAGATATAGCCAATGCCGCGGTATATATGCTGAGCCAGCCACTGAATATCTCGGTCAAGGCTATGGATGTTGTTCCTTCTGGTATGTTGGCAAGCCCTTTGCATTGAATAGGTTCGATAACATCCATGCAGCGCAAAGGTCATTGAACGTATTCGACCGAGCATGGAATGAAAGGAATGGCTTGTAATAAGCTTCATTTTATCCTGATAAAAAGGGAATCTCATTGCAAATCTGGATAGGGCAATATAACGAATTTGGAGAAGCTAAGACATAAGGATATGCTGCGAATACAAATCTAAATCACGATATTCAACAATAATGCCCAAATACCTCAAATGTAACGATTTCCGCTGGTCAGCCGCAACTACTCTGACCCCGAGAAATACTTCCAATTCGGTGTTAGTATTTTGGAACGGATTGGATATAGAATGGGCTATGACGTCACGTCTATTTACCAAGCAAAAAGTATCCTCCCCGCTCGAGCCTCGGCTTTTAGCTTAGCTTATCGCCGTCTGCCCCTCCAACTCGTCCTCTGTCAACGTTAAACATTTTCTTTATGTCAATCGCTCCAACGGAGAATCTACACCTGTCAGGCATAGAAGCGAATCACAATGGCAACTTCATTACACCCAGTATTCCGCAAAGGAGCAACGGCTCTCATCACAGGTGCCGCCTCCGGAATCGGCCTGGCAACCGCCAAACTGTGCTATTCCCAACGCATGAACCTCATCCTGCTCGACAACAACAAGGACAATCTTTCAAAGCTCAGCACCGAATTCCCTTCCGGCTCCGATGCCACCACATCAACCTTCGAGATCGATGTCTCCAAGCTCCAGGATTGGGATAGAGTACAGCGCGACGTTCTTGCCTTGCATCCCGGTGGTGTCGACCTGCTCATGTTAAACGCAGGGAACAGCTTCAAACCCGCCGCCGGGAAGACTACCTGGCAAGACCCGGAATACTTCCAAAAGACATTCGCTGTTAATACATTTGGCTACACGAACGGAATCGCAGCGTTCATCGACGATGTCACAAGTAACAAAATAGATCCACGTGCTATCATCCTGACTGGCTCTAAACAAGGAATTACCAATCCACCCGGAAACCCAGCGTATAACGCCTCGAAAAGCGCCGTAAAGACCATTGCGGAACACCTGTCGTTCGACTTGCATGCTAGCAACCCGAACATCAGTGTTCATCTCTTAGTTCCTGGCTGGACTTATACAGGCCTCACGAAAGGCAGTTCCTCTTCAAAACCGGACGGCGCTTGGACATCGGAGGAGGTTGTCAATTTCATGAGCGCGAAAATGGCTGCGGGCCAATTTTATATACTCTGTCCCGATAACGATGTTACGGAGGACTTAGATAAGAGGAGAATTACGTGGGGTTATGGTGATATCATTCATGGACGTCCACCGTTGTCGAGATGGAGAGGAGATTGGAAGGAGAAGGCTGCTGAGGGGATTGCGGGTTTACAGATACCACCGCAGTGACTGTAGTAGATGAGTGTTCGTATATATCATACTTGAAGTGCATCTAAGTCCTTAAGTTCAAAAATCGCTATTTCTTCATTTGACCTATTCTAGAATGGTAGTTTTCGGACGTTTTAAATGTCAAAGGTTAGGTAGGGCTTAGGGCTTGAGGTCCATACGCTAGGTGATCTCACTAACGACAACCTACGGAACATCGAGTTTCATAACGACATGGCGCCAAAGATCCAGCGGCTGGAACATATATTCTATATAATGCTATAAACAAGAAAGTAAAAAGTAGACTTTTCCTCTCATCCCAACACACTAAATATCCTTTCATCACGAAACACTAAATGAGGTGAACGCAACTCCAAGCTAACCCAAACCCGTTGCTCTGCCAGACCGCGTCTGACGAAACCCCTTGAAGTCGTAGTGGGATCTGACGTGCTCTTGAAGTTTATCACTGCGACTGAATGCTTTGGCGCATTGGTAAACCGGACATGGGAACGCATTTCGATAAAGGTGCACCGACTTGATATGCCTCCACAGTTCCAAATCGCGAGAAAATGTCCCAAGATATGTGCAGCCGTGCCAGTCGCATTTGATAGGTCCATACTCGCTTATTCTGGAATGACGCGACTTGTGTTAGTAAGAGTGGGTAATGGCGATAAGTGGCACATTCAATAGAGTCACGTCGCAGGGGATAGGAACATGCTTGGTACTGCGTGAAGGGTATCTTTCGCCATAAGACACATCGCCGTGAGTCGTATGGGCAATGTTGTGCGGGTTGAAGGTGTAATCCTCTCCTCTTGATTGAGATGGCTCAAATGGGAATTGCAAAGAAGAATTACCATGATTCGTCCAGCCTGTATGGGTGCCTGTGGAAAGAGGGAATGGAGCACTTGGTGTGAAGCTGCCTTCACCCAACCTGGCAGCGGTAGTAGAACTCCGTTGCCCATGATATGTTGAAGGAAAAGACGGAGGAAGATAGTTGTTTGATAACCACGTAGCGGGCGAATAAGGATCGGGAGTGAAAGCAGAGAGAGAATGGTCTGGACCGAGGTGGGGAAGAAATGCAGACGTCTCTGAGAACATCATTTCAGGATGGATTGAAGATGAAACTGAAGGCTGGCTGGTCTGGCGGACGTACGCCATGGTGATATGATAGGTATTGTTTCAAGCGGGGCAATCGGGAAGGAGAAAAGGAAAAGACAGAGTTGTTGGAATGCAACGTGCGTTGAGAGGTTTGATATTTGATCTGATCAGGGAAAGTTCATGGATATAGTCTGCGTAAGGCACCTGTTGGTGCCTGACAGTGGCGAATATATTGCATTATGTAGGGTAAGTGAAAATTTACTTGCAGGTGCAGCATGTTCGTATCTAGGCAGACACAGCCTTATGGATGATCCATTGGCTTTCGAGGTTTATAACCAAGTGCCAGCTAATAGGGATACCGATGTCGGGCGAGGGGCAATTGACTGCGGAATTTTCTGGTGTTCGGCCCTTGATCAATTATCTTTGGAATCTCTTGTCAAGTCAGTTTGATTTCAAATTCAACGACCCATGAACAAGACGGCTGTCTTTCTTATTAGCGGCGACACATGCTGAATCATCCACGGGTGTCAACTGGAACGATCAGGGGTATTGGGACGCAGTGTGACGTGCATAATAGGCCGCCTCACTCACTTACCCCTCCATTGCATACATAAATCCATCCTTCACATCACCGAAATAACATATTGATACAATTATGCACGATACGGAGGAGGACTATAGTATTCCATGTGCGCAAGGTATACATTCCGCTATTTTTGTCCATGTCTCGAGAGACAAGGCTGCGACGCCCGAGAGTAGATTAATTACAACTATGGTGCACAGACTTGGGCATCCGCAGGAAAAAGGCTTGTGTAACATGGATGTAAGCCAATTGGAGATTGAAGTAAATCTGGAAAGTGAAGTCATCAGACCCCGTGATCGCGGTCTGTAAGAGGCTCTACGATGAAATGATTAGGATTGTATATCGACTCCCATTATGGATGAATCGAATGATTGACACTTTCAATTGAAAGGTGATACTAGTTTTGATATTCGTCTGTGAGTTGCTAGAAACGAGTCTATTTGAGTTGTGACTTGGTCGCTAAGCATTCTCGAACGGATGTCATCAAGAATACAAGCTGTGGTTGCCCGCTAGATTCCAGATTCTCTCACATCGGACATCATACACAGGTAGAAATACGTCCTTCATAAGCTGCCATGAAGCTTCCCCACTTTTATAAATCCAATTGAGTAGCCACTTCGACTACAACAGATAAACACCATACCAGAAGATGCGGCGACAAACATAGTCTATACCTAGGTGGCTATACGGACCATATATCCCCTGCCAGGTGCATGTGGGGTCTTCCTTTTTCAGCCGCCACCGCTTTTATAATGTCACATACGGTAGTATAATAAGGCTCTTCTTAACGGCTCTGGTCCATTATTTAGAAGTGCCCTCATTACAAAGAACCTCGATACGATTTTCACCTCGTAAACTTCACATAATACAAGCACTTGATTTATGAAAAACAGATATACTCATAGAGTGTTTCGATTTTCTGAGCCCAATGACCATCGATCATATAACGATACTGATATTCTACCTAATTTTCTCCATGGCCCAACCCACAATCTCAAGTTAAGTGCCCTCCTACATGTATCGTCTGACTGTCTGAACAACGCAGGTTAATACGTAATTTTAAACGTCCAGACATACTCATCAGCCGAAGCAATCTCATCGGTCACATCCAACACAAGACTCCCGCCATCCAACCTCGAGCCCATAACACTCCCATTCTTCTCTCCCCCAACCACAGTCACCTTATCACCCTCCAAATACGGCACCGGATCCGTAATTCTGACTGTTCCATCGGGCTTTTTCAACAAATGAATATAAAAAGCATCATCCGTTGTCGTATATCGCAAATTACCACTCCCAGCTCCCATCGGCCAATACTTTGTGTCAAACAAACTCTCAGCGTGAGCCTTAATCCACAGACCAGCTTCTCGGAGATTTGTTTGCATAATATCAGCAATCGTCCCGTCGGATCTAGGTCCGATATCGAGCAAGAAATTGCCATTTTTAGATACTATATCGACCAGCGTGGTGACGATAGTGCTTGCATTCATGTATTCGTCATCTGGCGTGAAGGCATTATATCCAAAGGAAAACGGATCCATGCCCCGACATGCTTCCCAATGTTGCGGCGAGAGCGTATTTGTACTTGCGTACTCAGGTGTTTTGTAGTCACCCTTAATCTGGACGCCGTTTACCTTACCACAGCGGTTATTGAATGTGACCGGTTTGTTGTGTTGAAACGCATAATTGAGCCAATTCGCTGCGAATTCATCTGAAAGAGATGGACCGCCGATGTCGCACCACATAATCTCGGTATCGTAATTGTAAGCTAGGATATTCATCTGCGGGAGTTGGATTCCCGTTAAGTAGTCATCGACTTCGACGAAGCCGGTGTAAGGGACGGTCTTGTTGGTAATCGGGTTTCGGGGTGGTCCTATTATCCCCATAGAATAAGCGTGACGAAATATCGAGATAGAGGTTTTGCTTTCAACCTACCCACTCCGAATGTCCCAGTGTCGTACTTGGAATATGCCGGATTGTACCATTCCGGTAAGCTGTAATAAGTACCTCGATGGAGGTGTGGCTGGKATTGTTTCGCTGCGTCGAATAGTTCCTGCATACATCACAGATTACTTTCTTTCCATCGTGGTGGACATGCTACGCAGAACTAACCCTGATCAAATCACGATGCGGAACCTGTTTAACTGAATTCCGCTCCGATACATTCGACGGCATATCGAACAAGGCGAATCCTTCGTGATGTTTACTTGTAGGAACGAAATATTTTGCTCCAGCATCGTTGATAAGATCAACCCATCCTTTCGGATCCCATTTCTCGACGGTAAAGTTTGCGATAAAGTCGTCGTAGAGAAAATCTGCTCCGTATTTTTCAAGATGATACTGATATGTCTTTGTTTTGTCGTTTGGGTTCATTTGATGGTTCCAATACCTACAATCATCATTAGTCCGACGTATCTGAACGCGTTATGCTTGCGTAAAAAAGAAGGCCTACCATTCCGCGTAACTCTCATTCACACCCGTACTCCCATAAGCAGGCACAGAGTAAATCCCCCAGTGAATAAAAATACCATACTTCGCCCCCCGGAACCAATCCGGCGCTTCATGCAAGTTTACTGAGACCGGGCTCGCTTCGTAAGTCGGCAAGCCGTACGTAGCATTAAACTCTAGTGATGTTGTATGCTGTCCCTTCCTCCAACGAGCAGCTGCTGTAGCTGGTCCTTGCGTGTTTTCAGTAACACCAGGAGCACTCTGGACGCCGACTTGGACAGTGGCAGAACCACCCGGTTGCAGACGTTTGATAACGGCTGGCTGCACGGTTGTGAGGTTGGCTGATTCGATGAAGATTTGGAGTTCGTCGGTTGAAGTCAGCCAGGTAGATGATCCCGTGTTGTTAAGAATGACATCGAAGAGCTGCATGCGGCCATCGCAGCTGTTACTGCAATCAGCCCATCGTGTGCTCGATCTCGCTGAGGTTATAGTCAGCTGCGCGGAATCTGTTACATGATTTTCTAAGTCAGCCTGGATGTTAATTCCTGTCTTCAAGGTTTTAGAGACTTGCCATTGGAAGAATGTGCTGCGAGAGAAGTAGCTATGGCCACTGTGAGTAGACTGGACAGAATAATTGGATATCTAAGCCCCATGATAGCAGGAATAAAACATATACTTGATCGATCTAAATCAAACAAGAGCACGCTGGACTTTAATTGACTAGATTATTTTGTAGTTTTTTTATCGACAGTTTATGATCAGTCTCACGCTTTTATATTCATGAATATTTACTATCACTCTATTTATGTTACATCCCTCTCACTGCTACTCCGCATACTTCCATCGCCTGTATGGTGAGGCTGCTGAACCCCGGCGATCATGATCGACGCGGGGTAAACTCTCCTGGGAAAAGTTATATTGTGGAGAAAATGGCACGGTTCTATTGACGAAATTGTTCATCTCGAACATGTCAACAAGAACTCTGTAATCGGATGGTCGAATCCAATTAACACATGGATATTTCGTTATATTTTCGTACCGAGACCTCTATCCGGCGACATGATCACATGGAGAAGCACATATGACAAATTTGTGTCGAGAGGAAGATCACATCCGTAGCGTAGAAATCTTCCACCAAATTGCCTCTTTCAACAACGGTCTTTATGTCAAAATGCGGGGTTGAATTTGGCCAGAAGAATCCTGCTAGAACCCCTGCATCCGGCCGATTTATCCCATCCGAGAAATTTCAGCCTCCGGATATTTTCCATCCTTCCGACGGAAATGTCCCGATAATCTTGGCACCTCTCACTCATCAACATCTTGGAGCCAGGGCGTTATACAGCTACGATGGAAAGACAGTCAGGAAGCCCTATCGAGCCACCAGCAGCCATCTGCAAAGACTCCACCCAGAAAGAGAGCTCCGAGAGCATGCGATAATTGTTTCAAGTGTCTCAGGCCAGATGTGACAGTGAACCTGTATGGTAAGTGTGATATCTCTAGCCTGGAAGTGAACCTTGTTTACGGCTGTTTACGTCGGTTGTTGTGAGCAGTAAGCGTTGTCTAGGTATGGGCCTTTTTCCTATGCCTGCATCAGTTACATGCAGGAAGCGCTGCCTCGGATACTGACTATTGACAAAGACCGGGGGGTTGATAGTGGCTGCCAAGAGTTATATTTTTTTCCATCATGTAGGACACTCTAAACTACATTACCTTGATGCTGTAGGAATTGGGAAGCACACACTGCCCAATTAGGGCTACGGGTGGATCCTATGTATAGCTGGCTAGGTGGAAACGCTAAACCAAAATAGTATATGTTGACCGATTTTTCGACTAGAGCGTTTACGGCAGTAGGGTGGAGAAGCAAAAATCAAGGGAATATTATTCGATATGTTTATGTTAACTACATTTGGCACACCCCTTAAAACATTGTTGCAGGGGTTTTTAGGTGGTCTTTATGTACAAAAGAATATGCATAAAATGAGTAACAATGTTTGATAGAATCCAAATTAAGACGATTCTCGTTCATTCTGTTCGGCAATTGTGTGTTGTTTAGATACCGAATATTCGTCTTTGGCGTTCAAAACGGACCAATGCGTACTACTCTGTATATCAACGCCTCGCTGCAGAATCTGTTGTTACCTCTATCGTCATCTAAAGAAGCGCAGCCAGCATCGGCTTACTACAGCAAAGTCTGGTCCAATTTGAAAGACTGGTCACGCTATCTTTTTGCATTGGGTCTCTGAAAAGTTGGGGTTCTTGCCGTAGCAACCGACCACACAATAAGAAAGAGTCACTAAGTTTCTATATTGATCGTTGACCATTATACGTTACACTGGCCTGATACATGCATTCTCTCATCTCCGGAGACTTCACTACAATGGACGGTGTAAAACTACATTTCTGCTCCATCGGTCTGCGGACAGTCTTTCTCTTGGTGCGGGGCTTTCCAGATATCTTTGCTGCAATTGCATGTCAGCAGATGAATCTTGTGAAAAGAGTGTTACCTTCGTAGAAAGTATACTACTAAAAAGCTCCCTTATAATTGCCCCGTATATTATATAGGTATGTGTCCCAAAGTAGCCGGACGTTGGAGTCGTTCCCCATGGGGATCCCTTAAATATTCCGGGATTGCCGAGCTTCGTGCTATTCTAGGACCCTACTTCGAGATTTCTGGTCGGCTGATACATTTATGTATATGCACAGAGACTGATTAGTCTAATTGACAAGACTTTGTGAGTGAAAGAATGAAATCAAATTCTACTATAGTACCGTAGATATATGAATAGACCGGTACGCTGAGCCTGCATGACAGCCTGCATTGTCACCCTCTTTTGACAGCCATTCTTGTTTTTATGTCTTACAATGCCTCTTCAATGATTAATAGTCCTTCTGCTAAATAAGTATGCAACTATCGAGTACGACTGTAGACGGAGGGACTTCCCCGGAGAGTTCATGCGGCGCTGGCAGTTATACATAGAGTTATAATTAATTGATGTAAACAACTTCTCGAAAGCGGCTTTCATCTATTCTATTGATTGACAGCCAAAGATCACGGTGTCACACATGTCATTCGATCAATTTTTCAGAACCCGGATGCAGGCTCCTAAGGCCAAACCGCTATATAATCGGCAAGTGAACGAGCTGGATCAAGGCCGAATCCCAACCATGACTTGGTACCGAGGTTCATAACATCGACTTCCAGTAGCAGGCTCTATATTTTACCTATGTCTCATAGATCTCTTTCAGACGTAGCAGCGGTAGCAGAGAGATCCATCACCCGGCAATAGAACTGCCGATTGAGCGGGGATATGGTGAATGTAGCATCGCAAAGGACCTCGGCCTTTCGGACACAATGGAGTCCACAGCAATGAAAAGGGTATATTTCATGTGCTCGATCGAGCTCTGGATGAAGGATAAATAGAGCTGATGCTGCCTCTCTCCGAGGGCCTGTACTCCCATTCAACACCACCATAAAACATTTCCACTTCACGATCAGCTAACGAGAAAAGACGATCAGCCAAAATGCTCCCCACGACTATCCTGCTCTTGCTCCCCGTTCTACAGCTAGCCCTTGCGGCTCCTGTTGTCGACCTCGAGAGCCGCCAGGCTCCCTGCGATAGCGTGCACATCTTCCTCGCTCGTGGGACTGATGAGCCGTACCCCGGGCGCCAAAGCTCTCTGGTGGAGGCCATTTGTTTCGGGCTTCCCAGCTGCGGCTATGAAGACATCGTGTACCCCGCTGTCTACTCCCCGTACTGCAATTCCGTGTCTACCGGTGTCAGTGATGGCACATATCAGGTTGCCGCGTACGCGAGTCGCTGCCCGGGTTCCAAATTGGTGCTGAGCGGGTACTCCCAGGTATGTCTCAGGCATCGAGAGCTGGTAATATTGCACTGTACGAGGGCCATACTAATAGAATACTATTTCGTGTAGGGCGCACAAATCGTCGGTGACATCCTTGGAGGAGGTGGTGGTACCTTTTTCAACAATTGCACGGAACCCACAACGTCTGGCATAGGTCCTGGGACCTTCCCCGGCAATCAAAGTAAGCTTTCTGGATTGTAATCCCACAGTATCCCAGCCGACTAACCAAAAACTTGCACCCACAGTCGCCGCGGCACTCCTCTTCGGCGATGTCCGCCATGTGCCCTACCAACCTTACAATACTGGGACGGGAGCTGGCGCGAACGGTGTAAGAATCCTTCCCCTGTTTATTATTTTCGGTTTCGCAGCGTCTTGGTGAACGATCAAATTACTGACATAGAGCTCTCAATCCAAACGTAGATATACCCCCGCACCGATGCGCAGCTCTTTTCGCTCAACCGCTTCTCCAATATACTGCGCTCCTGGTGTCTGGCGACCGATCCTGTGTGTGCACGGGGATTGGATGGCAACTCTCACACTACTTACTTTGATCTCTTCTCTGAAGAAGCAGGTGCTTGGGTCAAATCTAAGCTATGAACGAATGTGATAGTCTGGAATTCAGAGGTTCTCTGTAACATTCTTGAGAAGAACCGCAAAACTAGCTAATGTGTCGCTGGCTGTGTTGTAATAACTGGATTTCAGACATGAGAGAGGATAGCATTTGGGCATGAAAGCGATTGCAGCAATATGGGCCGATCAGGTTTATCTTGCTAGGCAGGATGCTGAGTGCGACAAGTTAGGAGGCAGGCTATAGGCTGTTTGATTTCGAGGATATAAAAGCAAGGAATGAGACAATATTAGTGAATGGTCGATAAGCTACTAGCTGGTATATATTTGTGTTTCCTATCTCCCAAGGTCTCTCCTCTACCAAGAGTCGTAGAGATTGCCAGCACACAGTCCAACGTGAATTGAGGAGAACGAACAGGCGACACGAATTGCGCTAGAAAATTTAGAATAATTTAATTAGTGGAATGAATATGGATCCGGCCGCCGCGTGTAAAGAGATGGGAAGGATGAGTGTAAGGATGGAGAGTGGTGATGGTGAGACCTCGCAATAAAACAGATCACTATAATATACACCTGTCATGTCAGTTATTGGATATTCAATTACTTTTACTTAAATTCAGCTATATACTATTCCTTCCCCAATCCAAGTTTTGCTGGAACTGACAAAGAAATGTGAAGATGATGTTAATTAGGAATAAAGTCTGCTAGGGCCACCGGATAGACCATTAGTTGTTCTTGAAAGGAGACTTTTGCGACGCACCAAGTGAGTCTAAGCCAAGGAACCCCAAAATTCTGTAGGGTGATTCCGTCACGGTGCAAGTATTGTAGCTCTCTCACTAGTGAACAATTTCCTGGACGCACAAGGAACATCTCGAAAGGTATCATCGTTGAATTGTAATGGCTAGTTAGTTTAATTGAGAAAGTGGATGAAGCTATTATCTAGTTTAGGAGAAGAAGAGATGCATTGGCCGCAGATCTGAATTTTGACTGGATACTATTCATCCGATCCAAGACAGATTTTCACTTCGCAGAGGAAATGTGCCTGCTATCTCTTTAACCAATCTACCTCATCCTCAGCAGACAAGGCAAGTGGAAAACTATGCCAGTCATCGAACCAGTGCTTGTTTTTTGTTGGCCAAACACGTTGATAAATCTGCAATGCAAAGGGTAATATTCTCGGGAGACCCTGTTCATCCAAATAGAAACGACGATATCTGGATGTGTATTGCTCTTCTTCATCCCCTACCTCAATTTTGAGGTCTCCAATACCTTCCAAAGTCACGCGGTGTGTACGGCCCAACCTTAATAGTACATCGTGGAAACCCTGTTCAGATCCAAGGTCATCCCAACTCAGTTGCCCTGCACCCACAACCTTCATCTCCACGAATTCAAGTGGACAAGAGTCTTCTCTGTCTTTATTATAGCCTGAGCGTATTGTATGAAAAATGCTCTTAGCAAGATCTTCGTCCAATGCAGCATTAATGAACGCGTCTCGAATATGACCATTCCGCGGACGAAGATAAGAATTAAAACCTGTACTCTCGCAATATTGCTGATCGAAAGCATTAAAAGAAGCATCATTGCGAGTCTCGGGAAGTTCTCGACCTGCTTCATCATCATCATCGTCGTATCCTGTCAACAAATAAAGATCCGACGCGTCGAGTTTGAGAAACAAAGCTTTCAATCGTGGTAATACACCGATGGCCTTGTAGGTTGACACTTCTTGGATATCGCCTCGTGAACGACTGGTTTGAATAGTGAGCTCTTCGAGAAAGGGGCAATATTCACCCAACAGATGAATTACTTTTAAAGGTATGGTTTCACCGCGACAAGGTAATAATGAAAGATTCTGTAAGCTTGTCCCATGGTGCCTCAGAATTGAATCAGTGGCCATCTTGGGGTGCCAGCCATTCAAATCAAGACTTAATAGAGCTGGAAGATCGAGTAAAAACAAGCTCGCAGCAGAATAGTAATTGGAGGGGTGCCAACGGTTCCAATCCGGGTTGAAGTTTATAGACAGCTCGGTAAGTGAAAGAAAGTGGCAATCTGTTGTCATGTATACGATGGCGTCTAATGTTGACTTGGGACCGATCTTGAGAGTCTTCAAGACTGAAAGATCTGTGTCTTGATTCCATTTCTCAAAATCCTCTCTGCTATTTTGGCGCACTTTGCGGACATTTTCTCCTATCTCGAGAAACTCTAGAAACCCACCATGTTCGTGCTTTGGCTGCGTCTTAAATCCTATCCATGGTGGATTATTGTAGGCCCTTGCTGGTGCCATCAAAGCTGCAAGTCCAATCACAAGTAATTTCTTCAACTGAGGTGTTAGGCCCGAGACAAGATATCTGAGAGCTTGATTTAGATATACGTGCTCCCATTGTGGGTTGCTTCCTCCAAGTGTATTTCCATAGGTGCCCAAGGACGCTGTCGCAATACCGTGTAGAGATGGCGAACTCAACAATGCAAACTCGTAAGGATCTGTTGTCCCCTGTGGGTGCAGACTCCACAAGGCAAATCGAGTTATATACAGTCTGCACTGGGATTGACGCTGGTGAATGCTGTCCAGAAGACAAGGGGGGAATTGATAATAACTGGAATAGAAAACGGACTCAAGAAGAGGTAATCGTAGCATAAATTCGGCCAAGGGCTCCCAAATATGGGTTTTCTGGTATACTGTGTCTTTATACTTCATCGGGCCCGGTACCTGAGCATACTTCTTGAGGATTTTATTCTCATGACCTCTATATTCAAGCGCAGAAATTCTGTGCCGTTGCGGCCTTTGTTCGCTAATGACTTCTCCATTTTCGCTGGTGACAATTATCAACCGACGAACCGCCCAGAAACCACTAAGATGCTGTAGTAGTTGAGAATAGTGCAGTATATCTTCGTTCAGTTTCTCTCTATCGTCATGTACAAGAAATTTTAAAGTCCGAACCTGAAGCAGAGGAGTGCATAGAGACAATAAATCTCGGTTCACACATGCCAGATCGATCACGCTAGTGGGTCGTACTTGGTCGAGAAAATGGCTGATGAGCATCAAGATCTCTGGTGGCAATTTCTGAAGCATGTCTTTGCTCGTTCTATCCTAGGAAGAAGCAAACCCAGTTAATCGGTCTAGAGAATCATATCGATCAGAGATGTAGATAATGGAAAATGGTGATGGCTGGCCCGTAGTTCGTTGGCAGAAGTGCACCAGTGTTTCAAGAATCAGTCATGAATGTGGGGTTGGAGAAACCTTCCAGCCGCTTAATCTCCACCAGAGCTAATCTATTTCCGAAATATGTATTGGAGTCTGGAGAAAGGAAGGCGAGAGTGTGGTTTTGACAGGATTACTTTACCGCTATCCCGACTATGGTGAGCACAGCGCATAAATCTACTCACCAGCAGCTTATTGGATAGCGAGCATGGCTCACTATAAGATATTGCTAAGAAACCCTTCTATTAAACTAGTATATATAGCTTTATATAATATTATTATATAATAGCTTATACTAGATACTTTCTCTCTTTTAGTTAGACACACAATATAATACATTACGCATTCCCACTCAATTTTTCGGGTTTTCTATTCCGAAGCCTCCGGATACGGATACGGATACGTTAGCATCCGTAAATGTGATTATGCCGAAAGTAAACATCAAGGATGATCGTTCTCTTCTCCTTTTGAAGCTCCCCTACGGAATCAGAGGTCCCGGCAATTGTGTACCGATCAGCTACTTGCTTGCCTCGCATGTTTATAGCACAGCTTCCATACAGAGTCTTATTGTTTATGTGCTATGCTATGGTGGCTGAATAAAGTTTAGTCTGATATTCTCGAGCATGGAGACTCGCTCCTGAATCGCCTATATAAGGATGTGCTTGTTTCTGAGATCTCGCCGACTCTCCTTCTCCATGCTCATATATGAGAATATAGGCACTCATCCCTTGAGTAAACGGATAGCAATTGAGATTCTAAAACTTAAAAAGCTATCGCCAGATTTTAATATCTGTGACTCAGCTCTTGCTTTATTGCCTTCAGAATGCGTTCCAAAATTCTGATATCTGCGGCTGTGCTATCGCCTATTGCACTTGCGCAGGCGGCGGTCTTCATACCAGATTCGAGTTGTGCCACTTGCGCAGGATTGGTAGGTCTAGATTTCTCCCAATAAATGAAATGCCTTCTAATATGGCGAGTCCTTATCTCCAGGGCTCCCTCCCCGTCCCATACAACCTCTCAACCTCGCAAACCAATGCTATAGACGAGGGTGCATCCAATTCCTTCTGGATATCTTCCTTTCTCCGCGGTTCCAATGGCCATCAATACTTCCTTCTGTCTCATGTCCTAGACGGTTCACCCGCAAGCTACCGCGCATCTGTGCTGGACATCACCAATCCATCCATCCGCGCGCAATTCTCAACCAGAGATACCGCCAACMCCAGCCTCTACTCGGCCGATACGGGAGTCTTCAATTTCACTACCAGCAACTTCAGCTTTGGCGCTACTAGCGAAACGGATGGCCTCTCCAAGATGCGAACCTGGAGTAACTATCGGGGCGTCCAATTCGATCTCACCTTTGAGACTTCCTCTCCCGTTCTACTCAACGGCGGCACGGGAAGCTTTGAAGCCACCGGTGGTACGGGTTACGAGTGGTCCATGCCCGCGGGCAAGACGACTGGCTCCCTAACTCTGGATGGTACCACCATCACCATTGACTCCTTGCACTCGAAGACCTGGTACGACCGTGAATGGGGCAACGTCGCCGAGTCTTGGTACTGGTTCGAGATCCATATCGAGCCCATGCCTGCCAGGTACCCCAACGGTGCTGTTCTGTCCGTGTGGAATTGGAAGGATGACATCTCTGGCAGCAAAAACTTTGCGACTGTGAGAGATGGTGTCACAGGGACCCAGAGCGTTGTTCCAGTTACGAATTTTACTCTTAATACGGATTCCGTCTGGACTTCGGATAACACGGGCTTCAAATGGGTGCAAGATTTCGAGCTCGAGTTAAGTGATGGCACATCTCTCCATATCTCGAGCATCAGAGACGACCAGGAACTGTGGGATGAGGCCGACGCGGCGGCAGATTCTGGTTTCGAGGGATACATGACCGTGACTGGCTCATATAAGGGCTTATCGGGCGCTTGCGGGTTCGCTGTCAGTGAGCAGTTACCTAACTCTTACTCTTCTTTCTCTTCGAGCTGAATGATCTTGTCGCCATGATTAGACGTCTGTAAAAAGGTGGACATATAAGAAGCTATATTATGATTCAATCAACAACATGATTTCAAATTACAATTTCTCAATAACATTCCCAACCCCTCCATACTCTTCAAAAACACTCCTCTCCTTTTCTACTATTTCCATATCCTCTTCCAAATCATCCGTCCACCCATGCACATACACAGTCCTCATACCCACCGCCTTTGAATCACGCGTATCATATTCATGCGCTGCCACAAGTATAAACTGTTCCCCTCTCAGCTTCAGGAGTTTCAACACCTCTTCGTATGGGCATTGATCGTGGAGCCTCGGTCAAGGAATTCCTGACCGTCTACAACACTTTGAGGTGAGTTGCAATTATCCTGCCTCGGGGACAGCTCGTGATCTTCAATTATTACGCGATTTTAGAAGATAAAAGTTGCGAGCAAGAGATGAACTTATGATTCAGATACGAGCGAACTTCCGCTGCTCAGCTGATGGGCTTCATGACTCATCAGGTTCACCACGAAACAGACTGGGAAGCGGTCGCTAAAGATGTTGATCCATTCATTCTGTTCGGTGTGAAGCATGTGATTTACACTGATAGCAAAACCAGTGCGCGCTTCTACATACATCCTAACCCATCCCCAGTAAAGCTCCAGATTAACAATATTCCCAAAGTTTCACTGTATTGTATCTTACTATAAATATAATATAACATAAAATCAATTAAAATAACATTAAAGTAGAACCAAAATTCATTTACTGAAACCTTCTATCGGGGAACGTTGTCTGAAAGAAGCTGGTTAAAGTTGTATAAATCTGTAGGGGATCGCCCGCAAGTGGGAGCATCCTCATGTGCGGCAATTTTGTATTTTAAATATGGCTCTTCTAAGCCATAAAATCTTCTGTATCATCTCCTTACGGAGATCTGAGATCGGGACTTAGTATAATTGACGACTAGGGACTAGCTTTACTTTGGCTACAGGGTTTCACAAACAATTGATGCGAGTAAAAGCGCGCACTGGTTTTGCAATCAAGTGTACCAACCTTAAGACATAAACTGCACATTGAGACATCCTTTTTGTCATCCTATTGATCCCCATCTGAGTTAAGCTATATTCGTATCTTGAATAGTGACAGCATTTCAATAGGTGTGTGCGCCCTTGGATAGTCGCCGGAGTGGCCAATGATGAGGAGTAAAACGTCGGCCGAGAAAGGAAAGGTGCTGAATGGGGAACCTGCCTGATTGGGAATATTATGCGTGGTCGAGAAATTTGAATATTGACTTTTCAATGATTATCTCGATTCATTGGAAGATGTCATGTCAGTGCAGACTTTAGATTAAGATCCAGTAGCCATTTGACATCACGTGTAGACAGAATAAACTTTAACAAGAGGCTGCGTGTTGAAAAACAGTAACCACTTTGAGCTTTTAAATAGTAACACGACCATTGGACTTGCCAGGACCGAGACCCTTTGCGATCATAGGTAGCACCATTTGTCCTTGTCCTTCTTCGAGCGCGGTCAGGAACTCATACACAAGTGGATGAAGCCCCTTTTCTTGAGCCAACCTAAGCCATTCCTTCATATGAACTTCTTCCAGACCTATACCTGAAAACTCTTCAAGGTATGCTTTAAGACTCTCATGTGGAACTTTAACCTCGCTGCAATGGTTCATGAATGTGGTTTTCGAAAATATACTGTCGGTAGATCCAATGGCCGACTCAACAATATGCCTGGCCACTTCCTGCACTGTAACAAAGTCCCATTGGCCCTTGATACGTCCCTTCTCAATACGCGGTAGGGTCTTCATCATGACCGAGTACTTCGTTAACATACCTACTGCATCTAAATCTGAAACGTCATTGCCAACAACATGCGCCAACCGGTGAATATACGCAGGCAACTCACCATCCGCTGCTGCTTTGTCAATGAGTGTCTCGCTCACCCATTTTGAGGCTGCATATCCATCAATCGAGTTTAGTATGTCAGTGACAATAGGAGACGCCGGAACTTCATACAGTGGCTCCTGTTTGTCATTCTTTATTGCCTTCGCCACAGACGCGGTAGAAATATAGTGGAGCGGAATGCGGCGCGGAATAGCCATTTGGCAAAGCGTGCGTGTGGAGATGACATTAGCGCGACGAAGAGATTGGTATGTCTTGAGAAGAGATACATCAGCACCATTGTGGATGATACAATCGGCGTTGCTCATCAGGAAGCTAAATTCGGAGTCAGAAAGACCAAAGGTAAGGGTGGAAAGGTCGCCAGAGTACTCGACGATTTTGTCACTTTTTACCGAGACATGGCGTCGTGCACCAGTCGTATCAGGTCGTATTGCTAGACAGTGTATTTGCGCCACTTTAATATTTTGAACTAGCTTTGACAGTAGATGCCTTCCAATAAATCCGGTTGCTCCTGTTAAGACGACAATGAGACCGCCTTCACCGTTGGAATGCTTTTTCGGCGATGGAACGGAGTATGGTACATTCAAACCATCCACTAGACTTGAAATCTCTAGGTCCCAGTCCATCCTCGATTGATTGCCTTGAGGTGACAAAAACGATGCCTCGGTCTGCACTGAAGAGACTCCTTGCCTCTTTCCAAGAAAAGCTCCAAGCAGAGTGGCCATGCCATGCAAAGTACTGGCACGAAACAATTCTGGCATTGAGATCATCACACCGAAATGTAACTCGACCAGAGCCTTGAGTTTGATCATCAAGATGGAACTACCGCCAATCTGGAAGAAGTCTGAACCAGAGTGGATAGTCAACTGTTGGTGGGGGGTGTTCCCAAGAAGATGTGCTATTTGCGTCGAAAGAACTTCTTCCCAAACTTCTTTCAATAACTTCTCTGAGGAAGTCAAGCTATGTGTAACGCTTTTCACGTTAGTAGAGGCCAACAATTCTGGTATAGGCAGTACATCAATAGCACATCTGTCAGTCTTTCCATTTGTAGTCACTGGTATCTTGTCAATCGGGATTATAAAATTAGGTCTCATAAATGGCGGCAGAGGAAGGTCGGATCGGATTCCTTCTATGAATTCGGTCATGTCACCAGTATACTCAATGTCGAAGACAACAAATGCCACGAGTAGATCTGAAGGCTGACCAGTCCTCAAAGAAGTAGCAGCACTCACTATCACACCATTGGATATGCGTACAATGGAATTAGCGATTTCATCAAGCTCAACGCGGAACCCATTGATTTTTACTTGGCTGTCACCGTCTTGCCGCCCAAGCACCTCCAGCGTGCCATTCGGTAGAATTCTGCCTTTGTCGCCTGAACGATATAGTTTGACACTTGGAGACGGTAACATGTCGGGACTTTTCTGAACAAACTTAGCCGCTGATTCTTCGGGTCGTTGAAGATATCCAATTCCAACACCTCGTCCAGAAATACATATTTCACCAGGGAATCCAACAGGCATGATATTCATATCTTCGTCCATAATGTGAACACCGTAATTCGGTGATGGCCGGAGATGATCTGTGCTGTCATCAACATCTTCATACGGTATGATACCCCTTGCACAAGCTAACGTTATCTCTGCAGGCCCATATACATTGATCAGTTTCAAGTCATCGAGATGTAGGTTGCGAAAAGCTCTACGCAAGTCCGATGTCAACTTCTCTCCGCCTGACATGGCATACCGCCAGGAATGAGCTCTTGTAAGAATATGTTTTCCATAATTGAGCAGCGCACGGTATTCGGATGGAACAAAGTGTGTTAGAGTTACCCCATGTCTGACGATCAGGTCGGCAATATGTGTTGGATCCCCTCGACCCGGTTTCCCAACCATGATGACTGTACCTCCATTCGTCAGGGCGAGGAAAATTTGATCCAGCATGAGATCAAAGCCCAATGGACTTTGCTGCAGGGTTATCTCGCGTCCGAGATTGAAGGTGGTCGTTGTCCCGTAAATCTGGTTCAGAAGCCCCTCATGAGTGAGCATGACACCCTTTGGCACTCCTGTAGACCCACTTGTATACAAAATCATTGCAAGTTGACCATTCCAAGTCCCACCACCATCCGATTCGTTTGTAAGCGTCGTTAAATTGTCCTTGCTCTCAACGTGACTTAGTTTTTTGCCGTCAATGTTCAACAAATGAGCTCGGTTTAGAGATCTTGTAATCTGTTTCGCTACCTCTTGCGTCGCATCATGATATATCAAAAATTGAGGCCGACTTTCTTCAACAACTGCCTGAAGCCGTCGTGGATGGTTACGGGTATCCAATGGAATCCATACTGCATTCAACCTCAAGATGGCCAAGACGCAACAGACCGCATCTGCAACCGGGTCCAGAAGCACGGCCACGTACGATCCGGACACCAGTGAAAATAATTGGCGCGTGATTTCAGTTACCCTTTCCGTCATCTCACTGTATGTCAGACAATGACCGTCCTCGTCTCGGACGGCGATAGCCTCTGGTAGTGCAGCTGCTACTGCATCGATGCGATCCGTAATTTTACCCTTCCATGATACTTCCATACGATCCCCGAGCCCAAGTTCGATGGCGTCAGAAATGTCAAACTCGTTCGATATAGGACATCTACCGATCTCACATTGAGGATCTCGAGCTACTGCTTCCAAGGCACGCGTATACCACTTTAGCATAAGCGCACCATCAGAAGATCTATAGAAATTCCGTTGTGTGATGATCGATACGATGCTCGAGTTCGGTGTTGCCACAACATTGAGGAGCATATCGTAGGGATTTCCGCCTGGAACACCACCATCCCACTGAATCTTCCCATCGGTCCCCAATTCGATCTCATCAAAAAGACTCTTACGGTAATTGATTGCAACCTGAAACAAAGGATGACGACTCTCCAATCTTGGAACACCCAACTTGCCTATAATAGCGTCAAGTGGTACATGGGAATGTGTCGTGGCTGTCAAAGTCGCGTTGAACAATCTTTTAGCTACCACATCGAACGGCTCCGATTGATCGAGAACGATTCGCACTGGCAACATGTTGAGAAAATATCCGATTGTTTCCATATCTTCTGCATTAGTTCTGTTCGCGTCCACGACGCCGATAGCGACGTCTTCAACCCCAAGGCAGTGTGATAGAAATGTAACGAAGGTTGCAAGATGAAAATGAAATGGAGTAACCCCGATTCTAGCGGCTGTTATTTCAACCATCGTACGCATCTCAATAGGAAGGCTGAAATCATTAATGTCCACACTATGATCTGCAATAACAGGACTAGTCTTGTGCCTGGCGAATGGGAAAAGTGGGAGCGGCTCCGGGATGGTTCGGTAGATATCCTCCCAAAAGATGAGATCGTCCTGTAATATTTCAGGGGTATTTTCCTTTGATTTTCTTCTAGCAATATCGATTGATTGTGGAATTTGTGTTGATTTTTTGCTCAAACATCCTGCATATGCTTGTGCCAGATCGGCAATGAAGACTCCCCAAGCCAAGCCGTCGAGCGCTATGTGATGGTGGGAAATCACTAACGTATGAACAGTAGGCGAGTGTGACATTACGACAACTCTCATGACAATGCCCTTCTCAATCTCGAATTGAAAATCCTTGACGGCGCTGATTTCCTTCTGTACGTCGTTATTGCCAGAGACTGTTGTGTGTGTAAGCATGATACGGGGCGAGGATAATACAGCTTGTACCGACTTCGCAGTCGTTTTATCCAAGAAGTATGCACTCCTGAGAGCCTCGTGTAGTTTCCCAACTAGCCATAGAGCTCTCTCTAGCCTTTTGAGATCGATTTGACCATTGAAGCGGCCATAGTAGGCAACATTATAGGCATTGCTTTGAAGATACTCATGCAGGAAGTACAACTCGGCTTGGGCGTGAGACATCTCCCCAATTCTTTCGTACTTGATTTTTACTGCCTCTTGACTCTTTCCGTTAGCCATGGTAGCCTGAGACGATAAGTTCAGGGCCACATCTAGTCCACTCGTTGATTCTTCCACAAGGGTTGCATCTGTTCTCTCTGTTTTTGTTTTGTCGATATCGCTCACTGTAGGTGAAATCCGGCTGTCCATGGCCGTATTTTCCAGGTTCAACCCTCTGACTTGCTTGTCGGATCTATTAATATCGTCGTCTTTTTCATTGACCCACGGCTTCAGCGAATCAGGTAGCTCATTTAATACATCATGACATATGTCACTCAGAGATGAGCCGCTCAGAAATTTCAAGACTGGCATATCAATCTGTAATATTCGTAAGAGCCAGGACCGTATCTCAACAGCTACCAAGGAGTCAATTCCCAAGCGGATCAATCCAACCTTATTATCTATCTTCCCACTGGGAGAGCCAAGTGCCAGACTTAACCTGCAAGCAATGGCTTCCTTTAGAATGAAAAGCGTCTCTTTCTCATTGACTGCAGCTCTGAGGTCGTCTTTGATGCTTTTCATTGAATGCCCCTCGTGGCGACTTGAACTTTTTCCGCGTCTGTCCTCGTTGCTCTTAACGCGGCAGTGACCAAACCTAGGTATACTACGCCAGGGGGTGTGAACCTCCGTACCGAGCCCAACAATAATTTCAGAATCCAGGCCCGACTCTGGGCGACCTGATATGATTGCCTGCGCAAAAACGGCGTGAAATTCGGGCTCGGAAATAGCATGCAAATCTTCTCGCTGAAACCTTGCTTCAAGACTCGCTTCAGCTGGTCCGCGCAGAAAGCCAAATCCAAGCAACATCCCGAAATGCATCACTGAAGATGCAAGCCCTCTTTTGCGTCTTCGTTTGGCGAGTGTTGACATGAACAGATTAGCTGCATGGTAATTTGCTTGACCCGTATGGCCCACAATACTTGAGACTGAACCGAGGAGAATGAAGAAATCCAAAGCAGTTGAAAAGAATAATCTGTCTAAATTATCAGACCCAATAACTTTAGGCTTCAAGACTGTCATCATATCTTCCAGTGACATGCTATCAAATGGTCGATCACGCACCACAAGAGCACCGTTGGCTACCCCTGCGATAGGTGGCATGGATGAAACAATGTCTCTGTGAACACTCTTCAGACTTGTCATATCTGTAACATCGAGAGTAAAGATACGCAAAGTAATACCCTGCTCTTTCAAGTTCTTGCATATTTCTAGAGGGACGTTTGGCATTCGGCTGGCGATGGCTAGATATTTACAGCCATGATCAACCATCCATTGACACAGAGATAGTCCAACATCCCCAGTGAGACCAACCAGGAAATAGGTTTTGTCGGCCGCAAAGCAAGCCCTGTCGACAGCTGGTGTTATAGGGACCGGGACAGATTGTACTCCGGTCCAGGAAATAACACTTGTAGCGTTTACAATTTTTGAAAATTTCTCCAGTTGGCTCGCCTTGACCACAGACTTTGTTTCAAGGTGTCCCAGTACATTGAGTGAATCAGAGTTGGAACAGTAGTACTCTAAAGATTTCAGCAGAGCAAATTTATTCTGCGACAGAGAGATCTTCTCCTTCACACTGACATCATGTATCCCGCGTTCAACAGCTATTATCTGGCCCTGAGACGATGTCACAAATTCTACAAGGCTGTCTGTATCGGTTCCCATGTTCACGAATCGTCCTAGATCCCGAGGGAACCGTGACCTGCAGTCACGTTCGGTGGCTCGTGGATGAATATAACTTGCTTTGCCGATAGAAACCAGTCGAGAAGTAATATGACTGGTGGTAAGGGACACGGGAATTTTGCCACGATTAGCGAGATTACATATAAGCTCGCCAACGTAGTCATCCGCATTATGAATCCAAATAGTGCCGGTACCGGACAGTAATATGCTTTCGCAGCATATCGTCGTTAATATCCACGAGAGAAAATCGTCTGCACATGCATAACCCTCGTAAGCGATTTGCGAGCTATCTTTATTCTTGATGATTGAAGCATTCGTCTCTGAAAGGGTCAATATTAATTTGGAGGTATCATCCACCGCAGCCTGAGCTAAGCAAACATAAAATGGTTGATCATCATCCGAACAAACGAAACAGAATAGGGAAGAAGATAGAACGTGCGATATATTTGAGTCCTCTTGCTTTTTATCAGCCTCAATTTCTGCAGTAACGTGAACACCATTGTCTCCTATATGCAGCTGAATCGGATGTGAAGTAGGGCATACACTCCTAGTATTTTTATGCCTTGCCGAGCTGAAAATATCATTCGATTTATCATCTGGGACGACTCTGGGAATTAAGACAGCTCCTTCCTCAATCGCCACCTCAGTCTCATCGCTCCAGAAAATCTCACTATAACCCGGTAGATCAAGAAATATCATTCGCAGCAGCATCTCAGAGAGCATGATTGCCACTGATTGGTAATTCTGAGTATTCAGATAATCAAGATCTACTAGTCTGAGTTTGAGATGCTCTGCTTCTCTGGACACCGTGCGAGCAACACCAACCAACATGCTAGCGTATGGGTCCTCATCGCGACAGCCTCGGGTAGCCAACAAGATATATTTCGCGTCTCGGAACAATTTCTGTATAGATGAAAGACGAGTTTTATTCATCTGCGAGAAAGTCGCCTCTTCGAGTCCCGAAAGGGAGAGAATAGCACTTCCGTACTTCAAACCGTTTTGCGGTACTTCTTCTATGTTCTGCAAGACCACAATTTGCTCCACAAATGGACTGAGAAGAGTTCGTATCTTGGTTGCTAATTTGGAAAGTACCAGAGTATGACCACCGATAACTAGTAAGTTTTCAATGCGTACCACACTGTTCCCTAGGCTCAAGGGATCTCTCAATAAACAGACTCGGTCATCTATTGCTTGTGTTACCATGACGGAGAAAGTTTGCATGTTGTCATCATGAAAGTCCCTGAAAGAACAATCCACGCCCGAGAAGGAGTGATCTCTGAGAAATGAATTCCACTGCGCCTCTGTAAGTGTTGGACCTTGATTCCTGCCGTCTTCACGACCAAGCCACCATCCCGGTAGAGTCGAGAATAAAAACGGAATCCGTAGAGTCTTGGGGTTAGTAATTTCAAGGAGAATCATATGACCCCCAGGACGTAAGAGCTCTCGACAATGTCTGACTGTGTGAGCGATTGACTTGGTTGCATGGAGGACATGCGCAGCAATGATAAGATCATATGACTGCGGCTGAAAGCCTTGTTCTGCAGGTGGCCTTTCAACGTCAAGGATCTGGAACCTCATTGCATCCTCGAATTCCGCGAAACGAGTTTGGGCTACTGAAAAAAATGCAGGTGAGATATCAGTGAATGTGTAATTCTCGAAACTGGAGCTTAGATGCCGTAACGCGGTGGCCGTAGATCCGCCAGTTCCAGCACCAATCTCGAGAACTCGCATTCGGGGATATTGATGTGACAAGAGATTGAGGATATTTCCAAGGTGCTGATTAGACTGGCGAAATCCTAGGCCCTCAGTGTATAATGTATCGAGCATATTATCTTCCTTGAGAATCTGCAATGTAGGCTCCTCCCCACGTAGAATATTAGGAAACTTTGAGCCCAAGTGGTGAATGAGCTTGAGATCAATTTGGTCGCTATTTTGACATTTATGAAGCCTACCTAATGATTCAAGCGTATCATCATTCCACGAAGGTTTGAAATGAGTGTACGTACCTCCTCGTATTTGAGGAAGTACATAGTCCCGCGCCCACTGCGTCAGAGATCGCAACTCCCAATCCATGGGCCCAATATCGCATATTTCAACTTCTTCACAAAGTTTTCTAAGGTAGTAAAACGCAGTTCTTTCACATATCTCATGCAATTGGAATTCTCCAGATCCAGATTCTTTCATTGAATCAAGCTCGACAATAGAGGATAACCCTCTCTTCCAGGTTGTTTTCCAAAACATTGTTCGGTCGTTTGCAGCACTGGGTACATCAAGCGATGAAAAGAAAGCACCTTGAATTTGAATCTCCGTATGGCCATTCTGGCAAAAGATATCGATATCGCCGCGTATAGACCTTGCAGATGACTCTGACAGATAGCAATTAGCAGTAAGCTGTGAATTTGCTTCGTTATATAGCTTCCCATATCCATTCATAGCAAAACGAACGCGACGGAAGCTTTTTGGGAGATAAGTCGTCCACATCCGGCCATCGCCTGGGTAAGAGAACGCTGCATACAGGCCTTGAAGAATACTGTCTAGTGTTGCTGGGTGAACTATGTACTGACCAGCAGCATTGCGTTTTGTGATAACTGTCGCGCAGTTCAGTCGTCTTACAATCGATTGCAGTACAAATGGGTCCAAGTACTGAAGCCCTGCTTTTTGCATCCAAAAGTAAAATCGGTCGATATTAACATCCGTCATTGGAAGGCTGGAAGCAACACTTTTGGGCAGGATATTCTCAGTAACGGGCCCCAGTGTTACCATAACGCGGCCAGTGAAAACCTCTTTTTCAAATTCCGTGGAAGCTGCATCGACATTACGACAAACGCAGGAAAATTCTGCCACTTTTCGGCTGATATCCTCGTGGATGAGTTTGATGTCAAAGACCATGTCAACTCCGGAACAGCCCTCTTTCAATGTAACCCCATTGTGTATCAATATATCTTGCAACTCAATCAGTTGAATTGTTAGTCCCTGTCCGAACAAGTGTGCGGCGGCATCTGCAGCCATTACTAGGTACGCGCTGGCGGGAATCAAGATCTGGTTTTGAAATTGATGGCCTTGGAGCCACTCCACGTCTTCAAATTTGAGAATATTGCGCCACCGGACTTCGCGACTGCTTCTGCTTGAGATTGGACGACCAAGAAGCTCATGGAAGGTAGTCTTGCGCATGCGCCGCTCTTTTGATATTCTTGATTCCTTGAACATGGGTTTGTCATGATCCCACGAATAGGTGGGCAGGTCTTTATGTACTCTCGGCATCGACCAATTTGGTCCATTGCATGCTTCTTGGAAACCGGCAAAGTCGATTATGCGGGTTTCCGAGTCGAAATTCTTCCATACATAACCAAGTAAGTTTGTAAAGCAATCGAAGGCATCTTTGTTTCTTTCAAGCACCCCCCGGTAGAGAATATCGCGGCCGGAAACGCTCTTGATAGTCTCGATTGCCGACCCTCTTAGTGATGGATGTGGTCCGATCTCAAGTCCCAGTTCAAAGTCTTCTTTTTGCACTGCAGAAGTAATGGCTTGATAAAATAGTACCGGATTTACCATATTATCCACCCAGTACTCATGTTCAAAAGCAGTGGGAGTAGACACGTCTTTTCTATTGCTGGAACAGTATACGCTTGAATACCAATTGCAAGTACCCGCAAAGCAATTTCTCAATGGTTGAATATTGGCTTTCCTTAATGACGTGAAATACTGATCTCGGACGGTTTTCATGTGATGGGAATGATACGCGGTATCGACCTTGAGAATTCTTGCAAAGACTACATTTTGGTCCAACGTAATTTTAGCTTCATCAATGGCATCAAAGTCTCCTGACATAGTGACACTGGATCGAGAATTCTCTGCTGCAACAACGATTCTGCCTAGGAAGCATGGCTGACTGCAGAATCTTTGTGCGTCTTGTAAAGTCATGCCGACAGCCATCATTTTTCCAGATCTCCCGCTGCTATCTCGTACCTTTCGACAATGGTACCCTCTATAGTATGCGATTATAATGGCATCTCTAGCGCTGATGATACCAGCAGCGTATGCAGCCGCAATTTCACCTGATGAATGTCCGACAACCGCACTGAAAATTATGCCACATTGCTTGAGTAAATCAACAAGTGCCACCTGCAGTGCTGTGCAAAGTGGCTGAGAGATCTCAGCGGAAGAGATTCGACCCGGATCATCTGCTCTCAATAGTTCTTCCGCCAACGACCAACTTGGAGGATTGTGTACATCTTTCAAGATTGACTCGAGCTGCGTAATTGTGCGCCTGAAAGAAACTGAATGCAGAAACAAGCCTTTTCCCATGGATGACCATTGGGCTCCCTGTCCTGTGAATATGCCCAATATGCTGATTTTTGGAACTTTGGTAGCCTGAGTAGCTAGAGGGGACTTTTCGTTATTTTTTAAAGCCAGGTCCAGCCTGTCTATAAGCTCGTTTTTGCTATTTGTTGAAAAAGAAACTCTGTATTTGAAATGTGTCCGACGACATTGCTGGGTCCAAGCTAGTCTGTGGAGGTCAATGTCGGCGTTGGTCTTGAGAAATGCGGAAAGCGACACAACTGTCCCTACAAGGGCTTTGTATGAGTGGGCAGAGAGAACAAACGGCCCCCAAGTCGGTTCTTGCTCTGAAAGAGACTTTGCGGTTCTAGAGCTACTGTCCCAGCTTTCGATGATGGTATGGACATTTGTTCCTGGAATCAGTTCAGCCGTGGAATCCAAACAGGGCTGTTAATGCATACCTCCAAATCCAAAACTGTTGACATCAGCCCTCCTTGGAGTTCCTGGTCGTAATTTTGGCCATGGCTTCAAACTTATTGGCACCTCAAGATATTGGTAATATGGCTCTATGTCTGGATTGAGTTGGTAGAAGTGTAGGTTGGGTGGAATGAGAGCGTGTTTCACAGCTTGTGAAGCCTTCAGCAGACTGGCCAGTCCGGCGGTTCCTTCCAAGTGGCCAATGACCGTCTTGATTGAGCCGACGTAAATCTTTGCGTTCTCAGATTCAACGCGCTTTTGGTGAGGAAAGAATGCCATGCTTATCCCTTCCGCCTCTTTTGGATCCCCAGTAGGTGTACCTGGAATATAAAGTGTCAGAGTCTATCTATGATGATTTGACGAATAGAAAGTTCAACAAACCTGTTCCGTGGGCTTCGAAGTATTGACATCGGTCCTCTTCATTCGCGCAGTCTAACCCGCATTTTGCATATGCCGACTGAATCAAGTCAGTTTGTGCAATTGCACTAGGAACCGTCAGGCCGGCAGATCGACCATCTTGATTCATAGCAGTGTTTCGGATCACACTTTCTATGTCGTCACCATCAGCGAGTGCCGTACTTAACTTCTTGATGACGACGGCCGCAAAGCCTTCGCCGCGGCCATATCCGTCCGCGCTGGCATCCCACATGCGGCATTGCGCAGATGAAGAAATCATGTGAAGCTTTAGAAACTCAGCTTCAAGAAAATCATATGCGGGGATTTGTCGGGCTAACTTACACTCGAAAGAAAACTGAACGTCTCAGGATTGAGTACCAGATTCACTCCGGCGACAACAGCCATATCAGTCTCCCCACTCCTTAGGGACTGAACCGCCAAATGGAGGGCAGCCAAGCTGGATGAACAGGCGGTGTCGATATTAAGCGAAGGTCCCTTCCAGTCAAATACGTACGAAACACGATTCGCTAATATAGAACGGGCGCTACCTGTTGCCGTATATTGAGGGTGACAATCCACATCTCGTAGTATCATTTCTCGGTAATCGTCGGACATTTGACCCACAAAAAAGCCAGTCGACGAGCCCCTGAGTTGCGAGATAGAATACCCTGCAGATTCGAGACACTCATATATTACCTCCAGGATTATTCGCTGTTGGGGGTCCATCGACTCCGCTTCTTTCGCACTGATACCGAAGAAGTCATTGTCAAAAACAAAGGGATCTGCGTCAAGCAGGTAGGCTTTTGTGACGTTTGTTGTCTACGAGATCCGAGTAAGTAGCCATATAGCGACGAGGTTCTTGTTTACTCACACCAGTGTGCTCTGGATTCTCGTGATAGAAGCCCTTTGAATTGAATCGACAGTCTGGAATTTCGGCGACAAGATCAACAGGCTGCTTCAAGAGTTCCCATAGCTTTAAGGGTGAGTCACAATCACCAGGAAACCGACAACTCGTGCCTATGATGGCAATAGGCTCCGGCGCATCATTCATTCTTTCGCTCATTTTGCAAGCGTGGGAATGTTTAGATGTAAAATCTGTTAAAGAACAATATACCTCATTCAAATTCCACAAAGAACTCGGATACTGAGATTCATCAAGCTTTTGAAGTCAATCAGGCCACCTCCAGTCTGCCTTGCCATCTTCATTCGGAGGCTTTTTAGCAACCGTCTTTGACTTGGGTTACATGGCTATCTCCACGGAAAATCGAATTTCCAGGCCATAACTAAATCTAGCCAGGGATTTCGTCTTTTCGGACGGTCAGCAGGTTTCAAGACAGTCTCATCACAAATCGTGACGAATTGTTAAACTAGATTAGTTGCTTAGTATCAATCGTGAGGTAAGTTCGTACACCTTCATAGCTGAGCGGTGTGGTATGTTTCTCGTACAACGTGAGCGACCAGCCTGATAGCAGTATCAAATGAAAATCCATTGTCGAGGCGTGTGTTGTGCCACAGTAAAGTGTGTGAAGTAATAAATCAAGAAGATTCGAACAAAGAAAGAATTTAGTGCTACGTTGGTAATGTATTTCAGCTAGTCACATGACAACTGTTGGTATGATGACAGGTACCTGATATAAATAACCAGAGCTGAACTTCGTCCGCGCCTCCCTCGCAACTTCCAACTACTCCACAAAAGAAAACTTCTTCATTTATAAATTATCAACTGAATCACTCAAATTCTTCGAATCTCACAAAATAACTGTTATTTTGCTTAACTCATATCTTCACCCTATACCAAATTACGAAACAAGTCGATCACAATGGCAGAACTACGCGAAGGCCAGCGCTTGAAATACACCGTCACCCACCACCGTCAGCCTCACCTCACTCATGAAGAATTCATGAAATGGATCGTCGACGAACATCTCCCACTCGCCATGCCCGTCTTCAAAAAGTACGGCGTTCTCGCGTACACTCTCGTCAGTTACCCCCTCCATTCAATCGAACCTTGTCTACTAACCTTAAAACCCAGTACGACMCCCCCGCCAGTATGAACGAGCCCCTTAAGGAGGCCATGATCAAAGTTCGCCCTACTTGGGACTTTGCCGATTATGACTGCATCATTGAGTATTTGATGCCGAGCCCAGAGGCCATGATGAACATGCAACAGGATCCAGAGTGGCAGGCATCAATCAAGGATCAGGAGAAATGGGTTAATGTCTCAAAGGCCTTGTTGACAGTGGGTTATGCTGTTCCATATCTCACCGAGTCTGGGGAGGTTATGAATATGACCAAGTAGAGCGTCTTACGGAGGACAATGTCGATTTAATTTCCAGTGTTAGGGGAAGCGGATGGCTCAAAATAGAGTAGCTTGCTTAGCAAATCACAACCTTGAGAAATGCAACGAAATTCATCTGAATCAAGTCTATCAATTCTCATGCTCATTCTTTCCATTCTACCTAGTAGGTTTGCCTCTCCCTAGTACGAAGACTTGCCCGCGTACTTCCGCCCGCGGTGAAGACAACCATGCATGCATATTGCATAGTGCTACTAAAATAAACCAACGCCAACGCACACCAAGCTTATTTAGCATAACAGCCGCCGTGTCCGAACATGCACGATAATTCCCGCTTGAACAAAAAATTCAACGATACCGGAAATTTACCTGGTGTAACGAGCATAGTGATCAGTCCACTTCTTGAGCCGTGTCTCGCGTCGATCATTGTCGGAGGCAATACCACCATAAAGTGGTACAAGGCATGAATGAATGATTTTGTCGAACATCATGTTGTACAGTCGTTACACAAACGTATCACGAAATTTATGCACAGTCATTGTGACAATACGCGATTTACGGCATTGATTCAAATACAAGTAGGACCGTATGTACGTATTACGCAGATTGAAAGTTGAGTTTGATTAAAGAAGATCTCATCTGAAAGATGTAAAAGACACGAGAAATTTTTGAGTAGAGGACCAAGGCGTCCAGGAAATATAGTAATCAACACATTCCCTACTTGTTGTTGAAATGATAGACATGTCTACTACGCTGCAGCCTGCACGGTCTCTTTCTTGTCCGACTCGTTCTCCAGACCAAACTCCGTCTCCAGCTCCGTACGCATATGCAACTCCTTAGCCACGAAAGTGAGCAGGAATCCCAGAAGCGCAAACCCAAGGCTCACTTGCCAGCACAATTTAAGACTGTCCACATAGATAGACTTGACGGTAGCTTCAAGATCTGCATCACCGTCCAGGCCCAGCTCTGGATACAGAAAGCCACCCGCGGCAAGCGTGTATGCACCGCCGTTTGTCAGCTTTGTACGCGCTTCCCAGTTTTCGGCTAGGCGACCGGCTGCCAGCGAATTCACTTTTGTATTGAAGATTGCCAGTGGTATAGCGACTCCCCAAATAGTGCCAAAACCACGCATGAAGGCCCATGTAGCGGTTGCAACTGCAATATCACTTTCAGGTAGAGGGGTGAGAATTGTTGGCAGAGTGACGGGGATACCGATACCAATTGCGACCGCCCCAATGATCTGAATTCCCGCCCAATAACCTGTTGTTGAGTGTCCGTCGAGCCTAGTGAACAAGCCCAGGGCAATAGGGAAAAGTGCGAACCCAGCGATTAGCAAAGGGCGATACCGTCCGATCTTGCTCATGATCCCGCCGCTTATTATGGTAAAAGGCATGCAAACGGCAGCCGTTGGCAGGAGACTTAGACCGGATCGAAATGCGGAAAATCTCAAGACTGCCTGGAAGTAGATAGGCAAGACGAAGAGAATCCAGTATACTAGCATATTGTGGATGAAAGCACACCATAGCCCAACAAGGGATGTGCGATTTGCGAACAGTCGTAAAGGAGTAGTTGGCTCTGGGACACGAATCTCGTAAAGCAGGAACAACGGCAACCCGAGCAACCCTAGGACAAGAGGTAGGATGGTTCTCCAGGACGACCAGGGCTGTTCACCGCCACCCCAAGTCATGGCCAAGAGAATCGAGGTAATAGAACCGACGAGAAGTGCATTTCCAGTGAAATCAACTCGCTTGAGTGATCTCATTGACATGCTCGATCCGCTAGGCAATGCTGAAAGCGATACCAAGACCACCACAAGTGTCAATCCAGCCAGAGGAAGATTCAAGTAGTAGATCCATCTCCATGTCACGCTACTTGCAAATGCTCCTCCAACGATAGGTCCGATTGTTGTAGAAATGGCATAAATAGCAAAAATGAACCCCATGAACTTCCCACGTTCACGTAGAGGTACCAGATCACACACAACCATTTCAACCATAGTATTGATCCCGGCGCAGCCAATACCTTGGATGGCGCGACCAGCAACTAAAGCACCGAGGGAAGGCGAAGGTCCAGCAATAGCTGATCCGACAGCGAAGACAATAATAGCGAAGAGTGTCAGGGCTCGACGGCCAAAGATGTTAGCTGTTTGTCCGAAAATTGGGGTGAAAGCCGCAGTTGTCAGAAGATAGGCGTTGGCAATCCACATATAGCCTTGGCTGGTTCCAAGATCGTAGATTATGGATGGCATGGCGGTTGAGACGGCTGTGGCGTCCAAGCCTGCTAGAAGACTTGCAACGGCCATCGATGTCATGATGGCCTATATGACACATGGATGTTAGGAACTGTTCAAGAGAAAAGATGACACATACTACTCACCCAGAAACGCCATCCCCGTTGAGGGGGGCTTTGGGCCGTCATTTCACTCGTGATTGGCTTGTCTGGCCTCATATCTTGAGTAAGTTACGAGACAGAGGATCAAAGTGGGAGAGTTTGTTGGAGGTCGATTGCAAATCTTACAGACGTTGACTTGATGGATATGAAGAGAAGGAAAAAGGAGAGTAGCCGTCAGACTTTTTGAGATATTTGACGGCTTAGCTCCTGCCTAAGGCAGTCACACCCATGGGAACGTAAATACCCGCAATATCACACCCAGGCTCATTGTACCACCCTGCCCATCACACCTCGGCGCATATACAATCTGCCATGTCAGAGAAATGGTAGCACTGCTCGCTCATACCTTCTTCAGCTGTGTGTAAGTATCTTTCAGGGAATGGGCGTGCTGACATGATGATATTCTTCACATCGGTTTTATTGATCATCTTCAGGTATAAAACAGGACTTCAGCGCGGCCATCGCAGCTCCGAAGATAATCGTATTTCTGTCTCGAATCAGCCTTCCACTACTGAGTAATACACGTCATCTACTCTGACTTCAATAAAATGTCCTCCATGCTGCTTTTATCTCTTCTTCCCCTTCTTCCTCGACAGGCCATCGACCTCGACGGCCCAACCATCCCTCCACCTAGCGGTTCTGTTTCCAATTTCGACAGCCCTCCAAATGGAAATCATATCGCTATCCCCATTATCATTCTATGTGCTGTCATCAGTGCCATCTCGTATTCGATTCGAATTTATGCTAAGTATGTGATGAAAAAGGTCAACACTTCTGACTGTGAGTTAATTCTTTTTTCTCGTTAATTCGTCTCGTCGCACGGGCTAATTAATCTAGACTTGGCCGTCATCGCTTTTGTATGTTGCGCTCGTATGGCCTAATGCTCAGTCTTGCTAATCGTAAACCAGCCCCTCTACTGGGTATATATCTATTATAGCTATCGACTCAGCGAGACATCTGGCTACCTCGTTCATGAATGGGATATTCGCCTGAAAGACATTTCGGCCTTTTCATACGTATGTTTTACTCTACTATGTGGGCAGACAAAGTTGACGCCAACTGACTATACTGACTGTCGCAAATAGATTTGCTGGCTTGCTACCCTTCTATATCTATGGATCATAGCCCTCGTCAAATGCGCAATCATGCTTGAATGGACGCGAATATTCGCCCCTGAAGGAACGAACACCTACCTCAGCTGGTCATGGTACGCCACTGGTGCTGCCATATCTCTTCTTTCGACTATCATCTTCATTATGGACCTGGTCAATTGCACTCCTTTCTCTGGAAACTGGGATGTGTTGGTTGCTGGGCGGCACTGCCGTTTTAGTGTTCCTGCCTTTGGACTGGCATCATCAATAGTCAACCTCACACTGGAAATCATTCCTCTTGTTCTCGTACAGAAAGTTATTTGGGGGCTACATATGTCCTGGAAGAAGAAGTTGGGTGTTAGTCTGATCTTTTTTATTGGTATCATGTATGTCTCCACCACCTCTTTGCGTAAGAAAAAAGAAGAATTATAACTCTGACTGGCAATAGTGGCTGCGCTGCAAGTACCGTCAGATTATACTTCGCAACCCAATTCTACGTCTCAAATGATACCAGTTATTTCTTCTCCATCATGGCCCTCTGCTCACTAAGCGAGACAACCTGTGCAAACCTCATCTTGTGTGTACCTTGCACGCCAAAGGCGATCAAGGGTTTCATGCAGACGAAATCATTTACAACCCTCAGAAGTTATACGACCTTGAGGAGCGGTCCTTCCACTGATGCTAGTACCACACATCGTACGGAGCCAACTTTACAGGTTCATGTGACTAATGAGATTGATTCTGTGAGCAAACCAAACGATCATTGGTTTATGATGAGCTCGAGGGGTTCGGGTCCGGATTCTACTTATTCCGGAGATTCTGACAGACACCACTTGGTGTGATAGACCAGATACCGCTATGTATGCGCAAGAAATCTTCCTTTAATATGGCTATTGACTTGGTACATGTTGACCATCTTTATTTTGGTATTTCCTTATCCTTTCTTTCGACATATGAATCAATGTATGCTTTGACTATATCTAACAGAGGCTTTACAATATAAGACATCGCCACCTAACTGTGAATAAATGTCATACCATAAACAGGTAATTTCTGCATACATATTATGAGTATATCTAACCGTCCGTCCTGTATTGTAACACGGTGTTGTGATGGTGTAACAACTGAGGTATGCTGACATGACTAATGTTGGTGATACACAGTATTGATAGTAATAATACCGTTACATACTCAGCTAGGACAAAGGAGCTCTTTCCATTGCCTGATTTTTTCCTTCCTCATTTGGTCATCTATGACTTCTCCCCGTTCAACCCCTTTTCAGCTTCGCTCCTTCGCCTCTCCTTTAATTCAGCTATCAATTCACCAGTACAGGGCTTTCAAAATCGTATCGAGTACCAGTCAAAAGCAACACACATGCAAAATGTCTCCATCAACCTTCGAACCACTAGCCACTCTCACCATTGCTCCACTCGTATCATCAACCTGTACTCTCTGGTACGCTTTCGACCAGCACCACTTCCTCGCCATTTTCGCTACGGAAAAATTCGAAAAGGTTATCCCCGACTACTTCATCCGATTCTTTGCTGCTGGTCTCCCACGGGTCCTGGGACTTCTGGGTACGACGTGTCTCTCCGTGATTGGAAATTACTTATATCGGTACGACTCTCTGGTCGCAAATCAGTCGCTGAAATGGTATCTAGCTGGCGCTGCGCTGGCTGTCAGTCATTTGACTTTTGTGCCCTTGGTGTTGCCTCAAGTCAAAGAGCTTCAGGGAAAAAGCGAAAGGTGTCACAGGCCCAGACAGGTGCTGTCAGAGTGGTTGTATTGGCATGACGTTCGTACTTATACCGTTGATTTGGCCGCGTGGGTGTGTTTTGCGATTGCTGTTGGCTTAAATGTGGCTGCTTAGTGGTTGTTAATGAGCGGTCAATAACACGTGGCAACCTATCGACATGAGGGTGGACGAGGATGAGGCTTTAGAAACCCTTAGTTAATTACACCCAGAAGGATCACCTGCGGGATTTGTCATGGACTTCCATCAAGCAGGCCCAATACACATTTTTTTGTAAACAGATATAAGTAAATGGAAATTGCAACAATAAACCGGCAGTATAGTAGACTTAGAGTGTGATCTCAATTCATATTCAAGCTCCAGATCGTTGGAGATCGTTGTTAGCTTCGTACCTGATCACAGATCGATGACGTCAGTAAGCACGTGTGCAGCCTTCAAGAACTCCTACTTCTTTTCATCCACAAGTATTGATAAACCTATAACGATGTTATGGTTTGGCTGCAAAGGTAACTGATAACCCCAAGTAATACATTTAAGTGTGCTTTAACAGACTTAGCTTGAGCACACTCGAAGACTTGGAAAGGATCGCAAACTAGCGGGGTTCCAGTCGACGAACTCTAATTGGCCGACACGGGCGTGTTATAAACACACCACAAATGGGCACCCAGATCGAGCGTTCTTTACTTTGTAATGCCAATCGCGAGCAGGGATAACTGTTCCTTCGAATACATCAAGTAGCATTTGCTTTTATTATTACGCCTACTAATCGAAATCGTTCACCATGGGCCGCTCCGAGGAAGATATTGCCTGGGAGAAGAGCGAGGGAATTCCTCAAGTCGAAGATCCCTTTATCCAAAAATATCTCAACGGTCGCGACGCACTTATTGAACAAGAACACAAACAGAGACATGGTCAGAACTCACATTATTCTATCAGTCCTTCTCATTACCTCTGTGGTCCCGAGATGGTACCCATGCAACATGTCCACTGACATACTTACAGATTTTGCCTTCCGAAGTTCCATGTCCGCAGTAGCCAAAGAAGCTTGCAGGATTGTATCCACAATTCGCGAAAAAGAGCTTCGTGAAATATGGACCAAAGACAATAAAGGTCCAGACGACGAATTGTTGTACCCCGGGATGATGTTCACTGTTGCCCGCGAACGCATGGAACAGACGAAACTCTGGAAAATCTTGGAACAAATGCCCAAAGGCGCGCTTCTACATGCTCATATGGACGCCATGTTCGACCTTGATTTTTTGATTGATCAGGCATTTGAGACTCCGGGAATACATATGTCTGCTCCGGCGCCGTTGTTGACCAAGGATGATCTAGAAATTGCACCGTTCACTTTCCAATACTTGCCCCATCAGCTCGAAGATTCTGACAATTTAGAGCCAACCTGGAGCAAAGACTATAAACCTGCCTCGTTTATCCATATACAGAAGTCTGCCGCCACATTTCCTGATGGAGGGGAAGCAGGGTTCCGACAATGGCTCAAGAATCGAATGATGATCACAGCGGACCATTCTTATTATCATCACCATGGCGTCAATGCCATATGGGAAATATTTGTGCGCGTTTTCCCAATTCTACAGTCTATTATATTTTACGAACCAATATTCCGAACTTGCTTCCGACGTATGCTTGCACAATTGGCGAAAGACGGGATCAGATATGTCGATTTTAGAGCAGCGTTTGTATTCGAATGGCGCAAAACTGGAAGTGAGAAGACAGAAAGCGACTTTTTGGAGTTCTTTCGAGTTTTCAAGGATGAAATCGAGAAGTTTAAGGCCAGCGAGGAAGGTAAAGGTTTCTATGGCGCTAGGATGATTTGGACGACTGTTCGTGCTTTTTCGAACAGAGATATTGTCGATAGTATGGAACAATGTATAATTGCCAAGCATGAATACCCAGACATAATATGTGGATTTGATCTGGTCGGTCAAGAAGACAATGGAAGGACACTTGTCGATCTTGTACCGTTGTTGTTCTGGTTCCGGAAAGTCTGTGCAGAAGAGGGAGTCGAAATACCGTTTTTCTTTCATGCGGGCGAATGTCTTGGAGATGGCGATGAAACAGATAAAAACCTCTACGATGCCATCCTACTGGGTACACGACGTATCGGCCATGGGTATTCACTCTACAAGCATCCCCTACTGATCAATCTAGTCAAGGAGAAGAAAATTCTTATCGAGTGTTGTCCCATATCCAACGAGATCCTCCGCCTATCAAGCACCATCAAACATCACTCTCTTCCCGCCCTCCTGTCCCGTGGGGTATCCGTCTCTCTGAACAATGACGATCCTGCTATACTAGGTCACGGCAGCAACGGACTTACCCATGATTTCTGGCAGACCCTCCAAGGTCTTGAAAATCTGGGGTTGTCCGGACTTGCCACCATGGCCGAAAACTCTATCCGATGGAGCTGCTTTGAGGATCAGACTACTGCCGAATGGCAGACTGATATTAAGCAAGGCATAGCGGGTCAAGGGATTAAAGCCAAGAGATTGCAGGAATGGTATCAGGACTTTGAGAAGTTTTGTCAATGGGTAGTGCTGGAATTTGCGGACGAAATTGACGATTAGCTGGAGGGTCTAGTCATCGCACCAACCTTTTAATGATACCTTACTTTAGGATGGTTCAGAACAGTTCTATCTAAACATTCCTTGTCGAGATCGTAAGTCGCTTGTGCCAAAGTGATCATTCAAACAGGAAACAGGATTTTGCATCTCGGCGACATATGTAGTCCTCAGCAGAGCAGGTCTTCTGTGTGAGAGAAACTGATGATGGTTTGTTTTGGCCTGAATGACATGACTCAGGCGGCAGTTCATATTACGCTAAACTGTACTTGGGCGACTATGACGAACACGGCCTAGTGCCAGCGGGACCAAAGATGTATTCGTGACCTGCGGCAACGTGACGCACTCCGCTTCTTTGCTGGCAACCTAGCGTACCTTCCCATACTATTGATCGTTTTGTTGTCTCAAGTGCTTCCTTCTTATCTCCAATCTACCTTCTTCAGCACTTGCGCGGGCTGAGGTGTTGGCTCCTTTGTCCGGACAACCTCACAAGAAGCCCATGCTTCTCGAGGGACTTTGTCCTGCTGCTTATCGCGTTCCTTATCTTTATCATTTCTCCGCTCTCCACTTCTACCTCCGAAAGATCACCTCATCTCAGTCGAAATTAGCCGTCAAAAGCGTGTCCTTTCGATCGCAGCGGTCGTTTCTGAACCTAGCTCATCGATCTTTGTCAGAGCTTCCTCTCATATATATTAAACCGCAAATTTCAACCTCCGTCCCGCTCGAATCGATCCCAATGAATTAGAAAGCCGTTCACCCGGCTTGGGTTCAGACGACACGAGCCGCGATGGACTACTTCCTGCCGTCGTTTGTACAAAAGCGGTTGCTGCGGTACGCACTCTCTCGGCTTGAGCTGGTTGACACTGAAGCTATCGACCTTGATAGCCTGGGTATACGATGGGGGCAGAGGAGTACATTCGAACTACGCGAGTTAGGTCTCAGGTTAGACGTAAGTAGACCCCCCTCGCAAGCAACAAATATTACCCCGGTGGCGGGAAATCTTCTGCTAACACTTCCTAATCTCACACAGAAACTCACCTCGATCCTCCGGTTACCGGCAACATGCAAGCTACTGAAAGCACGAGCTTCACTCATACGAGTGACAATACCGGCCGACATCTACAGCAGCGGGATAATTATCGAAGTCAATGGTGTGGATGTGCATATACAGCTGTTGTCTGGAAGTGAATTAGGAAATGACACACCGACTCCCGGAGAGTCTGACCAGAGCGATGGACCCGCGTTGCCCACGACAAACGACTTAGCGCAGTCGTTTATTGCCGCCGAACCTAGGGAAGAAAGAGCCGAAATCGAGGCCGCAATTTCGTCGCAGTCTCAGTACTTGCAACGCTCGACCACTTCACTAAGCGATGAGGATGAGGTTGGTCTCGGTAATGAGGAAGTTTCACTTCCCAGCTTCATTTCCGGCTTTCTGCAGGGAGTCATAGGCAGACTACAAATCAAAGTCAACAATGTCAATGTTCGCGTTGATATGGATCTTCCACAGGATGGGCCCATAAAAAGAATTCCGACAGACAAACCGGGCCAGCTGACAGTGTCACTAGTCGTTGGCGAGTTATCGATAGGCGGTGTTACTCAACAGGAAGGTCAAACTGCTCCACCGAATGCGACAGGAAGGAAAATCACGTTGGATTCGATAGGTGTGTTCCTGATATCCGATTCCGTCGTCTTCTCCAACTATGCACGATTTGCTGCCGCACCGTCGTCTCCTTCGACCACCACCTCGAATCCCGGACATAATATCAGACAAGCACGAAGTGTTTCGCCATCACAGTCAGCATCCATATCCGAGGGCTCGGGGCTAGGCCTTGCGCAATCTATGATGTTGGGTCGTTCTCAAGTACTTGAGCGGTCTGCGACTCCTACAGCATCAGGTAGACGGTCCTTGGAAAACTCTATTAATTCCTTAGATGGTCGATTCTCCGACGCAGACAGCGAGGCTGGATACGGATATCAGGGTCAATCTCATTCACTCTCGGTTAGTCGGTTCGATGGATTCAACGATGAGGTATTGGATAATCCTGGATATCTCGACGAGGTCTTCCACTCGCAGTTCGTTGATGATCCTGAAGACTCAACCGAGTTACCGCCGCGATCGCCCGAAGATACTGGTACTCCCAGACCTCAGAGTCCTCAGATAGACTCGTCCCAAGTGGAGACATGGCACGATTTTGACGAACCTCAATCTCAGAGTCAACACGAGTATACTGTTGAAGATACTCACTTTTACGATCCACTAGGGCAAAGTGCGCAAATTGAGTCATTTCCAGAGGCAACCCATTCGTTCTCTCCGGAACCAATCCAACAATCTTACTACGCGGACCTACCGACTACTCCTTCATCTCCAGAAGAAGACGTGAAGAGTCAATCCAGTCAAAGTAGTTCCCATTCTGGATCTTTACCTGCCGAGTTATCGGAATCGAAACTCTTTAGTCACGAAGAGGCATCGAGCATGTATATGAGTGCTGTCAGCGGCACCTCCAGCCATGGAGAGCCGGTAATGCCTGGCGCCTGGGACTCGCGAAATTTTGAGTCACCCACACACGAAGGAGAGACAGTCGACGAATCAGTGACACGTTCCAATCAAGAGGCAGGAGCTTCAACTCCAAAGGTTGGCGTTGAATCTCCATCATTTATCAATAAGAATAACGATGCCCCGCGAACCCCGACACGAGAGTCTTATCAGCCAGACTTTCAACATCACACAAGCGCTGCCGTCAAGACCCACACGGAAGAGCTCGAGGTGACTCGCAGAATCATTGATATTAGCAGAATCGTAGTCTGGGTACCAGAGAACGTCGACAATAGTCAACAAGAGCCTCAGGAACAACTACAACCTCAGTATCCCGGCACTACTATGGCCCAGTCAATTGATAGTGATGCTCTTGGAATTTCGCGAATGGACTTTTCAACGTCGATGCGCCGTAGTTCTATTACTTCGTCAATTGCCATTGATAGTGGTGAGCAGTTTGGTAATAGAAACGCTGATGTAGCTGGGCCTCTCTCTTTCAGCAATGCACCAAGAGCCATATGCGTTGATGTCGGCGAAACTGTTGTCCAATTTGACATAGCGACCGGATGGTTACTTGTTAAGGCAAGTCAAAAGGTTATCACTACCTTTAGTGTTGAGCATTCAGAGGCAAATGTTTCGAAAAACAATCAGAAATCTTCGTCGACAGAGTACACACATTTCAAGTTCAGCCTTCAATCCTGTTCGGTCAAATTCGTGGAAAGTCTGGCTGGTGGCTCCTACTATACGCGAGTCAAGGCTCCCGAATCGCCCCAATCCACTTCATCTACCGGAGAGGATGTCATCCTGCAGGTGCAAATACTCTCAATTACTTCTAACTATCTAAGTGCAAATGACACAATGAAATTCCAACTCAATGTGACTAAATTTGTTCTTGGATGTGCAACCGAGCCTCTGATCTCCTTCAATAAGGATCTCAAGATGAGAGAATCTGTCAGAGATGTGCGAACACCTGTTCCTCGCGATGTCACACTCACTATCATAAAGACTCCATCATCCGGCAAGGTCGAGTTTGCTACTTTACCATTACATATTAATTTCAACATACAGAAATTGGAGGAAATCTTTGGAATGTTCGGCGGTCTGAGCACCCTCATGGAGCTCGGAAGTTCTATGGCCTCTGTTTCAACGGTCCGGGGAGATAAGTCAGATTCCATAAAAAAGTCAACACGTGGTGTGCGATTCGAAGGAGTGCCGTCTCCGAAGGCCCCTTCTCCCATAACAACAACATCTGCTCCGTGGAAAATAAATGCAAGGCTAGATGGCATTATACTTGACCTTGTAGGCGAAACCTGCCGCGTCGAATTGGTGACTAGTGCAGTCAAGGCTGTAAGCAGATTTGAAGGCATCGGAATTCAGATCGACAAGGCTAACGTTGTCGGACCTTTACTCTTGGACAACGACGCGGATCGCCCAGCTACGCTCAGTATCGGAAATATTCGAATCGAGTACTTGTATTCGCCAAAGGAAGTCGATCTCGACCGGCTACTATCTCTGCTTACGCCCTCAAAGGATAAATATGAGGATGATGATGACATCATGCTCGATACACTATTCCGACAACGAAGACAGGGCGGCGTTCTCCGCGTCACAGCCTCGACAGCCAAGCTGACCATTCCCGATATCGAAGGATTAAAACCTCTATCCGACCTTCCCAACGAAATTGCAAGATTATCCAGCGTGACCAAGTATCTACCCGAAGATGATCGACCCGGCGTTATGACTCTTGTGCTCATTCGTGAGTTTGAGAGCCATACGCATGTCAACGAGAGAGTAGGAGATTTGCGATTAGCGACAAAAGATACGGAATTAGCTCAAATCGGCATTCCGTCTCTGGTTGCGGCTCAAGTGAAAAGTATCTCGCTTAGCAGAAATGGCACCGAGGAACTTGTAGGTGAAGCTCTGGATATTGCTGCAGGTCAAAGCCACATATCATCATCTTTGCCCATGTTGATGGTGCGTTTTATCGCGGATGAGATGGATCCTACCGTCAAAGTCAAACTCCACGGCTTCAGGGTGGAATATACTTTGCCTTCAATCATAGCGTTCTCCGGACTAGGAAATGACGCCACATCTGATGACCTCGCCTCCAAAATGGCCAGCTCGGTGGCTAATTTGACGGAAATAAGCGCGCCTCAATTTCACGGACCACTGTTTGGGGAGTTCGGCGGCTCTGAGCCTGATACAAAGCCTTTCAAGCTCGCTATGTCTTTGAGAGACTGTGTTGTCGGTTTGAACCCACGTGACATGCCTGCGAAAGGATTGCTGGTATTTACATATGCCAAGTTCGAATGCACGAACCAAGACAAGGGGCCTTTCGAGGCAAACTTTGAAATAAAAAAGGCTACATTGATGATAATAGACGACGTGCAAATGATTGGCAGCAGTGATAGTACAGGTAATCGAACCATCGGTGAGAGCCAGGAGGAACAAGTCAACAAACTCGGCAAGATGGGCTTTGTCCCAGTCTCGTACATATCATCGGCAGTGCTTTCAATCAATGTGCAGCCACCCGACTCGGTTGGCGATAAGTCTGTTGATGTAGAGTTCAGAGACGACTTGCTCATCTTGGAAACATGTGCAGATTCCACTCAGACACTCATTAGCCTTCTCAATGGTCTTTCTCCACCCTCATTGCCAAGCGCCTCGCTCAAATACCGTACTGAGGTCATGCCGTTGCAAGAAATGCTAAGCTCATTCACGGGAGATGCATTTACAACCGACCAAGTCACGAACGCCGAAGAAATATCTGTACATGAGGCTGAAGAAAACTTCGAGGGCGCTCTTGACGATGAGGTTGACTATGTCAGCGAATTCTATCCCCAGGAGCCTGGTTTTGAAGGGCCGATCAGCGCAAGTATGATGGATCCTATGGCTGATATGTCTCGATCCAGGCAACTTATGGACAGCTTTCATTCTCAATATACTGTTTCTACAAGTGTGACGGGACTCGAATTTCAAGATGATCATTTTGCTAAAAAGTCAACGGTCGGTGGCACCGCTCATAGATGGAACACCACTCAAAATACCTATGGTCTCGCGAATGAAGTTAAACTTCATGGCAGCCCTTTGAGGGTCAGAGTTCGTGATGTACATTTCATATGGAATTTGTTTGATGGCTATGACTGGCAACGCACTCGAGACACAATCTCCAAAGCCGTTAAGGACGTCGAAATGAAAGCTGCAGAACGACGTGCAAAGACCGCAAGTCGACTATCTCCGGAAGATGAAGAAGAGGAATCAGTGATTGGTGATTTCCTCTTCAACTCCATTTACATCGGCATACCGGCAAATAAAGATCCTCGTGAGCTATCTCGTGCAATCAATCATGACATCGACGATATGGCAAGTGAGACCGGCAGCTATGTTACGTCAACGACTGTCACTGGTTACACTTCTCATCAAAATCGACCTTCCTCGACTCGCGGGAAAAAGTTACGCCTATCACGAAGCAAGCATCACAAAATGACCTTTGAACTAAAGGGTATCTCTGCGGACTTCGTCGTGTTCCCGCCGGATGCTGGTGAGACACAGAGTACAATAGACGTACGAGTGAATGACCTGGAGATTTTTGATCATATTCCGACTTCGACATGGAAGAAGTTTGCTACATACATGAACGATGCGGGGGTGCGTGAAAGTGGAACTAGTATGGTGCATTTAGAGATTATCAATGTGAGACCGGTGGCGGAATTGGCGGCATCTGAAATTGTTCTCAAGGTATGTTTAAGCCGCTTTTCTTGTGGGAAAAAAAAAAAAAAGCTAATGGTTTTTCAGGCTACTGTGTTACCCCTCCGTCTTCATGTTGACCAAGATGCGCTGGACTTTTTGAGCCGCTTCTTTGAGTTCAAAGACGAGTCGGCACCTGCTCCTAGCTCGCCAGGCGATACTCCTTTCTTACAACGAGTTGAGGTCAATGCAGTACGAGTCAAGCTTGACTTCAAACCTAAAAGAGTTGATTACGCAGGCTTACGCTCTGGACGGACAACCGAGTTCATGAATTTCTTCATTCTAGACGAGGCAGACATGGTCATGCGACATGTCATAATATACGGTGTTTCGGGCTTTGAAAGACTTGGCCAGACATTGAACGATATTTGGATGCCTGATATTAAGCGGAACCAGTTACCAGGTGTACTAGCAGGGCTCGCGCCTATCCGATCTCTAGTAAATGTCGGAAGCGGTGTGAAAGATCTTGTCGTCGTTCCGATGCGCGAGTACAAGAAAGATGGTCGAATAGTGCGCAGCATCCAGAAAGGCGCCTTCTCATTCGCCAAAACCACCACAAACGAACTGATCAAGTTGGGAGCCAAGCTAGCGATAGGAACCCAGACAGTTCTCCAAAGTGCTGAAGACTTCCTCAGTACCCCGATTCCTGGAGCGGCCCATGGAGAAGGAGACGGTGACTCTACCGATGAAGAAGAGAAGAAACAAATATCCCATTATGCCGATCAACCAGTAGGAGTTGTCCAGGGTCTTCGAGGTGCGTTCCGCAGTCTCGAGCGTGATTTACTCATGACGCGAGATGCCATTGTCGCGGTTCCGGGTGAAGTCATGGAGAGCACCAGTGCCGCGGGAGCTGCAAAGGCAGTCTGGCGACGTGCACCCACTGTCATCCTACGACCTGCGATCGGAGCTACACGTGCGGTTGGTCAGACTTTGCTCGGAGCAGGAAACTCGCTAGATCCAACAAATCGACGAAGAATTGAAGATGTAAGTTGTCCCTCTTCCATCCTGTTTGATTAATAAAGCTAATACTCTACAGAAATACAAAAGGCATTAAACCCTTCAGCATCCGATTTAATATCACCGGTTACGAATAGATCATATTCCCCATTTTCGTTCTCATATTACAATTTGCATAAGGCGTCATTGTTTGCTAAATACGAATTTACGGCCGAACCCATGAAGATATCCCAATTGTCCATATTGTGCTTTTTTTTGTCGTTCACTTTTAATTTCAAAATCACTTATTTTTCTACTCTTCGCATTTACTTCTTTTGAATGTCTTTATTTTGTCTTGCTATGGAGTATGTAATCACCTATTGCATAACACATAACGCAGCGTTTTGTTCCTCCATGACTTGTTTTTGTACCCAGGTGTTGAGGCTCACGATACTCACCAGGATCAATGTTAAGTTTATTTTACCTACAGAAGCATTTGAGTACAGGATAGAATGAAATGAGAAATTAGATACCCGTAGATGTTTTCTATACGAGCTATCACTCCTCACACAGTGCTCTTCGCTAATCTTGTTAATCCTCAGCCCTGCGAAGTCAGCATAAAAAGAGATCCTATCACGCCAGCTGAGACACCTTTAAGTCCAACAAGGATTCCTCAATGGCCTAAGGTAATATTAATACGATCATTCGGATGCCACGAGCGCCGAAACAGATCTAATGATCAGTGATCAGTTTTAACCCTTGTACCTGGGTGTTTCAGACCCTTGGTCAGTCTGCTTTCCCAATTTGGATATTACGGGGCAAAGTACTTTTATACCTACCTAGGTAGCAATTATCTTGTGACACGCTACTCCTTTGACTATAACACAAGCTTATATTGATTAGATGTTGCTGGCTGCAATCCACGTGCTTGTAGTCTCCAATATCCATGCTGTGCTTACTGACAAGGAAGCTCACCAGGTGCTCAAAGGCCACCTAAACGAGCATGAGCGGAGAAGCTCGATGACACGATACTTATTTTCAGAAATAGCCTCTGCCGTAACATGTCTATTAACCTCGGATTGCCGAAATTTATCACATGTAGATCTACAGCACATTGTTGATAATAGAAGGGCTTAGTCAAATAATGTAGATGCAACATGTCCAGAACCACAGGAACCGTTAGACTGAATACGAGAACAACAAAATACATTCCCAAGCCGAGTGCTTGACTGGCTGATCAGGTAGATAGATCTATGATGAGTAATTCTGTGATGCCAGTACCTATTACGAGCGGTGCATCTAACCCCATTTTGCTCGTATGTTCTTGCGTCAAATCTCTGCCCTAACATTGAAGCCGCTTATGTCGTTTATGTCGTTTAAAAGTGGGTTGCGTAGGTTGAAGATATGGGTTTCATGTTTCCTTTCATTCAGGATAAGCACGTCTAACACCAAGAGTATGGAGCGGTAACCTCGGTCCGCTTCCAGCTATATTCTTTTTCTGGTTGAAATTGGGGTAACTTATTTTGTAGATTCGAGTAAAAAGGATTGCCGTCTCCCATCACTATATAAAGAATCTGATCGTAAGGTTACATGATCCTAGTCGTTCTGAGGCTATTTATAGCTCAACCCTGAGTTGTATGTAATAAGAAAGATAAGCAATATACATTCAACGCACCGAATCCTCTCCTTATCAACACTTACAAGCAACTGAACATTGATCACTGTTACTGGACGATATTAATTCTCCGAGTCTATACGATCCATTCACCGGCTTCTTTACACATAAGAACTGACATCTCATGTCATGTGTGTGAAGTTAGCTTGCAGTATCGCCATCACACGCAAAACGCCCTACTGCGCCTGGATCTATTATGAGTGGCTGTGTACCTATAGGTAAAGCTGTTGAGTCGACAGATCATATTGGTTCAGGGGGGTTCCCTACTAATCATGAGTGTTTTCTCACCGCCAGAGTCTCGGAATTAGCCTTGTCTACCATGCTTTCCTTGACTGACAAACTTTGCTGCCCGATCACTGACTCTCTTTTCTCATAACCCACATCAACTGACTTTGCTTGACGGTTGACGAGTACTAGAATACAATATTATTATTCTACACATTATACGTACTCATGGAAGCGACGACCACCATGGCATCGCTGGCCATTTCCCGCAAGAGCGCGTATGTATATAAACAACCATTGATGTCGTTGACTAATCGCGCGTGCAGGAACGATCTGTGGGCAGAAGCAGTAGAGCAGTTAAACGACAGTGACAAATCTGCTGTAAACTTCAGCCACGATAAACTCACTGTTCTCGTCAAATTGCAGCTCCTTGCTGAAAAGTCGAAAGATGAATGTATTCAGCGAAGGTGGAAGTATACTCGTAAAAGCGGCGAGACGGTGATTCTGAGAGACGTCTTCGAAAAGATGATAGCATGGATTAAGACCTTTGAAAAAGTTGGCAGCTCCGCGGTCCAGTACGATCCCGTTCATGCTGCACTCCCCTGGGCAGGAATTCGTTTCATTTTGCAGGTTTGTGGACCCTATTCTTGTTCATGCAGAATCACATCACTGAATGCACACAGGTGGCCATTAATAACCATGATAAGTTTGGAGAAGTGATGGAAGGATTGGCTGAAATTGCAGAGATCATTTGCAGGCATGCAATCCTTGAAGACCTCTATTGTGGACAAATGTCAATAGCTGCTGGAGAGTTACAAAGGGCCTTGGTTGTGCTGTATGCAACAGTTTTGAAATATCTCTCTAAAGCTAGAGCATATGTGAAGCAAAGATCTATAGGTCGGTCCGCCGATCTGTTTTAGTGGATTATGACTAACGAGCTTCATGGACAGAACGTATGCTCAAGAGTGGATTTCTACCCACCTCAGAACTTGACGACTATTTGGAAAAAACACGCAAAGCAGAGATTAATGTCCGATCTTGTGCTTCTCTGGTAGATAAACAGGGTCAGTAAACAAGCCTCTACAGCGAATAATCACTGATATGCCCGCCTTAGAAAACACCGTTCATCATAGTAAGATGATACAATTACTAGAATATATGGAGACACCTTTACGCAAAATGGACGAAAATCTGCGGCATATCGAAGACAATCTTCAAGGTGAGTGTTTCAGAATAGCAAATAATACATTCGCTTACGATCTTTAGAATCAAAGCGTAGGGCAATCTTGGAATGGATGTCACAAGAACCATACATTCAGCACCACGAACAGAACAAACAAGGCGTGCTTTCAGGAACTGGACAGTGGCTTTTAGCAGATTCAGAGTTTGTGAAGTGGAAGAACGAGAGAGCTTCGTCTATTCTATGGCTTCATGGATTCCTTGGGTCGGGTAAGAGCAAACTAGTGTAAGTCAAATTTACTTGTGGGTAAAATTGTATGCTAACACATTTCAGCTCCATTGTCATTGAAGATGCCTTGCGAGGCTTTCGCTCTGGCCAAACTATCCGACCCGTATATTTCTACTGCTCACGCAATAAAGCAGAACCAGGGCGCTCAGATCCGTCAAACATCCTAGCCAGCATCGCTAGACAACTCTCTTCTCTGGAGCCAGGAACGCCACTGCTCAGCCCAACTCTTGATCTATACAGAAAGAAAGAAGTTGAAGGATTCATGTCTGGACCCATGGGCTTGGAAGAGAGCTGCTCGCTTATAATTGAGCTTACAGCGCGGTATTCACTGACTATCATTGTGGTAGATGCACTGGACGAATGTGAACGACAAAAAAAATATGATCTCCTCAAAGCTCTTGAGCGAATTCTTCAAGAATCTTCTGGACTGGTTAAAGTTTTTGTCTCCAGTCGGAACGATCAGGACTTCGTCGTTCGTTTGAAACATTATCCAAACCTCGAGATTTCATCTGAAAAAAATGGCGCCGATATTGCACTCTTCGTGCAGACAGAGACGGAACGACTTGTCAGGGAAGAAGGCTTATTACAGTATAGCGACCATCCGATCGAGATGAAGAACCTTATTGTGAAAAAAGTGACTGATGGTGCGAGAGGAATGTCAGTGCAATAATTATTGTCAAAAAGAATACTATACTGATACCATTGAAGGTTCCGCTGGGCAAGCGTACAACTGCAATTCCTCTGCTCACTGAATATGGACGTCGACATTCGTAACAACTTGGGCCGACTTCCTCCCGATTTGGACACCATTTACGCAGAGCTCTATTGTATACTTTCGGAAAAATCTGGCGAAATGGAAAAGAGGCTTTTCAAGAATGTTCTCAGCTGGCTGTTGTGCGCCCGGTTGACGTTACAGACATCGGCCTTTTTAGAAGCTGTATCGGTTCCTACTGAAGGAAATGACAGTCGAGTTCGTGTTACGAAGGAGCTCGTTCTGAAAATTTGTGGTAGTCTGGTTGTGTTCGACGCTGAGCTGAATACGTTCCGTTTCGCCCATTTGTCAGTCAGGGAGTTTTTAGAAAGAAGACAAGAATATACGACAACGGCAACCAATGCTTTGATTGCAGGTAATAGTCTGCGAAGATTAATGTCCGCAAATATACCGTCTGAAGTGGATGGGCTTCTTTCGAAGCACGGCCTATATTCGAACCATGACGTGCCAGATCGTGACAGATTCGTCCAGTACTCATATATGTACTGGTGTTTGCATTTTAAATTAGCAGGGCATCGACGAATCTCTGGCGATTTGAAAGAAACCTTCCAACGCTTCATATTGAGTGCAGACATTCCAAGCGGTCCCATCAAGTCGTGGCTCGATACACTTCCCGGCGTGCTCAGCGAAAGATATCATTGTACTCAGAACGAAATCAAGTTGCGCGATACCATAACAACATCTGGTTCGACTGTATCCGGAGTCCTGTTTCTTGCATGTATCTTCGACTTTTTTGAAGTACTAGAAGTTCTGAAAGCTGAATGGATGAAGAGCGGGCATTTCTTGAATGCACAGAATAGAACTCTTTTCGATGTGTCAGTATCCTATGGAAATTGTGGATCACTGAAGTTTTTGCTTGACGCAGCAAGCAATATGAACGTCTCCGAGAATTTAGTCGAGACAGCTGCTTGGAGCGAGTCAAACGGCGAAGAGATCATGAGAATACTGCTTGACAAGCGGGGCAGGAAGATCCAGATCACACCAAAGATAGTTCAAACAGCTGCTCAGAATTGGCAATGTGGTGAAGAGATTATAAGAATACTGCTTGACAAGAGGGGCACGGAGATCCAGATCACACCAAAGATAGTTCAAACAGCTGCTAAGAATTGGAAAAACGGGGGAAAGATTATGAAATTATTACTTGATAAGCGAGGCACTGAAATTCAGATCACTCCAGATGTGGTTCTAGCAGCTGTTGATAATCGTGGAAATGGAGAAGAAATTATGAAAGTACTACTTGATAAGCGTGGTGGTGAGATTCGGATTACACCAGACGTGCTCCGGGTGGTTGCTCGGAATAGAGGGTCTGGTGAAAAGATTATGAGATTACTGCTTGCCAAGCGTGACAGTAAGATCCAGATCACATCAGATTTCATCCTGGCAGCTGCTAGAATGAGAGTTCCTGAAAGGATCATGAACCTACTGCTTGAGAAGTGTGATAGCGTGATTCGGATTACACCAGACATGGTTCGGGCAGCTGTCGAGAATGGGAGGATTGGAGAAAAGGTAATAAGATTACTGCTTACTGAGCATTTTAGTGAGGTTCAAATCACAGCAGACATCGTTCAGGCAGTTGCTAGGATGAGCGGGAGTGAGAAATTCTTTGAATTACTGCTTGACAAGCGGGGCAGTGAGATCCAGATCACACCAAAAATCGTCCAGGCGGCGGCTGAGAACCGGCAAAGTGGCGAAGAGGTCATGAGAATACTGCTTGATAAGCGGGGTAGTGAGATTCAGATCACACCAGACGTCGTTGAGGCGGCGGCTAAAAACTGGCAAAGTGGGAAGAAGCTCGTGGAATTATTACTTGACAAGCGAGGCACTGAAATTCAGATCTCCCCAGATGTGGTCCTGGCAGCTGCTAATAATGGATTGCACGGAGAACAGATTATGAGATTACTCTTTGATAAGTGTGACAGTAAAATCCAGATCACGCTAGAGATAGCTCAAACAGCTGCTAGGAATTGGCGAAATGGGGAAAAAATTATGGAAATACTACTTGACAAGCGAGGCGCTGAAATTCAGATCACTCCAGAGGTGTTCCGGGCAGTTCCTTTCAACTGGGAATGGGAATTGGGATTATGGCTATGATTCCCTACCTTATGGAAGTATCGATTTCGTAAGATTATCCATTACAACGCTCCACCGCAATCTCCCGGTATAATCGTGAACTTCAAAGGTTCCTAAAGGCTTTGTCTGCTTTAGACAATTATTGAACATAAATGCATGTATCACAAATTGAGCAGCTTCTAAGTTTTGCCCTATGTATCACATGTATCCTTAGACTCTACTCCTACAAGGATATTCGGTTGCTGTACTACCATCACTTTAGATATAGCTATTGCCCCGGCCGGTTTTTGTAATTCCAAGCAACACATGCTATCCGATAAATGCCTCAACTGCTCCAATGACCATGGTATTTATGTACATCTCATCATAAATACATTTTTGAATTTTACCATAGCTGGTTAGCGATACAGATTGCGCTTCGAATTTGCGCATCATTCTGGGTCCTCAGAGTGCAGACTACGGGATTAGCCCTAACCGTCCCAAAAGGGCAATTACCCTGGCCAATCTTCAATAAAGCTCCAACATTAGCCACCCCCTAGCTGCTTTATTCTTTATTGCTTTATCCAAGAGTCAAACCTGTTATTTGTTTTCTACTAAAAAAAAAGGACGGACATCTCCGATAGACATTCCATGAGTGCCATTTTAGTTTCGATGTGAGCGAGCGATTCAGTTGCAACCGCTGACTTATTTACGGCAGTGTTCCTGCATTTAATCTCTGCGGCATTTGTCACACAGTACACAAGGTTTTTGGTCGTTTCTTCGTAATATTAACTGCTCCCGTCTCATACTCGCTACAATATACATCAATATCTAGCAGACTAACATAGCCCGAAGCTAAGATTTGTAAAGCTAAGCCTGGGCCCCAACGAGCAATTCTGTTAGAAAAGCTTTTATTGAATTTAAGCTAACTTAGCAGTGCTACATGGGATTTTTCTGGCTCTATTATTTCGCATCTGAAGTACGCCGGGCGCTCACTAAAAAGGTTTCAAGTTTATATCACATACAACAGGTTACAGCTGCTATGTCAATGTTCAGCGCATGTATCAACCAATTGACATTGATAGAATTTAGCCACATTTTGCTTAACCAACATAAGCTTGTTAAGAATACATTATAGTGACATTGCTAGGGTCTTTTAATCCTGTGGAGCCAATGGCATCGTCGGCCCATCCAACACACCTGCGACCTAGGAACGAATCAAAGCCTCGGAAACATTCCAACAACATTTAAATCAATTCCGCTATGACAATGCAGTCATTACTTCTATTTAGACCCAACATTTCAGGTACGAATGTTGGTTGGGTGCAACGAAAAGCTTTCGTGATGGTGTCAAGTATTTGTGTTCCTCCCGTCCACGCGGTGGTCATGTATCACCAGCTCCATTGTAACTTTACCCTCGGAGTGACCCAGATCTAGTCGGAAAATGAAGACACCTGTCCGTATGAAAGTTGGTTTGGTGGTCGTACTTATGTAGCATGTAGCCCGTCTTTTGCAACACTGAGCGAACGGCTAGTTACTACCTGTCGGCCCTCGCTCTTTCAGGATGTATTTGATCGTGGTTTCTGCATGGATCTTTGCCTGTGTTGCAGCATCGGGCAAGGGTCTCATACATTTCCCTCGTAATGATTCCAAGCCTGTGCAAAGTGCACCACGAACAGTAGGATATTTTGGGAATTGGGTATGCTAGTCAGGTTCCTACTGTTGAAACGCAACATTAACGGGCCAACTCAAAGGATATCTATGCTTCATCGCCTTATTATATCACAAACATTCCAGGGAGCAACTTGACGCATCTGATCTATTCTTTTGCAAATGTCAATTCGACCACCGGCGAAGTGTAAGCCAGCAACTAATGTCCCCATCTGGAAGTAAAGATAACTGATTTTCTCCCCAGGTATCTAAGTGACACATGGGCAGACCTACAATACCCCTATCCAGGCGACGACAAAACCGCTACTGGAAACAATGTATACGGCAACATAAAACAACTGTACCTATGGAAAAAGGAACAGCGAAACCTCAAAACCATGCTTTCCATCGGCGGCGGCACATACTCCACCAACATTGTCCCCGTTCTAGCAAATGACACTCTGCGTCAAAAGTTCGCCGATTCCGCCGTCACACTTCTCGCCAACTTAGGATTTGATGGGCTAGACATTGACTACGAATCCGTCAGCGATTCCGTGCAAGCGGAACAATTCGTCGATCTGTTGAACAAAACTCGCACGGCCTTGGACACATTCGCCGCAAATATCAGCGCAGCTCCATTCTCACTCTCATTCGCATCCCCAGGTGGATCTTCATTTTACGATCTTCTCAACTTCAGTGCTATGGACCAATACCTCGATTTCTGGAATTTTATGGGCTACGCCTACACCGGATCATGGAATACCTATTCCGGACACCAGGCCAGTCTCTACAACTCCTCCAAAAATCCCCTCTCAACGCCCGTTGACACCCATACCGGGATTCTGTATTATATATCCGAAGGCGTGACACCAGATAAAATCAACCTCGGCTGTCCCTTGTATGGAACATCCTTCAATAACACCTCGGGCCCCGGGACAACCTTTGATGGAATTGGCACACTGGGCACAGACGGTGCCGCTGGACTGTGGTACTACAACTCTCTACCTGTGCCAGGCTTCAACGCGACAACGTATAATCTCCCAGATATAGGTGCTAGTTATAGCTATGACCCCGTCAAGAAGTACATGATCAGTTACGACACGGCAAAAGTCGCAGCCGTCAAGGCACAGTATGTCCTTGATATGGGCCTCGGAGGTACTATGTGGTGGGAAGTCAGCCAAGATAAGACCGATGACTCGAGCCTGATTGGCACCACAGTTGAGACATATGGTGGACAAAGTGCGCTAGATCAGAGTCTCAATCATTTAAACTACTCGACGAGTGTGTATGACAATTTGAGAGCTGGCTTTCCAGGTGAGACGATTGCGAATTCGACGGCAACTTCGACTTCGACGACGACTACGGCGACGCCGTCTTGGACTTCGAGTGTGACTTCTTCGCTTGTGGAGCCGAGTACGGTTCCTGACTGTACAGAGTATCATCTTGTTGTTACGGGTGATACGTGCTCGAAGATTGAGTCTGAGTATGGTATCACGAATGAAGAAGTAAGAATCTCTCGACGACTTACCAAGATTCTGGAATGTCGATGTTAGCTGACTTGTCAAATGTGTAGTTCGCACAGTGGAATCCCTACAGCGGCTCAACATGCGAAAACCTTTGGCTCGGATTCTATGTCTGTGTTCAGGGACCTACGAGTACTACCTCCTCTACCCCAGCGATCTCCTCGGCCACAACAACAGCAGCTCCCTCACCCGCAGAGCCAAGCACAATCTCCTCTTGTACAAGCTACCATCTCGTTGTGTCAGGGGATACATGTTACTCAATAGAAACCGAGTATGGCATTACAGTTAATGAGGTGAGACCATTCCAAATTCACTCTCTCTTGTTTGAATACGTGCACTAATATAGTTCCACCATTGCACATAGTTTTCAGAATGGAATCCCTACATTGGCGCGGATTGTATGAACCTCTGGCTCGGATTCTACGTCTGTGTTCAAGGACCGACTAGTTCTACTTCCTCCTCTGCTCCGGTGACTTCTTCGGCTAGTGCTATCAGTTCGTTTACTCCCGTCACCATGCCAGCTACAACAACCACATCAGCAACCACAACGATTTCGACAACGACCCCTCCATCGCCCACGGAACCAAGCACAATCTCATCCTGCACGGACTACCACCTCGTCGTTTCGGGAGATACATGTTACTTGATTGAGCAAACGTACGATATTACCGCTGATCAGGTACGTTGCGTCCTTCAAAGATAGCTTTCAATAGTTACTAACGACGTGAATAACAGTTCAATGAATGGAATCCATATGTCGGATCTGATTGCAGCAATCTTTGGCTGACATTCTATGTGTGTGTTGGAGCGCCTGCGACGAGCTCGTCGAGCTCGTTATCTCGAAAGTGGTACCTTGGCTGAAGGGATGCGCATCCTGGGTTGCGCTGCTGGTTCGACACTTGGCCTAGCGTGATGGACGTTACATATATCAAATAATAAATCGTCAAACGAGATAGGTATATCTTAACCAATTGATTAGATAAAATGAATGTAAAGTCACGACGTAGGATGCCGGTAGGGGAGAACGACCTAGATCATGCAAGAGCGGACCGGCAGAAAGGCTGCATCAACAGTATCGTACGTACAGTTGACACACCTTAAAAATGTGTCATCTCCCATCCGGCATTTAGTGGTCGTCATGATCGCTGTTACTGGTGGATATCAGATTGCGCACACAGCCACAAACAATCAGCCTCCACTGCCTCCACCTCCACTATCCACACCTTTACTCGTCTACTGCCAGTCAACACCCATGTCCACGGATCCTGATGGAAAAACCATTTGGCCAATAAACACTCGAATCCGAAGATGTCTCTGCCAAGATAGACTTTCGCATGACCCTCCTTTACGTAGGCTCCCGGACTCGCGGAGATGAGTGTTCTCCCTTTCGAAGCGGTCAAGAGCAATAAACATCGCTCCTGTTCATCCATTTCAACCTTAAAAACACTAGAAGAGGCCAGGCCGTGCCTTGCAGATGCATCAACAAAACGATTATGCATGATAAGATCAACCATATCGTGCCACGTTCCTTTGTCTGTGCCTTCCCCTCTTCATATGCAACCCTTTTCTCGACTGGGCCGTAGTCATCTGCACATCCCCACTTGACCAAACTATTGAGTAATAGCTCACTCTTTGATGTCAAACTATCAGCCCTGTTGTTTCAAGAAACACCGCGTTTCTGCTCTTTGACTGGTTAGACTGTCCGTGGCTGTGATTGGTCGATGTAAACAAACCGGCGTGCTGTCCTATGATTGGCTGCCACTGCGGATAGACGATCATCCAATGGGACAAGCAAGATGGCCGTTTCAAAGAATAAAAACAACTTCAACCAAACAAACTTCTCTTGATTCTCGACGAGTTTTTACGCTCGAGGGCATCTATTCGTCGTTTGAAAATGAATTCCTCTTCCTGTTCCGATTTGTTTTGGGTACCCAATTTTCTAGGCCCTCTTTTCGTGAGGCTGGGGTGAAAAAATGTGCCTGATGATGATGTTCAACCAAGTCCAGTCGATTGATCTAGGGAAGATGATGGTGTGGGACGAAGTATGTTTGCTTCAGATTTTAGTCATGATAATACTTTTTTTCTTTCGGATCATTTCATCATCCACGGTTGTAGACTCGTTCGATGGCTCGGAGGAAAAGCAGAAAAGATGACCTAATTTATTACTTTCGTTTGCCTTCGACTCTCTTTCCTTTGGGGTCTATTTTGAAATCAGCTGGCTCAAACGATGCTCTCCTGAGTCTTTTTTTTTTTTTTCTCTTGATACTCGCCGACAAGTCTGGCATGCAAAGCGTGTCAAACAGTCCTGCATAAGCACATACCACTCGTTTCATACTTAAAGATTCAAGCTCCTCGGCTATTAGCCGCGTCACTTGTTTCTCTGGTCCTCGAAAATATGCATGCTAATCCGGTCTTGCGACGGTGCGTGCTTGTGTAATCTTCTGAAAAGTTCTTCGAGTACGATTGAACTTGGCTTGTTGAGGTGTGGGTTGAGCTCATGTATGATGTCTTTGTGTGAAGCTGATGTCGGAAAGGTTTTGCTTTTGTCTCTTGACCAATAATTTGCATTAGACGGTGTTTCTTGCTTTTGGATTGGTATATGGTATAGGATATAGACGGCGTCAAGGGTTTGTGGTTTCTTGTTCATATCGAGCATTTGCATGAAGTGAGTTTGTCCTAGAGTTGTTAGTATCATAATTGAGAGTGAGGCTGATTTGATAGATTATCTGTTGGCCGGAGTATCGATCGTACCTCTGCCGCGGAGCTGTTAGACTCATAAGAGCGAAGTTGTCGAAGTCTCATTACCTTATTGGGACACCTTACAACTAGTTCTCGCTTGATTAGCATTGTGGATATGGCTCAAGCACAAGCATTCAGCCTGCGTATCGACACGAACTTCTCTTCAGGCCAACTATCTCTTCATGAATACCGGAAAATCCTGTCTCGACAAGACAGCAACAAGATGTCGCCCACATCTTCTAGGCCCAGACTCAAGAGAAAGCCGGCTGCCTTAAACCTATGTCAAAAACCGCATCATGATATTGGATTTCAGGTGCAGTCTCCTGTGTCGTCGGCTCCTTCAAGTCCCCCACCGCTTTCTTTTAGTCAGTCGGTAATAAGTCTACCTAGTGGTGACCTACCAACGCCAATATCTCCGATATCCATGATAAGACCGTTCTCTCGGCATGTTTCGTCAAGCCATTCATCAAGTCATTCACTAGGAGGAAGACGAATGGTAGGTGTTTGCTTATGCAATCTGATCTGAAATCCTTTGCTTGCCTAAAACCTTCGTGCCCTTTCTGTACACCTTCTGCATAGTATAAAACCTGTCTTTCTTTCTCATGATTCCGTCATCAACACCTTGCACAGATTTCATTTTGCCTTTGAGCGTGCTCAAGGACGTCGATGTCTCCTGACAGCTTTGATTCTTGCTGAGGCGATCGCAGACTCGACTGTCTATGGAGGGAAAAAGTCGCTAATAGCCTAACAGGACCCATTCTCTGCCCGACTTAGGAGACCAATCCGAAATTTCGCAAGTCATAGTCGAACATCCTCAGACTCGACGTTGCCCTCCACTAGCGCCCCGACATTCAAAGTCAAACACAACGGCGCAGAGTTCGAGATCCTAAATCCAAAAAGTACTTCTTCATTTGATTTTGGTGAGGTTTCTACTTACCGACTATCCAACCTATTCAAAAACACGATGGAGGAGGAAAGCCCCGACATATCGCCAACGCACTCATTCATGAGCTATGCGTTACCAGACGACATGATTCGACCCCTCTCTGCGTCTGAAAGCGCGGTGCTCTCCAAATACACAACACCACCACTGTCGCCAGGACTACCACAGTCCAATCATTCGTTCGCTGCCCTGCCTCCCTTGAAAGAATCGCCGTCGAGTCCAGTGTCGCCTCGATCCCCTAAGACTCCAGCAAGGACATTGAAGCAGAAAGTATCTCGTTTATTCGGTGGCTCGGATAAGCGTTCCTCGCCCAGGTATGAAATCGACTTAAACGAGAAATTTGACTATCGCAACGAACAGGATGTCCCACATTCACCGCTGTCCTATCATTGGGAAGCAGAAGACTCAGTGAAGATATTGCATTATCCAGGAACAGCAGTCGACACAACCAGCTCTGACTACGAAGGAAACAACTCATCCAAACACGACTCTGAAGATGTCCATTCCCGCCGCAGACCAACATGGGGCCCTCACTCATCCAACCGTCACCAGACCCTCCAAGATGCTCTTCGCCAACTCGAAACCGACAACAACGGCCTCACGTTTGAAGATATAATGCGCTACATTGATGCAGAGCAATGTGAAGATCGTGCTGGGAACGGTGATGGTGATCAAGCCCTAGACGAAAAAGTTGAACGACCATGGCAGCCAGATACATGGAACGAACCGACTCTATTGCGCATGCCACAAAATCGTCCATCGAATAGCAACCTCTCGACGAATGCGCCTAGTACACGTGCCTCTATTCGACCGTATGTTGAGAGGGCTGCAGCGTTCATGGCGGGTGGTGCTGATGGGKTCAGCTCGTCGTCTTCGTCACTTGACCCAGCTGAAGAAACTCATGAGGCGTTGAGTAAGAACGTGATCCACGGAAATGATTATGGAAAGGATGAGGATGAAGAGGAGGCCAGAACCGAAGATGACTATGAAGTGAGTCTTCTCCATCGGGAAGAACAGGGTCGCTCCTTCCTTCCTTCCACGAGCATCTTCCCTATCTAACATCTCACAGCCAATACCACCCCTCCGTCGTAGCATCTCCCGCCGCGCTCGCCCACTCTCCTCCAACCCTCCAGATCTCGACACCCCACTGCTCTTCGAATCGCCCTCTTCCTCTTCCTCCTCGTCCTTGTCCTTGGTCTCCAACGTCCGCGCTATCACCCCTCCACCCAGGCGTACGGCGACGCCTCAACCCCTGACGAGAATCAGCTGGACACCTGAGATCCCAGCCCGTCATCCTGATCATCGTCTCGTCCGGTTCGAATACGATGCTACTACAATCAACCCTAGAGCCGGCACACCGCTGCCGCCTTTAATATCGACAACATCGCCACAAGCAGCAGGACCGAGGGTGGTGACTACTAGTATGGCGCCGCGGAAAAAGGCTAAGAAGCATTGTGAGTGTTGTAGATGCTGTCCCTTGGTAACTGAATGATTCGCTGATTGATATATGAAACCAGCTTCCGGGTGTCATTGTCTGTGAGATGATGACAGTATAATAGTACAGCTATTATTTGACTGACTCAGTCATTCCTTACGATTGAAAGGTGACATTGACCTTAGACCTGAAAAAGTCTTTCAAGGTTTGATTCTCTGTTTTGTTTTGAATGCGATGTTGATGACAACGGGAGCGTGGCAATGTGATTGTACTTTTACAAACCTGCAGTGCGGGCATATGTTTGAACAATGTATTCTAGGATGATTCTGGAGCCTACAGGAAAAGGCAGGAATAAATGACCAAAATGATTGACCCAAAGAATAAATTATCCCAGCTATGCCAATTGTATAGATATGAATATCCGACAGAAGAGTTGAAAGCTCTTTATACATATATAAACCCGCGGATCGCAATGCTTTGTACTCCAGCAATAAAAACAATCCCATAGTTTTGGCCGTGAGGCTCACTTCTAGATGAACGCAGATACTCCTCCCAATGCAATAACAAATTCAACTCAAACGACGCCAAATAAAATCAAGAGAGTAAGATATGGACAGAGAAGTGAAGTAAACAACGCGCAGATAAAACAGATAGAAGCAGATCACTGCACAGGGCTCGATGATCTAGACGTCGGCACCTCACACATCGCTGAAGCTAGCGTTGCACATACCAGACTCTTTCGTCTCAAGGTTTGCTCGCTCTTCTTCGACAGCAACTCGCGAGCACGTGGCTTTGCGATACGTGTCGACGAGGCGAATGTTCCGGCTGAAGTGCTGCGCCTTCGCAGCATACCGGGATCAACTGATGTCCGTGAGCGATACCGTGCATTTCCGGCTGGGGAGGCAGCACTGCCACCGCGCGGTTTGATAGATGCTCGTCGCAGGCTACTAGGCGGAGAAGTGTTTGGCGGAAGAGAACTGGGATGACATTCTTCATCACTCAGCCCTACTGACTCGGATCCTCGACGAGTAAAATCTTCAGCAAGCAGAGCAAGTTTAAGAACGTCTATATTGCACTGTGCTCGGGACATTTGTTGGCGCTGCAGCCGCAGGCTTGGGTCCCGCGGAAAACGGGGGTGTGGTACATCGAGAAATCCGTCGTGTTCGAGTGGTATCGAGGTTGGAGAATGTCCAGGGTGGTATGGCTCCCAACCCGGAGTCAACTGATCGTAGTAGCCTTCATCTTCATATTCGCCCGGTGGGGTCAAAAGTGTCCGTACACTGCTGCGGGACGAGGCTGAATCCTTAGTCACTGAAAATGAGAACGATGTGGGGGAGAGCGGTGATAGTGGTGATTCGTATGGCGCGTGTGCCAATACTGGTGTAGTATTTTGATCCAAAGTATGTGCGTTCAGTTTCTCAGTCAGTGTGCTGACCGATATCCGGCGCTGGAACTGCTCGTAGTTGCTCGGCATGGATGTAGGAGGCTGTTGCGGCCGACGGTGATATGGCGATCGTGGACGTGACAGCGGACGCGACCGTCTTGATAAATAGGACGAGGGCGATGGGCACCGAGACGAAAGTGGAGATATCGTCGTGCTATCGCAGTCGAGCATCAGTCGATCGTCCCCTTCCGCCGTGGAGGACGGGGACGGAAATGAGAAATTCTCAAACATGGTCGCTCATATAACAGTATGATCGATTCCCGGTTTCGTACAACGGGCGGTATATAACCAGCGCGGATGTTGGCTTTTATGAGATTGGGGGCTGGAGGATGAAAATGACGGTATATAACGAGTGGTCGTCGCCTGGAAGGATATGAGTAATAACGTTCCTTGGGGCCGCGGCGGCTCGGTAATGAGGGATTCAGCCCGCAAGCAGTCAGGCGATGGACAGTTAAGCGATGAAATGGGTAGATGAAGCGAGATGATTTCGAAGATATGTATGAGTAGTATTATGTAGATGAAGAGAATATTGTTCCTTTTTTCCTTTTTCACAGCCTAGAATAGAAAGTGGCCACCGAGGAAGAAAGTCCTCGCCGCACAGCCGTCTTGGCCAGTAAAAAGCAACAGCGGCACACTAACCAAACAAGCTCGCCCAATCACGTGCCGGCAAATTTGTTCTTTTTGTTCTTTTCAGCTTCTGGAAGACCGGCCTAGTGCCTGTTTGGGCCTAGTGGAGAGATGCAGCGAACTCTATATAGAACATAGTAACTCTTGGTGGGTGCCTCAGGAAGCAACAGACAGGGGCCTGCCGCTTAAAGTCGGAGTTCTCTGCCAAACAGTCGATCATCACACGCAGCCATGCAACTTTCCACTGACACACTGACTGCTGTACATACTCCATGCGTCGTCGGTGTCAATTCGATCAGTCAAGACAAACGACATTCACACATCAAACAACAGACACGACGTTTGTAATGCTGGTATTCAGCCATCGGCCCGTTTACCTCTTTTTTTTGACCTGCGTATGGGGCGGACGACGCTGAACATCGTTAGTAGGTTAAGTATTGCTTACAGAGAATCAATAGTCACAGCCACAGCCATGAGTTATCCGGGGCGCGAGGAGATTGTCCGCAGACCGAAGTTTACAATGGATTTTGATGCTATACCATGTGATTTCTCCTGATCTCGTCTTACGTGGATAAGAAGCGGTTGCCTACTCATCGAATGTGTCATCTGCTGTTACCAAGCTGCATTAATGTTTGATCCTCTGTGGTGATTGTCCGGTTGCCAAAGGAAGGAACAGCCTTTTGTCCTCGCAGTCATAGAGTACGTACGCCTAAGGTTGGTCGCTTTGTGTTGCCAAACCCTAATCAGGGGCGATGGAATGATCGCATGAGTCTTGCGCCATTTCGCCTGTCAACTACATGCAGTACGTACCACCGAAACTCTCGGTGCGTATCCGCACACGCGTTGCCGGGTCTAGAGCCAGAGGAATCCTTCATGGGGCAGGTATGGAGTCTAAAGGTGTACACATCGAAGCTAAGCATTAGTGTCAATTTAAGCAGTAATTGTTCTCGTGCTCAAGTATTTGTCTGTCAATGAACGATTTTCTCAATGATCGTTGAGGATAACGATAGTCGGTGCCTGATTAATCAGGCACCAATGACGATGTCGGAAGGCAGGCCGAATGTCCGACCCCACGGACATCAGAGTCCGATGCTCTGAACAACTACAAAAATAACATCAAGCTAAACCCTCAGAGTTGATCTTCTGTAGTGCGCAACAATTGATTACAATCAAGTAGGAGTCTTACACAAGTCAGAATTCCAGGTCACCGCCATGACGACCCTCCTCAAGCAACCCCTCAAGCTCGCTCTCATACAGTTAGCATCCGGTACGTTTGACCTCAGCACAAGCCCCCTCGCCATCATTAACAAGCCTGCTATCTAGGAGCCGACAAATCCGTAAACCTAAGCCATGCGCGCGTCAAAGTCCTCGAAGCCGCCAAAGCAGGCGCCAAACTAATCGTCCTTCCGGAATGCTTCAACTCTCCCTACGGCACACAATATTTCCCCAAATACGCCGAAACACTCCTCCCCTCGCCGCCCACAGAGGATCAGTCCCCTTCCTACCATGCGCTATCCAAGCTAGCCGCAGAGGCGAAATCATACCTCGTCGGAGGAAGTATTCCTGAGCTGGAACCAGAGACGAAGAAGTACTACAACACATCACTCGTCTTCTCGCCTACAGGCGCGTTGATCGGCACACATCGCAAAACGCATTTATTCGACATTGATATTCCAGGCAAGATTACATTCAAAGAGAGCGAAGTCCTCTCTCCAGGCAACAAGGTTACAATACTCGACTTGCCGGAATACGGCAAAATCGGCCTAGCGATCTGCTACGACGTACGGTTTCCCGAACTAGCTATGGTAGCAGCTCGCAAGGGCGCATTCATCCTCGTTTATCCCGGCGCATTCAACACCACCACCGGACCCATGCACTGGTCTCTTCTCGGACGGGCGCGCGCTATCGACAACCAGGTATACGTTGCCATGTGCAGTCCAGCGCGGGACATAAACGCCAGTTACCATGCTTATGGCCACACGTTCATCGCTAGTCCTAATGCAGAGGTTTTGGGAGAATTGGACGAGAAGGAGGATATTGTCTATGCTGATTTGACGGGTGAGGCTATTGATTCTGCTCGGAAGGGCATTCCGGTGTATACACAGCGTCGGTTTGATGTTTATCCTGACGTGAGTGCGGGAGATGTCAAGCTAGAAGATTAGTTTTATGTGTACTCCGTACTATACATAGTAATCCATAAACATCTATTGAATCTTAAAATCCTCAATGTAGAGCCAATCAAAATCCGTAGAAATTACGGCTCGGAACAGTAGAGCGTCCATCACGTGATATAGTCATCAACCAATTAGGTCTGGCATATGCTTAAGCGACGCACTAGGCGGGAACCCACACAAATTCCAACGAACTTCTTTCAGTTCCAAGATCGAATTCTCTTAGCTCGACGACGACGACAACAAAAGACGACAGTCCGGCACATCTACCAGTCAGTTTTTTCTCCCGTTTTCTCCCACCACTTCGCAAGCATACTAAACGTCGAAACAGAAATGTCGAGCACCACCAAGGGAAAGAAGAGCGGTCGTTCCGCCATCGCCGACGTTGTGTCGCGCGAATACACCATCCACTTGCACAAGAGAGTATGTTGATCATTCCTATCCATTCACACTTCGTGACCCTACAGGCCCTGCGATCGATATTTGCAATCTGTCTTATTTCCGTCCGCTCTGCCGCCAATCGTCGAAGCGCTGAATTTTCGATGTCGATTTATTTGCATTTCGATCCGAGTCTTTAGGCAATTTTCGCCCGAAAATTGAATACGGGTTCGAGGGCAAGAGCGGAGGAATAAGACATTGCAAATGCGATACGTATCGTTAGACGATGGACGGAGAACCTTTCTTTTCCACTCGCTTCCTTCTCGCAAGGAAATCGAATACCCATTCAGCAAATTAGTTTGATGAAGTCCACCTCTATGGCCTGGCTGCTTTCCATGCAGTTCACCTCTCTACTATCCATAAAAAAGGCATTTTGGACGGAAGACTGATTTTTCCTCTTTTTACGAAAAGGTGCACGGTGTCTCTTTCAAGAAGCGTGCTCCCCGCGCCGTCAAGGAGATTCGCGCTTTCGCTACCCAGGCTATGGTAAGCCCTTCCCTTACCTCTATTCCCTCCTGATTTGATTTAGCGATGCTAATGGTCGACTGCAGGGCACCAAAGACGTCCGCCTCGACCCCCAGTTGAACAAGAAGGTCTGGGAAGCCGGTATCAAGGGTGTCCCCTTCCGTCTCCGTGTCCGCATCAGCCGCAAGCGTAACGACGAGGAAGGCGCCAAGGAGAAGCTGTACAGCTACGTCCAGGCCGTCAATGTCAAGGAGGCCAAGGGCCTTAACACCACTGTTGTCGAGGATGCTTAAATAAACAATCTGATTTTTTCATTCTGACGGATTGTGCTCGGTGTTTCTTTTTAAGTGATCTTTTGAAAAGGTTATGGCGTGGGACAAGATGTTTTTTATTTTAACCCTCGATACTCCTGTCCTGGACTACCCTACTCGGTCCGGATATTTCTTGGTTTCTCTATACTGAGAGCCAAGGCAGGTCATGTGTCCTAGGATGACCTGCATAAAATAAACAAAATGAAACGAATGACAGTCAATGCCCTTATCCACTGTTTAAAATGCCCAGTAATTCTTGTAAATAGCTGGGGAAGACCCCCGACATGGTTGGGTTGAGAATTGAAAACTATTACAATACACAAGTATCCAAGGCAACGAGGACGAATACAAGAAAATGCCACGATGATAAATAATCTAAGAGAACCCAGCTTCCTTCTCTCCGGAGTGGAAATGCAATACTGATGTGATGCTATGATAATGAAGTGAAAAAGTGATGAATGATGAATCGATGAAGATGAATTGATCAAGAACACTAATTGATACACGCCGCTTTTGGGGCAGAGACAGAAAGGGAAGCTGCAAATGCATGGCAACAAACAAGAGAAAATAATGAACATGAAGAATGGAAAAGGAAACCAGCTAATTAACATTAACAGCACAAGGTTCTATGGCGAGCTAGAATCGGAAATGATGACATTGCGACGAAAATGGGACAAACTCCGTTTACATGAGGGTTCTGGAAATGGCAAACAAACAATAAGGCGAGAATTGAAAAGTGCAAGAGTCATGGATACATACATAATGAGGAAGAGAAAATTATTGTAGGGCGAGAGTGGGTTTCGTTTTCGGCTTTGGGGATGTGAAAGGTTTGATGAACATCGCTGCGATCGACGTAACGAATCGGAGAATACGGAACTAGTGATAGTTTGGCTGTAGTATGCGCTGCTGACAGTCAACAAAATTGATTATTCGTAATCATGCGAATCAGTGTTCCAGTGTTCTCTGCAGCGTATGTGAAAGTATCGCTTCTCTCAACCCGCACAGGATATCAAATCATACAGAGGTCCACAGTTTTGACTCAACTATTAAACGCTTCTCTCGACCCAAGTAAACAACAAGGGGAGCTCCACATTCGTAGACGTGTCAAATCTATTATCCACCGACGTACTTGATCTATGCACGGGAAGCTCAACAATACCAATTATCAACGATGCTTCCTTCACTGAATCACAATACTCAAGCATGATGATCCGTAAATCAGTTTGATAGAATCAGCATGGACAGCAAGTCAAGATCTTCAAATCGATGTGATAAAGGGGTCGATCGCATAATGTTCATCGTCCTTAGTTAGGCAAACCCGCTTTAGCCGTCTTCACTGCATTCTCGAATTCCGCAGTCCATTCTTTTCTAAAACGAAGGGCCCAGGAATCAAAACCTGAGCCATCCGTACGGGGCGCTAGGAAACTGCAGCTACCAGGTTGGACCTTGTAGTCAATGGAGCGATTAATGGATGTGTTAAGAACAGCTTTTCCACTGGGATCCGCACGTAGCAGGAGACGAGCGCGTTTTGTTTCTCGGTTCACAAGAACACGAAGTGGACCAAGTCCTTGGACTTCCCAGACCTTCTCGATTTTCCCGCTGTCGCCCACCTTTTCAACCATTTTCAGGCCTTTACAACGGACTTCGTACAAGCAGTCTTCATCTTCTTCGCCGGCATTAGTCAACAGATTGAGCTGTGTGTCCTTAACGGTCTCCGTGTCGGTATCTTCTGCATTTGAGTCGGATGTGACGCTAGCAGTGGCCGTTCCCTCCTTAGCAAGAAATTGGGCAGCTGGGTTGAGGTTGGAGGAGAAAGGATTGAATGTTGTTGAAGGTGTCGAAGATCCTGATGAATGTGTTAGCATGTCTTTCTATAGCATTAATTCGATGAACTTACCTCCAAAGATATTAGAGGACGATTTGGGTGTAGATGTCGAGCTAAACAGAGGTGTATTGTTGGGAGCAGCGAGGAACGGACTTGAGGTAGATTGTCCAAAGAGTGGTTTCGGTTTGGGGGTCTCTGCCTTTTCTTCATCCGAGCTGAGGTTGACTGGCGTTCCATCAGGTCTAGTGATGCGACCAAACAGACTGCTTGCTGCCTTTGGTTCAGTCTCAGCGTCAGGCTGGCTCTTCTTGGCGCGCTTTTGTAGTTGCTCTGTCAAGTCATCATCAGAGGATTCTGCAGCATCCGAGGTTGCAGTAGAAGTGTTCAAATGACCAAAAATGTTGTTTGTTCCAATCGAAGGCGTTCCGGGCTTGCTGTCGAAGACGGACCCGGAGAAGAAGTTGGGCTGGGGTTGCGCAGAGCTTGGTTTTTCAACCTTCTTCTCTACCTTCTTCTCTACAACAGGCTCTGCATCGGAGTCACTGTCTTCATCGGTGGTATCGTCATCATCGCCTTTGGCCTGTTGACCAAACTGGTTCATGAAGCTTTGTCCAGAAACCTGAAACTTAGGAAGGTCAAGCTTGACCGCAGGAGCTTCAGAAGATGCCTGGAAACTGCCCTTGCCGAACTGGCCGGCGAAGTTCTGATTGCCAAATTTGGGAATTTCAAATGCAGGCTTTGCAGCAGGTTCTTCCTTCTGGGGAGATGCTGCGCGGAGAGTTTCTTTGGCGGGCGATGCAGTGGATCCGACGCTAAACAAATTAGAGCTGGAAGAAGCTGTACTGGCTGGKGCTGCAGCTTTGGGTGCCGAAAATGAACTTGCAAAGATGCTGGCTGTCTCTGATTTGCCTGCTCCCTGAGTTGTAGGACGCACATATGGTTGAGCCCTGCGTTTACCATTCGGGCTATCATCAAGGTCTTCTGACGACTTTCGCTTATCGGCAGTCGAATGTCGAACAGAGGGAAGTTCAGGCTCTGGGGTGGCCTCTTGAGCCTTTGACTTCTTTGCAGTGGGTCGTTGAACAGGCGATTCAATTCCGTGCGTGTCATCAAGCTTGCGTTTACCAGGCTTGTTCGTAAGTGACCCAACTGGTGCACCGATCACCTTTCTCATCTTGATGTAATAGATAATAATACTGTCCAAGCTCTGGGTTTCAGGGTCGTAGGAAGCAAGGTGCTCCTTGAAACCACGGTTCAGGTCGATGATCTGAGCCCTCTTGTCACTTTCAAGAGACGCTTCAGCAGGCGCCTGAGCTACGCCTGCCTTTTTAGAGATAGCTTGATCCATGATTGCGCCTCCAAGTCTTTTATCAGGGGACGACTGAGGTGCAAACAGTGGCTTGGCTTGAGCTGGCTGAGAGGCTGCGGCGAAAAGCGACTGAGTTGTGGATGTGGCTGCGGGAGCAGTTGTCGCTGGTGTTGTGGTTGTTGCTGGTTTAGAGGTTGCCGCAAAAAATGATTGAGCTGGCGCAGCAGCAGAGACTGATGTAGCTGATGCTGGAGATGTCTCAGTCGTTTTGGATTTGGAACTACCTGCAAACAACGATCCAAACGGATTTGACGGTGCTGAGGCAGTGGTGGTAGGTGCGAATACGGAACTAGGTGCTGTTGTAACACCGTTTGGTGCAGGTGAAACCGATCTTGACTGTTGTTGGCCAAAGATGTTACTAGAAGTACTCAGGCTAGGCGACGGAGGGTTGGCAGTCGCTGATATAGTCGGAGCGCCAAAAAGCGAAGATGCTGGTCGACTATTCTCAGATGGGGTGGACGTTTGCGCAGGCTTTTGGCCAAATATGTTCAAAGGAGCCGAAGGTTGTTCGCTAACTTTGCGTTTACCGTCGGGGGAAGTGCTCATGTCGTCAGTATCGCTATTGACGTTGAAAAGAGGTTTCTGCGTCGTAGAAGTAGTCTGCCCAAAGTTGAAAGGGTTGGACGCAGTTGTCGGTGCGTTCCCAAACAAAGAGGCACTGGCCTTGTTTGGTGTAGATGGAGCAGCGGCAGATTGTCCAAACAAAGATGCACCAGGACTTGAGGCAGTATCGGTCTGACCAAACATATTTGTTGTCCCAGTCGTGGCTGGTTTGGGCTGGAACAATGGTGATCCAGCGACTGAAGGTGTTTGTCCGAACAAGTTTGCAGGGCCGCTTGTAGCAGTTGCAGAAGTAGCACCGGCAGATGAAGCACCAACTGACTGACCGAACATGTTCATAGTGCCTGTGGAAGTTGCCGGGGGATTCTGACCAAAGAGACTTGAGCCCGCAGTTGTTGCAGGCTTCGACTGGAAAAGCGGGGCACTAGGAACAGCAGAAGCGGATTGCTGGCCAAAGAGTGAGCCAGGAGCAGTAGTGGTTGCTGTAGAAGTGGATGCAGGAGCAGCAGAAGAAGCCTGTCCAAAAAGGTTGGCACCAGTGCTCGCTGGCTTTGTTTGTCCAAACAAGGATGAGCCAGTCGAGGCAGGCTGCGTCTGGAAAGGTGAAGGAGAAGCGGGTGCTGTAGCAGTAGACTGTGCGAATGGGTTGGCGCCAGTGCTTGCTGGTTGAGTCTGGAAAGCTGTGTTCGAGCTCTGACCAAAAATACCCTGACCTGAGGGTTGTGCGGGCTGAGTCGAGCTTTGAGCACCAAAAACGTTGGATGCTTGAGTTTGGGTTTGAGTTTGTGTGTTTCCGCCGTTCAAATTGGCGAATGGGTTGCTGGCAGGAGTCGCACCGAACCCTCCAAAATTGAAAGAAGCAGGAGCCCCAGCACCAAAAGAAAGAGACTGGGCGGCGTTCTGAGTGGCACCTGAAGCACTCGGCGCAGGAAAGCTCTGAGACTGGCCGAATGAGAAGCCATTGGAAGCTGTAGAGCTTGAAGAAGCTGCGGTGGCACCACTGGTCTCGCCAAAAGAGAATGGTGCCTGAGGAGCGGACGGCTGATTGGGCCTGGCGCGACGCTTGTTGAGATCTTTGATCCTACGGTTGTATGGTGAGCATCGAGCCATGCTAAAACGACGGATTGTAAAGACAAAGGGATTGTTAAGGCGAAATGGATTGAAGTTCAAGTGAGCTGAAAGAGTGGAATTAAGACAAAAAACTGAGGCTAAAGAGTGATTTGAAGAGAAGGTTGGGAAAGGATGGTGGAATGAGATAAGGGAACGACAAACGAACGCGACAAAGGCACAACAGATTTCAGAGCACCATCAATATCAATGAAGGTTTCTGCCTAGCCAAAGCTCCAAACAATGGGGCAATCTGTTGTGCACATAAATGAAGGGGACCACCGACAATAAGGCAAACAACAATCAAGACAATAACAACAATCACAAATCTTCACTTACTTTCTAGTGGCCAACTGAGCAGCCGTCGCCCGCTGAGGCGTATCATTTGGAGTGCTCGACATATCGAAATCGATCCCAGCAGACCTATCAGCGTGCGGGCCTGGTAAGACTCGTTTAGACATCAACGGAGTGAAGTTCGACTCCAAGGATTTTATATACTCCTCCCACTGTGTATAGACCACACCGAAAGCGGCACCGCCACACTAACCCACAGTTTTGACAACTTTTTCAGATTTCTGCCTCTTCTTGGTTACTTTCGTCCAATTTTTTCTCGCTCCTTGCCGGTTATCGCATACAACACGGCGGAGGGATAGGCTGGTGACCCTTTCAATATAACGCGCCGCTGCTTTTGGTGAAGTTTTGCTCCAACATCCAGATATCAAGTAAATGATACTAATATGCGGTCGTCGACAGCAAGTCTATCGTTTGCCACGATGCACGCGCAGGATGCTCGCCTAATCGTCCGACGGAGGGAGTCCAGTTCGCGGGCGCACGAGCTATTGAGTAATCAAACACAAATCCCCGTGTTGTCGAAGCGCAACAAGCGACAACTCGTGGATCGAAATATGACTATATCGAAACGCAAAGAGAGGGACTAAACTAGCTTCGGCGCGATGGTTCGAGCTATTTTGATGGTGACGGATGGCGGTTCAATAGAATCGATCGCGGGATCAAGCTCACGTCAACGGAAAGTCGAAGAAAACTCGGATAGCTGGAATATAGACAGTAGCGAAAGAAGACGGAAACGCAGAATTAGAATAAAATGCTCGACTCTCGAAATGCGGCGACCACAGTGGACGGAGTTGTTCGCTGGGTTGGAGATGGTCGGTGTTCTGCTCCTTGAACTGCTTTTTTTTCTGTCAGTGTTACCCGCGCCTTCTCTAGCTGACGGACTCTGACCTCGACCGCAGGCACGTCCGAGCGGCGCCGCACTCGCGCTAAGCCGTATATAGTAGGTCACCTGATTTCTTGGCATATAAAATAGAAGGGTTAGGGTTAGATAGCACGTAGTCACGAATCACGATCGACAGCCATCTCATTGCCACTCGGACATGAAGATAATGGCCATTGACTAACGGTCAGAAGTATTGAATTGGTGAACGAGTCAGCTGCCGTGCATGGAAAATTCAAATGTTCGATGTTCCAGTTTGGTTCGTATCCACCTAGATTTCAACTACATCACGGAGACATATATATCCACGAAACCGCAAACATACATATATTGTACGGGTTGAAATTTCTACCAGACGACAAGCTTAAACAACATTGGAATTTCAAGGACGCCATGGTCGGTACATCAATCTGAATACTGGTGGGAATATTTTTTGTTCTTGGACTAAATAAAAATACACTTGAATTAAGCAAGAAAGTGACACCAAAGAGTAGAAAGGAAAATTGTCACTAGACGTCATACACGACCAACCCTACTCTCAACCCAAACTTCGCAACCAGATATCCCAAACAAGCGCACAGAATGAAAGGAAAGACAATGGATGATAGCACAAACAAGCAGAACGACTCCTCGGATTCCCCGAACTTTCTAGTCTCTGACTGTTCCTTGGCATTGGTGGCTTTAGGGGTAGTTGCAGACTTAGAGGTGTCAGAATCGGACTCGCCATCAACATCAGACCCATCCTCGTAGTCTGATTCGTCTTCTGAGTCGGAAAATTCGACAGGACCCTCAGGAACCTGAGAAGCTGTTGGACCCACCTGCTGTGGTTGCTGTGGCTGTTGCTGCTGCTGTTGTTGTGGTTGCTGTTGTGGTTGCTGTTGTGGTTGTGGTTGGCTGGCAGACAAGGTATTGCCCCCATTTACCCTGGTGTTTGTGGCTCSTGAGACCTGTAAAGCTCGCAAGTTCTGTGACTGAGCTGTATCAGCCCAGGTCGATCAGGAGAGATACCCAGAAGTGAAATACTTACGCGTCTCCGTTCTAATCCTTCTAGAAGCAGACGAGATATGGCAGCATGTCTCTCTTGCTGTTGTAGCTGATATTAGTCGCTTCAGTTCAGGACCCAATCAGGCAGCGACACTCACAAAACCCGCCTCTATCAAGCTCTCTACCATTGGGAGTTGACACATGTCTTTCTCATGATATCTCTCACAGTTTCTGCACCATTTCATTTCTTCCTTCATGTGGCTAGAAGGGTCATTGTACAGTGCATTTTGTTCACAACTTGACGAGGAACCAAGTGTATGTGCAGGAATGTTTGCTGACATTGCGGGCAACGTTTCGTGGGGGTGGAAAGAGGTGCCTGATCGCGATACAGAGTTAGCGTTGGTTTTGTACACGATGATACGCACTTCAAATGTACTGCAAAGTGAACCAAAAGCATGTAGATGTTTGATATTTTCGAAAAGGAATATCACCTGGGAACAGTCACCACATAAAGTGTCGTAAGTCACGCCTAACACATACGCATAGAGAGCACAGATATCAGAAATGAGGGAAAAGAACGTGAAGAATAAGAGGACAAGGCAGCACTAGAAGTAATTCTTTGCCCTGGAGTTGCCCAACGACCTGCTAGAGCTAGCTGGAAGGCAAAATCCGGCCTACAATAAACAACAAAACCACTGGCCCTTAATACGGTCTTCACCGCCCAGATTGAATGCTGTATGAATGAATCTGTTGATAAAGCAGTAGCTATGCCTACAATGGACGATTTGAATATGCTAATGTGGTAAAAGAGTGTAAGTAGTTGGATTTCTCAAGTATAAATGATACTAGCAGGTGATGAACCCTGAATGTTTGAATAACCCAGCGTCCACACAATACAATATCGGGCTGCAGAATCAAGAATGGATCAAAGCACAATTCAAGCGAGCGACAGTAGTTGGTTGCAAAAAAGCGACGATAGAGGTAAACCTCCGAGGTCGTAGGCGGGGACTAGTAGTCATCACCACGGCTAATGATCTCGTTCCCGGAGGACTTGATCAGAATTGTCTGTGTCAATGTCAGCTCTGACAGTCTCGTCGACACTGGCAATCGAATACGTACATGCTCAAATTGGGCAGTATAGGAACCGGGAATGTCGACCAAGGGCGGGTACATTTGAACGATACCATGGGAGATGAGGCTATTCATCTACACAGAGAGTATGGCAGTCAGTAACCAGCAAGTAATCGTTGTTTAGATTAGTGCACTTACCCCCAACAGATACTTGTCGAGCCCAAGGCGATCAAGGTAACGGCGACAGAACGGGATGGTTCCGAAATTCTGATTGATGGTTTTCAATAGAGCACGTGCTGAAGCCAGAGGGAGGTGCACGTTTCGTGCATCTGGTTCTTTGCTATAGCCATATACACCGGGCTTTTAAACATTCAGGTCAGCTTATTATCATCCACATAATGACACAAATATACTAACGCCATCCATCATGTAGCCCTTTCCAGTTGTTCCAAAAGTCTCAATTGCAAAGACCTCGCCTTCTTCCATCTTAGTCTGATCTTTGCTCTTGATGAAAGGGACCTGTTTGCCGCCATGGATCCTATAAGGGAGAATGTCGTGCCCGGTAATGTTTCGGATTGCTTTAACCGGATGCACTTTGCCATTTATCTCGACCTCGTAGCTCTCCATGGCCTCTTGAATATAGCCGCCAATTTCACCGACTCGGGCATCGACACCAGCGCACTTGACGGTTATCAGTAATGCTCGATGGAAACATATTGGACTTGGTACTAACCCTCAGACCAGTGTTGGTAGCATCCTTGACGGCAGCAACAAGGTTGTCGTAGACGGGGTCAAATGTCACTGTAAACGCACTATCGACAATCCATCCGTTGACATGCACGCCAAAATCGACTTTCATGACATCCTCTTTCTTCAAGATGATATCCTTCTGACCAGGATTGGGCGTATAATGCGCAGCGCAGTTGTTCAATGCCAAGCCAGTGGGAAATCCCATTCCGCCTTTTAGACTGTCTCCAGGCTCTAGTCCCTGATGACCGAGCAATGCGCGCACGCCATCCTCAATACCAGTGGCCAGCTCGGTTAGGGACTGCCCAGGCTTGACAGTCTCGTGAACCCACTGCCGGACTTGGCGATGAGTTTCAGCGGCCTTGCGATAATCGCTAAGGGCCTCATCATTGGTGACAGTACCACGGCTCAAATAGCGGAGTTCCTCGTCAGTAGTACGACGCAGATTCTCATCTGGAACTTCCACCATCTGTCCAACCGGATACTTCCCATCGGGAAAAAGTTGAGAAAGCGGAACTCTAGGAGGAGAAGTCTGCTTCTGAGCACCAGCGGCGGACTTTTTCTTGTTGCTCTTCTTCTTCTTGCTGCGTTTTCTTTTCTTTGGCTTAGAACCATCCTCGGGATTTACCATGGCCAAGGATGGATCCTGCCCATCACCGTCATCGTCGTCATCGGAACCAAACTCGCCGTCTCCGTCTTCCAGCATGTTGGCGCCACGAGGTTTACCTCCAACGGMATTCGATTTGGTCGAAAGCGCATTGGTTGCTAGGCGGTGTTAGCATAATTTACGATAAGGTTTAAGACACTATTCCTACCATCCTCGTGGTGGTCGCCTCCTTCAAAAGTCCTTGCTCCCATTGAGATGATTCCAGACTAGGTAAGAGATGATATTCGACTTTTATTGATGTTTGATGTGAGGAGAAGTGAGACAAAAGAGTCAAATATTCTGCGGGGAAATGGCCTACACCGCACGTGACCTGGGTGCCTGGGGAAAGAAATGTCACGTGTTGTCAGAGTACAGAAGGGCCAAGAAGGAATCGCACGTAATTTCGAATAAAAGACCGGACAGGATTACCGTACATACCGTTGCTAATACGGCGCTATTAAGGGGATCTGCTTTTCGGAATCTCGTTCACAAACTCTGCTAGTAACAGTGCCTTGTTTCGGGACACGAAATCATACGCATACAAAGCTGCCATATGTTATCGATCTACGGAATGAAATGAATGAGGATACAGCTCTCCGGCCTTCGCCATCGTCATTAGTAGATACAGCACGGAGGCCCAAACTCTGCCTTCCAGTGAAGAGCCAGCCAAGATTGAGAAAGTGCGTCTAAACCTCAACGGCGACCCAATTTGTCTTACTGCACAACCAAGCGTTTTCGGATAATAAAAGTACATCTCAGAAGTTGATCTGGTTATATGCCTCCGCAGTAGTTACATCGGCCTGTCTGGCCTCCTGATCGTCATATCCACGACCGGCGAAATTGAAGGTCTCAGGGAGTAGTATCGGCTCCACCAACGTGCCAAAGGTGGCCGTATTTTCTCCGCGGGGAAATGGCGACTTGTGATTATTATGCACTACAAAGTATATCTCAGCCAAGATCTGTGGTATTGCAAGTGACACCTCCATAAGAAGTAGAAATCGGCTGTTTTGTATGGAGTCATAGGTGGGCCACTTCCCCATGGATTAGCTAGGTATGTTATCGAATTACCATTTTGTCGGGACCCCGTCGTGGTTGTTTGCCCCGGTTGAAAAACTTCATATTCACCAGTGCTCCCCCACATAGTTCCCCGTAAAGTTACCCCTACTTTGCGCGAGGCAGCCATCTTCTCAAATTTCTTTGATTTATCACTCTACTCACATCGTTCAAGGCATCACCAAAGACAGTTGGGCGAACATGTCGAGAGAGAAATTCAATGAAGAGCACGATGTGCAAATTGAGTTGGCGAGTACGCCGGGGGCTGATATGGGCAGACCATTGAATGAGCAGGTAGAAGGAAGTGAGCATCACGGCATTACAGCCAAAATCATAGCCGTCTACCTTGTACGTCTATTTGATCCGGCCTTCTCTGTCAGGGCCCGCAAATTCTCTAATGAAGTGAACAGAGTGTGGTTATCATTGCATTTTCCGGGCTGGTTAATATTATCGGTGCAGGCGCGGTATATTTCCCGTGATTTCAAATCATTTGAGACCTATCAGATGCTAATTATTGAAATGCATAGTATTCTAGGGACGTTGCTGCCAGCTTGGGCGGCTCTTCCATATCGATCTGGTTGTCACAAGTGTCGGCAATCACGATCACTATACTTGGTCCTATTATCGCCCAAGCCGCCGACTACTGGGGTCGAAAATGGTTCGTCGTCCTCACCACTCTACTAGGGTTCGTGGGGTGCATCGTTGTTTCACGAGCCAATTCGATGGGCGTGGCCATCGTAGGCCAGATCATCGCCGCCCTTGGTTACAGCTCGCAAGCATTGCTGAATGCCATTGTTTCAGAAATCCTACCTCGTCGGCTGAGACCAGCGGCCCAAGGCGGCTTAGGACTGACATCAGGACTCGGCGCCGCATTTTCTCTTATATTCGGATTCCATATGGTTGTGGTCTCTACTGATGGCTGGCGCATTTACTGGTACGTAACAGCTGGGCTTATGTTTATCGCCGTCATCTTGTTCGTGATCGCATACAACCCTTCGCCTAGGCCATTGCAGGCAGCTTTAACCACTGCTGAAAAAATCCAGCGGCTGGACTGGACAGCGTATGCACTCTTGGCGGCTGGTCTCGTTCCCCTCAATATGGCACTGACCTGGTCCGACAACCCGTATCCCTGGAGCGACGCTCATGTTTCTGCGACTTTCGCAGTAGGAATGGTTGCCTTCATTGCTTTCGGTATCCATCAAACGCTTATCAAAAAGGACGGTCTCTGCCATCACGACCTCTTTAGGAAAGACCGTAATTGTGCCATATCATTCTTGTGTATCTTTATGGAGGGACTGAGCTTCTTCTCTGTCAACAACTTTTTCCCTGCTGAGATGAGCGTCTTGTACGAACCTGACACTTTCAGAGTCGGTCTTCGTGCTAGCATTACCTTCTTCGCAGCCGTCGTGTCTGCTTTTGCCGTCTCGGTATATTCGACTATAACGAAAGACATCAAAAACCCCATTATCGTTGCCTACACCTTGATTGTGCTTTACACGAGTAAGTCAAACAAACCGCCCTTATCTCCTATGAACAAGCACTGATTGAGAATAGTTCTGATGGCCACGGCGACCCTGGATAGCGCCACTGCTGTCTGGGCCTACCCATTGTTCCTTGGCCTTGGGTTCGGTGCTGCCATTTCCAATGTCACCACAGCCGCGCAACTGAGCGCGCCTCCGTCTCTCATTGCGGTTACGAGCGGTTTGATAGCTGGCACACGATCATTGGGTGGCTCCATTGCACTCCCTGTGCTTAATAGTATCTTCCAATCCACATTGTCCAAACACATGGGAGCAAATATTGCCGCCGCAGTACTCCCACTGGGCCTATCATCGGAAAACCTATCGCAATTTATTACAGCACTAAGTTCCGACGATCAGGCAGCTCTTGCGAGTATTCCCGGTGTCACGCCAGCTACCATCAGTGCAGGACTTGAAGCACTCAAAGCCACGTACCTGGTAGCGTATCGATATGTATGGATCACGGCCGGTGCGTTCTCCGCAGTGGCTGTTGTTGCTGCCTGCTTCTTGATCAATCCGAAAGAAGATTTGAACACGAGTATCGATGCTCCGTTACAAGATGAAAACCAGGAACAATTGCGAAATTCGCCGTAAGAGCGCATGCTACTGTGGATTTTTACATATTGAGTCTTTTTACTTGGGCACTGAAGATATACAAGTAGCGTCCTATTTCTGAAGCTGATATATCGGAACTTGTACTTTTCCGGGTATCATGAAGATACCCCTCTAGCTAGAGTCATCAGCTTGTTGAGACAGATGCTATGAAGGAACAACCGTGTATATGAAAACCCCATAGACACCATAAGAGTAGTCAATAGTCAACTGGCACAGTAGAATGAAGAAATGGTGGCACCCCCATGTATCCAATTTTGACCAAAACTTTGTTCACGGTCTTTTTTCGGAGTTTTTCAAAATTCCCCCGCGGCAAAATGTGGCTCGGCACTAGACCAACCCTGCAAAACCTGCACTGCAAATGTCCGGTCACAGCTAGCTACATCCGCTGCGCATAATCTATCATAACAAAATGACCCATCGCTCTTGTGATGCATGCAGGAGCCGGAAGGTTAAGGTATACCACACTAATTTTGTTACTCTGATCCAGATGGATGGACGCTGACCTTCCCGGATACTATAGTGCGATGGCGCCCCGTCTGCATCATCTTGTTCCAATTGTCGCATGTCCAGGATAGCTTGTCGGTATGATGTGGCCCCAAATAAACGTGGTCCCAAATCTCGTAGGCGCTCGAAGACTCTAGTGGATGACATTCACAACCGGCATCGTTCACGTCGTCGGCCTGCACATGCAGCGGCCGAGGAATTTCTATCGTCGGAGAAAGCGACCGAAGGAAGCTGTGTCCCAGAGCCCCCGACCACAAATTCGGCAGATATCAGCATTCCGAGAGCGAACTCTGCAGATCAGTCACCTTCCACACTTACAGAGCGACTTCAAAATGTTCATAAAGGGCTCGTCCTGTCGCTCTCTTCTGTGGTCACAAGCCTCTCGCTGGAAACCGTTGTAGCACGATGCGTTGATATGTATATGCAAAACACGTTCTGTCTTCATCCAATAGTGCATGAAGGCAGCCTACGTGCCGTCATGAACCTTGATACGCTAGTCGTCCAGGAGGTCGCGGCTCAACCTAGAACCAGATCCCGGGATGGTAGTCTACACTTATTGCAATCATATGCGTTAGTGACAGCACTATGTGCGGCAACAGCTTATCTACTATCACCACAAACAGATGTGGACGGAAGGCTTGTAGGGCCTGTGTTTCTTCGAGTGTCCCGTGAAACACTCAGTATCTACCATGACCTAGATCTTCAACAGCCGGAATCTAGCTCTCTTGCGATCCGCATGTTTCAGGCCGCGGCGCTACATACTGATGGAAAGCACGAGCTCGCCTGGCATCTTTTCGGGGAAGCACTGAGGCTAGCGGATCAGATGCGGCTGTATGATGAGCAGTCTTTCGGTTTACTGGATCCGCTTGAAGGGCGTCTACGCCGCACGGCATATTGGGATCTGACTGCTTATGCTCAGTACCATCACATCCTTGAGGAATATTCGCTTGTAACTCATACCTGGAACCGAGAACGTACTACAGCCATGAGACTGGACTACGGGCCAACCGATATGTTTGAAGAACAGCTTTTTGCCGGTTTCTTCGCGTTCCATCGTCTATGGGAGGCGGCATCTGGTCTTCTGCTGGATTTGGAGAGCTATGCTCGAGTACGCCGCCTAACCGCAGATGCAATCACACTCCTTGAAATACAGCAGAATGGTCTTACAGAGTCCTATGTACGGTTCCTGACAGTACTTGACCATCTGCCCGCATGTATACACTATCCGGATGCAGGAGTCAACACGGAGAATGCAAACATCACACTATCCCAGCGTCGCCAATTTTGGATTCAGCGAACCAATCTCTTTGTCACCTATCACTGCCTGCGGATGGTACTGGTGACCCGAATCTCCCATTTAGGCTTGGGTGTTTTGATCGGCATCCAGGATGCTGAGCCAATGCTGGCGCTTCGCAAGACCGAAGTCGCCCATGACATGATTTGCTTGATCACCAGCGTGCCACTTGAAATTTTGCGTGTGATGGGCGAGACCTGCATTTCAAAGATACGACATGTCGGCGCATCGCTGCTTGAGATTATGAATCAAGTCCCAGCGACGCCGGCCACTGTCCGGGCCAAATCCTTGCTCCCGGTACTGCTCGATGTTCTGACCAGGCTAGATTCGCGTCGAAATGTTAGTCACCTTGTAAATCTCAACCACTCTCCGATTGTATGAAAGATAGTTATTCTGAACTCGAAGGCTAAGCGTGCAGTTTCCGATAATTTTGCCGTGGAGAAATGAGGAAGCTCCGCACGCCTCGGATGTGCTATCTCCCGTATCCGAATATTTACAACAACCTTAAATACCAAGAATCACCATGTATATTTCTCTTCTCTTTCAGCCCCGTATTCGCGCAATCGAGCAAAAATGAAATATGTCAGAACTCGAAGCTAATGTGCCATATCGCAACAGCGCCCTCAGGGTTGAGGAGCGTGTCGACGACCTCATCGGACGGATGATACTAGAAGAAAAGGCAGGGATGATGTTCCACGATTTAATTTTCGCCGGACCAGATGGCACTCTAGCAGGTGCTATTCCGCAATTTGATTTTCCCAGCAGTGAGGAAGTCATCCGGCAGAAGCTCATGAACCATTTCAACCTCCTAGGACCTATCAGTGATGCCCGAGCGGCGGCCCGCTGGTACAACACCGTCCAACGCGAAGCACGTAAGACACGTCTCGGTATTCCCGTTACTATCTCGAGTGATCCTCGGAATCACTTTACCGATAATGTCGGCACCAGTTTCAGTGCAGGCGTCTTCTCACAGTGGCCGGAAATGCTGGGACTTGCGGCATTACGATCAGCCGATCTTGTTGAACGCTTCGGGCACATTGCTCGTCAAGAATACTTGGCTGTCGGCATACGCCTTGCGCTCCATCCACAAGTCGATCTGGCAACGGAACCTCGCTGGGCACGCCTCAACGCCGGATTTGGCGAAGACGCCGATTTAAGCTCAGAGCTTGTCGCGGCTTATATCCACGGCTTTCAGAATGGAGCAGTCTTGAATGAACACTCCGTATCGACTATGACCAAACATTTCCCCGGTGGCGGCCCTCAGAAAGATGGAGAAGACCCCCATTTTGTCTACGGACGCGAACAGATCTATCCCGGAAATAACTTTGGATATCACCTCAAACCTTTTCAAGCTGCAATTGACGCTGGGGGTGCCCAGATCATGCCTTACTACGGCATGCCTGTCGGCACGAAGTACGAGGAAGTAGGTTTTGCTTTTAATAAGGCTCTTATGACCGGCTTACTCCGTGAGGAGATGGGCTTTCAGGGGATTGTCTGCACTGACTGGGGGCTGCTTACAGACAAGAAAATCTTGGGCCAGGATATGCCTGCCCGAGCATGGGGACTGGAGCATTTGGACCGATCGGAGCGCCTATTGCGGATTCTGGACGCTGGCTGTGACCAGCTCGGCGGCGAGTCTTGTGTGGAGCTTTTGGTTCAATTGGTAGAAGCTGGCAGAGTTTCGATCGACCGCCTAGACCAGTCTGTAAAACGTCTCTTAAGTGCTAAATTTCTTCTTGGCTTGTTCGACAACCCATTTGTGGACGAAGAAGCTGCTGCTGGGATCGTTGGCAACTCGCAGTTCTCCGCGATGGGATATGATGCTCAGTGCCGCAGCTATACTTTGCTCACAAATCGACAGAGCTGCCTACCGTTGAAACCTACATCAAAGTCTCAACTAGGTGAGACAAAGACCCTGAAAGTTTATGTCGAAGGTATTCCTATATATATTGTCCAAGCTCGAGGAATGACGGTCGTCGCAGCTCCAGAAGATGCCGAAGTGGCACTTCTGCGATTGAAGACACCATTCGAACCCAGACCAGGCCCATTCGAAGCGTTGTTTCACACCGGTTCTCTCGAATTTAGTCCCGAAGAAAAGATCCGACAGAGTCGCATATATGATACAGTTCCTATTGTGATCGTGGATATCTACGCCGACCGGCCGCCAGTGGTACCAGAAATCATTGAGGCTGCCACGGCAGTTCTGATCAGCTACGGTAGCACCGGTGATGCATTTCTGGATATTGTGCTGGGCATTTCCGCTCCGGAAGGCCAATTACCGTTTGATATTCCCTCGTCAATGGATGCCATTCGCCAGTCCAAGTCGGACACACCCTTTGATACTGAAAATCCTCTATTTCGTTTTGGCCATGGACTCAGATATGGGATGCAAGAGGTGTGATTGGTCGTCTTAGTTACTTATTATACCTAGGTACCTGTAATAGTAGAAATACATAAATGAAGACATAAATCTACTGAGCTAGTACCTATATACCGAAAAATACCTTAACGCGCAGAGCTGATCCAACTAGTAGACCAAAGATAGTCTGCCATGTCCCACGATCCTCAGTCCCAAATTGTACAACATGGTCAAAAGCATAAGCATGAGAGTGGTCTATGTCTACGAATTCGAGATAAGATGATCGCAATTGCGGACCATGCTCCGCCAGAAATTGTGCAGCATTCTCTTGGCTTTGGAACATGAATTCATCGTAACCCCCGGCAGTGACAACGAGGCGAGGATCAAAAGGGGTTCCGTCGAATATCTTTCGGCTTCGAGTTTCATCAAGGGGAATGACACGATATCTCGTGTACGATGCTCCAAGAGAACATACCCACTGTGCATGGCGACTCCATTGCTCTTCGAATTTTGTGTTTTCGTTATCTGACAGAGTTTTAGGTATAACTGTTACCACGAGGCGTGTTGCAGTTTTCTCTATTTCAGTTAAGGTGGTCGAGGAAGTATTTAAGCTCGCAGAAATCGATGACTCATCTCGCTCAGTCAAGAAAAGTTGGAAGGGACGCGCAAACTGGTGCTTTGCTGCGCTTTGTCGATAGTCTTCAGTGGAGAAAGACCCCTGCAAGACTTCAAGCGATGGCCAGGTCAGCTGCGCAAAAGAGCGATATTGAAGCTCTTCCAATGGTAGATTGATGAGCTTTGGACGTCCCACGGTGGGCAGTGCTAGACCTTGAACATACTTGAGGATGATTCCAAGGTTGATAGCAATAGCGCGCGTCTGCTGGGCGTGCACGGTACGGAACTCGTGGGCGAACTGGGTTTCGGACAGAGTTGGTAGCTTGTCAGACAGTATAGTCAACTGCATGCTGTCGATCGGTTGAGATATCCTAGTGAGAAGATTACTAAGGGGAGAACCATGAGCAATCGTCACGCTTGATCTCTTTATGTTCGGTTGATACCGAGAATTTTTCCGTCCTCTCTGTCGGTGACATTTTTGCAACGGGTATGCGGAGGTGGGGGCAATTCTCCACGGCGGAATTATGAACAAGTCGGTTTTGACTGGAAAGTTCATGCTCGATCTAAACACAGCGTCTATACAACCGATGATTTCTTAATCTGGCTGAATAGGGGAAACAAGTCTGGAGACATTCGGCCTGATAGTGTAGACCATTTTATCATACCATGTTCGGATGAATATTGATATCGGAAGAGCATATTCGTAGCGAATCTCTTAAACAGCGATCACTGAACAGACCAAGTCTTTATGAATGTCGCATCCCCGAGTACGATTTTAGAGCATTTGTCTACACTGATCTAGAGAGTACGAGAATCGCAATTCAGCATTTAGATCTTGGACAGAGTACCTAAGTCTCAGTGAACATCTCTTCAGAAGGTTGCTAGTAGTTGGAAAGCTGCGATAGATCGCCGATCAATAGACAGATCATCTGTTTGGCACAGTCGATAATAGCATCATGCTTACGGTCTTCTGAGATAGTGTCTAGAGACCATATTCGAGGCCTCTGTAAAGACGCATGTATCACACATGACGTGGTAAAAGACCACAGCGCGGTGAAAATCTGAATTCGAGGTGTTTTCGAAGAAATATTCGTGATGGATTTGCAGAACTGTTGACTTCATTTCCAACTGTCATTGTAGAGCCATGCAACTTCTCTCAATAATTTCCGTTAGACAAGACCACCTGGACCTTTGATCAAGTCAAAAGACCATCTCACATGTGCCAAGGACGTCATCCAAAGATCGGCCACTCCAGTACTACCATCAGGAGTACCAAGTCAGTAGTGAGGAATACGTTGCAATTTGCGCAACGCTTGCAAGAGCGCATCTCCCCTTAGATTTCCAGAATCATGCAGATTGTAACCTCAGATAGATCGGCTACACTGTCAAAACCAGGCGGTGGATAAGATCTCGTCGATGGTCGCATGATTAGCCCTTTTCCTGTAGAATGTCTCCATCGCGCTGATGTAGGATTCTTCACGGGGCTTGGGGTTCGACTATTCACGTGTCATGTCGAGGTTGCTGAACTTGGTCGGAAAATAGTCCAAGTGGGGATAGCTAGACACATTCTATTTCTATCCCATTTATTTGTAGAATCATGTTGCAATGCTATCGTTTCAACTACTTTGGTGCTTCCCACCATACACGCAATATCATGTTGAAAATCAAGAATAATGCGTGAACATTACTCTTGCAATAGCTCGTTTCATGCGTTTCGTACCGTTGCAATGGGAGAATTGAGCCTAATTTAGCAGCGACTAGCTAGCTCAGATCCGGGGGCCAGAATAGACCCGACCGTGATTTACTCCGCGACTGTGCTTTTACTGCATAATGAACAGCATTGTTTGAAAGACCAGAAGCGATAAAATAACAAGTCATGGTTGAGGATTTTGTCATTCCTGGTCCGTGTGACTGTGTGTTGACTACACATGCGTGAGTCTGGGGTACGAAGCAATAAACAGAAAAAGCAACAGGTGACTAGTCGATCGACTAGAGGGCGCTAAGACGGAGTGCCGAGTCAGATTGCTGATTATGGAAATATAAGTACTAGTCGTACGACCTTATGATAGCTATGGTTCATCGATTATTGATTGATTGGTAAAAGTCTATCGGGTCCGGATGCGTCCCCTGTCACGCTGATTTTTACCAGTGTCGCGGTCATCCTGACTCAGTCACCTGCTCATAGCCTATACTGACTGTAGATATCATCAGAAGCAAGATTGTCGGAAAGAGAAAATTAGGATCTTCGATCTGCACATGTGGCCACTAGAGTAGGAGTGCTAAAAGGTCGCGCAATCAATGCAAACAACGACTCCACTGTGGCTTAATCTTCTTCTCTTAGGGCATACGTAGCAAACAACTCCGACTCTTAGTCACTCCGGACTAGTCTATGTTTACACACGCTAAAGCAGGTACTCAGGGGCCACAGACCTACATAGTATAGTGTTCTACCACAATGAAACGTCAAACGGCCCATGCGCGGCGTGTTTTCCCTTGGTGGATCAAGACGAGGTTATCACCTCCCCCGGTACGACCACGACGGGGAGAAAACACCATGACTCCAATCACATCGCCATCCCAAAGCCTTAGCGGCAGCTGATCTATTTATACGTTCTCCACACGTACACTCGGACTTGGATCTGGAAAGCAACCTTGATGACTAGTGCGCCTCGTCGAGCGGGCCGGCATGGCATCGATGGAATGTGGATGGCGCCGAATTGTGATAGCGCAGCCACCGGCATGTGTCAACATGAATCTACAAAAGGACCGCCCACCCGGATCGTTGTGCAGCATTCCATTCTTTCTACTCGCATATCGCCATACACTCCTTTATACTCACCGGCGACATGCGTTGGTCTTCCATTCTTTCTTCCGCCCTGCTCGTCGCTGGCGCGAGCGCTTTCCCTCACCATACTCACAAGAAACCCACTCCGTCACCGAGTGCTTCGTCCTCGGTGTCAGTTTCGACTCCTTCTACTGTACCTATAAAGGCTGCCGCTGCTGCGACTGATCCGTCCTACTGGCTGGCCGATATCACTCATCAAGGCAATGCTCCTTTTGCCGGTAGCGGATACACTGTTTTCCGCAATGTCAAGGACTACGGTGCTGCTGGTCAGTCTGTTCCTCTATATTATCTCACAGGTTTCTGATATCTCGTAGGAGACGGTGTGACCGATGATACTGCTGCTATCCAGAGTGCAATCAGCGACGGTGACCGCACAGCTCCATCGTCCAACACCACAACCACCAAAACCCCCGCTATTGTCTACTTCCCTGCCGGTACATATGTGATTTCTTCCCCTATTATTGACTACTACTTCACTCAGCTCGTTGGCAACCCCAACAGCCCTGCTATTCTTCAAGCAACCTCCAGCTTTACCGGTATTGGTCTTATCGATGGTGACCAATACCAATCCAACGGCAAGGAAGGATGGATTTCTACCAATGTCTTCCTCCGCCAAATCCGCAACTTGGTCATTGACATGACCAACATTCCTGGCACTACTGCTGCCACCGGTATTCACTGGCCCACGTCTCAGGCTACCAGCCTGCAGAACGTGGTTGTCAACTTGAACGCTGACGAGGGTACCCAGCACACTGGTATTTTCATCGAAGATGGTATGTCTGATCCGCTTGCTTCAAAAGCCATGCTGACTTTGTAGGATCTGCTGGTTTTATCGGTGACGTGGTTGTAAACGGAGGGCTCCAAGGTCTCAACATTGGCAACCAGCAATTCACCATGCGCAACGTTACCGTCAACAATGCCGTTACTGGTATTACTCAGCTCTGGGACTGGGGCTGGACTTACGTTGGACTTACTCTCAACAACTGTCAAATTGGTATCTCGTTTTCTTCAAATACCGCCCAACTCGTCGGTGGTGTCAACATCATTGACAGCACCATTTCCAACGTCGAAACATTCGTCAATACCTCCTGGACCCCCACTTCCAGCCCTGCCGGTGCTGGTAACTTGATCTTGGAGAACGTTGTTTTGGACACTGTTCCCACTGCCGTCGCTGGGCCTGGCACTGTTTACCTCGAAGGTGGCTCTACCACTATTGCCAGCTACGGCCAGGGTCACGAGTATACTCCTACTGGCCCCAGCACTCTTTCCGGAACATACGCCGCTGGAGCCCGCCCCACTGGTCTTCTCGCTTCTGGAACCTCCAACTACTACACCAAGTCCAAGCCGCAGTACGAGGCTTACACCACTGACCAGGTTGTCAGCATCCGCAGTGCAGGAGCTGCCGGTGACGGTACCACCGACGACACCGCCGCCATCAACTCTGCTCTCACTTCTGCTGCCGCTAGCGGTTCTCTTGTGTTTTTCGACTACGGTGTGTACTTGGTCTCAGACACCATCTACTTCCCCCCTGGCTCCAAGGTTGTCGGAGAAAGCTACCCCATTATTGCTGGTAGCGGAGACAAGTTCAGTGATGCATCCAACCCCTACCCTATTGTCCAAGTGGGTAAGAGCGGTGATACCGGTACTATTGAATGGTCTGACATGCGTGTTGGTACTATTGGTGGCACTGCTGGCGCTATTCTTATCGAATGGAACTTGGCCGGTGAACTGGGTTCTGGTGCATGGGATGTGCACTCGCAGATTGGCGGATGGCAGGGATCCGACCTCCAGCTCAGCCAGTGCCCAACCACTGCTGCAGTCTCAACTGCTTGTGAAGCTGCATTCTTAAACGTCCACATTACCTCTGACGCGTCGAACGTCTACTTCGAGAACAACTGGTTCTGGACTGCGGACCACGATATTGAGGACCCCACCAACACGCAGATCTCTGTGTACACTGGTCGCGGTGTTCTCGTCGAGGGTAGTAACATTGAAATGTAATCTCCTCCTACTTACGTAGTATATTTATTGGGGTTTAACTAACGTGACTAGGTGGGGAACCGGCGCTGAGCACCACGGACTGTACCAATTCCAATTCAACGGCGCTTCCAATGTCGTTGGTGGATACTTCCAGACTGAAACGCCCTACTACCAGCCCAAACCCGATGCCACCTCCGGCCCCTATCAGTCTATCACCACCACCCCTTGGTCTGACCCCGACTTCAGCACTTGCCTGTCAGGAAACTGCGACGCTTTGGGTCTCCACATCACCGACAGCACGGACATCACCATGTACGGTCTCGGTCTTTATAGCTTCTTCAACGACTACAGCACCTCCTGCTCCGACGCTGGCAACGGCGAGAACTGCCAGAGCGAGATCTTCCGTGTCGATGGAAGTGTGTCTGGATTGAATGTGTACGGCTACCAGACCGTCGGTACTACGAACATGATTACCATCAACGGTACCAGCGCAGCGTTGTACTCTGATAACTTGAGCGTTTACCCGGACTCTATCGCTTTGTTCAGCTATTAGCTGCCATTTTTCTTGGCTCAACTTGAACACTGTTGAACAGTGTTGACTAGACAAGCTTTGCTATCTTATCAAGTATTTAATATGTACAGAGCTACTATTCAATGTATTATGTATTTGACCTAATCAGGCAACTGGCTAAACGCGTTCTGTACGATGTAAATATCGCGTCTGCCACGCGACTTGACGCGCTCTAACGCGGGCATAAACGCGTTCTCCCGCGTTCCTGTGCCGCGACTCAGCGCCTCATGGCTATCTTCCCTCCCCATTGGCCTAGCCCATTTCGCCATCTGCACATCGCTCACCGACTCCAACACTTTCTAAGCCTTCTTGAAAGCTAGAAGATTTTGTTCTGAGCCGCGAAAGGAGCCCCATGCATCCCGGTCCTCTCTAACTGGTCCATTGTTTCGTTTCAACTCTTTTTTCTCTCCAAGCGCAAGCCCAGTAATGCATTCCCGCCCCTCCGCCCGTGAAACTTTTTCTTTCGTCTGGCGTATGGGATGCGTTCCTCGCCGAGCCCCTCGTTGCATTTGGCACTTTCAGTTCTTAGTTTGGAGTGTGACTCACTCTCTCTTTTTCAACTTTGATTTTCGGGGAATTTGTTCAATGGTGCGATTAGATTGGTCGCATTTTCGATGCGGTTCTTCGGCTCGTAGTTCAACAGTCGCGATATCTTGAATTCGTAGCGATATCTCTGTGAGAAACGGGGTTGTTTCACGCGTCGATGTTCTTGGCATATCCATTATACATTTCATCTGTTATTCTGGAGAATCTACAGTAGAACCAATTTTTTTTTTTGGATCGGTGGAGAGTATATATGAAAGTCATGCCCGATTCCTGAGGTTGAAACTTTTCTCTTCCTTATCTATTTCCAATGATAATGAATACTTGATGCAGTGATGTTGATGATTATGATTATGACTATGAATACTTGTTGATGACTTATATATTATATTGTTTTATTTCCCAAAAGAACGAAGGAATATCTGGAATATTTCTTTTCATTTCTCGTCGCTATCCCACCTTCCTATCCGAGACATAGCCCTACCCTCAAAACCTAACCATCTCACTACATACCTATCTGGATACCAATAAAAAATATGTCCCAATCCTTCACCAAATTCTGGTCCACAGACCTCACGCGCGATTCCCTGCTTTCCTTCCTCGACACATCAACCCTCAAATCTCTAAGGCTTGTCAACCGCGCCTTTGCAGCGACTACATCCCGGCAACTCTTCCGCGATGTCTCCATCACATTCAGGTCTAGCACATTCACGAAACCAGCGCGCATGGCTGCGCTAGAGCGGATAGGATGGAATATCCGTACGGTCACATTTGTGCTCAATCATGGACCCGAGATGTTTCTACCACCGTTGCTGGATCCGCTGACGGGGGAGGAGGTTTGTTTCGTGTTTACACCCTGTGTGCGGACTACGCCTACTTCTAGTCCTACAGCGTGTAGCTCCTCACCCACAGGGGAAAAAGAAGGGGTGTATGGGACATGGGAAATGACCGATCTGCTAGTCAAGCAGTATCCGCCCTTATTCCATGCAGCCATGAACGTATCCTCGTTCGTGGCTGCGTTGACGCACATGCCCGCGCTACGACATTTGAAAGTAAGCTGTGCAGGGCAAGAGTCCACGCATCGCTACCGTCGCAGCGTGGTGGATTATGCGCTTTCCTCGCTCAGGATTGCGATTGAGCAAGCTCCCTTGCCGAGACTGGAGGCTTTGTCGCTCACGCCTATCCATCCAGGCGGAATCCAGTATCTGTGTCCCATGGCGGGCATAGGTTCTTTGCCGAATAGTTGTCGTCGCTGGACTCAGATCCGGCGTCTTGAAATTCATATGGATACTTTCCCGTTTGATAAGGGCCAAGCAACGGATCATTTGAAATTGCTGCATTCATACTTACAAGCGTTTCGCGCATTGCGCGATTTCAAGTTTCGCTGGGTTGGCGATGGCCAGAAAGGGCCAAGTCCGCTGTCGCTCGCTACAGAGCCGGCTCTGTGCGAACTAGCAGCGCGGTCACAAGCATGTCCTAAAACACGGCACTATCTACGTCCACTCAAATTTCCAAATCTGCAATACATGGTGTTAGGAAATGCGGTGCTGGACGCATCGCAGGTCTCAGATTTCCTGACCGAGCATCGCCATTCCTTACTCGAATTCGACTTTGAGCAAGTCTCGTTGAGGTCCGGGACATGGGACGATGCGCTTGCGCCGTGGAGAACGCTGTCGAGCGCCGAGTACGATGCTGCATGGGGCGAAAAGCAGGCTGTTGAAGTCGAGGTCATGGAAGTCCCATTCGTACTGGGGCCTAGTCCAGACGAAGAATCAACACCCACGTCTTCACCCGAACAACACAGCAAACGACGCAAGAAGAAAAAGAAGAAGAGACATGCCAAATCGAGCGAGGTTGCGATAAATAATGACCTGTTTGCTTCAACAGCTGCAATGTTGTTAGAGGAGGAACCGGTGCATCGGAACCTTAATTTCAAGACTCTGCGTGAGGGATTGAGTAATTGGGCGCGGTCAAAGAGGATCCTCTGGGGGAGTGGCCATAGCCATGGCCATGATTATTTGCACAAGGCTGTTCAGTCACCTATACTTGTATAGCTCTTTTGTTAATGGAAAATTAATAAACAAAATAAGCATTGTGATCAATGTTCAAATGTTGTGCGGAGAATAAGGCCGAACCTTGGACAGCTGGATCGGAGCCTCGGCAGCCAAGCTACCGTATCACATGTCCTCACGTCACCGCTTTCGCTCCTTCTCCAACTTCTCCATATTCTCTCTCGTAAACTAATTCTCACTAAACATTCATTCTTCCATCTGATTTGGCGAGCATCACTCTATTCGTCAGCCTTGACTGGACATAGTAAGTGACGATCCTACCCTCTACATCGCAACCAGCCTGCCAAACTACCGAGGTTCGTTGTCGCATTCGACTTAGTACTCACACTTGATTGTCATTATTTGACGATTTATATACCGTGGCCCCGTCGATTAACATCCATTTTACAGGACTTTATCGAACCTTCAAACACACCATCACACTACATATAAAAAAAGGCCAATATGTCCGTTAAAGACGGTGCGCCTACCCTCTTCACACCTTACCATTAATCCATACCAACTAAACTAACGACGAGCAGACTCCTTTCCCGCCAGCGCCGCCTTCGACGCCATCAACGCCGCACTTCAGAGCGACGCAGACCGCAAAGACGCCATCAAGCAAGGCGCCGGTGTCTACGCCTTCACACTCACCAACTCCTCCGGCCAGCAGGCATCATGGCACATTGACCTCAAGGAAAAGGGCACTGTCGGAAAGGGTCTCGGCGCGAAGCCTGACGGTATGTCCTTGCTCAAAACTTGTTATAGAAGGGGGGCTAATTTAGTAGTCACGCTCGTCCTCTCCGACGACGACTTTGCGTCCCTCGTGGCCGGAAAAGCGAATGCGCAGCGATTGTTTATGGGCGGAAAACTCAAGATCAAGGGCAACATTATGAAGGCGACCAAGCTTGATCCTATCCTTAAGAAGTCGCAGACCAAGGCCAAATTGTAAATTACGTTTTACGGAGTATAGTAATGCATTATATTGTCACAACAGTATATACAGGGTGACGATATTTAAATCCGTGGTGCGTCCATAAGAATAGGCGACTCCTGGTCAGAGCCACGCTCTGAACCCAGCGCATTGACATGTAGTAATCTCTCCTCGTCATCCACCAGTTTTGCAAATCCGTCCCCATTGACATCTAGATCGTATGGCACATGGCATCGTCTATCCCTCAAAGACGGGTAGTACCGTCTATATGTAAAGTAAGCCACGGTCGACCCGAGAAATGCGCCCGCCGTAACGTCCCATACGTCGTGCCTATAATCTTCGCAGCGGGATATAGCAATCATCAAAGCGCCCAGTGTCGGGAGGAATGCGAACAGACAGCGACCGAGATCAGCGCGTGGCCGGAAAACGTGCAATTGCCCTGCCAGAAACCTTCATCAATTAGTAGACTCCTAGAGAGTGAGGTTGATTGACATACAGAGACAAAAACCCCAGGCCGGCAAACGCAAAACTGCTATGCCCGCTCGGAAAACTCCTCCATCCTTCCTGCAGTATATGCTCATTCGCCTGCGTGCACACACTAAATGTCACGAGCTTGTGTTCCGGCGTGGCTGCTTCGGGTATACACCGAGAAATCAAATCCGGTCGCGGACGGCCAACGGCGTTTTTGATGATGTCCGTCAAAACGGGCGTCGTAATCAACGAGACCGCAAGCCCTAAAAAGCTGACGTGGAGTTTGTGTGCAGACGGGCGGGATATAACGGCCCAGAGGAGGAGGCTGAGCGCGGGAAAGACGGCGGCGTAGACGATGCACCATGCTGTAGCCATAAGTTGGTGTTGATCAAAATCATTAGAAAAAGAGAAGACATACGCATCGACACTCGCTCAGACTTTGCGAACGGAAACTGAATAGCCATATTATCCAGATAAAACATTCGATGAAACGGCGTAACAAACAATCGAATCTACCCACAATCAGATCAACTCCCTCTTTCATCCGAAAAGACTGACTTACTAGTATAAATCCAGTCGCGACAACCCCCAATGCGACATAATCAGCAGCATACGTGCGCGCCCAAAACCGGGCTATTGCGCCGACGGGACCGGGCTGGTTTGAGAAGGCCATGCCGTTTCGTGGTGGAGGGAAGGCAGGCATTGTATGAACAATCTGGATTGCTGAGTAATACTATATAGACATGCTGGCCATGCAGTCGGCCCAAGCAGTCGACTGTGTATGTGTTATGTTGTTGATGGGTGTGTGGATGTATGGAAAGAGAGACAGCAAATTCAAGAGTGGAGAAGGAAGGCGCCAAGGCAGCAGGTTTAATGGTAGTAAGAGGCACGTCCAATCATATTGTAGGGATATACTTGTCGGTCGCCGGCTTGGCAGTCGGAAATAAACCCATTCATTGATAATCTCCGTACTCGTTTGTCTAAGTCAAGAATCAACTGTCCTACACTTCAGGATCAAAACATCCGATCAAGATACGTCTTGCCACAGCCGTAAGAAGCCTTTATCAGCATGGCTGAAAAGGTGAAGGACATTTCCCAGCAGGACCAGGCTGCACTGGTCCATCTCCCGACCGAGATTTTAATTATGATCATGAGGTGTTCCGTAAATTTCACATCCTTATGGAGTCTCATCAATACCTCGTCACGTCTCAACTTGATTTTCATGACTGCAGCCAAGGACATTGTTGGGCACATCATGACAGAAACCACACCCACCTGCGTAAGAAACCTTATGAAAATAGTATTAGTTACACGCACGTTACCAAACTCTCTCCTCGACATTAAAGAAATTGTTAAGTACATGTCTGGAGAAACGATTCTCGAGCCGTTCCAGCAGGAAGTCTCGTCGCAGGTGTTACGTGACTTTGTGGAATTAGTGCATAATATGCACAGCATAGCACATGCTTGCTTGGACTTTTGTATTGAGAAAACAAAAACGATGAAACCACGGCGATTGACTGATAGTGAGCTGGAAAGGATTCGCAACTTACAAAGCTCACCTAGGCAGATTTACAATGAGCTACAAGGACAGTCTTTCCAACCGAAATATTCTGGATCCCCGTCATATTTGGAGGAGCAAACGGCCGTTCGAATACTATGGCGGTTACAGACCCTTTATGAACTGAAGGCCGCCTGCAGCATAGGTGCATTGGCCCATTGGCCGGAAAAAGATCAAGAATATCTCCGAATAATGACCATGTCCGGCTTGCTACAGATGTTTCGAAATCGCCAGTGTAGATGGAAATCTCGACTAGAAAGAAGCCAATTGGACACCATAGTTAACTTCGMAAGCCAAATCATGGGGAGACAACCGCGTGAAATGGAGGACGAGCTCAGTGGCTTCTTGCAGCGACCCCCTGCAGCTGTATACGACAGGGGCTATCATCTACCGTGCTTTCTCAAGCCCGACTCAATTTTAAGAATCATCACCGGACGCGAAGAGCTTGTTGATATCGACTCTGAAATTGAACTAGTCCCGGCGGGGTTTAGGTTTTGGATGAATGCCACAGGCCTGAGCAAGTCTCCTCTACGTTATACTTCCTTCAACCCATATCGCAAATTTGGATTTGCGTTCTGGCGAGCCGAGCGAATGACGGATTTGGGGTTTTTGGAGTCCGGAAGCACAGGCGAGAGGAATCCTTGGAATCTATATTTTGTGTGGAGAAGTGTCCTCACGCCAGACGAAATTCCAGATGAAATATGAAGTCCTGGCATTGCATTCACGGCTACCTAGGCACTCATTCTTCAGTCCGCGAGATCGGTTTAATTTGGTTGGTGAGACCTTTGAAATCAATAGCCTGTATGAACCAATGGAATGGTATAAATTGATGGCCCTAATGTAACCGAACGCAGATTCAGCAAATAAATATTTCAACGTTCGAAGACATCGACCAAAGATTGCTGAACACAGCTTCGGATTGGCATGGAGAATGTTTGGCTTAGAGCAAAGCCAAGTTCTATGGACATTCATTAAGTCTTTACTAAGTTGTCCGAGATTCAAGACGGTTACGGTATTTTTTTCCATGGATCGTCTACAGATTGACTTGTGGCTGGTAAATGAGTACATCGATCCAAGCAACGCCGAATCCTAAAGAAACTTTTGTCATGAGTTCGTGATGACAACATAGGTAGATGTTAACGCACAATCAACAGTGAGCCCATTGATTATCCGCTGCAGCACCTCCCAATATGAACGTTCCCAGCCATATGCCCGCAAGAACCGACAGAAAATATCCCACATTCATCGTCATAACGCCCAGCATGCTGCCACAATCAGTATTCAAACAGTCAGTAAATGGACTTGGCAGAACTTACAGTAAGTATCCCACGCCAGCAACCAACAACTCATACGTAGCCCGCCCGGCAGCAGCATTAACCCTCCACTCAGCCCACCGACTCGAAAAATCATACCTCACCTGCCCAACCCTCGCTAGCCCTCCATCCTTGAGTGACTGCTGCTCAGCATGCGCATCATCATGCAAAACATGTCCACCATGCGTAACACGCGCATGATCATTCCAAACCCTCGACTCAAGTATCGGCCTTAACGCAAGCAGAAACCGCAGAACGACAGCCAGCACAATTAGGAAGATGCAGGTACCGGCGTATTGTCCGTCGTTCGTGGGTGTCCATGTCGTGGTGAAGAGGGATGAGCGCGCAGAAATGAAAAAGGTCATTACCATGGACATGCTGTCGGAGGAGGACATGGAGGACATATCTGACGAGGAGGTGGAGGTAGATGAGGGCATAGACATGGCCATTGTCGTTGCCGATGTGGTTGTGGTCATGGTCATTCCTGACATGTCCATGTTGGCGTTTGACTTGTCAGTGCACCGAAAAGAGAATATTGAACTGTTGTATAGAGAGAGAGAGAATGAATATGCACGGCATAGATGAGGCGACACGATAAAGTTATACTATGTAAATCAAACCGGCAGTTCTCTTCTACTAATCATTATTATGTCCACGTTAATATGCTCAAACCCGCTTGATGCTCCATCATCCATGCTAGCATCGTGACTATCGTAGCCCTAATGCGCCCAGAACGGCCGGCCCGCTCTCGGCACAGAAACTCGCTCAAATCTGCTCACTCATTATCAACAAAAAGGATTAAAGGCTAAGCATACCGTGTGTCTCGTTAAATATGCTGCGTCGTTAACGTGGTTAACGCTTCACTAATGCAATAGTTATGCCTCGTAACTCCCGTTTGACCACGGTCGTAGTAGGTATACTACATAGTAAACAGAGATAATCTTCTCAAAAGGGTGCACATTCTAACCTTATGCTAGCATACCCACTGGCGTCGCGTTCCTTGGCGGTTAGTAATAATCTGCTCTATTCGTTCGTTGCGAAGATGATGATGTAGATATATACCAGCCTGCCCGTAGCTCGCCGACAGTCAACAAACCAAGCGTTTGTGAATACTACGTAGTAGAAAGCAAAATGCCGATGCTGCCATGGCTCACCTCGCCGGTCATGCTACACTCCTCCCGCGACCCCGGAGAGTGTACCATGACACCTGAACAATGCGCCTACAAGCAGCGATACTGGGTGTACTGGTACGAAGCCGATCATCGCTACAGTCTTCCGACCGTGGCTTTGTTCCTGGTTGCTATTGCGCTTTTTACGTTGGCGCGATTGATCACATCGTTGGCGCCGCGATCGTGGAAACGACTCTCTGGATGGACGCGACTGACGGCTTTGTTTCGAACGGCATCTTATAAGAAGGTGTGGTTTCTGTGGAGTGCGCAGTCAGTTGGCGCGCTGATGTTGGCGTCGGTTGGAATCATCTTCTTTCTGGGTATGTCCGCCATGCGACTGAAGGACTGAAGAACCGAACTAATCCGAACAGCAATGACGCTCACMCCCCAGCCATACTACTGGCCCAACACGATGGAAATCAACTATGGGAATTCGCCTCCAATTGCAACTCGTGCGGGTTTCATGGCGCTGGCCTGTATGCCTTTCATCTAGTAAGTCAACGTCTTCAAATCGGTCGGTAGTGTCTGACCGAATAGTATGCTGGCAACCAAAGCGAATCCAATAACTCTATTGACTGGTATCTCCCACGAACTACTGAACAACTGGCACGCCTGGGCCGCCTGGGCGATGTTCGTTCTCGCCCTGGTGCACACTTTCCCCTTCATCGTCTATCACATCCGCATGGGCGACATCGTGGAACAATGGAACGACGGAGGAATCTGGGTAACAGGAGTCGTGGCATTGCTCGCCCAGGCATGGCTCACTTTTGCCTCTATCCCGTGGCTCAGAAATCGATACTATGAATTCTTCAAATCGACCCATTACATTGCGGCGCTGATTTTTATAATCTTCTTCTTCTTCCACTGCGACTATACCCTGAGCTCGTGGGATTATTTTATTGCAACTGCTGTTCTTTACACTCTGTCCTGGTGCTACTCGCAGTGCAAGACCTATTTCGAGTACGGCATCGGCCACAAAGCGCGCCTTCAACGCGAGACCAACGACACTTTGAAAATCACAATCAACACAAGCAAAGTAATCTGGACCGCGGGACAGCACGTATACCTCCGTTTCCTAGCCGGCGGCATAACACATATGCTAACCGCTCATCCATTCACCATCTGCTCAATGCCCCAGTTAGAAATGACAGGGAAGACAAGCACACTGGTGTTTTATATCCGACCACGAGGTGGCGCCACAAAGTTCTTGATGGCGCATGCAATAAATCATCCCAATGCGGACATCCCGGTGCTCCTGGATGGACCATATGGTGGGATTCCAAGCACGCAGTTGAATCTGTCCGATAGTTCGGTAGTTGTCGGTGGTGGTGCGGGTGCTGGCTTCACTCTTTCCGTTATCGAACACTTTCTGCAACGGTGTACTACCACTCAAAATAGAGACAGAATTTTGAGAGTAGTTGTTGCGACGCGCCAATCAGACACAAGATTGTGGTATATTGAAGCTCTACGGGATATTTCCCATCGGTATCCACGCTTCAATGAAGCCGTTGCTGGTATATCGATTGACTTTCACGAGACGGGCCAGTCTGGACCTGAACAAAAGACCGGAGGTGCTCAGGTAGATGTCGAAAAAGCATTAGACCCCACGACCGTCCAGCTCAATAATGAAGATAGTCAATCTGACTCTCAAAATCCGTCCATTGCGGAGGTGTTCAATGTCAGCTTCCATCGAGGCCGACCCAATCTACCGTTAACCATCCAGACTTTCGTTGCCGGTCAAGAAGACGTGACAGTTGGGATTCTGGCGTGCGGTCCATCATCCATGTCTCATGATGTCGGCGAGGCGGCCGTTGCTGCTCAACAGGAGATCATCAAAGGGCCGATCAAAGCCAGGGAGGTGTGGTATCATGCTGAGGATTTTTCATACTGAGCTGCGATATACTACTAGACTTAGGAGTTGATTGATACGTTGTTTTGAAACACCCAGATAATCAAATTAGTCGTAAAATGTCTTGAGGATAAATTGTACTTTGTAGTACAGTCGAAATAAATCGATCATTGAAAGGGTGGAGTGTGGCAGCCAATAAAAATGCGGCAAGCGGAGAACTTAGCTTCGGTATCCTCCGTAATCGTCTCCGACTCTTCATCCTATCCATCCCACTGCACCGACGATCTCATGAGCTGATTCCACATTTTGCATTGCTCTCCTGCTTGCGCGGTCATATACAGTAGCTCAACATGGCAGACGCCCAGCGCGCCCTCACAGCAGCCTTCCCTCCGCCTCCACCGTTCTGGAAACACTTTACGACAGACAACATCGAGAAGTTGGAAAAGATCAAGAAGGAGTCGGCCAGCTCGAAAAGCTCCACCGGCAAGAAATGGACACCGAGCGACCTGCGAGCGCTGGACGTATCGCCTGAACTTCGATACTTGATTCCACCAGAGGCGCCGACGGAGGGAACTTATAGTGTTTTTGGAGAGTTGCAAAACGTATGACTTGCCATCGAGCAACCCCGGTGATTTACTCTAACGTTTGACTGTATAGTTATCGACCAATCTACCCTCGTTGAATGAACAAGGAATCGAACAACTCTACCCCGACGTCCCGACCGACGGCAAAGACGACCAGAACGGCGGCCAACCTTTAAACCACGCCTTCTACCTCTTAAAAATCAGCAAATCTCTTCTCCTCAACTTCTTGGAGTTTGTCGGCGTTCTATCTATAGCCCCCGAAGAATTTGAAGCGAAACTGGGCGATCTACGGAATCTATTCATCAACGCGCACCACCTTCTCAATCTTTACAGGCCGCATCAAGCGAGAGAGTCACTTATATTGATGATGGAGGAACAGTTGGAGAGTACGCGGAATCAGATACAGGAGATGGATGATGTGAAGAATAGGGTGGAGAGGTTGTTGGAGCAGTTGACGGCTGAGGGGCTGGATGCGCAACAAGGGGCTTCTCAGGAGAAAGACAACGCGGGAAATTCGGCGCAGTTTGATAGCAAGACTGTGGAGGAGGCGCGGCATTTATGGGAGTTGCTGAAGGATGAAGATGAGTGATTGATTTCAGTGTTGGTCTATATCAATCTGAACAAGATCTGTCTTCCCTTCATCGCGATCTAGCAAGTCTGCCCGCTTGCATAAATGACGTGCCTCATCGATTCGCCGTGCAAGAACCTCAATTGGAATCGCTCAAGCTACAACATTTGCTAGCAGTTTGGCAGTCTATGTGAGTTCATAAGACTGTTTGATGATCACGGTGACAAGATAATCCGGAGCGATCACATGGTCGCTAAGCTTAAGCTCCTCCACTCAGAGCTTCTCTCTTTCCTCAACCTTTTACAACTACTGACATTCTCTCGACAAGAGAAGCATTTCATACCTATAGTATGTATGTAGCTCAAAGGTACGTTTATATTCTTCCGTTTGCCATTACTATGCCGCATGATGAACGGTGCTTTTCTATGTTTCAACCCCATATGAAAATACTTTGATTATATTTTGCATCTCCTTCTTCACCTGCTATACTTTCTAGATTTTCACATTCTTCACTTTGACGAGTAGGGTCAATAACTAACATTGTCAAGTGTACAGGTCAATGAGCATCTCGTACGAATCGATTAATTAGCTATGACCATATCGACTAGAATGAATACAATTGAATGTCTCTATTAATGGTTAATATGCTGTGATGCTGTGATGGTCTTTGCACCAACCTCTAGAAAACGCCGGTAAACGAAGAAAACACAAGGAAATGACAAAAAGAGTGAAAATAATCACAAAAGAGATAAAAAGCAGCCTATTCAGCCTTCTTGCTCGCCTTCGTCCTCAACTTCATCAATCCGTACACCATCGCATACGACGAAAGCACAAAAATCACCACAATCGCCGCATCCCTCCACCCATAATAGTACTCCTTGAGATTCAACGTCTTCAGATAGTCACTCCCTTGGCTGTACTGGCACACTTTACAACCGGAGGTCGCATCTGGATTCTCAAGGAAGGCCGCAGCACCAAACCCGCTCAGATACTCGGCTAGATAATCCGCGCAAGTTGTCGCGTTGGGCGTGTTGAACACAGCGTATTCAGCCTCTGCACAGTGGACAGGACTATCCCATACGGTAAAAGTGAGCATACTGCCCATGAGATAATTGAATGGATTGAGGTAATACATCCAGTATCTCCAAAACTCCTGAATTTGTGCGTAAGGAACCAGAACGCCACAGAACGAGACCAGGGTACCGATCAACAATGGATTTGCAAGCGAGGCAAACACTGCATTGGGCGCGTATGCTGCGACGAACTGTCCAATGCCAGTATACACGAACTCGTACATGAGCATGACGAAAAAGGTAGCGCCGGCCTTGTTGCTGTCTGAGGGGAATCCGACGGTGTAGTACCAGCACACAAAGTACATGACTGCACAGATGCAGAGGTATGGAAGCTCAGAGACGATGAGCCCTGTCACAAAGGCCTTCCAGGAGTACATTTTTGATTTCTTCTCGCGCGTTTCGTAGATGTCGCGTCGTTCGATAAAGAGTGGTTGCAATTGCGCGATGACTCCCGGAGCGACGAAGATGAATTGAAAAACAGTGAAGAGTCTCATCTGCAAGTCATTGATGGTATTACCAATCATCCAGAAACTAAACCCATTGAACAACGCGGAAAAGATGTGGAGCGCAAATTTATTGTTGATGTAATCCGTGTTGCGGTACAAGGCGACGTTCATCCGCTGTGTCACGATCTTGGTCTGTTCCCATAGCGGCGTCGCGAATTCCCTACCATCGTCCAATGTGCCCGGCGGTTTTGCAGCGGCTTCAGCGATGATGTTGTCCAGTTCACGGTTTGTGGATTCGAATTCGGGGGACTCGAGCCAGACTTTGTTCCAGTCTCGGCCTTGGGACAGATCGCCTGAGACGACGTCGATCATGTGTTCGGCTGGGTTTGCTTCGGGGGGGCAGGGGGCTCCGTATCGGCCAAAATATTCCTTGACGATGGCGCCATTGTCGCCAATGTCACCGAAATAGACAGTCTTACCGCCCTTGGCGAGCAGCAGCAAAGTATCGAATTGAGCGAAGAGTTGGGCAGAGGGTTGATGGATTGTGACGAGAACGGCTTGACCGACGTCAGCTAGCTTGCGGAGGAAACGGACGGTGTTGTATGCTGATTGACCATCGAGACCGGAAGTGGGTTCGTCAAGGAAGATGAGAATGCTGGGCTTAGAGACGAGTTCAACACCAATGGTTACGCGTTTGCGCTGTTCGACGGAGAGACCGCAGCCGACCTTGCCAATGAGAGTGTCTGCGATGTCGTGCAGTTCGAGCAAGTCGATGATGACGTCGACATATTTCAGTTTTTCATCTCGGGAGACATCACTAGGTTGACGCAACAGAGCCGAAAATTCAAGGGCTTCACGGACAGTGGCGAAGGGCTCATGCACATCAAGCTGCTCACAATAACCGGCTGAACGCTGAAACGAGAGAGGCAATGGGCGGCCATCAACCAAAACAGATCCGTGAATTGTTCCTTCGGTCTTGCGCTGAGCGAGAACATCGAGTAAAGTCGTCTTACCGGCACCGGAAGAACCCATCAGTGCTCCAAGCATGCCTGGCTTGACCCATCCTTGTACATTGTCAAGCAATAAGCGATCACCTGAAGGTGTCTTGACGGTGTAGCAGAGATTCTTCCATGTAAAGACCGACGTGTTGCGGATGAGGTTGTTGTCGATATCGGGCTGGCTGGATCTGTCAGCTGTTTTCTCAGCGAGAGTATTTGCTGAACTGCTCACGCCGCTGTCGGCAGACTGAGGGAGGGCTTCTTCGTCGAGAATGTTTTTCTGTTGAACAGTTCTCAAGTTTTCACGTGGAATCAGTAGTGATGGGCCGTTTTCAGAGGACATTCGCCAGCGACAAGTTGAGTAAATGGTAATGGCCACGAAAAGAGCCCACCATGCCCACAGAATACCAAAGTTGCGCCATACGTGCGACGAACTGTACGAGAGAGAGTTGAGATATGCCTCTCCCGTAACAAAGGTCTGTCCTTGAACAGCACCGCCAACACCAGCACAAGACTGGTAAACTGAATCCGTATACCCTGGTCCAGTGGGAATGATATTGTTACCAACACAAGGAATTGTCTTGCCTTTGTACTCGTTTCCAAGCAAGGCCTCAAACCCATACGCCAGCGGATCAATCCAGTACAGCCATACGAACCAAGGATGCATGTGTGGTTTCATGATCATGTAACCGTTGTACATGAGTGTGGCTGTGACGATTAGACCTGATATCTTGGAAGCGGCATCAAAAGTGGCTGATGCAGCGCCGATTGCGCGGAAGAGGGCAGTCATACACTGAAAAAAATTAGTCTGGCTCATCATACAACGACAAGGGACGTACCATCGAGGCAGCAATGACAATGATCCAGTAAGTGAAGAATGCAGATGCGGTCGCGGTCAAGCCAACCATGAAATACAGCACGATACCAAAGATGCTGACTTGGAACAAGATGATGGGAATATCAGCCGCAATCTGTGCGATGCAAAAAGCGGCGGGATGATACATGGCGAAAGCTTTGTGTTTCATCAAGACAGGGCGTCCAGTGAATGAATCCGTGACTTCACTCATGGCGACAAGAGAGTTGTACAGAAGCGAGAAGAACAGAGCACCGGACTTGACGAATAGGCCCGCACTGTTGGCTGGGGCGTTGTAAAACAGTGAACCAGCAATCAAAGCTTGTACCAGAGAAGAGACTTGCTTGATCAGAAACGAAGCTTTGTCGCCCCATAGGATCTGATATTGTCGAATAACTGCAGCCTTGACCTGGGTTGCAAAACTTGATGTCAATGGACTCGACTTCGGCAGTTGAGGATGTTTGTCGTGGGCCACTGCCTCCATGAACGTTTCGGTATTCTCTTTCGCTCTTTGGGTCTCTGGGAAATCGTATTCGGCAGTCATTTTAGGGTAAATGTCGGATTTCTTGTATGCCTCAAGCAACATGTCAGCATTGCGAGGAAATGTGTGCTCGTATCCTTTGCGAATCAATCGTTCAGTTGGCACGGTCACACCAGTCAAATAATCAGCAATGTTGGCTCCGTCCCGGCAGACAAAGCCAAGGCTCTCCATGTACGGACGAGCCTCCTTCAAGGGTCCGTAGAAGACCTCCTTGCCTTCATCAAGAACAAGCACCTTGTCGAACAAATCGTAAATACCGTTCCCGGCTTGATACAAAGTGACGATAGACGCCAACCCGAGCACGTCGGTCATTGCCCGGATAGCCTTGGTATAACTCAAGGCAGTACTGGCGTCGAGGCCACGGGTACTGTTATCCCAGCAATACACTGATCCTCTCGTTGCCAACGTCTCAATGATCGAAACACGTTTGCGTTCTCCTCCAGAGACACCACGCACATACTCATTACCCACCATGGTGTCATGGGTATGTGAAATGCCCATCGACTCCAGCAAAAACTCCTTTGTCTCGAGTCTCAGCGCCTCCTGCGACTCCACATCTTGCGGTACATGATGTGCAATTTTGACTCTGGTCGCAAAATCAAGCGTCTGACCAACAGTCAAGGTAGGAAAGAAAATCTCCTCCTCAGAATTCATCACAATCTGTCCCCGGTACGCCTCTGCCTCTTGCGGTGTCATGGATCCGTACCGGACGTCGCCAGACACAGAGGTATACCCGCGTCGTCGATTGGCAATCATATTCAGCAGCGTTGTGCAGCCTGATCCAGGTCTTCCAAGGACAAGCAACATCTCGCCAGGCTTCACACAGCCATGGCTATCACTCAAAATCCGTCGAAGGGGTTTCTTGTGTCGTGATTCCGAGACTAGTTTCGGGATGTTGAATTGCGAGAGCGCGTTTTCGTTGACTGCGGCATCGGCACTAACGACGTCCACATTTAGACCCTGCCACGTCACGCCGAGTTCGCGAGCTTTGAAGCCGGAGCGAGCTTCGCGGTCTTTGGTTGCAATGACTTTGTGTTTGAGAGGCCAGTGATGGGTCTGCGATCGGTTGAGGGAGTGCCCTTCAGAAGGGGATGAAGTAGCCTCCATCTTTTCCGTTGGTGAGGATAATGGATGGTTGTAATCTTCCTCCATTTTGAAGTCAAGCTTAAAGAAGGTTGTACAAAAGTAAAAGAAAATGCAGCCACGACGAGAATCAGGGGAAGTATCACTTTATAAACGATCCAAATCAAGTCCAGATCCATGAAAGAATACGAACCAAGTCCCACCACTATGTCTTAACTCCGTTTTATGCAAGTCTCCTCGCCATCCCATTCGTCACCTTAAATCCATAGATCCGATCAAACGCAATCTGCCAGAAAATGGCAGCAAAATAACGCCGATGACTAATCGGCCGGCCTATTAACTATCCTACTTGTGAGTCGGCGAGTCGGCGTCGGTATACCGTGGAAGATAAAGTTCATACATTATGGGGCCAGCCGTCATCCTTTTCGGCTCGCACTTTGGCCTTAAAGAGGAAAACGGAAGATGGGGATGTTTAGGGTGCTGAAGCTTCCGGGCACGGGTCGCCGGGAGCCCTAACTTCCGAAATCATCGTTAAATTACCGGGGCATGGGGGATTCCGAGAGCTCTTTGTGGACATCCTATTGGTTGATATAGATTACAACAGGTAATTAAATTACCGCTATGTATTTTACATCAGAAAATTCTTCCCATCGTGGCCAATCAGATCGACGCATTCAGCTAGTATTTTTCCTTCAGTTGTCTATGTAGTATGTACTGCTAGTCTTCTAGATCTACCACCCCTTCCACGGCACCCACGTCTCACAAACGACGTCCTGCTCATCCACCACATAAAATGCATGGAACATCGCACTCGTAATGCACGCATGCTGCGTATACAGCAACACTTTTTGGCCAATCTTGAACCTGTCCTCTGCCTTTTCCTTTTTGGAGTCATCTCCTACCCAGCCGAAGATACCATGTTCCTGGCTGACGCGTACGATACTCCAGTCTAGTCCATCTGTCCACCGGGCAAGGCCAGTGAATGAACTCGTCTCTTTCGTGAGTGCGATTACACCCGCGTTGATAAGTGCTTCGTTGCGCTCGGGATACACACTGCACACCTCCGCTACAACCCTCACTGCTTGGTCGGAGATGGACACCAGACCGGTCGCAACTTGCTGAAGATCGTTTGCCGGAAAATTGCCCGCATGCAACTCTAGCGATGCGTTTTCCGGCAGGTTAGCCTTTAACTTTGAGACTACGTGAGCGGTTGGAGTAGCGCCGATAGACAGTACAAGCTCCGTCTTGGGGTCAATGAGTTTCTTGGCTGCGATCAGGACACCGTTGATCTCGTCGTTGAGAACCTTGACGGCATCTCCAACCGTCTTTGACGCATATGAATGACCCGCATGACAGTAGAAGCCATATATCGACACAGCATCGGACGAGTTAGCAGTGTGAATAACCTCGTCAAGTCGAGATGATGAGTTCTCGATTCCAGCACGATTAGAGCCCACGTCGACCTTGATGAATGCCGGCCAAGGTGTTGTGCGACCCGTGCGAGTGTTGTACTCTTCTAGAATGCGCATGTGATCGGTATGATCGATCATGAGGACAATCTTCAGACCATGCTGGGTCCTGAATGCGTCTAGATCTGCCAGAACAGACGGTCGGATAGGCAGCCCGTATAGGCACTTTGAATAGGTTAGTCTAGTAATTTAGGTCAAGGTTGTGAGGAGTACCTCGTCGAGAATGCCCTCCTTGACAAGCGGCAAACACCCGCGAATTTCGCACAGTGTAGATGCGACAATCTTTTTATACCGCCCGTTGCCAAGCATGATTCGTGTCGTCTCTATGCTCTACCCACGTTCAGTACATCCTACTTGTATGATGAATTGAGGATAGCATACCTTGAGAGTCTTGACGTGAGGCCGGAAACTAATTCCGAGTTGCTCGACATCATCGTGGAGTTTCTTCACATTGTTCTCCAGTACTGGCTTGCTGATCACTAGCGCGGGTGTGGGAAGGGCCTCGACGGGTTGGCCGATGTATGACTGATGCGTTTCAAGGGAGATGTCCATTTTTGTTGTGCTAGAATCTAGAATTGTTTTCCGATAGTAATGATAAAAAGCAATTAAATAAACAATTTAAGTATGAATCTAGTCAGGAACAGGAGTTTTGTCAGCTCAGTGATCGTCGCAAGCGGGATGCGGGGTGCCCCCACACGGTGAGTGGGATGATAGGGTTAGGGCTTGTCCAAATGCCTCTGTCAAGATTATGCGAATAATCCCAAGTCACGATGGATCAATTGATATATCTTTTATAACGATTGACCACCTAGTTGGCCGTGTCATGGACCGAGATAAATCCCGAAAGGAGGAAATTTGGCCCCCAGCGTGCCTAAACATAAGCGGAAACTGCCCTGTTGTAGCCCGCTAGGACCAAATTGGAAACTGCCCCTTAACATTGTCTCTTTCAGTCCATCTCAAAGTCAGCATATGCGACGTCTCGTCTACCAGTTTCCTAGTCTGGAAGGAGCAGAAATGTGACAACATGTGACTTTACAGGATGTTGTCTTTTGGCAGCTCCAAGTTCTAGCTATAAAAGCTGGCAAGGCGACTCTGTGACTTTGAATATTTTCTTCAGGATTCATCCCGAGCTTGCATATAAATCACAAAGGTTGATACAAAATGCGCCACACTAAAACCTTTACCGCTGCCTCTCTGGCCCTGTTGACGAGTGCAGCTGCTCAATCCGCTGATCCTGGTCTTGGAGTAAACTCCAACGCGCAGGGTGCGACGGAACAGGTCACGCCTGGTGCTGGTCCAAACGGGTAAGTAACGACTGTAAGACTCATACTTGACCAAAATCTAACAGGCCTCAAATGCACAGTTCTGAGGACTGGTTGAACACTGGAATCGATGGCGACGGTTGGAATCCCCCATTCATGGCCCTCGGCGATATTATCCACGTCGATTTAAACACCTTTTACAGTGGATTTGGCTCGCCGTGCCAGCAGTATGACCAGTACTTTCAAAGCGCAGGGTCTCAATACAACGTCGATCCAGTGATACTCGCTATCATTGCCATGCAAGAATCCTCCTGCAACGCTGATGCAGGAGGGCCGACTCCCGGCCTAATGCAGGTTTCCTGTGACAACTATCCCAACGGAGTGTGTACCGATAGCATCCAGGACAACGTCAACGCCGGAACCAATTACCTCGTGAGCCAGATAAGCGCCTTCAACGGCAACGCTATCGAGGCATTCGGTTCCTACAATGGATGGTTCACCGCGGGAAATGGATTGAACAATAACCAGGGCTTGACAACCAGCTACCCTTGTTCCTCAGAAGGTCAATCAAACGGGGAGCCTCAGAACCTCGATTACCTCCAACAGATATTCAATGGCTGGATGATGGGCCTGGATGTTTATGGCGATGATTCTTGGATTGGCGAATACCAGTGTGCGGGCCAGTGCAATGGAAATAATCTCTGCTAAATGTCATGCCTTCCTTCACTCAACAATTGCATTAACCAACGTGGCATTGAGATGTTTTAAAAAAAGTCGGCACACATGCATGACCGGGGTAGATGGATTGAGGATGGCAATTCGACAGTGACCGCTCATTGATGGAATTAATACAAAGTTCGTAGTCAAAATTTCTGGAAAAATATGTTATTTATTACTTAGTATTACTTTAGAGTTCAGCTACCGGCCTACAATGCTGAGAATTCCTTGCTCTTCTCTACCTAGCTAGATAGATAACGTTTCCGCAACTTGACCCCCGCAGGAAAGAAGTTGTATATAATATATAGCCATTATATGTTGACAGGGGCCTCCCCCACGCCAGATGGGCTGTTTAGCCGAATTACGAAACAAGAGTCCAATAGAAATCCTGTACCTCTCTCAACAGAGTTAACACGTGTGGGGAAGTCTGGGGAAAGGATGATCAGTGATCAAGTACTGCCTAAAACTGCGAGGAATTTAACCGGATTTCTGAATTTCCAATTTTCTAACCACCCACGTGCAGGAAATAGCAGCATTAAAATAATTATATGTGCAATGGTCTTCCTCAAGAAGGAAGTTGACTATTAATTGACTCCACAATTGACTACATGTTTAACCATGCTTTAAGCCCGGATTCTGATGTAAATTGTAGCGGGTTCATATCACTCTACGCCCGGAGAATGAGAATAAAAGGCGTCTAAATCCCCATTTCATTATGATTCTGCAAGGTTCCTGACCGTACAGTTACGTACTTGCTGTTTTTCATCCTTGCCCCAACATACTGCATTGATTTGCCGGGGTTTCCAACGTCAATTGCATACCATCGTCAACGAGTCAGAAATCAATCCGTCACATTGATTAATTTTTTGACCGTATGCGCGATAATATAATATTGAAAATGCTCAACAAAGCCGCCGTCGCTGCGCTGACTACAGCTTTATTCTCCCGGGCTTATGCCATTGATGCTGAGATCAAGGTTGACTTGCAGACGCGATACCAGTCTGTTGATGGCTTTGGTTGCTCACAGGCGTTCCAACGGGCGGAGGATATCTTCGGCAAGTACGGATTGTCACCCAAAAATCAAAGCTATGTTCTCGACCTCATGTACAGCGAGGAGCGCGGCGCTGGATTCACAATATTGCGCAACGGGATCGGCTCGAGCAATTCCTCAATCAGCAACTTCATGAATTCTATTGAGCCGTTCAGCCCTGGCTCGCCAACTAGCAAGCCAAATTATACATGGGATCATTACAATAGCGGTCAATTCCCCTTATCTCAACAGGCAAGAGCACGAGGACTTCCTTACATCTACGCTGATGCATGGTCTGCACCTGGATATATGAAAACAAATCAAGACGAGAATTGGGGAGGATTCTTGTGTGGGATCGAAGATGAAACATGCCCGTCTGGAGATTGGAGACAGGCATATGCCAATTATCTAGTTCAATATATCAAGTTTTACGCCGAATCCGGTGTCCCAGTGACACACTTGGGTTTCCTGAACGAGCCCCAAGAAGTGGTCTCATACGCCAGCATGGGTTCAAATGGTACTCAAGCCGCCGAGTTTGTGAAGATCCTCGGGCAGACTCTGGAGCGTGAAGGCATTGACATCGAACTCACTTGCTGTGATGGCGTTGGATGGAGTGAGCAAGAAGCTATGATTCCAGGGTTGCAAGTTGTCGGTTCCGATGGGAAAAGTGCCGAAGACTACCTTTCCGTTGTCACTGGACATGGCTATTCGTCCGCTCCGACATTTCCTCTTTCAACCAAACGACGCACCTGGCTGACCGAGTGGACGGATCTTTCCGGAGCTTTCACACCATATACCTTTTTCGCAGACGGCGGTGCAGGAGAGGGTATGACCTGGGCGAACAATATTCAAACAGCTTTCGTCAACGCCAACGTGAGTGCATTCATTTACTGGATTGGCGCCGAGAACTCAACTACCAACTCCGGAATGATCAATCTCATCAATGACGAGGTCATACCTTCGAAGAGATTTTGGTCTATGGCTTCCTTTAGCAAGTTTGTACGTCCTCACGCGCAACGCGTCAAAGCCACAAGCTCCGACGCATCTGTGACCGTCAGTGCATTTGAAAACACTAATGGCGTTGTTGCTATCCAAGTAATCAACAACGGCACTTCGGCTACTTCCTTGACCATCGATCTGGGACAGACGCATAAAAAGGTGAAGACGGTTGTACCTTGGGTCACTAGCAACGACTACGATTTGGAGGAATTGACCAAAATTGACGTCAAACAAAACTCTTTCGTGACAAGTGTGCCCGCTAGATCATTGACAAGCTTTGTTACAGAGTGCGATTGATGACTGTCAATCATTTATATAGATGTGGAAAAACTGAAAAATACCTAGAAAAAGTATTGAGATCGATCATATGACATTTTTTTTTGTACGGGCAGTAGGAAAAGCATCATTTACAGACAGTCAAGTATCTTATATTTTTGAAACCTGAGACCGCAGACACAGACCTGGTAGTTGTCTTAAGATCATGACTATGTAGCTATGGCAACCCTGGAGCACTTGAGGAAGTCTGGCATAATACTTCAGTAAGGAATCAATTAAGCAACTGTTCAATCAATTCTCGCCTTGAGCCCAAAAGCCATCATTGACACTGAATATTCACATGCGCAGCTCGGTTCTTCATGCATTTATTTTCAAATTAGAATAGATCGACGGCTAAATTATATTTAACATTTCGCTTTCGCTGGAGAATATCATATCCCATACAACAAAGAATTTACCGTCGCCCTATCGCATCAATGATCCCCACAAGCCTCAACTTTGCGGGGGATCGCTGGATGAAGTAGATCTTGAGTCTCAACTTCTAATTGTCCATTTAAGCAGCGCGATACTCCGCGAACTACCTTGGTCTCTATATTCCTTTGGTCCGTACAAATCAAATGTCCATTTTGTGTCGATCTTCAGCGGGACGAGATGTGTTTCGGTTAAATTGTTTCATATATTGGAGGACGAATCGTCATGGTGTTCGAAATAGCTTAAATACTGCAATGGAGTCCCTGAAGATTCGCATGAATTCCTTTTCATCACGCACATCATTGATGCCAAAACCTTGACAATACTTGACTGGATTTCAAAGATGCGTCTATTCTTCTGCCTTTTGGCCCTGCTGGGCTCCATGCTCGCCACCGCAGCTCCGACACCTGGACAATTCTCTCAAGTTACAGGAAGCTGGGGCTCAAATCCAACCAATACTGGATTCTACATTTACGTACCCAAAAATCTGGCTTCAAAGCCGGGAATCATTGTTGCCATACATTACTGTATTTGCAAACCAAACCCTTCAATCCCTCCCCAAACATTGACTGATGTGACGATTATCAGGCACCGGAACTGCTCAAGCTTATTACCAGAGCACTCCATACGCCCAGCTTGCTGAGCAGTATGGCTTCATAGTCATTTATCCAAGTAGTCCGTATAGCGGTACCTGCTGGGACGTCAGCTCTCAAGCAGCTCTTACCCACAACGGTGGCGGAGACAGTAATTCAATCGCAAATATGGTTACATGGACTACTTCCCAGTATAACGCGGATACCTCCAAGGTATTTGTGACTGGATCCAGCTCTGGGGCTATGATGACCGTAAGACTTCCTGTGGGATGAAGTCTGTATTCATTGCATTTCTAACCGATGCGCAGAACGTCATGGCGGCAACATACCCCGAACTCTTCAACGCTGCTGTAGTCTACTCCGGCGTAGCCGCCGGCTGTTTTTATTCTGCCTCTGGCCAAGCCGACGCCTGGAACAGCACCTGTGCACAAGGAAATGTCGACGCCACGCCTCAAGCCTGGGCCAGCATCGTTAAGAATATGTATCCCGGTTACTCCGGCTCCCGACCCAGGATGCAGATTTACCACGGCAGTATTGATACCACACTTTACCCCGAGAATTATAATGAGACTTGTAAGGAGTGGGCTGGAGTCTTTGGATATACTTACACCGCCCCGCAGCAAGTGGAAACGAATACACCCCAGTCACAGTATACGACTACAATCTGGGGCTCGAACCTGCATGGTATCTTTGCTACAGGTGTTGGGCATACGGTGCCTGTTAACGGAGCCAGGGACATGCAGTGGTTTGGATTTGCATGAGCTCTTATTATAGCCATGTATGTTCCTCCTATATAGTTCTTGATGCTCAGGATTTTGTGTACCATAAGTTGAGCTGCTTCGAAATCTTCATACCTGGTGTCTTGACTTTGTAGTTTTCTGACCTAAGTTTCTGGTGTGTAGCTTCAGCTGTCACAGGAAATCTTAAGTTTGTTTTTACTATAAGGTCGGTCCGCCATAGTTAACCTAGGTATATTTCAATTTGATTGTCAATCTTGCACATGTGGCATTTGAACATTAATCTGAAAATAGCATGGCATGTAAAATCCTCCTTATACTTTTGCAACATCATAGGTAATGTTCTCCAGAGTATGAGATCAACGTCTCAGATAAGCATAAATTGATAGATTCAAGGGAAGCCCTTAACCTCACTGCTAGATGTATGAAGTCCATACTGACATTTGCTACTTCTCCAAAAACAAAGTCTGCGAATTACAATACGAAACCAAGCCACTGACCCCCCACTCAGTCCCAATCCCACTCTCTTTGTGGCCCCCAAACGGCACCCTACCATCAAGATGAAAGTGTGTATTGACCCAGACCGTCCCCGCCTGAATTTTCTGCGCGAGCTCGTTTGCGCGCTCACTACTTCCAGACCATATTGAAGCACCTAGGCCGTAGTGAGTGTCGTTGGCTCTGGAGATAGCCTCTTCATAGGTGCTATAGCTGAGGAGGGGGACGATGGGCCCTACGCAGCATGTGAGACTCTTCAATATGGTTGCTGTGAGGACGGTTGACTTACCAAAAGGCTCCTCGGCAACAAGACGTGAATTCTCGGGCGGCCTGTCGACGATAGTAGGATTGATAAAATATCCGCTGCCCGAGGGAATATCGCCTTCCAAGGAAATGTCAAGTTTCTCCTCTTTGACGTGCTCATACAGACCTTTGACACGTTCATATTGCATTTTATTCTGGATTGGGCCCATAAAGACTCCAGGTTCATTACCCTCGCCAACTTTAAGTAAGCGTGTGGCTGCTATCATAGCCGCTTTGAAGTCTTCAAAGATCCTTTCGTGTACGTATACACGTTTCAAGGCAAGACAGATCTGTTTCCAGTCAGTCTTTGAGTGTAAGAGAAGAACATGGCGTGTGTATGACTCACTTGTCCAGTATTCAAGAACGCAAATTGAGCGATCTGTAAAGCAAGCAGAATCAGCAGTGTCCAAACTATGTACCTAACAGTGTAGACACACCTTAGGTGCAACATCAGCAATATCAACATCTTCACAAACAATTGCAGGATCATTCCCACCCAACTCAAGCGTAACGCGTTTAAGAGTCTTACTGGCAGTCTCCATAACCTTCTTACCCGTAAATGTAGACCCCGTAAACGAAATCTTCGCCGGAATAGGGTGGCTAGTAAGCCAGGGACCGAGATTGTCATCTCCCGACAACGCCTGCAGAACTCCAGGAGGAAAGAACCGCTGACCGAGCTCGACGAGCTTCAGACCACCACAGGGCGTGAACGGTGAGGGCTTGACAATCATCGTGTTCCCGGTCACCAAGCATGGTGCGATTTTCCCTGTTGCTAGGAAGATAGGGTAGTTCCAGGGGATGATTGCTACCACGACACCTAGAGGGGTGTATCGGGTGACGATCGTTTTGCCTTCCTCCTCGATTTTGTGGGTAGGGAGGTCAAGGTTCGTCATAGTGCGGATCCACTTGATGGCAATGTTCATCTCGAAATCCGCAAATTGCCTCTAATTGGGAGAGATAGTATCAGTGGGTGAGCTGGGAATACCGATTTTCGTAACGGACCAAAATTCATATACGTACCGGCTTTCCCTGCTCCCTAATGAGCATATCAGAAAAGGCCTTAAATTCAGCTTCAACTGCATCCGCAAAGGCAAGAAGCGCCTTTCTACGATCTTCATATGATATCGCAGCCCAACCAACCTGCGCTCTTTTCGCTGCCTGCATGGCCTCCTCAACGTCATCTTGGGTAGAGACAGGGACGTCTGGATTATCCTCTCCAGTGGCAGGATTGATGCTGTGCCGGACCTGAGCAGTAGAGGACAGACGACCGTCGATAACGTTAGCATAGCTAGACCAATCCAAGGGGTGGTGCGTAGAACCCATTTTGGCGAGAAATGCTGAAATCTATGAGACTATTTGCAAAGTTTCCTTTCAAGTTGGGGAGAATTGGGGATCTAGAGGGATTACTTAGCCGCCAGGCTGGTTCTCTATACTCTTATATATGGCCGGTTTGTACGTGCCAGAGGACGTGCTGTGCCACATTCCTGGGCAGCAACACCGTGCAGGATGAGGGGTAATCGTGAAACTGTCCGGGATGGTTGTTCTAAAAAAGCAGATATTCTTTGTTCGGCCCGGCCACTAAATGTTGTATGGTTCATCATCGATACGCGATCTAGATCTCATACTCGGATATTTTGCGCAGCCAGCCCCTGCTGGTATCTTCCCGCACTGCCTCAAAATCAGTAACTTGTCTATGGTCATAAAGAAGTTATCTGCAGGTTGACCCCTCTCTCCAACAAAGAACACTTTGTGTCAGTCCATCTCACAATGGCCCGAAGACCCCGAACGAGTCACGGCGGCCTATCTCAGCGGAGGTTACACGAATCTGGAAAATCGAGACACCTTAAACGATTCATGGTTGCGCTGAAAGACATATCAGTTAATCTAGACATACCCGGCCAGAATCTCTATCTGTGTATGCTGGCGCAAGGCTAGTTGGCAGGTGATCCTTGAGACTAAACAGCGACACAGAAAATGAATTTTAATACATTATCTTCGTGGTACAACATTGGGTAGGGACGTGCAATGTACATCTATTTTGAATTTTAAACATGATTATCAGAGGCGACAATGCATCGTCCTGTCTTAATCATTTTTTTTTACAACATTGGATAAGATCTTGGGGATTATAATTACTTAGAATCTCTTGAGTAATTAATATGACATATTTACTTTTTAAATAGTTACTAGTAGACTCACTCAAGATCCTATATCCGAGAACTACTTAAATTAAATCGGAAAGATCGCAATTATGAAGAAATTGAATACGAGAGGAAAGAAGAGAAGTTAGGGCTTGGCTAGGCTAGGGTTAGATTTATCCTGGAGTTCATTCTACCTCGTCTTCAAAGGTTGTCAAAATAATTATTACCCTTTCATCTTCTTCAATTTTCTCTTCGACCTACCGGCTTTTAGCCTTATTTCCAAAATCCTGCGCGGACTTAATCTATCTCCGCTCCTCTCTCCTTTATAAATTCGGTGAGATGTAAAGCCTTCTTTGAAAATTCATTCGTAGCTTTGACAACTGAGATGTCTGCTTCTCACGTTGTCCTGGTTACGGGGGCCAATAGAGGTTAGTTTTTGCATGATTACCTAGGTATAGGGGAAAGTTACTCGGACTAACCGTTTACCAGGGCTGGGCCTTGCTATTGTCCACGCCCTAGCGACCCGAGCACCTGGGTCGACCATTTGCTTGGGAAGCAGGTCAATCGATGCTGGTGTCAAAGCTGTGCAAGAGCTTCGCCAAAAAGGGGTTGATTCTATTATTGAGGTGGTTGAGTTGGATATTACCAAAGATAGCAGTATCAAGTCTGCGACCACAATCCTCCGTCAAAAGTACGGCAAAATTGACGGTAAGCTCCTAACTCTTTGCGAAATAATAAACCACAGCAATCTAATATTCCGTTTCAAGTTTTAATCAATAACGCTGCTATTGCCGGCAATCCAAAGCCCGATTTGAGCGATTTTCGTGAGGCTTACACTTCAATACTGGATACCAACATAACTTCGGTTGCCCTCGTTGTCTCCCATTTTCTACCCTTGTTGAGCGCTTCAGTTGAACCTCGTGTCATCAATGTTTCTTCGGCCCGAGCCTCAGTAGCTCTTCAGACATCCGGGAAACTTCCTCCGACCGCGTCTATACCGTATTCTATCTCGAAGACTGGATTGAACATCCTCACCTTGGAGCTGGCCAAACTCTACGAAAATATTCGATTTTACTGTGCCTCCCCTGGCCACTGCCGCACAGCTTTCAACAATTATAGAGGCAAAAAGGATCCCATTGATGGTGCAAGGGTCATTGTTGAATTAGCAGTAAGCGAAAGCGGCCGATATGACCCCGGGTTCTGGGAGTTTGAAAACGACTCCATGTCGCCCGTTGCCTGGTAGATTCTCCAAGTTGTGCCGTGAAAATATTTGTCCAATTCTGGCTCTGTTATGTGAAAAATTTATCAGAAGATGACATTGCATAGTCCTTTCTGGTTATTCTGCAGCATAGTACGCAATGTTTTCTAGAATGGAACATCGATCGCTCGATAGCCTCTTCAGCATCAATATGACGGATTTGCTTTTCGATGGTCAATTGATAAGCTCGTAGACAAGGGTTCCATGTATTTCTCAAGATAAATTAAAAAGATCGCGCGAAGTGGATCGAGAAAAAGAAGACGTATATTAGGGCTATTTGTCATGCTCCTTCCATCATTCCCTCTTGTCATCTCATTTTCTCAACTTATCGCATTTCATCTTCTCTTACTCTTCATCCTTCCCACGAACATTCCATTGTCTACTATTCCCAAAATCAACCGTTGCGCAACGTTTGTTCTGCTGGAAAGGTTCTGCCGATCATTTAAATGAGCTCGAGAGCTGACATCGCGAAAGATGATACATCTCAAAAACATCCTCACCCAACACGAACAGCCTCTTCCACGTGAAGACTAGCCAATGTGCGCTCTCCGATCGCTTCTGTCTTTCCGGGAAAAGGGGTTTGCCTGTCCAGATCAGCAATCCATTTGACACGTCTTGCTCTAAGACAGTCGTCCGAGTAAAAAACATCTGTGCTCGTGCTCATCAAAGCGAGGAGGCGCAACACGACATGACTTGGACACATGGATTGGAAAAGTTTGGAAAAATTTTCCAGCATAGTAGCCATCATGTAAAAAAGAATTTTAATATAAATGTGATCGCATTCACTCACAATGATCCAGCGCATTATAGCACTTCATGAAAAAAGGCGATCATGGAGGAGGCAGTCAACGTTCCGCTTCCATCCAACGAAGGAATCGCGACTACGGAGGAATTCTCGAAACCGCAATATGCGACGTCTTTACACTCGTTTATTTCTGATAACCAATCGGTTAATTTGACAGATTGGAGTCCAACTGTCGAATCTCGACGCCCACCCGGCTACAGATCCTATGAGGAGCCGTATGATCGCAGTAATGCGCCGTCTCGGTAAGTTGTCCACTCACATTGTACGAACAGAATAGAAGAACAAACTGACAATCTCGAAGTCACTTTAACAAGGACGTTACCCTGCAAGACTTTCCACTTCCCGCATTTCACAGTGTCAATGGCCATGAAGGCAGAAACACCCCACGGCCTGCTAGTCGAACAGAACCGGAAAACATCACTGATCACAATGCAACCAGATTTGATACGCATGAGCCAATTGAAGAGCTGCGTCGAAAAATAGCAGATTATGAATTGCCGCTCCTGCAGCAGGTAAACGAGAACAACAATGACCCATCTTTCGATCCGATCATCGAGGAAGAACATGGCGAGCAGCAACTTTCTTACGATCTGGTCGCACCACATCAGAACGGCGAGGCACCGCTACATTCTCTAGAGAAAAAAACAGAGTTAATGTTTTCGCGGGCGCATATGTTGGCCATACTGTCAAATCCTCGACATCTCTTTAAGTTTCGCGAGTTCCTTAACGCCGAACGACCGGGATCGATGCCAGTGTTAATGTATTATCTGAGTGCATGCAAAGCGCTCAAAGCAATCGAATATGCCAACGCTGTTGCGCAGTTACTGATGCCTTTGTCTGAAATTGAGGCGTCCGATGAACACATCCCGAATGCAAGAAACGTAAAGCTAGAACAACAGGCACAGAACGCACTACATGCTCTAGTGATTGATGAATTGCCGGCTTTCATCACATCCATTTGCGTCTCATTGGTTTCAAGAGTTGTTGAAGAAAAAATCAAAGGCACTCTTCCACCGAAATTCCAAGGCACAACCGATGCGTTGGCCGAAGTGTTTTGTTTGACAGATCCATCCAAACCAGATAATCCGATCATTTTTGCATCGGAAGGTATTGTACCCTCCATATTCAAATGGAAAAAGAGTATCTAACAATTACTAGAATTTCATCGCACAACTCAATACGGAGTCGATTATGTCTTGGGACGCAATTGTCGATTCCTGCAAGGTCCAAAGACAAACAAACATAGCACGCGTCGTATTCGCGAGGCGATCGAAGCTGGCCGACAGCATTCGGAAGTATTTCTCAACTAGTAAGTATTATCCTTGTTCAAGATAATATTACTGCTAACAGCCATAGTCGTCGCGACGGGTCTCCATTTATGAACCTTCTCATGTGCTCACCACTCTGTGATAGTAAAGGGAAGGTTCGCTACTTCATTGGGGCGCAGATCGACGTTAGCGGTTTGATCATGGATGATGCTCGTATGGACTCAATGACGGAACTCAACACATCTGGACAGTCGTTGCCCAATGGGCAATCCGATCTAGAKGGSGAGCCGCAACAAAAAGGACACATAAATGGTCACAGGCACAACGGTTCTGTGAATGGAAATCTATACAATTCTTCAGAGACTCCTCGGAAACCTGGGGAAGCCAGAAACAATCTTATGGAGTTTGCAGAGCTACTCAGCCCCGGAGAGCTATCAATGCTACAAGAGCATGGAGGCTCGCTATTTGAGCCTGTGGTTCCTCGTCGGGACAGACCGTATATGGGCCACACGAAGCCTCGTATTATGTTGAGGGAAGGGAGACCCCCGTCTCGAGACAAGCTACATACAATAAACAAACAACCCAATCTGCCCGGTGTTTATCATAATGTGCGTACTCACTTCTATCTTCTATGAGCATATGTACCGAGAGCTCTGCTGACTTAAATAGTATCTGCTCGTTCGACCATACCCTTCGCTTCGTATACTCTTCACGTCGCCGTCTCTCAGAATTCCTGGCATTCTACAATCCTCTTTCTTTTCCAGAGTAGGCGGCTCACCTACAGTACGCGATGAACTTCTTCGAGCATTCATCGATGGACGAAGCGTAACGGCGCGAGTCCAATGGCTTAATCGATTTGACTCTCTCGGACGTAGCAGATGGGTACATTGTACACCTCTGTTGGCACACACTGGCGGCGTGGGAGTTTGGATGGTGGTTGTTGTCGACGACGATGAGGCGGACTGGAGAGCACAGCCAATTATGGAGTGATTTCAATGTATTATATATGGCTCGAAATAGAGGCGGTGGTTCGATATTTAGAATAGTCGTCTCCTACTAATTTTACGTATATAGTGGCGTACTTCGTTTGACTATCCCTGAATCTCAGCTCGTATATACGAAAAACTTCCATTTCGGTTGAGGAAACTTGAGACAAAAGGAGTTCGGCCGAGAAATTGCAGTGAAGAAACGCGACAAACCCTTCCGATTTATCCAGTACCGAGGCTGGCACCCATCTCTGACATCACATCATCAAAGGCTGAAACAATATATAAAATGATGAAAATCATCCAAAACAATGTCCAGTATGCCTTCGATAGAGAGAATGCATTTAAAAAAATCAGTGGTGCTCTCCCGCTATCAAGATGCAGTGCTCCTGCCAACGCCGCAATAACCCTCCAACCTCAACACCAACCTCTGGACGATCTCATCAATCACGACCATACCAACAGATTGTCTTTGAGTCCACAGGAACGGGAAACACCCGTTTCGAATGGATATCATCCACAACCACCTCGACATCGCCGGACGAGACGAGGAGCCGTGTACGCTCGCATGTAATGCAACGTTTTCGAGCGCAGCAGGCTCTCGGTCATCAAATGCCAGCATCAAATCAAGTCGAAGTATTTGCAGATCGTGATCCGCGTATTAAATATTATTTTACATGTCGGACGTGTGGACGGCTCAATACGGAGTGTTGTCGAGAGACAACTTCGGAGAGAGATCTGGAAAGCCATTTGAGCGGGGTGTCGATGCGATGTGAGAAGATCTATTAAAGAAAAAAAAAAAAAAAAAAAAAAAACTTTCATCGTACAGCGTTACCTGTCGACTACACATCGGAAACGGCGCAGCTCTATGAATACTGTAAGGGTCTCAATTCACGTCAGACTACTAAATGAGAGCTGACATCCACCAGTAGCACATGTATACGTCTTCATCCAGAATCCCGTCCGAAGAACCGGACTTGGTCTTGTGCAGTACTGCCTGCCATTCATCATCTCCAGCGCTGCAGTTTTGAACGCTCTACTGAGCGTTGTAGCGACCCACCGAATTCTCATGTCTGGCAGCAACAGGCACTGTTTCGATCTGATGACTGCGTATTACCATCATAAAGTCCAAGCAATTCAGATTGTGAATCAGAGTCTGGCTAGACATTCGAATGCGGTGGCGTATGACGTTCAGGTTGCTATCGCTGTATTGGCGATTATTGAGGTTTGTGATCCGCTCTTCAAAATGGAAATGGTAGCTGATGATGTATCAGTATACAACTGGAACAAGGGAGAATGCACGAAACCACATGTCAGGCTTGCGAGAGATAATGGCTGCTCATGGAGGCACCATTGCAGCTCCAGCTGATCATCATTTATCATTTGGTATCGTGAATTTGTTCGTAATCCTCATCTATAATAATCGTTTGACGTATTAACGTAAAGCAGAGCAAATAAACTTGTCTCCAACCGGCATCAGGATTATCCAACAAGCAATGAAGTGAGGATGCTAGACCACATCCTTTCAACCTTGCCCCAAGACAGTCATCCCTCGATAAGATCAATGTTCCATTCCCTCAAGCACCTCTCGACAACCATGCCACGAACATCGCACAACAATATGGCCCAACAGTCCGCCTGGTTGGACCTACTGAATACTACCGAGCTAAAAATGCACAGAATCCTTGAAAACGATCTCAGTCCTCGACATCAGTCGTCAACATCATTTGTGACATGGCGTGCATACCCAATTGCAGGAAGTATTTTCCTATGTCTATGGCTACGCCAACTCTCGCTACAAAGCAACGTATTTGATTATCTGGTCGATTCCATGAAGTATGCATTTGAGGATACAAACGAGGATCAGTATCCGCCAAGAGTATACTTATGGCTTCTCTTCGTTGGCGCAGCGGCGGCTGAAGGACGACGAAATAGGAGATGGTTTTTGGAAAGGCTATCTGATGCTTTGGGAAGATTGAAACTGGGTTCGTGGCAGCGTGTGAAAGGGGTGTTGGTTGTGTTTCCTTATGTGGAGGAATGTGATCAATACTTTCAAAGGGTGTGGGAGGAGCTTCAGACTGGGGAGTTTTAGCTTGAGAGTACATGTTTAGAGTATGGATAAAAGCATGATAGATATGTATGTAAACTAATAGAATGTCGTTAGCTATGCCACTCAAACTCCTTCCCCTTAGAACTACTGCCTTGAATTAAACGCCTCAACAGCAGCACTAGCCATCTTCACAGCCAAAGGCGCATCATGCTTTCCAAGAATTAATTCAACAACCTTACCAAGTGTTAGCATCTGATTAACCTCGTATCTGATGCGCATACATACCTGGGTACAATCGGCAGCGTTAAATTGCTCGTCATTAAGCAACTTGACAAGTTCCGCACCAGTCTCGACACGATGATATCGCGAAGGATAATTCGATCCAAACGTTTCGCATAACTTTTCATACTTCCAGACCGGAACGGTGTTGTAAGACGCTTCCATACCATGAATGAGTCGCTCGATGGTATATCCGCCGTTGTTGATGATGAATCTGAAGACATAATCAGCGTGATCCTCCCCAAATTCTGCTTTAACAGGGGGTTGCTAACATTGTAGCATTCAATTCCCATCTCAAATAATCCGCCAAAGCCTGAACAGTCAACTGCAACGATCCCTCACCGGTAACCAAGATTCCACGCTTGATAGACCCATCCTCTTTGCCAGCTACGAAAGATCCTAACGCAGCGCCGGTTGCGTATCCAATACTTCCAAATACAGTCTGATTGTACATTCGCACATTGTCGATAGCCATCAAATTAGCGGCGGGAATGCCGTAGCTGGAGGKGCCTGTTTCGGCGATAATGAAATCGTTGGCGCGGAAGTAGCGGCCAAGTGTCTGTACAAAAATTAGTCAGAAGGCAGATGTACATTTTCATGAGTGGGAATATTACCGGCCAAAGAAAGTCTTGGACTAGACTTCCGAAATTCTCGTAGTTGTCGTTTGGATATGGATCCCAAGTGACCTCTCGCGGAGTCACGGAGAGGGATGAAAGATGTCGAACCAGGTTTTGAAGAAGCTACGACATTAGCATTGGTCTGAAATGTTCTGTGTGAGGGAGCGTACATATTTGCTCGTAACATTGTACGACTTGCCAGCAATTTTGACCGAGAAGCGCTGGAAATCGACGATATTTTGGTCCTGGAGCTGAGTAGTGAACTCTCCACTTCATAATCAAGAAAGTGTATCAGTAAGTAACCCTTGTTTAGTATGTTGCTTGGCAAAGACATACGTATTGAAGTCAGACTATACAGTAGAATTAGTGCAAGTCTCTCACGAAAATGAAGGTCCTGGGCCTACCGGATAATTTCCGACGAGCAAAACCAACTCTGATTTTTCAACAGCAGCCCTGATAGTATCCGGTGACGCTCCTCCAGAATAAACACCACCAAACAACTTCCCGTTACCGAGCTGCTCGCTAATACCACCCTTGGACATGCCAGTTGAAAAATAAGGAACTCGAAGAGACTCAATGATTCCTCGCGTTTCTTCAAGAAGATCAAAACGTACGGCACCTGTGTGAAAGTATTAACCTTGGATCGCATGAAAAATGGGTGAGAACATACCGCCATCCACAATAATGACAGGGTCTTTACGAGTTTTCAGTAAGTTAGCTATTTTCGTGATTATCTCTGTTTCCTCTTCCTCCTTGTTTGATGGTAGGGTCGTGATAAGTGGCTTTGAAAGATGACTGCTAGGAATAGTCTTTGGACCAATATCGACTGGTACACCGATGTAGCTGTATTGGTTAGATTAGATCTATCTTTCTGCATAGCTAGTTCAACTTACACTGGTCGGGAGTGGTATAGCATGGCTGCGTAACGTGTCAGCACAACTGTTTGCTATTCAATAATGGAGTCATTCACCCTCAAGCACCCTATCAATCTCCGAAGCAGCACTATGAACATCGCCCAGGACAGTGTCCGCAACAGTGATATGCTTGATCATCTTTTGGTACATTCTGTAATAAACAGTCAGTGACTGTATCAAGACCTCTCCGAAGAATATAAGGTATACCCAAACTCCCCATTTCCAAGACTATGATGCATAATAGCACGACTCTTCATGGCGGATGTGGATGGATATCCCACGATATGCACAACCGGGACCTATACATCGTAAGCTTTAAGAAGAAATATACAGAATGGACGACTCACGTATTCCGCATATTGACCAGCCATGCCGCAATAAGCAGATAGTTCTCCAGGTCCGAACGTAGTGACGAAAGCACCGATACCGTTCACGCGTGCGTAACCATCGGCCTATGAGAGCACATGTTAGCAGGTAATACAAGCCCTTAGAGGTAGACATACAGCGTAGCTAGCGATGAGCTCATTTGCATTTCCGCGCCATGTCAAGCCTGCGGCTGGGATCATGTCAAGAATCACCAGCTCGTAGTCTAGGCCCGTTAGCCGAGTATTAAAACTACGACCGATGGGATAGGGATAGTACCGCCAGGAACACCAAACACACACTTGACTCCAAGCTGAGCAAGTCTGGTGAAGATGTACTGTCCAATAGAAATTTCTTCTGCCATGGTGTTCAAGACTCTTGAAAGTCTGATGATTGATGGAAAAAGTTGTGTATGAGGAAATAGAAATCATCTTCGAATAACAAGGCAGATCGTTCAAATAAATACATGAAATATAGTCATGGAACGTTGACCCCTCTTTCTTATTTCAATTGCAAAGATTAATGAAGTTTCTTTATAGATTGTGTCCTTGACAACCAAGCATATACAAAAACCGCACTAGGCCCAAAGCAGGTCAACCATTGTCCCAAAATGGAAATGTTGATTAAAACCGCATATTATATTCGCTATCGACAAGGATTCGTAAGCAGGTCTCAGCCTGGTAATATTCGTTCTCATATATTCATATTGACAAGCTTTTCACATGTTTCGAGGCCAATATCTGCGGGGCTCGCGTTTGCGCCGGAGGACGAACTTTGAGGCGAACAATCTCCCGAAGAGGGAAGTAGCCCTAATCTGCGACCGCGAAGTCATGCATGATGAGTAATCTATGACGCTTCGTTTATCTTTAAAGTGATACAATTTATATGCAGTCGTCGTAATCACTATGTAGAGGGTCGGAATCTGAGTTTGGATGGCTTGAGATAATCCGTCGTTTATTCTCATGCAACATGAGAACCATCGTGTAAAGAATAACCCGAAAGCACGGCTGAAACTAAAAAGACCGGCGCTCATAGCGATCAGCTACCTCAATTGAGATTGCTTCTCTGAGGCAATGTTATGTCCCGAACCATACCAACTTCGAGCTCCTCTCCCTGCGCCTTCTTATTGCTCCTTTTCATTTTTAGAAACGTACGATTTCTATTGACCTACTTTTCTGCATCTCCATCTTTCCCAGCTTTTCTCTACTTTCTTTCTCGCTCCTCGTTCGACATCTTCAACCAAGCCATATATGCACACGGAGATAGCGAGAACATTTCGAAAATAAGTGATATGAAGACATCAAATTCTCGCTTATTGATCTTAGTCTTTCCATCTCCACACCATCCACAAAAGTCAACGCGTTCCCGTATTCTTAGTTTGTCGAGATTTTGCTTTGCCATTGAAGGTACAGTCGGTCAATAATGAGTCTTGATATGATTCCTGCTTGAGCTCTTCAGTGGGTTTTTGTGATCTCTCTTAGATTATCCCGGTTTCAGAGCACGAAGGACTGGGAGATTGAACCCAGATAAGTCGAATTGTACTAGAGATAATATAGTGCAAATTCCAGAAATTGCATAAATGCGAACTATTTCTAGCACTAGTTATCTATTAGCGGAAACGGGATTCGTACATCTACCTACACTGGAGGCCTTCGTACGGCGGTTTGAGGGCCCTGTACGGCTAAATCTTGATGGAGGTATATGTCGAAGAATAAAGGAATATGAACTTATTCCCGAATCATAAACACACATCAAAGTGCTCTGGGCTCGCTTTGAGCGTTGAAGAATATGCACGTCCCGAATGTGGCTGGGTACCCACCCACTAGATCTAGAAGACCCTTCCAGGGAGGGGCAGAGTTGTTTCGTAGAAAATCTTTTGAAGGCAGGTAAAACTTAGAATCTATCAATTATGATTGAAAATTTCCTCCACGAATAGTCTTGCCCGTTTGCCTGTTGACCTGATCCATACAGTAATTGGGTTTCTTCCCAACCGGGACATTAAGAGCCTGCGTTTAACGTGCACAACACTGAGTCAAATCGCCTACCTTCGCTTAAAAAGGGTATTTTTATCCCCCAATCCGCTCAATATCCAAGTCTTCCGCGCAATTGCAGACCATGACAGCTTCCGACAAGGCCTTGTGGAAATTATCTGGGACGATACGCTCGTGGCGAATGAAATCGAACTGGATGACGACCGCAGGAATACCTTGTCATTATATAGTGGTATTGGACTTGTAGAAGACGTTCCTGAATAATTTTTACGAATTTACGAGTGGAACTTGAAGTTGTGGCCCTTTGATAGTAAGGAAGACTATCTATTGGTTGAGACGTCATAGGGCTACTATTATGGTCTCCTACAAGGGCAGAAAGATGTGCTGAATTCTAATACTAATTTAATAGCACTAAGATATAGTTTGGAACGCTTTCCAGCACTATATAGAATTACTATTAGCTCCGCAGCTTATAAATTGCTAGGTTCTCCTCTCTATGAAACACCTAGGATCTGCGCATTCTCTTCTAGCTTTAACTATTATATCCTCCCTGCCTGGCTACTTTAGTTTAATCCACTAGATAAAGAGGACCTCTATAAAGCTCCAGATTAGGATCAAGAAGAGGCTAAGAAATGGTGGAGCTTTTCTATAATCCTCTGTAAACTCATGCAAGTGAGAAGCTATCATATCTTAGAGTTCATTATTAATGCCTATATCCTTAAGATAGGCCTGAACTGCTGTGTCTTTAATCAGTTAAATAAAGAATATAATAATTTCATTATATTACTTCAGCAGCTAGGATTTAAATATCTTGACCTAGCTCTCATTGCCAATAAACAAGATAGAAACGGGCAGCAATAGTTATCTATACATAGCAGTACCTCAGACGTGCTCTCGGCGAGAGTTCAGATTTGGGACACATTAGCCTCCGCTTCACAATTAGCTATTGCCAGTTAAGAGATCATGCTGGACACTTTATCCCGCTTCGCACGATTTTTCCCATTGACACGTGGAAGAATTTGCAACACTTTGGACTATCAGGCTTTTTAGTCAAGGTAGATGATTTGCTCTCAGTTCTCGTAGCATTACCAAAAACACTACGCTCCGTTGAACTCAGCTTTTTACATTTTACGAAGGACGGTGACTATTATCGTCTCCTCGAGGCAATGCACGATACGCTAGACTGGCGCGATCGTGCCGTGAACGAGAGACCGGTGGTTACGATTCACGATGAACACACGGGATACATGTATTGGTGCATGGATGCCGCCGTCAGCAAGTTTCTATATCATCAGGGACCGAATCCATTTGACGAAAAGCGATTTGATGGCGTGGAACGGATTGGATTTCGGTGTGAGACTATATTTCCGTATCAAAAGACCAATGCGCCGATGGAGACGCTTGAGTGAAAGACGCCCTATGAAAGCGAAGCACAGAATTGAATACTTGGGTTACCCAATCTATTTTCATCGACGACATAACAACTTTGCATTTGATCAGGTTGCCGCTTCAATGGCCGACATGCTGCGCCGTCAACAATAATCCTACCCCAAAAGGTTTATAAATTTTCGACTGTCAAAAGTTATCAGATACACAGGTGCTTGTCCGAGACTTGGTCTGACTGGATCGTAAATGTTAGATACTCAATATTTTTAAAGTTCTACCGAGCTCATCTACATGGACTAGCAGCATCAGATATCTCCGCGTCGTGGGTCCTCACGCCATCAGCTCTAATATGGCACAAGCCTTATTCTAGACAACTTAGGGTTTAGGGTATCCCTGAGATGCTGAATGATTTACTATGTATATAGTCTTATGGTTGATGTTGGGCGAGGTTGAAGAGGGGAAAGTTAGTTTTGTCTATTCGTGCTTGTGAAGGGCAATTGCATCATCAGGGCAGCAGGCGGGGATAGTGATGAGGGGGTGGAACATATAACAATCGACAATCCTAGTTGAAGATACAGCAGATAAGTAGTATATGGCCACCACTTGAGAGTAAATCCTAAAATCCTATAATTCGCAAAGCAATTCTGCTATACAACTCTCTTTGCTCGTACTCTCTCAGTCCTGAATCATGGCTCCCGCAGTTACGGAAACGACTGAGTCTACCATTCCCATCAGGGAGCATGTTACGGCAAAGGGTCTCAAGCAGGCACCACTCAAATACAGTGGTGCCCTCGATGTCTATGAGTACTTTGACCTGACGCCAACTATTGGCCGAGAGTTTCCCACCGCCAGTATAACAGAGATCTTGCGTGCTCCTAATTCGGATGACCTTCTTCGGGATCTTGCCTATACCAGTCAGCCAGAACCTGTCTCCTGCTTTCTCAGAATAAGAACTAATTGGATGACACATCAGTATCCTCCCGCGGCGTGGTATTTTTCAGAAAGCAAGATGACGTTACCGACGAAGTACAAAAAGAGTTCAATCAACGACTGGGCGAACTCGCCGGAAAGCCCAAAACATCCGGTCTACACATCCACCCCGTCATCAATTCTGGCCGTGAAAACGGTGCGAAGGATGACGAAATCAGCGTTATCAGCTCTATAGAACGTGAGAAGCTTTTGGATTACCGCAATGCGCGTGCCCAGAGCGCTAGAATTGAATGGCATAGCGATATCACTTTTGAACCTATTCCTAGTGATTATACCAGTCTAAGATTGATAACACTTCCAAAGACGGGCGGTGGTAAGTAGACATCTTTCGTGTAAAAAGCTTGCGTTGCTGATGATCCGCCTCGCAGATACTTTGTGGGCCTCTGGCTACGAGGTGTACGATCGTATTTCTCCTCCATACCAGAAATTCCTCGAGAGCCTCACCGCCACTTATGCACAACCCAGATTCGAGGAAATCGCGAAGGAAAAGAACTTCGAGCTTCATCCCGGACCCCGTGGCGCACCCGAGAACGTTGGTAACATCCTTAAGGCTATCCATCCTGTTATTCGTACAAATCCAGTCACGGGATGGAAAAGTGTCTTTGCAGTGGGGACTCACGTTCAGAAAGTGAATGGCGTGTCCAAGGAAGAAAGCGCCCATCTTCTTAAGTGGTTTATTGATCTGATTGTTGAAAACCATGACCTGCAAGTGCGGTTCCGCTGGCAGAATCCTAATGATCTTGGTAAGGGCATCCATATGTCTTTAAAAGTTTCTGAAACTAACGCGTTTGACTTTTTTTTAGCCATCTGGGATAACAGATCAGTGTACCATGCCGCGACGTGGGATCTCGAGGGCCAGGGACCTCGAGCTGGTCACCGCGTCGTCAGTCTTGGTGAGAGGCCTTATTTCGATCCTGAGAGTACAGGAAGACGCGAAGCATTGTTTGGAAGTGAATAAGTCAACCGCCATGCGGGCTGATTGATTTCATGCAATGTTTCATTACAATTATGAGTGTATTGATGCATGTTTCAGATGTCCCTTGACAGTGTTGATATCATCTGGCTATAATAACACCGGATATATCTTCCTGTCATTACCCATGCTCAATCAACGTATTTCAAATTAATGTAGTATGGAAAAAATCAGTCCTACATATGTGGACAGGTAGTCCCTAGCGGGTTCATAGCCCTTTTTTGTTGCCGGAGTAGCTCATTAGGATATCGACGGACCTGCTACGCCGAAAAGCGTCTCCTCTTCATGCATATGTTCGTTCCTGATAGGTGCCAATGACCATACGGGTATGCATATGGTCGTATGATATCTTTAGTTTTCACATATCATATCTTGGCACTTATAGTTCATAAATCATTGTTACATTGGCCAAGATTCAATAGGGTCATCAAGTATACTTAGGTAGTATTTATGTAATGGCGCATTTGTCTTAAGAAGCCGCTCAAGAGTGCAATGGTTTCAACGATGCCTGACAGAATAATGAAAAGATAAATTAACAGATCAAACAAAAGACGGCTTCCGGTTCAGGATTCAAGATCGCATAATAAATCAAGGCAATGTAGCTAGAGTCAAGACACTAAGTTATCGACAACCCATCGATTGATGTGTGACACGAACTAGAGACCTATGCAATAAGGGAAACAATGAGCTATAAGCCACATGAACTAGGTTCGCTGGCTGAAGAATTATTGATTCGTGTAAAGTCAAATAGATAGTGAGGCTCACGCATGGATACGAGGCTCAAATACCAGGATAGCGGAATCTCGGGGTAATTGATATACGTATCAATAAAAAATCCGGAGATTATGTACGTAAAATCCACTACACATCACGAGGTCTGTTCTGGCACAACAACTCCATTGTTTTACTACAATTTTATGGGCGATGTCTCAGCCAGGAACAAAGGAACCAAAAAAGCGGCTCGTTCATCGCTTAAAAACATCGGACGTTTTCAGCCCAGTGGACCCAGCCGGGTAGATAAAGTTAAAGAATGTTGGTCCATTTATGGATGGCATGTAACGTCTATGAATGGTTTCAGACAACTTTTAGTAAGCGAATGAATACGAATAGCCCGTATTTTCTAAGTTTGAGTTTGGGCCTCCAATAATAAAAGTCAGAGTACGGAGTACGTGGTCGCAGTTAGAGGTACCTGAGCCCATTCCCGAGAAAGTTCATAGGCCCACGTACAAACCCCTAAGACGGTGAGCGAGTCAGTCAATAGACCAATAACAAACCGGTGGGATGAACAAACACAGTAAAATGGAGAATAGACTTCCTTCGACATCCGTGTTCTGATAGCCATTATTCTTGGCTGCAACGCTCAGGCATTTGAGTGTTAATCCAATAGCCAAGATAGCCGAACTCTATATAGTGACGTGCACGATGGTCTTTGGACCTGAGACAATCCATTTTCTCTCAAGATATCCCAAATATCCTTTGACAATCGATGTAATGCTTCAAGCGATCATACAGTAGGCGACCACCTCGTGGCTCTATGTATCAGCTCCACTTCGTCGTCCTTCGACACACAGGATAATTTTCCTCGACATTCTTTTGGCAACTTCTCACATTCCAACACGATGATTCCTTCGGCGCGGCCGAGGAGACTTCAGGGCCGCTTCATCTTCTTCTCAGCAATCGCATCTCTTTTTCTTTTGTCGTTATTTCTATGGCGAACTGCGGATCCACGGATTGTAGATCCCAGATTAAGCTCAGCGGTGGCTCATGCAGAGCACACCATCGGCAATGAGCATTCATCTCACTCGTTGATCCATGTTTCCGACGAATACCTGGATGATTACGAAACCCTCACAAATTCGCAAGACAAAAATATAGGACTTAAACCCACTCCGATAGTTCACCCGTTCTCATTGTCGCTACCACCCGCATCCTCGTCCGTGTCAACACCATCATCGAGCGCAGTCCAATCACAAGATGCAATCCCAACTGAACCGGCTCAAACTCCCGTAGCCAAAGTCTCTCCTTCGATTAACTCTGGTGAAACAGTGAATACTTCGCAAAATCCACGGATCCCCGGAAAGCCGAACAATCTAACGATCAGTGGATTCGTGTTTTATGGCCGTCGCGATAGGGTCGAGTCCATGCACTGTTATCTCGAGGTATGCGATGTTGATTCTCATCAAGCAAGCAGGTTGCTAACTTTGTGTAGAGAAATCTCATCACACATGGCGGTTGGTTGGATAATGTGATATGGGTGGTCAACACAAAGGATGAAGCGGATCTTGCATATCTCGACAAAATCCTAGCCCGATCGCCGCTGTACAAAACACATGTCCTTTCGGAACAGGTTGGCTGGCCTGATTATGCCAAAATCTGGCGCATGGTCAATCGCGAGAGCATGTATATCAAGATTGACGACGACATTGTCAGTTCTCCCAAAGTTTCTGTTCTCGATCCTTTTACTCATGACTGTGCAGGTTTGGTTTGCAGATGATACCATCGAGCGCCTTGTGAAAAGAAAACTTGAACGTCGCGATGCATTGGCTGTATCTGCAAACATCATCAACAACCCACCGCTCAGCTTCTTGCACTACCATACGGGCGCGCTGCATCCGTATTTTCCAGATCTTCCAAAAGACTTTGATTACAGCACACTGGAACCACCTCCACCGGAGCCGTCGGAAGAGGAGGCCAAGTATGAAGAGATTCTTGTTGATGCAGAACTGCAGCCGATAGAAGAAACAGTCGAAACAATCGAAATTCAACCAGAGGAACTGCAGACGGAAGAGAATGAAATACTGTTCGAAGAAGTAGAATCCGAAAAGGAACATACGGCATTGTCCAAAAGACTAGCGATTCTCGGCAACAAAACGCCCTGGCGGCCATCCGAAGATCCCCATTGGACGGGCCCAGACGACTTCGAGTGGTCACTCGACTGGTCACCACCACCATTCCCAAACCATCGATGGCTGCGTGTTCCGGACGACAAAGCCCTAAATCGGACGCCCGTCGCTCATTTGACCTACGAAGTTTGGGGGCCAACATATGAAAGCTGGGCGATCGCATCGCAGCAACATTATTCTTTACTCGAGAATATTGAAAATGAGAAGCTAGATTTGTACAAATTCGATCATCCATGGGATATGAAAGGCGAGCGCATCCGCATTAATTTCATGGCGATTTTGGGTAGCGATGTGCTCGATACAGATGTCTTCCATTGGCCGGACAACCAGGGTGATGAGGATATGCTTGTTCTTACCCTTCCTCATGATACCGGACGACGTAAGTCCTTCCTTTAGTACGATATATCTTGACAGTAACACTGACGAAACCATAGCTATTCTCATCGAAGGCACAGCTCTAGCAGCCCATTTCAATTTTCAGCATCAAGGCGGCGTGACCACGACAGATTTACTCTCACGGTACAAGTCCCTGGCAGCTGAACGGGCATGTCTGGTACCCTCGCCATCTGCTTTTGATTGATTCTCTGTCGGGGTTGGCTTGTAAAAATGTATAATAATATCATTGCATGGCGTTGGTTATTTGGCATGAGATCCTTACTTTTGGGATTTCAGCAATAAAGATCCTTTTCTGATTCACCAATTCTGGGTACCTAGATAGATGCCTACTTTGAGTAGAAGGGGACCAGTATGTAATGATAATGTGCTTGGTGCCTAGTGTCTGAACATCTGCCTGAGGCTCCAGCCAAACCCGCCTCTTGGTGCTAGATTTGGCCGATACTCTCTGCGCTGGATCGAGTAACTACAAGTGGATAGCTAAGGTATCAACGTTGAATACCTAGGCAAAAATTAGTACCTAGTTAGTGTGTCCTCCGTTGTGCAAGACTACGGGAAATCACCTCCATACAAGTTCATTGAAAGGTCTTTTGAGTAACCAACGACCGGAGACTGTCAAAGGAGCCGTTGGAGAACCGGAGGAAAAAGGAGAAGAAGACAATGACGCCGATCCCAAGCCAGACGTCTATCCTGAAACTCTGCCAATGCATTGCAGACCCGACACGAGTAACATTCCATACAGACCGTTCGGACGCCGTTCACATCATTCAGCTGAGGAAGCAGGCAAACCCCATTCACAACAGAGGAGAGCAGGCGGGAAAGGAGCAAGGTACTATCACCCTCGTTAGGTCCTGGCGAATATTGTTGATAGATAGAAATCAGAGAACCTGGAACATTCAACGGCTGTAATTGCCATCCAAGACGTCTCGGTTTGGAATCTAGTTCATGGCCACTAATTGCTATCCTTTCTTTCACTTATAACGCAGTCTGAACCAAAGTACTATATCTGCAAAGATGCTTATCAATCCACATACAGCCTAGCCAGCATAAGAATGTGTCGGATTCATTTATCCTTAGAAGAACTCCAGATGCGATACCACCTGCATTGCGACGAACGACCATTCCTGAAGTGGATAGATAGTCTTTAAAGCAAAACATTATTTGCAAAAATCAGGAAAAGATAAAGAGTCGCCGAGAATGGGACAAGACTATGACCAAGAAATAGCTCAGACCTGTATATAATATTTCGCGTCGGCCGTCGTCCGCCGCCTTCGGCCAACGTTGTCTTATCGCCATCAATTTGAGGCTCATGGTGTCGGCCAACGTTGCGATACGAGATTGGTAGTAAAGCTCAAAACATCAATGGCATTCATAAATAAGGGATATTATAAGCCTCGATCATTCTCAGCACTACCTTCTCAGTATCTATACCCGAATTGTTAGTTCTCGAGCACGTAATCTCATAATGAACGAATATACAAGACAAAAACCGATCGACAATGGCCGCCCAGTTAGAGTTATCATCATTGGAGCAGGAGTATCTGGCATTGCCTTGTACATCCGTCTTCTCCAGTACGTGCCCAATGTCACAATCACCATCTTCGAGAAGAACGCGGGTTTGGGGGGCACTTGGTTTGAAAATCGCTATCCCGGCGTTGCCTGCGACATTCCAAGTCACGTCTACCAATACTCTTTTGAGCCAAACACGCGGTGGTCGCAGCTTTTTGCTAGTGGACCCGAGATCCTAGAATACGTGAAAGGTGTGGCTAGCAAGTATCGAGTGGCGGAGAAGATAAAGTACAACTCAAAGGTTGTTAGCGCTACGTGGAATAATAAAAAGGGCGTATGGTTGGTAATAACGATGCAGAATAAGTCTTCTGGAGAATCTGAAGTGCGAGAGACAGAGGCAGAGATCGTTATTAGTGCTGTAGGCATCCTCAACAACTGGAAGTGGCCAGAGATTGAAGGTTTGGAGTTGTTTGAGGGCAAACTGCTTCACTCTGCCAATTGGGATACTACTTGGTGAGTTGCATTCCGTTCTGCACGCTGGAATCCATAGTCTTAAACTAGATTCCAGGGACTATGAAGGAAAAACAGTTGCGTTGCTTGGCTGCGGATCTTCAGCAATCCAAATTCTACCGCATCTTCAGAGGAAATGTCTTCGAGTGCATAATTTCATTAGGGGAGGAACCTGGATCAGCCAGCCATTCGGATCTACGTTTACCGAGAACATTTTAACGAACAGCACAGAGCCTGGAAATTACTCTTACACCAATGAAGAATTGCAAAGATTTGAATCCGACACAGACTACTACCAGACATTTAGACGGGAAATAGAAAGCTTCATCAACAAAGACTTTCCATGTCTCTTTCCGGGAACCCCCGAGGAAATAGAATCGACACAAAAACTCAAAGATAACATGCGTGCCAAACTTGCCTCCACAGATGGCGTGTACGAAGCCATTGAGCCTCAGTTTACACCAGGTTGTCGGCGTCTGACTCCGGGGCCTGGATATCTAGAAGCCCTAACCCGAGACAACGTTGAACTGGTGAAGAAGCCAATCGCGCGTTTTACCAGGCGAGGAGTAGTAACTACAGACGGCACGGAGTTCGAAGTAGACGCAATTGTCTGTGCTACTGGATTTGACTGTAGCTACAAACCACGCTTTCCGGTTATTGGGAAACGCCATCAAAACCTCTCCGAGAAATGGCAACGGCGGGCTTCAGCGTACTTATCTCATTCAACCCCAGGATTCCCGAATTACTTCACTGTCGGCGGTCCCAACTCAGCCACTGGCGGTGGGTCACTTCTTTTAATCCTTGAATCAGTCATGGGATATGTGGTAAAAGCTGTGCAGAAAATCAGCCGGGAGAACATCAAATCGATGGAAGTGAAGGAATCAGCCTTACGCAGCTGGCAAACCCACTTGGACCAGTATTTTCCCAAGACAGTGCATGTTGACAGCTGCACAAGTTGGTACAAAATTGACGGAAAGATCATCGGCTTATGGCCAGGAAGCAGTCTTCACGCCATGAAGACTCTCGAGCATCCTCGGTGGGAGGACTACGAGTACGAGCTGGTAGAGAAAGAAGATGAGCTTAGCTGGCTCGGCAATGGGTGGACGATTGAGGATGTAAATCGAGGTAATCTCGGTTATTACATTGATTTTGCAGACATGCCGCCTATTCCATCTGAGGAACTGCTAGCTAGGCAGCCATGAGCAATCTAGGTTTTATTCATATGATTACAGAACCGGTGGTAATGCTTTTACTTGATACTGGAAAAGTAGGTGTGAATGCTGTGGATAACGATGGCTATTCAAGATTATGAAGGGCTGAAAACAGGGGTCATCAAATCCTGATCGAGTTGCTAGGTAAGACTACATAGGTAAACGTGTAGATATAGGCCTGAGGTCCTGATATTTAGGCACTATTGCTCTGTGCTATAAGTTAGATCATACTCATACAGTAAACACACCTACCTACCTATGTACCTCATACCGTTTTGGGACACTGCTGTTATAGTTATAGTGGAGTGTTCAGCGTGTAAGCAGTAAAGAGGACAACAGTAGACAGACGGTGCATGGCTTTGAAGCCCATTCCTGAGGAAAATTCAAAAACTCCGATTTCGATGTTGTTCGCTTCGCGGCTCTGATGAGAAATGTACAGCTCAATATGTTACGTCCATAAACAATTTTACAAGAAATAGAGTATAAAAAAACCAAAATATCTAAACCAACCACCTCTCCACCTCCCTCGCTACAACCAGGCCCGCGCCATCGATATACCGTCCGACCTCCTCCGAAACATACACCAACACCGGCCCCAGAATCATCGTCGCTCCCATCCACATGACCACACAGGCAAATCGTTCTCGGTCCGCCAGCTGTCCGCCTGGGTAGGCGTAGCCCGTGAGGTCTTTCCATATCCAGTTCTTGATCGGTTCACGCCACAGCGAGTAAACGATTTGTTGAACGAGATAGAGCGGGAATGAGATTCGGCCGAGGTATTGTAACGTGCGAGATGTTTCGAGGGGACGTTGAAACAGCCAGCGCGGGGAGTTGTTGATGGAGTGAATTACGAGCACGGAGCCGATGGCTTTCCAGCTGTGGTGTACGACGTCCCAGGTCTTCCATGTCGAAGGTTGCAAGATCAGCAGGATGCGGTATCCAGTTGTGAGGTGGCCGTCGTTTCCGCCCGTGCTACCGGAGGGGAGACACATGAGATGAATACCCAGGACGAAGAGGATGATGTTCGTGATTGAGACGGGAGTCATGATTTGGCGAGTTTTCTTGCTGTCGGCGCGGAATGAGCTGCTCCAGGTTGACAGGCTCGACAGGGTTGATGAGAGAGATGATGTTGTGGACCATGAAAAGGGCGGCTGCAGTGTCCCATTGACATTCTCCTCGTCCGAATCATCTTCAAAGTCTGGGTGATGTTGAGGATGGTGCGGGTAGCCATGCTCAGCTTCCTGTTTGACCTTCATCTCGGCCAACCACAGCCCGGCCACGAACGTCGCAATATCCCACATGCCATACCACAAGAAATAAACCGCCAACGCACCCAACACAATCAGCCTTCGTTGCGCTCTCCAGGGCGCCATAACCACAACAAGAAAGTACACCAAACACGACCCTCGAAACTCCAAGGGCATCGTCCAGAACTGCTCATTAAGCCCATGATTCACATCCTTGTACTGCAACGCGCCGAACGGATTGACGATATCCGTCAAATACCGAAACAAGAACGCAAGATGACCTCCGGGGGCACTCCAAGGCCTGATCTTGTGCTCCGCGACAAACTGTTTGATTTCGACAGAGGTCCAACTGTACAGGTTCACCCAGAACAGAAACTGCGACACACACGCAATCACCGCCACCGGCAAGAACAGCCTAAACACCCTCCTCGTCGCTGCAGAAGCCACCTGTCCCAAGAAATCCGCCTGATGCCGACGCTCTCGTAGCCGCAGCAGATTAATCGAAACCACATATCCCGAAATCACGAAAAACAGCGTCACCATCGCATGCGCCGCGAATATAATGCGGAAGAAAGGTAATTGTAGCCATACACGGTTTTTGGAGGCGGGTTCGGCCCAGTACGAGCGAAAAGCGAGGTTGAGGTCGTTGAGAAACAAACGGTCGAAAGCGACGATGACAGCGGCGAGCCCTTTGAGGCTGTCAAGGTATTTGGTGCGGTCCATCTTGTCCATTCTCCCTATCGTCTGTGCGGCGTGGTTGGAAAATCGTCTGTTATTCCCGTCTGATCTGTTGTTTATTCATATTCGGCGTACGGAGCGAGGAATTTGGAGGTCGAAGGTAGACACGTGTAGGGTGACAACAGCCTTAAATTGAGATCACATCTGCAACCTCAGCACTAGCACTCTTTAGAACGAAGAGCTAAGTAACCAAAGGCAATCCATCATCCAGCATGGTCACCCCAGCTGAAAATTTCCCTCAGAAATGCAGTCTTGGTGCAATTGAAGAGGGGCCGTTTTGCTTGTTGCAGTTAGAGCCACGAGCTAGTCGGCTTGTTTTCGCTGGTGTTGCGTGTCTTGGCTCGTGCCTTGGAATTAGATTTGCGGATATTTGATTATCTATGGGGACTGTGATTGGGGGACTCGCATTGAGCCTCCCGTTTTGTCCGGCTGTCGGCATGGGCATGTTTCATGTTCATCCACTGAGACGATTACAAGTAGTATATATTCTGTCTAATTATACAGCTTCAGATCTTTTGATCAGCATCCACTCCGGCGGATGGAACAAATGTCCTCTTCGCCGTCGCACAAAATACGCGTATAAGCCACCAGCCATATACACTGCGGCCGTACTGATAGCCACCGGCCACTGGAACTGCGATGGCTTCGAGAAGATGATTGTCGATGCATATGACAGGAGCTCAAAAAGGTTCTGGAATGCGGCTTCGGTGGTGGAGAAGTCTCCGCGATGCGAATCTTCGACTTCCTATTTCAAATCAGTATACTTGGCACTTGACAGGGAGTTGTAAGGCTCACATCTTGGATAAGATTTTGGGCGCACAAATCATACCCCCATAACCCGACCCTACTCAGAGCAACCCCTACAGCAAGACCGGTCGCCGCAACAATCGCATCGCGACCTTCACGATTATAGTCCGCAAAGAACCATGTGACACCCGCACCAAGCCAGGCCATCTGCCAGCAAAGACTCCATATACCCCCTCGAACAACGCCAACCCGTTTCATCATCCGCGGCGCTATCCATGTCGCGCTGAGTTCGAGGGCGGTGCTTACTGTTCGCGCGATACCGATGTAGAGGGTACTGTAGCCGACGGAGACGAGGTAGGTGATCATTTGGCCGGAGAAGGATAGAACGGTGAAATAAAGGAGTGATAGTGCGAACGACGGGACGAATGCGGGGTGGTTGATGTAGAAGTGAAGAGACGAGATGGGAAAGATTGCCTTTAAGCACTGTACTATTGTGGTCTTAGCAGATCGTTGCGCGGTATCGTCGATGGTCCTTTGCTGGCGCTCGGCTTCGTTTCGGCGGAGTTGAGGGAACCTTTTGTACACCTACAGAATAAGCATATGAATAAGTAAGGTGATGGACAACTTACCTGAGCAATACATATATATTCAACCAGCACCGAAGCCACATTCATGGCCAAAGTAACACGAATCGCAATCAGTGTCGACCCCAACGCCACCAGCGAGATTGTCAATGGTCCCATGAGTTTGCAAAAGAGGTCGATTCGTCGCATTCGCGCATTCATCACTAGACGAGTCAGTAGTTACCATCGCTCTCACGTAGCTCTACTCACCTCTTCGAACTCCCTCATTGCCTTCCGTAATGACAACAATCTATAATCATCAGCTACATCCACAACCATACCAACGAACAACTTACCCAATCCCGCTCAATCGAAACCAAATTCAACACAGAGCACAACTTCTCCACACACGCCAACACCACCGTGACCGCAAAAAGCCCATCCCTCGCCTTCCCTCCTTTGAGTGTGTCATACTCCTGCTGCAAAACCCAAAAGATCGCACAACTCGCCGCAACCGCCAACCGCTGCCCAATGATCGATATTTGCACCGTTGAAAGCCTCTCTCCACGATCAATCCATGCCCCCAACACCCGAGCAAAGATAATTGCAGCGCCGCTACGTACCAGCGCGTAGACGGACATGGGCAGTAGAGTCTGCGGGTATATCGCTGCTAGAAATAGCACGGATCCGAATTCGAAGAGTCGCGAGTTCCATGTTGAAAGGAAATGAGATGTGTAGAGACGGTAGGCGAGGTGCGAGGGGATCGATGGCGGGAGCGATGGTTCGGGTTCGTTTTGTGATTGTTCAAGATCTCGAACGTGATCGTCTTCGTTTGGGTTGGTAGTGGCCATTTCGATGCCGTGCGCTGTGGCAGGTAGCTGGGGAGGTGCCATTCTCTCGTTTTATCTTGAATGAGGACCTTGCTGGCCCATGAGTTGAGTCATCGTGGTCTTCATAGCATTGGTTAAATAACGCAATAAATAACGAATAAGCTCAATTGAAGCCCTAGCCTAGATAGGCGTGAAAGAGTTTTCAGAATGTTGTTGCGGGATTTGGTTGAACCGATGGTCTGACCCAAACAATTTATTTTGTTGTAGATGCGTTTACGGTAAGGTTACTCAGCATACACTAGTTCGGCCAATTATGAGCATCCTTAAGGGTATGAAGGCGTAATTACCGCAGCCCCTCCTTTACCAGATGCGATAGGATAGAGGTTGTTTTCCTCTCAACATCTCAGTCAAGTTCTTATGAAGTCCCGCTCTCGTTTATAGTGAGACAACAGGGGATTAATATCTACCATTGACGGAAATCGATTACCCAGTCCGACGTGCAAAACTTCTTTTGATCTCCTTGAATTGTCCAGTCATCGAGCTCTGGATATATACATTACTCGTAACAATCAAACAACTACCAAGGTCCCCAAACGTCACAGCTAAATAGTAAGTAGGCTCTGCTCAGGATCGAACGCATTATGCGAAGTCAGCTAACAATTACCATCAGTAACAGAGATCATCAAAATGACCATTCAAGCCAAATGGAGCAAGCTCCTTGACGTCGAAGTCCTCCAGCGCTCGTCACAGGCGCTGTCTGTCGTCGATGACAAAGTCTACGTATTTGGCGGAGAATTCCGACCCCGAGAACCCCGCGATAATGTCGTTCACGTTGTCTCCTTGAACAGCCAAGGTGTGCCATTACTTGTGGTTTCTCCATTGACCGACAACTAATTGCTTCTGGAAGCCACACTCCAATCTATCCCCTCCCAGTCTGATGCACCCTCTCCTCGAGTCGGAACCGCAACCACAACGTTGAACGGCGATATTTATCTCTTCTCTGGCCGCGGCGGAGTAGCAATGGCTCCTATTAACGAGAAGGGTGCCGTGTGGAAATACACTACTGCCACCGGACAATGGTCGACTGTATCTCCAGTTGACACAGCCAACGCCCCAGAGCCACGCAGCTATCACTGCAGCTGCAGCAACCAGAAAGATACTATATATGTTCACGCCGGATGTCCCGAGAAGGGTCGACTTTCGGATCTGTGGTCTTTTAATATCACCACCAAACAATGGAAACAACTCACCTCTGCTCCTGATCCTTCCCGCGGAGGCGCCTCTATCACTTTCGCAAACGGCAAACTCTACCGTATGAATGGCTTCGATGGAAAAACTGAGCAAGGCGGAAGTATTGACGTGTACACCCCCGAAACCGACTCCTGGGAAACACACACGTACAAGCCGGATAACGAGTCCGGCCCAATTGCACGAAGTGTTTGCGCGTTGCTTCCGGTCGCTGTTGGCGAGAAGTCTTACATCGTCACGCTGTTCGGAGAGAGCGACCCAAGCAATCTGGGGCATCAAGGTGCTGGCAAAATGCTGGGCGATGTATGGGCTTTTGACATTGTAGGGAAGACATGGCACAAGGTCGATACTCGGGGCGATGCAGTGCCTGACGCAAGAGGATGGTTCGGCGCTGACGTTGTCGGCAAGGACACCATTGTGGTCCAGGGAGGACTGGGAGAGGCCAACAACCGTCTGGGAGATGTCTGGAGTCTCAGCTTTGTGCAGTCGAATTGATAGAACAGATACGATCAAGTAATAGGTAATAAATAATGCGACGATCCTGAAGGTTGGCGTAGATGCGAAAGGGAGAAGCGACCGGGTCTCATGTGATCCGTCGCTCTTGCCTTACCGGGTAGGTATCTTCCTTTCGTTTTTTTCTTCTTCAATCCCAGACCTGTAAAACACCACAAGAAACAGTCATGTAATCCGTCGATTGTCAATTCCACACTTTCTGCCGAGCAATAAAGGATTGTGAGACAGTCCTGCTGTCAGTGTTTGAGCACGTACCAAACCCTTGCAGCTGGCATGTGTCAAACAAATCGCCATGTCCACATTCTTCAAAGGGCAGAGTCCGTGTTACGTCTCAACTCTCATTGACTAGTGAAATCATTCTGCGTGTCAGTCTCCACAGTTTAGCACGGTCGAACCCATCACAGCGCTACCAGCGAATAGCTCCGAGATTGGCGTCTGGGCGCCCCTCTCCCGCGAATTTCGCCAAATCACCACGGGAAGATCTGTCCCATCTGAGCCTTCATCGGGGCTAGCAGGCTTCTCAATCTTGGGCCTCGAGATTTGGTCAAGATCGACGAACCGCTCCGGCTCCCGCTTTCCAGCCATCTATCCACAAAGCTCTGCAGTATGACGAATCCCGGCTTTCTGTTTGGTGCACTGACTTGACTCCGTGATTTTCATTCAACAAATCGCTCCGGATTCAGGTTTAGCGGTGAAACGAGCTGCAGCACCATGTCAACCCACCTGTTTAGCTTGTTGATCAAGCCGGCGGCTGGCTGAGTGATTTGACTGAGCTCCAGCTAGACTTGCCCAAAGAGCTCGCCTGTTATTACGTACGATGTGCTAGCTCAGAGGATGTTTCTAACAAGATTTTCTTCTGCATCTCCCCATCTTTTTTCTTTCCTCGTGTGTAGTAACGAATTCACATCAACATGACGAGCAAGATTCCTCAACCCCCAGGTGTGCCCTTGCTAGGGAACGTCTTTGACGTTGATCCAAGCAATACGTGGGGTTCTTTGAATAAACTGGCTGCTAAATGGGGTAGGTTGATATGACACGTGCACGAACAAGAATTTGACTGACTGGTAAGGTCCTATATTCAAAATCAATGCTCTCGGCACGCAAATCGTGTTTATCTGCAATGCCGCACTTTTAGAGGAAATTTGCGACGAAACCCGCTTCCGCAAGTGTGTCAATGGGCCGATTGTCGAGATCCGCCAGGCCGTCCATGCCTCCCTCTTTACGGCGTATGAATCCGAAAGTGAAAAAGTCTGGGGACCCGCCCATCGCATCATGTCCCCTTGGGTATCGGACGAGTCGAACAAAATCACATTCAACGATCAACGCGACGGAATCGCGGCTATTGTCCCTGCCTGGACATCCAAGCCCGGTCAAGAGGTCAACGTGGCGGATGGCCTGAAACGACTTAACTTACAGTCGGTAGTTTGGAGCATGTTTCATCAAAAGGGCAAATGGATGTCAGGTCCCTTTCCCGCGTTTCTTACTGCCATTGACAAATCCACCATGGAGGCTGTGAAACGCCCGACACGCCCGAAATTGCTCAATCGGCTCTTATACCAGCGTGGATATGACAAGGACATCAAGACTATGCGCTCTTTCTGTAGCGATGTTATCGCCAAGCGCAGGAAGGAACAAGGCACGATCGAAGACATGCTCAATGTGATGCTGAATGGTAAAGATCCACAAACTGGCGTGTCTCTTACGGATGAGCAAGTCATTGATGAGATTATCAACATCTTCATCGGTTCGGCGACATCCCCTTGTTTTGTCAGCTTCGCGTTGTACTACCTACTCAAGAATCCCGAATACATCACCAAAGCCCGTGAAGAAATCGACTCTGTTCTCGGCGCCGACGGAGAGCTTACGTACGAAAACCTCCAACAATTCCAGTTCTGCGACGCTATACTTCGCGAAGCCATGCGTCTATCTGCCGTGGCGCCTGGGTTCAACATCGAGCCTCGACCAGACGTGAATACTGGGCCGACTGTATCGCTGGCTGGCGGTCAATATCAAGTCCCAAGCAACCAAGCTCTGATCGCCGTGCTCGGTGCTGTTAACCGTGATCCCGCGGTGTTCGATGATCCAGAGGCATTCCGTCCAGAACGTATGCTTGGCGAAGCGTACGACAGACTGCCCTCGGGAGTCAAGAAGGGCTTTGGAAATGGCAAGAGACAGTGTTTTGGAACTAAATTCGCCTGGCAATGGAGTTGGATTACCTTGGTTACTGTTTTGAGAGAGGTTGACCTCGAGTTGGCTGACAAGAACTACACTATTGATGGGGACGTGAATGGAGCTTTCTGTGTGCAGCCATGGCATTTTGTGGCCAAGGTTGAAAAGCGAAAGGACCGCCCATGATTTTTCGTTGTGAGCTTTCTCAAATTTCTTTGGCAAACTGCACTATATCATTGTTATCTTTGTCTGATTAGTTTTATGTGCCTTATGATAAGATGATTTGATTAATACAAATGATCACTTTGCTCAGCTATTGTAGCACGGATGCCTATTATCTACAGACTAACTCGGTTGTTCAAAGAGATTGTTTTCAGGGCAATGTAATTCATCTGATATCAATGAAAGCACACTGAGATAGTCACATGCTCATGTCAAACCACAACAACAATGGACTAGCCTCCTAACTGACATCAAGCGTCTTGAACAGTTCGTTTGCTATTAATGGTCAATGCCGTCTAATTGTCTTTGGACTGTCCGATTATCTGGCTGAGGTCCCGAATGGTTCTTACGTACTAACCCTCGACTCCTTGTCAGCCTGTCTTTTCAATCAACGCGACAGATATGATCCAGTGTTTTATTCGGACTTCATCCTCGACTTTGGAGAATCCAACATCTCAACGACTCAACTCCTCCAATTTACTCTTTGAAGTTCACATATCGACAGTCCAACGAATAATGACATCCGTCGTCCTTGTTCCATGCCTATCGAACCACAAGCTCAAGCAAGACAACCGTAAGGCTCCTCACACCTCGACGAATAAACCTGACCCATAATGAAGCTGAAGTAAAATGCAGCAACACGAAACACCTGCAAAGTGCGCTTCTCAATGCCTCCAGAAAAGACCAAAAAACGTCCCGGCCACGCACCAAGTCGACACAACACCTCCTCGACCACATCCTCATCCACCATCATGGCTGGACCGCATAATTCGCGCCCAGGGCCAGCAGCAACCCCAGCAAAAGTTCTTGTCGCTCAACTCTCCTCGCCAACGCTCAACATACGCTCAGAGTTCGAATTAGCCTACAAAATCAGCAAATGTACTACTTCTACTGCCGTCAAACAACTCGCCACTACCCTCTGCCGCGGCGACATTGCAGAAACCACCTCGCGTCTCACCCAAAATCGATCAGACCTCAACGCTCTCATTGAGGTAGCGCAAGAACAAGTCGAAAAGGTAAAAAAGATGGAACGTGACTGGCGCCCGGACCTGCCTTCTAAAACCAAGGAGTTCGCGACCGATCTGGTAGCTGGGAAGAACAACGATATGCGAGAGGCAATGAAGCTTTTCGATGAGTTGAGGTGGGAATATGAGAGGTTTATCAAGTACTTGGATTGGATTGAGGAGCTCAAGGTTGAGAGAGAGCATTTACTGGAGGATCGAAAGTACATGTGTGGTCATTTTGATTGACGGTCTGTCCGCCACGATTGAAATACTATTCTAGGTCCTTCTCTGTACTCTATGCTTCTAATTCAACAATTACAAGAAATAAACACTAAAGATGTCTAAACACGGTATACTTGGCCTTCAGCGATGTTGCTTCCTCATCTAGTTGTTCTGCCGACGCAACCTCTTCTGCCTCATGCCCATCCCATACTTCAAAACAAGCCCATTTGTAAACACCACCGCAAAACTTTCCCCAAAAGTAGTCAAAAACCAAAATACCCAATGTCAATCCAGATACTAACTCAACAACCCACCCAAAATCGGCGACAGAGAAGGACCAAGCATACTCGCCAACGAGGCAAAAACGATATAGCTCCCCCGTTCAGTGGATGTGATACCAGACCATTCGCGAGCGCCACGGTGCCACTACTACCGGTACCCTGGAGACATCTCAGAACCATCAAAGCGGCATAGTTGTTTTGTAGAGACAAGCCGAGGTTGGCGGCAAAGTAGATTGTAAAGCAGATGTATTATGCTGGATGGCGGCCGGCAGTGTCTGAGAAGCCGGCTATGAGCATTGGAGCGATGCCTTACATTATTTCCACACATTTGTTTAAAATCTGGAAGTTATTGTGAGCTAGAAGGGACCTACGAGGTATGTAGTAACAGTAAGATTATTCTTCGTAATCGACACACCCAGGGCATTGACAATCGTCCTCAGTGCAGGGAGTATATAGACGATGGCAATGGCGAGAAGAAACTCGCCAATTGAGAAATTCTGCCTTCCTAGTCATAGGTTTCAAAGACACGGATCGTTGTATACAGTTAAGGAGATTCTTTTTTTAGGTGTGTAAGTTTCTGCCTTCGTGTCTAAAATCATTCATGGACGTCTCAAAATTGCAATATTATTTTGATTTCTTGATGTTTGGTAATCAGCAGCAACTTTAAAGCATAGTAAACGTAGTATTGAGATTTAAACCCATCGCTTATAGCGTCAAGGAGTGTGGTATCAAATAAAAAACAAGAGACAGCAACAGAAAGCTCCAGGATCGCCAAATTCAATCAGAACAAAGCCACTAACAGCCATATCCCGGCGCTGATCGTGACTAGTAATTTCTCTGACGGTGACTGCGAACCATGCGATGCAGCCCCTGTGGACAGACCGGATGTTGCAGCTGGGGCAGTTTCGGTGAGGCCTGAAGTGATCGGTGTAGTTGTGCTAGTACCTGTTGTGGTACCTGTACTGCCTCCTGGAATGACAGAGCTTTCAGATACTGGGACACTGGCAGTCCTTGAACTGGTTCCGGAAGTAATAGTAGTACTTCCAGACGCTGTGCCGCTGGTGATGCTACTACCCAGACCGGATATGGGAGCTGTAACTGTAGACAGAGACGTGGTAGCGGTCCCAGTACCTGTCGCTAATGATCCGGAACCCGATGCAACACTAGTAAAAGTACCTGAAATTCCAGTCAGCGTGGGTGATGACGTTGTGGATGACTCAGGGGTACTTGATAGAGATGTTGTAGATGTCGTGATAGTGCTTGGTTCCGTGATAATTTTACGCGTGACTTTTGTCAGGGTAGTCTGACTAGTGGAAGTTGTTATAACTGTTGACGTCCCAGTAGGTTCAGGTGTTGAAGTGCTGGTAGTCTGTGTCTCCGAAATTGTCGTACTAGTGCTAATGGTTGTGGTGGTCGTTCCACCAGTTGTAGAATCAGGAAGGATCGGCACACTACTCGTTGAAGTCGTACTTGTGCTGCTGGACGGTGTAGTTGTACCCAATGATGAACAATAGAATAACCACTGCTCAAAATCAGGAAGGGGACCGAGCGTCGTTTGCCCTGTAGCGTGGGCAGATATACACGCATTGCATTCACTCAAATAATTCATGAAAACAGATCCGCTGTCACAAAGTGCCGGCGTTTTTCCATCTTTCTCTGCTTCAAGTGCCACTTTGTCGCACTCGTTGTAGCACACGGGTGGAACAACTTCTGCGCCTGTTTGTCGCTTGAATTTGTCATGCTGTTTCCAGCCGCCACTGTCTCTGGGAGGCTTGCCGTCAGGATAGGGTTTACCGGGGCCCCAAGGAAAGGTGAAGATGCTGTAGTTCAGCCCAAACTCGCTTGGATTTAGGTTGAAATAATCAGGGGTCACTTTAAAGGTACCCGTCTTATTTGAGTGGTATTCATCTCCCCAACCTTTATCCGGATTATCAATGAGTTTGGGGCTGGGGATACATTCATCGGGTGAACAATAGAAAGACGAGGCAGGAAGGCCTGCCTCAAAATTGCAATCTGCCCCACCGGGAGGTTTGTTCTTCGGATGACACAAGAATCCTGGTTTACAGCCCCAAGTGTAATCTGTCGGCAATGGTCCGGGGGCTGTATATGTAGGATTGACAATACGACTTGGACATACTGAAATGCTGAATGTGGTACTAGTTGGACTGGGCGTGGGAGTTGATGTCAATACGGTTGTGGATGTGGTCGTTGTGGTAGAAGTAGAAGTAGAAGTATAGGTTGATGTGGGCGAAACAGTCGATGTAGAAGTATAGATTGATGTGGATGACGAGGAAGACGTGGATGGGACGGTTGATGTCAATGTGGTTGTGGATGTGGTCGTCGTGGTAGAAGTAGAGATAGAGGTTGATGTGAGTGAAACAGTCGATGTAGAAGTAGGGGTTGAGGTGGATGAAACAGTCGATGTAGAAATAGGGGCTGATGTGGATGACGAGGAAGATGTGGTTGGGATGGTTGACGTTGAAGTAGAGACTAATGTGGGCGACGGGGAAGATGTAGTCGGAATGGTTGATATTGGACTAGAGGTTGAAGCAGATGACGAGGAAGATGTGGCTGGGATGGTTGATATTAAAGTAGAGGTTGATGCAGGTAGCGAGGAAGATGTAGTGGGAATGATTGATGTTGAGGTAGAGGTTGGTGTGGTAGAAATAATAATTATGGATGATGAGGAAGATGTTGGCAAGGAAGATGTTGGTAAGGAAGATGTTGGTAAGGAAGATGTTGGTAAGGAAGATGTTGGTGAGGAAGATGTTGGTAAGGAAGATGTTGGTGAGGAAGATGTTGGCGAGGAAGATGTTGGTGAGGAAAATGTGGTCGAAATGATTGATGAATTCGTAGAGGTTGACGAGGAAGATGTTGGTGAGGAAAATGTGGTCGAAATGATTGATGAATTCGTAGAGGTTGACGAGGAAGATGTGGTTGGAATAGTTGATGATGAAGCAGTGGAAGGAGTAGTAGTTGGAATAATCCTTGTAGAAGTACTTGTTGTTGTCGGAATAATGGGTGTAGAAGAGGTAGAAGTGCTCGTTGACTCACATTCCGTTTCTGTCAATGTCGTCGTAGTGGTAGTAGTAGTAGTCGATGTGTTCGTTGAGGGACTTATTGGAGACGTAGTAGGGTATATAGTAGTTGTCGATGTACTTGTCCAAGCAGTCGTGTAAAAGCTAGTCGATGTGCTCGTTGAAGGACTTGTTGGAGACGAAGTAGGGTATATAGTAGTTGTCGATGTACTTGTCCAAGCAGTCGTGTAAAAGCTAGTCGATGTACTCGTCACTGTGGTGGGATATCCAATAATGGTTGTTGTGCTGGTCGAGCAACTTGTTGAGTAGCTCGTCCACCAGCTGGTAGACCAGCTTGTCGAGTAGGTTGTCCACCAACTCGTTGACCAGCTTGTGCTTGTAGACCATCTTGTCGGTCTACCTCCTCGCTCTCCTCCGTCTTTTCCATCTGCGTAGGAAGAAGCACCGTAGCCGCTATCTGTGCTGTTTCCGGCTATACAAGCAACTGGTATTGCCAGACACAGGAAAAGAACGGACCATGTTAATTGCATGGCTGCACGCTTTCTAAACCTTCTACTTCTGTCCAAAGAATTAAGATCATACAACAAGAACGACAGACTGGTGATTCTAGAAACTTTTCGTGTCAATACTTGACGTCAGTTTAAAAAGGGTGATCGAGCTTTACATACATAAAAAAGCCGCAATGAGTCTTTGGGTAACAATGTTTTATTCCTGAGTCAATGCCACATTGACCACGAACCTTGTTTACGAGGCTGCGTGTGCTCATTTCAGCCTTAAGTCAATAGAAACAACCCATGGCTAAATTCATGACCCAACCAACCCCGCCCAGTCGATCTGATTCTGGTCGTATTATTATTCGGACACATCGACTAGGCTGCGGGGGGTTCACAATGTGCAGTGTGTTGGCACTGCCGGGATCTTTACAGCTCTACAGCCCTAGCTGCGTACGCTCAAGCCAACTTTGGACTCTTACATTTCTACCAGTCTGTTTGGTCCAATGCGACGTGTACTTAGTGAGAAATGCAGGATACCCCCTGTAACTAAGTACGCATAAATAGCGCAACTATGCATATGACAGACCGCGCTCTTCACAGATTGGTCGACCGTCCCGGGATGAGCCTCAAAGTCTATAATACTGTGCGCCTGAATGTTCAAGCTGAAAATATTGACCACGGTCTCATGCAAGCAACCGTTTGGCTGCATCAAAAGACCACAGAACGACGTTCCTTGAGACATCATTGGATTTCCGGAGTATCGCACCTATCACGCACAGAAATCCAAGACACCATCATGCAACTTCCAGGCCGAATGGTACACACCATGTTGGCCGTGCGGCCACTGTACGATTTTATCAGAGTTTTGTAGCACCTATATCCAGCCCACGTTGGAGTTCAGCCTTTCCGCCACGCTGATGGTGCTTCGCAGTTCTCTTTCGGATTCGACTTCAGCTTCCGAGACTATCGCACAAAGAAGCACGAGATGATATTGTCTAGTACATCTGGTTGTGCCGTATTGTGAGGACCGGCGACATGTTGCGGTTTGCGATTACCCTCATCGCCTGGACGCTCGCTGAGAGCACCACTGGGCTTGAATGGCAGAATGAGGTGAATGTGTCGATGTGCAATTGGGCCCAGTTCCGAGGTGAGTATCTCAATGGATGATGAAATGGAAAGAAGATTGACAAAAAAGCAAATGTCATTCGAGACACGATCTATTTGGACGGCGGAGAGTTGTGGTGGCAGGCGTGAGTCGCGACCTCCATTTTGGTCATTCCTTCGCTCGTTCCTAATGCGCAAATTGATAGCGGCCTCTCCGACGGAACGTACGCCAGCCCACAGAACGACGGTTCGTTCTCCTGTTTTCGTCTCTTACAATTTTCAAAAACCTTGCTGATTCTACCCAGGAGGAATCAATGGCGTCGTGTACGAATTCAATCTAGGCCAGCCCTTCAACCATTCGACCAACATCACCAGCCTGTTCAAGACGCTGTCAAAAACAGGCGGCCTTGCTAGCAACAACATCGCACCTAACTATGATGACGGTGCGATGTTTGCAAACGACGACGAGTTGATCACCTTTGGGTAAGGCCGCTTTATTCATTGACTCGGTTGTCTATCTGACGACAGTGTAGGGGCCTCGTCGACGCGACCAACAGCTCAAGCGCCCCCGCAGAGAATGCTATTCTAGGGTACGAGGCATATCAATACGGCCCAGCGCGTCAATCTTGGTCGCCAGGTTTCGTTAATAAACAGCTACCGACGAACATCACTCGCTATGTCACAAACGGTGCCAGCGCCTCAGCCCCGAGTGAAAATATGGGATACTACTTTAGTGGCATACGAGCAGCGGACTGGGGTCCCATATTCAACGATGGAGAATCTGCAAATACTTTGGCAAATAGCTTAATATCGGTCAATATGTCAGTAATGAGAGAAGAGACGTGGGCGAACGATACGCTACCATCTTTCGTTCCTGCTCGAGCCAATGCAGAGCTTGCCTGGATCCCAGCAGGCGAATACGGAGTGCTGGTTGCTATAGGAGGAGTCATCGATCCTGTCTCGCTAACTGCCGCTCAAGAGTTGAATTCATCACAGACTAACGCCAGCGTAAGTGCATCATATTTTCTGTGACTTACATGTTGACACATATCTAGTCTCAAACTAGTCCAACGTTCATGGAGACGGTTTCCGTATATGATATCGCCAACAAAAAATGGTATCAGCAAAACACAACTGGCGACATCCCTCCTCAGCTGACTATGTTTTGTTCCGCGGTTGCCTCAGCAAGAGATGATTCATCCTTCAACGTATACATATACGGGGGCTACGACGGCATCAACCAGAGTAGCATACCGTCAGATGATGTATACATTTTGTCCGTACCGCAGATGATATGGACCCACGCGTATACCGGACAGAGCAATCATGGTAGAAGCGGACATAAATGTTTCATGGTATATCCCGATCAAATGATGATAATAGGCGGAATCTACGAAAATAACCCAGTTATATGTCTTCAAGCTGGACTTGCAGAAGTGTTCAACGTGAACAACTTGAAATTCCAGGACTCGTATGACCCCCGAGTATGGAGCGAATACATGGTACCCGATGTTGTCACAGCAAAGATTGGCGGAAAGTGAGTGCTCATTCCTCCCTTCAACGCGTTGCTTCTCCTTACCATAAATAGTGGGAACGGAAGTGCCACGGTGCAGTCACCAGCAAGTTTGAGCGACGTCTTTGCAAGTGTGTATACAAAGCCAATCACGACGTATTACCCCTATGCGTTACAATCTACAAACTCAACCAATACAACAAATCCGACACCCGGACCGACAGCCATCACTGTCAGCGGTGGTGGTGGTCTTCCAAATTGGGTAGGACCTGTTTTGGGTGTTGTACTCGGATTGATAGTCGTCGCAGCGGCTATAATCTTCTTCTTGATTTGGAGAAGACGAAAATCAGGGAGAAGCACAAGAGTAAGCGAGACACAGGCGAGTACCACTGGGATTAGAGGGTTTGTGCTACGATGGCTGTACGGTACAGCAGCACAAGATACCAAAAGTCAACCAGATCTGGCTGTTGCAGATATTGACGGCGCTACTGTCGTGTCCTCCAAAACCCACGAGCGCCACGTCTCAGAGGCCGGCAGTGTGGCATTGCACGAGATTGATAGTACGTTGTTACTTTCAGTGAGATAGAAATTTCATACTGACTTGTTTAGATATTCACACTCCTGTCTATGAGATGGKCCCAAACGACCAAGGACTACAGTGGCATGAAACTCATTGGTCTCAACCTCAGCAATCTCCACCACTTGTATCTCCTAACATTGATGGAATGATGTACAGCAGCCAATCGCCTACGAGACCAACTCATCAAAACACCCGACATACGAGCAATATGAGTACCGGATACCGAAGTGATATTTCAGAGATCGGGTCGTCAGATCCTGGGCGTCCTGCGCATAATAGGCAAGTGTCAGACAACTCGGTCTCGGATGTAACATCAGTACCTGGTTCTCAGGATGGAAGTAATGCGGAGACTTCCAACAGAGAATACACGGCTACAAATAGTGCCACAATGAGTGGACGAATCACTACTGTACGAGAAGATGAAGAGCACAATGCTACTGAGGCTGTGGTCAGCCCATTAGTTGAAGAGCATGACGAAATACAACGGCAGCGCAATCATTTGACAGAGCTAGAGTGATGTATCTCACGCGATATAGCTTGAGATATTATTTCGATGTATCTACCTATGGTTGGCACAATTCATAATGGGCAATTTGTCAATTTGGGTACAGTGATATCAGATCCATTTCAGATGCCTGATTGCTACCTATGTAGGCTCCTTTTGGTAGACACACATCGCCATACAGCGTCCAGTCAGGTTGACCTTACGATAGTCTCTCTCACGCCATCAACGCCGCTTCCGTCCAGTACTCGTTGCCTCCTTTCCTGACCATACCGCACACAGACACTCATCGAATATCCACCAGCTCCATCTCCATGTACAAATTTATCCTTTCACGCATCGCAAACATCAGTCGGCTCGCTAACAGCACTCGACGTGGTAGTCGCACTACCCGAGGAATCGGGAATAGTGCACGAAACACTACCAAATTTGCTCCCAAGGGAGCCAGTATCAGAGATACCTGGCGCGCTAAAGGTTCCTGCTACACCACCCGAGCAATCTGAGCTCCTAAAATGACCATTTGGTAAGTTATTGATATTTCTCAGGGCGGTTGTGTAGGATGTGTACTTACGCGTAAACATTGCATGTAGCATTTTCGTCGACTGTTGCGGATCCCACTGAGCCGGATCTGTCATCCGTTTTAGCTTCTAAATCTTCTATTCGTCGTGTTGATATGTAGGTGATCGACTTACGCTGGAGCAGTGATAGCCTGGCAGTCACCGGGATTGAAGGTGTAGGTTTCGGTGTAGTCTTGAAAGCTGGTACTGCCCCAGATGAAGACCTGTCAAGAAGTATTAGTATTCATCGATATTTTATTAAGTATATGAGCAGATATCATAGAAGAAGATTACTCACATCAACAGTGTCGCGCTTCTGGATGGTTGCGGTAGACACGGGTGCCACCAAGACAAGGGCAGTCAACAGGTATGCCTTGAAGAGTTGCATCTTGAGATCAGATATCCTGGTAAATTTTTGATGATAGATTGTCGAGCTCTGAAAGAGGCTTGTGAGTTTGTCTTATCAGGACGTGTATCTTACCGATAGATGTCAACAAGGGTTAGGAAGAGTGAAAAAGTCAATTCAAAGTCTCTGGGACTCGATTATGAACCACTTCACAATTAACCAGCAGTAATAACTACCAGGAACTTAGCTGCTATGAGTGACTAAACGAAAACTTCTTTGTTCTCTAAGTAGTACAAATATTGTGCCAGACTCGAGACGTGAAGGTGTCACAGATGGTAATTCCCGTTCGGCACTTGGTTAGTCTCATTGTAAGTGTTCCTGTTTTCATATTTTTTTCATTTCTGGAAGCTCTAATCAAGTAGTGATTTGACAAACTTGTGTAACGCTGTACTCCGGCACTGCGTTGTCTATTGTCGGCATCATAATGTTTGTATGCTCTGTACTACCTTCCTAAATACAATAAATGTTGCGGATTACTCCGTCCCCAAATGAAAGAATCTCCATGGACCACTCAACGAGCTTATGATATTCCAGCCGGGGAATATCTTGCAAACTTTCAAATGAACACACTGCACAGAATTCGCCCATTATTTAATCTACCCTCTTCCCCTCGCCGTCTGCGAAACCTTTGACCAAAACGTGCCCATTCCTTAAGCTTATTCCGATTCATTCCAGCATAAAGTACTGGATTTACGCCTTTTTTTTTTATCATTTTCTCTTACTCTTCGGCGTGGATCAAATAGACTAGGTGATCGGGACCGGAAGCTTTATCTTTCTTGTTAATCTTGACCTTTGGTGTGATGCCCCATTTAAGACCTGCTTTAGCCGCTGCAAGCGTTTTGGGGAATACCAAATATATACAGATGATCGGTGTTAGCTTGACTTGTCTAATGAACGGCTGGATTAGCTCATGTTTGTTCTCAAATGGTCGACTTGACCGATTACTTTCACATTGGACATGATGTCCTGTTCCTGTCATTTTTCAATTGTGGAAAACGCTATAGGATTCTTTTTTTATGAATTTGCACCATCATAAAGATGACATTAAACATCTGCTCTGTCCCTTCTGAAGGCTGAAATTGTCGGTCTTGACAGCCATGATGTCATAGCTGAGGGATCTGTAGCCTGGTGCCTCAGGCCTTGAAATAAGTATTGTCCTGTCAACGACTTCAGAATTGATTGTAAATAGATATCGAGGTTAAGAACTCGAGTAGTCGCCGCTGATTTAACGCAGACATGTCCACGTTAGATCAGGACCTACTTTCTCATTTGCATCGTAGCCCCCAGTATGATTAGCACATTCATCGCCATGACTCCGTCTGGTACTACAAATTTGGAATTTTCCCAGGGCCAAGGGACTATGCAAGTATCTCGCGCCTGTACTGTCGAGAACTTTCTCTGTATACTGCTGAAATMCTCCGATACCATCAGCCCMAAGCCACAATCACATGATGCCAGGCTGGGTCACAGCCAAGCTAGATCTTAGGGCTACGAAGTAGTTACCTAGAATAGAAATTCAGCTTCACCTCACGTGCTTAACCGTGATCCTTTCGCCCCTTTGTTACTGGTATCTTAGATTGCAGCATTACCAATCTTTCTATGTCCATAAGTAGCAATCAATTCGTTTAATTCGGCCGCCCGCTGGCTATGCTTTTGACCCACTGATGAATGCGACTACCATGGACGTGACAGGGTATATTATAGCAATTAAGGTATCACGCTCATCAGATATCCTCCATAATCAATGCAAATAATGAATCAATAAAACACTCTCCGTACTCCATCATGCATCGCGAGGAACGGCATCAAAATCAAATCAAAGAATCTTCTTCAACCAATAACACGAACCCTCATCAACATCACATATCCTCCTCTCCACCGAGTCAGCATGGTATATAGCATCGCGACACACTCTCGTGGCAACAATCGGCGAAACTGCATTGAGCGACGAACCCATCGCATCCGACACAATAATAGTCCGTTTCGTGCTCACCATGTAATCGCACTGCGACCGGCCAGTGCTCGTCATCAGCGTACCATCCTTGTTGATAATGGGCCACATAGACTGTAAATATTTATGAGATTCTTCTGAGGAAAAGCCGGCATTGTCCATTAAATCTTCATTGATATCGGCCCGGCTATAGAGCCATGCGCAAACAATCACGATTCTCGAGTCGTGGAACGTCGTCATTTCAGAGATCATGGCCAATCGCTCAGTACCGTCTGATTGACTGATACCGACTATTTTTCCGACGTCTAATACTGCAGGAGTACGTTTGGTCGCTGTTGGTGATGTTGTAATTGACTCTGTAGCTGTGAGGGTAGCATCTGCTTCATGTATCTCCGTTGTCGTCATCGTAGTCGTAATCACCGTCGAACTTTTCGGGTGTTTTCTATTTCGTTTGGTTTCCTCGGTCCGGTGATGATGATGATTTGATCGAGTTTTTCGGCCACTTCCTGGTGCCGGGCTCAAGGTCCGATACATCATGTTCAATGCTGATGGGTAATCGGACATTTCGAGGGTTTGCGTACCGCGAGAAACTGTCCGGTTGGGTGAAGGAAATCTCACTCTTTCGTCATATTGATAGCGCCGTTTTGATATTAGGATTGTTCTTCTTGTGCGCTCAATATGGACTTCAGGGATCGTGTGAGTGGACGTCATGTCGCAGTAGTTGGTGATTTAATTATAATTGTTATCTCGTCAAGTATCCCTTCCGAAGTTCTCTTCAATATTGGTAGGTATAAGGTCTGGTATGGGAAGAGTTGCACGGGCAGACCGATATTTATCTACGTATAAACGAACGCACACCATTAATTTAAAAGGGACTATGAAAGAATTGCCTACCTAGGCTAAGGAAGTAAGCACACATATCCTTGACTAAGAATACGTGCTTCTTCGTACATAAACAGTCAAAGCGCTAGGTACCACAACACTGGGATAATTGGCCGGGGCCTAAGTACATGGTGGCGGGCCTAGTGAGTCTGCCTCCTCGCTTAGAATCCTTAAATGTTTAGTAAAACGTTTAGGAACCGAGATTTAATCTGCCAGCATGACACTACTAACACTTAAGGATCTGAGAAGCGTCGAGTAATTGGACGAGTGTATTATACTAAGATACATGTCAGACACGTAGTGCTTCGTATCCTGGTATTCGTTCATGGGAGTCCTTGCCAAATCATACTGCAAAGGTCATAAAACATGTTGGATTCCCCGCATTTAAGTTAGGGACTTGCCTAATAAACGAACTCGAATGCCAGGCTCTCTGTGACATCGACAAAGCATTTCTATAGGGCAGGCCATAAACGAATCCTCAAAACACAGCTCTTCACCAGCTCTTATCGTATAAACATCGTATACTGGTTGAATTCAATAAACTTGCGGTCAAATGATGAAACGATCTCGGGGTATTCCAGGCCGTGAACGACAAACGACCTCGGGAAAATTGGATGCCATGAGTAGCGTCCCCATGGTGATATCTGAGTGCTTACTCCGTGCAATGAATGATGTGTTAATGATCACGAATCCGGAAGCACTCATCCGTACATTGAAGTATAGTTTTTGCACTTTATACGACCATGGATCGATCTATTCAATGGCTGCCGAGTCACGAAGCAGCTAGGGATCTGTTCCGGGAAAGCGTCAAGGTCTACTACGCGTACAATGCAGGAATCCCATTCCTGACCCGAGTACAACGAGTAAGAGGAAGGAGTTCGCGAGGCACAGGCATAACCTGACGGTCCGGATGAGTGGTGACGCTCAGGAAGCTGTGTCTCCAAAGAAGTTTATACGAACCCTTAGTGGCAGCTCTTCGTACACTAACCCCAATGCAGAATCATGACTAATCCACAACGGGCGCTAAACTAGCTTGATTCGCCGCTAGTCCGTTTTGGGGAAGCACCCAAGTGAAGATTTCCCACTTTCCGACACTAGGCCCCAAGAGGAAGTACTCTTTACAGCGTCTGTCAGGCAATTTCTTGACACATTGGCTGTATGTATACTTCGTACATCAAGTCAGTACATACGAATATACTAGTCATCGGCGATGCGTCTCGGCAGCTAGCTATACGATCGGAGCAATTACATGCCATACCGAGGCCGAAACAGGGTCTGCATTGACCCACCGGAATGTTGGCTTTCCGAACATGACTTACCCATACGAGCCTGGAAGTCAGGACGTATATTAGAGAATGGGCCTGAGCATACGTCTAGATCATATATACATGAACTTTCACAGCAGCGTCTTTCCGTATCAAAACTTTGCAAAATGCTTTGTGGCGGTGAGCCCAACAACCTTCAAAAATTCCAGGGCTGGATACAGCCGGATACTGTAATAGGGCTGCGCCTTGGAAAAACCCGAAGTGAAGTGCTATCCGGAGAAATCCAATCGAATAAATAACATGATGGAATCCTGCCAAATCCGCATCTACAATCAGGCGCAGGATCCAACACCACTCGAAGCCATCGTTTTTAAATTCTCGACTTTGGTAGCCACTCGCCCGAACCAACCCGCTCACATAGACTACGGGCAATATGACCAATCCACTCAAAATCTTCCATCTCAAGGTAGATCTGCCCACTCAGCCGTAGCCACAACCACCCTCCATGAGGGTAGAACTTTGCAAAAGTATCGTACTCCTTGATAAGTTTGGCATGCATCCACTCACACACTGGCGTTGCATCCTTTATGCTAAGCAAAGGGAATGGAGATGATGATGGATCCGGTACATGTGGGTTCACGTCTTTATCGTCCTTGAAGGCAAGCGGCATTCGCACATTCACCATGGCGCATCTTCGGATATCACTTTGCTCAATGGGATTGGTAAGACCGGGTTCTTGCATGACATCTGTTCCTACTATTTGAGCAACGACATTTCCGCCCTCTTGTGCAATAGTGTGTAGATAGCTATATATAGCTTCTTCACCCCCACATATTCGTTTTCGAAAGTCGAGAGCTGCGGGAACACTCATGTACGGTGTGTCATCGGCGGTAGCAACGAATTCGAATAGTATTTCAAAATCGGTCTTTCCCACATGTGTCCCGCGGCCTCTGTCAGCAGGTGATGTGTAGCCGTGAGATGTGGGGAAGGATGTTCGTAGTAGATGTTGGTTTCGTTTAGGGACGTAGAGCAAAGCACACCCTCGTGGTGTGTATAGCCATCTGTTGAGTGTTAGTCGGACGAATATCTCTCGCATACATGCATTACAAAGTCTTGGAGACTAAGAACGACATACTTGTGACAATTGCTGACGAAAAAGTCGGGACTAAGGTCACCCAGATTCAATGGAATGTGGCCCACGCCATGTGCTCCGTCAATGACACTCAAGATAGACTCCTCTTTACAAGCCTTGATAAGTTTCTCAAAAGGAAATCTGACTCCCGGAATCGAGACTATCGTGTCGAATATCGCCGCCCGCACATTCAGCCCCTCACTTTTCATCTGCTTCACCACATTCAAGAACCTCCTCACAATCTCGTCATGTAAAATTGGAAAAGTATAGTCGACTCTCCGGAACTGGACTGGTGTGGACTCTGTCAGGGACTCTAACGCCTGTTCTACCGCATTGTATACAGTCGCGAAATATACGATAACATCGCCGTGTTTGAACTCCAGGTTTCGAAGAACAGTGTTGATTCCGGTCGAGGCATTCTTCACAAATACGCATTCGTCGACGGGGGCATGGACAAATTTCGCAATCGCTTTGCGAGACTCTGTGACATGTTCTGCATGTGAAATTATAAAGAAGACGTCCGGTCGCGATTCTTGCTCATCCTGGAATACGCGTTGCGCATCGCGTACCTCGATGGGGAACGCGCCGAAGGATCCTGTGAGATGCGGAAGATAAGTCGAATTAGCCTGCAGGTCCTTCCGAATTAGAGATCCTTCTCGAATATGGAAAGCGAAAGGTATTCGATCAAAGCCAAGTGAGATAGGTCATAATTTACCGTGATTGAGTGGCCTATATTTCGGGTTGATCATAAAATGCTTCTGCAGCATGTCGCGACCGAAAGGCGTCGGGCCCTTTGGATCTATGATGTACTCCCCCATTACTCAATTTGGATCTGGTAATATATGCTCTGATATAGCTGATAGTAATCAGATGAGGAGGATGAAATTGAGTACAGTTTGAAGGTAACGTGGTAAGTTGCGACTGTGGAGCTTATCAGGGCGATAAGGCGCCCCGCGTTAAGTCCTGGCAGCCTGAGTTTCAAGGCTTCCAATAAGACTAGCCCTAGCCCTAACACACCTTTTGGGAGCTTGTTCTTGGCCTGCTAAATCATCACATGTCTTATCCATGATATATACGACAAGCATGACACGACTAGAGAGCCTATATTATAACATGAGCTCAGGTAGTACAAATGATCAAGAATTACGGACTTTGCTACAACACGGCACAGAATTCTGACTAACCAGCTTCCTATCACCTAAGACTATGTTTCAGAAGTACTTGGAATGTGGAACTGATGCATTTGAAAGCAAACATTGGCTCTATATAATCCGTGTAGTGATTGGTACTGTCCGTACAACTGTCATCTCGCTTCATCTGCAAACAGGAATGCCGCAGAGCGAACTCGATAGAATAACCAAAAAGTCCCCCTTCGCACAACTTGAAACATCTCTTGTTTCCCGTTGACAGTTTTGACAGTTGATACTAATGAGAGCGACTTCCATACTCAAACCAAGAGCCTGAGAGTTGAATCTCTGATATCAATGGGGCAAAAGGAGTTAGCACTAAAAAAAAGCAGAATGTAGAGGTAAAAAAAAATGCAAACTCAAAATCCTTCGCTAACACTTATGTGGCTTGAGATAATAGAGTATCTATAAGAAGATTGTCTAGAAACAATCAATAGGTAGATCCATATTATGTACAGAATACTACTTGGAGTCCGTAGAAGAAGCAAGTCTCTCGCAAACCTGGTATATTTCAGCATCAACCCACTGTTTTCTTAATAGTTTCGATAACAGCTTGCCCAAATTCAACAGTTCCAGCCTTTCCACCCAGATCGCGCGTGCAAATGCCTTGACTGCATGTATCCTCAACTGCTTTGAGTAAAATTGCGGCCGCTTTCTTTTCTCCAATCCACGCCAACATCTCCGAAGCGCACCACAATGTAGCCACAGGGTTAGCAACGTCCTTGCCAGTAATGTCGAATCCACTTCCATGAACGGGCTCAAAGATGGAAGGGTTTTTGCGAGTGGGGTCAAGGTTGCTAGAAGCAGCAATACCAATAGAACCACCAAGGGCTGCTGCAAGGTCAGACAGGATATCCATATGGAGATTCGTGCCAACAATTGTATCCAAGGATTTAGGCTTAGCGGCCATCCGAACCGTCATAGCATCGACCAGCATCTTGTCCCATTTAACGTCTGGAAACTCCTTGGAGATCTCAGCAGCAACCTCATCCCAAAGGACCATACCATGGCGCATTGCATTGCTTTTGGTGACAACGGTGAGCAGCTTACGAGGACGGCTGCGAGCAGTCTCAAAGGCAAATCGCATGATACGTTCAACGCCAACGCGGGTAAACACAGAAATATCGGTCGCAATCTCCCAGGGAGTTCCGCGATGAGTGCGTCCGCCCTGGCCGCAGTATTCGCCTTCACTGTTCTCACGGACGAGTACCCAGTCAATATCGCCATCTCGGACATCTTTGAGAAGTGAAGGCACGTTGGGAAAAGTTTTTATGGGCCGTACATTGGCGTATAGTTGCAAAGGTCCACGTATAGCTAGGAGAAGTTCCCATAGGGAGATATGATCGGGCACGTCTTGAAAGCGGAAAATATATTAGTACGCTTGGGTTTCATGTGTGCCCTTGAAATCCTAAGAAAGACTCTAAGGTAAGTATTTCGTACCTGGTGCACCGACTGCGCCAAAAAGTCCAGCATCAAATGTTTTCAAAGTGTCCAATCCACCTGCTGGCATGTATTTCCCAGTCTTTTTATACCGCGCAGTACCCCAGTCAAGCTCGGTAAATTCGAGCTTGTACGTGCCCAATATTTCCTGCAAAGACTCAAGAACATCAATAGTCACGTTCACGACTTCCTAGTGGGATGGTTAAATCAATCTCAGTATATGATCAGCAATGTTTGATGATGTATGTAATTATGTACTGACTGGACCGATTCCATCTCCAGGGATGCTTGCAATTTTATATATTTTAACCTCGTTTGTTGCCATTGTGCTTCAAGTTCGCTGTTCCAAGGTTGCAAGAAGCTGTCTTTTGTTATCAAAGAAAAAGATAGAATCATATGCTACAAAAACTTTTGCAAACATGAATCTTCTCTGAAGGCTGGGTAACATGCAGTTATAAGATCAAGAATTTCCTGTGGGGATTGAGATGCCGGCTGATAGTTCTGCCCTGAGTTATTCACATTCACCATTTGTTTGTTCGTCAACCTTCCAGATGTCCTTATCTTCTAGGCTAGTTGATATTCTATAGCAAATCTTATCTTTGTTTCAACAACATAGTCAGCAGATATAGTGCCCATATTGTAGTGAGAGAGTCTTGACGATTGACGCCTCGGCGGCTGATAGTTCAACCGAACTCAAGCCCTAAAAAAGCCCTAAAATTACCCTGCTCGTCTCAAAGTACGCCGTATTAGCAGAGTTCACGGGCCTCGAAGAATGCTGCAGGTGCAGTTTTAGAAGCCGGATGAGTAATGATGAAGTATCTGTCCAGTATCCCTGAACAACGGAGTTGTTGGCGAAATGAAGTACTGTGGACGCCTCCTTCCATCATTGAATTCCTCATCTCGACCTCGCACTGTCTTCATGTTCGACAGCTCGAATCGGATAGATACTGGACATCGTTGGTCTAAAATGTGATCAGGGTATTTTAGAATCTAGATTTCAATTGCGAGTGCCGTTGAACGCTTGGTAGAGGTTTGTCCGTCAACTATCGAAGGCCGGACGAGGTGTTACCGTTATGTAAGAGTCAAACTGAAAAGCGCGACGACAGTGCTGTCGCCTCGGACCAACATGCCCGCCGACTTTCTTCCATTCACATCAAACGTACATATGCCTGCAACCCCTGCAGTTTTCAGGGTTTTGGGTGAGAATGAACTAATGACTAGTGCTTACGGTACTGAATACGAGGTAACATGAACGTAACTTTGCTGCGACAAAGAGTCGCAACAAGCGTTTGAATTCAATCGCATTGTCTGTGAGATTAAAGATTCGTCGCCTCGAAAGCGCGTTGATTGCGAGACATCAAATGATTTCTCAAATTTACCAATCAGGAAATTCTCCCGAACGGATCGAGCGGAAGGACATCTGCCTAATTCCGCGCGCGAGCCTCAAATAGCGTAACTAACAATTGGCACCGCAGTATGATTCGATGCTTGTTCAAGCCTCTGGATGAATTCGGATAAAAGATGGAGTCTTTTGGTATATGCCCAGCCAGTGGAATTAGTCTCAATAAATTGCTAACCTACTCGGGAGTAGCAGCTGAAGCTTTGGTTGGAAACCCCCCCGTTTTAGTCTCCACAGGACCACGTACTCCATACAACGTTACAGGAATTCTGGCGGCTCTAACAAAAGCCAAGTAAATTTTAATCAACTTTCCTCCGTTCTAACTGGATGTTCGGTGCTTGCTCGTGGAGGCGCAGTTGCCTAGACGTTCATGTCTAAAGATAAATGCGTATCCGACGTCGTTGGTGACAGGATTTGTCTTGCATAAAACGCCACAAATCAATAGTATTGCCTTAATCTCAATGAATGATGGGGTTGAATGAGTAAGCTGTATCGTCCGGAGGCTTAAAACTGATTCCAAATCCTGACGCACATCTCGGTGAATTTGGCAACCTTAAAACCCGGGCTTTTTGGACGTGGTGACCAAGCTTCAGAAAAGTCCATCTACACACATACGCTCTTTTATCTCACTCTGGATATATTACCAATCGGTACCACTCGCTTATAACAATGCGTGTGACAGCTTCGTTACCACTCATCGTCTTGTCGACGGCGTCGGTTGGCAATGCGCTCTCGCTTCATAGACGTGATGCGCCAGCAGTTCTGGCAGCACCATTACGACGTAGACAGCCTGCGACTTTGAGCAAAAGAGATACTTCTCCTTTGAATGTATCGATTATTAACAATGTGGGTATACACAATTTTTTAAGCAGGTTCCACATCCACGACTAACAAGTGCACAGCAAGATTCCAGCTATCTCCTGAACTTGACGCTAGGATCACCTGCGCAGAACTTTACACTCGCTCTGGATACTGGTAGCAGTGATCTATGGGTCATCGGAGGATCGAAAGAGGCAGATAACGTCTACGTCTCGGATAAATCGTCCTCTTACAAATCACTTAACTCGGGTTACAATGCAACATACGCCGATGGCACTACAGCTCTCGGAGTCTACGCGACTGACACTTTGGGCTTGGGAGATGCAACTGTCAAGGATTTCCAATTCATTGTCGTTAACCAGACTTCCTCTGATGGTATGTTTGATCGATAAATAGAAGCATCCTGTGTACTAATTTCATTTGTTATTCAGTGGGTATCGCCGGCGTTGGATACAACATCTCAACGTACGATGCCGAACACCAGAACAAAGTATACAACAATCTACCTTACGCCTTGACTGCTGCAGGCATTACCAAATCTACCGCCTACAGTCTTTGGATGAACGATGTGAACGCCGAAACTGGTACCATTCTATTTGGAGGCGTCAACACGGCTCAGTACACTGGCGAACTTCAGACTCTTCCAGTCGTGCCTGTATACAACAATTACTACTCCCTTGCCCTCGCTTTGACAGAGGTCATTGTTCAAACCGGGAACTCTACTAGTACCACGACGAACCTTCCGCTCGCAGTTTCGCTAGATACTGGCTCAACTCTGACTTCCTTGCCAGAAGCGCTTTTTAAAGACATCCTCAATGCTCTGAATGGAACTTACGACGATAATGCCGGACTTGGACGCGTTGATTGCAGTTTGATGGAAACCAACTACAACGTAACATTCAGCTTTTCCGGAGCAAAGGTCGATGTGGGTCTGAATCAGCTGGTGTTAAACCAGGGCGTTACTGGCTGGCCTAGAAGCAGTTGTTTGCTTGGCGTCGTTCCCAGTGATCCTGGCGTCAATATCCTTGGAGACAGCTTCCTACGCAGTGCGTACGTCGTTTACGATCTAGAGAACAACGAAATCTCCCTTGCCAACACCAACTTCAACCCTGGCAAGGACGATATTTTGGAGATCGGTACTGGCGCCGGCGCAGTACCAGGTGCCACTCTTGTTCCTTCGGCTGTCTCGACTGCTACTGGAAATGGTGTTCAGACGGCGACTACTGGCGTGCCCACTGTCACAGGGACTTCGATCACCACTGCCTCTGCGACTACTGCTACCGGTAGTGCAACCACTGGCGGCTCTGCAAAGTCTACTGGCACGTCTTCGGGTATTGCAACGTTGCCCACTGGCAATGCGAAACACCTTCTTTCTGGATTGGCAGGTGCTGGTCTTCTCCTTATGATCTAAAGGGTTAAGGTTGACTGGGCCGTTGGTCGTTCATTTGTACATTCAGATAAATTAAATAGTAAATAGCACAATATACATTTTCAAGACCTTTATTATCTACTTTCGTCGCGTGACCAACAATTCACAACCACAATCTCCAATAAAGCTAGCACAGACGTCCAAACCCTAATCTCTTAGTTTCAATATACAGGCGGCTCATGCCGACATAGATCAATTGTATTTCCACTTCAATCAACAGTGAGAGCGTACATTTCCAAAGGTCTGCCCACTAAAAGCGTCGCCAAGTGCAAAGCGGGGGATTGGCAAGTGGAAATGCTACATCGGGGTAAGAATGGGGAAAGATAAGGTTTGCACCGATAGAGGTGAATTTTAGGTGTGGAGATATTCGTATAAATCCTCTCGGTTCTGCTTTGTAGTCACTATTCATTTTATCTACATGAGCTTTTAGGCAGAAAGACAAGCGACGCCAATTGACTGAGTATACATACATTGGTACTGCATGACCATGGCTAACGAGACGCCAAAAGACGTCGAAGCTCTCGGGACTGTCGAATCAAAACATGTAGCCGATTTAGGTATCACAGACACCCCCACGATCAAAGACAGCGACTACGAGCACCACAATGTCGGCACGCTCCAACGACGCCTAAAATCAAGACATGTCCAATTCCTCGCCCTATCCGGCGCTATAGGCACCGGCCTCTTCGTTGGTACAGGCCAGACACTTTCCCTCGCAGGGCCTCTCTCAGCAGTACTCGCCTACCTCATCACTGGATTTAATCTCTACGCTGTAATAAACAGTATGGGTGAAATGGCGACTTGGCTTCCATTACCTGGTGCTGTACCCGTATACGCAGCGCGATACGTCGATCCTGCTTTAGGGTTTACGCTTGGTTGGAATTATTGGTATCAATTCGCAATCGGTGTGCCTATAGAGATCAGTGCAGCAGCCTTGGTCATTGATTACTGGCCGAACAATGTACCTACTGTCGTCTGGATTACGATCTTGTTAGTCGCAGTGATTGCTATCAACTTGTTCCCCGTGCGATACTACGGCGAAATCGAGTTTGGCTTTGGCACAATTAAATTGACTACAATCTGCGGATTGATTTTGCTCATGCTCATCATTACCCTTGGAGGCGCACCGAATCATGACCGTATTGGTTTCAGGTATTGGAAGAATCCCGGTCCAATGCTGGAATACCTTGAGCCGGGTGCTTTGGGACGATTTTTAGCCTTCTTCAAAGTTTTCGTCAGTGCCACATTCGCCTACGGCGGGAGTGAGATGGTAGTCGTTGCAGCTGGCGAAACCGAAAATCCACGGCGGAACATTCCAAAGGCAGTCCGCAGAGTGTTCTGGCGAATCGCCATTTTCTATGTTTTGAGCATCTTCCTAGTTGGCATGTGTGTCTCCGCCACCGATAGCCGTCTCCTAAACGCCATTAACTCAAGCGCTCCCGGCGTTGGGGCCAGTCCTTTTGTTATCGCAATGCAGAATGGCGGTATCAAAATCTTACCATCAATCATTAATGCGGTGGTGCTTACATCCGCCTTCTCGGCCGGAAATTCTTTCTTCTACGCGTCAACTCGGGTGTTGTACTCAACCGCTCTCGATGGAAAAGCGCCTAGTTTCTTAAAGTACGAGAAATTCGGAGTTCCGTATGCCTGCGTAGGCATCACGACACTGCTCAGTCTACTTGTGTATTTGAATGTAAACTCGAGTGCATCCGACGTCTTCTTCTGGATCAGCAATATCAGCTCTGTCAGTACGCTGATTGTCTGGACATCCGTTTCCATCACGTATATCCGCTTTCACAAGGGCATGAAACATCAAGGCATTGCGCGGTCTTCACTTCCCTTCCGAGCCCCATTCCAGCCTTATCTTGCGTGGTTCTCGTGTCTATTTTCTGCGACAGTGGCATTTTTCAACGGCTTTGACTGTTTTTTTCCCGGCAAATTTAGTGCGAAATCATTCGTTCCGCCGTACATAGATATTCCCATATTTGCAGCATTATTCTTCGGGTATAAAATCTACTACAGGACAAGTTTTGTCAAGTTGGATGAGATGGATTTCTTTTCTGGAAAAGAGGAAGCGGATCGCTTGGAGGATACATGGGAGGAAGTCAAACCGAGAAATATTTTCCGTAAGTCGATTGTCTAAATCAACGTGCAAAGGATGCTTTTGGATGTGAAGATGCTGACTTTACTTTGGACAGAGAGGGTTTGGTACTGGATTGCTTGAAGGTCATCTTTCTCAAAGTACACATGTGCTCATTTACGAGGTTGGTAAAATCAACCAATATCCACATGTTTATCGTCAATGGTAATTTACATCCAAGTTTTACCTATATCGGCTGCCTTAAATTTATATTCAAAATTGCAAATTCTTACTCCGTAGTCAATCAGTAGAATAATTTATGAGTTTTAAAGACAGTATAGGGTATATCAAAAGCATAGATCTATTGCACAATTTAACGCTATCAAATATACAAAGACTGAACCAAGAAACAGGCTAAATAAGAATGAACAACAGCAGAATAAAAGAAATGCGATTCAACTCGACAGACGAAAGGCTAAGCTGATCGGGTTAGCAACATCTCATGTGCACTTGTAGGTTTCTCGGCTGCCTTGGACCCCGAGTTCCGCACATTCGATGCCGTGCCCAGAGCAAAACTCCCATCAGTAGCAGCAGGATACTTCTCCGGCCACAACCAAAAGGCCTCATGATTCGGCTTCCCAGCAATCATACCCGACAAATCAAATGGGTCAATGACAGTCTGGACTTTCGATCGCTTATCAATCCAACCTGGACCCAATCGCTCCGTTTGGCAGTCCAGGTCCAGATAACGAGTCTTTTGCCGAGGAAGTAGTCGACCGGGATGCATGATATTAAGCCAGTAGGTGAATAGGACCATAGGTGCAGCCTCAAAGCTGTAGAGAAACCATTCATGCGTGATGATGGGGCTGCAATGCCCTTGGAAGCAACTCTCAATTTGAGTGTATAGGGTGAAAGACTCGATAGCCCGGCAGATACAGCGGAAGATGATCAAGAACGATGTACCGTACAACGTAATACAGAGGCGTCGCACATTGGGTGGTGGGGGATGGGAGGCATGAGTGGCACGATAATGCACCAGACTAACAACGCAGACCACCATGGCCTCGATGACCCCCTGCAAAAGAAGTGCCGTCGAGATGAGTGTTCCGCCACTTTTGTACACAGACAAGTTGTCTGTATTCGTAGCCATGCGAGCAGCGCCCGCGGCGGTTAGGGACTCCACAGCTGCACCCAAGTAGATGAAGAAAATGGTGGCGCGGCCTGGGTGAAGCGGAGCATGCATAGGTAAGTAATGCAGTAGTCGACCGATGATGTTGTACGCTGTTGCAGAGTAGATAGGCGGTCCCGCGTAGACGAATACGGTTTGGACGATGTATAGATTCACGTTTGATGTATGATAGCTGGAGATACATCTTGCTATCCAACCGACGGTGAACACTGCACCACCCCATGACATCCAGAACGTGGTACTCCAGAACCTATAACGACTATAAGAGCATCATGGTAAGCGGTGTATCGATGACCTTAATGGACCAAAGACTTACAAGTTCTGGTAGACGTGTATGAGCAATGATATGCCAATCAAGGTCGCAAAAACGGCCGGAAGGGCATGACTTGGATAATATGGGTAGAGACTACCCGGTTGCGAATTCGAGCCGGCACTCATGCTGTATGGGGCTTGAGTCGTGAGATGCAAAAGGGTCTATTGTGTTGGCAGATGGATGTGCTGAGCAATCTGTCTCCAAGAGACTGAATCTTTATTCTGACTAACATGACTGATGATCTGGGGCATACGTCGATATTTATGGTCAACAACATCAAGGAGAAGAGGCCAAGCGGCACAAGAAACTACTTAGGGTTAGCGTAGAACACAGCTGAGCCTCCGCAACCCTAAATCTTAACCCTAGCTTTACCGTATTTTTCAATGTCTGATTGGCCAACGATATTTAGCCAGAAATATATAGCGTTTGATTGGTTGGTAGAGTCAGCAATGACGTCTGGCCCGCAGCCAATCCAGTGGCTGTCCTGACCCCTCTTTTTTTAATTAATCACTATTGGCCACTGCCGTCTATCTGTTACCCACTGAACCGAACATTCTGACCAATGAAACAGCTTCAAACACGATGACCCACCTGGCGGTACATCTGTCCATAACAGGTTAGTCTACTTTGTGATATAGCCAATCAAACATGCCTTTGTATGTTAGTTGACTGTATGAGGATATTGATCGTGTCAGGAAGCATTGCATTGCCTCCGTTTTGGCGTTTGATAAAAGATGAGATGTCGTATTTGCAGGCGTGCTATTTGATACGAGTCGTCATAGTTCGTATTCAGCTACGTGGTGGTGCGTATGCTGATCGTTGAGTAGATTCCGTGTAAGCCTTGGGATAAGTACTGCACTGAGTCCGTCAAACCTATTTTAGATCCCTTGAACCGCGAGTCACGATGGGCATCGTATTCACCATGTACTGAATGGACGGCGATGCCAACCCGTTAGAGACTTTACGGTCAGAAGAACGTTCAATTACATGAAGACGGCATCCATTGGCTCTAGCGAGAGGAACACATACCAGCACCTATCGGCCGTCATGATGGCAAGGTCGAAGCACTGCCATGGACAAATTTTTGCCCAAGATGATCCTGATCAGATTCATTCAGACAGCGAACCAGTGAGTATTCAGAAGCGACAAGTCAGAATGTTTGGCCCGCTTGGCAGTCGTTCAGCGTGGTGGAGTCCCCCAATGAGGCTAAAGCGGCTGTGACATTTGCCTCCCAAGGTCGCGGCTTCGCTTGAGCTGTTCAATGACAATACAAAACCTTGCCTCGAACAATTCAATTTAACATTTTATTGTTGTGCCCTCAATTTTAGACACCAGAACTCTTACAATAAGCAATAGTCGGATAAAATGCCCGGAGTGCCCTCTGGAAAAGCATGCGAAGGCTGTCGCAAACTCAAGAAAAAGGTGGGTTAACGACATCTCAAATAACGTCGATAGCTTCTACTCACTCGCCCGATGCAAAGTGCGACGAGAAAACTCCCTCGTGTTCGCGATGTATCCGTCTCGGATTGGAATGCGTCGGGTCCGGTCAACAGCGATACAAATTTCAATCGCAACAAGCATTTGTTGTCGCCAGAACGAAGAAGACAAATTCACAGACCAAAGCCCTGTCAACCACATCGCAGCCCAATCCCTTTTGCAATGAAGCGGATATGGTCGCTTCGTTTCTTCGATTACCGCCAAGCAGCAAAACTACAATTCTCACTAGCCAATACGTCCAAGCGATCCAATTAACGACCAACCTCAAATACAACCTAGCTTGGGCATACGGCTTTTTCATGTTCGAGATTCCGCGACGCATGAACGAGAATGAAGCATTAGATACTGCGGTTAATGCGCTCATTTGCTCGCATTCCAATTTTTGCGCGCGACAAGCAGTCTCTGCTGAGACGTTGAGTAGTTATTCCCGCGCCTTACGCAGTTTGAGACATTGTCTCGATGACCCGGGCAAAGCTTCACAGACGGAAACTTTGTGTGCGGTAATGCTACTTTTGATTTGTCAGGTAGGTGGGAAAAGTGCCAGTTTGCCGGTCATAAGTATGCATTACTAAATACGATAGAACCTCAATGGCGCCGAAGGACAGCGTTGGTCCGGCCACTGCGAAGGCGCCGCAAAGATACTGAAAGCGCGATCATTCAGAAAACCTCGCGACGGTTTCGAAGCGCAACTACTCCTTTCATTAAGAGGAAGTGTGGTATGCTCTAAGCTGCCTGAAAATTGTTTAGTTGATACAACATGCTTATTCTTTCGCAGTTATTTGAAGGCCTATTCAATGAGAATATAGAATTAGACCCGCAAGATTGGATCTCACTAGTAGGATCCGACCTGGACCAAGACCTTCCCGAGGGAAAGTTGATGCGATATCTGGCCAACGTACCAAGCATACTCCGTCGCGCTCGCGCAGCAACTAATGCAGACGAAATCGCAATCCTGCGAGGCGAAGTGAAACCCATGTATGAAGCGTCTCAGAAACTGCTGCTCCAAGTACACAAACAATGGACCGACGGCCGCACCCTCGATGCGAATAATGTGCTTAGAAACGTTATACTACACGCGTACTTTCAACGTGCATATGGGATCGGGCTTTTGATTGTGATTATTTTAAACTGGGTGTTGCGCGCTTTCACCCCGCCCTTTGATGCAATTGAGCTCATAGCCGACTCCACGAACCTCGTGACTCAAACTTTGGAACTGGCTCAGGCGGCTAATATTTACCGACCATTAGGAGCGGGATATATGCTCATCGTCCTAAGTGCTGCATGGATTGCAGCCAGTAACGACAATGAGAGGGTAACTGTGAATGATTTGCTACAGGATTATAGGCAGGATTTTCCCGTGCGGGCCACGGACAAATTCATGATTGAGTTGAGATGGATGGCCGAGCAGTTGCAGTATTTGCCTGTAGGTTGTGCATGATCTGCCTGCCGCGATGTTGTTAAACTGTAAGCATGGCATGCATAATGGCATGCATAGTCGACAAGACCATTTTTCGAAGTTCGTTGGTCAGAGCCGCCAAGCCGCCTTTGTGAGACATCACATCTGAAGATAATACGGCTTCATGAGAGAAGTTGGCCAAGGCTTGATTGGATAGATGAACATCACGAAAGAGGTGTCATCTGATTTGGCGACATGAAAAGTCATATGGCATCTGGTTGAGCAGAGATCCAGCAGCTCGATTCATAATGTTGGTATCGAGGATGATTGACAGGCCTTGCGCATGATCCCCATGAGCATCGTTCACGGCACCACTACCGAGCTTCACAGTCCAGATGCGTTCTTCAAGAACCTTTCTTATAACCAGGACACTGCTACTGTTGCTTTTACGAATGACACGATCGAGCCAGCTTCTTACTAGCAAGATATCATTGGCGTCATAAAGCACAGCGCCGATGATCGCGAGAGGCCATAGGAAGAATTTACCCCAGGTTCTATCGATATCATCTTCGGTAGTTATCAACAGTTTTCGAGCCTCATTTAGAGTTGATTCGAATTCTGTATACCATGAAAGATCGTGTTCAAGGATTTCGTCATTGGTGTGTCTTGAAGCGGAAATAATGTAGAGAAATAATAGTCGAATTCCGACGGCATATAACTTGCCAATCCATCTGCGAGAGTCACCGTAATAGCTGCTGGCAGTTTTCTCCAGAGTAAATTGCATGCTTTGCACCTCGTAGTAACGCGACCACGCCAGTATTTCGTCTGGCATATACCCTGAAGAAATTTCTCGTGCGAGTTGAGTTCCTTCCATGAGAAAGAGGAACATATGATACGGAGCCCCAAGAACCGGGGACTGAATAATAGCTTGTGATGATGCATTACCGTCCAAGGCCGTTTGAAGAGTGTCGACATCCGGTAATGCAGCTGACATGCGACTACCAAATTTCTTCAGCACCACAAGTGTGTCCTCTATGAGATTTGTGTGGCCGTCGAACAATGTCGTGACAGCACTGTGGTAGATATATGACTCGACACACATTCGCTCCCAAATCAGTTCTGACATGGATGCATGCCTGTAGTCCATTGGCTCACGTAATAGGAGGATCCTGCGTAGAGCTGCAGCATGAATGGAGCTTTGTCGTCTGGCTTCAACTCTCGAATTCTGCGATGATTGTCAGCAATCAACAAGTTTCAAGAAAGCCAAGAGGGCGAGACTTACTTCATACACACAAAGCCATATGACTGTCGCCAGAAGAGAATCCTCCGTGCCAGTCAAGGTACCCTTGGCGATACCGGCTGATATCTCAGAAATAGCAGCCATATACAAATTGTTAGAGGACTCGTGTGAATTATTCATAACCATTGCTGATTTCGATGCAACCATAGCGCATGCCGACACAGCGTTCAGCAAAAGGTGTGATTCCAAACATAAATAGCGTAGATACGATAGATCGACTGTGGGCTTGCCATCAGCAGCTTGATGGTACTGCGAAGGTAGAAATGAAAATAGACAATACTCCACAAGCATGGATCCTCTTTCGTCAAATACATGCTGAAACAAGTTGATGCTGATTGGTATGCAGATTCTACCACCGTAAACATCGTAAACATCGTAAGTAGAAAGTGCACGTTGAGATGCTGGGGTAGGGCCAGTCTTTTGCACGGCTCTTCGATGCCGTACACGCCGCCTGTCTACATGATCAGCACCCTGCCATTGACAAGAAAGTCCATTGCGCCTGCAGCCTGTACAGGTAGGCTTATTCTCATCACACTTCTTACGTCGTCGGCGACCTGATGAGCCCGTTAACTTCGCACCCTGTTGATCCTTACGTAGTGCAGAACTTACATGATAAGCAGCCTGTAAGTGTCCTCAATTTTGCAACCATCGCGTCCCCGTTGCCGAGACTACAGTCATTATAATGAGTGTGCTTTCTCCAGAGATAAATTGGACTTGGAGTAGTCGATGAAGTTTGAGAGAATTGTAATGCACGCGATCTTGATGTGGGTCCTAGAGCGCGCAAAAATACATGATTGGTCTTTCGAACTGTTCAGCCAATTATAGTGTGATATTATTGCGGGTCCGGCTATACGCTATTATAATTGGTCAATGGTCTGCCTATTTCTCTACTTCTTATATAACTAACAGGGCAGCTGCCTAGAAGACGCTGGAGTTCATGTTCAAGAAATTCAGAATATCAATTATCTGAGATCCTTACTGTTCTCAAGTCCATACATATTCGGTGAAAGACTTTGCAACTCAAAATGCCCGTCAAATTACGTCTAGCAGAGGACTCAGATATCCCTCGCATAGCAGAATCGGCCCTTGCCGCCTTTGAAAGCGATCCTCTACACATGGCAATGCTGCCAAGAGAACATACGAATCATATAATGGAATGGTATCAAGGACGATTACGCAGTGCCTTGTCAGATCCCAATATGCGCTCGATAGTAGCCGTCGATTCAAGACAGGACGCCGACGGTGTCAAAGAAATTATTGCGGGATACAGCAGATGGCTTTTACCTTCCAAATCGAGTGAGGCCAATAATGCAGTGGAAAATGAGAGACCAGCCGCTGCATTTCCGGAGCTAGCAAATAAACCTCTGGTAGACTTTTATCTGCAACAAAGTGACGACAAACGGGGGAAGCAAATGGACAAATCTCGAGACGTCGTTCTGTATGTGCTGGCCACGGATCCAGCGTATCAGGGGCAGGGAATTGGTCGAATGATGCTTGAATGGGGAATCAACACGGCCGCAACGTTGGCCGAATCTGGCCAGAACACAAAGCCCAGGATCCTCCTAGAAGCTACACCACTAGCCTATCCGATATACAAAAAATTTGGTTGGAAGGACTACGAGTCCATTACTATTGATCTCAAGCAATACGGAATCGCCAATGGTACTGAGCACACGACTGTTTGCATGATTAGAGAGTGATGTTATAGTTATACATACTGTGTAGAGTTATAGTTAGAGTGTTTGTGTGGTACGCTGCGCCGCTGACGTTCAGCTCGCTCAGACGGGAAGAATACAGCGTTTCGGTGTAGGTGATTCGTCGCACGGTCGCATCTCTCTAAGCCAGCCACAAATACCTCGACAATTAATTAGACGGCCTGCGTTTGGTCTCCAATGAAATCTCCGTTGAAGCTAAATGGGACAAAAATAGAAAAGGCCGCGGGCAGCATGACGTCAAGGCGTTCCCCACAAAAGCTTGATTAAATGCTTGTTTCTTGCGACGTTTTTATTTCCGATACATATTCTTCTCTATAATCCCAAATCTTGCACCAGAATATTGACATTAAATATCTGCTTTCGATTATTACAGCGACATCAACATGATATCCGACAAGCTGTACCAGTTTGCCGTGAGCGACAAGAGTGTCAGCTCGGAACTAGCCGAGAACCCTAATCAGTCTCCCGGCGAGATTGTTAGCAGGCTGTTCAAACACAAGCAAGAAGCAGCAGCCGAGACCTCGCAACAGCCAACACACGAACAAAGCGACGAGGCAGACCTGCAGCGGGCATTGGAATGCGGAAACTGGGGAGGTCAGCGGCCGAGTAATCTCTTTTTGAAGGTAAGACTAGATCTATACGTATATTCCAGGTTCTCATCGCAAGTGACTGACATCGATTTGCAAGTGTTATTACAATGCTTTGCGCGCACTCGAAAACCAGCCTTTAGCTGGATTGGTATCGCCCAGTCTGATGGGCACTCATGGTGTTGTCCCATTGACCATCATTTCGACACTACCAGACATTAACCGACATACCGCAAACTGCATTGTACGAGCCGAGAAAGAAGTCTTCTTGGCCACCAACTTCTGGATTCACTCTGATGCTTCTATTATTATCACCAATGCGCTGCGTGAGTTATCCAAACGAGCAGGAGAACGAGGCGATAAAGTTGTCGTTAAGATCATTTATGATCGCGGCAGTGTAAAACAGGTACGCTCAAACCTATGTTTACTATTATTCTACAAAGCTGACGTAGGTCTAGCTCTATGAAAATCATCAACACGTATCACCAAAAGAGTACACTGGCGACAAAATTCAACTTCCCGCGCCAGAGGACGTTCCAAATCTACACATGGAAGTCGTCAATTATCATCGCCCGGTACTGGGCACATTCCACGCCAAGCTATGTGTGATTGACCGCAAGATTGGGCTACTTCAAAGCAACAACGTTCAAGACAACGACAACCTCGAAATGATGGTACATCTAGAAGGCCCCATTGTGGATGCCATGTACGACACGCTTCTTATATCCTGGCATAAGCATCTCGACCCGGCATTGCCGATGATTGGAAACCCTGCAGCTAAACAGCCGATTCCTACCCATGACAACTTGGCTAGCAAAGCGGAATTGACAGATGCGGCTGCGTCCGGCTCCCACCAGAAACAGATGGAGATCCTACCGGAATCTACGAGCTCAGAGCCACACTATGACCAGACTTTCGCCGAGGAAGCGAAGAGGGTGAACAGCCAGCTTGAAGCCAGACCAGACGAGACTAGAAGAGACGCCGCCACGCGTCATCTCAGTGAGTTCGCCCACTAACGTTGATCCCGTTCAAAGCCTAACGTGAATATCAGACAAGAGAACTCTGGATCATAACCAACAGGCATTGGCAGCGAAAAGTCTTCCTCATCCCGACGGACCAGAAATCACCGAGGAAGACAAGATGACTCCTTATATCGTTTTGCCAAAGCASGAGCCAGTCCCAATGGCCTTGGTAAACCGAGAACCAAATGGCTGTATGTATCCTCCCAAAGCGAAAGGTTGAAAATGATATTGAACTCTAGCTAATATTTGTGCAGCTCCCGGCAACTCAAACTACCCGGTACCGCAAAATGCAGCGTGGCTGGCCGCAATCAACAACGCCGAGAGGACAGTCTTTGTTCAAACGCCGAACCTGAATGCTGAACCATTGCTAGAGCCGTTGCTGAATGCCGTTAGACGAGGAGTGATCGTGACTGCATACGTGACACTCGGCTACAATGATGCTGGAGAACTACTTCCCGGCCAGAACGGTACCAACGAGATGACTGCTCATCGTCTATACTCCTCTCTCACCAGCGAGGAGAAATCTAGACTCCGGATCCACAACTACGTTGCTAAAGATCGCAGATCGCCTGTACACAACAAATTCAAATACCGCAGCAGCCATGTCAAGTTGATGATTGTTGATGAGACCGTGGCCATTCAAGGTAAGTACGCTCAGACTTGTCTCTTTTGACGATAGCTGATAGTCGGGAATTCAGGAAACGGCAACCTTGACACACAATCCTTCTTCCACTCAACCGAAATCAACGTGATGATCGACTCACCATTGATCTGCAAAATATGGCGCGAAGCTATCGAGCGCAACCAGAACACATCACAGTTCGGTCTCGTCAGCTCTGAAGACGGTTGTTGGCACGATCCCGAAACAGGCGCAATTGCTGAAGGCACAATAGGCCCGGACCCTGGTAAGTTCAGTTGGGCCAAAGGTATTGTTGGAGCCGTTCAGCGTGTTCGTGGTGCTGGTGGTTTCTAGTCGACCATAATGTATGATTCTGTTTATTGATAACGCGAAAATGCGCAATGTGTATTTCTAGCTCTATGAGAATATGTACTTAAATCAAACATGCTGTTATATCTTCGACTTTGTATCCTTATCGTAAGAGAAACCAAGCTCTTCCAGCGTCTGTATATCCTTCCTCTTACTTCCCAGAGCTTGCGAAGCAGCTTTGATTATAGGCGTCAATTTGCGTACCCACTGTTCCTCATCTCCCCATACTGGAGGAATCTTTCCTTGACCGTCATTATCTAAACCACCCTTTCTAGTCGCCTGCAGACTCCAACGATGAAGATAATTCAGATAATCTGCATCCGCTGGGAATCCGAGAACACTGAAACTCTTGTCCGCTCCATGTCTCGCAATCCAATCAGTTTCCCATGCCTTCATTTCGTCCAATGCCGGCAGAGGCAAGCGGCCAGAGTACACGCGTGCTATGACCGCAGCCTGGGCTTCAGAAAGCGGGAAGGGAATAATTTTTAGTGGCAGTCCGATGAAAGTCAATGTCGGTTGAGGGTAGTAGAAGATGTGTTGAAATAAGTTGTTGGGACGACTTCCATTCGGTACTTCCACAGGGGGCGTTAAAGAAGAAAGGAATGGGAATGTATAGAGATACCCGGTACAGAACAGGACATGATCTATATCTTTCTCGACGTGGCCATCTGCGAATCGGACTGCGCGATCAGCGGTGATAAATTCAACGATCTCTGGAACAATCTTGATTTGAGGATTATCGCTCAGATATGGCGGTGACTCGCTTCTCGCCGAGAGCAGAAGTGGTTGTTGTAGAACAGCAGCTATTTGTACACTAACATCGATTCCTGAAGCAGAGTTGCCAACTACGACCACTTTCTGCGGTTGCATGAGAAACCATACTTTTGCACAAGGAATTTAGAGACACTTACTTGATCTGCATACTGCTCTGGACGTCTATAATGCTTTGAATGGGAGATAGACTCCGGGTAAGCCCTATTCCACTCTCGTAGACCGGCTATATCAGGAATATAATGATCATTATAGTGGCCACTAGCAACAACGACAGCGTCGAATTCATACGTGGAGCGGAGCTGTGTTCGGAGGTTCTGTACAGACACCTTCCACACACTCTCTGCCGTCTCATCTCGAAGTCGTACATCAACAACCTGCGTATGAAACACGATAGAAGATAACAACTCCTTCGCATAATCTTGAAGATATTGCTTCACTGCTTGATGCGACGGGAACAAAGACGTCCCTTCCGGAAATTTCCAATCGGAATAACCCATCAAAGAATGCGGAATATTCGTCTCTAACAGATCGTAGACTGGTGATTGAAAAATAATATCGCCATTTGTCTGCTTGGCGGACACGGGTTTTTCCGGTGTGGTTGTGGGCTTTGTATGAGGAATAGCGAAATTCTCTTCTACCGCATTGTGCGAAGTATAGCACCAGACTCCACCTACTTCATCGCGCTGTTCAAATATTGTAATCTTTGAGAAAGCTTTCTCTGCAAGAAGATATCTAGAGAAGCTCATTAGACGGCACTACGAATTCTACCGTGAGGGTGAAGTTCCTTACTTCGCGGCAGCCAGGCCCCCAGGCCCAGCTCCGATAATTGCGACCCGCATGTCTCTATAGCGATACCGAGTTGATGGAGTTGTGGAGTTGATATTGAATATCCATCAAGCATGCGAAGAGTGAATGAACATTGTGTGTTGTGGAGGGGAGTTTTATCAATAGCGCAATCGATGGGGCGGATTCCAACAGATTGCTTACGGTATCTTTCTTATCCGGAGGGCTTATCTTATCTTGTCTGAAATCTCCACGATCTAGAAAAGAACATTCTTGTCGAACAAACACAGAGCTATATGCTCCATGGAAAAAGGAAATTAAATGAGCTACGGCAGAGTTCGAGACTAAAAGTCTTTATATTCGATGCTATCTACCACCAACTTCATAACATCCCGAGTCATGTATATACACATCGCTTTGCACTAGACAGTTGGAATCATCCCGTATGTTCATAAAAGTTTTAAATGTGTGATCAAAACATGCACTAAGTCGTTGTGAAAGAACGTCTTAGGAAATTGGTACCCCTCCTATCTTGACCATGCGGAATTTGATTGACTTAAACGTACTTGACGGTGACAGTGGTGCCGGAAGCAGTGACAGAGGTAAGAACGCTGTTCTGCTCAATGTCAATGATCGTGGCACCAGAGGTGTCAACAGTGGAACCGCTCTTGGTGGCCTCAGCTCCGGTGAAGGTAACAGTGCCAAAGTTGGCAAAGGGAACCAAGGAGCTGCCCTCTTCAAAGTCCTCAACGATCCATTCAGCGTTGTACTCGCAAAGCTTGTCGGATTCACCAGAGAATTTGTGGGTAACGGTAGTACCCGTGCTGACATTCTCAACAACAGCAGTTCCGGCAGAGGTGCTGGTAGCAGTCACAGTGATTTTGATGACGTTTCCAGCAGAGATGGAGATGCCACTGAAGTCGTAGGCGTAGTCAGGGTACCACTCGTACCAAGCATCATAGCTGACAGAGCTACCCTGAACACAAAAGTCGACTCCGGTCTGGAGAATGGAGGTGTCGCAGGTGTCTCCATCTAGACCAACCCAAGCAGAAGCGCAGTATTCAGTACCGCTGCTGCCACCGCTAGGAACCTTAGGGGTGGGGACAGTGAACTCGGCGGTGACGGCGCTGTAGCCGGTTCCGATGAGGACAGCACCGGCCCAGTTGGAGCTGTACTCGACGTTCTTATTGCCGGTGATGTTCAACTGCTCCACGCCGAAGGCGTTAGGGGCGTAAGCTGGGTTTGAGCGACGAGCGGCACGGCGAGCCAAGCGCTTCTCAGTCAAAGGAGCAGCGACAGCAAGGCCGGCAAGAAGGAGAGTAGACAAAACTGTGAACTTCATTTTGGATAGAATAGAGTTACAAAGAAGTTGTAATGATCTTGTCGGTTGGGCTTTGTGAGGCTGAGGAAGCTTGTGTTGATGATACTTCTTTATGGTCTTGAGTCAGATGGAAAGGTCATCCTTTTATACCTTTTCCAACTCGTCTGTTACCGCTTATCAGATGATTCAAGCGTTATAATAATACTTTGTAGATCGTTAGCTGAAGGAAATATGAACTACAATCAAGACCGTAAATCACCTTCCCAAACGAGGTATGACCACGCATAACGAAGCCATACTACGTTGCAGAGATAACATGCATGAGCGGGCCATATATTTGCTAGCGACTCAGTAAATATCATAGTAGGTGCTGTTATTGGCGAGGATTGCTAAGCTTTTATCCTGATGGGGCCGCGGAGCCTTCGTAATGAGTTGGCTCGTGAGCCTATCTAAAGATGATAATAGAATAGACTTTCCTGCAAGGACCATCAAAAGCACATGCAGACGGCTCAACTAGGTCTTCACGGGTGTACGTCCTCATCCTGATAATCTACATTCCACCAATCCTGGATTTGAACCAGCAACTCTGTAGCTTGCTTAATAAAATGTGAACTATGAATTCATTGTCACTACAGTGTGCAGGAATCTTGGCAAATTCCAAGGAACAAATAATATACAAGTATTGTTAAGCACCGCGTTTACATAGCCTTCTATGTTGTATTGAACCTCCCTGGACGCGCAATGCCTCGGTGGGGTATGTAACAGTGGCTTGACGAGGAAATTAGGTAGCGAACACAAAATCAAGACAATACGGATACTAAACACGTACCTTGTACCTGTTTCCATTTCTTTCTCAATTTAGAGTGATGACGGGCTACGAGTCGAGACAATCGAGACAGACGAAGCTAGGAGATGTCTTCGCGATCTAGTCCAGAGACCCCGCAGTCAAGCGCCACATGATGTCGCTCTCCGGAAGATGTTATTCGTCAAGAGTGAAACCCATATGGGTAATGTTCTATGAAAATGAAACTAATCATTGGACAACGGAGAAAACAATTGTTAAGGCATATGACCTAACGAGTGTTGTCGGGCGTCTAATCCAAGCTTATCGGACAGGCCAATGAATAGGGAAAAGATGTTTATAAGAGAGTTTTGTTATATTATTCCGCAGAATGCGCCAAGGGGTAAAAGGCAGGTCGATAGACGCATTAAAAGCCAATCTACGTATTCCTGATCTCCAATGATCCCTGTATGTGCAACATGCACACGCCACCCCGTAGAGCATGGCTGTTCTCCGTACGTAGGAAGGGACAAGCATGGTGCAGATGTCCTGGATAGATTCTTTTGGCTGTTTGGCTCTGACTTTCTCTTTTCGCGCCCCAAGCAAAAAGTCGACAAATGGCGCTTGTAGATTCTCCGTGGATATGAGACCCACTGATTATAGAGTTGCATCGGCACTAGGCCGGGAGCCGGGGGATGACGGGGAGCTTTGACTGATGAACGCTAAATAGCACCGGAGTAAGCCACGTTTCATACCGAGACCAATCAAGGGTTGAGACGGCTAAGTAAAGAAGAGGAAACTTGGAGATGTTGTCGGTTTCTAGGACAATAAGAGTATAGCATTTGTCGATCATTGGTGTGTTGGCTAGAGGAGCAATACGCGTACCTAGTTTCCGGGGTTTGATGATAAAAAAGAAAGCTATTCCTATCCAGGAATGTTTAAACCAGCCAACATGTTACGTGAAGGGTGTTGATGCATGGATCGAATATCAGGATTGTGATGGAACTCAGACTATATCGCTATCGCCGATCTGAGCGAAATCTCATCAACCGATTGACAGACAGTCAGATGATGGTTCTCGGCCTTGTAGGAGGGGACAGACTGAAGCAAGTGGCTCTAGTTTCTCCAGCTGATATCTCTTCGATATCTCTTACCAGAGCCAGTGAAGACCTTTGTCTACTCGGTGGCAATCTTATTTCATACGTGGAACATTTTTAAATCCATGCTCTAGTAATAGTTGCCAATTGCTATTTACTAGATAGTATTCCGATCTCCATTCTCAGCCAATGAACTTCGAGTTGGGTCCTCTAATATGAACAACAGTGTGTGAGCCTCTTATCAAAACAAGTTCTCGTAATCGCATAGTGTCTCATCATGCATAATACCATATGCAAGACGCCTTAATACTCCTCACTTACTTGCGGCTACCGTCGGAAGTGGCTTTCAACCAGGTACCTAATTATATGAGGTACCACATCGATAGGGATATATGCAGACGTAGACATTCTATATGCAGCTAGATTAGGGCTCATGCTGAAGAATATCACGGTTTGCCATTTTGATCTACATCTCAGCCATGGTTGTGCAACGTGTTCTTGGTCCTTTATGCCAGGACGAGATGTATTTAGGCTCGATTTAGTGGGTAAGAGGAAATCATATCTGAATCCTTGGTATAATGGCATCACAGAAGTCTCCAAGTGAAGGACTATTACTTCGTACTGGTTTTAAGTTCTGACAACTAGGATAGTAAATAAGATAACGGACATTCAGTCTTCCTGATTGCTCAAAGTATATGGGTTCCTATGAGTATACACTAAACACTTTAGAGACATTGAGGACATTCAAACACATTGTTCTCATATCCAATTTATGAGCTCGTTCTTGTGTTATCAGGGCGCATGGGTTAGTTACAGAACAAGACGAGTCTGGACTGCTGCTATGTTGAATCATCCCCGAAAGCGAGCTAACTATACTTGATATGCAGTATTTCGGTTATTCAAGGTAAACCAATCTAGGATCTTATCAATCTCCGATCGGCATGCATGCACAGCCGTCTTCCAAGAGAAAAAACGGTACATGCACCGCTGATGGGAAAGACTCTGAAACAAGCATTGCCCTATGTCAACCAAGCCTTTGACAAGACATGTGGCGTTGTGATTGAGTTCCACAGTAATCCCTCTTACGAGACAGATGATATTTAAAAGCTCATCCGTGTAGGTACTTGTTCATTAAATTCAATGACGTGGTGGAACAGAGTAATTGTTTCCTGCGACACCGGAAACTAGAAGTTAGGCCTGCTCGAAGTTACATTGAAATATTTCCCACACGGCATGAAGTCTTGATAATGGAATCTTGTCGGCGGTTTTAGACGTCAGTGGCTATGTTGAATACTACATTTCCGCCATTCACTGATCAAATAATCAATTTATTATTCTCGGCCAGTCTCGGCGACCTTTGATAGCTGATGCTGTATTGCTTCTGTCCTATCGAAAAAATCTCAACTCAGTGGCTTATAGAGTCTAAATTAGTAGGATAAATCTTTGGAGGTAAGCTATAAACCCAGCCTTGGTGGCGGATATACCAATCCCTATTCAGAAGGACATAAAGCAAAGTCCCCTTTTTATATTAAGCAATGTTTTCCAGGCTTGGGGCTTACGCGTCTGGTGGATTCTATCAATTAAATACTCATTTTTAGGCTTTCTGGAGGTTAGAATAACATCTGTCTAATCTTAAAGCACGTCAGCAGGTGAAACTACCTGCGTTTGCAAATTTACATAGCTTTTCGAAGGTATAGTCTACACCTCGATCTAGTTATGTTTTTGACGCGCAGTCAAGACTGCTTGTGTTCTTTTCTTTGCGCTTCCTAATCAGGCAATATGTCGTTGTTTCCTCCTTTGGTGCTCCCTTTCCTAAAGAGGAAGGAAGGGCATGATGTATGGCAACTCTATCAGAAAGCAATCCCCGTATCAGTTGAATCTTGAAAGGTGGATTGTAGATAATTCAAGATTCAACTGGATTGTAGATACGAGAAATGGAAGAAGTGGAAACCAAAAAACAAAGCGAAGTCTACTATTTTTACGCCAGGATCCATAGTTGACGGTTCCTCGACAGTTGCCAGAAAACTATGAGTGTGGTGAGCTTTCAGAAGTCGTGAATCTTTTTCGATATGTATCACAATTCCGTAAAAATTCAATCATACTACATTCACGATGTTCGCTTCCACAACAACTTGTAATGGCACGTGTTGTATCGCGAACACAACAACTTTGTACAGCAGAAATTTTTCGAATCAGATAGTGGTGCCCGGCGCGACCAGTGACGTCAGATCAATGAGTTCCAACAAACCAAATACTATTAAGTTGTCAACCGTGTCTATAGCTGGCCTGGTAAATACACTTATTCCTGTCTTTGTCTCATTTCCAAGGCAGCGCTGAATATGGTATCGTTGGCCATAAACAATTGGTCGTTTTGCAGGAAGAACACGAGCACTTTACATATGATTATTACATGCACTACTATGATCAACTTTGTTTATCTTTAGATCTGACTCAAAGCTACCGTGGCTACGGCTCAGGACATTGTCCTGATGCTGTCGCATGGAGGTAACTCACATGTCTGGATTGCTGGTTGATTGGGTAAAAATATACGAAGCTGAAGAGGAATAGTTGCTGACTTCATACGCGCAAAACTGGATCTTTGTGGCTTGAAAACAACGTCACCTTAAATTGCTGCTAGTTCTCATGGTGGCATTATCTTCACCGTCAAACCTATATCGACAACTTCAAATTAAACCTTTCATTGCCGCTAGTTCTTCATGGAATCATAATCAGTCTCAGCAAAGATGCAATATCATGCTATTCGAAGAGAAGATTGCGTGATCATATTTACAGAAATTTCCATAGAGTGCTGGTAGTCTAATACTTTTACCGGTGGCTATTCGGGGAATTTGGCTGCCATTCACAACCAATAGTTCTTCCAACAGTGGGCGCAGCCGTACCCTTTTCGGGGTAGATTTGCGACCAGTTGGGCTTAGACAAGCGCTACGAACACGACCGACGAATGAATCCAGTGCTAAAAGATCCTAACGAACATTAGGGCATCGGCCCCCGCAAATTTAGGGCTACCACTAGCCCCAGCATACGTGTGCCGTGGGGTTTTGCAACCAACCAACCATTTTTTGTTATTCAAGCTCTTTCTTGTCAATTCGCTGCTGGATATTCAGGTTCAGACATTACGCCATGGTATCAACGTTTTCACGGAGCAATTATACCATAAATAAGCCTTTATGGATCCTTTGGTCATGGATCCAGAATTGACGGGACTTCCTGATGGCACGTTTTGAAAAGGCTCCATTATGTTTCGACACCTTTCAGTCTTCATATAATTATAAAGTGGGGGATTGATATCATGATGATTTCAGTCATCGTGTCTTGTGCGCTAACCTTGGCTGGTCTAATTAGTCCTTCGTTGGCAGGAACTGTCAGTCTGCCATCATATCCGCTTGCTGTCAAAAGCCCATACCTCTCAACATGGGTGCCAGGACATCAAGTTTCAGACGTCGCGACGGCTCAACCAGAATTCTGGGCGGGACAAAAATTAACATGGCCAATTCTCGCGCGTGTAGGAGGGACAACCTATAGCCTCTTCGGAGCACCTGATGGTATTTCTGGGGCTACTGCAGCGACGACGACGGGAGTCAGTTACACGTCAACTCATACCATTTTCTCTTTGACGGCTGGAGCTGTCGATATCACGCTTGATTTCTTCTCCCCAATACTTCCGGGACCATCGGATTATGCAGAACMCTCCCTGCCATATTCATATCTCACTGTATCAGCTACAGCTGCCGAGGCAACTGATGTTCAGATTCTCAGTGGTATAGACTACACGTGGACAGCGCAAGGTGGTGCTGCCGGCCTCAATTATACCACATCAGGAACAGCTGGTTACTTCTGGTTCTATAATCCTGATCAAACGTATTATACAGAAAGCAGTGACATGGCTACATGGGGATCTATCTTGTTCGGCGCTACTACAGGAGAAAACTTGACATATGCCTGTGATAAAGCAGCCAATGTTTACAGCAATTTTACTGGCAATGGCATATTGAGCAACACTGGCACATGTGGAGGGTCCGATTTGGCAGCTTTGTCGCAGGACCTTGGTACAGTCACTTCGGGCCAAGTAACATTTGCCGTAGGCTTCCAGCGTGACCTTGCCATTAATTATTTAGGTTCTTCTCAGACAGGCGTTCATCGTTCAAGATGGTGGCTTATTTCAGAGGCCATAGAATATTTTCTTGGAAACTACAACGATGCATTGGTGAAATCGCAGGCTTTTGACTCAGCCGTGCGTACAAAGTCTGAAGCAGTGTCGAGTGATTGGGGATCGCAATATGCTGATATCGTCGAAGCTAGCGTTCGACAGACGTTTGGTGCGACTGAATTGACAGTATGGACAATCCAGGCGAATATCTCTATTCTTCAACTAAATGTAAACTAGGTACCAATTAACGACACGACCATCTCTCCGCAGGTTTTCCTCAAGGAGATCTCGAGTGATGGCAACATCCAGACTATCGATGTCATGTTCCAAACATGGCCGGTCTACGTCAGTCTCAACCCGGAGTACCTGAAGATGCTCCTCCAGCCTGTTCTTGCTTATTTGGCTACCGGAGCATGGCCTGATGCCTGGGTAATCCACGATTTGGGTACACGTACGTCTTGGTCAAACAATCGAACGTCAGAATAAAGCCAGAAATCTCGTTAACATAACAATTTGAATAGATTACCCTAACGCCATCGGTCACAGTGACGGCGTCGCCGAGGAGATGCCACTATTTGAGACCTCGACTGTATTCATCCTGCTGTACGCATATCAAAAGTATACAGGAGACACCAGATTTGCTGCGCAGTATCATTCCCTTCTAACTGGATATGCCGATTACCTCAGGGAAAACGCCCTCTACCCTGCGAGTCAATTGATTAGCGTTGACGCTATTACTGCCCAAGCCAATCAGACCGGTTTGGCAATTCAGTCTGCCATTGGGTTGAAAGCAGCCAGTCTTGTTCTCGGTGACTCAAAATACTCCAATACAGCCCACAAAATTGCAGAAATTGTATATAACGATGCCCTTGGTCTAGACGGTGCGACACTTGCCGAGAGCAAACATTTTACTTACTACTATGGCCAGGATGACACATGGAATGTTCTGTTTCCGGCATATTCTGATGTGCTGCTAGAGTTGAGAACATTTGACCCAGCTGCTTGGGCAATGCAGTCAACATGGTACTCGCAACAGATGGAAGAAGGAGGCTTACCGTTTGCTGGCCCAATTACTGATACATCTTATACTGGATCGGGCATCAATTGGGGCCTCGCTGATTGGAGTACGTTAACTATGTTTCTTGTATCTACAAACGGTACTAACTTTTCAAGATTTACTTGTCGCAGCAACTGTGTCTGCAGATGTTCAAGCCAAAATAGTCAACACCACTCATACATTTCTCACCAATGGCCTGAACTCTATTCCATTTGGAACTAAATACTACGTCGAAGGAGATCAAGTTGGCATTTGGATCGGTAACGAGGCGCGCAGTACGGTGGGTTTGAGCTTTGGACTATTGGCCTTGAATCAAGGTTACTGGGGAAATTCATACTAGGTAGATAAGGCAAACGCCTTTGATATACAGGTACATGGCGGACCGGTAGTTTCTAGCCTTTTAGGATACTTAAAATTGTGTACATAGATACAGAGTCATAGATTTCATAAAATGATATTAACTGAGTGTTTCTTGCGATTGTCTAGTGCGTTTGTGAATATATCTACAGCCTATTTCTGTGCATCTTTCATGTCTCCCCGCTCCTTCACCATCTTCGCTATATCCCTACCAACGTCACTGTCCAGATTATTGAATCCCTGAATGACACCTTCTCTGTCCTTTTTACCCATCTCCTGACTCATCTTGAACTTTCCTTCCAACCTGTGAATCTGAATTTCGATTCCAATAATGTTCTTCTTGAGGAGATCAACATATGAATTCGGAGCGTCAGACACTTCCCACGCCTTGGGTCTTTCCGCTCCCGTGTATCCCATGATAGACGTTTCTGCTTGACGACTCAGGGCTTCAATCTGGCTTTGTATAAATGAGGAAGTTTCTTGCGATTTTGAGTCGCAGTAGACTTTTATCTTCCCATAGGCTTGAACAGCGGAATAATTCCACGTCGGGACGACCTTGCCCGTGGTGGGTTTGGTCTCGACGTAGAATTTAGGGGTCACGTAGTGATGATGGGGCCCATTGAAGAGTATGAGGACTTCATCTGGCAGTTCCCTGATCGTATCATCTCCATGCTCATTCTGGGTTGCAGCGAGAGTCTCCATCAACACTTTTGCTTGCGGATTTTGTTTGGCCATATGACCCCGTAGAGTTCCATATATCTCGAGACCATCATCCGTACTGTTTCTATTCGTATCATTCAACTCTGGGACATCAAGAATAAACGGAATATGGCTGGATTGGATGAATGGATGAACTGCCGACTTGATGGCAGTGGTCAGGATGCCCAAGGGATTCTGCTTGATGAATTCCTGTAGCAGGGCGATATTGGCCTCTGCATGAGCGACACGTAGATACATGTTTGAGCACTTGACAAGCTGGTCGGGCTTAAATCTTCCTCAGATTTTTCCAATCTTAGAATGCAGTCTATAGATATTTGAACGACCCTAATCGACTGTTTCTGACTCATTAAGATATATTCTCAGATAGCGGGCTATCATTAGTGAACTATGCCGGTGACCTACGCGCTGTTATTGGCTCTTGATGCCGAAATGATAGCAACTCAGCCAATCATTGCATCCTGAAGTAGACAGTCTAACCGAAAATGGAAGCACTGGCTGTGATGCTCTGACCAATCACAKCCTGTCATTACTTGAACGATTTGTTCGCTGACATTTGCAACATCTCCCACCCTCTACAAAGTCAGATAATATTGCAATGTAGATTTGAAAATTGTCTCAGGAAGTGCTGGGTACACAGATTCATCGATGGTAATCACTCATAGCGCTGTGAACCATACCGTTTTTACCGAGGCCGTATTAGCTTCCGTATTCGGCAGGTCGATAGGCCATGATAAGCCCTCATCAACAATAGGACCACCATATAACTACCGACTGTGTTTGCAGGCCGTTGCGCGTGCTCCGTTTGTTGTTATTTACACTCCATTGTTTTATCATCCCTTGGTCATCACAAACGTAAAATCTGACTTCAAATTAAAATCCCACATTGAGCCCCCCTCGTATTGAAAAGGGCATTGAATTTGCGACTAGATTCTTTATCTAAGCTGGGGACAACTCTCGAAAAGCGTGCATTTAAATCCAGACGAAACTGTCTGTACGCGTCGAAAACAGAAACCGACTGAAATAGGCCGCCGCATGACAATTAATCGGCTGGTCGCATCACGTCGTGTCACACAGATCTGCTGCGATCCGCCGCTGTTTCAACACTATTGGCAAGGCAAAGCCACTTTACGGGAAATAGGGAGAATTACATACCCAAACCAACAACCGGAACTCTTTCATCCTCTGTGATACATACAGTAAGATCCGAGATGGGTTCTGTGCTGGAGGCATGGGAGGCTTGCTCCAAGATCGATACCGTCTTCATTCTCGTCTGCTGCGTGTTCTGCTGGCCCATTATCCCTGCAGTTGGCCTAGGATACTCAGGCTATTCCACTCGTCGCAGTGGTTTAGCCTCCTTCTACCCTGGCCTGATAGCCGTGATTGTGTGCAGCATTCAATGGTGGATTATCGGGTACTCGCTCGCATACGGTGAGGGTAATGCAATCATTGGGGGCTTTGAAAAGGCGTTCCATCGAGGAGTTCTGGCGGACCCAGTGGGTACGATTCCCGAGATACTGTTTTCTGAATTTCAGTTGATCTTCTGTGCCACGGTCTGCGCGATTGCCGTAGGAGGAGCGTGTGAACGTGGAAGACTGCTTCCGCTGTTTCCATTTTGCTTCGTAAGTCATCATTTATTGATGTTGCACTCTTCTCATCTATATCATGACTACGGCTCATTTTTTAACGTGTTTCAAACCAGCTATGGAGCACCTTCGTGTASGAGCCACTCGCGCACATGGTCTGGTCCGACACCGGGTTTCTAGGCAATTTAGGCGTGCTTGACTTTGCTGGAGGAACCCCTGTCCACATATGCAGTGGTGCAAGCGCAACCGCTCTCAGTGTCTATTTGTCCTATCCACTGTTTCGCTCTAGAAAGTCGGGTAGCCGCACGCCTCAACATCTCAAATTGCACCGACCCCATAACAGCATGTCTCAGTTACTTGCTTTGGTCATTATCTGGAACTCCTGGCTGGCCTTTGATGCCGGGACCACGCTCTCACTGAACTTCAAGAGTGTAATGGCTGCCTGTGTGACCAACATTTGTGCCTCGGCTGGAGCTATGACGTGGGCCTTCATTACATATCTGGTATCTGGGGTCTGGAGTCTCGACAGTACCTTTATGGGCGCAATCGCGGGTCTCGTTCTCATTACTCCCAGTGCCGGCTTCATTGACATGACTACCGCATTTTTCTTCGGTGTACTAGGAGCCGTGGCATGCAGACAGGCTTTGCGCATCAAGTTTACGAAAAAAGCTGCGATTTGGCGCTGGGTAGACAACGGAGACACTTTTGCAACTCACTGCATTGGTGGCTTTATTGGGACAATTATGACAGGACTTTTCGCCCAAAAAGAGGTCGCTGCTTACGATGGAGTGACATACATTGCAGGTGGTGTTGTGTTTGATGGTAACTGGAAACAGCTCTGCATTCAATTTCTTGAAGCCGTCATCGGTTTTTCTTGGAGTTTCATCGGAAGTTACGCAATCTATGCACTCATTGATTGTGTTCCTGGATTTGAGGTTCTTGCTACCGACAGGTAAGATTCCGAGTAATTTCAGAATCATATAACAAGACTGACAATTGTCCTCGCTTTCAGTGAGGTCGTCTCCGGAATGGATGCCTCTCAGATGGATGAGTCGCTGTATGAAGCTCAATGGGAGGGGGAAGCAGACTATCATCCTTTCGAAGGCTCTGTCCGACTCGATTAGGCTTCGTCTTCCCATCATCTGGAAGTGGGAGAAAGAAGGTTAAGTTCCGCGAAAAGGAATATGGCCTTCAGGCTCACACGGCGAGCCCGGTGTGTGCCTTGCAACAGAATTGAAGGCGACTTATGCAGTATTGATGTAGGATGAAAATATCATAAGCCTTCGGGCCTTCAAGACATTGGTTTCTGTGCGTACCAAAAATAGTAATTAAAATACCGGTGTCTCTTATAGTCATCCAATCCCTTCCGTGCAAATGCCAGCGTCACCTGGCTCTCTTCTGGAGACAGTCCCAAAGCACTGAAAGGTCGTCCAGCCAGAGCCGGCATGAGATCTAGAATGGCCATTTTCTGATATAGTCCAATCAACCTCAACGTCTTATTTTTGGCCCAAACTCCAATGGGCACCTTTTTTACCACCACCTGAATATTTCGGAATCCTGCATTGTGGAGTAAAGGCTCTAGTCGTTTTGGTAGGGTAACATCCATCCCGAATTTTCCGAACGCTTGTCCAGCCAAATCGTACATATATTTCACCGGATCGTCGTCCGGCATTGTGTTGTCATCGCATAGAGGCTCGGCGCATAATTCTTGCAATTCAATCCATCCACCTGGCCTTAAGCTTCTATGAACATAAAATGCGTTAGGCAAGATACTGCAACGTTTGGGCAGTGCAGTCCTTACTTGAATGCGTTCTCCATGACTGTGGGGACATTTCGTAATATGATAATCATAAATCGTAGGTGAACAAAATCGCAATCCTCCATCAACCAATCCTTTTCGCAGTCATCAATCAGAAAATCAACATTCGGGGGCACCCAGGTGGGCTGTATGGGCGTAAGGTCTATTCCTCGAACGCGCGCGCTCGGATATCGATCGCCAACTAATGCGTTTCAACATTGAATTCATGGTCATTTGTACAGCAAACTTTTCGCAAAGGATGCTTGAACAATACCAAAGCGATCATCAAAGAGGGTGGTCTCACCATCTATTGCCCATATGCCTTTATTGGTACAATCCAGCCGTTTAGCTGTTGTGTTCCATACTCAATCAACCCACACCAAACTCACCTGTGCCTGTTCCAATGTCCACAATACTTTGCGGATGGTCGCCAATAGGCGCATAAAACAACTCTCCATCTGTAAGCTCCAACATCATCGCATGTTTCATATCTTCCCTGTCTTGTTCACTATCATCGTTCGGAATCGGATATCGACCATTCTTAAAACATTGGTAACGCCGGCCGTTTTCATAGGTATGCGCATATATACTCGACGTCACACTCGCGGATCCCGATGATGTCGCATCTATACCATCTATTGTCTCAAATTCGTCTTCTTCTTCTTCATCAGGTCCGCTGGCTGGCTCAATCGGCGCGCTCGTTTCGACTGACGGAGCCGCCGTCAAAGTGAGCTGTTCATCCGTTGACTTTGGTCTCGTTCTTCGATCGGAACCACTCATATTTGTGGATCTAATTTGCTTCTTTTTGTTACTATATGACAGCTTCAACCAGAATGCAATTTTCGCATTTTGCGCTGCAGTAGCAGTTTTGAATTAACAAGGGTGGCCCGTAATGAAATGTCTTGCAATCCAATGTCTTGACGGACTAATAAAAAGCAGGCCACGGTCGGACCTTATCTTTAGCCGTTAATTAATTGCTTGCTTTGCATTAGGCCTAAATGTGATACAGCAGGTTCGCTCGCATGGGGGCTTGCGAATCTATTGGTTAGCAATATGCGCATTGACAGACCTGGAGCTGAATTCGTCAGTAACACAGTACGTAGTTCAATAGGTGGCTTGGTCTTTTGCCTCTCTCTCGGAGGTCTTTACGCTGGAAAGCAACGTTGGGACTAAGCCATTTTGGTTCTAGGCCTTCTAATATAAGTAGAACTTATACATAGTAGTCATGAGTCATGGGTATCTACTTGTCGGCTAACTCAGCATTACTACTGGCCGGAGCTCCCGATAACAACATCCCAGACGATCGAAAATGAATAAATACATGCTTGCAAACAACTCCAACGGTTGGGAATCATCAAAAATATTTTATAATAAATATTAATGTTAAAATTAAAAGATTTCTCCAGTTAACAACGAGAAAAATGATCACGTACTTCTAATTCAAATTCTATAAAACTGGAAAGCAAAGATCTAAGCCGACCGACCATGCCCATGAGTAGCCATTAGCATTTTGCTGACGGTCTCGATGTTCATCGAGTACTCGGCCTCTTGCAAAGACTGCTTAACTGCGTTCCCAGTTCGTTCAATCATTTCCGAGTCGAACGCAGACATGACTTCCCGCCTGTCGTTGATTTCTGGTGCGTCTCTGATTTTTACAAGAGCGTCGACATAGTTCTTGACATCCGTGATCGCATGTTGATATCCTTGACCGCGATCTGATTTGTTGGCCCGGTTGTCAGTATTTATATATAAAATTTGTCGCAAGTAGACAGGAAGCAGATTGGGCTATATTGATCTCAACCTACAAGGAAGCATAGGATGGGCTGCATCTCCGACGAGGGTCACACTTCCGGCATGGTTATCGAATGGTACTGGGACCCACGACTTCATTTCATCGATGTAGCATGCGCTGTCTGGGGGCGTCCAGTCAATCAGCGACTGAAATGGTTCGCATAGATTCTTGGTATTATCCTTGATGTATTCCACCATGTTTTTCCCTTTAGGCAGTTCGGCCGAGGTTCCACGCCATATTTTCGTCCAAAATGTCGTCCACGTGGACATGTCATCCTTGTCTTCTACATGCAGAACTTGAAGATAGATTGAATGTTAGTACCATGAAAATATCACAGGAGATATTGCTCTTTTGTTGTGAGAGAGACTTGAAGATAGACATACCTCCGCACCCCGCTACGGACTCCATTCCCAGTGTGATTGCAGCGACCGGGTGAGCTTTAACCACAGCGGCAACTTTGTCTGCATCATGATAATTGGTGACACCTGTAGCAAACATGAAGCCAGCAAGTTGAACACGGGCTGCCTCAGGGCCAAGCAGTAACTCGCGTATGGTTGACGAAGCTCCATCGGCAGCCAGGACGAAGTCGGCAGCGTCGGTGTTCCCGTCATCGAAAACAAGCTGGACAGGGCTCTCGTATTTTGCTCCTCCATTTTCATCCTCGGAAGGAAACTCGATCTGTACGACTTTTTTGCCCCATTTGATGTCCAGTCCTTTACTCAAGACTTTGCGCAAGCGCTGACGTGAGATGCGTCTAGATCCTGGCAGTGGACTTTTGAATAGAAGCTCGCCTGTATTACCGTTGTAACATGGGAGACATTCCACGTCGGCATTGAAATCCAAATACGGGTTGCATATCGCGCTCGGCAAGTCGTTCTTGACGTCGTCGTTCAACAAATCAGTAAGGATTGGCAAGGCCCAGTGCAGGAGGATAGTCCAATCTCGTGGGCGAGAATCAAGGCTGGATTCGCCATCAAATACTGTAACTTGAAATCCGTTCTATATGCATGGTTTTGCATGTCTTTGTAAGCAATCGAGGATCCTCGTCCAAAAGTATTCAGAAATAGACTGGGGTACCTTTATAAGTCCCTGAGCAGCCAATAACCCAGTCAGCCCAGCGCCAATGATGGCAACTTTTGGCGCTTTGGCGGTTGTCTCTGCTTGGTCACCCATTCTTTGTTTTGAATACTAACTTCCTAATTGGGCAACGCGAATGAGTGTATTAAACACCGCATATGCCAGTCCTTAGCCTTGAAACAATTAAGGAACACCTCAGAAATAGAAAACTTGACATACGAGCAACCCCTGCAGAAGGAATTCCTAATCGAACTTGTCGCACGCTCCCCCGCTACCCCGCCTATATTAATCAACATAGGACTAGATTCAGTCAACTAAAGTCAATAGCGTAAGTGTTACCTCCTGTTTATGGCAAAGCTTAAGCAAAAAGAATTAAAATGACGGCTATTGGTGTACCTACAACTATTGTATTACTGCCATGCGGCAAACGAGCATCGTCTGCTTCCAAGGACGCTATCATTGAGCGTATTTTCTGCCCACGCTTAACTCCACTTACTCTTCGTGTTCTTTATCTTCAGTAGAGACTTGTCTTTCAGGTTTGTAAAATGAGTAACAATATATAAAGATATGTTCGCCGCAATCAGGGGCTTACGACCCAAGAGACGTAAAATTCAATAAAATATACTTTCTCACACATACCCGCGTTTACCTAGGTGTATATAAATGTATAGGTCATAAATGAAATGTATACATGGGAGTGCATACATACGTACTACGTCTTGACGCAGTATGCATGCATCTTGTGCGGCTACTGAATAGCCGAATTTTTCTCACCTGGTATTGTTCATGATAGCATAATTCATGGACTTGTCTGATCAAATTTCGAAGATAGCAACGTCGATATGCATACTGTTTTCCTCTCGTCTTATCCGGCATTCCAACCGATGCGGGACTCCCGGTGTTTCAAACTCCCTCCACTCAGGCCTTTTGGACGCCGAAGTTAGCGGCTGAGATACCCAAACTCTCGTATAAGAAACAAATCGCAGCGTATTCGGCTGAAAATTATCTACTACAGACTACAGCTTGAGACCGAAAATCAGGATAAACCTCAGCGAGATTTTCGCCAAACTGCAGCCTATGCCTTAACGATCTAGCTGATGATGAAAATAATATATTCAAGAAGGATAACCTAGCCAAAAAAGTCGGTGAGAGCTGACAAAGCTTTATGTATCGATAACCAAGCCTACAAGTCGTTTCTCATCTAATTAAGAAGTATCTAGGATTCACAACCTATGCAAGCATTAGGACACCGATGCGGGAATCGAGACTGGGTTCGTCGAGACCCGTAAGATGAAAGCTCACATGTAAAGTTACATGGAAAAAGCGGGTTTGAGATAGCATCTAGAGGAATTAAATTTCAGGTACTCATGCTACCATGATCCTGTTTGTCAAGAGGATAAACTCTTTCAGCTCAGCCGTTCTTTCTAAGCCACCAATACGACAAAGCGACTCCAGAAACACAGTGCTATTATAATGACAAGCAGAGGCGATTCGTTTCAACGTTTGATCTGAGAGTCGCCATCGTTGGCTCTCAAAGGAAACGCATATTATGTGGCGCCAAAGAGGAAGCTTACTTCAATCTTTATAGCGAAATGCTCTACGTGCCACCGAACCACGGAATGAGTACATACAACCTGAGTATGCCCCCTCTGCACTCTTTCTCAATAGACCGAATCACTGCTTATTAGAGTTGGATAGTCTGGCTTTCGGCATTAACAGCATCCGTATTGCCACTTCTCGTGGCCTAACAGCGCGTACCAGATTGAAAGGACTGGACGACGACGAACGCGTTGATTTTCCTAATCCGAATAGTCTCTCCCAGCTGAGGTAGTCAGAGAACGAATCAGGTCATTCAGTCATGCTGATACAACGGTGGCGCCGCTTGAAAAGCACAAGTCAAGCAGTTGCATGGCAGTACGTTGTTTACTCAGGAGAAGAAAACACCATCCTGTATACAGAAACCTGCACTGTTGAAGATTCCAGCCCATGTTTCATCGTCGGTAAAGATTGGAATGTGATTCTCTTGAGGTAAAACTTCCATAGAAGAGGTGTTTATCGGGCCGCTATTTGTATGTAAGCGGCCATGTAGGATATCATGTTGTTGCTCGCGATCCTGAACACCATCAACCCTCTGCGAGGAGCTAGCGTTCTGATATGGATGTTGATGTGGTAGGGCCTCGTCTATCCTTCTTTCTCTGGTTCTTACCGGTGTGATATCTGCCATTGTTGCCACTGGTTCGTGTGATGGTTCTCGAGAACCGGGATTAAATTGTGTGTTGTTCAATGTTGAGTTATCATGGCTTGTATGACGCATGTGCTCGTAATTCGTTACGATTTTGGCGAGAAACCTGGACTGCAGGAAGCAACTAGAACCAGGTGGTGCCGATTGATCTGAGAATACAGCAGCTGCAGTTCGTAGAGTGTCGATTATGATCGGCTCAATTTCGGATGTAATATAAGTAGGTGCTGACATTGACAGCTATTTCATTGTCAGATATACGTGTCGAGATTACTTGAGCCTTAGTTCGATGTAAATTGCAAATCATACCTTGATCAAAAAAGCCGCTGAGTATGCCGTCATGACATGTATAGAATCCTGAGCGAAATATAACCGAGCTGAGAAATGGCAAACGAGTTTTAACATTGCGATTGCGTTTGAATAGCTTTCCCATAAAGGTGCCAAATCGAAAGAAAAATCATCGCTGTTGGAGCCCAAGACTTCTTGCAGAGGCAGAGAATATAGTTGCAATCGAAGATGGGTCCCATAAAAGCGGATCAGAAATGGATGACAGCTTCCGGACTCTAATGAAAGCCATTGTTAGCCAAGTCAATTATTACTACTGAGAGGATATCGAGACCTCCTACCATCTCCACATGCTTGTATCCATTTGTCTTCCCATTCGTCGATGCGATTGCCAATTATAGTAAGAAAAGATTTGGTGTTTGCGAACGAGCTGACGTGGCGAGATGGGCCAAGCAACTTAAAGACCTCGGACGTCAAAAGGCGAAGTGTCACAAAAGCAGCTAGAAGCGTATCATTTGCCGTAGCCGTTTGCTCCTTGCTCCAATGCTCAATGCTTTCAATGAATCCGCTTCGCTCGATCATCCAAGGTTTTCCAGTTTGGAGACTTAGACTGTCGACACAAGTATTGTTAGCAAGAACTATAAAATGAGAGGAAATTGCTCACCTGCGATCATATACAAATAGTACGAACCAGGTCCGTTCAATATTGCGTGCTTCTCGCAATTCTGTGGAGTTCATTCCGCTGCGGTCTCTTATTGTACGGGGGCTTATTTTGTGCCATCCCAGATCCATACATATCCGGATAGCATAGCCTAAATTAACCCAAGATCGGGTATCTTCAGGCTCTTTCCAGTAGGTCAACATCAAAATGGCTTGTACGGTCTCGGTGGACTTGAGGCCGACTCGGAAATTTTCGAGAAAGAGGTCCTCTGCGTATCGGTAGAGGCGTTTATATAGAGACGGATTAAACATCTTGGACGAAACGGCGAGTATTGAGCCAAGCAAGAATGGCGATTTATGCCGCACATATGAAAATGTGTGCAGGTCCGGATCTAGCTGACTTATATAAGGATTGAGTATATCCATGAAGCTGTGAAAGAAATCAACCAATAAGCAGATATTAAAATTAATCGTTAAATACTAGCGGGCTGATACGGGCAATCACCTTTTGAACAAATGCTCAGCGATAGATTGACTCACAAGGCCAACTTCGACGGCATCTTGTGCAGGCTGATGGAATGATCTTTCGGGCATGGCATTATCGGCTCTTTCAAGCTGGGTATCAAGAATCCTCTGCATAGAGAATTTCCCTCTCATTGCTTCATGGTTGAGTAGCTCTGATGGCTGGAGACCGGATGTCTCTGCGGAGAATTGTGGCTTGCTGTATGCATCAAATCTCGATTGAGCAACGCCGTGCTCTTCGGCGCCACTTCTAGAAGTCATCGCACTGTTGGGGCTTATCTTGTCATTGTTTCCGACAACGCTTTTTCTTGTAATTCTAGTTGATTGTTAGCCTAGAACATCGCTTGCGGCAGCTTACATAGACTAATCTACATACCTTGTACCAGGTTTTCTGCCTCTGCGGTGCTCTAAGACGATACACTCAATTGACTTCTGAGCGCAGCGAGCACATGTTGTCTCGCCACTTTGAAGGCGACATTTCATCTTGACCCTGCGACATGCTAAACACGCTTTCATCTGGATAGACCGGACGCGGGTTGGCACAGCAGGCAACGCTTGCCAGTTCTCCTCCTGGGAGTCGTCCACAGTGTTCTCAGCCATACTGAAGCTTGGCAGCACTCATTGGTCTCAACTACCATCTGCCTATTCAGAGCTATGTCGTCTGTTGTCTGTAGACGGAAGGCGGCAATTGTTGGCGGCCAACTTGAAACGCCGACCGTGAGATTATGTAAGCGGCCTAGGTCTCTACGTTTGCTCTGTTTGTCCCGTTGTGTACTCCTTCCCAATTGTCCAACCTTCAACCTTCCCTCTTCATCGCTCTCATCCATAATCATGATCTTTTCACCTGCCATCACTGTTCATGTTTAATCAAGCTTCATCTATACTGACCCACTATCCTCGCTCTCCACAGAATCCACTGGATACTCGGCCAAAAAATCTGGGATCACCCTCGGCGGCGTCTCAAATACCTACATCCCACTATCCAGAAGGCCGGTGAGACGCCGGTATGTTCGTTATCTCCATAAGCCAGAGAGGAACTCTGTATCCAGCTCCTGTACCTCTATCGAAAATTTTCTTGTCGCATCCATCTTTCGTCTTGTTGGACTGGATTGTCTAGAATCTTTAGACCGTGATAGACTCATGCGATCGCGACAATTGTCGAGCGCATTCTAGCATCCACAATATGGCTGTCGCAGAACCGCTGTCTAAAGCCCAGGCGGCTCATGTCAATATGATGACAGATACCATCATCGCCAACTTACCCCCAGCCGCCTTACGATCCATCGTTCGAGCTGTTCTTGCTTCGTATCCAAAATTCACTGCAGCTTTCGAAGAAGAAACTAGAAACCATCTGAGCCTGACTACACCTACAACAGAAATTTCGGTTGTAACGAAGGGGAAGCTAGTCAGAGATGAATTCAGCCTTTTACAGTCCCGGATTCGCTGTATGCTTGGATGTGGCTTATGCTATTACAGTCTACCATTGTTGGGGAGAATCGTCGACGAATCCAAGAACATTAATGGCAACACCGACGGAATATACGATGACATGAACTTGATTGCGTCTATAGATGGAGACATTGTGCAAGCGGTCACTGCGGTACAAAAGACATTAGCTGTTTCAACCGGCGCGCGAGAGCTATCGGACGACGAAATGGCGTTACTAGATACCCTTTACGAGTCGCTCACAGCGTCTCGGACATATTTCGATTCATCTGAATATGATTTTCCATTTCAAAGAGGATTGGTTGCGATATCTAGTTTATTAGGTCGTACGTTACCCTTGAGTGCTGCGAAATCGACTAATGGCACAAAAACGGTCAACGACACGTTCCTCCTGGCCCCGCGGGAAGTCAAGGAGACATTTATACTAGGAGAAATCAAGCTGCCGCGCATCTTCTGTGGCTTATGGCAGCTTTCAAGTCCAGCCTGGGGATCTGCCCCTGCCACCAAGATTATGACCGGGTTCGCACGATATGTGCAAAGAGGCCTTGGAGCATTCGACATGGCTGATCACTACGGCGACGCCGAAATCATGTTTGTATGTAAAGCTTGATTCTTCGATCCCATGTTTGGTTGTCACATCATTTCTTTGAAACTAATGTATCATCTTTAGGGTGGCTTCCGCTCCGCCTACCCTTACCAGGACGCCCTTTTCGCAGCGACCAAATACTGCGTCTTCCATCCAATGACTGCCACCCGTGAAAGGGTAGAGGCCAATATTACTGAAAGGTGCCAAAGGTTGGGAGTGAACAAAGTGGATCTCCTACAGTTCCACTGGCAATTTGTAAGTCTTCATACTCTTCATTAATTGGATCGCAAATGCTTATACTATACACCGCAGTATGAAGATAATCAATATTTAGACGTTGTAAAATACTTACAAGAAGACGAGAGAGTCGGCATGTTGGGGCTCTGCAATTTCGACACAGAACATATGCAGCGAGTGATAGATAGCGGTGTCACCGTATACTCGAATCAAGTGCAGGTATTAATGACCTTTTCTAGTCGTTTTGTAGTATTCGCATGATAAATATGAGATACTTACCCTCAACAGTTCTCTTTGATCGATTCTCGACCTGTGGTCAAGATGGGTGAAGTATGCATCAATCACAATGTCAGTTTGTTGACTTATGGTACTTTGGTATGCTAGAAATACAACTCCCAATCCCGACTGTTCCAGACATCACGCATCCTGACATCGAATAGTGCGGTGGTTTTTTAGCAGAAAAATGGCTTGGAAAACCGGAGCCTGATCTCTATGGTACTGAAATCACTCCTAGTCAACGAAAGGTAAATTTCTTATTGGCAGGTCACAAGTATAATTTCAATAGCATAGCGCTAACTACTGTTTGTCAAGTACTTCACGATGATCCGAAGCTGGGGTGGCTGGGAATTGTTCCAGAACTTGCTTCAGACTTTGAAGTTGATCGGCGCGAAGCATAATGTATCGGTTTCAAACGTCGCCACACGATGGGTGCTGGACTTTCCTTACGTTGGAGCAGTCATAGTTGGCTCACGAATGGGTATCAGCGAGCATGTTGACGAGAATATGGCTGCTTTTGGTTGGTCACTTGACGATGAGGATCAAGAAGCTATTGAAAATGTGTTGAAAAAGAGCCGGCGATCAGAAATGTTCCAGTCAATGGGAGACTGTGGTGGGGAGTATCGATAAAAGTCGTGAAGACGCTTGTATCACTGTGTTGAACCGTTTCTTTGATCAATACGAACAATGTATGTGCATCCAGGTTTGCGACATTTATTAAAATGTGCATGGCAATATATACTAGAATACATATACCTCTGACGAGCTCAGCGGCAACAAAACTCAATATTTATGCCTTCGTAGTTTTCGGCCAGCTTTATGTCACCCAAGTACTGTCTCAAGTTGCAACAAATGCAAATATACATTCGAAAGACCTCTGTACCTGCCTCAATCAGACGAAACATTCCTTGAAAGGCTGTTTAACACTATCAACCCGCATCGAAAGTTTGTCGAAATGGGTCAGACGCTCTACTACGAATTCACGCCTTCTTCGTGTCTCGCTGAGCGATTCAATTGCGTAGTCGTCATCTTCTCCTTGGAATGTCAACAGTGAGACTCTGCTCCTACGAGCAAAAGATGCGGTTGGGTAGATAAAAGCCCAGAATTTGGAACTGATCTGCTCAAGACTAGTTCTGGTGATGTGACCAGGCACTTGCAAGTATGCTGCAGGCCGCCCGTGACACCCCATCTTGATTATCAGAGCCCATAGTGCTATCTTCAGAGAGTAAGTTCTTCGTTGGATGGTTTGGAGTCAAAAGTGTTGTTTAGTCAAGGTATCAAAGCTAAGCTTTGACTCACGTAAAGTAATTTGTTACACTTTCTTGACTTTTGCGAGATCAAACCAGGGTATATTCTCGTTCCAGCTACCATCGGCAATATTTCAACGGCCTTTTGAAAGTATCGTGGCGAAATTATGGACGTGAATCAAGCCAGAGCTCGATTTTTTTCCCAAAGGGTATCTCAATGAGGCTCGGGATCTTGTTTCGTGCCGCTTGAAGGACAGGCCTGGTATGAAGGATGCCCAACGAAGCAGTCGACACAGCGTTTTTTATTGGGTCTTGCGACCTTTAAAAACATTGGTATATCGCTTTCTTGAGGCTCTTCTAAGCCACTGCTTTACTTCTTGGATGCAAAGTTCCCTTAAAACTAGACTTTTCGAATATTTAGGATGGTCGATTGGTATATTCCTTGTGGCCCTTCAAAGTTACTCCTCTATTTTCCAATTCACATGAAGGAATCATTTCGCGGTTAAAAGTTCGGTAAATAGGCATCGGCAACGTCTATTATCATCAAAAAGGTATAGTAAGTAGCCCCGGAAAAATAGGCATGTCCAAATACCAGAGATCTTCCCGATCCATCTATCAAAGATGTATTAGTATGTCGATCTTGGACTTGATCCTATCCGCAATTGAGCACTTTGTCGGTCATCCCCCGCACCCTTTGGTCAGGATTTCACGTCCAAGGAATTCGGCTGCGTAATGGTGCGGTGATTTCCATCAATCAGAAGTTCGAAAATATGCGGTCACCCGAATAATACGAGATCGAGTCAACTTGCATTCAGTGCCATGAGCGAGAACATTGAAATGTCTACATTCAAGGATAAGGTAAATTGGGAGAATCATCTTCTACGGAACCCCGCAAAGGGGGGCACATGCCTAACTGGACAAGGCATATGCATGTATATTGGTTAGCTCAAATTTGGGATACCTCTCCTCACTAAGAATCATGCTATATACGTAGATTCGGCGACGATCTCTTAGGAACAAAAGCCACAGATTGACACATGAGGCTAGACTCGGGGTATTTCGGTAGCGATAGATATTGAGCCGACCATGACCTGCGAAAACATTGACATTCAGATTCTATCAGCTTGCTATATTTTAAACACTATAAACGATGATTATAAAGAAATAACAGCTAGAATGTAGTATAAATAGGTGGAAGACCGTACTCTTTCCTTGACCGCTCTGGTAAATTTTGATTATTGTTGTTGTCCTCAATCAAGGCGATGTTTGACAATCATTTAGCGACGCTTGCGTTGCTACTCAGCACCCTCTTCAGGGTAGCCTTGGGTGTTACATTGACAGTGTCAAAAACGGGCGGCAATGCGTCAAGCCCATTACTTTACGGGATAATGTTCGAGGTGAGTATGCTTGATTCAAAAGTCCCAATCAAACACCATCTCTTTTTAACACAAATATGATAGGATATTAACAATTCAGGCGATGGTGGTATTCACGGACAAGTGCTCAAAAACAATGGCTTTCAGGGGACTAACCCCGGATTGACCGCATATGCCGCTATCGGTAATGTGAATATCTCACAAGACACGTCTAATCCTCTGAGTACGGCAATTACATCTTCACTCAAAGTATCTGTAACATCCGGAACTACGGGATACGTGGGTTTTGCAAACACGGGGTACAATGGTGTCCCGGTGTTGGAAACAACATATGCCAACTACTTCTGGATAAAAGGAACGTATTCTGGCACTATCACTCTACAACTTGTCGGATCAGAAAGTGGTATCGTCTATGCTTCTCATAACATTACAGTTGACAGTGACCCCACGACATTCACATACTATGAGACTTCCTTTAGATCGACCGAGTCCCCAGATGGCAACAACGAATGGCAATTGCTTTTTGATGCGACTGAAGTAGCAGGTAGTTCACTGAATTTTGGCCTGGTGCAGTTGTTTCCTCCAACTTACCACAACCGGTACGCCAAAACTAGACAATACTTTCTGGCAATGGAGGACAATACTAACAAAAATGGTATTAGGTATAATGGCCTTCGAGATGATGTAGCTAGCTTCCTAGCCGAAATTGAACCGTCTTTCCTTCGCTTTCCCGGAGGCAACAACTTGTAAGACAATACTTGCAAAATATAAAGACAAAATCTAACAGGGAGGATGTCACATAGGGAGGGAGCTTCACCCGGTGATCGCTGGAAATGGAATGAAACAATTGGCCCTGTGGTCGATCGGCCCGGACGCGAAGGTGTGTACTCGTCAATATGATTTTGCAGATACTAATAACGCAACGGATAGGAGACTGGACTTACCCGAACACTGATGCACTGGGGTTGGATGAGTATTTATATTGGTGTGAGGATATGGGCATGACACCAATCCTGGCGGTCTGGTCGGGCCTTACACTTGGTGGAGGAATTATATCCGGGTCAGCTCTCGGTCCGTATGTTGACGACATATTGAATGAACTCGAGGTAAGCAATCAACTTGATGTTCTTATTGAGAAGTTTAGGGAGATTTAAGAAGTTCTATGGAATCTTACAATTCTTGCAGTATCTTTTAGGTAACACAAGCACTACATATGGTGCTCTTCGCGCTAAGAATGGCCGTGTTAATCCATGGCCCGTGAGCCATATTGAAGTGGGTAACGAAGACAACATCTCCGGAGGCTGTGGTACATATGCATCCCGATTCACCCAAATATACGAAGCAATTCACGATCAGTATCCTGATATAACTGTGATTGCCTCTACCACGAGCTCGAGCTGCCTGCCCGCGACATTACCTTCAGGTGTCTGGACAGACATTCACCATTACGAATCACCGAATACATTTGTCTCATTATTTAATGAGTGGGACAACTGGTCTAGAGACCACCCTATCTTTGTTGGAGAATATGCGAGCACCACTGGAAATGACGGTAGTACGACATATTGGTCGAATATGCAAGGTAGTTGCGGAGAGGCCGTGTACATGATCGGCCTCGAGCGCAACAGTGATATTGTAAAAATGGCTAGTTTTGCACCTCTTCTCGAGCACTTCGATCTCGCTGAATGGTCGGTAAGTGTTGCTACTTTCTACGCTAATGCACTCTCATTCAACGGGTCTAACGAAGTCGCATAGCCCGACCTGTTCGGTTTAGATTCTTCGCCAGACTCAATCACCGGATCAACATCGTACTACGTCCAGAAGTTGTTCTCGACAAACAGGGGCTCAACGGTTCTCCCGGTGACCTCCGATTCGGCCTTTGGACCTGTATACTGGGTTGCATCAGTCGACAAATCGACATATTATGTCAAACTCGCAAATTACGGTTCGTCCGAGGAGCTAGTGACTATTGAAATTGAAGGAACAACTGCTGGTACTGTCCAGCTACTCTCTGGAGAGGAACTCGATAGCAATTATCCGCACAACGTAACTATCACCCCACAGAGGAGTGATGTGTCAGGCAGTGGAAGCTTCAACGTGACACTACCTGCCTGGGCAGTAGCCGTGCTAGCTGTGTCTTAAAGGAACCTTGAAAATATCTTCAGATATCAAGTAGCTTTACGAAGTCTTTCTGTCATCGTGTACGGCCATCCTGATATGATGCGCATAGCTTCTACAAAGAAAGTTACAGTGCAATGCCATTTGATCCGCTTGCCGCGAAGCTATCTTGAATATAAAAGTAGAAAATTCTTTAGGCAATTTGCATAAGCTGAGAAGAATAAACACAATAAGCCGTTTCTTCAACCGAGCAAAGTCCTTGATTAGGGTTATCCGGGTTTGGCTATGTTGTCATCCGAGAGCTAACCCCGTTATCTCCGTATGACAATCCAGCCAATCGGAAGCGGTAAGATGTTTGGGGGCTGAGTTAAGTCAAGAACCACAGCGCTGACTCTGACTCTACTCTGCAACTAGCGCGATGAATCACTGTTGCAACGGTATATGAAGTTGTCAACCTCACTAGGGCAGGATGCCGTTCGAGTTCATCGACAATAATGCGTTCATCGATCGCAAGACTCGAAAGCGCATTCGCAGTCTTGTCGCCACTGGAAAGAATGCAGGCAAAACCGTCGTGCGCCCCTCCAGGATAAAAGCATTCAAGGAGCAGTCCAAATATCCTACAGCGTTCTCCAGTGTGCCAGGAACAGTGGAGATAAGGCGGCAAGATTTATCCTCTTCATCGCCAGATGAGACGACATCGAGTCCTGAAATCGAGCGGCCGATCGGCGATGATCTATTCTTTACCTTCACTTCGAATCAGCTAAACCCGGCTTCTAGATATCTTGCTAAGAGAGGTAAGGAGACAACCTTTATCATACGGGGGGTCTTTTTTTCTCTAATCATGTCTTATATTAGCTATCTCTTTTCTGATGGCCCCGCGCCATGCGTCTGAGCTGAACGAGGCCTTTGAGAATAGTCTCACTGCTGGCCCGGCGCTAGCTAAAATGATGTTTGTAGATGAAACGTGTAAGCTATGGCCAAGTCTGAGGGTTGCCGAAATGCTGTGATGGGCATGTCATCTAACTTCGACATGCTATAGTCTTTCATTGCGCCATCGCTCTAAGTACAACAGCAATAGACAGTCTTTCTGAACAGTCGAGCCCTTCACGGGATGCAATTCACCACTTGTGTCACACACTTCGGCTGGTGAATAAAAAACTGTCCGAGAGCAAGCTTGCTTCCATGTCTACAATCGCTACGATTCTGATGTTAGCTCAATACGAACGGCATCAAAGTGAACAATATCAAGGTCTTGTACATTTAAATGGATTACAGAGGCTGATAAGCATGCGGGGTGGTGTGTTACAAGTACAAAAGGAGATGCCAATATTGATGCAAAAAGCGTTCAGGTAGGTGTGCCATTTTATAACCAGACCATGCAAATACTAATTGACAGCTCATAGGGTTGACCTTGATTTTGCACTTTATATGGGCACTGCAACGACATTCAATGTCAGTCACGTTCTTGCAGGTCGCATGGTTATATTTGGCCCAGCGATTGACCCCCTCGAGCGTCTGCGATCGCAAGTCATCTCGTTACCGGGGCTATCAGAGCAATTAGGTGCAGATCTTCACAATGCTCTACTTGAAGCAAAAGCCCTTGCGGGACAGCTCAATGATGCAACTTCCTCAAACACGCGCAAAGTCAATCTGTACACCTTCAACGCCAATATTCTTCTTCTCGGATACCGAGTAGTCTATATAAGCTCACTTAGCCAGTCATATCAACTGAGCAGAATTGAAAATGCAATTCATCTCGGTCTCGCTATATTCGTGACGACATTTATGAACGGGCTGGACAGGAAGATACCAAATATGCCATTCATGTCTGAACTGCTTCGAGCGCTAGTTAGATTTGGCTTCCAAGACGATCATACAGTTTTATTGTGGCTTCTATTTCTTGGAAATGCCACAGTTCTTGATTTCACTGACTATGATTGGCTTGTGCCAATGGTTGCAACAACGGCTTTGGAGTTAGGTCTAAAGAGTTGGGCCGAGGTTTTGAAGCTACTTGTGCGACTACCATGGGTCAATGCGCTTTATGATCGATCGGGTCAAAGTCTTTGGCTACAAGCCTCGACGTACTACGCTACTCCGTAGCCAAAAACTCCTCATCTTCCAGCTTTACATGTGGGGTGACTACGCCTGGGACCAGAACTAGTCGCATAGTTTGATACAACGGTGGCATAATCTTTTATTGCCTTTCCATGTTGACGTGATGCTCAGGTTAAAATTAAAGTGATATGTCACATTGCTAGGCATATGAACTAATGGAGCCGGCTAGATTCACAAGATGCTCTTCACCGATCCAGGTGAAATTACCTCCAACTCTTTGGCGAGGCTATTCCAGATTAATTCCTGGTCCTTCTTTCCCTGTTCATCCGTTATCCACGATGGCAGCTTGAAACTACAAAGTGAACACAGTCAGTAATAGACTCAAATAAGGCTATAAGGTCTTCAAAACTCACTCGGCCACCTCGCAATCACTCAGGTAGCTTCCGTGGCTATTTTCCCCTCCAACCGCGCCATGTAGGAGAGTACGGCTACCATCTTCCGCGGTCCGACCGAACTTTGCATGCATGTCGGCTAATTGTTTTTGAAATTCGGGTGGTGCGTTCCGAGAAAGTTCAGTCTTGCAAAGACCAGGGTTGACGAGATTCAAGACCACTCCTGTCTCAGAGACTGGAAGAAGCGTGGCAAGCTCGCGCACAACGAAAATCTCAAAAAGCTTGCTGAGTGGGTACCTAGAAAACGATTGATTAGTAAAATCGCCCTGCAAGACACGCCTTGTGACGTCTTTCTAGGATAGCCAAGTACTTACGATACTAATCCTATGCTGATATCATCAGCCTTCACTAGCGGATCATCTTTGATCTCGCTCCACTTTTCATGAACGTCAAAGCTTGCTCCGCTAGTCACAATGGTCACATGAGGAGTGATGCCAAATCGCTTCGCGTTCTCTTTCAACTTGGGTAGAAGTAGCAAGCCCAACAATATAGTACTATACACGTTGACGGTCATGCACAAGCCATGTCCCTCCGCCTTGCCCTGGGACGTAGCCACTGCCGCGTTTTCAATAACTGCATCGATGCGATCCAACTCTGTGATAGCTTTTTTTGCGAAAGCTTTTACTGAATCATAGTTCGAGAGGTCGAGAGCCCACACTTCGGCAGTGCCTGTTATCCCAGTCTCCTTGATGATTCGMCCCTTGGCTGCCTCACCTGCCGGTATATTGCGAACAGCAAGGATGACCTTGGCAGCACCGACCGCTACAAGATGCTTAGCTGCCTCCAGACCCAGACCGGTGTTTGCTCCAGTCACTATATAAGTACCGCCAGAGCATTTCTCGGGGCTGATGGCGAGAGGCAGATTAAGACGCTGATTCGAAACTTTGTCCGACATTCTTGTGTACTGGTATAAATTCGCAAAGTGGGGAGTTTTAGAACAATACAGAGAAGTAATATGAAATGTATTGTCTTCGTGACGATGATTATCAAATGTGACTAGAATCGGATCTTTTACAACCAGACGTGTCGAGCAATATTTATACTTGACCACCCTATCATCCAGAATGCATTGCACGCCGCGTATCATAGCGGAGATAAGCATGATGGGTTCTGGCGCGCAACAAAGTCCGAAGTTGAAGCCATTCCAAATGCCCAATAAGAGTCGACCTTCTACAAAGGGTTTAGCGTCGAACCAGACTTAGGGCTTTGCGGGTTTTGGGGTTTTTTCTTCCTGTCAACGAACTATCTCCGGGATAATCAGTCGAAGTCTGTATTGGGTTGTCGTTTCGTAGATAGTATGTTGCTGACTACTTGTAACCGAGTGCTGTCTATTATGTCCCTCAACACACTTGTAATCCCTGGGTAGTCACTGAATCATGAAATAGGTCTAGTAACTACTTAACTGCCTCAAACTTTACTCAAATGCCTACATAGGGCATCCGACGTATTGTTTTTACCTTTGTACCTGACTAGATACTGACTATAATTAATATATTTCAGCAACTTAGACCGATTCCTCTGCAGGCAGCTCGGCCAAATATACCCCATTCGATCGACTCTGGAAAAATATGTGCAAACGAAATGCTTGATTTTTAAACTGTGTTGCTAGCATTCACTGCAATGAGGCATAAGGAGTATTCATAGATGATCTCATAGAGATGTCCGATCATTCCGTTTATGGTGTGTTGCATCCTGGCGGAACAATACCAGGAACTTTTAGATCGTTTGAATCTGAAAATCTCCACCGCAGGTTGCCAGCCTTGGGTTTTCTGGACTCTATTTAAATCGTCCGTGATGATCTTCCCAAGAAACTAGCCTTTTTTTTTTTTGGTTATGACTAAGCGTCTCCTAAGACAAGACACCTACTGGAAGGCTAGTGCAAGCATCTTGCACCAGAGCGGAGCCCTTCGACATACAGACTTGATCCGCAGATGATGGCCCAGACAACGATACCCCTCCACAACGTCGCAGACGAGTACTACTCGAAAGCCGATACTTTCACACGCCACCAACCTCTAGTCAAGTCGCCGTTTTAAAGTCTAATTCGACATAACTTTACTTTTAATTGCAATGCATACTGCATATTGGTAGGAGGGGATAAGGCACTGATCAGACTATTACATCAATCCATATCGTCAGGATATTGTGCTGCAGAAATACGCAATGGTTAACGGACTGGTTATTCTTTTTTCAACCCATACCTAAATGCGAAATGTAGTGGCCACGCCGGTTATACATTCTCGGAACGTATGAAATCTAAAGACATTACTGTTAAATGCTTTCGAGGTTCCGAATGTGGCACTACAGCCGAATACAGACCAGATAGGATTACAAAAGATATTGAGAAATTCTCATTATAGTCGCAAAATATAGTTCTGAAGATGTTACGAAAGCCGCTCATGGGTGTACGGGACCCCGGGTTTTGCGGCCTTTGGAAATTCCATAAGAGATTACCCCAATCACTCTCGCATATCCCCAGAATCTTGCTTGCGGTGATATTTAGTGTGACTCGGCAAAAGATTGTCAAAGGATACAAAAAATGGCAATGACAGATAGTAGCTCTGCAACGTCGTCTCTCTTGGAGACGATTATTACTGGGAGCCATATCCTTCATAATCATGGGTAAGTGATCATGAGTTTTGCGATGTTGCCACAGTCTCATGATGCCTTCAGTGTTCTGGATGCCTACGGTCATCTAAGTGTTCGACATCCAGAGAAGAAGGACATATTTTTGATGCCCCGAAACATGGCCCCAGCACTTTTGTCGACCGGGTCGGACATTGTGGAATACTGGGTAGAGGATGCTTCCCCGGTTTACGCTAGCAGCCCAGACGGCTATGTCGAACGATTCATACACAGTGAAATATACAGAAGATATCCGACAATCAACAGCGTCATTCACAGTCATGCCGCTACAATTCTCCTGTTTAGTATTACAGGTATGTTGCTATTTTTGCTCATATAATGTTTGCGAGTTTGCGATGGTGTCTTATGGTATCTCAAACTTTCTCTAGGGGTTGATCTGCGGCCGTGTATGCACATGTCTGGGTTCCTAGGTATTTTTTCCCCGGAGCTCGGCACCTAGTGCGTAGAAATGACTAACGAATTTCATGTGACCTAGGGAAACACGTTCCCAAATTTGATATTGCGCAATTCTACTCAGAAGAGGACGTGAGGGATCTTCTGATAAGAAATCAAAGACTTGGCAGACATCTATCCTCTTGCTTTGCCCAAGAACCCAATGGTTCCCATCATCCTGTTGTATTAATGCGAGGTCATGGTTTCACTGTAGTTGGTGAAAGCGTCCCAGAGAGTGTCTTCAGAGCTATCTACACAGTTGAGAATGCTCAAATTCAAAGCGCATCGCTGACACTTCAACTCGCTGCAAGGACTACATCAGCAGCTCCTGTTGACAAAATGTACTATTTGAACGACTCTGAGCTAGATGCTACAACTCAGATGACACAGTGGTCGATCATGCGGCCGTGGAATCTGTGGGTGCGCGAGGTAGAAGCAAATCCACTCTATACGAACAATGCTTAGGTTATAGTCGCGCCTCTATATCATAAATCTAGCCAATTTGAGCTTTAAGTCATCTGTGCTGAGGATTTTCGTGCCCTGCGTTCATAAGGCTCACTTCCAAGTATGCATGATAGTTATCAAGTTTTTAAAAACAGAACTAAGCTAGACAAGTACAAGTATCAAATTTCTCTGAGAAATATCAAAATGAAAACAAGTAAAATATGGCACATCCTAGATAGCTGGTAGCACAGTCGTCAGGAGATATTAAGTGCGTGGACAAGTAGGGAATATTTGAAAATAAAGCAAGATATCGAAAAGTGCAAATAAAGACTTCTGGAACGATCAATTTACAGTTCCTCCTCCTCCTCTGCATGGAATCCATTTGTGTCCGATGTTTCCACAATCTCCCAACTCTTGATATTAGTATCCAACAAATCATCATTTCTCTCAGCCTTTCCGGATCCAAATTTCTTTGGTGTCCATTTCTCTACACCCTCAACACCATTGAGATCCTCTTTGAATTCGCGGAAGATATCGGCATTGAGACGTTCAAACTCACTGTAATCTTTGGGCCAGTCGCCCAAACGTTCAACAGCGAGTTTTAGAAGATCAAGGTGTTGACGAACATGTTGACCCTCCGTCCAGTTACTGGTCGCAACATTGACTAGTTCGAGAGAATATGCGGATCCATCCATGCTCATGCTCATATCACCACCTTCAAGTTCGGCAAACGATGGATCGCTAAATACACGTAGAATGTTTTCGTGAACGGCCGCGGCCTTCTTGTAGTAGCGATGGGCAATCTCATGGCCGGACTTCTGGCTCTGGTACCGCTGAGCGACGCTGGTATATAGTTGAGACAAGAGAATGGACATCTCAAGTGTGCTAGGATGACGAGGTCCATGAACGCGGCGACAATTATAGACAATATCTTCCGCGAGACGAAGTGCGCCCGACACCTCTCCCACCAGGTAGCGTACAAGAATAAAACGACGTCCCAGAGCAAATGTGACGGACGACTGCCACGTACGTTGAGCCTCACGACTGTTCCAAAGGAGCGTCAGAAGCCAGGCCAAAGACACGTAGTCCTGCTGTTCGCCGAGAAGAGCAATGATATTGTTCAAATTAGCGAGACTAAGTTGTGTCAAATTGATTTTCAGCTCTTTGGTAACCTTGAAAGCCTCCTGTAGGATCACCGAGGAAATCTTTAACAACTTTGAACGAGCAGCTTCATCGGATTGTGGTACGGCGTTGCGTCCCGCAACCGTCAGGCCAAGTTGGAAAACAAACTTCAAAATCGCCGCACTACGATACTCTGCATGAGCAGAAATGTAACGGAAAGCAGCAAGTGCAAGATCAGCAGCAACATCGTATCTCTTGGCGGCAATCAGCTGTTGAGTTTGCTCATGGCTTGCTATACCGACAGAACGAAGGAAGTTTTTAGTCTCGTGAAGGCTAAAGTAGTTGAGTAACGTGAGGGTGAAGATCCTGGCCTGAGATATCTCAGTCAACTTAATGCGTTTTCCCTCTGTACTCAGGAAATAGTTGAGGAAATCCTCATACACCTGCGTAGCAATTGACTGGCGTTCTCGGGATAATAAGAACGCATGTAGTCGTGCAGCAGTCAATGTAAGACTCTGCAGAGTGGTACTTGTTGATTTCAGTTGACCCCTATACTCTTCGAAGTAGATATACTCGGTAGTCAAAGCTGAGAAAATCTCATTCAGCGTGACCGATGAGTTTTGACGCAAGCTGTATTCAAGCTGGGCCAAGAACACTAAGCTTTGACGTTCTTTGGACGTCACATCGAAGCTGACAGACTTGACGTTGGCGCTGTCTTTCATGATAATCTGTCGGTAAACTTCGTGGGATAGCTCAGTCGCCTTATGAATCTGATTGGATGCAATGTAGCTTGTAGCTATGGCCGACGCACTAGCGATAAGTTTGGTAGAGGAAGTTTCTGTTGTCAGTATCTGTACCGTAGCCTCCTTCAACTCCTTGAGAACCGTCTCAGTCTCGTTACGCTTGGAGTAGAAGGAGACCATCTCTTGCATCTTAGAAAGAGATTCCTCGTGGGCCCACCCGTGGCTCTTCCGTATAGTGGTAATGCGACGCTTGAGAACGGATACGGCACGTTCAACCTGCGCCGAAGATACTGACTCTAATTCAGTTGAAGTTACTATAGCAGTCTGCTCCTCATAAATAGCATCGAGTGTTGCAGTAATCTCCTGATAGTCAATCTCCTCGGACTTGATTTTCAGTAGCTCCTCGTACAGATGAATTGCCTCAATTTCAAGTCGCTTGGATTCTTGGCAGATTTTTGCCAATGTCAAGGTCGCTTGGATGGTGATGGACGCAGTAGCACCGAAAGTAGCCTTAACCTTAGCCTGGTAATCGACTGTAATTTTATGAATGATAGCAAAATCTGTCTGTAGAGCCCGAAGAGAATAAGTGTACCGCGTGAACAATGATTTGACAAATTCCTGGTCTTCGAATTTAGGGTTGACTTTAGGCTGTTGAAGGAAGGTCTTATATAGAATCTGGTAGTAGTGCACAGCATCAGAATAGCGTCCTTGAGTCCACAACTCTGTGGCAACAATGACGAGAGGTTCGAATGCGTCTGGCAGACTGATATCAGAGTCTTTGTTGACGGCAGTGACAATTTGACGGTAATAGTCGACGAAGATAGGCCGTGGACGCGTCAGCTCTGCCAGAGCCCAGAGATTGGTAATCACGATTGAATGGTGAAGACCATATTTACCAATATAATCGCTCAGTAATTCCTGGCGAAGAGTAATGATTTTGTCGGTTTGAGAAGTACGTTCGAACAAGCGTAGAAGTTCCGTTGTGACACGATCAAGAAGTTTGTCTCCAACTTGACGATCGGATCGAACTGCTCGATATATTCTTGTACGGATATCTTCTTCCTTTCCCAGTCGACGACGAGCGTGATAACATTGACTCAACTTCTCGGCAAGCTCGATGCAGTGATCGACATGCTTGCCAGGAAGAGTAACATCTTGAAGTGATGGAGCAAAAAGATTGGGCCAGATTCCATGCAGGACTCGCTTGATCAAACGAGTACTATCGTGCCAGCGATGCTGTGAGATGTACATCTCGTAGAGAGAGGAGACAGCTGTAATCGAAGTTTGATCGACTTTGGTGATAGAAGACGACGCTTCATATACAATCTCCTCGAGCGTGGATTCGGAAGTGACAGAGGATGATGAGGACACCACCTTCATAACCTCTTGCGACGTGATCTGAATGCTCTGCTGGATCTCTTTATATGTAGACGTCTGGGTTCGGCTAGTGCTCTCGTAGAATTGCGCAACACGCTTATAGACTGAAAGAGCAAGACTAGCTAAACCGACAGTCTTCATGACATTGGCCATTTCGGATATGTAAGAAACAGAGGTCTCGGTTGCCACACTTGTCTGTTCATACTCTTGCCACGTCGTCGTGAGTAATGAGGATGCCTCGTACTCCCGCTTCTGCGTTTTCAAAAATTGAGAGTACGACAAAACAGCCTTGAACTTTCTTTCTTCCCACTCCGAAGAATAGTGCATGCGACATTCTCTGCTTGCGCGTTGCCAAATTTGAACGAATATCTGCTCAGCAAGACGGAAATGACCTTTGGACGAATATTCTTCAGCTTTTTTCAAGAGAGACCAGAAGTCTTGGGTTTCTGATTCAATAAGCTCATCCCTCTCCTCAATGTCTAGGAGGAGTGTTGTTTGAGTATCCGTCTCGATCTGGGTAGCATGACCAGTGAGATGTACATTTAGGCTACCACCTATATCACGAGCCTCTTGAGAGTCTGCACCATATTGCTGTATAGTAGCTGACTTGAGAGAAATTATGATCTCTCTTGCCTTAGACTCTTCCTTGATAAGCTGATAGTGTTCAACCAACTGAGTAAGTGTTGAAATCACAATTTCAGAGGTCGCTCCATAATGAACCTTGTAGGCATCGACTAGTAGGAGAAGGACTTCCTCCCTTCTAGTCATAATCTCTGTTTTGGTCTCGGTGACTTTCTCGGCCGTTACTTCTAAGAAGAGACTTGCAACTTGCGTGGTAATGATGTGCTGTGAGTTGAGTACCGTGCGGCTGATAGAAGTTGCCTCATAGAACAACTGGCCTGCCTCTGGATAGCGGTTGATTTGGCGGTAAAACAGAGCAAGTGTTAGGATTGACTGTAGTGTTGCCAGGTGGTTGGGTGTGAGGATATTACGCGTCAGCTTCGTGACAGCCGTGTACCATGACAGGAGAGTCGGTACGGGTCTATGTTCCCAAACAGCCTGCTCCAGCAAAAAGAATGTCGTGTTTGTCGGGAAAAGCTTGCCAAATTCCTTTTTGACCCCATTTTCTCCATCCGTGGTAAATGCTGTCGTCTGACGGAGATGTGTGAACCAGTATCGCAAGGAAAAGTCAAGAAGGACGAATTTATCAAGAAGCTTCGACTTTTCGAAACGATCGAAAGAACTCAATGAAGGCTCGGAATCTTCCGTAATTGCAAAACGGGAGTAGATGAAAAGCCTTCTCAGCAAGTCGGCATGTCTATCCTTCACGCTTGGAATAAGCTTGCCCTTTGAAAAGACATCGATGATAGCCGAGCGAACTTGACCGTGTCGCAGATAGACGTAACCATCCTCAAGGTATACTAGAGAATTTACTGGCTTGAGGAGKTTCAAAACGTCGATCTTCCGATCTATGACTGTGGCCTTGTCGATTTGAACAGAGAGCAATGTGGAGAGTTCGCTCTGAGATAGGGGACGATTAGCAGTGGCTAGCCAAACCAACATAATTTTCACTTCCTCCGTGAGATCTGGAGACTGTATAAATTGCGCGACGAAGTCTACAATGGTGAACTTTGAAGTAGCTAAAGAATTGACAGACTTTTGCAAGGCTTCGGAGGTTTCTGCATTGCGCGCGAGCTTGGAAGCAAGCTTAGCCCAGAGAAAAGAGCCATTGGCAGCCTGGGTGATTTGCTCAATGAGGATTTCTTGTTCAGTCTCTGATAGCTTGGTATAAACTGGGTACGTTTCGTACCCGTTGCGAACCACGGCCGCAATGTCGTCAAAAATCAATTCCGAGGTTATGTTTATGCTGGTGAGTTCTCTTGATGCCTCGAACCTCTGAGAGCCCAGAACGATCAATTTGAAGTTAGCTGTCTTGTGTGTGACCTCTTGAAGTCTCTGAAGCAAAATGGCCTCTGAGCCAGAGGTTTCATCGAGGCCGTCAACGACCAGTACGACAGGCTTGGCTCCACGGAGAGGGGATCCGAGGGACGCGTCTAAGGCACCCCAAAGAATCTTCTCATATTCATCTATGCCAACGGCCTTCTTACTACGATCGTAGGCATTAGAAAGAATTTGGAATAATTGCGTGTTGCCGATTCGTTTTTCAAACAACTGGCGAAGGATCGACTTAACCACTGCCTGAGGTTCTGCCTCCACAGGGACTCGAGCATCTGAAAGTTGGGTTATAAGTCAGTTTGGCTGATGGAAGATTGAAAAATATATCTTACTAATTGGAACAAAGATTGTGTTATATGCCACACCGCCGATAGGGTGTTGTAAATGGTCAACAATGACCGAAGCTAAAACCGTCTTTCCGGAGCCCGGTGCACCTGAAATTGACAGACCCTTGAGCTGTTGACTCTTTAGGAAACGAGTCAGATAAGGGCTCAACCACAGGCATGTCAATTCTTCACGGTCATGGGCAAGGTGCGAGGTATTTTCGGCAACATTTGCAAGTACACGGTCCTCTGGAGCCAACCACTGCCTGATGGATTTGATTTCGGAAACTAGAAAAAGAATGTTGTTAGCCGCGTCTATGGTCCTCAGATTGTTACTAGACGGTATTTGCAGAAACTCACCACGCTCCCCATCCAAGTCATCTTTCAAGAGTTGGTGTTTCCACATTGCCTCAGAAATCTTCTCGCACCGACCACGGAAACTCTCAATCTGCCCCGAGAAAGTGCCATAGATATTCACGGATATGGAAGGTTTTGTCAGCCCACGCAGAGCTTTATGGAAGTATGTCGATACACTGGCCACAAGTGTAACTAGGTCGGTCAATGCCAGGACGAGTTGTTCTTTGATCTCTTGGGACACCGCGAAAAGCTCGGTACGCTCGAGGAGGTTCACTAGCACCATGGATATGCTGTAGAAAAATCCGAAAGAGATTCTGAGTGCCGAAGAGTTTTCTTCACCAAGCTATCCAGGTAGAATTAGCTTGAACTCGGTGTGATCTAATGTTAGATAGGAAGCAAACCTCCAGCAAGATTGCACAATAGCCGTATGCCAACTGTGCAGCCAAGTAGCTATCTCCCGCAAAGTGCTCGATTGCAAGGTCAAATGAGTGCAAACGTTCGACAAATAGTTGAGCCCATGCGAGGACCTTGTCATAGCTGCTTCCCTCTGGGGGAATCTTACTCATACGCTGATGACGGATCCAGTCTAATAGTGTAGCGTGATTTGCATTCAGCAGCTTGGAGGATGTTGTCACTCCCAGTTCGTCACCACTTCTGCGTTTCAGGGAATATACCACGTTAGAGATGTTTGATGACTCTCCAGCACCTGCTGCTTTTCTGGAGATCCTTCGTGAGACCACCGAACGGGCTGCGCCATTAGAGACACTGTCAAAATCGTGAAGACCTCCAGAGATTCGTCTCCAATGTCCCCCCGCCCCGGGTGACAGAGGGTTCAATGTAGATTCGGTTTGCAGAGAAGGTGCCATGTTTGTTGAAGGAAAAAGATTGCGTGAAATTGGGATAGTTGGGGGCTTGGGTTTTTGTTGAACAGAAACCTTGGGGGGTTTGACAGTATTTTGATCAACGCGATGCTCTGATGTGTTTTCCACCATGTATTTCCTAGGTGAGGTAACCAACTTTGGGGGAAGAGGATGGTCACTTTCGGGTACTCTATTGCAGCACTTGAAGCACTTGAGACAAAACATCCAACAGCTTCGCAATATGATGTATGCAAGGAAGTGTTGAAAAAAAGATATTCTGGATATTTAATGTGCGTACTGCCTGTCTATTAAAGCTATTCCTTAGGATACAAGGGTCCGGCGGTCGTTTGCATCAAAGCTAACCTTCCGAGCTCTTCATGCACTATGCACGGTGGACCCTTGGATAATCTTCCTAATGCAGAGAACGACCCGGCTACTCCGACTTCGAGGTATCTTAGAACTACAATGGTTCATAATCCTGTCGTATGGTGGCGAGATTCATGTCTAGCGCCCGATTACAGCTAGCATCTGCCCATGAGATCCGTGATTCATTATCAAATTTGGAAAAATCAAGGGATCTACAAACATTGACGTCTCAAACTGGAATCACCCATGCACGAGCTTGGTTAGAATTGTTGCTGATCCCATTGTATCATATCGCACGCAAATTTCGACGAGAAGAATGAGGAGTACGGCTTGCAGCATGACGGTCCGAGCTCCCAAGAAATCAACCTAAAGCTCTATGCAATTGAACGAGGTGAATGGCTCGTGTGGAAAGTTTCCAGGTGGAGACGAAAACACTGATTGCAGATTTTCTCGGACTCAGCTAAGCCGCCTTTCGCTATCAATCAGCCATTGGACAGCATAGGCAACATAGCCTGTCTATTTTTCTCTTTCAGTGTAACAATGTGCTGCATTTGAGACACCTCGCAGTAGTAAATGGCTGCCTGAACCATACATGCATCTGATTCCTTCGTCCTCGGCTTCATACGACGAGTCTCGAATGAAATGTTTCAATTGGAACGCAGGGGTACAAGGACGCTCGAACCAAGCGGAGAAAAGGCCCGCATATGAAACCGTCATTCGTTCATTTTCACGAGACTCCCAAATCATTGTCGCACTAGGAGACATCAAGTCCAGACATCTGACTCGAACTGACATCTTTTAATGTCGTAGTCATGCCTTCATCGTTGTTTGTTAAACAGAGCAACCCCAACAAGGCGATCCCAACGATTTGGAAATTGTATATTGTAGAATCATGCTTAGATTATTGACCGACTAGTGGAGAAGTACGAGGTTCATCGCAATGCAAGTAGTTGGAGCCTATGTAAAGCTGCTTGCTAGGCTCAAGCCAATCCAAGGACTTGCGAGTGGACGATGTATGGGTGGAGGTATTTGTCACTGAAGCTGATCGGTTACAAAACACTCAGAAGGGTGCTGCAAGAATGACAAGGGTATGAATGAATGAATTAGTGACCACTGACCTGTGCCGCTGCATTGTATTTTGACGCAAAGAGGTAGGACGTGGAGGTCAACAACGCGTGTCAGTTAACACAGGCTCAGAGCCAGCCCGGTCTAAGTGGGGCCAGTGTAGAGTCTAGAAGCCCAAGATCAGAGTTTCCGACATCGACTGATGAGTTTGGCTGGCGTCGGATGCTGGGGTTCGTCTTGACGATACAGTTATAGTTGCTGGCCAACCCGCTGATCCACCCCGCCCCCTCTGCGGACGGTTCAAGACTTGATCTGTTTCTCAATTTTTAGACTCTCTGGAAGATGGTTGATTACTATCTATTTCCAATTTTCATGCTGTCGATCCGGCCTGGCGTTACGTACAATACCCGAAGCCACCTCATTGGAAGAAAAGCTGACGCTGGTGACGGGTGGCTGGCGATAGTTCGTGTTAGTGGAGAAGACGAAAGATTCCGAGGCGCTCGAAGCGAGCTACTGAGTGCAGCCATATCGTCCCCGCTATCGGTCAAGATTGAAACAAGGGCTTCGTCCCACACTAGAATGGATACGCACTTGAGCAAGACGTCGTCTTTACACGTCAGGAAATTTTAGACGTCTGACGACTTTGATTGCGTAGTAGTTCTTTCCTATACATAAACATATTGGCAAAGTCTTCTTGCCAAAACGGCGACTCCTCTTCGAGTTTTAGCACTCTTCATGCCAGTGTGCTCAGTATACTGCAGGGCGGACAGAGTTACGACGTACGGTGCAGCTCAGATTCCACCACGGAAATTGTGCTCGAGCAAGTTACAGGCCAATTGATAGTTGATATGTGACCCCTGCAAAGCGCGCATGTGCATGGTCTCGATGCCGTTCCGGGCAAATATAAGCAGCAAATCATGTCGATCCGGTTCATGAGTTTGTTTTTTAAACCCCGATCTAGTCAGCAAGCTACTCTCAATCATGAAAATTACTAACAGGGCTACCTATTATTATACCATTCCTCATAAGTATATCAGTTCTTGTTGATTCAAATTCTGCTCGGTTATCATAACCACCTTTAGAAGTTTCGCAATTGAATTGCTTTCTGACATTTCGAAGGGAAAGAACTATGTGAACTTCAATCTGGGTATTCAAGAGGCCATGCTACCCATCCTGCTCATAATTAAGTTCAACGATCTTCGTGCTACGTGTAAAGAGTATCATGATGATTTAATGTATGAATCTCTACCCCCGAAATGATCTGCTTGCAGAAGACCAAACCAAGTAGGAATATACTCTTCACACTTTGGTGTCTGTTAGTACATGCATAAGTCGATGTCCTAGGGCATTCATCTATGCGATAGTCATTGTAAATGAAGTACGTAGGACGGTAGTATACATGAACTCCATATAAATTGTGCTCATACTCCGTAATGGAGGCCAGGATTTACTCACCACTTAGCATGAGGGATTACAAGCACTTGGAAGTGCTAGCACGGACATCAAACTAAATTCGCCAAATACGAGCAGTACGCGTGTACAAGGAGACTAGGTGAGCTAATTTCCACAACATATTAATATGAACTTATGAACGTACAGGCATTCCGCATATCAGCTAGCCACCCTACCCAAAGCAGCAGAATATTCCGAGTGCAGAATAGACGAGCCAGTTAAAAAAGACAAGTAAATAGTCGCTCAATTTTAAATTTTATTTCCAGGAACCTACTGTCAAGAACTCAGAGTTAGCATAGTAGTGCTTAATTTAGTATGGATTAAGACCTAGAAAGGAGAATCCGTAATAGAAACCTCGACCCGGATGTTTATCGCCATTCTGATCATGCTAATACTAGCAATACGGAAAAGGTATTCATTTTTTTTTATACAACCAAAATAATTCAATAAATATTTGGTAAACACGCCTTGAGCCATGAACGGCTTGTCGATATCATATAGTGCATCTTTGCGCTACCTACCTAATGTCCAAGGTAGAAGATATATGAATATCGTAACCTCAACATTGAAGCTATCCGTGTGGATCTAGGACTGAAAGTCGCCTTACAAGATATATTGACTGTTTACAATAGAATATAGTTCGCGACCTGTTACGCAACAGTTAGGTATAAAAAGCCAATGGAGTTTTACACGCTGTAAATTTTCCTTACAAGCTAAGTCAATAATAGCCTTGAAAGTGGATAGGTAAACAGAGCACCGCAACGGGATTTACTCTTCATGACTAAACATTAATTGAGAAATAATCTAGTTTAACACCTGAATTTGCACATAATTACACCCGACTGATTGGACATGTACCCATTACTACCACATCAGCTTTTTCAAAAATTATGGTCGTGGCAAGATGATCATCGCGACACCGGCACTGTCCATCAGCTCCTAGATCTCAATGTCAATGTCTGTCATACCAACCGTGTCCAAGGTCAGCGTCAGATAGTTTGAGACAAAAGCAATTCCCTGAACAAGTAAGCGAGATTCCTTGGTTCCTATAGTAGGACTAGAGATAGTCGCGTATATTGTATTGAGCAAATGCTCAATTGCAGATAGCGATAAGGGTTCTCTTTCGGTTCCCTGGTGTCTGCGCCAACTCTTCTCCATTCGACCGTGGAGGCTTTTTTTTCCATTTCGATCGTTCGACCATTTACACCGAAATGAATAAGTGGATGATAAGTTCGGGCTAATGTTCGGATAATTTCTTCTGTCGTCCTTTGGCAATGAGCCATCTAAGTATATAGCATCTCATTTCACAGCCGCCATACGTACGCCAAGCAGATGGACCTACCGTGGCGACTCCGGAAAAAAGTATCTGTAACAAGGGAAACACTGCTTGAAGGATCGAAGTAGCTCTCCAGAACCAATTATCGTTGAAATGCTCGTTGGTGCCATAAGTATTCAATGAAGCAAGTATACCGCCAACATAATAGATAGTCCAAACAGCGCTGTATAATATAATCTTAGACGCTTTGTTTTAGCTCTACCGTAATGATGAGCTATATTTACCTAGTGTATTTGCCTCGGTGTCGGACAGGCCAGCTCTGTTATTAACATCGGTGAAGGCTGCACAACAAACATCGATTCAATATCGACAAGCACCCTTGAGAATACGAGCATGCCGTAATTGACGCATGCGGCTTGACTTGACTTATGTATGGATGTATAGGTTCAGAAGAAAAGATTTTCAGTCATGGCACCTTCGAAGAGAAGTAAAATACTCAGACAAATAGTTAATTGATCAAATTCCAATGCCCGTTTTTGCGAAGTTATTTGTAATCTGCCAATCTGGACAGTCTGGACAATTCGCAGTTTCCGGCATTTGCCGGCATGATCCTGGTCCATGATTAGTTAAGATTAGACTCGGACAGTTTAGCTCGACTCCCGAACTATAGAGGGTTTAATGCTGTGGGTTTCTTAGGATGCTAAGGAAGCCTTGGCGTTCTACACGCGAAATGACACGATCTAAAGAATTTTGTTAGCTTCACGGTCGCGGTAACTTCACATGCGCTACTACTGGCAACTGCTCATTAAGCATGATATACATAGAATGTCATCCCGGCGCCAATATTCTAGTTGCGACTCATGTCGCCGATTGAAGCGCAAATGTGTCTATGAAGAAACCACTCGTCGTTCGGGACTGGTATGTCTCCGCTGCAAGGAGCTGGGCTACAATTGCACTTTCGACTACATCTCAGCACGTTTGGAACAGAAGAAGAGGAAACGTCATTCCACTGCTTCCGATTATAAAAACTATCAGAGTCAATCGACAGAGCTGATGTCCATCGGAGAGCCCGTTGACACCATGGACTGGATTTCGGTTCTTCAACCTTATGACGGAGATGTTTCCATTGAGTTTGACGACTTAAACAACGATATAGCGGCTGAATATCTCAATTTGGAAGGTCTCGATCGAGAATGGCAAGATCTGACGATGGCTGGATGTGCTCAATCGTCGATCTTGGACACAAATGGTAGAAGTAGTGACTATACGTTGCAAGTTAGTCCTAAGCCGAAAAATTCGAATTATTCTGGCCCTAGAAAACAAATCGAACGAGCCCAGCTTTTCGCCTCTTGGAAGGGAAGCCCAACACAACTGCTCAACTCGACCTTCACAGCAAGGTCGCTAGGAACATGTCTTTACCATACTTATGCCGCCATGATGCATGGAATGGAGTCAAGATATCTGGAATACGAATGCAATCCATTCGGTCCAACTCATAGATATAAATTTGATTTAGAGGATGTATCGCTGGTAATCGAAGACAACCGCCCTTTAAACGAGCTTCCCGGTCCAAGGAAAACAGACTCTCCTACTATGAGCACGTTGCAAAGTTTGCCAGCTCTGAAACAGATTCATGAAGAAGGTTTAAAGCAAGACACACCGCTTGAGGATACGATCAAAATCACATTCGTTGGCTTGGCCAAATTCTTGGATCACTTTGGGCACTTTTATGGGAACAAACTGGATCGGCGAAGTAAGGCAGAAGATGAACGTATGCTGATAGCAGCCCAGCAAGTTTTTGCACTTCAATGGGCAGTAGAAGGGTCACGCGAGAAAGACACATCATTTCCAATAATTCATAGATCAGATGGCTCCTCTACAGAGGACCTTCATGCATTTGCCAGCTCGTGGTTCAAAGCACGGTCTCTAATTCTGAATGCTACACCTGGCTGCTCTTTTACGCGTGTATATGCAATGATTCTCTTCCACACCTGTGTTGCTCCAGAAGAGGCCAAAGAGGTCGCAGGTCAATTGAATAATATTCTCGATCGATGTCTCCATCAGTTCGAGGATCTTAAAAGTATGGTGGACGAGTATACTAAGCTGTTGAGCAGCACCTCGACTTACCGGAACCTGCTTCAGTCCTCTGTCAAAGCCTTTCAATGGTTTGCATATATCAAGGATACTTTTGCTGCCTTACTTACCGAACGGGATCTTATACTCACCGAAAATCCGCTTAACTTATCTGGTAAGTTCTAATGATTAGCTGGGTGTTTCATGGGCTGATACTCTACAATAGCGACTGGCTTGCGACTCACCCCYCAGCCTGTAGACAATTTGGTGGATGCGGATATACCGTTTGTCTGCCAGCGAGCCGTTCTTCTCATTTACCGGATATTAAGGCAGACTGCTAAAGTTAAGCAGTTTGTACGTGATATTGCATCCACTGAAGATTCACCTCAGCTAGACGGTACTTTGGACTATGCAATAGGCTTCGTCGAGGAGTTCAATCATACATATGATGACTTCCTTAACCGATGCATGGCTGACTTTCAAGCCCTGTCCTCACCATCCAGACTGTCTTTTGGTACGTTTCTAGCTCCCCGTCATAATCCATGATATGTCATATTGAAATCAACGCAACCAGGTTATCTGGTTCTGTTTTGGAGCCTAGGGACCCTGACTCTAGCCGAGTCAATTGAGCGAGTACGTTGCAGTTACTTACGACAAGGAACCAACATCGGAGAATTTGCAATAGGCAAAGGAAAACAGTACGAGTCGGCTGCAATTTCGTCGGTTATCGCGATTTCAAAACACATCGCTGATATGTCAGCTGAAAATGCGTCCATCAGCATCTCCGGCGACTCGGGGATGAAGTTACCATTCATTTCACATCACGCGAGTCTTGCGCCCATTGTGGCTGTTTTGAGTAAGAGTATTAATCATATGCTTCAACGTGTCATGGACAGCGAGAACCCACATGATGGTGCCCACTGGATGCTATCAATCAAACCTGTGCTCACTTGTCTACTCGATATGAGATCAACGGTGGCAGGATCCCGCTCTATTCAGTCTCCGCTGAGCAGGCTAGTAGCTTCTCATGGAGATCTTATAATGGAGTGTTGGACTGTTGATGATCCTAATGAGTTGCTCGATTTTCCCCTGAGTACTTCTACGTAATCTATCGAATAGAACACTTTTCAGATTGGCATCAACAAATAACAGCTCAGCTGAACAGAATCCACCTAGGGCTGAATTCCCGCGGCTGACATCTTCCCTCTTGTCTCGTATCCTTATCCAGTCTCTCTTTTTACTTCTCTACCTCTCTTTTGTCCTCCTAATAACACCTTTGAACAAACATCCTTGCTCTCTGTAATGTTGAAGCTAAAAAACTTCATCTTCTTGTTAAAGTGTAAGAATAGCAATAATTTGACCCTATCTTAGACCAGTCCGCCCACTGAGAATACGTTTGTTTCCCCACCTGCTACTTCCGCCTCCACTACAGTAGATCCCCGCTGCCGGCGAGTGCCTCCACCATCAGTCTCGTTGGATTCCAGCAAGTAATCACCTATCAGACTTTACACTATCATAACCGACCGATATGCGAGTATAATGTAGTCCGACGTGAGCTTATAATCCGTAGGAGCAATTATCGCCGGGCGCTTGATCTAACTAAAGCTTTGCGAGTCGCTTAGCCTTAGAGGTACCAGAATTCATCATAACGATTGTCGCCAACAACGCTCCGGATTCACACATGGCTAAGGATTTTCACGGATTGTTAGTTAAAGTACAGTAAACAGTCATTATCCTCGAATAGGATGAAAAGGCCGTCTAGAAATGTGTTCTTAGTAATCTTTCCAGCCATCGCGGAGATCCGTGACGGCTCCGTAGCGGTTCCCAAGCGGTTCCGCAACTAGATAGTACAGAGGTCAGAAGGCACAGGAGTCCTTTGTCGATTCTTATATAAAGTATGTTTCTCTACCTGTAGTTCAAATTTCGATCAAATCGAAGTCAACCTGCTATAACATACACGAAGAGGTCTGTCTCATTTATTGATTTCAAGCTTCCCACCTTCACCCGCCGCCGCCATGTTGACTGTACATCATCTCGAGTGCAGCCAAAGTGAGCGCATTATCTGGCTCTGCGAAGAACTTGGGATCTATTACGAGTTGAAACGGTACAATCGAAACCCTGTATTTGCTCCGCCTGAGCTGAAAGCGCTCACTCCCATGGGCGGCGCCCCGGTAATCACGGACTCTACTTTCGATCCTTCCAACCCCCTTACTTTGGGTGAAAGCGCGGCGATTGTCGAGTACATCATTCATAAACATGGAGACGGGCGACTGATTTTACCTCCGTCTCATAAAGATTACACCCATTACCTTTACTGGTTTCACCAGTCCAACACCAATTTGCAGGGCGCCATATTCAGAGCTCTGCTTGTTGGGCAGTTGAAGTTGGCACCTGAAAACCCCATACAAAAAAGCGTAAATGCCAAAGTGAAGGCAGTCTTGAATATGCTCAATGATCGGCTCAATCGGGTGACCTGGTTGGCGGGAGACCAGTTTACAGCAGCGGATATCATGACAGTCGTTTCCGTGACGACAATGAGGCTTTATTATCCTATTGATCTTACGGGTTACGAAGGTATCCTTTCATGGTTACAGCGTGTTGGAGATCGCCCAGCTTACAAGTCTGCTATGCAAAAAGGCGACCCAGAAATGGCTCCTTGTTTAGGAGCCGCAACACCAGACCTATTCCCGGCGTGGGCTGCTATAGTGCAGTAATTTTCATGAGTATATTGCAGCAAATATGTGTAGGGAACACAGTACAAACGAGGCCAAGTCCTGGAATCTCATGATACGGCAAAATTCAAGGTTCCAGGGTTGCCTGCGTTGTATACGTCCGTCTTTCGTCATTTGGTAGAGAGAATCACAACTCCTTGACAACCTTGTTTTTCCATGACTCATAAATTATTCGATCAGTAGAAATGCTCATAGATGGCTGTCCAGAAATAACGACAGTTCATAGCCCCGCTCTTAAAAACCCGATAAGAATATGTAAAAATCTCTCAACACCTCCACACTCATTAGACTTTTTCCTTGAAATGAAATATCTTGTCTGCTGTCACTGAAACGAATTCACTTGAGTCTATTCTAAACTGCAGCATCCACCGCTGTCAGCCCATTAATTGCCTCACATCCTTCAGCAATGTCGCCCAGAGTTATGCTACCTGGCAGGTAGTAGCCATTTCCGACATTGAACTCATCTGGACACCATGCCCAAGTTAAATTACCCGGAGGAATGACTCTTCCATCATCGGAAACCGTGAAAATGGGATAAGCTATATCCCCACTAATGTTTGATCCGATGTCGAAACGCAAACTGCTCGTATAATTGCCGTAAAGGGTGTAAGCGAATCGCTCCTCGTTACTTAGAGCAGAGTCCGTGACCAGACGACCGGTTGAGGAATCAAAGTAAAAGATGGATGGCAATTCGTTCTCTTGTACGGGCTCGAGTGTCCCCATAATATCAATCTCGTTATTGTTGGTGGCGACCAAGGCTGTCCCGTTGATACTGGTGTCTGATGCGGAAACAACGAGTGTAAACTGAGTGAACGCGCTGCCAGTGGCTTGGACTGATGTACAGTAGAACGAAGTCAGCATTTATTCAATTGACAGTAAAACGAAGAAAGTAACGGGGAAGAATACCGGCAGTAGCTAGGCTCGCCGTTGAGGCTATAAGCGATAAATAGATCTTCATGATCAAATGAGAAAGAATCTTTTATTCTGATCTTACTAGATTTTTCGTTGGCTTTGGAAGAGGAAATCAACTTTATAAAGTCTGGAAAGTGTGAAACTATCTACGAATGTTGACGAATGCAACCATAATTATAGCCCCCAAGATCCCGTCATTTTTTAGTAGTCGATCGTATGTCGAGATTCGGTATGGCATCAGATAACAACCATACAATACAACTCTGATCAAGGTATCTGTCGATCTCTTTAGCATGATCTAGCATGATCGGCTCCTATTTCTTGTCCCCGATGTAGATAAGCCGCTGCTAGATGAGCCGTTGTGATGTTTGACATTCCATGCCCCATTTGTACGCCAATGCAGCAGCTAACAAGTGGTAACTAATGCCAGGACGCCGCTAGCTTCCATGGTTGGCGAGTAATACGTATCGTACAGAGACCTAGGTCCCGGTAGCATTGGTGAGCCGCAAAAGCTGATCGACAAAAAGAAATTTGGACAGCACTTATTTACATATGATGAGTAATGAGAAACCATGAAATAAATAACTACCCCAACAACGTCACCCGACCTTCACAAATCTTGATATGGACGGTCAGGATATCTAGAGTACTTCGATTAAACGAAACGAAATTGAACAAACAAAATAGAGACACCTAGTCGCCACTACGTACAAACTATATGCCTCAAATCCGAAGTAGTAATTTATTGCTTATCTTAACAAAAAACCACTAAGATATGTAGCACGATGTGATTGTCAGGCACTAGCAAAGGGCGCCTGTCTTGCCCCAGTCTATTCGGTTTCATATTGTTCAATTTCTTTTTTCAACTTTCAGGGTATCACTAAGGAGACTTCCCTGATATAGGGCCAGGTAAAATCCGTTTATTTTGAGGTCGCTTTCATGATAAGAGCTCTTTTTGTCGTTATAATAGAATGTAGAAGTCGGAAGTCGCATCTCAATATTCTATTAGGTAGTCCTAGACTACAGCATAAAAAAGATATTGTCAAATTGTTAATATTGACGGTTTACCTTGATGCAAAACATATTTTATAATCCCCCTGTAATAAGTCTACGTCATTCTAATGACGTTCAAAAATAACACACATTGCCCATTCGATCTTCCACTTTAAAAACACCAATATCCTAACCATATCCGTTGGTGGAGGGGGATTTAGTCATGGGTCGCAATAAGTCTTTTCCTATATTTCGAGAAAGATGGTTAAAAAAATTTAAATTTGGCAATATTTGAGGAGACTTCGCTGCTCTTTATTGCGTGATAAGCCCCCGATCGCCTATAGAGCATTAATTTATGTCTAGACAAAGTAGGACAGCGGAACGTGTCGCAACATCACAGAAGGACTCAATCCCGCGAGATAGATATATGGGATATTCCTGGGCCCAACTTCTGTATTTTCCCGATCCTCAAAGGGTACAGTAGCTCTTCCCGAGAAATTTTCGCAGACGAAGATAATGTCGCTTTCTGCTGGTAGGTTGCAGAATCTAATATCATATGCTCGATTGAAAAGTTGAAGTACCAATTTGCCACATCTTAACAGGCCAAGCATCTGGCTTTCCATTTAAGATTTAGGGGACGTAGGAGAGGCATCGAAGGCGCTGCATATTAATGGGTTTTCTTGATTGTGTGGTCATTATGAGGGCTGTGTGGAAACTGAAAGATGAATACTGGCCTCGAAGTTACGAAACTCGAGGTGGATCCTCAATTGCTAAAGAGTATGACGACTATATTTTCAGCCAATTAATTTTTTCGGGGAAGAGAATGGGTCAATAACAAAATATAGCCTAAAATAATTTCAACGAACAATGGACAATGGCCATCTCGTAGCGTTAGAATGTGGGAATAAAATGCTCCAAATCTACCCATGTTATAGAGGTCATTGATCTGATTGATACCATTTCTAAAGGGTGATGTCCTTGAATTCATATCTGAAAGTGGTGCAAGAGCATTTCCATTATTTAGTCGATACTATTCATTATAGGTACTCAACCGAGTCTCGACTCATAGAGATAACAGCGCCCCATGAAGATAGTGCCAGTGAATCACGTGCGAATTAAATCATGCGCTGCATCGAGCAACTACATACAGTTTTTGTATATAAGATGTGGAGTTGATTAGCGGTTGGATGGGCCATCACATTGAAATTTGTTCAGTTCATTGATGCCCGTTGTGAGACTTCAAAATCGATGTGCATAGCTTTCAGTGTATAATAGTGTTCTAAAGCATCAGAAGAAGAGAAATTGACTTAGATGACCATTAAGTATTCTACTTCCTAAAAAGTAAGAACCTGGCTGAAGAGGCTCTAGTAAGTTATCTGTGATGGGACACCGAAATGAGCCTGGTGCGTTTAATCACAGTCCAGAAATTTAGCATTTTGGACATATATTTTCTGATGAAACTCTCCAGACGGCATTTACCAAATCACCAACTTGAAATACGCCAAATTGCGGTATGGGCTCGATTTCTACAGTATATTGTAACCCATCCTCATATCAAGCTACATGGCGCCAAGGTACAATCCAGCACCAGCTCACATTTTCATATTGACTTCACCCGTCAAGAAGCTTACATTGCCGAGGCCCATGCTTTTAAACGGAAACTCTTCAGTAAGTTGTTGGCGCGGCCACCGTGTTCCCTACTCTAGTGTTTTGCGTCAACTCGAGATTGTCCTACGCGACGCTTTGTGATTGTCAACTGCGCTCCGTACATTCTTTCGACCTGATCAAACTACCTCACATCTTTTCATATGACGCTAGAGTGCTTATAGTATGCTGTTGACGAGAAAAGGTAAAGTATCATAGGTGCTGTAAAAATTTTCGTGGGCGTTGGCTGTGCTCAAAAGTTTCTAAGGTAGTAACTAAAATTAAGACTTAAATATACCTCGCTAGGTCTTACTCCGCACGAGTTCCATGTCCGCACGTCCAGATTGCGCCACAGTATTCGACACGGATGTTCCTTATCCCATTCATCCGTTGGACAGAACGGTGAACTTGTGTCGGCCTGTTGTGCGAGGGTCACTTGTCCTTTTCTAGTTTAATGGATGGTAGCTGGTATATCGTTGCCATCTTGCAAGTCACCTTGAAGGCGGCTCTTGGACGGTTAGATCGGCAGGAACTTGCGCAAAGCGGGTGAAATGATTGGTGAGAACGCAGGTAATTCGAAGGTCATACTCGTTCCGGACATGTGTTTTTTGGTATGGAGCCCTTGATTTGAATTTGTCTCGCATGTAATGCAGTTCTCGCGCTAAATTATAAATGGAAACCACGAAGACTGATAAGAAACCATGGAGAATTCCGACATTTTCGGCAGCAATTGGCATATTGCGTTAATAGCTCTTACAGTGATATTTCCTAGATTTCTGTAGCCCTTTCTTCCCGGGGTACAGTATCTTAGGGCTAAGGTTAAGATCCAAAAATTCGTCGTCGTAAACAACATCATATTAAGTCGGACCTTGAAGCGGAGGGCTGAGTTACGGCGTGTTAAATATTACAAAGGGCGCAACCTTATATTGCGAAAACACTTTCCACATTAAAGGGCATATTCCTGTTACGGTACATTGGTAGCATTGGGGGCCAAGACTAATTGAATGTACTACGTAGTAAACATGGCTAACGGATTTACGTCAAAATCAAGATCCCTGATAAATAGTCAAGATCGAAAAAAGCTTAACGACGGAATTCAATTGCATTTTCTGGGCTACTCGTCGTTAATCTCTTATACCTAGAACTTCGAATCGGAACCTGATCTCGGCCAGGGTTTGTTGGACATCTTGTCTTTGCGATTAGCCACCATTTACTAGCGACTGTAACACTCCACTCTATACAACAAGAGGTGTATACCTATAAGAATAATAGTCCCCGGTTCTTGACTGAATTTTACAATCTCCTTCCCGAAAAGGTAGTTGGTAAAAACTTGACCTCACGTAAATGGACAACATGTCGATAAGCTAAATTGGGTCACCTAGTAGATTACTTCGCAAGGCAGCAGATATCTCAAGTCTCGAAAAGATATTGGACACTTTCTATGAAGCTAAAGTATCCACTTGGGGTTCAGCTGATTGATGGCACTCGTAAACATCGTGGTATTGGCTCCAGTTTCCAGATCCAGACATGTGTATGACTACAGATCGTGTCAGAGTTGCATGGCTCGCCTGTTCCCTATGGGAAAAACATGAAAGTAACCCGAGTATGAGACTCAATGTGTTGCATGATATGAAACTATAAAACGAAGGCGAAGCCTCTTCTTCACATCCGCTTCCTCACACACACAGAGTGACTTAGACTTGTCAAATCTACCTCAAAACCATATTAAACATGTTTTTCAAAGTCATTGCTTCTTCGACGATATTAGCCGCGTATGCGCTGGCAGCTCCAGGAGTATGTTATCTTCATTCTACTTATTACTCACCTAGGCAGATGGTCACTAATTTCTTATCAGAAGGATATACAAGATGGCGCACCCCATGAGCTGGTATCCGACCCTTCTAGCCAGCAAGTAACCTCGTCAGAAGCTTTCACGACTGGTGCTGGAAATTATGACAATGGTAACATCTATGACGGTACTGGTAATGCCGGTACTGACCAGTATAGTAAGCTGCCTTCTCTTTCATGCTTATCAAGCTCTATTGACAATTTCCAACATAGATTGCTATTACGGTGGTTGGGAAAACTTTCCTCCTTCATCGCAATGGGTCGAGTTTGATGCCATGTGGAATTATTCCAAGTCTGCAATGTCAACATCTTGTTCCGATCTTGGTGTGGGATCATGCTCAGATGGAGCTGGAGCATTTGGCGATGGGGACACCGGTGAACAAATTGGCTTGATCTGGAATGCTATTCAGCAGGTTGCAGAAGCCTCGTTGGTTGATCATCGCTTTATTCTCGCTACAATCCTACAAGAAGTGAGTTTAGCAACGAATTGGAGATAGGGCAAATCTGGAGATGACGTACTGATCTTGCACTTTATAGTCTTCTGGATGTGTCAATGTGTGCGCATCGACTAATCCGGACCCTTCACAGCCAGACAATCCAGGTCTAATGCAATCTGATGGGGGGGTAACTTTCATTGGCAATTCAGCTAGCGATTCGAATCAGCAGGCAAGCATAACGCAGATGATTATTGACGGTACTCAAGGGACGGCTGATGGCGATGGCCTGGTACAATGTATCAATCAATATGGAAATATCTACGAAGTAAGCATTTTGTGCCCTGAAGCATCATAGAACATGAAAATGTCAGTTGCTAAAATATGCAGGCCGCTCGATGCTATAACTCAGGATCAGTGGACAGCTCGAACTTGAACAATGGTGAAGGAGCCACTGACTCGTACGTGAACGACATTGCTAATCGACTGACTGGATGGTTGTATGCGAACTCAAACTATAATAACTGTTGATCGTGTCACTCTACACCGACAATGGAAGATAGTCAGTCATATTCAACAAATTCTTCATGGAGCAGCAAAGCGTTTCTGGGGGATACATCAATCAAATTGCCATCTTGACGATACACGTGCGCTGGGCTATTTTCTTCATGCCAAATTTCTCTGTAGAAAGGATTCATTGTTTCTAAAAAATATTCCACTTGATTCTTTGATAATTCAAAATCAAACGCCTGCTCATGTTTCCTTCGATTATGTCGAGGTTTCACTATGGTCAGTTGTATTGCCTATCAGAGTCTACGATTTATAGATGCAATCTACCTTTTTACAACTATACTCTTATCAAATGTGACAAACTATATAATATGATATGATATACTTCAGCCTTAAGCTTGTGAATATCTAGATGATACTATGGGTATATTAGGCCTTAGAGTTCTTTCTTTGAGTACATATTTTGATGAACTCATTGTTTCAGCGCCTACTATTATTAGATTATGCCCATTCACCTTGAGGATCGTATCAAGGAGCCCTGAGAGAGTGAACTCGCAAAGCTGAAGTTGCTATCACAAAGGAAAATTCTTGGCGTGAATATAAATACTATATTAATGCCATTTTCGGGAGATTGTTGAGCCAAATTTAAGCTCTTAAGTAGGCTTGGAATCTGTTCCTTCTCTCGGTCACAGTCCTCCAGTCTGCAGGTAAGTAAAAAACAAGACACTCGTTGCCGTGGAGAGCCACTCATATAAAAGTCAGTCATCCCGCAATCCAACCTTCTCTTTTGGGCATTGGGTGTTATTATCGCCAAGCTAAGTACGTGATATCCCGTCTCTAGGGACATTTCCGCCTACGTCTAACTGAGACTTTCCAAATCAAGCTCAGGTGCATAAGAATAGAGGTCGACATGCACTTCACGATAATATTCATGGCTTATTTTGCAACTGCTTGCACCGCACAGAACGTGGAATGCCAACCAGGGACATATACCTGTTCTCAAAGTGGTCATGGTGTCGCCATTCTTGTGTGCGATATTTCAAAGGTTTGGGAAATCGCGGCCCACTGTGGCACTCACCAGCGCTGTCAAGATGCAAATGGTGCTGCGTACTGTTATTAATGCCACACCGGTATCAAGGCGATTACTTGGAAGTGCTGTTGCAATTTCCGTCCAAATGATGATTGACTAAATCTACTGCGTGTATCATGTTGTCATGTAAAAAATAGGTTCCAGAAATCTGCAGAACCTAAGCATAATAAAAACAATTTCACATGAGAACACAAGGAATTACTATTCTGAATTCGGGATATAACTTATATGCAGGGATCACCGAATTGCACCATTCTTTTTGCATCCAAGGGGTCTGGAGGTTGAATATGCTAACAATATGTAGAGAGGATCTTCATTGGCGTCATAGCAGCTCCCTTTAGTTCAGACATACCTGCCTCGTGGTTATGGATAAGATGATGTTAAATCATACCATATCTACATAGTGTACCTGAAGTAAGGGTTCTGAAGGTCTGTAGCGTCATTCTCTCCATACTCCCGAGCCTTCTCCTCTTGCTCCTCCTTAGTGAGACCACTTTCGGCGGCAAGACGGTCTCGACGTCGGTTTTCCCACATATACCAGAATCTCCAAGCCAAGATGAGGAATGATTGCAAGCCGAAACAGACCGAGCACGCAATAGTTCCTTTGACATATCGAGGGGCGTCCTTGGTTTGGAAGACCTGGGCMCCAGCCATATTTCCAACACAGTAAGCTATCATGGTCATGGATGAAATGATTGTAGTTTTCGTTCTACCGGCGACATTAGAGGGAACTGGTAGCGAGTGTTAGTACATAGCTTGAAGAATTACCTCCTGTACAAAAGAACAACCTACTCAGACTCCAGCCGATGAAAATTGACAAGGAGAACACGACTGTCATCACATACATCCCCCATTTAATCCATTTATACTGGGCAGTGTTGGGAAGAAGGGACATAACCAGCATGCCCACAAAGGGAATGATACAGCTTGCAATCATAATCCACATACGCTGATTCTGAAACTTTCGAGTAAAGAAACCGACCGCGATAAAGACGACAACGTAGACAGCTGACGGGCGATTGCATTAGTCTTTCGATATACTACTTTTGTTTTGTAATAAGTAGACAGATACGTACCATTTCGAGGGCAACCGTACAACATGGATTCCCAGCTACTGAAGCCGAAGGTCTCGTACATCAACGAACTGAAAGTGGTGATGCCTCTTTCAGTAAATAATTAGAATTTGTGGTCCGAAACTTAAGAAATAGGATATCAAGAATTTACCCATTCGGAATATTGGCCAAGAAGGAATTCAGAAAAGAGAAGTAGAGTTGAGGATCCTTGAAGGCCTCAGTCACCTGCGGCCAGGACCACTCTCGTCCAGTGATATCTTGGCCGGTGTAGTTATCCAGGGTACGAGCCACGCTACTACTGTTAGCCTCTGTTCTATGAATCATTTCGTAGTAGCTCAATACTTACGCCATTCGTTTCTCTCTCTCGTTCAACCACCTAACTTCGTGTGGTGTACCTAGAAGCATGAATGAGGCACCAGCACCGGCAAGGGTCAAAGATCCAAGGAAAAGCGAGATGCATCGCCAGGCAGCAATTCCTCCATTCGATGACGCATATCTGGCAATTCCATAGAGAATTAAGTTGCAGATGATAGAGAAGAATCCCTCGGATGACTGCCAGAAAAGCGACCTGTCGGCGTGTTCTTTAGTACGATACCACATTCCTGTTATGAGCAAGAAACCAGCGGAAATGTTGCTTTCGAATACACCCTGCAAGGCGCGTAGTGCCATGAGAGAAGACCAATTCTGTACGGCGCTGATGCAGATGAGACTAATTCCCCAGCCTGTCATGTAAATCGACAAGACGCGGCCAACGTTATATCGCTGCAGTAGATAAACGGATGGAATCTCGCAGATGAGGTACGTCAGGTAAAAGCTGAGTATTTAATGTTAGAGATAGTCTCAGGTTGTATAGTACATTAGTGAATTTACTTACATTGTTGTCGACCACTGATATTCTTGACCGTGGAGTTTCAAAGCCGTTTGCATACCAAAAACCTAATACACAAAGTTTTTTTAACTGGCCCGTATCGTAAAGCACGTGAATAAAGGCCATTCTTACCGCTTGAGTACTCGTTGATGTCTTGTCGGTTTGTTGGATACCGTAACAAAAGAACCTGTTCGGTCGTTATGTTAGTCGCAAGTCTCCTTCAACGAGAATTTGGAGGAGAGGACAGAATACATCATTGGCAAGAGGTAACGATCAATCTTCCGGGTCAGCTTTTTATATTGCTCTTCTGTATAATCTGAATGCATATAATCAGTCAAGTTGTTGTCGTAGACTCGTTGGTCACTGCTATGACCATTAACAAAGAACATACCAGACTGTTGGATTATATCGCCGCTTTCAACATCAGTGGTCCCATTGAGAACGGCAACTTTCTTCTCCATTGACCTCGTGCCCGAATCGGATTTTTCAATTGATGGGGTGGCCACTGCTACCGATGGCTCATTCAGAAATGCTGTTTCAGCATTTTCTAACACCATCTTGGATACTGATTTGATCGATCAATGATTTTTGGGGATTTTCAGATTAAAGTCATGAGCTTGATGGAAGTGATAGCAGGGACTCTTATGAGAGAGAAGTCGGCCCTATTCATAGGTTCTCATATGCATAGAAACTTGTGAGAAAGCATTGCCGGATGTAGAAACGCACTAAACACCCCACTAAATTTTGGCTATGTATTTGCCATTGAGATAAGATGACGAACATGGATTAGAGGCTTGCGGGGGAAAATACACAAATTATACGTTAGGAAACATTAATGAAGAGAAAAACGTCTAGAATGGGTAAATTGATACTGTACAAATCACAATCAGCGTAAGCCGTAAACGCTTCAAGTTCCATTTTTTTTTAGGATATCCGATATAGCGAACCCACATTGATATTACGAATAAGATACTGCTAAGTTAGTATCAGAAGGTTCGGCTTACTGCGCAATTTGAGCTATCCTATCGCGGTCTTCCGGGTTCCACTACGGTTTTGTGGATCGTGCTGCGACTGTTCTGCGAGATTGGAGTCGACCTGGCGCGGTCAGCCGAAGTCTGGATTGCATTTCGCGGTCTATCTCGGTATCTTATTGGCCATCCATGCACAGTCACAAACCTTAAGGTGTACGAGTGTTAGTCGTCCGTCGGTAGAGAGGAATTTTGATAACAGTGCAGTTATCTGTGTCCGCGGTCGAACCACCAGCATAAGCTAGTGTTACTTCACCAAGCATTAGAAGAGCGTGGACACGGAAATAACAATTGATAGAGATCAACGCGTAATCTGTTCGATATCTTTCCAGTTTTCAGAATTTTATTGATTCATTATCGAAAAGCCATGGCGAAACCATCATCGGCACCTGTGCCAGACCCCACCCTGCCATTCTGGCGAACAGAAACACACGAATTGGATTGTCACAGGAGCACTCCCGACCTGCCCGAGGAATGCGATATCCTCATTGTCGGTGCTGGCTACACCGGGGCTGCCATATCACATTTTCTCTACAAGGATAATCCGTCACCACCGTCTGTTGTAATCCTAGAAGCTCGACAAGCTTGCTCTGGGGCTACCGGTCGTAACGGTAACAATGATACTGATCCATACTCGCAAAAATAACATCTAATCATATTCTCTTCTCTACTATAGGAGGTCATTTAAAACCTGATGTTTACTTCGGTCTTCCGAAATACATCAAAAAATATGGCGTCAAAGCCGCAGTGGATGTCGCTCGTTTCGAAGCTTCCCAGGTACATGCCGTTAAGGAGCTGGTAGAGGAAGAAAAAATCGACTGCGATTTTGTTCTGACTCGAGCTTGTGATGTTATTTTGGATCCAGGATTGGCAGCGGAAACAGAAGCTGCTTTTACCGAGATGGCGAATTCAGGTGTGGCGAATCTAACAGATGTCCATTTTACAAAACGAAAGGACGCAGAGCGCGTATGTAAAATCCCGAGTCCTTTCAGGGTTTCCACGTATGATCATGACGCTTTGCTAAATAAAAAAACTTTACTGCAGGTCTCTGGCATCAAGGGCGCTTTGAATTGCTTCACCTTTACAGCTGGTCACGTTTGGCCATATAAGATGGTGATGCACCTTCTTAAAGGCGTTGTGGACAAAGGTGCCAACCTTCAAACGATGACTCCAGTCACGCAAATCTCGGAAAAGCAACTCTCAGACGGTCGGTGGTTGGTCACCACTGGAAGAGGAAGTATCAAAGCCAAGAAGGTGATCCTCGCGACAAATGCCTACACCTCTCATCTAGCTCCACAATTTACGAACCACATTGTCCCTGTCCGAGGTATTTGTAGTCGCATCGTCGTGCCTCCGCATAAAGTTCCGCCATTTCTCCCACAAACGTATAGTATCCGTTATGGGCCTTCAATGTATGACTATCTCATACCGCGTCCCGATGGAAGTATTATCGTGGGAGGCGCGAAACCGCATTTCTGGTCAGATCACTCGCATTGGTACAACGTTACGGATGATAGCAAGCTCATTGAGCCGGCCAAATCGTGGTTTGATGGGCTTATGCAGAGGACATTTGTTGGCTGGGAGGATAGTGAAGCATACACTGAAAAAGTATGGACTGGCAGTAAGTATTATTCATGACTGCTTTCATTCGGGTTTGAAGTAAGAAAACTTATATTTGGAAAATTTCAGTCATGGGTTACAGCTCAGATTTCATGCCATACGTCGGCGAAGTCCCCGAGAAACCAAATCAATTGGTTCTCGCTGGGTTTTCGGGTCATGGTATGCCTCTGATTCTTCTTTGTGCCAAGGCAATTTCAGAGATGGTCCGAAGTGGAACTACTTTTGAAGAGACTGAAGTGCCATCATTATTCAAGGTCACCAAGGAGCGACTTGCGAGTGAGAAGAATGAAATCCTGGAAGAAAACAACAGGGGAAATCTCATAGCGAAACTTTGAGCGTACTAGGTATTGGGTCTAGAGTATTTTATGCAAATATTTATGGTAAAACTCGCCCAGGTCGGTTTCATATTGGGCGACAGTTCATATAGTGAAAGGCTTTTGAAACAGATTGCATTCATGGATTCCTTGTAGTTCCAGTCTTATATACAAATCCGTTTTTTTTTTTGTCAGTGACTAATGGAATGGAAAGTATCTTATTGTGTGATAGAACCAAATTTTCATCTATTAATGTTGCCTATTGCTTTTTAGATGCTGCAATGATACCATCGGCCAGCGAAGGTAGGTCATCCGCAATTACATCCAACTCGCCAAAAATATCCGAGCATGTTTCCTTTTCCCAAAGAGAAACCCAAGCCCCTTTGAATCTGTGTTTTGTTGGTGTTAGTGTTACAAAGCTAAAATTCGATTGAGCTTTTGACATACCCAGTGCGTTTCGCGGCGGCCGCATCCCACATATGCGCTGCGGCAAACCAAGCCTCTCGACCCTCCTTTTCGAGCTTATCTAGGATGTAATGATATGACTCTGGGGCCGGTTTGCCAATCTTAATGGTGTCACAGGAGAAGAAATTGTCTTCGGGCATCTCAACGCCGCCCTGTGCGAGGTATCCGGCGACACGGGCGGTATCGCCAGCTGTCAATGCCCAGACAGTGAATCCGGCGGCACGAAGACGGGAAAAGCATTCATGAATACCAGGACGCGGTTTGAGTTCACGATATGAATTCAGGAGGAATTCGCGATCATCATCCGTCGCGAATTTGCGAGGCTCTGCAATACCGGCTTGCCAAAGTGTACGATAGAAAATGGAACGGAAAACATCGAAGAATTTCAGATAATGACCAGACATGCTGAGATAGGTGTACTCTCGCTCTCCGGCTTCCATCCATGCGTATCCGAACAGACGGGATCCAATGTTCTTTGCAAGAAGTTTTTCGCCGATGCGAGCTTCGATAGCATCATAGAATGCGTCGTAGGAAATACATGTTCCTGTATCGCACAGAGTTAGTGTATCAACCAGTCGTTCACAAACTCGAGAGTTTACTTGCCTACGATGTCAAGAACAACGTTTTTATTTGAAGTCGGCATTATGATGAATTGTGTGAGTTTCAATGCAATTCAACTGCAACAATAATATTCCAAGTCTTTTAAATCGCAAATAGCAATTTATATCACCACCCTAAAGAGTCTATTAACTTCAAAAATTCGATAATATTCGAATACTCGTCACGATGCAGAGGATACAATTCATAATCTACGTAACAATGTTCATCGGTGAAGCCCAGAAATGTCTCCATCGACACGGGTAACGCCGACAGGGACCACTTTACTTGCGAAACGCCTCGGTTTTGTCCGCGATGTCGGTTCGATGTCGACACTGGGGTAGCCGGAATCAGAATCTGAGCGATAGTCGTGAGGTTATGTATTGTTTGGTTTTATTTGTTGATATTTTACGTAATTCGGTGTTTAGCAAGCTCAGGGTTACTGATGGATTTAATAGGGCATGTGAATAGATAAACCCTCACCCCTAGCTGCTGTGCAAAGCGATTCAACGGGCATGTCTTCAACGATCAGAGCTATGATTTGTGAGTAGTCATTTCTTGAATGTCGTAAGCACGAACCAACTATCGCATAGGTGAAATAACCAGCTCTCATTATCATGTTCGATGCCTTTTATTTGAATGCGGTAAAAATTAAACCCCGAAGATTCTAAACAACATTTTCGATAAACTCCCGGACTCTCTTAACAGATTTATAATGAGATAATGTCGGTTCGTCTAGTAAACGAATTTACATGTAGTGGAAAGCTGTGCTGTGATAGAAAGAGCTGATACGTCTCCTTGCCTTAAAAAGACGCTAAATTGAACCTTATCGTCGATCCGATGGGAGTCAATACCTTGCAACACAGTTCAACATCAGTAGCCGGATGACAACGACATTCACGATTTCAAGATAGAAGTAAATCTGAGACAAGTAGAATACGGCCAGAAAGTATGTTGTTCATGGGTCATGTGTCGTTTGATAAACCGCTGTTCCCATATCGTTGTTTGATGGCACAGTCTGTCGCTTCCAATGGCGAGATGTAGAGGAGTTCCATCAATTGATTAGTTGCAGAATTTTTGAAGCGTCATCATATAGATATAAAATTTGTGCTGTTAATGTTCCATCCGTATTTGAGCCACAAAGGTTACTCGATTGGCGATAGGTATTAGTGCATTCGCAGAACTCCGAAGTTTTGCTGCTGACGACCCCGGTGAGGTAAATTGTGTCTGGCTTATGCATGGACCGGATGCATACTGAAACTGAACTGCTGCAATGAATTGTATTTTCTATCGCACGATGGTCGATTGGAATAGACTTCCAGTTAGCTTTGATACCCAAAAAGCTTCCTGGAGGAGTGAAGGGGAAATTAAATTGTACAATATGAGTCAAAGCCCACAAGGACCTCTCGACCATACTTGCTCTTCAATTGTCTCTCTACCCAAGACTTAGGAGAGAATGTATTCTAGGCACGTGTGGATTGTAAAGGCTTTTTCCCTTTACCGGTTAAAACCTGGTGCGGGTAAGTCGATATGTTCAAAATGATATAGAAAATAGCCTGTAGTAGATTGGAGTATGTAATTAGAAAGATCATACCTTCAATATGCTTCAGAATAGTGATGTTACCAAAATCTCCTCCCTCATGGCCGCTTTTGAAGAATTTAATTCATTGCATAAACCCTTTAGAGCGAATCCATAGTGATTTTATGCATGGAAACGATTAGTTGAGGCGCCAGTCGATTTGAATAGTGCCTGCTAGAAGACCTACTCTTTACGTATGCACTCGCTACTAAGTCAGGCTTGGCTGGCTAGACCAACCCCCGCAAAGAGCTACATGTATAATTACAAAGTCCAACGCAAATTAGACTCAAGAAGTACGAATGTCTACGTCTGGACGCGACGAAGAAGACTATGAAGTTAGGGCTCGGCCCCCTATGACATTCGTCCCGTCTCTTTCCGGCTCTTTCTACGGCTACATCAACCAGATCACCATTGTAGTACGACTACTTCTACTTCGAACAGGAGGTTGCATGTGCAGAAAATTTGACCCACACCTCAATCTACAACGGATTTTATTCCTATAGAATGTCTTGGCATTCATCAACCTCCACGCATCGGGCATTTATTATGCATCTCTAACACTGTAGCTTGTCCCATCTTTTGAGCTATTCCAGATCACTCGAACGGAACATTACAGTGAATTCAAAAGGACCAGCCTCTAATCTATGACCCTCGAAAGGACCTGGCCCACAACTTGCCGTACCAATTCCATGGTGAGCGAAATCAATGTTTAATTCCGACTCATCAACTAGCGCTGAAAGTTCATGGGGGTGTTTTGCGCGGTCAAGCTCAGTAATTGAATACTGACGGAGAGAAAAATTGAATGGGGAGTCCATTCTGACTTCGAGTCCAGGCACAGGCGTAAGAGCCTCTGCAGAAGCTGCATATGAGACATCAGGAGACGATGAATGGATTCGAGCCCAGTGAGTGTCAGTTCGGTTACCATTCTCCTGGGGCCATTCATACGGGGTCTGAAGACCGTCCTGAATACTGGCCGTGTACTTTCCAAAGCGTGCGGCAGATTTCTTGTCACGATATGATTCTCCTGGGCCCCGACCAAACCATGTGGAAGCATCGTAGCGTCGAGGTAGGCGAACAGTAAGACCAAGTCTAGGAATGTATTTCGGATACGTGCCAGAGAACTCGCCCTTCACATGAAGATTGACTGACGAATCTGTGATTGTATAACTGAGAGTAGCCTCAAGGGCCCACTCAAGTACCTTGGGAGCAACTCTGACGTTCGTTTTAATATCCACGGTTCCATCGTCATTGCAACGCCAAGTAACGGCTTGAACAAGCATGCGAGTACTAGCGACATGGAAGCGTTCCCACTCGATATGAGGGCCTTCTAGACCAAGATCGTTTTGGGTCAAAGCACGATATATACCTAGCTGCGGTCCGCTATTGAAGATTTTACCCGTATCAGTGGACCAAGAAAGGTTTCCTCTAACAAGGTCGTAAGTGAAGCGCGAAGCAAAAGCTTCAGAGGAGATGTATAGTCTGCCTGGTCCCTCTGAAATGGATAGAGTCGACTTTGCTGATCCGGAAAATGAAGGGATGGGAAGATCCTGATCTTTGAATAACGGGATCTGGGCCCAAGCAATCTCATGGCCCGCGGGTGCCCAGACTGTGCTGTCTCTGAGACAGAAATTCAAGGCGAGCCAGCTTGCATCAGAGCCCAAACTCACGCCTTGCGGGAAATCCACCAGCTTCGACTGTCCAGGTTTAATTTCAGGCAGCTCCCAGGAAATCGGCTCTGTCTTCCCTGTCTCGTTGACAAGGTGCCATGACACTGTCAGGTGGTCGAGACTACTGAAATCAAAGTGGTTCTTCAACTCTAGCTGATTTCCCTTCAACTGCACTGTGACAGGTTCGATGACTTTCTTGTATTCGACGAGACCAGGGGTTGGAGAATGATCGGAGAAAACCATTCCGTCGAGAATGAAATCTGCATCATTAGGTTCGTCGCCATAGTCGCCACCATATGCGTAGTATGATGTGTCACCATCTCTTTTCAGAAGTCCATGGTTGCACCACTCCCATATGAAACCGCCCTGGAGCAATTTCTCACTGCGGTAGGCGTCGATATATTCTTTCAGACCACCCGGGCCATTGCCCACTAGGAAACACCAACATCGAATCAGCAGGTGAAGGAAGATGTTTCTTTGGTCCAGGAATTCACTTACTAGCATGGCCATACTCACACTGGATCAAAGGCTTGTCAGTCTTTTTCTTGATGTGAGCCTTCAGAGTGTCTAGACTCCAGTACATGCTAGAGTATAAGTCTGCTGTAACAGCGTCTCTGTCTCCCTCATAGTGGACGAGACGAGTTGGATCAGTTTCCTTTATCCATTTGTACATAAGAGCGTGGTTGTGACCATAAAAGGCCTCATTACCAAGGGACCAAAAAATGATACAAGTGAAATTTTTGAATCTCTCCACAAGCTCAACAGCACGGTCAAGATAGGCATCCTTCCATGCCGGATTGTCTGATGTCCATTTTTTAGCCATCTTGTAGGAAGTCTCTTGGATTTCGTACTCGGTCATCAAGTGTTGATTCTTTATATTGTTTCTTTCTACCGGATCGAAGCCATGTGTCTCAAGGTCTGCTTCCGCGATGACATACAAGCCCAATTCGTCGCACACTTCATATAGTCGAGGGTCATTGGGTTGATGAGCGCATCTCAGTGCATTTATGTTGTGCTTCTTCATTAGGATCAAATCCGCCCGCATGCTCTCATAAGGTACGGCACGGCCATGAAGATGGTGGTGTTCGTGGCGATTCATACCGTACAGAATAATCGGCTTTCCGTTGACGAGGAAGTTTGAGTCTTTCTGCTCGATGCGTCGAAAACCTATGCGCTGGGGGATGGTACGACCTTTGAATGATAGAAGCAATGTGTAGAGGACAGGATGCTCCGCAGACCATAGCTCAAGGTCTTCTCCGAGTACTTGAATCTTATGGGACTCTGTAGTGCTGAAAGCTGAGTCCTTGAGAAGAGTGCCATCGGCGCGATATAGCTTGGCCTGCAGATCGCCTTCATTACCTTGTATTTTTACACTTATAGTCAGCTCACCAGACGATAGATCATCGCTCAGTGTCGGTACAGCGCAAAAGTCAATAATAGATTCCATGGGAAATGCAAGCAATCCAACATCTCGGAAGATGCCACTGAGTAGCCACTGGTCCTGACGTTCGATATACGACCCATCACAAAATTCGTACACGCGTACTGCAATTGTATTCGCAGATCCCGCGGGGTGAAGAAAAGTAGTAATGTCAAATTCAGCTGGATTTCGTGAGCCTTGCGAATATCCTACTGGCTTTCCGTTGATCCACAGGTGGAAAGCACTGTCGACACCCTCGAATCGAAGGCGGATTTGTTGTCCCTCCCACTTGTGCGGCGTGACGAATTGTCTCCAGTAGGATCCGGTCTCATTCAGAAAAGGTACATGCGGAGGGTTGACGTGGAACGGATAGTTGACGTTGGTGTAGGTTGGGTGCGAATAGCCTTGGAGCTGCCACATTCCAGGCACTTTGACGTCGTCCCAGCTTAATGGATCTGCGTTTTCCCAATCGGGAGCTTCAAAGGGGGACTCGTCATGGCGAAACTTCCACGTGCCGTTCAAAGACACATACTCACTCTGCTGGCGGTCTAGTGTGAGAGCCTTTTCGTGGGAAACATAAGAGTAGAAATGCGCTCTTGGGGGAAGAGTACCCTTATGGATGACCTTGAGATTGTTCCAGTCTGGTAAAGGTTTTGGGAAAGACATAGTTGGCGTGGGTGGACACGCTCCTGATGACGATGTTTGCTTTGTGCCTTTTCCCGCGTATGTTGATAGAATGTAAGCTCGAGAAAGATGTGGGAGATTTGAAGAGCCAAATATCTGTCTGCTCGATGATGCGGATAAAGTTCAGTGATACTCGATTAAGAAAACCAGTTAGGAGCTTCTCTGATGCCCATAAAGACCCAGCAGTAGCGTTAAAACAGAAGTGAAGGGACTAGTGCAAAATGCGAAGAATGTACCAGTGCGCGCCCAAGCGATGGACAGTAATCACGATCTAGTAGGAATTTATCAGTTGTGTGGATGCCGTTCTATTGCTAATTTCGGCGCAAATCAACCACTGGCTAATGGAGAACTGGTCGCCTTGTCAAGTTCCCGGAATCAGTGTACTAATTGAGTTTACCCATTGATCAAGTTCGTATGATGCTGTCCCCGCGTGCTCGGTGATAAGTCCGACCGAGTGCTTTCCCCCCCATTAACCGGTCTTCACCGGATTGAACCGGGTCATAATCACCACCATTACCTTTTCGCTACTTGGAGGTTGGTCCCAATGTTTTACAGAAGAGCTATGGTCTTGAATCGATTTCTAGCTAGTGTAGAAATGTGTTCTCTTTCCTGATTTCGCACGTTGACACTGGCCGCATATCACACTCCTTAGTCGAGGCTCTTTTACATGAATTAGCTGTTACAATGTAGACTTCAAATGTCACTTGATATTTCTCTCTTTTCGTACAACTCTGGATACAGATGCATAATGAAATCAAAAATCACAGCACTGGATTATAGAAGCTGCGTTCAATATGTACAGAGTGATGTCAACAAGTATACTTGAAGCTGAATGACATCTTGGGTATACCCGTGAAGTTGGAAGGAACAATGTAAGAGACGTTGTACACTCTGTTGTCCTCAACAGTAGCGCCGTAAATGACGGGCTGTTTTACCAACCCATCAGCGGTAATGTTGACATCGAGACAAGGGACATCTTCGAGGCCGTTGACAACTTTCTTCTTGTTAAGAGTCCAGCTCGGTGGGACCTGCGCGAGGGCATAGGTAAAAATGTCAGTACCGTCTTGAGTAGTATTAGGATACGAGATCTCCAGGCTTCTAGGACCTGCAACGGCCTTTATGGTAGATGCAGTAGGGTAGAGACTAAAGAATGTCATATACGGTTGTGGAGTGTGGTCTCTGTCTCCTGCCCACTGAACGATGGCCGGAACGTATTGTACTCCACGGTTGACGGTCTCGTTGACTTGTTCGGCGCCAATCATGAGAGGAGAGCTGATCCAAGTAGTTGCGATACGAACCTCTGCGTCATCGCTGAGGGCATCCGGGATACTCTTTGTGATCATACGGTCTCCTTGCCAGTCTTCACGGGATGCAAGCCATGTTGCGTTTTCCTTTGAGATGTGGTCGGCAACAACATCGACAACCAGGGCCAATGCCGCCCCTTGAGCAATATCATATAGCAGATCTGCTTCGAGTTTGTTGGGCTGAGGTCCGTTGCCGTAACCGTACAGTCCCCACCAGAAATAGTCAATAACAGCAGAGTTTGTGACCATATCACGAGTATAGGCACGGTCATACTATCGGACAAAATAATGTTAGCAAAGTAAACCGAAATTCGACGTGTCAAGGAGATCTACCGGTCCCGCCATTCGGGCAAGATAAGGGTTGTAGTGGTCCGCGATATCTTCCCAGAGATCAGTCAGCATGATGTGGGCGTTTTGAGTCATTGTAGCATTCTTTGGGCCGTATTTGATGGCGCCTGCAAGTGCCCAAATGTCCATTCCATAGTATGTAGGCGCGTTGTACTCCGACAGCACGTTCGAACCAGTGGACTTGAAGAGATCTAGAAGAATATCGCCTTGCTGGTTGGCATAATCGATGAAAGTCTATGTTTCATCTGTCAGTTTTGTTTCGTAGGTTAGGAATGATTCTTGGATGAAGGCGACAAGGCCACCTCAATACTAGTCACATACCTCGTTATTGCGGCGCTCACCGATCCATGAAACGTACCAGGCACGCATGAGACCCGGGTTGGAGTAGGCTGGGGTCAGGTTGTCGCCTTCCGGGAACGAGCCATTACGGCGCATAGAGCCAACAGCAGCGATTTCTAGGCTGTCTTCGATGCGCGACACGAGGCTGTCCCCTAGCATGTCGGAAAACTCTTCAACAATCTGGACGAGCTGCGTGCCGATAAATTCTCTCCAATTGGGATCATATGTATTCTACCAGTGTCCGATATTAATGTATGAAAATCAAGAAAGAAAAAAAAAAAAACCAATACGCAGTCTCCTTTGGAATACTTACATAAATGCTTGGAGAATATAGATCCGACTGCGGAGTTGGGTATGGCTCGTCTGGCGAGAGCTTGAATGTACCGTACCAGGCCGAATCGTAGCTCTCGGTCATCTGGCATGATAGACTACATGTTCAGGTCAGCTTTTGACGCAAGGAAAATTATTGTCAAGCTATCGGGTTATTGGAAAGAAAAGGAACTGACATGTTCTCAATGGCTGCCTTCGCATTGGAAAGGTCTTCCCCCTGATTTCGATACAGAAGACCAGCGACATACCAGGCCGTGAAGCGAGTTGACCAAGGCCCATTGTCGGAGTACCAGATGTACTTGTAAGAATCATCCCAGCGCAGGTCGTTGACATAAATCGACCAGTCAAAGAGATCCTTTGCATCTATGCGAGTAATCTATTAAATTCTGAACATTGCAACACAAGAGTTCCTTTCAGGGCTCACTTTTGGACAAATGCGTTGTGATTTGTGCAGCTGAAACCGTCGTCGCGAGAAGCAAGCTGGCCGCACAGCCTACAATGCCTTTTGATCTCATTGTCTTCGGCCCTTAGATCGATTAGTGATGATAGATCAATCAAATAAGACTCTGTCCAAGACTCGTATTATGAAAAACAAATGGGGCCACCACGCCATTTTGTAATAAATGGTTGAGGATAGCACTAACATTTTTTAGTGTGCATTTAACCGTTGATCCAGGCCTGGTGACCTCTTCTAACAGACTGTTAATCCTATCGCAGCTAGTGAACAGATTCGGTGATTAATACATCGATTTACCGGAGCTCAGCTAATTCGCCCATCTAATCGAATCAATCCGTGGATATAAAGCAATCAAGATAAGTCACTACACAAAATTGAAATAAGCTCCAATCGGAGATCCGCCTCGGATGACGGTATATATCGCTCGAAACTATACCTAGTGATAGAGTTCGTGAGACTCCATTTACAGTATCCCCGAGTCATACAACCAGCACTGTCCATGTCTATTTTGTTGCTACGAACAGTTTATAGCTCTAGGTAGGGTTCGCTTTGCATGCAGACATCAAGCCATATACACCCCCAGGCATTTAAAATTGTAGTTTTACGTACTGCGTTCTTTATAATTCAACAGGCAGCTCTAGTATCTTGTAGACTGTGGGTCCCCAGATTCACTTATTCAAATCTTTAAAAGACGCCATGTGCGGAATGTCAGGAACAACTCTGGGGTTCTGTTGTACCTGTGTCTCAGTCTCCCCCACTTCATGTGGCTTCCAAATGCAGGTTCAGGAGAAAGACAGTGTACTTTAAACTTCAGCTACCGTAAGTTTTGTGCCGTTGTGTGCCGGTAGGATGACCGTACTTGGCCGGCTGTATACATTGGCTTTTTTTAATCATCCGTAATGTCAAAGTACATCAACACAGGTTTCGCAAAGCGATAGCTACTCCAGATTCAAGTACAGTTCTCATAATCTCGTATGACTTCTTGGCAGGGCTACGCTCCGTAGAATACCCATCTCCAAAAAGCCTACGAAATCGGACTTGTTGCCGTTTCCACTACCGGTACCGTAGCGTTCGACCGGGTTGTTTCCCCGGCAAAGTTCCCGGGATTCTCTTCTCGCGTTTGATGGCAATCTTGAGCACCGTATTCGCCGGTGGAGCAAAAACGTACCGGCAAATTACGGCAATCTTTACGTAGCTCCGAAGATAAAGTTTAATCACCTCTCATTGGCGTAGCTAATCATCGCAACATTCGTCGGGTGATAAGTTCGCGATAACGGGGGAATGTGGGTGCTCCAGAACCTGAGCCGGGACCACAATGCCACGTTTTCCGGGGCTTTTATATACATACACATGTTTGTGGCACTACATCGATTTTTGAAAACTTCTAGTTTTATGTCCCCTGTCCGTGTTTTTGAGCTGCCGGGTGACCGTTCTCCTCTTCGTCATTCGTCTCACGTTCTCAAAATGGTCCCCTCCACACCGGTCACAGAGTCACCTTTGACAGTCGGTGCCTTGAAGAACAAAGGCACCACATTTTTTTGGCTTTCAAATGGAGGTATTATCAAACTCAACTTGATGCTTGCGCTTTTCCAAATATCAAGTTATGCTACCGGTTATGATGGTTCTATGATGAACGGGCTCCAGTCCCTCACTACATGGCAAACTTCTTTCAACAACCCAGGAGCGTCTGAACTCGGCCTGTAAGTAGCATATGCCAGAGAAGTGGGACATTTAATCATTGATTTCCTTCTAGTTTAAACGCGATACAGAATGTCGGTCAGCTCATTACCATGCCCGTTTGTGCATACAGCTGCGATAGGTTCGGTCGCCGTCCGGTGCTTTTTGTCGGAGCTTTTATTCTTGTGATCGGGGTCGCTCTTCAGGCTGCAGCACAGAATGTCGGCATGTTCATCGCGGCGCGAGGCATCATCGGTATGGGACTCGTCCTGAACATTACGGCAGCACCCCTTCTGCTTCTAGAATTGGCATATCCTGGCCAGCAGGGACCCCAGGTTGCCATCTACAACAGTCTTTGGAATCTAGGTGCTTTGGTAGCCGCCTGGGTGACATACGGTACGTTTCGTATCGAAAGTACCTGGGCATGGCGCATTCCATCAGTTCTGCAGGGTCTCTCCAGCGTCATCCAGATCGGACTTTGCTTCTTCGTAGAAGAGTCGCCGCGATGGCTTATTAGCAAAGAGCGTGACGAGGAGGCAAGACAACTGATTTGCAGGTATCACGCCAACGGTGACGACTCTGATCCTCTCGTCACTCTCGAGATGGAGGAGATCCGTACTGCTCTTCGTCTGGAGGCGGAGGCAAGGCGCAATACATCGTACCTGACCTTCTTCCAAAATAAGGCGAATATCAAACGATTTTTCATCATTTTGTCTGTGGGTTTCTTTTCACAATGGAGCGGAAACGGTCTCATTTCATATTACCTCACCTTGATTCTTGACTCGATCGGCTATACCGCTGAAAGCACCCAGACACTAATTAACGCACTGCTGACGTTGTGGACCTTGCTCTGGAGTGTGCTTTTTGCCACTGTGATGAACAAGTTCGGCCGTCGTACTCTGTTTCTCATTTCCACCGCGGGTTCATTGGCTGTCTACATTGTCTGGACGGGTCTCGAGGCGACCTACGAGAAGCAGACCGCACTCGAAGGTACGGGAGATGATGGTTATGCCAAGGGAGTTCTGGCCATGATATTTTTATTCAACTTTTTCTTCTCAATCGGCTGGACTCCCCTGCAGGTGACGTATTGTATCGAGATCTTACCGTTCGACTTACGTGCCCGGGGACTCGTGCTGTACAATTTGTTCGTCGCCCTTGCCAGTATCTTCAATCAGTACGTGAACCCTATCGGAGTGACAAACAGCAAGTGGAGATACTATATCACCTATGACGTATGGCTCCTGTTTGAGCTCATCGTTGTGTATTTTCTCTTTGTGGAAACGGGCAATCTCAGCTTGGAAGAAACAGCGGTAATTATGGACGGAGAGGAGTACGAGAACAAACTGATTGAAGGTGCGGCCTCCGTTGCCGAGAAGAACCTTCAGAAAGACGACGTCGCAGTGGAAAGCAAGGCGCTGCCGGGCGAATCGTAACGTTCGCATGTACATTTTGTATATAAGCAAAATTTTATCTAATTGTCATTCTGTAGCTAGATCTCCGGTGCATTATAGATGGATGCTCTGTGCTCTTGCAAGAACACAGCGTGGTTGTATGTAATTTAAGCAGCTGACATGTCTTTCCAAGATTGGGGTACATACCTAGATAGATTGATTCCAAGGTTAAGTCAATTGGTCAATTGGTATCAGGCCGAGGATTACGTACTTCCTCACAACAGATCCGACCTGGAGCTCCCTTTCAGAGTGCCAACTGCCTATTGATGTGAGCAGGATAGTAACGGCACCACAGTAGCGTGTCTCCCCCGTAAGGATTTTAAGAAATCTAAAGTTGTAAGGACAAAGAAGTTCGGGGTCAGGTGGTCCGGGGATGGATGGACTAGTTTCCGATTGGTCAGCTGGCACGTGACTCATTCCACTTGCGGTTAGTTTCAACTGCTCGAGGGTCACCAATCAGAGTGCGTATATAGTGCGGTCCTTTGTATTTTTTATTTAAATTTACGAGCGCTCCTTCTGTTTGGCCTGTTAGTGAATATGTCACGTGTTTACAGCGAATGCAAAGCGTTTGCTCCTGTCTTACATATCGTTACCACTATCGCCCCATTAAGGGGATCTCCTTTTTGGTAAAGCAGTATTTTGCTCTGAGCTCTGACATGGTCTGTCCATCACGTGGAGGGGCCTCGCGATACCTCTTTCCCTCCACCCTATGGAATACTAAGGTATGCGATGTTTTGTCCTCCAAGTGTTGACTGCCAATTGCCACTCTAGCAAGAATACATCGAACGTGGACCAGACGCATTAAGCCACAAGCGCGCCATCACGAGAAATGTTGCTCAAAGAGTCCTGCCTCTTCAGCAAATTACCTAATGGCCAATGCTTCATGGACAACCTGAAGGATTTGCCGTCGAATTGAGTTTGGACCGGCAAAGATGGCCTCTATTGGCATTTTTTTTTGTCGTGCACTATAACACGGCATGAGATCTCAGCTTCAGCAAACAGTATGATCAGGATTAATGAACCATCGAATACACCAACTTCGCCATTGTAAGCTATTCGAAAAAAGGTAGGACCCAGGCCTGAAGGACTTGAGCATTCGTCTTAGAGTGGTAGCCCCCTTGTGGTTCCCAGAGGTCTGACCGTGAGTAGAGAGTCTAGAAGCAGACCAGATTGTTCCCTCCAGAGCCGCATTGTATCGAGTCACCGATGCGCCGGGTTCTGCGCGGCAATACGTATCCATCCGTAGTGCTAGCTCGGCCTATCTGGGTCCATCAGCACTGACAGGTCTCCGCCAGATCCACTCAGCAGATTCCACATAGGATGTTTTGATCAACTGGAGGGTCAAAGCTCGCGCAGAAGTATCCAAGTCAATAGCAGTTCTTCCTTCGCCTGGATTTATCTCTCTTGTTCTATCACATACCTATGTAAAGACTGCAGACAGCACCCTTGCACAAATCAGCGTGGATCAGTTATTGACGCCACTTCAAATCCAAGCCAAGCCAGTGAGGGGAATGGAAAACTTTAAGAAGTCCAAAGAACGAAAATCATTCCTCAGCCAGGAGAGTTAGGGTTTCGGGGCCAACATGCGCTCGGGGTGCCATGTGTACGGTTAGACCTCTGGACCTGCCATCCAGACCAGGAGGCTCAGCAAAGTGCCATGGATCGCACCTGGTAATTGACCACTAGGATGTCCGTGAAGTGAAGATGTGAAAATCCCGAATCATACAAAGTTGCTATGGATCTCGAGCTCGGTGATTTGACCAGATTCCGCCTTCTGATAAAGTCTGAGCCCGGGGGTTTTGCCGACGGCAACTTACACGATATAGTCGATTCCACGATAGAGACAATCCTTTTCCTGGACCTCCATTTGTTCTTTTGGTCTTCTTTTTTTTACGCTCATTCTTCTTCTTACGCGTTTTATTTGTGACTACACAAAATCGCCTATCGCTTTCTCAAGCGTGATCGTCGCTCTTTACGTCCGTTGTATCGTCTCCAAGGTATTTCTTCCCGGGAAAGGAAAATGGATGCCACAGCTGCTGGAACAGGCTTCGTGGTCCTGATCTGGGTTCTGACAGCTATCTCGTTGCTGATTGTCGGTTTGCGCGTCGTCGCAAAAGTCAAGATTAACCATTTCGGGCTGGATGATGTGCTGATGATTATTGCCTTGGTATGTCCTTATCTTTCTGTCGACCGAGTCTTCCTCATTAATCAACGGAATCTGACCGCTGGCGCCTACTCCAGATCCTGGGCATTGTCGCAGCAGCTCTTAACACCAACGGAGTCCATTACGGCTATGGTCGTCCCGATGAAACTGTCCCCGAACCCTATGCGGTGTTAGCCCGGAAGAGCTATATCATAGGACAGGCCGTGCTAATTGCGTGTACAGCCATGGGACGCGCCGCATTCGTCGTATACCTCTTGGCTATTCTGGGAGGCCAGAAATGGCAGCGTATCATTTTGATATCCCTTGCCGTGATGGAGCTCATCTTCAACCTTGTCGCTATTGTGTTGATCTTTGGTGGCTGCAGCCCTCCAGAGTTTCTTTGGGATCATACAATCGGTGGGCATTGCTGGCCCGGAGACATTCAGGTTTATTATGGCTATTTTTCAAGCGGTATGTGGACATTGCTATTTCCTAATATTCTCTCAACTAACGTGAAGAATCCACGGTAGTATTCAATGTTTTCATCGATCTTTACCTGGCCGTGGTCCCCACATATATCTTCTGGCATCTGAAGCTCAAAGTAGCGATAAAGCTCAGTTTGATTGGACTCATGAGCTGTGGTTTAGTGTAAGTCTTGATCCATCTATCTCATCCTCGCTTTAGGATTGCTGAATCACGATCTGCAGTGCCATGGCAGCTGCACTGGTCAAAACTATCCAGTTACACGAGATCAACAATGGAACTCTAGGTGGCACAATGAATCTCATCCGTTGGGGTTATATCGAAGCACACCTAGTCATCATTACCGCCTCTGTCCCTTGTCTCCGCTCTCTAATTCTCTCTGGTTTCCATTACATGAACAGTAGTGGACAGCGATCGCGCTCATACGAATTGGGTGCAGCCTTTACTGGGACCCGGCGGGGAACTACCACAGTCACTGCACATAACAACAGTCAACATCGAAGGGCCGACTCGCGTCTCCGAACCATGCTTTCGAATCGGAGCAATGGCGACGATGGGGCGAGTGCTCATCATATACTCGAAAGTCGTACCAGCATGGACGCCGTCAAGTTCAGTGAAGGTAACAGCCAGGACTTGCGGACTAGACCATTTGGTATTTCAAAGCAGGTTGATGTGACTATTACCATGCATAATCATTCACCGGATGATGATGACGGGTTTAAACAATAATCACTGAGTATTTTAACGTGTTAGTGATTGATTAGACATTTCCATTTTAGCTTATACCTCATTAATTGATGGGTTTGTCTGTAAGAAACAATCATGACGAGTTGCGAGTTGCACTCCTTGATTTCTCATGTCACCCATCTACCATTTATCTAATCTCTGGTATTCAATACTATTCATATTCGCGAGTCATTTAATTCAGGCTTTCTCCCATGACAAAATACATACAAAGCAGTTTAATTATTTGAATGACCAACCCCCAGTTTTTTGAGAAAAGAACCCGTCAGGGTCGTATTTTGCTTTGATTTGCTGCAAATCCGAATACGTCGAAAACGTAGCCAGAGGGTTCTGATCAAAACTGGCATCATTCACGAACAGCGGCAAGTCTTTGGCGTTACCAACAGAGTCCACCATGTTGGCAAAACTGGTCTGCACAGCATCATAATCCACTTGAGACATACCAGGAGGGGTTTCAAGAATATAACTAATCCAGTACCAAGGTCCGTCGGGCATTTGCATAGCGTTTCCCCCATTCTGAGCATTGCTGGCATCCGTCAAGCTTTTAGGAACAGGTTCGTAGTCGAATGTGAGAAGCTCATAGGAACCTTTGTTAGTTTCGGCCCAATTGCGCCATGCATCGAGTGCTGTTTTATAACTATCATCGTCAATGACCCGATGAACACCAACTCGAACTGTGTTATCACCCCGAGTGAGCTCGGCGAGAAACGGTATGGGCATGTTTATAACCTCGGGATAATTTTTGATAGACATCGTATTCAACAGATAAGGGATGCTCGTGAAATTTTGGAATACATCTCCGGCATGGGGTCCATCGTATACAAGAAACACGAGAATTGCTTCGTCCAGATTGAGATTCACATCCGGCGTGAGTAGCTTCAAATAAGTGGCAACGATACTTGCTTTAGGGTCCGGATTATACTGCATGAACGACTGGATAGCATCGGCTACAGCATCGTTCTGTTCAAAGATATAGACGAGGTTGCCCGCAAAGAATTGACCAACTGGTCGGCTTTGAACGGTGTATTTGGTGACGATCCCGTATGCGTTACCACCGCCACCACGTAAACCAAAGAATAGGTCTGTATATGATTCAGGAGACGCAACCACGATTTCTCCGCTAGGCAGAACAACTTCTAATTCACGAAAATCGTCACAAGCCATCCCATATTGAGGCGACAAGTAACTCAAACCACCGCCCAAGGCAGCACCAGTGCCAACACCTGCGAGTGTAGGACCGAGAACAGTGCGACCGAGCTGAGCATAATAGTCGTAAAGCTCGCCATAAGTACTTCCGGGTTCGTATGTGGCCAGAGTTCTCGATGGATCATAACTTTTTGCGTTCAATGAACTCAGATCAATCAATACTCCATTGTCGACGGATGAGAAGAAGTTATTCGTATTATGACCTCCCGCCTTGATTGCGAAACGGCTATTAGAAACGCGAATGGCTTGAAGTACAATTGACACATCCTGGGCAGACGTCGGATATACAATGCATGACGGTTGGTAGATGCTTTGAAGGGCGTTCCAGTAATCCCCTCGGCTGGCAATATACCGCAGGTCCAACGGGTTGCTGGACACTTTTCCGGACCCCAGCGAGGAGGTCAAATTAGTACATGCGATTGCCCCTGAAGTCAGCGCACTAGCGGTGGATGTGCCAAAACAAAATTGGATACCAATTAAAAGTAATGGTGTCKTGATCATCCTGTGTCTTTTCTTCGGTAGTTCTTGATAAGTAGGATAAATGGAATATGTCCTCGAGCATTCCCAAACGAGGGGTTCACATTTACAGTAGATGTGTATTATCTGTCACATTTCTTTTTTTTCTCTGCATCTAAAATCTTCTCCTCGTTTACAGCAGACTAGTACATCTAGCGTGCCCCTATTGGCTCGATGCAAATCTTCTTCTCTTAGCGGCATGCAGAGTACCACAGAACCATCACATGGTAGATAATTGCAGATTTTTATTGATTTTCAGGACATTACTAGGTATCCAAGCCATTAAAAACTAGTTCCACGAGTTCAGAGCTGCCTGAATTGCATCCACACAAGTGCTTTCGCCGGAGTCTTCAATAAGATCTTCGTAGTCGGCCGGATAATCATACTTTTCGTGAACTTGTCAGCTAGCTTCTTAAATTGTGAATGATTTGAGCGTTCTCACATTCATATACGCTATCTGTAAGGTATTAATGTATGCTGCAATGCCGTCACTACCACACAAAGCAGTGTAGTCGGACCAATCGAATGTAGCATCACCAGCATCGTTGCATCCCTCACCACCAAACGTATTGTTACCTGCCACTTCAATTGTATAGTCAATCCAGGTTTGACGGTCATCGGATGGCCATGTGCCTCCATCAGTGCCGTTGAAGCCTCCATCAAAGATACAGTCATCGTGGATGGTCACTGCACGGCTGCCGTTGAACAAGGCCTGATGGTCGGCGGGGTATCGCAGCGCCACCTTGTACCCTGTCGAAAGAAGGGTATTGACAACATTCTTTTTGATTGCAAGATCCACTGCGGTATCAGCCGTGCCCTGAAATTGGCAATATTGACCATCCTAGTTGCAGTTAGTCGACATCTGCCTTTTGTCATTAGGGTTAAAGCGTTCGGCAATCCTACATGCCACTCCCCCCACTCTCCAAGAAAACCAGCTTGAATGACAGGTATATTTATAGTTCCTCTGATATTTTGAAATACAGTAGCGAATGTAGACACATCATTCATGAGAATGCTCTCTTCTGGCTCGGTTGCGATCGTTCCGTTCGGCCATCCATAGCGTACTCTGGGGATCACTGAAACTCCCTGGCTACCATAGTTTTGTGCCAGTGTCGTGAAATCATCGATGATATTACTGTGGTCGGCGCCATCTGGAGTAATTTGAATATAGAGAAACAAAGTGCTGGATCGATTGAATAGCTCCGAATACGCTATCTCGCCTGAATTATCTCGTCCTTCATCTATCTCCTTGTAGGTTGTGAAGCCAATCGCTGCTACAGTTCGTTGCAGCACGATGCTGAGGGCTAGGTTCTTCAAGAGTTTCATTGTGTATCTCATGTAATAAGGGGAAAGATTATCCAACCAGGCTCGTTTTTCTGAGTGTGATTGTACTAGGCCAGGCTTTTATATTTGTTGCTGTACTTAATTTTTTATCCAACTTGCCCGCAACAACTTCTCAGGTCGCTTATGTATCGCTTATGTTACAATGCAACGGTTGGACGTCTTCAGGCTCTGATTGGAAGATTGTAATGTTTTCAAACTCCAGTAGATCGAGGGATATGAATCTCACAGCGCTAAATCGTCTCGACTCTCTTATTGGCTCCGGCAGAATCAGTCGTCCCACTTTTCTTCACTAGCGTGGTCAAGTGGACGTCAGCATGGTGTGGAAATGGGAATGCATGGTTACTTGAAGATAGCGCGAGATAATTCCCAGACACAAGGTGGGAAAGACGGGCGAATGGAAAGTATATGTCGCCAAAAAATTATTTTACCGTTGACAAAAGCTTCTGAGTCCTAAGATGTTGACGTGAAGTTGTTGTCTGGTCGAGAAATGTTGGAATTACGAAGCGATTAGCCTGGCTTTTTGCGAAGCAATGCGAGTAGGAATAGCCCCGCAACTATTTACATTGACCAATTAGGGACTACTGTCCTGGCCCTGCTGGTGATCTAGATCTCAGGGGCACATTTCTCAACAGACCTCAGCTGAAATAGTATCGAGTCTGTCAACCCAGACATACCGTACCTTCACCAAACGAGGATTGGAAAATAAAGTCCATACGCAGCAAGACAGCCATGGGTATGTACAGAATAGTCTTATCGACGCTGGAATACAGTTTATGCAGACAATGGTCGATGAAATGCCAACTGGGGACTGAAGTTTGAAGTCAGCGTGGTGAGATTTAGCTAACAAGCCGACTGGGCTATTGTTGGTTCAGCTGTTGGTACAACACCTGCAAATTAAATACAGAGTTTTGTCTCCTCTTGTTGCTTCCCTGATAAATTTGACGTGGATGATATTCACAGCCATTTAACTGCCTCATGTGCTTTGTCTAACACTGACGGTCATGTCGAGCCGGTTTCCCAAGCCCAAGTTGGGCCCCGTCCTTCTGACCGGCGGCAATGGGTTTGTGGCCTACCATATAATTGCAAAAATCCTTTCCGAGGAGCCTAATTGCATCATCCACTCACTTGACGTGAACGTCGACCGTAACCGCCATCCCAATTCAAATGTTCACTACCACCAGGCCGATCTCGCCTCTGCAGCGGATGTTGAGCGTGTGATGCAGATAGCGCGACCGGTCACCATTTTCCATACCGCATCGCCCGAATTCTCCAACGCGCCAGTATCCTCCTACTACCACACCATCGTTGATGGCACCGAACACCTCCTCAAGGCCGCGATCAACGTGAGGACCGTGCGAGCTTTGATCAACACATCGACCCCCGGCGTCATCAATGACAACCACTCCGATTTGATCGACGCTACGGAAGACTTGCCAATTCTACGCTATCCGCAACAGAAGCGAATATACTGCCTTGCCAAAGCTGACGCCGAGGAAGCCATACAAGCTGCCAATCGCAACGGCGGTCATGACGATAGGGGGTTGCTCACCTGTTCAATAAGGCCTGGTCTTGTTTTTGGCGAGCACGATGCCGGCAGTTTGGGCAAGATGTTCGCTGTCGCCCGGCAAGGCCGGTCGAAGTTCCAGATCGGTAACGGTCAAAATTCGTACGACTTCGTATATGTCGGTAATCTTGCAGATGCTCATCTACTGGCCGCCCACGTTCTACTTGAGACCTGGGGCAAGCCTCGCCCCACAGATTCTACTGTCCGGGTGGACGGCGAGGTTTTCAACATTACTAATGATGATCCTTGGCTTTTCTGGGATTTTCAGCGCGCGGTTGCCTCTGAGACCGGTAATCCCGTTCTTCCCGAGCATATTATCACCATTCCAAAATGGCTGGGATTGACCATGGGATTTGTAAGTGAGTGGGTAGTATGGGCGATCTCAGGTGGCACTCGGGCCCCGAATATGACTCGTGAGGGCATTCGTTTTAGCACGCTGATCCGTACGCTGAACATCAATAAGGCTAAACAAGTGCTGGGGTATCGCCCCCAAGTGAACATGCAGGAAGGTATTCAACTAGGTGTGCGTTGGTTTAAGGAGCAGGCCAAAAAAGACACGTAAAATGTCAGCGGTAGTGCGTGGCTATAGCCCGCTTAAACCCTCCTTTGAATTTATTATTCTTGGAGTATTATGTGGTGATTTAAAGATTCTATTCTAGTTATTTGATTAAATCTATCCCATAATGTGTTGCCATGCTACAACATTCTTGTATGATGGAAAATTCCAAGTACTCTCGCGCTATAAGATACATAGATGTTAAAAAGAGCTTGACTCTACCTCACAAGACTATCATTATTGTAACGATTTATTCATTCAAGTGATCAAAATACTAGTTAATCACATTGGCCGAGTTTAGGGCGCAGTATTACATAGAACGTTGATGGGTTCATTGTGGCTATTATGCGATCTCTCAACGCATTTTCCGAGGCGACGATATCTTTGATTGGATGACCAACATCCGAGTGGGTAGCTCTACATGAACGGCAAGAACTTTCCTGGAGAATGATTGAATGTGATGATACTTAATAATTCCTGAAACAATGAATATGCACTGAACATAAACTAGAAGATTCTGGCCGTAATTTCAAGTGCAATGCAGGACCAAGAAAATCCCCGGTCCTAATACAAATGTAAGATTAACTATGAGTTACCGTCGATGGGTGTGATGATCAAGGATCTGTGTCTGCATAATATATCTTTCGTGTGTTGGAACACCGTGGCTAAAGTTTCTTGTCAGTTGTTGTAAATAGAAATTCAGAAATAGCCTTCTATTGGATGATAGTCTTAGGTCATTGAGCGTGGCTATCATTCATAAATGGTAAGAAAGAATATGTAGCATCGACCCAGAAGATAAAATTCCCGGAATCGACTCCAAGAAAGCTTACTTGTTGAGTACGGTGGCGCGAATCCTTCCTTGGGCTAGATTATCTAACACGATCATTGACTCTGATAGTAGGCGGGTAAAAAAATAGATATATGTTCATACATAAAGCCAGTCCATGTTAAGAAGAAAAATCCGTGAAATGATTAACTCGTTCGCATTATACGTAGATGCTAGTGAGTAGTAGTAGAGAATACAAATGATAATAAACTAGGTTATTATAATCAAGACTTATATGATTGTGACATTGCTTTTATCCTCAATTTGTTATGCTGTTCAACGGTTTAATGACCTTTCCTATTATTGTTAGAGCGTGCAGGTAAAGCGTGGAGAAAAAAGAAAAGCTCAGATTCTTAATCAGAACATAGCTAATCAAACTTAGTGCATACCGGTAGGCATGACTATTTCCTCTTCGGTATATTTTCAAGTCAGATGACCTTTCGAAGAATTTGTTTTTCTGACACGGCAACATACACGGATCACGCAGCCGAGGGCGTGATACATAACTCGAAGCATACATCCATTGTAGAGAGCGAAAAGAAAGTGTGATGGCGTTCCGCGTCAATGTCATGAAATGGGACTTTGATACCCTGTCCATGTCTGAGAATTGTTGCCAGCAATTGACGAATGATGTTCCATGCCTGCATTCCCGCACGGTATTTGTTCCTCCGAMCCTAGMCCCGCCGAGAAAAGCCTAGACCCAGCCCTGACCGAATCTCGGACCCAATCAATTCATCCTTCTAGTCTGCACGGCTCTAACATCTCTCCTAAATTTCTATTTCTATCTCGTCTATGATCTTACATTATCTTAGTCTCGTAATTCAATCGGTAATACAGTTCTGCCTTTTTGCTTTTTCTGAATTTTGTGGTGGTAGATAGAATGAAGGAAGGAAGGTCATATGAGCCATCTAATTTTGCACACCGGCTCATTTCAGAAATCCACAGTCCTCTTGTTCTCATCCTCATTCCCGGTTTCAGAGCGAATACCTAGAATTCAATGATCCATACTGATCACTGATCCCGAAACCTACCAGACATCCTACTGGCCTTGATAGTAATTAATATGGAACCATGACGTTGAGATCACCGCGGTTCGGCAAGCCTTGACATTTTCTTGGCACCGAAGTTTTCTATGGTCAGAACGTACTTACGGGTCTTTAGCAGTAGTGACTAGTTAGTGGTTGGTACCAGTAGTTCGTAGTACGCACTACTCACATAGTAGTAAGTCAGTACGTAGTTACCGGAGAACAGCCGGCTCGGAGTAGGCGTGCTCACCCAGTCCGGAATGCCAAGAAAATATGGTCCCGGCTATCAAACTCTGAAAAAAGCATGCGAAATCTCAACGCTTTTGTGGCGAGTTGACCCTCACCGACTATTTATTATTTCAAAGTTGTACTTTCTAAACTTCAATCTGTTTTTATATTTCTTCCTCTCCTTGCTTTCATTCTCGTTTTGCTTCCCTCCCCATATCCCCGATCGCTATGGCTTCTATCAAGCTCAATAGCGCCCATTTAGAGAAAATCTCGGCGGCAGGTAAGGCCCAGGTCCCGACATACCGCCGCGATGGCGCCGTCAAGGAGGGAATCGTCCATATTGGTGTGGGCGGCTTCCACCGAGCTCACCTGGCCTTCTACATCAACCAGTTGATGCAAAAGTATGGAATTTCTGACTACGCGATATGTGGCGTTGGGTTGCAGCCATTCGATGCCAAAATGCGCGACGCATTGAGGTCGCAAGATCATCTGTACACTGTTATTGAACGCTCGGGCAAGGGGAATTCTGCACATGTAGTTGGCAGCATCAACTCTTACCTCTTCGCGCCGGATGACCGCGAAGCTCTTGTTGCCAAGATGGCAAATCCTGACACGCATATCGTGTCACTCACTATCACTGAATCCGGCTACTACTACAATGAGAACACACATGAATTGCAGGTTGATCATCCCGATATTCAGTTCGACCTTGATCCAGCCAACAAGAAGACACCACGAACTACTTTTGGCTTTCTTTACGCTGCCCTGGAGCAACGCTACCAGCAAGGACTCAGACCTTTCACTGTTATGTCATGCGATAATATGCAAAAGAATGGCTCTATCACACGGCATATGCTTGAATCTTTTGCACATTTACAGAACCCTGAGGTTGCAAAGTGGATTTCCGAGTGCGGTGCTTTCCCTAACTCCATGGTTGATCGCATTACTCCCCAAACATCTGCGATTGATATAACAAAACTCGCGGAAGAATTCGGCATTGAGGATGCATGGCCGGTTGTTACAGAGCCTTTCATGCAATGGGTTGTTGAGGATCAGTTTTCTGATGGTCGTCCACCGTTTGAGAAAGTTGGTGTGCAGGTCGTTAGGAATGTCCATGATGTTGAGCTGTTTGAGAAGCATAAACTACGGTTGCTCAATGCTAGCCACTCAGCCATAGGCTATCCGGGTCAGTTGGCAGGTTTCAAGTATGTTCACGAAGTCATACAGAACCCGTTGTTCTACAACTTGGTATGGCAGATGATGCAGCAGGAAGTGAAACCACTCCTGCCTGATATTCCCGGTGTGAATGTTGATGAGTATTGCATTACTCTTATGGAACGTTTTTCCAACCCAACCATCATGGACCAGTTGCCTCGCATTTGCCTCAATGGTTCTGGCAAGATTCCACAATTTATCATGCCGTCAATTGCCGAAGCAATTTGGGTCACAGGCCCATTCCGCCGCCTTTGCTTCGTTACGGCTGCTTGGTTTTGCTATGTTAAAGGCGTCGAAGATAGTGGTGAAAATTTCGTGGTCGATGATCCGATGCGTGCAGAATTACAGGAAATGGCTCACCAAGGAGGCAATGACCCATCAAAGTTGCTCAGTATCAAATCCCTATTCGGTGATGACTTGCGCAATGATGAAAGGTTCATTAAGGAAGTTGCGATGGCCATGGAGGCTATCAATCGGGATGGCGTCATGAAGACACTTCCTAAGTACATTGATCAAAAATGATTTTATCTGACAGTGGTAGATAGTTATAAATAATAATAGATAGATTTTTTAATAATATAGTGCCTATATCTGCACAAAGTCAATACTAGGACTGAACTGACTTAGTTCATGGTCAGATAAGTATGAACTATACTACATAGGTATCGTGTGGCGACTTGATCGATCAATTCATTACCTGGGCACTCCTTTGATAGGCCCTAAATCCTGAGCAGTCATATGCGCGTAACATTAAATCCAATCGTTAGTTTGTTCCAGAACTTTGAATCTTCCAATATTATTTCTTCTGCTCCGTGCTGTTGAAGACATCTTATTTTCCATAGTAGATACCCCAACAACACATTGCATATTGGTCATTGAAATCTAGCTTACCGCTCAACTTTCTGGACGCTCTGTAAGTCGGCATTTTGTGGTTCAATTTGGACCTATATTGGCAGATCGTAGACTCAATATGCACTGTAACCAACATAAATTAATTAAAATTCAATCAATCTCATTACATTGGGCCGTCTCATCGTTCGACCGCTACTTCGGCAAGTCTCTGAGATATAAGATAAGCCCCACCAGCGTTGCATTACACTGGGGTATTCCTGCTGTACAATTTGATCAGATGTGGACCCTTCCTTGTTCCTATCGATGCCTGCCCTTTTTCCGACCAGAAGCCACACCATGTAACGACACCCACAAAAATGAGATAGCTTTGAATCTGTATCGACGGTTTATAGCACTTATATAAAATACATCGATCTATTTGATAAACATTATTGGCTGTAGTTGTGAGGTGAATTGACCAAGAAACGGCATTGGGCGGCCTGCCATAAGCTTATATAAATTTGCAAACCCTCCTCGACATCAAGTCTTCCAGAAAAAAAAGTTAGACGCAGCTTGTCTTGAACTCTTAGATCAATTCAAAATGCAGTGGTGGAAATCTGTTTTCGCCCTTTTGCTTACCATCTCGCCAGCTCTTGCCATCTGGCCGGCACCGATGAATATAACCACCGGAAAAAATGTTCTTTGGCTCGAGGACGATGTACTGGTCACATATAACGGATATCCGGTATGAGAAAGAGTAGATTGCTACGCTGAGCTTCTGGTGGAGCTTCTCTACTAACGATATATTTTCTTAGCTTATGAAGGAAGCCATGAGTGAGCCTTCTTCGAATGAAGAGTTTCTCTATGCTGGTGTCCAACGCACGCTAGATAATATCTTCCACAATAGCTATGTGCCGTGGAAATTTTATGACAGAAATGCTCTTGAGTCAACCGAGCCCAGCGTGGAAGCGAAAAAAACTTATATCAGACTTTTGAATATCACCTTGGCTGGCAAACAAGATATTGACGAGAGTTACGAGCTCACTATAACAAGCAATGGGAGTGCGTCCATTGAGGCTAACTCCACATTCGGTGTCCTTCATGGCCTGGAGACATTTTCGCAATTCTTTGCTAAGCATAGCAAGAGCGGTATTTATACTATACAAGCGCCTGTTCGCGTTTTCGACAAGCCTATGTATGAGCATCGCGGTGTGTTACTCGACGTTAGCAGGAGCTACTACAAGACGGATGCAATTTACAGGACTTTAGATGCTATGTCTTGGAACAAGCTAAATAGACTCCACATTCATGTCACGGATGCCCAATCGTGGCCCTTGGAAATCCCTTCTATCCCATCACTCTCAAACGAGGGAAGTTATTCTCCTGAAACAGTGTACACGACTACCGACATTGAGAACATTCAGAAGTATGGTTCTTTGCGCGGTATTGAGGTCTATTTTGAGATTGACACCCCTGGACATACCTCGAGCATTGCGTTTTCTCACCCTGAGCTGGTTGCAGCCTTTTCGGCGGCTCCATATATCCTATACTGCAACGAACCGCCGTGTGGCACTCTGAGACTGAATGATTCGGCCGTCGACATCTTTTTAGACAAGCTCATGGGAGATCTGCTACCAAGGCTATCGCCGTATTCTTCATATTTTCATACAGGCGGTGACGAAGTCAAGTACAATGCTTATACATTGGACCCGACTGTTGGTACAAATAATAGCGATGTCATCAACGAGTTGCTTCAGCGATTCTACAATAAACAGCACGCGCGTGTTAGGGCTGCCGGAATGAAGCCGATGGTATGGGAAGAAGTTCCCCTTAACTACAACGTGACCATTGGCTCTGATGTCGTGGTGCAGACGTGGTTAAGTGCTGACTCGGTGAAAGCGGTTACAAGTCTGGGTAACCGTGTTATTGACAGTGGCTATGACTACTGGGTAAACATCTTCCATCTTCACTTCGTCTTTCTGTAAGCTGAAACCACCACTGACAACTTCCTTAGTACCTTGATTGTGGCCGCGGTAACTTTCTAAACTTCAACAATGGGGAAGATTACCAGATGAACTACCCATTCCCTAGTTGGTGTGACCCGTTCAAGAACTGGATATTGGTTTACTCTCATGATCCTTCGGCTGGGCTGACGAAGAATGAATCCTCCTTGGTGCTTGGCGGGGAAGTCGCCGTATGGAGCGAGTCTATAGACGATGTCACGCTAGACTCTCTGCTATGGCCCCGCGCATCTGCTGCTGGCGAGGTTCTTTGGTCTGGTCGCATTGATCCTGCTACAGGTCAGAACCGTTCGGAAGCTGAAGCATCCATTCGGCTGTCGCAGTTTCGAGAGACGATGGTTGCCAGAGGCGTCAGAGCTTCTTTGGTGGTGATGCCTTTCTGCACACAAGGCATGAATGGAACTATTTGCGAGGTCACTACTTAGTTATATTTGCTGTACATTGAGATTAAAATCAAGTGAGCTATATCTAGTTCTGGGTGTACAATTTGTAATGGAACAATGGACGGGTACAATTATGGAATGGATACTGGCTTCTGTGAACAATTCTGGTTTCTTTAAACAATATTTTTAAGTAATATACGTAGATAGGTAGAGATTCTATCCTCTCGCTCTGGGTTTCAGTCAATCACGGTACTACGAAAAGCGCAGTGTTCGGTCTATTAAAACACAATAAAGCCACTGCTATGTTGCACGTAAATACTTCTGTCTTTGCAATCCCATCATGAAAACTCAGCACTGTGGAAATAATTTCACGATCCACACATTGTTCTATTCAATATTGAAGTCCAGCCTAGTMCCCAGATCCCGGCAGGGCCATCCACGAGGTAAGATCATCTATCGCGATTCCAGCGAAGTATGTATTGCTGCTTTCGACTTCTGCGACTGCCGCTAGAGCACTCTGCGTTTCCTCGAAGGTTTGCCCATAGAAAGACGTCTCAGCTTCATTGGCCACCTCGCCTGTCTCAGCGGCCAGCCAGACCCCTTTTCCGGTCTTCTCGCCCGCCTGTAAGGGACGAGATGCAAGGCTTTCAATTCCAGCTGACGTGTTGCGATATGTCATGAAGTTTGCCGAGTCCAGTCTATCGAGTATCCATATATCCATGGTCTGACCCGCCGTGGTGCTATTGATCAAGTAACACCAAAAGGGCAAATCTGCTGCCACTGGCATACCAAGACTCTGACCAAAGCTGGAAATTTTGTTAACAACGCCCTCCCAGCCTTCTACGTACCCAGCTTCGTCAGCAGTAAAGTTTGAATAATCCCATGGCTTGAGAGGGATACAAGAAATAAATTAGCTGATATGAATCAACGTTTTATGTTGTATAGTGTCCAGCACGGCATTGGTAGAAGAACGGAATATGGTGAGGTCTCGCACGTACCTCGACATCCATGTGAATTCCAGTGAATCTTGAAGTTATCGAAACGGAATTCTGGTACTGTTCAATCCACTGCAGCTCAGTTTCCAGGTCGCCTGCTTCGAGCACCCAGTCGGCGGCGCCGAGCAGAGCATCGACGATGATGCCACTGGCATTGAATTGTCCGATAAATTTCTCCCAGTCGGCGTTGGGAATGTTAGAATCTATCTGCGCGTAGATATGAGTAAGGCCAACGACTTGCGCAAACTCTAGAATATTAGAGACGTTTGCAGAGTTGGTAATCATGACCGTGTTCCAGAACCATGATGCCAGCGGTGCCGAAACGGGCGCGCAGTAAGCACTTGCTATCAGGGTAGCTACAGGAAGTATAATTCGATTCATATTGAGTAGCGTAACCCGGTATGAGCAGCGATGGATATTGGTTGTATTTTTTGGACCAGAAAATCTGAATGTCCGATTATAGTAGATGGGTTTTTGTATAAGATTTTATATTCATTGCAACCCCACCACCTGGTTCAAGCAAAAGTTGAAGATCCTTTACTATGTTCGCGCTACTTATGAATGCTTAAGAATTGAACACGGTTACTTCAAACAACGACTAATTTATCTACTGAATCAACTATGGTTACATCCCGGATTCAGTTAATATCGCTAACTAAATACGTACTATTCCGTAGTAAATGGACATCGAAATAAAGCTGCCTTGTTGCTGTGTGCCGAGACTCATGGCTACGTTGCCAATGCTACGTAACTACCCCATAAATAGTTACGTACTTGTTAAGACTAAACATGATACATCAATATAGTGGAGCTCTTCAACGCGCCTCTAGAAGCTAGCTCCGAAAAATCGGAAACTTGTAAGTTTAAAGCGATACACATCTATCCTGATCCAGGGCCACAACAGCATATCATAACTGAAATTTGGGCTGTTGTCTTCGGTGACTTTGGTCCACAAGTGCACCATTTAATCCATTTAATACAGAGTACCTGTGTGGATTTTACTCTGGGTGAAGTTGAGAGATTGGGAATAAAATTGGCCCCCAAGTGGGCTAATATGTACTAGTATAGACCCCCAAGATGGTCTGTCAGACGAGTTGACGATGCAACGTTGTATAGCAAAGTCCATAAAAATCCATGGATATAACTGGCAAGACTTCAAAATATAACCTTCCCAAATGCTTCCTGCAGGCCTCGAGCCGCTAACCACGCCACCAGTGCCTGCATATCTCCTCGATTAGCCCTCTGGCCGCTCCGTTCGCCCACGGAATCCGTGATCTCCTCCATTTTGGAAAACACGCGTCGCACATCCAGCGTTTCCCGGAAACGCTCACTAACTTTCTTCTGATGGCTAGGAATATCGCCCCATGACTCTGTTCTAATAAAACTCATATATGAATCGATATTCGTCGAATCTCCCTCTAGGCACAGAATTCCCGGTTTTCCTGCCAACACAAAGCCTGTAAGAGAATAGTCTGAGGCATAATTGACCAAATCATTCCGTTTCCCACGCGTCGAGAGGGAAGGAAAATAGAACCAGACTCGGACGAGCGGCTCAGTACTACGGGTAGCTACCGTTTTAGTCAATGTTTCACGTTTCTTGAGTATTTGCATGGCCTCTTCTCTGATATATTCGATTGCCACAAACACGTCGTCCGAAGGCATTGCCGCGGCGATACTCGCAACCTCCGCTTTGGACATCCACTCTGGTTGTCGCAGTGCATAACTTGATGGCCTCACACTTCCATTACTCTCGCTAAAGAAGATTGAAATGTTGAGTTGGATAGACTTCTCCTGAGCGACTGCCAAATGGACTGCCAGTGAAAGGCTCGAGGGAATGCCGGCTGGGATTTCAGTTTGTTCTTGACAACAATCGTGAAGTTTAGTGAGCCACTCTCTGGTGGACTCTGAGATTTCAAGTTCGGATGGCGAGGGGAACATAGCTATCAGAAGGTCAATCATTGACAGCTGAGACTCCACCACGTCTGCTGGGGGGACCGCCATGTCCGATACCGAAATGGCTTTGGATAGTATGTAACAACTGTCACTCTTGAGTTAGTTACCCAGTTTGATCTGTTTGTGGATGCAAACTTACTGAAGATATCACAAAATTCAACATCAGATCGTTAGTGCATCATCGCTATCCTGCCTGTGATATCCAGTTCTTTCACTTCTTGTTTATCCTTTGGGGGAAAAAAATCCGGGAATTTGTGGAGAACAATGGGACGTTGTCTGATTCCGATTGGCTCTAGCAAACCCTACGCACCGAAAATTATTCCGAAAGATCGATCTCTTCGCGTTGTATAAACGGACAGAACCTATGCGACAACCGATGGGACTACAGATTTTCATCATAAGAAATAATCTATTGATAACGATTATATTGTTGACTATCACGTGCCAACCTTGGGATCTATATGTAACCCTAACCGCTTTGTGGTCTAAATACACAAAAGTAATCAAAGTGTCGCAGGCTATGATATGAGAAATCTTGAAGGATATCTAGTTAACCATACCAGGATGAAAATAATGCTTTCTATTAGTATGTGGCCCGAGTCTCTGACGGCCAGGCATGCTCCTACTAAAGCGCCCAGGTCTCTCAGCGGTTAAATCAGAGCTTTCACAGTAGATAGATTTAACATCAATCCTCTGTGCGCTTGGTCGGTCACTAGAGCTGAAGCTTAGGCCCATGGTACTTGCTCGGAAGCACATCAGCAGCCTCAAAACCTTTTCTTTCTGGAAAACCGTCGAACGTTTGAGCGTAAGTGGCAACAGAATGGGCAACGAGCTACAGAAAACAAGCCAGTCAGCAACGGTTTTGTAATATATCATTATCTTAGCAGAAAAGGATCAATGAATACAATACCTTCGTGTTAAACTCCCATGCAGTAAGGTTGAGATTTTCCAAATTATCGCAAAGCTGGTGATAGCAAGGATCATACCAGTCACCAGCAACGCCACCAAACATCTGCTGTTCGGCCTTTGTCTTGACTCCCTCGGCCCCCGTAGCAATACCACCACCAGGAATACCATGTCTTATAAAAGCATCATAATCACTTCTACCATCAAATGGGATATATGTGAAATTMAAGCCATAAGAAGTGTAAAAGTCAGTATAGAGATCACGCAGCTCCTCAGATCCAATCGGGTTCAAGGCATTGGTAGCGTTATAGACCTGGTAGGCGAAGTTGGGTGATGCAAGCATATCGTAATCCATGAAAAGACGGATCTTCAGATTTTCTTCGGCGGAAAGAACAGAAATATAGTAGTCCGATCCGAGTAGTCCTTCCTCCTCGCCTGCCCACCAAGCGAAACGCACACAGTTGTTGACGTGATAGTGTGTAAGTTGAGTAGCGACCTCGAGGAGAGTAAGAGAACCAGATCCATCATCGTTGATACCAGGTCCTTCTGCAACGCTATCGCTGTGACCACCTAGCATGACGCAGTTGTTGGGATCACCTTCTGTGGTCTGCGCAACGATGTTGGTGGTTTCGATATTCTCCACGATCGCATCAATGTAAGCGCTGGCATCGACTGGTTGTCCGTTCTTCAATTTTTTGATATACGGCGAAGCGTCACTGCCTGAAATGGAGAATGTAGCAATGTTGTCAGAGGATGGGGTTCCAAGGGTTCCGCCCAGTGGACCCTTTTCATTATTATAAATTACTGCGGCGACGGCGCCAGCTCGTCCGGCGAGAGAGGACTTAGTGCCGAAAGGACACTCGCCCCGGCTGATGAACGCGATCTTGCCAGTTAAATCTGGGTAGTCCGACTCACTGCATCCGACGTTTGACACAAGAGTCAGTGGCCCCATGACTGGCTCCTTGTCCTTGGTGGGCGGAGTTAGACTCATCGCAATAGCTGAAGTGGGAACTTCCGTTCCCAAGACTAGGCGCGATTCAAACACATTGCCCACTACTGCAGAGAATGACTGGTTTGACAGAACGTAGTAGTCGCCCAATTCAGCAATGGTGGAATAAATATAGTCCAGGGTGGCAAGGTGTCCTATGGCCTGTGAGCTAGTCATTCGAGAAGAAAAGTTTGAATGAAAATACTTACCTTTACTCCCAATCACTCTGGTAGGATGGTTATACTCGTCTTCTCCAAGTTCGGCAATGCTGTACAGCGCCTTGGCTCTTTCAAGTAGACTGTCTGCATGAATGCGATCTTGCAGTGATTCAGAGCTGACCAGTTCTTTTGCGGTCACGGGGCTATGAGATAAGGACGATGGGTCAAAGAGGGGAAGCTGCTGTGTTGCGAAGGTATTTCGCAGCAGCAGAAGGGCCCCAAAAAGGTATCGAGGCGCCATGTTTGCAATGTTGAACGGAAAAATAAAACAGCTCAGATGAGATTTACTCTGTAGGCTTTCTTGATGAACGACTTTGAGTCGGAGGGGATGGCTGGTGCTGTGGCCAGTGAGGTTAGCGTAATTGCCTAGCGTGGTTACCTAGTTAGCGTACTCTGTTGTTAGTCATGTGGTTCAAAAAACAAATAAATATCTCCACTCTTAGGATCGACTTTCAATCGAGGCCACTGGGCAATGTATGTCAATTACGGGTCTGCTATGGCCATAGTTTAGGTCTTCTGCGTCCGGCTCAGTCTCCGAGAAAAATTTCACGTACGGAGTGATAAAGCTATCTTCTAGTAGATATAAATTTTTAATATATTATATCAAAGGTTCTTTCAGAACAGAGTTCACGGGTAAATTGCTCACACGGGTAACCGTTGATTTGTAATACTTGTTCCCACAATACATACTCAAACTATTGTTCAACTTAAGTCTTTACACTTCATAGGAGTGAAACTTATAATTATTTAAAAATACTACGAAAAAGACTTTTCTACAGATTGAACCTTTGATATACATTCTTCTCTTCCTCAGAACGACCACTCAAGCTGGATCGGAGTCCAGCTCAGAGATTTCTTTCATCCAAGCCTTAATCTCGTCATCACTCATTGATTGAACACCCAATAGGTTATTGTCTTTTTTTTAACAAGCCCGCTGGGTAAGTATAGCACGAGATTATTCCAAGATAGGGTTTTATTTATATCCACTAAAACCAATCTGTAAAGCCCTTAAAACTGCATTATGTGTCAATTAATCTCCGATCTCGTACAAAATGTCATCCTTCGAAGAGTTTGTCTATGTCAACCATGAGAGTCACTCTGGTCAATACATCCCACGAGATGTGTGCTTGGATAACGGAATAAGGGCTTATAGAACCGCCTGCTAGCAAGAAAGAGGCCAAAGGAGCGTTCCGCAAGGTACCTAGCTTCTGCACGTGCCTCTTCTTCTTCAACGACCTCTTAGCGGTAGCAGTCGACTTATCCGACGAAATGATCCTGCAGCATGAGTTTGAGCCCGAGGTCAGTCCTAAGGGGAAAAGATGCATCTTGTAGCAATGTGCAAACTACACAAGGCGCTAGAAAGACTCGCAAAGAGAAGGGAGCTCGGTCCAGAGCAGATTGGGATCGTCGTTTGAACCTCTCTGATATTCCTGCTCCGTCATCGCAGTGAAAATGGTGTCATTGGTATATCTACGGATTTCTGGTTGCTTCGTCTACACGATTCTATCATGTGACTCTCGCTTTATTGGCGGCACAGCTTGGCGGCTTATCCTAACAAGGAGGTGCAGACATACCCAACACTGCTTTTACACCGCAATGTTGCCGCAGTGTATGCGTCCAAAGGGCGTAGGTCCCCCCCCTCAGGAACGATGAATGATCAAGGGATTATTCTTGTACAATCTTATTCATGCCTTCACAATATCTTCTCTAGTATCCGCCGTAGCGAGTTCTCCTGAACATTGCTTCTACAAGCGCCCCGTAGCCGATACTCAAGTTCAAACTATCGTTTACTTAGGTCATTACGATCTCAGACTTTTGACAATTTTATATCTCAGAAGATAATAAATTAATAGAATCCCTACCTAGATCAGATTAGAGCAATCTTAGGGTTAGGTTTTTTTGCTTATGTTGAATAAAGTTTGTCCGCCTTGTTGATTAATGAGTCGAACCTGAGAAGTATGTATCCTCTGGGGTTAGGGTCACATAGATTTACTCTCTTATTCAATGGTGATGTCGATAGACCGAATTTGGAACCTGGATCTCTCAGCGTAGATGTTTTTGAAAAGATTACTGTATAAAAGATGTGCTCTATGTGACTAGTGCCCTTTGTGAGTAGAAATCGGCCTTAGCCAAGGCAATTCCTGCAGAAATCTCAATTATAAAAACTTTTCTTCGTAGATATTGTATTTTCCCCAACTGGAACTCTTTAACTTTCTGATCGCTATCACTAATCTCTATATTATGTTGTCCAACAAATTCTAGTGATACCACTATTTGCTATTTCTTTCGAAGTAACTAAAATGTTTTTCCTGACTAATTCGTGAGCTAACATGGCTTTGAGCACTTGAGATGCCTAAAAAAAGGGCTTCACATACCTTTTTATATGTGCGGAAACACTTTTACGTCTTTATACATGCATGCCCCAGTTTTGACCCGTCTCAACCTGTATATCTAGCTTTGTCTACGGATGAGCAGGATGATTGAGAGAGGAAGCAACTGCTTGGTGATAAGTATGGCCTCCCTCCCGCAACAAATATTTCTAGAAACCGGTTATCAGTCTGAAGTTATTCAGTCACATTCATCACTTTACCCCCATAGGGTTATGAAACAAGCCTTATATCAATTCAAGCAGTATATCGGATGGTGGAACCAACATCAGTTTAACTACTTGTTTGGGATGGAACCTTCTGATCTATTTATGCCCTTCATTCACCTTATATTTAGTTCTAAAAATCAACTTTCAAAGGGAGGTCATTCTACCATATTGGCCAGCTCATCCTTGTAGGCTCATTCGAGCAGGGTTATAATAATCTTTGCTTCGTGTCGGTCACGATATAGAACCAGCAATCAGTTACCCTCTTATGGTAGTATGATAAGAGCCAACAATCACTAACCCTCTTATGGTAGTATGATAGGCCTTTTTCTTGGCAAGTGAAATTTACTATATACTACATTTAATAGTAGAGTTAGGATTGGCTAGAGATAATCGAAAATAGGTCTTGAAAAGTATCTTGCATTTAATTTATATTATCGTATGTACATTACGATTTATTTTGCAGCGGGTTGATCCGATATAGCAGTGGACGGCACCACCTGTACTTAGATTGTGTGAAAGGGTGACCCGAATATATCCGCTCGTAGGATCATTTAACTACCTTTTAAAAAATTATTAATACTTAGTCGACTGATAAGAACTGAGGCGAAAGGTATAAAGTCATCTACGTTCGCTTTCAGTTTTGCCGGACAAGCAAGCAGCAATCTGAGCCACCGCACAGGATGATGGTGACAGGGCTAGCCTCCTTTTTACTTTTCGCATTCTTGTTAGGGGAAGCTTTCTCCTCTCCTCGGCCTGATCCCAAAGCAACATGGGTGCGTCAAGGTCACTCAAGGAATAGTCCGCGCACGTTGCAAAAGCGTTCATCTATGTCCTCATCTTCATGTATTGAAAGCAATTCGACTGTGATCAAACCTCCCAAGGATAATGTTTGGGAGGGTTTGACTGGTGAAGAAACAGCATCTGTGGTCAAATGGCTCTTTCAGCAAACTGACTTGAACCTGACTACCTCGGAGAAGGCCGGAGAATGGGACAATACAATGTAAGTTCGATTTTCCGCACACTGACCGTTTGCTGACATACCAGTGCGCTTGTGGAAGTGATGCGTCCTAATAAGACGGATGTCTTTTGTTTTGAGATACCTTGATCACAACGGTCCGGCACCTAGTCGCTACGCACATGTTGTGCTTGACAATCGCGCCAGCATAAACCCTCATTTCGCTGATATTTTGGTTGGGCCCCTGCCTATAACCAATCAGTCTGTTTGGGCACCTCTAGAGTTTCCTTACACCCGAAAAAGTCAGGGACAAGTACGAAATCTCAACGCCGACTATGACACTATCTACTCTGAGTGGCTATATAAGATCAGTGCATCCATTGCTGATATAACTATAGAGCTGTTCAATGGGACTGCACTAGGTTTGGATAATGATACAATTGAGATATGGGGTATTGATCCTAACTGGCAAGACGACGGGCGAATTATTCGCTGGGATACTTTCTGGAACTATCCAACAGATGAGTTCGACTCGGGAACCCTCCTGCCACTGGGACTATATTTCAAATCTGACGTGACTGGACGAGATTCCTCTTTGTGGAAGCTTGAGGGCTGGCTGTACAATGATGTTTTCTACGAGACCACTGATGCTTTCCGTGAGGCTTTTTTCTCACCGGGATTCGTGAAGCTTAGACCCAATACCGAAGGCGCGTGGGCGCGGACAGACCGACTTGGTCCTCTGTTGCCACATGATGAGCAACAGCCTCCTCAGATGGTGGCTCCATCTGGAGCACGGTACTCTGTCGACGCTGATAGCAAGTATGTTACATGGATGGATTTTTCTTTTTACATCAGTTTCTCCCGTGACACGGCTGTCTCGATTTTTGATGTTCGCTACAAAGGCCAGCGAGTCTTATACGAAATGGGCCTGCAGGAGGCACTGGCTCACTATGCCGGCAACGATCCCATTCAATCTAGCACTGCGTATCTTGACTCCTACTACGGTTTTGGGCCATATTCCTTCGAACTGGTAAAGGGCTACGACTGCCCATCTTATGCCACTTATCTCAACAGCTCATTCTATGTTACTGAGACTACACACACGCACATTGACAGTCTTTGTCTGTTTGAGTATGATGCGGACTATCCAATTCAGCGTCATAGTACGAATCAATATGTGAGCAACACGAAGAATGTGTACCTGACCCTCCGTTCTGTGTCGACGATTGGTAATTATGACTACATGATTAGGTTAGTTCCGTCCCACAGGTATTGTCAGCCCTAATACCAACTAATGATCATACCAGCTACACCTTTTATATGGACGGTACCATTGGTATTGAGGTTCGCGCATCCGGTTATATCCAATCTGCCTACTATGCACATAACGAGGAATTTGGCTATCATATTCACGACTCCCTGTCCGGCAGCATGCATGACCACGTGATTAACTTCAAGGCCGATTTCGACATCATGGGCGTCAATAACAGCATTGAAATCACCACCATTGCCCCAACCACTCGCAACTTCACCTGGTCTAACGGCAAGTCTCGAAACTCCATGTCCCTGCAACGAAAGATCCTCCAGTCCGAAGATGAAGGGCGCTTCAACTGGGATCCTAACGCAATGATGCACGTCATCAACCAGGATGCCCGCAACCCATACGGTGAGTACCGAGGCTACCGTATCTCTCCAGCATTCGGCACCGCGCACTTGGCGGTCCTCGACTCGAGCAACCTCGTTAACGCAGCACATTGGGCTGAGTACGATGTCCAAGTTACGCAGCAGCATGACTATGAGCCGCGCTCTGCACACCCGTACAATAACCAGGACGTATATGACCCACCTATCAATTTCGCGAAGTTCTTTGACGGGGAGTGCCTCAACCAGACCGACCTGGTTGTCTGGTTGAACCTGGGGATGCACCACGTCCCGCAGACAGGAGACCTACCGAATACGGTGTTCACGACCGCGCACACCGGTGTTCAGTTTTCACCGGTAAACTACCTGCTGGGCGACCCGAGTCGCCAGACAGTAAACATGGTACGGGTTAATTACGCAAATGGATCGGCGACAGCCGTAGAAACTTTTGGGCAAGCCAATGGGCTCCGTGCAGTGGCAGTTGAGGACGTTGAGGCGGAGTTGTGGCAGTATCACGGGGACATCGTGGTACGGAAATTCCCCTATGATCCAAACGATCCGTATTATGAAATGAATGAAGATGCGTAGATTTGGCACTGATGGGTGAGCATATTTAAATAAGGATGAGTACAAGTTTGCAGACCTAGGTATTGTTGTCTAGTAGGATGACTGAGAAATGAATAGCATGCAGCCTTACAATACAATACCATTTACATTAGATAATGAACTATCTATTTCACAAACATATGGGGATAGTGTTGGTTCATATGTGCGATCGAAATTCCTAGCACCGACGCAGCAAGGAGAGGTCACATATGGCTTACACGTGACCTCGTCAAAGAGGACTATTACACCGCACTGGTGCCTCCTGGAGATAGAAAAAAAGAGACACACAACCGAGCACATTTAATCAGCTTGGATTATCACCTGCAGCACGTGTACAGATGTACGTACGTTGTTTTGTTGGCTATTTAAGCCAACCCGCAAATAGAGTATTTTTCACGAAAGTATACATGTGATGAACTGTGATCAGATAGCAAAGACAGCTGTCAGGAATACTGCACTTTCATTTTAACGCATCGTCCTGGACAATTTTTTTCTCAAATGCTAGAAAATCCACTCGAAACACAAACACGTATGCTCCACACATTCTGCATCTCGCTATTTTTTACAGGCACTGGCTGTAATAAGGATTGATTGACGTGCAAGTATAAGGAGACTGGCATGTAGTGGGACCAGTCCAACCCTGTCCTCCGCATTGTCCCCAGTGAGCCGAGCCAGTTCCTCCACTTGAAGGAGGAGTGGTACTCGTGGTGCCGCCTCCCGGAGAGGTGGTAGTAGGTGAGGCAGTGCCTTTACTGACCGAAATTTGTCCAGAGCCACTTCCACTCCAGCTTTCGACGGCGATGACCTGGTAGTTGAAGGTGCCGAGTTGGAGACCGGCATTTGCCCATGCCTGGAAATGGTTCTCGATAGTGACGGTTCCGCTAGTACGGGGAGTCTGGCGGATGGAGATGTACTGGTTGAAGGTCGATGTGCCTAGGATTGAAGGCTGGTTGACCTGCTGGTGCTCCCAGATGTCATAGGTGCCACCGTCGCTTGTTACAGTGCCTAGGTGGTTGCCTACGGTCTGATAACCATCGTGTGTCTCCATGACATAGTATTCTACGAGTGGATTGGTGGTCCAGCCGTAGACGGCGAGGATTCCGACACCCGAAGCCGAGAATGACCCTGAGTAGGTGATAGGGCTGGGATAATTCTTAGCAACTGAACTGAAAAGGGATGGGTAAGGACTGAAGACTTCACAAGCTTACTTGGTGTCACCAGGCTGCCAGCCGAGGCCAACGACAAAGTCTTGCTGGGTGTTGTAGTTGATCGAGAAAGATCCAGCACCCAAATTTGGCGAGTACTGAACATTCGCACCGCTGGCGATGTAATCCTGGTTGTAGTTGACAGCTTCACTACGACGAGCCAGTGTAATATTCTCATCCCGGATATCGAAGGTGATCGGATCTGCCGTGGGGAGAGCATAAGCGCCCCCTGCCAGAAGCGCAGAGACAGCGACAAAGACAGAAGACAAACCCATTTTTACCGAGTAAAATTAGTCAATGTAAGCGAGTATAAATGTTGCTTTGAAAATTAGCTGAAATCGAATCCGAGGTCAAGGATCGGCGTCCTATTTATATTGAAGTATATAAGAGGCACTATTAACCCTAATCTCTACCGTCACGAACAGAATCATATTTAGCCCTTTCGGGGGAATCACAATTTAGCCGCCGCGGAAAAGCGGGTCAAGTCAGACATCGTGATACATTTTAGTATATATGTATAAGCTGGTGTAAGCATGATCTGCGACAGACCAAGAGTCCCTTCGTAACTTTAAAATCACATATTAGAAACATCATAATCTTAATTACCTATACAAGGCCCGAGTTAAGATGAATCATCTCCACTTGCGATCTTGCCCATTGACGGACTAGGTAATTTCGGCAGTTGATAACTCTAAAGTCGGCATGCACGAGAATTTATCCAGAACCCTTTTTTCCCGAATTAGAGGATACCGTTCGACTCGTTATGGAAGCTGACTGGCTTTCCCATACCTAGGTATTCAGGCAGAACAAAGAGCTGGCTAATAAGACCTCGACTGTATGCGTGATAACATCATTAGCGTTAGTAATGGTATGACCGGCTCCAAGTCTCTGTGCCAGCACTGCATGCGTATGACTTTACTCCGTCAGGGCGTAGTGACGAAAGGTAAATATGTAAGACGGAATGTCGGGTAGATTCATGGAACTCAGTTGGCAAGCTGCATATGCTGTGAACCTATGTAGTAATTAAGGGGAGTGTCGGTAAAAACGCCTGCTTGTAGAGCTTTAGACTGGAACTCTCAAAGGTGACTTAAAATCTGATTAGGTTTACAAGTGGAGTTTGGTTCGGAAACCTCCGTCGTCTCAATCAGTCCATGCAGAATCGATCGAACATCCTCAATTGTGGGGCAGGGGAAATCGTAAAGTGGATATATATGCTTTCAATGAAATTCGAAAACGATATAGAATACAGAGAATACCTATCTTGTGTCGAAGTCGCGGAGCCTCAAATCTTATTTAACCACAGGACATCCATCTTAAACAGTTTCATCAGTACGTATAACCATTGGAACAAAAACCGAGTTCTTAGTTATCGACATAAGTTTCATCCGTTGCAGCTATGAAACACAATGAAACGGACCCATTTTAACACCAGGCTTGCCCCATCCCACAATTTTTTATTCATCAAGACCAGACCTAGCCCGTAGAAAAAAATATCTCGAGCGATGGAGGATGATGCTAGTTCTTGAGTGGCCTGTCTTGTACACATGCATCAAATCTCAACAAGTCTCCTCGAAACATGGTCGATGTGCCATTTGCTTAGTGGCTGCACACATGGTACCATATTGATTGAGATGAACCTCTTCTTCGAACGTAATTCCTGGCGCTTATTGTCACTGGATTATCAACGAACGAGTCAATTATACGACGAATGTTATGGAAACTACGTTATGTCAAAGCATCACCAATGTACTTCTGGCACCATCGACCAATCCGGAGCGCCATATCTACCCAATACTTCTGCTCCTCAAAAAAATGGCCCTGGGATGGGTAAGTGACCAGCTCAAAAGGCAAGTCGTAGCTGCGTAGCGCGCGACGCAGTCCCCAAGCCTGCGACACAGGGCACCGGGCGTCCGCCTCGCCGTGGAGAATCAGCATCGGTGGCACAACAGGAGCGTTCTTGAGAGAAGCCCGCCGTGCGGCGTCTTTGAATGCCCACAGGGCGCTTGGAGCGCGATTGCGTGTATCGTCATAGTCCATGTTCCATGCTACGCCATCGCGCGACAGCTCGGGCTCGAAGGCACAACCGAGGTCGGAAGTTAAGGCCATGGCATCGATATCGCAGATGCTGGCGCCGGAAACGGCGGCGCGGAATCGCCAGCCGCTGGGATTCAGGTCGTTGCGCACACAGCAGAGATTTGTCAGAAACCCGCCTTGGCTCCAACCACCCACTAGAAGTCTTTCTTTATCTGCATAGCCCTGGTCTATCGCACACTGTGTGAGCGCAATCACGTCGGAGTAGTCGTACACGCCAAGCCCGCCGATGGAGTAGGACGCAAAATGCCGCCCACGCCCGCTACTTCCGCGGTAATTCGGCAGTAGAATTCCGTAACCGAGCGACAGCAAATACGGGGTAAGCATATAGTAGTACGTGTTGAAGGCGTTGGTGAGGCGCGTGTTGGGTCCCCCGTGGATAAGCACCACGGTTGCTAGTGCGTGACGGTTAGCACCGTCTGACGAGGAGGCCGGAGTCAAATAGAGGGCATCCAGCTCGACTTCGCCGTCCGCGGATGTGCATGTTAAAAAGCTACACGTCCCGAAGCGATGGCCTGCGAACTCTCGTCCGTGATTTGACATTCGTGTCATCGCGCCACTGCCGTACGAGAGTGTGGTAAAGACCTCCGTAGGGTGGTTGATGTTTGAAGTCGCAACCGCTAGAACAAACTTGCCGTCAGTTTCAATTGCGGAGTCGAATGCTTCGAGCTCCTCCTTTCTACTGTATAGCACTGTGCCGTCAAGTAGGCACACTCGAGACTCTAGCCGGTGTTGTACTTTGACGAAAATCGTACCACTTCCACGCTGGACGAGGCCGATGGAGTCATCTTCAACCCCAAATCCCACCCACTCATAGTGGTGCGATTCAGTGGCAGGACTGGTACGATAAACTCCATAGCCAGCGAACGTCTTGGGGGGAGGCACACCTCCACAAAAATATAAGCTCCCGTCCGCAGCCCATGACAGGTCAACGACCATTTTAGGAAAGTGGCACACGTCTTCCACGGAGCTAAGGTCGACGTCAATAGTTGAAACAGTCATCCCTGTGATGTGAGGCTCCTCGATATCAGGTGATAGGCAGCTTGAGAAACCAAGTCGAGTCCCATCCGGGCTCCAACAGACGCTCGTTACGTGCCTGTCCAGTTTGGCGCAGCGGACTGCCTTGGTACGCAAGTCTACGACCCTCAAGCGTGTAAATCGCCAAGCCTCGCCCCAGGGTCGCACGTCGGGAGGGCCCTCTCCTGCTGAGGGAAGGTCGATATCCTCGTCGGCTGAGAGGAACGCACCGCGGCTGCCATCTGGTGAGAAGGAGAATGCTTCAATCGGACTTGCGCTCGTCGCTGGCGTTATCGGATACGCCTCGCAGCCCTCACGTAATGGTAAGAGATATATCGCCCACTTGGAGCCGGCATCAGCACGATCTGATATAAAGGCCACCGCATTTCCGTCCGGACTCCATGCGGGCGCGTAGTCGCGAAAAAGGCCTCGGGTCAGCTGTCGTGAAGAGTCGGCACGGCCAGTTGAGGCCAGCCAGACAGTGGAAACGGGGTGCTTTCCTTTACGATGACCCCAAGAGAGTTCGGTCGAGTAAAGGACTGTTGAGCGGTCCGGGGAGAGCTGAACGGTCTTTGGAACTTGGAGGTTGCATAGGGACCGGATGAAGTGTTCGTGCGCTTGGGCCATATTGTATATGAAGCTCTAGCTATCTATGAGACGTGCGGTAAAAAATATATACCAGAAGGAATGAGGGGCACGAAGGCAGCAGTTAAAAGAATCGCCAATGCTACCAGACTAAAAGCCACTTGACAATTTGTAAGCAGATACTATGATACCCTAATGAAGTCCACGAGCGAGCCGCCACCGTTACCCGGACGCGTACGCGATATTGATTTCAAGTAAACCAACAGGTGAATATGCTCCCAAGTCACAATCAAAAGTCAAAAGGTTTGATTAAGCAAGAATGTTACGAATCAACCTGCAGGACGCTAAGTTATACTATGACCAAGAAGGAAAGGTCGTTTTGTATTACACAGCGTATGGACCATACCGATTAAAGACAAGTTGGAAGTATGTTACAAGATGGATACTGTCACATACCTGGATCTATCTTACTGAAACAGTGTTGTGTTGGCTTTGGAGCTCCCCACCTGATAAAACTAATTATCATCCCTTGACCAATGAGTACGAGGAGATCAATCGTATACAGAAAGACGATATATCTAGTGGATACTTGAAGAGTCGGGTTCAGAGAGCAGACGTGCGTTAGAAACTTGAGTTTCGTCCATACAGGTCATCCTGCCGAATTTGCTACTTTGCGGTATTCCGGAGTGAGATGCTGATTGTTTTCTAAACCTGTAGTAAGTCTATTAAGTATGAGTATTTCCCTAGCAGTCGTTACAGAATATCATTAATAACAGGCATTCTTATCTGGTCTGGGAAATGCAGGAGACCTGCGTGGAATACCCGTAGGTGACGCTTTTATGTTACATAGGTAGGCGCTTACTTAGTCCCTGCGAAATATTAAAGAAAAATAGTATATCTATCTAGTTTTTGTCAAGCTTTAAGAGTGTACAGATACTTGATACATTCTACTGATTTCTTTAGAACGGAAGAGGATAGTGTAAAAATGCTAAAGAGATTCACACTGCTCCATGGATAAATACGACCACTAAGGAAAACGTCGTCGGTCGCTATTCAATGCGACAAAAGGTCAAATCGCAACTTACTCGATCCTGCTAGTCCTATTACGGCTTKTGAGGATTTTTGCAGTTGGAAATTGTGTCTCTCGAAGACGAAGGTCCAGGGACCTTCCACTCTCCCGCAGTGACTGTAGCAGCGGGCAATCCATAATATCCCCCATTCAAAAAGAGAATGACACTTTCATCAGGCATCACCCTCAAGCCCCTTGTATAAGAGACACCAAGCCCAGTTTCAATTTCTTCCCACATGTTCGGATCACCATCGTTCTTGTTGATGAAGACCTGTGAATAAGTCGAATCACTGACAACGATTGTACCAGACGGTCCTCCGGCGGGAGTCCACACCGTGTATGGACCTGCGGAAGAGATTGTACCCGTGTTTCGAGCTTGGAGAAGATGAGAAGGGGCTGAATCGAATTCTAATGGACTATCGGCGATTGAGTAATGAACCGCATAGGGGGCGATATCTCCCTGGGGAGCCAAGCCGACCTCATGAGAAATCATCCACTTCCCATTTCCGATTTGCGCAACGGTAGCCATTCCAGGTCTTTGGGTGTAGTTCCCGTATGCCACGGCGTTGATGACTGTGCCCCAATGTGAGAGATCATAGCTGGTCTGTAGCGAGAGTTTCTGTCCGTGCAGAGGGTCACGTTGGTCTGAATAGTAGACCAGTATTTGGTTATTGTAGATGCCAATGAAAGGTTCCCATACGGGCGTTGCTCCATTGTCGGTGTTCGGCGCTCCACCCGTTGCTACAACGGATACAAACTCCCAGGTTAGGCTATTTCATGTTTTAAGTCAGCTCGAGCAAGGTTAATTATGATTTTTAACAACGGGTTTTCGGAAGTTTCACTTCACAAAGGACATACCCATGATCCTTGCTAGCATAAATCTCAATATTTGTAGACGAAAAGTCTGCTGGAATCGCATTACCCGTCGCAAGTATTGTGCCTGCCGGATATTGTCCGACCTTCTGGGGAAGCTCAAACAAGAAGGGTTGTAAGATAATTCCACCCGTGTAATTTCGATTTGTGAAATATACCCGAGAAATCTCATTCCAAGAGTGGCCGAGGTCGGTTGATTTGGCAATAGGGAGATATGGTCCATCTGGTGGACTGAACGTCCAAGAGGCCAGTAGTACGTTTTCGGTCTCACAATTCTGGTCTAGAAGAAGACTCCGGGCATAGGAAGTGCTGTGGGATGACCATGATTCTGGAGGTGCGAATACGGTAATATTATTGAAAATCCCAGAATTAGGTGGCGGCGGCGGTGGCGGATGAGGAGCGCCTAGAACAGAGGCAGTCATCCACGAAGTTAGAAGTAATTGTAATAGCATTTTGCACCCAAATTAATTGCTTAAATAAACACGTTGTTGCGCTGCAGCTATTTTGAACGGAATAGCCAGCGAACATTCTTCTTCTTTAAATGCTTCTTTCCGGCTAAATCTGTGGCTAAATAGCGTACATTTGCATACAGAAATAGGTACATATAGTTTATGTATTGTCGCCTAAGCTAAAAGGATATACCTATTTTCTAGTCCAAAATACTGGTACAAGTAACTATCATTCTTAAAGAGATGATGAGAATAAGTCGCCTCTGCTGTATTCTATAAGATAATTATCTATCATATCCTGCAATGTGCTCTCGTTCTATCCTAAGGGTTTTAGAGTCTTGATTCTTGTAGTATTTACAGTACCTCTAAGACTGGCAAGATACCTTGCTTTTCAGTCTAGAATAGTTCAGTGAAAACCTGTTTACTATTCTTTAAGGCCAATTTTACTGGATGCATCAATAAGTTAATCTGCAAACACGGGAAGGTTTTCTATCGTGTGTTTTAAGTAATTTTGGAAGTTTTACATGATTCCCTCTGATTGATAGCCTCGTTCTTTCGTATTTAGCCGTACCATTTTCCTCAAATGGGCTATGTGGGTGAACTTGAACATGATCAACAATCCAGGGATATATTTCAGGCTATTATTCACCAGATCTTACTTGGTTCAACGGATCCTTCACGGAACGAGATATGGACTCCAACCACAATGGGATTTGCTTCTATTTGGTACTTGCTATCTGGGTGAGTACATAGAATCGCGGTTCTATTTCCATGAAGGGTACTGAAGGTGTACGTACGTTCTTAACTTTAGAGCAGCTAAGTTAACCGATGACTGGTCTGCGTTAAGCGGCGGGGAACAAATCCAAATACTTGGAATCTGGGGTAACCGGGTAAATCAATTCCGGCAACTTCTGAGCCCCATGAGACTTGCAGAGGTCTAGTTCCAGGAGGGTATGTGTTCCAGGCGGTGAAGGACAGTACTCGCGGTGGCAACTTGTACCACACCAACCCCGGATTTTCCCCGCATCCTCTTTCCCGCAAACAACCATCGTCAAGAACAACGATTGTAGTGCCAAAACGTGAAAATGACTGGGCGTCGAGTAGCCACAAGCGGTAATACAAGACCAGCCCCTAGCAATGCCAATGCTTCTCGTCGGGGACGAGTCGCCTGCACATTCTGCCACGTGCGAAGAACACGATGCGATGCAGCCCCAGGAATATCGTGCTCGAACTGCAGCGCCTTAGGACAGGAGTGTATGCTGATTGACTCGAAGCGTGGCAAGTAAGTACTTAGTCTGCAATATAGATGGAATATTTGCTAAACCCGATATGTTATTGTCGTAAAGATACATTCGAAAGAACATCAGGCATTCTCCAACACAGCGCGCCTGGTCGTCGACGATTACCACCGACGGACAGGCAACCAGCCATGCATCGCAGTCGCTGACAGCAAAATTCTCAATTGACGATATTTTGCGAGTGTCGGACAGTTCATTCAGCTCATTCGCTGCCGGCGAACACATTGCCACTACTACTTCGGCAGACAGTGAGCGTAAAGTGGTTGATGGTAGCAGCAATGCTGAAATACTACCAGCACAGGGTCCCAGTGAAATCGCTGCTGAACAAAATCCAGAACAGCAGAAAGATAAAGAAGGGTCGGAAATGCTTTATTTGAGATTATGTGAATCCTACCTATCGCCACCACGACCGTCGTCGACTACTCCACCTGGTAGTCACCGGGTGGTATATATGGGGGAATCGTATACATTTAGCTACCTCGTTCAGAAAATCAATACACCAAGCAACATCTCCTCTCCCGTCCCAACCACACCATTCCAACCCCCCAAGCGCAAACACCCCCAACCAAAGCTCCAGTGGACGGTCCCCGCGAGCGTCGACGACAAGGCGCGGAACATTGGTTACGATCCGCAGCTGGACCTAGGGGAAGTAGACTTCCTCAACTCGGTCGGGGCGTTTTCGGTACCAGAGCGAAAAATCAGCGACCAATTAGTGAAAACCTTTTCAGACTACGTGTTTCCCATCTTCCCTGTCTTCGACAGCGCCGACTTCTTACGCCAGTACGACACGGGCTGCCTGTCGTTGCTCTCGCTCAACGCCGTCTATTTGCTCGCTGTAACACTCTGTTCAGATGACTTGATTGCCCAGGCTGGCTTTTCTAATCGCTTCATGGCACGGAGAACCTTCCACAGACGTGTCAAAGCGTTGTACCATTTGGACTATGAGACGGATAAGATAGCGATAATCACGAGTCTTTTTATAATCAGCTTTTGCTGGAATGGCCTTATGGACGAGAAGGATATGTGGCACTGGCTTGGGGCAGCGATTGGATTGGCCCAGGCGCAGGGTATGCATCGGTCGTGAGTACTCCAAACCAAATACGGTATTTAGTCTAATCAGATCTATAGAACACATGACACTGATTTGAGCCTCAAGGAACAGAGATTATGGAAACGGATATGGTGGTCTATATACGTATTAGTCCCCCCCATACCAAAGGTGAGTTATGTACTAAAGGTACTACTTTTTAGATGCGTGACAGACACAGTGCCGCTGCTCTAGGCCGCCCTCTGCGCATTCGAGATGAGGATTGCGATGTCGAAATGCTTCAGATAGAAGACTTCGAGGGGACCGAATCCCCCAATTCAGCAATATTCAGCACGCCACACCGGGTTCACATCCTTAGCTCGATTCACCTGGCAAAGCTCTCTGTTGTGTGTGAGTAGCATAACACCCTCGGTATTATCTACAAGCTAATCGCCCATTCCAGTCGGTCAAATCATCCTCGTCAAATTTACTGTCCAAAGATCCATCATGACCGAACTCGAAAAAGCTGAGCTGACTAAGAAATTGGAAACCTGGCAACGAGAACTGCCCCGAGAATTGACAAACCAACACTGTGCCAATCAAACAGCGGAGTCTCAATTCTGCGTAAACATTATCGATATTCTTTATAGGTACGGACCACTTCGATATTTAAATATTGAATACCACTCTCAACTTATAATATAATAGCCACCACCTTATTCTCCTCCACCGTCCCAACTGCACCGACACCAACAGCGAAGCCTTCTCCGCGAAATCTCCAGCGTTCAGCGCCGCCAGCTCAGTGACGCGCGGGATCGAGAATCTGATGATGTCTGACACACTGCGTCAGGCCCAACTTCACATGTACCTACACCCAGCAGCTCCAACCATCAATAATGTAACGTCTGTACCAACTGACTATATCTCACAGAATTCCGAGCATCTTCGCCGCCCTAGCCATCCAAGTCCTCGTTATCCGCAACACGAAACACGACATACAGAAGAGGCTTGCTGAGAACCATGCGCGGCAGTGCATGCTCAGTCTAGGTGAAATGCAGAAGTCGTGGCCAGTGTGCAGCTGGGTGCTGAAGCTGTTCGAGCAATTGCTGAGCCAGAAACATGGTCCGGAGACTACATCGAGTTCAGGTAGTCTCATTACTGGGGCAAGGAATTCTGATTCGCCTGTTCAAGAGAAGAATGGCGGGACAGGGKGTGATCCGACACTGCGGGGAACTAACGTCGAGCAGACGGGTTCTAGGCTTTATCAGAATGATGTTGATGGGGTCGCGTGTGATTTGCGAGAGGTTGGAAGGCGTCAGGATGAAGAGGACAGCAGTAATATTGATTTGATGCAGCCGTTCGCCAATAATCGGTCGTTTGCGCTGGATAACACATTTTCGGCTGGGGATTATGGGTTTGATCTCAACGACAACACTGAGTTTCTGTCATACTTGTTGGCTCAGGCTCCACCGACATGAATTTATTGTTTTCGGAGCTGACTATACAAATCTACAAAACTTGGTCTTCAAACCTAGATCTAGGTTTGTTTAAAAGTCGTGTCGTCTAGACCGAGCATGTGTATTTGCCAATTTATTTTCAATTCAAGTTGTCAATACGATATTGATTATTACCTAACTTTGTCATTTTTTAACTAAGACCAACCTGAAGCAGATATTAAATCATTGAAAAAAATTCATTTGAGCTACATGTACATTAAAAGCACCTAAATATCTATATAGCTAAATATACCATACTATAAATTCTTCAGTAACTATGTGTCCCCTAACATTCATATAACATCCAAATGTATATATGTATTTACTCTATTGAAGTTTCATCACTTTACCCAACTGGTCGAGTTCGTTCTCAAACTGAGCAATCTTGATTACTAACGCCATGCTCTCCTCCCAGCCAACACCCAGCCATTGAAAATTCTATATAACCCATAGAGCCCGACCAACATTCCAATTTCATCAGTAGCAGCCTGGTTTCGACCTCTCATATCCTATGCTTCGGTGCCGCTACTTAAGCCAGCTGTCCTTTGCTTCTCGTATCGAGCTTATTTGATGAGAATTCCTGGGTCTTTTTTTCAGATTGAAATCCTATAATTTATCTATAGTGTATAACAACTAAACGTACGACTCTCATTAAATATGGAAGAGAAGTAGTCAGCTTGACTTTCCTTTCAAAAACGGATTGATACGTTTGTACAGCCTCTTAGCCTTCTCCTGATGATTTGTTATAGGATAAGAAAGCAAGAAGCTAAAGCATATGCGCGCCATATACGCGTAATAACACGTCTATAGTAACCATTAAAGTCTTAATTATTGTTAAGCATGAGAAGAGAGCTATCAATATTAACGTTGATAATGATGTAACTTGTATATACCGTGGATGTTTTGATACTTAATGCTTCAGACAGTTGTGTAAATCCACTCTATGAACAAAGTACAATTCCTAGAGAAAATAATAGCTTCAGATCAGCACAACACCTTTTTGCAATATATCATCAAAGGCTATAGAGTCTGCTAACAGTAAGTAATGAAAGAGCACAAAGGGAGGCAGTAGCAGGCCTATACTAATACTCGAGGAGCCTAGCATCGAAGAAGCGAATCACAAGTTAAAGATAGTACAGATTTTGTTTGTGAGAATTGGGTGTAGGTGTGTAATATTTCGTTGACATGGGATGAACAATGAGGTGGGAGAGTTACCTGCCAAGCGATGGCTAACTGATTAATTGCTCATTAGGTATCTGTCGTCGGTCGCAGCCATGGGATGATCAGATCAGATGTCGGTTGTGTTGGAAGACTCAAGCATAACCGTGGTGGAACAAACCGTCAGGTTTATCAAAGCTATCGAGCCCCAGTCGTTTGCTTATGGCCATTAATGAGAATACTTAGGTAGTAACAGGTACTCAACCTCACCTGGTATGGATTAGTAACAAATCATCGTATTAATAGAGTCAAATAATGAATAGCAAGACATTTAACATCCCTTCCATATTCCATTGAAATATTTGGAGGAGGACACTTCAGGAAATGAATGTTATGACAAGTGGCTGAAGGTAGAGTAACTGCTCAAATATCAACTGAAACTACCTAGTAAGTTGACAAAACAGAAAGTGAAAATAATCAAGTTTCTCAAAGCCTAATATTCATCGAACATAATGTAGACTACTCATATATGTTTGTAAACACGTCTTCGAAAAATCGCAAATTTTCCGCCATGGCATCATCACTACTAAATAGCAAGGCATCATTAAAATCAGCGGCGGATCTGGTCGTAGGCGAAGACGAAACTGCCTGGAGCATGCGATCGCTTTGATCTCTTTCCATAGTGACATCTGTAAAGTCATTCACGTCCTTTCCGGATTCTGGTCCCGTTGTCAAAGGCACGTCGAATCCACTCATGGTGCAATCGTTTGTTGGATCGTGTTCGCTTATTGGTGATGAGCTGGCCACTTGACGTGATTGAGAAATCATATTATAGTCAAGTAATGTCCAGTGAGAACGGTACATTCCTGTATCGTGGTAAAGTTGTTGGCATTGTTCAGAAGGCGAGTTGCTGTATGTTTTGGAAATCTCGAGAATCTCTTGGAGCTTATGCAACTGTTTGGGGTCTTTAGTCTTTTGTACGTACAATATTTTTTTGAGAAATTGCAGAGAATATTCACCATCGGCCTGGAATTTTTCCAGAAATGAGAAACGCCACACAAGTAGTCCAAACTAAAGACTAGATCTCTCTGTGCTTCTTCGCGTTTCGATTGACATTCTGACAAGGAGAAAAATCCATGTATGGTGCCAGCGATTGCAATGCAGTATCCACAAAACGAGGCATGTGAAGCGAAACCCGCGCGTCGGGCCTCGCGAACCGAGTTTGTCAAGCACGCAGCGAACTGGCGACCTACCTCCAATGCCCGACTCGTAAAGCTGGGAGGAGGTGCTGTTTTTTCGTTGGAATTGAATTTAGTTTGGAGAAGAAGTGGGTGATTGAGTATACACTGGCATAGACAGAAAAGCAAGCGAGCAAACACGACAGGGCCTGCAAGCTGCGGATCTATCAACCCATTGGTGGTACTGCAATCGTTTTTCAATACTTGATTAAGCTGACGATTAAATGACAACAGAGACTCCAGATAGAGAAGATCAGACGAGATGGATGCAAAGTCGGATTGGGGATGCCAGGGTTCATCCGGAACTTCAGACTGATAATAATCCTGTAGCATATAGTGCGTACATCGTGTCAAACATTTCGCGGCAATCATGACCAGTGCACCCGAAGAAAGATTGAGCTCGGTACCTTTGCGATGCAAAGCGTCATTCAGATACGGTTGCTTGTTATACGTTTGAGAAGTTCTCCAGGTTAATTCATCGCTGGGGAGACGAAGATGGCAGGAATCATCGGCTATAGCAAGGGGTTGGTTCCTGCCGCATGAAACTAGTCGGTCAAGAAGATATAAAGACCAGAATATTCGCCGTCGTTCTTCTTGTTCTTCTAATGGCAATGTGCTGTCCGGCTCACGCATCAGACCCAACTGCTGCGCTAGCCGAATTGCGATGCCAATCCTCACCCAGGATGCACGATGTCTTTTTCGACCACCTGGGAGGAGGGATGAGCAATTCAAATGATGTTGTTAATATAATCAGTGGGTTTCATACCAGTAAAGTCAAAAATTGAGAGTAAGGTCACGGTTTGGACGGTGCTGATATCACAGTCTTCCTCCTCTGAGAAACATTTCGATTTCACCAAAGACCACGCAGCTTCTGCGTAGCGCTCCGAAATACGTTGGTGTTGGTCATCTGAAGTGCCTAAAAAACGAAAACAATTGCACAGAACAGCGAAGAGTACATGATCAGGCACACGCATCTCCATGAAATGCCGTGTAAAGCTGCTCTCATGGAAAACACAATAAGGCTGGTTGTGGCAATGAGAAAAATAAGTATTTATAGCGCATAACAACAAATCTTGAGGGGGCAATAGTGGAAAATAATCTACTCCGGCCTGGTCTGCAGACTCTCCATTTATCCATGATATGTCTTGTGGCCCACCTCTCGTATTCTCCTCGACTGCCCTTTGCTTTTCGACATTAGGGGGAGAGCTATTGCATTCATGTTGGCTGCTTGTAGATGTTGATGGGTTTCTAGAGGCATGCCAGATGGTTAGCACATCGCATTTTACTATGTAATCTAAAACATTGAAAATGAAGGTGAGTGGTACCCGTTAAGTTGTTTTTTTATTTCATCCAGTTGAGAACTAATCTTATGCAAGCTCTCAGCAATCATGTATGATTCAACCTGTGGTATACTAGGTGAGCAGCTAGTGCAGAGTGAACGAAAAGGAGCATCAATACCATCTCGGAAGAAACGGTCGGCCGTCGTTTCCTGCCGTCATTGTGCAAATAATGGCATGCGGTCTTCAATCTCTTGCAGCTGGAGCATTTTGGCCGCTCTCCAGTACACCGTGCCTTTTTCCGTCTGAGAGGGTCAATCACAGGCCTGATTCGAGATGGTTTGGGATACACACCTGCAATTCAAGCAAGCTTGGTTGATACGCCTAATGGGGTTATAGGAACGGTTCATGTCAGCTTCAGAAAGCTGATCACCATTTTGAACCATTTTTAGTGTATGGAGAGGAAGTTTTGAGGTTATTACACATCAAAGCTTCGTACTGACTTTAGGGGAAAAAAGGAGGGGGCCCCGGAGTTCTAGGTTGCGGAGTGCGGCATTCGTGGAAATGCCGCATGTTACCTCCGAATTCTCTCCACTTCTCAGCTCCAAATACTTCAAAATTGCTAAAGATTCTGTGTTTCCTAAAGGGAAAAAGTAATATAATTGTGTGAGGTATATGTACAATTCGGTGATTCGGATGAAAACTGACTTTGCAAGGGTGGACGTATTTTTCGGCACAAGTCTCCTGGTTCTCGTTAGAGCTGAAATACGGAGCAAATTACTCAAAAATACAGCTGTATTAGGATTGGAGGCCAAAAGTTGTCGATGAAAGCCAATTCCAATCTATCAAATTTCTCATATCGCCGTCTTCGAGCTGTCTCGTTGGGGTGATCTCGGTTGTGGAGAATTATTTTTGAAGACGGCGATATGTGGCCAACTCGACCCGCCTTTTATCGTCCAGAAACAAGCCTAAAAAGGGGTTTCATTTGAAATATTTAGTTCTAGGATACTAGTTATAGTAGCTAGGCTTGCAAATTCTCTAGGTAGAATACTATTGTATATATTTCATAAACGTAAAGTTGTCTATCTTCTCATATTCGTTAAATAACTGATAGTCTTTCAAAACTTCAAAAGATGCATGACATAACAGCTATATACGCCAACGGTACTGGTAAACCTGATTACCTGACCAGTGGCCTGGGGCTTAGTGTATCTCTCGACAATGTTCAGTCTCAAGGATATCTATCTGAACCAGTAGAGGAATGGGAAACTGTACGTCTTTTGAATACACTATTCAGTTTGACACGAAAGGCCAAATACTTATAATATTCTACCGTTCAAGTTTTGCAAGGAAAACCACTCAATTATACCATCCTACGAGGGGCCTCTGGAGCAGCTTAGAGCGATTTATAACAACACAAAGCGGAGAGCAGCAGATTCCAAAAAGTATCTAATTACGGATGGCCTCCGTGTTGAAGATATTGAAATACCGACTCCGAATGGAGATGGACGGACTGGGATCAAACTGCGAATTTACAAGCCAGAAACAGAGAAAAGCACTGATTCTGGTCTTCCAGTGTTGATTTAGTAGGTGGAAATCAATACCACATTCTTATATATTACGTATATCTAATTACTCTAGCTTGCACGGTGGCGGTTGGACGCTTGGAAATCTGGACGCTGATGATACCGTGTGTAGGTCCGCATGCAAGCGCTGTGATACTGTGGTTGTTAGCGTGGATTATGCGCTGTATCTCCTTCCCTATCTCATTTTCATGCAAACAAGGCTGATCCAAAAACAGGGCTCCAGAGTTCCCGTATCCTGCAGCGATACTTGATGTTTGGGAATCATTAAACTGGGTTAGTACTAGAACTATATTGATACCGGGTGTTTTCTTACCATGGTTCCGAAGGTCCTGAATCATTCAAGCGAGCTTCAAATATCCCGCTCATGTATTATTCTCGGAGGTAGCAGCGCCGGTGCCAATTTGGTAAGAACTAATATACACGTATCCAACCTTTGTAGGCGCAGTGATTAACATGGCGCCTCTCCTTCCAGGCCGCCGTTGTCACTAGAAAGGCCATTGCCGGCGGTATTCCGATCTCTGGCACCCTACTCCAAATACCAGTTGTTTGTCATCGCAACTGTTACCCATCGGAGGAATACGAACTGGAGAGCATGCGCCAAAACGAAGATGCGCCGCTGCTATCAAGAGCAGCGCTAGATCAGTTCTGGGCGTATTATAATCCCCCCAACATCACTGATCTTCAGGTATCACCGCTACTGGCCAAAGACTTCACTGGGTTTCCACGGACTTTTATCCAGATCTGCGGCTTGGATCCGCTGCGAGATGAAGGGCTGGCGTATGCGAGGAAGCTTTGGAATTTCGATGTGCCTTGCTCAGTCGTGGTGTATCCAGGGCTGCCCCATGGCTTCAATGCTTTTACCGAGTTGTCTGCTGCGAGAGTATACCACGAAGATATGTTGAAAGGGCTGGATGGCTTGATTAGTGGAGAGATTGCAGGTGGGATTAGAAATTATCATGGCAAATGAAGCGACTAGCATATTAGATTCTCAATGTCAGGCAAGTCTTAAACATTTGAACACTTAGTGGAATACGCCAAAAATTCTAATTGAAAGAAGAGGAATTCCTTGCCAACCAATAGATTACACGCATTGCTTCTTGAATAACTTCAGCAATATAAAGCAATATAAATCGAATGCAGTAATCAATCACAAGCGATAGGCGGTAGGCGTGACATGTTGAAAATGATAAAATCTTTTTTTTCTCAGGTAAGTTAGAAGACCCGGGCACATGAAATGCTAAGCAGCTGCTTATTCCCCCCAAAAAATTAGAGCACATCGACTAACCCGCAAATAACGCAGTATCCGGCGCTTAGACCGATAGACTTTCTCCAGCAACATTCCCGTTTCTGACTCCATCGCCCTTATCTACATTCTCAGTCTCCACCAGATCCACCTTCCCTCTACTCTCATTTAGATGTATAATGACATGATCCCCGAACTTTCCACTGATTTCTTCAAGTGTGATGCCTTTAGTCTGTGTTTCCAGAAAAAAAATTAGTGTTGCCATAAAACCAAGGATAGCAGAAAGGTAAAAGGATGAATACGAAAAACGTACTTCAGGGAGATACAAGTACATAATCGGAATATTAATGGCTGTCAGGACGATGAAGACAAGGTAATATTTCCACCCAATTGTCGCAAAAGCCGTCGGAGCGGCTTCCAGGAATGGCGTCGATGTCACGAACAAAGTCACCATGGATAATGCCATTCCGCGTGGACGAATGTGGGTGGGAAATATCTCAGCGCAGTAGACGTACGTGTTCGCATCGATACAGCCACCGTACCTGTGTAATATTAGCAAAATCTCATACATATATGTGGTGTCGGTGGACGTACCAGACAATGAAGAAAAATATGAAAAATGTGGCCGCCTTCAGACCTCCTTGATTTGATGAAGCGATATACTCGGCAAGCAGGGCGGACTCTACACAAAGGCATACCAAGCACCCGGTAAGACCGATAACTATCTATCGTCAGGAGTTTTGTGGTTTGTTAATGTACTGATAGATACCAATGGTACATACCAAACAGAGTGACTCGGCCTATTCGATCGATGAAAAGCGCACATAAATAATTCAAGAAAACCGAGACAGAGCAGTAAACGGCTGCTAGAATGAGTGGGATGACGCCGGTCTGTCCAAGGCCTTTGTATATGATGACACTGTAGTCTGAATGTTTGTTAGTTTCCCAATCGTAGAATAAAGAACGTCTGAAGCTTACTGGCAATTACAAGATTCCCTGATGCCTGACCGGCATACATGACAAGAAATGCACAGATACATCGCTTGCGGTAGCTTGGCTTACGGAACAAATCCAACAAACTCTCGTTCTCCGCAGCAGCAATGTCAGCCCTGATTTGCTGTAGCATCTGCTCGAACTCGGCTCGAGCGAGTCCTTCAGCTGATTCATGATGCAATTTGGAGATAACTTCCCAGGCAGCCTGTGTATTCCCATTGGCAAGTACTTTGAAGTTCCATGTTAGTCTCGAAATGCTCAAAACAGTAGATTGCACTTACGCCAGCGGGGAGACTCTGGAACAATTGGCAGCGTGGCTAGAAGAAGTAACGGCCAAAGAATCTGTACAGCGAGCGGGAAGCGCCATTGTAACGCCACGTTCGTCGAAAAGTAGCAGGCCACGCCAATCCATGCTGCCAAGCTATAAGCGACCACGATGAGAACGCCGTTCAATGAGACCAGCATTCCTCTGTTCTCTGGCGGCGCGATTTCAGATTGGAAAACAGGTACAATAGTGATTAACATGCCTGATTAACAACTTAGCCATGAAGTTTAAAGGAGAGAGAATGGATATACCAGCTCCAAATCCAGATACAAAACGTCCTACAAGGAACATTCCAACATGAACAGACCCTGTCTGTAAGGCACCACCAATCAACGTAACGATGGTTGTTATGCTCAGAGTTCTCTTCCGCCCATGTACCTCGCTCATCCAAGCAGAGAATATAGCGCCGAAGACGCCACCAGCAGAGAAGATGCCATTTATGGCACCGATAATCCGGTTTGTATAGCCATATTTCTCGGTCTCCGTTATGTCCGTAGTGAGGTTGAAATAAGTATAGAATCCAGGCTGTCCAAGTGTATTAGTGATGACGGCTAAAATGTATCCGTAGGTCAGACTGCCTAAGCAGAGGGCTAGTACGATCTGTGAAAGATTTAATTAAATAGTCTTCATGAGTTGGTCGGAGAGAACGTACAGATAGATTGAACCCAGATACTTGGCCCATCTTGGTCAGTAATGTAGGTTAATTTTCTAAGCGTTTTTGATGACTTTTGGAATCCCGTAAAAAAAGGTCAACTGAAAGATGAAATCCGAGACCATCATCCCTTACTTTGTATTTAGCTTAGGATTCAAACTTTGACTGTGAAAGTGTATGTAGTGCTGTTGTATCATTTCAAATTCAATAATAGCTTCAGCGAATCGGTAATGCCAGGCAATTTCTTAGGGGTCATGGACATTCCCCGTGGGGTAATAGGTCGGCGTCTCTTAATTACTTTTGATTCGTTCATCCTAATCATTATCTCGGTCAGATGCGGGGAAGAAAGTCTATATTTCAACACACTCATTGGGATTAGTCAGTTTTTTCCATGCTGTGACAAATAACTCGAAGAGCCTAAGCAGGCGTTCGATGTCATGAACGTCATACATATGTACTGTTCATCATCTGTGTGGACACTGAGAGAGTATGGTAAGTGTGGACAATATATAGGATAAGAACTAAAGAATTTAAACAGTCTACATCAGTGGATTGCAATTTAACTAGGAAGCAGGCTATAGTATGTTTGATAAAGTTATATTCTCAGTATAGTGAATGGCTATATGATATGGCATGAGACTGATTAATTTCAACCTTCTACCTTCCTGAGAATTTCCATGACCTGCTCAGGTCGTGTTAAAGAAATCGGATTTGTTCGACACCAAGGATCTTCTAAGCTTCTTTGAGCCAAGGTCTCGAGTTGTTGCTCACCAGAAACGCCCACATCCTTTAATGTCCGAGGTACACCCAACTGCCCAAATAACTCATGAAGCGTGTCTCCCAAATCGCTTTGAGAATGAATAAGACCGCACCGTTCTAGAACATCGTGTATATATGGGTCTCCCCACAATGTATCCAAAGCACGTTTCTGGCGGTGTGCGTTGGCGGAGGCGTTGTATTTCATCACTGCGGGACTGAGAATGCAGGATGTATGACCTGAAGGGTAGATTTTCCGTTATAAATATAATTGCATTTTCCAGAGAATGAATACTCACCATGAGCAACATTCATAGTCCCAAGTTGATGGCCAATAGCATGCGAGGCACCCAGATGTATGCCCCGAGATAGACCTAATTTGCTCGAAATAAGCGATCGATAAAATAAAAGGATAATTTGACGACTTATACCATCCATAGCATAATTCGAGCCAATTTGAGTCTCGAGCCGACTCTCAACGTCTTGTGGATTCAGTCGAAGCTTGAGCAACCCGCGTGCGACCATCACAAGACCCCTTTTAGCCGACTCTTCTGTCTGCGTTTCATGCTGGCGAAGGCTGCTCAGAAGTTCCACACAATGGTCAATTGACCGTACCCCCGAACTCATCCAAACCCACTCAGGTACTGTTTTGGTTAACTCGGGGTCAAGAATTACTACATCACAAATCAGGCTTTGGTGGATGAAAAGTTTCTTGACACCGTCTCGGGGGTCGACGGCACCAGCATACGGAGAGTATTCACCGGCTGATAGCGTCGTCGGAATACTGATCTTAGTTAATGCTGCGGGTTTTATATCAGGACAGTCGGTGTAGTTTGCGAAGTCATTCTCAGTTTCCATAGTGTATGCTGTAGCCTTGCTGAGACCCTCGAGACTATCAAAGTCATGGACGCCGTTAGAGATACTCAAAGCGACTAATTTGACAGCATCTATTATTGATCCGCCTCCTGATTAAACACATCAATTAAAACTCCAAAAGTTTAGAAAATCGCAAGAAAAAAAAAAGCAAGAGGGAGATGAGAGACGCACCCAAGGTAACAACAGCATCCGCATCGGCTCSTTGACTACAGATAAGTCGGCCGTTGAAATTACATTTCGGCAATGGAAACAAAGACATACATGTCATCACTAAGTTTCAAAACATCTTCGAATGGTGGATGACTCGGGAACCCAATTTTGATCCCTACCAACCTCGTTCCCAAGCACTCCTTTAATCTATTCAATTCATTGGTACTTTCCGCGAGTGATTTCGACACCACGACAAAGACGCGCTCCTTTCTCATGCGGGTGAGATTGGTATGGAGCAGCTCTGTAAAAGCGCATCCATACGATAGGAGGCCTTTTGCGGGTCGCCATGGAAACATGGGACGAGTCACCTCGTTTAGAAGAAGATGGTCGTTCGACTGCATACCGATTGTTGGCGAAGTTGTTCTGACGTGAACACTTGTGGCCGTGTATGCCGTAGATGAAGCTGTTAGATTTAATGTTGTTGCAAGTCGTCTCTCTCCATTCCTGTGAAGTTAGTTGCCATGCGTTAGCTTGTGGTAGTTTAGGATACAAGACGCCGTCTCCAGCGCCGTCATTTCTTGTTTTAAAGAAATAATTCGAGTTTTGAATGCACGTAAATTGATCTTGTCACAGATCACATTATCTCCCCGAAAAAGGAAATAAGACGCCTTCTCGGTATTTCCGCTTTCCCCGCACAATTAGTTAGTAATGCCCCATTACAAAGTATCAATTATTAGGAAAGTCAACTATAGCTCATCAAAAGCCTGACTCATGTCTCCTTTTTGAGTCGAGTTTCTCCATTTTCATTTACAGGCGATGGTGATTTTAAAGGCTCGTGATATTATAAAGTGTGGACAGAATAAACTAGAGTAACACAAGATTCTTAGGGGTAAAGTGAATATCTTCCTGTGTAAGCTTTCTGTATTCCTATTACTCACTGGTATTTCATAACTTATCTATCCCCTGCAAATATATACCAACTCGTTTAGCTATCGTCAATCATGGATACAGAGAAAAAAGGTGACATTTCCCCACCTTCTGTCGCCTATCTAAATTCTTTGCCCGACAAATACGGATGGCAAAGGGAAAATGAACATGGATACCGCATCAAGGAACAGCTTTACGGAACACAGCGTCCGTTGCGGGTCATTTACGTTGGAGCTGGGGCATCGGGCATCTGCTTCAGCAAGTTCATGCAAGATCGAATGAAAGATGTGTCTTTGGTATGCTACGATAAAAACGAGGATATTGGAGGAACATGGCTTGAGAACAGGTATCCGATCCTCTAACCCTCATCTTTTTTACAACTCTAGTTTACTAAGGCCGATGGCGTAGATATCCTGGATGTGCATGTGACATTCCATCCGTCAATTATCAGGTATTAATTCATGGAGTGGATTCTGCTCGACTGAAAGGAATTCTCCCGCAATCATCCATGAAGCTGACCTAAATATTTAGTTTACCTGGGCGCGAAAGCCTGACTGGTCCCATTTCTACTCGTATTCGGAAGAAATCTGGCAGTATTTCAAGGACGTCGTGGATAGATTCGATCTTACGAAGTTTTTCAGGCTCCGGCATCAGGTTGTTGGGGCATACTGGGACGATGAAAAAGGTGTATGGGACGTCCACGTGAAAGATCTGACTAATGGGAAGACTTTCGTTGATAGTGCGGAAATCTTCATTAACGGAGGCGGTATTCTGAAGTAAGCCCAGTATCCCTGTTTCCTACCTACGTAGTATTATATGTTAATTATCTTTTCGCCCATCAAAGTGCTTGGAAATGGCCAAATATTCAGGGTTTATCTGACTTCAAGGGCAAACTATGTCATACCGCAAATTACGATACAAAGATTCAGCTGCATGGAAAACGTGTTGCTGTGATTGGAATCGGATCTAGCGGTATCCAGGTCATTGCCAATATTGCGAACAAGGTCTCTCAATTATACACCTGGGTGAGATCGCCTACATGGATTACAGCCGGCTTTGCGCAGAAGTATGCTGGCCCTAATGGTGCGAATTTCGAATATACTCCCGAACAAAAGCAAGATTTTGCGGAAAGATATCTAGAGTACCAAGATTACTGCAAAGCTATCGAGAATGAGCTTAATCAGCGATTCAAATTTATTCTGAATGGAACACCGGAAGCCGCTGAGTCGAAACAGGTAAGCTAGCTCTATTTCGATATGAATTTCTGGGACGTATTTGGATATGCTAATAATTTCACTTTTATAAAATCTAGTTTGCGATCGATCAAATGAAAGAGAAGTTACATGGCAAACTCGAGCTGGCTGAAAAGATAATTCCGACTACATTCCCAGTAGGATGCAGACGACCGACAGTAAGTAACCACTTCTCAAAGCATGCTTTATTATCAGGGGATCATTTTTAGTAATTGACGAGTGATATAGCCCGGTAATGGGTTTTTAGAAGCTTTGACACTGCCTCATGTTCACACATTCACCGGAGAAGTGCAGAAAATAACTCCCAAGGGATTCGTTGATCACTTTGGGGTAGAACATGAGGTGGACGTTATTATCTGCGCTACTGGGTGAGTGAGACCTAACGACTTTCAAGCAAAAAACTAATTATATCATAGATTCGATACATCGTGGAGTCCTAGATTCCCGGTAGTAGCCAATGGTAAGAATGTTCAGGACCTATATGCCGAGAAGCCGATTTCATATCTTGCAATCGGAGTGCCAGAAAGTAAGCCATCTCTTCATGAAAATATCCTGAATAGTACAACAAAAAGTGACAATACTCCTAGTTCCAAATTACTGGACAATGGGAGGCGCTTATGGTCCCGTTGGACACGGTTCCTTTCTCCCTATCATCGAGCTACTATCCACACACATACTATCAATCATTAAGAAGATGCAAACAGAAAACATTCGATCACTGGCACCCCGTCGTGAAAGAGCAGAGGCTTTTGTAGAGCACGCTGACCTCTTCCTAAAGCGAACAGCCTGGAGCTCCGGTTGTTCTAGTTGGTTTAAACGGGGTAGGAATGATGGGCCATTGACTATGTTCCCTGGATCTCGGTTGGTATTTTTTAAGTTGCTCGCAGAGCCGAGGTATGAGGACTATGATATACGATATGTTAGTTGCAACCCGTTCGAGTTTCTCGGTACTGGTTTTACAATAGGCGAGTTTGATGGTAGTGACCTCTCCTATTACCTTGGGACGAAAGAGAACCCAGGTGCTTTGCTACCGCTGTGAGGTCACTGATGAACACTTCATATGTGATGTCGTTTTGCAATATACTAGTAGATTGGAATTTCAAACGTCTGAATGGCTTTAAAAAGGAACGAACCGAAACTGTAAAACAATTGTGAGATTTATCAGAATAGCAGTCACCAGGTTTATGGTTGAGAAACCGTAGAAACTGTGTGTTGAACCAAAGAGCCGCGATATAGAAATGTTCCTTGCGTTCCTTTATGGAAGTCAATAAGAGGATTACCGACAAATTTCGTATTTTATGTTCTGTACATTTGGAAATACAAGTTTTTAATATTACTATAATATTACTCTAACATTGAATTTTATAGAAAAAAGTTATATAGCGTTGTGAAAATAATCAATATACTGTACACCGAGCCCCGGCCCCTAGGTCTCCCTCGAAGGCATGCTATCAGCTAGATGCTACAAAAATACATAAGTTATTGCCCTAACACATTAATTTTTAAAATGTGGAAATCTTAATATATTTTTCTTTCTTTTTTATCTTATAGATATGAGGCCCTAACTCCTTGACTCGGCGAACAACCTCGATCCGCTGGGGCCGAAGATTTGCTTGCGGGTCCGCATATAATCACTGACATATTTCTAGAATTTAACATTAGACCCCATCGTTTACCCCATTTATGTCATTCATATTATTCCTTTTCAAACAAAAACGAAGAAACAATGAGCGGTCCTCGACGATTCCACCAGAAACGTGGACAGTGATATATTAGCATACCTTCAAACGAATCGAACAGTCATGGCTAGCCCCAACACCCTCCACCTAGAAATGAAGAAATCACAATATCCGSGAGCCAAGGCTGCCTGTCTAATATGTCACAAACGCCATGTTCGCTACTTCGTCTCTAGCGATGGTGAACCCTGCAGCAACTGCTATCTTGAAAGCTCTCCGTGCATATTCCAGTCGCCAGGAAGGAAGATAATTGGTGAGGCACAGCTACCAGAATTTGGAAAATATTATCTTATTAAAAACAAAATGAACGCGCAGTGTGTGAGTATAGCAGGCGTCGAATGTTGGTGCCTTTTTATATCTAGGCTTAGATAGGCTAATTGGGACTCTGCAGATGGCGGAAATGCCACGATATGAGTTTTGTGATAGCGTACTGGATATACAGTCTCAGGCAGGTGAATTGTTGTCGCCTGCGTCGTCTTGTTCGACTGTGACTACCAAAAGTCGAAGCCAGACGATTTCAGCATGGTATTCGCAACCGTCTTCGGGGCTCGTTGGCCAAAAGAATGCTCCTAGATGGTTCCAACTAGCCGATCTGATGGATGAGAATGAGGAAGGGGGCAGAGAAAGTCAGACCTACATCCTTGAGAGTCTAATTATGGATATATGGCTGTTTGGTGAATGATGGCTCATTTTTGCGTTTTTTTCAAGGCGTTGGGTTGGTGGTGGGTGTATTACTTATATAGCAGTTCCGCGATGATATTATATTATATTCGTTACACTAGTCAACTTGCAACCGAACTTGTTAGAGAAAACTGCATCGCCATCGCTATATTGCCGACGGAAAATCCGCAACCCAAAATTCACGAACAATTCTATATACGACACAGTAAGATCGGCGTCAATGTCGTCCTCAAACAATTTGAACCACGAATCATGTATACCGTCCATATTATTATCAGTAGCAACATCAGCGACTTCACAGCAAATCACGGGCCTTGTGCGGCGTGCAGCGTCATATATCGTACACCTTGTATCGGACATCGGACACCACATGGGCCAGATTGAGAAAGATAAACCGAACGGCAGTAAACGAAGAGTGGCTACTAACAGCTTGTTTCCGCTATGATGATGAAGATGATCATGATGTGATTATGCTCTAGCCATGTCTGTACGCCGATTGGACAAAAGACCCAGAAATGCTTGTCTCGTTTGTCGAAAGCACAGGCGAAAATTCGATGGAGAGAAGCCCTGCAGGACCTGTCAGCGCTTTCACGACGAATACACCTATATTCCTCGGTGCCGGCCAAATAGCCCGCGTGCTCCATCTAAGCAGGCGCCTGGGAGAATAGCCGGAAATGGCAGCAATGGCTGCATAGAAAATTCGGCCTCCAACCGCGACCAGCTTCAAAAACTTGAGGCAAACAACCCAGCGGTGTCCCAAGCTGCTGGGCCGTCATTTGGATGCTCCTGCGGCTTCCTCACCACGCTTGTATTGCCATGCCTCGATTTTGGGGTTGGGGTGCGACACTTAACGATGTCATAGTTTGGCTATTGCATGTTATGTACTTACGCATGACCAATTTGCCACATGCCACGTGGATGGCCTGCTTCACCTTGATGCATATGGTTGAAGCCAAATTACACATTGATTTGCCTAGGGATTGTATCTTGGCAGAGATCCTGGAAGATTGCAGCCTCGATCAACATCGCCGTATCTACTACGTCTCACAGCTTCGAAACATATGGGGCAAAACGAGTGTTGGTCTACGGGGAGCTTCTTTAGCTCTGCTGATTTTGGTGTGGTCTCCTGATCAAACTGCACTTTGGCGTATGTCTAAGTTTCTTAACCCTAATAAACCCCGCGACGAAAGTGAGCTCAAGAAAGAATTAAATGAATTTTATGCAATTGAGTGCTCCCACTCGATGTTAGAGTTACTACGAGGTAATATCAGCCTCTACATCTTTCGTCGTATCCGCAATATACGCTGCGACTTGAACGATACTTCAAGTGGTCCAGATTCTTTCCCACGCGGACCGAAGTCTTCAGGCAGCGACAGCATTGATTGACCGAAGGTTACCGTGGTGGCATATCTCCAACATTCCCTTCCAGTTATTTTGTGTGTTTCTCGTAATCGATACCTGAGCCTCTCTGTTGCGACTTGAAAAGCCCTGGAGGTCCTTGAACGTGTTGCCAATACGTATAGGACCAAGACGACACAAAATCCTACGAATTAGCGTGCAAATTGATGGGCACGATTTGTGTCCAACGACTTGAAGACCGAGCAAATGCTAGCAGTCTAAGTCCTACACAGTTACCCAACCTACCTTGGCCAGCAAAGCCAAGTTACTCGAATTGCTTTGGTTTTGAGAGAAGCCAGATCTTCTTACCTCGATCTTAGATTTACTTTTTCGTGTTACTTTGTATCTTGCTCATGATCAAGGTCGGAATAACCGATCTCATACGTCCTGTGTACAATGAATAGATAGTAGTAAAGCCACTCGATGAACCCTACGCTTCTATAGGGTACTTGGTAGCTGCTCTTTATACTCATTAGGCTTGTTTGGGAAATATCAAAATACGTCTGACAATAAAAACGTGTGACAAAGATATGGATGGCGGCCTGCATAGCGGATCCTCGGTCCCCGGTCCGGTTTTTCCATTAACAAGATCTCTTACCGAATGCCTCAGATACTTTGACCCTATTGCTCTCAATACGGCCGCAATGGTGAAATTTATCTAAATTATATACTAACTACTAATAAAAATTAAGGAGAGATGATTCTCCCAAGGCGTGTGCCAGCCAGAGAATATATTTACCTTTCATTTTCAGCAGCTCACCCCACAATCCGTGTCTCCGCGTTGTATGTGTGTTGTCAGCGCACAAACTATAGACATCAAGTACTGCATAGGGTAATTAAAAATCAAAAACCATTTGCTTTCCATATACACCCCAACACTCACAATAAACAAATCCCGCAATTTTGTGAATGAAAGCATCGGCAAACCTCTCGCGAGAAAAGATATCAATTGCCATATTTCTCGAAAAATCCAACGATGGAACGAAATGAATTGAGTCAAAATCGTTCGAGGTGAGACTGGGCACATCGATATCGTTTGATTCAATATTAATACAACGCGGGCGATCCACGCGTGAAAGACGATCTTGTAGAAAACAGGTCCACCACAGTCGTTTTCGTAATCCAATCTCGGTATGGGACAGAAAATGGAAGTGATGGCGCCAGTCTTGGTGCAGGCGAGCGCGGTATGCCATGCTTATGGCATTTGAAAGCCAATACTGACTATCCTTTTCGGAGGCGGGCTCAATAGTGTTACAGAAGCTCATCAACAACATGGTTTGTGTATTTGCTATGACGTCATTCTCGTATCCTACTTGATGCAAAGCCTTTATTAGAGAGAGAGATGGTCTATTAGCTTTCAGCCCCAAATAAATGAGCGAGGGATGAATGGGGTCATGTCCATGTACTATCTGTGTAAGACATGAATAAAAAATCACATACTTTAGCCTTTTGAAAAAAATTTTCAATCATCGACTGACGAGATGAGAAGCCTAAAGCCTCTATCTTTTCTACCATGACAGCCGTTGATGCCGCTGCCATCATGGCTTGCCCTAAAAACAAACTGAAACTCTCCCCATGCCCGTCTTTGGATAAGAAGATATCGATGATCTGCTGAATCCTTAAAACGGGCATATTGGGATGGACAGCAGTCATGTATGCTTCGAAAAGAACCTGACGTAACTCATCTCCGGGCCATGTGAAAGCGCCTTTGCAATATAGATATTGGAAATCTGTTTCGGAGAGAGCGACAATAGTGCTTATGTTGTCGGCCTCATTAAAGTGCTCTCTTTGTTTCCTTTTTGATTGGGATAATTCGCCATCTTGGTTTGAACAGTCAAAGTCCTGGTAGTAACTTTCTCTATGTGGGATCCTCGTATTAGTTGATTTCCGCTTTTGTGGCTTTTTTGCATAGAGGACTGGGTGTCTTTTGAGATTCTTGTTTAAGACGCACTCGACATTGTCTAAAACGCAGTTGGTGCAGCCCCCATTCTTGAGAGAGCGGTCGCATCGCACCTTTCGTTTATTGCAACGTGCGCAGGCACCGATGGCACGAGCTGACTTCTGCTTCTGGCGATTTTTTTCCTGGATACACCCTAGCTGGCTAATTTCTCCTTCGCTCATTTTATCTTTCGAGCCCCTTCCCACCTTATTTTTCTTCCTCCTGATTTTTCTGCTTTCGAAAGTCGCAGACGGTTCGGACTGGAATCGATTTAGCCAGGAAAGGGATAATCCAACATATTTTCAAGATAGCTATCAATAGATCTGATTGCAACGATTTGAGTATGAGAGGATATAATCTAGTCCTTTTCGGCTAGCTAATATAATATATTTATTTGCCCTAGGTGGGTTTGAAGCACGGAGCTTGCGGTCCGCGAAAGCCGCCACCGATGAACAGTGCATGTGGGGAAATGTTTGTTCTTGAGTTAAGTTACTGGTTGGCTACTCTACTGGATTCAACATATAGATTATTGCAACAAATTTGCGAATGATTAGGAACGTAGTGGTCATTAGATGAATATTTCATCGTATAATCTATTGAGACTTGCTCAGCCTCAGTGAAAAGCCATTGTATCTATTGTAAACAGAATATTTAAAGCCAATAAAAGAGCATGTAATGATACTAGACATTTTACAATTTAGATGATTTCCTTGAAGCCTTCCTTGCCGCTTCTCGTAGCACTTTCTTCTTGATTTTGCCAGTGCTTGTCTTCGGCAACTCCGATATGATCTCAACTTCCCGAGGCATCATGAACTTACTAATCTTGGATTTGTTACGAGCCCATGAGATGACATCTGCAGGTGTCACCTTAGACCCAGGTACCACAGTGATATATGCCTTGGGAGTTTCGCCCCATTTTTCATCGGCAACACCTACTACAGAAGCTTCGATGATGTCCGGGTGATCCAGGAGCAAGTTTTCCACTGCAACCGAAGAAATGTTCTCGCCACCTATTCACTCCTTAGTAAGAAAAGGAATTTTAAAACAAGCGTACTTGCGTAGATCGAGATCTGGTTCACGTACCGCTGATGATTATGTCTTTGGCTCGATCCAATATTTGAATTGCACTGTCGGGGTGCCATACTGCCAAGTCACCCGAATGCATCCAGCCCCCTGCAAACAATTTTCTGGTTGCCTCTTTATCTTTATAATAGCTATGGGCACAGAGGTTTCCTTGAAAGACAACCTCACCGATTTCCTGTCCGTTGCGCTGAACATCTACTAGCTCCCCCTCTGGCAGCCAGGGCTTGATCACGCGTACTGGCAATCCCGCAACAACTCCATGCCCTTGTCGAGCCATCATCTGGTATCGAACATTGGCCTGAAGTTTGTCCCATTGGGGCATATAGTATGTCCTTGTTATGGGCCCATGGGTCTCGGTAAGGCCATAGGCATGTACTGGTTTCAAGTTGAGTGCGGTCATCTGCTCAAACAGAGCTGCAGATGGTGGGCTTGCAGCCACTGTAACTGAAACTGGATCTGGCAGGCGTCTTGCCTCCTTTGTGTGACACAGAAGCCTGTTCACTGTAGGAGCGGCGCAAAAGTGGGTGAGGTGTTCGTGGATTAACAATGACCATATCTGCGGATAGTCGACTTTCCGAAGGCAGTAATGTGTACCCCTGACGGCAGTTACAGCCCATGGAAACGTCCAACCTGGTCGCAAATTAGTGACGGTAGGGCTAGCGTGGACCGATATTAACATAACATACCCATAGCATGAAACATCGGCAGGATCCATAGATACTTGCACCTCCTATCGTCCGAGTATAGTCCAGACTCTATGACGTTACTAAGCGCCGCAAGGTAAATGCTGCGGTGGGTATACACAACGCCCTTGGGTCTGGAAGTGGTGCCACTTGTATATGAAATGGCGAGCATAGCGTGTTCTTGCGGGACTTGAGTTTCTAGTCCAGACCAGCCCATATCACCATTTCGAAGGTCGATTGCTTGACCCTCTGATATAGCCATGTCGAATGGCCCGGAAATGCCGTCTGTGTCGCTATCGACTAACAAGGGGACTTGAGGATGGGCTAATCTAAAGTCATTCAAGATATGTGCAAACTCGTGATCAACAATGATCATGTCCACTTCAGCATGCTCAAAAATGTATTTTATATCATCAGGCTGAAGACGATAATTAATTGCTATATGTGTTTCACAAATATTGTTAACCTGTCTTGCTCATCTCGCCTCCTCCTTGTTTCTACATACCAACATTTACCGCACCAGCACCGGCGATCCCGAAGATGGACTCTAGAAATGCCGGTGTATTGGTGGCCAAGATACCAACCCTTTGGAATCCTCCTCTTCGCAGGAAATAAGCCAACCCACTAGCCCGTCTTGCAAAGTCTTTGTAAGACCGGCGAATGACGTTTTTGCTGGAGCTAATATGATGAATTGCCGTTGCCTGAAAGAGTTCACGTCTCATTAGCTAAAGCATCCACCAAACAATACTGCTAACAATAAAATTTACCTCTGGTTCTATAGCAGCAGCCCGCGGCAAAAAATGCGTTGGCGACAAGGTATGTATGTTAACACAGGAACTAAGTTCCATTTTGACGGATGACTTTGGCTTCCACACTTTTCAGGTCAATGAGATGAATCTTAAAAGATGAGTAAGAAACAAAACCTTGGATTTATTTTTCTATTCTATTACATCAGTAGATTTCTCCGGATTCTAACTATATGAGATGTTATTTAGGTGTTGTTCTCCCGAGGTATGTAATTGATGTCCGAATCCCGGTCCGTTTTCCGCTCTTCATTGCGAACCAATCGATAGTAAGTTGGCCCTCCTTAAATGCATGTGCACCTAGCGCTAAGTGGGCGCTAGAGAGAAAGCACAACGTCATGACGACAGGGCCATATTATTTTCTTTGAAAAGCCGAATAGCGGAAGTCGGCATCGAGCGAAAAACCAATAAGCGGCAGGGCGGAGAATAGATGCCATTAACCACGTCCTATTCAATAAAGCAGTGCTCATAACGCCTATAATTTAAGCCTCCTGCCTTGACTTACAGGCAAGAAAACAGCAGTCTCTGACCAGTGTTTACAGTCGAAACCTGGCAGTCTTGATGCTTTAGTTCCGATTTCTCAGCGTTCAGTGGATACTGGAAACCATGCTTTCCCCGGACGTCCCAAAAATATGGGGCTTTATTGGGCTCGGCCAGATGGGTAGGTGTTCCTATATCTTTCCTTTTCTTTTTTCTTTTTTGTTGCCGCTTCTCTTGGATCAGAAAACACTCAATTCCATCCGGAAACTTACCAAGTGTCTTATTAAGGGGGTCCCATGGCCCGAAACTTTCATGCCAAGCTCCCTGCATCCCATAAATTGTTTATTTACGACGCAAATCCTGAAGTAGCGCAGCGTGTAGCCACTGACTTGACCGGGTCTAAAGTGGCTACAGGTGTGGCAGAGATTAGCGGGAATTGTGTATTACATCCCATGAACATTCCCTATTAGGGCCTTCCAACATTTCTAATTTTTTTTATTCCATAGGATATTATCATCAGCTGCTTGCCAAATCCCCCTATTGCGAAAACTGTATATAACCAAGTTGTACAAGCTGGCTCCAAAGTCGACCGCTCTGCCAGACTTATAATTGATACTTCGACAATTGATCCCAAAAGCTCACGATCTATTCAAAAGGCTCTGGCTGAGTCCAATCTAGGGCATCTCATTGACGCGCCTATGTCCGGAGGTGTAGTGGGAGCATCGGCTGGAACGTTGACTTTTATGGTAGGAGGGCCACAAGCAGAATTTCAACAGGTACAACCCATTCTTGAGATGATGGGGAAACGAATTTTCCACTGTGGGCCACAAGGTACCGGACTTGCAGCAAAGCTGGCGAACAACTATCTGCTAGCTATTAGCAATATTGCAACTGCCGAGGCCATGAACCTTGGAATGAAATCCGGTCTTGACCCAGCTGTTCTTGCCCAGATTATCAACGCCGGAACTGGAAGATGCTGGTCGAGTGAAGTGAATAACCCAGTTCCAGGTGTTCAGAGTGCCGCTCCAGCCTCAAGAAAGTACAAGGGGGGCTTCCTTGTGGGTCATATGAACAAGGACCTTCGTTTAGCAATTGCTGCTTCTTCTGAGGCAAAGGCTCCCTTGCTTTTGGGACCCAAGGCTGAAGAAATCTATACAACTTTAGAGAATAATCAGGAGACTAGAAGCTGTGACTTTTCTGTTGTTTACAGATTGTTGGATGAAGGTGTTTGGTATGAAACAGCGGCATCCAAGATTTAAGCTCGACATCCCCTTGTTATCAGTCATGTAATAGGAATCCAGCAATACATTACAGCAGTGGACTTTCTCATTTTATATGAATTCAAAGCAAGAAATGAGAAATGAAAGGTTGTGCTAGAAATAAAGCTAGCGTAATTTAATTTCTGGTAAATGATTAGATGACTCAATCACGGGCGCATATATGTAGATCCATATGTAGCATCAATTAGATTTATACATACATGTTCACATGACATAAAATTTTAGCTTATTTTAATTGATGCCCAATTTTGTCATTTAAAGCTGTATATGAGTTGACACAAACTAGCTGAATCTATAATTTGGAAAGGGGGAACCAGATGAATGCACCGTTCTGGATTTGAAAGTCTTTTCCTCGTTTCCAAACAGTCCGCTGTATAATAACTGCCTCTCTATATACTACAGGTTGAAGTATCTTACCTGTCCATCCTTCACCGTCAACGCCTTGCCCTTATCCGTCATAACCCCTATCACCTGAAGGATATTGAGTTATGGCAAAGGCAGGTCTCGATTCTAATGTTAAGCTGCGCGCTGGTAATGACCACTTTTCTCGAGTTCTTGTTGCGTAAGTCCTGGTGTACAGCAGGCATCTGTACCATCAAGAAGTTTCTCCCATTCAAAGTTGAAAGGTACTCCTGAAAAGTTTTGCGCAGCTTCGGCCAGGTTTTTGGGTCCCCCATATGTTTTAGAAGTTGCCTCTCATCAATATCGAGGCTTTTGATCAGCCGTTTGAAAAACTAAGGCTCTAACGCACCCCCGTCAAATTGTTCAGTTAGTCAGATGGCGGTGACTGAGATAGTGGAAGATAAGTTAACATGAGAAAGGCCGAGCTGGGAGAAGCCTGAATGACTTACACTGCCATGTACTTGCTGCCTATTGTTTATTATGTGTCATAGTAAGGCCGCCTCAGTCCAAGAAATTATCTCTACGCTCCTTATCCCGCGTACAAGTCTTGATACCCAGCCTCGGCATTGACGCAAGATAAAAACTTCCGTCTACCATATTGGCCTCAACAACTTGAGCTCTTCCAGACTTCTCCCTGCCGTATAGGACCTGAAGTAAACCGGTGACCAGCATCAATCTACCACCACCGAAGTTTCCAATAAGACTCAGTGGAGGATAAAATCTTCCATCGGCACGACCGATAATTGATAACACTCGTGACACGCTAAGATAATTAATGTCGTGTCCAGCCATACTAGAATATTAACTATCTCTTCCGAAACCAGTCGTACGACCATTGATCAATCTGGAGTTGATTGCACAAAGCACATCAGGTCCTAATCCAATTTTCTTTAAGACGCTGGGTCGAAAGGGATCAAGAATAATGCCCACTTTCTTAGCAAGCTAGTTCACAGTATTACACCACAGTGAACCTTCAAGTCAACGGCGATAGAGGTTTTTTGTCTCGGCAAGAGGTCGGGGGTTGGATGGGCCGCTAGATTGGCAGATAGGCGTGGGTGGCGGTCAATTTTAACAACAGATGCTCTTGAGTCAGCAAGTAGCATTCCAGTAAAAGGTCCTATAAGCCCCATCAGCACTTTCTCAATATTCATGATTGCTACCATACGAAAGGAGCCAACCATGCGAACTCGGGCACGCGACGGCCTATCAATGGAGGGAGGGCCATGATCGTTTCTCCAATCGATATTCTTTCCTGTTATGAATATATTCCTACCTCCAATTACAAAGAGTTCTATAAAGTCTTATGAGTTGAAAACTCTCGACTGTAGCATCTTTCTTTATTTTCATGGCGTTCCAAATTTTGGAAATGACCTCGGAGTGTCGGAGGAGCCGGACCGGCGTACCCTGTATGCAGAAAGCTCGGAGCCGACTATGGGCTTGCTGCTCGGCACAAATATACGGAGAAATGTGAAATAAAATATGTCTAATAGGCGAATAACCTTGGCTGATGGCTTTCCCCTCTTTCCGGAACCAAATTGTGCCGTTTCAGCAAGTGAAAGGGCATGGTGATAAATCCTTAAGCCTGCTCCTCCATTTCCCAGTAAGTCACTTTGGACAGTTCTATCACAAGGGTAGGGAGAAAGGAAAAGGAAAGAAAAATAACAAGAAGGGAAAACAAACCATCAGCTGAATTCGATCTACAATATTGTTATTTGAAAAATGAGCTCATACATAGCAGCACAGCGACGCCTTTTGGCAACTAGACAACACTTATCCCATCCTGAGGACGGTGGCACACGTTATCAAACTCATCACCAGCTCAACAACTCTTGCGCACGAAGTCCTCATTTCCTCAACAATGCTATGTTTGAGTCTACCTCCGATACTTGGTATGATGTATGTGACCCTGCGACCAACAAAGTGGTTACAAGCGTACCTCAAAATACGGACGAAGAGCTTGAAGCTGCAGTTCTCAGTGCTCAGGAAGCGTTTCCAAAATGGAAAGCAACAAGTATTATGACACGCCAGCAGATTATGTTCCGTTTTCTCTCTCTACTCCGAAAAAGTTGGGATCGCCTCGCAGCTAGTATTACCCTTGAGCAAGGTAAAACATTCGCTGACGCAAAAGGAGACGTCCTTCGGGGAATTCAAGTCGTTGAGACTGCTTGCGGTATTACATCCCAGCTTACCGGTGACATTCTCGAGGTCTCTCAAGATATGGAAACAAGAACCTACAGAGAGCCGTTGGGTGTTGTGGCCGCTATCTGTCCCTTTAGTATGTTACATTGCCATTTTTTTCTCCGTTACCATTTTCCTCCTACGCCTACAGTTTTTCTTTTTATAAAAGACCTCTGGAAGTAGATACATATACTAATTTTTCTATTACATCGACTAGACTTTCCCGCAATGATTCCTCTGTGGTCCATTCCTACCGCAATTGTAACCGGTAACTGTCTCATTCTCAAACCATCTGAGAGAGACCCAGGAGCTACCATTATATTGGCTGAATTGATGCGGGGAGCAGGCCTGCCAAACGGTGTTCTCAGTATTATCCATGGCAAGCATAAAACAGTCGACTTTATTCTTGACCATACTCTTATCAAAGCAGTGAGCTTTGTGGGAAGCAACCAGGTAGGGGAATATATCTATACGCGAGCATCGGCGAACGGTAAGCGAGTGCAGGCCAATCTAGGAGCTAAAAATCATGCTGTCATCCTTCCAGATTGCAATAAGAAGGATACTTTGAATGCTGTCACAGCTGCTGCCTTTGGAGCTGCTGGCCAGCGATGCATGGCGCTGAGTGCGCTCGTTACTGTGGGGGATTCACGGAGTTGGATACCTGATATTGCAGCTCGTGCACAGGCACTGAATGTCTCCGGGGGATTTGAAAATGGAGCCGATCTTGGCCCAGTAATTAACCCAGAAAGCAAACAACGAATTGAAGCAATCATTGGAAATGCGGAGCGAGAAGGTGCTACAATACTCCTCGACGGTCGCAATTACAAGGTTCCTGGATACCCAGCTGGAAATTGGGTACGCTGCCATGAACATATCCTTGGAATCTCAGTTCCCGCGCCTTGCTTATAAAGTTTCATTACACTTGATGTCGTCCATGTCTTTAAATGTTACGGTTCAAATTGAATTTGAAATTACTGACGACGTATTCTAGGTCGGGCCAACAATCATCACCAATGTCAAACCACACATGGAATGTTACCGCGAAGAGATATTTGGGCCAGTGCTTGTTTGCATCGAGTTGAATAATCTAGACGAAGCGATCAACCTCGTAAATGGAAATGAGTACGGAAATGGGGCTGCCATCTTCACTGCATCTGGGCTCAGCGCTCAGAAGTTCCAGACTCTCACTGAAGTCGGGCAGTTGGGCATTAATGTACCAATACCAGTGCCATTGCCAATGTTTGCATTTACAGGGAACAAAAGAAGCATCGCAGGTGGAGGTGCAAATACTTTCAACGGCAAAACAGCATTGTCTTTCTATACACAACAAAAGACGGTAACCAGTGCATGGAAGAAGAATGATGCGTTGGAAGGGAATAAAGCGGACTTGAATATGCCCACACAATCATAGATCCAGCCTACTGCTGTGGTTTCATTTTTTATGAAGCTATGTTAAACTCGCGGACGAGCAAGCTTTCATTCAAAGCTGTATGCGACATATTACCTTAGCAATTACAAGGCGAAGTGGCAAAGAAAAATCGATGTGAATTTATTAATACGTACTAGGAACAAAACCTAACGAAAATAAAGGACTGTATTCTAGCACATTGAAGCAAATGCAAATATCTATGTTGAGTTGTTGGAGATTCGACCACATGGGTGGACATGCGGCTATTCCAGGAATAACAAGCGGATGATATCATCCGATCGTGTGGGCGAGTCTCGCAAAGTTTCAACCCAAAGGTGTTCTCAATAGTTGATCAAGCAAAAGAACATTATGCTATGAAATAAGATCGATGGAAAATACCATGCGGGCAGAGATGAGTGGCCAGCTTTTTAGTCCCTCTCAAACTAAAAAGGGAAACGGATATAATATTTACTGGTTGATTCATAGGTTGAACATTGTCTTTTTGTATTAGTTAATAGAGAATAATTCATGTTATTCGCTTGTCCATTTTGTAGTCATGTGCTTGCATCAGAACCAAGATCACATCATATATTATTCTTTACATGTAAGTTGCAATATTTATTTCCTAGATATATTTGATCGCTACTGGGCAATTAGAATAAGGAATTGCTGATAAGATTTCAAATGTTTCACAAATGAGGAACCATCAATCTTAGCAGTTTTAAGGTAGGCAGTTTGAATTGAATCTTGTGAGACACCAGGTTCGGCTTACTAAAAATTCTGGATGTGCGGTAAAGTATCGACTGACTTGGGCACGAGAGTCTGAGTAGACCAAATTGGCTTTTTTAACAAGGTTGGATATTTAAAATCAGGAGCAATCTAAGTGCCGGTGATTTTCCTGCGAACCCCTAGTTTATCTACCATATTTTAGTTGGAAGATTGCAAATATTTATCTCGCACAATATCAGGCCACTTCCATAAATAGTTTCCGAATCCTACTACTGATATTTCTTGTATTTTTCTTACTGTGTGATGCTTTGTCATTTCTAGTTGTTCTATGTTTGTCTAAATCAAATAAAGTCCACCTAGCTGGACGCGGATTGATTTTAATAAAGCTGGTACCCTCTCAGCCTCCACCACAACCCCCACCACAGCCTGCTCCGCCTCCGGCACCTCCGCCAGACTTCTGAATATATCCAAAGCCATTACCGTGACTTCGGTGCCCTAGAGGGCTGAGAGCTGGAAGCATAGATCCCCCACAGCTTCCAGCAGCCATGGAGGGACTGCAAGAACCTCCTATACAATTTCCAACAGCACCATTATCCACACTCAGGCATCCAGGCTTGTTGATATATGCATCTTTGTGTAAAGGAGGAAGTTTTTCCAAGACTTCGGAAAGCGTAATGGCCGGTGGCTGACTCTTTTTCGAGCCTCTTGCTGATTCTTCGACGTTGTGCTTTTGATAGTCTAGTATGAGTCTGTTCACTTTCTTTCTGAATCGTTTGGGAACCGAACCCTCTGCTATAACCCCATTATGAATTGAAATGTGCGATGAACTGTCTTCATTTGAAGTGTGAGTTTGATCCTCGTCGACTGGTTTCAATTTATCCATGATTTTGCCTTTAATGAATAATTTCGACAATCGTTCAAGAACGCTTCTTCTGCGAGTGGCCTCGCAATACCAACAGGAACACCCGCTGTAATCTTTGCCTCCAGAAGCGTTGTGGTACTTCTTGGCTGTCCACTCAAACGAATTAGATAATTGCCCCTCGTCGACCCTGTCATTATGGTCAATAAAGCGGACTGGGCGATTTTTCGTAGTCGTAGTGATAGAGTGTGTGTAATAATCTTTGGGAGAAAGTTGGTGAGTATGCCAAACAAGATCAACATCAAGTGTAGGTACAGCCATGCGTGCGGGATTTGCAACAATGATTCCCCAGAAAATATCGTACTTCTTCTGAAAACCCCTCAGAAACTGAATTAAATCTGAAGATGAGTATGTATTAATCCAGTTGAGGCTATGCATCTTTTGTATGAATTTCCCTTGTCTGATAACTGCTCCAACAAGGTCCAAGGCAAATATAGAAGAATTACCGCCCCAGTATCGAGAAAGCATTCGACGTAGTGTACCGCGACCTCTTCCCTTAGAGGTCAGAAACATATCACTACTGGCTAGCTCTGAATCCATATCTAGAACCTGGATTTTCCAATTATGGCGGTAGACATAGTCGTAAATTGAATCAGCAAGCTGTCGAATGGAGCGGCACTCTTTCTCTTGTTGTTCTAGATCACTAACAAAGTTTCGCGGTGTGCTCAGGAAAAGATAATTTGGGGTGAGCTGAGACCATTTGGCATACCGTGTTTTCCTTACTTTCACCACGCCATCCGGATTGAAGACGGTTCCTGGGAGAGGCAGTTCTCGCCTTCTTAACTCTCTAACGTCCGATTTGAATCTGAGAACAGCTAGATATTCATGGTCCAAGATAGCCGTACAGTTAGAGCATGTGGCTTTGAATGAATGATCGCAGTACCCATTGGCCATTGCAAAACCCGTCTCTGTAATTTGACCAGGATTCGTTCGGGAATACAACATACTGCTCCTTGCTGTGGTCCACGGGATTCGCATTGTGTTACGACACAATGGACATTCCAGCTTGTACCAAAGAGAATCATCTTGATTGTCCCATTTCCTTCCAGTGCGAAGTTCCCATGCCAACTGGGCACTCATTCCTGGATCATACCGATATTGTTGCTTGTCATTTGTAGTGATGCACTGCGACACCAGGTCCCATGGAAAGGCCGTTGCCCATAAGTGCATTTTAGCCTGTCTGAAACAGTCCTCTAGGTAAGAGCGTGGGTTCAGCATAAAAGAATGCCAAACCATGAGTACATCTGTGGAAAACCAAGATTAGCGATACGTCAACCCTCAGCCATGTGTATACGGGTAGACTCCCACCTAGAGGAGGAAGATCACCTAGGCCTTTGAAAACGGGCAAGGAATCACCCAAAGTTAAAGGATTTAACTCAAATCGTTTTAGTGACATAACTGTCGGGGGGTTTCCACGTCGAGACATGCTTGACCACCACTGTTTAAAACGATCCACGGCGCGGGAAACATAAMCCTGCCATACTTTCTCCTCTACACGTAGCCTGAAGTTTTCTTCTTCAGCGGTGCGAATCCTCTCGTTCGGCTCATCAATACCGAAAAGCCCGTCAATCATCGTTATGCTGTGACGCAATTCCGCCAAAGTGGCGAGAAACATCAGATGAGCTTTGCAATGCTCTGTCGTAACGACGCCAGAGAGTTCATGGCTGCCACCTGTGGGATTATTCATATTTGTAATATACGGAATCTATTTCGTGCTGAGGGGAGTATTGAGTTGAATACTCGACGAGCAATGGTCAGCGCCGATTACAGGAAACGAGTTCGTTATTTAGCCAAATTAAAGTCGTAGATGGCCGTCATTAACACTTGGTAGTAGACGACCAGGCGCTTTTTATAGCGCACGGTTTAAAGAGTGCCGTCGGTAAAATTGGATATAAATAGGGTAGTGAGGGCAGTGCTGTGGCAAGGACGCCTACAACTCGTCTATTTCTGCTAAATTAGGAAAGCATTAGAAATCAAAAATTCTATCACCATCGAGGCCGAATCTGCCTTGGGTTGTTCTGCTTCTTTGCGGCGCGGGGGAAAGGGAGCACAATCCACAATCTCTGTGGCCGAACAGCACATACCAGACCAGCCTTCTCAAATGAGGAGCTGTCAGCTTGTAATTTTTTCTCCCCTGTGGACTCTGTGAACAATGAAATAATCCATACGACTAGGAGATTCTCCTCCTCGACTTTCAACTTGACTGGCGGGTCGTTGGTTTAACGAAGGCGGGAACCATGTCAGTGTCTTAGTGAGAAACCAATCAGACTCCACGGTAACCGAATAACTACTGGCCAGAATAATGGCTTATCACCTGTTCAGATGATAAGCTGAGGATATAGTACCATATGAGCTTTTAATACTCCTTCCACCTGGTGCTAGAAGTTGCAAAGTTGAATTTTCAAAATTATTATCACTTGTAGGCACACATCACATCGGATAAAAGCGAAACGAACAAGTCAACCCCAACAACCAACGGCTATCAAAGCCAATAAGACCAAGGAAAAATTCCAAACAATATGTTAGGTGAATCAGAAGACCTAATTGCGCGAGTTGCCCAGATTCAACTCAATTCAGAGGTAAGTAGCTCCTTAGCCTCCAAGTCATTCGAATGCAAAACCGTTCAGGTCGCTCACTTCGCCTGGTGTACACACACACTCACAGGATGAGATCTGGGAAAGCGATACTACAAGAGATATCTTACCAGCATGTCCAGAAACTCGTCCAGTGACTTATTCACTACCATGGTACAACCTGGTGGGCCAAGAGGATGACGAAAACTCCACTACAAATGTCAGCTACCGTATTTGTACTAAATGCCACGACGACTATATAAAAAGCAGCCCATTAGCCAGTCAATTTATCCGACAACAGCGACCAGAAGGCTCATTCACACTATGCTGTTTCTTTTTTCCACGCATAAAAGATATTCTCTGGCCGCAAGTCCTTGCATCAAGGAGCACACAAGCAATTAGTGAATTTATGTCTGACAGAAGCAGCATAAACCCATGCAGAGCAGCTGAGCCTGTGACCCCTGGTTACACAGTATGGTTTAAATTTAAGCAAGGTGATATCGACGGTTTCCATGTTTGTCACGCATGCTATGAAGACCGGGTAGTTGGTACCGCGTTTCAAGACGCCTTTGTCATAATTGATCCTACCGAGGAAGATGTCGATCAATGTGTCTGCGACGTCGGCTGCGCACCATATATCGCACGTATCTTGTTGACGATGGCCAAGTCTAGTAATTGGCCTGGCTTCATTAGTTGTGCAGTCAAACGGCTTTGCGCGGAGTGCTGCAGCGGCAGTCAGGTCCAGACTGACAGTATCGGCTGTTGGTATCAACCGGTTGATATCACATTGAATGATATTCAGATTTGTGAAAGATGTTATTTGGACCAGATCGCTCATGGCCCTTTTGAGGATGAGTTTCTTCTCTACCAGTCATCCCAGGATGATAAATCGATTGAACCACAGTTTCGAAGATGTTTACTAGACAATGGTGAAAATCTTGGTATAGCACTCGCCCTCGAACGAGCGAGGCAGAAACTCGATTTCAGCATATTTTTAGAGGCTGCCAAAATCATCAGCAGTGTACCATGGTGTCCTGGTTCAGATATTGTCGGATGTAACGTGTGGACGTTGAATGGTGCTGACTTCGACGGCTTTATCATTTGCGAATCATGCTATACTGGACTCTCAGCTTTTGGTCTCCGACACTTCTTTCGCGAGGCAGTAGTCGATCCTGAAGCAGAGATTTACTGCAGACTGTGCTCTGGTTTGCCAGAATGTGAAGGGTTTCTCCTTAAAATAGCCGAGACACTTGATTGCGGCGCGTTTAGTTACTTCTTCGACTATGTCAAGACTGAACACAGGAGAGGAATCGCTTCGGATGCATACACCAATCACATTGAGAACAAAAGTGATAAAGCAGCTGTGAGAATGACTGAGCATAAGGAAAAGTCATCGAGTGAAGGCCCGGAAGGCACAAGAGAAGAACTACGATTCTTACGGCGATGCCCGGAAGATAGAGTGATAAACTACAGTCTTTTATGGTATCGTCTAGTGAATCCGTCTGAGGCCGAGTTGGCATTTCTCGTCTGCAGCAGGTGCTATACCGACCATATCCAAAACACCAGCCTTGTAGCGGAATTTGAACCAGTCCTGCAGTCAGAACAGTTTGCAGCCGCCTGCAGCTTTTGGATCCCCTCCGTACACGATTGCTTCTGGCCCAAGGCCCTCAGCACTGGCAACACTGTCGTTTTTCGGAAGTATGTCTCAAGATGGGTCGAGTCTCCTCCCTGTCCCGGGGTTCAAGGAAGTCGTGATTTTGGCTCAACGTGGTATGGAATGGTAAATGGTGACGTTGATGGCTTTATGATATGCGAGGGATGCTATGTGGACAATGTTCTTGGTACTACTTTTCAGAATAAGTTTACCACATATTCCTCTGAGTGGGAGAGTGACACATGGGCCTGCGATCTGCGGTTTGCCTTTACTAGTCGAGCGCTGCGTACGTATACAAAACTGAATGACTGGAATAGCTTCGTCTTCGCCGCAGAACAGCGACATGGTCTTCTAGAATGTACAGGGGATGAGGTCTACGCTAATTCTAATACTTGGTTTTACCCCCGTCACAGACCAATCAGTAATATGCGGATTTGTGCAGCCTGCTGCATGGATCACTGGGCACTCACGCAGTTCGACGAAGAATTCCAACAGGAATATCGCGGTCCTCCTGTAGGTAGTGCTGAGTATATGCTGTTCATGACCGAACGCTGGAGATGTCACGTAGGCATCAATTTGCCCGTACTCATGACCATACAGGAAGCCAAGGCTGAAAACAACTTCAATATCTTCACGGAAGCCATCAAAGTTATTCTCGAATCTCCGTCCTGCTCCGAAAATGGAATGACTGAAGGTGAAGGATGGACTCTTTTAGGAGGCTGTGAAGGGTTTACCATATGCTATCCCTGCTACTCGGGCATTATATGGAGTACCGGTCTTTTTATAGACTTCTTCGAGAGGATCTCCTGGCCCAAGGATAACGTCAAAATATGCAGCTTCAATACATCTGCTCCCCGGTTTGAGCTGGTTCTGAACAAACTTCACGAAAGTCTTGATCGACAAGACTTTTCCTTCTTTTCTAGCTTTGTGAAGCAATTCTCTTCGCTTCCAGTGTGTCCTCGTAACACGGTATATATAGGACGACCTTGGTGGGGATATCCACAAGCCCGGTGCTGTGCAGAATGTTGGGTAGACTGGTTATCGCATACACCGCTAGCAATGACGATGCCCCTTCGCGGAGCAGTCTTCGAGGAAGGCGCAATTTGCCAAATGTGGTCACCACGGCTACGCACCCTATGGCTATCCGTTTGTGCGGAAGGAGAGCCGGGATCAGCCAAATCGGAAGCAGCAGTGACCAAGTTTTGCGAGATTGCTCGAGGCAGAGAAGAGATCTTTTGGAAGACAATACCTGCGATCAAACGTCTCAGGAGTTTGAAGTACGCCGAGAACTTGAACATTCAGGTACAGGCAATGGCTTCTGTGAATTATGCTGGTATGAAATCACTGTCGGTAGTCAGTGGAATGACAGACGGCAACCGGTATGGTAATGGTTCGATTGGGTGGTATGATACCACGAGTGGTGCGGCGGCCGCGCAAGCGAGGAACAGTATGAATCAGAGTATGCGTGCTGTCTCGAGTCGAGATGCAGAACTGTATCGATTGCAAGCTAGCTGGAGGGAAGTAGAGTAATGAGTCTTGTCTCTCTAGGATTTGTCATACTAGCTATCGCAAGCGCATCTCTTTTCTTCTATGCATGTTTAGAATAGAATACATAGCTGGAATGAGAGTCCGCAGACCTTCTTCAGTCGCTGTCTCGTATAATTGCGGAGCAAGGTGGGGAATGATACTTGCCAAGCTTTGACAATAGATGGCAATCATGCTTAACTGAAGGACATAGTAAATTCACGTTTTAGATTTTCCCCTCACAGGAAACTTGGCTATCTCGTAGGGTCGTTTATGTAAATCGAAAGCAAACCTCGACACATATTGAGAAATACGTAGATTGAGAATTCCGAAGCTTGGAGTGTCTTCTCTGGGATGTTCAACTTTGGTCTGGGAAGAAGCACCACTGGATAGGCGAATAGTATTATCTAAGAATCAACCGCCTAGGGTCTGAGTTTTGAGATAACTCCGTCAAACAAACTACTAACTTCAGGAGTGGACTTAGTCACATAGTAGTTCTACCTATAAAGTAGAGCTCGCCAGGATCCGACTTATCCGGAAACGCGGATGGCCATGACTAATCAAGGGGTTAGCCTTCCAAGCCGGCTTTGATCGTGCTTAAATGGAATCGTGTGACCGTTCGAAATCTCGACTTCGGAAGTAAATCTGGACCTACAGCGGTGTCTCCCAATATACATCAAGGCTCTATCAATATGGCTGAACATCCTTCCTTTACACTTGCCGCTCTCCGTAAGTTCCCGATTCGATGCCTGAAACGAAAAGTCCCGGGTCGCGGAATATTGATAACCGAAAAACAGTTCCTGCCGGGGGTGTCTTGGGATATCTAAAGTCGCGCTCAGCACCATCATTAATCGCGGGTGTGGGACTTGGACTTTCATATGGATATGCTGGTGAGTGCGTATGAGCAGCACGCCATTTGGGGCGCTTTCTCTTGCGCCGAACTAAACGAAATGTTAGGTTATCTGATCAAAGAAAATAAGGACTACGGAACTGAGCTGGCCTTGGTAAACAGTGTATTGCTGCTGGCTTCCGCAATCCCTAGAGTCATCAAGACGCAAGCCAAGTTCCCCATGCCCATAATTCTCGCAGTCACCGGATCTTTGTCAACTTTCTACTACCAGAAAAAAGCCCGGGAGTTCCGATTCGGAGTCTGATTATCAAAGCCTAAATAAGTCTGACGGCTTGATATGGTAGGCAGTGTCCAGCGCGATCCCGGATTTTGCTGAAGGATAGGATAAATAAGGACAGAGATCAGAAGAAGCTGGTCAAGAATGTAATTACTTAAGAAGAGGTGATACTTCGATTGAATAACTTCTTACCATGTCTTGGGATTAATGTATACGCCATTTTGCTACGCTGTAAGGTCTGCTCGGTTTATTCGCTCATAGTCACCTAGATTCCTAGAAGCTCGATGTTTTCCACTGTCTCATTGGTAAAGTGTACCAAAAATGAACAGTAAACATGATCTAAAGTTGAGGTCTCCAACACTCAAAAGTCTCAGATCAGACCCTCTACCCTGATCACACATTTTCCAATTCAGAAACCATACACAGATACTATACTGCGTTCTCCCTTAAATCCTTTGAGAAACGTTTGAAATCATATCCAGGATTTCCACTATCATGTCCGAATTTATAAGGGGAGCTTCTCTAATGTGGATGCCGTGAAAGCAGAAGACAGCGTTGTTACTCTCTAGAGTCGACTGGAAACGGTCGGTAAAAAGCCCTTGATGTCTTTGCGATATTGACATAGTATCCTCTCTATGTAGATCTATATATAGAGTTATTATAAGAAAATATATATAAAATTAACAATTGAAGATTCCAGCGTGCGCTTCATAGATACTCAATTACGGTTCTGTACAAGTGTTTCTACTTCAAGAACGAGCTTATTCAATAGCTGCCAACACTACGAAATTTGACCCTAAATCTGATCCAGTTCAATACATACAATCAAGAACAATTATCATGATCCGGATCCGGCTTGTTTCCCCAAGTTCCAGACGTGTTACCATACGCCACTCGAGTCCCCGCCTGTCGCTTAGGTTCCAGAACCATAATCTTATCCGATCCGGTCTGCATGAAACAACCAGGGGGTTAAAGGTTTTGTTGCGGGCCGATGAACCAGTATCGTCCGAGATTGTGCCGTTGGCCCAGACTTTGGGTTGATCTAATGTCTGGATGCATGCTTTTAAAGACAAGGCCATCGGTCCAATCAACCGCGTCCAAGGGTAGGAGGACAAGCCATTGTGGGAACATTCTTCACTATCGCAACCAGTATTGCAGAAGCAGAGGCTCATATTGCCTTTATATAAAATTAGTTCTAGAAACACGTCATAAAATATAAATGAACTTTCACACCCTTCTAGAAACCAATTATCTTTTTAATATACTAGTTAGATCAGAAAATTCAGAAGATATCATTACTTATTACTATGTTGAATAGCTGACACACTAAAGAATATTAAAATGGATATAATAGAAACTATTAACATATTTACTCTAGCACTATAAAAAACGCGTGCAGATTAATATAAGTAAAACTTTAGAAATACATTTGAAAGTATATAGATTAATATAGATTACGGTATATAGTTCAATATAGAACAAGATAGTAGGGTTTAGTAGTAGAATGATTTAGACAAAACTACTCTAATATAAAAAGTTGAAATTAAAGATTTTCTACTTTATATTAGATATAAGACTAGAATAGAACTTATACTTAGAGAAGCTAGTAGTAATAATATTTATATTGAAAATACTACTTACATTAAAATAGTATACAATTATACTATTAATAAGTTTATAAGTATCTGCTATATTACTGATGGATAAAATAAAATATAATAAAAGTGATTTTACAGGAGCTGTAAGGAGGTATGGTATATATATCAGGACATGTATTAGTAAATTAATGAGAGTTGCCCTTTCGGCTTAGCCGCCAGGGGTTAAATAAATGTATGTATGTATGTGTAGAATATTCTGAAGCATTACAACACGACATAAAAATATATTATGCAATCAAACCCGTATACCCCAAATCAGGGTAGTTTTCAGGTTCTTGATTCCAATACGTATACGCCCAAGAAGGATAACATGGATCCTAAAAGATTGAATAAGAAGTTATTGCTGGGATAAAAGAGGGCGTAGACTTACGTCGTCAAAGGCTGGGATACGATGAGGAGAATGGTCCCTCCAAGTATTCTGGTCGTGCCTTCGTTTACACCAGAGACATCTGATATTGCCCCTAGCAGGTGACCTCTCACCACAGGGACACCAGTACTTTTGGTATAGCAGAATCAGATGCTGGAGTAATAGACGACAGAAGAAATTAAGCTCACCGCTCTATCAAGCTGATGATCAAAAATCAGCATACCTCCACTTTCAGGCTCTCCTCCAAGGGTATAGGCTGTGCTATAGTCGTACACAAGCTCTGGAAATTCGTCGTCGCCTTCCACTTTTGTTCGTGTTGTCATATATTCACGATTCTCCCTATTTTCCTTCACTTTGCAATTGTGACAAATCCACCGGGTATATTGGTCACAATCACAGTACTCTGATAGTCGGAATGGAAGACTGTGTTCAATTTCTGCATCGCAACGTAGGCAATAGCAGATCAGGTTTGACACAGAAAATGACAGGTCGAAATGCGGCCGACAATTTGCCCTATAGGTTCCACAGTCACGTACGCGTGGAACGAAACGACACTCCTAAATGACTGTTTAGTACATGGATGTCTATTACGAGATTATCCAAGAGTGTCGAATTGTAAAACATACCTCACAGACGTTAATACCGCATTTAACGCATGGCAGGGCACTACATTCATCACACTTCAGGTTCCATAAGCGAACCTCTATTTCTTCATCATGATGAGGTCTGCGCCCATTTTTCCCCCATTGCCACATACCCGGCCGAGGCTCATAGAATCCGCAAAAACCCTGTCGTTGTTTCAGTCCACGCCCGTCACATAATGCAACCCGTTTTAGTTGATCGAATACGGGTGTAGAGTCTAGGATTAGTGCATGGAAACTCTTGCTTGCAAGTGCCAAGTTGAAGATGTCGAGTAAACTTAGATATTGTGCTGTGCTTTTCAGCAGCCCATATTGCGAGAATATAAACAGGAGATCAACCATTTCTGACTTTTTCTAAATTAGTAGTACTTAGTGCTTAGGATGATACTGTCAACATGGATGAAGAACAATAGAGTCGCTGGTTGTAATGTTCTCGAGCATAGAAGAACTTAGTGTCCTAATTGAGCTGGAAATCAATTTCTTTGTATATAATTATTTTGTAGGTTAGAAATTGAGCTTTGAAAACAATAGTGAGAAAAAGAGGCGACTAGTCAGTTTATTTACTCTGGATGGGGCTGGTAAATTTATTAATACGTACTTGTCTCGTCGCCCAACTCTCGGCCGGGGAAGGCGACAGACAGGTACGTACAATTTTAGGCGGTAAGGTCCCACTTGGGACACCAGACTCACCGCCTTTTGAATATCAAGGAAAAACCTGACCCAAGGTTATGTCACGGACCTGGATCCACCTTAGTTAAACAGCGGTGTCGAGGTACGCTAGGCTTCGTTGAACCACATAAAGATTCAATAAATATTATTAATAGAGTAGACTAAATAAATAAAAAATAATAATAATGAATCTAAATATATAGGTATTTTAATATAAATAAAATAGAAAAGATCTTTCAAATAGTCTAGTATCTATATTAATATAAATACCTTACTCACTCTTATTATTATATTTAAATAACTTATATTAAAAAGCTGTAAAAAATAACTAAGTAAACAGTAAATAAGTATATTTATATAGATCATGTCTTTTATACTTTCTTTATAGTTCTATATTATTATTATTCATATTTAACGTCTATATGCAACCTTATGGGTTATGACAGACACATGCCGGGTAAGGCCCTAGGCCCTAAGGC